GAGAGAAGAAGGGAGGAGAGAAGAAGGGAGGAGAGAAGAAGGGAGGAGAGAAGAAGGGAGGAGAGAAGAAGGGAGGAGAGAAGAAGGGAGGAGAGCAGACTTAGGAGACGAGATTATATGCTGGACTCTCGAGCACCTGCCCTCAAAAACCCGTTGTTCGCCCAACCAAAACACTCCATATGTATCTGCAGAAGCTACTTCCACTGTAACAGGAAAGCATCCGACTATGTGGGTAGGTGCCTGCTAAACAGTCTGGCAGTTGGCGACTGTGAGAACAGCCCATAGTCCGGCCCTCAGTTATCGCGGCATTGGCAATGGAGCTTTGCGTCTATATTACATACGAGTACTAGTAATTCTCCTACCAAAATCCTACATTCTCGCTTTCGGTGTTTATTTTGTCCTATTGGATAGAAATGTGGTAAGCTTACCATTCCTGGTATGCGTGGCATGGATGGAACTGCTCAACTGTCACTGTCGAAGTATATTCTTAGCTCTGGAAAAGAATTATTGGAACTCGGTATAGAAATAGCACCCCAGAGATGGAGACTGGTCGAAGTAGGAAATGGTAAAGTGTTAGAAATGGTGAGCTCCAAGGGGTGATATTTGAGTGTTCGCGTCCAGATATCACTTTCTACTTGTTTGCATACGTCTTTTCCCACCTTATCGACAATAGACTGATTTCCACGAGTAAGAACTGCGGTTCCGCTTCGCTTGTATGATCACGATGTTGGCCTGCTAAGATTGAACTTGACACGATACTCACTCAAGAGTTTCTACTCGCTCGCGATATGGCTTCTGCACTTTTATTGCGTTCAAATCATGTATATAGTATTAATTACAGGTCCGGAAGAAGCACTGGGAGGTTAGAGGACTGGGAAACAATTGCGAACCCCTTCGTGCCTCGTCAACGGTAAAGAAAAAAAGGAAGCCGAAATGTTGTTTTGCCTGAGGGACTACAGAGGCCCAACAGGTGACATAACATGGACTCGATCAGTCTGCTCATCGGGCATAAGTTATCCCATATCATCTTGTCCTACGTAACCGTTTCGGCGTAGAGGTTAAGGCATGAGACATGATGATGCGAAATAGCCTTCCAATTTGTGAGAGATATCACACCGTATATCCCGTCTCCTGCGTTTCGGGTTGCGCTGCCCGCTTATTTTTGTTCATGAGCCTCTCCTTGATAGACCTATTGCTTGTCAACGTTGAACGGTGGAGGAAGCTGCGAAACGGCATTAGCCACTCACCTCTTTGTATTCGCTGCACGGTCCTCGCGGAGCTCTGAGGACACAAAGCCGCCCTATATTACACATATCAGTCTGACAGGCACCTGGTATACTTCAAAAAGTAGTATGAAACTCACAAGGATGGCACTGAACATCCAAGCTATTGCTCCTATGAAAAGGAAAGCGAGGATAGCTCTCCAGCTCGAGCAGCCAGGACGGCCAGCCGTGCCGACAGTAATGGGACGTGGCCTTCCCCAGAATCCGCCCCAATTCCAGCCCCAGTAGTTCCAGTACCAATTGGAAGAGCAGGAGGCGTTGAGCTGTATATAGGCTTAGCCAAGTCAAGGCGATGTTCTCATGATACTTACACCGGCGAGGAGTCCAAATGCTATTATCAACAGAATGAAGAGTAAGACATCGACAGGCCAAGCGTAGAAAGAGAATTTTGAGGGGAAAATGAGAATGATTGAAGCGACCAGTGCCAGGCAGGCTATTACTTCAGCATATACCAGACGACCATTAGTACTACCAAAAGGTGCAACGTGCAGCTGATGGAAGAAGCGGCTTAAGAGACCAACGACGATGGTAGCGGAAGAAAGCTGGCAGAAGCGAAGCAGAACGGAAAGTATCTTAGAGCCAGTACCCATTCTTGCAGATTGAATATGGATGGATCAGTTGAATGATGTTTTGGTATGTGGCAATAGCAGGCTTGGGTCGCATGTAGAAATCAATTCTAGCTCTCCGATCAGATGAACTGGCTAGTGACGATCCTTAAATAAACAACACGACATTCAACCCAACGCCCCATTCTGGTTGGCATTTTGCCCTTCACATTTTCGGAATTCAACAAACCAAGAATTGCCCTGCATGCCAATACTGTCAGGTTCAGCCATAAAGATGCGGGGTGTTCCAGACCCGTTGCGGGACTGCGCGGAAGTGTTTGCGGCGTTCTTTCATTCAGTGGGGAGAAAGAAAATGGACCATTCACATTAGTCTTCGAGTAACTGTCATTAAACATCAAGAAGCGAGTACCAGTCTTTGTCGCTGCGCTTAACGATTGTAGATGTACAACTCAAAATCTTAGTACGGCGCCACCGAAATTGATGACATTTTGTGATTCGACGCATACTCACGATGATACGGCAGACAATATTCATGAATAGCTTATTTCAAGGATAATAGCCCCAAGCGAAAGATTATAATTATTTCCGGTTCAAGGAAATAACAATCATCAAAGTGAACTCATGTGCATCGTCAGTATGTGATCTTATTGTCGTCGCAAAAAGCACGTCTGCTACTCTGAGATACACCTTGATCCGAGGTTGGAGGAGCAGAGTGATTTTGGATCTTGACACAGATGATAAAAAGTAAACTGGGCACCTAAGAGCATACTCCGTTTTACGCCCTGAAGTGCGTAGTCGTACTTCAAAGGAGGCCGGTGGAGTGCTCGTCTGAACGTAAATGGACCAATTGGGTTGGGTACCAGTCACCCTACTATCCAATAGGCATTTAAGCCGGGTCTTGGGAATGCTTTTTTACCAATCAATTCCTCTCGCTTTCTATTCCTCGGCGGTGTCTGACATCATTGCGCAGTGCTGTTGATATGACTTTCTTGGACGTCTTATATTCCAGCAATTCATCTGCAGAATGATAAAACCAGAAGCGACTTATTGACAGAAGTTTTAACTTTGCGTTCAAGATTCGGCATGACTTGATGGCGCTGTTCTTCGTCAGAATGCCTCTTCGTTGCAAAGCCATGGAGTAGAAAATTATCAGAAACCCTCTTTCACGATCACGAGAGCAACAATTGAAAAACCACTTACTCGTTTGATTGAATTGAATTCATCAGCGAAGCCAATATTTCAACGCTCAACACTGTAAACAATCGCTACGTCATCGAGCGCATAACAGGACACACATGTTGCATGGGAAGCATTGATATGACACACCACTCAAATTACTCTTGAATTCAGGTACTCGTAGTTATGATCGGCGAGCAAATATACGCCTTCACATGCCATTGTTTGGTTCGGTCGGATGGGTGCGGAAGCCAAGTTGCAGTGTCGAAATCGACTTTGATATCGCTCCTCACATAATTGAAAGTCTTTATTCTTTGTCTCACGCCATCTGCAAGATTGCGAGACTGGGAAATGTGTTACACTTGGGCCCGTCGTGAATTCATCTGGTGACTTTACAGTCCTTCATACTACGAGTATTATTATTGGCCGGCCGAATGCTCTTTGTTTAATGCTACGAGTAGTACCCGGGATCTAGGGAAGATAACGAATGATCACTCCGCAAATGCGATGCCCAAAATGCTTTCACGTGGTCCAACTCCCGCGTCATTCCTACCGATCTCAAAAAATGGTAGTCATCTTCAGTCTTTCAAGCCACCACATACACGAGATCAATGCCTGGTTTTCCGGAATATACACAATCACTTACATAAAATGAAACTATTGAGATTGGCCTACGACTCCTGGAATAATATACGGTATAGGGAGAGTAATTGCACAAAACAACTGCACTAGAGCTACGCCAACCGAAGATATTCAGGACGGCGAAGGTACCCAGCTCCAATAACCATCCAATACATGTACTTCTGTTCATGATTTAGGGTGATGTGGTGTTTAATCTTCTCCAAATGTCTGAGGAACTATGAGATGTATTCAGGAAGGATGTGTTACTTTTGCACATGGGAATTCCAACCTATATCTCGATTGCCAGCCCACCCAAGCAGCATACGAGTACACCCGTCACAGGCGTGAAGATAGATTAAGTCAACCTAAGATGATTGTTTAGAAGTATAGTATAACACAATTAATAAATCTAATCCCGCACCACGAAACAATCGTCTCCTGGTTCCTCATTCCACAGGTGGTTCTTAGCTTTCGCAGCTGCATCTCGCTTCAAATTCTCCAAAGGCATTCCACAGACAACGCTTTTCAAATTATCTTGCCAATGATCCCAAATCGTAAACAGTCTCCTGTCTACATCTCCATCGTAATCTGAATGGAATTGCGGGGGTGGGCGACCATGATTGTCATAGTAAAAATTTCCAAGAGCAGAAATCATTGCTTTCACAAGCTGGAAAGACTCCCATTTGTCGTCCCCGGGAAATTCGTGGATGAGTGCCCAGTGAACAAGGTCCCGTAGGTAGAATAAATTTCTTGGACTTATTGGGTCGACTTGTGGCTGAACTATGTCTCTATCCCATCCATGAAGGCATATGGCCCATATTCGATAACTAGTCATAATTGCCCGATAGCGTTCCGTAGGAGTGAGTCTATCTGGGTGCGTTGGGTTTCCTCCGTATATAGTCCCTTGCTTGCTTTCCGGTATATCACCAACTAGAAACAACGGTCAGAAAACTAGATTGTACAATAACATATCAGCTGCAGAGAATGCTCACTTTCCAATCTAGGGATGGCTTCTTGTTCAATAGTCTCAATGAACTCTTCCATGCGCTCTGCATTTTGCGATAGCTTCAACAATTCGCCATCAGACAGCGCCTCCTGCGACAGCTTTTTCGCTGGATAGCTTTTTTGACATGCAAGAAGGTGCAGTGCATGATCAAAGCATTCCAACTGATCGCTAATTATCTCCTCGATGATAAGCCCCCGATGTTCTTTCCACACATCCCGCAGCCTATGGCATGTAGCACTTAGGTTGAGGGCATCAGCAAAGGATGATTGTGCTTTGTAGATGCTAGCCAGGATTTCGGTTGGAAGACTGACGAGCCCAAGCGTTCCATTCTGATTGTCGAGCATCGTATCGCTGACTTCCATTATTCGTTCTAAGCTTGATAAGAAAAGAGAATATAATGGCCGGTGTCTGTGTCTTGACAAGGAGCAACGTGGTTATTAAGGTCGGTTTTCCAACTCCGCCCCGCAACCCTGCAAGTTGTCGATCCTTCAGGTTTCCAGGCAGCGACATAAATATAAGCGGACACATGCGACATGCCTCATTGATACGATACGCCTGTTCTTTTCCCCTCGCCTATGCATCCAGGAAAACCATGGAGAATTCACCGCTGATCGAAAGACCAAGATGGGTACTCGTCTGCTGGATATTCCAGGCCATATGGATGCTTATGACCGCTTTCTTCTACTGTCTCATGTGGCTCGTTCTACTGTTGGTCAGCAAAAATCCTCCAGCACCCAATCCCGATCATAGGGTTTTCCCTATATCAGTCTGGGAAGCGATCTTTTTCGTAGTGTACGTTTTGCGTTGCTATCTGTTACATCCGCACACTGCTCACTGAATGGCATAGTTACACATTGACTTGGCTTGTTTTCCCGCTGGTCATCATCGTCATCATCGTACTGCAAATTCGCCTCAGGACTATGTACACATCAAGCAAACACTTGTATAAACGTGAGGTTGCGAAGATGATACTTGCGACGTGTGTCTATATCAGCACGATGCTACTCTTCATTCGACAAACTGCAAACGTGCCCTTCATCGTGATTGCAACGGCGGCATGGCTGTAAGCGTCTTCCAACGTTAATATGATGAATCAAGGATATTACACTAACATATCACAAGCGGCTTCTTTTTACCAACGATCAGATATTCAGCCCGACTCTCCAGGGCTGAGGCACAATCAGAGACGGAGGAATCATCACGGACTGCAAGTAGAAGGACATCTTCGGATTCATCTGCATCGTCCGATGAAAGATCGCCCCGAGATGAGTCTCAAACTGAGCGTTCACCGCTATTGCCCTCCAATCACGCTCGATCAGATACCATACTTCATGACTAAAAGGAACGGTGATTTTTCGCATTATCCTTGGAGCTTTATTTGAGGATGATTGAAAGGTATTGTTGTACAGACTTTGGCGGGTGTGTTATCGATAAGTACCTAGTTATCCACTTGCATTCAGCTTAGCGTACGAGTACCAACAAGCGATTGACACCGCAACGCCTGTTTCACTTTACGTCACAAGGGCCTGAAGAAGCCTCCAGCGAAGCATCCATATACCTGTCCATCCAAAAAAAAAAACCTTCAAGGGACCCAGACTTGTCCATCTTCAGTCCTGATATCACACATCCGATAACATGAAGGAGGGCTAGTGATTGCTACTCTCGCCGAACGCGCAACTGGAGTGGAACCATTCCGTTCGAGAACAACAACTGGACAATAAAAGATGCCACTGCATCTTATTTCCTTTGAAAAGACTTCTAATCAAATACCTTCTGCTATAAACATTTTTGGATGGCGTCAAGCCGCTATAAGGTCTCCAGGCAACGAAGCTGCGGACATTGCATGAAAGCAAAGCGGAAGTGCCAGGGTGGACCGGGAACATGTGTTAGATGCGTGAAGCGCGGTCTTGACTGCACTTATTTCTCAGAGAATCCTCAATCTCAGGCTTCAACTAGATTCTCCACAGACGACCGTGATAGCAGCATCGGACATGTTAGGCATGAGACTTACTCAGGTCAAGTCACACAAAGATATCATTCTGAATCGACCTGTAATACCCAGCATACCCCGATGAAACATGATCAAGACCCTCAATCGCCAGCATTAGTCCAAGGAGCGCACCGTATCGATACACTACCCGGATGTACAACTATAAGCCCGGATGCGCAAGCCAGCGTATCCCTTTCTCCGCCTACAGAACTACTGGATTTCTCAAATCTAGATATATATTGTCCCATTGATGCGAACGACATCAAGAATCGATGGCTTAATACCTTCATTCCAATTCCCGGACAAAAGGTCAAGGAATACCCATCTTCGATATCTGCTTTCATCGTTAGGATTCTTGAATCATATGTTGGAATCACTACCAGCGGCCGTGGGTATCCGCCTTTCGTACATCACTCTCAAATCGAAGCAGCGTCGATGAAACCACTCATAACCTGCCTAAAGGTCGTACGAATCTGTCGCGACCCGCACCAAACAAGCGAACATTCGACAATAGAAGTTCTTCGCAGCGAAATGGACAAGCTCGCTGGCTGCTATACAGACCTGGACGGCATAGAATTGCTCGCCGCCTTTCAATCTTATCTCATCTACACCATGGTGATTTTGTTCAAGTATCCAGAGAATTCACGTCCTTTCCTCAGAGAAACAATGGTTCATCTCCAGGAACTGGCATGTTTAAGCAGCCAAGAGGGCTTACTATGTAAGAAAGAAAACACTGGTTCCCGCCCAAGATGGGAGGAATGGTTAGTAGTGGAGGCAAAGCGGCGAACTCTGTTCACCATGTATCTCGTGGACAGTGTCTTGTCTTCGCAAGATGGCCAACCCACCTTTCTAGGTACAGAATTGAGAGGACTTCCCGCCTCTGGGGACCGGTTTTTGTGGAAAGCTACATCGCGTATAGAGTGGGAGAGGTTCTATGACGTCCACTTGGCGGATTGGAATGGGGAAGGGTTACGTATTGATGAGCTTTGGCCAGTCCCGGAGGACCTTGAAGATTCTGGCATACAAGAAAGACGCCGAAGGGTGAATCTGTGGCTAGAAACAGTTGATGAATTTGGAACAGCACTATTCACTGTTACCAGCATTACTCATGGCAGTTAGGGGATAGTCCTTCATCAATCAATCTTCCAGATATGATCGTGTAATACATCCTACTAGTCCTTTGGAACGTGGCTATATCACTCAATTTATTTATTTATTTTACTAAAGTACTCCCAGACTTTCAGTGAGTCGTTGATAGTTCTCCTTCGTTCGGTCAGAGTTTAGGGGCGTGACGCCCTCTGATTGGCCGCCACCCTCAACTCCGCAGCTAAGATCTCAAATCCGCAGACTATGCCTTTTCTAGACCAACAGGAGAATCAAGAGATATATAAATTATGGGCGACAGATGCAAGGCATTCTCTCAACCTTCAAATCCAAACATTATAATCATGAGCTCTGAAAATTTTCCTGGGGATTCTTCCAATGCAATACCAAATCAGCACATTGCGAAGGAGCCTTATAGCATATTTGACAGGGCGCAAAAGGCATTAATCGTAATCATAGTCGCAACAGCTGCAACATGTAAGTAAATGTCATAATTACTTTAATAACTATATAATGATGCCTAATCAGTCTCCGGATTCGCCTCGAATATCTACTTCCCAGCTATACCCAACATCGCCCGTGATCTAGATGTCTCCATCGACCTAATCAACCTCACCGTAACATCTTACCTGATCTTTCAAGGGCTCGCACCAAGTCTATGGGGACCAATATCAGATGTCAAGGGACGTCGAGTCGCCTATACTTGTACATTTCTTGTCTTTCTGGGTGCATGCATAGCCCTCGCCGAGACGAAGAACCTCGCGACCCTCATTGTCTTCAGATGTCTCCAGAGTACCGGTAGCGCAAGCACCATTGCCATCGGATCAGGCGTAATTGGCGACATTACGACTAGAGATGAGCGCGGCGGATATATGGGTATCTTCCAAGCTGGTTTATTGGCTCCTGTTGCTATCGGACCTATCATAGGTGGCGCACTTGCAGCTTCGCTCGGTTGGAGAGCCATCTTCTGGTTTCTTGCAATATATTCTGGAGTCTTCCTTATCATCCTCTTTGCCTTCCTTCCGGAAACACTACGATCAATCGTCGGCAATGGATCGCGGCACCCGTCTACCTTCAGTGCTAGATTCCCATTGTCAGTCTTTCAAAAGACCACAAAAGTAAAATGGGATCGCAACCCGAGCTCCCCAGAAACCATGGAGAAGAAGCCTATTGATATCACTGGACCGCTTCGTATTCTCTTCAGCAAACAAGCGCTGCCTATTATCCTCTTCTTAGCAATTCACTACGCAGTCTGGCAAATGAGCATAACCGCCATGTCCCCCTTATTTGAGCAGCATTACGGGCTTAGCGAGTCGGAGATAGGTCTTACGTTCATTGCCAACGGAGTAGGGTCAATTATTGGGACACTTACTACGGGTAAGATGCTTGACATCGACTACCGCCGAGTCAAAACGAGATACGAAGAACGAATTACGCAAAACATCGAGACCGGCGATGCCAACGAATTGGCCTCCAGCGAAGTGCAAGAAAAGTTTCCACTCGAAGAAGCACGATTGCGACTAGTTCCTGTCTTTTCAGTCATCCAGTTCATATCGGTCCTTATTTTCGGGTGGACGATCCAGTATTCCGACCATATCACCTTCGCCGCACCCATAATCACAACATTCGTCACGGGTTGGACAGCCGTATCTACGCAGTCCATTATCATGACGTATCTCGTGGACGCCTTCCCTGACCGAAGTGCCGCCGCGAGTGCAAGTATCAATCTTGCCAGATGTCTCCTAGCAGCGGGAGGAACGAGCTTCGTTATGCCTTTGATCAATCATTCCAGTGTTGCAATTGCTTTTACGGCGTGCTCAGTTGTTCAAGTGGTTTCGCTAATTGGCCTTGGATTGCAGCGGAGGTTTGGAATGAAGTGGCGCACAGAAAGCTCAACGGCCCATTGAATAAGTAGAAAGATCAATGCAACAGTAGCACGTCGGTATCATGCAAAGGGGTCCAGAGAGTAATAAAAATACTAATATAATTATACATGACTGAAAGTAAAAAGGAGTTATAGAAATACTAACATAAATATATGTAAGATAGGGATAGGAAAGGAAATGGGGATGGAATGGGAAAGTGATGGGAAAGGAAATCGGAAATAGGGCTGCATGATTCTGCACCAGGCAAAATCCAGCATCAATCCCCGGCGGAACAATGGAAGCCACTAAGGAAGAAATTCACTGGCTTCGCAATTCTCCGCTAACTTTTCCAATATTTCGGGGGCTTCTGGACCGTCGTACTCTACCCGGTTCTTCAAAAACGGTTTCTCTCTGATGTGCATCAACATCTTTAGACCTTCGGTGGTTTCCTCAAGTCTATTATCGAAGTAAATATTTTTCAATGTCCCATCAATAAGTTCTTCCAACCCTTGGAAGACGAATGATCTCAGCTTGGGAAAATTCTTTGCCAGATATTGCAGGAAGGCACCCCATCCAGGTTCAGTTTTGAATCGCACGTATGATAGTTCGATATCTGTCAGGCTGTCCTTGGAATTGGCCAGTATTTTCGTAAGGATGTCGAAAGATATGGTGCAAGTACCCCACTTGAACGTCTACAGCTTCGCTTCATGGGCTTTGGACGGAAAAACATCATGGACGTCCTGATCGCACCACTGAAGTTTATGATCCGTGACTTGCGGTCCAAAGAGGAATGGTTCGTACTGGTCATGGACACGTCCAGGCTTGAAAACTAGATCGATCTTGTGTATATTCTCGTATGAATTGGCTGCTCCTTGATTATCTCGGTTGATGCCCACCGCGACGATGCTTTCATTGGGCTGATGTGTTCTGGTTTCGATGAATCGCACATCCATTTTTACACTCGTAACGATACGCCAGACCGTTGCAAATGCTGAATCAATCCTACTTAGTTCAGCTGGGTAATATTTGTGTTGGTCAATTAAATGGAAGAGTATTCCAGACGGGCGCAGGTTATTCATGCTCAGGATGGAGATCAGTCTTTCCTCTTCTGGCCTTATCTCTGCGCGGAAATCGGCCAAAGACAAGTCAGGACTTCGAGAAAAACGAGTTCGTTCTGGTTGGCAGACATCGGTAATGACTAAATTCCTCAAAGAATCCGAAAAGTTCTCGTTTACATTCAACTCCTGGAGTAGGTCCAAATCTGCCTGTTCGAAATCCATTCGCCAATTTTTGACAACGCGATCTGTGAATGTATTTCTCGTTTTTTGTTCCGTTTCCTTATCCGCCAAGCGAAAATTTAGCAAGTCGCGGGTCTCAGCCTGTGTGCCGATCATTTCGACCAATTCAGCGGAAAGGTCTTTTAATCCCACTTCATCTCTTCGCTGGCTGTCAGACGGTGATGGCACGCCTCCAGCCGATCCTTGATTGCTGCTCGACATATCCGATGGCTTAGTCGAACTTCTTGCGCGGTAGGCAGGTATAAATGACACAGGAAGTACAGTCGATGATTCTCGTTCAGACACAAAAGATAGCAAAGTATGAATTCTGATGTTCAAATGCTGATTGATAGTTTGTGGATTGTGGATGTATTCTCGAAAGGCCCGACGAACTCATTATATAGTAACTATCACAGTCATAGATTGATCGTTGACTGTTGCTGCTTGGACATCTTGCCAGTCAGACTGGATTCGAGTCAGTGGTGTTTGATTGATATCCGGGATATGATTTTTCATGAGGATGAGCATTTTGGGGCGATGTGGTGAGTGAGCCTATGGGAAGTTAGTCAGTGTGTTCGTATGTCTGATGATTCAGAGCATATGATATTGTCAACGGTGCTACTTGTGTACAGAGCTTTACTACCGCGCGAGAATGAATAAATACTCTTATGAGCCTGTATAAATGACCGTTTCAGGGAGCGTTATGTTCACAGAGCGTTACTATCGCGCGAGGATGAATGACTGCTCCTATGAGTCTGACAATATGATCATTCCAAGGAGATCATGCACAAGGAAATCATGAATACTCCCAAGATTGACTCAATCACACAAAAGGCGATGTTGTTTGCCAAAGCAGATGTACTGTACTCGGAGTCAGCGTGAAACAATCTGTCATAGATGCACGGGCGAGTATGGGGAATCGGAAGTCATAGTCTATTTCGACATTATTATACATTGATGCTGGGGCATTTTGCCAATATTATAATTTCAGTCATGATAGCATCATCGCTTCATGATTGCCTCCGCAAGAGATGAAGTCATCAGTCCATTGTGAGGGGTATCCCGGTTGTGTCTAATGGCATGTTTTGTTGCTTGTCCGGTATGAATAACTTGGCTTATGAGTACTGTCACTTGCCACAGGCACTTGCTTGCTGTGCTATCACATCACCGAAATGGCGGCATGAGAATCTAGGGAAATTGCTCTAGTCATCGATGATGATCCGCACTTCACCCCTCTGCCTCTTGCGTTTGTGAGTATCGTCAATAATTTTCGTGCTGCGTAGGATCTCCGCCTCGAGGTTGAGCCTCGCTACCTCCTCTTCACTGGGTGATCCGTGAGCACGTCTGTTCCCCTCGTGCTCTTCGTCGGTAGTGTTGATCATTTTGGTATCCGAATCTGGGTTTATGTGCTTCATTGCGTTTTCTTTCGCAATTGCATCAAATTTGTTGAGTGCCTTGATCATTTCTCGCCAATGCTTTAGGTCTCTTTCTTCATTGTATTTGCCCACGTCGGACCCGCTTACAGTTTGCAGGCCCAAGGCTTGCACTCTCGTGTCGGCCCAGTACCAGTTCGCTCCTATTGGATCGTTGTTGATTCGATGGTCGTTTGCCTGTGCGTATGCGCGGGCTTCTTGCGCACCGACCCGGCCCAGATCGATAGTTGGGCACTGTATATGGGGAAACCAAAGACTCATGGCCGGGGCCTCGTAGAACCGGGAAAAGAGTCGCGTAAAAGGAACGGTCATTTCCTGGGTTGAAGAATGTAGCGGGTACCACTCTCCATAAGACCGTAATACGGGAGTGAAATTGTCTTGATAATCTGGGGTGATCCACTGTTTATCTGATCTGGAGGAGTCGCTTGTATAGGCTCTTCCGTAGACACTGATGGACAAGTTGTAGGGACGGCCTTCATCCCAATCGTTGTCCGAAGCGAGATCCAGAGATGCCAACTTCAATCGAATAGACGTGATTATCATGACTTGCGTGCATGTAGGGTCGCCCGCCCGAGGTAAGAGGCGAACGGTATCGCCAACGCTGAAAAGCTCAGGACCAACATAGATCCCATGTGCATATATCTGTGCAGACGGCCAAGTTCCTCGGAAACGATAGCTACCCATAAGCGAAAGCGTGGCCGTCAACGTCAACGCGTTCGTGACGGTATGGTGCCAGTGGCTGGCGGGAACATTGTTGAGGAATTCCTTCCAGAACGCGAATGGCCTTACACGATGTATAGGCACGTAATAGGCACGTTTGGAAAGAGACCTATCAAATCCGTTTACGTTCGGTATTTGCTCCACACGTATGCCAGAATAGCTCACGTTCATCTCCTTCTCAGTCTCTGTGATGAGGTCCTCGAGCTTAGATGCCTCAATCGGGGTCTGGGCAACAAACCCTGCCTCCCACATTGGGTGGCCATCATAGGCTTTGGTCATTGGGTTGTAAAGCATCACCTCGCCGGAAGGTGTCCAACAAATTTCGAAGCCCGTAGGAATGTCTTTGACGTATAGCACGATCTCTCCGTGACGAGGGAGCCATTGCGGATTGTTCTTCAGCCGCTTAAGTGTTGTCGGCAAGATCTCTTGTTGCGCCCGCCAATCCGGGCTCAAAGGCTCAGTGATTAGCTCATCCAGAGTGCCATTCACTTTCAATTTATCAATCAGGTTTCGATAGACATCGGGAGTCCCCTCTTCATCGACCCTACGAGAGTTCAGGCCTGCATCAGAAGCTTGCGGTTCGTTAGCTTTAGCTTTGTTGGCCGCTTCAAATCTGAAACCGTCGAGACTTTTTGGCACTTTCGAAGCTCTAGAGCTAGTTGAAGTGCTGGAAGCGCTCACACTTCCCAGTGAGGGTCTGCGTCGCTCCGCAGAGTTGCACACATCGCATGGGCAGCCAATATTGCTACCATTGTTTTCCATCAAGTGCTGGAAATGCTTGAAGAATCTGTTTGGTGAATCAAACGTCTTGTGCTCAGGGTGACCGTAGAGCCATTTGTCCACGTGAGAAGGCTTTGTAGGGCGCGCACGCTCGTATACCGCATAGCCGGCTGGCAGTCGCTCAAGTTCATACTCGATGCCGGGACGTGCTTCACCGCGTGCCTTCATCCATAACTGCCCGATCTTCTCGAGATATAGGGCTGGGGATGATTCTTTTCTTGCTGGATCTTTGGGCCGATGGGTGGCGTCTCCATCCGAGCCGGGTCGCAGAGGCACCTTGACGCAACCTGCCATTGTGACCTTCACATCAGCTGCCCAAACGCGAATGTTCTCACAGTGATCAGCAGTATTCAAGAAGGCTTGAACTCTGGGAAGAGAGGTTCGTGAAGTGTTTGGCGAATGGAATCAGATATCATATCCGAAAGTGAGTGTCGTCTTGGCGAGGAAAGGACGAGGTCTGTGGCGCGTTAAGAAGGGTTGACGTTCAAAGGCGCGTTATATTATCTTATTCAGTAGACAGTGAGTTGAATCCTATGGTATTAGGATCATTTGCTGCGCGCCTGATGGAATAATGGTGTAAAGTGTTGTAATTGGTGGTGCGAAGGAAAGGTCAACGTCCATGGACCATGTACAAACAAGCTCTTGGCCCGAGCTCTTTCCCAAATCAGAAACATTCACATCTGCAAATCGACCAACAGATTGAGACCTCCGATACGGTCAGGGAGGAGATAACATGCCTATCACCACGCTGGAGCATTTTACAATCAGAAATAACGACAAGTCGCTCACCGATAGACCGTTTAGAAAGTCCGATACTCAAAACAGCAGGTGTACTCATATTACGTTGTTGAATGGTCCAGGCATGGACGAGCGATTCTGATTAGTTCTAACATAGAAGCTCATTCCTTCTGATGAGGATGGTATTTGTACATCTCGAGCATTGCCTCTATCGCACCATCTACGAAATCGCACAAACACATGTTCTCCCAATCTACAAAAGCAAAGTGAAATTAACTAGCAGCTCCTCATCATTCTTCCCACCATGTCCGTAGATATGTGTGAATGGAACAAACTAGCCAAAGGTGGGTATGCAAAGAAAATACCAAAAAGAAATTAAAACGCCTTGTATGAAGAATAAGAGACATCTGTTCATATCATCATACGTACTGGTATTTGGTAATGTCATAAGATGTGCGATGGAAGACTGGGGGGAATCTCATGATTGTCATAGAAAATTGGCTAGGAAAGGCAGAAACAATTGGGATGCCCCGCTGAGTAGAGAAGGCGAAAAGGAGCGGAGTAAGATATGTTATGGAGTATCGATGTCGTTCTTATTGGGGCTCCATCGCTATGCATGCAATTTCGTTGGTAAAATTTAAACAAAGAAGGGAAGGGGAGAGAAATAGAGATATGGATGTAGTGCAGTGATGAAGTGTGTGAGTTGGTGACGCAGATTGCTTCCTCTTGCTCGAAGAATGAAAAGCATGGTACCACTAAAGCACATCTAAGTTTAGTAGGACTTGTATTTCTGTTGTCTGAATTAGAGGATGTTCATCACGATTGAGAGCATGATTAGAGAACTTACATCGTCAATCTTCCGCTTGCTATCCTTATCAAGCGCGTTGCCAACACCAAGCAGAGTATTTCCGATCGCTTTGGTGGCACCTAAAGCTGGTCGTAGGATCACTGTAGGTGCTCGACGGGCTATAGCCTTCGCCATGCCAACGCCACTACCTTCCTCCATCACTTCGGCAGGTATGGCAATAACAGCGTCCCGGGCAGTCAACAAGTCGCGCTCAAGATACCTGGCTGCACTTCTCAGGCCTGCCTTGACACCAATGGGCTGGTTGGCATAATTCGATACGGCACGGGGCTCGTCTTCGCCTCCATCGGCAGGATCCAGATCGTCCCAATCATGAAGACCTGACAAAGGCCGGGTTGATGGAGACTGGGGATTGAGGAAGTTTTCTGCGCCCTCAAGAAGGGTTTGCGCCCCGATTGCTACTCGAGCACCGAGACGAGCTGCTTCTGAGGTTGTGTTTTTCGCAAACGCATAGACGCCTTTCTGTAGACTGCGAACGATGCGGCCATCCTTTTTGTACTCTCGCATAGGCACAACGACAAGGTCGCGAACACCACTTCCAACATTGACAATCGGTCGGACAGCGGCTAAGCCAGATAGAACCCCTGGTAGCTGATTGCGTTTGACATCTGGCATCCACACATCGTTCAACGTTTTGTGTAACTTATCAAAACTAGTGATGCCGTACACAATGGCGTGCCGCAGGACGATGTCCGATCCATCGAGGATCAAGAAATTCATGAACTCAGTGGTGTGTCCTGATCGAAGTCCACCATAATCAACTCGTTTTGGCTTATAGTCCAGCTTTAGCGTTACCGCCATGACCTCGAGGCGCTGGATGAAAGGCTGCTCGGACGGCGTGCTTGTCTCCGGTGCGGTGTCGTCTTTGAACTCGAAGAAACGTGTGATGAAATCCAGAGCATCCTGATCGACATGGAGTCGAAGGGGAGAAACGGTCACCTTGATCACCAATTCCGATGCTGCAAGGTCTGTCACTGGTTTTACGGTCTGTAGCTCTAGTCGGATCAATGGTCTGCCCATTTCGCGTTGGCTGGGATCTATGAGCCCGGTCACGAATTTCTTCCATGTAGATGAAGGAACGTGATCAAAAATCTCAAAGTCTTGTATCCGTACATCAAGCGAGTTCTGCGTTTCTCCAGAATTGGACGGGAAGACGATCAAATCGACGGCGATACCTGTCAGCTCGAATGCAATTTTCTTGTGCTTGCTTCTGTCCAATTTCAGTCTTCGACGACTCGATGACTTATTCGAAGTTCGTGGGCGAGCCGTAGCTCCGGTTGAGCGAGTTGCAGTTGAGGTTGCAATACTTCCAGTCTCACTTGCGAGGTCGTCGATATCGTGATTGATACGTCGAGTGAGGGCACCCTTTTCATCACGGATAGGAACTCCAATCCACACGGAATTAAAGAGGAAGTCTTGTTCCACCTCGAACTCATCTTCATCGTCCTCTCGTGGCCGATGCCGTTTCTCCTCGGCACGATTCTCGAGGGTTTCCACAGCTTCCGTCAAAATAGCACGAGTTCTAGGCCAATCGTATCCGTCGAAAAGGTTGAGAATGATATTAAGGTCCCGTACTCGTACTTTCAAGGGAGCATCGGGTGTCTTAAATTCGTTTGTCAAATGGTATCTGTTCTTTGCCGAATCCCATTTGCGAGCATTTCCTTTATGCTCGGAGTCGGAGTCTTGGAAATAGTTTTCCTCGAATTCGAAGTCATTCTCACCCTCGGCTACCTCGTACTGCTCCTGGAAACTTTCTAGCAGGCGTTTGTCGCCGCGCTGGCGAACTACAGGGGCCGTTGCCAAAGCCTCGAGGTCATCTTCATCGAGCATACTGTCGCCAAGGTCCTCTTCGGAAGGCAGGGACTCTTGGTTATAAAAGCTCCCTACGAATTCAAGGTTGGCAGGAACTTCGTCTGTGACCAAATCGGCATTGTCCATGAAATTTTCTTCCTCCGGAAGTTCAGCAGCATCAAAGGCATCGCCGGTAAAAGACTCCATCATCTGTTGCAGTGGAACAACAGTACGATACTGCTGTGCTGTACTTGGTGGGATCGGTGGCTGGAGGCCGTTCAGTATAGCAATCAATGTTTGCGTCGAGTCTGCGCATGCTTCGACGACGAAGAGCTTATTCTTGAACTCAATATCAACCACTCTCGGTTGGTCCTGGTCGTCTCCTGAAATATCGACCAGAACACTTGCTGCAGAGATGACACTGAGAGATACGAATCCCTGGCGTTGGAGTTCATGAAGTTGAGAGTTGACCCGTGGCGGTGCATTTGTCCTAGCAAGCGAGAAGTCTTGTTCTTCGATACGTCCAACATCATCGATGGCGTGAATGGACGCCTCGCGCAGTTCAACCGTGATTGAATAGTCGGTTTCTTTCGATTGTTTTCCGAGGAAATGTGCGTTGGTAAGAACGAAAAGGCCCTTGGATGGGATCTTCCGCGGATTCAGCCCTAGCGCACAGCTCCTTAGAAGGAGATCAATGTGAAAAGGCTTGTTGTTGGCTGACGAGGGTGAGCTTGCTTCCGAAGTTTGCCTGCTAAGCTTCTTAGGCTGAGATACGCCTGTGATTGTTGCCACAGACGACGCAAGTCCAAGAGCGATATCGTCCGTTGTGCCATTCTCAGAGATACCAAGAGCTGCCATGACAGTTGTAACATGATACTCCGCACAGACGTTGAAGAGTTTAACCTTGACGACCGGTTCCATCTCATCGCCGACCACACGTGCCATAATCATAGGTAGACGGTCTTGTGGTGGAAGTGTTGCAACCTCGTGCACAAGAATTTCATCTTTACGATGGATTGATGTTTTTGCAATCTCTATAGCGAAAAGAGAAGGCATTCCTACGTGTGCTATCGAAGCATCTTGCAGTGAGAGTAGAATGTCTCCGAGTTTCTCATTCACCACTGCTCTTGCCTCAAAATCATGGACAGTTGCAAGGGTAAGGATACCGGGACGGTCATCATCAGGAAGATACTTTGTGACTCTCGAGAGTCGTGCAACCTCGGCACCCAGAGCTTCGAAGGCCCCCATAGCACTAATGTCAGAGATTCGAAGACCGACTGTTGCCACTTGTGCTCTCACAACAGAGCCTTTCCGTCGCTGACGCAGTAGTGTGTCGATCATGATATCGTCGTCATTCTCGTATGGATCTTTTGACGGCGTGATCATCGATATCAAGCGAGTAAGGTCTGTCTCGTCTGGTGTGAAGCGGAAGTCGACGGTCGTGTCCTTGATGTTCAGTACCAGAGGTGAGCCACTGTTAAAGTCTGCTGTATAAGGCCCAGAGATCTCAACTTCAGATACTTTGAGTCGCACATTGCTGGCTCGCACAGCAGCCTTGACAGAGGTAGTCTTGATCTGTACAGCGCAACTTTGCCCCCGTAGCATGAACAAGACTTCCTCGATCCTGATGTCTATCTTGGGCGCTGCTGGTGAGGGTGACGTAGAGGGTGGTGGATTTGAAGGCGCATCTCCAAAATGTACACCTCGAGGTTTGGATGGAGCGCTGGGAGACATCGGGCTGTGGACAGTATTTGCGGAACTCATTGAGCTTCCCATCTCCAAAATACCACTGAACCCACCGAAAGAACCCAGTGCATCGTCGACCTGTTGCATATCGAAATCAATCTTGACTGGACGTGTCACAACTGTAATGCGCTTCTCGCTTCCTTGCTCATATACAATTTCGATATCACTTTGAGGCCCTTCGGCGTTATTTGGAGCAGATCGCCTAGATCTAGGCCGTGGCTTGCGAAATGATAGAATGTCATGGCCCATAGACGATATGATAAACGTTCCGATAAGCAATCTGAGCCGTGACTGATTTGGCTGGGTCTGCGTAGATGCTTCTATCGAGCTAAGGCCGAGGTTCAAAATTGCATTTGAAGGGTCTAGTTGCAATTGTGCTCGTGTGGGTGACTCCACAAGAGATTCTGTCATGAGGTTCTTCACCCAGGCAATGCCGATGTTCTTTACAGACAGAGTCAAGGATGGACTGGGGGTTTTTGCTGTATCGCCGACATCAACTGACTGTTTGTGATCCTTGTCGCTTGGTGCTGTGCCGATTAGAGCTATAAACCTTTGTGCCATCTGGTATATTATGCGTCCAGTTGAAAAGTCAAGATGGCCAATAACAGAGCCAACTTCGACACTGATAGTCGGCTCATACTTTGTAGGTTTGGGGGAAATTGGGGGAACAGATCGTTTCGCATCCGGCTTGTTCCTGAACGATGCCCCGAGGTCAATTGATGGATTCCTGCGAGACGTCGAATGCGCATAATTGGAGAAAGAGCCAGGCATATCTTGAAATATCGAGTCCGTGCCAAGGTCCGGACGACTGAACGAAAATCCCTTCTCTTCGGCAGCACTGTCTTCCACTTCCACTTCTCCTCCCTGATCACTTTCAAGGCGTAATGGAAACCAGATTGTGATTTCATCTACAGTGAAGAATAGCTTCGAAAGCTTCTGTCGGAGCCTCATCTGACGGGATTCGGGGCTTTGCTGTCGGGATTGGCCCTGTGTGGGTGTGCCTTCACTCTGTCGACTTCCTGGACGTGGAGTTTGGCAGCCATCATCCATAACATTTGCGACATCTGGGACTAGTATACTTCCGGCTGTCATATCTGCAGGAATTGGAGTAGACGTCTCGGAAGCTGTACCTTGACTCGAATTAGATACCGAGTCCCACCCTCCAGGAACAGTGGGCCCGCGGTGGGAACTGATAGGAGCCTCGCTCATTGCACTCATGTACATGCTTTCGGCATCATCATGAGTGAAGAGGGTCGACTCTGACAGGCTCTGTTCGCCTTCCGCGCTTTCCGCGGGTACGCTATCAATACTTTGGCTCATACGTTGGTGAGGGGAAGAACTAGGCACATCTGCAGGGGCTGGCGATTCAATGGAGTCGACAGTCATAGATTGCTCAGGTCGAGGAGAAGGTTGTTCGCTTTGACGAGAAATCCAAGACTGTTGTAGTAAGGCGGACACTGTTGGCGGAATATCAGCACTCGATTGAAGACTCTCGTCGACGGGAAGGGAATGTTCAGAATCCGCAATGTCTGCGAGCCTGGTCCTGGGAAGATTATGCAACGACCCGCCGTGTTCCGAGTCAAACATCAAATTGTCTAGAGCATACTCTACTAGACCTTCATTGTCGTATAGAATACTGCTCCCACCCATATCTTGGGGTAGGTGCAGGTCTCTAAGTCCGAAAGTTGAGTCAGAAATCGGGTGATTGTCCAAGCCATCATCTGAAGCAGCATCCGCAAAGCGGTCTTCATCTACAGTGTGCGTGGAAGCTGCTAATGGTTCCAGTTTCTCAGGTTCGTTGGCTGTCGGAGTATTGGGCTGCTCTAAACGAGATGAATGTTGAGAAGGGAGGCCGTCACGGTGCGCAGAATGTATGGACGCTGAAGGATGTATCAAATGCGGAGACGTTAAGGACTGTGAGAGTAAGTCATCACTGTGAGTGGACTGCTGCAGTTCTGGTGTGGTCGGTTCTTGGACTTGGTGTTCCAGAGTGATACCCTCTTGGGCCTGGGGCTCTGCTGTTGGTTCTGGATAATCTACAGACGTCCGGCTAGCTGCAACGTCGCTCTGTGACTTTCGACTTGAAGATACTTCTGAGCGGGCGTCGACTGGAGATAGCGATCTCGAGATTCTTGAAAATGTGGCAAAACTCTCAACATCAGAGAACAATCGGGCGCACACGTTTTCGATTCGCATGCGACGTTTTCCAACTCTTGAAGGCGTTGACTCCGCGGTCCTTGATCCTGTAACCTCTACATTAGGTTCAGGTGCTGTAACGGAATCAATGCTAACTTGATCCACATGTAGGTTCAACGAGACATCAACACCCTCGTCATCGAGCGGAGATTGGCTAGGATCGGACGGGATCTGATCTTCGAGTTGAATATCGATGTGATTGGCAGTGATACGAAGACGATCCAAGGCGGTGTTAAGCATATTCCGTAGTATGCCAGGAAGCCCAAGAGGGGTTCCCACGCCAGCAACACTCTCGTCATCACCATATTCGCTAACCGATTCGTGCAGATATGCGGACTCGTTATGCAATGCTTCTTCGAGCTCACGAATTTCTTCAGCAGATTCCTCTCTTATGAAAGACTGGGCTAAGTCGTCGACCGAAGGTATATGCTCGTCGTCATCCTCCGATGAGTATTCGCTCGTGCTGTCGGCTGGGCGTCTATGGGGCGACCTAGGACGTGCTGAGGACCGAGGAGGCTGGGGCTCCTTTCCACGAGGCTTCACCTCGGCGGTATCCTCATTTTCTACTATCTGCGCGTGCAGCTGTATGCCATCTATGTCGATAATGATCTGCGGCACACCGAACTCTAGAATGAAGGTTACGCGGAGGAGGGAGACTCTTGCTTTTGATATCCGGATTTCGGGAGGAAGCTTGATGTGTAAAAGTGCTACGAGTTTCTGTTTCAACTTCGGTCAGCATGTCTCGGCGAGGGGGAGAGACAGACGGAATATAGCTTACCTTGACATGCAGCCCGACATCTCGGACCTCCAATGTAGTCTTCTTGCCAACATCAACACTAACAAAGTCCGAGGGATCTTTATCGAGTAGATCGATCTGCCTTAGGCCGAAGAGCAGAAGCTTTCTTCCTATGGAACTTCCTATGGAAGAGGGAAGGACGGAGAAGAAGTTCATGTCGCGTTGTTAGGAACGGACAGCGGTGATGGAGAAGAGGTACTGTAGGCACGACGAGCCTACCGCCGTTGGAGAGGGCTGTCCATGTGTATGCGGCGTGTATCTTTGGTAGAGCGAGAGAAGATGCTTAGGATGCACTAGGGTTGAGCACTTGAGTTGGTTGTCAACGTCTCAACACACGACAAGGCCGGAACCGATCAGGTTGAAGGATATCGAGAGCAGATGTGGCGAGCAACGAGTCGTTGACGCAAGATGATCACGGGGGAATATGCCGCGGGAGAGTTGAAGGGAGAGTAAATTAGATAGGATTAGGTGCTATAAAGTAGGTCGGTACTTGGGAAGTATGAGGCACCTTAATAGTAGAGCAAAGTACGGATATTAGTTAGTGAATGTAGTCGTGTGCAGGTGACGATGATGGGGGCATGATGGGACGGGTTGGGGATGGATGAACCGTGCAACAACACCCGGACAATCCCGATTAGTACTAGCTCCATTGGTTGCTACCTATGCAGTGCTATGGTGCCATGGATGGACAGTCACCCCGCGGTCGGTTCATCCCACCTCGCACCTTCCCATCGATAAGAATGATTAGCTCCCAAAAGGGAAAAGTGAAATTATGTCAGCATTTCTTCCCATGTCAAGCCCAAACAGGCAGGCAGTAACATCAATAGCTAAGCCTGTCTGACTCCATTTTGTCTGCCTTGGGCTAATTATCTTTTCTTCACTCTTCTCTTATTATTCAGTATCTGGAACATATCCACTGTTCTGATTTACTCACGGCGATTAGACAGACCTGTCCCACCAGATACAATGACATCTGAGAAACAGGTAGTGGCAGATAACGAAGCATGGGAACAAGCCGAGGGCATTCCCCAATTGAGCGATCCTTTCCTGCAAAAATATCTTGAAGGACGAGATGCTCTGGTTGCCGAAGAGAAGAAGCAGAGAAGCGGTCAGTCAAACGCAATGTCATCTGAATGCCTCACACTCAAGAAGTCCTAACAAGCTTTCAGACCGTGTTTTCCGTGAGAATCTTTCTCCTATGGCCGCGGAAGCATGCGCCATAGTGGACCAGATCAGATTCGAGGAACAGCAGACCCTTTGGACCCGTGATTTTGAGGATAGTCTTGTCAAGAACCACGTAGACGTCTTTCCCGGAATGATGTTCTCTCTAGCCAAGGATCGGATGGAACGGAGTAAGCTTTGGAAGATCGTTCAAAAGATGCCCAAAGGCGCACTCCTGCACTGCCATTTTGAAGCCATGGTTGACCTCGACTGGGCTCTAGAAGAGGCTTTCGCTACCGAAGGTGTCTGTCTGTACAGCAAAGAACCGCTGAACAGCGCCAGTGCGCTCAAAACTGCAAGTATCTTATTCTCATGGACCAAGACACGAGCCAATACAGAGGTCTCCCTGTATAGCGAACAATACACTCCTGAGACTCTTATTCCCATCAACATTGCCGCGGACACCTTTCCGGATGGCGGCCGTAGAGGCTTTATCGAATGGATACGATCCCGCACGAGCATCACGGACGACGAACACCTTGCCCACCATGAAGGCCCGAACGAAATCTGGAAGAAATTCCTTTCATGCTTTCCAATCCTAGGCTCCCTCGTCTACTACGAGCCCATCTTCCGCAAGTTCGTCCGCAAGATGTGCAAGCAGCTCGTCGACGACGGCGTGTACTACGTCGACCTCCGCGACGCCTTCCTCACCCCTTACCGCACCGCCAACGAGGAAGAATGGGACCCCGACAATATCGGCCTTCTGGACCACTTGGAAGACGAAATCGAGAAGTTTAAAGCCTCAGAGGAAGGCAAAGATTTCTGGGGCGCACGCATGATCTGGACGACGATCCGCCAGTTCGACAAGCGCGGCGTCATAGAAAGCATGAAGGAATGCATAGCGATGAAACTCGAGTTCCCGAACCTCATCTGCGGCTACGATCTCGTAGGACAGGAAGATCTCGGGCGCCCGCTCGCAGATCTCCTCCCTGAACTCTTCTGGTTCAAGAAGGCATGCGCCCAGGCGGGCGTCGACATCCCGTTCTACTTCCATGCCGGCGAGACACTCGGAGACGGAGACAAAATCGACGAGAACCTCTTTGACGCAATTCTGCTCGGCACCCGACGAATCGGTCACGGCTTTTCGCTGTACAAGCACCCGCTTCTCGTCGACATGGTCAAGGAGAAGAAGATCCTAATCGAGAGCTGTCCCGTTAGCAACGAAGTGCTTCGACTCTGCGGAAGCATCATGTCCCACCCTCTCCCAGCATTGCTCTCCCGTGGAGTACCATGCTCCCTTTGCAACGACGACCCTACCATCCTAGGCCAGGGCGTCAGCGGGATGAGCCACGACTTCTGGCAGGCGCTGCAGGGATGGGAGAATCTCGGGCTCGCCGGGTTGGGGAGTCTCGCAGAGAACAGCGTGAGATGGGCCAGCTTCGACGACTGCAGTGCGAAGGAATGGGCCGCGGAAGTCAAGGATGGGGCCACGGGCAAGGGCATCCGAGCGCAGAGACTGAAGGAGTGGATATCCAAGTGGGAGAAGTTCTGCGCGTGGATCGTGGACGAGTTCGGCGCTGACGAGAACTTGGATCCCGAGGAGTGACGCCGAAATGCATCCAACATCTAACAATTTATAAAATCCAACCACCCATGACAGAAGCAACAGGAAGAGAGAAAAAATAGTAAAACAAGACGTGTATGTACATACATATACGCATAGATAGTCCCACGCCATTCAACAGGCCCAACACAAAAATACCATAACCAAACGTTCAACCAAAAACACACTCCCTATCTCAAGCCTCCATCATCCTCCCGGTCTCCTCTCCTCTCCTCCCTCTTTTCTCTCTTTCAATAGCCCCTCCCTCCCCCAATCTCTGCCCTCATCCCGTTCAAAACATTTCAGAGCCCCCAAAGCCCCTCCCCCCACCACCCCCAATAAAACCCCAACCAAACGCCCCTCACCCCTTTCAAAAACACGAGGTACCTCTCCCACAGCCCATCCCCCTCGTCTTTCCTGATAAACTTCTCGTAAATAACACGTAGCCAGAAGGAGGTTTCCGCCGTGCCGAGGAGCGCGAGGAAGGTGAGGACTGTGTAGCGAGTTCGAGGGGGCGATTCGCGGAGGAGGGTGAGGAGGGATGGGAAGGGCGGTGGTGTTGGGGAGTGACCTAGGGGGGAGGACGGTTTCTTCGATGTTGGTTTTGTGGATGTGGAGTTGGATTTGAATGGGCGGAGGGGGGTGAGTTGTGGTTTAGTTGAGAGGAGTTCGGGGTTGTGTGGTCGGAGGGCTGTTCGGAGGGTTGGGTTGCGGGTGAGTATGTTGGCCATGTTGGGTGTTTCTTGAGATTTGACTGATTTATATGTGAACGGTAAGATGTAAATGTTTCATACGCAGTCTTTGAACTTGAATGAATTGAACTGAAATATATATCTTGAACATGATATTCTCATCAAGTCATGTATCTAAGCCTTTATATCTATCTATCACTCATACACTATCTCAAAACATCTTACTATACGCTCAAACCACCACAACACATCGAGAACAAAAATGCGAGGTTGACGGTGGATGGTGAATGGTGAACGGAGTGAATATGGTCACGTGATTGGGATCTCGCACTAAATCGCCGTTTAAGATTGCGGCGGGAGTTGTCGGCGGACGGAGGGAAAAACCACCGCAAGGCGCGCTGCTGGACCTCCTATTTGATTTCTTCAGGGACTTTTCGTCGATTTGATCATTGTAGAAAGTTATTAAGAGTATGCGACGATTGGGCTTGAAGGTTCAGGAGGGGTTGGGATGCGCGGTGAGGTCATGCGTCATGGGTGGTTGTGTTGTATGGTGAAAGCCTGCTTCATGTGTATGTACCTATGCGTGCACAAAAGAGGTGGCTGGTATCGGACAGTCACAGTGTACTCTCCAAGAGTACAGTAGATCTACGGCGTATCTACTCCGTACTCGTACGTTGATAGTGATTTGGTAGAAGGATTGCGACAGATTGGCGGAGGTTCACATGAGCAATAAGAGACGGCCACATGCCATGGATGTCGCATAAACGGACAAGAGACGTTCGCAGCCAGTAAAGGAAACAAAGGCCGGATAGTTCATAACAAGTCGACTTCCTCTATGACTATCCTGTATAAGACTGCAGAACCATGTGGGCCATGTTTTTCCTGTTTTGCCGCGAGTTAAACTAAACAAGAGTCAGCGTCTTAACGCCAATGCCCCATCCTGGCTCTCGACCTCCCCTAGTCCCCCCCTCTCCCAACTCAGGAACAACAAAACAACCCCATTCACTACTGTTCACTATTCACTATCTTCACATACACACGTTCATACACACTTTCACAACCCAACAACACATACTCCTCGACTCCACTCACGCACCTACACTTACTTACACGGACATGTACTACTATCGATAAGAAAAAGGTCCATCTACACGTCGTCTCGTCCCAAAGGATGCCACTCACCGCCGTCGCCTCCGTTGCTGCATCGTGGACCATATCTCCCCTCACATATTCTCTCCCTCACCCTCGCCCTCCCTCTCCTCCCTCGCTCGCCATAACCTTACCAGAACCGACCTGGACTTCTCCACGCGTGTCGGCTGCCCCGCACGCTTAATATCCCGACAGCCATGGACCATCGCACCCCCTCCTCCAGCCAATCCAATGTCAACAATAACAGCATTCCACGATGTTGCTGTGGCTCCCCAGAATGTGTCTTCCTCGCACACAACAACGCGCAGCTCGATGGTCTCGAACGTGATGTCTTAAAGGCTGCCCAACTGGGTCAGGTATGACATAACATGCCCCCATCGACACTCTTCCGTAGTTCGCGACGCTCGTCTAGAGCCCGCTCGCATAATTGAAGACGCCATGTCGCTAACCTTCACCTTGCAGGCACTGCTCGTCCGCCATGAGAGCTACGTCGCCGACTCGGAGCGCGAGCGCCACAACATGCTCCGCACCATTGAGAATCTGGAAAGGGAGAAGCGGGAGTTGGAGGACAAGAATGCGCAGACCATTAAGGCGAACCGGGACCTCCTCGACCAGCTCGAGCACCTCAACGGTGCTGTCGCAGACTCGGATGCGCAGATCAAGGCCTTGACTGATACCCTTCACTCCACCGAAGACGAGATCCAGCGTCTGTCGTCGCTTGCTGCCCGCACGCAGATGCTAGAACGCCAACTGATTGAGCTGGAACGGGAGCAGGTGTCACTGCAGGGAACGCTGGACGACAAGGTTGGCGACGAACGTACGGCTATCCAAAGGTGGCGCAGGGCAGAAAAGACCATAGGAGATCTCCAAGACCAAATCGACCGCATCGAGAAAGAAGCCAAGGAAGAACGGGAGCGGCATGTGGAGATCGTGGCGCGTATGGAACGGCGCATGGCGGTGGACCAGGAACTGGCAACAGCAGCGGGCAGATTGAAAGCAAAAGCAGGACAACAGGAAAAACCCGGGACGAACGTCGTGTCGCACTTCGTCAAGGACATTCTGCTCGACAACGCTAATCTACAACATGGAATTCTGGAACTTCGCGATATGCTCACAACTTCGAATGAGGAGGTGGAACGACTGAGAGATCAGCTCCGAGCTCACCAACCGGTATCGCCAGTATTGGAACATTCCAGCAATCCAGTAGCGACAGCCACGAGTCTGCAGAAGGAATTGGGTAATGAAACGATCTTCAATCAGGAATTGCACATCCATCATCATTACCATGGTCCGCCTCCAAAGAAAGAGCCGCCAAAGGCTCAAGCGCCGCGTCGTCCAAAGAAAAAGCGGTATAGCCTTACTCCGGGGCACTTTATGCCTCCAGCACTGCAAGAGCCGTCAGCGCCTGCAGCCATTCTGTCACAGACAGCCGTTTCTGTGCCTCCGAACCCGAACAGGTGGTCGAATGCCACCACGCTGTGTCCACCTTCATTACCGGGGTCACCACTATCTGTGTCACATCGGGACTCGATTTACGACCGAGTCTTTAGTGATGCAGCGTACGATTCATCACGGCCGACAAGTCCATCGGACAGCGTCAATCCTGCGTCTCCCATGTTCGAGCCTTCAAAGTACGCAGAGAATTCAGACGGCCTGGTCCGCCACAAACGACGCACGTCGCAAAGTCTAAAGCCGCCCAGTTTGGCTACCATCCGCAGCGTATCGTCACCTATTGCTCTTACGACAAAATCAAGCGCCACGGCTGTAATCTCAGCAGTCAGTCCCGCACATTCACTATCCAACGACATATTCACTTTATCTCCATCTCTACATTCCACGATACCCGAAGAAGACGAAGAGAGTAGAATCGAAGAAGTGACCCACGACGACGACTCCGTCATAGCCACCCCTTCACCTGCACAAGACCTCGACCTAGGCATCGACTTCGACGCCACTCCATCTCGCCCTACAATCCGCCGCGCCGCATCCCACGAATCCCTAATATCAATCTCCGGCATGGACATCCACACCCTCCAGTCCCGCCCCGCGCAACTCCTCCTCTCCTCCTCCCCTCGCTTCGCAAGCCACGCCCCAGCCTCCTCATCCATCGAACCAGAACTCACCCCCTGGACCGCCACCGCCTCCGCCCGAATGTCAACCTCCCGCCCAGGACGCCTCGACACGCGCTCCCTCCTCTACGGCTCGATGGTCGCCCAGAAACGCAGCACCTCCGCCAGCAAGCAAACCCCCTCTCCCTCCTCCTCCTACACCGGCGTCGCCCTCGGCAAGAAAGTCGGCGGCTGGGTCTTCGGCAAATGGGGTGCCACGCCCGCACCCACATCGCCCTCACCCCTCTCCCCTCGCCCCGAATCCTCCGCCTCCTCCCAGTCCGCACAAACCGTGCAAAGCTCGTCCAGCGCTTCGAAGAAGACTGACGCAACGACGGCGGCGGCGGCGCAGAAGAAAAAGGACCCCGCGCCCCCGCGTCTCCGACCCTCAGGCGTCAACCAGTCCGGCCCGATATGGGGCTTCTTCGACATCCCCGAGACCCCCACAAAGGTCGTCGTCACGGCGGACGAAGTCGACGCCGATGCGCTGGGCGAGGCGCTCGAGGAGAGAGCGGCGGCGACGACGACGACGACGACGTGAATGTAAACACCCGGCGCGATTGATCTAGCATTTTTCTCACATTTTCTCGCATTCTTACGTTTGACGCGTTTACGTTTTTGGGATCGCGATTGCGATTGTCTTTTCTCCGGTTTTTTGGATACCCCCCACAGCACAAACCACACGAGCATGACTACCGGTGGTGGTAGAGTAGATAGAGTATAGCAAATCTATAATCATTACTCCTGATGTGTACTTTTTGAGGGTGCGTTATGTTGTGATTATTGTGATGGCATTACGTAGGATGGGAGGATGGGAGGGACGTAATATTGACATGCTTTGATGACATTGTTGGCTGTGAGTTTGGGAGAATGACTTAGATTCGTCTTTACAGCATGGAGGAGCTTCAACGGTGTCCGTCTCCCAACATGAGAGTACCCAGGATCAATTATATGCAATCTAACACCATAAGGTTCAACTACCTACACGCCACAGAGCCTTCCCGTCCCCAGGCATTTGATTGATAGATGTATGGCTGCGTACGGATGTACAGCTGGCGGTGATCCATCTGCTCCTGTGGTGTGTCTTGATTAGCATGCTACAACGGGCCTGTGTAGATGTAAGAAAGGTGAATACTAGTGTATTTGTGTTTCTATCAGCATCGACCACATACCGCCGCCATGGCTAAGGAAGCTGTTGATCACATATCTCTACGTCCATCCCGTCCATTCATACATGCCCCATTCAATGCTCAGAGAACGAAAAAACCTCCCCTCGAGAACTACATCCCACGACAAACCCCCTACAGCTTCCCCTCCACCTTCTCCACCACCTTCTCCTCCACCTCAGGCCTCTCCCCACCCCCACTATTCAAATAACTCAAGTAGCAATTCCACCCCAGCGCCACACAATTCACAACCAGCACCCGATGCTCCAACGGCACGAACTTGAAATTCACCGCCTGCACGCCCGGCCACAGTAGGAAGTTATTCAGCATGCCGGGCACATACGCCTTCTTGAGTTTCTCGGCGGGGGACGAGCCCTCGAGGTACGCCATCGAGGACAGGAAGAACGCCATGTTGGTCGGCGCGAAGAGGAATTGGTCGCAGGCGACGCGGGCGGCGATGGTGCGGTTCGTGGTGGACAGGTTGACGCGCGAGGCGAGGAATTGGTACCATTTTGTTGCGGCGGGTCCGAAGACGGCTGGAGGGGGGGTGTTGCGTTAGCGATCTGCGGATTGGGGGTTGATGCTAGATGTCGAGGGGAGGGTAATGAGGGAGAGGAGGGAGGGAGGAGACGTACCACCGCCGTACAACGCCATGCGTCCTGTCCGCGCATAACTATGCTTCTCGACTTTCTCCACCGCGTGCTGCGATAGCACGTCGCCGAGGCCGAAGAGAACCTACGCCATATCGTCAGTCCATCGCTCTTTCGCAATTCGCCTCAATGCCTCCAAAACAAAACAAAACAAGCAAAGAAGAAGCAATCCAGGGTAGAGTAGGGGGAAAGGTGGGTGGAGGAACATACAGCAGTAGTAGTCGCCTGCGTCAACAGAGGCGCGGTGCGAAGTTTCGCCTGGTACCATCGGAACGCCATGGTGATGTATGTGCGTATGTATATCGTCTGTCTTCCGATATCTCTTGATCCGTGTCCTTTTCTTGAGGATTGAAGGGTGTGTCGAGGGCGGAAGTGGGTTGTGGTAAACAGACGTTCGTTATCGCTTCACTTCGCAAACTGCAGATCAATCGGCTCGCTATCCGTGTGCGCTTCGAGTTGATCCCTCGAGTCTTTCACTACTATGATGTAGGAATCGTAAAAGTTGTTAAAAAGTCGCAGAACAGCACGACCCAGATACGCGCCTAAGTAGCAGCAGCAGAAGTGGAAGAGCAAGAAGAGGAGGAAAAGCGATCGAGGAATTGTCGTCACACCTTTATTCACCCACCACCTCCACCACCTCCACCACCAGCACCCCCAAAAAAACCCGATGATGTAGTTGTGAAAGTGGGTCGGGCCCGCCAAACCCAATGGGGACCCTTGTCAGGGCATTTGAGTAAGCAGGGGGGGGTGGTGATGCTAGCTGGGGCGGAGATACTGTGTTCGTAACGAGGGTCCTTTTTGCACTCTCCACAACAGTTAAGATTGTATTGTGTAGGTGGTGATTGTTAAAAAAAAGGTCTGGACCCTTGAACGACACGTCGAGTTTTCGTGTACCTTTCGCCAGTGAATCGACGGAGTCCATGTTTCTAGAGCGCTGACCTGGATATACACGGCACTTTCCAAAAAAGGCATCTCCGCAGCTCTCCACAGGTTTCCCTATTTGACATGTTATACGTTAATCATTACTAACAATCTACGATACACTACTACTTACTACGCCTACATACCTTGGTTCCTAGATAATAGACAGTAGGAAGTAAATACACAAGTAGTTACTACTATTTCTCACCTCGAATCACTTTATGTCGTGGTATTCTGCTAGAGATGGCGGAACCGTGATATATGTGTTGACTTGAAAACACTCGCGGACTCTCGAGGGCCGGGTTCGAGGACGTAGCTCTCTACTAGATGTCAATGTACTTATCTACTTGTCTAGCGATTGAGTAGGACGTAGGAAGTAGAAGTATTAACATTTCGGTTATGCTTTAGTTCTCCTGTAGATATGCAGGTAGCTCCAGCGTGCGTATACACTCCACTGTGTTACATTCATATCCTCAATTCCCCTAATCTCAATGCTCTGTCACGCGGGGCTTTGCTTTGCATAAGTAGAGTGAAGAGACACGTTTATGAAGTTCAGCAGTAGAGTAGAGTAAAGTAAAGTCGTTCATTGATGATACGAAATCTAGTTATAGTATAAAAAAAAAACTTGTTCCATTCGTGGTGTGTGGGGGTATTCCTTCCTTCCTTCTTCCTTTTTATTCAAACTCGAGATCGTGCATTGAAGATGCTTCAAAGAAAAGCGTACAGCCGCTTGGGTACTATTGCCCCGTTCTCGATCAATCAATCCCATCCCAAGGATGTCCAAGCATCATTGTCCCCATCGCGGTATATATAAAGAGTATGACACGGGATTCCAGGCCACCGGGATGAAAGGTGGGGGAAATTTCTTTAATAGTTTCAGAGAGAAAAAGCGAGGGGACACGCTGATAAGACCTCCATCAGTTGTGTCACCCCGCAAGATAGATATATAACGCCATGAGCCCCCCCTGGGTTGTGTGTCGTTCGGTGTGTGTGAACGAACCCGTACCCAAGAACCGAATCCCAAAGCCGTCCATCCAGGGCAAATGCAACGCAAAACGCAGACAGAACAACCAGAAACCCCAGTGGAAAAAGAAAAGAAGAGACGCAGGTCCAGGACGGAGAAAGGTGGGTAGTCATCGTGCGAGTTTTTGAAAAAATGGGGTAATAGACATGAAATTGGTTTTGACATGGTTGATTATTCTTCTCTTCTCTCTTCCTCTCGTCTCTTCTTTAATCAATCTCCATCCTTTGGCTCGGTTGAGGGCCGCTCACATAGGGCATCTCGGTGCCATTTGCGCCCTTGGTTGCACTGGCCTTCTTGCTGTTCACGTGGGGTTTCAGGCCCTTGTTGAAGTTGTGCGTGCAGATGCATGCGATGACGATGGTGACGATAACCAGGAGGATCGTGAGCACGGCGAAACTGGTCAAACTCTTCCTGGCAGGCATGTAGTCCAGGAGTCGCTCCTTGTCGGCGGCGTACATTCGGATGAGCTTGAACAGGAAGTAGGCGAGCGCGATGAAGTAGATGATGATGATGACGATCATTCCGGCAACGGACTCCCGGCGGACCCAGTAGGCGGCGAGGATGAGGAAGACGAAGGTGATGGCGAGGGCGGCGGCGGTCAATGCCAGTTCGACGGTAGATGTGTTCTCGACCACGACCAGGAACTGGACCGTGAAGGCGAGGAAGAAAAAGAAGTCGAACTTGAGGAGGGCGATGTAAATCTAGAACTGATGAGTGATGCGGCCTTGCTGTAGATCGGTCGCGACGGGAAACTTACCTGGTACGTCAGATATCTCCTCTTCAGGCGCAGATCGGCACTGATGTGCTTGTAGATGGTCCATGCGAACTCGTCGTAAAGCTTCCAGGCGACGAAGGCCAGAGCTAGAGTGCCGGCAGCCATCAGGATGGGGAGGGCGATCAAGATGCCCCTCACCTGCTGCCAGAAGAGATGGTCGGTGATGAAGGTCTGCTTGTCGAGGTACTGCACGGCGTCCTTGATCTGGTCCATCTGGATGGCGGCGTAGATCAAGATGCCGATGTTGTAGAGAACGAGTCCGATGACTTGAATGGTGTTCTTCATGCGCAAGGCGTCGTATACGAGTATGATCTGGTAGATGTATCCGAACATGAAAACTGCGAGGTATGTGGGGATGGTGCGGGTTTCATTGTGTTGGTTCGGTATGTTTTCTCGCAGACTGTTCTGGAATCGACCGAAGACGTACCTGGTGCATGTCAGTAGAGAATCTTTGGAGATTTTGGGGAGATACGGGAGCAAACATACGCTTCGAGGCCGAGAGCAACGATGGCCTGGAGGAGGGAGATGAGCATGAATGCCCAGGTCCATTTTGACTGTGGAATGTACATTCTGGGAGTCCGTCGGACGGGTGGTGGGAGTTGTGTAGGGAAGCCCTCGCGATGGTGGTATCCGCCGGGTTGCGGTTCGTATGATTGTGGTTGGTAGTTGTTGTATGTGTTGTTTTCGTAAGGCTGAAAGTTGCGGTCCATAGGCTGGCCTCCGAGGAGGGATGCTCGTGACTCGTGGTGAGTAATTTTGGCAACGGGTGACAGCCGCGAGATGGCGGCTGAAGAGAGGTAGCGGAGCGGAGAGTGAGTGCGCGGTCGAAGTGAACGACGAGAACTGGCAGCTCAAGACGTTTGTTGGATTGCGACGCGCGACGACGAAGGTTACGACGGCGGCGACGACGACGACGACAACAAACGGTCGGTCGGGATAGGTATGGGGATAGGGTTGTGGGATGCGGGATGCGGGTGGGTTGTTATGGATGGATGGAGGATGTGGAGAGCAGCGAGGAGTGAGACCAGTGTGAGGCAGCTGAATGGTATTGGCGATGATGCGTCGCAGGAAGGCAAGAGGCCAGGGAAGCCGGAAGGGAGGAAGGTGAAACGGCTGGGGTTGAGGAATTGGTGGGAGGTTTCTATGTGCGTAGGTGTGTGTTGTCGCGGGAGGAGCAGCAGCAGCAGCAACGAGCAGCAATGAACAGTTGGATCTGAAACGGAGGCGAAGCTTGGCTCTGGCGGAATGCGAAGAAGAGTGGTCTGATGATTTGCGCGGAAAGTGAGCGAAGTGAGCGAGTGGTGGAGCGGTAAGCGATAGTGGTGATTGTAACGATAATGTGTGGTGGAAGAGCGAAGAGAGAAAGGATGGAGAAGAAGGAAGAAAAGGGTTGCGTTGAGTGAATAAGGCCCCAGCCGCGTATGCGCAAGTGGGTGAGGGAGGGAAGGAGTTTAGTTGGTGAGCGGAGAAAGTCGACTCTCCTCCCCAACTAACAACTAACAACTAACAACGAGTATCCTCGTACTCCTACTAGGCAGGTCCTCCCAACTAGTAGTGTACCCCGTAGATGGTTGCTTCTTGTATTATAATACTTCGCAAAACAATCATCCAGGAGGGGGAAGGATGGTTGAAGATGGAGGGAAAAGAAGGAAAGGAGGAGAAGGAGGGATTGGATAGGTAAAATAGGTTATGAGCATCAAAGGACTTGGGAATAGGTAAGGTAATGAGAATACAGTAATAAGGACTCAAGAAGGGAGACAGCTGAGCTGAGAATGTTTGGCTTGACTGGACTGGCTGGGCTGGCTGGGCTGGGCTGGGCTGGGGGGGCTTTGTTCTTGGGCTTGGGGACGGATACTTACAGGTAATAGATGTACAGAGTACTTGAATGAGGCTGTACAGAATAGAAGAGTATGACAACTACTGTCTGTATACTGTGTGTATGTGGTGATACAATTGATGTATATGGGCAGAGAAGTGACAGAACCAATCTTGACAAACAATAACGATACTCTACACGGTATAACCACAGTATTGTAGTAGACAGAGCACAAGAGTAAAAGGAGAGCCGTTCACTGGGTGTCCCAGCGTCCGACTATAAAAAGAAACACCAGAAAAGTCCAGTTCCAGTCCCAGTCCCAGTCCCAGTCTTATCCTTACTTACTACTCTTGACCCAACTAACTATTACTTGACCTGCCCTGACTCCTGGAACCAGTGGACCGACCGACCACTCCCTAGTCAGTTCCCTTCAAATAGGGCTGGCTCTATAATACTGTCCCACGGTTGCTCTCCCGCATATGGAAAGTTCTTGCGCTCTATAGGAGAGATGTTCATCGATGTAGTATTGTTATCATTACTGTCACTGCGTCTACCTACGACTATGACGATGCAGAATACTCCGTACAGTGTACATACAGTATACAGTACATACCGAGGAACATGAAAGGAGAAATCCCTCACGTGTGAAAAGACGTCAGTTGACCTGCCATCACATCCATCACAGCCCTCACAAGTGCCATTCGTTCGGGTAATGGCAGACCATCCACTCGACGATCAATCAATCAATCAATTCCGACCTCCTCATCGTGCAATCATCAATGTGGGTGCATGCATGCCTGCTGATGACGACAATCTTCCAATGGGATTTGCAGTCCGTCGCTACACCTGGTCAAATTTGTCCTTTCGCGGTGGCGCAGTCTTTTCTCCCTGCACCGCCCCATTCCCTCCCGTCTTCTAGCAAACAATCTCCGATGCACTACAGACTGTACTGAGTACGAGCAGGAGATACGATTGCCTACGAGGTACCGGTTATCTTGAATAGTGGTTGAACGAGTGAGCCCATTTCGATGATTGTCTCTGTCGACCTCCTCGTTGTCTACCTAGATAGAAAAAGAAACATAACTAGCTAGGTACACTGCACATCTATTAGAATACAATTAATTCCTTCTTACTCGACACTATCTCTATAGTTATGTCTAAATGTAAACACAGCAACGTATCGTACCTACAATCTCCACATTCGGTTTCCTCCATTGAAGCAGCACGTGGTGGTAATGAGTGAATCAACCCCCCCCCCTCCCGTTGTTTCAACTTCCGCACCATCGTTCTTCTTTTTTTGTTTCCCCTCACTACCCCCTACTCTAGTTACTCTAGTTACTCTAGTTACTCTAGTTACTCTAGTTACCCGGTAGTGGCTCGTTCCCAGGTACGAGTACTTGTAATCTCCACCAGCTGTGGCGCAATGCCGACTTCCCGTCTCCGTCGAGCTTCCTATACGGGCACGTGCAACGAGTGAGAGAATCACGGACGCAGTCATGTGGCGCGGTGTTTCGACGGACGGAGCGTGCTGATCAGTCAATTGGAGTCTTCGTAGATTGCACACAGGAGACTGTGGAGTCTGGACGATGGATTGTAGACTGTAAACCTGTAAATCGTGGACGGTGGATGTGAAATGGGTGGTCAACTGTGGCTGGTGACCCGGAACAACTTCCGCCGAGGATCCTCCCCTCCCCATCTCCAAACCATCGACGTCTCTCTACTCGTACCTTCAACTCCAAGCTAACAAACAATCTACCTTTTGCGCCTCGGTCAACAACCCCCCACAATCTCCATCTCTCGGCCTCGTCAACTCGACCATGGCCTCCAGTACGTCTTCCTCCATTCAATCGTCACCCTCTGGCTCCTTGCTCTCCTCCATACTGACCTACGCCGCAGCTGAGAGTATCCTACAGACCGCCGCCGACAATGGCACTCTGGAGGTGTATGTACCCCACCCTCAACCCGTCACTCATAACCTCATTCTAACCCCTCAATGCAGTGAAGACTGGCCAAAGGCATTCCAATACATACTCGACCGACTAGATGAGGTGATTACACCCACACGTCCTGCCCCCATGTCGCTTGCGCCAAACCATCTAATGCAACCATCCATATAGATCATTCATAACGAGTTCCCACCTCCGCCCTCACCACCTTCCGACCCTCTCACGCCCTCTGCCACAGCCCAAAATCAACCTCCACCTCCTCAAATCCAACCGGCATTCTCGAGCCAAACTTCAGAAACAGCCGACAAAGAAAATGCGCCGCCCGCAACACCACCGCGTCCCCCAGTTCCAGCCTTCACATCAACCCCCTCCAATGCCAACAACACGACCTCCTCCTCCCTACCCTCCGAGTGCGTAAACTTCTACTCCTCCATCCGCACGCAACTCACCTCCAACTTCACCAAATCCCCACCGCACACGATCCAGCGGCTGGCAGAACTCGTCATCCAACCCAAACGCCACTACCGCTACCTCCCCGCCTACCTCCGCGCTCTCGACCGCGTCGTCTCCGTCTCCTCCCCAACGACCACCTTCCCCCTCCCGCAAGCCCTCCTCCCATCCGCCTCCTCCACCCTCCTCAACGGCGCCACCTCCCCCTCCACAAGCTCCGCCCTCGGCTCCGACGAATCCCTCGGCGGCGCCCTCCTCACCCCAATCCCATGGCTCCAGTCCCGCGGCTCGCAGACCGAACTCATCTCCGAGTCCACAGAGATGGTCGAAGGCCCCAACGGCGCAGGCCGCATCGAAACCGTCACCGTCATGGGCGGAATGCTCCCCAACCAACAAGCCCAAGCCCACCAGATCGCCCAGCAGCAGCAACAGCAGATCGCGAGCTCGCACCCCGACGGCGAGACGCTGCCCTACACGGGGCCCGTCACGCAGGGCGAGCTCCTCCGCCAGGAGCAGGAGGCCGGCATCGTGCTGTCGAATCCGCACCACGTCGCGCCGATCCGGCCGATCGCGACCGACGCGGAGCTCGAGGACGAAGACAGGGTCGGCATTGTTATCGGGACTGTCGAGGACGACGCCGAGGACGAGGCGCCGCATGCGAGGGGCCCGGAGGTCATTGGCATGGAGGACACGGGGCCGCAGAGGGCAGGCGCCGTGCATCTGGACATCGAGGGCGCGGTCGGAAGGCCGAGCATCGAGAGGAGTAGCAGGAGTCCGCAACCGCAGCCGCAGCCGCAGTCTACGAACCCGGCCACTGACGACAAAGAGGCGGAAGCAGAAGAAGACACCAACGACGAGGAAATGGACGACGTCGACGGCGAGGCTAAGGAAGAAGAAGCCTCCGCCGACAAGGCTGCAAGCAAGTCCCCGGAAAAGACTGCCGTCGACGAGGAGTAATTCAACTTCACATGGTCTCAACATGCACCGCAGAACCTGCCACCGTGCAAAAGCGAGAGAGAAAGTAACATAGTATACCACTCGATAGAAATACATATATATAATTATACCCCCTGCACAACCCACACCCCACACCTACCTCATGCTCTGTTAGCTTGGCTCAAGTGATTGTGTGCGTTTTTTGCAATATGACTGTTGTCTGACGATTGGTACTATGGTATCCAGTGGGTAAGAGCGAAAGAGCGGGGAACGATACGAGATATCGCTGAGTATGATGTGTCCTTGGCCCTATCAACCCAAAGGACACCCGCCGAAAAAAAAGACATACGAAGGGTCAAACCATACACACACAGACACATTCGATCAATCCGATCTTGTAGAACAGGAGGGAGAAGCGTCGGGCAAGAAGGAAACCGCTCCCGTCCTACACTCTCGTGCTGTGATGGAATAGAGGAGGGGGCGATGTATGATGGTATCCGTGTTCGCATTCTACGATAATCTTCTTGGGGGTACGTATGTATACAGGACGTGCTGGGGGCTATGAGATAGTGGAGCAGGGATGCAGGTCAACGGTGTTCACAATGATACTTGATTCGTCGTGTCTATGTCTGTTTATTACGAGTGTAAGTATGATAACTTAGGGTACTTAGGGATTCGTCTTGGGTTGGGTTGGGCTACGAGGGTATGATTATGACCGTTACGCCTGGTAATTCGGTTCTGGGAGTTATTACAAGAGATCACATGGTGTGGGAAAACATAGGGAATGAATGTATGAACGATTGTTGTGGTGGTAGTGGTGGTGGTGAAAAAAGTGTGCAATTACTGTTATATCCAAGATATCCAAAAACGCTAATAGATGCTCCGACGACAAAATACGACAAGAAGAAAAAAAAGGATTAAGACCGTTGATGTGGAAGGACCGGAGAGATTAGTAAGGCGAAGGCGTCCGCCAGTTCTTGTATAGGCACGAGCAGAGCGATCCGGCGTCCTGGGGCTCCAGCCCTTCCGTTATCGAGTTTCCTGATCCGCTGGCCTTGCACGAGGGTATTGATTCGCCGCCGCCGACGGATTGTTCTACGCGGACGGCTATAGAGGGGGGATGTTAGCTTTGATATAGCATGCGACTGGGCGGGTTGGAACTTACCGAATGGCCAGACGGGATAGCTTGGGCTGCCGTCGCTTTCGCCCTTGGATGCGTCTGGGTATCCCTTCGCCATCTTGGTGTACAGGACTGCTTGCAGACTCGTGCCTTGGAACTCGCAGCTCGCGGCCTCGTTGTCCTTTGTTAGTCCGGTACTCGGGCTCACAGTCTTCGTCGATGATAGTTGGAACCGGTATCGCTCTGTGTCTTTTCCTTGGTCCAGGAGCTCCAGGTCGGTGTTCTTGAAGGATATGCTGAATGGGTTGTCGGTGGAAGAGATTTGGTATTTTCCTGATGAGGGAGAGCTTATTATCCAGTTGAATGTCGCGAGAGACTTTGAAGGTGAGGTGTTGTAATCCGTGTACGGGTAGCATGTCCATGTCGCAGGGTTCGATGTGCAATTTGTCTGCACCGTGTCCAGGAAGGTCACCATGCTGTATGTGCCTTGTGGGAAGTTGGGAGGAAGTGAGGATGGAGAGACGGGTGATGCGGTCGATGAAGCGCCTGCTGCGGCGGGTTGCTGGGAGTCGTCATTTGAGCTGCATCTTGGTCAGAATAATTCATGTCAAGTACGACACGACGCATGCTCCGAGCATGCATCGAGCGTAGAAAATCTAAGTACCTCTTCTTCTTTTTCAGTCCTATAGCCAATCCTACAGCCAGCGCAATGATGCATGCCAGCACCACTGCGACAATAACCAACAGTCGTTTCCAGCCGCCCCGTTTGGCAATCTGCTTGTTATTTTTTAACCGGCTCAGCTTCTCTCCGTCCGACCACACGCTCGTCGAATACCCGCTCCCACTCTGCTCTTCAATGCTTTCTCGCGGCGCATCTCCAAACGTCGCTAGCATACCGCTCTTTCGCACCGACGCTCGATCACGTGTTCGATTTGCGGCATCGCCATTTTCAAGGATAACGGATAGGCGTTGGCCAGCTGGTGTTGATATCCGTTTGGCGGCCGGCGCGTTGTCTGCCTTGCTCTTCCAGAAGTCCATGGTTGAAGCCAAGGTGGTGTGATGGGTAGATGGCTGGGAGTCTCAATAAACAAGAGACGGATGGACGGCGAGAGTCTCTCCTTCTCTGGACCAAAAGGCTATCGTACGGGATGGCGAGGTCCTTCTCCCACTCGCATGCTCGACGGCGTGCGTCCTCCAGGTACGGTCACAGTCACGGTCGTGATCAATTGGGCTCGATTCGTTCGCTATAGCATAATGGGTGGGTATCTCGCGGGCAAAACAAACGTAAGACGAAAGTAGGTGAAGATGAAAGAGAAGAGAGAGTGTGAGAGAGATACAGTAATCACAGCAGTAGCTCAACGGTCGTGCTAATACGAACGACAGCGGGATGAACGGAAAAGGATAGGGAAGAAGGGACAACGATCAACGACTCTCCACGGATACCTGACTCTTTCTCTCTCCTCTCTTCCTCTCGCTTCTCCTCTCCTCTCGCAGTAGCAAAGCTATGACCACAATAAACTTTAGAGCAGCTCGAGGAATCCACACGTGGAGTCCCTGTACGGCATGGCGCGAATAGGCTGCTGTGTCGCCATCTCCATATTCAGCCTAGACATTCAGCCCATCGGGACGCAGCCAAGCAGCAATTGGCTAAAGGTGTGAATGGAGGCAATGCATGACGATGGATTAGGAGGAGCCCCGGTAGATCCAGAACGAGCGCGATGCTTTTTCTGGAGTGGACTGGATAGGACGGGCTGGGATGGGCTGGAGTGTAGGATGCGGGTGGGTGGGAGCTCTGGTGGTTGGTGATCAAGCGAAGAACTGTGCTGCCAAGGGTGATGGAACCAGATTAGTACTATTTCGGACTAGTCAAGGTACAGCCGACTCAGTGCATCACCCGATCCCATCAAACATTGAACCCCTATTATATCCACCCACGTCGTGTTATTACACACTGACAACGACCGTGACAGTGACAATGACGAGTACTTACTACACCAAGCCGTTGCATGATATGTCGATTTCACTCCACACAGAAACGGTCTTTGGAAAGTCAGTGTCAATTGCACCTAAAAACATTCTTTGCTTCTGTGAATGAACATATATCTTCATCTCCGATGATAACGCTCTATGAAGTTTTACGCAAGCCACTATCCTACATTTAACGCCAAACTTTATAATATCGAATGTTACCTGCAGTTCACTTGCTAATGAAGGACTCACTAACTAAACTATCTACATAACTACTCAAGTGGAAGTCAAGTCCATACTCACGACTCACGATGCCTCTCTTCATCACCCAAATCTTCCCCTACACACCTTGATCCGCCCTTCTCTTCCTATTCCTCCGAACTCGCCTCCATGTCTCAACCTCAGGCGAGATCAATCCCCCCGTAACAATACCCTCTGTGATTTCACACTCCGTCTGCGAGATGCGCGGGAATCCCCACCTCTCTTGCACCTTCGCACACGTATGCAACAGCCAATCCAAAACCCGCTGAATTGACGCAGCCTCATCATCTATCACCCCTCTTCTCTCCGACCCTTCCTCCTCCAACCTTGCCGCCTCTCGAAGCCGTTTCGTCTTCCTCAGCCACGGCAACGTGGACGTTACCAACGGCGAATGCACGCAGAATGGGACCATGGGCGCGCCGAGCCCAGCGGAGCCCGCGCTTAGTGCCCATGGGACGGACTGCGCAGTGCAATGCGCCGCCCGGACGTCCATTTCTCGAACGTCGTCTAGCCTCGGCAGCAGACTAGCTGTGGCTTGCGCGGGAAACGACTGGTACAGTGCTAACGTGAGTCCGCAGAGTAGGTTTCTGACCAACCAGTACCGTAGAAGATGCCGGAGTGCTTGAATCGAATCGAAATGTAGTGATGTGCTCACGACGTCGTTGATTTCCTGGGACGGAGGGACGTGTCGGGTTGTGGTGTTGGCGGCGAGGTAGGAAGCCATGAGTTTTGATGGCTCGGCTTCCCATAGCGATTCTGCGTGAGATATCGCGGCTGCTATCCTCCGTAGGCTGAATGGTCCGGCGCGTGCGTCGCGAACGAGACAGTTAAGTCGAGGTATCTGTATCCAGACGTGCATGAGTGCCATACTGGTAAGGCGGAAAACATCAGACGGGTGGTTGAGATCTGGTGTAATTATACGCGGGTTCGTAGCCGCGAGGAAGAACGGAGTATCGTACTTCGAACGCCTGTCTGTGTAGAGTCCCGAGCCAACCTACCCAACAACATCAGTTGCCATGATCGAACACCTTGTTAATTCAAAACATACCTCTGCTTCGTAAGCGGTGAAAATGACATTCCAGAAATCAGGATCCCCCCGCCACGACTCGTCTCCTAACCTCAGTAGATTCGTCGCTGCATCGCCATGTTGGAAAAGTCCAAGAAGACTGCCATCGTTTAGGAACATCTTAATTAAATAGTCAACATCAAGTCAGACCTCCTGGACAAAAGATCACACACCTCTCCGTACATGTGTAAAATAATACTCAGAACTACATTCAGAGGCGGCACAGACGACGAGCCGTGAACTTGATTGCGCAAGACTTCAATCGCTCTACCCTTAGAGCGTCTTGCCGCCTTGGCATTTGATGCCGTGGGGTTCTTCTGAGCATTCAAGCTGTCGAGAGAGAACTGTATAGCGGAATCGAGCACAGTGCTGGAGCCAATGCGGCCGGGGATGGAGGTAATCCAAGACGCTTCCGCCACGAAAGGGTTGCAAGCGGGATCATGTGGTGAGAGGATCCGTATGAATCTTGTAGCGAGATTAGTACCTGCAGGCGAGGGCTGTGGAGAGATGGATTGATATGGCATTGAAGAGACACTCCTTAACCGCTGAACTTGTCTATCACTGCCGGGACTTTCAGTTGATCCAGTAGCTGAGAGTCTTGATCTCGACAGAAATTCTACATCGTACATGGAAGCCAGTCGAGTGTCGATCTCCTCATTGATAGCCTCCACGTCGCCTGCAGGATCTTGACTTGAAGACGGCCCAGACTGCGCATCATCGGGAGCATCTGTGAGTGGATAGACAATCGGGACGACTTTGGATCGCCCATAGTTGGTGTACTGATTCGGATCCTCGACGACGAATTTGAACTCTGAACGTTTGGGCTTCCCATAGTAGCTACATGTTCGCTTTCCCAGTTGGCATGGCCCGCATGAGGGTTTTCCTTCGTCGCACTAGGGAAGTTAGCGAGTATGTACGTTGTATTTCTACCATGTGGCATGCGGTATCTATATTGAACTACTAGTAATCCATAGCGAGCGCCACTTGCTTGGAAGTCGCGGTAGGATGCCTCGCAGGCCATTGGAATTGGATCAGGCATGCAGCGAACGTACCTTTACTTTTCGGACTCTACATACATCGCATTTTCCCTTCCGCGTCATGTCAACTAGACGGATTTTGATTGCGATATGTACGTCTGTGTCGCACAAAGGGACGATGACGTCGGAATCCTGCCAACATGCAAGTTATACGAATTGCCTATTGGGGTTAGCAACTGCTTGGTATCTCGAGTATTCGATGTATGATGAACTCAACAGATGGATGGCATAGGTACGTCCTCTGAAGATGTCTATCGCAGTCAATGTGTTCCAGAGAATGGCGAAACAATTTGGTCCTTCTGACTAGAGTTGTAAGTAGGAGTATGTGGACACAAATTGCTAGCTTATGTTATGCCAAATATGCTAGCAAATCAAGAGAAAATTAAAAAAAATCCACAACGCCATATTTTAATGCAGTATATACAGAGGACTTGACATAATAGTCGAAAAACGAGGTCACATGCTTAGAAAATTCATTTTGTGCTCATACCATTCAGGTGCGGTCGATGGCCAGTTTGGGAGGTGAAATGTCATGTTGTAAAGCATAGCTCCAATGCTTATATCTGAAAATCAAGTGTTGTCATTTTATCTGGGCTTGAATAAATAACATGGCCACTAGACTCGAATAACATATCGACAGATTTGAATGATCTGCGACATGTCATTGAGGTAATTGAAGGACCGATTTGCTGACTCTAGTGAACTTACTCTATGCTGGATATTATGTCAGCCTGTGCCCCGAAGATGACAAGACAACATATCGTATATAACTTGACAGTGCGAACTCCATCATCTGTGCAAAGTACTGACAAATCGTCGGACAACATTTATTCCGGTAATCGAGGAGCTACAACTACTAGGAGGTATTCAGTCACTCAGAGCATATCTCGGCGCCAACTTTCGACAAACACAACTAGAGTCGTCACTTCAGAATCAATCAAAATTGGCGCTATTGAATACACATTACCATTGAAGCATGGAGCCACCATCCTATCAGTTCGTGAAGGTAGAGCTATTAGCAGCCGGCCACGTCGCGATCATAAAACTCAACCGTCCAAACTCCGGAAATTCCTGCCATCCAACACTGGTATCAGAATGGTCATCTGCGCTTGAATGGATCGAGCAGCAACCAGACATTCGCGTCGTCATCCAAACAGGCGAGGGAAAATTCTACTGTACAGGCATGGAGCTCGTAGACTCTGGACCAGTGCCAGCTTTGCCGTTCGCACGCGGTTCCGTCTTCGACTCCCTCTGCAGGACGCTCATCTGTACCGAGAAGATCCTGATTGCAGCGGTGAATGGTCCGGCAGCGGGATTTGGCGTGAGCAGTCTCGGGCTATTCGATCTTGTTTACTCGGTTCCGGATGCATATTTCTTCACGCCTTTCGTCAAGTGGGGGATGACGACCGAGGGCGCATCGAGCTACTCTTTCACAAAGCTCATGGGCCACCAGAAAGCTGCTCTTCTTTTCCTTGCGGGCGATCGCGTTTCGGCGGAGGAGGCTGAGCGATTAGGTCTTGTCAGCAAGATACTGCCTGGAGCTGGTTTCTTGGATCATGTTCAGGCGATTGCAAGAAGGATTTCACAATCTCCACCAGGGGCGTTAAGGGCTACGAAAAGGTTGATGAAACACCAGCATCGTGAGGAGCTTTTGGCTGCGCATGAGCGTGAATGCGATGTTATGCAGAATGAAAGATACGGGTCGGAGGAATCGCGACAAGCCCTGAAGCAGTTCCAGATAGAGAAAGAACAGAAGCGAAAGCTGAAAAGTAATTTGTAGGCATCGAAGTATACATGATAGCTAGAATGATATTGAAACGTTTCTTTTATTAATGTGCTGTGATCCTACGCAATTCTCAGAACGTGTATCCATGATAGCCTATCGGAAACACAGGTTGCGTATCATCGGCAAGGGCAGCATCAATTGCGTCAAGATCGAAGTTGGGATCGAAATGCTCGAAGATATCGATGTCTGGTAGGTTATCCCACATTGACCAATCCGTTTGTGCGGGTTGAGTCGAAGCTGCGACATCAAGACTTGAACCCCCTGCAGCACCGGAGACAGGTGTTCCCCCATGGCTACTCGTCCTTGACCTTTCGGGCTCTTGAGACTGATGAGCCATAGAAGAATATACTTTGTCTGTCTCATTGAGCATCTGCTCAACAAGATTGGCGATGCCAATCGCTACTGGATAGGCATCGCCTAGATCCCGCAAGATGTCACAGCCAAGTGTGAGTTGCTTTTGAGCTCTCCCGCGGAAGAGAGGAACCTTGGTGAATCGAAATTCGCGATAGAAGAATCGTAATGCAAGAGATACAGCATACGGCACGATGGGAGTTGGTGGGAACTTTCCATTATAGTCTTCCGAGATCATGGATATGACTCTTGTCGCCGACAAACTTTGTCGAACGTGGGATGGAGAGGAGCGTGGTGGCTGCGTCAATGCATGGGTTCGACATGACAAGATAGCGACTGCATGATAGAACGTTTCCAATGTTGCTGGTACATCTAATGTTAGTCTACATGTGCTTACATGGCCCCCATGAAATAGGCTTACCGAGAAGATTGGGCTTTATACGTGAAGCGCTGGCTTCATGTACAATGCTCTCATAATCAGGCAGCTCCAGACCCCAGTCTGCTTGTGGTCTATCTGGATTGGGCCGATAGAGATCGATGACTTTGTCAAGAAGAACAGTGGTGCGGAGACATAGTTGAAAGCATGCCTCCTGTTCCGGAATGCTTTCTCCTAGCCTGTTCCCGAAGTCGCGTTCATGCATCGTGACAGGCCGCCCATGGAATGCTGCATTCAGTCTGTCCAAGGCCCAAATGCAACAGAAAACTCGAGCTGCTGAGGGTTGCTGGTTAGCTCGGAGGTGAAGTCCAAGGGTTTGTGCATGAGCGACTGCGCGTGCACACATCTCTACTGGCAAATGGCGGTCCTCGGCTAGTTGTGTGTACATGGAGAACAGTGCACAGATCTGGCATACAGTGAATTTGTCTTTGATGAGGTCCAGGTTCAGACATGTTCGGACTGAAAGTGAAATCCGGTACGAGAATTCGCTTCTTTCTAGGAGTGTGGGTTCGTTGATGTTAAGTCGAAGGAACAGCCTGGCAGAAGGACTTGAACTCGAGATTAGAGAAACGATCTGCTTCATGACAACGTGGGATGGGCGATGAGGATTCGGAGCCTCGAAGATATCCCTGTCGAGGATGGGAAAGATAGGATGGAACTCCTCGAAATAGATATTAGATAGGGCTGCGAAATCCGACGAGTCGGGTAGTAAAGAGAGACATGATTCCTCGAGATGTGGTAGTAAGACTCTGGATATGAGAGGGTCGGCACAATAGACAGCATCTGATTGAGTCTGCCTCATTGGGAGTGAGGTGTAAGGCTGGGGTGCGCTTCGTCCTACAGAAGACAACCATACACCGACCTCTTCAGGTTCTCCAGATCCTGTGGTCAGCGTGGGACTAGTTGCTGCAAGAAAGGTAGCTTCAGGGTTTAGATGTCCGATGAATCGCGCGTCATGTCTGGACTCGCTGTAATTACGACTACCATTATACGATGTTTGGGTGGTGGGTCTCCCCGAATTACTGTCGGCGCGACCACTACTGGCAGTCGCCGGCGATTCTGGAGGCAGCATTGCACTCTTCTCGACATAATGTTGAGCTCTCTGGGGTACAGTACCCCCATCCGAAGGCACTGATGGTCTTGACGTAGTAACTTCACCGTTCCCAGTAGTACCTGGTTCATTGGAAAGTCTGATACGCTTAGGACTCGAGCCTGATTGATCCGCCTGTGGCACAGCAGATGAAATTACATCTTCATTACCGTGTCCGCAGCGTTTCTAAAGAAGCATTAGTTTTGCACGATGAAATAGTAGACGTATCATGTGCTACCTTTCGTCGGCGACAAGTATCGCAGGCCCGCTGTGACCCCGAACGCTTTTGCGGCATTCCATGGGTATCACTGGGAATGAATTTCAAGACTGCTGACATATTCCGAATGCTCCCAGTGTAATTACGACAAGGTTTTTGATAACTATCATGCGGGTTGATGTGGGAGTCTGGGGTACAGGCGGAGGTGGCGGGACTTTCCAATCAGAGCACGTGCATTATGCTTGCGGGGCGGAGATACCGGGTTGATGCGATGCGACTCTGCGCTCTCCAATCGGTGCATGTTGATGGCAGCGAAGCCGAAAGGGTACTAAAGTTTCAACGAGAGCCAAGTCGCTCTTCATTTGCTGTCTCAAAATTCGTGCATAATTGAGTGCAATATTTGGAATAATTGACTCGCATTTTCTTGTGAAGCGGCGCTGCCTAATGGGGAATCTCCGTTCTGCATTACCATTTTGGCGATCCCGATTAGTGACTATCTCGAAAGGAGAAGGGAATATATCACAGAATTCATCCAAATACTAAGAAACAAATAACCGCCTTTCATGATATTCATGAGTAAAATTACTTCATTCTGTGAGGTTCTACCTGATGGCCATCTCAATTTCTGGCATAGAATTGCATCATTACCTAGGTACTTGAGTGCTAATCGTTCTAAACCCGTGCTATAATATACCCATAAGGTAAAAGCTTCAACGGCTGGTGTTGCTGCTTGTCTGCATCTTCTTTTGAGTTTCCAAGGTCACTGGACAATATCGTATTTTGCAGATATTGTGCAGCTTCTGCTATTGTACAGCCCCGGGTTAGTATGATATGTCATGTGTTCCTACACCGACAGGTCGGTCAAAGTGTTGCAAGCATCGGACGAAGAATATGAACTTACGATATGCCCCCTCCTTGTCGATGGACTTGGTGTCTCTCAAGGTATTCCAAAAGTCGAACTTATTGTCAGATGGCAGGAATGTTGTACGGGAGAGGCAGTTGGTAGTAGTAGACGCGAGCGGCCGGTAGGAGCTTATAGCTGATGACAGTAAACGAAATAGCCTGGCATCTTCAACCTTCCCATCTTTGGAACTCCTTGTTATATCCGATGAGGTTGAGATCAATGTTCAAAGTCTTGAGCATCATGTCCATGGTGAAGCCCTGCTACGAATTAGTCCAATCTACTTCGCCACGTTCTCACCACTCGACCCAGAGAAACTCACATCATCGTCGTTAGCTTTGTCCTCAGAATCATCCTCTCCTTTCTTTTCATCCACAGCATCCCCGAGATCTGCATAATCATCATACACCTCTCTCTCCTCTCCATTCTCTTCCATACCACGTCGCCGCTCCTCTAATTCCCTCTCTGCATCCTCCTTTTCCCACTTCGCCCTCCACTCTTTCTGTTCCCTCTCCCTATCCTTCCACGCGCCAACACCCCCCATCCTCTGAACCCTTTCCCTAGTCGTCGCGAACAAATCCTCTGCCACCTCCCTACTCGCCGTCCGCCACATCTCGATTTCGCGCTCTAGGTCTTTGTCCTTGGAGGAAGTAAGCAGCGCATGGGCCTGCGTGAGAATTTGGATCTCGGATCGTAGCTGGAGGATTTGCTTTGCTACTGAGGGGTTGGTAGGGCTAGTCGATGCTGTGAATGGTTTCGAGGATTTGGGAACTTGCTGTGTTCGCGGGGTCAAGTTTGGTGGATTGGGGCGGGATGGGAGTTTTGTGGAAGATAATACTGGTGTTGTTGAAAGGAATGATGACGTAGTAGAAGTTACATCGGGCTCGGACGGCGGGTCGGACGAAGCCGATTCGTGTGAAGGAGATTGCTGTTGCTGAACTTTCAATGGGGTGCGGAATGGTGATTTGAATGGCTTGTGGAGGGTTTTTGTTGCTTCGTTGAGGCGGCGGCGTTTTGCTTGTGGGGTTGACATATTGGGCTATATTTTGAGTGCATTGAGAGAATGCCAGCTAGCTGTATGCGTGTATGCTCTGTTGTCGAACTTGTTGAACATGTGAAGTGAGGTTGGACGCGAGTGATGACGGGATATCTGAGAACGGCGCATGTGTGGGGAAGGTGGAGTGGAGTGTGGGCCCGTGCAAAGGTGTATGGTGTCGCGCTGTCAGGTGACCTAGGTGTGTTGATCCGAAACTCTACCATCTCTCGACTTTTGGTTTTCGAGTAACAAGATGCTAACGGAAAACGCGTCTCGAATATTTGATATAGAAGTGGATATCAAAACAATGATCGTGAGTGGGGCACACCAGCGCTTTAGATGAATGCCAGAGCAGGTGCCGCATGAAGCAACTAAAGTGATTGACTACGCCGCAATGTCACTTATTCCTCCTGATTCAATGGGAACATGAATGGTTCAGATCTTTTCTTTTTTCCAACAGAAAAGCGTTACTTTAAGTTATTAGCCGTCATTCATAAACGGCCCATTCTGACTATTCTGGCAACCTCGAACAATGGCCACTTCATCAGTGACTGTCTTTCCCTCTGATGCAGAACCTCGAGCCTACAACCATGAGGGGTACCCGCATGCCGTAAAGACATCTAGCGAACTATTCCGAAACAGCTGTCGTGACCAATTTCTAGCATACCCGGAAGCCGAAGTCTATTTCTCCTCCTATGACGAACAGATCAGCCAAGGAGACGTTTATTCATCTGGTGACAGCTTTGCCCGGGGTGCAATTGATGCTTGGGCTCAGCACCGGCACCTGATCATCCGACCGGATGAAGTATGGTTCGCTATTCTCGTGCAATTGAACTTCTATATGATCAAGAATGCGGAAAGACTGAGGCACCTGTTCGTTAGTCATACAGGGAAGAAAAGAATACATGTCTCAGATTGTACTTTCGAGGGCATCCTACATAAATTCCAGGACGCCATTCACGAAGAAGTAAAGCCTGGCTGGCTACGAAATTGGGTCATGCCTGAGTTCAGTACGACAACCTGGACTGACCACTTGACCGCCAGTGTCCTCTTGATGGGTCTCATGCAGAGATATTTCAAGTACAGTTGCGATATCATATGTGGGTTTCCATCCGTGACTCTGAAGGGCGAGAAAGAGGACTGGGAACAACTCCTCGCAAAGATTGATCGCCTCGCAACCTTTGGTGCCCAGCCAGAACAATTCGCTGAGCAGCTGCGACCAATTCTTGAACGTTTTGTGCGCACCTTCGAGGAACCCGACCACCCCGAAACCAGAACTTTCTGGAACAGCATGGTTGTTGCCAAGAATGACGGCGCATGCGGACTGCCCCCATACTCCTTGAAGGGATGGTTGACAGGGTTCTTTTTCTGGGATCTTGAAGGAAATCCAGTCATCAAACGGGAGCCGGAGAATCCTTTAATTCTCAATGGCATCGCTTACAAAAAATGGTTCATTGAGGATTTGCCAGTCGGCTATGCGCAGGCTCCTGTTGTAGTGATCGGTTTCAAGGGTATGGAGGAATTCCCAGCGTATGTTCTGGCGGGAAACGTGGGAAAGCGTATCAAAATGGGATTACCGGACGGCTATGAACAGGCACTACAGCGCTTCGATGGTCGAATAGGAAACCCCAGAAAGCGAATCAAAGGAAAATTACTGAGCAGATGTATAGAGGCAGCCAAGCGTCTCAATGGCCAAGCTATAGATGATGCTACACCCCACGGGACGCTCGAGCCGATGTCTGGATGGCTCATGTACGGCCCGGCCCCAGATCCGGACGGCGGACCAAGCCCGGGATATTGGCCTGAAGTCGAAACTGAATTCGAAGATTTGTATAGAAGCTTGGGGCGTTCAATTAGAAACGGCAGGTCTGCGTCATCAGGTGTTCGCCACTGAGCTCGTGTGATTCAGAAATGTAGTCAAGAGGCAATGAAAGGTTTTTTCCCGATATTATCGTACATAGACAGGTTATTTTTTTTCCAGCAGCGAATGTCATGCCTTCCCTATCTAGGAAACATCGCTCACAGTTTGATTGATACATCCAACCGGTCTAACCCAAGCGCAAGTCCCGAAACAGTTGCCATGTACACTATTAACACAGCCATTGACTCGAGCTTACCAAAATCAAGAGTAGGAATAGTCAAGTTGACTAGTCCAGTCAGCAAATTAGCTGCGAGGAAGACTGCTAAACCGTTGCGATTGAAAGCAAATAGTAGCGGACTGGTAGCATCTTTAGCCCTTTGATTCTCGTCTTCCTTGCTAGATGCTTTACGAAGGCTCGGGAAGTAATAGCTCTCGATGGCATAGCAAATGGCGATTTGTGAGCTATTGAAGGCACAAGTCCATAGAAAGTAAGGGAAATTGGCAAGTCTCCGTGAGACGGACAGCCCGAGGCCGTAGTAACTGATGGAAAAGTAGAAGAGCGTGATCCATGCCAAGGAAGACACGGCAAGCTTGCCCATGATCGACTTCTTCAAGTATTCAATCCGGGATGCGTTTGGAGGCAACGAAGACTCTCTGGGCAATGCAAATGAGCCCAGTGACTGACCTGCCAGAAATATAGCGAGGTAGCCGAAAAAGGAGAAGATGCCCTCCCTGTTCATCGAGATGAGATCTGTCCGTGGAGCAGTGAGAATGTATGCCCCTAGATCGGTCTTGTCAAGAGCAAGTTCATGTAAAGCGGAAAGCATGCAAGAGAGTACAGCATAGGAAGGGACGAGCTGGAATGCAGACTGGAAAAGAGAGACGAATGGCGGTAAGAATCCCAAGGTAAAGAAGAAATTCCAGTGTACACCGTACTCGGTAACATGTTCTGCGTAGTCCAAACCTTTTACGGATATTAGGCGGAGAACACCAAGCACGAGTAGAGGTATAGAATGTCTCAGAGATCCCATGAACCTTCTCGACAAGGATGGGCGCCTATTGTTATCCTCCTTGAGAAATGATCGCACGGATACTACTCCAGACGTGAAGACGAATGAGCCTACACCCACGTCCATCAGTGATGTACCCCAGTTCTCTACTTTCCCAAAACGTCGTGGGAACACCCGGAAGTCTACAGCAAGTATTGCAATGCATGTGATAACCATCATTGCACCACGATAATGCGTTATGAAAGGCTTTATTGGGAGGCGGTCGAGCGGAGTCGGGTTCTTGGGCTGCGGGCGAGCAGATCGTTGAGGAGGCGTGCCGTGCTCGGTCATGGTAATGAAAATGGCAGGCAAAAGAAGGAGGATATTGAGAACCCATGGCGTAGAGGAGTATATAGTGGTTGAGAAGAGAATTGCTCCACAATTGAGCAGAAAATCGACGGCCATAGGGCCAAGAGTGTAAGGAATGAATGCCCGAGTCCGCGATTGAAGTACCGACCATAAAAGAATTGTGAGCTGTCAAGGTCTGGATTAGTATGACGGCATCACCAAGATCTTGAGTGTGCATACCGGCATTGCCAACGATACCGCATTGATATCAGCCACGGAGCTCCCGGTGAGGCCGCTCACGTGTTGAATCTTTGCAGCTTTATCGTATTTGACCATTGTAAACTTCAATCCCCGTTTGCTCCTGGTATTGGAGTCATTGGCGCGTGGGGGCTCGAAAGGTTGTCAAACGCGTCGTGTTAGTTGTCCTTCGGCGGTTCAGTTTCGCCGAACCCGACCAACCTCACTCCTTAATTATATTATGTCATCAAAGCAAGCATTTGCTTCAGTAAGACTCTTCATGGGTGATTCCATGTGATTTTTTTATATTAGCAGTATGATATTGTAGTCAAGTCAAGTAAAACATAATTCAATCAAACAAGCAGAATCCCTCGACAAGTACGACCTATACGTCCCACCACTTCAAAACAAACCGTTTGAGATCAGAATAATGCAGGTTAATGCAATACGAGTAAAGCTATTGTACTTAAGAAACACAATCTAATGATGTTTATTTTTTGACGAACTGAAAAATCAATTACTTGAATTAGGTTACCTTCAAATATTTGGTGGCATGGCTATCGGCATGCATCTGTCCAAAAGGCACATATGCAGGCATATATTTGCTAGAATACGGCCATAGTGATCAACTATTGGTCAGACTTGCTGGACAGAACTCTGGCCAAGTCTGAACATATTGTGTTTATAGATCTAGTTGGTCTGAAAGACGGCTGCTGTACTGACCTAGCGGGTTTTCTCCTTCACTTGCTTTGCGAGCAACCCACCTTCACTGCCGCTCTGCCGCTCTCCGTCTCGCATTCACTTATTTCCAACTGACTTGAGCCTTTTTACTTCTTCCAACCTCCCCACTTCCACCTTACATCACCTCTCCATTCCGTCAACCTTTTTCTCTTCGTCAAAAACGTCGCCTCACCTATTGCTTCGGCAGTGGATAACATACAAAGTACACTTCCCGCTGCATCTTGAACTTCGTTCCGAGAACCTAAACCGTCTTGGAGGTCAAAGTCCTCTCACTTTCTCCATCATCGATCAACTGAACTCGTGTTGAGTTCGCACCGTATCTCACATCGTCCCAAACCTCGCTTCGAAGCCTTCTAGCAACGCGGCAACTGAGCAGCCATGTTCAAAGGCGATAGATCCAAGTTGAAGGCAAAGACCAGCAAGTTGCCGTTCCTCACAGGAGTTTCCAAGTCGCCGCCAGGATCGCCAAATCTGGTCCCGACTGCTGCAGCAAGGCGCCTGGGTCTTCCGTTCAAGTTACCCGAGAGGAACAAGTCAGGACAGAATCAGAGCCTCACTCCCAACGATCCTCAGTTGCCTTCGTCTCCTAGACCGGCAACCTCACCCAATGCAGCTCCTGTAGTTGATCGCCACAAGCCGCTTCCAAGCCCTCCGGTTGCTCAGTTCATCAATCCCATGAGCCCACCCAAAGCTCGGCGCTCTTTGATGGATGCTGAAGCGGGAACTCCATCTGGAGAGCAGTATCCGGCACTTCAGCCAGAGGCCTCGCCTTTGCGCATGAGAGGTGTCGAGATGTCGCAACCTCGCAATATGCGTGGCGAGCAGAGTGGTAACACCACCTATTTGGAGGCGGGCGAGTCGAGCAAGATGGCTGCAGCAATGAGTGCATCCAACAAAAGTCCTCATGGAATCGCTGAGCTTCCCACCACCTGGACTCCCAAGGGCTCTGCCACCGATAGTCCAGCTCCACGCCCGAAGCATCGTCCGATCATCCTACCTTCACCTCAGTCGGTGGCCAAGTATTGTGCCTATCCGATTGCATCAACGGGCTCGGATCAAAGTGCCATCTCACGCCCATCCTCTCGCACTCAGGTCTCCACCGCGCCTGCAGTTCCCGTCTACACGACCTCTTATGCGGCTCCGTCCCAGGCCATCCCCGAGGACTCCATTCTACGCTTCACGCATTCCCCAGATGCCTCCACCCCGCCCCGTCAACGCCTCAATGACGAGGGCCCCGAATCTCGACCCAGGCGTCTTTCTAGCCAGCTCAGTGACCGCACTGGCGCTGGCACGACCCTTGTGGTCTCTAACGATGCGGACTCTCTCATTCACGGCCTCGACGTGAATGATGGCCACAAGAGCTCCAAGCACAAGCTTGGGTTCCGCTCGCTGCTCAAGCGTATGCGCAGCACCCCAAACCTCAAGGGTGGCGCCGTCAAGCCAGACGTTCCTGTCCCGCCTCTTCCCCGTCCGGCCCAGTTCCAGAATACTGGCAAAGGCAAAGAGAGGGCAGAGTCCGTCGGAGAGATTGAAGAGAGGCCCTTGATCATCAGCTCTCTCGATGCTCTTTTGAGCCGCATCGAGGACACACCACTGCTGTCCGATGAGCGCGCACGGGGTGTGAAGATCGTCCAGGTACGCACTCACCTACCCTATTGTGAAGTTCTAGATTACTGACCAGACAGACCGTTCTCAACGCCATGGAGAACGTTCGAGCAGCAAAAGTTGCTGCCGAAAGGGCGCAAGAGCATGCCAGGCTCGCCCAGAAGGCGCTCGGCAGGCTCGAGGCGCTGGTGATCGACGACTGCGGCGCCGACCTCCTGGCCGACATCAGGCACAGGGTCACGATCGTGGCCGACGGCCTCACTCTGGAGGATTTCGAAGAGTAAGTGTCCCTGGGCCTGCCAAGCCCGACTTCCCTTCTGCTCCCCCCTCCCTCCCCTTCTCCTGAGTTTTTTTTTTTTTTCGATTGGTAATGGATTGGGATTTTGAGGGGCTGAGGCCCGGATAATGGGCTTTTCAGGGTGTTTTTTTTCCGGCGTTTCTGGCGTTTGGCGTGATTTTCGAATACAACAGATTTGGGAAGCTTCCTGCTTCCCTGGTCAATACCGTTCCAATGAGGCTTCGTGATGCTTTCGAATTCGTGATGCCTCGCCTTGTGGCGTTCAGCTGCAGTTTCCTCACTGCCTCCCGGATGCCTCTATAACCCTATCCATCAAGTGGTTTTACGGCTTCAATAACTGCAATCCAGGAGTCATACTGAAGATAATTTAGATCACTGAGGCCACTTCAAATCATTGAGATGTAATCCAATCGTATCCAATTCTAGAAGAGTGAAGCCTAGCCATGCCATATCCATATCCTGCACCAAGCAAGCATAAAGACCTTATAATACATAGTGATATAATCCCTCCTCTCTCTTTACTATCATTTCATCAAACTCATATATCTTTTTGCCAATGAAGATCTTCGTCCATTTCCTTTTGTCATTGCTCAGAATCTTTTACATGCCACCGCCGAACATACCACCGCCCTGTTGTCTGTTCTGTGCCTCGCCCTGCATCTTCTCGCTGACCTTGACGTTGACCTCGAAGAACTTTGCGACGCAGCGGTCGAGGCAGACGGACTCGCCCTTGTTGAGATCGGCTTCGCGGTAGGTGGAGTCGACGCATTTCTTGCTGCATGATGCGAGAAGTCTGTATTGATAAGAGTTAGTCTCTGCCAATGCTATATATAGGTCCAGAACAATTGGGAATTGAGGGATTGAGCGGAGGAGAAGAAAGCAGGAGGTGGATGCGGAGATGTTTGATAGAAACGGGGACTGAAGTCGAGGCGAGACGCACCGAGAGTACATGTCTGAGACCATGTCAATTTCAGCCTCTGCCGCAGCAATCTTCTGCTCGGAAGAGAGCTGGGGTCGGCCGCCGAAGAGGAAAGACATTTTGAAAGTAGATTGTGTGGTTGGGTGTTGAGTGGAGGTTCGTGGAGGGGTTTTCGGTCGGGTTGTGTAAGGTTCGAAGTGGTTTAGATGCGTGCTTTAGGTGCGACTCTTAGACTATTGTAGCGGGAACGTTTGTAAAAGGGAGATGTTGAAGACCGGGATGCGTGGAATTGATGTTGGTCGCGATGATGTCGATGATGGTTGATTGTGAAGAAATTGGAGCTTTGGGTACTATGGGGTCCGTGCACAGCATTTGACTTATGAAGACTTGAACTCGACCAGGTCGAACCGACTTAAATACACACTTAGTCGATTTATGCCCCGTTGATGTAACAAAGATTTACGGGTCATAGTATTTAGTACTTAGAACACTTAATTTGTATGGAAAAGCATATGAGAGCGATCGTTCTGCATCCAAAGATTTGTTTGATCAAGATATTCGTAATGTGCACGGCGTGATCATTCCATGGTCAGAAGCTTGCAGAAGTGCATTCATTTAATCATTTTAGTAGTTTAAGCAGTGATATTGTTTCATCAAGGAATCGTATGCCTCAATCTCCTTCTCGAACTGATCAGTCCTTGCTGAGGCAATCGCGGAGATATTCTCAGTCTTTCCAGAATGATGGATCATATGCCTGTGCCTTGTGGAAAGCAATGAATTCCTCCTCTGACCCAAATCCACCCCAAGGGCCATCTCTGTCTTTATATGCCTGCCCCCGATGGTAAGCTAGGAACTCCTCCACGGTATCAAATCCGCCCCAAAGGCTGTCTCCTTTGGGTTTCGGTACTCGTGATGCGCTACTCTGATCATCGACGCAGGCGAAGCGCAACGAGGGTTTGCTTTGCATGGCCCTTTTGAAGAAGTACATAGCTCCTGGATTGAGATTCTCGGAATACCATTGAGACTGCGGGAGGCTGGCTTGACAATCAAATTTGGCAAGTGGGTACTGCTCAGCGAAGCCAATAGCCACGTACAGACGAGCCGTCAATTTGCTTTCCGGACCGAAGTTGACCAATTTGACTGCGATTGAATTACTAGTGTTGCAGAAGAAGTATTCTTTCCCATATAGAGAAAAACGGTAGCAATTCCTGACATCCTCGGTTGTGGCTCGGAGTGTGCTGGCAACGATCTCACCCAATGCTTCGCGAATCCCATTATACCCGAATGGCCACTCTCCACGGATGAAGTAGAAACGCATAGGCCTGTCCTTGTGGAAGCCCTTTTCACGAAGGTGACCAACATTCCCAATGAAGCACGGATTCTTGTATTCGTTGCAAACGTTTCCCCATTTATTTGATGGACACCTGTATTCGAAGCATTGGAAGAAGTCCGAAGCCAAATCAGTACTCTGTAAGTCCCCGACATGGACCTTTTGTACACCAACTTGAATATCGACGGAGGCTTGGTCGTTCCCCCGAGGCTGCAATGCAATTGCAGTCGCTTCAGTGAAATCCGTGCTCGGGGTATGAAGGTATTCCGATGTGTTGAAACTGTCTTGGCCGGTAACATTTGCTGGACTGAATTCCGAGGTTACATTTGCAATATCAATGCTTCCGAGAGGTGGGATTTGCATCACACCATCCACACAGTGCGCCTTGTACGAGAAGGACTTGTCCAGTTGATCTGAGGCGATGGCCTGGCGGAAATATGAGCCTGCTTCCTTGTCGATTCTGCTTATGACGTCGTTCTTGACTGCAATGCAATCAAACCCTGCAGGTACTTTGCTATCGCCATCAACCCTGAAGTGTATGTCAACGGTAAGGTAGGCGCGCTCGAAGCCGTCAATACCCCAGTCACGAACGAGGACATTGATGAAGTTAGACATAGTGCAGAACGTATTCTTCCTGACGGAATCAACTTCTTTGTCCACGCAATTCTTTGGATCCGAGATCATGCCAGCGTAGGCAACGGCAACAGCCTGGATAAGACCTTCACGGAACCCAGGGCGATTCGGTGGGAAGTAATTCTCTCGAGTTTGGATTGTGAATTTCCCTTTCGTTCGCTTCTTGCCTTTGAACGACCAGGCGTCCAGAACACATGCTTCAGGTGGGTGTGCCACACATACGCCTTCACCCGACATGAAGGGGGGACACGCCTGCGAGAGGCATTTGACGATGTGTTCTTGAAGACCTTTGGCATGCATGCCACCTGCAGTCGAGTCCACATGAAAAATTCCGATAGTGCCACTCATCGCAACGGCGATGGTGGGGTAATTGATCCGCTTCACAAGGGCCGTCATTTCATCCGCTGAAGTGGGTTCGAAGCCGACCTTGGTTGGGGTAAGTGAAGTCTCGTCATCGAAACCCTCGACGAGAATTGATCGATCGAACAGTCCCTTCGCAGAGCCAATAGCTTCGGTGCCGTGCTTGGGTGCTGGAATAGCAACGGCAAGAGGCACCGCGGCTGCCACTGCCCACTGTAGTAGCTTCATGTTTGAGGGCGTGACAATAAGAGTCGAAGTGATTGCGCGTTTTCGTGATAGTGAAACAATGGCGAGTTAGAATACACTGATGTTGTGATGCGAGGTTGTCTGGGGTAAGTGAGATCGTTTGCGATAGAGAAGAGATATCTATATATCCTAGGCGGGTACTCAAATACTGTATCTCTAGGCACACAGCGAGGACCAGCAGGTGAGCAGGTGATTTCAAGCGAGTGAACACACTGAACATTGTAACCGTGCGCAGAGTAACATACTAATTAAGTGATTGTGACTTTGAACTTCACTTCTACACGATTCATTGGCGAAGACCCGGTGCAAGCCAATGAAAAGGTGGCTAGGTGTACAATAATGTTGCTGTTTCACAAATTCAGGTACCTCGTGCTCATATCTCATCGGTCGAGGACTCGGAACATGCGATTGATATCACATCTCTTGGACTCGAGATGCTTTTATTCGTTAAGATAGGCATACTCTGACGTAGTCTCTCTTGTCTTTCTCTCGTCACGATCTTCCCGGGTCACATTAACACATCTGTACTTCGACCAAGCATCGCCTGACACCATTGCTCTCCAGTCCCTCGAAATCCATTTCGTATGCAACACATCCTCGCTGAGCACACTCCTCTCTGAATCCATCTACACTTCCCCCCACTCCAAAATACACTCTCTTCGCCGCAACGATCGTCTTACCGCTCTTCACCCTCTTCATCAGTCCGACGATCGATTCGGTGAATGCTGTCAAAGCCTCGGGGCTATAGATAGTTTCGCTTCCAAGTATGAAAGTGTTCAACTCGGGTGCACTGGGTATCAAATCTAGAAGATGCTCGGTTGGTGTCCACGACCCTGATACCAGTGTCATCGTGATGCCTGTTTCGGCCAATCGCTGCTTGAACGCCTCCACGATTTCGGGTGCAATTTCGAGGTCTCCGTGGTCTTCATCGTCTCCATGTTTGCTTCGATCTTCTTCCGCTAGTGGATTCGGATATGTTTCCGAGAATGGTGCATCTGTCCTGCCCAGTGTCGAAGCCCATGTCAACAACAGATTTGGTACAGTGACCAGCCTCAAAACATCGAAGTTGTAGTCGGTGAGTGTAAAGTTCATGCTGAGCTGGTTCTTGATTGCATATTGGAAGAGGAGCAGCGAAGGTAAAGCAGTCCCACAGCCCATCTCAATCACGTGGTTGACTCTCGCCATGTCATCGAGGTCTTTTCGTGGTCCGCGATCGAGCAGATAGGATATGAGATCTAGACTACACTCCCAAGTCTTGTAACCGCCCTCATACACGTTGGTTTGCACATCTGATGCATCGAGGCCTGCTATTGTGCTGCTCGAATCATCTTCAGCCATCAACTGCAGTCGGATGTCGAAAAGCTCGCGTCGTGGGAGGTGCGATATGTTCCCTTTTGGAGATGTGGTTTTGAGAATTGAGTAGGAAAGTTTGTCCGGGAGAGTTGATAACTGTGTCATGAATTAGGAACAAGACCCAACGTATTATACAGGTCTGCTCGGGACAAGGCTTCGGAATTCAACGTGGAATCTACAAAGACTCATTGATACTGTTGTACTTTTAACGTACCAATTCATCCAGAGTATGACTTCTGGCCGGTATTCTCTCTGCACCCTGACCCGTCTCCACTCCCTCCATTTGCACATCCTCGTCCCGTGACGCTGTCAGCACATCGTTGGGATCTTCTTCTATATCGTCACCAGAGAAACCGAAGCTGAAAGACATCTTTAGCTTCTATGATAGACTTGAATTGAGAGCAATAGCAATTAAACAACCGGAGGGTGCAGGGTTGCAGTGACTAGACGTGCACGTGAACGATACCTGGAACAAATTTCCTTATCGATAAGTCAGCGAGCGGTAAAATGCAGTTTGAGTGAGTTGTGAAGCTAGCCAATTTAAGACAAGCGCGGGCATTTTCATACACATAAGAAGATGGTAAACGTTAGAGTAGCATTGAAAGAATCCTATTATGACTAGGTACTATGGAAATGGTCTAGATAATGTTTCAAGTCTATAATGGGAATATAACCCTCAGTGCTCTTTTGGACCGTGTGAAGCAGGGAGGCAAAGGAAAAGAGGCAAGTACAACTAAAAGAGAACAAGAAAGGAAAAAGAAAGAGAGGAGGAAAGCAATAAAGAAGAACGAGTTCAAATGCATTTCTCGACACATCGAGTGGTGGCTGTAATGATGAATGAAAGCTAGTAGTTGGAGGACAATGAATGGCTAGACACAACGCCAGGGTGATGCGGAGGCCATTGTGTCCAAATTGGTTGGAGGGCGAGTTTGCTCCAATATATCTTATGTGGCAGGATCCATAAAGTGTAGATGACCGTGACGTGTAGTTCAGACTTCGTTTCATCGATAACCAGTTGGGTCATAGACTGCGCTTCGACTTGAAAACAAAGATATCCCCGAGGTCGCTCTGACGAGTCGTAGTAATGACTGTGCACCCAGGGGCGCGAGGTGGCCACCAGAAATAAAACCAGTTTCCATTATTCTGCAAGTCATCAAATACCATGAGCCAAGTGCACTTAACTCGTGGTTCCGATCTAGGGTGTACCGGATTGGCCAGCCAATTCCTGAGCTTCTCTCTTAGAGGAACGAAATCCAGTGTAGGCTTCTCCTCGTCCACGAGACCAAGCTGCTTTGCCAGCTTTTGAAAGGCTAGGTTGAGATGTTGGTTCTGCCCACATTCGATCCAGAAAACGTAGTCGAACTTCTTATGTGCCACAGGTAAATACCCCGTGTCTCCTATCGACATGATGTAGTTACAGACAAGTGCTGACTTTCCAGTATTGCTGGGCCCAGTAATCAATATCCCTGGGCTGTCGAAGAAAAACCTTTGGCCGGTAAGATATGCCAACGATATAGATACAACGTCCGTGATCAAATTTTGCGCCACAGCGCCTTCCCATTCCTGACTTGAATGCACTTGTGATGCAAGCCATTCAAGATCTTCTTCGCGACATTTTCGTATTGCATATTCCTCCGTTGGCGATGCTTTTCCCAAGTTTGCGTGATGAAGCCAGAAGAAAAGGCCGCCGGGCTGGTCGCTTATTGCGAGCCCAGGGTTCCGGAATGCATTGAAGGGTGAAGTGGGGTCAATCCGAAAGACTTCCATCTTGGCCGCGAGTCTCGAAGTTGTGTGAGAGTGCTTAAAGTATTTAATGATAATAGAGGATGGTGTGTCTGTAAGCTCATATCGAGGGCCGAAGAAGGGTATTTATTCAACGGCCATGACTGACTCTTTGAAGTACGCTCATTCTGCTGTAAGAGCCATCGTAGTTGTAACTCATATTGAGATCGCGTCATATTTGATGATTATGGAAACCATTTGTTGTCATGGGAATTATTACAACAACGATCATGGGCCACGTTTGCTATGACTCCCTCGATTTAATGCACAAAGAGTGCCTTTGGGTGCTATTGGCGAGACGTCGAGTTTGGAATGATTCATGTAAGCACGGCAAACCATGAGAACATATGGAGAAGACAAAACCATTACTGCCTGCATCACTGCAGCATCAAATAGGATAGCGGTAATATGTCCTTTGGCTGCACGACATACAGTATCTTACACTCATTCGGAGGTTCTTTCGTTAATTACTTTTTCCTTTTTTTATTTGATTATATCATGTGGCCCTAGGAGGTTCTCCCGCGACTAGTATGCGTAGTATAGCACTCCCACACGTTTTTGAACATTATCATCATTAAAGAAGTGACCTTCTCTTTCTTTTTCCTTCCCAATAGCTAACACCCAATGCGAGATCCAGAAGAAGCGATATTTGATATCATAGTCGAGAACTAATTCAACAGTCAGTCAGCATTACAAAATTGCTGTGCTGACCTGGACTGCAACGTTTCCTATTCCAGGCCAGATGGATGTGCGTGAAATAGGGAAGCGGAAAGTTGAGGGGCGTCAGGGATTGAGGCGGATTTACTTTTCTTGAGGAAGCTTTCCATTCTTCTTAGCGGTCCATGTGGCGATGGCGTCCATGAGAGGAGGCGACAATGCGTCGTAAGTCTCGAGGCCGGTGGATTTAAGCTTGCTTCGGACGTCATCGATACGGGCGGGATTGAAGCCTTGCTCGATGATGGAAGAAACAAATGCGGCGAACTGGGGCTCTTGCCAACCCTTCTCGTTGGAGAGCTCGACGTGGACGAAGTCGAGGCCATGGAATGGGTGCTCGTTCTCGATGCGACCGAACAGGTGGACGCCGCAGTCCTTGCAGGCGTTACGTTGAATGACGGCAGAGGAGTCGACAATCTTGAGCTTGTCACCATTGGCTGTGACCTTAAGCTGGTCCCGAGGGATAACAGCTACAACAGAGAACAGAGAACCGGCAGGTTTCCAGCATTTGGAGCAGCCACAGGCGTGGTTGTGGAGCACATTGCCACCGAGAGTGACCTCGACGGGGCTAGATTTGCAGTGACATTGGAGCTTTCCACCCTTGAAGTTAGGGTCGCCCTTAGTGAGGCCGTTGTTGATGGAAGGGTGGATGTTGAGAGCAGCCATGATGGGAGCGATGGAATTGGAATTGATCTGATTGGTAAGATTGACAGGAATTGAGAGAACACCTTGATGGACTGATACCTTGATGGATGGCTATGGCTTTGATATAAATACATGGACATCGGGTCCGCGATTGACCTCCGGAACCGTCGCCGTACATTGTAGATACCACATTGTTCCATTGCTCTCTCCGAACTATCACCGCTGCACGGCAATTGTTATCGCAATGGACGATGCCAATTCGCAAGCCCCCGAACGGAAGACTAGAAGCCCGGTCATTATCTGACTGTAAAGACAATCTACCGATGGCGACATTCAACAAGCTTGTCTACATGATACAAACAGTTTACTTCTTCTAGTAAAACAATGCATTGCCTCATGGTTGGGCCAGATCGGACTTTTCGCGGAGTTACCCCACCAGCGTTAATTCGGATGCGGATCCGGTGTGGATCGCTTTGTATCCGCACTCAACCCCAATCACATCATATCACCTCAACTTCGAGATGGGAAATTATTCCCTGAGGGCTACCGATTCCATTACTTTCCGTTACATTTTCCCCTCGGGACTCTCCCTTGTCTCACTGGCTACTTCAAACCAGACCAATCAGAGGTATGCAACGATGTCAAGAGAATACAAAAGCGCACAACTTTTCACGTGCAGACCGATTGCCCTGAACATTTTCTCCTAATCTGGAATTTACTAAGTCTGATCGGGGCGAGCCACATCTGGTCTCTCGGGAGCAATTGCTAGCTCTTTTGTACGGTGCATCTGCGGGAGATAAAAACCCTCCACTATGTCCTCGTCACCTTATTGCACTGGTGACAAAGTGATGTTGAAGAATCCCTGGTCAGAATTACATTCATATCGGGCATGTGCTACACGAAGACTCAAGCAAACCTAAACTTGGTACGAAATGCGAAATGGCTGACTATGTGCCATACATGAAAGTACGTCTTTGATCACCCCTCCTTTCTTCAGACAATGCTTCGGCCGCAAAGTCGTTCTCGTCCCAGTTCGAAATTATAGCTGCCCTCTTCTTGTTCTCCAACTTGTACATGATCTTGAGGAATACGAGACCGCAAATTCCACTAGCCATGATGACCATGGTGATGATGAGAGGAACTTCATCTACACAAATGTCAATTCACGTTCCTAAAATTAAGACTCGATGATTGCGGAAGACTTACATCTAGGTGCATATTTGTGCTTGAATATTTGTCCAGCAATGACACCAGCGATGTTTGACCATCCATTGACGCCCATCACGACACTTCGAGTCCCTTTCCACGGAGTATTGCCCGCCAGCCACACGGCAAGAAGGGGGCCACCGACGAAGACACCAGCCATACAGACGTGAGCAAAACCGTAACGGAGATCTTTGTCTGTCGAGGTGGCCATTACAATGCATCCAACTATGCCAAGGCACATACCACCAACAGTATGTAACGATCGCTCTCTAAAATGATCGCTGGAATACACGATCATAAGCAGGCCGATGGTGCCGCTGTATTTCGTTAGAAGGTGCGACGACACAAGAGGGGGACAAAGACTTACACAACGAAAGGCGAAACACTCATGAGCGTCGCCTGAATACCTCTGTATCCCATCCCCTGGACGATCAATGGCAGGAATGTCGTAAAAGCAGTGACAGGAAGGACAGTCGTAATGTTGCAAATCACAGTCAAGAGCTTTTTCCAGTCTTTCGCGACGTCAATGAGATCTCGCTTGACGAGAGAAGTATTGTTGATATCACCTTCTTCTTGCGTTCCGGCCAGGTCGATCTCCATTCGGCGAATCGCATGAGCGCGCTCTTCGGGAGTAAGGAACCACGCGCTCGAGATGTTTTTAGGCAGGACAAAGAACGTTATGATTCCGAGGAAAACGGTGATGGCACCTTCGAAGATGAATACGACTTGCCATCCGTGGAGGACGCTCGAGTTGATCCTAAGGAGTCCATAGGCGAGAACTCCAGCAAAGGCTCCTGCAACCGAATACATGCCTGTGAAACATCCCACCCTGAACCCAACATCGTACTTTGGGTAGAGTGTGGACATATAGTACATACCGATCTGCGTGAAACCTGCCTCGGCAGCACCGATTAACAGTCGCAGGGCAATGAGTGATCCGCTTCCCTTGATCGCAGCATGGCACATGCATAGACCACCCCACAGCATGAGTTGAAATCCTAGGAAGTACTTCACGCCAACTCGTCGGGCCAAAATGACCATGAAAGGTTGTAATGGAACGTAGGTAGCTGAGAATAATGACAATGAGTTGGGAATGTCATCCGGTTTCAAATTTGCATCCTTAATGAACGAGCTGGTTGCAACGAAGCCAACATTGGTCTTGTCAATACCGCAAAACTGAGTGGTTTATGTTAGCTCTGCCATATCTGATTCAAAGAGATAGATAGAGTGAGGACACTCACAATGAACTCAATAGCCAACAAAGTGACAACAATGAGATCCAATTTGCGATTGACTCTCCGATTCAGTTTCTTCTCATCTTCTGTCTGCGGGACATAGTGGGCCTGATGAAGTTGAGCAGCGGCGTCCTGCACAATCTCAAGTTGTACCGTGTCCACGCTGGCCTTGCCATTTTCAATCGAAGGGCTCATGCTGGAGATTCTGCTTGTCGGGATTGCCGATCACAATGTCTATGATCGTTGCTGTAAAGGAAGAGTCGTGCGACCATTGCTACGACGATGCATAGGCCATTGACAGGCCTTTATTTAATTGATATTGCAGTGAAATATTCATAACCCCAGATTTCGGCTGAAGGCTAGCAACAAGCGTGCACTATTACCCCCCTCCTCGCTTGACATTTCCCGTGGGGAAATGTCGTGTGGGGAAATTCTTAGTCCCAGCAACAGATAGATTCGACGATCGTTTTTCCACTTCGCGAGAGTTAGTCGAAAGCCCTTTCCCACATGGCTTACCATTCGCAACCACCCGTCTGGTTCGGCATTGTACTACGGTACGTTGTCTCGAAATTGATAGATCTTCAAGAATTCTCCATCATGTCTATTGAGATAGGTCCTTAGCTGCGAAACGACCATTCCCGATTTTCCTTGCTACTTTACTCAGCCCAGCATATTTTGTTCCTATACTGCGGCTTCCGTCGTTCCCTAAACGAAGATATCAATCTTCTTCTCCAAAAAGGGTTATCATAGATATGGATTACGGGCTTCCAAATGACAACATGCCATTCGACATCGATCAGTCGGCGGCAGTCATGAGCAATGATCCGTCCAAGATATACGACGAGTATCGATTTCTTCGCAGCCAATGCCCTCTTATTCACACCAATCAATACGGCGGTTACTGGCTGCTCACCAGATACGAAGATGTTAAGCGAGCTGCAATGGACTCCGAAACCTACATATCGAGCGTCAAGGCAGTGGTGCCAAGCGATCCCAGAGGTATTCGTCGACCTCCTCTCAACTTTGACGCGCCTGCCCACACGCCGTTTCGGACCGCATTGGAACGCACTGTCAAACCCACTCGCCTTCGCCGTCTCAGAGCCCCGTTAGAGAAACATGCTGAGGCGGAACTTGCGCCGCTTCTGGCACGCGGCCATGGAGATATAAGTGCAGAGTTCGCGGCCAATTTCGTAGCACGCATGGAATCGGAGTGGTTGAACCTTGAGCCTGAAGTCGCGCCGAAGCTAGCTGTCGCAGCAGCTACCTGGTTGAATGCATGGAGAATGCAAGATGGAGAGACTGTGACAGAGAATTCAAAGAAGATGTATGACATTGCGCGAGAGCTATTGGCGGACCGTCGTATCAACCCGAGATGTCCTGAGGACGACCCAGCATCGTCGCTGCTGCTAGAGAGAGATGCAGAAGGGGAACCTCTCAGTGAAGAACATCTGATGCAAGTAATATATCTTTCGTGTAGAGTATACATACTAATAATTCGCAGTGGCTGCTTGAGGCAGTCATTGGTCGTTGGCGTAGTTGCACCGCCCATTTTGATCGGCTCAATATGCAACCATCTTTCCAAAGACAAAGAATTACAGAAGCTGTTGAGGAACGACGAGTCGCTCATACCAGCAGCACTGGAAGAGTTCTTGCGATTATACAGCCCGTATAGAGGCTTTGCGCGAACAACATCGAAGGATGTTCATCTTCATGGCCAAACCATACATCCCACAGAGCCAGTAACTCTGTGTTATACTGCTGCTAATCGCGATCCCGAAGTGTTTGACCGACCTGATGAGTTTATCCTTCATAGGGAGAACGTGAACGCCCATATGGGTTTCGGGAGAGGAAGACACCGGTGCGCGGGCATGCCGCTTGCGAGACTGTGAGTTAACAATCATACTGACTCCACTACAATTGCTAATGATAAGACAGAGCTCTTGATACTGTTCTTCGGGTTATTTTACGGAATACGACAGACTTTGAGGTCAATGGCGATCTACAGTATTCCAGGATGCCAGAATTGGGAATAATTAGCTGTCCGGTCAAATTCGTACAATAGGTAGCAATGCGAGACCAGAATTTGAGTAAGAACACTTCAATATCGGATCAAAGTGTCTCCATTCGGCATGAAGCTTAGAAGAGGAGAGAAAACAGTGAACGCGTTGAAGGAAATGCAAATGTCTACAGCCTCTTGAAATCCACCTACCCCAGATATTTGCTCCCTCACCATCTATCAAAGGATAGTTGACGGAGTAGTAGTTTCCCATTAGTTGCAAAGGTGGGAAAGGAGAGGGGAGGGTGGATAGCTGGGTGGGCGAAGTGGGGCAGGGACATTGGACCGAGGTGGATGTTGTGGGGAAACATCTCCAGACCCTTTCCACTTTTCCCACTGCATCCTCCATCGGGTGGGAAAGACAAATACTGTGTGCATCACTGGACAATGCGTGCCAATTCCAGGGTAGCCGACTTCGAATGTGGGTACTGTCAGCGGAAATTCTCAAAGAAGGAGCATCTCAAGGTGAATCAGTGTATTTCAGCTTGGCTAAGATTCAAAATTGCTAATCGATCAATCCCACAGAGACATGAAAGGGCTCGTGAGTTTTTGCACCAAATTACCATCAATTGAGATTGCATGATGGAGTCTAATAAGCCTCAAAGATACTGGATCCAAGCCCTTTAAATGTCAAATATGCAATAGCAGCTTCTCACGAGGAGACGTGCTCAACCGGCACGTAAGAGGGCACAGTCGGAATGCACAATCAAGCCCATCAGAAAGCGTATTATCATCACGGGGACTGCAAGTGTCTGACGATAATGATACACCGTCATATCATCGGGTCGATATGGTGTCGATCAACAATGCTTCCAACGTAAACTCAATCCAACCCAACGCCAGTACCGGTTTCCAAACAAGCACTTTATGGCCATCAATTCGCTCTGAAGAGCGCTCTGGGCAATATGATGCGTCTTCTTCACTTTTATGGCCTGACTCCGAAGAATTCTATCAGAGTCTAGTATCAATTGATGGGATGATCTGGGACCAACCTGCGAATAACCCATTGACGCAAGCGCATATTTCACACAATGAAGCATCGGGAAGAATCCGAGCAGACGTTCGGCCAGATGCAGGCGATGATCTTGCTGCAGCGGAAGATGGGCACAGAGCTGTACAGACCATCAATGGGCTTCTTGCCAATACCGTAAGCTTGTCTCATTATTTTCATCAGGTCGAATAATATCTTTGCTAACACAAATATTCACTGCAGCTCTTCAGTGTTACATCACCTGCAGCTTTATCAGACTTAACTCCACGATTTCTTGACAGTAGTCTTCATATGTTCTTTACCAAATTTGTCCCCATTCTCCCTGTCATACATAAGCCCACTTTTGTGTATCGGAACTGCTCAGCGCCTCTTCTACTTAATGCAATTGCTCTTGGATCTCTGTTTCTCGGAACAGAAGATTCGACTATCAAGGTATTGAGGTCTTTCATAACAACACTACATTACTAATTAAACTTCTGATAGGGCGAGGCTTTGTGGAGATTGGCACATACAGCTATTGCAACTTCCTGGTCCGAGCTGATAAGTCACACGAGGGAACATGACGCTTGTAGTGGGATCGAGCTGGTATTGTCTTCCTTGTTGAGTCAAGCCTACGCAGCTTTATCTAGGGTAAGCATCGATTCGGTGTCTATGTACTGTTACCAAAGCTAATTAACCTGCGAGCAGGATCGAACCATTCGAACGACAAGTCAGACCTTCTACGGCCTGAGCATGCACTGGGCACAATATTGTGGAATGTACGACGTACCAGATCCGCCACCCATACCCAGCGAACATGATCCTACCGAAATCAAGATGAATGCTTGGCGGTTATGGGCCGCAAGAGAAACCCAATTGAGAACTCTACTTGGCCTTTGTATTATTGACGGGATTGTGTCTCAATTTAGTGGTAACCTTGTAAACACTTGGAGAGCAACAAACTCGCTACCACTTTCTGCCGAAGACGACGTCTTTGTCGCGGATACTGTCGACAAATGGATCCACGCTATGAACATGCACGTTGAGAAGGGGAATACTTTCTCATTGGAGCGATTCCATAATCTATGTTATCAACTAGAGATGGACTGCGATCAGGTCGGCCGACTATACTGCAAATCGGGGCTGTTGAACGTTAAGATCCTCCTAGAGTTGATAGGCTCCCTTGCAACCGATACTGAGCGAGCAATTCGTGGATCCGCTGGTGGAAAATGTAGATTAGGCGCCATCAGAGCGTTGGGTGCCCTACGACGACATCTCATACAGTGTTGCGATCTAAGCGCGGCCGACAAAGCCATAGGTCTGATTCGGTGGCACGCTGTTTGCCTTGATCTGGTCGTCAATACAGCACGAGGCGCACGAAGAATGTGTCATTTCTACAACATTACCCAACATATCTTTGGTGGAAAGAAACGGCAGGAGTCTAAACGTATCAATCCACAGGCGTGGGCTCAAGGCCTCCCTGCGCGGAAGTGTCTCTTACATGCGTTGGAGATTCACAAGATTGCGTCAGAAGTTCCTTTAGGTGTCATTCACGATACCTGCCTGCCCGGCGCTCTATTTGCCGCAGCTACAACATATAGTTCTTTCGCACTTCCTGGAGTGACTAAGGTACATGTGCCTGCTTCCATAGACTGGGAAACACTCATTCTCTACGGTCTAGATGAGGCACCGATTCAGCCTCCATCTATGACTACTGAAGTTCAAGACACGATTGAGTTTTTAGAAAGTAGCATAACTGCACAGGCTTCTAATTGGACACCCCGAAACCTGCTTTATGAACTAAACTCAACCAGAATCCTACTGCACAGTCTGTCTCAACATTGGGGCGTGACAGAGGAAATGGAAGAAGTAATTGGCGAATGGGAAGCCCGGTGTGGTTGATACATCACATCATGTGAAAGTAGGAAAATACAAGTAAACATCATATTGCACACTTTCCCATTGAGCTTTTCATCCTTATCTTATTTAGAAAGCCAAAACTACTCCTTACGAAGCGCCGTCTGATAAAACGTGATCGATGATGTATTGGACAGGTTCGGATCGATACGTATCCGTTTCAATCCACGAGCCATATCCGTTGAAGACCATGCTACTGGCCTCGTTTCCGTACAAAGGCCATTCTGGAAGTCCAGTCTCTGTGTACTTGATGTCAATAGATTCCTAACAGAATGGATAACGGAACCACTGACCATTAATAGCACCATTTGGATTTAGACCATAGGCAAAGCTAACCCACGTTGCCGACATCTGAAATGCCATCTGTTGATCCCAAGGTTGCTCGGGTATCAAATTAGAGAACACGAAATCCTGCTCTACCCCAGTTCCGATGGCTTTTGAAATTGATGTAGCATTCGACTTCAGGTGATTAAAGCGATAGCTGTACACAGGGACTCCGTCTTTGGCTAGATTCTGCGCAATCATACGTGCGGGTCCGATCTGTACTATGTCGCCAAATATTGAACATGCCATCTTGTCGAGCTTTCCGGGAGAGAATCTGAATTTGCCAGTGTTGTATGGGCAACCCTTGCTCGGATCGGTAGAATACATGCTCATAAGCGTTGACACTGTTTCGTTGGGCAGTAGTTGTGGACGAAAATAGCCTTCCGCTGTTCTTGTGTTAGAATGACTACAGTTCTGAAAAAAAAAGCATGTCACGCTATGAATTACTCACCAACTTTACCAAAGAGTTGCTGGGTCTCGTTTATGCCAGTGGGCGCAGAAGTAGTTCCTTCATCCGTGTTGGCTTCTTTGTGTTAGATCACCACAGCATCTTGTTTAGGGTTCTCAAATTGACCTACTCCCGACAATTGTAGCAATCTTGAGGTATTTCCCCGCAGGAATCGCTCGCTGAATAGAGGTTGGACTAAACGTGCCATCGATAGACTGTCCGGTAGCTGAACCAATTTTTGACCTAAACACATCGACCGGAAGATCTCGAATGCAATCAAGCTTCTCGGTAGCAGTAGCACCCTTCAGTGAAGAACAAGACGTGTTTGTTATCAGGCTGTCGAAAGTCTTTTGAAAAACTCCAGTGTCTGGTGGCGTAAGTGGAAAAGCTCCACCGCTTTCGAGAATTGCACCACGAAAGAGGCCATCGTCTCGACCACCATATGCCATCATGTGTGAATAGATTGATACAGCACCAGCTCTTTTTGATTATTAGTGGTAGAACCCATCTTGCACCCAGAGTAACTTACGATTCTCCAGCTAATGTGACTCTTCTAGGATCTCCGCCGAAAGCACCGACGTTTTCCTGGATCCAGTGCAATGCGAGACGCTGGTCCAGCATGCCAATATTGAGTAACCCTAGCTCGGCCATTTCTTTACCATTGAGGAATCCAAAGGGGCCCAATCTGTAATTCTAAATGGTCCGATCAGCAACATAGCTCTATCGTTGGAATTTGCGACTTACAATGGATATGAGAATAATAGGCTTCCCAATCTTCTGAGAAATCCCTGTTAAGGAGGTTCCTTCAAATCTTGGATCGGCCTGAAGTAAATCAGTATAGATACAACAAACACTTGAGAGAAACCCACAGTCGATCCCTTTGTCAATCCTCCCCCATATAACCACACCAACACAGGCAAAGGCTCGGTGCTTGCATTCGTTGGCCTCCAGATGTTCAATGTCAAACAATCTTCACTTTGCTCTGTGGAATTATCCCTCGTGGAGAAACACGAGGCACCGAAGCTTTGAGCTTGTATTGTACCGAACGATTCCTGCAATGGCACAGCTTGGCGTAAACGCAGTCTGCCAGTAGGTTGTTCTGCGAATGGAATGCCCAAGAATTTTTCGACTCCATTGATGTGGTCACTAACACCTACCACGGTGCCATTACCAATTGTCACAGACGTTGCGCCCAACACAATTGAGCCAGAGGCTGCGAACAACCATGTTGTGGTCGCAAATAACCTAGAGAACCGAGGCATTGGAAGTAATTTCAAGATTGCGAATGAATACCATAATGCAAACGTAGAATGAACTGGATCAAAGTATATGTTACTCTATAATGCGATCTATGAGTCTCTAAACTATTTGAGAGTAGTGATCAAGCATACATGTGTGCTCAAAACCACATCGAGCTACTAGATCCAGTCTAGCCAGTCGATGTACCCCGTGGGGTAAATCATAACTTTCCCTTCACGACTTCCCCCGATGAGGGGAGAGTTTCCCACATCAAGGATATTGTCATAACCGGTGGAGAAAAATCCGGTATTGTTGGCACCCTTCACGAGATCTGCTGCTGATCTCTTCCACTTAGGAGCATGTGGGTTGACCCACAATGTAAAAATCCCCACAATAGTGGGAAAGGAGTTGTGCCGTAAGGGGAACAAGTACAATAACAATTATCTGGAATAGTTTATTCGATCTCCGGAAGATCGAAACGGTAGATACTACCTAGGCTTGGAGTGAATCATTGTGCATGGGATAATTTGGCCCATTGACAATTAAGTGCACACTTTCTAATTGCATACGAGAACGACGGGTATTTAAACAGAATACCTTTCCAAATGACAATGAAGAAGGCATCATTTAACTACGGGACATTTTATTGCAGCAACCCGAAACAATGAAGATGAAAATCGGTGCCGTAGCTCTTGCACTTGTTGCAATCGTCCTCGGATACGATCATGGTCCATCGGTTTGTGCAAAGCCACCCTGAGCAGACATATTGAACTTTGACACGCTGATATCGTAATCGCAGTATGGCGGATCAGGCCCATACAAATCAGTTTGTTTACCCATTTGAATGATTGTAACGTGAGATCTAACATATATTGGAGTACTACTTCGAAGTCGAAACGCTTGCCAACCATACACTATACCAACCACTGGAATCAGCTTTGGGCTCGAAACTCAAGCTACCCATAGTCGTTTGGGGCAACGGCGGCTGTGCACCAGGGTAAGTCAATCTCTTGAATACCATGATAAAACCACGCTGACATGGGACCAGTATGTCTGAGAACAAGATTCCGGGATTTCCACTAATGAACATACATAGTCGGTCTCCGATACCGCGCGTTGCTCAGTGAGATTGCCTCTTATGGAGCACTCGCAATCGCGACAGGCCCAATATTCACTGACCCAGAGAACTACATACCGCCTCCAAGTGATCCCAACTCCCCTGCATCCAATCAAAACCCAGGTGCCCTCACGGCTGCCATAGATTGGGTATATGCCAACGCAGGGAAGGGGCAATGGAAACACATTGACGCTTCACGGATCGGTGTCTGGGGCACTAGCTGCGGTGGACTTGAATCGTACACTGCTGGTGTGGATGACTCTCGAGTTGGCCATATCGGTATCTTCAATAGCGGCCAACTTAACGAAACGGCCAGTAAAGCTGTGGCAGGCGCTGTCCGGAAACCCATCTTCTACCTCTTGGGTGGCCCAGACGATGTGGCCTATCCAAATGTCAGTTGCCATACTCCAGTAACATTTGTATATCTGCTAATGTGAGCTAGGGCGAGCGTGACTACACTAACCTGCCATCTAATACGCCAGCCTGGAAGGCGAACCATGCCTTGGGTCACAGTGCTGCGTTCGATGCTCCTAATGGTGGAATCCCAGCTATTGTCGGAACTCACATCATGAAATGGCTTCTCCGTGGGGATGTGACTGCGCGCAAATGGTTTACTAGCGAGGCCCCAAAGAAGATTGGAATCACCGATATCACGTACCAGAACCTGGATCGTGTCAAGGTTACTCCAAACCAAAAGCACTAGTTATACTGAGAATATCCCAACACAATACTATTGCCCTGCAAGGCTCAATAGAGGATGTCCTTCTCGTGTAGCGTTTCTCATCAATGTTGTGAACGCTTTCACTTCAGAACGTCAATATGCCGATGTGTGTTTGGTATAATAGATTATCATTACTGTTCTTCTTCGCTGGTAAATGGGGAAAACGTGATGTGCCAATAGGGGGTATGTATGCTGCATGGCAGCGCGTGAAATCCAACAAGTCAAAGCCAGGGGCGTTTAGTCGTAAAGTCAACCTTCCGCCTTCAGGTACGCTCTGGGCAGCTGTATGGCCTTTGGTAGAAATATCTTTCAACAGCATCTGCCTCTTCTCCTGCTCGACCCAGAGAGTCTGAAGACCTCCTCCCATTCTCGCAATTGCTGGCCTCCCTTCTTGCCCTTTCCTCGCCTCCATCTTAATCCTTCTTCACCGCTCCTCACACTTCCATTTGCATCGTCAGTGTATCCCCACCCACCAATGTCGCCATACTGAATGCCACTGTTGGGGTCGTCGGGGTCGATCTCCCCTAGTTCGATTTTGGTCAAGATCATGCTGGCTAGTCTTTCAAAAAGCTCGTTTACTTTGTCTCCGTTGAGTGCGGAAACCTCAACAGCAACGGGAATTCCATGCGACCCAGCCCATCGGGAGGCCAGGTCTTGAGGTACGTCGCGTCCATCCGGGGCAACTGTGGCGGGATTTGAAAGCCCAAGCGAGGTTGTTCCTGACCGGCTTGACTGGCTGCTTGGAGTCGGCGGGGGTAAGCTGTCTTCGGCGTCTCCTACGTCGCTTGCGTTTCCATAGCTTCCATATACACTTCCCAGTGACGGATTCACTGCTGCTGCCACTCCTTGTGGTCCATCAACTACGTCGCTCTTGTTTCCCGCGAGGATTACGGTCAAATCTGGCCCAGCCAGAGCTCTGGCATCATCCAAGAAAGTCCCCACGCCTTCGAAACTTCGCCAGTTTGCGACATCATAGACAAGTATAGCTCCTGCGGCTCCGCGATAATATGAGCGCGAGACCGATCGAAACCGTTCTGTGCCAGCGGTGTCCCATAGTTGCAGCTTTATTCTCCTTCGCCGAGGCGGTTTTCCGATATGTACGATCTTGGAGGAGAATTCGACGCCGATAGTCTGAGAAGAGAGAACACGCCACTCTCCCTTCACGAATCGATGTAACAAACACGACCTATTGCATGCTCAATATACGATCTTGAAAGCGAACCATAATCGTTTCTTAGTTCGCGAAGGAGGTAAAGCTTACTTCCCGGCTCCGCTTGGACCAAGCAGTATAATCTTTGCCAAATAGTCGTACATGCTCCCGAGCTCCTATCGCTCTTGTAAGCCATATCTCAAGCCGTAACCCAACGGTGCGCTCCTACTTGATCCCGCGTCGGCGCGGACGTGGAGGTGGTGGAAGCATTGCTAACAGCGCGCGTGCGTCCCATAGTGAGGAGGTGAACGCCTACGAGACCTCAAGATAAAACCCGAGAAGAAATGTATGTTCCGGTAACTAGATAGATATGCAGAGGCGTGAATAGGGCGGCAGCAGAAGTGCCGATGAGGCACTGCGTTGTTCACGACTTGGCTTATCAGACAAACGTGATGCCGCGGTCTGGAGCTTGGACATGGTAAACCAATAGTGCACTAGTCTCTATTAGGCAAGATGTTAGAACAAGACCGTGATCCCTGATACCCAACTCCTATGTATCATTTATCGTTACTAACAAACAGTGAAACAATATCATGATCGATGGAACAGAAGTTCACTCTCGAGTTACCAGAAGAGCGATATCATCTAGTCGATAAGGTTAACTTTCGCTTGATTGTCACAATACATTTTATGTACACTACATCTCATGTATGTTCCAACATGTGTAGTTGTATAGAAGACTAGAGAAGACATGAATACACCATATCCGTAGAGAATTCACAGGTGTCTTGTCACATAAAGTGTTTTATAGTAACCTCTATCTTGAAAGAGAATCTCTCTTTGCCAATCTCGAGGGGCCAAATTATCAGAGAATTAGACTTGATCGATCTGCAGCTGCTCATGAGATGACTATCATCAGTGGAACCATCTACGACCACTATCGCGCTTCTAATGCTTGCGATAGTGGTTAATGCAACTCAAGTATACAATGAATCAAAATGTAGTCATACGCAGGACCCTAGCATTGATCCTTCAATCACGTTGGGGCTGAGCTCTTGCAGGGCTGACAAACGAGGCACCTGACGAACGACTGTAGCCAAGAGTGCAGCCCGCCTTCCTACGCAGTAACTTCATGCACCGGTCGGCAGAAAGCTTCCCATTGTAGACTTTCTCATATTGGTATACTACTGCAAAAGGTCTCAGATGCTGATCGCTAGCTTGGGTCTCACAAACTGTCGCTACAAATACAGTCTTGCTTTACGGCCTGTTAAAGCATCCAGCCGATAAGATGGAAGACCGATATTCTTCTTCTAGTAGTAACCGCGACGATAGTCACTCCGAAGACGACAACCAGGATAAGCCATTCTCTAAGCTTTGTGCGCCATGCATCGAGCTTTTCTCGGGATGGCTCCATCCTGGTGGGGAAGAAGAGCCGACAAACAGGGTAGGTTCGAAGCATTTGAAAATACATTCGTCAATAAACGCACTCCGAGAATGCAGCTCGAGGACATGCAGACTCTGCCGTAGTCTCCTTTTCCGGATACCATTAGGGAGTCTCACGTCGGATGATAGATATCGAGATGTGCCCTACGAAGCTACATTAAGCTATAGCCTTGGTTCCAATTCCTTCGGACCAGTCATAGAGATTAGTCTACGGAGTTCTGATTCGCGTTCCCGGTCCAGCATAACTCTGAATAGTCTTGGTATGCTTGCCATCGGAGTTGTACATATGCCAAACAAAACTGACTCATTGGTAGTTGTTCACGATGGCATTGAGCTTGACAAGAAGGTATTGCTACAAGCGCCAAGGCTTCGACTCGAGCCAGCTTTTTCTCCTTCCACGCGACGCAGGGTTCAACAATGGCTAGACCACTGCTGCAATCAACACAGTATCTGTAAACTGGAGCATGATGATTCATGGCTACCCTCACGACTTATCGAGATTGGCGATGGGGGGCAATCCGCTCGTCTGGTGGAGACTTCTGAATTGGATCGGCCTCTACGCTACACAACCCTGAGCCACTGCTGGGGCTCACGGCGCACCACGACACTTTTAGAACACAATCTAGATGAGTTCAAAGAAGGCATCAAGAGTATCCCGAAAACATATCTTGATGCAATGTTTGTCACACACGATATGGGCGTGCGATACATCTGGATCGACTCTCTATGCATCATGCAAGACTCTAGTCGCGATTGGCATCGCGAATGCAAGGAGATGTCCAAAATCTACAAGTACGGCTATTGCAATATTGTTGCAATGATGGCACATAACAGCCATGGTGGCTGTAACCTGACGAGTCAGTTCATCTCTACGCCTGACCTTGTTCTCCGTAGTCAATGGCACAACGCAGAGAACAAAGTTTGGGGGATTGACCAGCAGACAGAACTCCAGAAACAGAATCCTAATGCCACTATAAAGGAAAGTCCAGCACATCGTCGAGCGTGGATTTTCCAAGAGAGACATATGTCACCACGAAACATCCACTTGGGGATGCGTGCGATTTTTTGCGAATGCAGGGAATTCATTGAGGTTATCGATTTCCCAAACATTCTGTACTCGGAGAAGAAAGACCTACGTTGGAGTCTGTTCCATGATCCCACCAGTGGAACAATTCCATCTTCTGAACATTTGCTCCGAACGTGGGATGATTTGGTCTCGACGTATACGCGCCTGGCGCTTACCTTTCCGGCCGACAGGCTCGCTGCGATATCTGCCCTGGCTAGGCAGATCCAACCATCTCTGCGGCGAGCAACCCTTCGAGACTGTGACTACCTAGCAGGAATTTGGAGTCACGATCTCGTGCCTCAACTACTGTGGAAAGCTGGAAATCCATCCACAACGAAAAGAATACCCGACGGTGGGCCCTCATGGTCATGGATCAGCCTTGACGGCCCCGTAGATCCTCGATGGGGCGAAGGAGAGGTCAAATTAACTCCAGTTGAGATTAAGTCCTGGAGCTTTGCAGGACAAGATCCATTCATTCGTGTCACTGGTGGCGAGTTCAAGATGAAAGGTTTTGTCTTCACGACTGCGCCCGGCTTGAAGTTCGTAGAAACAACCGAGGGGTCGCGCTTCCTCTTTCAAACGGACAGGCACACAACTGATAAGGTGGGGTTACTCGCACCTCTCCTGATTTCAGAACAGTCCACGCTTTCACTGACGGTGGAGGGTCTGATTTTGGAGCGTAAATGTGCACCAGGACTGCAGTTCGAAAGAGTGGGAATTTTCACGCTATCACACTACAGCCACATCCTAAGAAGTGGATTCGAGATTGGAAGTCAAGATCATATATTTTGGGGCTTGAAAGCTGAAGGGTCGTTCAAGGCTGTTTCCACATTGGATGGGTTTTCGGAAGACGAAGCATTGCGTGCTACAGACGGAACACTGGATTATCTCCTCGTTTGATCTTACTGAGCCTTCTGTGGTTATTTGATATATGTAATCCATTCTTTACATCTTCACTCCCACGTTCGTCGTTCTGGCAAAATCTTTCTACGTCTGCGAGCTTCATTCACGGAAGGGCATTTTGTGAGTGGTGACTTCGTGATATTGTCAAATCTTGGTAGCCGATCCACTACAGGATAGTTGCAGACGTCACAACTCCAACTCTCCATCATTAACATCCCTTTTCTTCGTACAGACCAACCCTCCGTAATCTTGCCAGGTCAGCTCAATTCCAAGTGCGGCTTTGTACGCCAATTCCTTGTTGGAAATTTTTCTTTTTTTCGACGTCGGCAAAGGCTTAGACTTCGAATCCGGGGTTGAGGTTGGGTTGCTTAGATCAGACGGTGGACGGGTGTTAGGTTTTGGTAATGTTGGGGGTGGGTCGTCTGATTCAGCAGCGATTGTAGGTTGAGGAGATTCGGCTCTCAATGCAGTAATCTCAATCGAATTGAAACTTGGAACAATCATTGGACGTCCAGCATCATCTGTTACGGGTTTTGAATGCATGGATGAAGTAAAAGCATCCTGAGGTCCCCGCGCTCTTTGAGATCCGTCTTGAATTGAATTTGTGTTATGTCGTTCGTTTGGTGGTGGCATTTGCATAGTTCTGTGCGATATTGGCGATGTCTGAGGCTCACTACTTGCCTGAGACTCGCGCTGTGTTTCATCCTGACTATTTGCGCATTTCTGGGCTTGTGCGGTACGCTGCTCATAGCTTCCGGTCATCTCTGCATCATGGCGGAAGATGTCAGCTGAACAATACTCGCCAAACAGAGCTCTCATTCCAAGATTGGGAGTCCAAGTTTTCTCATCAACGGTACAAGGAAAAATGTCCTTTGGATTCAGAGCCTTGACTAAACAGCAGAGTTCCGAGTACGAAGAGTGCCGTGAGTATGGAAACCGAATTGTACGTCTCGTTTGATCCTGTGCTTCTTTAGTCTTCTCAACATGCGCTTCCAATCTCGAAACTAATGAGTGCAACGAAAGATCGGCATCGCTGTCCTGACTCTCTCTTGGGAGTTCACCTGGAAGATCGAGCTTCCCCTTTCTAGCATCTAATGAGTCTTGCAACAGGGCGAGAACTCTCGACAGCAACTCTTCATCGTCTATCTCCCTCTTGCAGAGTTCCTTTAATTCATCAATGTCGCCTACACTGCTCGTGTCCAATTCTTCTCGCTGGTCAAGATCTCCCTTCCCGCCACCAGCACCCACTTCGGCTATCTCAACGCCATTCGTACGACTGATGATCGGGATGATATGGACAATGTTACTATCTGTGTCTTTGTCCATGATCGGACACCCCATACCCCGCTCACAACTATGCAAACGAACATTTGTGTTGGACGTTAAACAGCCTTGCTGAATGTGATTCCCATTCCGGAATCCGCATAAGGCCGCGGCTTCGCGGATGTCGAATCCTAAGCGTGAATCTCGCAGCTCTTTGTTCTTAGCAGTAGAAAGAGAGGTATATAGACGATAGCGATAATCGTCAAGGTGGATCTGGGATTCTAAAAATGCGGACAGCGCTAACCAAACATCCTCGTATCCGAACGTCCAAGAGTGGAAGTAGAATGTGGTGCCAGGAGGATAGCCCTCGACTTGGGCGAGAAGTTCACGGATGCCCTCTGCTTTACTAGGGAATTCATTGTAAGGCCTGGACTTGCTTGCAAATGTGGTGTCCAGATACACACAATCCAAACGACGTGTCCCGATGGTGTAGGGTATGAGGACTGGGTTGCGTACAAGAGAATTCACCCACCAGGTTTCTGCGCGAATGTCTCCTGTGTATAGGATTGCGGTGCCGTTACCTTCAATGAGAAACATCACCGCGCCAACGCAATGATTGGCATCGAAGAGTGTTACACGTATTTTGTTCTCTGGTCCAAGCTCGATGACGGTAGGAGTTTCCAGTTGAAGTGGCTTCGCCAATTTGCGCATATTCCTGTCATAGGTGACATTGCGACTTTCTAAGATGCCCTTGGCGAAGTTGACTCTGTAGTGGTATTTCTCCAAACGCAAGAGAATCTCTCTTGTCGCTGCAGAACAATAAACAAAAGGTGCTCTTAAAGACTCCAAGCCAGTCAGATGATCGGAATGAACATGACTCAGAAAGCAAGCCAAAGGTGCTTTCCTATCAGCGTGTTGACGGAAATTATCGATCCTGATTTGGGGAAACTCTAAGCGCGACTAGTGGTGAGAACCCGGCTTGTGCAGGACGGAATGTAAGAGGATCCATACCATGGATTATACCATTGAAGGTAGACATGGCGAATGGAGCGGGACTTGCATCGGCAATGCAGCCCCTTCATGATATACGATGTGGCGAGTTTCGGTGGCGTGAAGCGCTACAGCACTCCAGAATGCTTCACGGCGATAGCTTCCACGCTTCCGAGTGAGACTTGTGAAGACGCAAGTCGACTGATGTCAGGTTACAATCAATAGGGATTGCGTTGTGTTGGATGGCTTCGACCTAAGCACAGATGCCGTGAGACTTGAGTAGTTGAAAGAAACTAAGGACTTCAGGGAGCTTCCTTGGTACTGGATCAAAATGATTGGATGACAGGTCATCCCCGACGCATGGCTAGCGAGGGTCCCCAGCACCGGAACGGCGGGACAGTCTAGCGCGGAATACAGGAAACGTTAGTCAGGACAAGGATGGAATTTATGTACTGTGTACGCGTATCTAGGAACTCCGTATTTTGGTCTGGATGGAAGTTGAATGTAAGCAATCGATCGAATCCTGACAGGATCTGCATATGTCAATCCTCGTAATACTTCAGATGCACCGAGCGCCCTTGGAGAAAGAACGCCACTCGTACCAGAACACGGCCAGGGTTGGCTCCTCGATGAGGAAGGTTGGCCTGGTGCACAGCAGTCTCAGTGCGCTCTCTTTTCCACGATGCGAAAGCAAGAGGCGATAATTGTATGGAGTGAAATCGCTGACAATAGCAAGAATCAATTCGCTACGGCCGTGTAGCTTTAACATTTCTGGTATCTGGATTTATCTAACCTCCCAATGCAAACACTCTGGCCAAAACTTCATCGTCAGTGGGGTGTTCTCCCCTAATGGTATCATATGCTGGTGCGAGGATCGTCTTCTCAACCTCGGTGTACTTTCCGTCACAGATGAAAATGACATCCCCATGTCTCGATTTCTCGACGAACAAGTAAGCGACTGCGCGGGCAACTACAGAGGCAGGCTGGCATCCCTGTGATACTGCTGCTAGGATGTTTTTCAGATCAGGCAGCACCTGCGAGTCTGTCCAAGACGGGATGAGGGTGTTGACACGAATGGGTAGGCCGGCTACCTCAACGATCTTTGCGAATCCTCGACCGAAGCCGAGAACACCGGCTTTGGCGGTTGCTAATAATGTTAGTACATGTGTGCATTGAGGCCTGTAATCAATTGACTGCTCACAATAATCGACGGCTCGGACAGGGTGCAAGCCAGTGCTGGATCCCATGAGCACAATAGACCCGCCCTCTGGCTGTCCCTTCAAATAGTGAGCAGCTACTGTGGTAGTGTTGATCACGCTGTCCAAATTGATGTCGACGGTGTCGCTGTTTGGCGCTTTGGGATCACCGTTCTCGTCAACCTCAAGCTCGAGGTAGTTGGCGCGCGGGCCAATGCCAGCATTCACAAAAACGTAGTCGACCCTTCCGTGCTTGTCCTTTGCTGTCTTGAAAAGCTTGACGAGGTCTGTCCAGCTCCTCACATCGGCTTGCACAAAAGTGACATCGCCAGGTGTTTTTGGTGCTTGGACATCACCATTTACGACGGATGCGCCGAGTGATCCCAGCAACTCAACTGTGGCGAGGCCAATGCCAGATGATCCTCCTATTGCAATGTCAATTCTGAGTACAAGAAGTCCAATTCCGTGGAATTAGCTACCTGTCACAACCGCAACCTTGCCCTTGAAGCCGGTGAGGACTTCGTCTTTGATTTCAAAACTGGCCATATTGATACTGAGTGAACTGAATTTCAAAGGGAAAAATAGGGTCCAGGGTCAGCTATAAATCACTCCACTTGAGGGCGAAAGCGCAGGTCCAGCTCGGAATACGAGGAAATGTTTGAACTAAGAGGGCGGGATGCACGTCGTAGCCGCGGCTTGTTCTCGACGGACGCGGCTTGTTTCCAACGGCTGCCGCTCGTTCGAGACAACGGAGACCCACTCCTTAGTTATTTCGACTTGGATGAACCACCCCCCAGTTCTGCCAGGTCTGTGCCGCTCATTCTACTGCTGAGGGCCACTTCTTTGAGAATTTTGGGCCGCGTTTCTCAAACAAACGCAGACTATTTCTCCATGCAAGTCAGATGCTTAAAAAACCCCGAGACCAACCTTTCGGTTCGATATAGATTTCGCATGAGCATAAGTAATTGTACGATGGGCAGGCCACCCTCCCCTTGACATCTGTGCTCGCAACCGAGCCCATCGCAACCGGCCCGCCGGGGGACGGCTGAGCGATGCAACCTTGTTTGACCGACCAATTCGGGTCCAACGTCCGCACTTTCCCCCTTTGCAGTAACCTCGAACTAAAATCAAATCTTGCTTGCTAGGAGGTAGTTGGATACTTATGCGTACGACGCCTTCCGCTAATTAGGTCTGTTCCATGTATGTAGAGTCATAGCGGGAGAACCGCCGTGACGTACCGTGAGTGGCTGCAACAGGCCGGCGGGAACGAACCTGCATGAGATCTGGGATACCCGTTCTTCTACGTAGTTGTGAGGAACGTGCTTGTCTGGGATGAAGGGGTCGAAAATACCGCATAGAATCGGCTAAGTTGCAAGTAATCATGTACTGATGCTTCTTACTTTTTGACGCTGTATTGAATTGTATTTTAGGAATACCAAAGGATCACTGTGTAGCTACTAAACAGGATGATGAAGGAAACTCATAAAGCCACGATTTCAACATGAGATGGCGTAGTGGTGGTATTGTGCACATTTCGATGGCCGGAAGACTTCCGGGGATTGATATCCAACGGCGACTAACGGCGAAGAAGCAGGGGAAGCAGACAGCGGGCGGGGCGGTCAACAAGCGGTACGCCTCGGAGGGATTCCTCCTATGCAAAGCTAAGTATCAAATTACGTTCAAAATGGACAAGATTTTCAAAACGCCTTTGGTTATGGGACCTGGAATCCCAATACCTACCCGTTCGAGCGAGACGGGGGGAGGGGGCGGCCAGGAAACTTGTGTTTGGGTCTCGATCCAGTTACGGTGCCGTTGCGATGGGGCGATGGATGGCACTTCTATATTTGCTTATTTGCTCCTCGTCTTCTCTCTCCGGATCTAGTTCGACCGTTTACTTACTCCCTTCTCAGTTACTCTCCTCGCTTGCTGCTGATATTATCGTCTGGTTGCGAGCATGGCGAACGTTGATGTACCAACGGTTAACCCCGTTGGAGATGGACTGGTGTTGTTATATGGTGCGATTATTTTGCTTGTGCTGAGTTGGACCTTTTTCCTGGCACGTCTTGGAGTGCGGATATGGAAGAAAGCATGGGGAATGGATGACTATTTCATGTCGGTGGGCATAGTAAGTTGGAAATAATAGGAGCTTCTAGATCGAAGAAGAAGTAGCTAACATCAACAGGTGCTTTTCACAGTTACAGCTTCACTGTGTATAGTGTGCTGTTACTATGGTTCCGGACAATTCTCTGCAGTATTGCCCCCCTTGACAATGGCGAAGGGAGTTAAGGTATGTCAAACCATCTCTCTCTGTTGAAAATTCGGAAAACTGACGATTCTCAGCTGTTCTACATCGCTGAGTACTTTTACGCAGTCAGTGCCATGTTCATCAAGATCAGTGTTGCAGTCACTCTCTTGCGTATTGCCTCGGGTCAACGACCTATTGAATGGGCTCTATGGCTCATCATTGGAGCTACCATCATCGCCGCGATTGTCTTTTGTGTTGGTATTGCGAATATTTGTATGCATCCTAAAATCGTATCTGGAGAATGCACTACTGACAACCATACCAGGCCATCCGATTAGCACACTCTGGGGCGAAGCTACTGGAAAATGCAACTTGCAACTGAACACGAACGTCAGCTTGTTTTTCTCAGCCGTCGAGATTGCGACTGATTTCAGCCTCTCCATCCTACCGGCAATTCTACTATGGAACGTGCAGATGGTAAGCACTCACTTACTCCAAGCAAATCCAACAACAGACAGCTACTGACTATCAACTTTAGAAAGGCAAAGTCAAGGCATTAGTCGCAGTCATGCTTGGTCTAGCCTCATTGTAAGTACCACCACTAAAACATCCAACTCGACCCTATCGACTAACCCGTCCAACCCATCAGTGCATCTTGCGCCACGCTCGTCCGCCTCAAGTTCCTCACTCTCTACAGCGATCCCGGCGAGTTCATGTACGGCACAGGCAAGATCGGCTTCTGGTCACTGACAGAGGAGGGCATCGGGATAATCGCCGGCTCCATGCCTGCGCTTCGTCCGCTCCTTTCTATTCGCATCAGGATCACCACAGGGTCTTCCAAAACGCCCGGCGGCGCGTCTGGAAGTGCTTACCCGCCCCAATCTTTCCATTCCCGAAACACCCCGTCCCGACCAGGCATAATGATGGATACCTTCCAGGTCTTGAATGATCACGACGAGCCGGAGAGCGATGGTGATAGTCAGAGAAAGATCGTGGTGGAGACCAAGTACTCGGTGACATCTTCGAAGATGGATACTCCCAAGGGGGTTCAAGGCTTACCACGATGAGCGAGAAACCTCGGAAAAGAAGTCAAACGAATAAAAGTGCTCAGTGCTTTGTCACTGCATAACTACCCTATATCACTATGGCCGGACGCCTACTTACGACGCGCGGGGAATCAACTTAGCAGAGCGAATCGAATTTCAGAATATTATACCATCATCAATTGTCCGAAATACTATTACCACTATAGATTAGCTTACGTGAAGGAGTTTCTGTGTTTCTTTACCATCCAAAAGCAGGCCGTCGACGCTACGACTGCATGACATGAAGAAAACCGCACAGCGGCGGATTCTTTGTCTGGCCAGCCTTGTAGATGTGTAGAAGTTGTAGACTTATGACCTGCTGGGGTTGGAACATACATAGGTACTACAAACCAAGGAATTCCGAATCAAGCCCAAAGACTACGATGTGCTTTGTATCTTTGACCTAAGTCGCGCTTCATGAGTGAAGATTTGATATGCGCCCTCAAGAGTTCAGGAGAGTTTGATACGATGGCCCCATATGCTACCGAGTAATTTCCTCGAACAATTTCTTCTTGCAGATTTATGTGCGTGGAATCTTATGTAGAATCGTGGATACACTTGAATTTGTACAGTGTCGAACTACTGGCAGAAAGGAAGATCAGATCATATGAACAAGAACATTCGCAACGTCAACTCTCATCCTTTAGACCCGACTAATGACAAGATCCTTTGTTCTTAGCCCTGCATCTCAAAAGATATTTTGCGTTCCAAGACTAAGGTGGCATCAAGAGGGAGGTGACGTTGAATGTAGAGAACATTCTGTTAGCATGGGCATGTCCGGGACTGAAAAAACAATAGTGGCCAAGCACCGAGATAGTCAAACATATAAATGGGAAGCATCAGCTTTTAGACTCTAATGTGTTGCATACCATTCCAATGATGTTGTCGAGGGGAGACTAAAGAGTGAAGGAAACGTTGAAATGGGACACGTGATAGTGAATGGGATCTCTACGTTCGTCGACCCTGGAAGAATAAGTGATCTTACATGATGGTACTCTGTAGCTAGACCGTATTTACCATACATTTCTCTTCTATCAATTGGCTTGCACTTTACCAACCCCGTCGGAAAGTAAATCACGTGATGGGGTTGACCGGTCCCAATCGCTCCCAATCGCCAACGCGGCGGGACCTTTGGGTGCGCAATGTTTCCCAGCCACTCCACCAAGGCTACCAGCACCAAGAAGCATGCAAGTAACCGAGGCTGGTGGTTCGAGCAACTAGGATGATGCCGAGTGGGTGATGTGCTGTACACCTGTACTGTTCCTATTCGGCAATCATGCGGAAATGGAAGTGGAAGTGGAAGGGAATTGAGGAGAAAAGTGGGCGGAGGGCACAGGGCAAGCAAAAGCGAAAGCAAGTCATCGACAAACTACGGAAAGAGTACCACAGTAAATGCCCGACATTGACCCAGGAAGGTTTAACAACATATGAGTAGTTCCATCAAAGCGCTGTCTTGATGTCGATCCGGTTTCGTTGAATCTTTGTTTGTTCTGATGCTGTTTCTTCCCTTTCATAGTCGGAATTGCACTGTGCACTTCTGCGACAAATGTGCAGGACTTACATACAGGATGTACTGCCTTCATTCGTCCCATGGCGATGCCGTCCTACGTGTTTTGCTGTCGCAGGACTAGAAGCAGATGCAGAAGCAGATGCATGAATATGCAACTCCAGCGAGTTGGTGAGAAGACCTGTCAGCCAGTCGTGGACGCCCTACGTAACGAGGATTGAAATTGCGCCGCCGGATGCGGGACGCTGGCAGTGGACGGTGGACCCAAAAGTCCATCAAGCCATCGTCAAAGTCATTACTGCCAGTAGTCTACGGGATCTGGCCAATACTTTTGTACACGATCATGTTAAAAAGGTGCGGGAAGATCGGCATTGATTGGCGGGGAGGCTGATCATTTGTACAGCTCACAGGTCGACTTTAAAGGACTTTAAAAGACCACCTGAATGCCGCTCGAGACCTTTTCACAATGTTGGTGATATGCTATGCCTACCCTACCAACGGAGTATACCTTGCCTTGCCTTGCTGTCCTGGTTGCACGAGCGCTCCCGAAGATTTAACACAAGAATCTTGCAGGCATTCCAGGCCAGCCCTGGGATGAGTGGCCATGGTTCGGCAAAGATATTCGTGCATCTCCCTAGTCAAGGTCAGGGTCCTGTCCAGTACTTGGTACACCTATTGCACCGGTTGCGAATTTGAACCTATCTAGCCATGCAATTGGTGTAGGAACCCTGGCTGAGTTGGTTCCTGGCCCAGTGACTGGCCGGGCTTTTATGTAGGGCTTGCTGTTGGCTGATGAGTTGGACAGGACAGGACAGGACTGGGTCACTCTGGGAAGATGTGCCATCAATCGATATTGGCATGGGCATGGATGGGATTCTGGGGGAGTGGATTCTGGTGGTTCCAATGGCTGTGGCTGGCGTAATCCTTCTTCCCTCGACAATCCCGCAGTTCTGCTCATAACTAATTACCTTAACCCTAGCACGTCCTGTCTCGTCCTGTCTCGTCCTGTCCGGTTCTGTCCTGCAACCTTCATATCCTCATCTTGATTGCTTGCTTCCTAGTTGCCAGTAGCTGCTGCTACCGTTACTGCTGACGGCCAGAATAGGGCGAGAGAAATTCAAAGGGAAAGGGAAAGGAAAAGGAACAAGGAATGGCATATGGGAGGCGGTGAGCATCATGGGATGTGTCGGCTGCTAGTATCGTGATGGCAGACATACTCCGTAGCTGTGCAGCTTGTTCATGGTAATAAAAGCCCCTTTGACCCGCGTCCCCTGCTTTTGCAAGATTTCCCCTCGATTCCGGTCTTTCTTTGTTTTGTGTATTGCTCCCGTTCTGGATTGCCCAACTTCGCCAGCATTGCTATTGTTATTATCGTTGTAGTAGGTACCTAGGTAGTCATCGGTCAGTGAATAGTTAGTGACTTTTTGAATAACTAGTAGCCGCCGCCGCCGCAATTCACTCGACCAGGGTGGCCCACAAAGAGACCGCACGCCCCTGTTCTTCTCCTTGCAGCTCCTCGACAATCTCCTTTCCTGTCCTCCACCAGCTCCTCTCCCAAACAATCCCCAAGGAATAATCCGGTGGTTTCGGCTTGTCGCCTAATAATCTCCCTCGACAAACTATCGTCTCCGTCACCTGCGCAAACCGTTTGTCACGAGAACGTCTGACTGCACTTGGCTGCACCGCACCGCACCGCATCGCACCACACCAACACTACAAGTTACAACACACTACACTACATTACACTACACCACACTACTCACATCACACCTGAACACAAGCAGCTGAGGGAGGATTCGAGTCGGCCCCAGTCATCGAAGGCGGATTCCACCTAAGCGGCAAAAGGAACCGTCACGCATACGCATAACAGTCAGCATCCTACTCGTACCCCCGACGATAATCACAGCGACGACGACGACGACGACCATAACGACCCAGCTGTGCGCAGGAGAAGAGTTGTTACGACCATAGTACATATAGGGATTGGCTGAAGAAGCTGCGGATCCACCAGTGGACCTTCCTTCCTCTTTCTTGAGAGTTGAACATTCCACACAAGTTCCGGGGCACAACACTTCCATACCACCGAGTCTGCCCTCCTCCTGCTCTCTACCTCTCCAAGCAAGAACACGTCTTGACCACCCTTTCAACTCGCCCGTTCAACGACTCACAATCATCGAGGAGTCACTCGTGCGGATCTCGGCTTCATAAACAGGCAGACGGACAGGACTCTCCCCACACTACACACACCACACCGCAAACACACCACCCCACACCACTACAACATAACGAGGAAACACGAATTCCTGATAACGGCATTCTCACACAGGCGCACAATCTTGCAAAATGCATCGCAAGAACCCCATCTCCCTCCTCGTCTACAACAATCTCTTCCCGAACCCGACCTCCTCAGACCCTCCAAGCTTCTCCGCACATCTTTCCAAAAACCTCGTTGGCGAAGTCCGTATTGAAACCGCCACCTTCTATGGCTCGCTCGACACGATCGAAGCCCGATATCCGGGTCTTAACTACGCACACGCTCCACACCGAAAGCGTTTAGGGCGCTTCCCTCATCACAAAAAGCTGTTCGAGGCTTTCGACCAGCTAGGACTCACGGACAGCGAAATCCAGGGATTCTGCAGATGGGAAGGCACACTCTGGGCGAGGGAGAGGTACGAGCGAGACGAGGGCGTCAAGGTGAGGGATACCACAGGAATGGAGATCACCGAATGGGTAGATCGCAGGAAGCACAAGACATCGCGGAACAATGGCATAAATGTGAAGACGGACATCGAGGTGGAGATTGAGGAAGTCGTTGCATCAGGCGAGGAGGTTATTGGATCACGCTCAACAGCACCCCTCGATACAGAAATGCACGATGAGGATGATGAAGAAGGGGAAGAGGATGAAGGTGATGAGATAGACGAGAGCGTGGGTTTCGCTCTCAATCAAAGACTTCTCCATGCAGCAGCGATGCGAGACCAGGGCGTCAACGTAGCGATGGATCCCGAGTGGGAACAATTTCTCAAGGAAGCACAGGAGCGGGGTGAGCTCAATGTGGATGCCACACGAGAGGCCCTGAGCATCATGGCCGGTCAGCTCGCACAAATGAACCAGCCAGGCCCGAGTTCGACATCACAATCGTTCCCACCCCCCGCGGCACCCGCATGAACGGTTGCATCATTTCATCATTCCTCCCTCTTGGTTTTCCGACTACCTTATTCAGCATACGCCTGACTCTCGCGCTTCAGCATGGTTTTTTCCCGACATATCATATATCTCCGAACCCCGCGTTTCCACAATCGACCCAACTCATGATTCACCATCCACGTATACGACACGCTCGAAAGAAGCTCATTCCGTCACCTACCCATGACCCCACACCAAACGATTCCCCACATATACCACCCCTTTACTCAATGCATACATTCACCTTAGCCTGGCGTTTGTCCCACTCCCGTTTTACTTGGTCTTTGAGCTCGTGAACTCCATTCTTCCTCCTCCACTCCATGCCTTACTTCTCATTCCGGAAAGCTGATCGCCCTCGACTGATTCATACTCTTCCCCTATCAAACGCCCATTCACAATTGAGGAGCAACCCAATCCCCCGTCTTCTCTTTGTCTATATTTGGCCCTCTCCCGCCCACCCCACCTCGCCCATTTCTGTTGCCACTACCACTGCTACCACTGCTACTGCCACTGCTGTTGTCCCTATTCTACCAGCCCTTACCATGCCATGCGAGGCAAAGCAGAATGCAACAGAACGGATTCGACATTGATGTATCATGATGTATCAACAAAATGAAAGAGTTGTACACAAGGAATTAGACTCACCCCCACCCCTCAAACCATGAATCTCAGCCAGGGACGAGGCAATCGGCGTCACCGGACAGGACAGGACAGGACAGCACAAGACGATCCAGAGAACCAGCCATTACACGACCTCCCCCTCCGCAGACGAAGGAAAGGAGATGTAATCGAAAGGCACGGACGATAGGACGGCATTCACATGTTGAGATAAGCAGTGTTGTTGTGAAATGAAGGTCGGGGAACGGAGGTGTTTTGTGATATATTTTTCTCCTGAAGGATGGAAGGAAGGAAGGAAAGAAAGGTAGCAGGCATTTAGAACATACTTCTTATTAGCGGAATTGAAACTGATTCACGGATGCATTTTTTTGCCCCTGTTAGCTCGTTGATGAGTTGGTGAGATTTGATGTGAGTGTGTGTACATGGTCTTTGGTGGGAGTTGGGTATATGTTTGTCCATGTTCAGTGTATGTTCTTATGGGGAGGTGGGGGAGGTGGGGGAGGTAGATGGTGAGAGGGTCATTATTAATCATTGTAAGTCTATCTTTGATCTAAGGCATGGCATCATGGTCCCCGTCCCACTCTCCGTTTGTTCGTTAGGTCGAAAGATGGAATGCAGGGGGAATCTAGCGGAGGTTGTAGCTTTGTGCATAGCTTCTCGTCAGACTGCGTGCCTGGATATTGTGCTTCAGGCTTGGATTTTGCCTTGAGGCTGGGGGAGACATTTTCGTTGTTGGGTGTATACGATGCCAAATGTTGTGGGCATCACGACTTCTCGCACTGGGTTTCGCTCTTTCAACCCAACTTCCTGCCCAGGCCTGCGAACCCAAACCCACCGGGTCCCTTCTTCGATCCCCTTGTGGTCCTCCCACTCCCACCTCCATTATCCTGATCCACATCCATCATCTCCGAGTCCTCTCCGGCAAGCGTCCCTCTCTTATCCTTATCGCCCTTCTCGCTGAGGATCACCGCGTCCACCGCCCTCTCCCTCTTCCGCTTCTCGATCTCCCTCTTCACGGCCCCCTCCTTGACCTCCTTGACCCTCGCCTCGAGATCCCGCACCGCGTCCTCGCACCTCTGACTCCAGCCCGCGAGCCGCTCCTGCAGCGCTGGCAATGATCCGGGCGCGAGATCCCTCAGCGGCGCGACGGACGTAACGCTCACTAGTTCGTGGGCCGGGTCTAGAGTAGCGCTTAATAGGCCCGAGTATATTGCTGTCGTGAGGAGGTCTTCTAGGGCGCGGGTTGTGGGGAGGTCGAGCGACGAGAGGAGGTGCGTGTATTTAAGTGTTGCGTGGGAGGCGGAGAGCGGTAGGAGGGAGAGAAGGAGGAGCTTTTGGTGTTGAGGGGCGGTTAATTGGGGGAGGTTGGATGAGCCTATGTAAAGAAATTCATCAGTATTAGGTTTGGATTTCTGGAGGGGAGCAGGATGGTAGGACGTTGTTGGAATATGGATGTGTTAGAGCGTACGTTTGTAGTCTTCCCAGGTGCCCCAGGCGAAGATCTCGAGGAGTGCCAGGTGACCTGTATACTCGGGTGATTGACGTAGGTTTTGGATGTTGGGGGTCTGGAGGAGCTCGGCGAATATGTAGGTGTTTGGTGCTGAGGTTGCTTGTGTTATGAGGTCTGCGGCGGCGCGGGGTGCGGTTGCGGTCTTGGAGAGAGCGAGGAATGGTTCAAGTGCGTTTAGGGCTCGCGTTTGCTCCATGGTCGATTGGTGTAAAGAAGATAGGGTATCAAGGGAGCAATTGGAAGAAGATGACTCGCTGAGTCGTTGGAAGTCTATGTATTTGGTTGTTTGATTAGGCGACAGTCCCGTGAATGATGAATGAGGGAGCTCTCTAGACTTGGCACCTTCAAGGTATGGCGGGGGAAAGTGGGTCCGGCCCGGCAGCCTCCCCCAAGGTAAGGCTAGCGTATCTTTACCCTCACATTCATCGTTGAGATCAATCGCGATCAATGAGACTCAATATATTTGATGCATTCTTTTTCAACGATGTGTGTAGGCTATGATGAAACTTCAGTGCTTTCGTATGGATGAAGCACACCTTTGAACATCAACATCGAACTGCTATTAGCGATCACAACGAAGAAAGTGATTCGCTAGTCTTCGCAGTGTATTGAGTGATGCTCATATCTAAAGACTTACTCTGTCGAATTGGAAGCTCTGGCTCCTATCCCCAATGATGAAAAGCAATTGAATGATATTCGATGGCATATGCTTCATAGAGATTGTCTCGACCATCATCATCAAGCACGACATTTTCTCGGTCCAATACTACTCCGATGGCAATCGCCCGTCGAACTTGACTATTGCCGGGGTATAGTCTCGACGTCGATCTCCAGGTGTTAGTTGCAAGTTCCAACTATCGTTCCTTTCTGAGCACGGGAGAAATTGAATAGTGTCTCATCAAAGCTGCAAGGGAGAATCAGAGGCGACCATTCTGCCCACAATCCGTCCGCCCTGCTTCTCGAGGTTGAAGCGAAGTCAATGGCGCAAAGAATGCATCGTTGTGTTCAGAAGACGTAATTTATTCATTGGAATATCGAATCTTTGGCCCTTTTTTTGGATAGATAGAACCTCCGAATTAGAGCAACGGGTGACGGAGCATCTTGCGGATAGAAGGAGTACTTACCGATGAGGATACGTTGATCTGGTGGACCCACCAACTACAAGCCTTGAATCTACCTCCAAGGGTCTGTGTATTGCATTATTTCACACACTGAATAAAGTTACGGAAACATGGAAAGGCGACGAAGAGGGTTAGGGTATCCACGCTGCCTTGGTCTCGTCAAAAATCCGATCTGCTTAATCTCCCCCGCATTATGCGATTGGTGGAATTGCTCAGTATCACACATCATCCCCTTCGGGATAGATCAACTGGACCTACGGAGTACATTTAGCAGGTATACATAAGAAGACATCATCTATACTATTTTTTTTCATAGCCATTGCTCACAGGTTTTAGTTCATTTTGCATAACGATGATCAACCCAAGCTTTCTTTTTCCCGCTGTTTTGATCTCTCTTGCTGTCGGTTCAATTGCTTCACCAGTCACTGGAAGTAAACATTCCCAACCGCCTGCATTTTTCCTTGCCGGCGACTCTACGACTGCCGTGCAATCCACTAATGGTGGAGGTCAGTAGCTGCGATCTTTCAAACAATGTCTATATGGCTAACTCTACCCAGGTTGGGGAGACGGATTCTTGAACACCACTCTCAAGCATGGAGCCACCGGCAAAAACTTCGGCCACAACGGCGCGACAACAGTCTCCTTTCGAGCAGGCGGCGACTGGGACAATGTAATTCAGGCCGCAAAGGCATCGCTGCCGTCATACAAACCATACGTAACGATTCAATTCGGCCACAACGACCAGAAACCCGACAAAAACATTAGTATGGCAGACCTCACAGCCAACCTGATCACCTTCGTCAAGGAAGTCCGCTCTATACCTGCGACCCCGGTTCTCGTCACCAGCTTAAGCAGGCGCCGTTTCACTAATTCGAGCACCCCAACGGTCGTCGAGAATCTCGCCGATGTGGTCGCTGCGACCAAAGACGCTGCGAAACAGACTGGAGCATACATCATTGATTTGAACGCCGCTAGCACGAAGTACTTGAATCAGATTGGGCCGGAGAATGCGGCGACATATAATCTGATCCCGACGGATTTTACGCATCTGAATGCTGAGGGGAGCGTAGTCTTTGGAAACTTAGTCGCTCTTTTGCTAGACCGTGAGGTCAGGGCTTTAGGGAAGTTTGTGGTGCCCGAGAAGGAGATCGTGAAAGCTATTAAGACGGGGACTTATTATTTTCCTAGCTGAAGTTCCTGAAAGAAAAGTAGTAGGACGATGTAAATGACGAATTAATCCTCCATAGCTGCGAAGTTGTTTTCATAACCTGTCGATATTTTTTTGGCGCTTCTTCCATGAACATACTGTAAAGAGAAGCATGAAAAGTAAATCCAGGCTAGCCTACAGATATTCATTTGTGCATCCAACGTGGGCAAGGGTCGGCTGTCAAGACTCTCATCGAAGATGAGGTAAATTTGGAGAAATGTACAAAAACTCAATTATTGGTATCTGTCTATACTTTCATAACAAAATGTAAAGGAAAATTGCGTCGAAGCGACTCAGACAGGTAGCCTTTCATCCCCCATTGAACTTTTGCTGGGGATAGATACCGTGTCTTCATAGCCCCCCTTTTCGACCCTACTAGAACCTGCATACGAAGACGGCACCCTTTCCAGCCTGACGTCGCTCGAGTGACTACTGCCACGAGACAGCTTCTGCGATACGTGAATGATTGTGCTTTTCACGTGCAATTTCTCCGCGAGCTTGATCATAACCGGACGGAATCGGACTGAGCAAGCAGCAATCAAATACATTCCGGGTTCTACAATGGACCTGTTGAAATTGATTAGCCAAGTCGTTCGATAAGCCGGGAATGCACTTCGGGGGAACTTACCAGCCTACAAGTTTGACTGAAGACCCTACAAATCCTGTCAGTATTGAAAACCAAACGATTGGGAAACACCTACATGTATTGTCCGAGAATGCATCAACCTGGAAGAATGCTGCCATCCGCACACAAGATGCGACGATACCCCTAAGAACACATCTTGTTAGCACATTGATCGCACAGAAACAGTTCGACGACAAACATCCAAATGAAACGAAGAGAAGATAGTAACGTACATTCCACCGGAAAGAAAGATGAAGAGCACCCCCAATTTTCGGGGCCTCGAGACCTTCAGATCGAACACAGTCTTCAGGGGTAGTAGAAGCATCAACACATCAGTTAAGATGTTTGGTGCACTGACGGTCTTATAAAAAGCCGGCTGGTTGAAGCATTTCCCGGGGATCTTCTTGTTCCATTGATACTCGAAGGGGACACACTGAAAACTAGAGGCGACCAAATAGGCTACCCAGTTGGCAACAAGGACCCAGATAAGGACATGGCAGGCTATTCTCAAAGATCGATTGGTGAATAGCCTAAGATACAACAGGAGAATCGAAATCTTAGGAAGTGCAACTGCGGGAAGATATAGCCATTCTAAAGCGTATAGCGACTTTGCCCATGCCGCGATCTTGTGCGGATTTGTAGCCTGGATATATTCGAGATGCCGTCCTACGCCGGCATCATACACCATAACTGTTCAGATTATTAGCGTAAGGTCTGCATGATCTATGGGCGACTCACTAATTCCTAGAATGCAAAGTCCTATGTGTGTAAACCAAGCAAATGGGACGATGAAATCGTCAAGTCCTGCTGGAGACCGAGAAATACGTTGGCCATAAAAGCGAAGTGCAACAAAGACCGTATCGAGGACAATGAATATAGCGCTAATTACTATTAACGTCTGCCCATGGTCTTCAGCCACGTACACGGGCGTGTAGTGACTTGTGGAAGCATGTGTAGCCATCTTTTGCACGTGACCGGCGCGATGCTCGAAAGATGGATTCAAATACCAACGCCACCGAAGTTGAGAACATGCGTTCCATCAAATATAATATGGCCATTTCCGATTCACCGCAATGCGATTCAGTATGATCCATCGATCATTTCTTGATGAAGTTTAGTTACGGCAATACGTAGTCGGGTGGTGGCGTTCGGGAATCATAAGTTGGTTGTGGGTCTGGTCAAACACCGTAGCGCAAACAACGGCTACGCTTGAGCTTGTCGCATTAAGCTTTGATCGACGTCACTGTTGGCCTACTCGTATGATCCCGTATTAAGAAGAGTACACCAGTCTCTGTGTATCTCAAATGAGCGGTCTGACTCTTTGACATAGATCTCTTGCATCATTATGGCTACCAATTCATCTGTAGGAGCAAGGCTTTTAGTCGCGCAAATCGATGAACTTGCAAAGGAACCATCGCGTGTCTGGGCGTCGGTCCCAGTTGACGACAAAGACCTAGCGAAAGGTTTCCGAGATGTCACCTATAGTGAATTTGCGAACTCTATCAATCGTACAGCGCTGTGGTTGAAACACCATTTACCGGAGCCAACACAGCCATTCGAAACAATAGCGTACAGTGGACCTAAAGATATCCGATACCCCATCATTGCTGTAGCTGCCGCTAAGCTCGGAAGAAAGGTATGCTCGACTATCTAAGTAGCAATCTTGATGAGCTAAACTTAGACAGCTACTTCTTCCTTCACCATTTGCAGCCATTGATGCTCAAGCACATCTTGTGCAAGCATCAGCATGTCGAGTATTCCTGCATGGCAAGCCACTCGCCGGCATCATAGGACAGGTGCTTTCGAAGACTACGAATAATACTGTCTCTGCTCTTGAGATTCCTGAGGTGTTCGAGTTGCTCAAAGACGAACCACCTCCACCCGTTTCATTTACCAAGACCTGGGAGCAAGCTCAAAATGACCCATGGCTCATCTTTCATACCTCTGGGACGACTGGTATGTTTGTTCCATCGAATCAATTTCAATCCAATGTCTAATTCGCGTAGGACTTCCCAAGTTGGTAACCTATTCGCACAAAATGATGGCTTCCTTGGATGCAGCAGAGTTGATGCCAGATGCTTCTGATGAGACCATGAACAACCATTTCCGGAACAGGCGTTGGTACACGCCCCTTCCATCTCTTCACGTAGGTTAACTCATTTAAAAGTTTATCGAGTCAACTTTTCTAATGATAGATGCAGTTCGTTGGTATGACCGTGTCTTTACAATTTCCAGTCTTTCTGGGTGGTGTTGTTGTTATCGGACCGCCCGGTGCTGGTCCAACAACGCCTAATGTAGCGGAAGAGGTTATCAAGAGAGCCAACGCCCAGGGTGTAATGCTTCCACCTGCTCTTATTGATGGGCTGTGTGAAACTCCTGCAGGCTTGGAGTCTCTGCGGCAACTAGACTATATTTATTTTGCTGGGGCACCAATGTTGCGTCCGACTGCCGAGAAGCTGCTTCCATATGTTCCTGTCAAGCCTGGGATGGGCTCCACCGAAGCCGGAGCATACTTCCTTCGTATCTCAGGAGACGAGGACTGGGAATACTGCACACCCAGACCAGGCATGGGTCTTGAATTCCAACATAGAACTGGTGATCTTTATGAGGCAGTATTTGTGCGCCATCCTGAAGTAGAACGGTGGCAGCAGGTATTTCACCTCTACCCTGATCTGCAGGAGTTCCCCACGCACGATATTTACACCCAGCACCCCTCCAAAAAGGATATGTGGAAATATGTAGGGCGCACAGATGATATGGTTCCATTTTCTCATGGGGAGAAGCTTTACGTAGCCAACATCGAGGCAGAGATCGCCGCTGCCGATTCGGACATCTCGGCCGTTCTGATCGGGGGACAAGGGCGGCCGAAACCATTCGTGTTGGTAGAATGGAAGGGAAGTATGTCGGACAAGAGTATTCAACCACAGAAACTGCAACCAATCCTGGACAAGGTTAACGAACGGTTATCTGACCTGGTTAAGTTGCGTTCGAAGCTTGTCATATTTGCGGATTCCTCAAAACCGCTGGTACGAACAATCAAAGGCTCAGTGTCAAGAAAAGAAAGCGAAAAGTTGTACCAAGATGAGATTAACAATCTCTATCACTCTTAAAGGTAGTCTTACCAACAAGCAATAAAATAATTACATATCCGAGCAACCACGAGAGATTACAATTTATTCTTCGCAATCATGGGCCGTTCAGTATCTGACTTGTTTCGAACAGCCTTCATCCAGTGTGAGGAAAGGACTTGTTGATCACGATCAGATTTCTGTGTGTCAATCCTATCCCAGATTTCCTGCTGCTCCTTGTGCTCCTTCAGTTGCTGCACTATATGCGAGGCAACTAAACTCGCCGTCTCCGTGACCTGCGTCAGTGGGAGATTGTGATTAGACTTTGCGACCACAGTCGACGTGACGCCACCACGCCCTCGTATCTCTGCACCGGTGCGTCGTACCTTCTCATTCCTCGACTTTGGTGGATTAATGTAACTTTGCTCTGCAAATATCCAGTACACCGCTGGTTGCAGCGTAGACAATGCTCGAAAGGCAAGAACCGCTTCAGGGCGATGGAAGACGTATTTTGAGTGTACACCACCGTAATCGGAAGTCAACAACTGTTCCTGCATATCAACTTCGCCACCAGATGAACGGGGAGGAAATATCGAACGAATGAAAGACCAAGCTTCTTGGTGTTTCGTCGTGCTAAGAGTGACTGATCCAGGAGGTGCTGTGGGGAATAGTGCAGTTGGCGTTGATCTGAGTCCATACTGCAGGTACCTTTCGAAACATCGGGGGTCTAAGGATTTGTAAAACTTGTTCTTGTCGAAATAGGCATGTGCCTCTTCTTTCGACTGCCAGAAGTCAGGCCGATAGCTGGTCAGATATCCCGCATTCGGACCGGGTGGGATAGTCTCTTGGATGACAGGCTCGATCAAAACAAGGCTTTGGAAAAGCGTGGGATGGATCTGGGAAAGTTGTACACTGTGATCGGATTTAGAGTTTTGATTGGTCCGAACGACTGGCATGCTTACAGTTGTGCGCATCCCATGCTGTGGGCAACCCCGATCACTGGGGCTTGTATCTCGTTTCGAAAATGATTTACCATACCAAGGAGATCCCGTGAATGGTCAAACCAGTTTGCTAAGTTTCGAATCAGCTTGGATCACCTGCGATCGTTTCAGTTCTTACGATCATCTCCTAGATGCCCCTCATTCAGAATGCCACTTGCGCCTTGATGAGCACAGTCTGCAATCCAAATGTTTCTGATGTTTCCATCGAACTGCGCAGCAAAATCTTCCCAAAGCGGTTCGTATGCTTCCTGTAATTACCAAAATCAGTCACTGAACACGCAATTGGTCAATCTGGAACTCACCTTTGGTATTCCGTTCGCGTGTAATCCAATCACAGTAACAGCGGGTCTGTCATCTGGAAGTACTCGCTTCGGCGTATACTGCTTGACGGCCAACTGCAGCGCAACTGTTTGATCTTTACTAGCATGACGATAGCCACGGATATGCTGACATGGTATGACGTGCTCTTTGATATCGAAACTTGAGGAAGTCATCATTGCTAAAACTTGGGTATGAAGATTCTGAGTGCGACAGCTTCGCCTATGGAACTATTGGATTATGGTAGTTGCGGTCACCGCAGCTATGCTTCTACGTCAACGGCGTGATGTTTTCTCGATGCTACATGTGAACCAAACGGTTACGCCATAATCGCGGCTCGGGAAGTAAAAATACGAGGCTGTGGGGCTGGAGTACAAGTACAGAGCCCCAACGTCGATCAACACTCGAAGTTGCAGGTCGGCCGTTCCCGTTTGTACGATCGATTACGATTGATCAACTGAAGGGTCAATATGCCGTATGCAGAGTATGACGAATGTTGTGGTTTGATAACTAGGACCAACCAACTATCCGTGGGAAGGATTGCCCGCGAATCAAGCTTTTCTGTCGCCACAATTTGGCCGAAGCAGATCGATCCGAAAACAATACCCTCGAATTATGTCGTCAATTACTCTGTCAATCATTGCTGCCAGATGATATTCCTGCGAATCATTCCTCAATTCTTTCAAGTTTGGTGACCCTGCGAGTCTGCTATCAATGGTCAGTTCGTGTAGAATACGATTTGCTAACCATTTTGGGAAATGTGTGGAGATGCAGTCGGCGAAATGGCAAAGGAACATCTCCCACGTATTCAAGTGGGTTCATGTGGCTTTTCATTGATCAGTACGAGGAGAAGACGGCTTGTATTCGTCTCCTGTTTCCTAAGGATTGGGATAGTGACTCCTAGGAATGACGTATACATGCTGCGATATCGCTACTTTTCCAACAGGTTACGGGCCACCAAGAGGTCTCGTAACTGGAATAACATTTCCAGGAGGAAATATCCAAATGAAGTAAATTGAGTATGAGTATCCGTGGTTCCCACTTTTTCGATGGTTGACGGCGGGATTTTCGCAGACCGAAGGTACAGCAGGATCCACAATCTCCACGATTCGTAACGTTCTAACATGCAGGGACAATGATGAAAACATTCGGACCTCGGTCGTGCAAGTATTTTTATGCTGAATCTTCACGATATTTCCTTTAATTGAGATGTGGAATACATAATAATATCTTCGTGAATGTACTCGCAGAAGAAGTAGGCCGCGAATTATGTATTGTTTAAATTGTAGAATATCCGATAATTGAGAATGAGGGATACATAACTACCAAAGAATGGGCTTGAGTTGAATAGCATCCCGGCATATTGCTGGGTTGTAATTAACTATCAAAGTTGGTCCAACTCAAATTTATAGGAAAAATGGGTCAACCATATTGTTGATAACAGAATCGATAAATGGTGTATATATCAGGCACGGGTTTCCCATACATGTTCTTGACATGTTCTACTCGGGTGGTGGGGACTTCCTGATATCTTCTGCAATTGCCTCTTCTTCGATAAATATCGACAAGTAATCGTCAGCCATGGGTCATACATTTCAACACAGTCATTTGCCTGATCCTTTTGGCTCAGCCTTGACGCAGCTGACACCGCGTCTTTTCAAGTTTTGCACTAAGCTTCATTATTTAAGCTCTACAGATTGGCCTTCGGATAGCCCAGTGCAATGTGCATCGAGGGACGATGTCCCGATAAAGCTACTCCAGAAGGGCGATCGGGAGTCAACGTTGTGGTGGGACACTGTCGGAAAGCTCATCTCCCTACAGCTGAAGCAGGCTCGATACTCCGAAACAGCTCAGGAGAAGTCGCTTGACTTCTTTCAAGAGAGTGTTTTGCCTTACATGGGATCTTTCCCAACACATGACTCCCCACGTAAATGGAAGAGCTTCATGACGGATGATCACACGCCAATAGAACTATCCTGGGACTGGGGTAATGGCATAAAAGCACCACGGATCAGATACTCCATCGACCCGAACAGCCTCGAATCTGGGACGCCCAAAGATCCTACAAACCTACATGCAGCTAAGAGATATTACGAGGATGTCATTAAGAGAATAGAAGGCGTAAACACAACCTGGCATGAGCACTTTACACAATGCTTCGACACATTCGAGACGAGCTCACGCGAACGCACCGGCCGGACAAGCAGGGTATTCTACGCCTTCGACGTCCGGGAAAACGGCGACACGATACCCAAAGCCTACTTCTTCCCCCGCTACCTTCACACCCCCACAGACCCCGAAAGCTCCGTCTGGAACACAGTGACAAACGCCATCACAAGCGCACCATTCGCCTCTCCAGACAACCTCCAAGCCCTCGACGTCCTCTCTTCCTTCTTCAAAACAGAACCACGCACCACGATCGAAATGCTCTCCATCGACCTCCTGGATCCAAAATCTTCCCGCGTAAAGATATACTTCCGATCACGGTCGCCAGACTGCGCGAGCATTGCGCACAACATGACGCTCGGCGGCCGCATCACCGACCCAACGCATCTTGCCGGCGTGAGGAACCTACTGAATCTCTGGCGCCGGCTCTTCGATCTATCCGAGGGCGAAGAGGTGGGCGAGAAGGCGCACGAGACGGCGGGCGTGCTGTACTACACTGACTTTCGACTCGGCGACGCGATGCCCAAGATCAAGATATACATCCCCGTGCGGCATTTTGCGAGGAGCGATGAGAGGGTTGTCGAGGCGCTGTTAGGGCATCTAGAGGAGAGTAGGGCGAGAGGGGAGAACATGGAGGCATATAGCGAGGTTTTGAGGCAGAGTTTGTAAGTTTTGGCTTAGTACCTCTCTTGATTGTTGAATGCGGTTTGCTGACGATGGAGCTATAGTTCAGAAAAGGCGATGAGGGAAGAGTCCGGTGTGCATACGTATTTGGGGTGTTCGATCGCGGCTGATGGGTCGTTGCAGTTGATTTCGTATATCAATCCGCAGGTGCATAAGATGGGTGTGTGATCAAGCCTTTGACCATTCGATTTGAGATACTTCCGACATGATGAAATGTAAATAATGATATACCCCTTCGACATATGGGCTTGCCGCTGCACTTTCAAATAAGATAGGTCCTACTCTGCGTTCTATTAGCTGTGTGTTTATATTCCCGAGAGAGGGGAAGGGAGAAAAGAAGTTTCTGATGTCATATCTGACTAAAAAATCATGACATTCTTCTCATCTGGCAAGAGATTTTGATAGAAGGCTATAGCGATATGAGTTCACAAAATTCTGCTTGTATTATTGTAGAACTAAACATTGGATCATACACCACAATTATTTGTTCCAATACTACCTTAAGGTTTCAGCAAAGCAAAGTACAAAAAGAAGAACTTAATAACGCAAGAATGCTCTAGAGAGATTGCTTTTTGGTTCGGGCACTCTTCATGAGTATATTGGTGGATTACTTGTGGTTGCTGAGCAGGTGGACATCAGGAGGTTTATGCTATTGCGTGCTTTTGTCGATTTTTGAAGCTCCAGAATCGATAAAGCTACTATTTAGTCGGCCACATCGAATTATCAAGCTATTGGGTGTAGCTTCTTTGTAGTCGCAAGGAGGCGGAGAGGGGACACAAGCATAGCGCGTAGGAAAGAATGGTGTCTCTGTTGCGTTTGAGATATTTCTTTTATTCTTCAGAAAAAGGAAAATGCGAGAAACAATGGCAACAGGCGTTTGACGATATGGTTTATCAATGGCTTTTATTGTCCCCCTTCGTGAAGATTCGAATGATAATAGAGCAGGATGTCATTCATTGAATTTCATTCATGATGGCGAGCTGAGTGGAGATTCGGTGAACATCAGTGATGATGATCGAATGAGGCGCTAGTCCTGGAATGGAATGTGTCAAGAACATCACCAAATGCCGTGCTGAGATTAATGTATTGCGCACAAGCCATCCAAGAAGCCGTGGCGTCGAGCCTAAGGAATCTCGTGATGACGTTATACAGGAAACGTGTCTCTATTGATTTCTCTCTCGAAAGGAACGGACACGGAGAGCCAAACTGGGATCACGACAGAGGCTGATGTTGGGGTGGGATACGAGAGGGCTTTTGGGGCTTATAGGTGGCGGCTGTGTGTTGGTTTCGGCTGGACATTCCAGTCCTTGGCCAGATGTGCAGAGAGTTTTCTATGCTCGCAAGGGCTATTCGCGGTGGTTGATACACTGTACAGGGATGAGGAGACGAGAAACATTAGCAGTGTAGAAGATTAGAAAGCGAAGGGGAAAAATGGGACAATGTCCACCTGAGGGCCGTATACACAATAAAAGGTGGTTACTAATTACTCGTATGCCCTAGTTTGTATGGGAAATGGTCAAACACCACATGGTTTCAACACGCCAAGGCGAAACATGATCCATTTCAGTGAGATTCCATCTTGGTATTCCACTGAATCTGGTGAATGATGTGTACCTAGTTATTCTATGATCTTCAACGCCTTTTCTTTTCTACTTTTCCTGCAAGTACTATCGCTATCTCTTAAGTGGATTGTCTGATCTGTATTTCTTGGTGATAGTTCCCGACATGCCCAATCCAGCTCTAGCGCATTCACGGCCCGCGACTGCTCTTAATCCTAATATAGTATCCGCCACCCCTAATTAGGACTAGCCTAATCTCGAGGCCCGGCCCCAGCCCTCCGTCTCGTCTCGTCTCGTCTTGTCAAGGTGAACGTCTCATCTCATTCGACCCTCGTCCAATCCCTCCAATCCCTCCCCTTCCCACCCATAATACCATACATTTCCCTCGTCTACGGCTGATATTATCTACTCTAAACCTCCAGCCCTTCTGTCACCATCACCCACGAAGCTGGCCTTCTCGACTTTTGCTGACCATACCCCACACCTCCCACCTGCATTTCAACTGCCGCGACTTCAATTTATCGGTCCAACTTGTCGTCTCCCTCGCCAGAGCTTTTACATTCCTCCTAAATAACGAACCACCCCGACCGCATGCATTGACTCTCACACCTCGCCTGTCGCTCTTGCGCCTCTGCTCCTTCGTCCCATCCGTCTCGCGCTCGGTCCGTCGCGCCCCGGTCGCTGACATATTCCTAATCACACGAGCATTTTATCTTTCCCCAGCGGTCATCTTCACTTTCTAGTTGAAAGTCCTTTTCACTACGTGCCCAGCATGGCTCCTGCGAACACCCAAGCGACCGCCCACATGGCCACCACTACCCTCAAAGTCGAAGGCATGACATGCGGTGCCTGCACCTCCGCCATCGAGACCGGTTTCCAAGGCGTTGATGGAGTGGGCAACGTGTCAGTCAGTCTGGTTATGGAGCGAGCCGTCGTCTCCCATGATCCCGAAATATTATCCGCAGATCAGGTCAAGGAGATAATAGAGGACAGAGGGTTCGATGCAGAGGTCCTATCGTCTGATATGCCGGTCTCGCACAGCGCGGAAGACCATTTCCTGAGCGATTCAGAGGACGAAGAGGAGGAAAGCGGATATTCAACAACCACACTATCTGTCGGAGGCATGACTTGCGGCGCATGCACTTCTGCCGTCGAAGGCGCCTTCAAGGATGTTCAGGGCGTCAAATCATTCAACATATCACTTCTTTCCGAGCGAGCAGTCATCGAACACGACCCTGCCGTGCTGTCTGCGGAACAGATGGCGGAGATGATTGAAGACGTCGGATTTGACGCTAGCGTGCTGGAAACGGTCGCTGCGACGCCAGTAAGCAAAGGCAAGAGCAGTAGAAAATCTAAAACACTTACAACGACTGTTGGAATTGAGGGAATGACATGTGGTGCTTGCACATCTGCAATCGAGGGCGGGTTCAAGGATGTGGAGGGACTGTATCAATTCAACATCAGCTTATTGGCCAACCGAGCTGTACTGGTCCATGACCCGTCGAAACTCACCGAGGACCAAATTGTCGAAATCATCGAAGATCGCGGGTTCGATGCTAAGGTGGTCTCATCTGTGGATGGCAGTATGCAAAAGTCCGCTGCAAATGGGATGACCCACCTCAAGGTCTACGGCTTGCCCAATGCAACCGCTGCACAAGAGTTGGAGGCTTTGCTTCGTAAACGATCTGGTGTTCTCTCTGCGAACGTCAATTTTAGCACATCACGAGCTATCATCAACCGGGATCCACAAATTCTTGGACTTCGCGCAACCGTCGAAGCTGTTGAGGAGGCCGGTTACAATGCCTTGGTCTCCGACTCGGATGATAATAACGCCCAGCTAGAGTCTCTAGCCAAAACAAAAGAAATCCAGGAGTGGAGACGGGCCTTTAGAGTCTCGTTATCCTTCGCTATCCCCGTCTTTCTCACCAGCATGATCTTTCCCATGTTTCTACGATTCCTCGACTATGGCCGCATCCGCATCCTTCCAGGCCTGTATCTTGGAGACGTCGTCTGCTTAGTCTTGACAATACCCGTTCAATTTGGCATTGGAAAGCGATTCTACATTTCCGCTTATAAATCACTGAGCCACGGATCACCTACTATGGATGTTCTTGTTGTCTTAGGTACCTCGGCAGCTTTCTTTTTTAGCGTTGCATCAATGGCCGTCTCTATTTGTATGCCTCCGCATACCCGACCAACAACCCTATTTGATACTAGCACCATGTTGTTTACCTTCATTTCTCTTGGTCGATATCTCGAAAACAGCGCCAAGGGTCAGACGTCTAAAGCTTTATCAAACCTGATGTCATTGGCTCCATCCATGGCAACTATCTATGCGGATCCGATTGCTGCTGCAAAGGCTGCCGAGGGCTGGAGTGTGGATGCCAACGACGAGAAGGATGGCAAGAACTCAATGGACGGGAATGCTGTCGAGGAGCGAGTTATTGCTACAGAGCTCATTGAGGTCGGCGATGTTGTTATCCTAAGACCTGGAGACAAGATTCCTGCCGACGGAACCGTCACCAATGGCGAATCCTACGTAGACGAGTCGATGGTCACTGGCGAGGCTATACCAATCTTGAAGAAGAAGGGCATGCTCCTGATGGCTGGAACCGTCAATGGCGCTGGGCGTGTGGATTTTGTGGTAACTCGAGCAGGCCGTGACACTCAACTCAGTCAAATTGTTCGTTTGGTGCAGGAGGCACAGACGGGCCGCGCACCCATCCAGCGCCTCGCGGACACCGTCGCCGGTTACTTCATCCCTATCATCATCACGCTTGGTCTTGCAACCTTTGTCGCCTGGATGGTTCTTAGCCATGTTCTCCCCGACCCACCCCAGGTTTTCCTGGACCACGCAAGTGGCGGCAAGCTGATGGTTTGCCTCAAGCTTTGCATCGCCGTGATTGTTTTCGCCTGCCCCTGTGCGCTTGGTCTTGCCACCCCCACCGCAGTCATGGTCGGTACTGGAGTTGGTGCAGAGCTGGGCATTCTCGTCAAGGGCGGAGCCGCATTGGAGACTGCCACGAAGGTCAATCATGTTGTTCTCGACAAGACCGGTACTCTGACTGTCGGGAAAATGAGCGTTTCTAAGGCCGACATCCAGGGTGAATGGGGCGCAACTAGTCAAAAGAAGGATCTTTGGTGGACGCTCATTGGACTTGCTGAAATGGGATCTGAACACCCGATCGCAAAGGCTATCGTTGGATCGGCAAAGGAACATCTCCGACTTGGGCCCGAGGGTGCGCTGGACGGTTCCGTTGGCGACTTTGAAGCTGTTGTCGGCAAGGGTATCGCGGCAAATGTCGAGGCAGCTCTGGATAGAGAGCGTACTCGATACAGAGTCCTTATTGGTAATGCTACATATCTCATCTCGGAGGGTGTTGATGTTCCCGAGTACATCGACGAACCGATTACACCAGTAGCAGCAACGGCAAATCCTCGCGGTGGTCCTCAGTCGCGCTCAGCTGGTATCACCACCATCCACACTGCCATTGGAAAAACATACACTGGTACTCTTGGTCTTTCGGACACAATCAAGCCATCCGCTCGCGCCACCATATTGGCCCTCAAGCGACTTGGAATCACAGCATCAATCGTGACGGGAGACACTTCCTCGTCAGCTCTGATCGTGGCACAGCAGGTTGGCATCGACAGCGCTGATGTGCATGCTTCCGCTACACCATCCGATAAGAAGGCCATCATCGCCGATCTTCAATCTCGTGGTAAAGTAGTTGCCATGGTAGGCGACGGTATCAATGATTCTCCCGCTCTAGCTTCGGCAGATGTCGGTATTGCGCTGTCTACCGGCACAGATGTTGCCATGGAAGCCGCATCGATTGTACTTATGTCTACGACTGATCTCCTCGCCATTCCCGCCAGTCTCAAACTGAGCAGGTCGATCTTCAACCGAATTAAGCTCAACCTCTTGTGGGCGTGCATGTACAACGTTGTGGGACTGCCATTCGCCATGGGATTCTTTCTGCCCTGGGGCTTCCACCTGCACCCCATGGCTGCAGGTGCAGCTATGGCGTCTTCCTCGGTCAGTGTCGTGATGTCTTCCCTGCAACTCAAGTTCTGGAAGAGGCCGAAATGGATGAAGGTTTCAGTGCTTGACCCAACCGCCGAAGTCCCGGAAAGCGAGAAGGAGAGCGAGAGGATACCGAAACGAGGGCTCATCGGCACTGTGATAGAATGGGTCAAGGAGAGCATCGCAGCTCGCAAGAGAAACCGAGAAGAGGCCGGTTATCTCCCTCTGAGAGATATGGGCGAATCATAGCGACCTCACAAGGTAGCGAATGTTGTACTGAAGAGTGAAGAGTACACATATTTGGAGAGCATTTTCTTGGTGTTTATATCTTGTTGCGTCTGATTTGTTCAATTGATTTATTGATTTCACGCGATGCGACGTTTCTGGATACCATCTCCTTGAGTCAAACATCTTGTTTCTTACCCACATAGCTGTTTCCGGCTTTTTCCTTCTCATCTGTCGTAGTCGCATGGTACGTTGTACATATATAGTGGGGAAGAATACTAGACGACCCCCCGTTCCATGCACTGCATAATTCCATCCTTAGCTCTGATATGTGTTGTTTACCTTCTATTGACACGTGAAAATTGTTAGGTTGACATTAACTGTTCCAAGATACTCGCTGCATCTCTATCTTCTTCTGCAGAGTAGGCATATAAGTCGGTCGTACGAGTCTTATCCTATTAAGGAGTGTACCGAGGCTGTTGCATGTATCTGGTTAGCGTGATATCGGAACGAAAGATTTCCGATGCCGACTGGCCATACCTACAATCTTGAATTTCGTCATCGCGGAATCATCCCAAGTTTGATGATACTTTTTCCGTAGTGACATGTGCAGCTGTGACTATTCTACAGTGTCTTAGATGAATATCGAGAGACTCAAAATTAATCTGCGTCTAATTTTGTGATATTTCCGTTGTACGATTAGAATCCTAGAGAGATCTAAATTCGCATCGGGATCCTTATCGTTATCTTGGTTGTTGTCGCGTGCCTCAGACCCTGTTCCTGCGTTAGTGGCGCTGGCTTGGGACTTGGGGACTGGGATTTTGGGAAAAATCGATGTCATCACTAACAATTCTCGTCTCGTCGTCGGCGTGCCCGATCCCACATCCTTGATTGAATAAATAGAAAAAACTCCTACTCCTACATCTACTGCTTCCTCCTCTCTCGCCCTCTCGCATGACCCTGAGATCCTCTCTCTCGACCTTTTTTCGTGCCGTCCCTTCTAAAACACCTTCATTCGCTTTGCCAACATCCGCAAACATGACCAGCTGGTTCAGCAAACTGAACCCCACGCCGTCTTTCCCGCCCTACACCGGCCCCTACAAAGTCGGAAGCACGCATGTGGAAATTCCTGTCGCGGAGTTAGAGTCTCCTGCGACTTCGCCGGCGCCAAAACCCGATCTCTCGACCGTTGCGTTCCGCGTCTTCTATCCCTGCCAGCAGGATTCACAGCAGAGGGGCGTGAGATGGATACCAAGCCCGCAGAGGGAATACGTGGGAGCATATGCGAGATTTCTAGGGGCGAATAATGCATTCGCGCATATATTTTCGTAAGTCCGAAGCAGCGTCGTTTGTTCAGGTTTGGGATGAATGGTCGCTGATCTTGTGCGCACATGTAGGGTCGTCCCGCAACTACTCTACTACATCTCGATTCCCGTACACCACAATGCCGAAATTCTCGAACCGACGACAAATTCAAAGCGATGGCCGGTCATGTTTTTCTCACATGGTCTGGGCGGGTCGAGAAATGCATACTCGCACATTTGCGGTTCGTTGGCAAGCCATGGAATCGTGGTGGTGGCGCCAGACCATCGAGACGGCAGCGCTCCGATCTCCTTTGTACGAACGCCCGGTGCGCCGCAAAAGCTTAAGAAAGTGGACTACTTGAGAGTGCCACATCAGGCGTCTACAGAGGTCTACGAAGCCCGAGACGAACAGCTCCGCATACGACTATGGGAACTCGGCCTCATCCACGACGCGCTCCTCAAGATTGACACTCGTGTGGCGCTCAGCAACATCGCGGAAGATCAAGCCCACCACAACATGCTCGTCCAGTTCTCCAACAAGCTCGACATCCACACCCCAGGATCCATAGCCTGGACCGGCCATTCCTTCGGCGCAGCAACGATGATCCAATTCACGAAATCCATCTTCTACCGCCAGGACTCCACCACACCCTCAACCTACCGCCCACTCTACGTCCCCTCCCCCAACACCCCTCTAACCCAGCAAATCACCTCAACATCCCCTCTAACCCTCCTCGACCTCTGGGCCCTTCCCCTCCAATCCCCCTCAACAACCTGGCTGAAGTCCCAACCAATGCCGTGCTACACGCCCGGCGGGCCAGGCGGCTCAACTCTCCTCTCCATCCTCAGCGAAGCCTTCTACAAATGGTCCACCAACCTCCAGCAGACCCTCTCCATCCTCTCAGCGCCCCAAAAGAGCGACTCCTCCGTCCTAGGCGCACACATATTCTATCCGACCTCCTCCGCCCACCTCTCGCAGTCAGACTTCGGCACCCTGTTCCCCTGGGTCACGACCAAGGTGTTCGGCGTCAAGGAGCCCCAGCGCGTCATGAAACTCAACGTGCGCGCCATCCTGCAGCTGCTCCGCGACGCTGGCGTCGAGGTTGCGGATACCAGTGCCGCGGACATGGAGGTCGACGGTCTGGGAGGGGAGAAGACGGGCGTGGATAAGATTCTGCTTACTACTGAGGGACACGCTATTAGGGACTGGATTTCGCTGCGGAGTGACGACCTCAAGGATGTAGCGAACGGGGGGAAGGTGGAAGGGGGTCCTCTTGAGGCGGCGGTGGAGACGGAGGTGTTGGGGGAGGTCGCGAGGGATAAGGGGTCGTTGTAGGATGCTCTGTTCCCACTGTCTGCGAGTTTACCTCTTGCTGTTGGTGATGATAAATTCAGAACTTGTTTTTCATGGTTTAGGGCGTTATTGATCTGGACGGGCATACCACGCATTCCTACGGAAGTATACACGATTTCATGCATGGCATTGTTTTCCTGTTTCTTTTATTTGCCTTTTAGATTTTTCATGGTGTTCATGGTAATGTATCTTGGTATAGCATAGCGCAGCGTACATACGAACTTACATAGAACACAACGACTTCACATACACACCTAAACTGGACTGAAACTTCCACACTTATATCACCATGTGCTATCCATCATCAACGTCCCCGTGTCAGGAGTGTGTAGTGTCATCCTTCACGGTGTTCAAGCCTTGCAGTGTCTTGCTCACAGATTCGTGTCATAGCCACCTGGCGCAATACCATCGCCTCTCCCACCGTGTCCTACACATACATATACCGAACACAACAGTCTTATATCAAACAACCCAAAACTACTATACGAGTCTTATAGCCCACTATCCTACATCCCTATCTCCATCCTGTAAGTGGGTAGTGTCGTCCTTCGCAGTGTTCAAGTCCTGCACGATCTCGTCCCCGAGGTGGGTATATAAGGTGTATAGTGTCGTCGAGTCGGGGAGGTAAAGACGTCTCGTATAGCCCTTCAATTGCTCTTTTTAATTCTGATTTTGATTCTGTTTATGCTCTGAGTGGTTTTGTATAGAGGTTAGAGTGCTTGGTATATCATAGCGTATAATACGGCACAGTACGGCATGATATAGTAAGGAACAACATAGTAAAGTGTGAATGTAAGACCTCTAACTACACCTACACCTACACCTGCACCTATATCATAACAAGAAGCCTCCAATAGCACATTATAGGCGCATCAAACACCTTTCCAAGTTCAAAGGCGCCTCTTGTATTCGCCGTTACCGTGACTACATGACACTGTGAGATGTAGTGAACTGAGGCACAGTGAGGCAGATTTTAACAACACAACTCAAGCACCTGAGAGGGACCCCTGTGGAAAGAAAACGCTCTTTTGATCGACTGGTGAGCGGTGGTGGGACGGGGGGGACAGAGAGGTGGGTGTATGATGGGATAGTCGTGGGTGGGGTGAATGGGTGCCGCTCCGCTCCGCTCCGAAGGTTGGGATGAGTTCTTGTTGCGCTAGAAGGTTGTACTTTTGCGAAGTAGGAACGGATGATACTATGTAGATTAATACCGGTGAGCTCTGTTTCCAGACGTTGGGTGGAGAAGGAAAGGGAAGTGAGTGGGCGAGAAGCCAGTCATAGGTGCGGTGACTGTTTGCTACCTAATTTCTCAAGGTTGGGATGATTGTTTGTGCTTTTGCGAAGCAGAAACTAACGAGGTTACATTTATTAAATAGTAAATTCTCGTTCGAGTGTTGATGAGAAAGAAAGAAGAACAGTGAGTATGTGAGGAGTCAGTCATAGTTTATGTGACCGTGCCGCTGATTTCTCGCAGCTTGACTGAGCCCTAACTCTAACCCTGACTCTTATCAAGACGTATCTTTTGAGGAATGTAGACAGAGTTGGATATCTTCTTCTTCGAATACCTCGTACCCTGGGAGTTCCTCTACCTCACCGCCAATTTGGGCACGTCAAACGCACCACACCAGGCCAAGGGCAAGTCGATAGGCAACTGGTCCAAGACCTTCATCCGTACACACCGCCCCAATCAGAATCAAATTGGACGTTTCCAGGAACGAGTTGTAGCCCAGGGCAGAAGCAGTAAACTGTTTCTAGAAGTACAAGCCGTTTCGATCCGGAGGGTTGATCCTCCTTCCCTGTGTAGACGCTCGTCTTGCAAACACTAAAGCGACCTCGCCGCAGCCACAAACTCCATTCTCTGTCCACACAACCCACCGGCAACCCACCAGCAGCCCACCACTCACCTCCACATCCACGATCATCTACAAACCAAACGCCCCCTCGAAGCTTGCTCACCCCCTCACTCACCCAGTACCTGCGCAGCCAAGAGTGGCGCGTGGCCTTCGGTGCTTGACAGGGGTCGGCGCCGCCTTCCACACAACCCACACTATAAATTCCCTGTGCGCGTCAACTTCAACCTCCAGCGCAGTTGACAACCACTTCCACTGCCTCAGCTTCCTCTCCTACGCCCCTTCTGCAACTGACCAAGTAAAGTTGAGACTCACTCAAAACGCCCTGAAGGGGACACTACAGGCTCTCACAGCGAAAGCAGCTATACAAGCTTTCTAAGCTATTTGCCCACAGTCTTGCCATTACCTTCACCCTTCACCCTCTCTCTGCTAACCTGATACCCACCTAGCCATGCCGTCCCACTCACCTTCAACGCCCTACTCCATGCCCTCACCTACCACCCCTACCCATCTTACTTCACCAGAGAAACCTAAGGAAACTATCTTGCAAGCCATGTTCAGAGAGCGAGACCTGCGCTTTCCCAACGCCAATGAGGAGTATGCCGCAATGAAAGCCCAGGTGTTCGAGGAGTGCCAACGTATCTGGGACGCTGAGCAGCAGCAGAAGTATACGTCTAGGAATAAGCGTGCTAATGCCTCGAACGAATTCCAGCCCCACCAGCGACAGCAGCAGCCTGAGAAGAAGCAAGTAACACCTCCCCGAGAGACTACACGAGTATTTGCTAGGCGTGGCGGCATCTCCCCCAAGTTGCGTAGACCCAGCTCGATCGGCGAGATGAGTCCTGGGTTTCACGGTATATCATCCGCCCCCGGATCGCCCGCGCAGAACAAGTTCGCCACGGGTATTGCCCCACTGCAGATGATGGAGACTGGAAAGAGCTTCAGAGCCGAGGTAGCCAATATGCTGCCCAGTGGTAGTCCAACATTCGGACGTACTCTGCCGCCCTCACCTTTGAGCGTCGAATTCAATTTCCCAGATGGAAATAAAGGCGTTGAGCTGTCTCAAAAGAGGAAGGCACGCCCAGACACGCGGCAGGATATGCTCACAGATGACACCAGCCAGCAGAAGACTACATCTGACGTTGAAATTGCTCCGGCTGCCGTCACTCTAGACACATACGTCGCGCCACAGTGGCTAGAAGAGTTCAGAGGTGTGAAGAGAACACGCCGAGGGGGGCGTCTTCAGAATGAACTTGATCACTCCCGGAAGACCTTGTCAAGCCTGAAAGAATTCATTGGCGTTTGTGAACGCTCAACTAACCCTGGGGAGCGTGATCGAGTATACGGGATCCTGACTGAGCTAGTGCACAAAGCTGAGTTCATTCCCATCAACGAAGTCATGCTTGTCCAGACCTTCATCCTGGGGGACACTGGCCTTTGCAGAATCTTCAAGGCTCCCATGTGCCACTTTCCTTGGTATCTACAAGCCGATGCATTCCAGTTGTGCCTGCGGTGGTCTTTGAGGATCTTTGACACTGACCTTCTCCGCGGCATCAATCGACCGAATGCGAGCGCTACATCATACAAATTGAACAGAGACTGGAAGAAAGAGCATCCAACCAATGCTCGCGTCTTCGGGGATAATACCTTGGTGAATGGACAGTGGTGGCCCAACCAGTTGTGTCTTGTTCGAGATGGCGCGCATGGATCCGCGCAAGGAGGTAAGCATAACGTTCGGGTTGACACAATGTAAGCTTCAACTAACGGCCTAGGCATCTATGGTGCGAAGGATAAGGGCGCCTACTCCATCGTCGTATCAGGCAAGTACAAGGACAACGATCAGGGCTACGAGCTCTTCTACATGGGGACGGATGGCAAAGACGAAATCGCCTCAGAGAACACCAACCGTCTAGTCGAGTCCGTCAGGTTCAAGAACCCAGTCCGCGTCATACGTTCCTCCAAGTTGGGTCCGGAAAACCCTTACAGGCCTACACATGGGTATAGGTACGATGGGCTGTACGACGTCGTCGGGTACCAGATCGTCAATCCCTCGAACGCAGTCCACAGGTTCCATCTCGTCAGGCGTGTTGGACAGGACCCACTGCGGTATGGAGACGGCATGACGAATCCTGTTTCTCGGCCAACCAAGCGGGAGATTGCGGAGTATGAGAAGCTGAAGATGAATAACTAGGGGTGAGGGGTACCACTGGGGCCGGACAATCGGTGGAAGATGTTCAGGAGATGCTATGAGCATGGTTGAGTGGCCTCTGTACCCTCTGGCAGTATCAGGACGTGGATGGCAAGTCTGGTGAAAGTTCGTTAACCACGTTCAACAGGGTTGACGTAGGTTACGGACTTCGAGAGAGAATTGGACAACAGCCACCTACGACCTCTTGTTTGAATAGTTCATACCCGAAGGCATTGTAATAGTAGCAACATAACAACTGAATAAAAGTTATAATCCTAAATTCTGGTCTCAAATATGAACTCCTAAATGTCCCATCCTGTCCTATGTTACCCTACAAATGAATAGATGGCCCTGCCATACACATATACAAACATCAAACCATATAATCAACCTCCTCAATCTCATCCACGATGCCCCAGGCCCCCTCATCCGCATCATCAAATCCAAGCAACGGCGTCGAATCGTCCTCCCACCCATTCTCCACCTCCTCTTCCTCCTCCTCCTCAAATCCCCCAACATCCTCATCATAAAACCCATCCACATAAAGCTCCTCGACCCCAACTCCCAACCCCATATCCTTACTAAGATCATTCCCCCAAAAGCAGTCCCCCTCAGCCGGGTCATCATACACCACCTCATCCAACCAGTTCTCCTCCTCACCCTCCCCTTTCACCCCCTTCACGACCTTGACCTCACTCCCCCACCTTCCCCTCTGCCTCTCCCACACGCCCCCCCACCCACTCTCATTCATCGCATGAAAACACCCCCAATTTAACGTCGTCCCACAAATCGCATACCAATGCTCCACGCGCCACGTGTACGGATCCAGATGGCCCGGCCGTCCCGCATCGTCCCAGCGATGATACGCCTTGAGAAAATGCCACAGGCCCGTCGTTTTCCCCATGCACTGCCCGAGATGCCGGAGGTCGCTCTTCGACCAGATAGGCTGGGGGTGTGGGTCGAGCAGCGAGGGCGTCGTGGAGTCCCAGATCTCCTTGTAGATGATGCGGAGGAGGTATTTTTCGAATTTGGGGGCGCCGAGGAAGGAGGAGAGGAACGCGGCGTCTTTTATGGAGGTGGTGTGCCAGCTGGGGTCGCGGAGGGGGGTGTAGTCTTGCAGAGGCGACTTGTCGAAGGTGTAGAGCCAGGTTAGGAAGATGGTCCAGGCTGAGGGGTTGGAGATGGGGGCGATGGCGGAGATGTCGAGGTGGTGGAGGTGGGGGTTTGAGAGGAGGGGCGCCGCGAGGGTTTTGGTGAGGGTTGTGAGGAGGACTTTGTGGAGGGACCAGGTGTGCGTTGAGTTGAGGGTTAGGGTTATGCGGGCTGGGTTCTTCAATGTGCTGGTAGTCATTAGATTCTGGGAGGTTGGGGAGAGGGAGGAAGGGGGTGTTACCGTGGGTATTTGGAGCTGCGGATCGTGTACGCGAGACCGCGCTTCAGGGCGACTTCGAGCTCTGCATCGTCCCAGTCGAGGTATGTTTCTGAGGGCGATGTGCTGGTCTTTCGGTCGAGCTTCGCGAGCTTGTTGGTCATGGCGCGCTGCGAGTCGAAGTGCGTGAGGACCTTTTGTCGCGCGGACATCGTGGCGGCTTTTGTCTTTTCTTTCTGTATTGCAGTGCCTCGCTCTTGCTCTTTCTCTTGCTATAACCCTTGTCCTGGGGTAGTGCTGGGCTGGGTTGGGTCCTGTATACTCTAGATATACACCTCAGGTATATATATACTTCACAGCCCCCAAGACCAGTTGGGATGCGATGGGAGGAGAAATTGTGGGAAAGGGGAGAGAGAGTATTCAAGGGTCAGGAGGTCGGGGACTGATATAAGCTGAATGTGGAGAGGTCAGGCAGTACAAAATTGATACTCGGGGAAAAAAAGACATTGTGATGTATGTGTGGGAACGGGGGGAGTCATGTCGTTGTTGTCGTTGGGAGGATTCGCTGAGGTGTCATCACACGTGTAGATCTTGGGGTTGGGGTGAACAGCCGGAGAAGGCGCCGAGTTGGACACATCGCTGTGGTGGGCGAGGCGGTAATTTGTTTGTTTATTTCTTCTTTATTTTTATTTTCGTTGGGTTAAGATGATTGCGTGATGTTTGTGGATTGCGACATTGAATGAAGTCAATGGCAAGCTTGTGTGCTGAGTAGTTAGCTGTTTTGACCCACCTCTTAAAGACTGCTTCAACATCTTGAGTGGAGGCTGTCGGGCGGGCAGTATGTGTAACCAGAATGTGGCACAGTACAGGCCAGATGGTGAGACGAGAAGGATTCGGAGATTAGCAGATTAGAGAACGTACATACGGAGAGGAGCAGCAGCCTCGGGAAGAAGGAAACAGAGAGGTATCATTTACACACAAATCATACGTGTACATACAAATCAAGTGGTGGTGGTGGGCATAGACAACAAATATCCTATAGAGGGGATCGAAAGACCTTTCACCTTCCTGAGATATTTTTTCGGCTCGACTCATCTGCTTGAAAACGCTTATCATGCCATCGTGAACGCCGTCTTCAATGCAACATAAAAGAAAAAAGAGGTTCTCCCTGAAACGTACACAATAGTGGTGGTATACAGCATCTCAGCTTAGTTTCTCTATTCATCGTCACAGTCCTAGGCCACCAGCCGCCCAGTTCGCGAGATCTTGAGGCTGGAAAGGGTTCTGTGGTTGGGCGGCTGCTTGTCCACCATGGCCTTGTTGTGGTCGAAGTTGATCGGCTTGTTGTCTCAATTCTTGCTCTCGCCGCCTCTGTCGGTATACACGATACCAGAGTAACACCACAAGCGCGCCAGTGAGGCCAAGAATGACTAGAGAATCGATGAGCTCGGAATCAATCTCGTCAAGTGCCTCATCGTAGTCACCGCCGGGCATATGGCCACCTTCGTAGTCGTCCTGTTCATATTCCCAGCCTGCAATCTCGGCCTCGAGGAAGGCATTCAGCCACTCCGACAGCGACCACTCTTTCTTTTCGACTATATATCATTAGTACGTGCTAGAAGCATCGTTGGGACATTGAAAATACCTGGCTCCTCCTGGATGGATTTGATGTCTCCATTCGTAATGGTGTTCCACCAACTCCTAAAACGAAGCTTGTACAGCGCCAAAAGAACGGGGACGTGCGCTTCTCGAGGATTCGTCTCCAGAGCTAGATCATAGTTTCTCTTCGCGAGGTGGAAATCCTGTTCGATGCCGATGCCATTCTCATGCATCCAGCCTAGGTTCCACATCGCCTGCGCGCTCACCAAACTATCAGCTGCGGCCTGATAACAAGCTGCAGCCTTTTCGGCATCAGCTTTAGTACCGAGGCCGTTGAGGTAGTAGTCGCCCAGCTTGACCATCGAGTCAATGTTCTTCTGCTCCGCCGATCTTGTCCAGTATATCAGTGCCAGGAAAGCATCGCCGGCTAACGTGGCTTTCTTTTGCAAAAAGGGAATGAGTGAATTGAGTGTGAAGCGGGGCTTGGCTTGGTCCAGAAGGTATGCAACATTCGCCTGTCCGATCTCGAAACCTTGCTCGGCTGCCATCATGTAGCCCACAAGTGCGGTCTCGAGGTCTCCTTCAGCATAGGCGTCGTTGGCTTCCGGGAATGCGGTCGACACGACCTCGGCATTCTCCGCGACGATCTTGTAATACGCGGATGCCACTGCACACGACTTGTCTTTGCCCACACCGTTGTGTGTCATCTCTGCCAGATAATAATAAGCCTCCATGTGTCCATGTCGTGCCGCTAAGCCGAAATATTCGAGTGCTGTCGGGATGTCTCCTTGATCCAAGAACAGAGCACCCATCCTAACTTGGGCGGCGGGGAAATCCTGGTCTGCCGCAGCGCCAAAGTAATTTGCAGCCTTAACCGCATCTTGCTCTACGCCCAGTCCTTCAAGATATAGCAAGCCGAGCGAGTATTGCGAGAGCGCGTCTCCGAGTTCCACTCCCCGTTTGAACCATGTGTGGGCGATGCTGAAGCTTTGAGGCATTCCCTCGCCGCGGGAGAACATGCGACCGAGGTAGCCAGCAGCTTTCGCAGCGAGCTTCTCAGTCACGGGAGAGACGTTTTGTTTCGCCTTGCCCTCCTTGGGCCAGTACATGCGAGCGAGATCGAGAAACCGCTTCTTAGCAGCTTGGAGATCACGCTTGAAATTCCGAGCCCCATCGTAGTTCAGCTTGGCCAAATTAAAGCTCGCCCGTGGATCGCCTTTCCTAGCCTGCAGATCCATGTATTCGAATACATCTTCCAAGGAAGAAAACGTATCCGAGTGAACGCCGCCCTGTTTGGCGTTGGGACCCGAACTGGCAACACTTGCTCCTTCGCCGTAGACCCCGCCTTCGTCGTCTGCGATCCTGTACGCCTCTTTGAGCATCGAATGTCCGCCCGGCGGTCCGGATCTCATGTATGCCATGGCTTTGTCCGCCGCGCTCTTGTAGTAATAAACAGATTCCTCGCAGTTTCTGGGTGTAGCTATTCCTGACGAATATCGGTATGCCATTGTCATTTCCGATCGGATATCTCCTCCCTCGGCCGCCAGCATGTGATACATCATTGCCTTTGCCTGATCTTGCGGCACAGCACCTCCAATTCCTGTCGCGTACATGAAGCCGACCATGTGTTGGGCGGAAGCGTTGCCGTTCAGCATCGCGAGCTCGTGGTATCGCTTGAACGCCGCCTGGTAATTCCTGGGATGTGTATGATTTCCCCAGAAGTTCAACTCGGCGAGCACAAACAGGGCATCCGGGTTTCTCGCCGCGGCCGATTCTTCCAACAGTTTAACCGCTTTTTCGAGGGTCGGACTAAGCTTCTTGGGTTCGTTGCTGGAGGTCAGAAGCTGTGGTTGCGGGGGACCGTTCATGAAGAGGAGGAAAAAGAGCTCTTTGGCATAGTAGGCAGTGGCACCGAATATGCCATTCTTCTTGTCAAAGTCGTACCACGGCGCAGAAGCTGGGCGGATCTTCCGTAGAAGTTGGGAGGCTTCCTCGAAGGAAGATGCACCTGTTTCTCCATCTTTGGGGATCTTTGCTCCCCAGCTGCCCGGTGGCGGGGGTTCTTGTTTCAACGGCGTTTGCGCATGTAATCGAGGATCATTTTCGGGGACTTCAGCCAGCGAGAGGCAGAGGAGAAAGGATAAGATCACTGGTGAGGATTTCCTGTCAGTTATATGTACAATTGACGCAAAAGGTGGTGGTGTTGGCGGTGATCAGTACCGAAGAAGAGTGGCACGAGCTGCGGGCGCGGTAACCGTGGCTTCATTGTGAGGACTGGAGAGAGTGGGAAGAGACGTCTAGAATCATTGCGACATCCCTCTAGAGGGTAGAGAGGAGGGAAAAGAAGGTTCAAGATAAAGCCTCGAGAGCTGAATGAGGTGTTGTGAGGCGTAGTTGTAGTGCGAGTAATACTAAATGGGTAAACTAAGAAGATGCCAGCTTGTTGTTCTGAAGCTCTCGGGCGGCATCATAGCCCTGGCCCTGGTCCCTTATCCCTCCTTATCAATCCCCAGCCAATCAGAGCCCGCCTTACTAGACATCTTCCTCCCATCTCATCTCATCTTCTATGACAACCAGAAAACAGAATACACAAGTGCATCCATGACCTTTTACTTATAACGTTAAACATCAATAGTTCTCAATTGATCAATCCGGGATACTGGTAGAGCTATATTCAACAATGAATGCTATACAACTCCGTACATATTCGTCCTAGTTGATCCATACGAGGTACAGTCAGATCAGTCCCACCCTTCCATTTGTCATCAAACATGAGTGACGTCTCTACTTTACTTACTCTCCATCTCAGATACATCTTCATACTTTATACACCTTTCTATCATGTTCAATTTGTATCAGAAATTAGAAGTATTAATATCATAAGGCCCTATAGAAAGAAAGTAGGAAGTAATGGCACATCCTACGAGCAGCAGCTCGGCGGAACGCACTCCACTTCTTCACCAGGACGACTCGTCCGTGACCACCTCCTCGGCATCAAAGTCGCCAGCTTCATCTTCTCTCCCACCTAATGAGATATCCCGTGCTGGTGATGATAGCAATGATACTGAGGCTGCGCCTCCAATATCTCGCGCCAGAGGTGCTGTCATCATCTCATCTGTTGGCTTGCTCATCTTCCTTCAAGGTATGATATCTATTTGCTCTTATACGTCCCGTACCCTTCTCGGACGAATCTAGCAATCCGTCATGATACTACCCGGAGTCCACCAAACACCCACACATTATCTTGGTGATATATACAGCCTGTACATATGAGCACTACGTTGACGTAAAACACCCTAGCAACCAACATCTCTATTCTAACAACTACACAATCCGCAATCGCGGCTGACCTGGATGCCTTCGAGAAAGCAAGTTGGTTCACATCATCTTATCTCATCGCAATGTCTTCTCTTGCTCCGTTAATGGGACGATTGTCTCAAGTCTTCAGCCCTCGCATGGTCATGTTCGTGTCCGATATCGTCATCTGCATTGGAACCATCATCACTGCCACTTCTGTCTCATTTGAGATGTTCATCGCGGGTCGCATCGTGACAGGAGCTGGCGCGGCGGGGATGCTCGTCGTTGCAAGCATCATTGCCATCCAGATGGCCGGGCCGAAGAGAAGAGGTCTTTTCCTGGGCCTGGTCAACACCGGAATGACCGTCGGCGTGTCTCTGGGAGCCGTCATTGCTGGTGCACTGGAACCAGTTATTGGATGGGTGAGTGACTTAAGTTTGAAAGATGTCGTCCAGGAATAGTCTTGTACTGACACGTACTGCAAGAAACCCGTCTTTGGCCTGCAGGCGCCGCTCGCCTTTATCGGAGGCATAGGTCTACTCTTAGGGATTCCCGCAGGCTACAAGTCAAAAGGGAACTCCTACAGCGGCCTCACACTTCGCCAGAAACTTGCCCGCATCGACTATTCAGGGTGTTTACTTCTGATTATCACTATCACGCTTTTCCTTCTCGGCTTGTCCGGTCCTCGCATCCTCGCCACGCCTTTGATTTTGTCTGCCTTTGCTCTTCCGGTCTTCATCCTTAACGAAGTATACGTCGCGCGTGATCCTGTTATCCCAATCACTATCTTCAAGTCTCGTGGCACTCTTTTGACTTGTTTAGCTACCGTTGGTTTCATGATGGCCAGGTGGTGCGTCTTATTCTATTCCCCAGTGTATGCTCTTGCTGTGCGAGGGTGGAAGCCCGCAGTCGCTGGGTCTATCCTCATCCCGACAAATGCTGGGTTCGCCAGTGGTGGCCTTCTGGCTGGATACTTCCACATCCGCCGAGATGGAAGTTTCTACGGTCATACATTGATCTCAATGTCTCTGTAAGTGACTGCCATCGATGTTTATATGTACCTTGGGAACTGTCTAATTCCGCTGCCCCAGCTTTCCCATCACCCTCTTCGTCATCGGCTTTCTCAGCACCGCACAGAGTTCGTCTGCCTTGTATATTATCATGGTTTTCTTGAATGGCCTTGTCACCGGCGCATCGCTCAACTATGCACTCGTCCACCTCCTCCACCTCACCGTTCCGGACGTGCATCCCGTTGTTCTGTCCCTCCTCGCAACATTCCGCGGCTTCGCTGGTAGTTTCGGCGCAGCGATTGGCGGCGGACTGTTTGGCCGCGTCCTACAGAAAAGCCTCGTGGAAGGATTCAAGGACGCTGGATTGAATCATCGCGGTGACCTTGTCCGCAGACTATTGGGTAGCCCAGCATTGGTTCGTTTGTTAGACGGTGCCGAGAGACAGGTCGCAACGCATGGGTATGAAGATGCTCTGCGAACACTGTTCTATAGCGGAGTGGGTCTTGCCGTGGTGGTGGTCTTTGTGCAAGCTGGCACGGGATGGAACCCGCCAGTGAAGGAGGTAGGGCAGGTAGAGGAAGATGAAGAGGTCGGAGGTGAGGAATCTCTGCTTGGAGGCTCGTAGTGGGTAGTCGTATATCTAGAATTTGGATTCACAGTGAAGAGAGAAGAAGAGGAGGAAACAGCATCTAGACTGTAAATATTGATGATATAACCTAGAGATTTACAGCCACTTGCATAAGAATAGCACTTTGGTAACTCAGTCTGGTAATCTCCATGATCGGGGTCTCCCCATCAAACTACTATTCGTCTTGGATGCCGCTCATGCCTGTAAACATCGTAGGCTTCACTCACTCAACACTGCGTTGATGACAACATACCATACCTCATTATACCTTACCGTGACGTATCTGGAGTTATAACTCGTCTGCCTCTCCGTCATAAATCTCGGCGCGCAGATCAACCGGTGAACTGCATGGTGAACTGCAACAACCCGACGCGCCTCTGCATCCGCACAACCCGCCCGATTACACGCGACAATACTTGTTTATTGTGCTCTCACTCACTAACTCTCTTTCCATCTCTCTCTCTCACTTTCACTACAAGAATTTTTCTACTTTGTCTCCTTCACTCCCCGCTCCTACCTTTACCTTCCGCCTCAAAAGCCTTCGTGCCCCGCTCCGCCAACCAACCACACCACCTCCCTCTCTACAACCTGCTCACTGCTTATCCTTTCTCTCCTTCGTTGAGACTTCCACCCGATCAACGCGATAGTCTACTGAGCCTCGCGCGTAACAAGTCAATTGTGTGGTAACTCATACATACACGCGATTCATTCCATCCACAGTAAGTTCCGCGTCTTTGATTACTCCAATCCGCGCGACCACCGAGACCTAACTCATCACTTGAGCTGCCATCTTTCCCCCACAACTTCCAATCCCATCCTCACTTCAAATTTTCCCCTGCGACTCTCCTCATCATCGTCATCAATCATGGGTCGTCCTGTCAACATGGGTTACATCGCGGGCATGCCCTCCAACCCTTACCCCAAGCCCAAGGAGGTTCAGGCCCTCAACACGACCTGCGAGGTCTGTGATCGCGTCATCAAGACCAAGGACTGGTTGGCGCACAAGAACTCCAAGAAGCATCGTCAGGCCGAGGAGAAAGTGAAGGAGAATCTCCAGCCTGCCCAAGCTCCCATCGCTGATGATGCCGGCAATGTCGCCACGGACAACGGCTTCTCTAATGATGGCGGATGGGGCACTGTAGGTGACAGCTTCGGAGATGATGCCACCGCTGGTTATCACGCCCAGCGCGGCGCTATCGAAGGAGGTGCTGGAGGCTGCTACCTCTGTGGCGAAGACGGCCACATGAAGCGCGATTGTCCCAAGCAGGGAGGTCAGCGCGGTTGCTTCAACTGTGGAGAGACTGGGTAAGTTTGCATCCTCTGCCCATATCAGTGAAGCTTTGCCTAACGGATCAGTCACCGCAAGGCGGACTGTCCCAATCCACCCCAGGGACGCCCTGATCGTGCTTGCTTCAAGTGTAAGTTGCCGCGCGTCTTTCGAGACTACGCTGGCCAGTGACTAAACAACATATCTAGGTGGCCAGACTGGCCACAGCAAGGTGGACTGCCCCAATGAGGCTCAAGGTGGTGGAGGCGGCGGTCGTCTTTGCCACAACTGCCAGCAGCCGGGGTAAGTGAGTCTCAACGGGTATATGATAACATTCTAATCAATTTGTTAGCCACAACAAGTCCGATTGCACCAACGAGCGCGTTATGAAGTGCCGCAACTGCGATGCCAGTACGCGTATTGTATCCCAACTGCCAGGTATATACTGACTCGTCTAGTCGGACACATGAGCAAGGAGTGCGATCAGCCCAAGGACTGGTCTCGTGTCAAGTGCAACAGTGAGTTGTTTCCCATAAACAACCTATTGTCTAATCTTGTTTACTGACCTATCTTCCAGACTGCCAGAACAGTAAGAACTTTCCTTGAAAGGTACATAACTTTCAGTGACTAACATAGCGACAGTGGGTCATACTGTCAAGCGTTGCCCCGAGCCTATCAAGGAGCAGACTGGTTTCGGAGGTTTCGACAACGACACTGGCGCCGTCTCTGGTGACTGGGCTGGCACTGATACCGGCGGCGTCAGCGGCGATGCCAACGGCAGCTGGGCGGATGCAGGCGAAGACGCCGCTGCAACTGCTTCCTGGGGCGAGTCCACCGGCAACGAGGAGACCACTACTAGCAGCTGGTAAGAGGCGCTATGAATTGGTCGTCTACTGTCCTTCACAACGATGGGCAAGCTTCTAATGCAGCGGCGACTTAATGTTCACACGAACAGTGTGCAACTCACCAACTTCGGACAATGGGATGGGATGAACAGGCGTTCGGGTGGTTTTCTTTCCAAATGAGCAGCAGCGTTTCCATGATAGTGGGTGGACGTACGAAGGCAGTATCGCATTCGGACGTTCTTGCAGCGGTACTTACCGTTGCTGTACTACGTATATCCAATGGACGATTCAAGCTCTCATTCGATTCTAACGTGACGCGGAAGCAAGCATGGCTGATCTTGATTAAGGATTCCCATCCCTTATGTGCCTCCTTTGACTATGCAACTGGGTGGCACAAGACTGGAATACAAGATTCCCAAATTGGTCATCTCGTGACTGACATCGGCAGCTACACTGAGTACGATCTATGAAATTTAATTGACTGAGCATAGAGTAACCCTATCCAGCTGGCAAGGGAAACTTGCTACAAGACGAAGCACTCGAAGATTAAAGGAGTTTTTGAAAATGGAAGTCTGGAGCGTCGCCCCTCCTTTTTCACCGATTTCAGAAGCTACACACAAGGGACCAATTTTCCAGCATTGAATTATCTCTCCATCTAGACCATTGACTTGCCCAGAGTGAGATAAATCAGTCCCCTTCTGAAGTGATCCCCAACGGATCTTCTCCCGTCTTGTTATGCATATGTGGTATGTAAACATGTGCCACCAGTGATTCGGCGGAATGTCTTGACCAGACCAGGCCTTTTCTCAAACCGCAGGAATGAAAAACATCATGGCCCGCATTGACGAAGTTTCAGCCAACGAATAATCGAGAAGCATCCCGACAGCCTGAAAAGTTGCTCTAGCGATGGTTTCCGATTTTCTACCGTTTGTTTAGAGCGGAACTCGATTCCGGGTTCTAAAAGCTGTCGGGCTTGCATCATCCACATTCTCTCCCTTGGGCATGGCTCCAAATGGCCATCACATTGCCCTTGCTTGAATAACCACAAAACCACATCTAAAAGTCAGTTGCGATGCCCCTTCAACTTCAACTTCAGACATTTTCAACAACGACATCGTCCAGTCTTTACCGCCCATCATGGCTCCAGCGTGCCAGAACGCTGCGACTAGCTTACTGCTTTCCATTCTTCTAGCCAGCAACTCTGTCTCTGCCGCTGTCATTTCTTCCAATAACCAGGACCCCGGCGTCATCAATGCCAGAGCGCAGGTGGTGACCGACGCCAAAATTCCGGACTCATCCTCCGCAATCCAAAAACCAAACCTCAGCAACTTCTTCACAGATCTCGGCGCATTCCTAAGCGACTACGACGCTGAAGATGTCGTCAAATATCTCGTCGGCAAGTTGGCACCCGGTACCACTCCCGGACGCGCTCAGGCTTCCAGCGTTTCCATCACGATTCCATCGACATCTGCTCAGGGGGTAGCAGCACTAAGACCCAGGACCTCGTCGTCGAAATCGAAAGTCATCGCTGTGAGCTCATCCATTGCGAAGCCGAGCCTATCAAGCACTTTAAGATTAAGTTCCGTCTCATCTTCCATCTCGGTAGCGAATCCTGTGCCTTCGAGAGTCTCGGTGTCTAATCCGGCCCCCTCGTCCACGTCGATATCAAATCCTGCCCCTTCATCGGTGTCAGTGTCAAATCCAGTACCATCATCAACGTCGATATCGAACCCGGTCCCATCATCAGTCTCGGTATCGCCGCCGACGAGCAGCAGCCTATCGCTTTCCAGTGCGTCGATCTCAAGCCTGGCCTTTCCAAGCTTCTCAGTGTCCAGTCAGTCGAGTCCAAGCATTGCGGTGCAGAGCGCGTCTGTTGCAGATGGATCTGTATCAGATCCGGCTCCGTCGAGTGTATCGATTTCTGAGGCTCTCTCGGCATCGGCTTCTATCGAAAGTCCAGTGCCTTCGTCTATTTCTATCGAGAACCCGGCTCCATCGTCTGTATCTGTAGAGAATCCGGTGCCATCATCTGTCTCTATTGAAAACCCAGTTCCTTCGTCAGTGTCTGTGGAGAATCCAGTCCCTTCGTCGATTTCGATCGAGAACCCTGTTCCTTCATCTGTCTCTATCGAAAACCCGGTGCCTTCTTCAGTTTCGGTCGAGAATGTCGCTCCTTCGTCCATCTCTATCGAGAACCCAGTTCCGTCGTCAATCTCTATCGAAAATCCACTTCCTTCGAGTGTATCGATCGAAAATCCGGTACCTTCGTCGACATCGATTGAAAATCCGGTCCCGTCATCTATCTCCGTTGAGAATCCAGCTCCCTCGTCGGAGTCTGTCGAAGTTCCGACTCCCTCATCTGTGTCTGTCGAAGTTCCGGCTCCCTCATCTGTGTCTCTTGAGAATCCAGTTTCTTCGAGTGTTGCGATTTCTGAGCCCCTTCCTTCGCCCACCTCCATTGAGGCACCGGGTGTTTCAGCTGCCTCTATCGAAAGCCCTACTATTTCAAGTATCGAAGTATCGCTTTCTACATCAGAACCATCAAGCGTTGAAGTGTCGGCACCTGTGTTAGAGACACCCAGCATTGAGGTGCCCGAACCATCGAGCATCGACATTTTCGCGTCGATTCCGACGCCAGGCGCATCATCAATCGCCTCACCGATCGTTAATGCATCAGTCATCGCATCCGCGACAGCCCAGGCGGACGTTTTCGCAACAGTCGACGCTGATCTCCCCGTTGAGCCTACCATCGTTGAAACCGTCCCTAGCATCACAGAGGAACTCCCTTCAGAAACGGACGGGGAGTTCCACATCTTGCCGTTCCCTTTCCCTATCGAGACTACGGCCGTTCAAGACGCCCCGAGTGTTACAGAGGAACTTCCAGTAGAGACTGACGGTGATTTCCACATTCTCCCATTTCCATTCCCGATCGAGACTACAGCCGTTGAAGATGGTTCTAGCATCACAGAGGAACTTCCCTTGGAGACAGACGGGGAATTCCATATTCTGCCTTTCCCTTTCCCCATTGAGACTACCGCCGTTGAAGATGCTCCCAGCGTTACAGGTGAACTTCCTGTGGAGACCGATGGTGATTTCCATATCTTGCCTTTCCCATTCCCAATCGAGACCACAGCCGTTGACTTCCCAGAATCGACTGGCGTCTCACAAGATATTCTTGATGAGTTTGGTCTGCCAATCACAACGACCACCGAGCTATTCGATGGTCCAGTGGCCACGATCCCTGGCAGCTCGGTTGCAGAACCTTCTGCGACGTCAGTCTCGGCCGCTCTCGTGGCCAACGACGTGGAAACTCTCATTTTGACCATCCCTGACCCTCTCCCTACCGCAATTTTGGTCATTCCGAATTTTTTCAATGCTACACAACCCAGTCTTAGTGACGCAGCGCTTCCAGCCGATACCACCTCGATCGCCGCCGATGTGCCGGAACCCAGTATTACTGACCTTGAGGTCTTTCCTACCATTATAGATGACCTTCCACAGGAAACGACGATCGATAGTCTAGAACTAAGTCTGACTCTTGAAGCGTTACCGACTAGTGTCAGTGGGTTTCCAACGCCTGCGACGGAGAGTTTAAATGCCACTGCCACTATTGCAAACGCTACTAGCTTGGAAGCATTTCCTACGATCGTCGATTTTCCAACGATATCAGCGGAAGTACCAAACGTTACCATCAGCGAGCCAAACATCACCGATCTCGAGGAGTTCTCTACCATCACTGATCTGCCGGAAGTCTCTATAGAAACACTAAATGTCACTACTGCCACACCGAACGTGACCAGTGTAGACGCATTCTCGACAAGTTTAGCAGAGCCGCCGAATGTGACAGTCTCCGAACCGAGTATCACCGATCTTGAAGCTTTCCCCACGATCATTGACGACTTGCCTCCTTTCTCGGTTGAATCCGCCAACGTCACTGTAGCGAACATCAGCGGAGTTGCCCAACCTACCATTACCCCTGCTATTTCGGTATCCGCACAGCTAAATCAATCAATCTCTGCATCTGCACCCTTAGAGGCGTCTAACATTTCTATTCCTCAACCACAGGTCAATGCGAGTGTCAAGTCAACGACCCCAACTCCTAGGCCCACTTTCATTTTTGGTACCAGACCATTTACAAGGCCTTCACGGTCTCCTATAACACCACTGAGTCGGACACTTTCAGCTGCATCGGTGCCTACGGAGATTTCGATTCCTGAGACTTCTTCGCCTTCTATAGCTGTGACGACTCTCGAACCCCTAACGCTACCGACGGTCACTGAAAGCGTTGCGTTTTCAACGTTCGAAGTAGTAACTTCTTCTGCTGTGGAAGAGGGGGTCCCCGAGGATGAGGTAACTGTAATCTTTACCCTTCCTTCGCCCACAGCAAGTCGGGTTCCGGACTATCATATCGAGATCGTGCCATACCCCGTGTCACGTCCTAGAAAGAATGCCACTACAGCCATTGCAGTTCCAACCTTACTCGGTTCACTAGCAACGACGATCACGATCAAACAAACGAGCACGCGCTTCATCACGCATACCATTCGCCCACTTCCTACCTCTGCTTCCATTGAATCAAATAGCACAGTTGGGCTGAATGCCACAGCGCCGGCACGAAACAACACGATCACATTCCTCCCTGGCGAACGCCGTTCTCTCTTGTCCGTCTGCTCCGAGCCCAAGATAAAGACCGTCACCCTACCTCTCTTGACGACATTCTATGGACCGAACGCCTATCCAGCCCTCAATCCCTTCCCAGGATGCATCCCGCCAGTCACCAACTCCTCACAGGCAATCCGTGCGCCAGGCCTGCTGAACTGCACCGCTTTGGGTGAGCAAGTTCAGGCTTGCCAACGCCTAGGCAAACGCGTTCTCCTCTCCGTCAAAGCCGCAGATCCCACAGCCGTCGGCGGAAACTTCGACTACGGCAAGCCTGGTAGCGATCCCGAACCCTTCGGCCCCCATTTCGGCGACATTGGCCCGGATCGCAATGATTCACTCTCGCTGCCAGCCTTCGGCAACAACAGACAGCCAAACCTTTTCGACGAGCGACATCCCGCTACCGCCTTTGCTTTGACTCTGTTCTCGCTCTTCGGTGAGGGACATACTGAGCGAGCGGACCTGCGACCTCTCGGTCCGGATACGCCAAACACGGCTTCCCCGGATGGCATACGCTGGTGGACGCGGCCGCTGGGCGAGGAGGTGGTCGTCGATGGTTTCGACGTCAGGGTTCCCAATGAGTGGAGGGGCAAGTACCAAGCGACTCAATTCCAAGCGTTCGTGAAGAGGCTTAGGGAATTGAACGAAGATGCTTGGAAGGAAGCTGGTGGATCGGCGGGCAGTCCGCAGGATTTAGGTGCGGATGGGAAGCCGATTGTCGTGTTGGGATGGATTTGAAAGCATCGATCTGAAGGTGGGTATGGTGAGAGTTTGAGCAGAAAAGTGTGGTCATTCTTTCGTTGGGGGAATGGCTTTGATTGTGTATTCTTCACTACGTAATATTTCATTTCTGGTTCTCTGGATTGAAGCCCTTTGAACCCCGGTTTTTCTTTTCCTTTTATATCTTATCCACGACATGGCCTCTGTTTCCAATAGGGACGGTCCACGTCGAAGTCACATGAGGTTGAAATTGAAATTGCAGCTTTTACGAATACAAGGAAAATTAGAACAACAGACGAATGTTCACAAATGAGGCCGAGCTTTTTCAATGTTACAAAAGTCAATTCTTCGTGAACGCTAATAACAATACATGAATAAGTCGAATTTGAGGGTATTACAAAACATCAGCCGCTTCTTGCAGCCTTTTCCAACTTCTCGCATGCTTGTAGTTAAAACAGCCATAAATTAGTTCTTCAGTCCAAACCTCGCCCGTCACCCTCCCCAATAAAAAAACTTTTGTGGTATCAAATTCCTCATTCCCTCGCCTTCTCCTCCCCTCACGCCAAATCATACCTCACCCTCAACTCCTCCCTCGACCGCATCGACCCCGCATAAATATTCTTCTGCTGGCCCCTCGACTTCGGACACCACATGCTGGAGCTGCTGCCGTACCCTGTGATCTGCTCGGCCTCCGCGGGCGTCACGTAGCGGATCTCATTCGCGCGGCGGATCTCGTTCTCGAGCTTCATGCGCTGGTACCAGGAGGAGACGGAGGATGAGGAGGAGACGGATTTGGTGGTGGTTGTGCTGGAGGGTTTGGATGAGGAGAGGTGCGCTTGGTAGGATGGTGGTGGTTGTTGTTGGGGGTTGGCGGTGATGGTGGTGTAGGTGGTGGTGTAGGTGGGGGGGACTTCGTAGAGGGTTGTGTATGCCATTTTTGGGGTTGGTTTGTTGGTCTTGTTTTGTGGAAAGATAGATGTTGTTGGAGTTATATGGAGATTGGACTGTTGTTTGGTTAGTATGTTTGTAAATTGTTTGAGGTTATTTGGGTTTCGTACTGTTTAGGCTTGAGAATGATATATAGTTGAGTTGATGTTGGGCCGGCTTTGGCAAATTTTGGTAAGGTCGGGGTATTTAGATTGACTTTTTGAAGCTATTGATTGAGGGAAGTAATAGAGGATTTTGTTTTGATTGATGTTCTACTCATTCGTTCAGCGGGCATTCGTCTGAATTTATCAATCATGAGTCCCCCATGCTCGGCTCTGTCCTCGGCTTCAAAGCCGAGATGGCTAACACTAAGATGGCTAGCCTATGTTTTGCCCGTGCGGGAAAACGTTTTTCTCTCAGCTAAAGAATGACTGATTGGGCACTCGATTCATAATGATGATTCACGCCATGTGGTGATGAGTCTTGAAAGCCGAGATGTCGGTCATGACGACACCGAGGCGCAACAATGGGCGACCAGAGGCTTGTCTGCCTTGTCGTAGGCGCAAAGTAGCCTGCGACCACGCCCGTCCGATTTGTTCTCGATGTATTCGCAGAAAGCATCCAGACGCTTGCAAGTATGGTGTCAGCATTGTATCGAGTCGACAACCCGTCGACGAGCCGCTGCGTGCGGCATCACCGCAGATAAATGATGGCCTCGATATTCTGCCTGAGCCGCCTGTGAGAGCAGCGCCGCGGAATAGCGAGGATTTTACACCAGGATACTTGGGCTTTACGTCTTTCTATCGAACGTTCAATGAGGCGTCTACAAGTATACCTGCATCGCCTCATTTCGAGCTGGGCAATTCTCTGAATGAAGTATCGGATTCTCCAGGAGCGGTCCTGAGCCTGCCAGATCCCACCCTCCAAGCCAGTGTAGCGGTGCTGAAATGTTTCCCAGGGAGGCAGAAAGCGCAGGACCTCCTCAGAGCTCATTTTGATCCTCACGACGGTTGGCTGCGTCCCGTAGCAGAGTTTACTCTAGTCGAGCTTTATGACACCTTCGATCAAGTGATTACAGGCACGCCTTCCCAAGGTCAATTGGAAACCCTGGCTCGTACCATTTCCAACAACACAGCGAGACCGTTTCAAGATGACGAAGTAGATGCGCGAAAATGGATTGACCAGTTTTCCGGCAGAAACACCAGATGGGAAACACTAGGTATTCTGTTCAGCTACTGGGAGTGCGGCGCGCGTAACAGCATTAATAGAGACGAGAGGCTGATGGAATCCTTTCAAAGATGCGTCGAGCATTGCTTTCGAATGGCAAGAAACGCTTCGAGCGGAGCAAATTGCATGGTGCTGTACCTTTCGTGGAAGCGAACTGTGTTTGGGTCGATGACAGCAGGAAGTGCTAGTGAGTCCGTCATGAATTTCTCAGTTTTGGACACGTACTGATAGCTATTTCGCAGATTTGCTGTGCTGGGAATATCACGCAGAGTCTGTGGCTCTGCTAACTTTCGCAGGATGGCATGCGAGCACCATGCAAGCTCAGCAATCTCCTACCCTGGCTTCCGAGATGAGGCATAGAATCAATATCATGATATATGTAGGCGACAAAATATCAGCATCCTTTACGGGGAGACCTCCTTTGATGAGTCGAAGATTCATGTCGGCCCCCCTTCCCCTTGACCTAGAGGATGATGCCTTGCTTTCGGATAGGAATACGTTGCAGAGCGCTGCGGCACTATTAAACGAGACAGAATGGGCTGACCGAGACAATCTGTGCACGTCGACGTTTCTTCGGGCTCGAGCGAAGCTAACTTTCATAAGAGAAGAGATTCTTGAGCTTGCATTAGGTGGGCATACGACCACTAGTGCTGATACACTTCGGTAGGTTCACTTTCAAGACATTTTTCTGATTAGAAACTGATCGTGCCACAAGAGATGTCAAGTCGCGAGCAGAGCAGGTGTTCAGAGATTTCCCCAGATCTCTTCAATTGAATCTGGCGGGGACAATCAACCAAGACACGGATGCTCCCACCCTACACATGAGACTTATAGCCTATCTTGAACACTTACAGAATCTCTTCTTCATTGAGAGACTCTTGATTCGAAACCATGCAGCAACGCGAGACGAAATCCTATCAATAAGCTACAGAATGGTGTCAACGACTCTACTGTACTGGAGAAATATGGACCGTCTATCTGCGCTGAGAACGGACTTCCAGTGGCTCGTGAGTTTGCGCCATCTGTTGCTGCTTCTGATGCAAACACAGCACCACCTCAACATCTATCATTGAACGCTAACAAATTTAGGTAATGGCATATGCAGCCCCCGGAGGCGGCATCCTCTGCCTGGAGCTCGTTCGGCCCACCATGACAAGCTTCGCACACGATCCATCGCTGAGCCGGTCAAACATCATTCAGCAGTTGAGCTTACTGGTAGGATTCTTGGACTGGGGTGTCTCCATCGCAACGCCGAACAGGAAGCTCTGCGCAGCATGCAAGACGATCATCGAGCGGGTGCTCGACCACACACTGAACGCGCCTCCGAATGGTCATATCATGGATGCGGATATGCTGGGGATGGGCACGCTGAACGAGCTGGATTTCGATTTCAATCTCCTGGACACTTTCGACTGGATGCCGATGGAGATGTCTCAACCTCCATAGTTTAGTTCAAGGAAAAATAAAACTATTGATTCCACCCACGTGGCCAAATATGTAAAATGAATGATGAATAAAACAGACCAGTCACGTACTGTATATGCAAGTACAAGGTTCGCACGGTCAGACGTAGACTTTCCTTCAGATCATATTTCTCCTCAACGCCCCACCCAAAGCCGAGCGGAAAGCCGAGCGAGTCTGTGGAGTCAGAAGCCGAGCTTTCGGCTTTCAAACAAAACCTTCGGTGCAAAAGTTTGCGTAGCGGGTGTCACGCAATGGGTGCTGAGTCAAAACGCCTTTGACGTACCTCGTACTTTGTATTCGTAGTTATCAAGGCTCTTTTTTTTCTAGAAGGTATTTGTACGAGGTGGTGATGTCAATTTTGCTTACAATGCCACGCGAAGCAGACGACTAGCTCGGTTTTGCGGAGAATTACAAACACCCGCTTGCTTCCGATCAGTAGTAAGCAGGTTGCATGCTACGTCATTGTTGATTTGGGACAGAGGGGAAGGTAAAGGGGGAATATTTTATTTCCGTTATGCTAGAAGACGTTTGTGTTTTCTTACTATTCCATTCCCAATGAGAAGTATGGGTGGTCCTTTCTTTTGTTACGGGTATGACGAAGTTCGAATATGCCAGATGCACTAGTTTAGCAAAGCGCACGCCAGGTTCTACAGAGTGCTGTTCGAGCTGAACGGTAGCCGTAACAACACTATATAATTTCGCGCAGTTTGTAAAGGTGTGTCAGAGAGTATGAAAGATCATGATCATTTATAGGGGTCATTTCGCACCGCGCCTGGAGTGTAGCTAATATTAAGTCGTTGATGTAAAGATAGAGCAACGGTCAACCCAAAAAAAGCCAATCTGCCCTGACGATCAGAGGTGGATCCAAGCATGGGGTATTCGATGATCTGGTCTACTGCAGTGATGACTCCATTGGGTCGTTTGGAATCGCTCTTAGTCGTACCGCATACCATTCGGGGAGGTAATGCTAGATTCCGGGCGCATCCAGGGAAAGGTCTTGCACGTCGAGATGGATAACAAGATGAAAGCGATAGGACTTGGAACCCAAAACCAAGATGTCGGTTACTGCACAATGGCGTTGGAGGCTTATCATCGCCCTGTTATTTGCTTCTTTTGCACACGGTTTGCGGGCTCTAGGATCCTCCTCACCCGAGACTTGATCATCTTGTCACTGAGCTGATAGTATCAGATGACATGTATGGCTTCCATCCTCCTAGGAGAGCAGCGTCGTTTGAAAGGATGAAACAGACAATCGAAACAATAACCCAGCAGGTAAGAGAGAGGACTTATTTGAACCGTCTACTGGGTGTCAAGCCCGCGGCACTACCTCGTATTAGTGGAGCCGCACTCCCCCACTACACATTCGCGTGCAGGCATTTCTTGCACCCTGACAGGTCGCACTACCGTTGGTGGAGCAAGGCCAATGGTGCGGTTATTTTGACCTTCTCTCTCGACTTTGTGAGGATTCTACCCCATCATATGCGCTTCCTTGCCTTCTTCATGGTGGAATATGTGTGTAGGAGAGAGCGAATACCTGGAGCAAGTAAGCTGAGTGTTTTCCTTTTGATAAGAACCTTACAAACCACAACAGAAGACAGATTACTTGTAGTAATGTGAGGTACCTGTACTCCGTAGGCTGTCTCTATAAGCGCTCGTATACTGCGGATGAGCCGAGTCTTGGCCGGCAGGGCCGTGAGATACGATACATACCTCATAAAGTGCCATCCTCTGTTGCTAACTCACCTTCTTCTTGCTTTGTATATTAGCAATTGGTGGAGATTCGCATGTGAAGCTGCTACTACTGATATCATCTTCCCGGTCGATATCGGCCAATTTCCAAGTCCATTCCATCTGATAAATAGTCCGTGATTTGTACCATCCTCTGCAACAGGAATGTGGTGATTTGTTTATGACGATGAGCGTTGTGCTGCTTGCATTATAAGTTCCAAGTTGTCAGGTCTTGGAAGTCGCATTAGCTATTACATCACGCAATTATAAATTGATCACAAGCGGGTATGTGTTCTTATCATTGCTATGCAGCCTGGCTCCCGTTGTAACACTTGTCATACACAGAGATTCATCGCTTCACTGAGACACAAGATCGCGGTACCCATCATAACTTCGAGAAGTTGAAACAAGAGATACAATTTCTTCCTAATTTCCCCGCTCTTTGGAACTGCTATCATAGCGTCCGCTCGTTGGTAGAAGTGGTGGGCCTGATCGTTCGCCATCCCTTAGCTCAACCGAGCGGGCCGATCTCAGACAAACTACGACTACACTAATGAATTCCGTCAACCGCCAATCCTGACCTTTATACATCGATAAGCTGGATCGGCAGCATCGCGAGAGCGCTACATCTACCTTTTACATGCCGATGATAACAAGCCAACCGTCCATAGGAAGCCGCCGAATAGTCCAATGAGTCAACCAGAGTCCAGCGGTGTTCCGCAGCGAAGTCCGGACCCTGCCATCGGCGCCAGCACAAGACGTGCAGCGAGGGCGTGTACGACCTGCCATTCCCGCAAGACGCGTTGCGATGTCCTCCAGGTCGGAGTTCCATGCACAAAATGCGTGGAGAACGAGTTCCAATGCTCCATAGAGCCTAGAAAGAAGAGGCGGAGGAAGGCCGAAATCAAAGACTCAGATTCCCTCGCCATGCCCCGTGTCGCTTTTCCTGAGCACATCATCCGTCACCAGATTCCTCACTACAAGTTCTTCCAGAACTTGACGCCGGTTGGAAAATCCTCCCTGCGATCCGGAAATGGCGAGCGATTGATGAGTCTTCCTATTGTGCCGCGCGATGAGTCTGCCGAATTGCATGGAAACCATCGACGGGTTGGGCCCGAGGAGTTGCGCTTCTTGAAGGAGATGCATGTTCTTGACCTGCCGCCGAAGCCTGTTCTAGATGAATGTGTTGCGTCGTATTTCAGAGTTTTCCATTCTTTCTTTCCAGTCATAGATCGTCCCTCCTTTTTGGCCAGATATCATAGGAAGGGCAGCGACAACCCAGATGATCCAGACGCGCCTAGCATTCTCATTATCCAAGCTATCATCTTTACAGCATGTGCAGTAAGCGCCCTGCCCATGGTACCGAATCTATTGATCGTCACTAAAATCCGAGATGTAGTTTGTGCCAATGGAGTGTATCACAAAGCTTGGGTTCTCAACACGTCAGCAAGCACGAAGCTGTTTCTACACCAGGACTCGAGTGAGTAACTTGCGATACGTACATCTGGCGCTTTTCTGACTAGGACAGTATCTCCATGTGTTCAATTACGAATCAGACGACATTGTGACTATACAAGCTTTGCTTCTCATCAGCCAGTACTATCATTCCATGACAGAACAACGGCATACCTGGTTTTGGGCACACCAAGCCATTTCTCTCGCTCAAGGAGCAGGCCTCCACCGAGACAGCGGTCACGCTCCGCAGCGAAAGCTGTGGGCTAGAATCTGGTGGGCGTGTCTCATCAGAGATAGACTGATTACTCTCGGAACCAATCGCCCAATGCACATCAATAGCCTGGACTGCAATGTTCCTATTCTCACACCGGCCGACCTGGAGGAGGAAGACGATACAGAGATCGATAATCTCACCAAAGCAATCTTCGTAGATTTTACAAAGCTGTGCCACTACATGGAAGGCGTTCTATCCCTAGCATTTGCCCCACAGGACACGCTGAAGGATCAGATAACTGTGTGCGAGACAACGTTACATAACTGGAAGGCGAATTTGAGCGCCCCATCGCGTCGAGATGCCGATGGGACTGTACAGATGACTCACGGGAGCATTGCACTCGTCTACAGGACATTTCTTCACCTGATATACAAGTGAGCATAATCAACGATTTGCCCTTCGATCTGTGGCTGATCAGACCATTCAGTATCGTTCTTACTGCCCTGTTGCAGTCAAAGAGCACACTAAGCAGAGACCCCTCATCCAGATCTCCCTCGATGGACGTCGTATCAGTGGCAGCCGACTCAGCCGTTTTAGCGGAAGAATCTACAAGATTCGGATTAGTAGAATACTTCCCAACGCCTAGGTAGGGCCACTCACACGCGATGGATGTACGATGCAATTACTAAATCGCCCCCGCAGTGTGACGGCTATAATGCCCCCGCTCACGGTTCAAGTTCTCCTAATGCGCTATTCGAGCAACGCGGCAGAGGTTGCCGAGGCGAAGATTCGATTTTCGACTTGCATGGAGGCCCTCCATCGGCTCAGTTACATTTACTGGCACGCGGGCTTTTATCACGACCTCTTTCTACTTGCGGCATCATCTGGTGGCGCGGCCTCGTCGATATCCACGCTAAGACACCAATCGAACCATCCGAGTCAACCCGAACAGCCTCCCCAGCCAATTCAAATTCAAGCCATGCCAACTTCAATCCCCACCCAGACACGGCAGGAAACTTCAGGACCACGTTCTATCAGTCTACTATCAGATCGAAGTATCGAATCAGATGCATCCCGTGTGCCCGAACCCCCAATTTTCGCTAAAACTTCTATAGCAGCACTTCTTGATAGCTCAGTATCGCGGCCGACGCAATCGACCGATCTGGAAAACCTCCCAGATGCAATAGACCTGGACTCTGATGGTGTCAAATCGTTGAATTCTCAAGAACAAATACGTATGTTTGAAGAGTGGCTCAATGACAACGCCCTCTTTTCGACGCTCTTTCCGACAATGTAGCGTTATGTGCAGCATATACATTATGTAATGATATCATCGAACAATTAGTTTCAATCAAGTCATAGCTTGGGACCGCTTCGAATGCGCAAACCCTGCTCGCCTTTCCAAAAACTGCCATTGGGGAATTGGTATTTTAAAATCGCCTCTGGCTTATACTCCACACTATAGCCGATCTCCCACGGCGTGACGAAGTAGCCGTCCTTTAATTGCACTGGATGTTTGAGGGTCTCATTAAATGAGTTAATGTGCTCTAGAAGACTCTTTGCTCCCGACACGCAGATGTAGTCGAGCAGAGCCAAGTGTTGGGTGTACTCATTGAGACCAATGCCTCCACTGTGTGGAACAACGGGCACGTTGAATCTGCGAAGAAAGTGTATTAGCATGGCGGCAAGCCAATTTCAAATTGAGCGAGACTACACGTACTTTTTAGCCATCAGCAGAACCGCAAGAACCTCATTGACTCCGCCAAGTCTGCAGGCATCGATCTGGCAAACATCGATAGAACCTGCCTGAAGGAGCTGCTTGAAGATAACGCGGTTCTGACAGTGCTCTCCCGTAGCCACTCCAACGCCGAATGGCTTCAGCGCCTTTCTTATTGTTGCATGGCCGAGGACATCATCGGGGGATGTTGGTTCTTCAATGAAACTAGATGAAATGTCAGCGTGGACAGAAATCCCAAGGGCTGTCTCAGCGACACTTACACAGGCTTGAAGTCAACAAATCTCTTCACCGCGTCTATCGCTTCGGGGACACTCCAAACCTGGTTGGCATCGATCATGAGCGTGCGATCCGGACCTATCTCTTCCCGAGCAATCCTGAGGCGACGGATATCATCATCAATGTCACCCCCGACCTTGAGCTTGAATTTGTCCATGCCATCGGCAAGGTTTTGTCTGATGAGCTGTCTCATTCGGTCGTCGGTATACCCGAGCCAGCCCGCCTGGGTCGTATATGCAGGCACAGCTTGGTTGCGGCGTGCGTCCTCAATTCTCTGTGACTTGGTATCTTCCAGTTTTCGAAGGATTTCTACAGCTTCTCTGGGTGTGATTGCATCCGTAATGTAGCGGAAGTCTATACATCGAACGAACTCTTCAGGCGACATATCTGACACAAGCTTCCATATTGGTTTCTCTAGATACCTCCCCCAGAGGTCCCACAGTGCATTGACGCAGGAACTTAGTCCGAGGTGGATTACGCCCTTTTCGGGGCCTACCCAGCGTAATTGCGAATCGGCGACAAGGTATCGCCAGGTCTTCCCCATGTCTGCTACAAGTTCGCCGAGGGTTTTGCCTACCAAGCGCTCTCCAACTTGGCGAGCTGCCTCCGTACACAGATCGTTCCCACGACCAATGGTGAACGAGATCCCGTGTCCGACTAGATCTGTATTGGTTTTGAGTTGCACATGAGCGGCGCTGTAGTCACCAGCCGGGTTCATTGCATCTGAACCGGACGCGTCCAGGCTTGTTGGAAATCGCAGATCTAGAGAAGAAAATAGATGAGCAACTTTGAGATCTGAGGTTGTCGATAAAGGTAATAGAGAGAGTTATTTCCGTACCAAAAGTCTCTATCCCGGTGATTATGACTTCATTGATGCAAGGGCGGGAAACCCCACTAGGATGGGTTTTCGACATGGTCTTTTGGAAAACGTGTTCCTGAATCTAGTGTGCCCTAGCCAAGAATAAAGTCACGGTTCGATCAAAGAGTGAAATGGGAGTTGGAAAAGTGTGAATCTGGTCATCCAGGCGGGTTGCTTCTCTTATAATGATCAATAATGCACCCAGTTGCAGATACGAGAATTACTCGGCCTATGAAGCTAGGTCAGGCAGGTCGCTCGACCTCTTCAAAGAATGTTAATCTGGGATGATTCCGTCGTAAACCGAGTATAGAAAGGTTACCTCGACTTCCCAAGCGTAAACATAACGGCGAACAAATATTGGAAAAGATGTGCATGACTCCAATCAGAGAGCGGGGGGGCGATATACAAAGTTCCTCAAATTAGTGATGTTGGTCCAACATGCCTATGAGCGCAAGACAACCGGCTCTTCGGCTCTTCGGCTCTCTTATTCGTACCAAGGGCACCTAACTGCCCTCCACCCAATCGACAGCGAGACTTCGGTAATTGGAGGAATTTCTCCATGTTCAAACGGCTCGTATCTGCAGAACTTCACCATCGCAGTACACAAAACAGGCTCCCCGCGCTTTCATCCCCACAATATTCAATCGTATTGTTTGATGCTAAGCCCTGTCGAATGACTAGCGAGCTTTCCAACGTCACTACTTTCGATTTCCTAATCGGGCTTGACTGTGTGAATTGGTGTTAGGTATGAGACTGTCGATCACTTGCCGATCCCCACTATAAGATGACTATATGCTGTCGTACAACATATATACCATCGTAAATCATCAAGTTCTGACTGCTATATCATAGTTACTTCCAATTGATCTCTGCTCGGCGTAGACGTCCCTTATTTGGACGTTCAACTGGATGAGTAAAATGGCCGACTTGAAACACGATATTCAAACCATCACACGCAGCACTTGTGACAATATGGATGGTGCTGCCAAACAACGCAGTACCAAAATCAATCAGGACAATGCTGAAATGTATCAGCAAGCCCTAGAGCGATACCCAAATGACGCTGCAATTGATAAGGCCGAGGAAGCCCGCATCGTTCGCAAGCTGGATAAGCGTATTATTCCAGTATTGGGGATATGCTATTTCTTCTATGTAATGAGCGCTTCTTTTTTTCACTTTACTATCGTTCTGACATGGAACAGTATGTCGATAAAACAACGCTGTCATATGCTGCTATATTCGGCATCAAGGATGATCTCAACCTTCGAGGTACTCAGTACTCATGGCTATCATCACTGTTCTACTTTGGTTGGCTGGGATGGGCCATCCCTTCCAATCTGTTGCTGCAGCGTTCACCACCAGCCTGGTATCTTTCATTCAATATCTTCATGTGGGGGGCTCTTCTCATGTGCCAAGCGGCTGCGAACAACTTCGCAGCGCTCGCTGCGTTGCGCGTCTTATCGGGCGCATTCGAAGCCATTGCGGATCCGGCATTCATGCTGTTTACCTCGATGTTCTACACCCGCGAGGAGCAACCATCGCGAATCTCGGCGTGGTACGCGTTTAATGGTATTGGAGTTGCAGGAGGAGGTCTCATAGGTACGACGGTTCTACTCTTGTCATGTCGGCTCGTCTTGACGACTTATAACCTAACCTCCGTATACAGGCTACGGCATTGGCCACATAAAAGGTGCTTTGGCATCTTGGCGATACGAATTCCTAATCGTTGGGGCGTTCTGCGCTGTCTGGGCACTTGCACTGCTCTATGTGCTCCCCAACTCCCCAACGACGTTCCGCGGCTTTTCCCACGATGAAAGGCTCCTCATCATTGCTCGCATGCGCCGGAACCAGACCGGCGTTGAACAGAAACACATCAACTGGGCCCACGTGAAAGAAGCCTACTTAGACTACAAAACATATCTGTTCGCCCTTCTCGGCTTCCTCGGCGCAGTACCCAATGGAGGCATCTCCAATTTCTCAACTCTCGTCATTCAAGGTCTAGGCTTCAACAGATTGCACACTGCTCTCTTGGGAATACCACAAGGCGTCATCGTCGTCATTTGGATCGGCCTCGGTGCTGTGATGAACAAGTATATGCCGCCAAATAGTAGGACCTGGGTCTGCGCAGCGTTCATGCTGCCGACTATTGCCGGAGCATTGGGTTTCTTGCTAGCTCCACACGACGCATATGTTGGTCGACTCATTTGCTTGTAAGTCAACTCAACACTTTCTATCTAGAATATGTCATTAATGATTACCAACAGCTACCTCACCGGCTCTTACCAAGCATCCTTTGTCATCGGCCTCTCGCTAGTCACCAGCAATACCGGTGGGCAGTCAAAGAAGATGATCGTAGCTGGAATGACCTGGTTCGGATCCTGCGTCGGTAGCATTTCGAGCCCGTTCTTCTACAAGTCCGACCAGTCCCCCCGGTACCCACTAGGCATCGGATCTCTCCTCGTCGCCAACTGCCTCGAGCTCGCTCTCTTCTTCGTCTTCCGCTACGCTTTCATTTGGGAGAATAAGTGCAAGGAGAAGCAGCGAGAGCACCTTCGCGCTCAAGGTATTGTGTCGGACGATTCGGATGGGCTGAACGCTACGGCCTTCCAGAATCTGTCGGATAAGGAGAATCCTAACTTTGTCTATGTATATTAATGTTTCTGTTTCGTTGGTGTTCTAGTTCTAATCGGTAGAAGTTGACTTGATTCTAAGTATATCGGTCAAAGTGCTATCTGTTGAATAAGCACGAAGCCTTCGTGTATTGGCTTCCTTATTTGACTCATCTGTTGTACCGACATGCCAAAAGCATAGTTAAAATTTATCCATCACACAACATCAAGATGCATTCAGTGAAGCCTTATTGAGAAATGTTCATTATATTATGTCCGTACAATTGGTCTAAAATAAATACCCTTTCAACCTGAAAATCTATGAACTGTATACCGAGCGGCCGATACCGAATCACTTATTACATATTGCATCGCTTCAACCTGATAATCTACGACGAGTTGCTGTTATCAGCGCATGAGAAAGCCGAGGCGATGGTGCCATCGCGGTAGGCATCGATGATCTGCACGATAACACCGTATGTGCCTCCAATAGTAAGGAAAACAGAAAGCAGGATCAAGAGAACATGCAGCCCGTACAGGATCTTCTGCCACCAGGTACCCTTGTAGTAATCGGCATGGTCATAGATCCAGAGCCATCCTGGGAGACCGAGCGCGAGAGGGGCAAAGGCGACGCTACCCGCAAGACTGAGGAGGTAGTTGAAGATCGGGACACCGGAAGCGATGAGGAAGCTGATGACAGTCATGCTAACGATGCAGCCCATCCACACTCCCCAGTGGACCACCGAGTTGGCCTGGAGATGCTTGGAGTTCCTAAGGATACGGACGAACACGTACTTCGCGCTGACGTGGACGTAAAGCGCTCCACTGACGCAGAGGCCAATGATACCAACACCGTATGCGACCTTCTTGACGACGGGGCCAGCGCTACCAAGAGACGGAGATGCAACCCATTGGCCGCAGTACTTGTAGACGACTAGACTGAAGGAGAGATAGGCGGCCGTGACCAGGCCCATGCACCAGTTGACAGCCTTGCTGTATTCCCGCGGGTTGCGCATTTCCGACATGACCGGCAAGAAGGCCGAGGTACCTGCACCAGAGCAGAAAATCGTCGACGCGGCCGTGATACCAGCTGCGAATGTAGGGTTTCCGATGACATGGTAGCCGAATTCGAAGTCCCCAGTCTGGGGAGCAGCAGCGGGACGGTCGAGCTGAGTTACTCCAACACTGGTGGCTATGTTAGTCGACTGTTGAAACGTCAATAGTAAGAAGGGAGACATACACGACAATGAAGACGGCAACGAAGACGGAGATAAAACCCGCCCAAGTGACCCAGGCAATCTTCTCAAACTTTCGGATACTGGCGAAAAAGCCGACCATAAGAGCGGCGATGATGGAGAAGTAGTTTGTGCAGAGGGAGTGGTTGGAGAGCGCGTTCAATGCTGTGGAAACACCAACAATACCGGAAGCGGCAACGATGATAAATGCGACAAGGAAGAGAACTCCAGTGATCTCCCTAACTATTTTGCCACCAACGAGATTGCCCATATCGGCGATACCTATCAAGATTAGATACTCCTTTATATGTGAATCGATAGTAATTGAACGTACTGTGGCAACCGGCGTGCCTGTTACGGAATTGTCCTTGGATAAGGGCACAATACGTGTTCAAGAATTGCCATCCCAGAACATTGATTGCGCCAGGAAGTGCTCCAAGAGTGTACATAGCCGAAGGAATTGTCAATACACCGGTCGCGAAGATAACTTGATACATTGTAAGTAGATGCTTTAGCGGGTTATGCCTTCTAACTCACGCTTCAAGAAGATGACCGATGTATGAATCCAATGCACTGTTCGAAAGTCGACAGCGCCTTCGGTTCTCTTGAAAATCTCGCCATCGTCCTCGACCTTCTCGACAACGTTGACGCTGTCGGTGCTGCTCTGAATAGGGGCAATAATATCACTTCGCTTTTCGTCCGACATGTTGATGATCGTAAACAGCGTCTTCGCCTATGTCTGTATTGTTGTTTTGGAGTGATGAGCGACGATCAAGGTCATCTGCAGGTGCAGGATGTGGTGTATATGTATTCGTGACGACGACCAGCGTAATCACAATGGAGATATGAAATGAATCGCTATAGATAATGCTAACAAAGATAACCCGTGCGACAAGAAACAAATCTGGGGAAGAAATCTCGTGGGGTTCGATGGCCCCGTTATTTTGGAGACACTCCAACGATCACCCCGACGATCGGGCAAGGGTCTTCTACTCCAACACGTGAACTTCGCGTCAGTTGTTGATAAGATTTGGAGTAGCTAATGTTTTAGTGCAAGGTACGGGTGCAATAGTAGCGGATTCTCCGATCGGTATGCTTGAGGTCAATACATGACATAACATGACCAGACACCCTTGGCAACCCTGCAACAATGTGTATATCGTATCCGATCGGAACTCCTATCTTTTACTGTCGATTACAATTATGTGGTCGAACTCGTATCTGTTGGGGTCACGATAGCTCTCATGAGCTCGATCATCTTTCGATCGAATAAGCCGATACCGAGAATTACTAACCCACTTATTTGCCGGCTTCTTTGAACGTCAGTTTGAAGGCGCCACATCTTCAACATGGATCATAATATCATTCATACATTTGATTGGTATTTATTCGTGCTATTCACATGTTTATTGTTTCAGTTTGGATCCTTCTTCGGCGGGCATCAGCGCCCCCTCTGGTGGAGCATTCCTCTTCAGGAAGTCATCCGCCATTTCCTCCATAGTGACGAACTCAACCCCCTCGTGCTTCTTGAAGTGCTCAATAAGCCTATATTGTGTTAGTTTGTATCATAATATTAGGATTGGTCTTAATTACCTCTCATGCATGAGTAAGACATGCGGCCTTCCAGAGACATCAGGATGGATTGTAATCGGCTTTTCAAAATTAGTACACCTCATTGTGCACGATGCAACTTGATAAACTTACGAAAATGAACTCATCGTATTCCCTGTAGAAATAATCAAAGTGATCTTTCCATAGATCCTCGATATCTCGTGCATTGACAAAACCATGACTGTTTGCTGAGGCTTTGATGAACATCATAGGTGGTAGGTCGTCAATGTACCAATTGGCAGGAATTTCGACCAGACCTGTCTCCTGGCCTGCAACGAGTGGTTTCATCCACTCTTGGGCCTTCTTCGTGTAGTCAATCTTGGTCCAAGTGTCGCCAGTCCTGAGATAATATGGCTGGCAATCATGGTGGCTCATGCTGTGATCATACTTGATGCCGTATGATAGTAGCAGCTCGGCACCTTCTTGGCTGGTTTCCCACCTATTATTGTGATGAGTATTTTGAAATTGATGCATAATGAGAGTACTTACCAAGGTGCTACGCTTCCTCGTGGTGGTCTTCCGACAAACTCTGTCAACATGCGGTACGTCTTATCGAGCACATCCTTCTGCTGCTCCATCGTCATGTCCGAAGGATTCTCATGGCTGTAGCCGTGGAGACCAATCTCGTGACCTGCATCTCGCACAGCCGCCATGTCTTCTGGAAACGTCTCCAAGCTGTGTCCAGGAATGAACCATGTCGTCTTGATGTCATACTTCTTGAAAAGCTTCAACAAACGCTGCGTTCCAACTGTACCAGCAAAGAGACCCCTGCTGATGTCGCTTGTGCTATCTTCTCCGCCATATGATCCTAGCCATCCTGCAACCGCGTCGACATCGACACCGTAAGAGATGAGAACACGCTTTTTACCCATGTTGTTTTGAATCTGGAAGTGGTAAAAGGAAGGAGAGAGGGCAGCACGCTCTTACTGGTGCTACGAAGAACGAATGGATTGTGTATGAATGTTCAAAGTCGAACAACTGTTCATGTACGTAGGAATATGAGAACCGGCGATGTTCTCTGCGGTAGTAATCGTTCGGATGTGATTGCGGAGGCGACAGGGTTGGAGCGGGGCAAATTGGAGTGCTGGTTGATAGCAAGCTTCGCTTAGTGCTGGAAAGAAGAATCGTCTCCAACTTACTCCACTCCTCGCAGCCTGACTCCGAGACCATCGTGCAATGACCCGTATCTCTCCAGGCCTTCGCTATTCAAGCGATACGGAGATAAACTACTACCTAAGATAACACCGTAGGACTAAAACGTTTGCTTTAGCATAATTTTGGAGGAACGGAAACAATGGAAAATCAAGAAATCGCACGAGCTCAACACATGCGAGCCGCACAGATTATAGAGGTATGTAATTGAGGAAACGAGTTTCAAGATAGGACTTGCTGATAAAGATACTAGTACAACAAGCCTTACCAGCTTTGCGAAGTACCTGTTCCAGAATGTGGGGACCATGACCTTCTGGTTGAAGTCTTCGCCGCAGGCTTCTGCCACTCCGATGTTCAGGTACTACAGGGACAATTCGTAGCTGATCTACCCATGATACCCTCACATGAGCCTGCTGGTAGGATCGTAAAAGTTGGCTCGCAGGTACAGGATTCATGGAAAGTTGGAGATCGAGTGGGCGTGCTCAATTTCAAGAATGCTTGTAGGACCTGTGTAGGATGTCTCCAGCATCTACGTAGGCATTCCAAAACAGACCCACGTTTCTGTCAGAGAAGACAGATGGCTGGGTTCAAACACGATGGAGCATTTGCACAATATATGCTAGCTGACCCTGAGACGACGATTCCTCTTCCCGATGGAATATCATTCGAGCAGGGAGCACCCCTTATGTGCGCAGGTGTAAGACTCTCGCATTATACAAGTTATCATTGTGTATCTAACAAAACCATAGGCGACTGCTTGGGGCGCGTTGCAGAAGTTGCTACCGGATGTCCAGCCCGGTGAAGCCGTTGCTGTTGCCGGCATTGGAGGTGTAGGTCACCTTGCAATTCAATTGGCAAAAGCTATGGGTTTCAAAACTGTAGCTATCGACAATCGCGATGAAGGTTGTCAATTGGCGTCTGACCTGCCGGCTCATTTGCGACCCGACCAAGTGGTGAACTCCTCACACGCTGATGCCCACAAAACGATACTTGACTTCACAGCCGGCGAAGGCTTGGCTGGCATAGTAGTCTGTATGGACTCTGTTGAAGCAAACGCCTGGTGTGTCCAACAGTTGGGGGCTCGGGGTGTGATGGTACCATTGGGACTGCCGAAAGAGAAATGGCGTTTCGATTCTGAGGCAATGGTTTTCAACGAACTTACAATTCGCGGTAGCTATGTCTCCAGCGCCGAGCAGGTAAAGGATATGCTGGAAATAGTTGCCGAAAAGGACATTAGATCGCATCTTACCATTCTCGACTTTGATCAAATTCCCGACGTTGCGGAGGCATTTGCGGATAAGTCTAGAAAAGGCAGACTGGTTATTAGAATAGGGAAAGACAACACAAATTGATAGAATTTATGTGTCAATTTGAAACTTATTGAATTCAAACATTTCATTCAGCCTATCATAGAGATTTCACTTATGCTTATTTAGTTACATTCTCCACAATAGGCTCATTGTTAATGGGCCTCTGTGAGGCGGTAGTAGGAGTTGGAGTCGAACGCCAGCGACTCCAACTGCCGACCCACAGCCCATTCCCACATCGCCACAATTGCGCGACAAGCCTCCAACTAATTCCGAGCAGCACTAATTAGTGATTTTGGCACTTCCGCGAGTCAATACTATATCTCGAGGCGCTGCAACAATTTGGACTTTGTCATTACATCGAACTGTCCTTCTTTTGCAACTTTGAACGATTAATATACCCATTGGCGTTAATCATGTCTGTTTTCTTCGACTCCCCCATAAGGTGCGTATTCAAGATTCAATAAATTAAAGAAATTAAGAAATAACTAATCGATTTAAAGCCAGGATCTTGTGGCACAAGGCGATGTTGAAACATTACTAGAGAGCATCGGCGTCACTGAAGGCATACGCGTAGCCGAGTCTGGTGAATACCATCAATTACTGGCGGCCGTTCACGATGTTGCCGAGCATGTTCTCGCTTTACCCGATTACATAGCTTGTACCGATATGGAAAAGTATCCTCGCCAAAATGTGCATCGCCCGTCGACTGAAGAGCAAGAGTTCGGCAATGCGTGGGCGCACAAGTTCTTTATCCAAGGCAATCCAAATGGCGAATTGTTGAAAGGCAAAACTTTATGTCTGAAGGACAACGTCAATGTCGCCGGTGTGCCACAATTCTTTGGAACGGACGCCGTTCCTGCTTGGACACCGGAAGCCGATGCAACAGTCGTCACGCGGGCTCTAGACGCTGGTGTTAACATTGTGGGAACGACCATATGCGAGAACTTCTGCAATTCAACGTCTTCATTTACAAGCGCGCAAGGAACTGTTCACAATCCCTATGCTGCAGGTTATTCCGCGGGTGGAAGCACATCTGGCGGCTCTGCGCTGGTCGGCTCCGGTTTGGTCGACATTGCAATTGGCGCCGATCAAGGCGGAAGTATCAGAGTGCCTTCGTCATTTTGCGGATGTATGTATACCGATTCATCTATGTCTGATCCATCTCATCTGACTCTCTACAGGCGTTGGACTGAAACCTACACATGGCCTGGTGCCATATACGGGAATGGGTAGTGGCGATCCTATTAATGATCATGCTGGACCGATTGCCAGAACAGTGACAGACGTGGCTTTATGTCTTGATGCCATCAGTGGTAAAGACGATTTCGACGACCGGACGCTGGGATCTCATGTTTATGGAACGTCAAATTATGCTAAGAATCTTCGATCGTCAGTGGCCGGCATGAAGATCGGAGTCCTTGTCGAGGGATTCGAGCATCGACTAGTGAACGCAGATGTCAAGAGAACCGTCCAGAACGCCGTCAATGGCTTTGCAAAGCTCGGCGCAACTGTTGAAGAGGTGTCATTGCCGTTACATTTGGAGGGACCAGCAATTTGGACAATTCAGCAGCGCTTTGCCGGCACTTTTGGCTTATTAGGATACGCCAACGGCCGGAGAGGTCTTTTTTCTACAAAATACGAGGAAGCCCGTCAACCTTGGACAAACGAGACATTTCAGAAACTATTTCCGTCGACGAAGAACACGATAATCAACGGATTATCCCTGATGAAAAACTACCCTGGACTCTACGTCAAAACCATGAACATCGCACAGCAAATCAAAGATTCGTACGAGAAACTTTTCCAGGAGTACGACATCATTGTTATGCCTACCACGCCTACCGTTGCTCCCGCCAACGTCGATTGGAAACGAGGGGACTCGCCCATGTCTGCTTTGAAACCCAGCATGGGAATAACAACAAACACTGCCATTTTTGATGTTACCGGCCATCCTGCAATGTCATTACCAGTCGGCTTTGCACCTTCTCATGTCGATGATAGCATCTTGCTTCCTGTGGGCATGCAGCTGGTGTCAGGTCTGTGGCAGGAACAAAAGATTCTGGATGCAGCTTATGCATGGGAGTCTGCAAATGAGTGGAGAGAGGTAGGCGTACCAGATGTAAAAGAGCAGAAACTGCATACGAAGTTATAGTCAATGTATATAAGCAAGCATAGCATCGGGGTAACCATGTATAGTATCGACATTTACGATTGAAGGATACGATAGCATTTTTACGTTTTGTTTTCATTGAATTTAAGATGGATCTTTAATTGATAGTATAACCCCCGTCTACTACTAAAGCGTGTCCCTGAACAAATGACGACTTGGATGAACATAAGAATAAAACAGCATTGGCGACTTCGTCTGGCTTTCCCATCCTCTTCATTGGCGCAATGTCGATCGCAGGTCTGAGAGCTTCGACAATCTCTGGGGTAGAACTGGTCATGGGGGTCTCAATCACACCTGGACAGACACAATTGACTCTGATGCCTTTGTCCGAATAGTCAATAGCATTTGACCGAGTCATGTTGATGATAGCAGCTTTTGAAGCGCAGTATGCAGCTACACGAATTTTGTAAGCATGGAGACAGATGATCAAATTATTAAAGAAGCATACCTGCACCAGGCCTCGCGACTATGCCTAGTTGGCTGGCGATGTTGACGATAGATCCTCTCTGAACGGCAGACTCGGGGAGAGGCTCTTGCTTCAACATGTTCCTCAGCTGTGCTCTGCAACATAGCCACGAGCCTCGGTAGTTGATATTGTTCAAGCGGTCGAATTGGTCCATTGTCATTTCAACGGCTTTGATCATATCGCCTCCCAGGATGCCCGCGCAATTCACAGCGTAATCGAGGCGTGAGAAATTCTCGAAAACGCTGTCAAAGAAAGAGTCGACGAAGCCCTCATCGGCGACATCGCCATGTTTGAGGAATACCTCGACGTCCGGGTTGATTTTTAATATAGCATTTTTCGTAGCATTGAGTGAGTCCGGGTTGATGTCTGTGATAGCTATCCTCGTACAACCGGATCTTGCAAACCCTTGTGCGACTGCTGCACCGATGCCTTTGAAATGTTAATGAATTGGACATTACACACGGTCATGCGGATTCTATTCACCTGTTCCTCCGGCACCGGTAATGGCTGCAACACCAGTAAGTTGATCCATTGTTGATGCCATTTTGTAAAATTGAGGATTGATAGTGTTCAACAGATTTGCGCAAGCTCTAGTAAAAGTCAAGAGAATTTGAGGAGTATCCTCTCAACTACTGTGCGCATAGGATAGAGTAGCTTGCTATGGCTTGGCTGCTAGTTAGCTTGAAGAAAGACAGATCGTTGGGGATAACATTGGTATCGTGACGCTAGGTAGCAAGCCAGAAGACATGGGGTCACTACATTCCACGATGGATAATGGCGGGGTTTCTGTGTCTTGGAGTAGACATTGGAGTAAGCCTATGGTGTAGAGCAGGACGAAGACCTATGGAACTGGGAGGCGACTCCAACTACTTGGAGTAGATGAATGAATCCCATTGCCACCTCCACTTCTTAATAGATAACACTTTACCATTCCTGGAGGAGTTAATTCTCCTAGCGCGTCCAAGTGCCCTCGTACTCTGACAATCATGTGCGCCGAGTCGGAATTTCCCTGTGTTTAGTGTCGCCGGGTGTGTCCACCTTGTTTCACTCAACCCTTCCCCCATCCATCCCATCCCCATCACTCCAAACATCCACATCTTCCAATAATTTTAGCACACAATCCTGATGACATGACATGTTCTGCTAATTGACGAATCTCCAATTTGACGTCCCGGGTGGATTCAAAACGGCCATTTGGAGTAACCTCAGATGGTCAATAAAACAAATCACACGTGTGTGCATTGTTCTCGGTCCTTCAAGCGTGCCGAGCATTTGACCCGCCATCTGCGTACCCGTCAGTCCCCTGAAAAAGAAGAAGTAGAGACGAGACGAGACGAGACGAGTCACTCCAACTTGGTGGGACTCAAGAGTTACGCGATAGCTAATTGCTTGCAGATACTAGAGAGAAACCGTATTCATGTGTCTGCGGGGCGACGTTCACCCGTCGCGACCTTCTCACGAGGCATTGGCGTATCACGCACCATAGTGATTCCGTCGAGTCCCTTGAGTTACGGTCGTCGACGCCTCGTACGCCGCACCCGCACGAACCCCAGCAACGAGATTTGATACAACCGCACACCTCTTCAGGCGGCCAAAATTTACAACACAATGGTATGAACATTGCTGCCGTGCGAACTGATGATCCGTATCTTATCACCCGAGATCCACGCGATCACATTGTTCCGCCCGTCGCATCCAGTCCATTATACCACCATCCGGCACCCGAGCCTAGTCCTAAAGGTATCTCCACGCACCCTTGTTCAGCAATTGAATGCATGTCTGACCTACCCAAAGATCTCTTCCAAGTCAATCATCATCAGCCGCAAGACGATGGGCATGTCGATGATTTCCGTGACTTTGTAAACTTCATTGATGGTGTTGGCTTGTCGGCTCAATGGACACCCGAGTACGACTTTGAGTGGCTGCACGCAATTGATCCACATCATGATTCGCGCAATGATTCGCGACGCCATTCTAGAGAGCCAGAGACTTCACGCTCATCGCGACCTGAAGATCCTGGCACTCCATTCAGCACCTGGCTGCCATCAGCGCCGGCCGATGACCAGGTCCATCTCGGTTCGCAAACTGGCGATGGTAAGAGACATTACCCACCGTGATGCCACCATGCTTCTCTAACACTCTGATCTATAGACGTCGGAGGCACAAGAACGAGGGATGGCACGTATAATGTCACCGACGATCACCGACATTTCTTGATCACATTACTCCAAAGCCTCCCTTCTCCAATAGCCGAATTTGAAATACCTTCTCGACATACGTTGACAAGGTACATCACGGCTTTCTTCGGGGGGTTTCATTCCCACTTCCCTTTCATCCACGAACCGACCTATAAGCCGTCATGCTCTCCTCTGGAGCTAACTCTTGCTATGTGTGCGGCGGGTGCGCAATACTGCTTCGAGAAGAAGAGCTCTCAAAATCTGTTCAACACAGCAAAGGCCATTGTATTCTACCGGCTACGACAGGAGGAATCTCACTTTGGCCCGCAGACCCTAGCTTTCACTGCTTCGGCCACCATCTTCTCTCCTGATGCAGAGCCCAATGCACGACGATTTGGGCCTTGGTCCCCGCTCGATATGGCGAAGACTCTTCTAATCTTAGTCGGGTACGCAACGTGGGATAAGAAGGTATATCTGCAGCAAGCATTTGCGCTGAGGGGCCTACTAGTCCATTGTTTGCGGGATATTGGTCTCAGGGAGGACCCCATATCCACAGAGATCTCATCCTCCAAATCCGCAATGTGGGATCATTGGGTGCAGCAAGAATCCGCCAGGCGTACGAAACTCGTCACATTCTGCTACATGAACGTCCACAGCATCGCGTACAACACCCACCCGATACTATGGAGCAGCGAGTTGCATCTGAGACTGCCTCATTCAACGCCTGAGTGGCAGGCCCGCAGCGCCACACGTTGGGCCGCACTCAGACGCGACGGAAAGGAAGACCAAATGTATTTCCAAGATGCACTATCGATTCTCTTGCAAGGATCGGGAGGTGCGGAGTCTTTGCAGCCAATACCGAGTCCACTTGGTAACTACATCCTCCTCCACGCACTTCTACAGCGCATTCACGTTGTTCGGGAGCTGTCAGTCCCCGCGCTCTCGCCGGGCGATATTTCTGGGGCCGAACTCCAAATAATAGGGTATGTTCGCTATTCCATCCTTTCCCCAATTACACATACTAACCACGTCTCGTCCTCAGACGCGCGCTTCGCTCCTGGACATCACTATGGCAGCAGACGCCTGAATCCATCCTCGATCCCAACAACGAAAGCGGCCCCATACCATTCACATCCAGCGCCCTTCTCACCATCGCCTACGTCCGCCTCTCCCTCAACATCGGCGGGCACCGGCACCTCGAGTCGCGCGACCCGGACGTAATCGCCGCGGGCCTGGCGCAGGCGCCGGAGATCGAGCGCAACGACAACCTCCTGTCAGCTCTCTTGTACTCGACGCACGCGCTCAGCATCCCCGTCCGGCTCGGGATCGACCGCGTCGCGAGGAGCCAGGCGTTCTTCTGGAGCGTTCAGCATGCGATTTCGAGTTTCGACTGTGCGATCTTCCTGGGGAAATGGCTTTGTTCGCTGCCGAAGCCGTTGCAGGATGGGTCGTTGTCTAGTAAGCTGAGCTACCCTTTTCCCACCTTTCCTATCGAGTGAAATGTCGCTAACGAATGGGCTGCTGCTGCATCAGGGTCGGAAGAGCGGATTCTCCATTGGGTGCGCTGCATCATCAAGGAAGCATATGCTGTTGTCGATTTCGACGACGCTGATCGAGGCGTGGATGTCTTGGCTGTTTCGGACGACCCTTACCAATTGGGTCTCGCGGTCATGAATATTTGGAGTCGGTTTTTTAGGGGCAATACCCAATGGCATTTCATCGTGAACCTGGGGCTGGGCTTGGAGAAATATATCAAGGCGCTGCAATGATTCAATGCGCTTGCTGTTGGTTATGCTACATGGCTGATGGGTGGTGGCGATGCGTTCATGCAGGCGGTTCTGTCGTGGCCTACATCGTCCTCGCTTAAGAATTAAGGTTGGGCCAAGAATAAGCCACTTTTCACATCATTTGGGAATAACTTTATTATCTAGAACCTCTGATAATGCCTTAGTAACAATTCTTGAAGTCTTGCTACTAAGAGTTTTCATCTTGTGCTGCGACAATCGCCTCAAGGATATCAGAACAACTAGAACCGACAATTGTGGTGAGAAACGCTAATTAAAATCAATTACCTTTACTGATAGGAGTTTCGTTCTCTATGCATCGTGTGACTACCACTAATTTGGCTGACAGGGGGTTCAAGGTGTCTTTCCTTTTTCATGCGCTGATAGAAGAAGTTGTCGTGGTCATTAATGGCTTATGGGCCGAAAAATCGACCGGATGAATAACACAATAGCAGACACAAGTGCGCATGAAAGTGGGCAAAATGAGAGATATGAACAATGGAAGTCATGGTCAATTGAAGGGTATCAAGAGCCGGACAGAAAATCAATTCGATATTGGCGAAGAAGAGAAGAAGGGTATGTATGTACGCTCATCCAAACAACGACTGCGCTTAAACAACCCACCACACAACGCAGTGGCGACAAAGACGGCCATGATCTTTTTACAAAACAGCATTCGTAGCAACCCAAACGGCGTCACGCTCCGGCGTGTCGGTCGTCCCAACACATCCGGTCAAGAACGTAGTCCAACCCTCCTTGGTGCCAGTAGCCAACGAGTCCCTAACCGTCTGATTGCACTGCGAACTCAAGAACCACGCCGCGCTACCGAACGACTCATTGTCGTTGCTGACCAACCTCAAAACAGCCTCGGGGCCCTGAGCCTGCGCGTACCCAACAGTGTGGTTGTCGAAGACGCTCTGCGCGTATAGCAGGTTGAAAGCTGGCGATTGCATGTTCTTGGTGCCCTGGCCGGGGACACCGGGGAAGTGGTTCTTGTTGAAGGTGAAGTTTCCAGACTCGAAGAGCATGAGGGCGACGAGAGCGGACTGTTCGCCCTTGGAGTTGATGCCGTACTTGGTGAAGGAGCGAGAGATTGCTGGTGCTGCGCGGGAAGAGTCTGCGCATTCTTCTGGGAATTGGGCATTGGCGCAGGAGACGGTGGATGGAACTATGGCCTCGATTTTGGATGCGCAAATGGCTGGCTGACCTGCTTGTGGAAATGGCATGGCGGTTGCGCCTAGGGCGAGAGTGCAAACGGCGAGGAGAGAAGCCTTGATCATCATGTTGAAGATATTGAAATTGTAACAGAAATGGGTCACGAAAGGTTGGATGAGGGAAAATTTCCACGAAGGTAATAATAAACAATAGCTCTGCTATAGACAAACAAGAACGGACAAAGAGTGTTGTGTTTTAACAATGAGAACGACTGACTGAAGGAAAAAAGAGTGCAGATCGGCGGAGGTAGTCAAGTTATATGTATGCTACAGGGAAGACGATGGACACGAGTTCTTCTGATTGTATACGAGAAGATTACTAGGGCAAAGAATTAGTTTGCAAACATTGAGAGGATGGGCGCCAATCCTCACATCTGGGTGATAGTCTATCCACGTGACTTCTCAGCATCAGCATTCTGATTGGACAATGTCGGCGACGGTGTTCGTTGACCCTGTCGCACCAAATGTTTCACAATCCACAGCTCGGCAATCTCCTGTCCATCAGCCAGCATGTCATGTCCGTGAAACATGCTATACGGCAGGCATCCCGTTTTCAGGCTTGATCGAGCAAGAATGTGACAGGCGCAGCCGGAAAAGGATCATTACCTGCCTCCTGAGATCATTTATCGTAAAGCTTAAGTACAGATGAATGCGATGAATGATGTGCCTATTGTGGCACAGCACGTTCAGAGAAACTTGACCACATGCGCAAAGGATCGTACTGTAAATTAGGTGCCAGGATCCCAATCAAGCAAATTCAGCTGGAAAATCAGTTGACTGCTGGGTGCAAGGAGTTTTGTTGCAGTAATATTACATGAAGAACGATTCGCATTCGTCCTCGTTTTTGATCCTCTAACTACATTCGGTCTAAGTGATGGACAACTGGACACGAGACGGGCCACCGAAAGGTCAGGAGTAGAACAAACAACAAAAGACGGATTTCGTGCAATGGGCACTGCATGCTGTGGCAAGGTTGAGACTGTTGTGACAACACAACGGACTTTGCGCCCCAATGCCTTGCTCTTTTGGTGGAGGCTGGTGGGACAAACGACCTTTGCAGCATAGCATATCGTGAGCAAAGCGACAAAGAAAGCTTGATCTTGCTTCTAAAAAATAGCAGGAATAATAGGCGATAGACAAGCTAGAAATCTAATCGTGAGGGCTATAATCCCCCATCAGACGAAATAAGGATGGCGATGAATTACACAGAGAAGTTGTCCTTCTGTCAAAACTGTGACACGACATGAGCGGGGCCACTGTCGTATAACCAGTTCCTTTCTCTTCTAAGCCACATCCATGCCTAATGCCAACATCGTCTCACTCACATAAGGCGTAAATTCTATAGGCGTCCACCAACATAACCCCTTCCGAAATTGGAACCCTCCACCATTCGCCACCTTATCCAACTCAGTATTGAGGGCTTAAAGCAACAAGATTCTTGAAACAGACAAGGTACGATCTCTCCTACCAACAAACCTACTAATATTCTATCATCATTTTTTCATAACACCTGTTCTCTCAATCTTCAAGCATCGATCGTTATGAATCGCTTGCGCGGGAAGATATTCCATACATTCCAGTAACGCATCCTATTAGACGCAGATGTGTTATATTTTATACTGTTGCGTAGAGATGTCTCTATAGTCAGGGGCCTCATGTGCACGACCCGCAATTGGCGCATAGGTGGAATAGGTAGATTTTCGCTGTTGTCAATTGGCCTTCGGAGATAGGTGGGTGACTTTTGCACTCTCTTGCGTGTCCTGATCTATTACTCTATGATTCTCCTTATGCTGCACATAACCTTTGGAAAGCGTCGCCGATCGTACACCAGAATAATTCATGGTAGGAAAATATATATTGGTCCTGCAGCTCCTCTTCGAGTATGATGGTACGGGTCCTCCCTATCTCTACCACACGATAGTCCTCACATTCAGAAGGATTGCCAACTCCGACAAGTATTGGTCCATTATCTTCTCGATGTTACGACCTGTGATCCAGGACTCTACCCATGCTAGCCTATACATCGCCTTCGCGTATTCCCAGTACTCAGGATAGTAACCAGTCATTTCCCAATCCAATACAGCCTTGACTTTGCTCCCTTGCACGATGATATTCCTGGGACTGAGGTCACCGTGGGTCAGAATAATTTCATGGTCTTTCAGCGACAAGACCATATCACAGACGAGATCTATCCACCCTCCTTGGGAGGTATTGCGAAATGCGGTGACAATTCCTTGATTGAAGGCCTTCTCGTTCTCATATGGACCATATCCACCAAGTATGTCCGTAAACAATTGATCCTCGCAAGCTGTGCCATCTGTAGATCCAATGAACGATCCTTTTATCTGGCGCAGCTGAGATACGTAATCACGCAACTGTTCAGTGATTTCGTTTTGCTGATCGCTGTTTAGCTTGTCCCACACATTGGAAAGCACATCCCCTTCAACAAACTCCATCACAATGTGCACATGGCCACTTTCAGGGTCGGTGTACGCATTGAAGACTTCAAGAACGGGGACTGTCGTCTTTTCGCTAACCAGTCGCATAGCATGTGCTTCGGCCATTCGGATGCCCTCGCCCTTCTTAACCACAGTCTTTTCATCCACCTTGTATACTGCCATGAAGTCGCCAAAAACAACAGCTTTGGAAAGCTCCTCGGCTGTAAGCACCCTTGCAGACATGATGAATCAAGGGAGATGATTCTAGAGTCTGTGACTGGATCTTGCCTTCGTATAGGCTTATCTGCTCACTAAACCTACGCAGGCTGCGCCCTGGGAAGAGTGCCACCTCTCTGGCGACTGCGACTACTGAAGTTTATTTCTGAATGAAACGTTCTATACCTGATATTGAAAATAATTGAAGAATTCCAAATTTGTCGGTTTCACGGTGGGGGGAGTATTTGGTCTGAGGTGTTTTTATGAGGATGCAGATTTGTTGCGTGCCTTAGGTAATGAGGCACAGCATGTTGCAGTCGACCAACCAGACTGAGCATCTTCTCCACCACTGACGAATCTGTGCAATTTAGGCCATCATCACCATATGTATGCCATATGCTTCGTGTCTTGAAGCGTATTCAGTGGTATTTTACGTCTTTTGCGTTACTTCAACTTAGGATTATCATTTAGGGCATGATAAGTTACAAATCTTTGAAGGGTTTCCTACTGATCAACTATACCTTGGCTTGTTTGAGTGGGCAAGCGTGAAGATTGCGCGCAATTGATGTACTGGTTTTGCAGGCAGTTGAGGGTTCACGGAATTAGTCTTGATGCACGCATAATCATTCCTTGAGCCTCAAAGCCCAGAATACGTCAATTCATTATTGAGGTTCAATCTCTCATGATACGTGACCTAGATGCTGGGGCTTTGAGGGCAAGAATCTTCTCCGCAGCACGCTCCGCAACAGCTATGATCATGGCTGTTGGATTTCCCGTCATCATTCCCGGGAAGATGGATGCATCAACTACAAACAGATTGTCTGTCCCATAAACTTTGGTATCGAGATCAACAACAGACTTCCCGCCAGTGCGGCCGTCATCTGTACCGATGGTGCAGGATCCTACCCAATGATTGGAGCCTCGAGATCCTACAGTAGCGGGAACCTAAAATTGATTCAGCCAAAGAAGATACAGTACACAGATGGCTCGTCTACTTACGCTGTTAACAAACGCGGTGGTGTTCTGGTTGGCCGCTGGTACAACCCAGGTCAAATCGGGAACCTTGCTCAAGATCCCGCGAATATAATCAATGCCCTGAATGACGACTGCTTTATCATTGGCATCGCGAAGGTAGGGAACGGTGGAGACGCGCGTGTTGAGATTGCCTAGAATGGTCATTCTACCACGCGAAACAGTTCCCGTGCCGAGATACTGAGTGATCGTCATTGATGCTTTGATGATAGTTAGTACCTTGATCAGCCGTTATTAATTGAATGAGGGACTTACTAGGAGTTCGACCTTCAATTCTAGCCTGCCATTGTATATGTCGAACGATTCCGTCAGGGCCTTGGAATTGATTCCATGCCTGCCTTATCAGTATCTGTAATTTTTCTGTTCGAGGAATAAACTTACAATTGGGCCAAGATTAGGTGCTACTTGAGCTAAGATTCCACTTCGTTCCTCTATGTCTTTGTCAGTATAGCATAACTCCAAAATTGTATCTTTGCCTTACTTAAGTATTTATCCGCATCCGCTTTGACTGGGTTGTTCCAGGCGCCATAAAAGTCATAGAAGACGATACTTGGGTGCGAAATCTGAATGTCAGTCTATATGAATTGTTAGCAGCTTCTCCCCAAGCGTCATGATTGCATGATACTTACACCGACATGATCGTTCAAGTTCTGTCCGACCGGAAGGTTGATCCACTGATCGGAGGCAATCATAGTGGATCCATCAAGCGCTGAGCCTTTTACGACGTCAAGCTGATCCTTGGGGCCAATGCCACCTATGCTAGATTAGTCTCAATTTCGTGACATTCCTATCATGCATGCTCACTGCGGAAGAGAAGTTTGGCAGAACCCATGGTGCCGGCTGACACAATAACTCGACCAGTGCCTGGTGTTACTTTGACGATGCCAGAACGTCCCTGTCCCTGTGCGCATTCCAATTCAACGCCTGTAACATGTCCTCCAGTTCGCACGAGCCTTCTTGCGTTGGTATTGACGAGCAAGTTGAAGTTTGCGCGTTCCATTGCCGTGGCTAGGTATGTCCTCAGTGGGCCATGACGCTCTCCATTCTCAATGAAGAACGTGCTGTGTCCGAAAGTGTTGTTCTTTTGATCTGGGTGATCGTTCGGGATGATTTCCTTGAACCCTCCTGCAACCAAGCCTTTGCCGACTGCATCAAATCCTTGCTGCAAGTACAGCTTTCCGTCCTTCGAGGGAGTTGTTGTCTATAATTGGGGATCAGTATGATTTTCTATATTGGAGCATTGACTACGTACTCCAGGAATCCGCTTGAAAACGGTATCAACGTGCTTTTGCATATCTGAGTTCTTCCAGCCATCAGGGAAACTTAGATCAAAATCCCTTGGATGAGGCTTCCAATAGAGCGCAGAGTTCACCGCCGTGCCACCGCCCAAAACACTAGATACCAGTTAGCCTGGAATTCGATGCGATGCCGAACGGAAATTTTCAATTCTTACCAGCCCGCCATCACGTCAAGATCTGGGCAATTGACGCCAGTAGGGTCTGCCCAGATTTGATTGAACAAGCCGGGAACGTCAAAACGGGTCAGGTTGGTGCCCTCAAGCCATGACGGCTTCATCGTACCGTTCCATATTCCGCTGGACAATGGGCCCTTCTCGACCAGAAGAACTGATTTCCCGGCCTCACTTAGCTTGTCGGCGATTGGGATGCCTCCAGCACCAGATCCAATTACGATGTAATCATAGGACTTATTCGCATCTACTGGAGTACATTGAGAATGCGCAAGTTGGATCGATGCTGCTAACGCAGTTATCACGAGCGCTCGAGCCATTGGAATTGATCAAGAGATTGTCGAGTTGAAAATGACACCTGAAATGTGGCTATTCCAGTGAACATCCATCGTCGCGGGGCCAGACCACTTCAAATAAGTTATGAAGCTCATGTACCCCGGATTCCAGATTGTATCTCTTGTGGGGTCGAGAGCCAAGCTGTTGGACCTAAACACGGTAGGGTAATCGGCCGGAAAGCTCTAAATTGTTCGCTCGTATACAGTGCTGCAATTAGCCACCGCCTTACCCAGCATCCTCGTCCCTAATCAATGTGAAATATATAAATTGCCCTTGTGGGATTAGCGGCGACGTTCCATAACCCAATCATTTGGTATGTTGCCGTTGGAACCCCGTTGTGTATATTCAAATATACACCTACGAAAAATACATCCTAGCGAAGATTATCAGCTGAGGATGCATATATTCACGTCAATGAAATACCCCTTAGTTTGCCCCACACTGTTTATATTCATATTCCATAGCGCTGGCTAAAACATGGCCATCGTAAGTATTAGCCTACCCCCCTTGGTCGTCTGCCTAGTCGATTGGACAGTGTTGCTGCGGGACATTCGAACGACTGATGTACAGTCCAATGTTATTTTTGTGTCACCTGGGAGCTACTATGTGTACATCTAGAATAAATCTTTCTAATTTCAGATACTTTCTACATGAAAAGTGACTTGTCTTCGATCCACGAGAATATGTATTCCAATGGGGTTCGCGATAGCTTTATAGAAGCCAACATTTGCTGAGGCCAGAATTCATACTAGCGTCCGTTTTTGAATAATATCCACAATCAGTAAATAGAGAAACATAAATGGGCGACTTTCAGATTATTTGTGGCTGACAGCGCACTTTCACGAATTGATCCGGACTCTGAGCCGCCGGTGGCATTGTGGGATGCCTGACAGCCAAATGCAGGTGGAAATTGATGCTCGTTTGGAGGGGCAACTCTATACATTGTACGATATACTTACTCAAAACGATCATTAGTTTAATGTCGAGAGACTTTCTAATCATTTTCTGTTGAGGGGTACATTCGATTATCAGATTTACAATATGAGAAAAAGTCCATGTCACATTGGCACTGTAAATATGAGCTTTAGAAAAGTGACGTGCAGTTATTCATACTGCGCTATGCAAATGTCAACAAGATTCGCACCCTCAATTCCCTGAGAAATAGAATGAGCAGCCACCCAGAGTAACGTTGGCTGATCCATATCCTGATTCAGTGCACACGCTGGGAAAGCACACCCTAAACGCAGAAATGGCCAATATTTTGCGGCACTGTGTAGAGGCTTCAACGAAGCTATACAGTGTTCGAATTGGGTCTTATACGTATGGGGTAGAGCTTTCGAGCGATACTCTGATTTGTGATCAAAGGGGCAGGCGGAAAATAGGCAACAAGCCATAAGATCTGATATCTATAGCGCTCATGAACTCCGAATTGCTTGCTCGTAGGTGGGTAACTCTTCGGTTGGCGGAATTTCTTCTCCCTCTAGTGCGTGGTCATCATCCCGAGAGACTGGGCTGCGGACGAACCCAGAATATACCCTGATCGGTCCCTTGCAGACCACCCGTGTAAACTTCTCTCCCGCACATATTCCACAAATTATGATCTGAATTTCCCAGGCATTATTGATTGCATAGCTGGAGAAACCTGGTAAGATAATTCGAGGAACAGTGACATCGCCAGTGCCCTGGGTCAACTCTTCAACCATAACCCCGTCATATATCAAGCGCGAGTTCTTAGGAAATTCAGCATCCTTTAGGATATGTTCCTGGCTGGTGGTGAAATCGGTGTCTCTGCCAGTAGCAAGTACCGGCACGCGGACTGTGACCTTGCTGGTGAGCTTTATGCAAATCTTTTGCAAAAACAGCTCAGGGAATTGCCCGTCCGATAGATCAGAGTGCGTTTGCTCTAGGGACAAAGTGATCGGGAGGGATTGCCCCATTATGGCTATCTGAGGGACATGCGCAGAGATCGAGAAGGAAACACTCGGGGCGACTTCGTGCCTCTTCGATTTGAGCCTCTCCAAGAGACTATCACTTCGTGCAGATTCTGGGCGAAGCTTGTTTGTTTGAATGTGGACGAAATGAGATGGGCCACTGATAGAAGCCTGCGGGATGAGGCTGTCTCCTGCCATATCCTTGATAGTAGACGGTGTAGGCGGTATGTACGATATGTTTTGACGAACGGTCAGACCTCGAATGTTACCACGCGCCCGCACACTAGTGGCTTCTATGTAGTACTTGATTTGTGAGCTGTGAGAATGAAGCATGTTCGATATTGAGCTTGGCGGAGGAGTATGCCCAATGCTGCACTCGAAGCCTGATCGTTGAAGGAACGCTGGATGTGGTGGGAGCTCTACTGTGTCTGGGAATCTGAACTGGAAAGGGAACTCGCGGCGGCCAAGGGCACCAGTTGAGTCGATACCGTAAACTTGGTACTTGTTGCTGTGGATCTTGAAGAGTGCGGTGGAGTAACTTTGGACTGTTCCATCTTCGATCACATTGCAATTCATGAATCCATTGAGAGTACATGTTATCTCTTGATGGTAGCCAAGCATTTGCACCTGAAGTTTACCTTGTACGAGATCGCCTGTAGTAAACTTTGACTTTCCATCTGTGGGTGGATGAAGATAAATGTAGAGCGGGTTTGTGGCAGAGTTGGGTAGAGCGTCTATTGGCATGGTTGAAGCTGTTCGATGGGGTGGGGATGGACTCATCTGATCTTACCTTCCTGTTGGTTCTTATTAAGTTGAGTGAGGTCTAATAAATCGCACAGCCTTGTATGACATCAGCGAAAGTTTCGAATCGAAACAGGCTCTCGAACCTTGCCAAATCTTCAAGAGCCAAAACAGGAACAAATTGTTCCACGAGTTGCAGTTCAATGCTTTTGTTCGCCATATGCCGAAATAATATTGATCGTGTAGTGCACCTATACTCATACTAGGTATTATTGATTACGCCGCTAGCCATGGTTATGGCAGATCATTATAATACACCTAGAGGAATCCCAACACTTGTATCGACGCTTTTCTTTTTTTCTGGAACTTCATTTTCATAACTAGAAACAATTTTGCATGCTACGAGGTACGTAGAACGTACACTAGTCGTGTTAGAGCTACAAAGTAGACACGGGAAATGTTACCGCTACGTTGACTACGCACATCAACTTTCGACCCATATAATAGAATATTCACACACCTTATCATTACTTGCTACAAGTCGTTACTATTTAGTACCCGCAGTATTGAATGCGCATCATTCCTGCGACAATAATTTGGCTCTTCATTCTCTATCTCACCCATTGCACGCGCTCTACTCTTGAGGGGTAATCGGAACTAGACATTCAGAACGAAGATCCGCGCCCAGGGGCCAATCAAAATGTACGTTCGCCCGCCAGACCATCGCTCATACAAAGGATTACACGCGTAAAAGTCCCTCAATTGGAGCTGCTTACGGAGGGGGAGGTTGATCGATTATTTAAAGACACATAAATAAGGCTGGCTCATCCTAACTAAAGAGTTATCGTCTAAGCTGAATCTCTCAACATTGCTTTAAGGCTCCTCTCCCAAAGGTTGATATCATCGCGAAATGGCCACCTCAATCGCAACAATGGAAAATCCATCCGTCGTACTTTACGGCCCGGGTAATGTCAAAATTGAAGACAGACCTGTTGAGGAGCTAGGCCCGAGAGATGTACTCGTCCGGATCGCGTTCATCGGAACATGCGGGAGCGATGTGAGTCAAAATGGACCATTATTCTTCTCTCTTATCATCTCTATCTTCAGTTCCTCATTAACAATTTGCGTGATATAGGTGCACTTCTGGAAACATGGCGGCATCACCAACAAGGTGGATCCTCAAAGGGGCATTGTCATGGGCCACGAGGCATCGGGGATCATCCATTCTATTGGCTCCGAGGTTACATCCATCTCTATTGGGGATCATGTAGCAATCGAGCCGGGTGTTCCATGTAGATACTGCAAGGTATTATTCGCGGCGCGGACAATCTGACGATTCTGAATTGTATCATAGGCATGCAAGAACGGAACATACAATCTCTGCCGCAAGATGCGCTTTGCAGCTGCCCCTGCAACGGCTGGTGCGCCCGATACTCCTGGCACCTTATCGAAGTTCTGGAAGATACCGGAGGATTTTGTTCATCGTCTTCCAGATTCGATTTCCCTCGAAGAAGCCGTACTTGTCGAGCCGCTAAGTGTGGCCATCCATGCTACAAAGCTTGCGGACATTAGACCCGGAGAGACAGTGGTCATTATGGGTAGCGGCACCGTGGGTCTTCTTTGTGCGGCTGCGGCTCGAAACTTCGGTGCTCAAAGAATTGCGCTCGTGGATGTTCTGGAAAAGAAATTGGTTTTTGCGAAGGGCTGGTTACCGGGCTGTGAGGTATTCAAGGTCGATACGAACGCGACTTCTGAGGCAAACGCTAAAGCTCTTCTGGGACAGTTGCGATTGAAAGATGAAGGTGTAGATGCGGTCATTGAAGCATCCGGCGCCGCATCCTCAATTGCAACGGGAATTCACATCCTTCGCCTAGGTGGAAAGTTTGTCCAGACTGGACTTGGCCAACCGAAGGTTGAGTTCCCTATCGTAGCACTGAGTGAGAAGGAACTGATGGTAAGAGGTTGCTTCCGATACGCCTCTGGAGATTTCGAGTTGGCAGTCCACCTGCTTCAAGACGAGAAAGTCAATGTGAAGAGTTTCATAAGCTCCTTTGTGGACTTTGAAGACACTCCGCAGGCTTGGGAGAGAACTGCAATAGGGGAGGGGATCAAGAACCTTATTAGAGGAGTACAAGACTGAAGATGGTATGAACAGGCAGCATGGATTGATACTTTGGGGTGTATAGAAATAAACATTGTGCATATTAAGAAGTATCATTCTATCTTGGGTACAGAGTACAGAGCTCAACAGAACATCGACATAACTATCCAACTTCATTCGTAACAAGTTTGCATTGCTGAGATGGAATTCCTGTGGTGATGTGACAATGCTACAATGAGATACGAATGTCTCTCTCTTGGTGAAGTTGAGAAGACTGGCTATGGACTTTCTGTCCGCGCGAAATCTGTAAATTGCTCGATTTGATCTTCAATATCGGCGAAATGGAGTGTCCAAGGCCTACTATCATCCCATGGAACCAGTCCTGTGGCGTTGGCTGTCTCTTGTAGCTTTCCTAATTCTGCTACGATGGTGTTGAGCTTTAACAAAGTTGTGCCGACATGGCTCGCTGCGAGGCGTTTTTGATGCATCAATTGCGAAAGAATATTGAGATGTCCTTCCTGCGGTTTTCGTTTTACTTGGTGACCTCCTAGTTTTGTCCAGAGTTGCGAGAGCAATATCTCACGGTCTGTGGTTATCTTGACATCATCCTCTACTGCAATGTTGGCGATATCATCTAATTTGTCCTCCATAGAGTTTAGTGCAGCAAGAAGGGATTCACCTCGCTTGATTGGGTCGGTAAAGTACGGCTTGACTAAGGATATATGGGTTACGTATCTTTGGAATATCAACTGTTGACTGTCTGGAATGGGAGCAATCCAGAGTTTCCAAGGATTGATAGAGTCCAGCAACCGTTCCAAAGAGCTGGTGTTCACTTCCTTCTCCGCGATACCCTCAAGTGTTTCACGGGTTGACTTGTTCAGACGGATCACCCTGTTCACTAGGTGGGTGAGCTTAGAATTATATACGGTCAGATCCTGCGAAGCTTGTCTGGCCGTTTCGATGAAATTGTCGAGTTCATTGATGAGTCCAGGTCTTGAAGGCAGTTGCGTGTGACGTACGATGGATCTGACTTGGCGAAAACCGAGTTCTGACTCCTTCATCGTAGATGGGAGCATCGAGGTGTCCTTTGCTGAGGATAAAACATCTGCGAGGGTGCCTTGAACTGCCATAAGGTCGTCAAAGGGAGCCGCCTGCGATGCGGTAGGTGTAGTAGAAGTATGGGCACACATCGACAGATATGATGATCCGGGCAAGTTGCATAAGGGAGCCAAAGTAGCGGACATAGTGGTTTGCATTGTGAAGGCTGCATATGATAGAGCAAACCACAAGATAACCATGGCGAGTCCCAACGCAAGATAAGGTTGCATCCAGTAGCCCACATATCCGACGGTGGTGAGTAGATATTTCAACAATGGGACTATGATATAGCGCCAAATGACACGAAAGTAGAAGAGTGGATCAGGTTTGTTGTCGGTAGTGCGTATTTCACCGCGGGTCTCTAATGAAACACTACGTCGACTTGAGGGCAAAGGTACGCTTGCGGAGCGGTGATCTGGGCTTTCTGTCTCTCGATTTTGGGTGTTGGCAGATGCATCTGGCGACGCATTCATTGAGGGTATGGCATGTGAAGATTCTCTCAAGCTTAGACCTGGTAATTGCCGTGAATATGAACATCTACACGACTTGGTATTGTGAAAAGGCGGCCATGTCGCCGGCGCATCTGGTATCGTATGCATTGACGTGATGTCAGACAAAGGCTGCCTAGAGCTTGCTGGCAATTCCCGCAGTTGCAGACGCAGAGATGACCTTGTCTTACGAATTGGTAATGGTGTAGTAGACGAATCAAGCGATGTGTGCGTTGAGAGGCTGACATATGTAGGCTCCTTGGAGCTTAAACTTGGTGGCTGCTGTGATCGTTAGTATTGGGACTGAGACTGGCGAGACGAAGTGCTACTGACCGGCGCCTCCATTGGCGTAGTTTGGAGTCTTTGGAATGAAGTCGCGGTGAGTCTGGTTGGAGGTGGAGTTCCAGTGTCCTGGTGTTCCTGAATTAAGGTAGAGCCTGGTTTACCAACATATTTCTCGTCGCGATTCAAGTGTACGTTTGGATGAAAAAGCGAAGTATTCACGGAAGAGGGGTGGAATGAGATAATCAAAGGGATCAAGGGGATCAAAGGGAACAAAAGGATCAAGGGGATCAAAGGGATATTGATGATGGTTGCGTTTGTTGAACAAAAGTGTGCAGAGACAGCTGCTAAACAGAGCAGAGGAGATATTTATGAGCAATTAGTTGGAAGTAATAAAGGGGGCGAAAGAAAAAGAAAGAATATAAAGTTCGTTTAGAGGTGCCACTTTCTTTGCTACAGTCTCACATCGTGGTGACGCTTTGTCTAGCAGGAGTAACGAGCAGTGAGACACTCGCAAGCCTATGAGTGGGGATCAAGCATTGGCGATGGCCATATGAAGGCACGACTGGGTATGGATATCATATTTCTCAACGATAGATACGTTAGATATATCACTCGTATAGGGAATACATACGAGATATCACTGATTAGACACGCAATGAAGAAGATGGATGAATTGTGGTTGAACATGAACATGATATGTCGTTACATTAGGTACGTCGTCGTCCTATGATGTATGTGATGTGCTGCCAAGCCACTAAACCCGCTTGATGCATCCCGATCTACCTGGAGCACAATTGACCATCGCCCCCCTCCCACATGTTCTCAATGCTGCCTCTTCGCGCCCTCCTACCACGGACCTCGTTGAAGAAGACCCCGCTCCTGTGGCTGCGGTACTCCGACCGTAATCAGAATGTGAAGACCACCATTAGGAGCTGCTCCTGCTCCACAAGGCCACTATCCCACGCCGAAACTGCGGGTTTCTCCACGCAATCATCATCGAACAACCAACGAGCCCAGCTCAATCCCACAACATCTGACCCACCGACTCCTCAGACAGACCATCGTACTCTCGCCCAGACTCACAATCTCTTTATCACCTCCCCCTATAGCCCGGGCTCTCCTCTACTGCTCCCCAATGGAACCCACATATTCCAGAAACTGCAAGCCTTCCTCCGGGCACAGTATCCACAATTCGGGTTTCGCGAAGTCGTGACGCCAACGATATACAAGAAGTCTCTATGGGAGGCCTCGGGCCACTGGGATAATTATGCGGACGACATGTTCAGTGTGCAGGGACGGGGAGCAACAGGCGAAACAGAGGGCAAAGAGAAAGGGGAAGACGAAGAATTCGGACTGAAACCTATGAATTGTCCCGGGCACTGTTTGCTTTTTCGCGAAGGAGAGGGCGGCCTTAGGAGTTGGCGAGACCTGCCCGTCCGCTACGCCGACTTCAGTGCGCTGCACAGGAACGAGATCTCTGGCACATTGACAGGGCTCACGAGAGTACGGCGCTTCCACCAGGACGACGCACACATCTTCTGCCGGCCCGACCAGATCCTCAGCGAGATTGAACGGACGCTGGAGTTCGTGAGCATGGTGTACGAGACGTTCAACCTAGGCCCGTACAAGCTCCTGCTCTCCACCCGGCCAGACGACCACTTCATCGGCACTATTGAAGAATGGACGCGCGCAGAGTCGCAACTGACCACGGCGCTCAACAACAGCGGCCGGGAGTGGTCCATCAACGCAGGCGACGGCGCATTCTACGGCCCCAAGATCGACATCATCCTCAAAGACAACCAGGGCAAGGAGCACCAGACCGCCACCATCCAGCTCGACTTCCAGCTACCACAGCGCTTCGACCTCCAGTACCAAGCCTCCCCAGCTGAGCTCGCCGAAACCAATGCCTCCTCCTCCTCCTCCTCCTCCTCCCCACCCGTCACAGACAACGACAACAATAGCAACAACCCCACCGCGACCCGCCGCCCCGTGATAATCCACCGCGCCATCTACGGCTCGCTGGAGCGCTTCATGGCCCTCCTGATCGAGCACTACAGCGGCACCTACCCCTTCTGGCTGTCCCCCCGCCCCGCAACAATCCTCTCCGTGAACACCGACCCCGCCACCATCGCCCACGTCGAAACCCTCCAATCCGTCCTCTCCGGCCTCCTCAACGACCCCCCCGGCTCCTCCAACTCCCCCAACGACGATAACCTCACACGACCCAGCAAACCAACCCCCCTCCCCCTCTCAAAACCCCTCATCCCAATCACGACAGACGTGTCCGCGCGCCCGCTCGGCAAGAAAATCGCAGAGGCGAAGGCGAAGAAGTACAACCACATCGTGGTCGTCGGGCCCAGCGAAGTCGCGTCCGGCAGGCTGAACATCGAGCTCGCGAACCAGCCGCACGCTGACAGGGCCGTCGAGGTGCTGAAGGATATCCTTGGTCCGGAGGCAGGCGTCGAGAGTGCGGGGGCAGGGAAGGGGAATGGGAAGGGGAACGGGAGGCGGAATGGGAATGTCAAGGTGGGGATGGAGGGTGTGCAGGCGAGGAGGTACTTTGAGAGGTTGATGGATCTGTATTTGTGATGTAGGAGTGGGAGTGGGAGTGGGACGTTCATTATGAGAGACATGGGGGGAACGGGGGAGAAGAGAGAAATGTAAGAGTACTGTTTGTTGGATATCATTCTTCCCTCTCAGTAGAAAAGGTGGGATAGATATGGCAATGTATAAGGCATGTATGAAATAAGGAAAAGAAAAGTTATAAACGTACGCGTTCTTCTCGGAATCAGATAATTTCCCATCCTCCTAAGCCTTTGGTCCTTTGTAGACTTCAGTGAAGTGCCCAGTACGAATTGATGTTCCCATAGCCATCCGTGCGAGTATGTTTCTGGGAGCGAATCAGTCCATGTAACACCCAGTCTACCTTGATGAATTAATACACACACATGGCATCACCAATCGAACATCTCATTCACAAATCTTTGATTTCTAAAAAGGGTTCACTTCACACCAACTATCTGTGTCAGACTCGGGTATACTTCTACCCAGCCTGACACGACGAACTCGCGTCCGTAAAACCGCTAACCACTACTACCTACACGCAAATTCACACCCTTGGGCGCTGCAGGCTTTGACGCAAGTATTGTGCAAAGATCCCATCATCCGTGGTTGGCTTTGCAGTACATTCTGATGCCCCGCTGATAGTCGAAGAGAAGAAAGAAAAAAAGAAGCATCCATCATCTTGAACAGACTCGGTAAATGGAAAACATGTTTGCTGGCCCAGCCGGAACGCCTGATTATCATTAGGTATACGAGTAACGCTTACAACCATAGGGGAACACATTGAAACATAACAGAGAGGAAATTGAACCAAGTTCCGGTCGCAGAAAGATAACCGAGGAAAAAGGAGTGCAATGATGCAGAGGTATCCTATCGTAATCATGGCCGTATAGAAGGCAGGGACACAGTGAGGAAAATGGAAGGACCTTGGAAGAGTAAGGGAAAATCAGAAAGGTAATCATGATGTCTCTACCGTCGAGGTAGTGTGCCGGTCATGCGTCCCCCGCCAGCGTTGAGACTTTGCCGCACTATCATCTCTGCGGCTTGCGCAGCTGCTAGTCGTTCCTGTGCTTCTGTTAATATTGTCTCAGATCGTGGACGTCTGTGAATTACACACCTTCTGTCTGCTGCGGTCCTTGAGATATCGCTCAGCCTCGGGTCTCATTCGGAGGATCCTCAAGATCATGTCGTCGTTGGGGTCCGCTTGGGCTTCTTTTCGCTTCTCTTCCTTCGCCTTTTTCATCGTACCCAGGTTCCTGCTCAGCATTATGGTCTTGTGCTTTCTGGTAGGCATGCCAAGAAGGCCAGCAGCACCTCCAAACTGATGGCCCATATTTGCCGGTGCAGACATGCGATTCAGCCGTGCTGACTGTTCCTGCTGCCGTAGCGCATTGGCGGCCGCCATAGACTCAGATGTCCGGATAAGGTCATCGGTGGATTCAAAGTAAAAGAAGTTGAGGTTCTGGAGTTCGTGATATTTAGGCGATTTTAGGATATCCATGGGGACGCCATCGGAGTTGCCGTCTTCATCTGCCGCATGGAAGAAATCAAACAATAACTGACTATGTTAGCAAAGACCTGGAATAAATGATGCTGGAATTCGCGTACCTTCAGCCACTTGAACACAATATCAAGTTCCTGCTGCGTTAGAGGCCGTTGCTGAGAGGGCTTGTCGGAAAGCGGGGGAACAAGGAGAGATTCGATTGTAGCCAAGACCTCCTTCCACAGTCGTGTCATGACCATAATCATAGCCGAATCAGTTAGCGTTTCTTTCATGATGGCAAAATTCTCGTTGAAGTAGTCAAAAAGCGGTTCCAAGGCCCTGGTAACGTCTTGCTGAGTCGGGCCTTGGATGACTGACTGAGGACGAGCGCCTGTGCGGAAGAAGCTGGAGACGGATGAGACACTAATGCCCTTGTTGAGCATGGCTCTGAGCGCCCGCCGTGACAGACAATGATGGATGTATGAAGAAAGCTATTGCATGTCAGCCGCCATTGTCTAATGGTGGGAAGATTACACACCTTATCAGTGATCTTTCGAGTCATGTCCCTTTCTGTTCGCTTCAACGTCCTGAAAGCCTTTCCGAAATAGAATTGAATGTCGTCTCGCTCGCCCTCCATACTTACACGCAAAAGCAGTCTGCCTTGGGTGTCGAGGTCCAGCCAGTACTCACGAGGCATGAAGTCTCGGAAGTGCGAAGGATCTAGTTTGAGCGAGGTACGGCCAACGCAGTCATGGTCTCCTAGTGTATCCCAATCCCAGATAGTTGCAATGATGTTCAGGGGGCCTTGGGTTGTGATATCAATCGTTTCATCCCATCGTGGGTTAAGATTGGCGTAAATCACACGGGTCTTTGCGAGACGTTTCTGGTACTCGTCGCCAAGAACGACGTAAGGATCACTTAGACCATTGATATCACAGGCTTTCAGATCTTCAGCTTCGATGATCTTGATGGTGAAGACGTAATTGTTCGGACCGCGAGCCCGCTGAGCAGGGGGCGGTGCGTGTTTATGGATAACCTCCGCACAAGCATCAACGTTGATCTCGCGTTCTAGCTTGTCCAGCTTGTGCATCGCATATTCGATGTTGTTGAGCTTAACCAGTGACTAAATCTGGTTAGCGAAAATAATTCCTGTCAAGAGATTTAGAGCAGTTTTAAAATACTTACTTCCGGCCAAAATTGGAAAGGTTCAATCTTTTCCTTTTGGGCGTAGAGATCCTTTGCCATAGAGATCCACTTCTCCTGTCGGGTCTGATTTGCGGCAGCTTCTTGTTCGGGCGTTAAACGATCCATTTCTTTGCTGAACTTCTGTTCTACGAGGTCGCAATATCGTGCAAGTCCCTGGCCAACCGCCTTAGATATGGTGGTCATAAATTTCGCATACTGGAGATCATCATCCCAATTGAGTGACACAATCTGCTCGATACTCTGATTAAAGGACCGGAAGATATCGACAACCGAAACGCTGTGACGCTCGTCGTCCATAGGTGGGCTGTTCTGAGACTGTATCTGGAATTGATCGGCTTTGAACGCATTCTCTACCCAACCAGGGAGATTGGCCTCGGTCATTTCAATCCATCGCCAGACGAAATCCTGCAGCATTCCTTCAATGTGGAATGCGAATGTTCGGTTCGGCAAAGCGTCACTGTGGATTCGTCGAATCTCGACGAGCTCTTTGTAGAGATCGAAACCGTCCTGGATCGGCACCTCTTCCTCCCTACTATGCGCTACATCCATGATTCTAGCCACGAGGTCTCTTGCATCGGCCGCATATGCTGGGAACATCTCTCCTACGAGACACATCATCGGGCTCACGCCCATGATCTCTGGATTCTTTCGGTAACGTTTCTGTATCCTCTCACAGAGTTTGACTACAGCACGGCCAAGCTCGATGACGTGATAGAACTCCCATTGCTCTTTCAGTTCAGGAATATGCTTCGCTAGCAACTCCCGGTACACTTCCGCGGCCCGTTGGCAAAGGGCTTCGCGTAATTGTTCCGTATACGCATCCAACTCTTCCTGGCTTGCAGAGAACAATTGATCGTCATATATGTGATTGTTGAGGACGTACATAACCGGGCCTAGTGGAGGAGTCTTAGAATCGTAGACCATGAGCATAATTTCGAACAGTTCTCTGAGCAGTGCTTCGTGGAGAGCATGCAATATCTGTTGGTTGAGCGCATAGTCCGCGATGGTCCACTTCGATCGGTCCCACATCGATTCGGGTATTTGACTCATCCTGTGTGACTTTTTATCGGTCGCGGGCGGTTCCTTAACATAGTTGAAGGCAGCATCCAATGTGTCAAGATCAATCTCTTGGGCTTGGTACTTCTCCCTGATCACGTCCAGGAACAGGATAAGCCTTGAGAATTGGGGTAGCCGCCATCGCAGGGCAATCTCGTTCAGAAGTTCGGCAGATTGCTTTGATAGTAATTTGATGGATGGGGCCTCACTGGTAGCTTCGGTGGGTTGGAGCTCGGTGTCTGCAAGGTCGTGAGTCAGCGCCTCCTTGAGGATGGCGCGGTAGTACTGCCGTGTATCTGGAGGTACAAAAGTGTATGCCGTTTCATCATTTGCCGTATCGTCTGAGATATTGAGACCGCTCATGTCCACCGGCTGGTCAATGACGTACGAGGATCCGTTCTCCCCGCCTATAGATGAGTTCCTTGATGGATCACGACTTGCGGGGTCCGCGGAAACATGGGGTTTGAATTGAGGCAAGTTCCCACCGGGGGTGCTTTTTGCCAACTCTGGGTTGGATTGCACGATGGCCAGGATCATTTGTGACAGATCTGGAATCTCGTTATTTTTCCACGCCTCATATGCTTCCTCAAGGTCGAAGTCATCGCTGTTGAGGGTCTTCTTGCTCATGAGGCTCAGATGTGCCTGGTACGTTTTCAGATCCTGTAGTGCCGCCTTCTCTGTCCACACCGATTTGTAGCGATTGATATCCGCCTGGACGTCCGAGTATGAAATGGCATATATTCGAGAAACGACCAAAACCAGCGGCATATCCTTGACTTCGTAACTGCGAGGTACCTCGACTTCAATTGTTGAACCTCCTGCGCCTCCGTTCCGTTGATGCTCGGCCGAAAGGTCTTGATCGTGCACGAGAAGCTTCTTTTCCATCGTATTCAACCGCAAACTCAACTCGGGTCGGTCTCGGGCCCAGTCGTGGTCTCTGAGGGTGGAACTGATCAATCGCACGAATAGGGCGACGTGTCGGTCCACCATGAGCTTCCAGCTCTCGTCGCCAGGCTGCTTCCCTTTCTGCAATTCCTTGGTAGCGCTCGAAAAGAAAATCAACAGTAGGTCCTCCACTCTCCTATCCTTTTCCATCGACTTTCGGAATTGGGGCGCCTTGAACTCGTTGAGGAAGACGGCGAATGTTCGCTTCACCAACGCATCTGAGTACTCCGGGCGCTTCTCCTTGCCGATCAGAACACCCGTTATCCGCTTGTCCAATTCGCTCATGAAGCCATGTGGAAATCTCGTGCTTTTGCTATCTCTAATGAGCTTGAAATCGCCCACGAGATCTGTAACGGAGGTGGACGATCGCTGAACAGGCTTGGGAGCCGCGACATGTTGAACCCTCTTCTGGCGGGGCTGCAGGAGGTAGGCGAGGTAGGCGACGCGAAGAGCGTACAGGTATGAATCTTGTGCGGTGATGTGCCGTTTGGGGTGTTTTCCGACCGTGTTCCTTCGAGGGCGCTCCTGGCGCTGGAGGCTATCCAGTCGCCGATTGGAGGCGGTGGACATTTGGGTCTCGTAGGAAAGTTTGTGGTGTGGGCGGACCGTGTCGAGGTGTGTTGATAGACTGTTGGAAGGTGGTCAATACGAACAGCGAAGCAGCGGGATCGTAGTAGGGCCGCGGTGGTGTTCGACTTGGAGACGAGGACAGGGGACGGCGGTGAGGGGTATAAAGGCGAGATGCTGGTCAAGTGCCGAGTGTGTGCTGTATTCTACGGTGAGTATATATCCAGTTGAAGAGGGGAGTTTAAGGGAGTGAGGGAGGAAGGAAGAGTGTGAATGCGTGTGTGTAGGAAAGAGAGAGTATAGAGTGTAGGTATGGGTGTGATGGTTGTTTGTTAGGAGGGGAAAGTGGGAAGGGTGGAGAGTTGGTCGTAGCTCCTTCCTTGGGGGCTGATGATATACTTACTTACTATTTACATACAGAGATAGGAAGATGGATGCCGTGATACCTCACAAACTGTATGAGAAAATAACTATTATCTATGCAAGCAACTGAACTTTAAAAAAAAAATGCATGCAAATATCTGAGACTAGATTTGTTCTAGCAGTATCCTGTCCGCTTTTCTTGTCATCCTATTGCTGTTGATGTCCGTTTGGTGGCGGACCTCAGCCCTACCTTCTACTACGCACTTACCTGATGGACGGTAGCCTTCCTCTTGGTGCGTCACAGTACATTTAGCTCCCTCCTTGTAAGCTATCAGGCTGTACGTTGGGCAGAACTACAAATACGAATGCCTAGGTACCTACTCCATGCTTAAATTGATATACGAGCTGTTACTTTGCTCATAGCTCCTTAGATCAATAATATTCATTTGCGCGCCAGGTTATATCTTTATAATTCTGCAAGTACATCAATTTCCTCGATCGCATAAATACATGTACTTCGTGTAGTATGTGCATACGAGTCAGTATGTAAATACTCGAAAAGTATGCCCATAATGCGCCTTGCGAAAACAATACTCTATTCTCGTTCATGGCCCCCGTTCCAACTACCGGACCCCATTACTATTTTTTGAAACATGGACGCATGCATGGTAATCCTAATGATCTTGAAACACCTTCATTCTGACGCGCCCAAGCACATTCATACCTTAGCCAACAATGCCCAACACCGAATACCTATCCACACATAGTTAGCAGTATGGATCGAGTATACATAATAAACTTACTGTTCCTTTAGCTTTTCCTCATTTTGACCATATTTCACGGCATCAAGAGAGCGTCCAAAGATTCAACCCAATACAGATCTTGAGCAATGCAATGCACGCACGTGACAATTATTCCCTGGCTCAGGCACGCGTCAGGCGCGGGGCTCTCCTCGAAGCTCTCCTCGTCTCCATCCAACCACCACCAGCTTTCCACAACCACAACAGACCATCATGATCTTGCCTAGGTACCTAGGAACTTAGAAAGATATCCTCGATCACAAGCTATAATCAACGCGAGCTCGGTACCTTGGCAATCATGGTTTTGTCCGATCAAACGGCTTACCATTGAGCTGAACGGTCCGTCCCGACTATCAGAGCCGTGACGTTACGTTCGTTGGGTTTTCACGTGAAGATTCAATAGCTTCCTCCGGCCCTCGCTGAAGAGCGCATCGCCAACCACCAAAAAAAAGCTGGACGGAAACAATTATTCAACCAGAGTCGCCGCAGGACCTATGTACACAGCGTCAACAAATCGCGCATCGCCCTTTCCACAGTCAATAGACCAAACATCCTTTGCGCCGCCTTCCGCTCGACAGCTTGCACCGTTACACGTCCACTACCACAGCAACCTACTCAGCAGCAACAGCTCAAGATCCGACCCGAAAACCACGTCCAACATCCGCTGCTGATTCTGACATTACGAGATCCTCCGTGATCGTCCAACTGGCGCCTCGGCCTCGTCCACGCATCCTCATCCAACGCCCTGCGCAACCCGCCCCAACACATGCCAGTCCTTTGAAACCCCAGTTGCTCGCAAACACATATACCTACACACGGCGCAACTTCCCTCCCGATTGATCCACCGTACCTCAGCCCAGCCCAGGTTCACGAAAGGATCCCAGAACACCCAATACCCCACAGTGCCATCCGGCGCAAACCCACACCCACACCATGGCCCCCAAAGCCGAAGCCGCCAACGGCGTAGAAAAGACGCTCCTCTCGGAAGACCAAAAGAAATCCAACCACATCCGCTCCGAGCAGAAGCGGCGCGAAGCGATCCGCGAGGGCTTCGACAAACTCGCCGCCGTGGTGCCCGGCCTGGACGGCATGGGCAGGAGTGAAGCGCTGGTCCTTGAGGGGGCGCTCAAATTGGCGCGGGAGGAGGTCGTCAAGAGACGGGACCTCATCGCCCAGGCGAAACAGAACGGAGAGGACACTACGGGCTTGGAACTTGACACTGCGACTATCGAGGCGGTGGAATTCCAGTTGTCGAGAGCGCAGGCGGAGGGGAAGGACGCGGAGCAGGATACCATCAAGAAGGAGAAATGAGTAGTCTGCGCCTAGAAGTTACAAGCAGGCAAAGCCTTCTACAACACCTTGTTCGCCCAAAATAGTGGGCTGTTGTTACAAAAACAGAAAATAATGTATCATTTTTATACCGTTCACGCTCTCATCCAAGACAAGCATCCCACAACCTTAACCTCAAACTACATTCCAAGATACCTCCGTCACACAAAAAGAATTGGAAGCCCGCTACCACATCCACGCCGTACCTCCCGATAACCCAATGCCTCATCTTATGTTCTACCCTTTCAGCTTTTTTTGGACTACGTATACATCAACATTCAGATGAACGACAATTTCGAAAAAGCAGCGTTGAACTATGTTTGTAACGCTTGGTGTTGTAATATGTACAATATAACATAGTATCCCTGCGAAATGCAGCCTTCTAATCTAGTCGCTTCAGTCGTCTATACGAACTGTGCGTTTGGTCTACGTCCATTTTTTTGAAACTGAGCCATGTATCGTTTATCACGTTAGCTGAGTCGTGAGCCTCGGAGCGATGATACATGGCTACAAAGATCCGAATGACATCGTCTTCTTCGCCGTGAGGTCCTGTGTGTCTTCCTCCGGCCTCCAGATATCGACTGTTCAAACAGCGGTTGTCGTTCGCCCTAGTCGAACTCGATCTTGGACGCCGTGTCCCTTGTGACGTACCTCTCAACATCTACAACACCCCAGATAATCCGTCGAATACATTCAGCATCTTCCTTCGACGACATCCCTCACGACCCCCCCGTCTTCGCCCACTGCTCCCTCAAATCCACACTGAGCGAAACCCGCGGCCACCCAACCCTCCTATGACACCCATCGATCAACCCCACCACAGCCTCCCTATGCTTCGTGTCCTGAATACACAACCCGGCTGTCACATACATCAGCGACCCACGTTCCTAAGCAGTGGGGGTGGAACAGTACGTACCTATGTACAAACACTGCGACGACATGACGCTGGAGGCCGCGTCCGTGAGCGGGATCGCGAGCTGGCATATTATGGTGGAGTACGCGGTGAGGACTTTTTGTTGCTCCATGTAGTCCGTGGCGCCGCCGAGGGAGGGCTTGTGCAGGAGGACGAGGATGCGGGCGGCGTAGTTGAGTTGCATGGAGACGGCTGGTGGTGGTGTTAGCTAGGTAGCGGCAGGCAGGGCGGAGAGACGAGAGACGACGTACCGAAGGAAGGGGGGTGTATCCATATCGGGTCGAACCCGTCGATGGAGTGTTGCTGCTGCCGCTGTTTGTGATAAGGCAGAGGGGTGAATTCGTCGGAGAGGTTGTCGCGCCATTCGTCGAGCATGGCGGTGATTTTCTCCGCGCTGTCGAGCCGCAGCTTGACGTTGTTGACGCCGTCTTTCATCGCGTCGGCGGAACAGTAGTCGACTGCTTTCGCGAAGATCCAGACGACCCGGGCGGCTTTCTCGAAGGACGTCATGGTTGTGTATGACTTTGTGGGTGTCCAGAGGCTCAGTGTTCGGCGGCGCTCGCGGAATCCGGCCCAGATGTCTTGTCGGAGCCATGCCCACCAGACGGCGGATCGGAGGCCTCCGGTCTCGCCTTGTATGAGTTTGCTTCGTTGGATCCAGAAGACGCCTTTGAGGTGGCGCTCCCAGCCGCTGCCCGTGCCGGAGTCGTCGAGCATTTCGTACATGGAGACGATCAGGGCGGTGGCTAGAAGTTCTAGGCTTGTCGTGTATTCTTCGATGTACATGGCCTTTTGGAGGTAGTGGAGGGTCTTGTAGTAATACTGGATTCCGATCTTAGAGTCTTGTTCCTCGGGAGTCGCATTATGGCTGATGGATAGTTGGCGGGAGGAAAGTGCTAGAATTGCATTCATCAGGCCGGAATCACGCATCTAGGAGCTATTAGTAACGAACTTAGATGTTGAATGAAGTATGCATACTGCAAGATGCGGCACGACAAGTGCAAAATGGTTGCATGGGTCATGCAAATCGATCTGTGGCAGGCTATCATCAGCGGGAAGAATATGTCTTGAACCCATGCAGACCTACCCAAGAGCTGACTTCGGTCACAAAGTTGTGAAACAGTGCAGACTCAAAGTTGGATAACTCGTTTGGCCGGGAGTCCAGCCAGGGATTCGAAGGTGCCTCTTCATTGACTACAGATCCTCCGGGCGGTCGATGTGCGATCTCAATCGGAAAACTGTATTGCTGGCCAAGAGTATCAAAGGCTATGTTGTCGCCGAACGAAGGCGACTGCTGGCTGTGGGTGGCTGCATCTGGCGATGTTGGCATGCCTCGAAGGAATCCAATGCTTGGATCACCGCTGACAGCATCATTGGCGAGCAGTCCTAGCCAGCGGCTGAGTGCTGCATCTGGAGGTATTTCCGGAATGTAGGTACAATTGACCGCCTCGGGAAGGCATGGCTGGTTACTGATGTTCGAAAGTGTCGTTGAACCAGGCGTGACTTCGCTATTGTTGGTGCCCTGATGATTTTCCACGACTGCCTGGGATGAAGGACTCGACCTCTGCGTGTCCTCTTCATCATTTCCATCCTGATCAGTTGGCGGTGGCTCGACAGCTACAGCTGGAATAGGTGATCGTGACTTCGAATTGCTGTTTGCATAAACGCAAGTTTGCTTGCTCTTCACACACTGGCCGCATTCTGGAGTGGCTTCGTCGCATCGCAGATGCCTTCGTTTGCAGGTAGCACTGGAATTGGCCAAAAGGAAAGACTCTCAGCAGTTGTAAATACTGAACACGATGCGGGTCACTTATCCGCGGGTAGCGGCTTACCATCCTGTTCTTTTGCGTAACCCCTGGCCCCGAGGCTTTCGCCTCTGGCGACGCGCTTCATTGATGCTTGCTCTCTTCCTGGCGGCTGCCTCGTCCATGTCGTTAGTCTATTCACTGATTAGAACGTGTGTGGGTCATTCATTGTTTGTGGAGTCCGATCCATGATTGGAAGGGGAAATCAGCGATGATGATTGTTCGTTGGTTGCCCGAGACGGAGGTCAGGTGGTTGTCTTTCTCTTATGTCTATTCGGATATTCCTCCTCCTACCCGGCATTTCGCACTTGTGGAGACTATCCGTCACCTACGCCCTCGTCTCGAGGGTCATTTCCTAATTGGGTAAGTCAGGATGCCGCCACACATTCCAAATTCGGCTCAGTTGTAACTATGGAAAACAGAGCAGACAGATTGTGTACTTGTACTTTACCGCTATTATTCAAATTTGTCGTAGGAATCGTTTCCTATAACTGTAAAAGTCTTCAGCCATCAGCCATCAGCCATCAGCCATCAGCCATCAGCCATCATGTTTGCGGGGAAGTTCGTTCGTGGCTTGTCTGGCCCAAGCAAGGCCCTGATACCCACTAGCCGGCGACACACTTCAACCAAGCCTCCTGTGCTGGCATCATTTTCCCTTGCAAATAAGACTACCGTCATAACTGGGGGCGCGCGGGGGTTAGGACTTGCTATGAGCAAGTCTTTGGCTCTCAGCGGTAGCAATGTCGCAATTGTCGATTTAAACAGTACAGTTTTCGAATTATCCTAGTTTTGTTTACTCATTAATTAATGTTCTGCTCCAGAAGACGAAGCCGCTGAACGAGCGCTGGAAATTGCGGGCAGCTTTCGACAGGTCCATCCACAACAAGTGTAAGTACTACTAGCCACAGGGAGACATCGTTTTCACATAAATAAAGTGTTCCCAAGATTACTGCACATTATGCAGATGTTGCCGAAAAGGCAGAGGTGGATGCGTCCATTCAGGATGTGCTACACCAACATGGCGAAATCACGAACCTCGTGACGTGCGCCGGATATTGCCAGAACGTAAACGCCATTGACATGACTCCCGGAGACATCAAAAGGATGCTGAGTGTCAATCTCGAGGGCACATTTTACTATGCCACTGGTGTCGCTCGATACCTTATGGAACGAAAACAGCCGGGGACAATGGTGTTCATCGGTAGTATCAGTGGCAGCATCGTGAATGTACCACAGCCACAGGCAATGTACAATTCCAGCAAAGCAGCCGTACGACACCTGGCAGCTAGCTTAGCTGTCGAATGGGCAAGCAATGGCATTCGAGTGAACTGCTTAAGCCCGGGGTACATGATCACCGAGCAAGCCATGTATGTTGTCGCATTATGTTGGAGGTTTCTTGAGGCTTCGCTGATGAAAAGAAAATAGGAAAGCAAAGATCCTTGCTGAGAATCCAGGACTTAAAGCGGAATGGGAATCCAAAATTCCCCAAGGCAAGATGGGCCCACCGGAGGAATTGATGGGTACAGTGGCATTCTTGTCCTCGGACGCTTCCAGTTACATTACAGGCCAGGAGATCAAAGTAGATGGAGGGTACACGGTGTGCTGAATTGTTTTCACCCGGAAATGAGGTGGTGTGAGCACTGTAAGGTCATACTCGTACTTTTGCTACTAATGGAAGGGTTAGAGAATTGACATCCCATTTCAAGGATTCAGGCGTTACAATTCCTAATGACAAACGCTGGTTGATGGAGCAGTTCTGGCATCCGGTTCAATATCGCCGTGGTTGATGCAGGTGCAACGGGTGTTGGAGACTCTCATATTGACGCGAAAATCCAAGCCCACGCACGCACAGGTCAATACGGTCACATTTCTCTGCCTTGGATGTGATCTGAAGCCTTTACATACCCCACAGTCTCAAGTGCATCATCCGATTTGATAGGGTCTTGGAGATGTGATCGAACGCGACCAAGGACTGATAAACACCAATGAAACGCACGCTGCAACGTTTCTATACCGATTGCACGGTAAATCCGAAAGATTGGTGCTCAATGATCATGGCAACAGGGGATCTATGTCGTGCATCGACTGCGCACGCAAGTACGCCGAGAAACAGTTGGAGCGGTCGAGTGAGTAGGAAAAGTCAACAAAGCTTTCTATCCCGTACTCAATCAACCAGCGTACCCTGCTCAGTGATATAGGAGGCATGATTAGACAGAATCGCCAGGGCCGATTATCGCAGCGTTGGATCCTCCTTTTCTCTTCGCAGGACGAGCGACACCAACACGAATAATTCTTTGCAGTTATTATGACTGGCGATCTGTGTATGACGAATATCCACACCTGATGAAAATACTAAGCGGCGCGCCCAAGCCTTTGTTATCAGAGCTAGCCAATCTTGGCCTACAAGGGGAAATGTCTCCGGCGTCGGATCCGGGCCGTTTTCGGTTGCTGCACTTCATCGACCAGTCAATTGTCCAATCCCCATGCGTTCAATTGGTGAACCGGGGAACATCTTGCATTGTTACACTGATGCGCGTGGGGTGGTCGCCACACGAGACAGTCTCGTACTGTGCTGGTTGCCAACGCTTTTACCACTAAAAAAATGCACATCTAGTATCTATCTCCTATCAGTACGAGTTCATCCGTTGAGCATGGCGCCCTATCTTTCGGTGTTACTTTCTATCCCCAAGGGCCGAGACGTATCGAATGATACTACAGTACGATGGTTGGAGGCGTCGTTTTCCGCGGCATGGCAGACGTTGGGAAAGATAAGAAAGAATATATGAAATAGTGATTGACGGCCTCTGTTGTAGAGATGCATGGGAATTCGCTCTTCCTCCGCACATCCATCTATTTCCATACACAGCGTGCGTGACCAGTTTTCAAGCCATCGAATCCACTACCATGGCGACCAATGAGGACACCAAACAGCCCGATATAGGCAGGGTCGAAGCCGACTTTGGAGTGGGCTCCACCACCAACGCTGTCGACTTGAACGACAAAGCATTGGAGAAGCGCGTCGTCCGCAAGATCGACACATGGGTTTTGCCTTTTATTTGCATTTCATATCTCATCAATTTCCTCGACAGAGTGAGTTTCATCCATTCGGGTGTAAAAGCCAATTCCCTAAAACATATGATAGGTCAATCTTGGAAATGCCCGAACACTCAACAATGATACCCCACAATTCAACATCGTCAAGGAGCTCGGCCTCACTGGAAATCGCTACAACATCGCCGTCGCGGTCTTCTTCGTACCATATGTCATCTTCGAGGCTCCAAGCAATTTCGCAATGAAATATTTCACCCCCTCAGTATGGATCGGTCGCATCATGATCAGCTGGGGTATCATCACGATCTGCACATCTGCCGTCAAAAGCTTCGGAGGACTGCTTGCAGTGCGATTCTTCCTTGGTGTTGCTGAAGCCGGTTTCTTCCCTGGTGTCGTCATGTATCTCTGCTACTGGTACAAGCCGTCGGAGCGAGCGACACGTCTCGCTATTTTTGCCGGCTCGGTTGCGGTCGCGGGAGCTTTCAGTGGCCTCCTGGCAACGGGTATCTCTTTCTTGAACGGAAAGGCAAACTTGGCTGGATGGCAGTGGCTATTCATTCTGACCGGTATTCCTGCAGTGATATTCGGAGCCATCGTCTGGATTTTCATGCCCAACTTCCCTCAGGACGCTAAGTTCTTCACAGAGGAAGAGCGTGCCTTCGCAATCGCACGAATGGGACCGTTCGCGCCGAACAAGGAAGATAAAACATTCGATGCGAAGACCGCGAAAGAGACTCTCTTCAACCCACTGTTTTGGGTGTATGCCGTCAGCTACTTCTTCATGGTGAACAGCCTCAACGCCTTCAGCTATTTCTCGCCGACCATTATTGCCAACCTTGGATTCAAGGGTTACACCGCACAGCTGCTTACTGTTCCTCCAAACGTATTTGCTCTGCTCATGATCTTGGGCAACTGCCTGCACTCCGACTACTCCAAGGAACGTATACGCCATGCTCTTGGTGCGTTGGTACTTGTCGGAACGGGATATCTCTTGCTCGCCCTTCTCACCAACTGGATTGGTCGATACATTGCTGTCTTCCTCATCGCATGCACCAACGCCGCCGTCATGCCCTTCCTCGCCCATCGAACGGCAACAGTCTCGGGTTCGACTGCGACTGCTCTTGCAACAGGTGTGACGATTGCATTTTCCAACTGCGGTGGTATCAGCGCACCTTTCTTGTTCCCGTCCACTACCGGACCAAACTACGCCATGGGCAACGTAAGTACCGCAATGAATGCACTTGTCATCCAAAAGCTAACGAAACCCAGTGGACTGTCTTCGGCATGCTATGCGCGACATTCTTGATGACCATCTACCTCGGCTTCCGCCTTGGAACTAGCTCCGAGTATCGCGATTTCGCCCCAGGTGCAGCAGAGCAGTTGGCCCGCAGTGCCGATTTGGATGGCAAGGTGGCCGACCAGGCCAGAGACTCAGCAGAGTATCCTCCAGCTGCGGCCAACGCCGAAGGTCCTGGTGCGAAGATGTAAATGTAAATAGCGTTAGATTCACGATCTTATATGATCAAGCGTTTCGAAATAGACTTTTGTCAATCCACCTATATTCTAGACCATTGGTGCCAATAATGCCCCGGTTTGTGCAAAGTTATGTGGAGAAGATCACCGGCGATTTTTGGCAGTAGCCTCCGGTCCAATGAAGTGCGGCTCATCATGGTCAGAATATCGCCGATCAAACATATCTCTTGGACCTAATCTTGGAGAGATACTTTCATGATTCGTGCTCGTATTGAGATATCATCCATGTTCTCGGCATTTGAACTTATGTGGTCGCAGGTGTGTCGCGCCCAAGTTTGTCTCCACTGCCAACACGTCCATCTACAATATTGAACGCGTATCAATGGAATACAGCAATGGGTTCAACCATCTTCGAAATCGTTACCTATCGACATGTTACTGAATTGCTACACCATCAACATTGATCTTTGGCGGTCTCTTAAAGTTCGCGGCTGATTATCCTGACCGGGAAATCCTGCGCCGAGCACGTCATCCTTTGGCGAATCAAGTCATATCTACAAGTAGCCAGACCCTTATCTACCACAAGTACTCGTAATCCTGTTCCGCATTGGGTGTTCCATTATGCAGATTGGGCAATACAAAGGAGAGATTGCGACAGAGTTAGATCTTGGATGAATAGTACAAATGGATTCAAGTCCACCCTTCTCTCACGTCTTTTTTCCATAGCATTTCCAATCTTCGATACATTCGATATTGATATTCCTAATCGTGTTCCATCGATATGTCGACCGAAATTGGGTCCGCTGAAGAAGGGCAACGTCGAACGGTATCTCCAGGTACAATTGATCAAACCCTTCGTTATGTACCCAACTAAACATTAATTCTAGCGAAATGGTACCGAACACCATTCTACAATGCCACAATCCTAGGATTCTGTAGTTTGGCCGCGCCTGGCCTATGGGGCGCCATGAACTCTTTAGGCGCAGGCGGAGCTCAATCCCCATATCTTGTCAACACCGCCAACGCGCTCACCTTCTGTCTCATGATCGTGTCTTGCTGGTTCACGAGCTCGATTGTGAGGTACATTGGAATCAAGGGAGCGTTGGTAATTGGAACGATTGGATTTGCGCCATACAGTGCTGGTCTTTACCTGAACAATCGATATGGGGTTGATTGGCTTGTGATTCTCGGTGCCGCATTGTGCGGAATCTCTGCAGGTATCTTCTGGGCAGCCGAAGCTGCAATTGCGATTGCGTATCCGGAGCCGAGGAATCGAGGACGAATGATCGCATACTGGATTACCTGGACTTGCGCCGGACGCATTTTGGGTGGATCAATCAGCTTGGGACTGAACTCCGAAAAGAATGAGACGGGCAGCGTGTCCTACAAGGTGTATCTGATCTTCATAGCCCTTCAGTGTCTAGGCCCCTTTGTCGCCCTGTTGCTCAACAGGCCATCGAAGGTTCAGCGCTCCGACGGCGTGCCCGTTGAACTTGACATCACCGGCAACCCATGGCAGGAACTTCGCGCGACAACCAAGAGCTTCCTTAATAAGAAATTCCTACTCCTGATTTTCTGGATCGGACAAGGCGTATACTCCGAGGCCGTTTATTACACATACATCGCACTCTGGTTCAGCGTCCGCGGTCGTGCGTTGGGCTCCTTCTTGTCTGGCATCGTCAGTATCATCGGATCAAATCTTCTCGGCGTGTGGCTCGACCAGAACCAGATTACCCTGAAACTACGTGCCCGCTGGGCGTACATCGTCATTATGGCTACCCAAGGTGCGTGGTGGATCTGGCTTACGATCAATGTCACAGAGTTCCGCCGTACTGCGCCTGCCTACGATTGGGCCGACCCCGGTTTTGGTAGGGCTTTTGGGCCTTTCATATTCCTCGTCATTGGCTTCCAGATCAACTACATCTTCGCATTCTTCCTTATCGGCGAGATCTCGGAAAGCCCTCAGGAGACTATTCGCTTGGCGGCCTTGCTCCGAGGAACAGAGTCGGCATGGCAGGCTATTAGTTATGGATTGGGTGCGGTACCACTCTTTGCGCTTGTCGGAAGTACATACCTGAATTTCGCGTTGTGGGCTGTCAGTATTGTGCCAGCTTGGTTGGTTGTGAGCAAGATTGGAACCAAGCCGAAAGACAGCGCCGTCGAGACTAAAGATGAATCTGATCTGACAAAATAGAATTCTGGAAGCCAAATAACTCCCTAAAGACAGTGTTGATCCAATTTATCTAGCCTGTAACAAATGAAAATTAGATATTATGTTGTGCACCCTGCAGTATGTCTATCTCTATCCCACCCAGTAGCTCACAGTATGTCTAAATGCTTAGTTACTCCCACAAATGCCCATTCTAGTATACCCTCTATGTAGCTTTCTTGGTAGCTTTTGTCCTCAGCTTCATCATGAGGAAGACCATCGCATAGCTGCTGAAACAGAACAGCACGACGATCGCCGCATTCCTCCATCCATAATACTCTTCTGCAAGATTGAGGGTCTTGAGATAACTTCCACCGTCCTTGAATTGGCAGACGCGGCAATCTGCCATTGCGTCTGGGTTCAGTAGAGAAGTGCCAGCGCCCATTCCCTGTTGATAGACCGAGAGATACTGGCCGCAGGTCTGGTTCGACGGAGGGTTGAAAATTGCGAGCTCGCTTTCTTTGCAAGTGACTTTAGTCGACCAGCTAGTAAAGACTAGGAGCGAACTCATGAGGTAGTTGAAAGGGTCAAGGTAATATAGCCTAAGGTACTTGAAATTAGTTTAAAATCATGCTTGATGAAAAATTGAGAACTGACCAATATTTCCAAAATGCCTGGATTTGGCTGTAAGGCGCCATTACTCCAGAGAAGGAGACTAAAGTTGTGATGACTAGAGGGTTGACCAATGAAGCAAACACGGCGTTGGGGGAATAGGCGGCGATCATCTGCCCTATGCCGGTGTATAGGAACTCGTAGAAGACCTGCATTTGCGCTTTGATTAGCTTGAGGATGATAAAAATGGGACGTTACACCTACCACCACGAAGAAAGTACTGCCTGCGTATTTGGCTTCGGTCGGCAATCCGACGGTGAAGTACCAACATACGAAGTACAAGACGGCGCAGATAATCAGATAAGGAAGCTCAGAAATGATCAGACCGGAGACAAAAGGCGCCCAGTGGTACATTTTGCTCTTTTTCTCGCGCACTTCGTAGATATCGCGGCGGTCAATGAATAGTGGTTGAAGTTGCCCGATTACGCCTGGGGCAACAAAGATAAGATTGTAGATCGTGAATAGGCGCAGTTGTAAGTCGCCAACGCTGTCGCCCACTTTCCAAAAAGTAAAACCGTTGAGTAAAGGAAGCAAGATATGTAGGGCAAACTTGTTGTCAATGTACTCAACGTTACGGAACAGTGAGATATTCATGCGATGCGTCACAAGCTTAACTTGATCCCACATAGATGATGCGAAAGCATGTCCATCGTCGATGTAACCAGCAGGTCGAGCAGCGGCTTCGGAGATGAGTCTGTCCAGCTCCTCAACTGTCTTCTTGTGTTCTTCCGATTCGAGCCAGACTTTGTTCCAGTCCTGCCCTTGTGAGAGACTGCCCGACACCACCTCGATGATATGTTCTGCTGGATTCGCCTCGCGTGGGCAAGGTGCTCCGTGGTGTGCAAAGTAGCCTTTGACGGTAACTGCATTGTCGCCGATGTCGCCAAAGTACACCGTCTTGCCACCTTTAGCTAGGAGAAGGAGGGTATCAAACTGAGCAAACAGCTGTGCCGACGGCTGGTGGATAGTCACCAAAACAGCTTGGCCGACCTCAGCCAGTTTCCTAAGAAACCTGACAGTGTTGAAAGCGGCTTGACCATCAAGCCCAGATGTGGGCTCATCCAGAAATATCAAAATGCTAGGTTTTGCAACAAGTTCGACACCAATAGTAACTCGTTTGCGTTGTTCGACGGAGAGCCCTGTGCCAGGCCGGCCGATCAAAGTGTTTTCTACGTCGTGGAGCTGCAGTAGTTCGATGATGGCATCCACATAGCGTAGCTTTTCAGCGCGTGGTGTGTTGCGAGACTGGCGAAGAAGAGCAGAGAATTCCAGAGCCTCTCGTACTGTTGCTAGTGACTCGTGCACATCCATTTGCTCAACATAGCCAGCTGATCTTTGAAATGACACAGGAAGAGGACGGCCGTCTACGAGCACAGATCCATGGATGACACCGTCTGTTTTACGCTGGGCGAGCACGTCAAGTAGAGTCGTTTTGCCTGCGCCTGATGAGCCCATGAGGGCTCCGAGCATGCCGGGCTTGACATAACCTTGTACATTGTCGAGGAGAACCCGGTCACCAGTGTGAGTTTTGACGGTGTACGTTAGGTTCTTCCAGGTGAAGACGCTGGTATTGCGGATTAACTGATCGGTAAGGGTTTCGTCTGAATCATCACCTGGACTGGCCCGCGCTGAGCCCTTCTCGCTGGCCTGCGACTCCTCGTCGCTGGTAACAATATGCTGTGTCTTTTTCTGCTTCTCTCGCGGAATGAGAAGTCCACGGCCCCCTTCTCCCATCTGTTTCCATCTAGATGTAAAGAATATGGTGAGACCAACGTAGAACACCCACCACGCACAGATGATTCCAAAGTTGCGCCAGATGTGGCTGTGGCTAAAGGACATATGCGCGAGATAATCGTCGCCAGTGACGCTGGTCGCTCCTACACGTGCGCCACCAACACCAGTGCAAGCTTGAGAACCCTCGTCGGGACCGTACCCAGGGCCGTTAGGAACAAGGTATGGACCGACACAGGGGATCTCTTGCCCATGGAATTCATTGCCAAGCAAGGCCTCAAAACCATATGCCATAGGGTTGATCCAAAAGATCCAGACGAACCATGGATGCATCGTAGGCTTGATGACCATGTATCCCATGTATACGAATAGGCTGACAACGGTGAGTCCTGACGCTTTTGTTGCAGCATCAAAAGTTGGGAATGCAGCGCCAATGAATCGGAATAAAGCCGTCATCGACATGGCTGTCATAAAGTTAACGACCCAGAAGGTGAAAAAAGCCCCCGCCGTAGCCTTCAAACCAACCAGGAAATAAAGAATTAGGCCAAACTGTGTCATTTGGAATATCATGATTGGGATATCAGTGGCGATCTGCGCAAGGACAAAGGCAGCTGGGTGATGCAGAGCGAAAGATCGATGTTTTGCAAGTATTGGCCTTCCAGTAAACGAATCTGTGACTTCTGATAGAGCGATAAGACCAGGGTACAATAGGGAGAAGAATAATGCGCCGCCTTTGAGGAACAGTCCTGCTGAATTTGCGGGGGCGTTGTAGAAGAGAGAACCCCCAACAAGTGCTTGGATAGTGGCAGAGACTTGCAACAGAATGAGGGTTGACTTATCACCCCAAAGGATCTGGAATTGCCGGGTTATAGCAGTCTTAACTTGAGTGTAGAAACCGGCAGACGAGGTGGATTTCTTTGGGAGACGCGGATCCTTCTCCGTAGCCACCATGTCCTTGAAGTCGGCCGTATTCTGTTTCGCCTCTGCGCTCTCTGGATAATTGCACTCGGCTAACATATCGGACCTGATGGTTGATCGATCATAGGCAGCTCGGATCTCCTCCGCAGTGCGCGGAAACTTATGTTCATGGCCTGGTATAATCATACGTTCGGTATGAACTGTTACACCAGTCAAGAAGTCTGCTTGATTAGCAGCGGGATCGCAGTGGAAGCCAAGCTCCTCCATGAATGGCACAGCTTGCTCTCGAGGACCATAGTATATTTGTTTTCCTTCATCGAGGACGAGAACCTTGTCGAACTGTTCGTAGATACCATTACCCGCCTGGTACAAAGTCGCAATAGTCGTCAGTCCGAGGATGTCGGTCATAGCCCTCATAGCCTTGGTAAACTCTAGTGCAGTGCTGGCATCTAGACCACGAGTGGAATTGTCCCAGCAGAAGACGCTGCCGCGAGTGGCGAGACACTCTAATATCGATACACGTTTCCTTTCACCGCCGGAGACACCCCTGATGAACTCGTTGCCCACCTTGGTGGTGCTCGTATGAGAGATGCCTAAAGTCTGTAGAAGAAACTCCTTTTGGATTTGGGCATACTCTTCAGCAGACTTGATGTTGGATGGAAGATTATGGGGGACCTTCAAACGGGCGGCGAAGTCTATAGTATCGCCTACAGACAAAGCTGGAAAGAATATTTCCTCCTCCGTGTTCATGACAATCTGGCCGCGATAATCTTCCGCCTCATCGCTGGACATGGAGCCGAAAGAAACTTGTCCATCAATTTCAGCATAACCCAGGCGACGATTCGACAGCATGCTGAGCAGTGTCGTGCAGCCTGCACCTGGGCGTCCGAGCACGAGAAGCATCTCTCCAGGCTTCACACAGCCAAAAGATTCATCGATGATGGTCTTCTTGGGTATTTTATCACTGCTCTTTCCAAGAGGGTTCAACTGAGACAGTACATTTTCGTTGAAAAATGCATCGCTACTGACGCCCTTGACTGTGAGATTTTGCCAGGTCACCCCCAATTTGCTGGGTTTATCCCCTTCCTTATGAAGCCGTTGCTGGTGCCTTTCTACCTCTTGCGTAATAGGCCATTCCTTCGTCTTCGACAATTCCATCTCATTTGTCGATGACTGCTCGCTGCGCTCGACGGCGGAGGTACTGCCGGCCTCCGACATCGAAGGCAGAGTGGCGTGGGTTTGAGATTCTGTCGAATGTAACGGATCGGCGGTAATGCTTTTGTCGCTTTCGTCTTGTCTCTGATGAAGTATGCACTGAGTGACTAGTTGTGAATTGGGACGGAGTTACAGCTCAATGCTTCAAGATTTAAAACAAGTGGCAGATGTAATCGCCAGTAACTGATTCGATATCTATATGAAAATTACCAAACTGGTAAAATGGCTACCCTTATACTCTGTTGCGATATCACAATCAAACTCTTTGAAACTGTTTACTCTATCAACAATTATGCCCAGGCCCCTCAAGCTCAAATCGGTGCAACATCAAGCCGCCCCATTTGACAGAGGCTGCGCTTTGATGGAATGGCAGTGCATCTGCATTAGATCTACACGGTTCTTTCGGGCAAAAATCAGACCGTTTCTGTCCTTTGATCTCAGTGACTAACCTTTTATAGCAAACGTGGATGGAATTGCGAGCTCTAATCTAATAACCGCGTGCGTTACTGCCCCTGATCCATTGAGAAGTGATGAATCATCTACTAATTTAACGTTCTTTAAGTCCAAACAGCAGAAGTTTGTCTGTGATTCGTGGCAGAGGATATGATTACTGATATCGTTGTTGAGGCATAAACACTTAACCTATCTGGGTTAGATACTGTGAAAATGCATCAAAGTACCTTCAAAACGAATAGTAATCATTGCTATCATTTTCACTCTATAGTGCCGAGAAGGTAGGCGATCGTATCAAAGTACAGAGAAAATGCCCCCTGGCCTAAACGATGATGTCTATTGGCAGTTGTGAGTCGTGACCTTCCATGAACACCAGCAAGCAATTTAGCGGCTTCGTTTCTGCGCATCAATCTCTCAATAACCAAGTCCCGGGAAAGTGGATTTCGAGATGCTAGGTGAATTGATGTTGTCTCCTTGTTCAAATTTACACCAGATCTGTTCCTCGACCCATTTTACAGGGTCTAAGTCGTCTTGGTCGCGATATCATGAAGGGCCGTATTGAAATGTTGAGATTACTCAACTGCTTTCTCAGTCCGAAGAGATTACTCTTCCACTTAAGAGCGAGGGCCGAGTTGCTTATGGCGACATTCAATGAAGTATACGTGTCTATAAACGTTTCTAATCTACGATCAATTAAATCAGACTAAAATCGAACATCTGCATGCCTTCTTCCACTTCGACAAATGCAGAAGCATGCGAAAGCTAGGTCCGGGGTAGTTCAAAGCGGCCATGGCCAGATTTCACATGCGAGGAATGCTTGAAGTACAGCTCACATTCCGGCCCGAGACACTGAGAAAGAAAGGTAACACTGGGGACCGACACCCCTTGTGTCTCTTTCTGTACGAGGTAAGATGGTCTGTTGTTTTGGACAACAGACTTTCTCACTTAACGTGAGCATAAAACCGTGGTGCCGTTACTATCTCATTCGCAGCTACCTGCAGCAAGCACAAAACGAGTACTCAGTTTCGTTTTTTTGGCTAATAGATCTAATCTTAGGGCTGTCTTACTGGTTCTGAACGCGCGTAAGTTTGTAGTTATGGTCTCCAGTGATTAGTATACAATTCTGAATGCCGGCTTTATGGGCGAATGAGTGATTGCAAGCACTGTACTCATGTCTGCACACTGCTAGGGCACTTGAACCATGAATCTAGAATAGCTGGCCGAGCCACCTTTTCAATGCGCAGAATAAGGACCGGAGGATAAGAATGCCCACACCTACATACTCACAATCTATTAGCGTCAATGGTGCCCGGGGAACGTAGGGAGCATCGCAACAGTCGTCGGCTGGTCTGTGGAGATTGATACTCTACTGTCAATCGGGCCTCGATGAACCACAGCAAGGTGCCTGAATCAGCTGGTGCTCTAATGAAATCTTGCAAGCAGGTTTCTTGCGTTCATGATATTGTAGATTCAGTCATGTAGTTCTATATTCTCGCTCCTCTGATTCTTCTATCTTCATTATCCATAACTAAACATCTGAAATAGAACGAGAAACCGTTGTTCTTTGAACCGGACTTACCGTAGCAACGGGTCCCTTCTCAGTAGAAAATATCCCTGCATCTTGAGTGCTCGTCGTTGCCTTGGTTTTGAACAAAGCGTGCTTGCTGAATTCGCGATCGATCTCTTCCAGGGACCGGCCTCTTGTCTCCGGCATTAGGAAGCATGCACCAATGGCTACTGTCAGAAGACATCCACTGAACAGGAAATACACTCCAAATGTGGACCGGTCCAGGAAGATCGGTGTTGTGAGTGCGACGATGAAGTTTGCTCCCTGCACAAAGTTGTTAGCTTTCAGCAAGTCACAACGTGTAAGGGGCCAGCCATACCCAATTAGCACTTTGTCCCCAACTTGACGCAAGTGCGCGAGATCGGATTGGTTGGATTTCACTCGCATATACACGCATGCCGATAGCCCAGGTCATGCTATATATCCCAGCAAAGACGTAGATTGCACCAACAATGACCCAACGAGCCGCTCCGTGAGTTTGGTATACCTTCCCAGAGGCATAGAGCGCACCAATGAGAGCCATACAAGCTGCCATGGTCGTTCCTCCATATATCGTTGTTGAGCGTCTTCCCCAGCGATCGGCAAAGATGGTAGCTGGTATAGTGGCTACAAGAATGACGATTGCGGAAATACCAGATGCCAAAAAGCTTGCTTTCTCGGAGGATAGACCAGCTTGCTCGAAAAGTAGAGGTGCGTAGTAAAGGACGCCATCAATTCCTGAGAATTGCTGCATTCCCATAAGAACACATCCAAGGATGGTCCTGTTGCGCACACTCTTCTCGAAAGCCTTTGGCAGATCAGTGAAAGTGGTTTTGATAGCCTGTCCCAGGCCACCATTGGCAACGGGCTTCGGTGTCTCTTCGATCGCTACTCCGTCGACGATGATGGTCTGCTCCTCCAGCTTGATGCCCAAACGAGACGCCGCCTCAAAAGCTTCCTCCTTCCTGTTCTTCGATAATAGCCATCGTGGCGAAGGTGGTAGTGTCGTGCAGCAGACTGCAAATGAAAAAGCAAGGAACGCCTGAACAGCCAGTGGGATTCTCCACGAAGCAGAAGACGCGATGCGAGAGGTTCCATATGAAATGAAATAACCGGAGGCCAGGCCAAGTACAGTCCCGAATTGAGGTAAGCTGGCTAGTGGTCCTCGATTTTTGGCGGGCGAGATTTCGCATACATATACAACGAGAAGGCTCAAATAGAACCCTTCGCCAATGCCTGCAATGATTCGCCCACAGACGAATGCACCTATGTTGGGAGCTGATGCTTCGATCGCAGCTCCGATTCCGAAAACAACCTCACCAAACATAATGGTACGTAACCTGCCGTAAATATCCGCGACATTTCCAGAAATAAGCGATGTCAATGCTGCTGGTATGAGGATAGAAGATATTATGAGGCCGTGGATCGTTGCACTGAACTCTCCAAAGGTCTCGACAAAGGTGGTCATTTTTGTCACTGGCCCGATTGTTCCAGTATCTGAACTGAACATTGCCGAAGCAGCTTAGCCAAATTCATGAATAGATACAATGGGATGCCCAAAACTCACCCAAATAGAAAGCCGCCCAGCCCCACCACGAGTGCGGCTCTCAGGTACGGGGGAAGACTTAGGCGGTCCAACATCGTCAAAGTTGGCCTCAAGCCGGTACAAGTCAGTCTGAGGCAGAGATTGTAATTCACAAAGTTTCAACAAAGTTTCAACAAAGTTGATATTAACTAGGACATGCGTAATGGAGAAATCTATCTATAAAGCTGAAAATATCTCCAATTTTCTCCATGCATGTTCGGTGCAATAAATTCTTATCGATGGTGGGGACTTGTGGTGGATACGAAAAGAGGGTCTCTGGACCCCCTCGTGCCCTCAAGGAAAATGTTTCGTGCGTGTGCATGAATTGATTATCTGCCATAGGGATGGTCGGTGGTTTAAAAATTTTGTTGCTCATGTTGCCGGTCGATTGAGATGTCAAAACCTCCCATTCATCACGACGACAACAATTTCTTGAGAAACGCATACTGTAGTTTCATTGTAGAATTTTCATCCTGCCTGTAGCAGTGGGTGCAAGCAGACGAGGACATTTTGTAGGAGTAAGACCGAGTGGACCGTAAGACGGGCCAGCCCACCGCCACATCACATCTGGGCTGATCTTCGGTAAGCATACAGTAGTTTGCTCCCAATGCTTCCATTCGAGCCAAAGATTTCCCCATTAGATCATTGTCCTGGCGCGATAAGAAACTCAACGTTCTTGACGTGCTCGTTGATGAAAACGGGAACTAAATCTGCCACCATATACCATCGTGGCTTTTGCGAACCCTCGTGTATCAAGTTGCCACCAACCCTGAGGTTCTCAAATCTGACATTCTCCACTTGTCGTGTCGCGTCGTAGCCTAAAATCTGTGACGGATGTACTGCCACCGAATTTTCCATGTTCAGTGTCAGATTTCGCATCGCAATGTTCTTTACGCCCCGCCCTGGCTCCGTCGTCCACATGGCATTCTTCATAACCCGGATGTTGATCATTTGACCCTTGGTGATCTTCTCAATTCGAACATTGTTAATGTCCACATCGCAAATTAGATTTGAGTCGCCCGCATTCAGCGAGACGCATCCTTGATACCAGAGTTGGTTCTCGCAATGATCCAGGATATCGATGTTGTCTATTCGGATGTCGCTGATTCGCTCAGGTTTCTCAGGGTTTCCATGCGTCCCAACGTGAATGCCATGCGCTATGTCAGGTAACAGCACGCAGTTCCTTATAATTATATCAGAACTGTCTCCGTGGTAATTCCAACGATGTCCATATATGGCGATCGTGTCATCTGAATTACGCAAAAAGCAGTTCTCGATGACAACGTTGTTGCAACAGAAAAGGTCTATCCCATCTCCATTCCCCGCAGACGAGAACGATCGATAACGGTGGATGTGGATATTTTTAGACTGGCACACAGGGAGGCTAAACCCTCTAGCCCCTAGCGAAGTTACTCCATGTACTTTTATGTTGTTCGAATGCTCTATTAAAATTGCGCTCCCAGTGAGCTCGCGCGAATGGCAGGGATTGGTATGGATGACCGAGTCCTTGCAGATGAAACCGCGTCCTTGGATGCCTGAATTCTGCACGCCTGAGAAAACAAACTTCGCAGTAACGAAAGCTCCTGAAGCGAGATAGACAGATGTGTTGGATGGGACTGTAATGTTTCCGTCCACGGCTTTCTCAAAGGCTTGTCCATTGTTGAGGCCAGGACCAAAGTACCATACATCTTGAGTACTGCTAGTTGGCGCATTTACATCGATCTCGTTCATTAACAAATGAAGTGCTTTCCATTTGTCTCCATTGATCTCCAGCATGACATCTGCAACCTGAGACATCTTAAACGTTATAGTATTGCCCTGGACCCGTGTTTCTACCCCTAAGATAGTAGGCAAAACCCGGGCAGTCGCAATGGCGCATTTATCATAGCAGACTTTGATCTCGACGCTGGACGTTGGATGCAGGTCTATGGATGCCACCGCAACCGTATGATGGTCGAATTCGTTTTTGGTGATATTGGCGTTGGCAACATCTGTAGCGTATGCCAGGACAGGAGCCCACTCATTAGAATCAAGCGTGCGTGCTTCGACGCGAAAATCCTTGTTTAATGGTATAGGGTGCATTTTTGAGAGTATCGTCGGAGGGTCAAAAGAAGTCTTCGAGCCAAACAGAGTAGCAATCTTTAGATAGACAACAATACATTAGAATCTATAATAACTAATTATGTGCAGAGTAGTAAATAAAGAGTACAACTAATGATCTGCAGTAACGCGGGGTGGCGGACTAATCATCGGGTAGGAACTCGCCCTGTCCGGGCTATTGTTCGGGATTTCCTCCGCCTCAGACCCTGATTTACATTGACTTTGTGAAGCTCCAAAGCCCTTTTAGTTTGCCTCCACAACCTCTGGGAACTCCTTCCCAATGCACGCAAATCGATCCTGGGATCGGGACTTCAGAACCATGTCCAAAAAGGCCACAACAAGATCAACCGTCAGCTTCGTCATCCTACGGCCCTCGATCGAACCCAACACTTGTTCGACCTCTGAAGGAAGTTTATCTTGAAGGCCCAAAGTAGATGCAATGAGAGGAAGATCGGAAAAGCCGTAATGGGCGGACCTCTTGACCTCAAATTCCTTCTTCCAACCCTTCAAATTAGCCCACACTGCCTTCCAAGATGGATCCGTTGCCTGCGTCTTGTTCTCATGACCAACCAGCATGAAAGGACGATCAAAGCCAGTCTTCAATACGTCTCCGAACATGGTACCATCTAAATTAATGCCACCTTTGATCGAAGCAATCTGTTTCAACGTGGACGCTGCTGCAGCTCCTCCAAAAGAATGTCCAAGGACGGCTGTTTTGGGCGCATTGCGTCCGGTTCGATATTTCGGGAAGATTTCATTGAGAAGCGACCGTTGGAGAACTTGATTGTAGACAAACGCAATGTCCTCGGTCCGCGTCTTGAGGGCCGCTTCAAGCTCATCGTCACTAATGTCCACGCCTGTAACAACCGTTCCATTCGAGAGTTCAACGATGTCGGCATCGTAAGGGTGATCAATCGATATAACAAGGTATCCTTTGGCGGCTACACTCTGTAGGAGTCCATTGTACAGCGTACGGGACGTAGCGAGTGCGCCGGAAAACAAGACCAGTGGCAGGGAGCCGGATTTTGGAGTTTCGCCCAAAGTGCAGGTATCGAGGTATAGAGATCGAAAGGTGCCATTTGGGAGTCCATACGCTGCGAACTTTTCATCCTCAAAGCCGGCGGTCGTTGGTGGCATATAAGGTTGGAGTTTGTGTCTGCGGCAGGCCGACAATGGAGAAAACCCAGTGACCGCAATTGACCGAGCTCGGCCATCTTTTGCAAATGGATCCAATCTCTCCTGGTCAGTAAGAACCTTTTGGTAAATAGCGACTTGAGATGGATCAGATCCCACTATCGGGAGGACAGTCCCTGATATTAAGGGAGCAGCAAATCCTAGAAATGCTAGGAGAGAAAGGCGATTCAACATTGTAGCGAATGTATCGATAAAAGTGGTATATTGAAAAAAAAATGATGAAGTCTCCGTGATGAATACAATAGCAAACAATGGCTAACAATCGTCGATTATATACTTTTTGGTCCAATGTGCAACCCGGGGCTTCACTTTGCTTGGGGCGCTGTATGATTTCCTCGAGCGACATAGCGTATTGGAACCGTCAAGACGTCAGCAATGTTAAATTAGACCGATCTACGGCCAAGACAAAATCTTGACAAAAATAAAAGGAACATGACAAAAGGGACCGGAAATCAAGAGTCATCACAAGATTGCCATGTGCGGCTGTTGCCATTTAGTTAAACCTGGGACTTGATCTGAATCTTGATATAGTTTAGCTGCGTTCTTTCATTACCATATTGGGTAAAGATCTACAAAGCCGCATGCCCATGCACGGGCCTTCGTTGACCCACTGGGGTATGGCACTATAGGCACATCACCACATGTGGCTCATCTTCTTCAACAGATCCGGGGTTTTCCTCCTTCTACTAGCACTACATATCCTTTTTGTCATCCACTGCGTTCAATTGTTTCCTAATTGATACAATCAACACATTATCCAAGGAGTTTTTTGCGCCCGCAATCGTTTTTGCTAGGGTACTACGGGCTCAGCAGGTGACTGGCCTGAGCATCATGGGTTCCGCAGCGGTGGGACCTCACGATGGTCGGAAAGCTAAGCGGAAACGATGCAATACATGTGTGAAGCGAAAAATCAAGGTAAGAGGCTCGATCCACAAGAGAAGTACAATCTAGCTGACTGTGAGAGTGTCACGGAGGCGTACCCTGCGAATATTGTAGGCGCACGAATCAGAAATGCGAGATGCCAGCCAAACCAGCAACGTTCAAGCCAGTATTTGTTATGGATCGTCCGGAGTCCACGACGGCACCTGCAGAGATGATGGACACCCAAGCTATTGCACGACCTGTAGTATCTCCTTCTTCACAATTGATATCCCGGCATCCTGATCATAACATTCCGTATTTCTTCATGGTTTTTCTACCCATGAACGTTCTGGTAAATGATCGTGTCGCAATCTCCATCGATCTTCTCAGTTTGATCAAAACCACACCAGGTCTAAGAGACACAATGTTTGCTATTTCAATTCAGCATCGAAAACAACAGCAGGAGCAGCAAGGGTTAGTCGCGAAATCACATCAAAGTGTAAAGGCTTTACAGTTCTACAACAACGCTGTTAAATGCATGCAAGCCCAGATCAAGACCAATACATACCTGGACAATGTATCCTCTCTCTGGACGACATTTTTCTTAGGCCTGTTCGAGGTAACATTTCATCTGATGCCTTGCTTTCATGGGGCTGTACTAACCCAATGCAGCTGATGCGCGACTCGACGGGGATGAATTGGTTGTCACATTTTCTACACGGAACATGCACTATACTACGCCTCCAGCAACCCCACAGTCTCCTTCAACCTGGTGTTAGTACTTCAAATCATCGCACATTCTTTCTTGCTACCCGCATATTCGAAATAGCTCGATCTTTGATTTATTCTTCTCCAACTTTCCTTTGGGAGCCAGAATGGACTGCTGTCGTAGCAGAGTTATGGCGTGGTGAAAACGCATTGCAATGGCATCCGAAAGAAGCGTTATTTGACATACTACCAAGCTTTTCAGAACTGAGTATTCGCGCCCATCGCTTCTCGACAACTGCCGTTCAACCAATGACAGAAAAACAACGCGTTTCAGTGAGATCGCTCGCTGAAGAAGGGCTTGCCTTACAGGAGAAATTGCAACTCTGGTGGGCTGAAACTGATGCTTGGAAAACGTCAACTCATCATCAAAACGACATATCATCCGATCGAGAACTTCTATTAGGCTATGCCTACTACCACGCAATTAAAATCTATCTTTCGGGAACCTACGATTATCATGTACCCTGGACCTCTCCTGGTGCGCCTCCTGCACCGATCTTGTCGCGGGCTGAGATCGATTGGCATGTATGCGAGATTCTACGTCTGAGCCAGAGCTTAATAGCCCACGGGATTGCGGGAATATTTCTGTTCTTTCCTTTGAGGGTTGCGGGAGCAAGGGCAACGGAAATTACATTAAGACGCGAAATACTGAATGCCTTCCACATAACCTCTGAGCGAGGATTTATCGTTGCCGACGCCCTCGTTCAGGATTTATCCGGACTTTGGTCGGAGAGAGATGCTTCGAGGTGAAATAAGGAACAAGGTGGCTTTACATAGCTAGCTTTGTGTTGGCATAATTCTGTATTATACGATGGCCTACCTTTGGCCAATCTTGTTTTTTGTTGACGACGTTCGGCAAATCGATACTTGCTTCGATAGTAACTTTTCAAAATCGGCATGTCAATGATCCACCTTCATATCCGGACAGAATACATATTTATAAGTATCGGAATGAGTACTTTGGGTGGAAGTGGAGTCTTTGTTTCGCATCGTTGCGACCATTCGTGTTCTCAATTACTGTTGAACGACGAACAAATGAGTCCTTTAAGGGGCCAGATTGGTTCCCGTTCTCAAGGCCTGCATATTTCCCATTTCAGTGCCGTACGCGCTTTACATTATACATCTTCGAACGACCTTTTAGCATACATTTTCCTCTTCACATGTCGTTCTCAACTCCATTTAGAGTTCTCACGTGGGGCACTGAAACATCCTTGAGCCCACGTTCGGGCGATGTTGACAATAAGCAGTGTTGAAGGTTCCGCGCCCCAAACTAGGCTGGGCGTAATGCGTAATACGCCCCGATTTTGAACCCTTTCGCATCATAAACCATGAATTCGTCGTTCAGCTGTTCAAATAAGTGTTACCATTCTCTTTTAAAAATTGTTATATTTAGTCGTTGCAGGTCAATATGAGGAACAGATGGATTCGCGAGAGGCATACCATGATTGAGACTCGTCCAGTCATTATAGGCGCGTTCTCCTTCTTTTGGTAGCAAGAGAAAAAAGTGGCATTACAGTGGTATACCGCTCGTGATGCGTTCTTTTGCATATGTTTACAGGCTTACTTATGGACCAGGCAGTTCGTCGCAATGTCCATTGTCTCTTCTTTGCGCAGACCTTAGACGCCTCCGGTTACGGTGCCGATGTGACCCAGTGGCTTTTATGGATCCTGGTTGGTGGTAATTAACACGTACTGTCCGGCGACAACAACAGCCGTCGACATGAAAGGTCTAGATTCGAGTAGTAGTACAGGATGGAAGTAAGAAATGGTGGCTTTGAGGCACATTTTCCCTGCATTGTTATGTAGGTTGATGGAGTTCAGAAATACAGTAGGCTCACTACCACTAGGTAATAATCTTTGTACTATGTACTGGACCGCGGAGCCCCGTTCGAAGAACATTGGTGGGAAATCCTTCGAAGAGTTTGGGCCCTGGCGAGTTGGATTTCCGTTTCGCGTCAGCCAACTAGAATTGCATGAGACCACACATCGAGTTTACCTACGCAGATTTTACCTTGTGTCAAATGTGTATATTCCCTGTCCCTTTGAGTAGCATTTCGGATATTGGCGAAAAGGTTACCTTTGGAAAAAGATACGTACATTGCTCGGCTCATGCATGCCATTTTGTCTGTCAGCGAATAAGCTACCTATGTTGTACTGCGCAGCGCAAGCTTAACGGTCAACGCGAAACAATTGCTCCGTGCACCTGTTCTGGTGAGAAGCTGAGGAACATCGCAATCTGTTGGACAAATCGGATTTGAAACATCACTGGCTCCTGATGAATGCTATTCTTACAAGGAAGGCTCCGCTGTCGTTTATACCACATCTACAGAATAGTCGCAGCGCCACGAAAGGGTCCAGGGCGAAATTGCGTTCTTGGTCCTATCAGCCTCGCTAAACCTTAATCCGACACACTTGACATAATCCTTCCTTACCAGGCACCAGACACACCAGGCACTTCGAACTCCGTATTCATAGCACATTCGGCTGTTACGTGCGAATAGGAATGCTCGTGGCGAATGTTCAGACAACAAAATGTACTGACACGTTCCTTGTGTATGATGTTGAAGATGCGGTACACGGCGCGGTCGCTCCCAAAACACCCACTAGAATTCTCAAGTCGTTTGATGCAGATGTAGCCTTCTTCAAAGATGGGGAACATCCGCAGTTTGCCTATTACAACATGGGATTTATTTGCATCAGTCAAGATCTGCCTAATCCTACGTGGTAGTCAACGTAGCCGAAGATTGCGCAGGAAGCACCCAAGATGTATACCCCCGCAACTCCTTGCACACTGATTCCTGCACAGGGTATGGAGCATTGCAAAAGCCATACTATTTGCCGATTATCAAGCCAAGGATTGTATGGTCTTTTCACTACAAGCAGGGATAACTCATTCACATTGCTGGCTTCTTACCAGTGGCTTCATCCTCACTTCTCACGCCTCCTATTCGATTCTGGCTTCCACGATACATTAGCAACATTGTCATTTGGTGCTAGAGATCCGGTTATCTCGGAATGGCTTATCGAGTAATCGCTGTCAACTCTAGCAGGAGTGGACACGATTGGGCTTGCACTGACTTGACTCTCTCTGTTAACTTTGAGATGGCGAAGAAATGTGTTCACCCCAGCGAGTATTTAACGCACATGGTTTGCGGAGTTCTCATCATTTTTGAATCATTACAGCTCTTAACTTTCCTTTCCCTTTCCTTTCTTTTCTTGGTCATTTCATTTTCGTATTTGATCTTTGCTGCAATATCGTTAATTTTTGCTCAACCTCCCTGCCTGGACGCAGGATCACGTTTCACGATCTGCCCACTGTATAAGGGTGTTCACCATGCGTTCCTCTCTGATTTTATCATCGCTCGCTGCGATTCCACAAATCTTTCCGTCAGTCCATGCTGCCGATACTCTCGTAAAGGCTATCGAGATCCCGGACGACCCAACAGTCGAGACCTACACTGCCAATCTCCACGAAAGAGATGAAGACAACGTAGGTCATGTCTTCGTTCCTGTTTATGGTGGACCACTGGAGAGAAGAGATACCGACCCCGGAAAGGTGCAGGCCCAGATGGACAACGCTTTCGGGGTCCTCTCGAAGATCAAGGACAGCGAGATCTACCCACGAACTAAGAAGCAGAAAGACGTCATTAAGGAGTTGAATGCTCTGCTTACTAAAGAAGGCAAAGACGACAAGTTTATAAAAGATCCCAAAGACCCAAAGAATACAGATGAAAGAACAGCGGGCAACTTGAGAATTCTTTTCGTGGAATTCGCTGGTACGAAAGGCGACATAGGAAAGTCCATGTTTTACGTGGATGTTCTTGAAGATTTGAGGTTGCAAGCCAATCTCTGGTCAAGGCTCATGAAGAAGCTCAAGACAATTTTCCCGGGTACATCCAAGGCGCCACAGGTCGATCTCAGACTGGTCATGGATTGTGAATACGAGGATTATCTACCTGCGTCCATCAAGAAGGACTACAAACTTGATATTGCGGCCTGCGGAAAAGATCTTGCGGGATTCAAGGCGGCGATCAAGAAACAGATGACAGTTTTCGACCCCCACATCGTAGTACTTGGGCACGCAGTCGCAAAGATCTACAATTCCAACAACAAGCATAATCCAGAATGGATTAAGAAACAGGATCAAAGCTTCAAAGAAATCACCGAACCGATAGATGAAAAGTGTGATCCGAAAAAGGACGGTTGTGTCAAGGTCGCCATCAAATCATACTTCAAGCAGGTACAATCGGCACAAATGAAGGAAGATTATCAACTTGGACCAAACGATGTCACCATCGTCGGACAGACTGCAGATTGGTTTCCAGAGGCCATGCCTGACAAGTCTTTGCAGATCCGTGTCGGTCGAGCTGATACACCGGGAATGGGCGAGGTACCTGCCGATCTCAAGAAGTGGCTTGGTGATGCAAAACGAAAGAAGGTCATGTATTTGGGGCACGGCGGCTTGATGCGTCCGGTCGAAAAGGATATCGAGAAAGCAACTCCGTTGATCAAGGAATTTGTTGAGGAGAGACTGAAGGATGAGAACGACAATGATTGGTAAGTGGAGAATTTGATGCGCATTATGCGATATCTGCTAATCCGCCCACAGGAGCTTTATCATCTTCCACAACGTCAAGAATCCGGATCCGACGAAGGACCTCGTAACGGATGAAGGGCGCGTCTATCATCTTTACTATGGAACCAACCTATTCACCCTATGGGGAGATAAAAAGATTAAGATCGTTATGCATCACTGCGGCAAAGGCTCCTTCGATGATGCCATTCTCGCAGGAAAAGCACAGCTCTGCATGCCTCAAGCTGGCTTCGGTGCAGATATGGAAGACTGGGCTAACGAATTAAATGTCCATAAGCTGGGTGTCGGTTTAGCAGACAAGGATCAATGGGTGGACTTCGTACAACCAATGACTGATGTCGAGCAATATCAGGGCGAACAGAAACCTTACTCAACAGAAAACCAAAAGAAGCTGCTCGAGGCTTTCCGGGAACTTGAAAAGGAGATGGACACCATACCCCAGACGACCGTCAAACATGCCAACGCTTTGAAGGCGGACACTGCAGCAGATTTGACTGAAGAGATTATCCAGAGATTCTCTCTGGGCCTCATGAAACGTAGGGAAAAGCCAAAAAAGCCTTAGATTCTCAGCTCGTGTAGAGGTATCGGGAGTTATCACAACAATGCGGCGACATACGGCGTCCATATTCTCTGTTATCTGGTTATCCAGACAGAGCAAGACTTGAATAGACATACTACTAATAGACTTTCGATCAATAGGCATTAGACATAAAACTTTAGACATTAAATTTTAGACAATAGACATTAGACACTTTACGAAGCAAAAGCTTTAATGATGAAGTAGCAAACATATGTCGAGTAATGTACCAGTGAAGTGTTCATGATCCTATTAGCAAAAGGCCCCTTCTCCAACTCTAGCCTTTCCATGATAGCCGTGGCATAGGGATCTATTGAGTCGTATGTACGCCTCCACAAAAAGCGAGTTTCCATGCCACGATAAGATATGACATTCAAACACCGCGCTGTCTCATATAAATTTCCCCCCAATTATGCCAGTGAGCATGGACTAGCTTACCCCTCATCAGTACTGGTATACACCATCATGATCCACATCCGAAGCTTAAACAGCGATGTTGAATGCTGGAATAGGAATTCAGAACTTTGGATCGAGATGAATTGTATCTTTGAAGCTTGTGTAGGAGCAGGTCCCGAGTTATGCGCTCTAGCCATAGTGCAGTCCCATGTCCGTAATTCCCAAAGCTTTGGGGTTTTCACTGGATCTGCGCAGCTCTTTGTATGGATTCGGAGAGCGCGGTACGCCTCAAGAAATATCATAAGCGGGAAACATCATCCTGCGAGGCCAACCTCGAGTCACGGGATCTACTGTCATCTCTGTAGTAATTTAGTAGCCAGTAAAGGAATGGACATGTACAGAGTATGTCATTCGCCTTAGTCCGACAGAATAGGTCGGATCTTTGCAAGTTCTTTATTTACCCACTTTATCGCTACCTGATCACAAATTCTCTGATGGGGGATGAATTCTGATCAATTTATCAAGCTGGAAGAGGGATAAAGCAGTCGGTCGCATCTTGTGGTGTTATGAATTCCATGAAACGAAAGTAAAAATGTTCTAGATAGCTCTGCCTTGAAGTCATGTAATGCGGTGAAAATGTTGCGTCGATTGCTACTTCTCATCTATTTACATATTTCTCTCGAACTTTTGTTCCATCTACTTTATCTATTTTGGCGATGGCGGCTGTCTGTTCGCAGGCTGATCTGGGTCAAACCCGACCAAGCAATTTACAGTCTCCGCCCCTAATCCCGCGTCGTTGATCTGTGAACCGACTGGTCCACGGAATTGGTCCGTCACCTTGATATACAAGTCAAGAGCATCCACGATTGTCCGTCCTAAAGTCATCGCTTTGCTTGCCTGTGTCTGAGAATAGAATGTCAAAAGATCCAGCGCATTCTGCCTTTGGCCATTTTCAACGAGCAATTTTGCGCTTTGCTCAACCCATGTTAAATCACTACGGGAGGCGCTCTCGAACCCGTGTAGCGTGTTTTGAACAATTGGCAGAAAAGTGTCAGGCGCAGAGCAGGTGTAATACAAGATCTGTTTGAACACCCTCCCAGCAAAGTTGGTCGCCTCCTGGAACTGGAAGTCGGGGTTCAAGAATGTACTCGCAGCATCCTTTGTCAGATATCGGTGCTCTCCAAACTCGGGCGGCACCTGTTGAACGCCCAGCCACCACGGGATGAAGGGCGCCGTTACAGATCCCGTGGGTGCGACCCAGATGCGAATGAGGTCCGGGTCCATGTCTGCGCGAAGACTCACAACCTGTCCGTAGCCAGCTTCGTCATCAGCGATGCGGTAGTCACGAACACGCTCGATTAAGTCCTTCTCGGATACAGGTGCCATTGCAAGGGTTGCGTTTTCGAGCGCGGCTTGGGACATGTACTTGAATCCTCCATCTCGCGCTGTGTATCCCTCACTGTCGTAGCCATACGCCTTGAAAATGTTAAACGGCTCAGTACCATTGGGGGTCCACCATCCCTGCTCTACGGCGAACGACACAATGTTGGGAGATCCCATGTAATCGGTGCTGTTGGCAAAATCGACAGGAAAGTCTTCAATATATCCGGGGTATGACACGCGCACTTCGTTCGGGCCCAGCCTCTCGGCGGCCCAGAGCTTCTTGCCGCCAGACATCTCCCAAACCACCCAACCCTCATCTTTGTCGGCGATGAGGTGGGAATTGCCGCCGTAGTCTGCATAGCCGTACTCAGCGATAAGCTGGCCGATGATTTCGACTCCCTCGCGTGCTGTGCTGGCTCGTTCGAGAACGATTCGAGCCAAATCACTGTACTGTAGACCCTCCTGGGGGTTGGGCGTCATCTCAATAAGTTCTGCGCGGTTGTCCGCCCAGATGTCGCGAACGGCTACGCCTCGCTCATTCACACCACCATTGGTAAGCGGTGCTGGAAATCCTTCGTAGTCGGAGTATTCCATGGAGAGATAGCGGAATGTGTGTCGCACTTGGGAGATATTCATCCGCTTGCCGGGCATGGTTGCAGCCTCCGTAACTCCAACCTCTAGGGTCGCATTGGCGGGATAGTCTTTAGCTGGAAAGATTTGAAGCCAATGACTAGAAACTTCTTCTCCAGTTCCACCAAGCATGACACTTCCATCTTCGGTCAGATTCTTGCCTACATAGAACCCGTAACTTGCAGTTGCGGGGGAGACGAAGAGCAACGAGGTGCTAAGGAACTTTGAGGGCCGCATTGTATCGAGTGGTGAACCAGCGATTGTCAGACACAGCGGTCTGAACGATAGATATAAAAAATTTGAGCCGGCTTATCTTCAGAGCGATCGGCGGCCCATAGCTATCCATGTAGAGAACTTAGATGGAACCAGTACAGCGCGATGTCACGCGTGCCATTGGTTGCGCCGCGGAAAGACGCCGAACACGGGACGGTTACGGGACAGAAACCTGTTGCCTGTTCGATCGATCGTGGACACACCGTTTCATTCACGGATCAGAACCCTATGACATAACCCTATTTGCAATAAAGCCCCAATTTGTGGTATGTAGAAAAGTTTGATTGTCTTATTCTTCTCATCAGTTACTGTTCCCATCAGTTGTGGATTGATGGTTTGGACATCTTTGGGGCATCTTCGGAGAATTTGGACATCAGCAAAGTAGAACCCCACCTTTCATCATACATGACTCGTAACACCTGTATGTACGTCAGAGGAACAGATTGACACGCGAGTCATCAATATTAAATCATTGACATGTAAAGCCTCCATCTACGGGGAGGTTAACACCTGTTATCCAACGGGCCTCGGCGCTGGCCAGAAAAATCGCCGCACCAACAATATCTTCTGGCTTCCCAATGCCATGCAATGGGTGCTTTGTCCGAATCGAGTCATGATCATCCAGATGGGCTATTGTATTTTGAAATATCGCCGTCGCAGTGTCTATATGGGAGATCAGTTTAGATAGTCCTATCGTTTTAAGATGATTTACTGACATCCCGGACAAATCGCATTGCAGTGGATTCCATCTTTCGCATAGTCTAGTCCTATCTGCCGGGTAAGATTGGTGACCGCGCCCTTTGATGCAGCATATGCGCCTATGCTATTAGCCATGCTGTTGACCATCGAGCAATAATTGACACTTACAATTATTGTAACCACCAACCAATCCAAAAATTGATGAGATGTTTATGATCCAACCTCGATCGCTACCAGGATGTTCGCTTTGTTTCAACATCTGACTGACAACATGTTTACACCCGAGAAAAATCGAGCGCGCATTGACCGCCATTGTTCGATCCCATGTGTCGTCGGGAGTCTCATGTATTCGAGCAGGCGCTCGGCCAGCTTCGATTGATATGCCTGCGTTATTGACCAGGCTGGTCAAGGTAATCAGCACCGCTCAAACATCAAGTCAATGACCGTCAAACATACACATCAATGCGACCATAAGCCTCAACTGTTTTTGCAACCAATACTTCGAAGTCTTCGCCCTTGCTGACGTCTGTCTGAACAAACAATGCACGACCAGCAAATTTCTCTCTAATCATCTGATCGGTGTTGACAGCGGTTTCTGAGCTTACTTCGGAGCGGGCATTTGGTTGAAGATCAGCGCATACAAGTGTTGCACCCTCGCGAGCATATCCCATAGCAATTGCTCGACCAAGGCCGGATGACGACCCAGTCACAATGCATACTTTGCCTTTCAAGCGTTCAGAGGACATGATGCAGTACTTCGAGCCTGGAAGACAATCTATCTCTAAAGTCAATAGTCTGCACATTTACAATGCATTGGGCTTACAAACAAATTCCAATGAGCGTTTGTCTATGTGCCAATTGATCCGCACGCACTAGCACCTTAATCTTGTGCACAAGACTTTGATCAATTTGTGATTATCGTGAATCATTGAAATGAAGCAAAATCCATATTTGACTTGAGTCAATCGTGTAATAATAAGCCAGCTCCTAATGCGGGGAATTGTTTCTGACGCGGGGCAATCATTCCCGAGGTTTTATCTTACCCAATTAAGCATTATCATCCTGGAAGTGGTATCGCGCGTTCTTGAAACATCCTGATATTCATACTACACGAGATGTCATCGTTTTAGCAGTAACGGATACTATCTCTTTGAGTAGAGGTAGTAGATGTGCTTGGCAGAAACGAAGGAAGTAGTAACATTGTCTGATGCAACAGTCGGAATAGCCGAAAAGACAGGTCTGAAATGTTACTATCGCACTCAATCAAGATATGGGAGCTTCCAAATAGAGAACTTTTCAACTAACATGTACCGATTGCGATTTGGTAAAAGGTTTCAATGGCATTTCTGTCCTCTACCTGATCTCAAACGCCGTATTTTGTTAGTAAAAGCCTAGAGAATGTGTACTTTGATACATCCATCGTGGAATTGTCTCAATGCCTGTGCTTACATGGAATTACTCTTTGGCTGTGTGCTCTACAATTTGCTCGTTTCGGCTTCGATGTTATGTTTGTGTAGAATTGATGGAAAGTTACACTGCATGGGCCCGTGAGGGCCTTCAATTCTTGCAAACTAAGTTGCGAATAGTCTTGTCTCTCCATCGTCTACCTTCTGCTGAAAACGTAGTAACAGTTGAACATGTAATCTTGGCATCAGATCTCGGGGCGGTGTTGAACAGTATTGAGTTTACGACGGTTGAAGACAACTCTGCTTCAATTCCTCGATATAGTTCAAGATAATAAGTAGCAATAGAACTTCCGAGCTATCTTCATCGTTTTCCGGACAATGGGTAATGTAATTAGCTAACGATGGATTTTCTTTACGAGCTGTGTTCTAGATGGCCCATTCACTCCCATGGTTCTTCTTATCCTTGACCCAGTCGTTACAATACCCATAAGACCCATATATGCCCATATTTGCATGGTGTACATCACTACATGCGATAGAGATCTTGTTCATACTGCATTGTGATGTTCGGCATAGTGTACGGTGTTTTCCCAAAGAACGTCTGTCGCACTTATCCTAGATATAGTTACGTTTCGCATCTTCTGTGGTAAGTTCAATTGGTCAACATCAGGCAATCAAAGGCAATACCTGATAGGGAAGAGCAGGAGGGAAAAGTGGGGACTTGTTATAGCGAAGGTTCTTCTCAGTAGGTGGCTCACTTTGTTGATTAGAAAAGCGCGGATGCCGGAAGTATAACCGATACTCAACTTAAAGGCACTCACCGTCCCTTGAGAATATGACAGCAAGGCTGTGAGCACTTGAATACTTACAGTTTCATTATTGGAAAACGTTTCAATTGGGAATGCGACGCCACTCTCTTTCTCTCAACATATCATTCATTAGATTCCTGGAACGAGAATCCGGCCGAGCGAGCTTCCGTTCGTTCTCGTCGCTGAGACCGAGATTACTCAAGCAAATCCAGCTGCTGCGAAAAAGGGGTGCAGGCGATAGGTATCCATCTATATCCACTTTCCCCACACAGTTGCGGCTCCGCAATGTGTTGCGTCAGACCATGTCAAGGTATCTTGAATTACACGATGGTCTTGCCATCAACTAAATAGTAGCGGAAATGCGCTTCACTACGAATTTAACTCACGTTACTTGAGCTAAATCCGATGGGCAAGCCATGCTACGTGTGCTTTCCTGAATCTGGCCGAAATATGGTTTCTGACGCCTGATATAGCATTGATCCACTTGTCATGAATAGATCCATGTTAACCTGACAGATGTCAGTAGTGGAAGCACCATTGGTCATACGAACAACATTCATTTGAAATGAAGGATGTTACCCCTATCTTCACTCAACAATATTTATTCGAGTATTTGCGACGGCGTGATGTAAAAATTGACAGGCAAATGTAGTTATCAGCAGTTGACAGAGACCGCAAAGTCCGCGCCTTTAGATTCAAAAAAGATTATGTTATCCACTCTGGGTTGATTTGCGATGAAACCGTGGTTTGAATGGACTGCGACTGGTATCTAGTATAGCGCATTTGGCCATTGCTTTGTGAATCACGGCCTTTTGTGTCCACCATCGGGTTCGTTCCCGATCTGCTTAGACCACGCCTTCTATCATGAGCCGTATCAGATAATTCATGCGACTGTGTCAGTATCGATGTAACAATTTATTGACTGATCGACTTTAATTAGAAGCTTACAGTCTTCCTCTCTGCCAATGATTATAGAAGTCGGTCTGAAATGATGTGTAGAGCAAGCTTTTTGGATTGCGCAAAGTGATAATGCGATAAACGACCCAGCGCTATTGTTCGCAGATGGGGCCTCTGAATTCTAAGTAGTATAGTACAGGAAGTAGATTTGGTAGGGTATCCTTAAGTCGAGTTGGAGTTGTCGGCGCAAGACCATGCCGCAGAGCCACCCGAGACCTTGTAGCTGTCCATAATGCCAACTATCGAGCCATAAGTACCAGCAATCATGAGGAAGGTACCAGAAATAATCACGAAAGCGCACCAACAAACCATGAGCATCCACTTGGTGGTTTTCTGGGTCTTCCCCTTGGACCAATTGTCATACAGCCACATGCAGCCCATGGGCTGGAATGACATGAGGGTACCGAAAAGGGCACCAACAAGGGAAACAAGACCACCAAATACGGGAATAGCGCTTGCGATAATGTATGCAATAATAGTGATCGCAGCTGTGCAGCCCAGCCAGGTCATCCAGTGGATAGGGGTATTTCGGCTGAGATGCTGGGAGCCTCGGAGGAATCGAATGAAGAAGTACTTTGCGGGAAACTGAAATCTTCTAGTTAGCACAATTATGATAAGTATAGCTGAAAGATGTAACTTACGTGAATCACAAGAGTAGTGGTAACAATCAAACCTGGAAGGGCAAGACCATAGCATACCTTCTTCATAGTGTCACCAGCAGACCCGAGGGCAGGCGAGGCAACAAAAGAGCCGCAATAGAAGTAAACAACAGTTCCAATCGTGATATAGATTGCAGTCATGGAAGCCTGGCAGATAATCAAAGATCGAGTGTAGTGTCGAGGCTCACGCATTTCAGAAACAATGGCGAAGAAACCTGGTGTACCAGCGTAGGCAAAGACGAGCGACGAAAGAGCTGCGGCTGCCTCGTGAAACGTTGGGTTGCCAAACAGTTTGAAATCGGATTTGAAGGGACCAGTTTGGGGTGCAGCGGCAGGGCGATCCTGTACTCCAACGGAAATCGTGAGGGTGAAAACTGGAAGCGATCAAGTCAGCTTTTACAGGCCAGGAAAATTGATACGCTGGGAAATGACACCTAGCTATGGGGAAGTCGCGTTTACTTACTTGAAAGTAGGATGCCGGTAAGACCGATCCATGCAAGCCAGGTGATACGCCCTAGGGTCTGAATACTGCCCAGTGCGAACCCAACTATCGCAGCCACCGCAACGAAGACAGCAGTGCAAGTTCCATGTGTAGAAAGCGAGTTCAAACCAATAGAGATGCCCAACATGCCAGATCCGGCGACACAGATCCAATCTGTTCCAAGTCAGTGAGTGTTCTGAGTTAAGGAGATTTTCGATACTGACAGATTGCAAAGACCAGACCAAAAACTTCATGACCAATTCGACCAAACATCTTCTTTCCCGCGTCATCAATTCCATATACATCAGGATGATTCAGTTTGAAGACTCCAACGATGTAGTTCGACCAGCTCGCCACGGATCCAATGATCAACAAGCAGATAATTCCTGGAATGAGCCCAAGGGTATTGAACACCGCTGGTACAGACAAAACGCCCAAACCAATTTGTGTTTTCATCATCAACGCAACCGTTCCTTTCCACCCAACCTGCATTCTAGTCAGCCTTCCACTCCTCACCAACAACGCAGGTTATGAGATCTCTTACACTTCGATAATTGGGACCACCCTCCACGATCTCTCCAAATACAGCATCCTCTACATGCCCTGCTGGGCTTTCTGAGGCCTTGGTGGTCGCTCTGTAAGCCATCTCTTCGTCGCCTCCAGCGTACTTCTTCTCGTCGTTCATTTCGGTGGTCATCTTCAAACTTTAATATCGTTCTGAATTGATGAAAAGCTGGGGAAATGGGGATATCCACGGCAGTATAAGAACACTACTGGATTCACCATCCCCACGGGGTCGGGTACCAACCCGATTGATACCGGGAGGGCACCCGACAAACTAGCGCAGAATTCACCCGTCAAAGCCTCATATCAACGGGCCGATGACGTCTCATTGCGCGCAATGACCTCTGTTAATCAGGATAAACCCCGGCCGTTGCACAGCGCTCTAAGCTAGATACTCCTAGAGCCTCCAATCTGTCTTATCGGGTGACTTACTCCATGTTTGAAGGTCGTAAATTGTTTCGGATCCACACAATACGACTGATCCGGTCTTCGCCCCATGGCACTGGGACTGGCAACCACCGACGTCAGTCTCGGATGCACTGAATCGCGAAATTGTTGAGAGCGGTGCACTGATAAAGTAGTATCATGGTTTCTCCCCTATAATTTTACTGTAGACTTATCTACTGATACTTCGGATACAGAAAACTCGGGATGGGTGATACTCTGGTTCCGAGATCTGCGAAATCGAGACGTGGCGACGCAACCTCACTCGCTATGCCCATTTCATTTCGAGCGAGCGACTGAATCCCCTTTTGGTAATTAGAGGACATCCCTTGCGTACCACCCTAGCTCCTTCAACCCTTCCCCACAGTGATATGCTCGTACGATGACTTAATAGGCAAATGTGGTCAGGGTAATCCTATTATTTTATCTATCTAAAGTACGCAATGATGCTGCCATATTTGCTCTATTTTGACACATGCCAATGGTCTCCAACTCTGAATCCGTTGGGAAAGGGATCAGTAGGGTCTAGCATAGATTGCCTGAATCCGGTGAGCCATGCGCGACCCTTCACTCTGGGAAGCACTGCATCGAATTTGCCGACTTTGGTGGTTCCAAGAATTTTGCATTCAAACTCTGTTCCAATGATACTTCTGTGACGGAAGATCTGGCCTTCCTTGAGTTCTCCTCGCGCATGGAGAACAGCCATTCTTGCGCATGAGCCAGTTCCGCATGGGCTGCGATCAAATCTACCAGGTGATACAATGACCGTGTTTACAGCGATTTTGCTACCATCAGGGGCGTCTTGCACGGGCTCTGTAAACTCGAGGACGGTCACACCACGGACGTCTGCATTCTCTGGATGGACGGGCACGAATGCCTCGAAAATAGCCTTCTTTATCAGCTCCCCAACTCGGACCAACTCTGGGCCACAGTCGTGGTCAATCTTGAGTCCCACGGACGCAGCATCGACCAAAACGTAATGCATGCCACCCCAGGCTACATCGACGGATACAGTCCCTAAACCAGGAACGTCGAGTTTATAGTCCAGGACATGGACGAACGATGGAACATTGTCGAATGAGACGGCCTTGCACTTGCCTGCCTCACACTCCGCCGTGACCCCAATCAAGCCCGCAGCAGTGTCTAGCTTCATGTTCGTGATTGGCTCCTTCATTTCTACCATGCCCGTTTCGAGGAGTACGGTGGACGTCGCAATGGTGTTGGCGCCTGACATTGGAGGATACTCGTCGCTTTCGAGTGTAAGAAAGGCAGCATCTGCCTGTGAATTGCACGGCGCTAGTACCATATTCATGCATTGAGATGACCGCCCGCGAGGTTCCTGCATGAGAAGCTGGCGAGTGTGGTCTGCCTCGTCGCGAAAGTAGACAAGCTTTTCATACATCGTCTTGCAGTGCACAGGATCGCGGACGCCTCCAATGATGACATCCCCGACCTCGCCTTCGGCATGGACACCGACGATCGAAATAGTGCGCGTTGATTTCATGTTGAATTAATAAAGATGGTAAGATTTTGGAAGGAACTGAGTACGCAGAACATCTTCATTCACTACAATTCGAGTATATATTTCAATTCGGAATAGCATACCGAGTACGGAAATTTTGTGGTACAAACCGACCATTGTTCGGATGCATCAGTGATGAGCCACATGACATCCGAGGTTGGCGGCACCTTGGATTACTAAATTGGTTGCGATCCCCAACTCTCGTGTGATATGTTTCTTTCGAAAAGCCTGGCTTGACTTTTGCTGCTCGAACCGATTTTACTCTTCATCAAATCTGATATTCTCATCGGGTAGTACTTCCGAGTAATTGCAGGAAATGGCAACTCCTCTCCACGGCAAGGTCGCCATTATCACAGGCGGATCCCGCGGCATTGGCAGGGCCATTGCTCTCGAATTAGCAACTCGTGGTGCAAACGTCCTTATCACATATGCGAGCGCACGGTCGGCGGCGGACGAGGTTGGCCAGGAGGTAGAGGCTCTCGGTGTGGAGTTTCTGGCGGTCGCGGCAGCCGGATCGGATCCTGGTGCTCCAAAGGCCATCGTCGACGCAGCAGTCAAGAAATGGAACGTCATAGACATCATTGTCAACAGCGCGGCTACTGGAGGAAATTTCGGGCTTCTCGAAACTACCGAAGACATTTTTATGGAGCAGGTTACTGTCAACCTGCGCTTTCCCCTATTCCTCATCAAAGCGGCTGTTCCGCATTTCGGGGTAGCGCCTAGGATCGTCAATATGTCCAGCATCTACGCAAGAAGTGGCCATGCTGATGTTCTTGTTTACTCGGCTTGTAAAGGGGCGATGGAGTCTGCAACGCGCTGTCTTGCAAGAGAGTTGGGTCACAAATATCATGCTACCGTCAATTGCATCAATCCTGGCCCTGTCAACACGGATTTATGGGCGAAGACTATAGCGGACCCCGAGGCTAAAGAGTTCTGGGACGCTCCGGTCAGAGAAACTCCAGCTGCTCCTCGTGTTGCGGAACCGCATGATGTGGCCCACGTTGTAGCGTTTCTATGTGAGGAGCGTACTAAATGGACTACGGGCAGTGTTGTGAACGTGAATGGAGGGATGCTGTTTGTATAGAAAGAAAGAAGCATCCGCACACCATCATATTGTATCTTATCATCTATAAGCTTAATTCATTGCATGTGATTGACCGCTGATTCAAAGTGATGCAGCAAAGTTCAATATGGATCTTGCGGACTTCTGGAAGACCTCGATATTCATATCCACATACTCGCCCAACCCCCTCGGATAAAACGATAACCCCCGAATACCTATACAAGCGCAAGGATCTGGAATTAGGGCTTACTCAAAGCTAACCAAGCAAATCATGAGCATTCCCGGTCGCTTTATCAGACCACGATTGTAAGAGGAGGCGAAAGCCACGGGCCTAGTGGCTCAACCAACACCGGCTTCATGAGCCCTCTTTGACCGAGTTTTTGTTGAGTTGCTTCTGAGCATTTCTAACTCATCTGAGATTTACGAACGTTATTCGTTATTGATAGCAATGCAACAGTCAATATGCTTAGCAAGGTATGTACCGACATGATAAGGGTGATACTTGACACGCAAACGACCTAGCGTTCGGATGTAATGGCTTTCGTTTCGACTCCCTTCATTTCTAGCGTAATTACTGTGGCAAGACTTCATATTCGTGGATTGAGTTTCATTCTATTCCGGAGCATAGTCGCTCCCTGCCTGTGGTGGTGCGGCACTGAACCAATCTAAGCCACTCAGGTCCAAGGAATCTGCAACGGCTTCTAGGTGCTGCCCACTGAGAACCTCCTCGAGATTCCACTCCATCATCGAAGCAATATCATTCTGAGACCCCACTGAGCTATCATGATGGGTCACACCCTCCCACACCGTAGAATTTGCCTCCGGATGGCCTTCCGATGTGCCTTGCATAAGATTACCTCCCATCGTTGCGTCGAGCTGAGATAACGTCATATCAAGGTGTTCGAACTCGGCCTTGCGACAAGCTGCAATCAAATTCCCCCGAGAAGCCATGTCATTGAGGATAGAGTGTGCAACCTGCAGTGACGAATCTTGCGTCTTACAGATGGACGGATCTACTGCATGTGCGACAAGAATGACGAGGGTAGCATGCCACACGGACTCAAGATCGAAAGGTATAAATCGCTCTATAGAATACGATTAGGCAAAGTTCTAATATTACCATTGCTTACTATACCAAGAAGATCCTGTGTTCGAAGGGCAGCGAGCGTCTTCATAATCTGCTGGGCTGAGCCGACACCTATCCGCGCCAGTGCTCGAACACCGCCTGCTGTCGGAATCCGAATGCGCTTCGATGCTTCCAACCGCCTTTTGAAAAAGAAGAATAACAACGGCTTTATGGCCAATATTATGGCCTATTGCTAGTAGTCAGCTACTGGGCAGGGGATATCATGGGCACAATTCCTCACCTGATGATGGAAAAGGTAGAAGTGAGCGGAAAGCCGAGAAATACTGTGAGAAGAATCGTCTATCTTCAACGGGAACTCAATTGCCCGCTCGTCATTGACTTTGGCAAGGTACTTCAAGGTAGTCTTGATGCTTTTCAAGAAGTACCCGTCGGCCGAGTCGTCAATACGATAAACGGCTTCACTCTTCATGTCAGGCAAAGGTACATTTGATCTCCTAAGATTACTTACTTTGTTGGATGAAAGCAATGATTTTTGCAAGCTTGACATGCATTCTCAATGCACGCGACTCCTTTTCAGAACCTCCGAAATTCGGGAGCTGGGAGCTAATATTCCATTCATTCAGTGGAATCGGCGTGCCCTGCAAAACGGACATGTGGCAATCGAGAGTGTAGACGGTCCACCAAATCCGGCGACATCTCTCGAGAACATCGGGTGCGAAATGCTGACTCGGTATGTCGGTGTGCCATCCATTAGTGATGGCTATGCGCATTGCCTGACCAATCTAGATAATAGTCAGTCGCCTCGCGCCTTTTGCTTCGTGGGATTGCGAACTCACGTAATTGTAGGCCACAATTCGTAGATCTAGACATTGTAGGTAGATCATTGTACAACAAAGTATCTCAGTAGATTCAATCGGCTGAGTCCACAGATAGATCATGCTAGGTAGCAGTTTCATTGCGTGGACAAAGAGTTCTGCACCAGGAGGCCGTCGCCCTTCTGTCTGTCCAAGTAGAGCCTTACCGAGTGCCAGTATTAGTAGGTAATGGATATACCATAGATCCGAGGTGTCTGGCCCATCATTGTCGTTGCGCTGGAGCTTCTCAAACTTGTCCATGAAGTCGTTCTCGTCAAAGAGATGGAATAATTGTCCGCAGTGGTATTTCACGGCGCCAATAAGGAAGCGAGCATACTCTCCAATGGGAAGTATAGGTTGCCCTCCTGTCTCCGTCCCAGTCTTCCTACCATCCCACCCAAGCTCGTAAGAAGATCCGTCAAAGTGCAAGATCTCATGAGGTAGAGAAGTGTCGCCGAAGACTTTGTTGTGGGCTAGGATCAAGACACGTCTGCCAAAGGACCAGTTCGATGATGTTCCTAGATAATCTGTAATACTAATCAGAGCCGTGACTTAGGTCGATCTGGTACACGTACACGATTGATTTATAGAAGTAGGACTGTAGTAAAAAGAAGGCCCTGTCACGAGATAATTCGTGAACTGTTGGGGTGGTTGCGGTACATCTGTATTCGAATCCCCCAACTCAGACGATTCAGACGGGTCATCTATCCCAAGTTGAGATGCAGGAGTTGGTGAGCCAGTATCATGCTCTCCACCGCGCTCATGACCGATCGTTCCTTGAGACTCCGTAACAGTGTTTTCCAGTCTGCTAGCATGCGCTGCTTGTCGTTCCAGGTCGCTTAACCAACCGCGAGTTACAATGACCTTTTCCGATTTTTCGTCGAACACACACGTTATCTTCCTGCGTTCACAATGGGCACATGGCTGGATACCGGTACATTTTATCTTATGTTGTCGGCAGCGCTTGCAACTATATGGACCCACCTGCCGCGGTTAGTCACAATGTATCTTTGATGGAAAAGTGTAACTCATGCGCGTTGGCAGTCCTCTTCCGCGCGTGACTCGCATTCCTGCGGAAGAGGCTAGTGTTAGAACTTCTGGGTTGCATGAATGAACAATTTTATGGGTCAATGACTATCGAAATATCACGGTTCCTCAGACTGTGAATTGCGCATCAACTGTAGGTCACATCGCACCCAGTATCCTAGGCGCACATTCATAGCTGATCATGTGAAAGCCATGATTCGGATACGCATCCCGATCACGTGATGCGCACAGTCGGTAACGCTATTCGCTTTGAAGAGGGAACGATTGGACGAGATACAGGATCTCGCATGTATAATTAATTCGTAATCGACGTTGTTATAGTCACTCATATTGCCAGTTCTTGCGTTTGCTACAAAACCCTTGCCCTATCGCATAGTACCTAGGTACGTTCGCCATAGCCATAACTGACCAGGTTTCAAACTTCATACTTCTTGACATTTATGCCAGTCTTGTATCGTTCATCTAGATTTATTGACCTCCGCTTGTACCTGCTGGAGTTCAACTTGTTCCTCACGCCCAGGTTTCTCCAGGTCATCTGGCAATGTTCCCAAGGCACGTTCTCCGAACAGCAGATCGATCTCCTCGAGACTAAGTTTCTTAGTTTCCTATAACAATGTTAGTCGAGTTATACATGAAGATTTGATACATAGTACTCACCTTGAACATGAAGAAGATCGTGGGAAACGTCACGCAGATGTTGAAGGCAACAAAGATGAAATAAAACTTGTACTCAGTCTTTCCAAGACCAATGGGCGAGACTTGTGACCATACGGTACCGACAAGCCAGTTTCCAATAGCGGTAGCGAAAGCGGAACCGTGTCCTCGAATACTCAGGGGCATGATTTCTGGATTCTGTAAGTCTTGGGCTAGATACTGCTGAGAAGAGCTTCTTACCAGACGCGTACACCCACGAGATAGGGCCGAAAGACATGCTGAAAATGCAGGAGACAAGGAAGATGAAGAAGACTCCGCCGATGGATAGACCATTCCGGCGAGCTCCAGAGGCTCCCTTGACCTGAGACCCAATGGCAGCTTCAGCAATCAATGCCATAGTGATTCCAGCCGTTCCGAACAACAAAGGCTTTCTGCGACCAACACGGTCCAGGACAAAAACGATGAAGAACAGATTGCAAACGGGTCCGACAATATTGTAGATGCTGACGAGGAGCAGCTTTTTGTCTCCCTCGATTCCGAGGGTCTCGTAAAGAAGAGACGAATAGTAACCAATGACGTTGATACCTGTCATCTGCGTGAAAACCTGCATGAGAGTAGCATGAAGGAGACGCATCCTCCAGGCTTTGACCTTGAACATGATGGACCAGCCAGGCGCAGTGATGGCCTTTTCGGCCTCGATGGTAAGTTTTATTTCATTGAACTCGGACTGAATCCATTCTTCGTTGGAGCCATCGAAGTGGAGTTTGCGAAGCACCGCCATCGCTTCATCCGCTTTGTCCTTCTCCATCAAATGTCGTGGGGACTCGGGGAAGAATAAGATACCCGCAATGATCATAATGCAAGGAATACACTGGAAACCAAGCGGGAACCGCCAGGAGAACGAGCTCGTCTTAGGGACTTTGGAAGCGCCATAGCCAACCCAGGTCGAAACAATGAAGCCTACGCCGATCATTTGTTGAGTAATGCCGACAATCATACCTAACAATCTAGATCAGTACGATGCCGGGAATCATGACAAGTAAACTGTACCTCTATTTCGGGGATGAGCACATTCTGACTGGTAGATAGGGACAGACATAGAAAGCACGCCAACAGCCCATCCAGCTAGAATTCGACCCACCAGAATCATGGCCAAATTCCGTGCTCCAGTTTGAAGAGCAGCTCCAAGCAAATTGATAGCGGCGCCGATCAGCACCGTCCATCTTCGACCAAAGCGATCCATAGTAGAACCTCCCATTAGCGCGCCGAAGACGGCACCACCTGAGAAGGTTGAATTGATAGCTCCAATAGTTGATGAATATTTCTCTGTATCAAAATAATGGAGGAAGTGTGGAGACTGGATGACGAGGGCCATCACACCACTATCATAACCGAACAGAAAGCTGCCCGTTGCCGCGAAAACGGCGAGCACGATGTTGAATACCAACCCCATAGTGAAAGATGGTGACACTCAGGTCAGTATGATAGAGAAGAAGAACAACGAGGTTGATGTATCTATGCACTCATGGGAAGGTCGCAGCACAATATAAGCACGCAATGCACGAGACGCATACTACCACCGGGCTCTAGAACGGCTGATCATCATGTTACATGCGGATGCAAAGCATCCCAGCCGTGACCAGTCTGTCGCCAGGATACTTGATTCCTTTGGACATGCCTTGCTGCGTCCTCGTAAATGTCACATCCAGCTCCTTGCGACGAGAATTTAAGCATCACACTTTGCCAAACTCAGTATAATGGCGGAACCTGTTCCCTAGTTCCCATGAACAATCAGAATCATCCGGGGTGGAACGACTGCCAAACATGAAGGACATAAATGTTGGGGGAGGATCTGGGGGCGGCAAGTGGGGAAAGTTTACCTCTCGGATGTGAATTGGGCGACGCTAGTCCCGACTTAGGCATTTACGCCACTTTTTGTTCCACCAATCACCAGCTCGATCGGCATCTTAGCGGGATCTTCACATCGACACCGTCTTACCTCGTAGATACATATTTATGTACATCAATATTGTTCATACTTGTATGATATTACCGGTGGTACAAGCGAAATCGGTCCTTCATAGGATGCCGAGCTAAATTATATAGTCTGCCACCACGAGCCCGGTAATATAAATGAATTCAGGGCGCGACGGAGAATTGCAGCATGATGACCTGCGTGATCTCCAATGACATGGGATAGTCAAGGGCGACCCGGTAAATAGTATATTGAAAATCGATAAAACTTTTGTTTGCCCATCAAAATTATAAGATCTCTTCTTTCGAGTCTGAATTCATCGTCCCATTTGTGACTTTGGATAGAATCGCAGTTCTCGATCAATTTGTTGGTAGATTGCTTTCAGATTATCACTCGAACATGAGATACACAACCCTTCTCATAGCCACTGGCCTTCTGTCTTCAGCAAGTGGTTTTGACATCGTCCGCCGAAGGGACGCCACCAATGCTACGTACAAGGACCCAAATGCCTCCATTGAGTCCCGTGTGACTGACCTTCTCTCTCGAATGACGATTGAAGAGAAGACGGCACAACTCATCCAAGGCGACATATCCAATTGGATCAACACGACGACCAATGTATTTAACGCGTCGGGGCTTGTATGGAACATGGACAAGAGGGCTGGACAATTCTACGTCGGATACCCAATGGCGCAGTCATGGATCAGCGATGGAATCAAGAGAGCCCAAGACTACCTCGTGCACAACACCACATTGGGGATACCTGCCTTTACACAGACTGAAGGTATCCACGGCTTGTTGGTCGGCAATGCAACTATTTTCAACAGTCCGATCGCTCATGCTTGTTCTTGGGACCCCGAGTTGATCAAGGACATGGCAGCTGCAATCGCACAAGAATCAAGAGCCCTCGGCATCAATCAGATCTTCGCTCCATTGGCCGATCTAGCTCGTGAACTTCGGTTTGGCAGAGTCGAAGAGACCTTCGGTGAAGATGGTCATCTCGCAGGTGAATTGGCATATAGTTATGTCAAGGGTATCCAGGGAGGCAACGTCAGCTCAACAGTCAAACATTTCGCTGGGTTCTCTGCACCGGAGCAGGGCATCAACACCGGGCCTGTACACGGTGGTGAGCGAGAGCTTCGTACAACATGGCTGCCCCCCTTCAAGAGAGCCATCATCGACGGAGGCGCTTACAGCATTATGGGCGCGTATCATTCCTACGACGGCATACCATCTATAGCCGATCATCTGTTGCAGGAGACCATTCTGCGCGATGAGTGGGGTTATGAGTACTTTATCACTTCTGATGCGGGTGCTACGGACCGCTTGTGCTGCTCATTCAAGATGTGCGCGTGTAAACCCATCGACAAAGAAGCAGTCACATTATACACCCTACCTAACGGAAACGACGTAGAGATGGGAGGCGGCTCGTACAATTTTGAGACCATACCGAAGCTCGTCAAGGAAGGCAAGCTGGATATCGAAGTTGTTGACAGAGCGGTTACGAGACAGCTTCGGGCCAAATTTGCAATGGGTCTTTTTGAGAACCCGTATTTGGGACTTCCGTCAAACGCCACGAAATCTGAGATCCATACTGAGGAAAACGTTGCTCTTGCTAAGAAGCTCGACACGGAATCCATCGTGTTACTGGAAAACCATAACTCCACCCTGCCTCTCTCCAAATCTGCCAATGTCGCAGTCATTGGCCCAATGGCCGACTTCATCAATCTTGGTGACTATGTTGTTTACCGCTCGCAATACAACCCAACCAATGTGTCGCCTTTGAAAGGCATTCAAGACATAGCAACCGGAAAGGTTACTTACGCTAAGGGCTGTGAGCGCTGGTCCAACGACCAATCTGGCTTCCCTGAAGCAATTGCAGCAGCCAACAACGCAGATGTCGCAGTCGTCCTAGTGGGCACCTGGTCCCGCGACCAACAAGAACTCTGGCAAGGTCTCAATGCCACGACTGGCGAGCACGTCGACGTCTCGTCTCTCAATCTCGTCGGCGCAATGGGTCCGCTGGTGCAAGCAATCATCGAGACAGGCAAGCCAACCATCGTAGTCTACTCATCCGGGAAACCCATCACCGAGCCGTGGATCTCGTCTGCAGCATCTGCATTAGTGCAGCAGTTCTACCCCGGCGAGCAGGGCGGCAGCGCTCTGGCTGACATTCTCTTTGGGGAAGCGAACCCTTCGGGGAAGCTTTCCGTCTCCTTCCCGCATGACGTGGGGACCTTGCCGATCTACTATGACTATCTCAATTCGGGCCGGTATACCGAAGCGGGGGAGATCCTTCCAAACGGGACGTTGAAGTTTGGTCACCAATATGTCCTAGGTGATCCGCAGCCGCTGTACGAATTCGGTTACGGACTTTCTTATTCCACCTTTGAGTATAGTAATGTTAGAGCTTCGCAGACGGAGGCGGGTGCTGATGATGTCGTTACAATCTCTGCGTCCGTAACGAACACCAGCCCTGTGGATGGGAAGGAAGTCGTGCAGGTATACCTGCAAGATGTGTTGGCAAGTGTCGTGGTTCCGAATATCCAGCTCAAAGGATTCAAGAAAGTCCTTGTGAAGGCAGGAGAGACGGTCGACGTGGAAATCCCTCTGAAAGTAGAAGACTGGGGCCTATGGGACTTGAAGATGAAGTATGTTGTTGAGCCAGGAGAGTTTGTTTTGCATGTTGGAGGCAGCTCAAAGGATATTAGAGGCAATGCTACTGTAGTTGTGTCGTAAGAGGTCTTAGTATAGTTCGTATAGAGAGTTCGTATATGGAAACACTCAATTAGGCTATTATGCCAAGTGCCATACACTTGATTTGATACTATCTAAACATGCAGTTCTGGGTCATCATTCAAAAGTTCTAAGGTATAATCATAGTCATAGTTGTTCAGTTCGCAAAATCCCTTTATCCGAATCGCTCTACTGTCCATTCACCTCCCAAAACGTCCAATCCCTTGACCTCATTTTCAGAAGTAACTTCCAAAACGACCTTTTGCTCTCCCTGGGCATCGACGACAACGGCTTTATCTCCTTCCTTCGTTCCGTAGAGTCTGACAACGCCACCGGCGTTGACCCAGTCATATCCGAAACCACCTTCACCCTCCCCTTGGCCAAGGACCAATACGGTACCCTCCCTAACGAAAGCCGGAGTCTGCAAGAAATTGTACTTCTCACGTATCCACTGGCTTCCCGCAACCTCTTTGCCATCCCAGAAGTTGAACCATCGGCCTGGGGGAAGGTAGACCTCGCCTGTGCCGTCCTCGGAAAAGATCGGGGCAGCAATAATTTGGGATCCGATCATGAACTGGCGGTCGAGGAACCAAGAGGTGGGGTCGTCAGGGAATTCCAAGGCGACCGCTCGGACACTCGTAGGCCAACCGTTGGCAACACTCTCGATCGACTGCGCATAGAAGTAAGGCATGAGCCTTCTCTTGAACTGAACCCAGTGTCGCAGGACCTCAGTGCAGTTCTCTGGCTCAGTAGACGAATCGTCGATAAGCCAAGGGACACGGTAGGAGCTTGAGCCGTGTAGACGAGAGTGCGAGCATAGAAGACCAAACGTGACCCAGCGCTTGTAAATCCACGGGGGTGGGTAACCTTCAAATCCTCCAATATCGTTGGACCATGAGGCAAACGATGCGAGACCCAGTCCAAGACCACCACGGAGGGATTCTGCGAGAGCGGCCGGAGTAGATTCACAATCGCCTCCCCACTGGAGCGGGAAACGTTGGTTTCCAGCGCAAGCAGTACGAGCGAACAAAACTGCTTCGTGCTTGCCGTAGCGCCTTTGAAGAGCCTCGAACACGAGCTTGTTGTAAATGAAAGCATAGTAATTGTGCATACGTTCGGGATCAACGGTCTTGTCGAACCAAACGACATCTTTTGTGGGAATACGCTCGCCGAAATCGGTCTTGATACAATCGACGCCGACGTCGAACAGCTTCTCTAGGCACCCGGTGTACCAGTCGCACGCTTCGGGGTTCGTGAAGTCCACAATTCCCATTCCGGTCTGCCACATGTCCCATTGCCAAATGTCGCCGTTAGTGCGCTTCAACAGATAGCCTTTTTCGGCGGCATATTTGAAAACGGGGGATGCTTGACCAATGTACGAGTTCGTCCAAACACTGATTTTGTTTGTCAATCCACCCTTCTTCAAACGGCCGATGAATCCGGACGGATCAGGGAAATACTCCGGATCCCAGACAAAATCTGTCCAATGGAACGCTCTCAGCCAGAAACAGTCGAAATGGAATACCTCTAGAGGAATCTTTGATTCTTGCATGGTCTCAACGAAGTGGCGGACCGTCTTCTCATCGTAGTTTGTGGTGAAAGATGTGGAAAGCCAGAGACCGAACGACCATGCAGGAACCTTGCCAGGTTTTCCTGTGAGGATGGAGTATTTGGTAAGAACCTCTTTTGGTGTAGGACCGTATATCAAATACCTTGATCATAAAGTCAGTGAACGTTAAAAAGAAATGTCAGCCATAACGAACCATTTGAGGCGTTGGCCAGCAACTGTCGTCTGCAGCCTTGAACACCGCTCGCTACCAATCTCCAAGTCGATCTTTTGTGGGGTGTCGATAAAGACACCATAGCCCTTCGAGCTCAACCAGAAAGAGACGTTCTTATAAGCCTGCTCACTAGATGTACCTCCATCTTCATTCCAGACCTCAATATTCTGGCCAACCTTGTTCCACGCACCAAAGCGCTCTCCAAGCCCATGAATGGACTCTCCGACGCCAAGGTCAGTTTGAGTGAACACAAATTGCTCGTGGTTCCTCAGGTCTTCCACTTGTTTTGGCGTTTTCAATGCGGGGCTATAGGCAGAGCCAATACTTCGAGCTGGGAGAGATGTGATTGACTTTGAACCATCGGTGGTGTGAAAATTGATATCGAAAGTATGCTCCTTGGAAGACACTGTGGCGCTTAGATTTCCGCTGGTTACTGTGGTGCCTTTCTCGGAAGTCGAGACAGAACCATTGCTTTCCGGTTTGCCATCCGGAAATATGTCAAAATTTGGGCCGAGTCGGCGCGCACCAGAGAAGCGAGTAACCTCTATGGATATCACATCATCGAATTGAGCCTCAATCTCGACGTCAAGCGTTGGCATATTCAGCGTATCGCCACGCCTGAGTATCTTCTTGGTTGGGCATAGCAATGTGACGGCCTTCTTATCCTCACGCGGTGTGATGGCATAAACCTCTTCGGCATACTGGACCGTAAATTGGTCAGAGGTTAACCACATGCCTGATCGATGTCAGTCGCACTGGGCCTTCCTATCAATGTCACCTGTCATCCTTACCATCACGGAACTTCATCTTGGCGCTTCACAAAAGTCACGAGGCAACAGAGCAGCGACCTATTCAGTGCGATGATTGAAGGATTGTTTCTTTGCGAGCGGGAGGCGAAGACCTGGCAACATCTGGCGATTGCTTTTAAAAGCATCCAGCTTATCGGATTTCTAAGTGCTCCGTCACGGCAACTAGGCCCGGAATGCGAATGCGTGATCATGGCGGGATTCCAAGTGGATCATGAAATGATGCTCGGAAACAATATTGTCTGGACGGAATAACTAGTAGTCAATTCTCCGCAACCCCTCCGTTGGCCGTAGGAGCTGCGATTGGCTCCGTCTTCGTATGTCGTGGATCCAACGAGGGACTACCTGAACCGGCAAGACGAATTTATGCGGTGGGACAATTCAAATGGTTAAACACAGCAGTTGTAGTGGAAACCTCAAAGCAAATACGAATTGTCGATCCGTCGGAAGAGGCATGGTGAGGCTTCAGGTACTTCTCAACCCACCGGACCGGAATCTCTGTTATTGTAACTCTCGGGGTGGTTTGGTTATTGTTCGTGTTGGAGGTGGAACTTGATCGGCTGTACCTGAGTCAGGTTGGCGGGGGCGGGGTTGTCCCCATAACTCATACACTTCTGGTAGTTGCAAGAACTTCATTATTCAAAAATTGGCATTGATAATTAGTCCAACATTTGTACTGTTCTTATTTCTTGTCTCTTATCGCCCAGCCTTCTGCCTTTTCCTCTGTTCATCAAGGCGTCGATCACTTAGCCAGAACACGTGATTCCGGCCATTCACAGATCTTCGCCAAATACCTACACACGAGGATTTCTTCAAGGTTTACGTTCTAATAATGCGTACTTACACTGGATTTTACCACCGAATCTCACAATCATGTTGCTACCATTTGCTACAGGCAGATTATACACATCGAACGTGATGGAACACAGGATTTTATATCTGGACAATCGCAACGCGTACCAACAGATGAAGCACTCTAAAGTGCATATTCCATTTCAATGTTTCTCGAGCCATTTCTTTAGCACTGATACCCCACCAGAAGAAGTCCCTTCTTTCCGTCGAGAGGAGATTGGTATTTGCTCAACCACCGAACAACTTAACATCACACTAACCCACCCGCAGTGCCCACTTAGGGGCGGCCTTAAAGTAGATCTTGGTGGCCGGATGGTTCGGCTGCAAGACCGAACTGTATTCAACACAAAATCAGGGGAGTGCTAAACCATATAATTCTTTAGTACCGCACTTCCCCGTCCACTGATGATGCTGAACTACTGCATGGCATTGACAAGTCGACCCAGAGAAATGCGCTAGAAGCGCTATCCAGACAACATGTCATCATAATTCAAGAATAAAACATGGTATTAAGGGGTTCTTAAAGACATAATCTCGCGAATAGGGCGGATCCTATAAGACCAATCTTCCTTGTCGCATTCTCTTCGTCTTCCTTCTCTTTCCTACGCGCCCATCATGACATACACAATCGTTTTATTCGTCTCGCGCAGGCCGAATATCACAACCGACCAATTCCGAGACTTCTGGGAGAATTCACACATACCTCTTCTTAAATCCATTGCAGGGAAGGCGTTTCCACTATCGCATACACGGCACTATGTGGCGCGTGTCAATTCAAAGGCAGGGGATCGGGCTGGGGTGAAGACAGCGTCGACCAAAATAGCAGCATCGGCAGCACCCGTGGTCTTGGTGGGAAACGCGAATGAGGTGGATTGGGATGGGTACGCTGAGTTGGTCTTCAGGGATGAGCTGCATTTCCAGCAATTCTTTGCCTTGGTCAATGAGCCGGATGCGGCAGAGCGAATACAAATGGATGAAGAACAGTTCTCAGATCCCGATAAATTCAAGATCGTTGTTTTGGGAGACACGGTTAGCACCGGGGCAGATTGATCTCAGACTATAAAGACGGGTAGGAACGACGAAGAGTGCGGTATGTTGACTTTTATGATACCAAGCGATAGAGTTGGCATTCCTGATTCATTTTGACATAGAAAGTCTGCTCTATTCCCCTGCACGCATCATCAGGCCTTCTGGAGTCAAGGAGCTTGGCCAATATTTGGCTTGATACAAGTTCGTTGAAAGTACGACTTTTAGAGTCCTTCGTATGTCCAGGAATTGCTACGGATGCGTCGACTATCGAGATGATTCACACAAGGATAGAGGTCACTAGGAATACGAACATAGTGCAGATCAAAGGGTGCCGGCTACTAGCCGTGCTACTTGTAGAATCCCCGCAATTATTGAGCCAGGCCGAAGCCCTGCAGTAAGTGCTGTGATATAATCAAACTCATGTTATATCGCGCTAGTCGTCGTTCTGTAAACTTGAATTACTAGAAGAAGAAAATATCTGCTTTGTGCTCTACTTTATAGGCCTTTGAAACGATTGAATACTACCATTACGGAGCACAACTTCATCGCGAAATAAAACAGTACACCAGAGAAATTACCATATGCGCCACCATCATCTTATAACTCAAGGTCTGTTCCTCCCTTCAACTGGTTGGTTCTCATCTTTTGACGTCGTGTTATGTAGTTCGGCCCCTGTGCCTAAACTCCGCTCTACGTTCGACAGGTGCTCTGCTCGTTGTCGTAGCTCATTATAAACCTCTTGTTCTCCACGAGCGGCGTCGGACATGGCCACATTGATATTCTCCCCCATGCCACTCACTCGATTGGCAACATCCCTCTGGTAAGCCTGTTCTCGCTCATGGACGCTTGACTGCAGGGTATTGGCATCATCGTGGGCAGTCTTGATGCCAGCTACCACTTGACTTTCGTATCTCCGTTGGTGATCATCGAGGCTTTTCTCCAAATCAGACTTGATAGCATCGACACTTTGGTGTGCACCTCTCACGCCAGCGTCGACTCCTCTTTCGTAATTTCGTCGATGTTCCTCGATCTCCATTTCCACACCTGACTTGGTATTACTTGCTGTTCGCTCGACATCTCGCATGGTAGTTCCGATTTCCTTCTCCATGTTCTGTCTATATGCATCCATTCCAGATTTAACGCTATTCAAATTATTCCTTACTCCTCCCAATCCGTTGTTGACTTCTCGCTCATATTCTTCTTTCCGTCGTTGGAAATCCTCCTTCAATTCCCGGAGCTTTGCTCCCAAGCCATGCTCCATTTCTTTTTCCTTTCGCTCCAGATGAGATTTCTCTGAGTCAATGTCTCTTTCAATTACTGAGCTTATTTCCTTCAACTTCTCTTCTTCCTTCTTCGCAAACCCTTCGATGAACTCAAACACCTTAGGACCATATTTCTCTTCCAAGCTCTTCAGTCTCTTCGCCGTACCTGTTACTTCGGGCAGCTTTGGGATATCCGGGTTTGTGAAACCCCTCCTCTTCTTCATATCCCCAACGCTGATGTAATTATCCGGTGTATTGCTTTCGACATCCGCCTTCACCTCCTCGTACATAATCTCAATGGCATCAACCACCTCTTGCACATTGAGCCGACAATCTGGACGGCTAAAATCGCGTTCCCTCTGCTCAATGTATTCCCTCACTTTCTTCCATTCGTTCTCGTAGAAGCGGAGTCGATTCGGCAATCCACTACCCTTCAAGTAAGTGAGCAAGCCCGCGATGACGGTGTTTATGGCGCCAAAGGCAGTGATTCCGACGTGATTGGAGCTCGCTGCGCCCATAGCCGTAAGAGCGGCTGCAACGATGACTTGGACACCAAGTGCGCCGTTGATCAGGAACGATGCCCATTTGAAGCCCTTTTTCGCGGCCTGCTCGCGGTGAACGACGCGGTTGTATATGCCGAGGTTGGGAGCAGGACGCCCTTCGAAGTGGAGGTGGTTGTTGTTTGCGTCGCTCGCGAGGCAACTCGTTGAGTGGATGCCAACCATGTGTCGGAATGCCGTGAGTTGGTCATTAGTTGAAACAAGCTGCTTCATTTAATTATGAACACGGGATAAGTTTAGCAGTCTGTACTTACTGTAGGCTGTCCTGAACTTGTCGGAGGTGGAATTGTGCTGTTTGCCAATCCATTTTCTGCGGTACGTAGTTCATTTTTCTGTCCAGGTTTGAACCGTGAGGCCATCATATTTGAGAACATGGTGAACGCGTCCAATCGTGTCTCTCTCAAAGCCTGGCTAACAGCCGCCAGAAAGGTAAAGTAGGAAGAGTCTATGGGCGACAGCCCATGGGAGAATCACAATATATCAATCTCCACATGTAAAATCTACGCGCTTCTCGACTCCATGTCCTTTACTCACGCGACTGCAAATCTGTATTGGCGTTCTAGCATCTCGGGACTCCAGACCAAAGAGACCGGGCAACAAAGCGTCGCGGGTGGTGAATTGGTGCATGAATGCCACCACAAGGCGCTTTAGCGAGCAGGATCCTCGTATAAACATGGTATAGATCGACCTTTCGAATCCATATTGAGAAGAAGCAAGCGATTCACAAAAGTCGACAAGCCGCTTCTAGCGGGGTCATTTATTCGGTTCAGCTGCGGGAGGATGCGCCTTTGTGCGGATCGGAACGTGTGGAGCTCGATTCAGCTCGTCTAGATGAACGCCACATTGTGAGCTCGGGCTTGCCGGGCAATATGGTCCAATAATAGCAAGACTCCTTTTCACACAACTTGAAAGGTTATCACGGGAAGGATTTGATTAACATTACTTTTGTTGGGCTTTGATATAAGTCCCCTTTATATAAGTGCCACCACTTGCCATATCCATCATTATTGTTCAGTCTCAGCCATACACCGTCTCATATTAGTACAGGCATTTGCCGTCTCCATCATTGTACGCCGAAATGAGAATCGAATCGTGGAATTTCTACTTCCTCTTCACCTGGACCAGCGAGTAAGAGCTCTGTTGAGCGAGACAAGATGTCTACACGCTCATTCTGACCCATAGTAGGGACCCGATTCCAGTCAACAGAAGCACAATATTCTCCAATGGCAAGTTTGGCCCAATAAGTGTACTTCGATATGGCGATTAACACGTCGACGTTGAATATGAATCCGGGTGTTGGGTCCGGAAAGTCGTTGTCCACGACGGTAAATTCACGACAGAACTCTTCCTTGGTCAAGTAAAACCGGCAACGATTTCTGCAATACTGCTCGATGGTGAAGTCTGCAATGTGTACTGAGCCATCCGCCTCGGTGACCTCGAACACTGAGTGGAATCGAAGCTCGAGTGTTGGATCTTGTACTGGATGATCCTCGCCTCGTAGGAAGATGTTTGGATTGATCCGAGGAGACACCCACCTGACACGTGCTCCAAGGTGCTGGAGAGCGCTCCTCATGGGCTTCAGCATGTACCTGACCGCCTCGTCGGCCGCATTTTCGTTGAGTATCGCTTGGTGTATATGCTCAGGGAACCTATCAGGCACATTGATCCCCTGATACCATACACGAGGTTCCTCGGGAACAGTCGTCAGTATGGTATAGTTTCCGACTTGATTCACAACGACATCTCCGACGGCCTCGAAATCCTGGCACTCGAGTACTTCTTGGAAAATATCTCGGAGAAGTTCGATGATGGATTTGACCGCTGCGTGGCTGTCTGATGCGGTTCCAACGATCTGTTCCACCTGCCTCTGTGTTGAAGACATAGTCGAAGGCCAACTCTCAGCGAATAGTGTCGCAAGTGATAGAGCGAATGTTATGAGTGTCCGATACGAGTAAGTGGCGAGTATGAGTGAATGGTATGAGCGAATGGTACGAACGTCTGGTATGAACGTCTGGTATGAGAGACTGGAAGTCGTGATTCAAGTTTCGTTGCTGAAAACCTTTACTGCTCTGAGTGTCCTTTTATCCTATATAGGCACTCAGCACAGACTCCATCTCACTCACTGTCTGTTGGAATCACTTCGTCGACAAGGTACGAGGTAATTGTGGAGGTACAATACTGGTGATATTAGGCAACGCTCTCTCACCTTGCAACATCTCCACTCACTTATGAGCGGGAGATTCGGCTCTCAGACAGTATGTAGGCATTCACTTAAGTACATTAGTCGTATATAGTAATCTATAGATGTCTCAACCTGTTGTTCCCGGCTTTCAACTTTCGGTCTCGACTATTGATGCCTTTCGGGATTTCTATTCAAGACAAACGCTATGCTCTCGCTGAGCGAGTGTTGGTTCCTATATCTCCAAGCATCTCGAGAAAATAAAATTGGCAAATAAAAATTGGCAAAAAAAATGAGCTCGTAAATAGCCAAACCGAGACTCGAATGTAGCGCTCCTAGCCAGGGAAAGCTAGGTAGTAGTTGTAGTATGACCATCCAATACAACTTTACCATACATTTCTTTTTTTTCTTAATGAGAGATTGCTGATTTTTGAACCTTATATACAAATTTCTGTATCAGCGCCTACATATCAATTGCACAGTTGCCTAACGAGGTGAAGTAAGTTTGATCAAACGACCTACAGCTTCAGTGCTGTGTACTTTCAGGTCACGGGACCTGTGTCAAATATGATCCACGTTCTGTTTGGTCCCCTCTTCTATCGATGTATCTAAAACATGACTATCGTTTATGCAATACTGGTTTTGTATTGAATAAACTAGCAGTAGATGAGTGAATGTATCTAGACATTATGAGAAATCCTCCTTCGCAACGACAGACATTTTGGGCACAAGCCGCAATACACGACATCCATTACTAAAAGCATGAATGAGAACAAAATAATTAGAGATTTAAATAAATCGTATTGACCGGCCAAACATGGTGGGAACAATGTATTGATAGTAGATGGTAGCTGGAGTAGGCCAACATACCGAATAGGTTAGCGTAAAAAAGTCCGTGGAGAGAACGCATGTTGTGCATGAAAGAATAGAAAGGATTTTTTCCGAAGCCCATTTACACCGTACGATATACAGAAGACTCATTATTGTGACAATCTACTTTTTGCAGAAGAGGCACCTCTAGGATCTCCGATGTCGCCCAAAAGTCCAGAACATCCAATCATAACCTCTTTATCATCTCCCCTTCACACGTGCAGACGTCGACCACTCCGAGCGGTCACCTCCGCCTAGGATAGATAGCTAGTCATGTATATACAGAAGCTAGATAATATGATGTTCAAAAGGTCTCTCTATTAAACGGCTTTGGCCAATCAGAAGGTCCATTTACGGAGGTTCAGCCGATGCTCATCTCCGGTGATATTATGCTCCGCCAATTGGCCTTCCCAATCCGTCGAAGCTTCGGCACCTCCCGCAAAGGGGAGGACGATAACCAACCTATCGCGCCTATCACAAGGACAACGTGTATCCTCATGATAACTGACTACACACAATACTACAGGCAGCACTTCCACCATTTACCTCCACATAGCATTTCAGCTTCATAGTGATGGTACAATGACCTTTACCACCTGACTATGCTAAACCCGTTCCTGAATATGCCAAGTGACATAGCCGGATAGCCAGAGCTGATTCCTCTCCGGTCCTAGCTGAGAGCGACGGACTGCGCATTCTAAGCCAGTACATCGCGGAGATGGCTTTGCCACCAAGATATTCATGATCTGCCATGAAATGCAGCTCGCCTTGCCTTGTCCATTAGCTGCCCTTCCGTTTGATATAAAATCGATGCCCCCTCCGGTTCATCCCAGGATGTCGGATACCCAGCTGCCTCTTCAGCAATTAATAGGTTCACCCGGGCCTCGGCCTAGTCTAATACAGCACCATTGTCGTTGACTTTGATATTCGAGTCGAAACTCACGATCTCCGCAAACATGGCATCGCTTGTTCCGCTCTTGTCCCTCTCCCTTGCTACCCTTACCTCGGCCCTGACAATCGCCGAAGTGAACGGCCCTTCGTTCCTTTCTCCCCTCAAAGGCGAAACCATCACCAACCTCACCGGTATCGTCACAGCGAAAGGACCAGATGGTCTGTGGCTTCGCTCACCTACACCGGACAAGGACGTGCGGACATCCGACTCTGTCTATGTCTTCAACCGCAACTTCGCTACTAACTTGACTGTTGGGGACGTTATTGTTATTGGTGGGAAGGTAGAAGAGTACAGGTCGAACAAGGATTACTTGTACTTGACGGAGATCACATCACCGGTCCTCCAGCAAAAGAAAGAGAGCGGAAAGACTGTAAAGCCATTGGTCATTGGGAAGGACACCATCGACCCGCCAAGGGAGCAGTTCTCCAAGCTCGATGGCGGCGACGTTTTTGCAGTACCAAACAACAAGACATTGGTCAGTGTGGCTAACCCCGAGCTTGAGCCCAAGAAGTATGGATTGGATTTCTGGGAGAGTTTGACCGGTGAGCTCGTCACCGTGAAGAAGCCGACAGCGATCGCAAAGCCGAATCAGTTTGGTGACACCTGGGTCATTGGCAACTGGAAGGTGAACGGCGAGAACAAGCGCGGTGGACTTACCATGACTGATGGAGATGCGAATCCAGAAGCCATCATTATCGGCAGCCCTCTTGATGGTACCAAGAACCCGACTAACACTAAACTCGGCGACGAAGTCGAGGAAATCACCGGAATTGTCACCTACGCCTTTGGCTTCTACCGCATTCTCCCCCAGACAGCATTGAAGGTCACCAAATCCGAAAAGCCTGTTCTCCCCTCGGCAACAAAACTCACCTCTAAGGGCAAGTGTTCCGGTATCACCTACGGAGCGTACAATGTGGAGAACCTCGCTCCCACCAGCTCGCATCTGCCTGACATCGCATCGCACATTGTCAACTATCTCAAGAGCCCGGATCTGATCTTCCTGCAAGAAGTGCAGGACAACAACGGTCCCGTGAACGACGATGTCGTCTCCGCCAACCTCACTCTGACCACCCTGGCACAGGCGATTAAGACAGCCGGAGGCGCAGACTACACATTCACCGAGATCGCGCCCACCGACGACCAGGACGGCGGTCAGCCAGGAGGCAACATCCGCGTTGCATACTTGTACAAGCCATCTCTGATCCGACTCTACAAGCCCAACCCCGGCTCCGCTCTCGATGCCAATGAGGTTCAAGCCGGTCCCTCGCTCAAGTTCAATCCGGGACGCATCGACCCGACCAACGCCGCCTGGAAGGCGAGCCGAAAGCCGTTGGTCGCACAGTGGGAGGTCATTGGTGAGAAGGCTAAGGGCCAGGGCAAGTTCTTTACCGTCAATGTGCACTTTGGCAGCAAGGGCGGAAGCAGCAGTATCCAGGGTGACGCAAGACCTCCTGTGAATGGAGGTGTAGATGATAGGCTTGCTCAGGCGACATTGACTGCAGAGTTCATCAAGGTATGTTCATTTCTTATCTCTCAAGCATCATGAGCTTTCTCTCGCGATTCCTGGGATCTAGACGTGGAAGCAAACCAAAAATCGAGAAGCGGTACGACACTATAGCCGATGCTATGGCTTCGGGACCACTCATCTCGAAACCAAGTCTGCTGTCCCGTCCCAGCCGAACACCTCGAGGGGAGGGATAAAAGGCAGGGACGAGACCGTCTGCATGTAATATGCGCGCGGCGCTGGCGGCTCCAACCCTCATCAACTTGACATCAGCCATACTAACTGACCTTGTTCTTCCCAGTCGATCCTCGACCAGGACAGTAATGCGCACGTAATAACCGCCGGCGACTTCAACGAATTCGCATTCGTCGAGCCTCTGAAACAGTACGCTGCCATATCCACGCTCCTCGACATCGACGCCGTCGTCAAGATCAAGGAGACGGAGCGGTACACCTACCTGTTCGACATGAACGCCCAGCAGCTCGATCACATGTATATCAGCAAATCGCTCGCAAAGAAAGCAGAGTATGAGCACATCCACATCAACACCTGGGTGGAGTTTGCCGCGCAAATCAGTGACCACGACCCCAGCGTCGCAAGGTTAGACGTATGTTCATGAGCAGCAGAACGGCCACCACACCAATCGTGCTAGGAAGTTCGGCGACAGCGAAGGGGGCTTTAAGCGACGGAGCCAGCAGGCATCGCGGCTGCGGATGTCCTGTACGTTGGTACGTGGTTCGAACGCGCATGAGATTCTTTGCAAGGGACTATATAAACCATGTTTAAAGTACATGTACGATTATTAAATGATTAAAATGTTCAAAAAGATCAAGCGAAACTTTCGGTCCTCTCCCGTCTTACATGACGGGTCGGCATTGGCTCGATTGGTATACGACTGTGCCTCTTCCCATCTCCGTCGCTCCCTTTCGCTTCTGGGAGAGCCTGGAGTATTGTGATTTGTAAAGGGGATGTGCAGTAGGGCGGCTCTGCGACGATGAGGCGCGGCCCGTACATTATTCGTTCATGGTTGTTGTTGCTATTGACAACGTACACAGTGTACAACGTGGTGCATTGTGTACGGAGTACAGCGATGGCCTCTAACGGCGCGCGACATATGCAGGCCACAAGCTGGCCCGGTCTTCGGAGGGTGTCCACAAGTATTTGTACAGTGTACGACCGAACGAGCGGAGGGACGAAGGGGGTATGCGTCTGTGCCCCTACAGTGAGTGTCCCGGGCCCCGGAACAGATCCAAGGTGCTCAAAGCGATTCTAAACCTTATACAGCAAAAGCTGGAGGATTCGTTCTGGAGCCTAGCATGGACCATACATTGTAGTAATTAATGCGCTTTGATTGCTTGCATGATTGGTGGGATGGAGGATGCACGTACTGGGAGATGCGTCGCTAGAACTTAGGCTGGGATATGAAAGAGATGAGATGAGATTAGTATTGAGATGAGATGAGATTGAGATGGCAGGCAGGCTCTATAGGGCAGGGCCAGCTGGCTGTCCTGAACGGTCTCGTGCTGCCTGTCTGTCATCTCGATAAACGTGCGCAAGCCAATGAATATTGACAATTTACCGGTGGGAGGGATACGCAGAAGTTTGGACTACATGCGAGGAGATGGATGCCGCTGCATATTCGTAAGCGCATAGACGGAAACAGACACAGAGACTGGCACACAGAGGGGAGAGAGTGTGTGGGAAGAAGAGCAAAGCAAAAGGGCCCTGCATTATGATTTTAATTGTCTTATCGAGTCTTGAGTTAATGCCTGTTCGAGCTGCGTTGTCTACATTCGGACCGCAAGACGCAGGTCGACGATCGCAGGACGTATCTATCGTGTACAGTGTACGGAGTACCTAGGTAACAAAATGGTCCGGTCCGCCGCGGCCGCGCACATACAACAATAGTCTACGATGTACGGCGTAGATACCTTCAAGTACGAGTGGTTGGAGCGCGTGCAGGCCTCAACAAGAAGAAAACCCAAGAGATGTAGGGAAGGGGAGGGATGTTGGGAGATCGCTTGGATAATCAGCTGATTGCCACGCGTATGGTGCAGCAAGCATGCAGTGCGTTTGTGTATCAATGCTTCAACAATATGTTCCTGATGGTTGTATGTATCTTGCCAATGTGCGACAGTAAGCAAGCAAATACACGCCTCCAGACAACAAATCTTAGAGATAAAACAAGCCATCTCAAGCCATTGGAATCCTTTGCCGTTTGTGCGGTTTACTAATGGTGTGGTGAGGTGCACATGGGGCGAGTATCAGTCCTCAAACCTGGAGTTACGATCCGACACGAGCCCGCAGCGCCCGTCCGTCCGAGATGGCTTGAGGGGTAGTCTACCATACGTGCGATTTAGAGATGGTGGAAGATAATGGGCGTTCGAAGTAGCGGTTTGCCACGTTGTGGACCGACGGTGTGGCTGGCCATGGCATGCGCATCCCGTCGTCCAGGTCAAAGAAAGAAACATGAATGGTATGTGATGATACCCAGAAGAGTAGCGATTCCACAGACGTAAGTGTCACTATTGCCAACAAAGGGGAGTCAAGGATCGGATGGGGGCTTGGGGATGGCATCGCGGAGGGGAGTCCATTTTACCGTTAATCCTAGCGCCTAGGCATGGCGGCGCGGCTGAGAACGAATTGCAGGACATGGGGGAGATAGGATGGACCTGTTACTGTAATACAGACATTGACATGGATATGGATGGAATAGACATGGACATGGACATGGGAGAAACTTCCTTTTACCCGATGATGCCCAGAGTTATTTCGGTCAGCAATAGGCCGGGGGCAAGGGCATGCAAGTTGGCCATGGAAGCTAATTCGAAGGCTTAAGGGGGGCTTGATATGGTTGAGTAGAACGGGAGTTGAGAAAGGGAGTTGTGTTGAGTGAGCTTCGATCACAACCAAGACGACCAAGAAATACAATGGGAGTTAGGACTGCCTTGGTGGCCGTCAAGTGTAAGAACCCGCGTAGGGGAGAATTGTAATCAGTGTCTAAGTCGGAGTGACGGTGGTGTGGAGAGTTCGTGTCTTCATTCGTTCATTTGTTGAAGTTCGCGGGGGAAAGGATCGTCGTTAGCCCAAACGTGACCCTCAAATCTGCTAAAGTCCACTAGATGTATCTCCATGATCCACAATGGGCCACCATGTAACTGTTGCTATCCACTGATAGACTGGTAGTTTCTACTTGTCCCCAACACTAACTAATTAGCTCTTCAACCCTGCACTCAATCCTGGAGACACACCGCGGCTACTCCGCTCTCCGACATCCAGGACGCGGGGGAATTCCACGCACTACCGGCTGGCAGCCTTTGTTACCTGGAATGTGCGTGTGTTTTGTGATGTAGTACACTCATTATTTCTTTGTATCTGATTTGATTCGATTTGGTTCGACGATGATCTGCCCTGATCTACTCGTAACGTCCCAGAAACCAAGTTCGCACATTGCACACCGCACACGCGCGCTCACCACCACAGAGCCGCATCGCATCGTGGGATGTCCTACCTGCCATGCTTCCTTAGTGACTGTTGCTGGTGCTTTCCTTCCCCCCGGCTGGGCTACATGAATACGCGATGCGGCGTTGTCCCTCTGGCAGGAAAAAAGCTTCTTCCATTCGGCTGCACGCAGTCAGATTCAACTCCAATTGATCCTGCTGCCACCCCCTCCATACAAGGAACATCTTGGGCTTCTTGCCAAGGTCTTGGGTGGCGTCGAAAAGATAACGCCCAGTCTTGCTCACGCACGCCGTCCCGCGTCGTTCTGGAACGCTCACTTGCCAGATCGAACCTCTTGGCCCGATGCGCACGCAACAAGGCAGGCCGACCGAGCCTGTCGAGCCTGCGAGCCAGTGCTTCTCTGCCTAAAGAATCGTACCCAAGTATTGCGAAGAGGTTCTTCTTTGAACGTCGTGTACGAAGGAGCCCCTGCTCAGATTGGTTGGCCAGGGATATAGTAACGCCCGAAGGATTCTGAGACCGCTGGTTGATGGTAAATATCCCCCCAATAACCTAAAGCAGTCTGATAGTGCCTGTGGGTATGTACTCGTAAAGAGAGTACCATTTTGACCCTGGATCGGTGTGGTAGTGTTCCGTAAGCCATCTAATGCTCTCGTCCTCGAAGCGTATGTATACAGACAGGACGTGGTTGCCCGAAGCATCTTAACACAGCATCATTGTCATGGTTGAAGCGCTTGCAACGTGATACAGCGTCCAATAGACGCAGTTGCTGGGTCCTCGTCTGACAAGATGGCGGTCCTCTATTCCCCCTTTTGGTTCGAGATACTCCGCCACGCTTGGACACAGAGATGGTAGGGAAAACAGAGCAAATGCGTGTGCCAAGTGGATCCGCTTCAGCGCTCAGTCCCATCCAACCGTCCCCGTGGGGTTGTAGTCCTTCCAAGGGCCACTAATCTGACCGCTGTTGCCCCTGCCGTTACGATCACCCCCGGCAATATCAATTCTGTATTGGCCCTGTTCAAACGAACGCCTCTTTTTGGTACGGTGCGGACAAACGCATGCAGTCGCGAGTACATATAGATACCCTGGGCTGCCCTCCCTGATTTTGTCTGACCGAAGTGTGTTCCCCAGAGTCTCTTCTTCCCGTCCTCCATCTGTGTCAACTACCACAGCCCTACACCATGGCAGAGGAAAAGAATCACCTCGAGCTCTCCGAGAAGAACAACGTCATTGCTTCCAGTGACGTTGAGAGTGCCGAAGCCAAACCAGTTGTCGACTACGATGAACTCCCTGACCCCGACGCCGGCAAGTCGGACGAAGAGAGGGCAAAACTGGTATGTGTGCCTTCATAATAGTCATCGCGATGGATGGCAATAGTACCCAAGGCTAACTCTTTAACCAGGACAAAGCTCTCGTATGGAAGATTGATCTATGGCTGATCCCGTGGCTCTCGCTCCTCTACCTTCTTTCTTTCTTGGACCGAACCAACATTGGAAATGCCCGTGTTGCCCACATGGAAAAGGCCATCGGCATGACTGGTCGCGACTACAACGATGCGCTGACCATTTTCTTCATCTCCTACGCTGGTGCTGAACCCCTCACCAATATCGTTCTCAAGCGTTACAGCCCGCGCTGGTTCTTCACTGGCATTATTCTTGCTTGGGGACTGATCATGACCCTCATGGGTTGCGTCCAGAATCAGGCCGGTCTTTTGGCTTGCCGTTGGTTCCTCGGTCTCGCCGAGGCGGGTCTCTTCCCCGGAGTCAACTACTACCTTTCGTATGTGGTACAGGATTTTTCCGCGTCGAGATAGATTGCTAACATCTGGGTAGATGCTGGTACAAGCGTAACGAGCTTGGTATGCGTGCTGCTCTCTTCTTCTCCGCCGCTGCTCTTGCTGGTTCCTTCGGTGGCCTCCTCGCCGCTGCTATTAGCAAGATGGACGGAGTTGGTGGATACGAGGGATGGCGATGGATCTGTAAGTCGCCAATCGATTCTGCGATCGATTATCTCGCTAACGAACTCCAGTTATCCTCGAGGGTCTCATGACCGTGTTCGTCGGTTTCTTCTGCTGGTGGATGGTCAATGATTTCCCAGACACTGCCCGATTCCTTACTCCCGATGAGAAGCTTCGCGCTCTTCGCCGTCTTCGCGCCGATAACCAAGCCAGTGCCGAGAAGGAGAAGCTTAACCGTCGCTACGTCTTCTCTGCTCTTAAGGACTGGAAGACCTGGGGTTATGCCGTGTGCTACATGGGATGCCTCTGCCCGTATGTCCCAATTCCAATCTTCTTGCAATGATGCATTCGCTAAACGAACATACAGTCTTTACTCTTTCTCCCTCTTCCTCCCCACCATTCTCCTCGGTATGGGCTACAAGGACACCAAGGCCCAGCTCATGTCCGTTCCTCCCTACGCTGCCGCCGCCGCCATGACTGTTTTCATCGGTTGGTTCGCCGACCGCACCAAGTGGCGAGGATACTGCAACATGGCCGTTTCCTTCACCGGCTGCGTCGGATTCGCCATGCTCCTCGCATCCAGCAATGTGCACGTTCAGTACGCCGGTACTTTCCTCGGCGCCGTCGGAATCTACCCCACCGTCTCCAACACCCTGACCTGGGCATCCAACAACGTCGAGGGCGTGTACAAGCGCGGTGTCATGGTCGGCGTGGTCGTCGGATGGGGCAACATGAACGGTGTCGTCTCGTCCAACATCTACATGCCCAAGGACAAGCCGCTCTACCGCATCGGACACGGAATCGTGCTCGCATACATGTTCCTCTTCTTGTTCGGCGGCTCCGTCTTCATGCACTTTGCGCTCAAGAGGGAGAACGCATTGAGGAAGTCTGGAAAGAGGGACCACTGGCTCGAGGGCAAGACCGAGGAGGATATCAGGTACATGGGTGACGAGAGGCCTGACTTCATCTACACTTTGTAAGAGTGTTCTTGTTTCTTTTGGGATCTGGGTCGGACGCTGTTTATTTGGTCCGTGTCCTAGTATATGATCGAATTTCTAGAATTTGACGATGGAGGGCTTCGTTTAATGAGAACGAGTGTGCATCAGTATTTTCCTTGGGAGAAGACGAATCGGATAGAATGTACTTCCTAGCAAAAGATTCGCAAAAAGCATATCGTCATATCACAAGCTTTGCCATCTTCCTCAATCGTGTGCATAGTATGGGAGTGATTTCGGGGAGTCGTAATTCGATTGATGGCCATCATAGGTCGTAGAATTGTCGTTGAATTTGTCGTCGGATTCCAGCAATGTTCGAACCCTTCCATTCAAAGTCCATCAAACCCAAAGTCGACAAACTTCACCAGCAACGACACCGCTCCATCCCTTTCACACCTCCCCAATCTCATCCCACATGCGACAACCTCTTCGAAAACCCAACATCGCAGTCCTCAAATCCCATCTCTTTCATTTCCATGTCTCAGACAACTCCACGCACCCCAAATCGAAACCACAACCCCCAAAATCCCAAAACCTCGGGCCAATCTCCCTCCCAGAATACAGCCACTCGTTAGCCGGCCATCCATCATTTCAACGGCTCCGTTGACCCGAAGGGAAGAGCGCGGGCGAGCCAATAGGGTTTAGCGCTGCGAGGCTGCGAGACGGGGAGATTAGCCACCGCATCATTTGGGGGAGGGCCGGCGAGTCATGTGACTGGTGGTAAGTTTCCCTTTTGGGTATCCGGGACAGGGGTTGTAAGCCGGATATAGGTGCCTTGTTGTGCGGTGTTGGGGACGATGGGGAAATGAAGGGGGGGTTTGTCGAGTCAATGAGGGGGTATGGCCATGATGGCTTTGGTGTAGAGCGAGAAGTTGAGGTTGCGTTGGATTTGGTAGTGGTAATAGTATATACTAGATGTCATGGTTATGGCATAGTCACCTTAATATCTATTGCTGTAAGTGAATAGGAGTAGAGTAGAAAGAAAAGAGGTAAGCAATTTGCATCATTGAGCTACTAGCCCATATATAAGCAGAGGACAAATGAAAACGCCCTGGGACTTCAAAACGAGAGGATTTGGGGCGAAAAGTCGTGTACCAGGAGAACAGTAAGACGTGTAATTATAGCAAGACAAGGCAAATGATGCGTCAGAGAGACAGAAAGCGAAGTCAATATGAGTGTGAAGTTCGAGGTCGAGTAAGCATGAGAAGGGGGAATCATTATATTATATTTACTCTATTATTTGTAGATCGACAATGAATAATAGAAACCTAATGGTCAATACATGATTCGCCATAAGCGATCAAGCAGGGAGTCATGCCATGTGCGCCACGCTTGCCAAAACAATTCCGTCTCGCCGCATCTCCGTCGCATCTCCGCCAAAAGAGGGCGGGGATGGGCAAATGGATATGCAGCGGGACGGGATCGGGCCAGGTTTATGGGGGAAGGGAACCAAGGTCTGGGGAATCAAGCGTTTCCGCGGACAACCTTATGTAGGGTAAGCTTTGGTTGATGCGCCACCTTTGACTTGTTTTTTGGTCGATTGTAGGGTGGAAGACTGTTCACGTGGAAATACATTGCAGGTTCCTTGGATGATGTGATAATTTGTCTATCAATTATCTATTCCTAAGGAGCAATAAGAGATGGAAGAAGATGGCGGCCTAGTTTGAAATGATTGTATGCTCATTATGCTTAGTCCGACTTCATCAATGAAGACAGACTGGCCGCATCCTCTCCTATGCCGTACTGGAGATCAAAGAAGATGGGGCAAGATAAATTCAGAAACCCCAAAACGCCTCGTAAGGAGGTGATATTCCCCAGTTCAATCACGGTGAAGATTGGAGGGATAATTGATAGTCCAAGTTGCAGTTGACCATTACCAATTGGAAACCTGAAATTGGGGGTAGAATGGTCGTCCGTTTACCCGCCCTGTGACCATGCTCATTACGAAGCGCCTTGCCCTTGCATCGCTTCTAAACTTGAGTTATGCTCCCAATGAAATAGATGATAAAGTTAATATGTAAATAAGATATTGGAAAAAGTTGGAGTGGTCGAATTTATACACCGCAGTGTTTGTAGATTGGTCGAAATGCTCAGCGGAAAAGGCTTCGAAGTTCTTCCAATCGCTGCTTCGCTGCTTGTTCCTTGGTGGATTTCCCTCGCGCCATGGTCAGATCTGCGAGGTCCTTTTTCTTTTTCTGGAGATCCAGCATCTTCTCCTCGAAACTGTTCTCCATGATGAAGCGCATGATTGTGACGGGGCGCGTCTGACCAAGACGGTGAACGCGATCTACAGCCTGGGCTTCCGCGGCCGGATTGAACTGGGGCTCCATAACATATGCCTTATTTGCCGCTGTGAGGTTTAGTCCGAGACCACCGGCACCAATCGATACCAAAATATTGTGGACGGAATCATCCCGGGCGAATGTGTCGAGTGCCTTCTCGCGCATCTTCCTGTCCATGCGACCATCGAGACGAGTGTATGTGTAACCGTGAGACTGGAGGGCGATTTGGATGAGGTCGAGGTGGGTAGTCCATGAGGAGAAAATAACACTCTTTATGGGCTTTTCGTCGGGATGCGCCTCGCTCTCCTGCTTGTTCTTCTCGAGCTCAGCAAGTAGTTCCTTCGTCTTTGTATGTGGGCCTGTATAAGCACCCAACTTCTTTGCCAGCTTGGGGTCCTGCTTCATGCGTTCTCGCTCTTCTTGGAAAGACCTCAAGTCTGAGAACTTCAGCTCAAATAGCGAGGGTCTGATATGAGTCATGCAGAATTGGCAAATGACGGTCCCGTCAGGCATTGTGCCCTGCGTCAATTGATCCTTGAGCTTCTTCACGTGTTTCGGGCAGATGACATGGTAACATTGCGTCATGTAGCCGATTGTGTCCTTGCCTTTTCCTTTGACGCTATCAGAGTCCTCCTCATCACTTTCGTCGTCTTCGCCTTCCGTATGAAGGACTTTGTGGTGGCAATTCGTAAATGCGCATTTGTCATTGACCGTCTGTTCCAGCAATTCGAGCATCTCGTATGCACTCTTGCGCGTCAAGGTGGAGATTGGCTCGTCATCGCCTTCGAGGCTCATCGGGTTTTCGTATGTCATGCCGTCGGTCAATTTCAGTGCTTCCTCTCCGAGAAGGTCACGCCCGTGTGCGCAGATGAGTCGGAGATAGAGAATTGCCTTAAGGATACGAGCATACGCGTTTCCGCCCAGCTTACCGCCAGTTGTAACAGCATTGACTTGACGAGCAGAGTCCTTTTCGAACCACTCGTGAAGTCTACGCTCGTCGTCGGAGAACTCAAGCCTCCTAATAATGTCGGTCTTCTCCGGAATATCGACATGGCCTTGACTTTTCAATCGCCGAAGTGTGATGGAGCTGACAAGTAGCTGCAGCTTAGGAACAATATCTGGATCGGCCTGCTTGAAGGGCTGGATTATGAACTGATTGAAACCAGCAGGTTCGTTGAATGGAGAAATCCGAATGAACCTGAACAATGCACCGAGGTCCTCGAGACGATTTTGCACAGGTGTACCAGTGACTGCCCAGCGCCTCTGAGCAGCTAGAGCACAAGTCCCCAGCGATTGTTTGGTCCTGATATTCCGAATAGCATGGGCTTCGTCAAGGACAATGCGAAACCAATTAATATGTCTGAGGGGCTTTGAATCGTCTAGAGCATCTGAAGCCACGATGTTGTATGTGGAAATGACTAGATCATAGTCTGCGAGAGACTTCCTGGTGAATGAGTTTCGCTGAGGACCGTGGTAATATGTCCATTTAATTGCTTTGCCCTGCTCTGGAAGGTGATCTTCAATCTGCTGTCGCCAATTTGCCGTTGTACTCAATGGACAGATTAACAAGGTGGCCCTGCTATTCAACAGAGGGGTTCCATGGTGTTGAACAGTCGGTGGTGCTGCTGCAAAATCCTTCGCCGCGTTCATCGACTCCTGGTCCACAACTAGAGAAAGGATACTGAGCGTCTTTCCAAGACCCATTTCATCAGCAAGGATGCCGCCGCGAGCGTTAGGTGGCAACCTTTGTACCTCTTGTCCCGTGATGACATGTTGGAAGTACTTGGCGCCAGTTTGTCGTAGCTTCATCTGGAAAAGGGAAGCCTGGTCTGCGGCAACGTCGTCCGTGCGTAGGCGCTCTTTCTCGGTCATGAAATACAAAGCTTGCTTCTGATGGGGCTTCAGTTCGGTCTTGATCAGAGGACTTTGCTCTCTCATAGCAATCTGCTCCTGAGCAGGCATCGTATCAAACATGCCCATCACGTCGCTTCGAATCTCGTCTACACTGCGAACGGCGTAGCCACCTGGAGCATATACTGCGGGTGGGGGTTCAAAGGTAGGGTTTGTCACTTCCTGAATACTGAAGGTATTCTCAGTCTGCGGGTTGTAGTAATCGTAACGTGAGAGTTCAACGATGGGATCGATCAGTTGAACGCTCTTAGACTTGAGGAATCGGCCAATCCCATGGGCTTCTTTCCGAGGACAATACAGCTGCATAGTCAAAGCAATCAATGCTGAAAGTGGAGTTCCAGGGCCTCCTTCACCGGGTTGTTTACGGCGTGGTTCCGTCATGGCAAGCCAGTGCATGTTATTGGCCTTCGAAGCATCTAGCAAGGGAGCCAGAGCTTGCGCTGTCTTTATATCGATGCGACCAAATTCACGACCAGTAGGATCAGTGACCATGATGACATTGGTAGCCCTTTGATTACCAGCCCGGCGAAAGCTGACCTTGATGCGGCTTTGCGCTCCATTATTGCCACGGTACTTGTTGGGATCCGGAAACGGGACGACGTGGCACTGAACATAGACATGTTTGATACGACCGATGCAGATCACTTGAGCGCCATTGTCTTTGACAACCTTGACCTCCTCATCATCATCACCTTTAGAAATGTTAGCATGATAAGCGGAAGAGTGGTGCGAATATGGGGATGCAAACTTACTCATGGTCAGATCAATTGCAGATGACTTTGTCGGATTCCCGCCGTTCATAGAAGTCATGTCCAGACCACCACTTGCCCCATTCGAAGAAGAAGGAATGGTTTTCTTAGGTAGCTCATCGGTACGGACTCGTTTCGCTGGTGAGGCCGTGCGCTGCTGGACATTGTGCAACCGCTCAACAAGTGAGACCTGACCACCCTCAGATTCTCCTTCGCGGCCTCGGTCACCGGGAGCGGCATCTGATGCTGGGCGCTTCGGGGGCGCCTTCGGATTGAGTAGTGCTCGAGGATCGTAGGTAGGAATAGCTGGCGGGCCAGCTGTACCGTCCTTTTTGGGTGGGACTTCTGTGTTTCCTTGATCGACTAGGTCAGTTTCTTGATTGGAATCACTATCAGTCATTTCTGTGTCTTGATGCGGCAGCTCGTCAGAAGAAGACTTGGACGCCTCCTGCCCAACGTCTTGGACTTCCGGGCTTCTAGACATGATGATGATAATAGAAAGACTGCTATCAAAATTGTACTGAAACAGTGACCGTCGAGATTGTGTAAAAGAAACAAGATATAATCCCGCAGTGTCGGTGGGGCAAGGACTGGTGATTGCTGGTTTGCTTGTCCCAGAACGCGTCTGTGCGTTTTGTGATTGGCACGATAGTAAAAGAAAAACAGTTGGAGACAAGATGAAGAGAGAGAAGGGTATGGTTGGAAAGAAGTCAAGGATACTGAGAGAAAGTTGTAATACCTCGCGGTTGTGCTCTTCTAGGATTGAGGAGAAGAGCGGGATTAAAAGGATGGCTCATGGTTTATGTACTTTTTTCTTTGTACACCAAGCCAAGCAAATCTAATTGAGAGATTGCTGAGTTCTATCACCTTCCCAGGTGAAAGACGAGGCGTTGTTGTTTGATTGGATGGCCGGTGTGATAATTCGAAGTGATTTTGATATCACGTGCTTCGGGCTGAATGCGATGCTAAGCAGTACGCCTCCAGGTAATTTTGGGGAAATGAGTAAAATATGGTAAAATTATTCTGGTCAAAAGCGTCCTGAAATGATCCTTGCTCATCTAATGTGCAAAGTTATACTCCGAAAAAGAAGTCAGGGCTGAGTTGGTAGATAGATCTTTAGTATACGAAGAGCACTGGAGAATCAATGAGGCGTAGTAAAGGCGGACGACCAGGAGGCTGCAAACCCCCAGCTACCGAAGTGAAGGCAAATCGCCTCATGAGAATATGGTGATTACAAGTGAAATGAAAGGATTTGAAGAAGTATGGGAGACACGAGCATAACCGTGGAGTTGATGCGGTAGATATCGGATTCCTACCTGAAATTGTGCACGTGCTTAGAGTAGGCAATCTCTGGGCAGTCAGATGACCGAATTGTGAATGCGCCGACTGGAGCTAAACCAATCAAAGACATATATCTTCCTCTAAGCCGCCATGCATCACCATAGCTAGGCTGCAACATCAATGTGTAAAGCTATTCCGTAATCTTAGATATACACAATGTAGTGCTCGCATCATCAATGTGTCTAGACTAGCGAATTCTGAATCACCGATCTACGTTGAGCCCTTTACATCACTTCACAAACATCGACAAACAAACGACTACAAAAATTGGCGCATCATGAGGCATTAAGTTTTCCTCCCAACGCCTCTACCAACCCCTCTTAGTCTTTCTATAAGAGAAATGCACATTTCAATGGTCGAGAGAATTTCTTTTCGATTGCAACGCCTTGTATGCATGCAGCAATATTCCGACTCCGGTCCGGTCAAAAGGAATCCAATAAGTGACCATGCCCACGCCATGCGTATAATGTGATACAGAAACGTACAAACCCAAACAGTTCATACAGTAAGATTCCAAAGCACGAAACAGTAGCAGTTACAATCCCAAAGTGAGCACCAGAAGGAAAATTCGTAATTCAACACCACGTGAAGACCGGGTTTCTTCCTTTGACCATCTCCAACCGCTCTACGATGACCTTCTTCCCGGATCCATCTAGGTCCTCATTCGCTGCATATCCAAGATCTCCTTCATCGTCGTCGCCGAGAATATGGCTGTGCCCTTTTCGCGTAGTAAGAGAAAACCTCCTTCGTCTAGATTCTATTGGATGCCTATTAGTATGCCGTGGCAGATCGTAGCTCATACGTGATCTGTGGGTAGGACGTCCATTGCTGCTCTCGGCAACATTCCGTGATGACCACGGTACGGCTTGCACGGTGGCCGGGGACAGCGGCGCTCGTGCATTGTCCTCAGATTCTCGAACATCCATAGAGCTGGAATGGCGCGAGAGATTGAAGGGGTTCTCGTTAGCCTGATCTAGAGGCGGCGAATTCATGAGTAAGTCTTTCTGTGGCTTCTGTGGAGGTGTTGCGAGAGCCGTGATATCCATCTCTTCTTGCTCTTCAGTATTGCGGTAATGATTCTTCCTGCGCATCTCGGCAGACGGTGCTCGCAATGGAACGGCTATGGGAATCTCAACCAGGTCATCCCAGACGCACACTCGTGCTCTCCGGGTGAGTTCCAGTGGACCGTGATCAGTTGTCTTCAAAGTCTCAACGACATTCCAGGCCTGTCCTTTCATAACAGCAATCTGTTTTGTGTACATCCGCTCTTTGAAATCTGCATCTTGAGTAAAGCATTTTCTTAACGCCAATTGTGTGTCTGCCCACCATTGTTTCGAGGTCAGGAGAGGGAGGAAATGTCGGCGAGTCGCGTCAGAGAAGGGCTGTCCGATGAGCGAGACGGGGAGGAAGAGCCACCCAAAAGGATAGCTACGCCACTATGTTGAGGTCAGCAGAGCTCATGCATCTGATTCGTTAGACTTACGGCATCTGGGTGTTTCCATGGCCACGATAAACTATTATCGATAGCTCCGATCGTGACCTTGGGTACGGGTGCACCGGGTAGTGGTGTAGTAGATCGACTGGCGGCGCTCATTGGCGCTTGACGTTGATAGGGATCCAATTCCGACATCGATTGCCTGGTATAACTACTTGGCCTCGTTTCACTGTCATCCGACCCTTCAACGTCTCCATTAAGTTTCGGTGGTTCTGCGACGATAGTCGCCTCCTGTGTCTTCTGGTCGATCTTGATCATCCAATTGTCCAATCCTCTGTCGGTGTTTCGCATGATGTAATCCAGAATAACAAGCTTCTCCAGCTGTTCCCTGAAAGACTGCTGGAGCGCCTCTGTCCAAAAACCTCGGCCGCGTTGTGCTTCGCTCGCAATGTCCGGTCGTGCCTCGTCATCGTCATCGTAATCTGACGGCGGTCCACTCGGTCTACAATCTTCAGCCCATCTCCGCTTCTTCTTTCGCGAGGCGCCATCTGCTCGCAATCCCGAGTTGTGCTGGTCTGGCCACGGATTCTCCTTCAAGAAGATATTGGCATCTTTAAACCCTTTCAAAAAGACTTGAAAGCTGCCAGGCTTTTCTGGAAAAGGCTTCTTTTTTCTGTAGAAGGCGCGACGGTCCCAGAAATCGTAGTGGAACGACTTCGAGGATAGACCGACAATATCGGTATAAGGAACGAGGTTGGTTCGGAGTTGAGTATCGAGAACGTATGCGGCGGCTTCGGAGACGTAACTCAGATTGGGAATGAGGCAGGCTCTGCCAAAGAAGAAGGGAAACAAGTTCCGGTGTATCCACTTCGTCCATTTTGGATTTCTTGACGCGTAAGGTTCTTCATCTTTAGGTTTAAAGACACCAACCACTTTGCCCTGTGTGTTCCGTGCGAAATAGCTGCCCGAGCTTCCCTGTGTGATCAATTTGGGATGTGTGCCCATCTCTATGGCTAGTCTAACGCTTTCCACAATCTCATCGAATTGAAGCTTGGTCATGCGATCGGAGGAGTCGTCATAGTCGAAGGTGAGCGATTCCGCTGTCGCCGGTCGCACCCAATCTGGTGCCTGGAAGACCGAGTGGTGTATCTCCAGATGCTCTTCCGGTGCATCCTTGTGTTTCTTAATCTTGAACTTTTGTGCAATCTCCTCGGCCCATCGTTCTAAGCGGGCATTGATAGCTTTGATGTCCACGCCCGAATTGCTGCGTTGTCGCCGCGATGTCGATTTCTTTAGGTTTGGTGAAGAGTCGCCTGAGCCGCCAGGCATGTGCATGCGCGAGTTTCGATTCGGTTGTATAGGGGCATATTGAGAACTGGATAAGGCGTTCTGGTGGTAGTCGTCCTCTGAATCCAGTTCATCATCCTCTTCCTCCTCAGCTTGGGCAATGCGAGCATAACCAGACGTAGGTGGCCGTCGAGACTTGGGCATCACGAAATAAACGAAGGGTGAAAAGAAAATTAAGTTGTGAAGGGGTTGTGGCAAGGAGAGCTCTCCAGGGAGCCAACATGAACGTAGAATGACGGAGTTAAAGTTCCAGGTAACCCTGGCCCACTCTGGCCTTAGCGTGATCGTAGTCAACATGACACGCGACAGAGCCGCGGCTGCAGGCGTATTCGGGGCGTAAAACGACCAACATCTGATAGATGAGAACTTAAGATACGGGTCGACGTGAAATGTATCGTTAATAGTGTCCTCTAGACTCTGGGTATCATTCCAACCTCCATGCACTTCTCCGTTGGTCATTTAACAATGATTACAATACATGCACGCACTAAAAGCTGTCATCCAAATCTACTTGTCGCCGCACAACACTTGGGCTGTCCTCCTCCAATCCACCAGTACTATCCGTAATGTCGCCTCCAGCTGTCATTAACAAATCGTCAACTATACGTTTACTGGCTTCACGGGCTGCGTTCTCTTATTAGCCATGTTTGGTCTTCTGGAATGGTAGGGTCAAATACCTGGTGTCTGCAGAAGTCTGCTTTGCGGAATATGGAAATGCATCGTCTTTGGCGGACTGAATCCCATATTGTCGTCCTCATCTTCGCTGTCACTATCGAAAATAATTCCCTTGGTGCGTGTGACGCTGAACGGCTCTGCCTGTTTGCCTTTTCCGGGTGTCTGAACACTTATACCCGGAGTTCGAGGAGCCTTCAACGGCGAGGAAAAGATATCAGCACGCAGCTGCGGTGCGGGAGACGAGGGAGGAGAAGAATCTTCAAATGCAGCAAGCGTACGGCTTGTCGCTCCACGGGTCGTGCCCGGGGTAGCTGTTTCCATGCCCGTCCTTTTTGTATAGGTAGAGTGCGGCGTTGCCATGACTCGATATGTCTTGTCCAGCATTTGATGCATGATAGGATCTTGCTTCCAAGCGTCGGCATCATATCGTCGAGATGTCGAAGGTGCCACAAAAGGCGACGAATCTGCTCCCATGTTCGGTAGTGTATGAGTCTTTCCAGGTGTTTTGGGGTCTCGACTGGGAGATCGTGACCTGCCCATCGACTTCTTCAATTCCTCGTACGGGGAGGGATATTGGGCAAAGGATGGTTCCCCTCCTTCATATTGCGAAGGCGGTGCACGAGGGGTACTGTGTGCGAGTTCTAGAGACGGCGAATCGAGAGTAGATGTATCTTCAAGTGCGTCGGCTTGAGAGGACGAGGCTCGAGGTGGGGTTGCAGTGGTGCCCGTTACTGTATCTTGCGTTTCATCGTACAGTTCTGATTGCTGTGTAGACTCTTGCGCTGTCATATCTCCCTCTTCTTCAGGTGCCTCATATCCCGAGAGCGAGACGTTGGCACTGGCTTCAAAGAATTGCTTCCAGAACTGTAGGAGTTAGGGTATATTCGGGTACGACGGCGGTTTCCATACCTTTGAGCCTTCCCAGACAGCTTCAGAATGCTTTCCGTATTGTTCTACAATCGGCAGGATATTGGTCGTCACGATTCGATGGGCCCGACTGAAATTGTGGTCGATTTCTGTAACAAATCAGTAGGGGATGGAGGGGTATTAGCGACTTGTTTACCTTGCAATGTCAGAGTGATAGACTGCTCCAGCTTCTCCAATTCTTCTGTGAGGGATAGGCCCCTCTGCGGAGCCATGCTCATGCGCGACATATTGACCTATGGTGTCTCAACGGCAGCGTTGAATATGTCTGTTTGTGATGCGCTTTGGAAGACACGATCCACTATGTTGGCAGTGGTTCAGCTAGTCCAGAAACAGCATAGTGTTCTCTGCGGGGATCTTTCTCCCGAGCTCACCTCCGCATTCCATCCCCGCAACCACAGCGAGTACATGCATACACACAAGATTATAGAATAATGACAGTGCACTGATGATCTTTGGATGCCTTGTCTTAAATTTTAAACCTCTCAAAACCGTCAGAGGAGACTAAGTCGGTCCAACGTTCTGCAAAACAATTCTAAATATACCTTTGCCATGTGTCTTGAATACAGACGTCACAAAGCTCGGTCATGGTGCAGACACTACGAAGCATGCCCGCATGCAGGGGACTTGTAAATCCTTATAGAGTGGGGTAAACAGTACTCCGCACAACGGATTGCCTTGTTTAGGCCACTTCTACTAAATATAGGGTGACCTGATCTATTCGATCCACCATTCTTCAATTTCAAGTTGTACTGCATAAGAGACAAGCAATCCTCTGTGACTTGAGCTACTGTCTTGCATCTTTCAAGTTCATAGGACATCGTTCAATCCATAATGGCGTTACGAATATCTGGCAGAGCACTTGCTCCATCAGCCTTGAGAAATACAACTGTTTTGCCCGCCACTTCGAGGAAGCAATGGGTTCGACATTACGCGACACCAGTCAAGGACCAAGAGAACCGAACTGCAATTGTCACCGGATCAGCGCGTGGAATGTACGTTCAACCCTAAGATTGTCAAATCACCCTTTCTGAAAAGACGGCCAGCGGTAAGGCAATTGCCCTTCGACTAGCACAAGACGGATATGATATCTGCATAAACGACATTCCAGCAAATGAACCAGGCGCAAAAGAGGTGGTTTCCGAGATCAAGAAACTGGGCCGAAACGCCTTCAATTTCTCCGCCGATGTATCCAACCTCAAGGAGGTGGAGAATCTTGTACAGGCCTCGGTTTCGGAGCTTGGCCCATTGAATACCATGATTTCCAATGCTGGCATTGCGCAAGTCAAACCTCTGCTGGAGCTGACTGAACAGGACTTCAAGCGCATGTTCGAAGTCAATGTCTATGGGACGTTCAATTGCTATTCAGTTGCTGCAAGGCAAATGATCAAGCAAGGAACTGGTGGGAAGCTGCTCGGAGCTGCGAGGTATGCCATGTTCCTACAAACATATATCGAGATGTCTAATCTGATTTGCATGTAGTATCGTTGCATTCAAGCCGTTTGCGCTATTGTCTCACTATTCGGCCTCGAAATGGGCGGTTCGCGGCTTAACGCAGGCATTCGCTATGGAGATGGCTACGCATAAAATTACCGTCAACGCTTACGCGCCAGGAATTGTAGGAACGGCTATGTGGGATCTGATCGATGAGAAACTCGGCGAATTGAGCGGTGCAAAGAAGGGCGACACCATCAAGAAGTACAGCTCTGAGTTGATTGCTTTGGGGAGAACCAGCGAGCCAGAAGATGTGGCAAAGACTGTGAGCTTCTTATCAAGCCCTGATTCGGATTACATGACAGGCCAGACAATCCTGATTGACGGCGGGATCATTTTCACATAATTTGAAACTTTTCTCATTTTCATATCATATTACATAACTCACGAACGAGACAACTTGGAACCCGGATATCTCCATGCGCGGAAATCGTAAGACATTAATCCGTCCGGTATATTATCACCTTGCAGAGGACTTATTCTCCATTTCCCCGAGTATCAGTAACCCCACCAAATGTTATTATATCATCTATAACGAGCTTGCTGTTTTCGGTAGGTTAACGCGCCCAACTACCGGCATGCTATTACTTATCACCACGGCCTTGTTTTCCTCATTGAAAATGACCCAATTCAAATTGCAATCAACATTTACGTTATAGACGACCTTTCTAGTTCTTATACAGAAGGTGACACTCTAGCGTGTATGAATGCCGGGATTCATTGATATGAATATTCAGGGTTCGGAAGATTTCCCGGATATACATGCATGCGGTTCACTTCATCCTTGCGACTCTTCAAACCATGACTTCGGTCAGAATGGGCAAGTCGTATGTTTTCCGATGCCTTATGTAGCATTAACGCCGTTGGAGATTGTTTGCTCGGCATGTGTGCGATTTAGTTTGCAATACCTAAATGCTTGTTGACTGGCCAGCGAGGGTTGATGGTACGCGCATCTTAATTCGTCTGGGCATGCTACAGATAAGTAAAGTCCCATGTATGTTAGTAGATCCACCTCTCATATCTCTGCAACAATCAACGAGCAATATACACGATACTGCTCTCTGAGCCGAGGTTTGTACTTAAGACAGCCATGGGGCACTTGATACTTACTGTCGAAAGAGAAGCAACTCGCCGTCACATTTCGAAAACCGGACACTAATTCAAGAAAACTCAGTGTCTTACTGGAGAGACAATCAGAATGAGGTTCTTCTTGCTGTCTCTAGCTGCTTCACTTGCTGGTGCCGTGTCAATCGATCTCGCGCAACGCGATAGTCCCCTCGAGGTTCAACTGAGCGCTGTTGGAAACACCGCTGTCAAGGCTTCAATCACAAACAAAGGTGCTTCACCATTGAGAGTCTTCAAGACAGGCTCGATCCTAGACGATAATGCAGTGGAGAAGGTGAAGGTTTACCAAGGCGGTGCTTAGCCCCACCATAAAATATCAGTTGAATAGCAGCTAAATCTCAGCAAGACGTCTTGATACCGTTCGAAGGTGTTCGACTTTATGTCTCTACCTCCAGCTTGGATGATACCGCCTTCCAGACTCTTGCTCCAGGCGCCACCCTTGAGAAAGACTTCGACATTGCCCATGCACATGATGTCAGTGCCGGTGGTCTCTACGACATAGCCCTCAATAGCGCTCTCACATACAGCTCTACCGACTCTAATGATCTAATCGGCACCGTTCCGATCCAATCTCCCGTTCTCACCATGACTGTTGACGGCGCCGAAGCATCCCTCACACGCGCCGCCTTCCACGCGAAAACCAAACGAGCTCTCCTCCAAGCCGACTGCACAGGAGCTCAACGCGAGTCCCTCCTAAAAGCGTTCCCAATCTGCGCCTCTCGCGCCGCGGCCGCATCCAGTGCTGCACTGACTAATGCCGCAAAGGTGAAGGAGTACTTCAAATCAGATAGCACGAGCGTCCGCAACACCGTCTCGGGCGTCTTCGACAAGATCGCCGCCGAGTGCAAGGACTCGACCTCCGGTGTATCGAAGCAGTACTGCACAGACCGCGACAACAACTGCCAGGGCGGCGTGATCGCTTATACGTATCCTGCGCGCTCGTATGTGGTCTATTGCACGGGATACTTCACGAGGATTGTGGAGAGGAGCTCGGAGTGCCATCATGACGACCAGCCATTTGTAACGATGCATGAGTTTACGCATTTGAGGGAGATCAAGGGGACGGATGATTATGGCGTCTATGGCTATGCAGGTGTGCTGAAATTGAGCGCGACGCAGAATCTGAATCATGCAGATACGTATGCGCTGTTTTCGAATGCGATCGATGTTGGGGGTTCTTGCTGAGTAGGTTCGAACCATCAATCGAGAATCCGATTGCCAAAGGGAGAGAGATAGTTGGATCGCATGAACTGCTCTTTCAATGAAGAAATATCCTACCCAGGATCGATTCGGAATGATACTACTGTGGTGGGAAAGGACTCCCGCCAGAGTGACAGCTCCTCAGGATTCACAGTTAAGTTCTCGCTTTGAAACGTTAGCTTTGAGTAGAAAATCGAACATGATAAATATGCCGTTCACTTTGATCATGATAGAGGTGAATTTTGCGGTTAATGAAGCACATCACATGTCAAGATGGAACTTGTATGAAGCGATAAACCTTATGATCCACAATGACCCACTGTTAAGAAAGCTTAACACATGTACTACCGATCGCCATATTTATCCCATCCCAGAGCCCCAATTTTGACGGGATCTACGTATTGAGTCGAGTGATCTCAGTTGTTCGAGTAAGGATGAAATCAATTAAGATGGCGATGAGGACGAATGAACACTGAATGATGCTAACTGACTAACTAGTGAACGATGGTGATGACTAAACAAGTGATGGGCAGTTCCAGACTCGAAGGAGGACTTGGCAGGGAAAAAAGCCCTCGAGATTCACCAACGACATGCCATGTACATACACCTGCAATGCAACTAAATCTCTGTGACAGGAAGCCGATGATGCAGGATACGATTGATTGATTATATCCGATCGATCAGCCGCAGTAGCCGCAGCAGCCACACTTCCTATTGCCCGTTTCTGTTGTTCGACTTGTTCATTAATTACCACCCGCTACTGCTCTCATTACCATACTATTCCCACAATTCCAAAACCCCCATTTCATCTGTTCTTATTCCCGAGAGAACGAGCGAACGAGCGCGTCTCATCCTGCGCACTCAAGCCGGATACCCGCTCGTACTTGATGCCTAGGCGCGCTACTGACTATTGCTACTATCCTTCTTGCCGATTCGGAGCTGGTGGAAAGGGGGCATGCGATTGAGGAAGTAATGGCCGGAGACGTGGTGGGCCGAGAGCTTCCGGTCAACGTGAAGAACGAGACCAGTATTGACGATGCTGCCCCCAACGTCGCACACGGAGCACAAGGCGCACACTCTGCTGTACTAGATGGTGTTGCAGAGCTTCCGCCAAAGAAGAGACAGAAGCGCAATAAGCCAACGTTGAGCTGTTTGGAATGCGTCGAGCGCAAGACCAAAGTAAGTTGCTGCATGCATGACGACACTTGCTGGTGTTGATATGGAGAATTGACGAGCACCTCCTATATCCACCTATCAACGTGATCAATTGTCTTTCCTAGTTGCATACAATCTCATCTCATCCTCGTCCATTCCCTGCGCAACAAATGCAGTGCCAGGCCATCCGCTGACGCTCGCTAGTGTGATCGTGGGCGTCCCCAGTGTGTCGCATGTCTCAAGCGACAATCAGAATGCAAATATTCAGATGTCGCCAATCTAATTGCATCGTCAGAGTAAGTCGGGGAGGCAGACAGGATCAACCATACGTGCATTTGCTGATAGAATCCTCACAGAGGCACTCCTGCGCGTACATCAGCCGCAAGATCCAAGAAACAGAACAACATTACCCTGGCTCTTGGCAAGGGCAGTGAAGAGAAGCCTGCAGTTCCCTTTCAGGTAATTATACAAAGCTCTATTAACCCGCTTTCGGGTCACCTTTGGTTCACCACGAGGCACAGCTGCCACGCGATCGGGTGTATCCCTGGCGTACCTACATACATGTGGAGCTTGTAGCGACATACGGCTAACCATCTTCCCCACAGGTTCCAGTACCCACTCCGAGGACCCAGTATCGAAGCACATCTTTGTCGTCGACTGGTTCTTCGCCGTTCTTATTATCCAACATTCCTTATTCCAATCACACACCATCGCCCTTCTTTGGGCTCGGCGCAGAACATCCCTTCGCCAACTACTGGACAAGTCGAGGAGGCTTGGCCGAGGTAGTCGGGGTACTACCGGCCAAGGATCAAGCTGACATTCTCGTCAACAAGTACTTCGATGCCGTTGACCCTGTATATCCCATGGTGCATCGTCGAAACTTCTATGCTGACTATGAACGCTTCTGGTCTCTGCCTCTGTCCGAAAAGCATGCAGCCGATCCAGTACTCGTCGCTCTCCACTTTGTCGTATATGCCATGGGGACCCAGTTCATATCGAGTCCATCTGAACATGAACGTGCACAGATGGCCGAATTCTATGTATCAGCATCCCAACAAGCACTGAGGCTGTCTTCATACCTAAGCAGAGCTTCTGTCCGGACTCTGCAAGCCATGGTCCTCATCTGCTATTTCCTCATGAACGACAATCACGCCTCCGATGCATGGGCTTTTGGGGGCGTGCTTATGCGGCAAGCATATGCCATGGGCCTGCATCGAGATCCTGATATCATCGCACCTCGGTGTTCACTCAGTGATAAGCAACAGCGAAGGAAAGTATGGCAAGCTGTGTACTTTCAGGACACTTTCCTCACCGTCCTCCTCAAACTTCCTCCTACGACGTCCTTCTACGATGTTCGTGTAGAAGCTCTGACAGAGGAACTCTCGGATCTTGTCGGCAACGGCGAACAGGAAGCAATCGGCAGTTCGAACCCCATGAGCATCAGTAACATTGCGCCCACCTCCGACACTTTCCCTCCATACGAGCTTTCTGATCGACAATACATCCGATCAATGTGGCATATGGCTAACCTAGTCCAACGGACAGTCTGTAAACCCCGATCCCTTGATAGTCCACTCACGTCTTCTCCACAAGACCGCGTCAACCTCATCAAACAATATAGCGACCTGCATGCCTCATTCCCCGCCCACCTATCCACCTCCAACCCCACAGAAGTTGCCCAGTTCGCCACTACGAATCCCCGTCTCCTGCGCCAAAATCTGTTCTTCCGCAGCAACTTCTGGCACTGTGTGATGGTCATCAACGCCGACGAAAACGATGCAGGCGGCGTATCCTGCGACGTCAAGGGAGCTCTTGAAGCTGCCCGGAACGCTCTTCAAGCATTCTTTGACTTTTGGGAGTATCTGCGGATTGATGCGGCTGTGTGGTGGGTGTTCCAGCATCGCGCGTTCGAAGAAGCTGTAAGCCTGCCCGTTTCACACCTCCATTTTCGTCATGCGTCGTAGCTAACACCTCGCAGCTTCTCATGGCACGCATCCTTGCCGCTCAGGAGCAACCTCTGGATCCGTCGCAATCGGGTCACCACCCAGCCGATGATCCCCTGCTCCGCGTCGCCAAGGACGACGCGAGAAAGATGCTGCAGATCCTCGATCTTGTCGGCGGCGCAGCGCCAGAAATGCAAAAGACTAGGACCGATATCTTGAGGTCTGCATTTGCGGACATCACGTGGTGATGCCGTGGTCTGCGGGCCATCGGAGGCAGTGTGACTAGCAACTAAGAGTGACGTACAACCCCTCTCTGCCGCTCCTATCATTCTTGAATCAAACACCGTTTACCTTTATTTTCCCGAATCTTCGGAACAGGGGTGGAAGTTGCACGACTGGTTTTCGGTCTATGCTGTACGTGCTGTACGTGCAAAATGACATAGCACCGCCACAGCAAAAGGGTGGCGGTCAAGGATGTACATCGCAATACCGGGGAAGCGGAAGGCAGTATCTGAGTCTTTGGAAGGTAGATGAGAGCGTACGAGGTAGGGAACGAACCGCAACGCCGGGCAGCGCGGAGGCGGAATGAAACATACGTCGTGTTAATACACAAGGGCTCGGATGCGCACATTGATGTACGCCTTAGATCCAGGCGTCTGGGTTACATGCAAGAAATCATGAAAATGGCAAGGTTCGGCCCGGAGATCGCGTGTTGCCTGATGGTGAATGCTAATCTTGGTAGTGAGCTAGGTAGCTAAGGACGATTGTAGATATGAATAACTACTTCACTACAAATCCACCAAAGAGTCTCGGGGTCTCATTTTCAAGAACGGCACCTCCCGCCTCCGATTGAAGGCCGTACCTATGGTAATCCTTGTCCTGAAATCTTCCTTCTGGAGTATTGACAGATCACCCCCTGTCTGCATTGTACGACATTTGACGAAACGACCCTGGATGCGGGGCTCTGGCCATCGCTGTCGATGCACGAAGTCGCAGATACATACGGCCAGTGCACCGATCAGTTGTATGTGCGACCCTTTTGTGCGCCTACGCGGAACGGGAGGGACGCCTATAGGTCAACCAAGAGCTGCCTCGATTCAGTTGAGGGATGCACAATATACATCTAGTAGTCTTCCCGGGAGCAACAACACTCGAAAAGGGACATACACCACGCTAATTTGTGACCTCTCCAAGCTGCATCCTCGGTGACACTTGCTGGGATCAGCCTTGCCGCATACACCCAACCTCATGTTACGTATGCGGTCAACGCCATCACAGATATCGTGAATCGGTGAACTGTTGCCTCGCTCGAACTTACAAGGTAGACTCGAGTTTCGACGGGCGGAAGAGAATGCTGCATCCGCTGTCGAACACACAAACTCCCGCACCGCTTTTATCCAACCGCCAGGAGAAGAAGTTTGTCCTTTACCGCCCTTTGCTATCTGATAGACGTCGGAAGCCATGACGAAAGCAAATCTTTGTACCACCGAATGCACTGCCCAGTCGAACCTCATAAAACCCCAAATCTACCCACGTCTTTCTCTTCCTTCCTCTCCCTCTCCACAAAAAAACCCAGGAGAATCTTCCCACCAAAAGAAACATCAAACCAATAAATCCCCACTCGTTGGTGAATGACAATGATCCCACGAAACCATACATGCTACACCCTCCCACTTCCAATCCCATCACCATTCCCGTCTCTCGCATACACTTCATCATCCAGCGCATTCACGTTCCCCACGCTCGCGCCCATCAACCCCATCCTCGACAGGTCCTCCCCAACCGCGAGCAGCATCTCCCCCCACGAACTCGTGCTCGGCGCGCTGGGCGTCGCGGTCGGGCTCGTCGGTATCGGCGTCGCGGTGCTGCAGCTGTGGCGGATGAGGGAGAGCCGTAGGTTGAGGGCGAAGGGGCAGCAGCAGCAGCAGGGGTTGGGGAAGTTGGGGTTGGGCGTTGTTTAGGATGGCAGAGGGTGGAAGGTTAGTAAGGGTTTCGTGTTCTGATGATCGCGGTGAGTGCTGATGTTGCTTTAGGAAAGGGGTGCCGTTTGAATTATTTGTGATGAGGTGAATTTGGAGGAGGAGTTGTGACTGAGGTTCGTTGGTTCGTCTATCCAGTGTGGCTTTTCGGTACGGTTATACTGACTGAATATATCTAGATATTGTCATGGAACAAGTGGAATCAGGTGTCGTTACCAACTACAAACTGTAGGGACTAGAACTGCTCTTATAAATATTCCCTATATACTTCCAAAAGCTAAGGCCTCTAAAATAGTAACACTAGTTATGTTTAAATCTCGTAAATAAATTAACTTGTTAGTTGTTCTAAAAGGCTATCTAGTATGCTTTAAGCCCTAAACTTATTTACAGATAATGTTAACCTAAAAAGGTCTTGAACCAAATACTTTATTGATGCGGATAGAGAAGTATAGCCAGCATTCCCTTATTCCATCTGCTGCTCCAGCTGTTTGGCCTCTGTCCACCGCCCTTGCTGGTAGTACGTTAAAGCTAGATTTTGCATAGCTTTTACAGTTTCAGGATCCCTGTTACCAAGCTCCTTTGTTTTTTCCTCTACTACTTGTACTTGCAGCTGTTCGGCGTCTCTCCACCGCCCCTGATCATAGTACGTTAACGCTAGATATGCCATACTATCAACCGTGTCAGGATGCTTATCAGTAAGCTCTTTCCTCCTTGCCTCTACTACCTGCACCTCCAGCTGTTCAGCCTTCTCACTCCGATCGTGACTGTAGTACCATAGTGCTAGAGTTTCCATACTACTTAATGTGGCATGAGCTCTCTCACCAAGCTCCTGCTTCATTACTTTTATCACCTGCAACTGAAGCTGTTCTGCTTCTTCCAGCCTTCCCTGGCCGTAATACATCGATGCTAGGCTCGAAATGTTGTGCAGCGTCTCAGGATTTCTCTCACCGAGTTCCTTCTTCATTGCCTCTATCACCTGCATTTGTAACTCTTCGGCTTCTGGCCACCTTTCCTGGTCGCTGTACGTCAACGCTAGGTTTGCCATGCTGGTTAACGTATCCGAGTGTGCCTCACCGACCTCCTCTTTCATAATCTCTATGATCTGACGCTGTAGTTTTTCAGCCTTTTCCAACTGCCCATTATTAGAAAATGCTGAAGCCAGGCTCTCCATACTGGTCAATGTTTCAGGATCTCTATCACCACACCTTTTCTTTGTTGCTTCTAGTGCCTGCACAAAAAGTCGCTCGGCTTCGGGGGTCCTTCCATCTGCCGATAGGCAATAACCTACCGCATGCATCAATTCCACGCTGTCTTGATCAAGGACTGAGGCCATCGCGGCTTCTACGAGAATATGTTGAGCATGGGGCAAATACAGCCTCCACATAACTCTATACTTGGGGTCATTGCTCGGGAAAACCTCGCACACCCGCGTGACAGCGCGTGTCGTACACTCTGCCAGTAGGCCGTTTGTCCGTAACCAATTCCGCATAGCGAGATGTACAAGCCGGTGGATATCAAGCGCCTCGTCAGTTCTTTTCGTGACGAAAGAATACCCGCTCAGCGTTCCCACTGCTTCGATCATCTGTTTCCTTGATGGTGCTGGAGGAAGAAGCGATATCGGGATATTTTTAGCACCAAGACACGACATAAACGACATGTATTCTGCCGCCGCTGGATTGTGCCTCTTGATTTGCTCAAAGGAGATGAGCCAAGTAGTCGCTACCGGATTCACAGTCGTACTATATCGTCCCTCGTCTTCGAAGTCTTCGCTTAGGATTGCAATTACATCCTCTTCCTTCTCCTCTTGCAGAAGTTTCAGGTAGTCAGAACAAGATGCCCCGTACATATTCATGAACGCAGCCGCCTGCGTAATCGCAAGTGGGAGGTAAGTCAACTCTTTAAGCAGCTGTAACACCGTAGGATCATCTACTTCGATCGTTCGGTTTGGCAGCGATCGTTGTAGTAATCCAACGGCAGCTTGGTCATCCATTTCGGGCACCTCAACTATGTTGTGCCTTGCCAACTCGCATGCTATCTTACGACTTCTCGTTGTGAACAGTATACGGCCTGTATTGCTCTTCGGAAGATAGCCTTGAAGGCAACATGCCTTCGCCGTGTTGTGCGGTTTTCGACTCCACATGTCTGGATCATCAGCGTTGTCGAATATCAGCAGCCATGGACCCGTGGTTCCCTCACTGAGGCGTTGCCTCACAAGATCCTTTACATTCGATTGCTTCTCGTCCAAACCAGGTATTTCAAGTTTCTCGCCAATTTTTTGATACGCTTGTTCTAGGCTCTCCATGTCGGTTGCTGAAATCCAATAAACGGACAGCTCCGCGTACTTGACCCGGATCCAGTATGCCAATTGAATGGCAATTTGCGTCTTGCCCACCCCACCGAGACCTACGAGTGCGACTTTGGGGCAATGTCCGTTGGCGAACAGAAGTTTATCGAGCTGATTTAATTGTGTATCGCGGGCGACAAACTTCAGGTTTTGCTCGAAATGAACCACCCAATGCGGCTTCTTAGTTGCTACACAGATTTAGTAAGACCCAGCCGTAGTCACTCCTCTGCAAAAAGCTTACAGGTGCGAGATGTCACAGTGAATAAAGACTTGAATTCTCTGGGTGTCTTTTCTATGCATCTGTCAGTCCACTACAGCTCCCTGGACGCCTAACTGAAGTCTTCCATGTACATACTTTGCTTCCGCACAAGGTTTTTGGCGCAGCGCTTCACTTCAATCGACTTCCGGGTCGCTTTAAAATACCCGAACGTAGCTGCTTCTATTGCGCCTTCCTTCTGATATTCCTCCAGCCCGATGTCCTGCAACCCTTGTTCGACGTTAAAGCGAAAGTATCTGTCTGCAGTCGAGTCCCCTATCCATCTGCCATCAAACATTTCTGCTGTCTTTTCTGTATCGGTGACGATATCCACAAGCGTTTCGGATAGGAGTTTCCATGCGTTGTCCCTGATTGGCTTCTTTCCAGGATTTCCAGTGCCTACAGAGATAAAGCACTTAACTAAGGGCTTCAAGTCCGCGCTTTCTGGACACCAAATCTGGATGGCTTCATTCTGTACTTGGTCCACGGGGTTGTTTGCGCCCATTGCTCCATCTATGAATGAGCGAGCGCCAATTTTGACAGGATCAAAAAACCGCGTAGCTGCTGACGTTGCCAGGGCCGCTTCCCAAATTGTTGGACGGACTAGAGATTCAGACTCGCCGGGGATGGTATAGCTTTTGAGGCGCGATATGTCTCTGGTCTCCTTCGCTACAGTGCAAACAAAGCTAGCCACATGTCAGTTTCCCATAACCTACTATAATGATACTACTTACACTCTACACCCTCGAGCCTTGCCATCATCAAATAAGTCATCTTCGGAGACACCCTCACGACTCGCAAGCACCCGCTTGATAGCAATTTCCAAGGCCTTGGAGGAAAATCGCGATGTGACGCGGCCAAATGCACTTATGCCCGCACGACTCTCCCTTGCTTTAAATACATCTTTGATGAGCTCGCGATACGCTATGATACATTCATCCACGGTCATCTCAAGTCGTCCTAGCATGATGGCGATGAGTCTGTAAGCGTTAGCATGGCCCTCCAGGGAAGACTACAGCACATACCCGCCTGTGCTTGTGCCCCCGATCAGGTCGAAAACCTCGCATGGCTTAACTGGGGGATATTTGTTGACAGCGTCGCCGTAGCGCTCGTATGCCAGTCTTGCCATCAAGTTTCTCAGGATGTACAGCGTGGACAGCCCGCGCACTCCACCGCCATCTAGTGACAACAGACACAGACCGGTCTCGTCCACCGGGTTTGGCCCGCTGCCCTGCTGCTCCGCTAACATTTGAGCCATTCCAAATTTCAGTTCACGATCGTTAGTACTGCTGGTTATAACGAAGGTGAGAACAATCTACGTCAAGGGAGGAACGGCTGGATAGAATTCAAATTGGGTGATGCGGTGCGGGGTGCTTTTGTAACAGGCTGGGGAAGGCTGAGCGTTGACCTAGAATGCGACCATGCGTTTTCACAGTACATACACGGTACTGTGTATGTATCTACCTGCACCAGACACTGCATTGATCTGTCGCGCCAGCCAATCACATCACATCGCGCTGGTGCACTGCCCATGTTCGTCCTTCAAAGATGTCGGGGATGTCCAAGGCTTAGCGGATTGCCAAGGATAAGCAACCTATTGCTCCTGTGCTACGAGGTAGGGTGTAATACCTATACTGATAGTATTAGCTACTCGTAACATGATAGATTATAAGAGAGCTACGTACAGCCTTGTATAAGCGCTAGCAGAGTTTATAGGAGGCATAAGTAAGGTAATCATCTATATAGTTGTCACGATCCATCCTGTGGAACAGCTCATTCCATTTCTTCAATCTACTCGACCGTTGTAATCTCTGGTTGGAACGGCAAGATGAAAATTGGAATGTGTGAAGACCTATAGATGCAGTTGCTTGCCGACGTAGGACGCCGGAGATTTGGACCGCGACCAGGCGCGCATTGTAATGAATGGCACTTTTCTGGAGCTTTGCTGCGGTCTGCCGCTTCATTTGATCATCGGTGATAGCTGTTACCACCGTAGCATATTCATTTAGAAGAATGATACATGCAGGGCTATGTAGTAGTGACATCTCGAATCCATAAGAGGGCATGGACGCCTGTTAACAATTCTTCCTGTCAGCATATGCTCACCTCCATAGGGCATGTAGACTTACTCATGCTTGAGACAATCTTATTTCTTCTACAAGAGTTCATCTGTTTTTATCAATATCTTGATAACCAGTTGATGTCCATTTTGGAGATGCAATGACATGTCACGTGAGTACGTTCAAAGTCCAATCCTTGGCTCATAACAGCAGTATAAGAATGCTCTCTCATGTCTAGTGCAATCTCTCCTGGCAGATCATACTAATGAAATCCTAATATTGATATGGTGTAGACATTGCTCTTAGGTCATGTGAATGGTCGTTGTGCCGTCAACTGTGCCGGGCGGAGTGGGGCGGAAGCTCACGACTATGGCGTTCGGGGTACGTTCGGCTTAGCAGACGAGCAACAAACTTTAAAAACAAGATCTGAGCGCAGAGAGGGAAAGCCTGGAGAAGATTTCATAGCCGTCATCTGGACCGAATATCGGGTAGCTGGAACAGTTCTGATGGTCGTCGTGAATGGCCTAAGGTCGGTATTGGTTGAAGCAAGCAACTAGGCCAACTCCTGGATCTCAGGCGATCTTTTTTTTTTGAGAAGGAAAACGCATGATAATTATGGAAGTACAATCTACCCAAGACAAGGTGTATGGATACAGTCCAGTCCAGTCCAGGGTGGCGGCAATTCCAATCGGGGGGTGCATTTACGAGTAGCGAAGTGGTTGATGCGGGTAGCGGTAGTTGTAGATGGTTGATATGGAGAGGATGCGATTGGCCAGCCAAGGGGAGGAACGTCTACCACATCTACCTAACCCCGCAGCCGATTTACCACGTGAAGGCACTAAAAGGGGATGAACATTCACCCCGTCGGATCAATGCTTAACCTTGTTGCGACATCCCACCATCCAACTACCTAACCCCATCTATAGCAATCCAAGGGCCATTCCATCATTGCCGAAATGCAAACCAAGTCCCTCTATCCTCTATTGTAACCCGTACGATTGGTGCCCACATGTTACTGCTTAGCTGCCACTCTTAGCTTCTTCTCCAATAATTTATATACTCGGACCTCCGCGCCCATCTTTCTGCAATTCAATCTACTCCTTCTCTCCTCACTTCGTATACATATACAGCTCATCTCCATACACATCATCTTTTGTGTATATATCCTCATCCATAACCACCACACTACACATCCTTATACCAGAGAAGAACATCCACATCACCATCACAATGGCCACCACAAACGGCACCAACGGCGTCAATGGCGCTGCCCCCCAGACCAACGGCAAATCCAAGTTCGACCCCAACTTCACAGACCATGTCATCGGCCTCATGAGCCCAGAGACCGACCCTCGACAAAAGGTCATCCTCACATCCCTCATCCGCCACATGCATGACTTCTGCCGTGAGGTCGAGCTCACACAGGACGAATGGGTCATTGGCGTCAACTACATCAACTCCCTTGGCCAGGCATACAAGAAGAACAGGAACGAGACATGGCGAGTCTGCGACATTCTCGGAATTGAATCGTAAGTAGATATCTCGTATATCCGCAATTGATACTTTGTTGCGATTGCGTTATGTATGGAATGGGATTACCCCGCCATAATTAATTTGCAATCGCAATCAACCCATCACCCAAATCCACATTAACAATATACGAATGCAATTGCTAACAACACCCGACCAGACTTGTCGACGAAATCAACCACAAGATCCAAACCGACGAAGGCAAAGAGCCCACCTCCTCCACCATCCTCGGCCCCTTCTGGTCGCCCGAAACCCCCTTCCGCGAGCTCGGCGCCTCCGTCGTGCAAAACATGCCCAAGGACGGACAGCTCACGAAATTCCACGGCGTGATCCGGGACGTCGACACCGGCAAGGGCATCCCGAACGCCGTATTCGACATGTGGCAAGCATCCACCAACGGCAAATACGACGTCTTCGACCCTGAGAACCAGACCCGGCACAACCTGCGCGGAAAATTCAAGACGGACGCCGAGGGCCGCTTCTGGTTCTACTGCCTCAAGCCCACGGAGTACGCAATCGACACGTCGGGCCCGTCCGCAGAGCTCCTCCGCATCATGAAGAGGCACCCGTACAGGCCCGCCCACATCCACATGATGGTCACGCACGACGACTACGTCGGCGTCACTGCGCAGCTGTACCCCAGCGACGACCCTTACCTCGAGACCGATACCGCGTGCGCTGTCAAGGACGACTTGCTGCTGTACTTCAACCCCGTCAAGGACGAGCCCAACGGCGCCATCTTGGACGTCGAGTACAACGTCAGGCTTGTGTCGAAGAAGTACAAGCCCGATTCGACTATGTTGATGGGCAATGCTAACCAGAATAAATTCTAAATCTGATCCGCATTCGTAGTCGCATGTTACTTTCTTTCTTTTTTTTTCTTGTACGCTCATCTTTCGACGTTTTGATGACGAAACTTTTCACGCATATCCTCAAAAAATGGCTTCTTGTCCATAGCATGCATGCATCGGGCTTTGCAAAATTGTACATAGTAGATACCATTACCTTACCACTCACAAATGAATCCCAAAAAACACTTACCAAGAAATTCCAATCTCACATCACATGCCTTCATAACTCCGCAAATGTCAAGTAATAAAAGAGATGAGATTTCCCCTCTTGTTCCATTTCCATTCCCATTCCCGTTTCACATTCGTATATCTAACCTAACCTAACCCATCTTACTTTTTATGATCCGCAAAAGAAAAGACAAAAAGGAAAAAGAAAAAGTGGAGAGAAATTGGAAATTGGAGAGGTATATGTACATGAATCAATCCCCTGATCCTTCTGCCCTCGTCTCTGTTGTGTATTCTTTTCTTGGGCGCACTTATGTTCAATTTGTTGAAAGTTGAGTTCGTAGGTCCTTCGTCGTTGTAATCCGTGTTGCTTGTATTTGTATCTGAATTCGTATACCGTATCCGTGTTTAGTGCCATGTATGTCCAATCTTTTATCGTAATCTTCATCCCGTCCGCACATCCATACCATAATGACCATATCTTCAAGAAAAAGATTACCGAGACGCCTCTGCTCCCCGCTCTTCCCATCCCTCCCCCAAATCCCCTTGATCGTAATTCCCAAATAGGTGAAAAGAAAAGGAAGACTCAAAAGGGTGCTGTCGAGAAGAAAAGATCACGTATACTGCCTCATCGCGTCGCGGTAGCCCGACCCGCCGCGCATGTCGTTTTCGAAGTCCTCTGCGACGTTGAGGACGCGCTTGACGTGGGAGAGGGAGAAGGGAGTTTCCTCGGCGAGGGCGATGGATTGGGCTGTTATTACTGTGTTTTTGATCTACGTGGATTATTAGTAGCTTGATTTGGTGGTGAAGAGAGAAAAGGAAAGGGGGAAAGGGGAACATACCTGACGCCCATTCAGCACCTTCTTGCTCAACTCGTCAAAATCGACGTCCTTGAACGGCAGACTCTCCTGGTCCTCCAGTTTCTCGATCTTGTGCACGTGGTGCATCCAGATCTCGCGGCGGGCCTTGCCGGTCAGGTTCTCGTACTTGATGCCCATGTGGATGCGGCTCTGGAACGCCTCATCGAAGGTGGCGACGCGGTTGGTCGTCATGAACATGATGCCCTGGTAGTACTCTGTGAGGCGCAGGAAGACGGAGACGAGGGAGTTGCGGTGGATGTCCTGGGGCTGGCGCTGCTCGAGGAACACGTCGGCTTCATCGAGGAGCAGGATCGCGCCCCACGAGTGCGTTATGTCCATTATGCGCTGCAGGTCGGATTCCAGGGCGCGCGAGTTGGTGCCGAGTTCGCCGGCCGACACGGCGTATAGGGGGCACTGTAGGAAGTCGGCGATGGACTCGCCCGTGAGGGTCTTGCCGACGCCGGGCGGGCCGTGGAGGACGACGTTGAGGCCTTTGCCTTTGCCTTGGATCACGTCGTCGATTGTCTTGGCGGCGTTGAAGCGGTGGGAGGAGACGAGGCCTTTGAGGTTCTGCTTGATGTCGGAGCGGAGGACGAGCGAGTCGAAGGCGTCGCTGTTCCATTCGATCTCCGCGATGCCGGAGAGGGAGAATTCGAGCCAGAGTTTCTCGGAGAAGGCGAAGCCCAGGACGACGGGGGACGCGATGAGGAGCTCCTCTTGCGTGAACGTGTGCAGTGAGCCGTCTTCGGCGTTCTCGAGCGCTTCGAGCTTCTGCCTCTGAATGTCGTTCTCGTCTTCGTCATCGGGTACGCTCAGAACGTGTAGATGCCCCTTGCGGTCTCTGTATACCACGATTTTCATCCTCTGCTCGTCGTCCGAGTCCTCGTCATCCGACTCATCGCATCCGCATTCTTCCTCCTCGTCCTCGGGATCTTCTCCCTCATCTTCCTTATGCTTCAGATACGATAGTGGATAGTTGGGGTTGATGCGACGGAAGATAGCCGGATCCACCATCACCCTACCATTGATATTGATCTTCGCAACCGTCCGCTTCTTCTTCAGGTACGCAAGCCCCTTGTGAAACCTGTAGTTCATGCCCTGAAGAGCAACGAACTTCTTGCCCCGCTCGATCAGCTCCGTGCGTAGCGTCTCCGCGTTCTTGTGGTGCACGAGAGGGAGCGCCGACAGACTCGCAATCTTGCGCGTCCCCTTGAAGTGATCGATCCTCACAGCGTGGTCTCCGAGCCCGAACTTCTTCCCGTCGTACTCCAGGTACCGTCCCTCGATGGTCCACCACTCCTGGTCCATGAAGTCGGTCTCCTTGAAGCAGTAGTCGACTTTGAAGCAGCGCGGGTCGTCCTTGTTTCCGTACGTTGGCGTGTAGGCGACCGTGTTGGGCTTGAAGAGCGCCCAGATCAGGTCGAATGTGATGTTTCCGGCCTTGAGCATCGGCGTGAGCGTCTTCCTTGTCTTTGCGAAGTCGTGGTCGATGTAACTCGCGAGGAGCTTGCAGTGTGCAATCTGTTCGGTAATTCGCTTCTGCTGTTTCCGTTTCCTTTCTTTCTTGAGTTGTCTCTTGAGCGTCTTCCGGTAGTAGGTCTTGATCTCGTCATAATAGAGAAAGAGCAAATGCGGGTCAATCTACAAATCATAAGTCACAAGCCTCTAAACCACGAACATTGTATACCTACCGAAGGCGCATCCTCCACCAAAGACTGCCCCTTTACATCCTTCAAAATGACCTGGAGCGTATCTCGAAGGAAATGCGACTTGATGTCGACGAGCGTGTACTGATACTTATTCTCCCAGTTGAACTTCCGTCGCACCGTGAAGACCTGCCGAACTGTTAGCATTGATCCAGCGCTGTTTGCCAGGGAATACCATTTCCAACTTGAACTACTTTTTTCTTCTTCGACAATGAATCGGTGCAATCACTTACACTATCGATTTCGTCTTTCTTTTCCTCCGCGCTCTCGGTGTACTTGTAGTCACGGAGCTTAGCTGTTTGAATGATATTAGCAAACTTCCCCGAAACCCAGTATCTACTACTGCGAGAACTTACAATCCCAAATCTGATCTACGCGCTTGAACTCCGGTTTCTGTTTCACTTTCTTCGCTTCCTTCTTCTCGCTAACCTTGGGAGGAGGAACCGGAGGAAGTAGCGCGGGTGGCAGAGGTGGAGGCACCGCTTTGCTGGCCGCCATGTTCAGCAGCTGCGCGATCTCGTTCTGCCGCACGATGATCTGCTCTTGTATCTGATCGGCGGTTGGTCCCGGGGCCGGTGGCGGCGGCTCGAGGGGCGTTGTCGCTGCAGTCTCGACGTACGTCTCTTCTGAGGTCGACGATTGGGTTGAGCTGGCCGCGGATGCATGTTTCTTAGACTTCTTGGACTTCTTGGACTTCGTCTTGCTGTGGCGCTTGGACGCGACTGAAGAGTCAGAGTCGGAATCACTAGACGATGAAGACGAGGAGGATGAGGAGGACGAGTCGGAAGAATCCGAATCAGACTCCTCGCTCGAAACCTCCACCACCTTCTTCCCCTTACTCTTCTTCGTCTTCGTCTTCCTGCTCACTTTCGTCTTCGCCTTACCCTTCACCTTCTTAGACTTCTTGACCGGGACCTCACTCTCAGACGACTCGCTGTCCTCAGACTCCTCGCTCTCGCTATCACTCTCCGACTCCTCACTAGAGCTCTCCTCAGCCTTCTTCGCACTCGTCTTCGACTTCCCCCCCTTCTTCGCCTTAGCACTCCTCTTCGCCTCCTTCGCCTTCCTCTCCTTCTCCTTTCTCTTCTTCGCAGCAGCCGCAGCCGCAGCGACCTTCCCCTTCCTCCTCTTCTTCTTCTCCCCCTCGCTCTCACTCTCGCTCTCGCTAGAGCTATCCTCCTCATCTTCACTCTCGTCCTCATCGTCAGAATCATCATCGTCCTCCACAACGACTGCAGCCTTCTTACCACCCTTCCTCTTCCCCTTCATCGAACTCTTCTTAACTTCCGACGCCTTGACGCCCTTCTTCGCCTTCGTCTTCGCCTTAGCCTTGGACACCTTCTGCTTCTCCCCAGCGGCGACGGACGCAAGGTCCCCGGGGCTTTTGTCCACAGACGTGCCTTGCTGTTCAACTTGCACGCCGTTGGTGGCAGATGTTGACGGCGTCGACGCGCCGGTGTCCTGTGCCGGGGAGGAAGGGGGCGTGGGAATGGGGGTGGTGGTGGATGGCATTTTGCTCTGCAGTGTAGTATTCTGGTCTGGTGTTGTGGTGGGTGTTGATGGCGAGGAGGAGGAGGGTGGTGGTGTGGGGAGTGTGATGAGGGGTGAGGGTAATGATGAGGTGGAAGTGTCTTTTGTGGGGGATGCTGGTTCCAGGACGTCCTTTTGTGGTTTGGGGTCGGTTGTGGGGTTGATTGCTGTTGAGGCGGAGGTTTGTGATGGTGGTTGTGGTGGTATTTGCTGTCTTGGAGACATAGATGCTGTGTCTGTGTTTGTGTATGTCTTTGGTGACTAGATTGTGTGTAGTTGGCTTCCAGCACTGTGTCTCTCTCTCTCCGTCTCAGAAGACTAGGAGACACGAAAAGGACCACTTTCAGCACGCACTGTGGGTATATATATGTGCAAGCAAGAAAGGTTTCAGAAGTGAAGAAGAAGAAGGCAGCACTAGCCTAATTTCCCTTCCTCTCCCCAGAGAACAATAGAAATCCCACTTCAAGTTCGCCGCAAGCTAGGCAGACAAGAATGCAGGCAGCCGCAAGTAATTTCCCCACGCACAGTCTTCCAATTGTGCGGGGAACGTGCGTTCAAATGTGTGTGAGTCTCTGCTCTATAAAACAGTTCCCGCGCGAAGACTTAAGACGTCTCTCCTAGAACCTTAACCTCGGATTTCTCAGAAGCGGTTCAGGGAAAAAGAAAAAATGTCTCACACTTTTTCCGATCCAAAATCGCGGGAATCTTTTTTTTCTAAGATTTCCAAGGATGTCAAAAAAGCACGATAGCGTTTCCGATATCGTGCAACTAGCCGTGGGGCGTGTAACGTTTGTGCGTAATCCACTTCCAGGCAATCGATGTGCGTGCGTGCGTGCGCCGTGTAACTGTTGGGGCGATGGAAATCGGGCTTGTTGATGATCACGAGGGCGGGGAGAGCGAGATCTAAAGGGCGGCTTTTGGCAATACAAGTAGAGACTTAAGATTAACGAATTAGCCCAACGTTATGGTCCACGCAACGCACGAGGCAGTTAGATGCCTGGCCGGGTCTGAGGTCGAAGAGTGTATGTGCGTTTCCGTGAATGTGACACAAGAACACTGACTCAGTAGACGGTGGCATACGTACCTTCTCTTAGTCCTAGGCTTCCTTTCCCTCGTCCAGGTTCAGGGCTGTTCGAGTGATGGAAAAAAGTGAGGCGTTGTTTCGAAAAAGTAGATGGGATTGTCCGGCAAGTAAGGTTGGTATTGTTGCTTTTTTTGCGTTGACTCCCGCCTGTTAGACCGATATATATATTCTCCTCGGAAGAGACTGGAAGTAAGAGAAAATTCGAGCTGAAAAGTGAACAATATCACAAGGAAGCCAGCCTCGCACGGGAATTCCAGGCAGACAGACAAACGATATTGCCAGTCAACACTTCGGAAGGACTTGACTGATCAACTGGCTGATTCGCCTGGCCTTCGACTCCCCCCTCTCGTCCCTCTCTGACAGAAAACGATCGTGAAGCTTAAACTTTGCAATCGGGGTCGCACGGCAGCATTTACCCAACACTTCGGAACACCCAGACCAGCCTACGCCTCGTTTTTCCAGAATCCAAATGACCAGATCCTCGTTTCGATCCCAGCCAATGCCTTCTCTCTTGTCCCTTAAGCGAAGTGAACTGTTCTTCTTCTCGACAGCCTTGTTTTTTTGAGTTTCGCTATGCTATGCTATGCCTATGCACGTAATCAATTGCTCGCGGCTGGCTGGGAGATGATTTGCATACCCGAAGACGCAAGGACGAGGACGCGGAGGGCTGGCTGGCTGTCAATGATGCAGCATTACACACGCACACGCGGTTTCGTAGTACGTGGATAGTCGTGATTAGTATCGAACAGCTGGTGTTGTCTTGTCGTCCAGTCTCACCTGCAGCAGTGACAGCAAGCAAGCAGCCAAGTTGATCGGTATCCAGACGTTTCCGCCAACTTCGTCCGTTCTCCCTGTGAAATCGACCTGCCCAGCAAGCAAGGTTGAGATTAAGAAAAGAAGAAGAAGTGAAACAATTGGCCTCTTCGAATTCCCCCCTAAATAAGAATAGAAGATGAGGCAAGTAGTTAAGGCAACGAATAGAAACAAGCACACACCCGTGAGGCAGTTTAATATCCTCTCTCTCTCTTCTTTGCTTTTAACACTCTTTTTTAGTTCTTTTCAGCCAAACAGCCCGTTCTTTCCGCCAGGGCACACGCAGGGGGGGACACCAGGGGCGTTTTAATATCCGTGAGATTTCTTAACTGGAAGGATTGGGAATCATTATAGTTACGTTTGCAGCGAGGAACGAGGTTAGTTGTGCAAATAATGGTTCTAACCGATACCGGAAACCCTGTAACTTAGTTACTTAACCCTCGTGGAGAGGTGTTAACCATGTATGTACATTGGAATGCATCTCGCATCTTCAAGTGATGCCTTCTTCTGGCGTCGCCCGGGGTATTCATTGTCCGGCTAACTCGTTACTCGACGAATCAATGGTCGGGTGGAAGAAAGGAGGCGTCAAGCCGCAGAGTGAATGCTGGCGATACACGCAGGTGTTGTCGTTGCATGCTCGTTGCATGGCTTCGTCTACGTTCGAACGTCAATAGTGAGGCGGACGCTCGCGTTAGATCGGTTCTAATTGGGTAAGGTGTGGTGTGATGGGAGTGACATTGGAGGGAATGCTAGAATACACTCATGCTTAATGGCTTTGGCATGGCTCACCGCCTCGACGTCTTTATTGAACACACATGATGTTGGTATTAGTTGACGATTACAGCTACTGCTGTGCAATTGATTTATTGTACAAGGAAGATTGTGCATCTGGATGCTAGTTCAGCCCCCAGAGCTAGGGTCAATTTACCTAGACGACATTGCACAAAAATTGAGGAAAGGACACAAAATAATAATCTATGGTCAAATATGTATATGTACAGAACATATGGCACTCGCCAACTTCTTCTGTGTGTATGTATGTAGTCATCCTTCGTTCTTCGTCTTGTAAAATAGAAAGCATAGGTAGTACTGTGAAATGCATGTTACAACAACGAAACCGCCTAACACCGTTACCCAAAAGTGGTATATCCAATTCACAGCAGAACCGCGCAGATCAATGCTCAATCCCACTCCACTCAAGTCAACTCATCTTTGCACGCCGTTCTCCGGTCCCTCTACGCACTAAGAAACGCCCGGGACCTCGTCAATGCATGCTACGACCACATCTGACCCCGGGAATGTCAAAGTACCAGCGTGATACGCTTGTTGATCATTGGGGCCAAGCCGTCTAACCTGCTTCCTTCCACTCACTCGTCCAACGCATCACGCTTCACGTTCGCCTGGTTTTACCGCCTGTCTGGTTGAGCCATGTAGACTCCAAGATACGAATCTTGTCCGCGCGGCCAACCAGCAGATCCCTCTTAAATAACAAGGCGACAAGAAAGATATTCCCTTGTTCGCCTCCTTTCTCGTTCCTCTACTGTACGAGCGCTTCCACACGAAAAACATGTCATCCTGCTCATGCTGACGCTCAACGACACCAAATCGAAGCCGCAATCGTCTGACAGGATGCCAACACCGATGAGAATGTTGCTCAACAGATACACAACATCGCGGAGCAGAGTCCCAAAAAGAACCAGTGTCCACAGTCCTGGAACGGCCCTCGTAGCATTCAATGGCCTTGAGTTGTCCACGTCCAACCTCAAGAGCTCATATGCTTCTTCTTGTGTCCGATATGGAACAAGACGTGCTCTTTGGCGTTCTTCAGTTCGCTCTCGGGTTTCCCGTCTGGGAGGCTGTCTGTCGAGTATTGCGAGACCGCACCCGTTTGGATCCCACTGCTATCGGATTCGTGTGACTTAACGGGCTGCATGCTAGGTCCCGCAGATGCCTTGGTCTGAGCTGTGCCGTCCACCTGCTCGGTCGCGAGCCTTGGCGGTGTGGGGGACTGCGTCTGTTCATCCGGCCCGCTCCCGCTGGCGTCACCTGGATCCTCAATGGTATCCTCTCCGTTCGGCCCATGCGAACGTACACAGGCAGCGCTGCCCTCCTGAGGACTGGGTGCCGTCAAGATGGCATGCGCACTTTTCCCGCTCTTGACGCTGCTGGCTTTGCTAATGTCGGCAGTCGAGTCTACCGGGCTTGATGTGCGTAGCCCAAGATCTTTACCTTCGCTGGGTGCCACGTTGTCCTCCCCCTGCCAGTCTGCAGGGGTCGACTGCTTCACTTCTTCGCCCTCTTTTGGTTCGCTGATAACAATGCCAGGCTTCCCGCTCTCGTCGGGGAGAGCTTTCCATAAGATGGCAATCTTATCGAATGCTGGGATGCCTTTCCGACTGCTTCCTTTGATACCGTCCATTGCATCCCAGGTAATTTCAAACACACCCGAGTCGTCCGGCTGTCCGTCCTGTTCCGGACCGTTGCCCTCAAAGTAGGCATTAAACCATACGTGGGCAACTGCAGTAACGTAGGTAAGATCGAAAGCTGCCTTATTACGACGTTCCACGTCAATGTTAATATCGCTCGTGGGAAGCACGACTCGTGTTGAAGGTCGGAACACGACGTCTCCTTTCCCATCTTTGCCGAGATCTTCTTTGGTAAGAGATGGTTCTTCGACCTCGAGCTCTTTATCAGTCTGATCAGCCAGGGAAGAAGAGGTCGAGGACTTTGGATTCGCGGCGGCGCTGTTGACATCCGTGGTGCCATTGCTCTCCAGCTCGAGTGGTGTTTGTTTTCTCCCCTTCTTACTCAGAGCCCTTCCAATTCCATTCTTGTCCATAACCTCAGCTACAACGCTTGCCAGTCCACCACCTTTCTCTATCTCGCCCCTCACAATCTCCCTCTCAGATCTCGTGAATGTGTGGAACGACTTAATCACCTTCCCATCCTCCACAAAGCCCTCCACCTGGATCTTAACTCCGTCTCTTAGCCCCCAGCAGTGCACCTCTAGAATCTCAACCTTCCTCTCCAGGTAGATCTTCTTGTGCTTTGCCCACCGCTCGACGTAACTGATCCACCTGAGCTGACTCGGGATACTGACACCCTTTCCCATGTTCGGTCTCATCCTCCTCTCCGTGAACCGCTGCAAAGCCTTGTGAACCGACCATCCTTCCTCAGCAATCAAGTAACTACAACTCGCCGTGCCGCTCCTACCCTTCCCAGCCTTGCAATGCACGACGACGACCCTGCCCTCCTTCTCGTGCAGCCAGTTGCGCATGCTCGCCATGATGTTCGGTATCAGCGCGAAGGGCGGCGGGTGGTGGTCTGGGAACGGGTAGTGGTAGACGCGGTTGTAGACCTCCGAGTCCGGGTAGCCTGTGCCCTCGGCGCGGAACTCCCATATCGCCCAGTCTTCGCCGTGCTTGTCGTCGAGCCATTTCACGAGCGAGTCGAGCGGGTTGCGGTATGCGCGTTGTGGGTATGTGCCGCTGGGGCCTGAGGTTGCGATAACTGTAGAGAGCCGCGAGGCTGCCGTTAGTGGAGCGGCGGGATGTGCTTGACAAGACGAACGTACTGTTGTCTGTGACGTAGCAGAGATCGAGTCCAGCTTCAGGATGTCTAGCGCGCGGGCCAGCGACAATCTGTCGCAAAAGTGACGCCTAATGGTGGTGGTGGTAATACGTCAGACAGTGTAATGTAGATGATGGTGGTAGTGGTGGGGGCGGCGAAGGGACAGAGACGAACCATTTAATTCTAGGGGACAGAATGCGATGCGTGTATTGGGATTTAATGTTACTCGAGACAAGAAGAGCACATGGCGATCAATAAGATGATAATTCGGCGGGTGTTGTTACAGTAGTTGGAGGAGTAAGGTGTATGTAAGGTTAATAAGTGTAAGTGTTGTTGCTTCGTATGTTTTTATGGGGGTGGATGAGGCTCGCTCGGGGTCGGTTCCTGCGTTCCTTCCCTAATTAACTAACTACGTAGTAACGTACCTTCCCAGTAAACTACGTACCTACCTAGTCCATACCTCATACGTTAACTTACTGGTTACCTGCTTCCCGGTTTGCTCGTGATGTCATCAAAGCTTATCCCCAACCAAGCAATTCCACACCTCCAACCCTCCCAACCCTCCCTCTACCACCCAAAAAGTGTCCGCGGAGGTGCTCATCTCCTACATCTAAATCTACTACTCGTACTAAACCACAATTCCTCACAAGCATTAATCCGTAACACAGACATTCTCGGTACTTCGGCCGACCTAGTCACCTGCTGCTCGTCACACTACGTATCAAAAGAAACACTCCGACGTACGAGATTGATGCGAGACGATGCGAACATGACCCGAACAGCTCTGGATTTTCCTCCTGGTTCCGGCGAATCTTAGCACAACGGCTTTTATTTCTAATGGGAAGCGAACTAGTACCCCGTATCATTGGCAACTTGCAGTCTTATTGAGATCTCAACCCGGAAATAGACGGCAATCCATTCGTAGGCAGATATGTAGTCGAATTTCTTCGCCAATTGTCCATCGCACTGGAAATCCCAGTCTCGAGGGCTGAAGGCCGATGTGGCAGTATCAAAATCGATATTCCAAATATATTGTAAATTTGTTTTGTAGTTGGGTATAATCCAAAAGAACTACCTAGACCTATAATACAGTATCTGTGACTATTCCTATAGTATGCGCTGAAAGTGTATCTCAAATCCTACCACACAATAAGCAATATCCCATCAACCCATCCATACATCCCTCAATAACACCCACAAAAATATACCCAAAAATATACCCAAAATCTCATCACCCTTCCCTCGCAGCCCTAAACCCCTCCAAAAACCCCTTCCACCCCTTCCCCTCTCTCACATCCTCCTCAATCCCCACAACCCCATCCCCCTCCCTCCACGGCACCCAGTCGTCCAGCCCATAAAGATGTCTCATAGTCGGCCTCCCATGCGGACAACTCCACGGCTTATCCATCTCGCCCATATGCCGCACCACCCTCTCCATCTTCTTGCGGTCCAGCGTCTTGCCGATCATGATGCTCGCTCTACACGCGCGGCTCGCGAGCAACTTGCGGACTTTGCTGGGCCGCGGGACGTACTGTGTTGTTGACATGGAGGCCGGGTTGTCGAGGAGGAGGGCGAGGAGTTCTTCGAGGTCGGTGGGCGTGAAGGTGACTTCTTTGGACATGGGGAGGGCGGTGAGTTTGGAGCGGTTGCCGACGGGGTGGGTGCCGGTGGTGTCGATAGAGACGACGAAGCCGTTTGCGGAGAGGGCGTGGGAGTTTTCGAGGATGACTTCTTCTTCGACGGCGGTGAGTTCGAGAGGGTGAGGGTGCACGAGCCGTTGGGAGGTCAGGATCGTGTTGGCGGAGAAGGATTCGAAGTTGTATTTCTCGTCCGAGGCGTGCTGGTCGATTATGAAGAGGTCGGCGGTTGCGGAGGTGGAGGAGGGGGGTCGTACGGCGAGGATGAAGCCGAGGTTGAATTGTCCGATGATTCGCATGCTATTGAAATCTGACTTCATGACAGTGAGAGAGAGGCGCTCTTCTGGGTTCGAGTCGTCCAGGTAGGCACTGGTAGGTGCATCTGCATTCGATGCGGCAGCTACAGCATCCTCGATGGCCGATCGGAGGCTGTCTGAGAAACGCTCGATATCATCCGTAGATGTCTGTACGGGCTTGACCATGCCCAGCGTCTTGAACTGCTTCCTCGAAGCATGGAACAGTTTAGCAGCACGTTTCGTGTTCAGCTCGGAAGGTCGCGCCGCTGCCTCTTCGGCTTCAGCAATGATCTGAGCCACTTTGGCATCTTCGCGAGCCTTCTTCTCCGTATCATCAATGTAATCTCCGTGAGGGTCGTCGCCCTTAGCCTGTTGCTCAACTGCCGGTTCCTCGTCTTCTTCTTCGTCTTCCCCTTCTCCCTCATCGTCCGATGCTGGGTCAGTCACAAGAGCAGCAATGGCGGGCGCTATCGGCGGATCACTATCAACATCCATTTCACCGTTCGACATCTGCCGTTTCAAAGGAGACGGAGAGCGCTCAGCAGACGCATCAGGCATACTACTGTCCTGATCTCCCTCTCCTCCATCTTGCTCTTCTTCCCCATTCTCCTCATTCTCCCCCTCTTCCTCCTCATCATCATCACTCCCCTCAACCTGCGTCCCCGGCGCCGCAAACCCCCTCAAACTCCCCATAACCGACCTCTTCGGCGTCTGACTGAGCGGCTCGCCGTCCAGCGAAAACCTCGGCGTGTGAATCCTCGCCCTCTTCGACGCCCTCGACGAACTCCCAATCGTAGACACCGTCGTCTTGTCGCCGACTGTAATGGTGGCCTGCTGGACGGGCGTCCTCATGGGACGCATGCGATCGAAGGCGTTCTGGATCGTGCTTTGGGAGAATCGGGTTTGCGGGGTATGTTTGACGGCCGGGATTTGCTCTTCTTCTTCGGAAGAAGAGGGGTCTTTTCCGTGGGCGTGGGTGTTTTTATGGGGTCGTTGGGGTGGGGAGGAGGAGCGTTCTTGTGCCATGCGCTTCGCGTGTTGGGAGGCTAGGCGGGCGTTGAAGTCTTGTACGGCTTTTGATAGTGTTTGTGGTGGTCTGGCGTTGCTGTCGGCGACATCGTCTTCTTCTTGTTGTGCATCAAATCCATCTTCAGATCGGTCCTCCGGCACAAACAGTGATTCACCCTCCTCTGCTGTCGGGCTCTTCCTAGCTCTAGGCTTATGTGATTCCGCTTGCTCCTTTGTGTCCCTTTCCGCAAACCTCTCTATTAAGCTCGCTTTCACGAACCCCGGCAGATGAGACTTCTCTCGAGCTGGGGGTTCAGGGGTAGCACTTGGTGATTGTCGTCTACGATCATCCTGCACTGGCTCGCTCGCAGCCTCCTCCTCCGGTTCCTCGACGGCCGAGCTAGTACTCACTTGCGTTCGTATACTCGGAGCCCTGAAAACAGGGAGTCTACGATCCGCGAGCTGAGCCTGCGGCACACTCTGATCATGCCCCTGGAACAACTCAAACAGCGCGTTCTTCAGACTCTCAAGCAACGCCGTCTGATCGTGTAGCAGAATCGTTCTCTTATCCGGCGATACATTGACGTCGTACGCATTAGTATCGAGCTTCAAGTCCGCAAAGATGAACGGCGACTGCGTGATGTTATACGACTTATACACCTCATTAAACGCCTTCGCCACCTGCGGTAGCGCACACGGCCTCGAATTCACAAAAAACATTTGCCGATCAGGCGTCTGCCTCCCCTCACCCACAACCGGCCTCGATATATGCCCCGCAATCTTCACCGTCTTCGACCCGTCGTCCTGCGTGCTCCAGTTCCGGGCGCTTTGCATCGCTGCCGCCGGCTTAGCAGACGAATCCATCTCGAACGTCAAGTCTAGGGGTATCAGCGCCATCAGCGTCTTCGCACCGTACACATTCGCGAGGTTGTCCCTCGTGTGCTGGTTTGATTGCGTGGCGAATGCGACCGTCTTCTTCCCCTTCGGCAGCTGGTTGCTCACGGAAAACTTGACCCCCGTGCTTATGCACGCGTACGCGTTCAGCAGTTGAAGCACCTTGCCATACTCCCGCTTAACCGTCTTCTCCAGCTCCTTTCTCCGCACCGGGAGGTTGTAGAATAATTGCTCCACCACGACAATCGTGCCTTGTTTGGCAGCGACCACGGACGTCCCTTTCAGTTTCCCAGACTGCTCGAACTCAAGCTTCGTGCCTTTCGGACCGTCGTCCGCCCGCGCGGTCACGACGTGGAACTTTGAAAGCGCGCATAGGGAGGAGAGTGCTTCGCCGCGGAAGCCGAAGGTCGAGAGGGAGGTGAGGTCAGAGTAGGTGGAGAGTTTGGAGGTATAGTGCTTGAGAGCTAGTGTATCGAAGTCGGCGGCCGCGATGCCAGCGCCGTTGTCTTGTACTTCGATGGCATCGAGGCCGTGGTTTTTGAAGCGGACCTCTAGTGACGTTTAGTATTTGGATGGTGGAGTATGGGGGGTTTGGAGGGGACTGACCGATGGAGGTTGCGCCTGCGTCGACGCTGTTTTCTACGAGCTCTTTGGCGACGGAGCAGAGGTCGACGATGACTTGGCCGGATTGGATTTGATGGACCTGTTATTCCTCGTTAGTGTGTGATAGAGCTTTTACAGAGGGGTACATACGGAGCGGCCCTCAATGGGTTTGATGGTGGCCATTTCAACCCATCGTTGTTGGAGGTGTCGTGGGTGACGCAGCTTGGTCGCGTCGGAGGTCCAACGCGAAGGCACGTGGTGGGGGAACACTAAATTACCAATATAGTGATATAGAAACAGAATATATGTATTCGCACAACGACAAAACCAAAACACGATGAAAAATATGGCTAAGAAGAACGAGACAGGATCATTAGAACTTGTCTCTACTGAAGTTCCTCTCTTTCCTTTTCACATTCGTTCGTCTTGTAATGGTACAATCAATGTCATAGCAATTAGGTCACCACAACCGCCAATATTCACGAATCACTCCAATACATCTCAGATAATTTCGCATTGAGTTATGGGTATTGTACAAAAAATTACATATCCTCACTAGCTAGGACCATAAAACTTCGCTCAGATAGCGAACGCTAGTGAGAAGCCCCCCTTCGTTCATTCATTCATGATGCACTTGGGGGTGGACGTCACTTCAGACCCGAGATGCAACGGCCACGAGAAACAACGTACAGAGTAAAAAGTACGGAGTGGACGTGCTGTGCTGTAATGTGCTGTGCTATGTGGAGGTGTTGCCATGATACGACTGCTGCAGCCCAAAGGCCGTATACATTCAGGATCAGGGCTGTGAATCTTGGAGACATTAGGCGGCGGAGGCCATCCAACGATCCTCGTCATCAGCGACGTCGTAGTCTGCATCTCCTGCCGCACCGTCGCCGTTGATGTCGCCGTTCTGGGCGGGGTGGCCGTTGGTTTCTCCAGCGTCGTCGTCGAGGGCCATCTTGGCGTCGTCTGTTGCGGAATGCTGATGCTGCTGGTCGTCGGGTGGGACACCGCTTGTGTCGGGTTTTGTGGACGGGAGGGAGACGGTGTTGGGGACCCAAGAGGTTTCGATCTTGGTGCCTATGTCGGGGATGGTGGGGACGGAGGCGAGAAACTGGGGTTGTTAAATGGGACGAAATTTCGCAGATGATGTTGGGTGGCAGAGAGTGTGGCAGAGAGGATGGCAGAGAGGATGGCAGAGAGGATGGCAGAGGGGGTGGCAGAGGGGGTGGCAGAGGGGATGGCAGAAAGCAGTAAAACAGAAGTAAAAAACAATATACATACCATTTCAGCGACGTATCGCTCCTTGAAAGTGATGACTTGCGTATCTGGTTTATCCGGATGCGCATCGATACTCTCGAAGTCATACGTGCTCTGCGAAATCGTCAGTTAAGTTCGTCTTCATGTTACCACACCGTGCAGAAAGTCTTACCCAGAGATGCTGCCTCAATGCCTCGTCCTCTTTAGAACCCGTCTTGATGGTCGAAATGGCAATCCTCTTCGGGCGATTGTCAAGCCGCTTCACACCACTGCGACCGCCCATGAATGGGCCGCCGGTATATCCACGACCGCGAGGAGCACCCCTCCATGGCGTATGTGCTCTCCCTCTAGGGAAGTATCCTCCCCTACCACGATAGCCACCGCGTCCACGACCCCGCGGCGCATAGGTCTCAAACTCGGGATCGTAGCCCAGATCTTGAGCTTCAGCCTGTAGAGATGCAAGCTGGTCGATGAGTTGCGAGTCGTCGCCTGACTTCTCTGCAAGCTTTGCTCGTAGGGACCTCATTTTTTCGTCGTTCTCTTTGATCTGCTTGTCGATTTCTTCTTTCTTCGCAGCAGATTCTTGGAGCCTCTTTTGTCGCTCTTCGTATGCTTTTTGTGCTTCGGCCTGACGTCGCTCGATTTCCTCTGGGTCGATCATGTCCTCGTCCTCTTGGTGAGCTTCGCCTTCTTCCTCTTGCTCTCGATCATTTGGTCGCGGCAATGTGTCTGGTTTATACCAGTAGACCTTAACGAACCGATTGTCGAAGACAACCTTTGGGCTGTCGTAAGCAGCCTGCGCTGCATCGCGATCTTCAAACTTCACAATCGCCAGTCGCTTATATGGCTGCATATCAACCTCAGTTATAGTTCCGAATTTCTCGAAGAAACCTCTGACCGCCACTTCGGTGAAGTGCTCTTCCGGTATCTGCTCAACAACAACCGTAGTATTAGTCCGATCGAACGAGGGCCCGGCCTGGGAAAATGGTGCACGAGCGTGGTTCCTATTTGCGCTGTGCCTCGACTCATTTTGGCTTCGTCCGGGCTTGCGGTTAAACTTTGAGTCAAAGTTTGATATTGCGCTGCCGCTGCCGTTTTCACCCAGAGACGCGTTGTTGGGATCGTACTCTGTAGGCATGACGATCTCTCCGCCATGTTCATACGGACAGGTGCTTCCGAGCGCGCAAAAGCCTTTTGTATCGTAGTCCCTGCATCTACCGCTTCGTGGCGGCTCTAGAGCAGCGTTCGGGTTGCCGGGGAATGGTAGGTTGGCAAGCTGGGGAAACGCCATGCTCATCATTGCGAACAGGGCCATAGGGTCCGGGGTGCCAAACGGCATCGCACCTGGTGGTGGTGGGATGGGCATCCCTGGAAAGGGCATGGCCGGTGGAGGTGGAAGTCCAGAAAACGGCCTTGCTACTGTATTATCTTGGGGTATGAAGCCTCCACGGCCTCCTCGGCCTCCTCGACGGGTCGCCTGCTTGAATGGTCGGTCGTTTCCGTGACCGCGCTGGAAGTGAGGATCATGGTTGTCCTTTGGGACGCTGGACTCCCGGTCGTTGAACCTGCGCTTTCGACCCTGCTTGTCTTGCCCGTTCTGTAGGTCTGCAGCCGGTGCGGTCGGCGGGTTGAAGCTGAGCCCTGCGGGTGGGTTGATCGAAGGTATGGCGGCGGTGGTTGGGACGGGAGCGGGTGGTTTTGAGGCTTTCCAGGGCTTCTGCTTCACTGCTTCCAAGATCTCATCTATGAAGCTGTCCGTGTCTGCAGACAGTGAGTGAGCGCATTCAAATAGTGAGGAGCGAGTGACGTACTTTCATGTAGGAAGTCAGGTAAAGCTTCCAAACAATTTGCCCTCACAGTAGCTTCTGAATCATCTGCCGCAATCAATGCGATAACATAGTCCGCAAGCACCGCAGCATCGGCGTCAGATCTGTTGCTTCGTCAATATAGTGAAAGTCACCTGCGCCGGGTGAGGTGAGAGCCTTACGCTTTCTCGAGCTTCGGAATGACCCACTGCTTGAGGGAAGCTCTGTCAGCGTCGTCGAGAAGCATCCTTGCGCTTCGTGCTTGCCAGACACTTCAACTTCAGCGATTTGAGGTTGGTTGTTGTGTGAGGTCCCGCGGCGCAAAGCAGATGGGCGGCGGAACCAAAAGTTGGAGCGAGGCTCACGAAGCGCGATCTTAGCGCGATAGGGTAAATGCCAAGATTTCCACAACAACAGCCCCGCCACCCCAAACTCACTTATTTTGGTACTCACAATTTCCGTTCTGCTGTACGTGCCTCTGCAGGCATGGAGCATGATGTGCTCAATCAAAAAAAAAATGTCAAAATCACGTTCAATGGGAAATTTCAATCACAGTTCATCATCATGGAAGTTTTCTACATGTGACATAGTTCGATTTTCTGCTCGAAGCTATATAACACAAAACGAACGCAAGGGAAAGTCGGTTATCATCCATCCTTATTTCGTGAACCATGCACCCTGAACAGCGCCGACTTGAGAGGGCCAATATGCCCGGACCGTCATTTTTTTCTTTTCCTACGTTTGGGGATGGCGACCGGCGATCACGAGCAGGTCCAAAACTGCCGCATGCCCCAAGATCGACGATAAAGGAAATCTACAACTTTTGAGAGTTTTCCTCTATAGCTTGTCATAGTACTAGAATTATCGTTAGCAAATGCTGAAGTATGTAAAGAGTGTGAATAGAAACTTACGTTGTCAACACCTGGAACCTCGACCTTGATACCCTTCCTCTTACGCATCTCGGCAACGATCTTACCGGGCATGGTGGAGGTGTCAAGCGGCGATCCACCCTGGAGAACCTGCCAATGGTCGAAGACCAATTGAGGGAAGGCCTGTCCGGCAGTGTTTGATCGGAGATCGGCGGTGAAACCGAAAGACTCGTTGACGGGGAGGTAAGCCTTGACGTTGAAGAGGGGAGTACCAACACGCTGGTTCTCCTCGAAGACGTGACCTCTCCTTCGGGTAAGGACACCGTAGATACCACCCATAGCCTGCTCGGGGACCTGGATCTCGACGAGGTAGACGGGCTCCTGGAGAGAGGGCTCGGCAAGGAGAGTAGCGGCGTACAAGACACGACGGGCAGTAGGGATGATCTGACCACCACCACGATGGATGGCATCGGCGTGGAGGGTGACATCCATGATGTTGAAGCGGATGGAACGCATGGGCTCCTCGGCAACGGGACCTTCCTTGGTGGCCCACTGGAAACCAGAGACGACGGAGTCCTTGATTTCGCTCAAGTACTGGACGGCCTTGGTCTGGTCGACGAGCAAGTTGGCACCAGTGGTGTCGGGACCGAAGCACCAAATCTTACGGGCATCGGTGACGTCCCAGCCGTGCTCATCAGCAAGGATACGGGCACGAGCCTTGAAATCGTCACGAGGACCGATCTTGCCGCTCTCAATGGCGAGAGAGACCTCCTCATCCAAAGGCTCAGCAGTGACGTAGAGACGGTTGTGCTTGTTGGGAGACTTGGAGAGAGCGGTGATGCTGGACTTGCCGGCAACGGTCTCACGGTACTGGACGACGGGGTCGGAGACACGGAGAGGAACACCGGCGTGGTCCTCCTCGAGATCCTTCAAGCAAATCTCCAAGTGGAGCTCACCGGCACCAGCAACGACGTGCTCACCGGAGTCGGAGATGTAAGTCAAGACGCAAGGGTCTGACTTGGAGAGACGCTTGAGACCTTCGACGAGCTTGGGAAGATCCTGGGCGTTCTTGACCTCGACGGAACGCTGGACGACGGGGGAGACGGAGAACTTCATGACCTTCAAGTTGTGGGCAGTCTCGTTGGTGGTGAGGGTACCAGACTTGAGCAAGAACTGATCGATACCGACCAATCCGAGAATGTTACCGGCGGGGACATCCTCGATGGGGTCAGTGGAACGACCCATCATGAGGACGGTACGCTGGACGGCCTTGATGAACAAGTCCTCCTTCTTTCCGGGGGTGTAGTTGGGGCCCTGGATGCGGACCTTGAGACCGGAGCGGACGGTACCGGCGAAGACACGACCGAAGGCGTAGAAACGACCCTTATCGGAGGTGGGCACCATCTTGGAGACGTACAACATGAGGGGACCCTTGGGGTCGCAGTCACGGATGGCGATGGCGTTGACATCGTCCTGAGGACCCTCGTAGAGAGTCTCCATACGGTACTTCTGAGCGGTGACGGGGGAAGGAAGGTGGAGAATCATCATCTCCAAGAGAGCGTCGGCAGCGGGAAGGAACTTGCGCATGACAACCTTGAGGAGCTGCTTGCCCTCGAGGTCCTTCTCGTCGCTGGAGAGCTTGATCTCGAGCTTCTCGAGGAGAGTGGGGATCTCGTCGGTCTTGAAGTTCATGACAGCGTTGAAGATGCGGAAGATGGGGTCAAGGATGAACTGGTTGAAAGCACGCTCGAGAGCCTTACCCTCGTGGGTGCCGTTCTTGGTCCACTTCTTGGTCTTGGGGTTGAAGTAGTTGTCGCCCCAGAGACGCTCCATCATCTTGTTCTTGTCAACACCGAACTTCTTGGCGTAACGGGTAGCGAACTGGCGGACGGTGAAAGCCCAGCCGTGGAGACCGGAACCGAAGGCAATCGTACCCTTGTCGGGGTAGACCTGGACATCACCGAGGGTCTTGTCGAAGTAGGTGGCGATGACGACGTTGACGGACTCAATGACACGGGAGAAGTTCTGGTACAAGTCCTCCTTGCTGACCTGGAGCTCGAGAAGAGCACGGTCGACCTTGTTGATGATGACAACAGGCTTGATACGCTCACCAAGAGCCTGTCGGAGGACAGTCTCGGTCTGAACGCAGACACCCTCGACGGTGTCGACGACGACGAGAGCACCGTCAGTGACACGGAGAGCAGCAGTGACCTCAGAGGAGAAATCAACGTGACCGGGAGAGTCGATCAAGTTGATCAAGAACTGGTTCTTGTCGACCTTGAGGGGGATGTCTTTCAAGTCCTCCTCATCCTGAAGCTGGGCGTACAGGGAGATGGCGGTAGACTTGATGGTGACACCACGCTCCTGCTCGTCGGCACGAGTGTCGGTGAAACGAGCCTCACCAGCCTTAGCGGCAGAGATAATACCGGCACGCTGGACGAGAGAGTCGGTAAGGGTGGATTTTCCGTGGTCGACTTTTCGGTGGCGTTAGCTATCACGATGCTCTTGGAAAAAAATTAGATAATGGGGAAAAGGAAGCTTACCGTGGGCAATGACGGACATGTTACGGATGTTCGCCGCCTGGTCCATGAGACCACGGATCTAGAGATGTAGTCAGTATCATAGTTCAATGTTATTTCGATGTTGCGATAGTATGGGATGGTGGGTTGATTCGTGTGTGCGCGGATCGCGGATAAGAACGTACCTCCTCGACAGTGAAGCTGTGGGCGAACAGTTAGCGACATGTTATCCAGTATGAGAAAATGTATATCATTTCTTGAATACAAGAAGATATTTTTTTTCTTTATTTTGAGGGAAGGGTATGAACTTACTTGACCATGTTTGCGGTATTGGGTGGTCTCTACTGTGAAAAATTGGTGGTGGGGGAAGAGAAGATACCCCGCTCGAGGGCTTTTGGTAGCTGTGGATCGCAGTTAGAAGACGAGAGAGGTTGTGTTTAAGGAAGTCGATGGGTATCTATCCGCTGAATGAAGACCAGCAATGGATAATTAGAGTTGGGGAATGGGGGGGATATGGCGTACTCTTATAAGCCCTTGTTGGCGTTGACGAGAGGGACTGCGGGTGAAAGAGAGAGGCAGATGGGAGAGTAAGTGAAAAAAAGGCCACCAAGAATTTCACTTAATAAGACACACAGACACACAGACACAGTAGAGAAGATACGGCAAGAGAAGAGGGGACCGAGTTTTCCACCTACGAAATCCGTTGGTGGGGCAATTCTCGCTTCGGACTAGCGTCCATCATTCCTCAGATTCGCGGTTTCCTGCATCGTCATTGGTCCATTCCTCTCGTAGCCTCGTCTCGTATACCCGCTCTACTCTCTACCCCTCCGCCCTTCCCATTCACCTTTCACTACGGACCTCGTATTCATACCATCCATCCACATTCATCTATCAAACAATACTCCAATCCAAATAATCATTCTCAGTCCCATCCAATCTAACAATTCCCATCCCCGAATAATCCCAACACCCTACAATGACTCCTCTTTATGACTAGACAACCATACCACTCATCCATTACCAAACATCGCCATCGTCATCAGCATCATCATAATCATCAACTAACCTCCGAAAGCACTCACAACGCCTCCCCAACCACCACCCTCATTGGGCACAAATCACACATCGACCAATTGCCCCCCTTGTCCCCATAGCTTTGACGTGCATCATATGATCTGATCAGCGCACCGCCTCCTGTCATTCGCCCGCTCCCTCCACCACACTCCGGCATTCGTCCTCAGCCCTTCCTAGCTACTGTACCTCGTATGAACGAACAATGCAAACCATCCGTGTCACAATAATGATGATCCATGCTTCGTTCATGTTTCAAGTAGAACCGTGAATGTATCATCGTCATCGGTATCCATCCGTAACAATGCAATAATTACACATGTCTATTCCTGGTACGAGTACATGCATACCGTAGTGAAGCATCTAACTATCTAATCCGCCCGCTAGTCACTTGGGTTGGTTAGATTACCAATTCCGGCCTTAGTGCTATATCCGGTTCTGGGTCCAGCCCAGCACCCAACATCATGCCTTGGCGAAGGACACCACTGTTATTTACGACTGACTTCTAGACTCTTTGGTTGTTGTTGATCATACTTTCTGGAATGATTTTGTTCATGTTGTACGCATGGAGTGAGAGTATTTGATCGTGAGACCGGATGTGATTTATTTCTTGGGGGTTGTGTGTATTTTTTCCTCTTTTTATTCACCATTATCATTGCATGCACTGTTTACTATACTGTACACATCAGAAAGATGCAATGAAGCAAAATTATGTCAATATACCTGCAGCTATTCACTGTTTGTTTATTTATTTGTGTGTTCATTTAATTGTTCATTTTTCTATGTGTGAAGAGACAACGGAGATCAAAGCCATGTAAGTTGTTCGTAAGTACGCACCTAGCCGCGATAATCGACCCACGAAGGGCAAGCATATTGTATGTGAACGCAGATCATTGCTCTCGGGACGCAGCGAATCTTGCTACAGAGAGAAATTGAGATAGAAAATTCCAACAAAACAGTATTCATTAACACGAGACATTCACTTCATCACAAGAGCATCTACCGGCACTGAATGGTAATCATTTCATTTTTCATATTCGTTTCTACCAGAAAAGTTCCATTCTTCCGCCTATTTTTGAAAGATCTTGTCTTGATCAATTGAAGCGGTGACGAAAAACACACCATCTCCACCACGAATGTAGCCAGCAGCAAACAGCAAACAACTAGTATGAACAACCAGTCACGTCTACCGCAGCGCAGCGCAAAACCTGGGATACAAGACGAAGAATACGAGACAAAAATATAAGGGGGGGGGAAGGATGAGAGTGGCAAACAAAGCCGTATGGTATCAAAAAAGACGTCCATCGATGATGTTGATTTTTCCTTAGTGCCGTGCTGATGATTTGGGAAATTGAAGAAGGATTGGAGAAACGCCTTGGAACGCCGGTGGAGTTTGCTTTTTCCTTCGTCGGATGGACGGATTCATATGCACAAGAGGGTATGCAGATAAGAGCAATGAAAGACGGGGAAGAAATGAGGTATCAGGGAGGCTAGACAGAGAGGTGATGTGGAAACATCAGTAGGGCTCCCACAACGTCTATGCGTCTTCCTTGATCTCTATCTTGGACTTCTTGGGGCTGCTGGCATTCTCGTCGTCGGCCTTGCGCTTGTTGGGCCTGGACTCGCCATCACCGCGGGAGTCGCGAACGATGGGCACGCCGTCCTCGTCCCGTTGAAGCTCGAAAGGCTCGCTTTTCTTGTCGGAAGACCTGGTATCGCGACGGTCGTCACGACGATCGCCACGACGATCACCACCACGACGATTGTCACGGCCACCACGACGGTCACCGCCCTTGAAATCGTGGGACTTCTGGAACTTGTCACGGCGGCCGTTCCAGTCGCGTTTGTCGCCTCCATCGCGGGAGTTGCTGCGGTCGCGGCGGCGGTGGTCGTTGGGGCGACCACCGCGACCACCACGTCCACCACGGCCTCCTCCGTTACGTCGGGAGTCTTGATTCCTCTGCTTAGGGTAGCCAGGCTCGATACCCTTCTCCTTGCACTTCATCTCGTTGTACTCCTTCTTGCCCATGATGACGAGCTCGTTATCGTTGAACTTGGGCTTAGGATCGAGAGCAAGGAAGTCCTTCTGGCTTTCGGGGCTGTCGAACTCGACGAAGACGCTGCCCTTCCACTTGTTGGTGTCGTCGTCACGGCGCTTGCGCACGACCACTGCGCCGTACGGCTTGAAGAACTTCTCAATCGCAATCTGCCCGGCTTTTTCCTCATCGCCGAAGCCCTTGGCGTAGATGCTGACCTCGAGGTGGTTGAAGGTCTGGCGCCTGTGCTGCCTGAAGGCTTTGAAGAGCTCCTCCCAGGGCGTTCCCTTGTTGCCATCGTATCCGGGTACGGTGATAGGCTCCTTGAGTCTGATTCCCTCGTTACCGGAGCCCCGGAACTCGTCGTCCTCAACGAGCTCCAAGCTCTCAGAGTTGCGGGCAGCGGCGACGATGGCAGTGTAGGGCCGGAAGCGGCGCATGCGCTTGAAGCCGGAAATGTGCTTGAGGGAGATAGGGCGGTTCTCAGGACCTCTCATCTCCTTGAACATATGCTCATCGGTGACAAGGTTGGAGGTGGAGAAGTAGAATTCGAGCTTAAGCAGAATGTTAGTTTTTGGCCAATGGACGTGGACATGAAGCGGCAAGCATACCTGGTCGAGAATCTCAGCGGGGTCATCACTCTCAGGGAGTTGTTCGTAATCCTCTGTAGGTCTAGTGGGAAGCATTAGTGACTTTGCGCTCAGTGCGACAAGGCCTCGAGTGAGAACGAACCTCTCTCTCTGGTAGCGCCTGTTGTCGCGGCCGCCGTAGCGCTTGTTGTCGCGACCCTTCCTGTTACCTTCGTCGTCTCTCTCGTCGACGCCATCAAACTTTGCGCATGTCAGCTTTCACTTCTAACCAGCGATGACTCTTCTGCACTGTTGCCTGCGCAAAAAGACTCAGAAGTGTCTGGATCAATTCTCACATTGGGGATGCTCTTCGGCTCAGCGTCTTCGCCGGCGCCTTCAGCATTGGATTGCGCATTGGCTTCAACGTGCGCTTCAGTGACGGTTTGCGCACCGTTCTCGACTTTGTCGGCCTGCTCGGCCTGCTTCACCTCCGTAGGTTTCTGGATCGCCTCTTCGGCGACGGGGGCATTGTCGGCCATGACAATATGTAGCTTGTAGTACGAAGAGATGTGACTAAAAAACCTCGTTAGCTTAACTTTGCTTGTGAAGATAAACACAAGCGCAGTGTAGACGTGTGAAGTTGTAGATGAGTTTGGAGGGAAAAAAAGTTCGAGAGGTAAACTAGGTCGCGAAAATGGCTTGGCGGCGGGGGACTAGCACTAGGTAGCTCCCGGCCAATGAGATTCGACGCGCTTTTTAGTTTGGTTCGAGGGTATCGGAACAATCGCCGCCGCTTCGCCGAACGCAAAGACTTTTGAGCTCCTGGTTACCTGACGTGGGAATAGTGTACAGCATTGAAGACCCCATTGCACCGCCAATTGACCATTCGTCACCATGAGAAAGAAGCCGAGATATCACTCGTTGAAGAAGCTTGTATGTTTAATTGATTTGGATGCATTCCAGTCCCAATATAGGCACCGCTAACATGATACGATCAGAAAATCCGCCAGGATTGGTCACGATGGACATTATATAGCATAGCGAAGCTGACACGGCCGGACACACGAACGAAGACATACTTCCAGCAGAAATGGGCAGCCAAGTCAGACACACGAGCATACCACGGCGAGGTCATACGAGAGAAGAAATGGAAACGCCAATTCAAGAGGAACATCCCCGCGGTGGTGCCCATGGACCACAGATATCTGGCGAGAAATGATGGTTCTGAGCAGGCAGCCGGACGAGGTGCGGGTGCAGACGTCGAGGAGACCAAATACGCTCCGCAGAGGACGCCGTACATGCAAATGACATACTACCCCATCGAGCGGAGACTCGACACCGCCATCTTCAGAGCCCTCTTCTCGAGCAGTGTCCGCCAGGCCCGACAGTTCTGTGTCCACGGGCTCGTCACCGTCAATGGAAAGAAGGTATGAACAACTTCCCTATCCCTATCCTCTCCAACTAGAACCATTCGTGGGAACTCGACAGCTTATGAAACCCCCGATTTATAGATGGTATACCCTGGATACATGCTCAACCCAGGCGACATGTTCCAAGTGAACACCGAATCCGTGATGTTTGCCACGGGCGCCCAAAAGTCCCGCTCCTCCACGGGCCGCAAAGTCGACGCCGAGAAGCGCGCCGCACGAGCAGACTCGTGGACAAACACGACCCCCACCGACGCCGAACCCAGCATTGCGGAGCTCGCCGCGAAATCCACCCGCAGCGAGCCCACCCCCACCGAACTCAAAGAGCACCTCCAGACCCTCATGTCCAACGTCGAAGAAGTCCTCGCCGCAGAGGTGAAAGCGAAAGACAAGCAGAAGTTCCGCAGCTTCAGACAGGAAGTCAAGAAGGCCATCGCGCTGTGGAAAACCGCATCGCCTGAGACAATCAGCACCCTGGACTCGCAGTTCGACTTCCTCAAAGCCCGTGTCGCCGCCTCCTCCTCCGACTCACCCGCAGACTCCTCCGCCCCTACATCCCTCATCTCCCCCGAAGACCAGCTGAAACTCAAACAAGCATTCGACCGGTTGAAGGAGAAAGCACAGTACGACGCCGCGTGGAACAAGCGCGACGCTTCCAAGCCGTACGCGACGCCCTGGCGCCCCAAGGACTTCATGCCCGCCTTTGCGTTCATTCCACGCTACCTCGAGGTCAACCAGAATATTTGTGCGGCCGTGTACCTGAGACACCCCGTCGCCAGGCCAGGGCTCGCGGAGGTGCCGACACCGTTTCCGTTCGAGACGAGCCAGTTGGCATTTAATTGGTACTTGAGGAGGCGGTAGATGTGTGTATGTAGAAAGACGGGGGTTTATCTCGTGATGGTGGGATGTAAGAAAGAAAGAATAGATAGGACGATTCATGTATTATCACACCTCATTACAATCGCATTTGATCAAGAAATAAATAAATGTAACATGTATTTTTTTCTCCCATCTAAGACCAACGTAGACTGTGTCACCAGATCGGAAACGAAAACGAGAGGAGGTAAACTTACGTGCGTGTTTAGTTTTTGTAATTGTAATTGTATATCAAAACAGTAATTCGAAACCGACCTCCATATTGTTGTGAAACAAATGGACAGTGCATATTCAGTATAATATACACATACTGTATATGTGCTCACGTCACCCTCACCTCATCGTTCATCACTATCATAATCATCATCACAGGCAAAGTCACACACTTCATTTTGAAAGATTTCACATTTATTTCTTCCCCCCTCCCCCCCTTCACTCTCACAACCATCCATCGACCCTCCGTGATACACACATAGGTCTTAGGCCCCTAATTACTCATACACAACACAACACCATCCTTCTTTCTACCCTCCCATGCCTACGAAAAGAAAGCCGAAGCTCCCCGCCCCGCCCCGCCCTGTCCTGCCCCCAGTCAAAAGAAAAAGGAAGAGTAGAACCACAAGATTCCTGTAGATACATGCGTCGTGAAACCGAGCCCAAAAGGGAAAAAGAAAAAAGAGACGGAGCTTGAAGAAACTCGGGAAAAACCGCCTTGAAACGCCTGATTATTCGTTTCAATAATGAAAAAAAAAGGAGAAGGAAATGAGAATTTTGCTGTGGATGATGATGATGGCGATGACGATGGTAGGGAGGTATTAGGTACGTCGCCTTCGAGGTTGATGAGTATGAACTGAAATGGAACGCCTTTGTGTATGTGATGTGATGTTATGTTATGTATCGCATATGCCGACGCGCGAACATAATGAGAATCCTCCCTCACTTGACCTCCGGAAATGATGGAAAAGGTACAAATTATTAGGTATTACTTCTTCGTCTGTCGTCTTCCGCTCTCGCTCGCTCGCTACGCTGCGTTATCATCGTGGACAAGACCCGTGGGTGAAGATCGGAATCTAGGTTTTGACGTCGGGTGCCGTAGTCGAGTCCATGGTGAACATGCTCTCCGGGTACCTCAGGGTGTCGGCGGATGGCCGTGGGCTGACATCTACGACGCTGGAGTCTGGAGTGGTCCAGCTTTGTGATGTGCTTGTGTCGTCCCTGTCCTGTGTGTCGTCGTCCTCGTCGAAGGGAGAGGAAGATGGGGATGGCGATGATGATGATGGTGGTGTGATGGGGGAGGTGTACTGGCGGAAGCCGTCGGCGACGTGGTCGGAGGTGTCTTCGTCGGATTCGTAGGCGGGGGGTGCGGTTGATGCATTGGAGGAGGGGTATCCTGGGAGAGAGGATGTGCGTGATAGGGGTCGGGACGGCGGGAGCGAGGCGAGGGTGTTCGCGGTGTTCGTGGTGTAGACTGAGGAGGCTATGGAGGGGGAGTAGAGGGGCTGGGTGTCGAATGCGTCGCTGTCCCGAGCAGCTGGCTGTTGGTGAGATTGGTAGTAAGCATGAGGAGGTTGAGGCGGCAGGCGGGGTGGGTTATGGCGACAGTGACATGGTGCCTGCTGGTTAGGACGGTTGAACTGGCTTGATAGCCGTCCTTCCTCGGCTTGCACGAGCGAGTTCACGAGACCGTGGGCTTCGCGAAGTTGGCGAATCTCGGTCTGCATCGCGTCCTCGAGGATGGATTCTTGCTCGCTGATGAGAGACCGCTTCTCCTCGTAGTCGGCGATGCGTTCCTGGTCGCGCCAGGTGCGACGTCCGTTCCACCAGTTCTGCCAGCGGAGCTTACGGGCAGCTCGGCGATAGGCGCGAGCACTGTCACGTTCCTCGCGTCGTGCAGCTCGTTCTGTGCGGGTGCGAAGGGAGCTGCAGCGGTGGCGGATCACAGACATGAGACAGCCGCAGCAAAGGACACCGACAATGATCTCGAGGGCGACGATGTAGACATTCTTTGACCCAGTCTGAGAACTGTTGCCATTGAAGGGATCAGGAACGGAATCTTCCGAGGCGTGAACCTCTTCGGTCTCAGTCTGTGCCTTTTCCTTGGAATCATGGTCGTGGAACTTTGTGGATTCGGGGGTCTGCTTGTGGTTGCCCAACCGGTGGTAGCGGTCTTCTGGACGGCCCATGTCCGAGGGAGAATCGTTGGACTTGTGCCCAGGGCGAATGGTGACGTAAACAACGTCCCAGGCGCCGTGAGCTTTGTCGCCGATGACTTTGACTACACAGGTGATGTTGTGGCACTGCTGTAGCTCCTGTTTGAGAGTCTTGTTCCCTTTCTTGGCCTGGATGGACTTTTGTTTCTCGACAATGATCTTGTGGAGTGCCTCTACTTCGGCTTGGAGAGCCTTGAGCTCGCGAATATCTTCCTCAATGGTCGTCTCGACGTTGTCATCTACCGAAATTGCGCCGTTCTCCTGGCCCGCGGGGAGGGTCAATCGAAGATGCGCGGGAGGCTCACGCCAGGCCTCTGCATTCACGGCGTCCTTTGCCGAGAGTTGGGGTGCACGCTCGAGTCTGAGGAGCTCGGGCGGCGACAGTTGCTTGTAAGAGATGGTAAACCCAGAGGGGTTTTCAAGCGGTTTTCCGTCGATGGCCTTGATGGTCAAGGAAAGGAGCTGGGCGGCGTCAGGTGATGTCACCTGGGTCTCTCGTGTCTTGTCCTGAGGTTGGAGACAGGAAGACTCCCATTCGAGATCCAAGTCGTGTTGTGAGTACCAGGCATTCTCTTGGATGTCTGTGACGCCTTTGAACGAAGCTGAGCCGGAAGCCGAATCACCATACCATTCGTGGGGTAGGTAGAGTCCATTCACAGTGACGTTGGGGAGGCCGCAGGGTTGGTCTTGAGAGTGGGCTTTGAAGTCGATGGTCTAGCATGGAGAGTTAGGGCGAGTTCAAGACTTGTATACAAGCGTAGATGTATATATAGTTTGTTGCCTGAAGTGGGCCTTACTATTGAAGAAGAGTCGTCGTCATCATCATGACCATGGCTCGTGCCGTGTGGGCCAAGACAACCCGGACATGGGATGGTGAAAGTTGCTTGCGCATAATCGGGTTGGAGAACTAGTCCACAAGTTCAGCAAGTGATGCCTAGTGATGGCGAAAAGATAGATGATACATAAATAAAGGGTGGGCGCATACCTATCTCTGGGTGAGATATCTTAGCTCCAGCCGAATGAATGGCATGGCCATCGTTGTTGGATCTGGAGGAGGGGAGAGCAACGGCACAGGCGGGAATAGCCCAAGCGACAGCTGAGAGAACTTTGGACTTGAGGGACCGCATCGCAAGCCTCGGAATTATTTATTCACGAAAAGGAGGGAAACGATGGGAACGAAAAGATGCGACACATAGGAAGGGAAAATGCAGAATGTATGTATTATTGAAAGCCCCGACCTAGGGCGACGACATGCACAACAACGACGACAACAACAACGACCAAGAAGTAAGATGTGGGGAGTAAGAAAGAAAGAGGGAGAGAGGGGGAAGATGGTTGGACAGGAGGATGAATGGGAAGACGGAAGACGGAAGACGGAGATGGAAGAACCAGGTGGCCTTGAGGGAAGGCAGAGTAGTAGTAGTGGAGAGAGAGAGAGTAGAGAATGAGGATCAGGCACCAGCGAAAAGGGCGGAGGGCAGAACACGAACCTTTTAGACCCTCAAGACGAAGAGAAGTAAGTAGACGCGGTAGAGTCAGTTGTTTAGTAGTAACAACAGTTAGTAGCAGCAGCAGAAGAGACGGTCGCTCTGCTAATGAATTAATTGCTCTTTGCTCGGACGGACGAAGGAGGCGCAGGCATGAGGAAGAAACTGGCGCATCAGCACTAACCAACTGACCATACACGCCAGTATCTACGATTCTACACCATAACTACGCCATGATATCTACTAAGCAGCGGGTTCAGAATGGTTACTCGTAGTCTATACTCCGCAAGCTCGTTCTAATTACTTGTATCTTATGATTTCATTCTCTATCCTACATACTCTATACTCTACCAAACGTATAGACATTCGTCCGTCCTTCAACCTCTACCTAACTGTCTACAGAACTATAAATATGCCCTCGGTTACGAGATACCGAGAAAACACCATCTTCCGTCTTGAGCAAAAGCAGAAGAAGACGCGTGGCTCATGTCCGTATTGAGGATGCAAACTGCCTGAGGCCAGGGGTAGATAACCCCCAAAGATGATGATACCAGGTTTTGTATGATTCTCGAAACGAGATGGATTGATTGATTGGCCGAATGGCTGGACGGCATGTTTGAGACCAAAGGCATCATCCTATCATCGTACAGTGTGGCTGAGCAGCTGTTGTCCTGACTCTTGACGCCCTGACCTTTCAGCTTCTATCACGCTTTGACCGGTGGTTGTGGTGATCATTAAGGTGTGTTAACTGCAACCACGAGTACCTTGTAGGATGTAATCGAGCTGGGGGAAGTGCACTTCGTACTGTGCATATTCATCATTCATGATCTACATGCTAATCTAAGTGTCCTCTTCTCCCTATGCCTTTGCTCTTCAATTGATGGCTTTATCCGTTATACTTGCTCTACTAAACTGATCAGTGATGATTTTGAGAAGAAGAAAAAGAAAGAAAAGACCCGTTTGTTCATCATCTGAGCTTACATCTCCCTAGGAATCTTGCAAATACCAAGCTGTGTGTTATTTGTTACTTGATTGATGATGCGAAATCCATGAATGCGAGTGATGCGGGATATGGTCCGTGCACACTCTCCCAAGTCCTGTAGAACAATTCGTCACTACAACGACAACCCAGCAAAACACACCCAAACCCACGTCCGCACACACATTGTCGACTTTGATAGTCCCCATTCCCTTCTCGCCAGACTTCCGCTGATACAGCGCGCTCGATTGTCGGTCCCTACATTGCTACCGCTGCGGCGCGGCGCGGCTCACACACAATTACAGAATGGTGCGTGTATCGCATTCCAGCCACGACCGACATTCGGTTCCGTGGCCCGACGATGGAATATATATGCTGACTGCGAGTTCCTATAGCTTCCTCTCGGACTATTGACGGCTGCCACCGGCCATCCAATGCTGGTGGAGCTGAAGAGCGGCGAGACCCTCAACGGCCACTTGGTCAATTGCGACACATGGATGAACCTTACCCTCAAAGAAGTCATCCAGACCAGCTCCGGCGGTGACAAATTCTGGAGGATACCGGAGATCTACGTTCGAGGTAGTACGGTTAGTAGTTCTCCAATATCTGATCAGACTACTATAGCCAGATCGCAGAACTAACATTCGGCCTCTAGATCAAATACCTACAAGTCCCCAACGAGATCGTCGACGTTGTTAAGGAGCAGCAAGTGAAGGACCAGGCCAACAGAGGAGGACGAGGCGGTTCATCAGCAAGGGGAGATCACAGAGGAGATCGTGGTGGACGAGGAACCCGCGGTCGGGGACGAGGACGGGGACGGGGAGGCGGTGGTGGGGGTGGTGGTGGTGGTGGAGGAGGAGGCTCTTGAAACCGCAATATCAACATACGGACACTACTGCGATCGCAATGAGGTCAAGATTGACTTGACACCTGCTCTTCGATATCCAACACTTCCAAGCGACTCAGGCGGAGCTTAACCGCCGAACCTGCGCTGTCTTCACTACAATAACCTAATCAAAGGAAGATTTCCCATGGGACGACCGTTGCGTTTGAATTGATACCTACCATAGAATTTGAAGAAAAGGAAGAGACAGCATATCTTCTATGCGAATACACATCTCGGAGTGGTCTTACAGGTGCCCCGGCAGGAACTGACCTTGCCCAAGTCGGGATCTGATAGGGTGAACTAACAACTCCAGGACGTGCATACATAACGACAGTGCAGACCATAACCACAACTCCAGCTCTTTCTTTACAACGGAATATTCCATAATCCCAGTCATCAACGGTCCACCCACATTGGTGTCATCCTTTGTTGTGTCAACGTCGAAAGCACCCGAATTGGGCATTTTGTCGGATACCGGGAGTTTCGAGTAAGCGGGGTCAATCCACGCGGCGGATCGACCGAGCTACAGCTCAAGCTCGACTCTCTCCAACACCCGACGACATCCCACCTCTTTTTGGTTGGTCTGACGAGGTCCAAAGAAGAAATATATAAACGGAATCGGCCTGTTCCTGTCAGCATGCAGCTTCCCACATTACTGACTCGCTGTGTCACCCAGCCCATTTACATATACCCTTTCATACTGTTGTACCATTGAAGTCACATAGCTTGCAACCATGGCATCCTTCACAATCTCCGACGATGACTTCGCAAGTCTGCAGGGCAAATTCGCCGTTGTCACCGGTAACCCCTCATCCCTTCCCATATCCCTAGTCCATTCAATAAATCGAAACTTTGCTAACCAACCCCCCAGGCGCCTCATCCGGCATCGGTCTCGCAACCGTGAAACGCCTCCTCCAGCACGGCGCCAAAGTCTACGCCGCCGACATGAACGAGATGCCAGAGCCAGAGAGGTCTCAGGTCGGATTCTCGAAAGTTGACGTCCGGTCCTGGAAGGAGCAGTCCGATCTGTTCAAGGCCGCGAAGGAGAAGTTCGGGAAGATCCATCATGTTTTCGCCAACGCTGGTACGGTCTAGCCCTTCATCCGTCTCATCCCATATCACATGACATGATATGACATGCCGGGAGTATATTGAAAGAGGAGGGACATGGGATTATCAACGCCTTCGACAAAGAAACAGAGATTGACGATATCAAAATTCAGGTATCTCGCCGAAAGTGACGCTCCTCGAGGAAGACACGGACGAGAACGGCGACCTCCTCCCGCCGAAGCTGGACGTAATCGACGTGAACCTCGTCGGCGTCATGTACACGGTCAAGCTGGCGATCCACTACATCCGGCAGCACGACGAGGGAGGTTCGATCGTGATGACCGGGTCTGGATCTAGTGAGTCTATCTCCCCTGTTTCCACTTCCTCAGCACATCAACCACCACATTCATTCATTCCTTGATATATCACCACACAAACATAGACTAACAAACCCCTCCCCAGGCTTTAGCAGATTCTCCACAACCGACTACAGTAAGCCCTTCCCCTCCCCCTCTTTCCACCTCCCTCACTAACCCCCCCTCCCCACAGCCGCATCCAAACACGCCGTCTTCGGCCTCCTCCGCTCCCTCTACCGCCACCTCTCGCCCGCCCTCCCCATCCGCATCAACGCCATCGCGCCCTCCTGGACCGCCACCGGCATCGTCTCCACACAAATAACATCCTACCTCGGCGAGGGCAACTTCCAAACCCCAGACGTGGTCGCGCGCTCGGTGCTGAAGCTGTTTGCGGATGAGGAGAGGCATGGGCAGATGGTGTATAGTTGTAAGGGGCAGTTTTGGGATATCGAGGGTGGGGAGAATGGGCTGGTGAGGCATAATTTTAGGATGTTGGGGGAGGGGTATGAGGAGGAGGAGATTGTAGTAGAGGGGTTGAAAAGGTTGGCGAAGGAGCAGGCTGCTGCGGCGAAGGATGGGAAGGCGTCGTAGTGAGTTTAGATATATTAGGTACCTAGCTTAGGTAGATAGAGAGGTTGGTAGAGTCAGTATGTACTGCAAAACACGCCTGCATCGAAGGCAAGTTGTTCGTTCATCAATCCCTCCCTCCACTCTTCTCTACCAAAAAGATGTACCGGGATGTATAAACTCACACAATTCACCATCATTATGACATCCAGTCATTTACCTACCTCCCATACATCAACTTACACACCGTTCGTAAATCTCCTACCACTGTCGTCCTGGGACATTCTACATACATCGACTTCGGTAACGTGACTAGGGCGGCTATCGACCTGTGTTCTATATTTACAACATGAGGGACGTACATATATACATACGTACATGTACATACATTGCCGCCGTGTACTTCCACGACGTACTATGAAATGCAATGTCATGTAATATGTTATGATGTACATAAATGCCATTGATATATATACTATGTACAGCGCTGGGCATTGAAGAAAAGGGGTCGGGCATTTACTGCTCCGTTCTGTACCCGTTCATAGATTGTGGGGTAGATCCGCATACAGCATCACCATCACGATTTGAGCAGCACAATAGTGATTGTTAGGATATTTTCAAGTGATTTATGAGTTGTGGATGGCATGATGGTTATGGTGGTTATGGTGGTCGTATTTTGGGGCGTGGCCAGGGGGTCGTTCATATCGACGGGGAGGGGTTCAGGTTCAGGCACGGCGCGTACTATGTAAAGAGCCACCACACACTGTTCTCTCAAAGATGGGAGTTCCAACGATCGGGAATCCATAATCAAATCCTACACTACACACACAGTCCATCTACACAGCAAGAAAAAGGCAATTTCAAAGACCGAAATCGCGGTCACGGTGTGTGTGTTGGCGGCAACTATATTTGTGGATACAGGCTCATGCACGGTGTAAGGAGTAGTGTGGACGAAAAAAGAGGGGGATGGTTTTTGTATAGATTGAGAAACGGATTCGAAGTTCCAATTTTAAATTTTTTATCGACAAGAGAAGCGGTAACTATTGATTAGGTGTCTAAACTTATCGGGGTTTGATTGGGAATTACTAGACTGCGCTGCAAGAATCGAAATGAGGATCGTAGTGGGTTGGAGATCTGATTAGTTCCATAGTGGGAGTTCTACCTGGTACCGTGAGTGGTTCTGTTTCCTTCAATTGAGTTCAGTGAATCCGTTCCGTTTCGTTTCGTCTCATTTCTGTTGGATCCAATTCTGTTCAATTACCGTTCAGTGCTTGTCATACGGAGTAGTTCAGCAAGAGTTCATCCCTGGCTGGGCTGACCATGAATTGACATGGATGAGGACCGATTAAGACGATGGACAGACGCGGATAAGGGGTTGAGCCCCAGCGAGGGAGAGAAACAAACAGCCACACGAATGGTTGCAGCCAATCAGGTGGGCAGGATTAACGCGACTCACTCTATCGTTCCCGTAGCCCGTAACTACTGTGTACCTTGCAAGCACTCTCTCTCGTACCTTTTTGTAGCCAATTCACCCTTGTCATGCCTGTACCTTGCACACTCAATCTCGTATCGCTGCTCGTCTCATTCTTCCTCCTCTTCTCACTCACACTCTCTCTCCTCTTCTTCGTCTCTTGTCGTTCTTCGTCCTCTCCTTCAAGACCTGACCTCGACGCTCTCTCGCCGCTGCTATTGCTGCTACTAACCCAACAGACGCTCATTCCTTCTTCTTCTCTTTTTGTTTTCTGCCGTGTTGACGACCTACGCGCACACGCACCCACGCTCATTAGCTACCAACTACGCTATTAATCACCTTTATCGACCATCTCTTTAATCAATCGATCAATCGATCAATCGCCAGTAATTCGGTCCTTCTCTGTCGAGATTCCATCCACGTATTCTTGTAATTCCAATCGCAACCCACAATCGTAATACCCTTTCTTGCTACCATCTCGAGCACGAACAGACCAACGCACAATCGACGACAGCAGCAACCGCGCCGCCGTCACCACGACTCCTTCGTCGAACCCCACGACCCAGCAATAGAAGAGAGAAGCGCTCGCCCAGCGTTTCTCCTGCCCTACGACCGCCACCACGGCTTCCGCGCTGGCTACCACGATCCTCCCACGGCCATTGGCCCTCGAATCGTTCCGCCGTCCATCGATCTTACAGGTGCTAGACCTGCCATCCTTCAAGACGGCGTCCTCGACGAGCAACAGCCTCCACCTGGACGTGGACAGGCAGCAGCTGCCTTCCATCGGGTTGGACATCTCGCGCCCCTCGTCTGCGGCGTCGACGGTCCATTCGTACACGCAGCAGCGACATGGCAGCCATGCGAGCATCCAGCTGCCGGCGCTGTCTACTCTAGCGTCTGTGGCATCGACGAGCCCGCCGCACTCCAGCCATGGAATGGGGAATAAGGAGAATCTGATGTTGGATGGGGGTGGAAGTGGAAGTAATAATGGCAGTGTGAATGGAGGGACGCCGCCGTTGAAGGCATTGTCGCCGCCACCGCCGCCGCCCGCGCCTGCGTCGGTGATGATGATGAGGTACGTTTATGTTCTTTTCATTCTATCGTTATAGTTTTACCTTTTTTGGTGTTGGTGGCATTGAGGCATTGCGAGAGAGAGAAGTACAAAAAAAGAAAACGAGAGAGCAGAAGAAGAAGAAGAAGAAGAAGAAGAAGAAGAAGAAGAAGAAGAAGAAGAAGAAGAAGAAGAAGAAGAAGAAGAAGAAGAAGAAGAAGAAGAAGAAGAAGAGAGAAGAACAAATTGCGGGGATGAATGCACGACGGACGATCAGTAGTAGTTGTAGGGGAGTTTGGTGTTCTTTTGTGTGTGTATGAAACATGTATGGGGAAATGGGGGGAAGATTGCGCAATTGGTTGTTTTGAGGCGCCGGAATTCCTCGACTTCCCATTCGCCGCCGAGTCCCCATCCTCTCTGCCCTTGGTTCCTTCCTCCACTCTTCCTTTCTCTCTCTCGCTCTTTCCTCTTCTTCTCTAACCGCGTACTCTCTTCTCCTGCTACTCTTTTTCTTATCGGGAAGATCTCTTGGCGTCCTTCCCTTCCCTCCAACTTTTCTTTCTCTTTCTTCCCTTCACGATTTCCCAGCAAAACCAGCAACCCAGCAACTTCTTTTCTCTTACTGTAGCTGTGATTGTGGTTGCTGTTCACCTTTTCATCTTCTTTTCACTCACCTTTACCCTTGCCCTTACTCTCTACTCCTCACACTCTCTTATCCTACTTCTTACTCACCAACCTCTCTACCTGGGAATGGGACACAAACTAACAAGAAATGTTCGACAATAGCAAACCTACCAATGGCCTCAGCATGACCTATGCAACCGCTGCTCCCGCCACTGCTGGTGGCATGCAAAACGGTCCGGTAAGTTGTGTTGCCTGCTTTCTTTTCTTTCCAATCCTGTTGTTTGTTGTTTTGCTCCTCGATCGCGTTCTGTCGCGCACTCTATCACTATCATTATCTTTATCGCTATCGATATCGATATCGATATCCGCCTCTTATCGCGACAATCGATAGCAACGGCTTCCCCAACCCTACCCCAACCATTACATCGTCATCACCATCATCAACACCAATATTCCTGCTGCATGTACTGTCAATACTACGACATCATCACTAATACGTCTCCAGCCCGTGTGCCAGAACTGCACCACCAGCACAACCCCCCTCTGGCGACGCGACGAGTCTGGCTCCGTCCTCTGCAATGCCTGTGGTCTCTTCCTCAAGCTACATGGCCGTCCACGCCCCATCTCTCTCAAGACAGATGTCATCAAAAGCCGCAATCGCGTCAAGACTGGCGGGCCCGGTGGCCGTAGAAAGGTTCGTATCTAGCCACTCCCTTTCTTTGCGTCTTCGTCCAAAATTGACTCCTCTCCAGCCCGGCGAAGCAAATGGCCTTCCCGCCGCTCACCCCGACGCCGATGGCTCCATGGCTCTAGCCCAGCACCGACGAGCCTCTGGCAAGATCTCCTCCGGTCTTTCCGATCGCTCGCAGTCTCCCATCTCTCGCACCGGCACTCCTGGCTTCGGCGGCGCCTCCAACATTGCTCCCCAGCACATGTTCGATGGCGCTTTGAGCAGCGACTTCCACTCTCCCTCGCTGCCTGGCTTCACCCTTCGACACCCTTCGCCCTCTGCCACCTCCTCCATCAACGGTTCTCACCTCGAACCCCCTCTGCCATACGATGTCCTCGCACAACATAATACTTCCTTGCGCACACGTGTCAGCGAGCTCGAGGTCATCAATGATCTCTTCCGTGGTCGCGTGACGGAGCTCGAAGCCAGCGAGCAAGAAGCTCGGCGGTTGGAGAGCTCCGCGCGGGCAGAATTAGAAGAGTCGCGGCAGCGCGAGGCGGAACTCAAGCGGCGTCTCGAGGAGATTGAGAGCGAAGGCCCGAAACATAAGAAGATGCGGCTCAGCGATATCGTTGACGAGAGCAGAGCAGGCACACCGATCAGCTCGCTCGGTGACTAATTGTTCCGGTTCGTTCGTCGGCACGGTGCGCTTTTTTGCTTGTACTCGACTTTAACTTAATGACACCTTATGCACGCGGGATCGAACGATGAAGGATCTGGCATTGCCACTTCCTGTACTCCCTTTATTGCTTTCATATCTGCTCAACATCAGCATTCACCGAGAAAATATCCAGACCTCTCTCTGTTCTGCGTCTTGACGCCAGGAAGAACGATAGGGGTGAAACAAAAATCAACGATGGCCTGGTAGTAGGAGCCAAGTTTACTAATGTCTGAATCTTTGAACGGTCTGGTGGACCGTGTTCTGTGCGGTGGGAGCGGTGTACTCTAATATTTCTTCACTTCTTTGGCCGATCCTTCTGCTCTCCAGTAGGGATGGGATTGTGTCCTTTTCTGATTATGTTCTTTTTTCACAAGACGATAGTTGTAGCGTAGGTGGTTGCCGCTCGCTGCTGTCGCTACTCCTTATCAGGGCTTACGTGCGAACGATCCTGAGTGTGTGCGTGTGACTTCGGTCACTACGATTGGCTATGTGCTGGTGTATTGGCTGGCGGATCTTGCATTTTGGAGAGTCAGCAGTCGGAGGGGTATCTGTCTCTTCCTGGTGCTCTCTCACAAAACAAAAAAGTGTTTTTTTCTCCTTTTTCCTCTGTCTTTCGCAGTTCTATAGTAGGTAGTGTTGCGTGGTGATGCATGCTTATGCGTCTCGGGGGAGGGTAGGAGAGAGTCTAACATTAATTAAAGAGACCGACAGATAGGCACGTGGGGAATGAAATGTATGAAGAACTTGAGAACTTGTCACCCTGATCAACTTTCTGACGTGAATGCAACTAGTAGTCTGTTGTAACTGCTGCACTGCACCCACCCTACACTCTACTCTAGAGACCTAAGACGTATCGTTATTCTATATAAACATCCACCCCTACCTTCCCTTAGAGGTGTTAGACAGCTTAACAGGAACAAGAACTATAACTTAATAGAACTTATCTACATGTTTGCCTTTCACTACTATCTTCACCTCCATCTTCACCTCACTCTTCAACTGTCTTTACTACTGTCTTTACTACTCTCTTTACTACTGTCTTTACTACTGTCTTTACTACTGTCTTTACTACTGTCTTTACTACTATCTTTACTACTATCTTTACTACTGTCTTTACTACTGTCTTTACTACTATCTTTACTACTATCTTTACTACTATCTTTACTACTATCTTTACTACTGTCTTCACTACTGTCTTCACCTTCACCATTAACCTGTACTACTATCTTCACCATTACCCTAACATATTAAGCAGCTCTCTCCTTAAAAATAAACAGCCTAATACATTACAGTATAGCATAGTATACTTGATACCTGGTACCTATATCCCCCCCTATAGTTCCTTTATAAATCCTTTATCAAACAAAATTCTATCTATTATACATATATTTGTACGTGCATGAAAAACTAATAGCAGTTGAAGGAAATATTAAAGATGTTAGTAGTAGACATACGTGTTGTTGATTTAATAGTCTCTGCCTAGTAAGTCGAGTAAAGAAAAATATAGACAGTGTCTATAGGTGAGAGTCAGTAATGGCGTACATACACACGATCATTTATTTTAGTATTCCTCAATTTTTACAGACTGAGAAGTAAAAAGTAGGTCATTGACATTGCCATGTCTTTTGCATGATTCAACGTTTGTGAAAACGACAATTAAATTCCCAGACTATCAAAGTTGCAAAACGACTTCAAATGTCCATCTCACCTCACACACATATTCAAACAAATCCACCCCCGCAAAAAAACCATACTTCGCGAATCTGCCTCGTATCAATCCTCCGTCCGCATCTAGAAGCAAGATAAAATGCAAGTGAGAATCCTTACGGTTCGGACGCTCCCCTTCCCGCGATTAATATCTAACCGGCTATTCTCCTCGTACCTTGAATTCCTCAGGCCGGCCACTGAACATCCCCGCTCCCTTACCCCTGTAGGATGGGTTTACTTACTATAGTTGAGGATTGGAAGATTGGAAGTATGCGTATATATAATTGCCTCAAAAGTAAAATGTTCAATTCTACAACTCCATTGCCTAGCTATTCATCTTGAAGGTTTTGTCACAACGGGACCTGTAAAACACAAACATGAAGCACCCTCTACTCCTCCACCTAGCAACCGCCCTCCTATCCCACACCCCCCTCACCCTCGCCGTCAACCAAACCGTCAACCTAAGCTACGCAAGCTACAAAGGCCGCATCGTAGGCGACGGCACAACCCAATGGCTCGGAATCCGGTACGCCGCACCTCCCCTCGGCGCCCTCCGCTTCGCAGCCCCCCAACCACCACATCCCTCCCCCTCTGCCCTCCTCGACGCCTCCAACTTCGGTCCCATCTGCCTGCCCGGGAACCCCACGGACTGGACCACGCGGCCGAACCCGCGCTTCACGCTCTCGGAGGACTGCCTGTTCCTGAACGTCTTCGCGCCGACGAATGCGTCCGAGGGGTCCGGGTTGCCGGTGATGTTTTTCATCCAGGGGGGCGGGTTTAGTAGTAATTCGAACATGAACTACAACGGGAGCGACCTGGCGCGGGAGGGGAACATGGTGGTGGTGTCGATTAACTACCGCGTCGGGGCGTATGGGTTCTTGATGAGTGGGGAGATTGAGCGGGAGGGGGGGTTGAACGCCGGGATTAGGGATCAGATTATGGCGTTGGAGTGGGTGAGGGAGAATGTGCGGAAGGTGAGTTGAGTTGGCTGTGGTGGTGGTGATGCGATGTGAGGCTAATGATGTGTGTGACAGTTTGGGGGGAATCCGGAGCATGTGGTTATTGATGGCGATTCGGCGGGCGCGGCGTCGGTGATGATTCTCATGGCGTCGCCGGTTGTGAGGAGGAAGAAGTTGTTTGTGGGCGCGATTTCGGAGTCGACGTATCAGAATACGTATCGTACGCTTGAGCAGGGGAAGACGCAGTATGATTGTCTGCTCAAAGCTACTGGCTGCGGTGAATCGAATTCGACATTAGCATGTCTTCGGGCAGTGAACGCAACAGCGTTACAAACGACGAACTGCGGGTTCAATCCGAATCTCGACCCGGAGATCATTCCTCAGCTCCCGTTCACGGCGTTCGAGAAGGGCGAGTACATGAAGATCCCGACCATCCTGGGCGCCTGCAACGAAGAAGGCACGAAAAACGTTCCCCAATCCATCGACACGCTCTCTGAAGTGCACTCCCTCCTCCTCTCACGAGCTCCCTCCCTGACCAACAGCTCCATCAGCGTCCTCGACACCTTATACTTCACCAACCAAACCTTCCCCGTGTTCCCCAACTCCGGAAAATACTGGCGTCCCCTATCCCGCGCCTACGCCGAGATCTACTCCACCTGCGTCGACAACATCTACCAAGACATCCTCGCCGCGGATGACGACGCCGCAGCACCCACCTGGAACTACCGCTACGGCGTCCTCGACCCTACGCATGAGGCCCAGGGCTTCGGCGCCTACCACGTCGTCGAGATGTTCGCGATCTGGGGCCCCAACAACACGGACGGGAACCCGCCCAAGTCGTACAACACGACGAACGCGGCCATCATCCCTGTGATTAGAAACTACTGGACGAGCTTTATTAGGCATTTGGATCCGAATGTGGGGAAGTTGGGGGAGGCGCCGGTTTGGGGGAGGAGAGGGAAGGGCAGGGAGAGATTGCATTTTGTTACGAATGGTACGGCGATGGAGAGCTTACCCGCCGAGCAGGTGAGGAGGTGTGAGATATTGGATCCGCTGGTGAGGGTGCTGGAGTATGAGCCGGCGGAGGGGACGGTGACGGAACTGAAGTTGTCATAGTGTAGTCTAGCTCGTAGTGTATGGTTGACGTAGCAGATGGTTGAACCAGTAGTGTATATGGCTTTTGATACAAGGCCAAGAAACAAATCTCTCGGAGCAGGAGAACCAAAGATAGGTACTGGAGACTGTAGAGATGCTGTTTATATTGAAAGCCATTCACGTAGTGAGTGACTTGACTTTGATAAGGGCCATAACAGGCTTCAATTGCTGGACTTTGCGGGTCAACATAAGTAAAACCACGCCACATCTATCTCTTTCTATTTGTTTATATACACACTTTTAATTGCCGAACATGATTATCTGAAAGAAAAGAATTCGATGTCGTCGTTGAGACAAAGGCAAGAGTTATATGATTGATGCCAAGCAACCGGCTGGAAGGGGCTTATGTAAGGCACCGTCCGTGCGTGCTCCCGAGCTCCCCTTCAAGTTCCTCGCGCCTGAAAAACTCCTCCTCCTTCATCCTCAACCCATCCCATTGCACCTCCACCCCATCTCCAACTCATCTCCACTCCCACCCATCACACCATCAAAATGGTTGCCATTGCACGATCCTTCGGCGCCGCCCGTCTGGCCGCCCGCTCCGTCCAGGCTGGCAAGCCCGCCTCCCGCTTCGTCTCGACCCAGGGTAAGATATAAACCAACCCATATCACTATCATCGATCCGAATTCCATCAATTGCATCCTCAATTGCATCTGGCAATTCATCTCGCAGCCATTGGTAGCCATTGACAGCCATTGACAACCTTGTGCAGCTCCTGTCCGCCAGAACACCCTCGTCCAGAACAGCGCTTTCCGCAACGCCTTCAAGAACAACTCCGCCCGCAACATGATCCAGTCTCGCGGCATCGTTGCTGAGACCACCGCCGGAGCTATGGTCGCTGCTGCTAAGCTCCAGGGTGCCGGTCTTGCCACCATTGGTCTTGCTGGTGCTGGTGTCGGTATCGGAACGGTGTTCGGTGGCCTCATCCAGGGTGTCGCCCGCAACCCTTCCCTCAGGGGTCAGCTCTTCCAGTACGCCGTTCTCGGTTTCGCCTTCGCTGAAGCTACTGGTCTCTTCGCCCTCATGATGTCCTTCTTGCTCCTCTACGTTGCATAGAGTGGTGCGCTGCGCTGGGCACTCTGTCTTCTCGGGTCATCGGTTCGGGTATCAGGGTGGAAAATTTTGCAAATGGGTGTGTGCATACAAGACATCTTTTTCCTTAGTTTAGTGGCCGGTCAGATTGTGTAAAACCCATGTACTTTAGATCTACAATCTGAAGAGCAAGCTGCCGCTTCACTGCTCTTAATCTGACTCCCGAGGTTCAATTTTTTCGGAGCTCCTGCAACTTCCGTGATGTATCGCAGAACCGCCATCAATTGGCCAATTGCGTCAGTGCCCGTATCTCAGCTAATTCCGATGCATTTCTCCGCGTGTCTGATGCACCTGGGCGTCACCTTCGATGATGCATTTCCTTTCGTGATGAGTTGGCAGTGGCAGCTCCGCGCCAAGCTTCCGTTCAACCTCATCTGTTGTGTACCCGGGTCATTATCGCGAGGAAAACCCAGCACAGCGACCCCTGGGCCGTCTCGACACCTTCAATTGACCTCGATCTTTCCTTACTTGCTCCAATTGATGCCTTTATGTCCATTTACGATGCCATTGGCGCCCCAGAGAGCTCCGTTGCCCTCCAGCTGCTGACGTTGCACTAGCGCAGCTACACGCAATTCTTCTTCCCAGACGTCCGCTCCGGCTCCATCACGCCGTGCTCGTGCTGGGGACCGGTAGAGTCAATTGATTTGCCAATGCTCCAGGCGTATCATCTGTAGAGCTTCGTGACGTTGAAAGACACAACAGTTGCTACTGACCTACAGGCAGCTATGCAAGCTTTTACGCGCGTGTAGGTAACGTATCTCCCGGCCATGGTATCATCAGCTATACTAACGACCAGCAGGAATAGTTATTTATGAGTGTCTATTGATATATCGATCCTTGACACACGTGTACCTCGCTCTCGAATCCGAGCAGCCGAAGCTCTGCCCTCCACGCCCGTTGCCATTCCGCCCACGAACCACATCCCGTAGTTGCTCTATCGCCTCATACATTAGGAATGAGATACTAGAAATGAGCTATATCGCATGATAGTGTGCTGGCGTTGTGATGATGAACGAGATGTACCGTTGAGCCTAGACAAGGTTGCTACAGGGACCTCGCTCTAGCAACCCGCTCGAACAACCACTCATCACGAAGACAGTCTTCATATGGCCAAACACCAAGATGCTATGTTAACATCACATCGTGTTAATCCGCACTGCATCCGAGGATATAAGCTTTCGCGGCACGAGGCTTGTTCGGGATTGCGTTTCTCGTCGCGTTTCACCATGGTCCCAAACACGAAGCGCAACACTATGTGAACGAAACAACTACCATGTATAAGAGATCGCCAATGGTTTGCCAAGGGTCTCCATGGTGGGAAGGTATATTTAGGGTTGGATGTCTACTTTGATGGGGATGCTGATGCACGGCTGTGGAGGTTCCGGAAGATTTTGATACTGGTTGAGTTCAGCTCTGGGAATACAACCTCAGGCATCGCAGGTTGAGAGGAATTGGAAAATGTATTTAAATCTCGCGAAAGCATATGAGTTCTGCCTCTATACGTTTCGATAAATCCTTCTTCTTCTGTGCCGGTCACTTCAAATACTCAATATACATTTTATAATACAACCCCATTGTGCTCCACACTCCAAAAACCACCATGAAAATCTCATCCATCATCACCCTCGCCACCATCTCCGGCGTCGCCCTCGCCTCGTTCGGCAAGTCCCCTCCCCTTTCACATCCCCTCCCCATCTAACATCCCCACAGAAAAGCGCACCGCGCAGACCGAAGACATCTCCTCCATCCTCGCCGCACTCCGCGAGAACAACCCGGAAGACGCCGACGCTGCAGCCACAGCCCTCAAAGTCAAGATCAAGCGGGACCCCCAGAACGACGACCTCGCGTCCATCCTCGCGGCTCTCCGGGAGAACAATCCCGAGGACGCGGATGCCGCGAGTGCGTTTTCGAGCCGCAGCACGAAGCGGCAGGATGATCTGGAGGGGATTCTGGCGGCGTTGAGGGAGAATAATCCTGAGGATGCGGATGCTGCTGCTGGGTTGGGGGCTTAGGAGTGGGAGATGTGGGTGGAGGAGGAGAGTATGGGGATTGGTATATAATGTGGTTAAGTGGTGGGTGGATGGGTGGGTGGGAGAGATTTGTATATAGGGGTTCCTAACGTAAATGTCCATATCTTCACTCGCTGTTGTCTGGCTTGGATTTCGTAGTTTTCTATCAAAATAGTCGTGACTTCTGTGATCAGAATGTATTATGATTGCTCTTACTCCACCGAACCGCGTGGCACTCATACTACAAACAAATGCCGGTAACCTTGTAACCATGAAGCCAATCGTTCATCTCTATTATCGACACTAGGAATCTATCCCTCTCGTTTAGCTAAGTATTCTCATACTGCAAGGTATGGATACCAATCCGGATATCAAAGACGAGGATCAGTCACAGGACACCGTCATGTTAGATGGTACATCTTCAGATCACTATTCAGAACCCTTTTCAGAACCTAATCCGATTAAAGAAGAATTAGACGGTAGGATATCCTCTTCATCAAGATGACGACTGCACGGCCCCCATAGCTTTAGCTCTCCAAGCTTTTCTAATATGAATGATTAGAAATATTTCCAGAGTCTCTTCTATCGCGCTTGAATCCCACCACCGAGGAATCTTCCGGCTCGGAAAGTCAGACGCAAGTTAAGATAGAAAGCCCTTTAGGCCAGACGGAATCTGGCTCGGCCGGATTTGATGAGTCTGCACTTGATCAGCCTGCATTTGATCATCACAATCTCGATTCGTTCTTACTTTATCAGCCCGCAACTGGCCAGTCCGCAATTAATCCGTCTGCACTCGGACAATCTGTACTTGGCCAGTCCACACTCGAACAGTCTGTACTCAATACGCCCGTATTCGACCAGTCTGCACATGGTCAGCCCGCACTCGACCATCCTGTACTTGATCAGTCTGCACTCAACGAGTCTGCGGCTACAACCGACGAGCCCACAACCAACGAGTCTACACTTGACCAGTATGAATTTAATCAGCCTGCTCCCGAGCCCTGGATTAACTGGAACAAGCCAATTCTCGATCCCGGGATTCCGATACTTTGCAACCCGACCGATAATCCCTCAGACTTTGCGCTACCGGACAAATACATGTACTGTCCATTATGCAGAAAGTGCGGGAAACGTGAAGATTGGATAGAGCACTAGCAGTACCATTTCAGCGACTTCGACGGCTGGCTCTTTCCTTTAGAAAATGTCTACGCATGCGGATTCTGTGAAGTTTCCGATGTGACCAGTGTTAATAATGGTCAGGCGTTCTCTAGTGCTTCGGAATTGCGCCAGCACGTACTGTACAACCACGAATCACCAGAGCCCACCGGCACCTGGACGTTCAATCGTGTTTTGAACAACTACCTCCTCCACTCTCCTCATTTCCGCTTTCAATACCAGGGCTACGTCAGAAAAATTGGCAAAGGCTTGCCTGGAGGTCTCCGTGTAACCAGATTCAATTGGCCCCAGACGTTTAACACGCTAGGAGCGTTGCTGGCGCTGCAAAATCTAGCTGAGAGGCTAGACCGATTGTACGAGAGACCTTTAAGAGGGATAGAACAGGACATGGCTTTGAGAGACGACGTCATGCTTCGATTGTATGCATTGGCAACCAGTCAGAACACGAACAATAATACCACCTTGAGCCCGTGTGTGCTATTGGACGTAGACCAGGAGCCGAGAGACCCAGAGAATCACCCATACCGCAACTTTGAGTACGGACCTTTGCTAATCCAGTATCATGTTAACGATCCCTTCTTCAGGCTAGCTGGACCTGAAGATTCCGATGGCACAACGCCGTGGTGAATTCTTTCGAGACACGGCATCATTGCCTGTATCCAGTGCGATACGAGTTCCCAGTCCTGGGTTTATCACTCTCTTTTGGCATAATAGTGTCCTTTGGCCTGGTTCCATTGTGATTGGGAGAATGACAATTGATTTCGGACTTGGGGATATCTTGGGGGGCAAAGCTGCTTGGAAGTTACAAGAGCGCAGCCTTTTGAAAGAAGCCTTGGGCTCTGGTATCAACTTTTAGAAAACATTACATAGATAATCAAGTGGGACCGTTGCTCGACTTATCCCACGCTTGCATATATGCATGGGATTTTCCTGTTCATCAGCATATCCGCTCTTGCCCTCTCTCTCCCTCACTCAATTTCAAACCATACTCTACACTTGTTTCAGAGGCATGAAACGAATAAATTCTCATCTTAGTCTCTAGAAGCGGCCATCACGTCACATACATATACAAGTACTCTTTGTCCATGATACTCTTACATAGGAGAAGCAGACCCATGTAGGCATGTTGGTAATAATAACACCAACTTTGAACCACATGCTAAGGTAGTTGGTGCTTATGGAGTTGACGACTATAGAGGGAAAGATTGTATGCATGTACAGTTTGCATAGATCGAGAGCGGGCATGATGTGAAAAGGATTTCATTATCGGGCGTCATCAAAGTCAACTTCATCTACCTTACTTAACATTACGCAAAAAAAAAAAATAGACAAGAGTAGGAGATTGGCTTTTTATATCATCGATTACATCGTCGCCCCAGCCTGCGTCGCTCCATCTGCATCCAGGACAGCAGCTTCTTCGGCGTCTCTCGGCCTGACCAGCTTGATGCTCACTGACTCGTCTTGAGCGTAGACACGGAGACCAAGCACGCAGACAGCATTCCATGGGTTCTGCTTTTCCGCGTCTTTGTCTTTCTCCTTCTCTTTTTCGCCTTCCGACTTCTCGGAGTCCTTCTCCTTTTCTTTTTCGGATTCATCGGAGTCTTTTGCTGGGTCGGAGGGTTCCCCGCCGGTGGGGGGTGCTGCTCCTGGTGAAGTAGGGCCTTGATCGGCACTAGATGTTGGTGTTGTTTGAGTACTGGTTTCTTCACTATCGGTAGTGGTCTTTTTCTCTGGAGTCTTTTCCACTTTCGTGTCGGTAGCGGAGGCCGAAGTTGAGTCTGATGTTTGGGTTGATTGCTCTACTGAAGTAGAAGGGGTTTCTTCTGACTTCTTTGGCTCTTCTGCTGTAGCTGGCTGTTCTTTCGCTGGTTTCTGCTCTTCCGTTTTCTCCTCTGTCTTCTCCTCTGTCTTCTCCTCTGTCTTCTCCTCTGTCTTCTCCTCTGTCTTCTCCGCTGTCTTCTCCTCCTTCAACTCAGCCTTGAGTTCTTCCTTGACCTCTTTCTTCAATTGAGCATGGTCTTCCTTTTCTTTGTCTTCTCGTTCCTTCTTCTCTTTCTTCCACAATGCGAACTCTGCTGCTTCCTTCTCAGCATCTTCCTTCTCTTTCTTCTTCTTCTCACTTGCCGCCTTCTTCTTGGCTTCCTTCTTCTTCTTTTCCTCTTCGGTGAGCTCGATGATGCCTTTTGCGTTGGCAATATCGTAGTTCAGACCAATCTGGCGAAGCTTTTGTGGGTTTGTGTTTGCCAGTTTCGTGACAACAGAATGAACTTCGGGGGCAGATTCATCCTTAGAAGCTACGATCTTCGGCACCACCTCGTACACTCCAGGCTCGAGGTCAACTTCGGCAGAGATGCTACGGTTGCCAAACCAAGCTCCGCGGGCACGGATTATATAGTCACCAGGTTTGGCATTTACCTCTTGCAGCAAGAAATGTAAGTCGAAGTTGTACTTTCCTGTGAGACCTTGGAAGTAACGGTCGTCAAGCTAGAATAACTAATCTTAGTATGCCACTTTGCCAGAGGTTCCATTATTATACATACCTGAGAAAGAACGAATACGGTTGGTCCAGCCTTCTTGATCTCAACTTGGAATTTGGTCGTGAGATAGCCCGTGACCCACGCAACATTGACACTTGTCCATTGCTGCACGACTGTCCACTTGTGGTCGAATAGTCGAGTACGGTCAAGGACAGAGAAACGTTTCAGCAAGTCATCGAAAGACATCCAGAATACGCCGTCATCCGCAAAGCGGTAGTTGAGTTTATTCATCCAATATGGTGTCCATTCTTTGGAGCCGTCTGCCCACGCGCCGTTCCATTCTCCTACGCCATTCCAGCTACGTTTTCCCCACGGGTTCCTTCTGAGATTAGAAGCTGGGACCTGAGTTGGACTTATGGGCAACATACCGAATTTGTACGAGTTTTTGTTTCTTACCATCCTCATCCTCTTCCTCGACCGCTTTGATAACCGAGTACGCGTGGTTAAGCGGAAGGCCTCTTCTGGCTTCGGAATCGTCACCCCACCAGCTTGATGATGAGGCAGCATAGAGAAAGGTCTTGTTAACCTCAAGAAGTTCATTCCATAAGCGTTTCTTGCTAAGAACCCTGTTGGAAAGAACTTTGGTAGTCGTGCCTCCCGTCAAATCTTCGACACCTTCGCCCGACCATCCCCCAGCGATAGACGAATAATCGCCGTGCACTTTAGCGTAAGCCTTTTCCAATAGAGGAAGCCATGTCTCATTTTGGTCCGCACATGATGCAAAGTACAATGCATCAGATCCGGTCTGATGATTTTTCTTCCACTTGCGTTCTTTAATGGCCGATGGGTCATAGTTATCCCCATAGTCATCGTAGTCAGCAGTTTTCAGGAAGAGGTTATCATCGACGATGGTCCAGATCCATTCACCGTCTCTGTAGAAGACGAAACCGTAAACCCCGCATTCTTCGTCACGTTCCACGCATATTTTGTGCATGAGCGAAGGGCTACTGCAGATGGTCGCGACAGCAGCAATGAACCAACAATCGCCGTTTTGGCCTTGTTGGACATCGGAACTCGAGAATCCATCTACCGTGAAATGTGGGTCATCGAAGATCCAGTCAATCCGATGCACGGTCTGTGGGCAATATTCACTGGCGCTTTCGCCCCCGGAAGAATTGAGCGCTTTGGATGCAGCATTGAGATCGATGGTCATCGAAGGAACGAACATGTTGCTATCGGCCAGCGTTTTGAAAGCCTCGGCAAGACCATTGATGCTGGTGGAGGCCCCCGAATCAGAATTCTGATTGTACCATTTGAGTAAGCCTTCTAAGCAGTTGTATCTGCCCCCGCCCTCGATGTCGAAGTCGGGGTCGGTGAATTTTTCATTCGTGCGGTGGCATTCACGCACGATGCGCTTGACGCGGGCACGACAGAGGTCGGCTGCCGCTTGGTACGACTCAGCTGCGTTCTTACCCTTGGCTGGCCCAGAGTTTGGATTGGGAGGGAGAAGATTTGCGTAAAGGCTCTGTGGAAATATGTTTGTCACCTTTCCTGGCTTTTTGGTAATAAGATTCTCCCAAAATTCATCTAGGATTTGCTGGGGTGGTTTGGTCTCATCCGTATCGCCTGATACTGAAGACATGGCGGTTTCTAGAGGGGTTTGAAGCGATCGATTCGGTCTCGCTTGAAAGCAGTGCGTCGTTGATGAGCGTCTCCGCTTTGTGTAAGTTTTTCTGGAAAATGCAGTAGGAGAAAAGAGAAGAGAAATGAAAAGACTTTGAGGAGGTTGCCAGCTGGCAAGGCTGCAGTGCAGGTTATAGACCTAAGACCACACATATTTCAAGTTGGGGGCTGAAATGGACAGCTGAGCATAGCTAGCTCCATTGGGCCAATGGGCTTTCATTGTGTAGCTCAGCAGCGCTGTCATTGTCTGATGGGGGAATCATTGCGATACTATGGATGGTCTTGCAGGACGATGCCTTCGGGTGTTGGTGCATGCAGTGAGACTGACTGTGTTCACCATTGGGTGACGATGGTCACGGTATAGATGTGCGAACTATTGTGGCTGCCTTCAATGGGCATACTCAGAGGACAGACCATTGGGCAAGGATATTGGAAGGCGATTCCGCACTTCAACGAACATGTCAAAATAGAACAGACACGAGAAAAGCGAGATTGGTGCCTATCTCTGAATATCGAGATGCCGAGGTGTTGTGAAGCAGAGGGTACAGAAGCTGCCTCGACTTGTGGTAATGTGATGCACTTGATCACGTGCACTGGCGGGGAGGATGTCTTCTTGCATAGGGAAGGCACATACGGAGAACCTCACGTCTGTCTCCATTTACGCATACGGCGGCAGACGACTTCTAAATATTCAATCGGATATCTCCCGCTCTAAGTCTCGCCGTCTGACCGTTTCACGCCATCTCATCCCTCCATCAGCTAGCTGGTCTGAACCGAAACCAGATTCCACCTATTGATGACCGCCACGGCAACGCTTTCTTTTGCATGATGCAATACATGGCTCAATCCGTACACATCTGCGTTATCTTTCACTTATTATTTGCTTTGTCTGGAACGGATGATATGCCTGATTCTATCTACCAGAGGGCTAAGCGGATTGGGAGCATGAGGGTGTATGAGAAGAGGGTTCGGGCCTATCGTTACGCTTGTCTCCCCCATAAGGCAAGCTGCAATCGGTCCGGCGCATGCAATCAGACATATCCTTACCGAACCGAAGGACGCGGACGGCTCGCTGGCGATACCTGCTTGGTCAAGGTACATTTCAAAAGGCGACACATACAGACATTGCCGTAGCCACAAGGCTGCACCACTTATTGGCGAGACGGGAAGCATCCTGACAGAATACCCCACTTCACCTACCTATGGAGAACAATAGTGTTATCTCTGTAAGGTCGATTACGTCTATCGATGTTGATTGAAAATGTGTTGAACTCGTAATATCTCAGCTACCCTTCCATCGCGGGACGCATTGTTCGTGAACGGAAAGGGCTGCGCGATTCGACCCCACCATGTCATGCCGTATGCATCCCAACAGGCGGCCATGATGGTGATGTTGGCATGGGTAATGGCCCCAGTCACGACGACGGGCAAGCTGAATGAGATGGACTAGAGCAAAGTCAGGCACGGCGATCAGACCACATTAGACATAGGTCGTCAATCCGTACAGCGTTCAGGGGCCGGGAATGGGAAACGATGAATGGCAACCTCGTGAGCAAGCGGATCATCAAGCCGGAAAGTGAGCAGAGGTCAGTTTGAGATGCGTCAGTCATGAATTTCTCTATGGAGCATTGCCAAGGTGTAATCGCTAGGGACGTGAAACAGGACCCCCCGCCATCAGGCTACGTGAAAGAAGGCAGAGCATCCAATTGCTCTCCAAGAGCCGACACATTTGGCTAGAGAAGCTGTGGAAGTGGTACCAGATACAGATACGGAGTACAGAAACAGAGGAGACAAAGGAAGATAAAAGAAGTTTGGACAGGAAGGAAAGAAGAAGGAAAAAACGACCGTCGCACAACGAGATGCATTAGGGTAGTAGGAAAGGGCGAGTACAATAATGAGGAACGCCGTCTAGAGATGCTGAAACAGGTCCGCAGACCAATGAAATACGGACATCGAGGCTACACAAGCCGCTGCGGGCAGCCGGGCCAGACGGAGCATTTCCCCCACGCCACCGCTGAATCCATTCTAAGTTAGAGCAAACCCGTTGCTTTTGTGCGCCAATGTCGATGCCGCTCAAGGAGGAAAGCCGTACTCATTCGCAGGTTGCCGCCCTTGAGTCCCATCGTAACACCAATCTTTTTTTGGAGCCACCGAAACGCCGTGCTAAATCCGTGCCAGGCCCTCAAGAGCCAAGTGCAAATGCAAAAAAAGGGGGGAATAAGGGTTGAGTAGCGAGCGTAGAAGGACTGATTGCAACTCATTGTTGAACCGGAGAGGAATGACGAGAAAGAGAAAGCGAGCAAGCGAGCAAGCGAGCAAGCGAACATGGCGGTGGGAGTACCGGCAGATACCGCCGTATAAAGGGCACGCGCACACGAGATGGCAGTTCAAAATTGGCCATGGCCAGGTCCCGGGCGCCTGGGTTGGGTAAGATCCCGGTACAAGCGTCGATCGTGCACAAGCACACTGCACAGGCATCGCTCAATCTATTATCGGCCATCGAGTCAGCAACCATACCCAAAGAACCACTTATACTTCTGCCTTCACCACGTCTTCGAAACGTGAAAGACGGCCGATGACTGACACGGCACCCTGCGAAATCATGCATTTCGCCCGGCAGCTCCAAGCCACGTGCGGACGCAGGGACGGAGGATTTGTACAGGAAATTGGTAGTTTACGTACCTCAGCTCATTGTTTTACCCCTCATGCTTTGGCCGCACACGGTCGGCAGGTCTTCAATTTGCAATTGGAGCACTCAAAGATCCACGAGTGGGGGCCCGAGTGACACATGTTGCAATTCCATTGAATGATCGTCGTGTCGGACTTGATCATTTTGAATTGGTGCTGACAGCTATTCGGTTGGGCCATTGTTTGTTTGTTCGGGTACCCTGTTACTCGTGGTTCGAACTTGCTGTTTATTGTGCTGGAACTGCGTCGTTGATATGATACGGTAGACGCGGCAAGAAAGCCAATATCTGTGGTGGGCGTGGTGGTGATGGAGTGGTACGGCAGTTGTTGTCTGGGTCGTAGGTCAGTGAGAAGTTGATTGCGGCGCCGACCCAGATATGTATTCTGGGGACAGTAGCGGGACTAAGATGCTCACCAGTGAAAGACGGGCCGTTTGGACACAGCGCGGGATGAGTGCGCAGTACCGAAGGTGGTGAAAGCTGTTCTAAGCTGCCGTGGCTGGAGAAAAGCAATCAAGAGACGTGCTGAGGGAATTGGAACCTTGGTCCCGAGACGAGTGGAGCTGCTCTTGGATAGGTGGTAGATTTGATGCTCAATGCTCAATGCTCGTCTTCGGTGGTTGGTGGTGTTATTGCTGTCGATGCTGTTCGCTGCAATGATATCGAAGCGAACAGCGCGGCCCAAGGTCAGTCTTATACTTCTCTCCTAGCCCTTGGAAGTTCACTATTGCTCTTGTGCAGGCTAGTAGCATCATGGCCCACGGCCGGTCCTGATACTGGCCTACTCAACCGTGCGGTACGACGAGACAAGCGTGCAGCCGTCTTGCGGATTCTACCTGGTTGTAGGAGAGGGTCAAATCTGCTCGAAAGCGGATGGCCTTTGGACGAATAGAGCAAGTAGCGTAGTGAACGTCGCACAGCAAGGCCGATTACGATCTCGCATCTGCTACCCTCCATATAGGGAGGCTCGTCGTAGGGAACAGCCGCGATGGCCTTGTCAAACGCGGGCTGGCGGGCCCGCAGAACCGCGACCATGGTAGCATCTCCAGGTCGCGAGCGCGAGTTGCAGACATGCAGAAAATGGTACAAATGGTGCGTTTGGTGTGTATATCGAGCAAGGCGCTGGCGCATTCTATGTGTCACGCAAATCTCCAATGCACACCCGCCGCGTGAGGAGGATGATGGCATCCTGCTTGTCCACATCCACAATACGATCCTGGTACATCCTGACTTGCCTTTTGGCCTTTACCTAGATCGTTTCCGACAAGGCCCGCCCCGGTCTGACTACCAAGGCTAGGACCTCATCTCTCCTCGTCTCTGACGCCGACCACCAGGGGAGCCCTGAACGACCCTCACAAGAAACCACACGGCGGCCAATCCGCCGCTCCCGATGCAATGGAATTGGCTAGTCTAGGGCTGGGGTCGGCAATTAAGGTTTGCGGGCATGCTTTTTCTGTTGCCTTTGTTGGTCTTTGCCGAAGACGCTTTTCCAACCTCACCTTGTTACCGACCTCCATGATTCGTCACCTACCTGGACTTACCATCATGCCCTTATGCTTCATCGAAAAAGCACTGTTCGCACCATAAATCCATCTGACTTTTTCACGCACAGGGAGATCTTCCTGCGTCGCGCGGCAGCGGTCAGCCGGGACGCGCACTATCTGCCCCAAAACGTCCTGCTGCAGACGCCTCAAGACACCATTTCCAATCCACCCTAATCCCCGTCATATCATTTCTTTTCTTTTCCCTCTACTTTGTCACCTCTGCTTTACCTAGGTATGCCCCCACCGGGGAGAGAGTCAAGCCCTCTTGGACAGAGTTGCAGGTAGTCGATCTGCGCGTTGAACCGTGGCGGGCCCTGTGGCTCTACCTTCCGCCGCCGCTGTTGTGAGCGATTCTCCGCGATAGTAGTACAGAAGTACGAACACAGGCCCAGGGCACGGTGAATGTTTCCTGTTCTCTGGGAGATTTCCTGATCATGTTCCTACCGCGGGCATGGATAGCCACATCGATCCAACAAGGAGATTTGCGGCGGCAACTTTCTGCATGTGCGAGGGTGCAATATGCAGAGGCCCGTTTCTGCACCAAAAAATATGCTCCCTTAACCCGGTTCAGCTGAGTAGTTAAAGGTTACATGCAGCCTCGTCCCATGGAAAGCCTCTGGCGTTTTGCTCCAACGCCAAAAACCACAAAGGACCAGCGCTGGGACCCCTGCTTCAAGCAGTTGGCTTCTGAATCTGGAGTAGGTCCACCACAAGTTGTCGTTTTCCATCAATGAAAATATCGGAGGCTTTTACGTGATCCATTGCCCAGAAGGTCGGCGTTGCTTGCTTCTGCAAATCGCCCTACGTCGTAGTCACAGTATGTAACCTTTTCTAGATCAAGGATCGGATTGGCGACATGTTCGCGAGAAATTCAACCAACCGCCTTTTTACCAAAATAAGAGATGATTAGAAAATCAGATTTTCGAAAAGGTTGCTTATGATAGGCACAAGTTACAACCTGGAGAAGCTCGGGCATCTAGAATGGTCTGAAAACGAAAGAATCACAGACGGATTTCCCCGGACGATCTGATCGATTGCCAATCGCTGCTAAGGGTGATTGGAGCATCGTGACCCGCCCTATCTAATCTCAACAGAATTGGACGACTATCATCCCACACGAAGTGACTGCTATGGTCAACCAAGCCTCTGCGTCCTGCAATTCCTCCATTCCCGTCTCAACGATCAGTGCATCATTTCATAATAGTGTGTTACATCCGCTTGAGGGGGACTACATCCGGCGCTGCAGTCATTTCAGGATGGGACTAGCGGGATCATGGCACTGTGAGTATACATCCTTGCTATGCGATCGAGACAGGCAGTCCATCAAGAAACCATATGGAATTTTCCAAGAGGCGCCTATCTTTGGCTCAGGACGAACCAAAGAAGACCCGGTACACTAAATTGGCCTTGGTAACACGGAGATCGAATCTGAACCTGGTGCTCGGTTCCACAAATGCAAGATCGGTATCACCGTCGACTTCTCTGTGGATATGATGGCGTTGTGGCGCAAAAGGCGGATGGAATGCGCGTCATGCCCTAGCTTCCCTTATGTCCGTTTCTGCAAACCTGTATGTTTGCTTTGGCCCGCCAAGCATAATTGTCTTTGCCCCACGCGGTTCCTCCATTTGCCTATTCCTCTACGATTTCCATCAGTCCATAATCGACTGGAGAGGATGTATGCAACAAGGCATAACTTTCTACGTGGCACGATTGTCAGGATAGAGCGGGCCCTGGACAGTATGAATCAGAGACAGGGCTGCAACCCAACTTGTCTGGCAACCAAAATGTTGTTCAGAAGGTTCTACGCCATTCGGTCTCGGAAACGGTCTCTCGTCCCCTGATCGACTCTGGGCGTCGTTCATCGCAATTCAGCTTTCCCTCTCTTAGTCAGTGTCTTTTGAGTTTCTACGGCCGACTCTGATCATCTCAGATTAGCAAGAAACAGCGATCAAAGCGCAGGTCAGTCAATGTTAGTAATGTCGAGTTCATGTGGGTTAGCGTTCATATATTGCGAGACAAGGCACAACAATCTCCCCTGCATCTGTTAAACCTTAAGTTGCGAACCAGGTCACTGGAATGCCTCTATCTCGTCCGATGCATGGCCCGCACATCTACATCGAGTCCTGTCGTGCATGCCGTTTTCTGTCACTCTGTCATTAGTAACTCGGCACAGCATCGTCGGAGGCTTGCCTCTAGACCACGATTTCCCAAGCAACCCTTCAGATCCACCATATTGGAAGGCTAAATGGGTGATGTAGCCTCCAAGGTGGGTACATTATGAGTAACGACCAATCGGGACATTTGATGTGAGCCTTCACTCTCAACACACGCCACGGTTACCAGGCTGGTGGATTCAGGGCGACGGATTAGGCCCAGGATAGTGTCTTCAAACCACGGCCTTGCCTACACGGGCAGTCGTCTATGGTAGCACGATCCTCGGCGAGATCCGGGTTGTGCCTTGCGACGCCGCTGCCTCTGTTTGCCCACGAGACCCTCTTCTTGACCTCATGGGCATATATGTGGATAGTAGTAAGGAGTGTATCTACAGGTCGTATCTCTAGGTCGTTGCACAACCTCACCGCTCTATCACGAGTACCACCCCCGAATTGTAAGGGAAGCCCTCTATTGCCTCTGATTTCACTTTTCAAAGAGGAGGCTTTCAATGGTACGAAGCCAGTACCAGAGACTTTTCTATGATGGCTCCCATGGCTTATACAATGGGCATATCGAGGACCACCGGAGATCAATGGAGATGTATGACGGGCGGCTTAATGCAATGTCCAGGCTGCATTGATGCGATCGATCTTCGAACCTACCGTGACAATGATTCTCCATGGTATCCCACCCCAGGTGCCCTTGCCTACAGGACGTTGAGCAAAATTGAGATCTACCTCGGATTATGGATTCCAATATCCCAATTGGAGAGATGTCAAGATCGGCATCACGCAATTGGAACAAACCGAGGGCCGCATTAGGCCAATCGGCTTCGTTCCATTCGCAAAGGATTGTGTACATTGACGAGAAAAGACGATTGAAATTGAGATGCTTCAGCCGAACCACTGGAATATGGACAAGAAAAGCGCCCTCCATCGTCTGGCGTATTGCAGATCGAGAGAAAGACAATGTACATGGAGTGCAAATCGCCGAGGGAGAATTACCAGAGATCGAGTTGCAGATATCGCGTATCAATCCTGCAGTAATAATGAGACACGTCTTCTTTGGGTTACACGACCTTGCTCTTCTCATTTCTCCACTTACCAGCGGTCGAACTTGCGGCCGACCTTCTTCAGATGGGCAACCTCCTCGAATCCATGCTTGACGTAAAAATCTCGAAGCCCAAAGCCAGCGCCCCAGCTGGAATCGTCGTGGCTCATGCAAGCAATCAGCATCCTAGTTCTGTCATCTTCCCCTCTCGGAGCGGGGACGAAGTCGGGGAAGTGCATCGGCGCTTTGAGTATCTGTATGAGTTTATTCAGTAGTACCGGCCCGATGCCTCGGCCAGTATATTCGTGATGGCAAAACAGCGACAGCTCGGCAGTGTGCCGGTATCCCCTCCTGTCGCCTCGATAACCATTTGCACAACCGAAACCTACAACTTGCTGCACACCGTCCACATCTTCGAAGGCTATGACGTATGGATAGCCAGCTTCAATAGTCTTTTTCCATTTCTTCTCTAGCTCTTCTATTGAGGGAGGGTCGAAAGCGAGTGTGATGACGGTGTTGAGAACGTAGTGCTTCATGATCGCAGCGATTGCTGGCATGTCATCGTGGGAGCACGGGCGGAGCTGGATGGGCATCGTGGGCATGCCAGAGTGCATGATAGGCTGTGGGAGAAAATGAATATGCAGGATGGCTGCGCGTTGCTGGTGTCGCGTGAGCGGTTCCTGAGGAAGTAAGGCCAAGCCAATTGTGAGGGGAAGATTTCAATTCGTTCGTTTCCCGGGGAGCTTCTTCTTCGCCGCAGCTTGGAGATGGGCAGGGGACAGTTGTGGGACAGCGCATACCGTTTGAAGGGAGTGACCAACAGAGTTGGAGCAATAGGTTCTCGAAGATATAGTATCAAGTCTTGGAGTAGGCCTATGTACCTATGCACGCACATATATATACATAGCTAAACTATACATGCGCTAATCATCCTCGTGCTGTGACTCAAACCATGCTTTCCACCATCAGCAGTAGTGTAGAGGTCAATGCAACAAGGAGAGAATAGACCCAACCCGGCATAGTGGCATTGTACTCTTATTGTATTATGCTATCGTGCTGTGAGCTGCAGCATACAAGATTCGGATATACGAGCGAAGAGTAATCGGTGCTGCCGCTGAGACAGCTGTCGTTGGCACATGCTTGGCCGTAGCCGCCATCAGCTTGTCTTGCCTGCCATGGTAGAAGCACGAGTATATATATGCTATCCTTGATCGTCATCTTCTTATATTTCTTCTAAGTTTCCGTCCTCTGACGCACTGCATGATCTTCTTCCTTGATCTTTTGATTGCATGTGCTATGTCATCTTCCCCTTGCAAGTCAGTCTCTCCCTTGTCCTTCTATTTTCCCAACTTTATGAACTGCATTCCCCCCCTCCTTGACCATCCATGGATCTGATTGGCTGACACACTTCTCTAGACTGCTTTGGTAATAGCGCTTCATTATCTTATCACCGACGCACCGATTGGCCAATCACAATGTCACAAACGCGACCTCCCCCATCTCCTCCAAATTTTCGACAGCTTCGTCAACATCACGAACCTTCTCACAATATTTCTCCAGTCTCACCATACGTTGACCTAGACATCGACTACCCGATACTCGGTCCGCCTACCATGAGGGGAGCAATTGTCTTCAGCGGTAGCTCGCACCCGGCCTTGGTCGACGGTATCTGTGACCGCCTGGGGAGCCGGAAGGGCGAGGCAAGTCTGGGGAAATTTGCGAATGGCGAGACGAGCGTTAGCATTCGTAAGTCTGGCCCCTGCCTCTTGGTGTTTGGATACATGTAATGGGTTCCTTTGGTCTCTTACAAGCTTGACGGGCGCTTTTGCCTGTTCCCCTGCTGCTTGCTTGGGTCTGCTGTTAGTGGGGTCATGGCCTTTTTTTATGCTACAGGACTTTGCGGGAGTCTCTGGGAATTTCCTTCCATACTTACACAGTATAGACACCTCGATCCGCGACAAGGACGTCTTTATTCTTCAAAGCGGAAGCGAGAAGTACGTTCACCTACTTATCTCACCTGATCCGTTCTAACCCTTCCCAGAATCAACGATGCCGTCATGGAGCTCTTGATCATGGTGTCCGCCTGCAAAGGCGGCTCCGCAAAATCAATCACAGCCGTCATGCCCTACTTTCCCTACTCGCGGCAATCGAAGAAGAAGTCCCACCGAGGTGCCATCACCGCCCGGATGGTCGCCAATCTCCTGCACATCGCCGGTGTCAACCACGTCATCACCATCGACCTCCACGCTACACAAATGCAAGGGTTCTTCAAGTGTCCAGTTGATAACCTGATTGCTGAGCCTCTCCTCGCTCGCTGGATTCGCGTCAACGTTCCCAACTGGAAGGAGGCTGTCGCTGTCAGCAAGAACCCCGGAGGTACAAAGCGAGTCACATCCTTGGCAGATGCACTGAAGCTTAGCTTCGGTATCGTGACAACCGATCGCCGCAGGGTGGCCACCTCAGTGTGGAACGAGAGCGCTATGTTCGAGCAGTTGAGGCTTGACGGCACCTACGAGACCCCTGGCCTTGTCGAGGCTGCCCTCGACGCAGATACACACATCACACCGATCAGCACCATTTCACATGCGTACAATCCGAAAGCTGAGGTCGGAAAGCCGACCTTGAGGACGCGGGCTCCTTCAAATCCTCTTCAGCGACGGGCGAATGGAACGGGCGAGACTCTCGGTAGTCCACTCGTCAAGTCAGTTAGGGTGACTTCTGTCACTGAACCCGAGGTTCCGCTAGACAAAATACGAGAGGCGGCTCCGGCAGAGGGGGAAGCTGGCGAGGCTGCTACTGATGATAAGGATTATAGCGAGGATGAGTACACGGATGAGGTATGTCAAAGTGTTCCTTGTCTTTATCAATAGCCCTTCTAATTGTAATAGCGTGCTCGAGATGTTATCCATGGCCGTCTCGTACAAGGCCACATTGTCGACGAAGATCACCCATCGCCCGCCATGTCCGCCGTGTCCAATTCTACCTGGCGTAATCGCCCACCATCGGATCACGACGATGACGAGGACGTTCAGGTTCCCGAGCACATGCTGTCATCTTTCGTCTCCACTGCGTCGTCACTTCGCCGTACTGGAACTAGTGAGCATGCTCATGCGCTTGGTGGTACCTACGATGCCGCTGCTTCTTCCGAGGACGAAGAGGAAGATTTGAAGAACCCAGAATTGGAGACTATGGTCACACTGGTTGGCAATGTTAAGGACAGGCCAGTCTTTATTGTTGACGACATGATCGATAAATCCGCATCCTGGATTGCTGCTGCTGAAACCGTTGTTAAGCGTGGTGGTGCCACCAAAGTGTACTGCATGGCTACCCACGGACTCTTCGGTGGTGATTGCCTCGAAGAGATGGTCAATTGTGCATGCATCGAGAAGATCGTGGTCACCAACGCTTTCCCAATCCCTCCCCATAAGCTAGCGCAGGCTGGTGATAAGCTGGTCGTCATTGGCGTTGATAACCTCCTTGCCGAGGCCATCCGTCGCAATCACCACGGAGAGAGCATTTCGCAGCTCTTCATGCATTACGACTAGATGCAACGAGGATGCTCGGTACGGGATCGACAAATGTTTTCTATTTTAGCGAGGCGCTCAGGCATCATTTAGAGGGAAAATCTCTTCCGGGGAAAAAATAGTCCAAATTGTGAAGCAGGCAGAAGCGTAAGTTTGCGACACGGAATAGAAAAGATTCCAAGTCGTATCCAGACCCTGTCAATCATGATATGAAATACCACAGGAAGTGTAGGTTATAAAGTTAAAACCTACATGTTATGATACCATCATCTTAACTTTTTCCTCTCATTCGTTTACGCCGTTTCCTCATGAGCATCGTGTACGTGCAGTTCATCAACCCGGATTGGCTTGTCGGAACCAGAGAATACCAATGTAGGGTTCCTACCTTGCATGATCCCTGTCCCTGACATGGTGAGTTTTCACAAGGCGCTGCGGTAGTGTCGTTTTCATTTTCCTGCTTGCAGGGAATGAAGAAAGTCATGATATCGCTATACGAAAGGCAGTACCACCCCATGCATCCAAACAAGTCACTCTGAGTCTTTGAACTATAGTTACGGGCTTGTCTACCGTACAAATATGACCACTTACTATCTTTGTCCCAGTCCAGAATCGGTACTTATCCTTCGGCACTATCGCCCCGATGGATGGACACAAAAACGAGCCACTTCTCCAACTCTTTAAAGCACGCCAAGCACCACCTTCACAATAACGTTAAAGCTTGATCATGCTTGGGTCGCTATAAGTATCTCTAATCCGGGGTATACCAAGCTCGGCACGTACTCTGGAGTCGGGTAAATGCTTGCCTCGACCCGGTTCGTTTACTTCGTTGTAGCCGGAAGGGGACCATTTACATATTGTAATGTCAACTTGTGATAACCCGGTGGGTAGGCCATAGCATTCGTAAGTGATTCCGAATACTCATGAGAATATCGTATATAGGAATGAATCAGTCCTATTCATGATCGTGTTTACTCCTGCAATTGTCTACTGTCTCGTCATATCTCACCCTTCGGTCCCTCCGTCATGCTATCCCTATACATCCTACCGTTCCTACTTTCCTTCCTCTTTTCCACGCCAATTGAGGCACAAGATAAAGCTCCCCTCGCAACCTGGAATGGCCGCCAATACCGTTGCAAATGCTATAAAACTGACGCCTGCTGGCCGGCTACTGCTTCCTGGAATGAATTGAATACCACAGTCAATGGAAACCTGTTCAAAGTCGTACCACCTGGTGCGACATGTTATAATACATTCGATGGGAAGAGCACATACAACCAGCAGCAGTGCCAGGCTGCGAATTCCGGTTGGAGCAGAGAGGATTGGCAGTGCGTATAATCTCAATTCTTCCTTCTGTGACCCACTCGAACCGTCCTGACCAATTCCACAGTGCAGAGCAACAAATCACAAACATGTGGACATTCTGGACGAACCACACCTGCAACCCGACCACCAACCGCAACAACGCCCAGCAATGCACACTAGGCCACCTCCCCGAGTTCGTCATCATGGCTAAAACCGCTGCACATATCAAAGCTGGCGTCGACTTCGCTCGCAGCAACAACCTCCGTCTCCTGATACGAAACACGGGCCACGACTTCATGGGTCGATCTACGGGCTACGGGAGTCTTGCGATCAACACGCACTCGTTCAAGGATGTGAAATTCGTCAGCACGTATACTGGTCCTGGCGATCAGGAATGGAAGGGTGGTGCCGTGACGGTCGGGGCGGGAATCCAAGGGAGGGAATTGTATAAGCTTGCTAACCAGCAGAGTCCCAAGGTTGTAGTCGTTGGTGGAGAATGTCCTACTGTGGGATTTGCAGGCGGATATATCCAAGGCGGAGGTCATGGTCCCATGGCTAGTTTCTATGGGATGGGTGAGTTCGATTTCCATCCATACCCAATCTCTTATCCTCGAAGAAACTTTATAGACACGACAATACTGACCATTCTTCCCAGCCGCCGACCACGTCCTCTCCTTCGACGTTGTCCTCGCCAACGGCACCCTAACCACCGCCTCCTCAACCACCAACCCCGACCTCTTCTGGGCCCTCAAAGGCGGCGGCCCCTCCACCTTCGCCGCCATCGTCTCCCTAACCGTGAAAACCTTCCCCGAGGTTCCCTCCGCCGGCGTAACGCTCTCGATCCGCTCGACAGGCGACCTATTCTGGAAAGGTGTGACCGTCTTCCACAACCTCGCCAACCTCTACGTCGAGAACGGCATGTTCGTCTACTACGAGCTCTCCTCCAACTCGCTCAACGTGCAGCCCTTCGTCGGCCCCAACATGACGAAAACCCGCATCGAGACGGTCCTCAAGCCGCTGTTCGACGGGCTCAAGGCCGCGGGCGTCCAATACACCACCTCGACCAGGGAGTTCCCCACGTTTTTCGATTTGTACACTGCGATGTTCCAGGACGAGAGCGCGGGATTCAGCGGCCTGGTGGGCGGCAGGTTGTTCACGAAGGAGGATATTAGGACGAGGGGCGATGATATCGTTAAGGGGTATAAGACTGCTGTTGGGGCTGGCGGGGCGGGAGGTGGGTTTACGGCTATTATTGGGCATATCGTTGGTACGTCGACTCTCTCTCTCTTACTTCCTTTCCACTCGATTTGCCATTATACGTGACGTTGGGATCCGACGAGCTGATAATTGATTAACCACCTCAGGACCCGGCTACGCCCTCCCAAAAGTCGACAACGCGATCCACCCGTCCTGGCGCAACGCCTCCTCCTTCAGCATCACCATGGTCTCCGTCGACGGCGCCGCGTCCCTGTCCGCCAAAGCCACGGCGCAGAACCGCCTCACGAACGTCGTCGACAAGGCGCTCCGCGACGCGTCGCCCAGTGGCGCTGCATACGTCAACGAGGGCGACCTCGAGGAGCCGAACTGGCAGCAGGCGTACTGGGGAAGCAATTACCCGCGCCTGCTGGAGTTGAAGAAGAAGTGGGATCCCGAGGGCGTGTTTTATGCGCGGACGACGCCCGGGACTGAGGATTGGGAGAGCATTGAGTGGGGGTCGAGGTTGTGTAAGAAGGTTTCGTAGATAGGCGGTTGCTCCTCAATGAAGTTTCATTTTCGATCGCCAGAGATGCATATGTCGTTAGACTACAGAGCTGAACTGTTAAGATGATCGTCCACGTGAATACTAGGTGAGGTGCTTCAATATAATTGAACTGTGGTCTTTTGCTATTCTATCGTAGTGCTACAACGAGTCATGCGAGTATATCTGAACCGTTCTTGGAGAACACTACCTACATGCATTGCAACGTTGTTCTTTTTGTAAGATATCGTCGAATGGTCCAGTCACAGAAAACGTCTATATCATCCGCGTCTTCAGGACATCAGAAGTATCATTGACCTTCATTGAATGTAAACCAAACATACCCAATTTCCCCCTTGGGTCTTTTAAGCCTATCAGCGCCGGAAAGAAATGATCCAAACCCCCACCTACGTTTATGCCTTTGAGTTCTGGAAATAGAATGCCGGGTTACCGGGGACAGCACTCTCAGCGGAAGGTGGTAGACCCTCAGCGTTCTGGCCAGGCTCCACAGCAACGATGGCGACCTCACCGCACTTCCTGACGGTCTGCTTGATGGCGGGGACCATTTCTGCGAGTACTGCAGCCTCGTCGAACGGCAGCTTGCGGTCGAAGACCTCGGAGCTAGGCTCACCGCCTTCGAGGCGCTTCTTGACGCCCTGGATGAAGGGCATAGCACGTTTCATGTCCTTCTTGTCGACACTCTTGCTTACTTCCTTGACCTCCACGACGCCAAGCTTCTCAAAGGCCTCCTGGATGATCTTCATGTAGTTGTCCTGCCAGGCTGGGAATGACTTTGCGTAGTAGATGGTGATGACCTTGTCGGCGTTGGGATCGTATGTGGCGGTCTTGCCCTTGGCCAGCTTCTTGAGCTGGTTGGCCTCAGCGGAGGTGATACCAGACATGGTGGCGCGAACGTAGGTTCGTGCGGCACTGAGGCCGGCATCGACAGCGGGGACCGTGGGCCACAGAGCCTTCTGGATGGTCTCGGGCTTCTTGAGAACCTCAAGCCAGATGTACTCTGCCCAGTGAGGTGCGAGCGGCGTGATCAGGAGCGCTTGGAGCTCGACGTACTGGCGAACGAGGTCGCGGTGAAGTCCGATTCCTGCAGCCTTGGTGACCTCACGGTAGAAGTCTCTGGCTGAAGTGAAATCGTAGAAGCCTGACTTGGTGGCGTTCTTGTACAGCATACTGCAGCATTGTTAGCGCGCATATATATATAGACACATGCAACATTAGCTTACCCATCGTAGTGTTCCTTGGTTTCATGGACGAGAGCAGCCATCTCGTTTGCGAAGAGGCGATCCCAGAAGCCGAGCTCTCCAGTCCTCTGGATGGTGTCAATGTTCTTGACTCGCTTCTCGTCGCGTGCCGCCCTGAATTGCTCAACGGTCTCCACAGGCTGGATATCAGTAATCATATCCTCACACCATTTCCTCAACTCGAAGAGCTTAAGAATCGTGCTGTTTGCGACGCTCTCCTCAAAGTTGGCATCCTCGATGGCATCTCCAGCGTCAGAAATCGCCAGTCTGGTAGCATCGGCACCAAACTTGTCGATGGCTTCGCTCAGAGTCAAGAAATTACCAGTACTCTTGCTCATCTTCTCGCCGTTCAGGAGCAAATGTCCGTTGGGGCGAACACCACGGGGCCAGAATTCCTTAGGGAAAAGGGCGACGTGGATGTACAGGAAGAAGGTAAGATGGTTCTGAATCAGATCCTTACCAGAGACACGGAGGTCAAGGGGATAGAAGTACTCGAACTCGCGGCGCATGGATTCCAAAGTTTCTTTGCTGATATCGGTCTTGACCTCAGACTTCCTAGCGAAAACATAGTCCCAAACCTCATCAGTCATTTGGTCTGGTCCAACATTTCCAAGACCGCGCTCCTTTCCGAAGAGATCCTTGTGTAGATAGTGTGCGATGGTATAATAAGCAGGGTAGATAGTACTGTCACTAAGAGACTCAACAAGGAATTTGGGATCCCAAGGAAGCTTCGAGCCCAAGCCGTAAGAACGGGCGCATGCCCATTGACTAAGCCAGCCGAGTGTCTGCTCAAACTGGTTTTTGGCCTCCTGTGAGAATGTGTTGAGTCCGTCCTTGAGATGGCCAAGAACCTGGTTGCACCACTCTCCGTCTCCACCCTTTTCGGTAGGACCGTAGTTGAGATACCACTGATCGAGATGGGCGGCCACGCACTCGTCGCCAGATCTACTGATGACCTGACCATCAGGCTCAGCATAAGCAAAAGCATCACCAGAAGCGATCAAGCTCTCTCTGACCAGCTCCTTCGCCTCAGAGACGGGGCGACCCTTGTGCTCACCGACCATCATCGTACCATGGTAGAAACCCTCCTTGTACGCCTCCTCCTTAGCCTCAGGAAGTTTGGCATCCTTAGGCGAGTTGATCTTCAGCTTTTGCACAAGAGTAGGAGCCACGAGGTCGCCATACTTGGGTGTGCTGATGATGGGTATGATCTCAAGCTCTGCCCAGCTCTTCTCGATGCCATAGTAGTCCGCCTTCTTGGCAAGGTCCGTCACTGTTGCGTAATCATCTGGGCTGTCGGAAGGAACTGAGGTAACAACACCTGTTCCTTTGGTCGCCTTCACAGTCTCCATGGGAAGAATGCGGACAGTCTTGTGCACGGACAAAGGTGCGTTGATGACCGTGCCAATAACTTCCGATCCGAGGATCTCGGCGACCTTTTCAAGAGGACCCCAGCCAGGGAAGAGGCCTTGGAATCCCAAGTTGCGAGCAGAGCGGTCGGAAAGGAATAGGTATTCTCCTTCGGTAGCCTTGAAGATGCCATACTTGATCTTAGGAGACACGAAACAGCAAGTTTGGCCGTACATTGTCTCGGGTCTCAAAGTGGCAGCAACGAAATAGACATTGGCACCATCAAGGGAGCTCGGAATCAATTTCTTAGCCTTCTCTGGCCATTCCAAAACCTTCAGCTTGATACCTGTGTATTCTTGAACCCCAACACCTTCACCAGAGCTTCGGTCATGGTCCAAGCAAGGTTGTCCATCCTTTGGCGAATATACTGTATATCTCTTTCCGAACTTGATCTTGCCAAGTTCCTTCAACTTGTTCATCTGCCATCGTACGAAGGAGTCGTAGTATGGGTTTGCGTCGGTGGTGACGAATGATCTTCGCCAGTCGATACGGAGACCGAACTTTGAAAGGTGCTGCTTGCCTAGCTCAGGGAAGACATCCACCCAGTAGTATGCATCTGCGAATCGGTGGATTTGGTCCTTTGGAATACCAAGCGCAAGCATGATCTGGAACTGGTATTTGGCCTTGAGGTTCTTCGCATTGGCCTTGCTCTTCTTGGAGGAGAATTTTGACATATCGGTCTTGGTCTCGGATTGTGTAGGTGCAGGGATCTCCTCAGGAGCTTCTTCCTCCTCTTTGTAGCCCTCAAAGTCCTTACCAAACAACTCGACCTCGCGAACGAGCTTGTCTGCGCACGCCTTGATGGCCATACCCGTGCAATGGAAACCTAGAGGGAAAAGCGCCCTCTTGCCTTGCATACGAGCATAACCTGTCGAAAACTCGACTTTCGAAATCGTGAACGCGTGACCCGCGTGCAAAACGCCGTTCATGTAAGGGTAGGCCATTGTTCCCATGAACTTGGGCTGTTGATCGCGAAGAGCGGCGGGCTCAACGGAGTGGAAAGGGACTTCGGCGGTAGTAGGAGCATTTGTCTCGAATACGCGGGATTCGGCCCATAGTTTCTGGTATTTCTTCTCAGCGGCAATGAGAGTGTCGCGTTTTTCGGTCTATAGGTAGATTAGTGGACTTCCCAAATCAGAAATCAGATATAGTAGGTGGAATGCTCACATTTTCGATTTTGAGGGTATTCTCAGAGGCCTTGCCTCCATCGATATTCTCGATAGCAACAGCGGTAGCAGCCATGTTGGCTACTGAATGCGCAATGAGCGAAAGTGTTTGTGTAGTAGTTTGGATGAGAATATTTGCCCACCACTGAGATGATGAACGTTCTGGTGGGGTCCGCGGGGTGTGACTCAATTCGCGCTAATACTTTTTTGTGACTCTAGTGGTGGCGTTACAACTGTGGCTAAAGATGATCACGTGGTAGAATATCTCTCCAAAACCACGACGAACACATGGCCATCTAGTTAGTAATTGGGATAATCGTCCTACAAGCGGTCTTTGAATGAACTAGCGAGCTTGAATGACTACAAGACATTGGAAAACTTTGAAGATGCCCATGTAGCTCACGGTGATACAGACCATATGTCAGAGTGAATATAGGTACCTACCCAGGTACTCTTCTGTCCGGTTTGTATTGTTTTAGAGAAAATCTCGCCTTTGAATAGTAAAATCAGAAGGGAGGGCTTCCAACGAATCGCCAATCCATGGGGTTTTGATAGATTCCAGTCCAGCTTCTCTCCAATACTATTATCTTGTCCTATTGACGGTATCACGTGATTCCATGTCCTGACATATATGCAATCCCTAGGAACCTACAACATGCGATTTCAAAAACTCGCTCTGTGTTGGCCGATTCAAAGTCCGAACTAATCAGACAAGTCAGAAGAGGCAGGTGTTTTGGTTGCATACCCGCGGGGCTGGATATATTACTCTGGGGTAGGGGGTTCAGCCTGAGCCGTCTGCAACAATGACCTTGCAGCAGAGTATGAGCGATATTGCTGCAAGTATCATAGACTAAGGCATGATGTAGTCATCAATCATCAAATGAATCTGCATGAACTTGATGAGCAGTTTGTTCATTGCGGCGTTGACACCGAAACTCGTTGAACATAGACGGAGGAGGCTGGTGAGGTGGGATGAATTATGGGTGAATAAGGTATTGCGATCAGCATCTTTGCATAATTCTGGAATAATTCTGCTCTGTATGTATTAATGTAGACATTACAAAAGATAATAGGAGAAAGGAGAAAGGAGATAATTACTGGAATCTATTCCCTGTCTCAAGTCCTAGATTTGAACTAGCGTCTATACTTTCCTCCCCTCTCTAGTAACGTTTATCTCATGTTGTGGGTTCCAACTTCCTCCTTACTTACAGGCTACAACATATTCTCTCCACTTCTACTACCATCCAGGAGGCATCATCGCAGACTCAACTTCTTCAGGTGCAGGTCCCCGCAGTTCTTAACCCGCCACTAGGTTCCCGCGCCGATGTTCCTAGCCATCATAAATTCAATGTACAAGTCTCTCAACGTCACCACAGTCGATGGCCTCAGAAGCAGGTACAGAGTAATATAGACTTCGAATCTCCAAGATTGACACTGCCAATTTGTTCATTATGCCAGGTCCGAGGAGACACTAAGGATGTGAAAACCCGGGGTCGAAGGTGCACGCCAAGCACTATGAAATTAACCGCAATATAGAACCTTGATGAAATCTGTCTCAAGTCATATGATGGAAGATCTCGAAGCCTTCCTTTCCGGGCCGTTTCCGTGGATAATCCACCCCGTGGGGTGGATCCGAAACAAATGATTAGAGTGCCATTGAGGATCCGATATTTCCATCGTCCATGGCGCATACATCCAGCCATTGGCGACGATATTTTTCTGTGACTTGGATCAGGGATGCTGTAGCGGGAAGGTTGAGGCTCCGTCTTCTATCTGCGCTATCTTGAACATCATAAAGTGAATTTAATCAGAGACGTAACGACCGGCCCGGTTGCTCATGCATTTTACAGAATATAAGTGCCCTTCACATCCTCATTTTCAACCTCACACTCGTCATCACTGTCTTTTTCTATCAACACAGACTGGGTGAGCCAACAACATGCATGCACTCGTAGCTTCAGTTCTTTTGGGCCTTGCCGCCGCTCAAACCCCCAAGGGTAACCCCGACAACCACCCAAGGCTCACGACATATAAGTGTACCAAGGCTGGAGGCTGCGTACAGCAGAACACCGCTCTTGTTCTTGATTCTGCATCTCATTGGATCCATCAGACCAACGACACTACCAAGGGTTGTGGTAACTGGGGAAGTCCCGCAGATCCCACTGCTTGCCCCGATGAGGAGACTTGCGCCAAAAACTGTGTGATCAACGGTGTGGCTGACTATGCCGACAATGGTGTTACCACCTCTGGAAGCAGCGTCAAGATGGAGATGCAAGGCAAATATGGCGTCGCTAGCCCTCGTATCTACCTTCTTGCTGAGAACAAGGAGAAGTACGAGATGCTCCAATTGACTGGCCAGGAGATCAGCTTCGACGTCGATGTCTCCAAGCTTCCATGCGGAATGAACGGAGCTTTCTACCTCTCTGAGATGAAAGAGGATGGTGGCAGGAGCAAATTGAACCCCGGAGGTGCCACTTGGGGAACCGGCTACTGCGATGCTCAGTGCTTCACTACTCCCTGGGTTGAGGGTGTTGTAAGTTTTGCCCCCATCTGAAATTTAGTTTACGTTACTGATCGCTTCACAAGGGAAACATCAAGGGAGATGGTGTCTGCTGCAACGAGCTCGACATCTGGGAGGCCAATGCTCGCGCCACCCATCTAGCTCCTCATCCTTGCAGCAAGCCTGGCCTCTACCGCTGCACCGGTGACGAGTGCGGTTTCGAAGGTGTTTGCGACAAGGACGGGTGCGGAATGAACCCCTACAAGCACGGAGTCGACAAGAGCTATTACGGCCCTGCTGGATCCAAGGTGAACACCAACAAGCCTTTCACCGTCGTCACCCAGTTCCCCGAGAAGGATGGCGTCCTCCAGGAAATCGTCCGTTACTACATCCAAGACGGAAAGGTCATCGAGAACAACTCCGTCAACGTCACCGGCCCCATTGACGATGCTTTCTGCGAGGCTGCCGGCCAGAAAGACGGTGCTCGCATCTACAAGAAGCTCGGTGCTACCAAGGGCATGGGCGAGTCCATGTCCCGCGGTATGGTTCTTGCTCTCTCCATCTGGTGGGATGAGGGCGGTTTCATGAAGTGGCTCGACAGCGGATCTGCTGGACCTTGCAATGCCACCGAGGGTGACCCCAAGGTCATCGCTGGTATTGAGCCCAACCCTACTGTTGTCTTCAGCGAGATCAAGTGGGGCGATATCGGATCGACCTTCAAGAACAGCACTGTTCTGCTCAACCGATGGAGGCGCTCTACCCACTACTAAAGTCTCTTAGTACCTGCAAGAAGCTAGAAGACGGGTGTAGGTTTAGATAAAAAGATCTTGTACATAGTGAAAAGGGAAGACGAGTATCATATTACAAATCATATATCAAGTCAAGCAAGACATAGTCTTCACATGACGGACTACAACGAAACCGTGATTGACTTTCGCAAGTGCATATCTCTGCAAACAGACGGTCTAAGAAGATGTCGTGTGGCAACAATGAGACTACAGATAAAGCTTGAATAAAGGCATATGCAAAGTTAGAGTAAGTTCCTCATATGAAAACGGTCGGTACGTCCAGTAGCCCAATAAACAAATAAAACATAAAATGAATTGGCGATCATAATTGACATTGAAGTGCGCATAATTTTTTGAATTATTGTATTTTTCTACATCTAAAGCTACATGGACGTTCTACATATAAAGATTATGCATAACAAAACCTCTCTGCAATATAAAAGGCATACATAAACTATTTTCGTTGGGTTTGGATTCTAGAAACAGTAATGAGCAGATTTAGTAAATATCTCCACTAGAATAGCAAGTCTGCTAATTAGTAGCTGAATGTATTGTGTGGGGAAATTCCAGGTCAAATGCACGGAAAATCTGGAGACCATGAAGTGGGGCGCAGAGGATTCTCCGACGCTCGATAAAGGTTTTTCCGACCAATTAGGAAGACAGGACCGAGGTCAACGAAAAAGGCTCATGTAGTTTCATCCAACCACTAAACGCAACTTTCCTCCTCACTATGGTACGATAATAGGAAGTTCGACTAAAACTAGCTATTTCACTCGTTATTCCAACAAATCGGACCTCGGCAATTCCCTTTGCGAATATTTCAATTCTCGGGCTTAATATTCGAATACATTCTCTTCGAGCCAGGGGTGTTGGAAACTCCGTCTCCCATCAGAAATTCCGCTTCTATGCAGTCAATGCTTCCCACACCGGTACGTCGGAACATCGGTCGTGCATGTGACCTCTGCAGGCGTCGGAAGGCCAAATGCGATGGGGCACTACCTCAGTGTTCTCGTTGCCAGGCCTTGAAGGTTAGCTGTGAGTACTTTCTGCCACGAACGAAGCGTGGGCCAAAGCCGCAATCTCGCACCCCCGATTCAGGGGACGTGGACCGACATAGCCAGGGCAGAACACTAGCAACAACTCCGGAAGCAGAGCGTGTTGATGTTGAGAGATCCAAAACACCAAGTCTAGCACAAAATGTCAGTCATACTGACCATCTGCTATCTGACTTTACCACGCCACTCACCGACGCATTTTCCGAAGACTCGGTGGTAAGACCACGAACGTTTCCAGCAAATTCACCTCGAGAGATTCATAGCTATTTGACGTCGACACTGGCGGATCTGGATGTCGAAACGGATGTATTTGTACAGAACTGCGTTGAGTATTGGGTTGGCACCTCCTTCTCGGTTCTTCCATTTCTTCGTCCGGCCACCATCTTGGAAAACATCCCGCTTCTATTGCCATCTGCAGAAAGCAGATTCCCTGCCAAATCCTATCGAGGTAGCCTCCATGACGAATTTTCTACAGAGGTACTTGAAGACATGCGAGCCTTTGCATTACTCTGCGGCATTTGCAGCATGCGGGCTCAGTCTGTGTTGCAACACTCTTCTTTGGTTCGACATCAGGCTTTAGCCGATGCTCTTCTGTCTTCATCGCGTGCTATGCTCGCCTGCTGCGAAGATGCGGATGTAGCACAGCCTTCGATATCCTCAGTCGTCATCCGCATTTTCCAATCGTCTGCCCTGCACTTCCAGGGTAAGAACCGCATGTCACGATACATGGTTGGCCAAGCACTGCGATTGACCATTGACATGAGGCTTTTTGATGAGAAATCATATGACGGACTAGGAGCAGAGGAAAGACAACTTCGCCGGAACTTGTTCTGGCTCATGCATACGATGGATAAGAGCATGTCATTGCTAAATAATCTTCCACCAACACTACATGTTTGCTTGAAAGATCCTGCGCAAGTAGAAACCAACCTGGATGGCACACCGGTTCGGTTGCTAGATGGCATTCCTTGGGGCCAATTCAACCCCACATTTGAACGCCAACTTCGAGTGGGCTTCGATCTGATAATGAAACAATGGCTGATTGCAGGTAATATCCATAGAGATTTGGACCTGCTGGACTCATATGCCAGTACCCCGAGTGCGCAGTCCGATGGGTTGCTGCTACTGAAGAGTCACGTAACGCAAGATTGGCTCGCTTTCTGCAGTCTGCTGGACGTGTTACCTCACTGGATTCGTGATCCAAGCCTGAACATTGCCGATGGTCAAGGTGAAGAAGCCGCCGACGCTCACCGCGAGGCACATTGGATTCAGCATGCCAATCTCGTTGTCAATTACCACTCATTGAAAATCATCCTCATGGCCAAAGCATTCAAGTTGCGCTTGGTGAATCTGATGGGTTTGACAGAGGATGAAGGGCTATTCATTCTAAGGAATACTGAAATTGCTAGCGAGTTGATGCATGCTTTGGAAAAGATGCCCTTGGCAGCATTGCAAGGCAACGGAGAATCTCTGGTACGAACCTCTGACCGAACCTGGAGACAATTGTGCTACTTGGTGACATAGCTAATGGCATCTTTAGGTTGAGAAGCTGCGGCAAGTCGGGATTGTGCTCATTGAGATCGCCCACCGAGTTGCTAATGACGCGCTCGCATTGCGTGCCAAATCGATTCTAGACGCGCTTCTCGTTCTCATCGCGAACCTCAATTCTAGATACTCGGACAAGCTGGGTGAAGAAGCACTCTGAGACGTCTCGACTGATGCAATTGGACCGCTAGTGATCACTAATTGCTACTCGAAGCAGAGAGGCAGAGTCCGAGACCGGCACGCGGGAAATCTTCGACTTGTAGGCGGAGAAATTGACGGAGAAACAACCGCTCGGCAAACACTATAACCTTTGCACACCCGTTGCTCCCATATCGAAAACTCGCAGCACCCTCCGCTTATGTTATAAATTTCTAGCAGACTACGATTCTATTTTGCCGGGTTTCCACAATGGGCTCCACTGTTCGGACCGTGACGGACTATCTAGGCGCAGTCGCGTGTTCATGAAATTCTCAGGGCTGTATAATAGCTCCATCTTGAGATTTGGCCACCTGGTCTTCCTTCAGCATCACGTTTTTCATGTTTCGAGCATTGTCAAGCATTGTCAAGCCATGGATAATCACACCACCTACCATAATCCCATCATTCCAGGATTCGCGCCAGATCCGTCCATTGTCCTCGTCGATGGCATATTCTATCTCGTGACATCTTCTTTCCACGTCTTTCCTGGCCTTCCGATTTACGCATCTCGAGACCTCCAGAATTGGACGCATGTTGGTCAGTGAATGAACAATAGCCAGAAGTTGCGCGGCGCGGCGTCCATGCTCACTTGTATTACACAGGAAACGCTCTTAACCGCCCCGAGCAGATGAGTCTGCGACGGTCCAGCACCAATCATGTTCCTCTCGACACAGGTTTCTCGATGGTAGCTTCTGGTGGCCTCTTCGCGGCGACCATCCGGTATTGGCGAGGAAAGTTTTACATCATCTGCACCAACGCCGCGATTGATATCGAAGACATATCCTCATCTAGCCTTGACAACTTCATCATTTCCACTACAGACATCTGGACCGGCGACTGGAGCGATCCTGTTTACATTCCATTCATGGGCATTGATCCCAGCTTGTATTTTGACGACGATGGTAGGGCGTATGTACAGGGCTGCTATATGCTACAACATGGAAAGCAGCCGACATGCACAATCAAGCAGTTTGAGGTCGATGTCGAGACGGGCGAGGCATTGTCAGAGACGAGAGAGATTTGGGGGGGCTACGCGAAATACGATACCGAGGGTCCGCACATCTACAAACGGGGGAAGTGGTACTATCTGCTGGCTGCGGAGGGCGGTACATTTGAGCACCATATGCTCTCCATCTCGCGGTCGGAGAACGTATGGGGCCCGTATGAGACTGCGCCATGCAATCCGATTCTGACCGCCGATGGCACCGACGAATATATCCAGAACACTGGACATGGCGAGCTCTTCCAAGATAGTCATGGACTATGGTGGGCCGTACTCCTCGCTGTACGCAACGAACCAACTTGCCAGCCTCTAGGACGGGAAACATTCCTCGCGCCCGTCGACTGGCCAGAAGACGGATGGCCCAAAGTCCAGCAGCCGAAGATGAAGTTCCGCGCGCCCGTAGTTGACGCAGGCTCAGAAGCCACAATGGCCTGGCCAGCTCCAATTCCGGCAAGACTCGCAGATCTCTACATTTCCGAGCCCGAACTGCGCAGGTACAAACTCCCTTCCTCCGAACAGGGTCCGTTCAGCCTGGTCCCCAGCCTCGAAAATATGGCCGACCGCTACGGCACCAGCACATTCATTGGCCGTCGCCAGCGATCTCTCGAGTCGACTGCGACCACGTCCATCGATTTGGCGCACAGTAAATGCAAGCTCATGGGCGGCTCAATCCGTGCCGGCCTTGCGGTGTATAAGGACCACATGCGCCATGCCTTTCTCGAGTACGATTTCACCACTCGCACCGCAAGTTGCAAGATAAGGAACAAATCTACACAGCTTGACCGAGTTTCAGAGGCCAGCATGATGATCGAGGAGACTGCGGGAATGCTGCACATGATGATCGTTGCGTCTAGCGAGACGTACAGATTCCTAGCGAAAGTGAAGGATGGAGAAAATGAGTGGATGGAGCTTGGAAGCTGTGGAACGAAGGAACTGGCTACGCGCGAGATGACAGGGCCGATCTTTGGTTGCTTTGCTACTACAACGGCGCCGCAGGGTGAGCGTGGGGAGGTTGCTTTCGAGGCTCTTGTAGTTAGCACTGGGGAGAAGGAGAAGGAGATAACCCCCAGAATCTAGATAGTAGTGATCATATGATATAGCTTACTTTAGGATATGGTAGTCCAGGGACGACAGGATTTCGTGCTTCGCAGCTTCACAAACGAGTGGCGGTTGACATTGAGATCGAATGTTCATAACTCAGGTATGCGCTCGTGTGGACCTTTCATAACTGCCTCAAATTATCATCTGTGGGTTTGAGCTTCGCACACTTCGCACCCGCAAATGCACACATGTGGACGTCTTAGGAGAACTACGGCTATGGCCTAGTGAATCTGAATGCTGCCTTAATGATGTAGAGTTTGATTCACTGATGAACGCACTATCTTAGGAGATATAACGGTATATCTAGAACAGAGATCGAGCAAGGTAATGGAAATGCAATATGTTGCTTAACTAAGGATGTCGGTATCAAATTCCCGACCACCTGAAGGTTTTGGATAGATCGAAACTCGAACGATGAATTTCGTCTCGGGGATCCGCGCTGCGTCCTATGATAACATCAAAGCGCCCGGCCTCAGCTATCCACTCTGAAGTTCGCTCACACCAAAATGACACTGCATACTTATCGATGTGCAATTCGACTGACAGTTTTCGCCCCGCTGGCAAAGAAACTTTCCGATAGGCTTTCAGTTCTTTTTTGGGCCGGATTACCGAGCTTTTTTCATCAGAAACATATATCTGCACGACTTCGGCTCCATCCGACAGCCCAACGTTTTGAACATCAACAGAGACGGTCATGACGAAGTCAGGGTTCGGTTCGTATTCGAGCGGTACGTTCAAGTTTGTGTACTCGAATTCCGTGTAAGAGAGACCGAATCCAAAATAGAACAGTGGCGGTCTATCGAGCTTTTCGTAGTAGCGGTAGCCAACGAACACACCTTCGCCGTAATAGAGCTCACAGTCGGATTTTCCAAAGGTAAGATAGGCCGGATTATCTTCCATGCGAACTGGGAAGGTAATCGGAAGTCTGCCAGATGGATTGATCCTACCAAAAAGTACATCAGTCATCGCATGGCCAGTCTCTTGTCCACCAAACCAGGCGTGCACAAGTGTACGTGCTTCATTTATCCATGGCATGGTGATCGGCAGACCGGATTGGGTGATCACAATCTACACAAGGACAGAAGTCAGCATGCGGTCAAAATGGGTCAATGTCGTCCTTACCGTGTTAGGATTCGCTGACAGTACCGCCTGCACCAAGTCATTGGCTCGACCAGGTAAGTCCAGGGAGGGTCGATCCGCAGCCTCATATTCCCAATCTGATCCAGTCCCCGCGATAACAATAGGTATATCAACAGTCTTTGCGACGTTGATGGCTCTATTCATGGCTTCGGCTTCGTCAAAGACCTCGCAGCCACCGAGCCGTATGCCTCCTGCTGGTGTTGCGCCAACGCTAACGCCATAAGCCTCATTCTTCATCAGAATCTCAATATTGTATTGTTGACCCTCCTCGACATCGATATCGGCGAACTTTTCCATACTCATCGAGTTGAAGAATGGAGTATCATCAGTCTTCTCAGGTTGAGAGGTCCAGAGATCTATCACCTGCGTTCCATTGACAGACATTTTTGCTAAGCCGCCTACGCAGAGACCAAATCTAAAGGTCATTGATTTCTTCGCCTTGTAAGTTGTTCTAATCTTCAACCACCAGAGCGACGGAAAGTCCTTAGGAAAGTTGTCTGAGAAAAACATTCCAGATTGTTTAGTCGTAACCGATGTAAGGACCGAACAACTTTGGATCGTAGGATCTTCGGAGAACCATTCACACAAAAGGCCAGTTTCATGAGAATCAGGCAGATACAGATCTTGGGACAATAGCGGACTGAAGCGATGAGCTAGGAAATATCCGTTAGTCTTCTTCAACGACATCCATAGAGAGAACCTATTGAAAAGTATCAAGAGAAGCGGGTTTGTGGAATCCAACTTACTGTAGCATCCGACTTCATAAGTAATATTCTCCTCTCCTACTTCTTCTACCATAGCATCGTAAGGAGTGCTTACGTAGTAGGGTGTCAAATCTGCACTTCCACCGCCTGCAATTGCTGGGTAGTGGAAGCCTGACCCAATCAAGCCAAAGCGTTTTCCCTTCGTGTTTGTCAAGGGCAGGATTTGCTCTTCGTTCTTTAACAAGACAATACTGTCAGCACTGACCTTCCGCGCAACGGGCATACTAGTAGCAATCTCATCCGTCACAGATGCATCTCTTGGAATATCAGTGTTTACCGCCCGCTTGACATACTCGAGAACGTTCTTTACTCGCTCATCAAGTGTGCTTGTAGACACTTTGCGGCTCAGCACAGCCCAACTAAGTCTGTCGCCCCTCCACTTGGTCGGACCAGGCATCTCGAGATCGAGCCCAGCATTAACGGCTTCTGATGTACTATAAGTGCCGAACCAATCACTCATAGTCAAACCATTCCATCCCCATTCTTTTCTCAAAACCTGTTGAAGCAGGCAATCATGCTCGCTTGCATGAAATCCATTCACCTTCTGGTATGCAGCCATGATCCCCCAAGGGTTGGACTTTTTAACGGCAATCTGAAAGGGCAGGAGATGTACTTCGCGCAGAGTCCTATCGGATACTCGAATAGAGTCTTCGATAGACATCGAAGATTGATCATGGGCAGCATAGTGCTTCAGAATGCAGCCAACCCCTTGCTTCTGTACACCATTGATATACGCAGAAGCCAGAAGCCCGCTAAGCAAGGGATCCTCTGCGAAAGCCTCAAAGCCTCTGCCGATCAGGGGCGAGCGTTGAATACAGACAGTTGGTGCCAGTAGACCCTGAATGTTTCTAGATCTTGCTTCCGAGCCGAGCAGTCTTCCCACGGACTCAAGAAGTTCGGAGTCAAAAGTGGCGCCCATGGCGGTAGCAGAGGGAAGTAAGCATGCTGGTTTCTGCGATATGATTGTCAGCATTGGTACTTTCCGAAAAGGATGGACAACACGTCATGATAAGTAGGATCTCAAAATAGCAAATTCTCGAACAAGGTCGTCAATAGCTCTTTGTGTAACGATATCTGAACGGCTTCTCAACGAAAGGCAAATCTCTTTACTTACCCCATTAAAGAACTTCGTTCCTCTAACACCATGAGGCCCATCGGAGAACTATCTACATGTGAGCTGAGATCGGTGTTTTGAATTATAGATACCATACAGTGACGCTAGGAATGGCCAGGCGGTCAATTGTCGCAGTTGACCATACATCTGCGCCGGCCAGCAGAGCTACCTTTTCTTCCAAGCTCAGGGCTTCAATAAGCTGGTCGACATCCATATCATGTTCTGCAGATGACATGCTCGATCAAGAATTCTGCTCACGACAGTAGAGTGGCGAAGATGTTGTGTGCAGTACTTGTTTTGTGAAAGACAATTTATGAGGACTATTTTATCGTGCTTCGTTAGATCAAGTGTACATTGGTGTTTGTAAAAGGCTAACCAAGGATAGGACATTTAGCAAGCATATGCGTTAAGAGCGCTCAATTACTCCGCGTAATGCGGAGAAATAGGATTCATCATTACCTAAGGGTACCGATGATCGGATGTACACTACATTTCTTCAGAACCTGCTACTTGCCAGTAATTCCTTAGTATTGACTATCCAGTAAGGAACATTAAATACCTAATTATCACAATGAAGAAAATAATATTGCTCCTTTGAAACCCTATCGTACTAGTTATTGCTAGACTTGGAACCAGGCATGCTACGTTTGTGATCAACGGAGCTTTAGTGCAAACTCGGTCAAACATGGCTCAAGCTAGGAAAAACTCACCAATTTCTCCGCGCTGTGCGGAATATCTCTCGCGCTACTTTTTTTACTGATCTAGTCACTAGGACCAGAGGTGGCTGTTGAGCAGATCTAGAAGTCGTGGCTTGATGCGGAGGCCTCCTCATTATAAAACCACTATAAACTGGGGTACTGGCCTCTACTATCATTGCCAGGCCTCGAAACACTTCCATAACAAAGTGTACTTCTATTCTCTTTTATTACAATGGCTGACGTCGAGCACGTTTCTGATGCTAAAGCAACTGTTTTGCAAGTCGAAGGAGTTGAAAATAATGAGAATCGCATTCAGGATGTTTTGCCAAGTTATGGAAAACCGTGGTTTCGGATTGGCTTCTTGGTCAAGCTCAATGCTCAAATCTCCGTATTGCTGCTCACGAGTTTCCTTTCCGGCTTCGATGGCAGCATGTTGAATGGTGTCCAGTCTCTGCCTGTGTGGCAGGAAGGTATGTATACCCACTGTTGAGATCTCATTCAATCAGAGTTGATTGATTGCTCTTAGACTTCAATCATCCCACCGGATCGAGCTTAGGACTGCTCAGCACGATGCAGACAGTGGGCCTTGTTGTCAGCATGCCGTTTGCACCATACGTGACCGACCATGTCGGTCGCCGTCATCCCGTTTTCTTTAGCTCTGCCATATGCATACTAGGCGCCAGCCTTCAATCAGCTTCATGGAACGTTGGTTCCTTCATTGCTGGGCGATTTCTTCTTGGATTTGGGACTGGCTTTGTGGCTAGTGGCGCCGCGCCGCTGCTTGCAGAGCTTTCGTATCCAACTCACAGAGTCTTGGTCTCTGGATTATACAATACCACTTGGGTAGATCTTCCAGTCATCTTCATTAAATCGACTGCTGACGTGGAGTTTAGTATCTAGGAGCCATCGTTGCAGCATGGTCCACGTATGGGTCTTTCAGGATGCCAAATTCATGGAGTTGGAGAATTCCTTCCATACTTCAAATCCTTCCTTCTTTGCTTTAGCTGGTATTCATCTACTTCGTGCCCGAGTCGCCTCGATGGCTCATCTCCAAAGGACGAAAGGAAAAAGCTCGCCAAGTTCTAGTAAATTCGCACGCTGGTGGCGATGAAAATTCTCCCTTGGTTGAGTTTGAATTGGCCGAGATCATTTCTGCCATCGAAGAAGAGCAGAAGAGAAACACGAAGTCCTGGCTCTCATTTTTCAATTCAAGTAAGTCAAAAGTTTGATCAAAGTGTGAAATGAACTAACCCTTTTGCTAGGGGCCAATATATGGAGACTTTCCATAGTTGTCACACTTGGTCTCATGGTCCAATGGTCTGGTAGCGGACTTGTATCATTCTACCTCATTCTCGTCCTCAAGAGTATTGGCATTACCGATCCTGAGACCCAGAATACGATCAATGGTGGCCTGCAAATCTACAACTATGCCACTGCTATACTGGGTGCCTTTCTACTCGATCGATTCGGCCGTCGGACCATGATGCTGTTGTCAACTTGTGGTATGGCCGTCGCCTTCCTGATTTGGACCGTTCTATCAGCTGTGAACGAAGAGCGCGGATTCGATTCGAAGTACGGCGTCGGAGTCGTCCTCATGATCTTCATCTTCTACTTCTTCTACAACGTCGCCATGAACCCAATAGCCGTTCTCTACATCCTGGAGGTCCTGCCTTTCACTCTACGTGCTAAAAGAATGACCATCAACGGTATGGTGGGAATGGGAGCAGCCGTATTCAACGGCTTCGTTAATCCAATCGCCCTTGAAGCGATGGGCTGGAAGTGGTATCTGGTCTTCTTCTGTTTGATTGTTCTCTGGATTGGGGTTGTTTATTTCCTTTATCCTGAGACCAAAGGCATGAGCCTGGAAGAGATTACAGATGTTTTTGAAGGCCCGGACAGCCGGCTGCCTTTCCGTAAGCAGAAGAAGGCTATGAATGAGCATTGATAGGTTTAGATTAGATGATTGAGTATGAAAGGGGCTGGGTTCGATTTTAGGTCGAATGCTTGCAGAGTCCTATGCGGTCAGTGGGTCTAAGATGTATACAACAGGAGAATAGTAGTTATTTGAAAATATGATTTGATTGTCACTAAAATACATGTATTTTCTTCTATACTAGTTACTTTAAATTTTCTTATTGCAGTTGACGCATATGTTTACGACGGCACTAATACTTGGTTTATTGACTGGGAAACTGTACCCGCTCACTTCTTTAATCGTGAACCAAGCGATAATGTTCAATCTGAGCACACATTTGAATGCGATACTATTGCAAGTCTCTTTGAAGTATTAACGGGACTTAAACATACACGTTAGTCTGGAAAAGATCGTTGCTGGCACATTCCACGCCGCTGAGTAGCTGAAGCGCGCGCTCCGGGAGCATGCCTGACATGCCTGACAGTCCCAATTTCAATTCACCGTCTTGTAGTTCTGTGGATCGATACGAATGGCTGGTAACAAGATACGATAAGGAGCCAACCCATCTAGCCTCAAACGAGGCGGCGGGAAGGCTCCGTAGAGCTTGGAAGATCGAGTGTGCAGTGGGCCAAGGCCGTCCACGGTGATTAAGCATGAAAACAATTGGACAGGAAGGGATTCTCTGGGCAGGCAAGTCATGTTGAAATGAGTATTACTCTGCGGCAGCGGAAGCTGTAACGAAGGTACAGATAGAACCTATGGGGCTGACCAACACTCCACCAGGCCTCCCATCTATCCTATCGAAATTTGGACGGCGTCATCGACCAGCTTCGTCCTTTGCCCGCCTTCGATGCGGTGTGATGTCCACCTTGCACTGGGCGGTGGGCGCGTATCAAGCCACATGCTGCAGCAAAGAAAAAACAGCATTGCGCTCGCAACAATCACCGGCCAACCGCTTGTGGGTGGGTCGAACGTTTATAAACTCGTGTCCAGCAGTTGCTTTCCGATGAGTAGCTCCCGTCTTTGCCGGCAGCTGCAAGTATCAACGCTGGAGGCCCGTTTAGGGTTGACAAGCGCTCAAAGCAAATCCACTGTTTCCACTGTTTCTGTAGCAGCCGTTTAATGGGATTGAAATGCCCCTTGCGCGTAGGCGAGGGTGTGCCTGGCCTTGTTTTGCCTGGGCCTTGCTTTGTCTGGGCCTCGGGAAAGGGCCGTGGGTCTGGTGGTTAGATGTTTCGAAGATGAAACGATTCGATTTTCCTCCAATCATCGGGCGATCCTGCAACTCGGATGGGATGTTCCCTCCGGCGCCAATCATATGTGTGATACTATAGCTTGATCTCAACCTCAACCTCATCATTGCCTAGGAGACATCACATCCACGACATCGTGGGACCTGGACCAACCTGAACGTCCTAGATGGTAATGCGAGTTAACTTCAATGATGACTTCCTGAATGATTATCGGTAGATTACGAGAGAAAACTCTGCCAAACGAAGGGCCCCATCAAAGGAGGCGGCACCTGAGAAACAAATCGGCACATAACTATTAACAAGCCGTCATTATTGTCATCATCGTCATCATCTCAACCCATCACGCATTATCGTTCCAATATTTCGAAACATCATTGCAGGTGGCACACACAATGCGAGGCTTCTGAATGCAATATGGGCGAAACGACTAAATGTTTAGTTTGTTGGTGCCCGCGAAACGAGATTTGGTCAAGGGGCACAAGCGTCCTGTTTCAACAAAGCGTGCTCCTCTCGCTGCCGCAGCCGAGCCATGGCAAAAGACTTTTGCAAGCGATGGCTTGATACCAGCCAGGCGTATCTATGAGCACTGTGCATGAGATTCATTTGTTTCCTTTGCCATGCAGTGCCATGAGTCCATGACTTACGCTCCCGCCTACTTGGAACCGCCAGGGGAACACCTTCATATCGGACATGGACGAAAACAGACATGTTGCCAAGTGCATGACACTTTTCGACGACTAGACAAGGCTCCACCAGCCTGGTAAGCAGTGTTGTCAGTGTCTAGTCGTTAATTTACCACCAGCCTCGCGAGTCGCCATGTCGTCGTCCCTGTCGTCGGGAGCTGGACAGGGCGCCTGCGGTGCAGTACAAATACCACGAACCTCTCCTCCTTCTAGGAATCATCCACATCGGTCACACTTTCGTTTTCGGCTTCCATCCGTCCTATCTTTCAAACATTCATTCATTCTTTTCATCACTTCACTGTGTGAAGCTGGACTAACAACAACTTTCCAAAACAACATTCAACTTCGAAACTTCAATACCAATATCAACTTCTTCCAAACACACGATCACTCGTCCATCAGATCACAATGTCTCTCGCTATGAAATCTGCTCTTCTCGGCGCCTTCGCTGCCTCCGTCCTTGCCCACGGTACCGTCACCGGCTACACCGCTGATGGCGTTTTCAACCAGGGTTTCCTCCTCGACTACTACTACATGGAGAAGAACGGCCAGACCCCTCCTACGCACTCTGGATGGTATGCCGAGAACCTCGACAACGGCTTCGTTGACGGCTCTGGCTATGCCACATCCGATATCAACTGCCACAAGAACGCAAAGACTACCGCCGATTCCGGAACTGTCAAGGCTGGAGGCAACGTCGACTTCCATTGGACCAACTGGCCCGAATCCCACATCGGTCCCGTCATCACCTACGCCGCCAAGGTCGACGACTTCGCCAGCGCGAAGCCTGACGCCCTCAAGTGGGTCAAGATCGATGAGGCTGGTTACGATACCACCAAGAAGTCCTGGGCTGCTGTTGACATGATTGCCAACAACAACACCTGGTCCGTCACCGTCCCATCCAGCCTTGCTGCTGGCAACTACGTCTTCCGCCACGAAATCATTGCTCTCCACGGAGCTGGCGACTTGAACGGTGCTCAGAACTACCCCCAGTGCTTGAACATCAAGGTCACTGGCTCTGGAACTGAGAACCCCGAGGGTGTCCTTGGTACCGCGCTCTACAAGAACACTGACGCTGGTATCAAATTCAACCCCTACACCACCATCGAGAAGTACGAGATCCCCGGCCCTGCTCTCTTCGGCTCTGGCTCCGGTTCTCCCGCCCCTGCTCCTTCTGCCTCTGCCGCTCCCTCCGCCTCCGCTGCTCCCTCTGCCACTCCTACCGTCACCCCTACCACCCCCACCGCTGCTCCCAGCGCTCCCGCTTCCTCCGCCCCTGCTGCTACTCCCACCGAGGTCGCCACTCCTCCCACTGGCGGCAACGGAGGCTCCGACGACACTCTCCCCGAGAACTTCACCCTCGACACCTTCATCACCTGGCTCAAGGCCAAGGCTGGCACTCCCGCCACCAAGGCCCGCCGTCACGCCCGTGACATCAGCTTGTAAACAGCTAGCTCCTTTGTCTCACGACCCTTCTCCCGCATAGCCTGTGGCTACTGCCATCACATCTGATGTTTGGATGATGTTTTTATTCACATTTTTTCGAAGTCCCATTGTTGTTGGGCGAGTTACTTTCTACCTTTGTATATATTGGACGCCTTTTTATAGCTTCTTGTCCAAAAGATTACAGCATAGCCTGCCTGGATGGAATTTTAAGGCAATTCAAAAGATTTCTGACCAATATTTGTTCCTACTCTTATAATTATGCTTGTGATGTGAAAGTCGTGCTGTTTTGACGAACCGAATCAACTGGTGGACTGACTGACTCTCTGTTCAAATGCCATGCCAATAGCGCCTGTGTTCTCCCCTTCATCTCGCCTAGGCGGGAGACCACTGATATCAGGCCAGGAGGTTTGAACATCCCCACTTTTCATTCCGTGCCAGAAGGAAGAGTTCGAGAGTGTTCCAGACGGTTTCTAGCGCCCGTCTTGCAGTCTTGGAAGCCGCTGTCAACATGTTCCCCCCTTGGTGCGTGCCATCAAGGTTACAAGCACATACAATGTGTAGCTGTGTGTTGGTTGGTGGGCCTGGGACTTGAAGAGCATGGTAGTATCGTTATTATAAGGAGCTAGGAAGACATGCAAAAGCGGACGGACTTGACGAGATGGTATGATTTTGTAAGTACACGTTGTATTTCGCATCAACTATGAACAATGATAATATGATTAATCAATGACTCCCCTCTCAGATCCCATCAAGACGCATCTAACACCCTATCTACACTCCCACCTCCTCCTCTACTCAACAACTCTCCACCTGATTTTTAAAACACAACCTCCGCAATCCTCTTTCCCCAAGACTTCTTCTGGCGATCCTGCTCGAGACCCGAGATACCCTGCATCCTCTGCTCCTCATCCACGTCGCGGCCCGAGATGGCGAGCTGGCCGTCGCGGAGACCCTCGTAGACGTCGATGTCCGCGATCTTGACGAACAAGGGGCGGTGGGAGGGGATGGCGCGCCAGGAGTACACCTTCCAGATGGCATAGAGGAGTATGATAAGCGGGAGGGCAAGGTAGGCGGAGAAGAAGGCTTCGGCGTCGGGTTCGCCGCCAACGGGCTGGAGAAGTTGTTAGTTGGTGAATAAATTTTGAGATGGTGGGGGAGAGGAAGGAGACTTACCCAGAGAGCGACGTAGAACTGTGCGATGAGGCACATGATGTTCATGAAGACACCGATGTAGCTACCCCAGACGCCGAAGGCAGCGCGGTAAGGGAGCTCCTCGACGGTGTGGCCGCGGAAGGCCCACGCCATGCGGAATCGGATGTGGGCGAGGCAAATGCTGCCGTAGACGAAGAAGTTGGCGATGCCGGACAAGGCGAGGAGCCAGCCGAAGATGACGCTGCCGGTCTCGGTGGCCTCGTTGATGAAGGCGAGGAGGCCGAAGATGAGCTGGAGGATGATGGTGGGGATGGGGCGGCCCTTCTTGTCGACGTAGGCGAGGATCTTGGGGGCCATGCCCTGGGTTGCCATGGCCTGGAGTGTTCGGGTCGATGCGTAGGTTGCAGAGTTGGCGACAGAGATGACGGCTACGGTGATGACGGCGTTGAAGACGGAAGGTAGGCCCTTGACGCCGGCCATTTGAATCGCAACGACGAAGGGAGAGGCCTTGGTGTTCGCGCCCGAAGATTCGAGGAGGAACTCGGAACTGCTGGGAACGATGAGACCGAGGATAAAGAGATTGACGACGTAGAAGAAGGTGATACGCCAGAAGACCTGCTTGGTTGCTTTAGGGATCTGCTTGACGGGGTCGGCGGCTTCAGCGGCTGCGAGACCAGTGAGTTCAGTGCCACCGAACGCGAACGATGCGGTGACGAAGACAGAGCAGAAGCCCTTGAAGCCGTTACGGAAGGCATGTTCGGGAGCGTGCCAGTACGCTGCGCCAATGTAGCCTCTGTTGTCAGTTGGAACTCCACCGCAGTTCACGATGATACCGAAGATGATGAAGCCTGTGCATGCGATGATCTTGATCATACTGAGGATGAACTCGACTTCACCGTAACCGCGGACGCCAAAGATTTGGATGACGGAGAGGATGGTGAGGAAGACGGCGATCCAAATTCCAATGTTGTAGTGATGCCAAAAGTCGATAGTAATGGCCGCTGCTGTGATCTCGAATGGCAGGATGGTGAGCCACTGGATAGCATAATCCCAACCGATGGCGAAACCCCTGAGCCGTGTCAGTGTATTGATGCCATCAGAACGCGATGACTATCTTACCAAGAAGGATCGATGAAGCGGACAATGTATTGGTAAAATGCACCGTTTACAGGGTACATCACGGCAAGTTCAGCGAGCGCTTGCATCATGAGCATGATCATGACACCAATGATCATGAAGCAAATAAGCTTGAATGTCCCGTTAGCCACTATCAATGTTGACATACAGTACCAGGTTACATACCAAACTCGCAGGACCACCACTGGACAGCGCACCTCCAGAACTAGGTCGATTAGCAAGATCCTACCGGACGGCGAAGACAAGACCTTACCCCACGAAAAGACCGGCTCCAATCGCGCCTCCGATGGCAATCATCTGCATATGGCGTCCGTTGAGACCACGCTGGAGCTTGTTGACCTCTCCACTGACGACGGCCTCATTGCTCGACTGACTGCCATTGGCAGATACCCTTGGAACACCCCCCTTCTCTGCCTCTCCAGTGTATGTAGGAGCGGAAGCCATGGTGTCTCTGTGGGCGGGAGCTGCGTGGATGTTACACAGAGCGAAATACCCAGAGGATTCAGAACGAAAGGGGAGTGCCGGGGGGGATAGGTCCTTTATGAAGAATCCTGGCAAGACAGCAACACCCAAATACGCAGGGTCTCAAAATGTCGCAACCCAGATCTTACGTCCCTTATCTGCTGGGAGCAAAACCCATTTCCAGGAGGGCGGCCTCTCCGAGGCTACGCCCATATTACCGGATCAGGTGCAAGATACATCCCACGTTGGACATGCATGTTTACGATCCAGGTGGCTGCCAGCATGCATCCAGACCCTGGCAAGGGTAGTTGGTATCGGCCAGCGATGGTGAGAATACGCAGTCTATAGGGTCGTTACCATGGGATAGGATCAATTAATGGAAGGTAGTGTGCATGCAGAGGTTACAGTCGGATCCTGCGATCCAGCTAGGTAAGAACCTCTAACACCGTACGCGCGGTTTGATACGATACAATTGGTGGCATTGGTAGTTCGTCGTCCAGGCCAATAAATCCTAAGATAAGACAAGCCGCCGCCACTCCTAGCTTGGTCCAAAGCTTAACGGGATGATAACGTTGGCATCAAGTCTAGAAACGCTTTGTTTCTTCGTCGCTTCGTGCATGGTCTATACGAAGCCGCGACTTATCGCTACAAGTACTGTGTACTCCGTGCATGTCGTCGATCTCGTGCCGCACCTTCTGTGAAACTTCTAGATGCAAGGCATCTGTGCAACGGGCCTTTTCCATGCACGAGAAGTATTCCCACATTCGTGTGAGATCCGAAAGGAGTCTGCAAAGCCAGACAGGGTGGGTGTTGAACCTGGACGATACTCCGTAGATGCGCACAAATTAGAATAGACGCAATAGAGTAGAGCCTAGAGTCTAGACGTCCTGCTGGTTGGGGTAAAGTGACGGCCAACCCATTCATCCATGGCGCAAGCTTATGCCATCTAAGCATCGCTAGTTGAGATTATCGTGCTGTTCTGCGTTCTGATTGGCCGCCCCCGCCAGGAGAGCGGGATTTGCGATACACATTGCGGCGTTGCAGCTGCATCAGGAAGCTCGCGGTAACGGGGCGGTGATCAGTTGTGCCGCTACTCAGGCGTTTGATTACGGATTGTGCAGCATCCGATTCTACATGCGCGAACATCATGAAAAGGCATGGGAGATGGGGACGACCATGCTGTGAATACTCATGATGAGTTGACTGATTAGTTGGTCGAAGGAAATCTGTGGCAATGAATACGTCGATGATGTCGCAGCATTCTGGTGTGTAGTAGTCAGATGAAACGACCACCAGGTGGTGTACCAATAACAGTGCGCTGTAGACAGATACGAGGCACGACACGTCGGTGACCAGCGAATCGTTGACGCTGGTGAGAGAGGTTATCGCCAGAGTGATGGAAGGTTTATGTCGTTGAAAGAAGGTTATGGGCTTGTGGTCTTGGGGACTATTTATACCGGACCAATGCCGTGCCAACTGCTTTTATTCCGACACTTACACTCCGATCACCTCACAGATCAACGGCCTGATCCAAACCATGTCTCCGAAACTCACTCCGATATACCTCGTAGCTTTGCTTTAGATACGTGCTCAGAGCCAGCTATGTCATCGATTGCTGTCTGATGCGTCAGTAGACAGCTGCGTCTGTTTGTACCTGTACAGTCTGTAATGGTGCCAAATGCCTGCTAATTCAGTAGAGACATCTCCCATGACCAAAACGTCAAGGTTTATTCTTTCATACTTCAGCCGCGCCTTACATCTCGTAGCACCGAGAACCCCTCCGGTCTCGCAACGATGAATCGTGCATCTTTCCATTGAAGACAGGACCGTGTACGCTACACGCAAACCTTCTTCCGCCTTACCCCCTCCAACATCACATTTCACATTCCCACCCCTTACGAAATCAACTCATTCTGTGTCTTACCAAGCACAGGTTTGCTGCCTACTACTTGCATGCAGACGCTGTCGTAGGACTCCCCCTCCTCATATCACCCGTCTTCTCACCTTCCCATCTGACATGCCAATACAACATCTCAGCCAATCAGCGGGAACCAGACTGGATATCTGCTCAGGCATAACCATCAACTTGGAAAATTGGACTCCGGGTTGAAATCCTCCGACTTCCTCATGTATAGAGATGTGAGACATCAATACTGCAGTTCACCGGATACATCAGACGAATATGCGTGTTCGACTTGCAACCATGGTTGCGATACTAATATGATTCTGCGGACCGGGTTCGCCCTATATGCATCGTAACTGCTATTTCTACAACCAGGCCAATGATTTTTCGACCTATTCATCATCGTGGTCCTGAGTATCAGGGAGTTTCCTGGTTCGTACGAGAGCAACGATGTACAATGACAACATGCATCAATTCCACCTATTCCCTGTTAGAGAAGGAGAAGATTCGCAATATAAAGTCTAGCAATTCTCCGATTAATCTATCCCGTCGTTCTCTTTCATCTATTGCAATCAAAAACACATGGCTCCTATCACATCTGCGATCACACGTGTGCTGGTAACCGGGTTCGGGGTACGTTTGGCTGTTCCCATGTGCAACCCTGACACCAATGACAGCTAACGAACGCCTGCGCAAACAGCCATTTGGAGGCGTGCCAGATAATCCGAGCTGGGGCATAGCATCTCGTCTGCCATCGGCCCTACCATCCAACATTGAACTGCTTGTTCATCCGTCCTATGTTCCAGTGTCATACCACCCAACACTAGATCTTGTGCCGACTTTCCACGACCAGAGCCCCGACATCGCTCTCCACATTGGCGTGGCGGCAGGGCGTAAATACTTCGCCGTCGAACAGACCAGTACGTTGTCCCCAAAAGCTGAGATCATCCAGCATGACTGACACAAAACCTCCAGGCCAAAAGAGCGGCTACGAGTGGGTGCCAGGTGTGGACGGCGAAATATTTACCAAGGAGGAACAACAAGCAGCCTGGGGCCCGTTACCCGAGAAATACTCTACATCTCTAGACCTACACGCCACGGTAGCGCGCTGGAAGGAGCTTACCTCCGGCCTGTCGTTCTCAGAGCGAGGCTCCGGTGCGAGGGCGAAGCCCGTGGACGTGAGGTTCTCGGACGAACTCCCTGATATGTTGGCGAATTTCACCACGCAGGGACAATCTGTCACCACGCAGGACGATGAAGTCAAGTGGAGCGATGCGGTTGGGACGTATCTTTGTGGGTTTATTTACTATGCAAGTATGGCTGAAATGGGAAAAAGAAACACAGGGGAGCAGAGAAATGTTGCGTTCTTGCATGTCCCCAGCTTGGATACGGAGGAGCAGATCAAAGTGGGCGTGGACGTCACAGTTGCACTCATCCAGGCACTGGTCGAGGTGAAAGGTTCTACTTGAAAGATTATCTGGGACCCGAATCACAGTAGGATAGGTAATGTACATTCTCCAATTGTATACATGTCCCATATCAATATCAAAAGCGCTTTGTGGCTTGCTGTAGTCGCGCTGTGGTATGCAAATTGTAAATCATACCCATTAAGTTTTCAAGATAGCGCGCCCTTGCTGTATCAGAATGGACATCGACCTAATCAGGTAATTACCAGGTAGTAAGTGCATGTTGGACCATCGCAGGTAATTACGGGCAGTCTATCCGGCCGGTGAACAGCTTATATAATCGTGCAGGAACCGCTCAGCCTCGTCACTGCCTCGATGTCTTCCCAGATGGCAAGTGAGGTCACGTAACTTCATACATGTACGACCAGAAACAAACAACAGCATGGATCAAACAGGCACAGATAACAGACAAAGCAATGTCCCGCAGACTCCAGCAACAGTAGAAACATTCCCCGAACAGCGCCCTTGGCCGTCCGCGAATCTCTGCTCCATGTGCTCGGGCCTTGAACTCGAAGATGATATCTTTGGGATGGAGGGGTATCAGGGCTATGCAGTAGGAGATCGCCTGGCCTTCTTTGAAGAGCGCGGCATTGGATCTGCTGCGTCTCCTGAGTTCAAGCCTTTCCTATGGGCCACCATGGGCGTGCATATAGACGTCCTGCCTGGGCTCGAGAAACTACGCGTCTCTGCTGAAGCCGGATGCGACTTTTGTCGACAGCTTCGGGAATTGGTTCCAGGATTCATTCATACTGGGTCAGCGGTGGGACCAGTAATTCTCGCAATGTCCTACCTTTGGAGGCCTTCCAATGCGATGGAGATTGGGCTACATGCTGTGGTGGTGGCGATCGCTATTGCCATTGACGAGAAAGAGAGGTCGCTGTTTGAAGAGCGTCAAATCACGGTCGGCGAGAATGGCCAATTATTTCAGACTGCAAACAGCTTAGTCTTCAGAGTGGAATCAGGCGAAGGTAACCAGCTCTTTACAGAGATCCCGCCCGAGCTCTCGCAACCGCATGAGCCCGATTAACATAGGTGTAGGTAATTGTCAAGATTGGCTTCAGATAGAGAATGCTCCTCGAAACGGAGAATTCCTTTGCGAGGCAAATGTCAGTGATTTGAAGGAACTGTTAGATGAGTATTCCTGCAAGGCTTGGGACATTCAGGGTAATCGCGCAAACCCGACACGACTTCTAGATCTAGAAGCATCAAATACAACTGATGGAATATGCCTCACGGAGGTTTCGTCCCAGGACAGATTGAAGTATGCCGCTCTGAGCTATTGCTGGGGCCCCGAAAAAGATGCAAAGACACAGACTATACTTACCACAGAGAATCTGGCGGACCGGCTTGCCGATATTACATTTCATTCGCTTTCGCCCGTGATGCAGGATGCTGTTGTAGCTACGCGGAAGTTGGGCATTCGCTATCTATGGATTGACGCGTTATGCATAATTCAGAATTCCCCAGAGGATTGGGAAACACAATCAAGCAAGATGGGCGACATCTACGCAAATTGTTTTACCTCAATCGAGGCGCTGGCTTCCTCTTCATGTAGAGAGGGCTTTCTCTCGAGGCCAGAGCCATTGACAATTAATTTCCAATCGACCATCAGACCTTCCATCCGTGGAACCTTCGGATTGAGGTTCCACTCGACTCAATCCCTCCGTAGAGATCCATTTGCCAAGAGCGGTTATGGCGCTGAATTCGAGACCGCATGGACGGACAGAGGCTGGTACGCATATGAAGAGCGCTCGATCCATCTTGCACTAACGTCTATAAGGACCTTACAAGAGACTGTACTTCCACACACCCAGATAAGCTTCGGCGCCTCAAGACTGTGTTTCTCACATGATGATCAAGCCTTTCTCGAACCGTTTGAGGGCGATCGTGTGAAGGTTATGGCAGATACGACTTTTAATACTCCGGCGACGTCACATGATGACCGATGGCGAGTGTACTCACATTGGCAGAAATTGTTAATTGACTATGGATGTCGAGCAACAAGCCGTCTTTCCGACAGGCTTCCTGCGCTGTCCGGTCTGGCGCAGCGGATAGCCAGCATAACGGGCGACGAATACATTGCTGGCCACTGGAAGGAATGCATGACCATGTCGCTCCCTTGGCTTGTGGTGTATTCAGACTCTTCGAACCTGGCAGAGCGCCTGTCTCAGCTTTCATGCCCTCAGCCCTACATAGCACCTTCTTGGAGTTGGGCTAATATAAAACCGGTGTTAGGAAAGCAATACATAAGGAATCAGATCACCACCAGATTGCCACGCCCAGAGTGGTGTTACCTCCACTCAGAATGCCACGTCAGTTCCGTCTGGAGCGAACCGGTTTCTCAGCTCAATCCTTTCGGTGCCATCACGTATGCCGAATTACGACCCACAGGAAGGTTGGTCGAAGTACCCAGAGGGCTACACCGAGACAAACGTCCACACTGGTTCCCCCTGGACCAAGTTTGGCTGGCAGGTCTGGGTGAAGATGACATTGCGATATGTATGCTGGACTGGTCGGAAGCACCACAGACCGACTTCCTCAAGGGTAACTTCTTACTCCTGTTGACATCAAGTTGGTCAGATGTTCCTGAGGATTCACTGTTCATGTGGCCTCTCCATGAAGTTGGCAATACATTCAGAATCAACCCGCCTTGTACGTACGAGAGGACTTTACTTCCTGATCGACCAGCTTCAAGTAAAGACGAGGGGGTCCATGGCGGCGAAAAGAGCCGTGAGAATCCTTCCGATGAGCGAAGCAACGACAACAACATGAGCAAAACGCATCCTCGTAGTGGCCACACCGAGGAGCAGTCTCTAGAAGGAGAGCCCACAAAGGATAGCGCTCGACAGCCTTTCAACGATACACCTTCCGTCTACAACCCTAGTAGTAACAACGACCCAGCTCTTCCTGATGCCATGTCCGCACTCCACCTCGACAACCAAGAAGAGCACGACAACCAGAACCGTCCGCCAGTAACACGCCCCAGAGGCCCCAACAGAATGGCAATGGGCATCGTCCTCCACGCCGCGCCCGATCGTCCAGGAAAATACTACCGCGTGGGCTGCTTCGAGTCGCACCCCGCGCAGGGCGGCACTGACGCCTTTGAACGATTCAAAGAGCGCGAGGTCCACTTGATTTGATTCAGTGTCCCAGGGTTCGTTCATCTTTGGTCTCGGTGGAATTGGAACTCGAGAAAGAGAGGAACGACCGTTGGGAATGCCAACTAACTGCCCTTCGTGACTTGGATCATGGCAAGATGGTCTTCATTCCCATCACATATCGACCAACAACAATACCAGGAACCACATGCCCACTTCCAAGAAGGAAATCACCTCACGAACCCGTACAGTGAATCGAAAAGGTCCTTATGACACCTCCCACCAGCCTCAATCTTAACCTCAATCTCTGATCTCTAATCTCAATCTTCTAATCTCACACTCTTAACTTCCAGTCTTAAATCTTAAATCCTAAATTTTAATGACATCATACAACCATAAACACGAACACGATCATTCACTTTGCCATTTCCCCACCTTGCACCTTCCTTCATCGAATACACACACACACCTCAGGACGACACGTTCTGATACTAAAGCACCCTTAGTACCCCGAGAAACAACCCCCCACCAAAAGAAACCACAACATTCACAGCCCACGACCTCAGCATTATCAAACACACACACACACACACACACACACACACACACACACACACACACACACACACACACACACACACACACACACACACACACACACACACACACATACATTTCACACGCAAAGGCAAAAGGATGCGGCAGGGAGAGTTGGTGGAAAAGGGGGGGCGCTCGGTTCAAAACCCTGCCTGCCTGCCTGCTTTTATGTCACCCCCTTCTCCTTCTGCTTTTTGTTTGCGTGTGCGTAGATGTACGTGGTCGGCGTGATATAAATCCGATATGACACGGTGCGATGTCGACATGATGTGACGCGACGAGGTGATGGGCACTTGCTTGTCAGGACGTGGCGGATTGCCTTTGGTTTACTGTTACCGTTTCATTTTGTCTTGTTTGCTCTTTGGGTTGCCGGATGTGCAGTGGGGGTGGTGTCTTCGTATGGAGGTGATTGGAGTTCGGGAAGTGTGGATGGTGGGTGGTGGTTGATGGGTAGGATAGATACCTGGGTACTTGTTATGTAGATACCACGTGTGAGTAAGTGACGAGGCTGTCTCGTGCCCTCCCTCTCTCTCTCCTCTCTTCCAATCTTTTCATCGACGTCAGGGAAAGGACTCTTGAAGGGAAGAGAGAGGGGAGCAACCCAAGCTGAGAAGACGGAGCACGTATAAGGTCATTTCAGGGACATCATTCGAGGGGGAGCAAGCAGCGGTGAAGCGTGAGAAGAAGGTTCGTACTACTACACATATATGCTGGACTAGAAAAGATGTGGTTTCTTTCATCATTTTTTTCCCGGTCCTTTCCTTTGAATTCCATTCCTTTTCCTTCGGCTCTCTCTCGATCCGTTTTTGACATCTCCTAGGTCCGTCCGTGTAGGGGAAATCGAAACGTTCCCAATACGATTCCTTTCTTCTTTCTCTCTCTCTCTTTCAAAATCGGTCGATTCATAAATCGATCCTTACTTGCTGCCTCGTCTGCTCCTGTCCTTCTCGGTCGGACGTGATGCATCATCCTATCTGGACGGACCCCGAACCCGTCCTCATCGAGAAACAAACCAAGACCAAGAGAAGACTCGTCATTGCCTCACATGCCTGTGAGATCGTCATGAAGCCACCACGACTGAGAAATCCCCTTGATGGGCACAAAAACGTGAAACAAAACACAATGCAAGATAATAAGTTGGTGGCTAAGGAGGAAGCTTGGAGTTAAAACATAGTCGAAGAAGCGAATGTCGTGAAAAATCGAGGTAATCAAGTTCCAACGAAATCCGTTGGAACAAAGACGACGCCAGTCCGCGCTGGCTGATGCTGCTGAAGACACGTTGTTGGTGAATGGATGAACCGGTACGCCGCCGATGATGCGGGTTTAGAAGTACTGAAATGCATGTGCTCATGATTGTTGTCATTGCGATCGCTGCTGCAGAGATGTGGGCTCCGGTGACGCCTCGACGCCAACCATGGGTGAGGTTGGCGACTTCTGCTTCTCCTCCTCGTCGGGCGGACTCCCCCTCAGCTTGGAGAAATTCTCTCCTTCCGAATTCGTGGGCGTGCCTAGCTTTTCCTTGGGATATGGCTCCAGGTCTTTGGTGCTCGTGGAGAAGGTCGAGATGACCGGTGTGTAGGAGCGGTGGTCGGCTTGTGTGGGTGTCTTAGCTTCGGGGCCAGCAGACACGGGAGAAAGCAGGCCTTCGTGGCCATTGCTGGCCTCCTGCACCGCCGTACCATTCATGAGGCCATTCCAGCCGCCTTCGATGTCGCGGAGCAGGCGCACATACTCCTCCGGTACAAGTCCACTCTCTCCCGTCTTTGGGTCTTGTGCGACAAGCCACCCTTGGCCGTGCCGGTACGAGACCAATATGACCTGGCCCTCAACCAGCGGCAATTCGTTGTCGTTCTCCCGGGCGAAGTCGAACAGCGCCACTGCCTTGCCGTGCATCTCCTCCTCGGGGGAGGCAATCGTAAACTGGTAGTCGCGGGAAAAGCGGCTTTCGTCGCGAGGGAAGTCTTCCGGCTCCGACATGTCATCGTCTGAATCGTAGGGTGGGCCGTCGTTTCCCGCATATGTCCGCTGGGGAAGCATGGCGGCGAAGTGAGAGTCCCGCCGTGATGGCTCACTGGGGGCACGGAGCCCTTGGCTAGATTGCCGCTGCGGGGGATAGGTAATGTATTCGCCGCCGGCACCGTTGGCCTCCGACTCGTCGGCTTCGTCCAGGTAATAGACCGAGCTGCTGCTGTCACCATTGTACGACGGCCGTCTCAATTCCTCGTAGCCTTTCCTCCCCCTTGTGTGATCGAAATCGACAATGTTCGATTTGTGCTTCTTGTGCCGAGCGTGACTTGTGACCACGGGGCTGTGAATGTCCTCATCCTCCTCCCATGGAGGGCCATCTGCAAAGGAAGTTTGCGGGAGCTGCTCGCCAGGTTCCCAACTTCCAGCGGACCAGCCTCCTCGGTCTGTGTGCCACGCGACGGGCGGTGGATCTGAGAGCCGCCTGCTCACTTCGCTAGCTGGTGTGGAGATGTTGGACGGTTGTTCCGGGAGCGGTCCGTAGAAGAGGGGGTGGAGGGGACCATAGGCAAAGTCACGGACGAGCGAGTAGGGGAGACTCGAGTGGAAGATGGGGAAAGCGGTAGACTGCGGCCGCGACCGCGCGGACTGGTTGTTGGATGCGTTGGAGAAGGTGGAGAGCCGTTTGCTGATGTAGGAGCTAGCTCGTTCAATCTTCGCTCTCGAAGGCGGGGACGTGAGCAGCGGAGGGAGGGACGTTCGATTGGCATTCGGCGAGGATACGAGAGACGCGGGCTCGCTCCTGGGGGACATGACTTCAGCCATGGCGGAATGCCTCTGACGACCTCGGACAGGCTGCCCTTCGGTGATGTCGCCGAGCCGTCGCGAGTTGGTGGGGCTGTCAACGTCGGTCATGCGAGGTACTCTCGGGGGAAGGGCTTTGGAAGTCAGTTATAGGTGAAAAGAGGTGGTTTTATGATCGTTGCAGTGACCAGTTCAGCGCAGGGAGGAAATGTAGGTTTAAGGAGTTGGGAGGGGTGCGAAGTGCAAGCGCGCGGTGCATGAATGTGCTGTTGTTGGTGCTGTGCGATGCGCGGCTGTGGGGGGAGAGGGCTTGGAGCGCGGCGCTCAGGAAGGAAAGCAATACATCCAGACTCGAGAGCAGAGAGGGAACAGCGCAAAGATCTGGGAGAGGTTTGCCCAGTTGGACTGCTGTACCGAGTCAAGGTGCGATGGTACCTGACAAGGCGGCTCGGGTAGTGGTGGGGATGGCTGAGCTGATGAGATGTTTTGGCGGGAATGTTTCGAGGGAGCCGATAGGCAATGCGCCTCGACCGACAGCGCTTGAGAGGGGAGGGGAGTGCTTCTGGAAGCAATGGAGGCGAGGAGGATGGGCGAGACGAATGGGAGGAGAGTGAGGTAATGGGCGAATTGAAGATATTGTGCGCAATGGAGCGGCTGGGGAAGCGCTTCGCTGGAAGGGATTGTGGGGGGTGGGAACGAGAGGTCTGGCGCTAAAAGACTTACCCAGTAAGCGGCGAGAGTAGGCGTCCAAGTGAAGGCTGTATAGCCCTTTGAGGTGGTGAGGGGTCGAGTTGGGCGGTTGAGGAGAGGCAGAGTTGAGGCTGGTGAGAGAGAGGAGGGGATGGGCGAAGACAATTATGTATGAGAGTGAGGTCGAGTGGGAGGCAGTGAATGTAGTCGTTACTTGGGTGTTGTTGTAGATTGGATGGTGGAGGAGAATAGAGGAAGAAGAGAAGGAAGAGGAGGTTGGAGGTTGGAAGTTCAAAGGTTGAAGGTTGACCTGGTCGGCGGTGTCGGTGTCGGTGTCGGCGGCGGTCGTGTCGGGAGAGCCGCGGGCGTATTATTTATGAGTAATTAGGTAGGTAGGGAAGGAGCGACGACGAAGAATAGGAAGGAAGGAAGAAGGATGAGGAAGGAGGTGGAGGAGGGATGTCTGTCGCGGTCACAATTGTGGTCGCGGAGGTGAGATGAGATGAGATTGAGGGGCGAGGGTTGGGAGAGAAAAGGTTCAGAGAGATACAAGAGAGGCTCAAAGGCCAAGCGCGCGGTGTGAGTGAGTGAGCGCGTGCGTGCGTATGATATCTAGGTATGGCATGCGTGTATGGGGCGAGTTGGTGAGGAGGGGCTGTAGTAGTGTAGTGTAGTGGTAGTGGTAGTGGTAGTGGTAGTGGTAGTAGAGGTGGGTATTGCGTGTAGGTCAAAAAGATGTACTCATACTCATACTCGTAGTCGTAGAGTAGCGTAGTGTACACTGTAGGGTAGTGTAGGGTAGGGTAGGGTAGGTAGGGCGGTGAACCCGGTGGTGGTATGTAGTAGTAGTAGTAGTAGTAGTAGTAGTAGTAGTAGTAGTAGTAGTAGTAGTAGTAGTAGTAGTAGTAGTAGTAGTAGTAGTAGTAGTAGTAGTAGTTGTAGTAGGAGTGCAGTGAAAGGTAGAGGTGGGAATAACGGAATGGCGTGTTATGTGTGTGTGTGTGTGTGTGCGTGTGTGTTCGTGTGAGAGTTCGTGTGGGTGGTCGAATAACAACGATGGATGGATGGATGGATGGATGGAGGGATGGGTACTGGACAGTGACAGTAGTAGTGGTAGTGCAGTGGAGAGTACAGTGGATGGTGGATAGAAAGGTGCTTCTCTATTTTTATCTCCACTCCCTCCCACTCCCAGGTGGGTGTATCCAGGTGGTGGCGGCGAACGAGCGAAGGAGAAGGGGATGAGAGGAACGGCGGGACTGGATTGGACCTGGATGGGACCTGGATGGGACCTGGATGGGACCTGGACTGGCTTAACCCGTCGATTGGGTGTTTCAGGTTGGAATTGCGAACAGCACTCGTCTGCCACTGCTCACCCGACCCGTCAGATCTGCCCTAATCCGATCAAATCATCAATAGACGAATCAACAATAACAACAACAACAACAACAACAACAACAAGAATGACGACGAAAGCGGAGGGAGGGTGGAAGGGAGATGGAAATGAGAAGGAAAAAGGCAGAGGGATGGAATTAAGATAACGCAATGACATATTTAACAGATGCAAGCAAGATCCAACTTTCGCATTGACAGTAAAGAGGGCTAGTAATTGGGTTCTTTACAAGGGTAGGGTAGGGTAGGGTAGGGTATGGATACTGGATATGGGATGCTGGATACTGGTAACGGCTCGATGCCTGATGCTGGATGCTGGATGCTGGATGCTGGATACCGAACACTGGAAACTAGAAACTGATTGTTGGATGATTACAGGAAACTGGAAACTGGATACCGGAACCTGGGAAGATGGATGATATGATCCTTTTGATGGGTGAAAGGTAACCGGATCATGGCTTGTGATGTTCCGTACTCGCCCAACACACAAGATATAATAATACAATACGGAGTACCGAGTACCGAGTACAGTACGGAGTCAATACATGGTCAATGGATTTCTTGATCAATAGATGTGTTATGCTGCTATGCAGGGAGATGCTCGATAGATGTTGACCAAGTTGCTGCAAGTAATTACCGCCAAATACACGGAGCATGGTATACCCCTAGTAGATCTATGACATCGTGGTGGTGGGGATCTATGCCTATGGATCGTGAATGCAATAATTATACTTTGAAGCTAGACACCTACGGCGTCATAAGAAATAATTACTTACTTACTCCCTTCACGTTACTTGTGAACTACGTACCTACAGATTACGAGTTATACCTAGGTACGTACTCCGTACAAGTACACAACTACAGCCTGCCGCTCGAGATGAAACAGTCTAATTCGGAATTGGCCATGCATCCATCCAATCCCTCCAAGTTGAACCAACCCACCGCTTACGGGGCCTGCAACTCTCCATTCATTTCAATTCACTTCAGCCCAGTCCGCTTCAGTCACTTCAGTTCCCTTCTGTTCCCTCCAGTTCAGCCTAGATCAGAATACAGGAGACGGCAGACACATGCGGATTAGGTCGCCCCCCTTCTTCCTCTACCTAGGTACCTCACCAGGCTCACCCACCCAGGCAGATATTCCACATGCAGGTGAACATTTACGTGCGTACTCCGTCCAACATACCTGCCAGCAACGTACATAGATACCAGCAATATACGCAGTACAAACATCCATCTTCACCTGACCGCATTACAAATAGCCAAAAGCCATCAGTCGCCAGTCCCGCATGATGCCGGAGCCGGACAACTCCCATCCTCGTCATCCATCCATCGTATTCCCATTTCCCACGCCAAAAATAACATTGAGTTCGGAGTACCTACCACAGCCAAAACCTACACCAGTGACCAAGCAATTAGTCATACTACCTGCCCCCAACACGGCAGGTTACGAGTACATACCACACCACCGTTCGCCATCATACGCAGCAGTACACGTAACTTAGCAACTCGTAGTATACTTTCGTAGGCATCGCTGACGACAACCTCACCGGGCTCAAACCTGTCGCCGTCACCAGTTTCACCGGAGTAGTGGCCCATTCTTCCTGACAGGCGACAGGCGACAAGCGACAAGCAGGGCATCCTAGAATTCCCCATCCATGTAATAATTAACCAAAGTGACAACAGCAAGCAAGCACAGATCAACCGTCATCTCATCTCATCTGCTCGTACCGTACTTGTACAATGCGGCATACCCATCAACCTACCCAGGATTGTGTTAGTTAGATGAGAATGCCATGCTGAATGCGCCCAAGCTCGCCAGGAACAGGAAATGCGTCCGACGAGATCGTATTATAGCACGCGCACGTATATTATATCGGGAGAGATGGGAATTGAAACCATGGTCATGCCAATCTGCTGCCTTCCATCATCGATCAACCATCCAACCCCTCGTCGTCGAAGCTTGGTGGCGATTTGTATGGTGAGCACGTGTGTGCGCGTGTTCGAGTACTGGTGTAAGAGTAGGTACAATGGCAGAGCCTCGAGGGTGGGGCTATTCCGTTTTGGTGATGGCGCGTGTGTACTCGTCGGTACTCGGAGAATTAATGGACTCGTAGTTCAAGTCTATTCTTGTCCATTCACTTCACTCGACTGACTTCACTTCACTTCACTTCACTTCACTTCACTTCACTTCCCTTCACTTCCCACTTCACTCCATCCATTCACGCATTCACAATACCTTCACCGACTTAACCACCACCTACCTCCTCCTTCTCAAGCAGCGCATATACCCGGTCTCATCGTGCACCTCGTGATCGAATCTCACACAACTCGCCTCGACCTCCCTGCCTTTGCCCCGCGACAGTAATAGCTCATTGTTCCTCTACCGAATATCTACTCCATCTGTAAGTCCCATCCGTGTTACAGCTCCCGATCCTGCGCACATGCAACTCAACTGCGCGAAATGATGAACCCCTTATTATTGGAGCTGTTCTATTGTTATCCATGAGGTCTTCTTAGAATATACACTTGCCTTGATGCATTGTGAGACATTCGTTGAAAGAGACATTGATATCGTCCCGCGGAGAGAGGAAGAAAGCCTGGCCGTTCGACTGATGCTACCCTGTGTGCGCCTTGACTGACCGTTCACTCCCACAGACCCTCTCAGCCCAGACGTCTGTCCCCTCCACTTCCTCCAGACCTCCTCCCACCACATCGTCCATCATCATGTCGCTAGACCCTCGACTGCGCTCACGCGCGCAGCAACAACAACAATCATCACAACCCGCACCACCACCTCCACCGCCGCCGCCACCAATGGAACCTCCCGTCGAACCCCAACCCACTCTCCAACCCACCACCGCGCCCTCAAACACCCCCTCAGGACCCGTAGTCCCAGACGACAAATTCAAACTGAAGTTCTGCACCGTCTGCGCCAGCAACCAAAACCGGTACGTCACTGTCCCCCCTCCCACACACACACACACACACACACACACCCATCACCATCAACAAACCCAACTAACCCCCCACCCAGCTCAATGGAAGCCCACCTACAACTCGCCCTCGCCAACCTCCCCACCATCTCCTTCGGCACCGGCTCCCTCGTCCGGCTCCCCGGCCCCACAATCCACCAACCCAACGTCTACCACTTCAACAGCACCACCTACTCGGCCATCCACTCCGAGCTCGCCACCCAAAACACCCCCCTCTACACGCAGAACGGGCTCCTCAACATGCTCGGCCGCAACCTCACCATAAAGTCCTACCCGGAGCGCTTCCAAGACTGGGTGCCCGGGAAACCGCGCCTCGAGCACGCGGGCGACCAGGGCGCGAAGGGGACGGAATCCGGGGTCGTGGACGTCGTGATTACGTGTGAGGAGAGGTGCTTTGACGCGGTGCTGGATGACTTGCACAACAAGGGCGGGAAACTGAATCGTCCGGTCCATGTGTTTAATGTGGACATTAAAGATAATCATGAGGAGGCGCTGGTGGGCGGCAAGGCGATTCTGGATCTGGCGCTTAGTTTGAACGAGGCGGCGGGGAGGGCGAGGGACGAGGCGGGGGATGGGGGCAGGGCGTGGGATCAGGGGAACAGGGAGGGGTTCGATGAGAAGGTGCCGGATATATTGGCAGAGTGGCAGGAGAGGTGGCCGAATATGCCGGCGCTTTGGAGTCTGGCGTGGTTTTGAGGAGGGAAGGGGGAGGGGATGGTGAGAGGGGCGGGAGAACAGATCTAGATACCCAGTTTAGTGGAAAGAAGAGAAAAGATACATTTATAATAAGAAATCATCCAGTAGAGCATTCTAGTCCACACAGCCTGTTCTAGATTGAGTGAATTGTAACGTGTGGGACAGATAAGTCAGAGTGAATGGAAAGGGTAGTTAGATGAGACGAGACACGTCTGTCTTGGCTACCCATCTATCTATCGGTCGGTCGGGGTAACATGGCATATCATGATTTAAGAAGGTTTGGTTGATATGGAGCAGAATATCTCATATATCACAATGCAACTGTATGTTTATCATCAATGGGCAAACCTAGATATCAGCACATATGTTTTTGTACGTGCTTTTTGGGCACGAGAGGGTTTATACATCTCAATATATACCCTCCTTCTCTATCCTCCACCTCAGAACAGATCCGTCATAGCACCGTGACTCGCATCGCCCACCAGCCTCGCATACTTCGCCAACACGCCCCTCGTCACCGCACTCCTCGGCTGCTCCCACACCTTCAACCTCTCCAGAATCTCCTCATCGCTAACATCCATATCAATCCTATTATTCTCCGCATCAATCGTAATCGTATCCCCATTCCTCACCGCCGCAATCGGCCCCCCAACCGCCGCCTCAGGACATATATGCCCCACGATGAACCCGTGACTCGCGCCGCTGTACCGTCCGTCAGTAATGAGCGCCACGTTCGTGAGTTTCGCGCCCATGATCGCGGCCGAGGCTTTGAGCTGCTCGGGCATGCCAGGCCCGCCTTTGGGGCCCTCGTACCGCACGACGAGGACGAGGTTCTCGCCGTGCGGGATCTGGCCTGCGTTGAGCGCGGCGTCGAGCTCGTGCTCTTTGTTGAAGACGAGGGCTTTGCCGCGGAAGATGAGGCCTTCTTTTCCCGTGATCTTGGCGACCGCGCCGGAGGGGGCGAGGTTGCCGCGTAGGATCTCGATGTGGCCGGTGGGTTTTATGGGGTTGGTGAGGGGCCGGATTATGACTTGGTCGGGGGGGAGGGACGGGTAGGGGTCGATGTTTTCGGCGAGGGTTTTGCCGGTTACGGTGGGGATGTTGCCGTTGAGGAGGCCGGCGGCGACGAGGAATTTCATGACGGAGGGCATGCCGCCGATGTCGAAGAGGTCAGCGACTAGGTATTTTCCTGACGGGGCGAGGTCGGCGAGGAAGGGGATCTTATCCGAGACGCGCTGGAAGTCGTCCAGTGTCAAGGGGACACCGGCTGTACCGGCCATTGCGAGGAGGTGAAGTACGGCGTTGGTGGAACCTCCAAGAGCCATCATAATCACTAGGGCGTTCTCGAAGGACTCTTTGGTGAGGAGTTTGCGAGGGGTGATATCTTTCTCCATGCAGACGCGGATGGCCGCAGCGGCTTTGGCACATTCTCGCATCTTTGCGGGCGATTCTGCAGGCGTCGTAGAGCTGTTTGGTAGAGAAAGACCCATGGCTGTAGTTTGTCAGAAGAAGTTCCGCAATACAACAATGATCAACTCACCTTCGATGGATGTACTCATTGTATTGGCCGTGTACATGCCGCCGCAAGCACCCGCGCCGGGACAAGCATGTTTCTCAATATCTTCCATGATCTCGTCCGGGGTGTGCTTGTTTTCTGCGTCTTTCAGGTTCTTATAGATGTATGCACCATGGGATTCGTAACACGAGCTAATGTTGATCGTCTTGCGCAGGGTATCGCTATACCCAGGTTTGATCGAACCTCCATAAACCATGATCGATGGCCGGTTGTGTCGTGCGAAAGCCATGATAACACCGGGCATGTTCTTGTCGCAACCAGGAATTGCAATACAGGCGTCGTGATGTTGAGCACATGTTACGGTTTCAATGCTGTCTGCGATAATCTCTCGAGTCTGTAGAGAGAACCGCATACCTGCAAGTGGTCAGTTTTTGTCTTTGTTAAGTACTATGGCGGTTGCATACCCTCTCCACCCATTGTGATACCATCCGATACACCTATGGTGTTGTACTGCCATGCGATCATCCCATCCTTCTGTACATTTGCCTTGATTTCTTTACCCAGATCCAACACTGTATCACAAGTCAGCACATCCCACGCAGTCATGCAGGCGGGTGCGGTTCCAGGCGCCCGGTTCTACGTGGCGGTCCTCGCCATGTCCGGATTGGGGCACTCACAATGCATGCTGCAATTCGTCAATATTGGCCGGCCGGTCACGCATCATAATGGTACTCACTTGCAAGGGTTTCCCTCCCACCACACGCTGGCGATTCCGACCTGTGGACTGTTTTTCATGGCATCTCTGTTGGGAACGCCAGCGGCGTAAAGCATAGCCTACATTAGTCAGTCCAATGTGCAAACGGTCTTTGCAAGCACATGTGGTAGACCTACCTGAGCTCCAGGGAAATCGTGGCCATTGGTAAGGGTTGAAGAGAACTTGTTGAGTGCGGGTTTGCCATCTCTCATCGTGCCATCAGGAAGATGACGGAAGCTCAGATAGCGCGGCTCCTCAGGTTGTCGCTGCTTTTCTATGTTACGGGGGTCCATTGTGGGCGAATCGATGTAGGAGGCAGACAATTGGTATCCTGATTGATCAATTGATGGCGAAGAAGTGAGTGCACAACAAAGTGTATTTTGTAAAAGGTGAAGCCAAAAAAATTGAGAATGGATAGTTTGCTAGGCAAAGTTGGTTGGGAATCTATGCATGCAAATTCCGACACTGTTCCAATACAAGGGTGTTCGATAAGATGGGTAGGCCACGCGAGCTGCGTGATCAAGTCTCGAGGTCTGCAAATTCTTGGGTTCTGGCTTGGATTATGTATCAACCTGGAAGATCAGTTCAGTTCAACGAGTACCATAGCACAAGTGGGGTAGCGAGGCCAGCTTCCCAGGCGCAGCATTGCTGTTGTCAACCTCGGGGTGTTTGTTTGGTGACGAAAGAGGGGCGCGACCACCGGATGCAGCACTCTGGCACTCTGTGGTTTGCTGTCCCTCTAGCCAAAGAGGCTACTAGAGTTAGTGCTGGGGATAGCTGGGAGAGGAACCAATACCGGTGCCAGCATTTGCAAGCTGGACATGGTCATCTGGAGCCAGCGGATCAGTGTAAGTGGAGAGTGTGACGCCTCTTAACTATTTTGCTTGAGAGGAACACGGAACAGTCTCCGATAGAAATCCGGGGAGAAACCCGCCCGAAGTGGTGATAGCGTCAACGGCTCCACGATGTAGCCCTGCATGTAGCGGCTTGCGGGACAGGATATCGGGATGATGCGTAGGGCTTAATACTACTGATACTCAATAACATCCAGGAAACACTATACGGCGAGTTTTCTCTTGCAATGCAGAAGCGAAGTTGTTCGATGGTGGCATTCATTGCTGGTCAGACAGAGCTGCGATGTCGGGAGTTGAAAAAGTGCCGAAGCGGTTGGATACGATATCAGACGACGTCAACGTGCAGAGTGACAGTCCCGAACGAACGACATTCTGGAATTGTCTTCGGCGTGGGGTTAGATTGGGTTTGGCCAATCGATCAGCTAAGGCTTCTTGGGAATTTCGCGAAGGCCTTTTAACAACATCCTTCATCCTCAACGAGTGCCACCACCAACTTGCAAGACCGCTGCCGTCGAGTTGTTGGAAGGTTGATGCCGGCTGACATGACGATCTACAAAGTCTGCAATTGATACATTGACGAAGCTGGCTGGTTCGTCAACCCCGAAGCAAAGGACACCGTAAGACCATGGTCGCTGCTGATGTGAGGAATTCGAATTGACAAGAGCAAGAGCTATCACTATGTTGGTACGAGCCGACCAATTGCAGGAGAAATGAAGTATCGAGATGAAATCCTTATATGCAAAAGGATGTGAAGATTGAGAAGCAGACGAGATGGACGGATACACGAGGCGAAGTTGGATAAAGGTTCTAAAGCCTCTCGAGGCTCTCGGTCAATCTGAAACAGATCTTCCGTTCAATGCAGGAAGCGAGCGCGTAGGGCTGAGGCGTCATGCAGAAGAAGAGGAGGGGAACACTTGCAGAAGATCTAGAAGAGATGAAAGATGGAGGAACTAGATGATGATTGATGAATGGTTGTGGATACGAGTATTATCTGGGATGAATTGGGTGGAAATTGGGCACAGCTTCCCGTTTCCTCACCAGCTCCGGGCCGATTCCGAGCGTGACTGACATCATCCGGCCGCTATCCTTCCCTTTCTCTTTTCCCCCTCTCTTTCTCTCTCTCTGCCACCAACTTTTTTTCTTCCGCCGCCCAAAACGTCTTGTGCAGCATCGGCCCTTGGTGGGTGGTCACTGGCGCCCAATCTAGAAAGAGACAGAGGAGGAAAAACAAAGCACAGATACATCTGCAACCTCCTCACCTCTCATTGTCTCTTCGCACCCTCCCTCGTCTTATCTTGGGTCTGCGCAAATCATCCTAGGACCGATCATCCCTCGCTACTCTTCCGTACATATAAGGCGTACATATTGTAGATTGTACGGGTCTCGGACTTGGTGCCCCACGCGCCCATCTGATTACTGCGTCTTGGATGCGCCTCACCACCAACAATTCCCCATCATCGACGGAGCCATACCGATTGCTGCAGTCGTCTGTGGTCACGTCACGACAATTATAATTACGACTACTCGAACGATCGCCTTGAAAGCCCAGCTACTTTCAGCGTCCGTCGCAGCAACCGGCCCCTTTCGGTGACATCCTGTTTGTTTCCGTGGCCCGTCATCAATTCAACCCCCAGTCAGCGTCGCTGTCTGTACCACCTGCGCGTCTTTGCAAACATGAGGCGGTCTTCTCCAACGTCAGACACAGCACGGAGCCTAATTGAACGAGAACACCAAGAGCAACAGAAGCAGCAGTGGGATCGCCGCTCGCTCCAACGTGCGCGGATCAGCCCGCTACATCCGCCACAGGCACCAAACAACTGCTCACCATAGAACCGGGCACGATTCCACTCCCACCCTACCATTGGCCCAATCACTCCATATACCCCATCCCAAGCAACACATACACCGACACGTCGCGACCCCTGTGCCACCGAGGCCTCTCCGCTCAGACGTTGCATATACATGCAGCCCTCTGGCACGCTCGCCAGAATGCATGATTATTCGGCCACCCAAAATGGCTCCACGTTGCTTCCACATTCCCTGCTCCTGCTGTTGAGGACTCGGCTCGCCCAAGCTTTCGATCGAGCTGTGCTATGTCCCATTTCCTATCTCCTTGACACATCGCTTTTAAATCCCATCTGGGACCGCCTCTTCGGTCAGTCCTTTCGTCGCCAGCTTGCTCAGGATCCTTTGAAGCTTTCCATCACTGTCATGGTCGCAATCTGCTGCACGATTGGTACAGGAGCCCTTGGTCATTGGCTGTGGACGAATAAGAAACCCAGGAAACTCTCAGACTCCTCCACCGAGTCCATCCTGAAGCCATCCGATGATGGTAAGTAGAGTTCCGTTTGTCCTGATCCGTTCATGCGGTCACGTGAAACTGACCATTCTCTCCAGAGGCCTCCGCTACGGATCCAGCACTATTGAAGAAACATTCCTCAATTCGATCATACACCGTGCCAGCTACAGGTTTTACCTATCCAGAGATACGGACGTTCTATCGTCGGCATGGCCAACAGGACAAATTGCCTAATAAGCCACGCCCTATCCCACTTCTGGTTTTCATCCATGGTCTTGGCGGTTCCGCTGCTCAATTCAACTCTATTCTCACCAGCCTGGTAAACGTCGCGTCCTGCTTAGCCATTGATCTTCCCGGATGCGGACTGTCCTCTTTCAAGCCCACGGATTGGAAGGCATATACTTCGGAAGCGCTTGTGTATCTTCTTGTCGAGGCCATCGAGGCGCATCGTGATGTTGCTGCAGGTCAAGGGGTAGTTCTGGTCAGCCATTCTATGGGATGCTCTTTGGCCACATTACTGGCTTCTACGACTTCCCCTTACGGACATCTCCTAAACGACCACATACTAGGAGTCGTCGATGTGTGTCCGAAGATTGGACCTCTGAACGACAAGGAGCGCAAGGGCATCAAGACGATCACCAACATACCGGGACCTATCTTCGATCTGATGCGCAAGTACGATCGCCGCGGAGGTATCAACAGCCACAGTGTCCTACGTATGACCGGCCCCCAAGCTGACAAGGAGACACGCAAAATGCAGTTGCGATTCAACAAACAAAGCAGAACTGCGGTGTGGCGGCGTATGTCTCTCGGCATAGCAGACACATTCCCTGGTGAAGATATCTGGACTGGTCTTCGTGTGCCCGTGTTCTTGTTCGGAGCCGAAGATGACCATGTCACTCCCGCATTAAACGTGGAGAAAATCCATCAAATCTTAAGCCCTGACGAGTCGGAGAAGCTTGAGAGCAAGTCAATCAAAACATATATATTCCCTTCTCCGGCATCCCATTCCATGCTATTTTCGCCTACATCCGCAAGGAGCATTGCAGGCTTTATCGGCACCTTCTTGTCCGAGCACGTCGATTCACGATTGTCGCTCGGCTGGCAGCTGCAGCACCTTGCAACGGAAGGGAAATGGGACGTCAAGAATCTCAATAAATGGAAGTCTGTGAGGGCAGTCTCGGCACCAATCGCCAGCACGTTCCGCGCGATGAAGACTCTCAGAGAAGTCGACGACATACATACTCCCAAGCAATTCGTCAAGGAGTGGGCAGGTCGTATCTATGCCGTTGTTGACATCAGCTATGACGTCCCCGTCTACGACTCTCAAGGCCTCGAGGATGGCGGTATCCGCTACTTCAAATGTCCCACCATCTCCAAGTATCCCCCCGAACGCGAGGAGGTCGAGACCTTTTGTTCATTGATCGACAGAATTCGCGCGGAGAAGGACGCCGAGAAGAGCGATGCGCTCATTGCAGTGCACTGCCACTACGGCTTCAACCGAACAGGCTTCTTACTTGTCTGTTATCTAGTCAAGCGGCTGGGATACAACGTCCAAGAGGCGATCGACACTTTCGCATCCTCGAGGCCGAACGGCATCAAGCATTCACACTTTATCGACGAGCTCTATGTCAGAGCTAATGAGGGCACAATCTAACGCTCTCTGGAGTATCTCATCATCGGCGTTTTTTCAAGGACTGTCATTACATATACCAGATACAAAGGGGTACCACTCTAGACGACTGGGACGGGACAGTCATTACGCAACATCACTTTCGATCTTCTTGTATAACTTGGGTTTTCATAGTTTTTCCTTTGCTATCTATAAGCGTAGCGTTTGGCGTCAAGACAGGAATAGGAACAGGCAACTACTGGCATAGCATATTTTCAGGTTTACTTACAGCTACCCGGGCGGACGGGCTTGCATAGTCGAATGTACAATGGTCTTTATCTTGGTGTTGTAGCACCTTACCCTCAACATATTGAATTTCATCGATCATGGCATGGTGTCATGGACGTGCAATGGGAAAAATGGTACTTTTAAGGCCCAAGCCCTTTCGTTTTCATTGTACATATCCACCCCTAGGCTATGCTCCCGACGTGTGCACAGGTATCGAAAACGCCATGAAACCCATGATGATGTGTGATAGTGAAGCGAACATAATGTAAGAAAAAATTTCTTTTCATTTCATTTCTCTCTTTTTTTAGAATTCCCCAATCGACCCTGTCCCCGTTCTCGTTTTGCGGCAAACGAAAGGCAAAACGCCCTTGTCATATCATGTCGTGTCTATGTCAATTCGTTCCGAGTTGGATATTTTTCTCCCCCTCTTCGATGCCGCGCGATCCAGAAAGGGCGTGTGGGGGGGTTCCGAGGTCCAAAGATGATATAGGAAGAAAAGGAAAGAGGGCGAATTTACTCGTCATCCTCCTCCTCCTCGGCCTCGAGGGTGGTCTGGGCGATACGGTCCAAATCACGCTGGCCGGACTGGGTGATCCTTCGGCCACCCTTGTCCTCGTCCTGCTCAACGACACCGATCTTCTCGAGGGCCTGGAGGATCTTGCGGTCGACGGCACCGGAGGCCTGGTGTGGGGCATTCACGTTAGTATTTTCTGTGCGCGAGATGGGGGTGAAATGGGTGGTTCATGGGAGGAGGGGGTTACGAACGTCGACGTGGTGGGAGGGGCGGGAACCACGGTTCTTGGTGGATCTGGGGGATGCGTTAGCTTTCTGATTTTTTTGAGTTGTGGAATGAGGGGCAGGAAAACGTACCCGTGAACCTTGCGGAGACGGCCAACACCGACGGTCTTGCGCATGTAGACGTGGCGGGCGACAGCGGCGGCGCGGACGTAGAACCAGTCCTGGTCCTGGGGAGGAAGCTCGTTGGAGTCTGCAAAATTGACGTCGTTAGCCAAATGTTCGTCGCTCATATCGATTTTCGGTCAGATATCTGGGGGGGTATGGTACTTACGGGAAGTCTTCACGGTATCAACCCAGCCTGTAGATAGGGTCAGCAAGCTGAAGTTATCCCCCAGTTACGGGATTCAGGCTTTATCAATCACCCTCGGGAGCGTGACGAACCTGGGCTGTGGGCGCAATTGTTAGTATGATGAATTTCCTTTCAAAGTATGTGATATTGTGCAACTTACATTGGGAGCTTTCCCTGACGCTTCAAGCTATTTCCTACAGTCAGCCATTTGTCCTTGTAAATATTCCCATCGTGCGAGGTGTATCGTACAAAGCGGAGTATGCGGCGATGAACTTCTGAGCCTGTAGTTCAAGAAGTCAGCGTTGGCGATCTATCGAGAGCGCGGTTCCAATGGTTATGCGTACATCGACATCTTTGACGGAAACGCCACCCATTTTGCCGGTTGTTGAAGGGATTCGGGGGGGAATTAGAGAAAAAAGTGGTGGTGTTCTTGTCGGGCTGGCGGGTGTTCAACTCTTCGTGATATCTCGCAAAGTCTCAATTCTCGAGTGGTGCGCCTCGCTTAGCCAGGCTAGCTTAGCTTCGGATGTTTGGTCGGGCCGTGGCTTGGCCCTCAAACTTTGCCCAGACGTCTCTCCAATTGAGTGATGAAGTCTCGCGCTGTGATTGGAGGATCTAACTTCTCACCAACATCAATTTCAATCCTTCCCCATGGCAGGCTTGTCGTCATTTCTGGGGCTACGAACGGCCTCAAGTGTCGCGTTCAATGCTTCTCCTCGTCTCATAGCTTGTGGAATGGTGTTGGTTGATGCCTGATCTCCTCCGTGCGGCCGCGATGCTGTGCGTCTATCCGCCCTTGCGATCTGGCCCCGTGCTACTGTACTGCCACCACTACCACATTGCAACGGCAATTGCCAGATGACTGCACCACAATTGATCGTGGAATGAATCCAAGTTCTGCCACGGTCGTACCTCGGCGATTTCAACTATGATGTATGGTCGCCATCCAGTGTGTTGGTGTTCCAAAACTGTAGACGGTCGCCCCGATCAGGCTGCTTACTTTGGCCCCCGGCTTTCAGCTGCTGTTGTCGAAAAAGGGACCAGGATGGTTGCACTGCATGCATATCCAGCCAATCAGTATAATCATCTTCTTTCAAGCACCGTTATTGGGGCATCTGCTATAGTACTAGACACCTTCTCCCCCCGAAATGAAACGCGGCCATCCCCGTAGTATGCGTATGTGAACGCAAACCCAAGAGTGTATATCACAGTTCCATCCCCTTGATCGCCACTTTCCACACGGTCCATCTCGCAACGCAGTGCCAAAGAATTTCCCCAGTATTCAATGACTGCCAGCAGGTCTCGCAGCTATGGAGCACATTCCATACGATTGGAGGCAGCGTTTCTCCTATGAGGGCCTCCCGATCGAAAGCGATCATGTTCGCCTACTCACTTTGGCGCCTGGTAGGGCAGACGAGCCAATCTCATGCCAGCTTGATGTGGTTTCGCTAAAGTCTACGCCCCGTTATGAGACTCTATCCTACGCATGGGGGTCGCAGGAACGTGCAGAGTCGATACTGCTAAACAAACAAGAGTTTCCTGTTACGGCCAACCTGTTCGCAGCTCTGCTCCACCTTCGCCTACTCGATACGCCGTTGCGCCTATGGATAGACGCCATATGTATTGATCAGAGCAATCTGCAGGAGCGCTCCTCGCAGGTTGCCCGAATGAGAGAGATCTACAAATCGTCATCTCGCGTATATGTCTGGTTGGGGGAATGCCACAGGGCATATCCTACTGATGGTGGGGACAGTTGCACCACGTCTGGACTATCAAGGGTTGACTCTGGGTTGGGTGATGATATCCTAGAACAAGGAACATGGGCCTCATTAGACGGGTCGTATGGTGAGTGCCATTCACGTAGGTGGCATAGTAGACAAAGTCGTAACCTTCCCTACAGCGCAGTACAGGCCCGATATGCAGAAGTTGACACCAAATCCGTTCGGCCTAATCGAGCATTTCTCCCGCGATAGGCATATGTATGACCTTCCCGGATTTCAGCGGCCTACCGAAGGTGGAAGTTCCGTGTTTGATGAAACACCCTTTTTGGTTATGCACGGTTTCCTTTCCGAGTCGTGGTGGACCCGCGTCTGGTAAGCATGCATTCTCCTCATCGGGCGAACCATATATTAACGATGATGCAGGTGCGTACAAGAGATATTGCTTGCTCCTGAAGCATCTCTCATGTACGGCTCATGGCGAATCGACTTCGATTTAGTCAAAGACGCCTCTATCCAGAGCAGACGCCATGTAATGTCGTGCTGCTCGGAGACCCAGATGCGCATACCCGCCCACTTCTGGAAGTTCAGAGACGATGACATCGCAGAACGAACCAAGACGACCATAAATGCGGAGCGTTACCAAGACCTCGACGCGTTGCTTCGCCTATATGCGCACAGGAAATGTCAGGATCCGAGGGACAGGATATACGGGCTCCTCGGCCTTCCTGACATGAAGAGATACCCCGGGCTCGTCCCGGATTACGAGAAAAGCACAGCGTCTGTCTACTACGACGCCACCGTGGCTATTATGCAAGACAACCCCTCGAGCCTACGGTTTCTTACTGGTACACGAGGGACCAGGTCTCACGATACGCCTTTGCCATCGTGGGTGCGCGATTACTCTCACACGCAAGAGATCGCGACTACTTGGGCCGAACGCCATCGCCTGGAGCGATACACCTTGTATAAGGCAGCCGACGGCCGCCCTGCTAATGTAATGATAATCGAACGAAGTGTACTTCGCCTCCGCGGCGTCCGAGTAGCAACCATACAACATGTCGGTATCGTCCGCACCACCGTCAACCTTAGCGATTCCATGCCGGCCATAAAATCATGGCTACAACTAGCCAACCTGCCCCTCCCGATCGAAGTCTCTGAGATTCGAAAGCCCCGCCAACGCCAGTTCTGGCGCACGCTCGTCGCGGATGCCGCCCTCGAGCTCGACGCCAACCTGGATTACATTTGGTCCAGGACCGACGAAGCCTTGATGGAGACCTATCTCGAAAACATCGCCAACTTCCTCAACCCCAATTCCGACAACTATACTGCGTGTAGCGAGTTTAGGCCCAGTCTCACCAAGATCATCACAATGGCGACGCTCCAGAAAGCGTTCTGTCTCACTGATGACGGCGGCATGGCTCTCGTCCACCCAGGCACACAACCAGGAGACGAGATCTGGGTGCTCGAAGGAGGCAATGTGCCTTTCGTCTTGCGAGCCGGGACTTCTGAGGATTCTCCTACGAGCAGATATGAACTTGTTGGCGACTGCTACCTGGACGAGTGCATGGACGGCCAGGCCTTGCGGCAGACGACGTGCGAGATGACGTCGATCGACCTGGAGTAAGACGAGTTCTCGAAGACTGCAGGACGGTCAATGTAAGAGAACAGAAATGTTGATCATGATGTGTATGATATTGCCATTGCTTTGCTGGACAGGGTTATGTGTTGGTTTCTCTTGTAGGAACAGTGATCTAATGGTCTACGTACATTCACGCATACCTTAACTATTGTAATACGAATAATTATGCTATAATATTGGGAGGCTATATTATCTTTGAATGAACACAAACGTGATGTTTAATTGTTACTGTGTAGGAAGCTATCTATGCATTTGCACTCTCTCATTGCTGTAATATGATTGACTGTTGCTTCAAATTGGGCGGTTGAAGTGTCATCTTCGAGCAGGTCCGTTCATGTCAACCTCCAGAACACATTCATACCAACTAATCAAGCAAAAATTATTCTACCTTTCAACTACCATCTATTTCGTCTAAAATTTTCATCATCATATATCTTACACCCTTCCCTATCACCCAAATTTCTATTTCCCTTAATTTACCAATCACTTTCCATCCATGAGGAATACACATTTCACCTCAAACAGAATCTAAAGCCATAGGACTACGAAGCACAAAATGACATCACCCAAACATCTCAGTGCATCAATGACCGCCCTGGCAATATCTTCAATCAATACACATGCATATGCAAAACAGCTTACCGTGCCCATTTTCGTCCAATAGCTCAAGTGCCTCTCGAAGAAAGCACACCGATTACCTAAAGTCACCCAAACACTACATCTAACTCTACGAACTCGACAAACCACTTCCAATCCAATCCCATCCCATCACCCCATACATACCTAAGTCATACCCACACCTCCAACGACGATCAAGTCTAGACCCCTAGGCACCATCAAAACCCTACCGGCGACAACCCGAACAAGCCAGTTCCAGTCCACCTGTAACACCTCGCCCGCCCTGCGCGCCCATTGAGCCTCAACAAAAACCCCATTCCAGTCCAGCCAACAGGCAGGCACCCATCTCCTCCCCTCCCGCGCGCGATTCTGGGCGGATGGATGCGTGGGTGGGTCGACCTACGTCGGGGAAGCGTCCCAGTGTGCCGCCAGCGCGCCAGTCAATCGGTCGACATGGGAATCGTCGTACCTGAAGGATCTATGTGGCGTTTTCTTGGAGTGCGATCCCACGGGGCAACGACGGCTACCATACGAAGCAAGCCAGGGTACGATGAAGTGTTTGGAAGGGTTATTGGCGCTGCGCTGGTTTGTTTGATTTGGTAAGGGTGCGTGTTGATGCGATGCTGTATACTGTATGGGTGGGTGAGGTGACTAGTGCGCTGTAGGCGCCGGGCCCGACCGTGCGTTCCGTCTGTGCGGCTTGTTAGTAGGCGACTCGGAGGTTTTTCTTGGAAGCAAGGCGATGCGGACGTGTGGTTGGCTGGGCCAGCGACTACTCGATATGCGATGAAACGAATGAATGGAGAAAGAGTGTCTTTCTACAATGGCTGGCGGGGAACCAGAATAGAAACGTCGAGAGCACGGTCAGTGTGCATTGGGTTTTTTGTGAATGTAGAGAGTTATGAATGTATGGATGTATTGAGGGTGGGAGGTTGGAGGTTGAGTATATAAATGGAGGGTCTGCTGGTCATTGGGAATGGCATCATCAAACTCAAAACATTCAAACTCGATCGTCTCTTTAGTTTTCCTTTTTCTCTTTCTTCTCTTTCTTTATTTCCTTGTTTCCTAGGTCTCATCTCGTCTCTCTCTCTCTATCGCGTTTTCTTTTCTGCAGTGCAGATCACACGGAAACGAATCCATTCTTTGCCAATCTGAACGACTTCCCAGTCCGACTTTCATTCTCTTACGAAAAAGGTTCTTCTTGACGATCTCTTCAAAAAGTTCAAAAAACAATCGTTCATCATGTTGTCTTCCATCCCCAGCTACGGAGCCGCTCCCTTGAGCAAGTTGTTCTGCCTCACCCGAGTCCTTCAAGTCGTCGCCATGATCGTCATCATTGGTATCACATCCAACTTCGTCGATCTGATCGTCTCGACTGGTGTCGAGCCCCCCAAAGAATTCGTCGGCACCCTCAGCGTCGTATGTTTTCTCCATCTTAGTACATTATATATCGAAAACTAACCCAATCCCCAGACTTGCATCGCAACCCTCTACATCTGCGTCAGCATCGCCTTCTTCTGGTCCGGCGCCAACCTGGGTCTGTTCGTCATGTCGGCCGTAGACTCGCTCCTCCTGATCGCCTTCATCGTCGTCGCCGTCACCGTCGGAAAGCCCCTTTCCTACCTCAACTGCTACGTCATTGGCAACGCGAACAAGGCCGCCGAGGCGCAGTCCGCGTACGCATTCACCGTCTCCGTCGCGCAGAACCTCAACCACTCCGGCTCGAACCTCGATCTCCGCCACTGGGCCGGCACGACCAAGGCGAACTGCTTCCAGGCGAAGACTATCTGGGGGTTGAGCATTGCGCTTTGGTAAGTCTGGAGAAGAGTGGCCATCGTTCTGTATTAGAATACGGAGCTAACTTTTCTGATAGCATTTTGTTCACCGTTTCTTCCATTCTTCTCCCTTCGCTGTTCTACAAGAACAAGAAGGCGAACACTGCCCCCAAGTCGGTTGAGGCTTAGGCGGTGATGCGGCAACTGTCAATCAATAGTCCACATGGTTACACTGGAGGCTAGCGAGTGTCTGCGTGATCGTTGTCAGTAGCGATTCCGTACTACAATTCGAGCAAACTTCGAAACTTGGAGGGAAAATGATCAAAAGGGATCAGGCAACAACAACAACATATCGAAAAAAATAACCGTCACAAAAAACAAGATGCATTCGGGAATGGGAGTTCGGGTTTGGGGTTTCTTGTCTTGTTCTGTTCTTTGTTGTTTTTGGACATTGAATGTCTCTAATCATAACGTAATGACCAACACCATGGAATAAAAAAAGAGTCTTGCGTATTTGCAAGGAAAGTCGATTCTATTGACGACGAAAAGATTGGATCTTCTTGACCATGGTGAAGTGCTTGATTGATATGTGATATGCGATGATGCTCTGGGATGAGATGGGACGAGACGATCGCATGGCCCAAGCTCCCGATTCAACCATTCTGTGCATGACTCGCGCAATCTTTGGTGGGAGATAACAGTTGGACTAGGTATTGTTATGACGATGGTTGAAATGGTAACAACAATTGACGGAAGAATACATACAGCAAAGAGGATGAAAACAATGAATATGTATGACCATTCTCTGCACGTCATGCATACACAATAGCCCAATGCGTAGCCAGCAGGACGTAATGAATATGCCCCACGGTGCAACCATCGCGGTCACGAGGATGGGGAATCTCCTACACCCATGGCTGCCATGTCCCCGATTGTCAAAGATTGCATATCGCCCACGCAAGCCAAGCTCATATCTCTCCTCTCCTCTCCACCACCACCACCATGCATTATATACACCTTGAGTACCAATACTCCCTATACCTCCCACCTATACCTTAAAACTCCGCCTCTCCTCTCCTCTCCCCTTCCAATCTCTCCCGCCCAATTGACCCTCGCCCGCTACCAGAAAGTGCCGTCTCCGCGACGTCACCAGGTCACGTCCGCACTAGGCGCCCGCGCCTCGCAACCACTACACCTCTCTCTGATCCGGGGCCTGCGGGGAAACCGCACACATAATTCGCCACCATGTCGCTGTCAGAGAGGTTGACGACGATGGAGGAGTACCAGCCGTGGAGCAGAGAGGCGAGCCCGGACAGCAGGCACCGCAAGATGAGCTTCAATCCTGTTGGGACGTGGACGGAGCCCGCGTTCGAGCAGCCCGTCGCTGCGTTCGAGGTGCCGAAGTGGAAGAGAATGCGTATGTGAAGAGAATGTCTCCCTTTCGATTGGATTCTGCTAATTGTTGTGTATAGTTCAGGTCTTCCTCGCGGTCATATACTGCCTGCTTGCCGCTGGCGTCGTCTTCGGGTATGCGGCCATCAAGCCTGTCTTGATCGCGGAACAGGTGTACAGAGACCAATGTACAAAAGACGAGCTCGATGCAGATGTGCCACTGTGCTATCAACAGGATCTACGGTCGGTGAACACTTCGATTTAGCTTCAACAACATTAGAACGGATTCAATTGACAATTCAAATAGACTCAACCTCATGTTCACCATCGCCGCTGTATCTACGAACGTCGCAGCTCTTCCCGTAGGCACGATACTGGATCGGTTTGGACCACGCGTGAGCAGCATAATCGGTGCTATATCTCTGGCCGCTGGAGCTCTGCTACTCGCCTTTGCCTCGAAGCTGCCATTCGACGGCTACATCCCCGGATACCTGTTCCTCGCCCTGGGCGGTCCATTCGTCTTCATTCCGTCCTTCCAGCTCAGCAACACCTTCCCCCAGTACTCCGGCTCCATCCTCGCACTCCTGACGGGCGCATTCGACTCCTCCAGCGCCATGTTTCTCATCTACCGATTGATCTACCAGGCCACGGACGGTGATTTCAAGCTCAGCAAGTTCTTCCTCGCGTATCTCGTGGTGCCAGTCTACATCCTCGTAGTCCAGGTGCTGTTAATGCCGGCTACTTCGTACAAGACGGTGGGAGAGCTGGTCACGCAGGCCGAGGAATCCCACGAGGTGATCCACGAATCGGACGACGAGGCCGAGGACGAGGCCATAATCGGCCGACTCCAGGAGGCCCGACGCGCACACCGCGACAGCATCGTGAGCGAGGTCACCGAACTCCTAGGCACAAAGGACGGCGCCGCGCAGACCAAAGAGGAGGAGGTCAAGAAGAACATTTCCGGCGTGTGGGGTGCGCTCCACGGGCGGACAGCGGCCGAGCAGGTCAGGACGCCGTGGTTCATACTCATCACGCTGTTCACGGTACTACAAATGCTGCGGATCAACTACTTCGTCGCGACGATCCGGTCGCAGTACATCGAGATGCTCGGGTACGAAAAGGGCGTGGCCGTTAACGACTTCTTCGACTTCGCGCTCCCCATCGGCGGCGTGATCTCCATCCCCTTCATTGGCCTCGTCCTCGACAGAACCAGCACGGTGACCACGCTTAGCGTCCTCGTCATCGTCGCAACAACCATCGGCGTCCTGGGCGTCATCCCCCAGCTATGGGCCGCCTACGCCAACGTCAGTCTCCTAGTTCTCTACCGCCCATTCTACTACACCGCCGTCTCGTAAGTCCGCTCCCCTCCCCCTCCCCCGTCCCACCCAACCCCCAAAATACCCCAACTAACTTACCCTCCCCAACAGCGACTACGCCGCCAAAGTCTTCGGCTTCGCCACCTTCGGCAAAGTCTACGGGCTGGTAATCTGCCTCGCGGGCCTCTTCAACTTCGCGCAGTCGGCCCTCGACGCCCTCACCCACCGCACCTTCGCCAACGACCCAATCCCCGTGAACCTGCTCCTCCTCTCCGCCGCGCTGCTCGTCGGCATCGCGCTCGTAGCCTTCGTCGCGCGCCGCAGCGGAAAGATCCTCCGCGAGAACATCGAGGCGCAGGCGGAGGGCGCGACCGAGCGGCTGATGCCGGGGGCGGATCTGCGGGGCGTGGGGGTGGGCGTGAGTGATTATGGGGCTATTGAGTTTCATCCCCAGGATGGGGAGAATGGGAGTCCAAGGGAGGAGAGTCCGAGGGGGAGGAGGAGGGAGTGAGAGGTTGTGGTGTCGATCCATCTATCCATACATACGTCTATCTACTCGGCACATGTAAGCGTACGACATGTGTATTGTACATACGACACATCTTCCGACCATTTTCGGTTTTTTCCCGGCCCAGCGACGGCGTTTCCAGGCGGCGGTTATGTTTTCCCACGACTTACTTAGCCATATCTTTATCTTGCATATTTTTCCCGAGGCTCAGTTCACGGACTTTTTGGTTGATCTTTCCTACAGTTTTCAGACCGGACCGTACATATACATACATACATGTACATAAAAAACGACGAAAGAATTAATAAAAATGAACAATACGACACACCGAAGCCCCCGTCTTCTTTCTCCCCTGTGGTATGCTAGTTAGTGACGGTAATCCCACCGTGTTTCTCGCTATAAACTACGCAAGAAAGAAGTAAAAAACGGGAGAAGACCTGTTTTTGGTATCTCTCAACAAATAACAACTTCATCTCGCATTCGTGGTGTACAATTATATTGTGAGTAACTAAATTGCATATTTTATCTTCACGGTTTGTCTGTAGCGCGCGTGCGTGCGTGTAGGCAGCAGCGGCAGCGGTGGTAGTAAAGTCACGTACACATACACATAAAATTATGTTGGCAGTCTGGAGGATAATGATGATGATGATGATTTTTGTTGATGTTTCGTTTGATGTTGATGTTGATACTCCTTCCTTCCTATTCACCCTCTCCCTCTCCTCCCCTTACTCCAGCTAAGCTGGTTCGTCCGTCCGTCGTAATCGTAAAAGTGCAGGAGTGTGGTATGTGTATGGTGTGTCTGTGTGTGTCTGGGACATGAGAACATGAACGTTAAGAGCGCGAGAAGATTAAAAGGGAAATAAAATGAAGAAAAGAGCCAAAAAAACAACCAGAAAGAACACCTGGGCCGCCTCGATTCCACCCCCCGATTTGAGTATCCATGATATATGCATATGTGAGCGCCAAAAGCACAAAAAAAAAACACCTTAGGATATGCTGTCCTCCATCATTCCCCGAGCGTTCCTCTTTTATTTTTCCTTCTCTTGCCTTGTCAGTAGTCACAGCCGTTGCTCCTTTGTTATGTATTTCCAACACCAGTAGCCCCAGGGTATCTCCATTACTCGTCCCTATAGAACTTTTTGAATATCAAATGCAGAAACAGGTTCACGTTCAGTCGCACGCATCCGGCACCTCCACCATCCTTGCCCTCGCCGAACAAGTTCATGAATTGGTGGTTGTCGAATTGAGCTTGCAGAAGTCCATCCAGCGGCACCTCTGCAAATGCACCAGGGATCATCATGCTACCTTGGGAACCCTGGATTTCGAAGGTTCCGGTTTGATTCGAGGAGATGGTGATGTCAAGCCTGTCGTATTGGCGTTCGTTGTAACCCTGCCACGAGACGAGGATGCCCTTCTCGGCGAGGTTGCGTGCTGAATACTTGAAGGAACCAAATCTGTACTCACGGCCGGCGCGTTGTAGCTCTCGCATGTGGTTGTATTGTCGGGTGAAGGGAAGGAGGAAGCGTTTCTTGCCACGCTTGTTCTGGAGAGTGATCATGGCTTGCTCTACATAGTCATTGTATGACTTGAGTTGGCTGTCTAAGTAGTGCGCCTTTTCGTCCAAGGCAGCAAGCGTTGCTCGCACACCCTCAAGTTCCCTTGTGCGCTGGATGCGGCGACGGTGCTTGGTTCGGATGTCCACAGCAATGGCGTTGAGAAGGTCTTGGTAATTGTTGTGTGGCGAAAGGCGGCCCACGCGCTGCAGCTGAACGATGTTCTCCAGAGCGCAGCGTTTGAGTGTAGGGTAGTCCATGTCGAGGAGTGACGTAGCAGCCATGTCAGTCGTGTAAGTTGAAGCGGCAGACGAGCGGACATTGGAGTTGCGATTACGGTCTCTTCGCTGTACTGCCAGTTCCTCGCGGACGAGAGCATCCCATCGGTCTTCATCATCAGGCGTGATAGGACGGACCATAATTTCCGTTAGATTGGCTCCAGTCTGTATGCGAATGATGTATAACACGTATCGCTTGGTCTCCATGAACAGGGCCTTGACTGCAGCATCGGGATCTATGAATGTTAGCGTGAGAAAAGGAATCAGACAGGAACAGTAACATACCTTCTTGCTCGTGAAATTTGGCATGTAGAGTCAGCGTGATTTCAGTAGAGCTGACGTGGAGAAGTTCGCTCTCGTTGTTCTTCGCACTGCCCAATTCCCGGATTACCTCACGTAGGGGGTCGTCTTGGAGGGGACAGAACACGGGAAGGTCGTCGACGACAAGGTTGTGGATGGCGAAAATGTCTGCGAGCTTAATGTACAACGTAGGCTTCGTTCGTGCGTACAAGTCGTTGAATGCATCGATTTCGAATTGCGACTCTGGGTCCCGGATTGTGATTGTGTTTGTCCAGATCTCCTGCAGGCGGTCGATTGCCTCTGCTACGTATTTGTTCAGCGGCTGCAGGTAGACGTTCTCGCCACCAAAGAGCCTGCCAGCGGCAATTTGTCCGAGGACCTTTGCAACCTGTCCAAGGTTTCTGTTCATGAGAGGGGAAAGACCGCGGTCTACCACACCCCAGTGTTGAGGCTGTAGCAATGCAGGCTGGAGGTACGATTTCCAGATCCAATGTCCTGCAATCTGAAGCAATTGATCAGGAGCCTCATACGGGAACTTGAGACGAAGTTCCTCAAAGGTCTGCTGGGCAATGTACCGGACACCGAAAGGCATTTTGTGCAAGAACTCCTCCATGATGGCGAAGAATTGATCAGCAAGGTCTCGAAGATCTTGTAAGTGATGGATAAAGGTCTCTCGAGTCTCGGGATCCTTAAGCGCTAGATCACGGGAGACATTGGGGTCGCGGTGGCTTCGCTGACCCGTCCTGAGCTCCTCGTTGTTGATGGCAGACCGGTAGATCTGCATGGGATCGCTCTCCAAGTCCAACGTTTCGTTCTCGATGATGTTTTCCTTGATGAGTGGCCCGAACACGTCTTTCAAATATTTGCGATCGCGTGGCGAGCGGACGTAACTGTTGAAGAGCTTGTTCCAGAAGAAGTTTCCACGAGTGTAATCCTGTAGAGTTGCACATGCATCAATCTCCTCTCTCAACGAACGCGAAACAAGCTTGAGCAAATAGTACTCCTCACGTCGCTTCTGAGCGAGCCCATAGAGACTCATGGTCAACTGCTCGATCCGTTTAGTGTCCTTCTCGGCGAGACCTTGCTCTCGCATACGCCGGAAGAAGCGTGCCATATATGCCGGCTGGGTCTGGAGGAGGAAGAAAAGCTCTTGGTAATGCTCGAGTTTCCTGCGAGAGTTCTTGTTCAGAGCCTTGAGATCGAAGGGATCCTTGGAGGAGATGTCCTTGCTGCTGAGGAGGGTGCCAACATGTCCGCCGAAATGCTTCTGATGCTTGACGACTTCGTCAAGAGTGATCTTGTTCTTGACTAGCAATGCGATCTTGATGTCCAGTTGATCAATGTACTGCTCGGCGAGCTCATTCTGGCGTACGTGTTGCACCACCGTCTTACGGAGGCGTTCGAATTCTAAAGGCAGATGTTAGTATCGCGTAGTCCGCTGGAAGGGATGTGTACATACCAATTTCCTCATCAAAATCTATGTCGCTGTCATTGAGGAGGTGCACAAAGTTCTTCACTGTCGAGACGGGAGGGTTCTTTCCGCTTGTCAAACTCTTGTAAGCCTCTCCTTGTTGTCGTCCTCGGACGAAACTCTGTATCTTGATGACCTTCTCCATGTTCTCTCGGTAGAACTGCTTCTTCTCGACGAATTTGCGCCTGACCAGCATTGCGCGTGCAAGAGCTTGGAGTTCGACGATCATGTCCTCATGCTCCTCGACGCGCCCAAGCAATGCGCCAATCTCCATGCGGAGCATCATTCCTCGTGCCAAACCCTGAAGCTGTACGATTTCGGGTTCTTGGGTGTTAAGCTCGCAAAGCAGATCAAATGTCCGCTGACGCTGGGAAAAGCCACGGCATGCAGATTGGAGGTCAATAATGGTTGTAGTCTCGGCCTGTAACGCTTTGAGGTCAGAGAAATGCTTCTGTCTTGACAGAAAACCGCGACTGTAGGCTTGCAATGAGATGATGTTTTCCTGCTGGCCCTCAAGCTGTTCAAGCTTCTGTGCGACCTCAGACCGGACCTTTCCTCCTCTTGCAACAGCTTGGAGACTGATAGTTTGAGGTTCTTCCGCCTGGAGGGCCTCCCTAATTTGTCCGAGAGAGGCTCTCAGAGAGTCACCCCGGATTTTCGAAACGAAGTAGGACCAATTGGCATCGGTGCTTACCAGCTTTTCTTGTGTCTCAGCGTTCTGTCGCCTTGCAATGGCACCTCGGGCAGCAGCCTGTAAGAGGGTTATCATCGATTCTTGTTGGCGAAGGCTCTCCTGCTCAATTCGCATATTCTGACGGATCAGCATAGCGCGAGCGGTGGCCTGTAGTTGCGATATGGCGACTTCGTTCTCCTTTACTTCCGAATACTGTCGGTCGATGGCCTGTCGTACGATGGCGCCGCGAATCATGGCTTGGAGGTATGGCACGTTGATCTCAGATTCCCGAGTTTCCTCATAGTCATTGCCCACCTTGAGTCGCTGCAGTGCGCCTCGTATGGCGGCCTGGAATTGTCGGATGCCGTTCTCCTGTCGCTGTATTTGGGTTTTGATGAACTGTACTTGTGCCCTGGCCTTTCGTCCCCTGAACAGGTTTTGTACCTTGACTACCTCAGGCTCATGGTGGGCCCAGAACTCTTCTTCACCTCGCTGTCTCGAGCGAACCAAGAAACCACGCGCTGCACTTTGAAGTTGGACGGCAAAGCGCTTCATATCGAGGCGGTAGTAGGCAATTTGCCTTGCCCAATCGCCACGAACACGCGATTGCAAGTCAACAATAAGATGCTCGTTTTCCCAAAGCTCCTGCATCATGTTTCCGAGCTTGATTCTAAGAAGAGCGCCGCGGATTTGGGCCTGTAGATCCAGGATGATGGCTTCGTTCTCGGAGAGTTCTCTGTCGATACGATCTTCTTCTGATTCTACTGGTTCTGGTTCCGGCTCTACCGCAAAATTCGCCTGCATACTGGAGAAATTAGGCATGCTAACACCTGATTTGTCGAGGCCCTTTTGCATGGCTTCGAGTTCGTGGTCCTCGAATTGCAGCTTGCCGACGAGATTTCCAATCCTAAAGTCGACAATGCCCTTGCGAAACAATAGCCAAGATAGTGCATGGATGCAGTAGATGACCTTGGGGATGTTCTTCTTCTCGTATAGGTCGATGAGTTCAAATCTGAAGAGATCGGGCAGTTCAACCTCGGATAGGAACTGGAAGAAGTGTGCGTAATTGTTTGAATGGCGATATTGTAACCTGGGATCTCGGAATATGCGGAGAGTACGGCCATTGATAGCTTGGACGATTTCAGCCAATGTCACACCATCTCTTAGAGCCTCTTCCAACTCTACCACTGCTGGTATGTCCTTGTGAATGATATCTTCTATCCACTCCTTAGCTTCTCCAATGTGACACAGGTACTCGTAGGCTTGCAGAAACTGTCGCTGTTGGTCCATCCAATTCCTGCTGGACCAACCTGTAGTTGTCTTCTTCCCTTGTGAGTTGTCTGATCTCTGCAACCTTCTTCGTCCATGCAGTCCAACAACCTCCTGCTCAGGGGATTTGATGGCAAAGTCCTGCTCTGTTGCCGATTCTGCAAATTTGGAGAGTGTGCGTAGATGGCCGGTAGATGATTTGCCGAACCGTTGAAGATCCGGCCTTTCTAGGTGCGTAGAAGCCGCGGGCCGCGAAGAATGGTCGCGAGTGGGTGCACGCATAGAATCAGAACGTGAGATGGCAAGAGACAGAGGCCGTGGTTTTGAGGGAGGTGAAGCGGAGCCATCGTAAGGCGAGAATGTGATTGACTCAACACTCTGAGAGCGTGTGTGCGTCGGACTGCTGGACATTGTATGAAGCGGCTTCTCGGGTGCTGGTGAGCTCTGGGGGGCTTGTTGAAGTGGACGAAGCGCCATACGCATGCTCTTATATGCAGTTCCTGGATCTGCATCGTCGGGTCCAAAGTAGCTATCTGTTTGTGGCTGCGATAGAGCCGTGGCCTCACTCAGGCCTCTCCGGTGCGCTGGCTTCGTTGGCGACCCAGTCGAGCCATTGCTTGACTGAGTACTGGAGCGACTGACTGGGTATTGATTTGAACCTCCTGAGTATGCTGAAGATCCGTTGGAGATTACTGAGCTCTGGCGTAGAGGTGAGGGTGATGTCGCCTGGTGACCAAGCCGTGTTCGCGGCGCGTAGGAAGTGTAGCTCATGACGAGCGATGGAGTCACCGGCGGGCGTTATGTATTATTCGAGGCGACATGCGTCGCACGAGGCGGAAGGCTGTTGATTCTTTGTTCTAAATGTTGAGTGACGTCTTGGAGGCCGTTTTCGAGGCCGGGATATTAGAAGATGGATTCGGTGGTGCCTGCCAGCAGATATGAGCCGCAATGCGAACAAACAGAATGCCTTTCGAAAGGCTTATTGCAAGAATCGGGCAGTACAGTGAGAGAACCGCACGACTTGTAGAAAGTTAAAATGAGAAATGTGGAATGCCTTTCGTGGTGGGAAAGCCGTAGAGACGACAAGATAGGAATCGAGAACTCGGGCGCTGGGCGCTGGAGGTTTGTGTTTACCCAAGCTGGAGTTTGGCAGGGATGCGTCGGTCGCGGTTGCCCTTGGAGACCAAAAACAGAGCGACACGCGCCCCTCCCTCATCAACACCCGACGACCAATGACGGGGGAGGGGGGACGTCATGCCATTGAGTGTATGACCAGGTTAGAGCTTCATTTATTTCTTGATTTATCTATTTACCTAGGTATTCATTAATTACTTGTCTTCTTGGTTCATGATTTTCATCCAGTCCGAATTCCGAATCCTTACCAGGTCATAGCAACTCGACCAAGTGGGCGAGTTGAATATTATTACGTTGCGCTGTGATTGGCCGGGCCTTTTTTTATTGTTGTTTTTCCCTCTGTATTTACCTTGAGGCTTGTGCACAGCTTGCTCAGATCCTGATCCCGTGACCAGCCGCATCGTTGCGTCTGTAGTAGAGTAGTCATCTCATCATGCATGGGCAAGTACTTGTATTCGACGACATCTGAGCAATTGCTTGTTCATCATTACGATACGAGTCAAATACTTGGATTGACTAATCGACAGAAGGATGAGGCGCGGCGACGGCGATTCGCCTCTTTCCGCCTCGTATTCCAGGAGTCCGAACTTGGAAGGGGCGACGGAAAGAAAGTTTCTGTCTGTTATCGTCACGTGTGATAAGACGCCAGCATGACCATGCCAAGGCGCTAGAACGTCCCCCACACTTAATAAATCTTCTCGCAGCCTCGAACTTTTTTTGCTCTTGGGAAAAGCCTCACACTTTTTCCCGGCCATAGGTTGCTACCTCCGACTATTGGTCTATTCTTTCCAAGAGATACTCCGTACATCTTTCAAAACTTATACCCCGTTGCGCAACATCTGCCAACCTTTTTTTTCCTGTCTTTCTCAACTTCGCAACTTCCACCTTTTACTACACACATCTTAGCCCGGAATGGCTCCCATCACCAACGGCGACTCCATGGAGCACTCCTCCACCAAGGATGCTCTCGACTACACCAAGGCTCTTGAGATTCTCAAGAGCGAGGCTCGCGATGGCATCGATGTCAAGACCTTGCTCGACTCCAAGGCCAACGGTGGCCTCACCTACAACGATTTCCTGATGCTTCCCGGCTACATTGGTATGTAGAACTCGACCATGGGGATGGGCTCGCAGACCTAATTCGTCCCCAGGTTTTGCTGCTTCGGATGTTTCCCTCGATACCCCAATCACCAAGCGAATCACACTGAAGACTCCTTTCGTGTCTTCGCCAATGGACACCGTCACCGAGCACAACATGGCTATCCATATTGCGCTTCTGGGAGGTCTCGGTGTCATTCACCACAACTGCTCACCAGACGAGCAGGCTGAGATGGTTCGCAAGGTCAAGCGTTACGAGAACGGCTTCATCCTTGATCCTGTTGTCATTTCTCCCAAAACTACCGTTGCTGAGGCGAAAGCCTTGAAAGAGAAGTGGGGTTTTGGTGGCTTCCCCGTAACAGGTCAGTAGCTCCCTCAATTTTTTTTCTTTGCGCCCCACCCCTCGTAACATGATGATTATTCATATATTTTTAACTTTCGTTCATCCGCAACGGTTCCGCCAACTGTGGAAATCTGTTTTATCTGATCCACCATTACCGCAAAACATCTATCATGCTTTTGTGTCGAACTAGCTGACACATCATGTCTAGAGAATGGTACTCTCCGTTCCAAGCTCGTCGGAATCATCACTCCTCGTGACATCCAGTTCCATGACAACTTGGATGATCCCGTCACCGCTGTCATGTCCACGGACTTGGTCACAGCACCCCAGGGTGTTGATCTCAAGGAGGCCAACGGCATCCTCAGCAAGTCCAAGAAGGGAAAGCTTCCCATCGTAGACGAGAACTTCAACCTCATTGCACTCCTCTCTCGTTCCGATTTGATGAAGAACCTCAACTACCCATTGGCCTCCAAGCTCCCCCACTCCAAGCAGCTCATCTGCGCTGCCGCCATCGGAACCCGCCCCGAAGATAAGAGCCGTCTGCAGAAGCTTGTGGATGCTGGACTGGACATCGTCATTCTCGACAGCAGCCAGGGTAACAGCATGTACCAGATCGAGATGATCAAGTACGTCAAGGCCACTCATCCTGAGATCGATGTGATCGGCGGAAACGTCGTCACTCGCGAACAGGCTGCAGCTCTGATTGCTGCTGGTGTCGACGGACTTCGTATTGGTATGGGAAGCGGAAGCGCTTGCATCACCCAGGAAGTCATGGCCGTTGGCAGACCTCAAGCTACTTCCGTCTACAATGTCACCCAATTCGCCAAGCGATTTGGTGTTCCTTGCATTGCCGATGGCGGTATCCAAAACGTTGGACACATCGTCAAGGGTCTGGCCCTCGGTGCCTCCGCCGTCATGATGGGCGGTCTCCTCGCAGGAACCACCGAGTCTCCTGGCGTGTCTTTCGTCAACAACGACGGCAAGCTCGTCAAGGCTTACCGTGGTATGGGTTCCATTGATGCCATGGAGGATAAGAAGGCTGGTGCTGGCAGCAAGGATCCCAAGGCCAGCAACGCCGGCACTGCTCGGTACTTCTCGGAGGGCGATCGCGTCCTTGTTGCTCAGGGTGTATCTGGCTTGGTCCAGGACCGTGGCTCCATCACCAAGTTCGTTCCTTACTTGATGGCTGGTGTGCAGCACTCTCTCCAAGATATTGGCGTGCAGAGCCTCACTGAGCTCAGGCAGGGTGTCGTTGACGGCACCGTCAGGTTCGAGCTCCGAACTGCCAGCGCCCAGGCCGAAGGTGGTGTCCACGGTCTCCACAGCTTCGACAAGAAGTTGTACTCTTAGACAGAGGCAGCATAATGCATAGAAAAAAAAGGCGTATGGGTGGCTTGCTTAATCGCAATGTTTATGATTGATGGTTTAGATGATTGGACAAGCTAGGAAGAGCAAATGATACCAAATATTTCCAACCACGTTACCGTGCAGTGTGTTTTTATGAATCGCGATACATGTTGTGCTGGACTTGATTTCATAATTTTTTTGTTCTTCTTGAAAGCCTTTGTTGTACTCGACATATATCTCGTGCCTCACTCAGGTCAGTGTCTACTGATTTAATTGCTTGGTGACCAGGAACTGAGGCGGCTTCCTTCGCTTGAGTTACCCGGCGACCACAGTTGAGTGGTTCAAGAGCTACTCGACCTCACGCCAACCTCGGCATCTCCAAGCTCCCCGCCATGAGTGCTCATCCACCAAACGACCATGGCTAATCCACGCATCAATAAAGGACGTACGAACCCGGTCGAGTATGCCAATACTCCGCCCTACTCGATCGTTTATTCCAACGAAATCTCGAACACAGAGACTTGATCATCTCGGTTCAATTCGAACCATAGCTCACTGTCGACGCCTGGTCTCACGATCCTCCCTCCCGCTGCCATTGCATCCGTATCAACCCTCCAAAGGGCTCATACAATCCCAAATACGCACAATGAGCACACCAGCAGACCATAAACCCCTCAAAACGCCCCCGAAAGTCCCTCCCGTCCCACGACCCAGCTCAAGGTACTCCACACCTTACATCCATCATCAATCCATCCCCCCGAACTAACAATCCCCAAGCGTCCTCCTCATCTCCCCAACGAACCAGATCCTCCTCCTCCACCGCGTCCGAACATCCTCCTCCTTCGCCTCCGCACACGTCTTCCCCGGCGGCGCGCTCTCGAAATCGCACGACGGCCCCATCCCGGACGTCGACTCCCCCGACCGCCACCGCGACGGCCCAGCCTACCGCCTCGCCGCCGTGCGCGAGACCTTCGAAGAATGCGGCATCCTCCTCGCCAACAACAAAACCACCGGCCGCCTCTTCACCGAGATCACCGACGCGGAGCGCGAGGAAGGTAGAAAAGCCGTACACTCAGGGAAAACCAAGTTCAATGACCTCCTCGAGAAATGGGGCGCCGTGCCCGACACGGACGCCCTGATCCCCTTCACCCGCTGGGTGACGCCCCCCAACGTCCCGAAGAGATTCACAACCCAGATGTACATCTACTTCCTACCCGTGGGATCCGTCCTCCCGGGCAGCAACAACAAGACCGACAAAACCTCCGGGCCTGTCCCATCATCCGGCCTCGAAGAGGAAGACGCAATCGTGATCCCGAACCCCACGCACGACGGCGGCATCGAGCACACGGCGGCGCGGTTCCTCCCGCCAAACAAGTGGATCGACCTCGCGCGCCAGAACCGCATCATCCTCTTCCCGCCGCAGTTCTTCCTCACGCTGACGCTCGCGCCCTACCTTTCCCCCTCCGTGACGTCCCCGTCGTCGCCGATCCCGTCGCCTGCGGAGCTGCAGAGGGAGCGCGAGCGGTTGTTGGAGTTCCTGGATAGGCCGAGGGTGTATGGCGGGGAGAGCGAGGTTTCGTTTGCGGAGGCGTGTATTTCGCCGATCGTGCTGGGGAAGGGGGAGTATGGGGAGAAGAATCAGGATGGCGTGGGGAAGGGCGTGGATAAGTATACTGCGGTGCTGAATCTTGAGAGGCCGGGGAAGGAGGTTGAGCAGTCGGATCCGAGCAGGAGGGGTATTAGGGAGTGGGTGGTCACAACGAAGTTCAAGGGCGAGGGGCCAAGGGATGTGGATGTTAGGAGGAGGGATGAGATACTCGGTGGCGGAGGGGGGAAGTTGTAGATTGTCAAATGTGGTTTTGAGAAGACGTACTTTCTGATTTTTGCATGGAATGGATTATCGTGTATGGTTGCATAGAGAGAAGAGGTACTGTCATGTATGGCGTATAAATAATAAATTAAGAATAGGGTAGGAAATATGACATAAATAAAGATATTCGCGAAGAGAAATGGTATCTAATGGACATATAAAAAACCGACCCACGGATACGCCAAAGGCATGGGGTCAACATCGTCATCATCAACCACTGTGAATCCGAATCTTTCAACTCGTCTTGCCTTCTTCCGCGTAGTGGGTCGTCGGATCACCGCATGCTGTATGCAACAAGCAATACGTGATATATAAGAATATTAAGGGGCATATCAATACTTGAACGCTTATGGCCTTTGGCTATCGAAGACCGGCCAAGCACGAAAAGGAAAACAAAAGAAATATCCCACCAAGTCATTACTTTTTTTTTTGGATAAAAGAATGAGTGAACCGGAACTCCAATCCAGTCAGAGTCCAGGGAACATCTGCAACGCCTGCTTCTGTTAGAAAAGAGTTGAAAGGTATTTGGAGAGAAAGCGAGGAGTACATACGAATCATCTCAACTCCCACGAACGCAGTGAGACGGACACATCTACAACGGCGCATACATCTGCGAATGCGTCGAATACGTCGAAAGCGCATACCCAGAGCGCCTCTTGATCTGCCTCGCGGTGCTGTGCCTCCTCGACCTCATCTCAGTCGGCCTCCTGACAGGAATCGACGAGATGGTCGGAATAGACGCGGACGAGTCTGCTCTCATCATCCCTGGACCACCGATGAGAGGAATGGAGTAACTCCCTGAGCTGCGCTGCGAGGACGGCGCAGTAGTGAAGGAGTAGTCTGATTCAGAGAGGATGTCAAAATTTTCTCGGTCGGGGATCCCGTCGCCGTAGGTGGAGTTGAGTCGGATGTAGGCTGCGTCTCTGGGGTCGAGAGGGATAGGGTCAGAGATTATTGGTCGTGAGGGTTGAGCTCCAGCTCCGACAGCAACATCGTCGGTGGGTTTGGTGGTTTTGCTGCTGCTGCTGCTGTCTTTACCTCGCCATCGCAATGTACCCCGAGGCTTTGTGAAGTAGCGTGCGCAAGCGCACAGGGAGAATCGTAGACGAGCCAGTTTGACGGATGTTGATGGGGCAAAGTTTATCTCACGAATGTACAGCTACTGGATGGGAATGGAAAGATTAAGGTATGAAAAGTAGCAGTGCCGGACTGAGGGACGATGGGGTAGATCGGCGGAGCCCTTATACACTCTTAGTATTCTGGGTAGAAGATCTGACATTTTACGGAGAGGCCAACGTGTGTATCTATACACAGGACTGAGATACGGTTACGGACCGGTCTTGAGGTCACAGGCGAACGGAGGGTTGGTGGAGGTTGAGTGAGGCATGGGCGAACCCGATGGTAGAGAACATTCGGCCAATCAGAGTGCTCGATTCGTGCTCGCCAACGGACTTCATCCAGTCTAGTGAGAGTGAGACACAGTCCCGTGCAGACCCCAGCGATGCAGAACGACTCGATTTCCTAACAGATATTCAACGACTGATGATCATGCTATCATGGGTTTCTTGATATTTCTAGATTCAGAAAGTCGTGACCCGAATGGGGATTTCATTCACGCTGATCGACGAGTGAACATATCAAGGTAGATCTCCCCGGAGCTATCAGATGTAATGATTGCAGCGGTCCTCGGTGCTTGATGTCAGTATGCACATACAATGTAGGTACAATGTAGGTACCTAAGTAAACTGCATTTTCTGGTACGTGATATCTAACAAGCTCGAATTGAGGGATATCTGGCATGGACTGATTTGAGCAGACCTACTTTCGTTTCCGATGCCCCTGTTGCACCATCCCTACAGTCTACCGCCATCGCTTGCAGTCCGGTTCCTTCGTGTTTGCCTGGAGAGAAAGTTTACTGTTGACGATGGTAAGGCTGAAACAGTCGGAAAGTAACGAGGCGATTAGGATGAACTCTAGCGAACGCCTCCAGACTTCGAAAATGTTAAATTAACCTTCGGACCCGGTACATCGGCAGTTCAGCATGGGATGATTAAGAGGCCTAGACGGAACTTTCTACAAGCACCAACACTGTGGTTCAACGCCTCGAACGGAGACGGTGAATTTTGGAGATAACAAAGTTGCCAACGTCCGACGTTAGGCAAAGCATCGAGAGCAACACCGTTCGACAAGAACCACGAAAGTACTCCGTAGATGTTCGTTCGTTGCTGCAAGCTCATAAGGTCATCCGACTTTACCGTCCCAAGGCTCTAGATGGGGCAGTTCGGACTTTGTTCCTGCTTACAACGACTATGACCCTTCTGCAGCAACACACTCGCTGCAGGTTCGACGTTGTGGGACCTGGACCTGGCCAGCAGTTATCTGGGTAGGTCGGACCGAGCCACGCTCACATGAGGTGGTGGGGTTTCCTGCAACTCTCTCCTTCCGTTGAAGATGAAGACAGCGTACGGAGTCGCTAGATTGTAGGCGAACATACTCGTCGTGTACCACTCACCAACTAGTTACTTGTCGTGGTCTCACAAAGTCCCGGGCGGGATGACTGCACTTGCTTTGTTGCATGTCTTGACACGAGAACATATCGAGGCCTCGAGGACCCATTAGATACGGCACAAAGCCTTTCTACGGGCGGAAGGTTATCGATAATCGATAAAGAATCCGCAAAAACTCTCAACTTCTCCACTTAGATACTGTTACTGGCCCCTGGCTGAGGAGCGAAATTTCAAAGGTAAACTGGTGGAGATGGAGATCGTCGTTTCAACATTCCGTCCTGGGCGCAACCGCTTTGTCTCGTTGGTTGCTGGCTTCGCCTCGGCTGGGCCTTCCCCACTCTCAACGTGGATGTCTTCTTCACCAACCACCACAGAGTTTTGCTGGCCAAAGGTTTGTACCTTTGTACCTTTGGAGCCTGGACATGTCGGATTCGGTCCTGGTGCTGCTCTCGCATACGATCTTCCAACAAGGGAAGACCAGGCGGTCAGCCATTAGACGTGCTACAAGCAGTAACCCGTGAGAGATGATTCGCCTGATCCTGTGGGTGCCCATCAGATTTGGCCCTTACGTGAAACAGTTCTTTCTCGTGCTGTCGCGTGCCATTGATTCGCTGCAAGACGGACTCCACCCTCTCCTATGGTTACGTCGAGGCGCATTTGATCCATTGTCGTATTGTGGATAGTCTGGCTTGTGTGGTTGGCCTACCGCTCGCTATAGGCCGTCCTCGCAGCAGCCATCCCGGCTGGCGCAGTCGTAATGGTCTAAGAAAAGAAGTGCTGCGGCTGAGGGGGGCAGAAACATCTTAAGGACTTTGACGACAGCCCACCTCGACATTCGCTCCCTCGCGAGTTGGATTTCCCCCTTCAATTGTGTATCCCTTGAGCGCCTTTAGATAGTGCGACATGCTGGCTACACAATCGCAACCGTCATTGTCCAGGACAACTTCAATATGGCGGCGTCTTTCTCGAAGGGAGAGTCGATCGAGGACGCCCACCGCTGAGAACACGCCAGCCCCGCAAAGATTGCAGAAACGCAACAAAGAGGTCGCAACGATTATCGAGAAGAAGCATGCCGCCTCCAGCACGCAGAAGCCTTCTGCTGCAGCGGAGCTCGTTCCAGCAAAGAAATTGCCCACAACACGAGCATCACGATCACGAGCTGTCGCTTCTCAAATGCAGACCTCAAGCTTTCCAGATTCACCATCAGACATCCACACCGTCCCATGGAACGTCTTCCTTACCCCCGATCAAGTTTATAACTTGTTCATGGGTTTCAAACCAGAGCAGATGGAGGACAAGTGGTTCATGTAAGGCACGCCCTTTGACGGTGCAGTATAGGCACCCCATGCTGATGTCAGCCACAGATACTCACAGGGTCCCGACCGGTCGGGGAAGCTGAAAGTTCACTTCCACCGCAGCTGGACCGGCATGAAGGTCGCCGAGTTGTTCGTCGTGATTGATCTCAAGGGCGAAGGGGCGGGCAAGATTGTCGGCATCAAATGGAACGCCACTGAGCAGACTAACGGATTGGACGGCGAGGAGGCGAAATACATGATTGCTACGACTTGTGCATGGGTTTTGGGAGTGAACATGGAGAATGCTTTGATATGATGGTCACGAAGGTCCGAATCGAGCAATTATGTTAGTTTTCCTGGAGTTGAAGGCGTACTACGGGTTCCAGACTCAACAAGATCTGACCTGTCATCATGAAATTTCGTCAAATATCCATTGTAATTAATGCCTACCATTTCAATCTTCTTCTTTTGAAGTTTTGTATTGCGTCAACGATGCACCCGAATTCGAAATTGTTACAATCTCGTTCAATATAACATGTTGGTATAACCATTCTCAAGATGTCACCAGAGCTTGTCTGTCCATCCCACAAGCTATCAGCATTGTACTTTTGACATCTCGTTGATCACAATCTATCCCATAGAAAGCATCAACAATATTTTTGTCATACATGGATTGCTTGACGCTTCTTACCAGAACCAAATGTATCGCCAACCCCCAGATCCTAACAAGGCTGAGGATCGCAAACCGGTCAGATAAAGCTGACCACGAACCCCAAAACCGGGCATGTTCATTAAAGTAGACGCTCTGATTGGTATCCAGTGTACATTTGATCGCCGGTATCTACATCATATTCGTCATACTCAGCATATTGCTGCATCGTTCCCCCGCACAGTATGCAGACATTTACCCCGGATTGAGAAGCACAATCGCTACCCCGCTAGTGCTCCCGTTGATTCTACTCCACATCTCGACTGCCACGACTCACGACTGGCGATTCAGAGCCCAATTGGCCAAAGTATATGTTGTGATAGGGAAAATGCGCTGATCCATAGCTCCTTATAATGATATGAAGGACCCTGTGAATTCCTATTCAAATACAAACAGTGACGGCAATTGACGAGAAGAGACCTAATCAAAGAACATGGCATCAGACAAATTCCCAGAATCAGATGGCAGAGACTTGAGCGCGTTTCAGAAGCAGCTCAATGAAGAAGGATGGTGCGTCGTGCCAGACGTACTTCCAGAAGCCAAAGCGAAAGAGGTGCTAGACAGGCTCTGGAAAGCCGCAGATGAGTCTCGAAAGGTGCACTTGGCCTTCCACTTCTTCTTAAATCTATCAACTATCTAATTATTGTCCGGTAGCGAGGGACAGATACCTACATGCCCAACCTCGACCCCAACGCCTCCAACATCCGCGTCTTCTATCTCATGGCCCTGGACCCCATCTTCCTAGACCTCATCTCCCACCCCACCGCCATCGCCATGGTGAAAAGTCTCCTGGGGGAAGAAATTCTGATCAGCAACTTCACCGCTAACATCGCGCGGCCCGGAAGTGGGAGCATGGGCCTGCATAGCGATTTAAGTCTACAATGTCCAGACCCGTGGGTAAAGCCGTGGGGTTTGAATGTTATTTGGTGTTTGACGGACACTACCTTTGAGAACGGCGCTACGTTGTATATCCCCGGGAGCCATAAGTGGACGACGCCCGATGAGGTGCCAGAGGACGCGGAGTCGAGACTCGTGCCGTTCGAGGCGAAGGCGGGGTCGATTGTCGTGATGGATGGGAGGATTTGGCATACGTCGGGGAAGAATATTACAGAGGTAGAGTTTGAATCGTCACGTCTCATGTGGATTTGAGAAGATTCTAACATTTGTATAGGACCAAGATCGTGCGCTTTTGTTTGGTGCGTATAATTGCGCGTTTCTGAGGGGCCAGGTCAATTGGGCTGCTGGACTGAGCGAGGAGACGAAGAAGACGCTGAATCCGCAGATGAGAGATTGGTTGGGCGTGGATGTGACGGCAAATACGGGGAGAGTCAAAGGTGTGAACAAGGTTTATGGGTAGTGGCGCAACTGAGCATCTGTAGATGTGACTACAAGCTGCCATAGTGACTACAAGCTGCCATAGTGACTACAAGCTGCCATAGTGACTACAAGCTGCCATAGTGACTACAAGCTGCCATAGTGACTACAAGCTGTCGTAGTGATAATTATTCATAAACATAGCAGAACGGCCCTGCAAGCGTGCTTGAAGCATTCGCGACAGTTATATTAGAGCCCCCAACGAACTCCCCCATAGTCATGATATCATCCAATGTCGCATTTCGCGTAGGCGGGTTATTCATAAAGGTTAGTGTCCCAGCAATCGTGAACCGTCTGGAATCGATATCCTGATTCTGCCAGATCCACCATGTGCGATCTACAGAGGCATGATGGAACCAGAAGAAAGGATCTGAGGGCGAATTGAAGAAATCAGACCCGGCATCTCCACTGATGATATTGTGTCCACCAAGGTGGACACTCAGCCGCTCATAATTCGGATTCTGGAATGTGTCTTGGAAGGCGGAGATGTTGGCACTATCTTTGATGAGGTCTGTGATGTATTCATCTCGAGCCTCAAGTGCCGATTGCACACTCAGGTCACGCTTGATGCAGCGAGGGTTATGACCGAGACCGTCTGGTGAGGGATTTGGCGGGACTGTCGTGTCACGGCTCGTGATGGGACCCAGATTGACTTTCCAGCTATACAGATATCTCAGTTCAAGTCCAAAAATAGCCTGGCAGACGTACTCACTCTTTGAATGGCCCAGAAGTTACACAGCCGCCGCCTGTTCCAGGCACCATTATCTGATAACAACTTTTCGGATTCGGTACACATGTGGCATTTCGTCCAGGCACGAATTCTCCATCTCCGGAAATACTCGTGTCACTTCCATCAAGCAGTGGCGAGCTGGCCGGGTCTTCAGCCCACCATGCCCAATTATAATAGGGCAGATAGCCCTTATAACCGCATTCGTTCCGTAGCATTTGCTCATATGTCCACATGTAGTAACGATGCCACGAGAGAAAGTTTCCCTGTAACCTTAGTGTCTTGTAGTAGAGAAAAGGTATTCTGAGATCGTACATTGCCGTGGGTGTAGTATGTTTGGAGTATATGAGTTACAACGAGATCATCATAGCGTGATCTTGCTCCCGCAGCTACAGAAGCTGGTGTTCTAGCAGGAAGTCGTCCAAGACACTGAACTGCTCCAATGTAATCGAGTTTCTCCGCTCGCGTCAATCGTGACCTGACCTAAAATTAGCTGAAAAGGCTTTAAACTTTAGTTTGGTAGTTTTACCATTCTCGACGTTTGGCAACATTCTCCCATGTGCATGTTTCGGGGCTGGGAAACCCTTTTTGAGATACGTGAAGCTTAAGATTGGCGAAGCCCTGATCAGCTAGGATGTCGTACTCGAATGTTTTAGCGAATGTACAGCTAATCAATGCTGCTGCTGCAAGAAAGGAAGATCTCATCGTGCAACGTACAGTCCCAATTGTGAGAACAGATCAGAACAATCATTTTGGGTGTCAATGAAAACTATGACAATCTTAAATATGTATAGCTAAGTCCATTCCTTGTACAAGACTAATGCAATGCATGGAGTCTTCATGGCCTCTAGCCTTGCATATATGCTTTCAACCTGGACTGTTACTCAATAGACGAAGTAAGACTGCGCTCACCGGTTAGAATATATTAGATCTGTCTGCAGACTGCACCCATGTACTTCTTGGACATTTGCCCGTACGATCGGTTAGGTGTTTTCTTGCATACGCGAAGTCCCCCGGAAGGGCCTTCCCCTCTGTCCAAGCTGTACTATAACAATCGGTAGATTTCCTTCCGTAGAACCTTGTCCTCGGTACGCTTGTGTGATATGTTGGTGTTGTCTTTGCAAAATTTTCTCGTTCTAGCTAGCAGTAAGCTGCATGTTGATTGGCAATATATCAAAGTAAATGCCAATGTTCCAAAGTTTGAGCGTTAGGGTATTAGATGCAGGGCGTAAAGTCATCGGGAAAATTCAAACAGATGCGCTTTCCTCGTTGAGAATGTACATCTTTCACAATTTCAAAATACTTAACAAATTAGAAAAGATGATTTATCAAGAATAGAATTGGTTTCGAGTTCTAAATGTCATTGAACTCCTAATTCTTATTTACTGTTAATATGTAGAAACTGTGTCACCGTCGTTGTATTCATGATTGGATCAGCACCTTCAGCACCACATACCATGCCATGCCATGCCTCAACGTATATTAACCGTAGTTCTGGGCTGGCGTGGCACAGTCCTCCTGTGAATAATCTTTCAACACCTCCCTTGTCGACGATCCTTCTTTTTCCGAAGTAAAATCTAGTAGCACCACCTACCTTGATAATTCATGATGGACGAAATCTTTGAAGCGGGGCCGCCTGCAGGAGAAGACCTTCCCATACACTCCGCCGCAGCCACGGGCGACACGATAAAAATATCCGAATGCATACAGCTCGGTCAAGACGTCAACGCGTATGACAGAAGAGGAGTTCCGCCGTTACAGCATGCCATTCTCACCGGCGGCATCGACTGCGTTCGCTTTTTATTGTCTGTGGGTGCGGACCCGTTACAAAGGCGGATTGACGGGGCTCAAGGATTTGATGATGATTCTTTGACAACAACGGCACGATGGAATAATGTGGCCATTTTGAAAGAGCTATATGAACGGGACGCTCAAGAACTAAGCGAACCTTTACTTGCGGCTGTGTCATGGGGGAGTATCGATACCGTAAGAGTGATCCTCGAATACGATCAACAGGCATCAACCACGCAGATTAGCAAAGAAACTATTTTGAGGGCTCTGGAGGATGCTGCTAGGCTTTGGGCTGCAGATCTTGTAGAACTTCTCATGCCGGCTGTTGCAAATGTATCGGACAACGAAACTGAGAGGCGATATGCCTTCAGCCAGGCTCTGCTATCGGTGAACAGAGAGATTATGGAGCCCGATGATCTATTGGGTGACAGCAATTCACCTGCTTGTGACTGGAAGAAAGCACTTGAAGTCACGAAATTGTTGGTAGAGGCAGGCGGCGACATCAACGCAAAAGACGAGGCGCAAAAAACAACACCGCTACACCATGCTTTAGCTCAGACACCGAAGCTCCCTAAGGATCTGATCATTTACCTCCTTGAAAACGGCGCCGAAGTCGCTGCAGAAGACTGGGAAGGAGTGACACCCTTTCAAAACGTTCTAGCTCACCCAGACGGCGCAGAGTTGATCAGAGTGTTCATCGATGCTGGGGCAAATCCTAATGCTCGGAATAGCACTGGAAACTCTCCACTGCATTTCGCCTGCAGCGAGTTCTCTGCACAGCTTTTAATCGATCTCGGGGCCGACGTAGAGGCGGTCAACGACAAAGGGCAGTTACCACTTCACACAGCAGTTGGGTCGGGATTCCCTGAAGTCGCCGAACTATTGATCCGACACCGCGCCGCTGTCAATAGAGCGACTACTGATGGATAGACAACTTTGATGTCCACTGTAGACATTGAACGCCACGTCGCTACTAAGAGCTTTAACGGGCATTCCATTCAATAATGTTGGCAGAGATGCCGCGCAACTACTTCTTGATAGAGGTGCTAGCACTAGTGTCAAAGACCGGGAAGGTCGACATGCGTTTGAGGTCAGAGGTCCAGAGGCTACACGATCAGTCAAGACAGAAAACTTGAAAGCAGTTTGTGGTGGTAATGAGGTCCTGATTTCTCCGGGATGCGTTCGGAATTCAAATCTGGCTCTAAAAGTCAAGTTTACTAGTAGTGAGAAAACTACACGTCACACAATTGCGCAGATCATTTTCGAAGTTATAGACGACACGATCAGAATAGCAATCATTCATTGAGATTGGATGGAAACAACACTGTTCATTATGCGAATAGGGCACCACTTCAATGAACATGTATTGATAGTTGATGACCCAGATTTGGTGCATAGTCTCTGATCATTGGATCTAGAACCTACTATACTAGAGACCGAGTGGTTGCGGAGGCTGGTCTGGCGGAGGACTTAGTGGATGTAGAAATCACCTTGCTCGAAAAACCGCTGGATCCAGAAACCAGCTTGCTTGAAGATCTGGCAGACGTCGAAGCCGTTTTACTCAGTGACGTGGATACAGCAGGTCTTGTTGGACTTGGTGTCGGCGTTGAAATTGGAAGAGGATCGTTCCAATTTTTAACAGGTTGAAGACAGTAGGTCAGCCCAGCAGTCAGCTTCGAGTTGCATGTGTCGGCCGTCCCAAGAGATGGATTAATGGCCAAAAAGAGATCCGAAGGCGTGTTCGAGTTGATCAGGATGCCCCGGCATGTGTCCCCAGCTTGTACCGTGTAGAAGAGTCCGCAGCTCCTGGTTGTATTCGTTGCCAGTACACTCCCAGCCGGAGGGAGTACAACTTCCTTTGCATATCCATCGCCATTCCCTCCAGGGCCCCCGACGCCACCTCCCGTACCATTTCCTGGGGTGTGATTATACGCTCCACCGGGTGGAGATACACAAATTGTCGACCCCCAGCTTGGTTGAGCACCATAAATGTTTGAACACCAAGGATCCACCATGCCATTCCAACTGATGATGTTAAGCCAAGAAATATCCGTTAATGAGGCTATACGGGTGCAATTGTCCGAAGGTTTGACCTGGTACAGCTTCTCACATCGTGGAGGTAAACATAAGGCGAGATTAGCCCCAACACTTGAGCAATCAATCAGCGATGGATTAATCTCATAGAGCGTTCCTGAAGACACCCGATTGGATTGTGCAATGCTGTCGCATGTATCACCAACGCGGGAAATATACTTGTCCTCCTTTGCGCAGCCATCAGGCTCGGTACTGTTGAAACGGATCGTGCTTGGAGTAGGTGTAGTCACAATTCCAGTGAGTGCGCAAGCTATTTATTCGACTTAGCGAAGGGCTTTTATGGCGGGATGTATCTTACTTTTGACGACGTAATCGTATCTTTCCTTCCAAATCGTGCTGTCGTACACTCCAAAGGGATTCAGTTGCATGGCTGCTAGTTTAGCTTTTTGGCAAGTCGAACACAGTTGATCTTTTGGTAATGCCTTGAAGTCATCCACAGGAGACCAAGATTCAATCACATCTGTAGTGGGGATTAGAACTGAACTCGAGGAAGAGAAGGATAGAACGTTACCATTGCAGTACTTCCCAGACTCAGGGTCTTTGATACATGTTTCGTTCCAGCCACCCCATATACTGTCGATCAATGCAATCACCGGGTACCCAGGGAACAGTTCAGGAGTAGACGCACATGCTCCATTTACTCTCCGACGTATGGTTCGAAGAGAGTCAGAGCATCCTGCGTCACACACTACGTCTGTCATCGCTATATCGTTCAGGCTGCCATGGTAGACTGGATCTGCCAAAGCCGCTGTATAGTTGTCGCATTTCAAAATCTGATAGAGAGATTGTTCGCAAGAGGTACTGAGACCGAAGTCTGAAAAAGAGCCTTGTTCTGCGAGAGGGAAACCTGGGACCACAGCGCGCTGAAGTAAATGATGCCAGATATTGGCATGTTCGCTGAATGGGAGAGTCCAAGTAGAGGCGAGAGATTTCGACACCCCAGAGACCAAAATTAGGAGAATGAGCGAAGAGGCTGGAGCCATCTTGGTGAATGGACCGCAATTGCGATTGACAGATGCTACTTGGCTTCGCAGCATGTAATAGCAAAGAGAAGAAACCACGAACCATTCATTCCTGAAACTGGGGAAGGGAAGTTTTACATGAATGATACCGATAGTATCAGCGCATATGAGTGACTGCCTAATTGGAACTGGTGACCAGCATTTAAGAAGGCCTTGCGCTTTTCGCAGCGATGCTATTGCATCCTCAGACTCTCGGTCTTGTTTTGCCCGTATCCAACAAACTTCTCAATTTACGAGGTAGTCTAGATTGCTTCAATCTATTATGACCCAGAAGACTGGCTGTCAGCCTTACTCATACCGAAATTGCGGCTGCACTCATAGAGTAATGCGTAATAAAAGATTCGCCCTGTCGACCCCAGCCAAATCATTTGGCGTAAACTTTGCCCAACGCCCCACGAGCAAACAGGTACAACGTCCCATTGAATTTGGGAAAAGGTCACTTCTAACAATGAAAGCAATAGATAAAGCAATAGAATACATTGTTTAGATTTATTAACTCATTTATCATGGAAGCTCACCGACATTGTGAGCAATTTGGCCGAAGGCCCCAACATTGGTTTTCAGTGGTTTTATCTACTACACCAAGTCCTCCACCGACCTTTAGCTTTCAAAAACAACTATGGTTTCAAAGCAACAGTTTGGCCGTAAATGGCTACTGTTTGTGTTTCTTATCTTTTGTGTACAGTTGTCATACCAGCAGGACTGCAGTGCAAGCAACCCGTGCAAGCTAGGATGTTGTGGTAATACTCTAGCCTGTTCAATCGCAACATTTTGCTGACTTCAATAGGAAAAAGCGGCTGGTGTGGCATGGGGCCTGATTTCTGCGGCAAGGAAAATTGCGTAGGCACATGCGATCAGAAATCCGAATGTGATCCAGGATGGGGCATGCAATGGTCCAAGAGCAGCAAATGTCCGCTAGATGTGTGTTGCTCTAAGTTTGGGTTCTGCGGCACTACGAAGGACTTCTGTGGAAACAAGACTGTCGAGAGGCCGGCTTGCTCTTTGTCTACAAAAGTGGATAAAGTCATTGGTTACTATGAGTCCTGGTCTCTGACGGAGAGATCATGCGGCGGCATGACTCCAGAGCAAATACCCTATGGCGTCTATACACATCTCAAGTCAGTCACTCCCCACGAAATTTCCGCCTAATGACTGACGTGCTTCCGAAGCTTTGCTTTCGCTACGATTGATCCCTCGAGTTTTGAGGTCAAAGCTACGAGCGACATGGCCGAGGCACTCATGTCTAGAATTGGAAATGTCCGTCTCCTTCAGGCAGGAGTAGAAATTTGGATTGCAATTGGCGGCTGGACCTTCAGCGACTCAAATCAAGCGACACATAAGACCTTTTCCGACCTTGCTGCCTCGGAGAAGAACCAGGACGCATTTGCAAACTCACTGATCTCCATGATGAACACATATGGTTTCGACGGAGTAGATATCGACTGGGAATATCCCGTAGCGGACGATCGAGGTGGACGCAAAGAGGATTACGAGAACTTCGTAACGTGGATGAAGAGACTGAAAGCCAAATTAGGGAAGAAAGGCTTGACTGTTACCCTGCCATCCAGCTACTGGTACCTGCAGCACTTCGACATTAAAGGGCTCGAAAAGCATGTCGATTGGTTCAACGTAATGCTCTACGATCTCCATGGTAGCTGGGATGAGAAAAATGAGTGGACTGGACCATTCATCAATTCCCACACCAACCTCACAGAAATTCAAGACTCCCTCGATCTACTCTGGCGCAACAAAATAGATCCAGATAAGGTTGTTTTCGGCATGGCGTTCTACGGGAGGTCATTCACATTGACGGATCCTTCATGTTCGGAGCCGAAGTGCATTTTCTCCTCGGGTGGAAATGCTGGAGAATGTTCAAATACTGTCGGGGTTCTTCTGAATCCTGAAATACAGAGAACAATTCAGCAAAAGAACCTGAAGCCAAAATCATATACTAAGGAAGCGATAAAAGCCATCAACTGGGACAGCCAATGGGTTTCTTTCGATGATAAGGACACATGGACAACCAAGAGCAACCTGGCCAAAAAGCAGTGTATCAAGGGTATGATGGTGTGGGCAGTGAGCCATGATGACTTGAACGGAACGAGCGCATATGCGCTGACCAAAGCGATTGGAAGAGAAGTAATGGATTCTCCCAAAATCGAGCCTCAGCCTGTTCAAATGCCACCTAGAGTCATTGAAACTTGTAGGTGGTCAAATTGCAATGAGCAATGCCCCCAGGGGTTCAAGAACGTCAAAAGAGACGGGACTGAGCAGATGATGGTTGACGACACGGGATGCCCGGCCGGTCAAAGTCCTCATCAATTGTGTTGCCCGGGGGACTTCACGTTACCAACGTGTACCTGGCGCGGGTTCAGAAACTCGGGCGCATGTAAGCCAGGTTGCAATTCTGGAGAAGCAGAAGTAGGCACACTAGTCAAGGGGTGTTCTTCAAGGCACCAAAGTGCTTGTTGCACTACGAACACTGCCGTCCAAGCATACGCAGATTGCAAGTGGGTAGGAGAATCAGGGTTGTGCTCAAAGTCTGGAAGCCACAAGGACTGCCCAAGCGATTACCCAAAGTTCATAGTGGCGTCAAGTGCTGGAGCTGGAGGGGAGCAGGTCTGTTCACAGGGAGCGAAGAGCTACTGCTGCAAAGATCCAGCACCGTCTCAATGGACAGATTGCGCATGGCATCAAAAGGCTACGTCTACTGTCCGTAACACAGTATACTGCGAGACTTCATGCCCGGCAGGTCAGATCCGCATTGCAATGCAGAAAGGAGATTGCAGATTCGGAGGGTGGGGAGCATACTGCTGTAAGGGCAAACCAGCACCAACACTCCAACCCAGAGACCCGAATTGGGGGAACAACCAATATGAGGATTTTGTGGATTTGCTCGAAAAGTATCTAAAGGCGCCGACATGTCCTGCAAATGAGCTTAGTCTCGATGGCCTCGATTACTTCTTCGATACTCCCGCAAAAAGAGCGGAATGCGCGATTGATGACTTCTCGAAACTCGTCACTTGGGCAGGAACCCTGCTACAATCACCGAGGATCACAAGCGATGTACTGAAATACGCGTGGGACAACAGATTAATGTCCCGTTTCGACACGACAGGCAACATTCTGTCGTTCGATAACTTGGTGAAATACGTCCAAGATGGCCAGTTCGATGCTCATGCTGTGGTCCAGGACTTGCTCCTCAATCCGGAAGAAGCGGCGGGGAACATTAATTCACTCCAGAAAGCACAGAAAGCTCTCTGCGTGAATGTTTCGACACTGAAAAGTAAATCCCGCAATTCCTCTCATAGCGTCCTGGAAAGTCGGAACAACAACTCTTCAGATGACACTCTCGAGAGTAGAAGGATTCAGCCCGGGGGTATGTATATCAGTCTACTGTATTTGATAGCGATGCTGATCTTCCGCATTTAGGCCAAGCCAGTGATCTCACAAGATTCCGACAACGTGCAATGCCAAATGCAGCCACGATTCTAGATGGGATTATGCGAGGTGATCTGACCCTTGTATACAGCCGGTGGCAGTACATGACGGGGGCCAACGGCTTTGGCAGTCATAACCAAGCAGGTGCATTCTTGGAGATTGGTTATTGGATTGGCCCGACGCCTGGAACAACACCAACAGACGTTCGCTTCAACCGGTATCGTGATACGACAACCAACAGGAGAGGGCCAGATAACTGGGTAATGATTCATGTCCACGTCGACGCCAACCACCCAAACCTCTTTCGTAACATAGATGGAAATGTCTTTATCGGAACACCAAGTGTACGCATGTACCACGCACAAACAGCTTCATGGCCCCAAAGAATTGGAGCTGATCGACGGGTTGATAATCGAGACGTAGACAGGAGAAACCCACAGGGACGAATCACTTATACTGGTATTAACTCTCGATCAGGCTTGTTTCCTTGTCCACCAGCTCCTCCACCTAGAGCAAATGCACCTTTATGGTACATGGGAGACATCACGGCACCAGTCGAAGTGCCACCATCGCTGCTGAATCGTCTCGAAGCTTGGGGCCAACGACTCTGGGATCAGAGGTACATACACTCTCAGGGCCTCAGCAATATATTCCATACGAGTAATTGGGCCGGAAACCAATTCGACCTGAATCAAGGCATACCAGTCTTACAGCTACCATGGCGTGGAATCGCAAGTCAAGACCCGACCTTGACAAATGTTGTGTGGGATCCCGCGACAAGTCAATTTGTGCAGCACCCGAACGTTCCGTAGAGAAGATTCATCTGTCGTAAATTTATTGAATAACATTCTATAATAGACTATGTTTCGCATTGTGTTTTTTATCTACCTTCTATCTTTGTTGACCGAAAAATCTATTCCTGAATGTTCACTCCAATGTGAATGCCACGCGATCCATCTCCTTAGAGTACCATGTAGTAGTTATGTGAACTGCTGTCGTACTCAAGAATGATCTCGTTCTCCATATCGGTAACATCGACAACAACCTGTTCCCATGGGTGAAGTGTGTAAGCTTTGGCTGACGGGGTCGAAACTACCGTAGCGCAGAGGTATGCAGCTTTTCCGGGATTCGGCTTTGCCTCTAGACTCATCCTATGGTTTTCATCCAGAGCACTAGTGGGGCAAAGGATCATCGCCATGGTCAAGCCACGGACAGTACCAACGGTCTCTCCAGTTCCGACAGGCTTCTTCACGCATACGACCATGCCCGGACGGATACGCTCTTTGAAGAGCAGCTTCTCCACATTAGGGCCGTCGTCTTGACTGGAGGATTTCATCTCGGATCCGGTGTTAGCTGCAGCGGATTGACCCGCACTGTCTTGGGATCGGCCGTCGTTGTGCAGTGAATCAATGTGCAGCGCCCACAACTTTTCTCGGAATGCTCTTGCCTGATCGATGCTTACTCCATCAGTGCTCAAGCAGAGAGTCTCGAAGTCGCGGGCAGGGAGTTTGAGAATCTGAGCTCCTGTTGCAGTGGGCGCAAGAATCGACCCGTTGATGGGCGGGGTTCCCGACTAGAAGAACGACGTCAATACCACCTCGCCCCAGACAAGGAGAAACGGACGCGTACTTACGTTCTTCGCTATCCAATCTTGGAGCTGAGCATTGGTCCAAGTTACGGGAGAATTCGGTTTGAAGTTCGGCTTGCCAATCTTAGGCGCCGGAACGCGCAAAAGCTCGGCAAATCGCAAAGTGTTCTTGGTGGGACTGACGTCTGCCAGACTTGGATTGACACAAGCAATGATAACGGTCTTGGTAGTGTGACCTCCAGAAGGGTCGAATACATGCTTGAGAACTTTGGTGAGCGCGCTCTGTCGATAAGGCACGCGGGGGGCCTTCTGTCCTTGTTTGCGTTTACCAGATAAGAGCAAAGCATCGGACTCGGCCTTGCCGCGGATACAGTCTTTCAAGACGGACAGGCTGATGTTGATTTCGCGGGTCTCTCGCATGCGGTCGGCTCCGTGGACCGCGATGTCCCGGGCAGCTTCTGATCCGGCCAGATCAATGAGATAGAGAAGACCTTCTGTATCTGAAGCAACATCCTTGATACGGATGCGACAGATGCCATGTGAACGAGAGGATGCATCATTCTTTATGGTTGATGCTGTTCGTCTGAAAGATGCGGCACGCTCAATCAGGTTCATGACCTCAGCCCTGTCTTGCACGAGGTACTCTTCTGCGCCTTTTAATTGACTGACGCCGAAGGAGTCCTCGAGAATCGATATTGGAGATCGTGAGCTGAGGAGATCGAAGGCCGAATTTCCGGCAAGGTCAATGATGGTCAGATATACTTCCTTTTCGCCTGGAAGATCACCTTCCATCAGTGCTTTGACGGCAAGTCTCTCGAGCTGACTGATAGTGAAGGTTTTGCCAGAGCCCGTCTGGCCATATGCAAAGAGGGTGCTGATGCCGCCGTCCCATGCGAAGGGGATCAGGTCTTTAACGAGATCCTCGTAGATCTGCTCTGTGGTCGCTTCAGTGCCGAAGATTCTGTCCACACCATAATTGAAAGACTGCGTGGTATAATTAGAAAGGTCCGTATCAAGACTGCATGATTTGGTTCATACCTTGAGAACAGGTCGTCCCTTCGGATGATTGTACAAGTCGTGGATGTCAATCACCGTTTTGGCGCCAGCTTGGGCGTTTTGGGGGAATACAGCACAGGGAAACCCGGCATTGAGTTCGTCTTCAAGAAATGGGCGAATTCTTGCACTGACAACCATGTTCTGGTTTCCTTCCTCTTGCGAGGTTGGAGTTCCATGTGCTCGGGTAGGCTTCTTGACGGCCTTGACAAGAGATTGGTATAGGGATGCGTTCTTCTGATAGAATTGGTCCATTTCGAAGATTGATGATGAATCATTGAAAGATTGAGAGGGCAGAAAGATTGGTATATATTTTCTTCGATGCTGTTGAAGGGTCTGTTTATTTGTTGTTGCCTGATACTTCTGCGGCAATCCGAGCCCGTCTCAGGTTGCTTAGCGAGCTGGTGTTGCACGGCTGCATCCCATTGGTCAGGTTTGCTAGCATCACCAGCCGATGATGTTCAGCAACACGCTTGAGTAGGTCTTGATTGGTGATGACTGGGATAGCGATACATGTACATGACTTGATGCTGCAATGTCAAAGAAAATGTATCACACCCTGCAATGTCTGCTCCCGCGATCCACCAAGCAGTGAAAGAAACAGCGGAGAGACGGCCCACGGGTAACACAGACTACTGCAGAGTACCACCCAAGTAAATTCACCACTATATCGTATACCTGAAGCTGGCCAACCCTTCTATCATCATCTCACCCCTAGCTGCCTTACGATTGCAGAACAGAAACCAGGCTGTCAAAGCCGTGGTAGTGATTAAGATGACTCCATTAGCTGTCAGACACGCTGCAATACCTGGAAAGTAATGTGGTGCATCTTGAGCCCGGAATACCAGAGACCCGGCGATGCCGCCTGTCCCGCCAAAACTGATCATACTTGCGCTACAGAATGCACGCTTCCATGGGCCACGGATGTTATTGGCTTGGTAAACCATGACAGCGGGAAGGTTGGCACTTGCTCCGGCGGTGACGAATAAAGCGCCCAGATATTGTGGACCGGGAATCGACGTGAAGGCCATCAGACACAGACCCACAATGGAAAGGATTGCGTTGAAGTACAAGCAAGGGGCACGTAGGCGATACTTGTCGCAAAGCCAACCTTCGATGAACATGAGCAGCATGGCGAGTAGATACGGGGGTGACGATAGCGCTTGCGCGACTGGGACTGCGAAGCCGATCTCGTCCTCAAGAATTATAGGTAGAAAGAACCCGACCGAATAAGCTTGAATGGTAGAGCAGCTGCTTCATCAGCTATGTAGAGACAGATGATGGCAATAGACTTACAAGAAGAGGAGTGCAAATGCCCAAACCTTGGGATCTAGAGCTGGCTTCAAGAACTTTCTGAAAGCAAAGTTCTCAGGCTCTCCATCCTGTCTGTCACGATTGATTCGTCGTACAACGAATTGTGCCTCCTTTTCGCTGAGAAACTTCCAAGATTTATGAGCAGATTCAGGGAAATCCACCATAAAGACGAAGCCGACTAGGCCAACGATGCAAGTCAAAATGCCCTCCATGATGAAGATCCATCTCCATCCATTGTAACCCTCGAGACCCTTCATTTGACTGAAGGCAAGTCCCAACACCCCGCCAAAAGCGGAGCCCAGAACACCAATCAGGTAGAACACCGAAGTGCGTTTGTGCAGGTCGAAACGAGAGTACCACGAAGAGATTAGATAATACTGGCCCGGGAAGCAACCTGCTTCAAGTGCTCCGAGCAGCATGCGCAATGCGATTAGTGATTTCCAGTTTTGGACGAAGCCAAAACCTATCATGACGATGCCCCATGCGGTTACAATTGACGACAAGAAGACTCGGGGTCCCAATTTACGGACGACAGCTGAGGCAGGAAACTGGAGGATAATGTATGGTGCAAAGAATACTAGGAGGGTGATGGACTGCGATGGATTAGCAAAATACAACAAGGCGAGGAGATTTACTGACATATCGATTGCTCTTCTTGAGTCCAAGATCTTTGGTCATGCCGGCAATGGCAGCATTGCTCATATTGGCGCGGTCCAGGAAAGAGACTGCTTGCATCAGGCCAAGAATGATCAATAGCCGGCGATCAATCTTGTGTATGATCTTTCTTTGCTCTGCAACAGTGTATTCTTCGTCATCATCGACCTCAGCAGGGGGTTGATGCTTCTCCTCCATGATCGCAGCCTCTTTGGTATCGATAGGAATGCCCATCGCGACGATCGGAGGATGGGCTTCTCTGTTCAATCTGTGGAGTGGAGATGATAGAAGGCAGGCACAATAGTGTTTGCCTTACACCATTGCCGTGCAAGCATAGTTGAATCAATCAAAGAACAGTTATATACTATTCAATCTGTGGGGAAAATCTGGTTCTGCCGTCTCGGTACAGGCGAATTTGGTCTAATACAAAGTCGTTTCGTGGGGAAGAGTCCATCCTGCCGTGTCGGCACACTTGAATTTGGTCTAGTCAATGTTCAATTTCTGGGGAAGAGCTCCTACTACCATGTCGGCAAAGTTGAACTTGATCTAGCACAGTTGTTTCAATTTGCGGGGAAGATTGGCAGGAAGGGGACACGGTAGGGTACTAGTGGTTGGCCTTAGACTAGTTGTTGTTCGAAAAGTCGCGGGGAATTTGCGGGGAAGAGTCGTAGAAGGGAAAGCATTGCTGCCGTGGCGGTATGGTCGAATTGGATCTAACACCCTCATATATACGTTGAAGATACGAATCGAACGTGTTTTAGTGTAGTTAGGATACAAGAGAAGTTATTCAAATCTATCTACAGAATTAGTGTTGAGATATAAGTAAGAGCAGTCAGCATGTCCATTAGTGGCTGCTGCAAAGTTGTTCTGCAGTGCATCAATGCAACAATGTTGAAGACTCGCTAGCAGAGGCAAGGCCAGCCAGCCAAATGATGGAAATGATGGGACTAAACAAGCTCTCTCAGCATCAGCCTTTGCCGTGGAGAAGCTCTGCCGTGCAATGTAGCGCCTTGGTTAGGTTAACCGAAACTGAACCGAACCAGTTATCTATTGTCGATCAATACTGGATCTGTCTTTGCCGAAGGGATTGCTCCTCTCCAGGTCAGTTTCTTTGTCTGTCCGGTCTGATATAGATATATGCATCGATTGTATCAATCAAGCAGCAATCAATTTCATTATTTAAAATCTAGCATGGCTTATGAACCCTCTTTCCAAGATCGACAGGACTTCGAAGATGCCTCGCACGGCTTTGTCGCTGCGCTTTCTCCAGGTATCATCAAACAGAAGGACGGACGGGTAGTCTGGAATATCGACGAGTATGATTTTATGAAAGACGAATGCCCTGCAACTGCGAATCCAAAACTATGGCGACAGGGGCAATTGAATTCCATGCAAGGTCTTTACGAGATCGCGCCCTCCATATACCAAGTCCGGGCCTTCGACCTTTCCAACATGAGCATCATCGAGGGAAAAGAAGGCATCATTGTAGTAGACCCATTGATCAGTAACGAATGCGCAAAGGCAGCCCTAGAGATCTATCAAGAGCACAGGGATCCTGAGAAGAAGAGGAAAGTCACGGGGATGATCTATTCGCATTCACATGGTGACCATTACATGGGTGCCGGAGGCATTCTGGGAGAGAACCCGCAAATCCCTATAATTGCACCCGATGGCTTCATTGAAGCTGTCATGAGCGAAAGTATCCTGGCGGGCCCTGCGATGCGACAAAGAGCTTGGTACATGTATGGCAATGGACTCCCTCGTTCTCCGACCGGGCAGATTGGTGTGGGGTTAGGAATGGGTAGCTCAAAGGGCAATACATCCCTGATCCCGCCTAATCTACTCATTAAAGAAACAGGTTAGTACAAGATGCTCTTCTTTGAAAGTGCATCAGGCTTACACAATAAAGGCGAGGAGCATATTGTAGACGGAGTACGGATCATTTTCCAAATGGTACCAGAGACAGAAGCACCCGCAGAAGTGAACTTTTTCTTCCCGGATCTGAATGCACTCTGCGTGCCAGAAACGGCCACAAACTGCATGCACAACATCGTAACATTACGAGGGGCGCAGGTCAGAGACGCGAAAGCATGGTCGGGCTACCTGGACGAAGTCGTACAATTATTCGGCCGCAAAGCCGATGTCTTATTTGGCAGCCACAACTGGCCCACTTGGGGGAGATCACAACTGACCAAGCGCCTGAACGAACAACGCGACATGTACGCTTATTTGCACGACCAAACGGTACGGATGATGAACCTCGGCATGACTGGAACAGAAATTGCTGAGCAGATCGTGCTACCACCCGCCCTAGCCCGTGCATGGCATTGTCAAGGTTTCTACGGATCGGTCTCACATAATGTCAAGGGCATTTACCAAAAGTACATGACTTGGTTCGATGGAAACCCCGCACACTTGTGGTCTCACCCTCGTGCTGCCGAGGGTCAGCGATATGTAGAGTGCTTTGGTGGGGTCGACGCGCTATGCCTCAAAGCTTCTGAATTTGCATCGCGGGGAGACCTGAGATTTGCAGCAACACTGCTCGACCACGCAGTTGCTGGTTTTCCTGAAGTTCAGAAACCCAGGGTTTTGTTATCAGAAGTCTATCAAAAGTTGGGTTTCGGTGCGGAGAACGCAACATGGAGGAATTTCTACCTAACAGCAGCGCAAGAGCTAACCGCCGATCGTTCAAGTGCTGCTGAGAAGATGGTAGCTGGCGGCCGCACACCTCTGGGTCCCAATCTTGATGTCGGTCAATGGTTTGATATTCTTTCCATACAAATCAATGGAGAAGTGGCAGCAGAACGGGACACCAAAGTTCGGATCGAGTTCAACGTGATCGACGAGAACGCAAGGTGGACGATTGAAACCAGTAACGGAGTTATTATCCATCGAAAGCAAGAGATAGGACAACTCGAGGAAGGCGTTGACTTGTCGTTACGGCTGACGAAAATCCAGTTATTGAATGCGCTGAGAGGCGGCGAAGTAGATTGCGAGTCTCAAAGTGGACGAACAGCGGCATTGAAGGAATTGCTAGATCTCACAAGGGTTGAGACAGGGGCAGCCAGGGGCCCAAGCCAATTGTAAATAATTACCTTACACGTAGACATGCAATGTAACACCATGCATGGGCAGGTACACTTCAACCTCCAGTTGTATTTACACCATCACAAAGCACCCATAGACACACTTCTACGAAACTCAAGATGAAAGTTGGACATTATCCCAATAAAATGTACACTATATTGCCATTTTAGAGCGGCTTCACATACATTTCTTCGGTAGAGGGCATGTTTGAGATTTCTGGAATGCTTTTTTTTCAGCTCACCGTGAGTCTAGGCCTAATGTCTAGTGTAGCATGACGGCTGCTTACCTGGTAGTTCAGAGTCATTCTCGATGATTTTCATCTATAGCAACCGTTTCGAGATTAGCGATGCAGAGAATATTCCGAAAGTAGCTATGACCGTTGCACAATGCCAGCCCCACGATTGGATCAGAGATAAGCTTTTTAACGCAGACAGCAAGTGCTGTTGTGCTCAGAGTCAGCACGGCCACGACCGGCAGTGTCGCCATTCTCACTTGCATTTGTTCGGACGCAAGGCACTGATTGGGATATCTGGCTCTCGCGTGAGCATGAACTTAAATCCGAGGATTCATATAAAACAAGCCTTCTTCCTCCCATTTTGATGCTGATAAATAATCAGCTACTGTTTGCAGAAACGACCTCTAGCTATGGAAGACTTAAAAGTTAACGATGGCATTGTCTCAGAAACATTGCCTGGATCACCCCCAGCGGGGTTGGAATCGTATGGTTTCGATCAAAAGGATACAAAAAGGCTCCTTAGAAAAATGGACTGGCATATAATACCATTCATGTCGCTTATCTACTTGTACGTACTAGACGTTTTAATACTCTACCACACACTCTAACCGCCCGATATCAGGTTGTGTTTCCTCGACAGAACAAACATCGGCAATGCTCGTCTTGACCACCTCGAACAGGACCTAAACCTGCACGGTCTGCAGTACAATGACTGCCTCGCAATACTCTTCCCTTTCTACATTGCTGCCGAGATTCCCTCAAACATGATGATGAAACGGACAAGACCATCTATCTGGCTTACCTTCATCATGTTTTTCTGGTCCGTATCTATGGTTGGCCAAGGATTCGTCACAAATTACTCGGGGCTCATGGCAACCCGAGTTTTCCTCGGCGTGTTCGAGGGAGGATTGTTTCCAGGCGTGAATTTCTACATCTCACAGTGGTATCGACGAGATGAGTGTGGGCTTCGAATGGCCATGTTCTTTTCGGCAGCAACTCTTGCTGGTGCCTTTGGAGGCATACTTGCTAGGGGTATTGCAGAAATGAGCGGAGTTGGAGGGCGGGCGGCTTGGTCTTGGATCTTCATTTTGGAGGGACTGCTGAGTGTTGTAGTGTCTCTCGGGGCCTATTGGGCTATATACGATTATCCGGATACGTGAGTATACTCCATTCTATCTTTACTTGCACCTGACGTCCCTAGTGCCACTTTTCTTTCGCCTAAAGAGAGACACGAAGTGCAAACCCGCCTTCGGGAGGACACCGGCCACCTATCAACAGAATTCGATTTCAAATACGTCAGGCAGGCATTGACCGACTGGAAGATCTATATCCACATGTTGATCTGTATGGCTGGATTTTGTCCCATCTATAGCTTCGCGCTGTTCTTGCCTACAATCATCAAAGGCATGGGTTATACTGCGAACGATGCCCAGCTGATGAGCGTTCCTCCCTATGTCTGTGCCTGCTTCTTCACCATCCTTGCTAGCTACTACGCCGACAAATATCGACGCAGAGGCGTATTCTTAATGGGATTCCAGATCATCGCCATCGTAGGCTTTGCTCTCCTTGTTAGCAGCGGAAATACCGCAGTGCAGTATACTGGAACTGTCTTTGCTGCTATTGGTACGTTGTTTTCTATATAAACTTGGGAAGATTGACTGATGAATGCAGGCATTTACCCTCAGATACCCCTCGGCATGGCATGGAATAGTGGAAACATCGGCGGGAGCCTCAAGCGTGCCACGGGAATCGCAATGCAAGTCATGGGAGGCAACTGTGGTGGCATCATCGCGTCGTACGTCTACATAAGTCGTGACGGCCCTCGTTTCATCACCGGCCATAGCATTTTGATTGGCTTTGTCAGGTAGGGATACTGCCACTCACTTTGGTATTGATTTATTGCTGATCGAGATAGCATGGCCTTTTTCCTTACACTTCTTATGACGACTTGGTGTAAGAGGGAGAATGAAAGGAGAGATGCGCTCTCCACTGATGAGAATGCTGATTTGACGGAAGAACAAAAGTTGCAGGAAGCTCAGCTGGCTGATAATGTGCCTTGGTTTAGGTACACCTTGTAGTAGAACGTAGACAAGTCGAGCGAAGCACGTTTTTATCAAAATCAATGAATATACATCAACACATACTCTAAGCTCAAACAATGTCACCAGATGCCATTAATGCATACTGATCTACAACCAATGTTTCTTTAATCACTGTTTCGTCAATCTGCGGCTCCAGTGAGCATTATACAAACCGAACTCTACATCACCCTGCTCCGGCTTTAAGCCTCCTACCTCACACTGAGTAGGAGTCTTTGTCTTCAGACTATGGGCCTTATTCTGTAACCGTGGAAACACCGACAGCGCATTGTTCCTCCCAATCTTGACGAGATCCCTTGCGTTCAGTGTCTTCTCCACATGCTCGTCCCACCAAACTGACGCATTTGGAATACTCTCAAAGGGGTAGTCTATACTAAACATGCAAGCATCGACCCCAATCTCCGCAACAGCGCAGAGAAGCGCCGGCGTGCTAAAGTGCCCAGAAGTTGTGATGAAAACCTGCGTCCCAAAGTAGTCCCTCACAAGTCTGTCCTTGCGCATTCGCATCTGGGGGAAGCGCGCACGGTTGAGCTTGTGGTCGATACGATAGAGATCGTATGGTATGTGCTCGCCCATGTGGCCCACGACAAGTTTGAGATTGGGGAAGCGGTCCAAGACGCCGGCGGTGATGATGCCGAGGAGGTGCATGTTTACTCTGTTGGCGTAGCCTAGGGCGGAGAAGGCGAGGTGTTCGCGGCCTTTCCACATCTTTTCAGTGATTTCGTTTGTCGCAGAGCGAGGATGGATGTACACTGGCGCGCCTAATTCGTCTGCAGTGGCCCAGAACACATCGTACGCTGGATCATCATAGAATAGCATCGTGTTTCCATCTTGCCCGGCAGACTGAAAGTCGTTCAGGATGACTCCAACAAAACCTTCAAGTTTGTCCCAACACCGTCGAAGCTCTTGGCCAGCTTGTGTAGGATCATGCATACTCAATGAGCATAAGGCAGCAAATCGCGACGGGTTCTCCATCACTGCTGCGCTCAATTGGTCATTAGCAGTGGATGCCATCTTCTCCGCTCCCGCTTTATCGGCAACGCCTTGAGGCCCGGCGGAGACGAGCGAAAGTACCATTAGCTCAACGCCATTCTCATTCATTTGCTCAAGACGCGTGCCATGAACGTCGAGAAGATTCGCGCCCAGGTCGCCTCCAATGACACCTTTCGGGGCGAGGGAACCGGGCTGGAAACCACCCAATGCAGCCGCATCAGGAATGTTCCATGCTTCTTCGAGGGCGATCTTGTTCAGCATTTCGTGTCACTGTAAGTAGCGAAAGCTGCCAATAGTAAAACTATACAGGAATCAGGTTGTACTATGCTTGTAGCAATTAATAAAGCACCTTGGAAGAGACTACAGAATGAAAGCATCGATAGTTAGGTGCCACATTTAGATCTGGGGTAAAATGCGGAGACATCGCTTTCAATGTTCCGGGGTCTGGAGGTGAATGAGGGGCCATGTGGGATCTTAGCTATTGATGCAGGTGGAGACGACTCGGCAGATGGACAGTAGGTATAATTAGAGACGAAAACCGAAAACCCGCGCCAAGGAGTGATGTCACCATTTGGGGCCTCTAGAAGCATCTGTCAAGAATCAAAATAATTATGTGAAAAGAATAACTCACTCACGCTCGGAAGACACAGTCATGGTGTTCGATCACGGATAGCGGATCTTGGTCACATTGCCACAAGGAATTGAATGGAACATGTTGACTATTCCGCCCCTAAGAAATAACACCTCGCTCATCGTACATCATTATCATAATACATATAAGAAACGCCCAAGGCCCTTGGAAGCAATAAAATAGTAACGCTACGACAAGTCTACAACATCTCGGTGCGACTAGAAACTATGTTCATGTCCTACAATGCTTTAGCTGTGATACCTAGGAACAGACAAGATCAGTGCAACTTACGGCCAAGCTGCTTTCCTCGCTTGCCCATAGCCTTAGCCTGGGTCTGTTTGATCTTTGCCAGTCGAGCCCTGTAAAACAATAATGTTAACACATGTACATACACATGTACTTCTGATCCACGGCAGACACTTACTCCTCAGCAGCTTCACGCTCGATTCTCTTGACCTGGTCCCTGGCAGCTCGGACCGCAGACCTGGCAGCGAGCAATGCTCGATCAGCCTCGCGCTCTGCGTTCTCCGCCTGCATCAGGCTCTGTTTCGCACTGATGATGCTTGCATCCTCGTGGCCGCGATGGAGCACGGAATGCCTCTTCGGGCTCGTGGTGGTGTGGTGAGTTGAATGCCTTGAATCAAGGGATGGAGATGATGATCGGCGGCGGTTGAAGATAGAACGACTACGAGCCGGTGGTGAGGTCGAAGTCGGGGGAGGAGCAGTGGTGGTGTCCTTGTGGCCGAAGAGAGGCATGATGATTGTAGGTTAAGGTAGGAGGATTTGGGAAAATGCTGAGATGTTTTGTAAGACAGAAATACTGTTACTAACAAAGTTGAGAGCTTTGGAGAAAGGAGTGGGAGAGGTGTTGTACGTTTATATGCAGTGGTGCGTTTATATGATGCAGCGCTGAGGATCAAGGCATAAAACGCCGCATGATGTCAGGATCGACATTTGACACCGCGAAAGTGAGGTCATCTCTTCAGCCATAAACACTGTGCTGGGCGAACAACAACGACGTCAAAATTATCATGTTGCACATTGATTTCGTAGAACTTAGAGTTGATGTGATGCGATGAGGCTCTCTGGAAATACTCAGTGGATCTTATGGATGTTTTGGGACCCTAAGTGATCACTAGCGGAGCTTGTTCCAACGTCCTGGTCGAAGCAGCCGTCTTATCCGCGCCCAGATTCCTCAAAGTCACACCCCAAAGAGGGAAACCTGGCCATGCTGCCACGATTTCGATGGATGATACTGCGGACTAGTCTTGCTAAAGGTAAACATATATTACAGATGTCTAGGTAGATAGATATGCATTGCGCTTTGCAGCGCGGTCGTCAATGTATTCAACGCCAAATCGTTCCCAATGCTAAAGCGCTGAACGAGCGCACCTAATGCCAAAACAACAGCGCCGAGCTATGCATGTACTGTACAACCTCATTCACATTTTCCCTGGTCTTCTGGGTCCTGGCTCGTCATCTTGCCCATCGTTTTGACGAGCGATATCGCCATGACTGCGCAGCCAAAGGCAACAACTGCCATGGCAAGGTAGGTCTTCGAGCTCCGCTTTGCAAGCTTAATGTAGCAGAGCGGAGGTAAAATGTAGGCCAATGCACAAGCAGATGTAGCACCAAACAATTCAAACACAACGCCAAGATCGCACGTCATAAGGGAAAGAGTCATGGCAGAAACGACAAGAGAGGTCGTAAAGATGATATGCCGGTTCGGATGATACGGTTCATCGGGGAACCAGTAGTTGTTCATAACTTCTCGGCAGACGAAGGCCTCAAGTGGCAGGGTGGTCAACATATTGAGACCAAAGAAGAGTCGTGCAATGTTGACCATGATGTTGTCGCGTGGGAAGTTGTTCAGCACGTTGCCGGCTGTTTTTGAGCCGAAAGTGAGATAACCAGAAAAGGCCATGACAAGGCAGGCAATCAAAGATATGCCGGTAGAATAATGTGTGACACGAGCGAAGCGATCGATGGTGGGCTTTCGCAAGGACCCATATATGAGAAGTGAGTTGTGATGGCACACAAAGGCAAAAGAGATCACGCCAATTGCTTCAAAGATGCCCGAATGGATCAGGATGCCACCGCGCAATTCGCCTCGCGATTCTGCAGGCACACGGAACCCTTGCGTAACAACAGTCACAATGATGATTGCCATGCTCACAAGAGCAAGGCCACTGGCTTTCGCAAGCTTCGAGATGTCTCGATACAACGATAGCGGGTATGAAACACCAAGAACAAATAGTATGATCATGGCTCGACGATTCGTGAAGAGCCATAGGAACGACGTATCGGAGAGCGAGGGGAATAGAGCATCGAGGACCCGCGGAATGGTATCGCCGACGATGACGCAAAAGGCCACCATGCCGCCGAAAGCACTAAAAGATGTCAGTCTTCAACGGATCAGGCACTCTAAAGCGAATTCCATACAATAGCCATTGCGCCAGAGAGATAGCGACTAGCCCGGATTTTCCGAAGCAGTGCTCAACAGTGGACTGGAAAGAGTCGGTGCCGCTCAATTTGGAGTTGATGACAATCAATCGAATTGTCCAATCCACCGTAATCGTGAGCCCAACTAACAGCAGTGTGCCAGTTACAAGTCCGGCATTTCTGAAAGCGTACGGTTGTCCGATGATGCCAGCGCCCACTATACTGTTTGCCATATTCATGAACGAGCTCCGCATGCCGCTTCTTGGTCTTGCGCTTTCCAGATGATCCGCGGGGTCGAACTCTTCCGTAGCGACTGTGACGCTAGGCGCTTCTATGCCTGTTAGAAGAGGAAGCCTTTGGGTTCTCTCTCTTCCTTCTTCCACTCCGTTCGCGGAAAGATAATCATCGGTTTCGAGCTCGCTCCAATCTCCGTCGTGGGCGTCTCCGTTCATACTTGTCCGCGCAGGTTGTTCCTGGAATCGCACTCGATTCGGAGTGCGAGGAGCGCCGTCTGCGCGCGGTTGCGCGAAGCTCGACTGTCGTTTTGGCCCGCCATTCGGTCTGCCTGTGCCAGGTACGGGGGATGTGGAAGATGGTCGGGACGAGGATCGTGAAGAATAGCCAGGGGAAAGTTGTCGCGATCGGTCGATTTCAGGCTCAAGGTCAGAATCCGAATCCGCGTGCTCTTGAAGAAGGTTCTGGGACTCGCTCATACTGTCATTGTCGGGATCACAACGGCGTAACGATCAAGGAGTGATACTGTGTAGATGTGTTCGGATTAAACGTAAGACTGAATCGTGGTTCAAGAAAGCTCCCCAACGGGTGATCCTTGTAGTATCGCTAGACTATATCGGATTAGCTCACGCCACCCCTGGTCGGCAACATCAAAGACTTGTAAAAGCTATTAGACTACATACGGTGTTCAATAGGTCTTCATGTATTGATCTCACGAAATATGTGAAAATGTAAAGATTGCTTAAGATTTATTACTTGGGTATCCGGCCTTTCTTCCGAGAGGCCTCGCGCCATTTGCGGTCAAAATACATTGATTACTAGGTACTTGAAAGGTCCTGATGTACAAAGTAGACCACTCGACAAAAGTGACAAGGAGACACTCAATGTCATCCATTATTAAGGTATGCCAAAACCCTTCCATAAACTGAGTTGTCATCGTCCTACTTCGATTGTATGAGTAACAATCTACTTTATAAAATTAGATATCTTGTCTATCCTGCCGGGTTTCCTTTCCATCCGAAGGCGTGAAATAAGCGGAACAGAAATTGGCCTTCTTGCCAAACACAAATCTTTCATTAGTGCACGCTTTTATACACCTCGAATGGTGTGAAATTCAAAGTTTGACAAATCACTACTTCTCTCATGGAAACTAGAAAGGCACTTCTGTCCAACACCACTAAACTGATCTGCAAATCCCTCCAACGGTAGTCGTGAAGGAAGTATTGCCGTAATTGCGTGACATGGAAGACCCTCTATGCAAGTGATCCTAGCACCTTCCACTGTTGGATATGTACACAGTCTAAATCGGAAAGGTTAATATACGCCTCGTGAGAAGATCAGATTTTGACTCGAGAGCAATAACGGTCGTAACCAAATGAGCAGATTTGCACACGCGGCGAAGGACGCAATGCTACAACCCCAGAAACAGATTACAGTATTGACTGGACTAGCGAAGCAAATCGTGAGGTCCAGAATATTACCCCAAATTTCCCCAAATGATGGTAGCCTGGTCTAGATTGATATATATCCTCGTTCGTTACACGAGGATGCGGGGATTCGATTATAGCCGTACTGTCAATGCAACGATGTTCGGCATTAATCCTTGCAAATATCGACAAAACGGCAATCTCATTTCCAGGACTAGAGTCTCGATCTATCTCCAAAGAAAATTCTGTCCATGGAGACGGAAACTGGTTGCTTCTGCTGCTCTTCTCGGTGCTAGGAAAAAGAGCTATAAATGCACAGGAGCCCGCGGAACCTCTAGCCAGGCTCTCAGTGATCCAAAATCCACTTGCATTATCAAATACTCTAATTGATACAATCAAATCCCGTCTCTTACGATGATCGCCACCGGCGGGTTAATCCTTCTCGGAGCGCTTCTCCCAGCACTGTCGTCTGCATCTCCAATTGTCGCTGCGGGCTCCAAGCACAACGTCTATCTCGTCAAATGCCAATGGAGCGACTGCGACATCTTCTGCGATCCCGATGATGTTGCCTTGACTGCAGCTGCGTACTTCAGCGGCGGACCTGTTCCCGAAGGAACCACTCGAGCTGTAACGCCAACAAGACTAGGTCGGGTCAGTGGTCAATGGGAGGGAACCACCAAGAGCGTTCGACTTGGAACCGATGGAACATTCAAAGCGACAATCCCGACGAGTGCTCGAACGGCGAAGAAGGGTGAAATCGTAGGAGACGCAACACTAGGAGATGAGCCTTTTGTGTGCTTCAAGGATGGATCATCTCAAATCCCCCTTCGATACGACGGCGAAACCTATACCTGCACGACAGACTATTGGTGTCCAAGCATCAGCGTTGGCGAGACAGCTTGATACGAGAAGGCCTAGGAGATGAATGGAATTTCCTCGGAAGAAGAGCATTGTGAATAAAAGATTGTACATGATGTATTCATTAGCTTGTGCTTGGTGTTGTATCAAAAAAAGAGAAATTAAAGTGCTGTTACGGCCTTTCCTGTTCATCATGGTGACCTCGTAGGTATACATGTACCGATGTGATAAGACGATATTTGAAGAACACATATCTCTTACGGCTGTAACATAAATTCCACCGTAGGTTCCGACAAACTGCTAGCTATGACAACAGGCCAGAATGTCTATATGAAGAGCTCAGTTGCCATATTAATTATCGATCAGATAAAAATAGCGCATAGGCTAGATCAGCGACCATATATTGCAGTATGAAGAAAAGTAGCCGTAGTTGTAGGTTAGATATACTCTATGCGTGAAGAGATGTGCGAGATCAATTCAGGTGTAATCGGTTGGTCTGAGGCAGCCAATGAAGAGCCGTGCGGAATCGCTTAGTCAATCTTGGGCTAATGTGGCTTGGCGATCTGTCGAGCTTCGCGACAACCTCATCCAGCTTTCAAGGACCGAAGTAGGACATTGTAACAGCGCAGCAGCCTGCCATTGGCCCATCTCCACTCCCTTTCGTGATTCTATACACTGGTTGCTCATCATGGCATCCAAAAAGGTCTCCACGAACTTCGCCGTACGTCGATAAAGCCTGCACCAGATCTATTCCCCGTCATCCGTCGCTATACAAGTACCTTTCATAAATGGCTTCTGACTATTGTATGCAGAAATACACGGTTCAGCCCACTGGAATCTATGGCTTAATCAATCGTATCTTTGCGCTCGACTCAAAGCGTTCCAGCGGTGTTCCCTTAAATCCCCAATTCCGCAACCCACCCCCCGGTGCTCTCGATCCCGCAACCTACGACGACCCAGTTACGCTACCTGCCGCCGACATTGCTGAAAACCCCTACTGGAAGCGCGATGTTCGACGCCGTTACCCACAATTGTCGACTGTGACCCAGGCCGACGCCGTGGCGCTTTTGGAGGTCGGAAGTGAGGCTCAGCCAAAACAGGAATTGATTGGAGAAGCAGGCAGCAAGCAACTGGTCGCAGCGCAAGAGGCTGGTGTCAAGGGCCTGGCCGTTGCATTTGAGAAGAATACTGGATTGGCAAAGGACGTGTTGGGCCCTGGTGGCCTGCCCCCACTCCCGAGTGGGCTGCACATCGAATCGGCCGCTGGAGTCAAGAGATATAATTTGGAGCCGGAGCAGAGCTACGAGAATGCGTATGTCCATGCTCAATTCTATCCTCAATGTGTGACTGACCTTTCATAGATACCCTTGCCGAACATTCTCATAGGAAATGGGGGAAAGTGTGTTTTGGGAGATTGAGGTGGTTTGGGTATAATTATACCACAAAGCCTGTAAATACAGTAAATCGAATGTTCATTTTTGGTCTCATCAGTGTGTCAAGTATGGATTGCGTTGTTGGTGGCTTTCTTTAAAGAATGCAGTGATGGTGTCTCACGGATCGCGAAGACAACGACGTTGGTATTTCTCTCACGCCTTAGTGGCCCGAGGAGACACTTTCACTTGGTCGCAATCATCGATTTCACTTCGGGTCTTCCCGTCATGTACGGCGCGCAGAGTGAAGGTCGGCAACAGCTCTTGGCACAAGCCCGTCGCGACTACCTATTTCATGGAACTTATCCCACCTTCACTCTTCGCTCGCGCCTCGCCCACCTTCGAACCCTCCTCTGCTTCTTACCAGTACGTATCATACAGCACCATGCAAGCTCTTGCCAAAGAGCAGTCAATTCCCAGCCCTGTTATTCCCCTAGATATCATTTTCTCTTGCCGAATCTGCAATAAGTCCTTCTCGGAGATCTACGAGGACCGCGACGAAACGGTTCTAGGTCTTTCCGATGGAATAAACTCGGACGACCGTCTTGTCACTCTGGTATACCTCACCAGTTGCTGCCATGTAATATGTAGCAGACATCTTGAAGGGGGTGGTAAGTTTGGCTACAAGATCGAACCTGGGAACTGTATGTACTCAATCACTACCGTAGCACCAAACTTCCATCCAGCAGGCACTCGACCAAGTGCGCCATGCCCTGTTTGCTCAACTGAGCATGATGACCACCGACCACGGGAACTCTTCTCGGTCCGGGGATTCCACCAAGGCGAGTATGATGATGCTATTCCTGATTGCTTCTTCACCGTTCCACCACTGGAACTGGACAAACCAGGACATGATATGGAGGCATTGAGGGTAGGTAAAAAAGCAACTCGGTGATTTCAATGCTTACGCTGGCAGTTTCACTACATATCACTCATTCAATTCACACAAGACACATTTGGCTCGCACCTCAAGCTTCGAAACCAACTTACAGAAGCTCGACTTGATCTCGACAAAGCGCAAACGATCGCGTCTGGGGAATGTGCCAAAGCTCTAAGGCTCGAGAAAGAAGTTGAGCGTTTGCATGGCGTTGAAGCCGATCTGGAAAAGTTCAAGTCACGTATGCCTGCGATTGAGCACTATTTGAAGTTGATCCCGAAGCTTGCAGAGTAAGTGATTGTTTGACATGGACTATAGTTTCGGAAGTAGACTCTGACATCTAAAAGCCAGAATGACCAAATGAAACAACGACTCGCTGCACTTGGTTTCCAAATGCCTCTTGAGCCGCTCACGTTCAATGGGCGTTTTCCCTTGGATGATAAGAGCCAATGTGTCGATCTCGTAGCGGACATGCCTGGTTCCTCGTTACAGCAGACCCCGAATTCACCACAACCACCACAGCCGAGAATGTCCAGTATCGAGCAAGAACAGGCCACCGTTAATTCCAGTACGAAAAGACCATTGAAGCGCCTGCGTATCGACTCACCATTACCAGACTGGAGCATGCCTACACCACTCTTTGACCGCCGGGGAGCACAGTCTAGAGAGATGATGCCACCACCGACTAAACCGGTTTCTAAGGTGCGATCATTGAAGAAGTTTTGGCCGCCATTCTTGCGAAGCAGCGGGCGTAACATCTCCTCACCGATCTTAACCCACACCACTTACAATCAATCTCTCGGAAACGCAGTTCCAGATGACAATTCTGTTACGACCAATGCACCAATCAATGGGAATCATGAAAACCTGCATCCTTGGGCATCGCCTCGTTTCAACAGTGATGATAATCACGGGGCGGCCGACCCAGAGTCCTTCCATCCTGTCAATGGTACTGAATCGTCTACCAAACATTCCTTATTGCCTACGGAGCCATCGTATTTACGTCTCATGGATGGCCTTTCCAGAGATAATGATCTTCATCTCCTACTGAAAGACCCCCGGCAGGACTGCGCTGCAGATGTTTCACCTCTTCAAGCAAAGCCAAATCATCAAAGAGCCAGTACAGCCACATTTGGTTCAGGAAATTTGCTCAGACGTGACTTCTCGAAGAGCCTTTCTCTTAAGATGCGTCAGCATCCAAATCCTCTTCGGTCCAACCCGGTCCGACAGGAACTACGTACCCAAAGCAGTACAGACCCATATCCAGTCACACCAATTCACAATCAAGCTGGGCCTTCCATACCATCAGAAAGTGTAGTAAGTCCATTCTTTAAGAGTCAGCACCAGGTTTCGAGGTTGCACACAAAGCGGGCGGCAATCGCTGAGCAACAACGTAGTTCACATCATTTCGACGCCTATCCATCTCCAAGGACGCAAACAACGCCAATGCAACCTAATTGGCGTGGAGTTGGGGGTTTGAATGGACTGTCCTTCTTCGACTCTCCGGTCAATAACAGGAACGAGCGTATATTGTACAGCAAAAGCTTATGGCCACCTCGCCCTGAACAACCCACAACCCTTCTCACCCCGCGCAGAACCGGCCATGACGCTTTGGACCGCAGGGTTCCAACAGATACAACAGTTGATCGCTCTACCGCTGCTCGCAATAGATACTCCCATGCCCATGGATCTGAAATCTTGAGCCGGCCATTGTATAATCAAGTCGGCGGTTTTCCGCGGACCACATTGCAAAGCACCCCAGCTTTCAAACGTCTTCCTTCAGCTCTTCCCACTTTTGTTAAAGCCCCATCATCGCGTTCAAATCTCAATCGTCTTGTACAAACTGGAGTTCGGGGTAGTCAGACATCACGAATGCCCTCGTCACAAAGTCTGTCCAGCTCGCCACGGTTAACGCTATTTCCCGACTTTCGACGTCGAAGCATCAAACGATGATTTCCCTCAGAACAAGAAGCAAAGGTTGAGCACCTTGCGAACTGCAAATCTGGAAATTATGGACAATGGTGAATTCCCCTTATAATGAATCTGTACTCCCCGATGTATTTACGTTTTCACCCTTCACAGAGATCATGTAAATAAGATGCTTAAGGTCCCAGTTTTCACTATCCTATGTCCACAGTTCAACGTGAGAAGGGAAGATGAGCGTCTCTTGGTTTGATTCCACAAGTGAATGTGGAAAGGACTGATGGCCTTGGGTTGCTGAGTGCTTGAGCTAGACGAGATGAGAATAAACAATAACCAGGCTTTCCGACTCTTACACTCGAAAAATCGACGTTTATGACTGAGTAGTAACTGACATCATGTAATCCGAATATCTGATGAGCATATTAGTCACCACGCATCACTTCCAAATTTAACACGGAGGCTGTATACCTTTTGAAATAACGAGTTTACACTACATCCTGGATAAACGCGTCTCCATATGAGCCGCTTGCCCTTTACAGTAAACGGAATCAATTCATCGCAATGTGCAATATGCAATAGAAGGTATGGAAGCCTTCTAGCGTGTCATGATCCCTTTTCTCATATATTCCATTATTGTCATTGGTCCACCAAGTTGATTGTTACCACCCGGCCGGCGGAATCGGAACAACTTCAGGTTCTCCTGTTTGTCGTCACAGGGAGCCACTATGTTTCGAACGCCATCGCACAAATGAAGACCCCTGTCGCAACCCCGCTTACTCGCCCCATACTGCTCCGATCGTCGCATTTGGGTGTAGATTTGGCGTCCACTTAATCTAATCAAGCAATTTATTCTCCGGCGCGGCTCCACGAACGCAGCATAGTCGCCCTGGCGGTGGACACGATGTTTAATGAATCCAGGTAACGATTCGCTGCCTTACTCTTTCTGACTCGGAGACGGCTGTTCCGCGATGCTAGGGTCCAAATCAGTGTAGAATTTCTGCGGAACATAGAACAGTGAAGCATATAAAATGAAGAATGTTGCCCGTGGACAGACGAGTTGGAGCAGGCCGAAGCTTGATAGATCGATTAATCCTCACTGCTAAGCACACGATCAAAAGATGCTTTTCCAAAACCTCCTTGCTGCTCTAGCTGTCGCTGGTGCTGTCACTGCGGCGCCGTCTGCCAAAAGACAGGAGCGAAAGCTGAAGTGGTTCGGTATCAATGAGTCTGGCGCCGAATTTGGAGAGAAGAACTTCACTGGAGTATACGGGAAGGAGTTCATCTGGTATGATTTGAACACGATTGATGTAAGTTCCCCTGCCCAGTAATGAAACCATTCCGCAATGGTCTAACGACTGTGAAAGCAATTCATCGGCCAGGGCATGAACATGTTCCGCCTCAACTTCCTCATGGAGCGCTTGACTCCCAACAAGCTCGACGCGCCTCTCGACCCGCTCTATCTCGGCAACCTCACCCAGCAGATCAAGCACATCACCGACAAAGGCGCCTACGCCATGGTGCAGCCGCACAACTACGGCCGCTTCCACGGCGAGATCATCACCGACACTGCGGGCTTCAAGACGTGGTGGAAGAACGTGGCGGCGCAATACAAGGACAACGAGCTCGTGGTTTTCGACACGAACAACGAGTATCACGACATGGACCAAAAGCTCGTCTTCGACCTGAACCAGGCCGCCATCGACGGTGTCCGCGAAGCCGGCGCAAAGAAGCAATACATCACGCCCGAAGGAAACTCCTGGTCCGGTGCTTGGACGTGGGTGTCGTCCGGCAACGGCGCCTCCCTCGTCAACCTCAAGGACCCGGAGAACAAGCTCATCTACCAAATGCACCAGTACCTCGACACCGACGGCTCCGGCACGCATGCAGAGTGTGTCTCCGCGACAATATTTTCTGAGAGGCTGCAGGCTGCCACCAAGTGGCTCAAGGACAACAAGAAGCAGGGCGTCATTGGCGAATTTGCAGGTGGGAACAATGCACAGTGCATCTCTGCTCTCAAGGACGGCTTGAAGCATCTGGGAGACAACACGGACGTTTGGTGGGGTGCCATCTGGTGGGCTGCTGGACCTTGGTGGGGTGACTACATGTACTCAATGGAACCGACGTCCGGCGTCGCCTGGACATCTATCCTCCCGCAGATCAAGAGCTATTTCGTCTAGAGGGAAAGCTTCCTAGAGCTGTCACTCAATTCAAAGTTTGTGGTTCTTGGCCCGAGTGGCATGCTGAGGAGACTAACTCACAAAACAAAATCATTTTCGTTTCTCTTGTAGATATATTTTATGTTTATCCAGATGCTGTCTCTTGGTTTCAATCTCCATATTGATATGTGTGATATATGGCTCAATACAATGTTTCCAGACTGGCCGTCTTTCTCATTACGGCTTCCCCTCCCAAGCCTCTTTAAGATAGTCCTTCAGATTCGTAAACTTATAATCCGGATACCTCTGGTTGAACTCATCCGACACGTCCCACGAGCCCGCCAAAATCGCACTCAAGAAGTTGTTCAGGAAGACCTTCGAGTACGATTCACGGACCTCAAGCGGGAGAGACGGATGCGTCATCTGGGGGCACCACTTCGTTTGCAACGTCTTGTTCTCGACGTCCTCGTCGCTAACGTTCTCGATCGTCCACTCCCCGCCCCTGATCTCCTTGGAGAGAGCGAACAATTCGCGAATGGTCGTCCTGCAGCCGCGGATCCCGCCGATGACGGGCCAGGGGTTAGGGTCTTCGATGGCGCGCAGGAGGATCTCAGAGTCGTCTGAAATGCGGGTCAAGACGAGCGGATCGTCTTGGGATTCTGGGAGGATGGCGTGGCGGGACGATGGGTCGATGAAGAATGACCAGGTGTGGAGGTTTGGTGAAAGAGGGTTCGGGTGCGCGAAGTAGTCCATGAAGATGGATGGTTGGAAGAGTGTGTACTCCAGCACCTGTATTGTACATTGTCAATGACAAAGATTTGGAGCGAATTTGAGAACAAAGACATGTTACCTTTTTGTCTTTATTGATTTCTTTCAGATATTCAACCGTTTCGTCTTTGGGCTTGTAATCTGGGACAGGGCTCCCGTTCTTGCTAGTCGAAAGTCAATCAACCGAACGCTTGGGTTCATTGGAAAGACGACTTGAAATTTCACTCACATGCCCCACTCTGAAGGTGCGAATCTCTTCACCCCAGCCTCGATGCAAGCATCAATGAGTTTGATCTGGGCAGTATATCCTTCGCCTATGATGATCATAAAACACAAACAGATATCAAACCCCCGAAGTGCATCTACAAGAGCAGCGTGATCGGAATAATCTACGGCTTTGTATGTCACGTTTGGTTGCGACGATTCCGCGGTTTTGCTGCCCCGTGTAAAGATGGTGATGTTATGTCTCCCGGATGCAATTGTCGCTCGGAGTATCTCGGTCGCGACGTCTGTGGTTGGTGTGAGCTTCTTTCATGGTGAGTCGAGGGACATCGTGACGGAGAGCATACTTCCAGTACCGCCGGCGACAGCGATGTTCACCATACTGACTTAGTGATGGTTTGGCAAAATGGGGGAGATCACTAGGTTTGATTGATGTCCGATGCTGCTGAGAAAACAACAACACAACGGGGCGTAACTTTGTCAAGTAGTGCCCGCAGCCGACTACATTTGAGCAGTCCAGTTCTTACCCTGTCCTTTGCGGGGCAGCGCAGGTTAGGCTTCATTGTCGTTCGGATGTAGTTAGTCAGGTTGCGTCATGTAGCCGGAGCGCATGACTCGAGCCAAGGAGCACTTGAAGCAGGATAGGTATAGTCAAATGAGCTTTATCCACAGTTGAACAAGAAGACGACGACCTGTTTGGTACAAAAGTAGCATGGACACGGAATGCTTCATTGGAGAAGAGAGATATCCAAGGTCTATGTACGGAAAAACCAATCGAGCCGCATAGCTCTACTATTTCTAGTGTTCATGAATGGTCAATAAGTGGTACTGCTGGCAGTGGTTTCTCAGGTAAAGGTTTGCTCGGCAGCGGCTTGTTGACCTGGACCTCGTCTGTATATCGAGGCGGATCGTCAGGATCATCCTGATATGCATCTTCGAGCAGTCCGTCTTCCTCATTACCCACGTCGCGCATGCGCTGCCAAACTTCGTCCATGCCTCCCCACTGCGCTAGTCTTCGCTGCTCTATGGCAACCAAGACGAGCCGGTAGGCACCATACAACACGAGTAACGACGCGATGATACAACCAATGACCAGAAGTACAGTTGCCCATGGCCAATCGTAGATAAAAACACCGAACGCATTCTTCAGGGTGTTCTTTTTGCCATAATCGGCCCATTCGTCTCTGAGATATACAATGTGGCCCTTGGGAGGCGCAGGGTCGAAGCCAAAAAAGTGTCGTATCTTTGTCCAAAGAGTCGATGGAGGGGGAGGAAGGAATTTGTACTGCCGGGGCACAAGATCCACCTTCTCAACTTTCAGTTTGTACTTGACATCTTTCTTCTGGCCAGCTTGGCCGAACAGTGTGGATCCGGCCTGTACATCCGAGTTCGATATCTCGCGCTCGATCTCGATGCCTGACAGAATAACTTCAACCATCTTTTGGTCTGTGTGATTGAATGTCCAGTAACCAGGACCATCCGGCACCTTCCTCCCAATATTGTCGAACCCAATTTTCCATTTCAGTCTTCCATTGTCCCCAGGTAACTCGAATGCGCTGTAGTCATAGTCGACTTGCAGGATGCTGAATTTGGGATGTTGACACATCGAGTGCAGATGTGCTGGGCTAGACGAATCTAAGAGCGCTTCGTCTGTGCATGCAATCGCCTTGTCCAGATCCTCCCTTGCATATCCCGGGGATATTTGGCTCACGAATACAGGGGGTAGCCTTAGATATTTCGATGGAGAGGCAAGGGCGGGAAATACGGGCACGTCATTTAGAAGTAGTTGGGATCGGTCGTTCGACAAGGAGATATTGTACAACTATTGCTATAGTCAGAAACTATTGGAGAAGTATTCGTAATATTCTGCATTACCCACCAGCGAGTTCCTTGTGACAGATTCATATGTCTCCCCTTTGGGTCCTGTCAGAACGACGGGACAGTCCAGGCATGGTATATTTGCGAAGTACAGATCAGGAGTGATGGTGGTTACGGGGTCCAGTGGTGGTAGACACGAGAGGTTCTCGTCGATCGATCTGTTCAGGTAGTAGTGAGGTGATTGTTTGCTGGAGGTGAAAGCATCGGATGCGCAACTTGTGCGGACTTCCTCAGCATTGCAGAGCCACTGGAAGGCCAGGCTCAGTGCTGCTACACGAGGCGAAGGGGGACCCAAGAAGCGCATGTTTGCGACGGGCTAGTAAGGCTACGATACTGGTCTCCGGACAACACAGAAGGTTTAGTTGATAGTCTAGTAGTTGCGAAGTCAGGGCGCCATCATATCGTCGTTAGATCCTCCCAGTGAACAATCTCGGAGGACGAGTAGGAGTATTGTAGGAGTATCTATCGTACGGCGCAGACGGAGGAGGGGATAAGCCCAGATCACGGAGTACGGGATAATAGATACAATACGGTAATGCGAGACTCGTATCAGGGACAGTGTTATACCGCATTGGGAAAGAAGTGGGACTGCATGGTATTGACAGCCACACATATCTTGGCAACGTTTTTCACTAGCCACAATCAGCCACAGGCATGTTTTACTCGTAGTATCAATCCTTTGAGTGCTGTGTGGGCTGTCGCGAATTAGTCGTATTGTTCCATTCATTTTGTATATCAGCGAATGGAGAGATTCCAGTTAGTTACCGTTGTGAATAGGTACGAGTAGCACAAGAGCGTGTTGGCGGGCTCGTGACAGTAGGACCGATGATGTCATTCGTCATTGTTCCATCATCCCCAAATGTTCCCCATCACTGTGCCCTCAACCTTAACCTTCAAATCACAAAAATAACCCTATCCTCTACCTTACCAATCAATAAAGATCGATTACCTAAACCGCAATAATGTCATCGAATCAGTCGTCTACCTTCAAGTCCTTCTCGACTTCCTTCAGCTCCTCAACCATCAACGGTCAAACAACCTCACGCTCCGAACAGACCTACACAGATCCCTCGGGTACTCATGTACGTCGGACCTCTCAACAGCCCGGTCAAGCTCCTGTCGAGGAACGCATCGATTATGACAACGCTGGTCGGCGCATCGAAAACACGGACGGCGGCTCAAAGGGCCGAATCGAGGATGTGACAGACACGGACGCAGACAAGAAGTACGAGGAGAATATCGAAGACGAATATGCCAAACGAGAAGGCGGCGCATAATGGAGCTGGAAGGCAAATAATGCACATGACGGATATGTTATAGGCAAGACTTTGCTGTCTTGCCTTTGGTGGTTCTGAAGTTGGAGCTGGACTCTTCCTTGATGGATTGGGAATCGACTTTTGGTTATGGTACCACTGATTGGTAGTTATACCATGTCGGTGTCAAGGCAATATAACATCATGCACAACTTGAACACATTAGCAGGACTTTTGAATGTCCTATGTAATGTAGTCTAGTAATAACATCAAATCTGACTGTTCATTGACGTCAACAGTAGGGTCACATATTGTTCTCTGCCGTGAAGTAACGGAGAGGGTAGTCCTACAACATGACGGTAGAATCGACGGTGCTAGTGATTGGTTGCAAGGCACGGCTAATGACGGTGAACATGCCCCGTTTCAAAGCTCCTACACCCAAGAGAACACTCTAGCTCAATCGTCACCTTGGAGGCATTGGCAAAGATCTGCAGATATTGTGCCCGGCCACTTCAGTTGTGAATGCGAGCAGGATGGAAGCGATTAAATCATCATATCAGAACAGAGGCAGTGGAAATTAAGTCAATGTAGACGTAAAAGGATTCAGACCACCAAAGGTAACGTAGATGTTGCGCGTTATTATGCCCTAAAGCCCGTCCGCTTCCGCTAACTACATCTGCGCCAAAGGCTGTATCTTGGAAAGGCGCGCCCAGTGTTCACTGTCGAACAGTGGTGGGGTAAGCCAAAATCACAGAGTTTGAAGCCAACCAGTTTTCTTTCAACCAGAACAGACATCCAAGCCCAAGTTGCTAAATTGGTGAACGGAGGTCATCCGACCGTCTCTAGCTTAACTCCATCCCTAATGTAGTCGCACCGTTTGTTCTTTTGACAACAGAAAAAGATAATCAAACATCTCTCACAGTATGAGTTTCTTAGAAGTACACAAAAGCCTTGAAGATAGCAAAAGCATTCTCAGTATTATAAATAGTTGGAAATGGTTTAAGTGGTGCGATGTCTGATCTTATTGGTGTTTTCAAATACCCAGTGATGGTATTGAGAGCTGTAATTAACAAGAAATATTATTAAATAATCTTTGACCCGTTGCATGCAGGTAGGCTTATGGTAGGCGTAAGAAGACTTAAAGGCAGACAGTAGGGTGACATGCATCTGAAAATAAATACGCAGAGAAGATCGTCAGAACATGACAAGCATCCAAAACGTGCATTCGGTCTCGGAATACAATCCCTGGGCACTACAGGGTGGTGTAGGGCAACTTTACTGTGAAGAATCTATCCATAGTTCACGGCTTGAAGCACCATGGCTGGCGAACTTAACTCTCATCTCAGTGGCAATACTTCTACGTACTTAATGCTCCATATTGTCTCCCTCAATCCCATATTGCTGCCCACTGCAATTGTCTCTAGAATTCTATAATCGGCCGCTACTCCTACTACTCCTACACCCGTCATTAGCACCTCTACATCACGGTAAGATCAATGCAACATGAAAAGGTACTCGGACAGCGGAGAGGGCCCGCTAGACGCTCGCTTCAAGAGCAGGAGAGACGAATCACCTGGTACACGACATATTACCGACCTACTTCGAGGCACTCCATCCAAGGCTGAACGAAGTACCATGAGTGCGACAGAGGAAATTTTCAAATCGGAACTTGACAACAAGGGAATTTGGTACCGGAATGGTTGGCCGCGCCTTCCACCTCCTGATATCACGGGCATAAGGCGTGGCATCGACGATGAGATTGGCCCGCGGAGACGTGACAGGTATATAGAGTGGATTGGGAGAATCCTAAAGGACGATCTGCATGTGGAAGGGGCGACTTTGCGCTTCGAGTTCCGTCCCTCCCGTCAACTTCTTCGAAAGTTCGGTACTCTATCGAGAGAGGAGAAAAGTGAGTTTTTCTCACTTGTCATCGAATTAGATATGCACAAGGTCTATTGCTATATCAACCGGATTCTCTGGACGGTACGGCAAAAGCTAATGCGAACGGATGATACACGCACATTGTTAATCGAGGTTCTGGATCGGCAAATGGAACGTGATCATTGGGATATGTATAAAACTAGCTCCGATGCCGAACGAGATGCGGCCTGGAGTAAGGCCTGGCGCTCATTCTATAGAAGGTGGCATTGCACGTACCGGCACCAACTCATTGAGGACTGCTTGAAGTGGACGGATATCGAATTTATACAGCTATGCCGCAAGGGCTATTGTTGGCAAATGTCTAGACCGACAGTTGTCCTTTGCTCGCTCACGGCATACAAAGATCGCTGGTGGATCGAAACTCTGCCCAAGGTTCGGGCGTGGCTTGCCGAAAACGACCTTTTCATGGATGTAGAACTAGAGCAAGCTGATGGTACGGAGTCGGCAGCATGGTAGCTATCCCTTTGGAACCACATACCTAGCAAATAGGCTCCAGCAATTTCGCATCTCTGCACTGCTCTTCGTTAAGGCTATTTACGGAAGGTGAAGTGATATGTATAAATACCTCACATGAAGATTTAATTTCATCAAGCAAAATTGTCCAACGACCTGGTGGGAAAAGATTGAAACTCTTGCGAATTACATGCACGGAAGGCTCATCAACTCTACAGTACTCTTTGATCATTTATGGAAGATGAACAGATATAGATGTACGACATGCCCGATGATTTCACGGGAAACTCTGTCCCTCATCATACATTGGCAACAAAGACATGATCCCCAGCTCCTCCTCCATCTGCAAATACAGCCATTGAATATCTCTTCTGACTTCATCCAAAATTCACACCATTGGACCGTCAAAAGATAGCATCTCCGTTCGACGAACACTCCAGCTGCACTTCACGTCGACCGCCACTCCAGTCTATCTCCTCGCACGCAGGACTAACAACCACATATCCCGTCTTCAGCTGGATATCTTCAATAGTCAAATGAATAGGCGTTACCAGTCCCATCTGGGCTCTGTTAAAGTTGCCATATACCAGTGCCACCCATATGCCCGTCTTTGCATCAAGTAGGATGCTTCCCGAATCTCCTTCCTCGATAGGTCCATCCGGGGAGTACACCGAGTAAGCGATACCGTAGTCCTCAGTTGTGTAACCGAAGCTCTTAGCCATTGTCTCGGCGACTTCGCTTTGAGGATTAATAGCGAAGTATTCGTCCCTCAATCTTCCCATCGTCCATCCCGTTCTAGCGCCCTTCTTTGCTACTGTCAACTCGTTCATTCCATGGAAGTCCAGGTGAGACCATTTGTCTACGCACTGCCCCTCCCTCAATCCGGTCCTGAAATCGTCCGGCAGGTCCTCGATCGTGTTGTTCAATTGAACATTCTCGCGTAACTTTATTAGAGCCCAGTCGAGAGGGTATTTGTAGAGCTTAGCGGTCCTCCCATGTGTCGGCGTCACGTTGTTCAGAGGGGCCATCATAGACCTCTTGCCTGATCCAACTAGAACATGTCCTATCTGCCGGTGTTCTGAGCTGCGCGGGTCTGTGTTGTGGTAATGTGCGGGTGAGACAATCTCAACTGGGTTGGGTGGGTCGACCCTAAAAGGTAGCATGCCCTCTGGGTGTTTCGCGCAATCTGTTGATCTTAGTGAATAGACGGTAAATAGCTCAAATACACACTTACCCTTCTTGGTCTCGTCGCATGCAATGACGTGATAATTAGTTAGTTAAACCACATTGTATCCGATGTTCTTCATTCTCGAGAGTGACTGCACCCCCCAGGGTTCCAAAGCCCTTATCACTTTCATCAAGAAATCCGATTGATGACCCCATTCCTATCTGACGACTGGCCTCACTAGCTGTCGGTATTGATGGAGACACTGGCCGTGGATCCGTGACGGACAGTTGCAGCGATTTCTGGAAATAAAGTCCGACTTCAAACTTTATAGGTTGCTTATCTAGCCATGTCCGCAGTCGTGGGATGGTATCAACCCACCAATGGTCCTCATATGCATCCAGGGTCGCGATCACGAGTGTAGGTCTCTGCATTCTGGGCGAATTCTTCGGGCCTCTAAGAACGAATCCAAATGTGAGCCATTGTCGCTCTCGCAGGAAATTGCTGAAGATTTCGGAAGCATAAGGCCTCCAGCGGTCGGTGGCATCTCCTTGTTGGCGGGGAATTGGCTGCATGTCATTCATAGATAGAGCATCAATCTCGATGATTTCGATCATGATACCTCTGGTGTCTTTTCTTTTCCTTAGCAATTGACGTAGGCGCCATATCAACTGCTTGATGGACATGTTCTTGACCGACAAAATTTTGTCCAAGTCGCTAATGTTCGTAGGTAAAATGACCAGCGCGAGGAAGTCACGGGGTATCGCCGCATCGTACTGAATGCCGCTGGGGACGCGGACGTCGAACCTCACTGGTATATCGTGGCCAATACCAACACTGCCGAGAAGGCGTCTGACCGATTCCAGGTGATTGCGGTAGTTGGGCAATACATCGCAAAGATTATGTTGCACCGAACAGACTGGCTCCGGGGGTAGTTTTGGCCAACCCCTTCGATACGGGTACTTTGTGTCAATCTCAAAGTCTTGTTCCGATGAATACATGGCTCGTCGTTTTGCTTCCGATCCAGTATGATGTTCGAAGAGAGCATTTAAGCTCATCGATGGAGACTGTGAACGGATTCAGGAGGTGTTCGTTAGAAAAGAGGGGGGATACTTACATTGTTTGGTGGCATCTTTGGGTCACAACCTGGGACACGTTGGGGATACTGGAATGGTTAGAAAACCTTCTGAGAGCAAGGCATAACATCGAAAGACTGTACCTGAGCCATTTCACGATGGGAATGGATGAGTCTGGGCAACAAAATATCTGCAACAGAGATCGGATGAGACAACAAGTACGGAGCCACAGACCAGGAGAATATGGAGGCACAGGGGCAGATTGAAGAGAGATAGAAGTGGATAAGGTAGGGAACTATTTGAAAGTATGATGATATCTATTTTGCAACCCAGTGAAGGACTATCATCTTGATATATGCCATCAGTGCATTAAGATTCACTACACTGGCGCTGTCGGCGCAAACACGCAGATACATAAACTTGCATTGTAAAGCAAAGCAACAAGAAGCAAATCTGCCTGCCAGCACCATTCCTTTCACTCCCACCGCAGTAGAATAAAGAAAGTTGTATAGAATTGATAATCTTAAGCAAACAATGAACAATGAACAGCCAGCCCGTGTCTCTAGCAATCGGACGTGCAGAAGCGCTCAATGTAAACACGGAATCGGCATGCATTTTTGCGAGGCTCGTCGAATTGTCACTGGTCATTGCCTCTGTGGAAGAATCAAGAACTTTCTTCATCCAAGGAGAAACAAAAGTCAAACCAGACATATTTTCGTTCTGTTGGTTTCTAGCTCAAGCTGAGCAGCAATTTATGACTCTTGTCCAAACAATTCACTATCACTGCTGCGACTTCGTGATCTGCTTTATTCCGAGCCCACTTCTTGATGCCTAGTATTTGTTTGCTACCTTGGTGGTGGTCTACTGCTAGTGCATGGGTATCGGGATTATGCATCCTTGTGCGCAAGATCAACAGAGATGCAGCTTATGCAACACGCAATTGAGTTCAAGGCGTCGTCGAAAATTGAAACAACACAACGTTTATTGACTCTGGGTCAAAAAGGGAAGAACCCAAAGAAAGAGAATTTGCTTGATGGAGATGCCCTGTGATCTATGGACATTTGCTGCTGGACAGTAAACGTCATTCTGATCATAAACAGTTTCATCATTCTGTGGCGCAATGGTATACACTAACTAACTATCGAATTACGAGTTTGTGATTAGGCCATAGGGAATTGACGGAATTGGTTGTTCGATAGATGTACCGTGTCGCTCGAGATGCGTACCCCACAAGTCAAGCAATGGACAACGTCGACCTGGTGAGGCTCATTTCTAGCATTTGTACCAAAGTCGCTTTGCAGGATTGTGCATCTATCGGAAATTGCGTTCAGTTAGATAGAGATATTCTCAGGATGAATAGTTCACATTATCTCAATGTTGCATTAGATTATAACGTCAACTCTACCGAACTGTTCGAGAATGCACTGGGGTGATGGTACAACAAACAAACCGGGGCCTTTCTCCTGTGTCAATTGCAGACCGTTAGATAAAGTGTGACACTCATCTTGAATAGTCTGAGATCATAGAGTGCTCATGTTTCATGCTTAATGTGAAGAATGAGTCTCGCATGAACAGCTAAACGCCTTAGCAACTCAGCGGTGGTCGTGAGAGTTGCGGTTGCGGGTAGATTATAGGCCGACGCCTTTGACAAGCGCAGTGCACAATGATGAGAAATATCATTGGTATCGCATGTGCCACGCAAATCCTGCCAATGAGTAAACATTTTCACCCTGTAATCTGTGTACCAAGCCATCTGAACTGGCCATGGTTAACGTGTGATAAAATACTATAGGAGCACGTGTTGTATAGCGACAAGGCGAACCATTCTGAAGGTACCTCATGTGTTCAAGTGCGGGGGCTGTTTTCTTGGTGAAAAGATGCTCAGTATTTTCAATTGGAATGCACATCTTGATTCAGTTTGGTCATTTGAGCGTATATTATTCTCGGTAGATTTATTGTTTCCAACATCTACGACACAATCCTACCGTAACGGGCGCCGTATCGGGGCGCCATGCAGAATTTGGCAGCTCAACGGTCGGTTGAACAAGCTTACTGTGCATGTACATATCTACACGCTCGTACATGCGGCAACGGTCCACTCGTGTATCTAAACCTCCGGAGGTCTGGGGAAATACCACGAGTATCCTCTAGTAGTCCCGCCTCCATCCTATCCGGAGAGCCCCGATCTTGATTAGTTTTTGTCCGACGACCTGAATATCCGCCGACGAACCGCTCACGTGCACAAACTTGGGAGCGAAGCAGGTGTATCCGCGTCTAACCGCCATCAGCCGTATCATATACCCAACATCCCCCGTGTAACACCGTCACGATCGAAATTTCACCGTCGAGCCTGCTGACCTATCCAGACGCGTAGCGGGGTACAACATGACAAAATCTTTTTCATCCTGTGGTAACTGTAGGGACTTGAGGAGCTGTCCGGATGGACGTGGGCGGAAGTGATCTTGACAATGACCGTTTCCCTCCCTATAAAAAGTCATGCTCCCCTTCATGAGGGTGTCTCGCTATCTGTACGATTCCCACGAAGGGTACATATCCTTTCAAAATGCATTTCGTGTGGACTATCTTGTTGTCTCCTTATCTGACGTTTGCTGCATTTTTCTGCATCGTCGGGCTCTATGTTGGTGCTACTCCCTACAACTCGATTCTTCCCTACTCATGACGATTTAGGTATTCTCCGTAGTCACCTACCGCCTCACCTTGCACCCACTGGCAAAGTACCCCGGCCCGCCTCTGGCACGTGTGACAGATATCTACCTAACATGGTACGCATATCGCGGTTCTCGACATCTATGCTACCAGCGCGCTCATGAGCGGTATGGACCCGTTGTCCGCATTGGCCCCAATCAGCTCTCCTTCAAGTCGACCACCGCGCTCAAGTCCATCTATGGATTCCGCAGCAATGTCAGGAAAGCGGACTTCTACACTGCCTTCCCGGCCAACAAGAAGACCGTGAACGTGCACAGCAGCATCGACAAGATGCAACATGCACGCAAGAGGCGAGTCATCAGCCACGCTTTCAGCGACGGAGCGATCAAGTCTCTCGAGAAGTACATCCTCGCCAACGTCAGAGCGGGATGCAGCATGCTCGCGGAAGGCGGCGGAGAGAAAGGCACAGGCAGCGACCCAGAGGGCTGGAGACCGATGTGGAACGCTGCCAATTGGTGCAACTGGCTTGTGTTTGATATCATGGGTGATCTGGTTTTCGGTAAAGCGTTCGGCATGTTGGAGAGTCCGACGAACCGTTTCGCGGTCGACCTGGTTGGCAATGCCGCCCATAGGCATCTCATCGTAAGTCTGATGCATACTCGCAAAGTGATGGCGGCACCAATTCTAACTCCATTCAGTGCGGTACCCATCTTACCATCCACAATTGGCATCTCGACAAGATCCTGTTCCGCAAGATCGCCGCACAGCGAGGCCAGTACATGCAATACAGCAAATCGCAAGCCATGGAGCGGACCAAAATGGGCCTCGACGTCGACCGCAAGGACTTCTTCTACTACCTCCTCAACGCCAAAGACCCCGAAACCGGCAAAGGCTTCAGCATGGACGAGCTCTGGGGCGAATCCAACCTCCTCATCATCGCCGGATCCGACACCACCTCCACAGCAATGGCCGGCACATTCTTCTACCTCGCGCAGAACCCTCCCGCCCTCCAGCGCCTCACCCACGAGATCCGCAGCACCTTCACCGACGTCGAACAGATCGCCACGGGGCCCACCCTCCACAAATGCACCTACCTCCGCGCCTGCATCGACGAAAGCATGCGCATGACGCCCCCCGTCGCGGGCGCCCTGCCCCGCCAGGTCCTCCCCGGCGGCATCGACATCGACGGCCACCACGTCCCCGCGGGCGTCGACGTCGGAGTCCCCCACTACGCGATCCACCACAACGCAGACTACTACCCGCGGCCCTTCGACTACGTCCCCGAGCGCTGGCTGCCGGACCCGGAGTCCAACCCCATGTACGCTCACCTCCAGGATGCACACGCTGCCTTCTGCCCCTTCAGCATCGGGCCCCGCGGCTGCATTGGGAAGGGGCTCGCGTACGTAGAGTTGACTGTCACGATTGCGAGGGTGCTGTTCCTGTACGATATGCGTCTTGCGCCGGGCACTACCCTCGGGGCTGGTGGAGCCGATCTTGAGAATGGGAGGTCGAGGCCGAGTGAGTACCAGATTGAGGATCGCTTTGCCAGCATGAAGGACGGTCCCATGCTGCAGTTCCGACCCCGGAAGGAGTCGTAGTGAGTTTGATTGAAGTGAGTGCTTGGAGAGGGGTTTAGCTGGGTGCGGGAGAACGAGAGAGATCCATACTAATGAATGTCATGACACTTTAAATCAAGAATGGAAAGGGAGGACGTCTTGTCTTTGATCTAGTCTCTGCGAAAAGTAAATCCAAGTAATGAACATGTACATACGTGCGTATAATCCTTAAAAGCGACTCCTCCCTCGCGTTCGTCATATGTGTGAACACTGATCATACATCCACCGGTATGTTGATTACAGAAGCAGTACACGGCTCAGTAGTAATGATCGGCCTGCAATACTAATCCATGCATCTTGACAGCCACACTTCTGAGATCAAGTCCGAGGGAGTCGGAAGGGATTGCCCTTTACGTGGACGGCCAAACCCCTTACTCTTTGAATCAAGAATGGCGCAACGCACAACTAACATTGGATGAACAGCATATACACACATATGGCTTGTACTAATTGACAAAACCATTAGGGCTCTGTCGTAGATATTGTGGGAGCGCGCGATGAGAGAGTGTAGACATGTGTAATGTACATTGGTATGTTGTATGGGACAAGTAAGAGAGGTGATGTGATAGATAGACAGGGGCGGAACTCGAATAGTGGATTGTCTTGGTTGGTAAACTATCCCATTCAGGAAGTCATCTCGGTCAGTGATATGTCATGGTAGGTGAGATGGAATGTTTTATTTTGTGCGTGTCAGTGTGGCTGTAGACCTACTCATCCGGCAGAAACAGTGTTGTGGCTGCAGTACAATCATCAAGATCAGAAGCACAATCACATTTGCCCCACTAAGCCAATAAAAAAATTGAAGACGTGCAAGGAGAAGAATGCATTTCTACTCTATCATCATGAGGAAAAACATCAAAAGTAAAAGTGGGTATATAAAACCAATTCAGAAACTCCAATTCCCATGCCACCTCCTTCATCATCCTTCGAATCGTGAATGCTTTTCAACCCAACCGGTCATCCCAAACACAGCTCACATCTCCCTTTTCGTCGCCCCTCCAGACACCGCCGACGTCGTTCCTCTGCGCAACAGCCCTCCTGATGTCCGTTCCCAGCATCGCAGGGCCAGACCCCACGACCGTCGTGCGTCCGCTCGCGACCGTCTCATCGAGGAAGGTGGAGAGGATGGTCGACATGTCTGGATGTGTGTGGTCGAGACAGGTGACTGTGAAGTTAGGGTGTGGTGTGAGGAGGGTCTGGACGAGGTTGGAGTGGGTGGGGGCGTGGTTGATGGCGGAGGAGTTGGTGGAGGAGGAGGACGAGGAGATTTCGAGATCCTTGGTTGGTGGGGCGGGGGCGTTGGGGTCGGATGAGGGGGCAACGGCTGGGTGGATGTGCGTGCGTGTCTCTGGGGAGCGGGTCACGAAGATGCGGATGCGGAAGCGCTTCGTGGAGTGTGCTGTGGTGGTGGGTTCTAGGATCGCTTTTTCGTCGGTGGATGCGGCAGAGGATGAGGGGATGGGTGAGGAGGTGGGGTGCGAGAGCTGTTCTTTGAGGGAGAGGAGTTCTGGGGCGAGCCAGGCGAGGTTCTCGATGTGGCGGATTACCCAGATCATTTCGATGTTTTGGGTGTGGTTGGTTGGGTCGGCGAGGGCGTTCATGACGACGGGGAGTGTGAAAGAAATACCTGTGCCTCCGGCGATGGCGAGAATGTTGGATGTTTCGTGGTCAAGGACGGAGCGTCCGTACGGTCCTAGAAGGACCACCGGAGTCTCTGTGATAGGGGTATCCTTTTCTTGTGAAGCGGACTCTGCAAGGGCGGCGAGTTTACCTGTCTCTCCATTACGAGCGCGGATGATGTATGTATGGGTTGGGGGCACAAGGGTCGTTGGGGGAACAGATGCAGGCGTAAATGGATGGGATTGCCAGATGCTCAATTCGGGGAACGTCAGGTAAAAGTGCTGGCCAATCTTCCATGGCTGATGGTTGTGTGTGAAAGACATGCGCACGATCGTTCCAGATGGATCCTTGAAAACCTCGACCTTCGAGGAGATGGGTCGGAAGCCAATACCCTGGTTGCCGTCCTTGTATCCAAGATGGATAGCGCAAACTCGCACGAAACGAAGCCCCAGGTCAATGCCGAGTATCCCGAGCGAGGCAATCATCCAGCATGCCAGCTGGTTCCAGTGTCCCCAGCAGGCACCGAGGTACAGTCCAGCTACAAGGTAGTGGGTCTTACGGAAGAACTCGTAGCCAGTCCAGCGGATGACGGGCCTGAGGCTGAAAACGAACAAGAAGGTGATGAAACCCTGAGCGACGATTCCCCAGATCATATACTTCTGCTTGATGAAGTTCGTGTAGACCTTGGGTTGAGGCTGGTACAGCTTGCCTTCAATAATGGTCCATCCGATGGTATGGATGAACGATTGCACGAGGATGATGCGGCCCGTCCATCGGTGCAGAAAGTTGAAATGCTGATACGGGATACCGGTCAAGAGACTGAGGATGGAATCCCGGGAGCACAGGGCGATTGTCAATGGCGTGAGGGCATATGCAAGAGCACCAAGGCGGTCACTGAAGCCACCCAGACCTGTCCGAGTATTAAATTTGTCGCTACCCTTAATTGGGGTGATCCAGGTCTTGTATACGATGCCAACAAATCTATGATTTGTCAATTGATATGTCTCACGAATTGATGGACTTTACTTACGAGAAAATAGTCAAATAGATGCAAATGATGGCGAGGATGAGAACCTGGAGTTTGGTGGTGTAAGGGAAGAATCGGCCAACGCCTTCAGAGCCCAAGTATTGTCGCGTTCCTGACGCCAATGCTCTTCTGGCCCGGTAATAGAAGCTTTGCTTGCTGCTGTACTCTCCTGCCACAAGTGCAGTTGGAGCTCGATGGGGTCGGAACAGCCTCCAGAAGATGAAGAAGAGGAGGATGCCACCAATGACTGCCCACAGGATGAAGGTGTACAGCATGGATACTGTGTGCATCCAATAAACTGCATCGAGATACTGGCAACTTCCGACATCATTTTTGCAAGGGATAACACGGCTGGCGTATCCCCAGTAATACTTGTAGGTGTTGTTGGCATTGTGGTCCTGGATGTGCTGTCGCGCCACCAGATGGTGGCTGTCACTGATCGCGGCGGCCATGTTTTTAGCGACGCAATGGGCTACCGCATTTGCAACTGAAAGGAAGCGACTTGCTGGATTGAAATAGGACTGAAGTGGAACAAAAGTAGAGATGCCATGGCAGTTTTAATTGCAATATGGGAATAGTGAGCACGTTTCCTCAAGCCGGGGCTAAGGGTCATGGCCAAGACGGTCGGTTACTGCCGTCGTTATGAAGAGCGAGCCCTAACGGACGAGGCTTTAATCGAAGGAGGGGAAATAGACCAATGATTGGGGACGCAGATGGTCGAATCGTCTCATGATTGATGGCAATATCCACTGTTCTACTTTTCTTCTATTCTGTTTTCAGTGGGAATTGTGTTCTGTTCTGTTCTGTTCTGTTCCGTTTGCTGTAGAATGATGGGGGGAGTTCGGGGGGTCTGGCCCTGGTGGGCGGGGTGGCACTTGGTGGGTAAGAGGATGAAGGTGGAACAGTCCATGTCTCTCAGAGGGCACCAAGTGGGGAATCATGGCAAAATAATCTGCTCAAACGCGCGCATCGACACCCAAGATTCACAGCAGAATAATCACTGCCACTGCAAAGAGACCATGATAACTCAGCTTATGGTGTGGCAACAGAAACATGATTCAGAAATAATGATGAGAATAATGTTAGAGCGAATTACGGGGAATACTATCTCCCAATAGACGCTGTTCTATATGGTGGTGAGTCGTCATGATTTTGGCTTTGACGGTTACGAGGTCGATGGAGGTGGAGTTAAAGTTGGTGGCCACAGGAACAATCCAGCCAATCAGAGCTGTGGCGCAATGTTCACCATCGACATTCACCATCCGATCTTTGTACATGAACAATCTACCACCTATCTTAATGTCCATCCTTCTTCGACACAACCCAGGCAATCCATTGACCATTCAGGAAAATGAATATTGTAATGACACCGCATCGTCGGCAGCATCTCGGTACAACAAACATAATTTCATACACGTCCGTCTCATTCTGGCATGATAATACTGCATCGTCCACTGCACAAAGCGCTCCACTATCCCTCTCATATTCGCTATCACGCGCAGACGCCGAGACGACGGTGTAGCTGCATCCAAAGCCTAAAGGGTCGCTTTATCGAACCATGACTTCTTGCTCAATTGCGCTCTTCTGGCTTGCGGAATCTACAGCACGTTGACTGCCGGATCTCGTCTTGACCACAATTCGACCTGAACTCCGCATCCATCTCGAATGCTCCAAAACTGCTCACGGGAGAGAACATTGTTTTCATGCTCACCATGAAAGTCGCGCCGACATGATTCCGTGACGCCAGGAAGGGGGCCAAGAACAACCGGACCTCATTGCCATTCTAGACAGTAGGATACGACTTCAAATCAGTTCCACTAATGCCAAATCCTACCCGTTCTGAATCTCGTCGAGATTCGGAGATGGAAAGCCTTTCTCCGCGCCAATGTCCCCAGCAGAGCGAGACGTTATTGCTCCAGTTGACTCATGACCATTTTCCTACCCAAACGCGACACTTCCCCAGTTTTCTAATAAACGGACGGAAGGTATCTTTACGTACTTTTCATTAACTTGTACAATATCCACGGATCCAAGTCCATGGGAAGGAGGGCTCACGAGACCGGTATATTAACTATGTGTCTTATACCCGTAAGCGAAAACGGGTTTCCAAGGCCATATATGGAAGCAGGCGCTTGGCTGCACCTGTGTTGTTGTATTGCTGCAAATAATGGTAACGTATTTGATACTGTTGCTGGGCGAAGATGAGTAATTCACCTTCGATGTTAGGCGATTGGGGGAATAGGTGTGAGTGATGTTCAATGAAGACAGCGGTATGGACGGCTCCAACCAGACTCTACCCAAGCAAGGTCGTGCGGATGGTTGAGTAGGGTATCAGCATCGATCCGCAAAAGTCTCACAAGTTCTCGAAAGCGGACGGAGAAACCACACTGGAGATATCTACGAATATGCATTGCGAGGCTGTCAAGGACGACGTGCCTCCCAGCCCACGTCCAATCTACAGTGTCTGTCTAAACCCAACCTGACCCTCCAACACAATTTCCCCCCTCTCCGCCCTCCTATTCGCCCTCGAATAAAACCAAAAGTTCTTCCCGACATGCAGAATCGTCAACGCCTGAGTCGCAATCACGACCGCCATGGCGGGCACATACTCCGGTGCATCCTGCTCTCGAAAGATATTCGCCGCCGCGATGCCGCCACACGCGCCGCCACCGATCAGCAGAGCACTGGCGATACTGCGCTTCATCTGCCCGACGATGTTGTTGTGCATGTAGCTCAGCAGGCTCGGTACGTTTGAATTGGCGCCGCTGACACCCAGGAAGACGCCGGCGTAGCGCGCGTCCTCATTCTCCACGTACGCCATCATGCACACGCCGATGATGGCCGTCGCGCAGTTGAAGATGATGACGGCGCCGCGTTTGCGGTACCGGTCTGCGACCCACGCCGTGCAGAACATCCACACGGCTGCGACGACGTACGGCGGGAAGGAGAGGATCTGGCTCATCGCGACCGAGTACCCCATGTCGTTGCGCAGGATGATGGGCAGGAAGTATCCGAATGAGTAGGCCACTACGTTGTTGAGGAAGTACAGCCAGGCGAACTCCCAGATCTTCCAGTCCCGGAGGTGGAAGAGGATCTTCTTCCACGTCAGCGTGTCGACGACGGCGTCGCCCCTGTCGCGCTGAATGCGTGCGAGGATGATTTCAGACTGTCGGGCGGTCAGGAACGGTTTGCGGGTTACGAGACTGGGCTTCGTGGCTTTGTCGGGGAAGTCAACTATGGTTGCGTAGCCCAGGAAGCCGAGCACGATGGTGATGGCGCCCTCCTGTGGGTGTGTGAGTACTTAGTAGCTTCACTGGTGATTGAAGAGGGTTGAGGTGTTACATACGATTGCGAAGATCCACTGCCATCCATTCAAGCCCCCTTTTCCCTTGAGTTCACTGAGCCCCCACGCCAGGATGTTCGAGAATCCAGACGCCAGGAGTGCGAGGAGATAGAATGCGGAGAAGCGTTTTTGAATCTCGAAGCGAACATACCAACAGCTGAGCAGGAAAACACATCCTGGATAATATCCTGCCTGAGAAATCGTCAGCATGTCACATACAGACATTGTCAGGAACGACAGGAAGAAAGAAGTACCTCGAGGATACCAAGAATGATACGACACCCAACCGCCTGAGTCCAATCCGTCACAAACCCCATCCCAATGCTCACCGCACCCCAAGCCACCACCAACGACGGAAGCCACACAGCAGGCCCCAGCTTCCGAATGACTATATTGGCCGGGAACTGAAAGATGATGTACGGGATAAAGAAAATCATTGTCAATATCGAGTACCGCGACCCAATCGACAACCCAAGATCCTCATCCATACCCGCAATACGCGCCTAACCCCCCAAGTCAACTCTCCAATCACACAAAAAGCGGCGTCCATGTGGATGATGGAACAGCGAGAACTCACATTCGGCAGATTGACGCGGTCGATCAACGCGAAAGCGTAGATGACGGCGAGCGTCGGCAGGAGTCTCAGGTCGATCTTGCGGATTATCCGGCGTGTTTCATTGTCGTCTTTTACTTCTTCCTGCGGTGCCGTTTTGTCTGCGTTGGCTGCGATTTGCTCGACGTCAAGTGCGCTGAGCTCTTTATCGCCAGAGTCATGCTGTGTGGCCTGCTTCACGTCAACATCCTCATCGATTGGGAAGTACTCGCTCGTGTGCGTGCTGGAAACGGAATATGTACTTACATGCTCTCTCTGCTCTGCCTCGCTGTCCTTGACTTTCATTGTTGCAGGAACTGTGAGCTTCTAGAATATGCTCGGACCAAACAATCACATTAAAGTGCAGACAATCCACTCTTTATTCCTTCGAAGATACCGCATTATTCCATTCGTACTAACGCACCTATGTCCACACTCCTACATCCATTGCACAGGAGCGCATCACATTTACCGAGCAGCGGGGTCAACCCCGACGATCATTCCTCCCCACATCCATCCATGATGATACCTCGGACGCACAGCGCAGGGCATAACACACGACGTAAAGCCAAGTGATGCAGAACGCACCATTCGAGGTCTGTGGAGACAATAAAGAGGTTCTTTTATACAGGTTGGGGCTATGGGATCGACGGTCATTGGTGGGCGCGGAAACCCGTTGCCTTTGGCGCAGGGATCTTGGCTCGACTCGCTGCGCTGGTGTCATTATCGGGAATACGCGTGCGGTCTGTACCTGTACGTTAGACGGGGGGGAAGAAGTGGGATGGGATAGATGGAATGTTGATGATGCTAAGACTAAAACGCTGGAAGGTGCTATGCTACTACTTTGCAAGGAAAATACATGATGATGCAATGTTGCTTGCTCGCTCGCTCGCTCGCTCGATGCGAAACATGCCAAATGGTATTTAAAGGAGAAGAAAGAAAAAAAAAAGGAAACCGATGTTTTGCCCCTACACCTGTGGATATATGCTTGCTGTCTCCCGTGGTTATCCCCCTTTTAATATGAAAATCCGCTTGAAGATGCTGTGGCGACAAAGGAAAATATGATGGAGGAGTTCATTCAAAGATCGTTGTGGGTTTCGTCCGCGTCTGCTTCGTCATCGTTGTCGTGTTGAAGACTTCTTCCTCTTCTTCTTCTCATCCCATGACCCTTCGCCTCCGTCCGCTGTCCACGCTCACCGTGTTGTCGGGGCCGATCGAGATGCTCAGGCTTGAGTCGTCGTCCTCAGACCCGTGGTGGTTGCTTCGTCCTCCCCGACGCATGCCGCCGGCTTGCGATCGGCTTCGCTCGGGCTTGATGACCAGCCATGTCGCGCCGCCATCGGGATCTTCTTGCTGGCTGAGTTGGAGCTGTGCTCCCTTGGAGCGGCCTCGGATGGGTACAGGAGATTTTGCGGGGGGCGGAGGCGTGAAGATGGTTGGGAGCCTTGTGATTTGGATGGGAAGAGTGGTGAGGGCGGTTGGGAGGGGGAGTGTTTCGAGCAGTGTGATCTTCTCCAACGGTAGTGTTGAAAGGAGAGATGCAGGTAGTTCGGCAGGTGAGCATGCAAGGACGACATGCCGTAGGTGTGTGCTTGATGTGTAAAATGACAAGCTTTCTGAGCTACTGTTAGAACAGGCTCAAATTTGGAGTTGAGACGTCGCTTACCTCTGACCTTCCTTCCAGAACCACCCTCCTTTCCTACACCGATGTCGATCCAGTCGAAGCTGGGGATCCTGCCTGAGAATCCGGTGGAGAATGCACGGAGCTGGCCGAGGTTCCTCACTTTTCCTTCCCTCACTAGGTAGTTTGCCATTCCTTCAAGGTTGGCATAGACCCTGACCAGGATGTCCAGGCTGTCAGCATCTTCAAATTGCGGACGAAGATACTCTCGGATCCGGATCAGTAACTCGTCGGCTAGTTGCTCTCCACCTTGGGCTCTCCGTGTTATGTATTTATCTTGGAACTGGCGACGTGGTCAGTATTTATTCTTTCCTGAGCAGGAGAAGCATGCTTACTAGAAATCCATCGGCGTCGGCATCAATCAACACCAATACAAACGGCCTCCTTGCCTGAGGAAATAGTTAGCTTGAAGGTAAGTAACAACAGCATGACAAACCCACCTGCTTCTGAGCTAAAGCAGTCTCCCTCTCCTTTGCTTCTACGACTTCGGCTTGCAATGTTCGACGGACATTTTGCTCAGACTGAAGGTCGAGTTCCGTCTGCGTGAGCTTGGCTTCGGCTTTCTCGAGCTTCTCCAATAGTTCCTAATTGATATCTGTTAAAACTGCTTTCCACCTTCCCCTCTTTAGGGATTTCTAAGAAGCATGGAACCAGCGGACCTCTATCAACTCGAATCTCTTCTCCTCCAGAATCTTGAACTGTGCCAGACGCTCGCGATATGTGGTAGGTTGTAGGGGTACTAAGGCTGTGGGGGTTGCGGGTACGGGCACGGGTGGTGGGGACATTGGTGGTGCCTCCGCCATGGTGATGTTGTTGCTGTTACTGCTTCTGCCGTCAGAGCCGTTCGTCCGTTCTCGTGTATGTGTGTGTGTATGATGATGTATTCTGCTGCTATCTTGGAAGTTGCTTGTATGTTTTCCCAGGAAGATCCGGGGATAACTGGGCTTTTTGAAAGGATGTTAAGAAACTAGAAGTCAAAAGTTAAAAAAGTTACGAGATTGGGTTCCGAGCCTTTGGGCTTGTTTAGGTGGCTCTGCATGCATGTGGAGTGTCGGTGGAGTGTCGGTGACCCGGTCGTGGTTGGGATGCTCAACGTAGCGACTCCTGATTGGCCCGACTTGTGGAGCCTCGAATGCTCACTGGCTGCCTCGGCCAAACACTTCACCGGATCTAGATGCCTTTACAGCTGGCGTGTATCTGCGTAATGATCACTCTCTGACACTACCTGACTACAATGTCGAACTCTGATGAGTCTGCCACTCTAGAACTCTGTCAATCTGGCAATCTGGCAGGGCGGGATTCGATTCGTTTAAGTTCGGAGAGCGTTGCTCATGTGCACACCAAAATATCCACATGGTTCGTGTCTTGCCAAGTATGTCCTCCGGCCATTGGCACCGTGCAGGACGTCATTATTTCAAACATCAACATTCACCACCTCGCGTCCCTCAGTGACTCATGTGGTAATAAGCCTCGTGAGAGGTCCTTTATCTCTTCGAGATGGCCAATATCAGCCAGTAATCTGCCTATAGGCACGGCCGCGGATCGCCCTCCTTGTTACTCGAAGATCATCTTCATCATCATGATTGGAGAAGTTCAAAATAGTAATTATGCAGCCTCGAGAAGGTGATACAGAAGCTCAGAATAGCGGACTTTGCAGCCAGGAATCCTCCAAAAGCTCCTTCGCTGTTTTCCTGTCCTCTGGCCTCCACTGCAACATCTTACGCATGAACCTAAGAAACTCCTCCTTGACCTCGCCCTGATAGTTCTCCTCGGACTTCTCCAGAGACAATTCCGGAATAGGGATTCCAGCAATCCAATTTCCGTCCTCGTCAAAGTATAAGTGGCTGCATGTACCCTTCTTGAGCAAATCCAATGGCGGCGGTCCTAACAGTCCAATGACTTCAGCGAGGTGAGCACGAGTCTTATAGCCACTTCCATCTGGATCATTGCCTTTAAACAGATGTTTATTTTCGTAAAGGTTCCAAATCTGGATATGGTTAACCACTTTATATCGTAGCAAAGATGGTCTTCGATATCGACATACCATGCAACACATTCCATATGTCAATAGGGTAACTCCAATCGACATTCAGCATCACTTCTGGAGCGCGGTACACATTCGGCTGCACCCTCTTAGCCTGTCTCTCGGCCCCGCTTACTGTGCTCCCGAAGTCACCCAAGACGACATTGCCAAAGTCTTCGGGGGTTCCAAAACTCCGACTTGCATAGACCGTAGTGCCGTCGACGAACTTGCGTGGCGATGGATGCTCCAGTTCAGCTTTTGTGAACGACTCGAAGACTGTATCGTCGTCGAGCTCGACTAGAACATTGTCCACCTTCATGTCTGGGAGAGTCAGCTTCCTTTCGGCGGCTGGATCGCGAAACAACGTACCAGTGTGAATCAGTTTACATTCAGAGTGCAAATAGTCGAGACCACTCAAGAGATCCCTTAAGCCCACCTTCAGAACGCCTTCTGTCAGCTTCTGTGTGGGACTCCGGTTCAGGATTCCCCCAAAGCTATCCCACAGAGGTGTCTGTACAAGGCATTGATGATCCCGGCCAGCGCGTGATATCGTAATGGTTTCAAGCGCTTTTCTGACGTATGGGTAACCAGGATGCCTGTGCGATCCTATAGATAGAGCGTTGTAGATATCGAACTCGTTACTATCCTTTTCGTCTTTTGCGAAGACCTTGAGGGTCACATAGCCATGATTTCCTGATTTTGTTAGTGGTAAACATGATACGTAGGTAGGTAGGTAAACACTGACTGTAAATCGCGTGCCAGCCAGACGGTTGACGTTATGCCAAACCCCAACTTCCCAAGCACCTGATATCTTGAAGCGTACACGTCGCCTATATCCACGGGGCAGTATTTTCTGCTCTTAGACCTTTGTGTTATTCACTCTTCTTCGAGTAGAACATCATCACTGATGACCTCGAACCCCGTGGAAGGGAAACTGATAGGAGCCAAAGGAATCTTGGGCTTTGGGCGAATGAAGATCTCAACAAATCTGACAAAGCATTCCATTGTAGCGATGTAGTTGACAAGGAGAGCTGAGGGTAGCACCTAAGTAGTAGCAATATGGTTGCCTCGACAGATTAGGCTTTTAGCTCAGTCAAAAGTTTGGCCGTTTGGCCTTCACCAAATTATGAGTATTGCCTGAGGCAGCGCTTGAAAAAAGAAGGACGATAGTATCTAGGATTTGTAAAACTGTTTTCAGACTATGAATGTTCAAAAATGAATACAGACCTGTTAGTAATGCAAATGCCACAGGGCAAGGAGATGTGTTTTGTCTGTCGCTCACTAGAGTCTCCTCCACAATGTAGTTTATATTGATGTGAAAATCAATAAAACATGGTCAAAAGCAGTGGAATGGTTTACTAGAATCAGGCACATGGTATAGCAAATCAGCTATCGTCAACTATGAAAAACATCCCAAACATGAGTTCACTGCTGGTTTTGCTTATCAGGCATGCTTCCATACGAAGCAACTGCTGATATTGTCGATCACACATGCGTCAATACGGCTTCAATGCTGGTGATAAGAGCATTGTAGACGCCTTCAACAGTTTCGTCAACTGCCCTTTCCTGGCTCCACTGTCTGATATGAAGGGCAATATTCGAACATCAAACGTAGTCAGTAAATGAGTAAAATCCGAAGGTCACATTATACTGTCCTATTTCAACTCTAGTCAACTATATTACAGTTATTTTTCAATTCATCAATCCAATCCAATAATTCATGTTTCTGAGTATTTACATTCATGTACCTAAAAGGTCCGTCTTTGCGTTTTTGTGACTGCATGTTTTCCTGGCAAGTATGATCTTGAACACTTGACGACTATATCGAGCATCCATAAGACCAACGCAATGTCAAACTCAACGATCAGACTTTCTCTGTCATTGATATAATCTTGGATCGAATGATAGGCCGCAGTACTTTCCTCAGTCACTTCATATGCTCTGGGGCAAAGAGGCACCAAACTCCTTACAGACAAAAGAGCAGCAGAATATACTGTGTAAGGAGGGCGGCGGGTAGAAGAAGCCTATCTTGATCACTTGTCATCAGTATTGTTGGAGTCGATTACACTGCTCAAGACTCAACGAGCATAATGTCAAGTGCAAGTCAAGATGTTGCGTCGATTCTCCCCATTTGTCTCCCCCGAGTCACCCAATAGGTCTCTTCAAACATCCTCTATGTGATAGAACATTCCAAAATCCCAAGACTTCAATGATAACAAAATCTGGACAAGGGAAACCGCATAGGCTGCATTGGCTACGTTCCGATTTGCTAGATCTGTGAGAGATGGTATGTTAGGGATGTCAATGAACTTAGAAAGGTGGATGCGGACACGTCAAGATGTGGAAGTCTAACGGAGTAAGTGGAAATGTAGAGCGCATCCATGGACGTTTGAAGTAGTAGCGTTAGTGACGTCGAGTAAATTCCTCCAAATGGGCATCTCGCAAAATGTTCAGCACGGGCGGATAAATTGTGAGCAAGTAATATGCCTTTCATTAGGCATGTTTTGAATTGATTCTATTCATAACTTTTGTGGTGGTATCCTTGATGTGGCCCTCCCAGTCGGTCCTAAAATGTCATTGCCTTCATATCTCCCAATCATAACCAAGAAAAAGACGAAACCCGATATGCCCTCTACAACTCCAAAGCCTTCTGCGCAAGAGCAAGAGCACCATCGAAGTTCTTGTGGCCTCCAATGAAGCCGGCTGCGTGTATGAAAACACCGCCAGGAACGCCGGTAAGCTCATCGAGCTTCTCGTCGCGCATGCCCTTCCAAGCATCGGGGAGGTCTTTTCGGTTCACGAAACCGCCATTCTCCTTGCTGACGGCCCGGATACGCGTACGGCCCTTGGGGTCTGCGCTATCCTCCGGGAACAGGACGTAAAGCACTTGCGGGGCCACGCCCTCGGGGATAGGCGCCTCCTTCTCGAGGGTGTAGAGGTGGTCGGCCCAGGGCATGCCGTCTGGGAGAACGAGAATGCGGCCCTGGGGATCGTACTGCAAGCGGTCGTTGTATGCGTTGGCGACCGCATGGCGTGCGGGCAACCAAGCCCTGGCGCGATCGGTAAGTTCGAGCACGAATTGCTCGCCCACGAACAATGACGCCTTGGAGAACTGGAGGTCTTCATCTGCCTGACGCTGCTCCTTGGTCTGTCCCTCGCTTGGGGTGGAAGTGTAGTTGTAGCGGTTGACCACGCTGGCGATGCTGAAACCGCGGTCTTCGAACTTCTTTGCTAGTCCGGCTGCTTCGAGGCCCTTGGGGTCGACGACGTTGACACCATTGTCGTTGGCGTCGAATGCCTCGATGAAGTCGGTGTAAATCTTCTCGAACAGGATGTCGAGATCCGGTCCAATGGGGAGACCAGTGACAGCCTGAATGATGTCCTTGCCAAAGTTCAGGTAGATCAAGCCGGCGGACGAGAGCTTTGTGGAGTGTCCGGGGAACGTAGTGGAGAATTCGCGCTGGTGGTGATCGTAGCGGTTCTTTGAGGGTTCGTACTCTGCGCCCACATCGACGACGGTATGGCAAGTTTCTAAGACCGCGGGATCTCGGGTTCGGACGAGAGGTGATGAGGCGTATGTGGGGAGAAGGCGAAGCATTGACACGGCGAGGGCTTCATCGGCGTGGAAATGACCGCTGGGAGTCTTTGTGAGCGAATGCTACTATGTATGAGTTCAAATAATGATATCGTACCTGTGAGTACCAATGAGAGGCCCATCGAGCTTAAGCTTCTTGGAGGGGTTCTCGACAGCCATTGTGCGAAAGAGTGGAGGAAAGAAGTTGATGGGTGTTGAATGGAAGTGAACGTTTCTCGCGACTCGAAGTATAGCACGTCGATATCCAAGCATGCAATTCTAGAAAGGAGAAGTCGTAGAATTGAATTAGAGGGAGTGAGGTTAATTATTGTTCACAGATCGGAAACAAATGTTTGCTCTAAGTTGCGGGAGTGGGATGCTTGGCAGATGTATGTTATGGCATCCTGGCACAATGAGATGACGCTAGTCCATAGAAGGGTTAGCTCAACGGGATCTTATCCAGTCAAGTCACTTGAATTTCCAAGTAGGGTACGAGAAGTTGACAGTACATATATGTGTTGATGCATCATTACGATATAGCTTAAGCCGAGTAAATGGCATGTATTCGTACTAATTGTACAGGGTAGGTTAGTGGCTGGCATGCAAGAAAAGTAATGTAGTTCATGCGATGTCAATCGACAATCGATGAAGCATGTTGGCTGGACCTAGGTAGGTACGTGTACTCCGTACATATGTCTACAAAGAAGTCAACAACATCGTCAGTAATCTGCCTTCTTTTTCCAGTCTCTCAGAGCAGTTCAAATTTATGGAAATGTGCAGTATGTAGGCTTGTTTCGAGCAATCCAGTCATGAATTAATATCAATCTTGGGACCTTTCATACAATACAAGTACTAACGAATCAAGAGGTGACTGTGCTTCTATCAATGATGACTAATTAGCTTAGACGGAACTTATGTCATCGTAATTTTCACGATTAACTATTGTGTGCTCCGTCTTAGTCCTGTTGTGTACGCAATTGCACCCCCAAGTGGTGAATTGGTGATTCCCATCAATTGGCTCTCAACTCTCCATCTCTGCTCTACTTGAACTTACGAGTACCAACCCAACATCTCTTCCACCTTTAAGCTCCGTTCAGGCTCTCTAGAAATTTCCTAATCCAAAAAGCCATCCCTGCCGGCATCTGTGATCTTCCCCAGATCCTAGTTGGCAGCACGCGACAGCCAACATCCAATAATTCCGTTGTGCCTGAGCGAAACCTGCAACTGCAGCCTGCATGAGGTAGGCTAGGTAGCCTGATCACAACACACTGTTTGGAGGGGGGGAAATCATCTGGTGGTAGGTCAACATCCCCCGCCCATCTGTTCTATTCAATACTTTCCTTTCTTTTCCTTGTCCTACCTTCAAATTATATTTTTATTCTCATTCTCGTCCATCGCGAATCTCGCATGAGAACAGACGGGCCGTATTAGTACTCATTCGTAAGGGACCGACCCATAAGTTTTTGACACGTGAAGATAAGGGCACTCAACCTGCCAAGCCAGCAAGTTGCCAGAATAGCGAGCGACAGACGCGGCACACCCACCAGCCTCAAGAGATTCCAACAACCAAACGTCTCCCCGCCGCTGTCTCTCCGCCCTTTCGCCGGCCCTCATTGACCGTCGAACAGCACTCGCCGCGCTTCCTGCGCGTCCTTTGCGCGTGCTCGCACCCTGCATCTGCCCCAAGCGCACGTCACAAGTCGAGCTCGTACTAAAGACGGGCTCGACGACGGCGACGTTCGCTCATGTGGCTCACCAGAGTGCTCTCGTCGACAGTATGGCTTTGCGCCATAGTCTTCACCATCCCCCTCGCATTTGACATTGGAGGAAGGACTTGTGGACTCGCCTTCTCCCTGTCCCTGAGCAGTTTCTACTTCTTCTACTCCATCCTTCGTCTCGCAACGCCCGACCGCTCGCGATTCCGCTGGGCCCTCTGCAAGCTCATCCAAGGCTCCCAGTGGATTGTAATTCCTACCTTGTTGATATGGAGCTTGAACAAATTTTCCGTCGACTCGGACAACAACTCGGGCTGGGTTGAGCGGACGTTTGGAGGAAAACGCGCCCAGGACACAAGCGTTCATGAATGGCTTTTTGGAAGAGACGGTCTAGTGCAATCGGCGACCATCGGGGCCTGGGACAGCGTGTTGCGATACAGCACTCCGGTTTTCCAGGTCGGAGAGGGATTCTGCAGCTTGCTGGTCATCCAAGCTGCCGGTCAGATTACACGATGGGTTGTCAACCGTGAACGAGGGGACAGCTGGATGGTAGGTAGTCGAGATTTTTGGAAGTGTATCCACCGACTGACTCGCATAGATTGGCCTCCTCATCGTGTCTGCGTCTAATCTCTCACTGTCGGTCTATTTCCTCTGGCGGATAACGACTTTCCCTGAAATCAGTAACGTTGATGCCATCCTCATTGGTGTAGCAATCACGTCCGCCATATTCCTGTGTGGTTGGGGCATTGTCAGTGGACGAGGGAATCCCGTCGAGTCGTCTCTTTTGGTATGGATTTTTTTTCCTTTCATTCTACGTCCATGGCTAATGAATATCTATAGTTCGCCTATGTCACGCTGTGCATTTACCAAATCTTTACGGACTATCAACCTTCGCCTGGATCTGTTGCCGCGGAGGGCACTGCTGAACCTGCACTACCTCCACTACCTCCCATCATCATGGCCTCCTACACCACCCTCCTCCATGCACTTGGCTCATTACCGAACATCATCCACACTGGCTTCAACCTCATGATTGGTGCCGTGTTGACCATCACCCCAAGTGTCATCATATCGCTTGCATACCGAGTATTCGTGATGTACGCATCCGCTCGTATCATCCCAGCCATCCGCGAATCCGGTGCTCGAGGACTCTCCCAGGAACCAACCCTCGATGACGATGACGAAGCTGGAAAGTTCCTCGCATTCCTTACCTGGTTCAGTCCGTCCATCCTCATCGCAGTGTACACCAGTCTGCTCATGCAGCATTTTGCCAGCGGCAACGGCAACGGCGTCACGGGAAGCCTCGATGGCCAAATCACTGGCGAATGGTGGACTAACCAAGGAGGCCAAGCCGGCGGGAACTTCTGGCGGTGGGTGAACCTCGCCGTCACGATGGGCCTGTACGCCATCGAACTCAAGATCAGCAAGGAGGACGATGACAGCCGCCTGACGAGCCACTGGAAGAGTGACTGAGCCAGCCCGGCGTCAACATGTTCACCATCCAGAGCAGATGAGGAGTATTGCCGTACATGACGGTATAATTACAAAGCCCAAGGTCGTCCAAAACGCGAAAGTCACTCCGACAGAACCTTGGGCGAAGGACAAAGAAGAAGAAAAAAGGGGGAAAGAAGGAAATCAAAGGACATGGGGAGGACACACACAGAAGAGAGAAGGAGAGTTTTCTACGCTCTCTCCAAGCTACCACCAACCACCACAACAGTAGTCGAGCAAGCATGAACCACACCCACAAATATAACAAAACCGACACTCTACCCGTCGTTTGTTGTCGTTGTCGATGTCGTTCGATCGTAGTCTGTCTGTTTTGTTTTATTTTGTTTTGCTTGTCTCCCTTTTTTCCGTTTTTCTTTTTCTCTTTACACGCTTTCTATTTTACAGATACCCGGAATTTGAAGACACACCGTTGGTGGAAGGGAAGGGAGCGGAGCGGGGGGAGGGGCCAATTGGGGAAGGGAAGGGAATCATCCATCATACGCCTTAGACAGTCACACACACAAACTCACAGAGCATGTTAATTTTAGTTCCTCGCACGCAGACCACGAACGAGGACCGGGAGGTGCGACAGAAGTCCTTAAGAACTTACTTAATCGGGGAGAAACTAGCCTAGCACAGAGAGAGAGGGGGAGACGGAGGAAGAAATAAAAAGAAAATGAAAGTACCTACTACCCACTCGATGACTACCTAACTCAAGTGTGACGAACGAGTGGGTGGAGCGTGATTTCGATACAGATTACATACTTGAATCCCACCCCACCCACCTACCTACCTTGAGGGAAGGACAATGAGTAACGAAGAGAATGGATTCGAAAGCCTGGCCCATCATAACCCTGACCTCCCTTTTCTTCTTCTTCGTTTTTGTGTCTGCCACTTACTACTTTCCCAAACAATGCGTGACTACTGCTCTCCCACGCCGTGTGGCGCATCCCGCGGGATATGTACGGCGTGTCTATCCCTTTGCGATGCAGTTTACTATAATACAGTATCCTGTATACAGCTTCTTCTCCTACGTCTGCCCTGCTTCGTCATTCATTCACTATAGGGTTGTGGGTGATGGGATGCTGCGTCCTTGTCGTCCTTGTTCTTGTCGTTGGCATCGTGTCAGTTGTGCTGGTGGGGGGAAATCTGGATGGAGTGTTGAGTACACGAACTATCTATCTATCGGACGAAGAGGTGTAGGGAAAGAAATGGGGCGATTTGATCGAGTCGGAGGGAGCATCACAGGTCATTGGGGATTTTCCCCTTCTTCCCTGCTTGTGTACATGTATGGTAAAAGTAGGAGGGGGTTAAAGAGGGAGAGGTATGTTCTCCTTTCAAGTACGTAGCTAGGCATACTATCGTCCTGATCGATGGGGTTTTTGTCGTACGGAATGGCGGACAGCGAGGATAGCGAAGGGGGTATGGAACGATTGTCACACGTGGCAGAGACCGAGTGCACAGGGAAAGTGATGGAGTTTCATAAATTGAGATTCGATGGTCTGATGTAGTAGGTAAGACATATTGCCGGGTACCTGAGCTAGCTGGCATTCAACCTGTTTTGTTGTCTTTGGAAAGAAAAATATGTCAAGAGGCCGTCTCGGAGCTTTCCCTTGCTACAGAATAAAGTGAAGAAGAAAGGAAAAAAGATATCAACGGGGTCACAAAAAGTAGACTACAGTTGAAGCGAAGACAGAAAGGGGGGTAAAGAAACTGCGTGCCACATCGCGGTAGCCTTTGCAAAAGACAGAAGGAGAATGGGGGAAACCCCGTGTTGGTGCTGCACGCAAATGTCATGCAGATAAATCTTGCACAAGAAACCGAAACGCCAGTGATCCGAACCCACGAATAACCGGTTGATTGGACCCAATAAATCATGTGCGATGCCCGCAACAAGGTGGTAGCAGCCGTAGCGCACCACCCCGCACCGCACGTTTTCCGATGCAAGTAAGCAATCTGTGTAGATGGGAAGCAAGGGCTGTAGTCGTCCAACGACTATGCCTTATTGCTGCCCTCTTCCTGCTCATTCTCCCGTGCGATGTCCTCCGCAGATGTCTCTCTGTTTAGGCTTGTTTCGCGGTGAAGAAAGCTGTGCTCCTTGATGGGGCTGCCGCTGGTAGCACCCTTCTCCTGGCCGTTCGGGGTGCCATTGTGGTTGTGGTTGGTCGGGGGTGCGATGTGTGGGATCTTCTCGGGCACTGGGTGCTCACGGCCAATGGAGGTAACTCCTATGTCTGAGGCCTTGCCGGCTTTGGAGAGGGCATAGTCGCCGCTGTCGAAGTACTTGCGCTCCTGACAGATAGCAAGTCAGCAAGAGTTTCGGAATTGGGGTCGTACGTGTCTTCAATTTACCTTCAGCTTGTTCTGCAAGAGGTCCTTCTTGTTTGGCAACTTTCCGTACAGACGGAAGAGTCTCTGCTCATCCGCGGTGAGTTTCTGCGCAAGCATGTTAGTTTATGAGGATTCATTAAAGTGTGATGTCTCGAGGCAGTATAGCGAGTACGAATGCAGCTGTTAAATAGCAGCTACGCCCCGCAAGGAGTATGGGTTGTGACGTACGCTGATGTCCACTTTGTTCTGCTGGTGGGGATTCATCGTGGCGAGAGCGAACGTCGAGAAATGTTCAGGAATGCAAATGACGTGGTGTTATCGATAGAGCTGTGGTGGTGCTGCCCGATACACTGGGGGAAGATGTGCGTTTATAGCCCGCGTACTTCCAAAACGTATTTTCTTTTCTGGGTCTCGGGAAAAGAAAAGATTCAGGGTCGGGTGAGGGTTATAAGCAAGCAGCGATTGTTTGGTTTGGGGTTGGCCAAGTTTGGGCAGTAGTGACAAGGACAGGGTGAATAATGTTCGTTCGCTGGTCGCTCGGGGCTACCCAACCTGGACGGACAGTGGATTGGAGAGTACCCTCGTAGAACGAGAGCGAGTGAGGGAGCTTGGGCGCGAGGTGCTGCGTGCTGGTGTTGCTGCCTGCGTACGGGTGCTTCTTTTCTCGGGTCGACGACTCAGAAGAGCAATGACGAAGGGGGGTGTAACTGGAACTGGTTGAAGGAATCTTTTTGGTCCTGGAATGGGGAAGACGACAATGGAGGGGTTCGTTGCCGTTTGTGGTTGGTGTAACTGTAGGTGGGCGGTGGTGGTTGTGTTCGACTCGTACAAGCACAGAGAGGGCGATAAGCTTGATCGTCCGCTTAGCGTTTCGGAGGCTCGGGAGGCGATGAAAGGAGGACGATTGGGTGGATGTGAGCACCTGAAACGGCACGACGTAGAAAGGGAGAGAGGTATGAAGGAGGAGGGAGAAGATGAAGAAGAAGAAGGAGGGCGTGAATGATGGAGAGAAAGAGTTGAGGTTGTAGTAGTTGGAGTAGAAGTGGAGGTGGAGTGGAGGAGGAGGAGGTGGTGGTTAGTTAGTTGGTGGTGGTGGTGGTGGATGTGGTGGTGTTGCTTGGTAAAAGGCGAGAGGGCAAGTGAGGGGCAGCTGCAGCGGACAGAAAAACTTATTATTGATAATTCATGCACGAGGGAGGCATATCATTCGGTATTGGTATAGTTCATAGTACTGGTGCTCATAAAGAATATTCTACTCGTAGTTATCTACATTCTATCTATATACTGTGTACATGTGTGACTTTCCATACGTCCATCCCATCTACTCGCAGCTCTGACTGCAGTAGTTGAAGCCACAAGAGCAGCCATATTGACACCATGGATCAATGATCAAGTAATCGATCGATTGAGTGAGCAGTGTGTGACAATGGACAATAACTTACGCAGCTCTTGCTTTGCACCTCACAAGTTGGGATTGAGTGCGGGATGGATGATGGATTGATTGCCATAAAACTTCACCATACATGGCCACGGCTCGACGAGGCCAACCTCGTAGGGCGTCACGCGTCCACTCGTTGCTGCTCGTTATTGGATTTTCCCGCCTCGAGATCGACAGGGCGGCCGTGTAAATTCTCTCATCATCAGCATTGTTGCTCGCTTGCTTACAGATACTCGCGTATTCTTCTATCTTTCCCCTTCACGATGCGCCTTTCACACTCCGGGGCGTACTCGTACAATGACGATGACGATCATCGCAAGTAGGTAGATAGGCACATAGGGAACAAGACTATGAGAAGCTCACCCTCGGTACCCTTGAAACGCCTCTAGATGTTTAGCTCTCCATCTCTCCGCATTCCAAGCTACCGGTACTTACTTAGGTATCTACGAGGAACAATCAACATGTAGTCCCTTTATGCTACTCGCGCTAGTGATGGGATGGAGGGGAATCGGCACCGATTGAGATGTCCACAAAGAAGCTGCTGGGAGGTTGTCCGCACTTGTACATTGGCTCCTTTCGACTGGCTACGAGGTATCTATTGTAACTCGTAGTCACTCGTGTGGGATGGTACTATGGCACTATGGGAGTAGCACATGCCACAGGGTCTCTGTTCCGAGATCCCACCTTTTGCTTCCATTCACCATCCTCACTACTTACCTCTGTCTACCTGTGCCAATAATCCACTACAGAATTAAGTATAACGACCAAGCCCAAGTAATTGTTCAAATCTTCACCTTCTAGACAATCAATTGTGCAAAGTATTGTCCTTTCTTCCTCCCGTCCTCCCAACCCAAGCCGGACAAGAAGAAGGCTACGGACTCGACAAAAGTGCGGTGCTGGCCTGTGATTGGCCAATTCGCTCTCGTGAATTTTGTGCACCTGACGACCCTCGTCTCCCACCATCGACCCAGCCCGACTGAGTAAATATCGATTATACCGATATACAGATTCGACCAAGCAGCACTTAAAGCAATAGTCGCTTCACAATCTCCTGGAAAACACACTCACTTCTCCAACACACCCAATCGCCATGGCCAACGCCGCCCCATCTGCTGGCAAGACCTTCGTCGTCGAGCATCTGGACCCAGAGCTCGAGGCGTGGTCGTCTCTCGAATACGCAAATATCGCCAAGGAATGCCACTCCTCAGGCGCTCGCTTCCTGCTCTCCTCGGTGCCCCAGTCCTTGAAGCTCCCGCAGAACCTGCAGGGTGCGGAGGGTCTGACCGTTGAGAACAGAGGCATCGAAGAGATCTATGCTGCCCAGAAGGATAAAGTGTGTCTGCTGGATCCGGCTGCTTCCAAGGACCTTAGTCCCGAGGATGGCGATGACTTTGATATCTTCCTTTTCGGAGGCATTCTAGGTGCGTGATTTTATTGTCTGTCGTAGTGGCTGAAGGACTTTGCTAATAGATTGACAGGAGATGATCCCCCTAGAGGTATTTGGATTCCTTTTTTCTTTCTCTCCATATCTATGAAGGGGGCGGAGGAGTTCCGTTTACTCATATAGGTACTGACAATGCAATATAACAGATCGAACATCAGAGCTGCGCAAGAAAGGCTACCAAGGACGCAGGCTTGGGCCTATCCAGATGACCACTGACACTGCCGTGCGGGTGACCAGGATGATCGTCCAAGAAAGAGGTTTGTCCTGACCAACGTCCTCTCTCAGACGAGTGGACGGTCCATCACATTACAGCATTTCTGATTTGATTGGCAGTGCCGGTCGATAAGATTGTCTACCTCGACCATCCCGAAATCAAGGTCAGCAAGAACGAGACTACCGAGATGCCCTTCCGCTACGTGAAGGGTGCGGATGGAGGGCCGATCATGCCTGAGGTAAGAGCCTAATCTGCAGGACCCCCCGATGACGCAACGTTTCGGTGTTTGACAATTCTGACGGTCGCGTAGGGCATGATGGACCTCATCAAAAAGGACTCGGAGAAGGGACTGGGCGATCTGCTATGATGGGAGGTGGTTTCGCCCAGACGATGTGCTGACTGTCCATGAGGTCTGAAAACGCTAGTGTGGTCTTCGAGAATGAAGAATCGCATTTGCAGCGCGATGTCAGTTAGTATGTAAGAGTAGAGCTGTACCTGGAGGTACCATGCCATGGATGCAACCGAACTACGGTTCAGATCGATGCAGGGTGATGGGCAACTGGCAAAAAGAGAAAAACGTACGAGTAATCTCGGCCCCCAGGTTCTGTCATGTCGCATAGTTAGATACGAGTAGATACTCGCTCGGAGGACTACAGTGCATGCTGGAGAGCGGCATTGGACACATGGAAGCGCTTCGATGTACCAAAGTAGTTTAGATCGTGGTGCATTGCCCAGATCTACCAGTACATACTGTGTATGACCACGACAGCCTATGCGCCTTTGCAAAAGTGCATCTGGGAATCGGATAGACAAAAGCATCAATTTAACAGTAACAGTGCTCGACAGTACTACAAACGTATGAGAACGTTGACAATCTGCAAATCGTCCTCTCGTTGACGGCACCCATCGCCACCAACGGTATTGAAGCAGGCCCGGGCTCCATGTTAGCTTACTAGCGAGACAAGGAAAGGCCAATTCACCCAACAACAAGCAACAACAACAACGACATCAGCCCGAAGAGAAGCCTACGCACGCACGCGCGGCTCTCGAAAGGCTGTGCCCGGGGGGGAGGGGAGGGGCCACGGGGGGTGAAAGATTCCTGATCCCTCAGATGGAGATGACACATGGTTGAGGCATGTCGTCCTCCAGATGGGGTAAGATAGGCGGGTATCTTGCAGACAGGAGTCGCTCTTGAGACATGCTCAAGCAACTTTAGTTAGTCGTCACCCTCGTCCACCTCAGCATGACTGGGGTTCGACTGAGAGGTGGGAAACCCGGAGCTTGGTGGTCCCGTGGGTTGGAAACGAGTTGGATGGGAAAGGGTGGGTTTGTCCATGATTGGGGGAGATTTGAGGTGTTGTGCGGCGAGCCGTGGTGGATGAGGTTTAGTTACGGTGGGATTACTGTGGTAAAGAGTGTAGACAAAGAGCTTGTGGAAACCGTTATGGTTGTGAATAACAAGTCAGGATGTCAGAATAACCAGCCAGCCAACAGTCATTTCACCTTTCTCTCTCTCTCCTTCAATAATAAGAAGTACCTATTAAGGTATCTCTCCTCCCTAAAACCAACTTTGAATCCAATACATTCATTCATCCATCCCCTCCCTCCTCCATCTAATATTTTCTCACTCCTAATACACCGCTGTGAGACTTTTCGAAATCCCGTCTTAGGTATCTTCTCCATTATACCTAATATTTCCCGCCCTCGCTCATCGTCGACTTCCTTTTATTTTTGGGTCCTTGGAATCTTTTTTGCCACCTTACGGCGTGAGGTGCGGGTATACAGTACTTTCGAATTCCCTAGTTGGGTGGTTGTCTTGGAAGTACACACTACTTAGCCTTCGTACCCTCTCTCTCCTTGCGCGCGCGGCGTATACATCCTCCTCCTCCCTCCCTTCCCGCATCCCTGCCTCGTCAGCTTCTGGACACGACACGACTCGATTAAGTCCCCGATATACGCTGTGCCCGGCTCCAATCTCCACACAAAGGGTCTACGTACACTTTTGCAGTAGAACTGTCCTGCAACATTCCTCATCCTCTCTTCTTCTTCATTTTATCTCCTCCCTATCTTTGGTTCTCCATTCCCCTCCCTTTCTCTCTCCAGTCCGCTGCGAAACCGCATAGGTTTCCCATGACCTAGCCACAGCACCCCGTTACCGCACCGTTCGCTCTCCCTATCTCATCATGCTCTACACATCCGCGCCGTCGCGATGGCGGACAGCACTCGCTTGCGGGTTGCTGGCCTTCTCTTGGTTACCGGGTATTGCTGCACAGAAGACGCAGGCCGACTACTTCGTTCACGAACTCCCGGGCGCACCGGAACCTTTGTTAAAGATGCACGCGGGGTGAGCACAAAGCAGCGACAACCCGTCACACGACCAATAGCTAATTTGTACATGCGCAGGCACATCGAAGTCGATGCGGAGCACAACGGCAACCTATTCTTCTGGCACTACCAGAACCGACACATTGCGGACAAGCAGAGGACGGTGATCTGGCTGAATGGTGGCCCCGGCTGCAGCTCCATGGATGGAGCTTTGATGGAGATTGGACCGTACAGGGTCGGCGAGGGAGGCAAACTCTCGTACAATAACGGATCTTGGGACGAGTTCGCCAACTTGCTCTTCATCGACCAACCCGTGGGCACGGGATTCAGCTATGTCAATACCGACAGTTATCTCAAGGAGCTCGACCAGATGGCGGACCATTTCTTAGTTTTCCTGGACAAGTGGTTCAAGCTCTTCCCTGAGTACGAAGCCGACGATGTAAGTGCTTCCTACCGATACCTCTGCACAACTCGGGCCTTTAACTGACATGGTTTCCAGATCTACATCGCCGGTGAATCGTATGCCGGCCAACACATTCCGTACATCGCACGAGCTATCCTCAACCGCAACAAAAACTCACACTCGCCTTGGAACCTGAAAGGCCTTCTCATCGGAAACGGCTGGATCTCTCCCGTCGACCAATACCTTTCTTACACCCAATATGCATACAAAGAAGGACTTATCACCGCAGGATCTGATTCCGCGAAGCGCGTGGAAAACCAACAGGCCATATGTGTCAAGCTTCTGAACGAGGGCGCTAGCCACCACGTAGATACCTCCGAGTGTGAAGCCATCATGGTCAACATTCTCGAAGAGACGAAGAACAAGAACGCGGACCGGGACCAGCAGTGTTTGAACATGTACGACATCCGTCTCCGTGACGATTCTTCCTGCGGTATGAACTGGCCCCCGGACTTGACTACCGTCACCCCTTATCTGCACCGCCAGGACGTCATCAACGCTCTCCACATCAACTCCGACAAAAAGACCGGCTGGCAAGAGTGCAACGGCGCCGTGTCCGCAAACTTCCGTGCCCGCAATAGTGTCCCGGCCGTCGAGTTCCTGCCCGATCTTCTCAAGGAGGTTCCGATTACGCTGTTCTCAGGAGACCGGGACTTCATCTGCAATCACCTTGGAACGGAGGCTATGATCGATCGTATGGAGTGGAATGGCGGGAAGGGTTTTGAGCTTTCACCCGGCGTTTGGGCGCCTCGCCGTGACTGGACCTTCGAGAACGAACCCGCCGGCACATATCAAGAGGCCAGGAACCTTACCTACGTCGTTTTCTACAACTCCAGCCACATGGTTCCTTTCGACTACCCCAGACGCACCAGGGACATGCTGGATCGATTCATGGGCGTCGACATTGGCGCAATCGGCGGTGATCCAGCCGATAGCCGAATCGATGGCGAGAAGCTCCCGCAGACCAGCGTTGGCGGCCACCCGAACTCGACCAAGGCTGAAGAGGACAAGACCAAGGAGCTTCAGGAGGCTGAGTGGAAGGCTTACTACCGCTCCGGCGAGGTTGCACTCGTCGTTGTCGTCATCCTTGCCTCGCTTGCCGCTTTTCTCATCTGGCGCGATCGCCGTCGACGTGCAGGCTACAAGGGCGTCCGGGGCCTGGACGCTGGCGACGAAGGCCGCGAATCTCTAATCGCGGGCATGGGACTCGACAACTTCCGCCGCAAAGACCGCAGGAGAGACGTCGAGGCCGCAGATTTTGATGAGAGGGAATTGGACGACCTGACCGATGACTCGAAGCCAAATGGCCGGGAAAAATTGCATGCACCACAGAATGATTCCACATACAGCCTGGGAGAGGCAAGCAGCGACGGCGAGGGAAGCCAGCGCGACAGGAAAATGGCATCACGGGAGAAATCGTGATCGGGGGTTCCATAGGCATATTTCCCAAGGGCGGTCTTTTTGGGACCCATGTTTCTCGTATAAAAAAATCATCGTGGCGTATTATATTATTCGATTCTTATAGCACTTCACTGGAGTCAACGGGTCGGAATCGATGCCTCTCACTTTAGGCAGACTTTAAAGGGTATTATTCAATCTTCTTTTTCGTGTTCTTGGATAGATCAAATGCATCTTAAAACATATCGTCTCTATCAGAATGGACTATATTACACCGAATTTCTACTCTGAGTAGTGAGAACCTTTCTAACGTTCAACGGCTGCCTTGAGATGAAAGGCACCAGTGACGCTGGACGGGAGTTTTGTCTGCCAGGCAACATCACGTGATCTCCCGGTCATGGCGCGTTGCTGTCAACGCTGCCTAGCGCGTCGTTCCCGCCCTACCAAGCATCACGAACAGCCGCATCCGTCTCACAACCACCAGATGCTCAACTTCGAAATACCATACTGACAATGCCTGCGTAAGTTGATTCTCTCAAAAACCCCCTTCCTCCCTACCCACCCTCACTCTCCCTCACAATTACCACAACAATTATCTAACCACGGACTCTCCCCCACCAACAGCCCAGGCGCCCAGTACGAATCGTCGACGATAACGAACCCGTTCGAGGAGCGACGCGTGTCGGCCTTCACGGCCTCGGAGATCGCGACGCTGCAGAGCCGGCTCAACAAGCAGCTGGGGCCGGAGTACATATCGCACCGGACGGGGGCGGGGGGCTCCAAGGTCGCGTACCTGGAGGGCACGAAAGCCATCGCGCTCGCCAACGACGTGTTTGGGTTCAATGGGTGGTCGAGCTCGCTGCAGCAGGTGCAGGTTGACTATGTATGTGAGACTTGCGCGGTGAGGCGGGGAGGGCAGGGCTAATTGGGTGTGTATAGGTGGATGAACATCAGGGCGGAAGGATCAATCTGGGCTTGTCGATTGTGGTGAGGGTTACGCTGAAGGATGGGACGTACCATGAGGTCAGTCTACCCGCATTGCAATGCACGTTACCCCGAAATCCATCTTTTAACGAACGAGCCAGGATATCGGGTACGGCATGATCGAGAACGCGAAGGGCAAAGGCGCGGCGTTCGAGAAGGCGAAGAAGGAGGCCGCCACGGACGGATTGAAGCGCGCGCTGCGGAACTTCGGAAACGTGCTGGGTAATTGCCTGTACGACAAGGAGTACTTGAAGAAGGTGAATACGATGAAGGTCAAGCCGGTGGCGTTTGACGAGAATAGACTGCACAGGCATCCGGATTTTCGCGCAAGGATCAAGGAGGAGGAGCAGCAACAGCAGCAGCAGCAGCAACAGCAACAGCAACAGCAACAACAGCAGGCGATGGTCAAGGTGGAGCAGCAGACTCCGGTGAGACATGGTGCGGGTGCGGCTGTGAATCAGGGTGTTCCTGCATTGCAGCAGTCTGCGTCGTCGATTACTGCTGAGTTCGAGGATGAGTTTGGGGGGAATCTTTTCGATGGCGTTGAGATCAGCGAGCATCATGGCGATGAGTTCACCTTTGAGACTGTCGACTCGGCGCCAAAGGTGATTGAGGCTGGTGAAGCGTCCGCTCGCAACTCTGCTAACCCGCCTCATCGACAATCGATTAATCGAATGCAGTCGATGCCTGCCATGCGAACTGGTGCTGGTGCTGGTGCTGCTGGACCACCACAGAGGCAGAATCAAGCTACTTCGAGGCCGACGCCTCCTCCTGTATCGAACGGAAGGGGTCCTCAGAATTCCAATGTCCAACAGAACAATGGCCCTCCGAAACCCATGGCACAACAACAACAGCAGCACAATCAGCCTCCACGGACCACACCTCCAAACCAGATGCCCCAAAAGCCAAATGGCCAACAGCCCAACCAACAGCCGAACGACAAACCATCAATTGGCTTCACGACATCCCGTGCTGCAGAGTTGATGCAAAATCCCGAGGCAATAAGCAACTTGCCGGCCTTCAACCCTCACGCTGAATCCCCTCTCCCCAAGCATCAGCGAACACCTGGCATAGACCACACACGATCTCGAAAGATCACCCGCGAGTCCGTCGGCGTTCCAACACCACCAATACCCCAACAGCAGCCTGGCCAGCAGCCCCAGCCTCAACCCCAACCCAGCCAGGGAGGCAACAACCAGTTCCGGCCCATGAACCCGCAAAACCGCTCGAACTTCGTGAACCCGCACCAGGACTCCAACAGGAGAATCGGAATGCCGGGCGCCCACGCGATGAGCCCGCTCGCAAACCGCGGCTCCTACAAGCCCCCAGGCCCCGTAGGCGGCATCAAAAGACCCCCTCTCGCCGACGTGAGCAACCAGAACGGTACCGCGAACCCAGACGGGCCACCAGATTCGAAGAAGGTCAAACTCGAAGCTGGCACCAACGCCACATCTGCAACAGAGAACGTGCCAAACGCACCACCGCCACCGGCGCCACCAGCAGCAGGAGCGTGAACAATAAAACAAAAGATGAAGAAATTTGCAACTTTATTCTAGCGACTCATTTCAAATGGACAACGGACGGGATCAAGGGCGGCGTTTTATCTTGGGAACTTGCGTGTGCGGGTGGGTGCTGGGCCGGGCGTTTTTATGTCCTCTTTGTTTCTTTTGGCTGCATTATATCCAGCTATGATGGGATCTTGAGCGGAGATGAGGAAGGGCCACATCATTCACAGACACACTATTCATGATTTGGGGTTACTGGAAGGGGAAGAGGATGTGAGATGTGTCGGTTGAGATATGGATCACTCATGGCATAACTATATAGTGGCATGTCCTCTCGGAAGATGGGTTGGTAGTCTCACTTATATCAATACGACAAGGGAATACATTTTCACACATCACAAGTCCAAGAAGCAATAGTGTATGACGTGAATCTTTTTCATTTATTATCGATCTTATAATAACCAGTAATACCCCTCCTCCATCGTATTCTCCAGAAGAGAAAGACAAGAAGGCTTGGGAGAGAGAGTTCATCAGATACCATTGTAGGCAAAACTTATCAGCACCGACTGCCCTACCACGTAGGGTCCAGGCAGTCTCAGGGCTTGACTCTATATGCTTTCTTCGTCACTTGAACTCTCTCTCTCCACATGTTGAATGAATGACCCCCAGATGCCCTCTGATACCCTTTTCCTTCCTTTGCCGGCCACGCTGCATTGAATGATATGATGTCGAACCTGGCTTGTTCGACCAAGCATGGCGTACTCTCTCCAACCAACAACCCCCATTTCATCCCCAGCCCCTTTTACGAGACCAGAAGTAAAAAGTCAGAGGCCGGAAGTAAGAACAGCTACACCTCAGATCCCAAAAAAAGAAATGTAGAACGACCGGTTCCGGAAAAGAATAAAAGGGTGGACAGTTCCTCACACCATGAATAAGCCCCATTGAGTGGCCCCTACCACCTACCCCGTATATCGAGGCGAAAAAGGCGTAGACGGGCAATCGCGGTAACTACAAACTGGACGAGAGGACCCTCACGCGAAAACTCTCTCCCTAACACACACCGCGCGCACAACGCTGGCAAAGAACCTCCTCCACAGAGATCAGAACACCCGCGATCCTGCCCGAAGACTCCTGCGGCTGGGTGATGACGGAGGTTGCCAGCGGACTCATATCGTCGTCCGTAGGTGCCGGTAACCTCCCCCACCGCCAGAACGCCGGAGTTTTGCGAGAGGAGGGAAGAGTGAGAGACCTAAGCAGAGTGCGAACGGTTAGGAGCCCGGTTGGCGGTTACAAGAGTGGTCGGAGAAAGAGGTTTGTAAATGCGTGAGGCCGCGTTTTACGGCGGGACGTTGCTGGTCGTTGCCTGTGGCATGAATTAACATGACAGGATGTCCGGGGACTTTCTCCCAAAGCTGGTAACTGAGATATCAGGCGCGCAGGGCGCACGCGATACTCCGTGTGGAGTGCTTCGAATGCGATTCTTTGGGCGAGGAACTGTCGAAGAAAGCGTAAAGTCGGCAGCGGCGCTGGTGGTTTATGTACAGATTTTTTTCCGGCCGGGTCGGGGGTTTGTTTCTCCGGGCAGGCAGGGCAGGCACCAGGGAGGGACAGGGCTAGGCTGCAAGGGGATTGGGTTGCCTTGATGGGAGCTGGGGCCTTTGCGCGAACCAGCCAGCACCAGTGAGAGTCTGTCTCGTCGTTTCTTTCTTCCCCAATCATCACCGAAAGGAAGCATTAAAGCTTGGAGATAAAGCGCGCGATTTCGCAACCCTCGGAGCCTTTGTTCCTACAAACTGTTTTGCTTTCTTGTCACGAGCAACTGTTCTACCTCCTCTGTCGGGCCACAAATAAGAGCACTGCTTCTCTTCCTTCGTCCGCGCACCGGGCTCGATTCTACAAACTCCACGAGCACGTCGTAGGACAACCCACGCTTTACACGCCCCAGCGCAAGGTTGTTAGGCTCCGCGAGGATCGAAATACCAACTACCCAACGAGCTCGTAACTCAATCGACAGAGATGGCCTTCCTGAACAACACCGCGGCGACAGCAGCCAGCTCCACGACCGGCGACACCAAGAACGACGTCGAGGTCAGTGTCCTCCCCAAGGACAGCATCTCCGACCTTGCGTGGTCGCCCACACACGACTTCCTCGCCGTCTCGTCCTGGGACAAGAGCGTCTACATTTACGAGGTGGCGGGCAATGGCGTGAATCCCAAATGGACGTTTGCGTGCGACCAAGAAGCACTCTGCGTAGCATGGTCAAGGGTAAGTTTGGGGGGAGCTCTTTGCTCTGATTATTCTTGTGTGAAATCGATAACTAACATAATCCGTTTAGGATGGAACTCGCATCGCAGCCGGCGACTGCTCTGGTCAGTTCTACGTGCTCGACCTACGCAACGTCTCGAACGACTCCACCCAGAAAGCAACGCCGCTCAAGGCCCACGATGCGGCTGTCAAGTGCGTGAAATGGACTGAGATCGGTGGAACCCACTATCTCATCACGGGTTCCTGGGATAAGACCGTCAAGTTCTGGGATCTCAACGGCACGACCGCGACCGCGACCGTCCAGTGCCAAGAACGCGTCTACACGATGGATACAAAGGACAAACTACTGGTCATCGGAACCGCAGAGAGGCACATCCACATGGTGGACCTGAACAACCCGCAGACTATCGCAAAGAACATGACTAGTCCCCTCAAGTGGCAAACTAGGGTCGTGAGCTGCTTCACAGACGCATCTGGGTTCGCGGTGGGCTCCATTGAGGGTCGTTGCGCGATCCAGTACGTGAAGGATGATCAGGCAAGGTAAGTGGCATTGCAGAAATGTCTCATCAGATATGCCCGACAAGGAAAGGTTCTATAATGCTAACGACGTTTCTAGTCTCAACTTCTCCTTCAAGTGTCACCGACAGCAGGATCCCCAACAGCGTGACATCGCAAAGGTGTACTCTGTCAACGCCATCTCCTTCCACCCACAACACGGTACCTTCTCCACCGCAGGCTCCGACGGTACGTTCCACTTCTGGGACAAGGACGCAAAGCATCGTCTCAAGGGATATCCCGAGACCGGCGGATCCATCACCGCCACCGGCTTCTCCAAGGACGGCAACATCTTCGCTTACGCAGTCTCGTATGACTGGTCCAAGGGATACTCAGGAAACACGACGAGCTATCCCATCAAGCTCAAGTTGCACCCCATCACTGGAGATGAGTGCAAGCCTCGACCAGGTACCAAGAAGAGGTAGATATCTGGAATGAGCTCACTAGCATGGAAAGTCCTCAACGACGTCCGACTCAAAATTATTAGCTTAAGGAATCGATCATGGTGGAATGGGCAAACAATCACTTGGTCTGGATAAAAGGGGGGGAATGGATGATGCCCTAACATGCTATTTGTTTCACTTTTAATTTTCTCTCTCATGTTTTATTTCTCAAGAAAGTTTTTTTGTGTTTTGATCAGCGGATGAAAGGCGTTTTATTTTGTTCCCCCGGCCGGAACAATAGCATGGCTTTGGAGTCCGAATGATTACCTAGGTACTTACCCCCCAACCAATCGACCAAGAAGTGCAGGAAGGAAAATAGGAAATGATATATCTTCTAACCCATGTTCTCCCCCTACGTGCCCGCCTTTGGTATTAAAAATTGTTGATGTGGAATTGCAAGCGTAGTAGATCAGTAGGGCGTGTCCAATCCACAGGATTCTGGATGTATCAAGTTATATCGTCGAACGCTAACGTCAAGTTTTCATGTGAATTCGCACCAAGATATAGACCTGTTAGGGGGGGGAATTCAGTCCCAAGAAATAACGAAGTGAAAAGACGCGGCCGAAGCCACAGCCATGCATTGTATCTCGCCGCTAAATGCTCTATTTATCTTTTTGTGGTATCATATCTAACGTCAGCTTTGCACCCCAGCACACCTCTCACTTCTCCTCCTTCCCAACGATGAACTCCTTAACCTCCTGGTATGCCTTCTCGAGGTCGTCGTTCACGACCACCTTGTCGTGGGGCGCCTCTCCGCTCTCCGCGAACGCGACCTCGTTCTTCGCCTGCGCCAGGCGCTTCAGGATGGCTTCCTCCTTGTCCGTGGCGCGGGAGCGCAGCCTCTGCTCGAGGATCTCGAGCGAGGGCGGAGAGAGGAAGAGGAACTTGGGGCGCGGGAAGGAGGGGTGGTTGGCTACTTGCTTGACGCCCTAGAAATAGTCTTCGTTAGCATTTTCCCTATATTTTCCTTATTTCTTTCGTTTCTTCACATGTCGATATAGAGAGAGACAAAAAGATTCCAGAGGAACTGGGGACCCCTCGCAAAAAAATCAAACCAATCACCTACCTCCATCTCAATATCCAAAATACATATCTGGCCCCTCTTCGCGATGTCCTCGATCGCTTGGATGCTGGTGCCGTAGTAGTTCCCGCCGAACTGCGCGTGCTCGACGAAGCCCTTCTTGGCGATGAGGTCCTCGAACTCGTCGCGGGTCACGAAGTAGTACTCCTTGCCGTGCTGCTCGGCACCGCGGGGCTGGCGGGTCGTGTGCGAGACGCTGAAGCCGAACTTGTTGGGGTGCTCTTCGAAGAGGCGGTTCAGGATCGTGGATTTGCCCGTGCCTGAGGGGCCGGAGATGACGATGGGGGTGGGGCTGCTTGCGGTGGGTGCCATTTTGGGGGTGGTAGTGGTGGTGTGGAGGAGGGAGAGGTGTTGAAGGGTGGTAGTGGGAGTTTTGTAGGTTTTGAATTTGGTGGCGGTGATGGGAGTATGTGGTGGTTGGACAAGGGAGGAAGCAATGGGTGTGAGGTTTCGGAGTATGGAGAATTGGTTACGTGGTGTCTTGCAGAGAAGAGTACTGGACTGAAACAGATGGCTACGGAGGGCCGATGGACTCGGCGAAGAAGTCAATGGCATGAAGAGATATCTCTCTTAACTTTTGTATTAGCTAGGCATACAGCAGATTGTTACTTGTTGTGAGTCGTGGCTGTCGCACAACATTTGGTCCAGACCGTCTTGCGATGTGGTTGGCCGAGGATGTGAGACCCCTCGATTCCCCCTGTGAGTTTGCTGTGTTTGCAACGGCGGGGTACTGAGGATGAGCTTGACGTTAATAGAGCTATTCTATCATAAATATTATTGATTATGTGGAAAGGTGGATTCTAAACAAAGCAAATGTAGAATTACTTGTACCTACTTGCCTAGCCACTTCATGCACCAAACGGCTGATCGCGCGTTGTTTCGCGTAAACTTCATAGAATTTGACAACGTCATTATCGATACCTCCAATCCTCACTTTCATGGCTTGGTAGCTTCTCCATAAACACAACAACAATCCACAAAGCTGCACCCTCTCGCAGCGCTTTGCACATAATGGTCAATACTTCCCCGCGATCCCTCCAACTGCGTGCAATTGCTGACAAGTACCTGTACAGTCGAAGCAATATCTCACCTTGCACACTCTCGAATCCGCCCACCCCTCCGATATCTATGCTCTCGCACCTACCAAATCAAGGCTTCTTTCTGCGTCTGGATCCAGCAAGATCCTTGTCCATAATACCACCGAACCCGACTTCCCTCTCGTACAGACTGTAGACGGTGCACATCCACTGGGAATACATCACCTGGTGACTGCGAAGGAGGGAAAGCGCGCCGCGAGTGTTGGATTCGAGGGTCGCATACGAATATGGGACATCAATGAGGATGGCACGCTGGAAAGTGCTGGTGACGTGACTGGTGAGTGGGCTCTTCAATCCCGAGTCTCGAAAGGGTTGCGATTGAGGCATTGCATACAAATCACAGAAGGGGTTTGAGCTAACCACTGGGAAAGACAATAACAAGCCGGGTGATGCATGGGCGATAGCAATCAGTGATGACGGTGCCTACCTTGCAAGCACGAGTATCACTGGGAAGATCAACGTTTGGTCTCTTGGTGAGGAAGGCAAGCCCAAGATCCGTGAATACGAAACCAAAGGTAGCTTTGGACTTTGTATAAGCCTTGTTAGTATGCCCCATATAGATGATTGCTTGGTCAAATCTTAACCCCTTTGCAGAGCTCCGATGGCCGCTTCACTGCGTCTGGTCACGAGAACGGGAGCATATACATCTTCAACAACGACAGCGGTCGCCTAGCACACTCTGTTGCAGGCCTCGTCCATCCAATTCGCTCCGTCGCGTTCAGCCCTGCCTCGAAACTCCTCGCTGCTGCTGGAGATGCCAGAATCATCGCATTATACGATGTCAATTCCGGAGAGCAGGTCGCTAACCTCACAGGTCATGGTGGCTGGGTTTTGTCTTTGGACTGGAGTGATACTGGCGAGTATCTATTGTCTGGGTATGCTACTTCTTGTCCCTCGCACAATCTCTGAATAGTGCAGCTAATATGCGTCTCAGTTCCCATGATTCCAAGGCGAAGATTTGGCGGATAGAAACCCGCTCCTGTGTTGCAACTCATTCCCACGGCGACAAACCGTTGTGGACTGTGAAGTGGTTACCGAAGGTAGCTGGAAGGAGTGAGATGTTTGCTTTGGGCGGTGGGAATCAAGCCATCAGCCTCTACAGGGAAGCCGCTGGTTGAACAGAGCTTGTGAGCTACACGAGGACAAACACTGAGAGATGCTCCAATAGCAAGTTTTCCTGTCGAAGAAATTCTTCCCGAGAGAGCATGTCATACATGCTTCCATCATTATATGAACATAAGGGAATATGATATACGAAAAAGCATAGAGCGGGCTACAGCATCACCTAAACGAGCAGGGTGAAGCATACCACTAACAAGAGCGGTAAATACCAAATTAATTCACCTTTGACTCGCTTATATTAAATTTATACTTCCATACCAATGTGCTACAGTCCCATTGTCAACATCAAGTCTTTCCAGACCCGAAAACAGACTAGCGCGTTCGCCAAGCCTCGTGCGAAATCTTCAGACAAAACGTCGCGTCGTCTGTTCCAACTTTTTCTTCTCTTCTTCAACATATTATGTCGGTCCTGACATCTTTCTAGGAGGTTCTCAAACCCATTGTTCCATGGACTCCCTATCACAGACGGACCAAGAGGGATCGAAAGAAGGCTGTTCTAATCCTGGGGTTCGTTTTCGCCGGCTTGAAAAAGTCGGTCTCGGAGCTTTGGGTTCGCTTTAGGCCTACATATTTTCCTTGTCTGAACGACACTTTTGATGGTGCTGTGCGTGATTGAATGTTGAGTGCTGTGCACGCTTTTGCTGAATAGGAGGTTTGCCATTTCATCACAAAAGGGATGTTGGTGGATAGGAGACAGCACGGATACGCACCTTCTCCTACCACACCCTGCGTGGCATTACTGCGGGAGTACTTTCCGTTACAAACATCATGCCACAACGACTATGACACTACAATACGCAGCAAGATGAAAGCGGCCCTTTTCTCGAATAAAATGTGGTTGATCAATTACCCCGTCATCTGCTGGCTTTTCAATAGCCGCGATTATACTTGAGAACGGCCCTAGGAGATTTTCAGGGGACCATAAATCGTCTGAGCCGCTGTCGATCAGACGGCTCACGACACTCTATTTTCAGAGTCTTCTCATCTTAGGGTCTGTACCGTACCACAATGTTCAACGTGCTCGAACATTATGTATATCTCGAAGTGGCTAGTCGCTCTGAACGCGTGGTGGGAACAAAGGTATCATGCATATCCGCAACCGGCAAATGAGAAATAAACACAGGCACCGGTCGCACAAAACAATACTCGCGATGCGTCGTGCAATCATAACAAAGACACGCGAAAAAGCAGGGAACGATAACAGGGAACCGAAGAGTGCTGACTGGAGGCCTCGAAGATTGATTGAATGCGAGACAGCCACATTTTAGGTCTCTCAAGCACAGCAGGCCGGGTCAGCGAAGGTGGGAGCTTGGTGCGCGCTGATGATGGATGTGGAGGAAGAACCCCATGTCCTGGACACCAAGTTCGTGAGCCACACAGCGTATTCCGCACCTTGTTCCGATCCTTACGATGGAGAGTATTGGTCTAGCGCCTAATTGCCTTTTCTAGCTGGAGCACCATTCACAACACACCTCATGATATCACTAGGCTGTACATTAGCTGTGGCAAGCTCTGTATGGTATCTCGTACTCGATGACAATGTCCAACTCACACTTCTCCATGAAAGCTCGCTAAGATTACCTATTGTAGAGATTCGATGGAGACGTTATGCCCTGGGGGATCACCAGAAACCACGGCCAATAATCCTAGAAAAGCACCTGGAGATCGTTGCCATCCTTAGGCATGCCGCAGGATCCACATCATGCTAGCCCAGGATGGCGCATGGTCGAGTGTCGCACCCTTATGTCATTGGTGCTATTGGTGGTGCATGCATCTCCAACACTTTCTGCATGGTCACCCTCAAGAAGGGCCGTGGTTCTGGTTTCTCCTTCTCGTGGGTGCGAGATTGGGAGGGCAGGAAACACGGCACCGGGTCAGCTTCCTCTCAGCCTCCTCGACGAGTTCCCTCTGAAGCTCAAACTTGAGCAATAAGACCAGGCCTCAGCCCTGTCATCTCTACGCCGTTCCCGTACCCACGGGCTGGCACCTTTTTGGTTGTCTCCTCCGTGCATCCCCTCGTTACTTACGTATGAGTAGCTTGACTTGTTTCCTGTGAATTCATGTTCTTGCTGTGGGGAGGGACATGAATGCCAACCATGGCACTACGACAGACATGTCTCTTCATAGTACTTCTACTTACTGTACAGGCCCTGCAAGCATCCACAAAGCACCCCATCAATGACTTCTGTCGGCGTTGGGGTCATCAGACTGCACAGGTAGATGGGAAACTGTACATCGATGGTGGTCTCATCGCATGGAACCCCATATCGTCCAATCCATCAAATGACACCAGTTCGTTACATCCAGTAGTATCAATCTCTCATATGTACATGTCTAACATGCTTTTCAGATACATGGCTCGTGTATAGCGATCTCAACTCGACAACCCAGGACATAGGCATGCCGCGGCAATATGCGAACTTGACTAAGAGTAATGAAGTACCATCCGTTGCTGGAGGAATTCTATGGTCCGACGAGGTCAACAAATGCTTCTATCTCTACGGCGGCGAATACCAGTCGAATCCAGCGGACTTCACGTTCTGGGCATACGACACGATTCTCCAGCAATGGAACGAAACGAAGTATGAGAGCAACGTCAATGCCATTCAACGGGTTGCATACGGCGCTGGAGCACAAGCAAACGAGCTGGGATATGGGTACTACTATGGAGGATACATGAGCAATAAAACAACACCTGGATGGACTGGAACGTCGTTGGCGACCAGCAACCTCGTCCGCTATGACTATACTGCTGGAACGTTACAGAACAATACGGGACCTGATGACATTGGTAGGGCAGAGGGATCCATGGTCTATCTTCCAGCGTCGGATGGAGGCCTTCTCGTCTATTTCGGTGGTGTCGAAGACTCTGGAGGAAATGGAAGTTTGGTTGCCGTAAGCTTTTCTGCATTCTCTATTCAAACCACCGCTAATCTGTCTATACATAGGCCAATATGAGCGTATGATCTCCGATACACAGCGCAAAGGTTATGAATGCTAATCAAATATTAGACCATCCACATCTTCGATATATCATCGTCGAAGTGGTATCAACAAGCCGCAAGCGGATCGGTTCCTCCTGCGCGACGACAGTTTTGCGCCGGTGTAACCTGGGCCGACGACCACTCATCTTACAATATGTATGTCGACACCCGACTGTACCAAATGACGACTAATGTATGCCAGTTACCTCTATGGAGGGTTCGGCGCCGGTGGAGATGATCTGGCTTTCGACGACTCCTACATCCTCTCGATTCCTTCATTTACGTGGATCAAAGCATGGCCGACCGACAACAGTACTACCAAGTTTGGGCATGGGGGATGTTCCGCAAATGTGGTCAATCGTGATCAAATGATTATCATCGGGGGCTGGTTTCCTAGTTCCGATAATTGCGATTCGCAAAACGGCCAAGGTCAACACAACATGAATCTAGGTTACAACGGCCCCCAACAGGTGCTGTGGGACAAGTACAGTCCCAACCTAACCACCTACTTTGTACCCACACCCATCATATCTGTGGTTGGCGGAGGGTGAGTCTCATATACTCCAAATTTGCAAAATGACAATCTGACGCTTACTAGACCCACTGGAGGCGCAACGATTACCAAGCCCTCGTCTTGGGATAACCCTGATCTCGCGGTGTACTTCACTCGTGTTCCTACGTTTGCCGCTCGATCTGCCACCCGTAGTTTACCTTCCAGCACAGGCACGCCGTCCGAGAATAAACGCTCCGGATCAAAAGTAGGAGCGATCGCTGGCGGAGTAGTAGGTGGGCTTGCAGGATTGATAGCCATTCTCTGCATCATTCTGTTCTGCCTGCATCGTCGTAAGAAGGCAAAGAAGAGCAAAGAAGAGAGTACGGAACCTCCATCACCACCTCCAGCGGAATTGCCCGCAACAACACCTCTCCACGAATTGCACTCTCCTGGAGTAAATAAGCACATACACATGCAGGACAGTTCCGTGCATTCTCGCTCACCCAGCGATCACTACACCCATCCGACCCCTTATCCCTCCACCGCATACCAACCAATTCCCCAGGCCATCTCTCCCTCACATCCCGCGCATGGAACCGACTACCCGAACCATTACAGCCAGCAGCAATCCCCTACATATCCTCCATATAGCGATCTTGCATCTCCTTATGATACCCACCACCCACCCCAACAACAGTGTTCCTATCCCACCCCGATCTCACCAATCCCTCACACCTTCCCAGCACCGCCCCAGAACCAAGTCTACTACCCACCTCCGCCCGACCCATCAGTCCGGTCTCACCTCTCATACACAGACACACAACCTTCTGTCCTACGTCCAAATACATTAGAACCTCCGATCCCACCGAGCACCACGCAGACCCCCGCGCAATTCTACGCCCAACCTGTGCGACGTAATTTTGACGACGAAGACACGAGGGCCGGTTCCGACCAGGGTAGTTTCAGGGGTTTCGGCGATCCGGATGTCGGGAGTCGGAGCGGGAGCATCGATAGTAGGAGGAGGCCGGTGAGGGGACGGTTCGTCGAGGTGGATCATATGTGAGGTCAGGCAGATCAACTCGAGCTGCGGTCCTCATTGAAAGTTGACGCCATTTGATACTGTTTTGGAGTGGGGAATAGACGGACAGGAAAATAATGATAAAGTACGGGGTGGATCGATACGATATACACATTTCGAGTCTCACAATTGAGCGCTGAGCACCGTTGCGTACTACCCTATACAGGTTCAAAAGAAACGAAATTCCCGACTATTCGCCCTTCGTCTCTTATTTTCCTTCAGACATCGTATTTTTGTTTCAGACATTACCAAAGCGAAGGAGTTATATTCGGGTCTTTAAGCAATAAAATGATTTGCTTTCATGTAGAATTTATAACTTACTCAGTACATTAGTTCTCTCTACGAAATCGAACAATTAGTCTACAATACCTATCCATCCGTTATAGCACTTTACGGACTTGTTGAAAAGATTCGGATATTGTCTGATATGATGTTTAAGAGTGAGCTATTCTCCTTGCAATATATATCATATTGAACCGTCGAGTTTCTTTTAAACCTCTTCTCTTACCTCAGGTCATAAACACACATCCCATAATCTAAAATGCAATGTACACAAGGATTGAACTTGTTCCTCAACGCCGTTCCTCTAGGACTGAGAGGCAGAGGCTACTAAAACAGCATGATTGATATTAAGCACGCACGAACTCAGAACCATCTCATACGATATCACGACGTATAGTTCGAGTCTGTACTTCTGTTCATTGGTTAGAAGATACACCTGGCTCTTATTGTTGCTATCTCTGGTTTCGTGCTTCGGGATTTTTGTTTTAATCCGCTGACAGCAACTGGTGAATGCTCTTCTATCTCATTCACTCTTATTAGGTGAAATGATACGGAAGAAAGCCAGGTAGTTAGCTCGCCACTTTCTCCTTATTCTAAATCGAAAGCAAAAGGAACGAGCACCACTCTAACTGTCCCCATCTTTTGCTGGTGTTTTGATGTTTGAATTGCTCTCTTTTTCTAATGCTTTACTGTGTTTCTTTTTCTTTTCTTTGGAACATTAGATTGGAGGGGTGGATAGACTTTCTATCTCCTTTCTTCTCCTCCAATCCCCCTAAAGTAGACACACACATAACGCCATCATTCCCTCAAGCACTCGTTTTTACAACGCACGAGAACCTGACGAGGAGCCCCAGAGTCCCCTCAAGGCAAAGATGATCCATAATCCAAGATCATCATTTAAAGGGGAATAGGGCTTTGCGTTTGATTTTGTTATCAGTAACGAAGAAACAATCAAACACTTCATCACAAGTAACATAAAGACCAACACCTCACAACGCAAACGGCACACCGAGAGTCAAAGCACAAACAAACATCTATTAAGCAACCTACCTATGAAACTTTCCTTCCATGTTCAAAAAGTACACAACCCGTGTCCACCCCCCTAAACCCCACACACACCACACCCCCCACCAACGCCTTTTCCCGCCAGAACCTCCCTAACAACCCTAATCACACAAACCCCGTCGTGCTGAGCAAGTAACCATAATAAACGATGCAAACCCTCTTAGACTCTCGGTACAAGACCCCCCTTATTTTCTCAAACCCCATCAAAACCAACCATCTCACTCCTACCAGTGAATAAACATCTTCGATGGTCTAGTGGTCATGATTTCCGCTTGTCATTAAAACAAGCGCGGGAGACCGGGGTTCGATTCCCCGTCGGAGAGTCAGTCTTGTCATTCATTTCATTTTTTTTTTTTGGTTTCTGTGTAGTTCGGTTTGTGGTGGAGGATTTTTTTTTGGCGCGAGAGGGTTGATGGATGATACATCGTGGAAGTAGCTAGATTGGGAATGGAGGGGGGGTTAGGTAAGCGGGGCGGGCTTTGCCGGATTGGGGAGGAGGTTGATTGGGTTGGGTTGGGAGTGTAGGGATGAAGATACCTTAGAAAGAATGCAATTCAGGTGTATTTGTCTTAATATGTATGTACATATGGCTGGAGGGCAGAATAGAGTCAGAGAGTTATTTTCTGATTGTTCATTTTGTTTTTTTGCACAGCTGTTTGACAGCGCTGCTCTCTAAAGCTTAATTAAGATTGTTCATGCCATTATTCTCCAGTTATGTCAAGGATTGCTTGTCTTCAGAAGTTCGCATTAGCTACGAGGTACTTCTTCTTCCTTTCTTATGTGCAAAACTACTGACTGTCGTTGAATTCTCCCCAAGTATGATGTGATCACAACTCTACCCTTTGAATACTTTTTTTGCACATGGATAAAAGTCTCGATGTTGGGAATTTGAGAAATGGTATTGTTGTTACATGTTGTTACATGCTATGCGTTATGCAACCGTTCTTTAGATTTTTGGACATGGTTGGTTGGGGCTGTAATGTACATTTCTTGTGGTTCCTCTCTCCCACATTCGTCGTTTTCACAACAACGTCGTCTTCATTATGAATGAAAAACGCCTTTCTTCTCCTCATCAAACAGTAGCAGTAGCAGCGGGGGCGTCAGCAGCAGCCTCGCCCGCCGCGGCAATAGTCGCAGGCGCGATGTCAGCCAAAGACATAGGGCCCTGTGGCCACGGCTTTCCGAGCGCGTCTTGTATCCTGATGATCTGATTCTTTGGACCAGGGACGGCGCCTACATTATTCCAGAGAATTAGCATTCAAGGTCGTGAAACTTTCGGTACGTATTCTTCGTCGAGAACTTACCGTGAACAACGACGATGCCGTTCGCTTCGTCCACCTGCATGACTTTCAGGTTCTTGACCGTCACGCGCTCGTTACCCATACGACCGGCCATGCGCTTACCCGGAAGCACACGCGAACCGGAACCTTGCGATCCTCCTGCGGATCCCATACCACGATGCATGAGCGACTGACCGTGGGAAGCGGGTTGACCGCCGAAGCCGTGACGTTTCATACCCTATAGGAAGATCAATTAGCAATCCGTTCTGACGACCATATTCCCTCTCCAAGCAATACACCCTCTTTTCCTCTTCCACTACATATCAACACCCGAAATAGGAATATAGAGACAAACTTACACCCGCAAACCCCATACCCCTCGAAACGCCCCTAACGTCCACAAACTGCCCGGGGGTAAACCACCTCGCGCCGACTTCCTCCCCGACCTTGACGGCGAGCCCCTGCTCCGTCTTGACCTGGAACTCCGCGACCCACCGCTTGGGCGCGACGCCCGCCTCCGCGAAGTGGCCCAGCATCGGCCGGCTGACGTTGTACGCCTGCTTGCTGCCCGCGCCGATCTGCACCGCGAAGTAGCCGTGCTTGTCGCGCGTCTTGTGCGCAATCACCTCGTTGCGGTCGAGCTGGAGGATTGTGCAGGGCGTGCGTTTCCCCGTCTCCGTGTCGAAGAGGGCTGTCATGCCGCGTTTTATGCCGAGGAGGCCGGTTCGGAGGGGTGTGGAGTGTGCTCGCCTGTCGAGTGCGGCTGTCGAGGTGCTGGTGAGAGCATCTTTGTGAGGGTTGTGGGCGAAGCGGTCCGGTCGTGGGGTGTTTGTCGATTTTATCGTTCGAATCGGTGTGTACGATGGGGTTTGTGATTGGGAGAGATGGGTTGCTATGGGTATCGAGGGAAGCAGAGAGCGCGTGGACGACGGGAGGAGGAAGGACGGGGGAAGAAGTCCCCAATTGAGTGCCGGTCTGGGAGGCATTATGGCGTTGCTGTGCTGGAACTTGATGGACGGTCGTTCAATTGAGGTTTGATGGATTTTGCGGATAAGTGGTCTGAGCTTCCGCGCCAAGAGATATACCGACACGCGCGGTTAGGATGCCTTGACACGTGATGTCTATCCTTCTGGAACTCATGTTTCCATGGTTGATAGATTGACAATCGTGGGTCGTGCATCACGGAGATCATGCACCAATCAGTTTTAGCCGATCAAAATGATAGAAAATTGTTAAGAGGAAAAAAAGCCCGAAATATGTGCATTTGAACGCGTGGTATCATACAGCCTCCTAATAGATTAAACGCCAGAGAAAATCAAGTACGTAAACAGGGTATCCTCCAAAGGAAATGTAAAAAGAAGCGTAACTCAAAGCTTCATAATGTCATTCCGTGACACGAAGCGTGAAACGATGCAGTCATGAGTGAACATGCTAACAAAGGTTTTTGTAGGACAACAGTAAATGCCATGATCAATCATCCCAGTTGACACCACGCACCTCAGCGTTGGGGCCACGAACAACGACATCTCGTGGAATATCCTGTGGGAATGTTAGAGACAGGCATGGAACAAAAGATGGCTATGATGAAACTTACCCGAACGACAACGGATCCAGGGAAGATGATGGCACCCGTGCCAATTCGCACGCCCGCGAGAATGGTGGAATTTGCACCAATCCAGACGTTCTCGCCGATGTAAATCTCGGCGGCAACGGCAGACCCCCGACTACCCTTCAAACTCTTGAAGTCGGTCGGCACCTTCTGGGTATCGATGGTGACGCCAGATTGGATGGTTGTGTTTCTGCCAATGAAGATCCTACTAGAGTCTAGGAATCGGCACTGCGCACCAATGTTGACGCAGTCGCCGATCTGGAGGTTATAGCCGTAGTCGCAGTGGAATGGCGTATCCACAAAGACCTGGGTACCTACAGAACCTGGAGATGTCGGCTCGCGTCCCCGATACATGTGCTGAGTCCATCTGGCCTCGACAATTGCACGGAAGTGGCGGTCCCGCTCATCACGCGTGATCTCTAGATGGTTGTTCGCAGTGCTGTTGTGTCGATACAAAGCTGCCTTGCACTGCTCGCGTTCGGCAAGCAGTTGAGGGTTGAAGGGCATGAAGGGCTCGCCATTCAGCATCTTCTCCTTTTCGCTTCGCTGCGGGCGAGGCGGTGGTGGAGCGTAATGAGCCGGAGGGGCTGGAGGACCAGAAGTTGGAGGAGGTTGAGACATCGGGGGCGGGTGAGACTGCTGAGACTGGTGGTGCAAAGCTGCCTCGGCCGTGACAGCGGGTGAAGTATTCACGACCTGGCTCATCGTCTGTGGCGTGTGGTGATAGATGCGAGGATTGTGCGGGCGAGGACCACCATTTTGGCTGGGGTGTGGCGGATGGGCTTCAATAGAGGGAGGTCGAGGGTGGGAAGGCGAAGGAAGAGCATGTGGGGGATGAGGTGGATGAGGAGGATGAGAAGAGTGAGGAGGGTGTGTAGGATGAGCTGGATGAGTAGAATGAGGAGGGTGGTGAGGAGGTGGAGGAGGCGGAGGAAGAGGTCCGTACTCTGGTGGCGGTGGAGCACGATCAGATGAGTATGTTGGTCGGGGTGGTGCGTTCTCCCAGGTTGGAGTTGGGGCTTGAGCTGGAGCCCAGCCATTTCGGCGATCGTGTTCCTCAATCACGATGGGTTGTCCACGACCGCCATCGGTGGGGGGTCCCTCCGAGTATTGCTCACGACCGGTAGTGTGACTACAATTGAAAAGTCAGAACGGACACCAGGAGATTTTGCGGGGTTTGCATCACATACTTGTGGTAGAGCTGGGCAGGATCGAGAGGATATCGATCCTTGGCTTGCAGTGGAGGGTGGGGTTTGGTGATGCCATTCTTGGGCCATGGAACCTTGTTCGCATAACCTTCGCAGATGAATCCTCCGCGCATGCAATTGTTGCCTGTGTTGCAGAATCAGCAAATGCCAACTGTGTGTATATGTTGGTAGTACGGGGGAACCTTTGCAGTACGAACATTCTGGTTTAGCCTCGTCGCATTTCTTTTTCCGTCTTCGACAAGTTCCACAGCCTGTCTTGGTCCGGTTGGCGAATTGCTTACAGCAGTTAGTATGCACCGTAGACGCCTTCTGCTATGGGGAGTCACAACATACCCTCTTACGCTTTTTCGGGTCTACCTGGACGCCAGCGCGTGTGATTTCTGTCGTGCTAGATCGCTCCGACTCGATCGTGCTGCCGTTCGACTGAGGGATCGTTCCTGGGTGCGGTTCACGGTTCGGTTCACGATTCGGTTCCATGGCGCGAGGATCCCGGTATTGGGGATCTGGATAGGACTCGGGGGAGCGATTGTGTGATTCCTGCGGTGGCCATGCTCTGTCGCGTTCGGCAACATCCATGGGAGGTAAGGTCCGCTGGATCGGGGGCTCCATGACGGGACGAGCCTGCGAGATGGATTGGGGAGAATCGTCACGGCTGGCCGATGCGTAGGAATCGAGCCGGTGCTGCCTGGATTGGGTCGAGTCGCCGGTCGGGGACGGGTACGGGGAGGAGATTTCGGTGGATTTGGAGCGCTTCCTCTTGCCTGGACTTTGGGGGGACCCGTCTCGTGGTGGTGGTAGTGTGGGAGAAACCGAGTGATGGTTATGATGACGAGCAGCGCCGTTCTCTGCTGGGCGATGAGCCGCCCACTCTTCCCTCACGGGAAGAGGAGGCTTCTGTTCGAGCGGGGGGGAGTGGATCTGGGAGAGGGGCCTGGGAAGGACGGGTTCAGTGGTCATGCCGTTCGTGCCATTCACTCTGCGTGGTTCGGGGAGGGAAGGGGGAGAGCCTCGTCCATTCACGGCGGTAAATCCAGACACGGGTGGCTCGGCGGGCCTCTCTCTCAGCATGTAGCTTCCGGAACTTATGGTTTGCGTTTGAACAACAGATGGCATGATAGTACGGAAAGATGGGAGGCGTTGACCACTTTCTGTAGGTGGATCAAGCGCGAGGAATGGTCAGTGCCAAGTTCCAGGGCGTACTGCGGGACGTCAAGTAGTACGTGGGCGCAAAATAAAGTTTGGTCCTTCACCGGCCTTGCGTTTTTTGGAGATGCAGCTGGTGGGAAGTTGGGATTTCAGAATGAGAGGGACGTTGGGAGGATGGAATGGGGTGGGAGATTGAATTGCAAGTTGCACGGTGGGTGGAGATGGCGGCTTTCGCGCTTAGTGGATGGTCGAGATGGAGCCGAGGTGGACGCTGACAAAACGGACTACTGCCTGGCCTGGAGTGATGATCGCAAGTGTGAAGTCGAAGCGTTTGCACAGGGCATTCCAGAGGGCGGGTCGTCCCGCGAGGTATTTCAGCAAGGAGTCGAGGTTTTGCACGCGCAAGGCGGGGTTACTGGATCTGGACGAGCAGGTAAGATGTTTTCTTTTCTCTGGGTCGGGACGAATGGTGATATTTTGTGCGGCGCGGTGGTGATCCAAGCAACGAACGGTTTTGGCAGTAACGGGCGTAGGAATGTTGGAGCGTATGCGAGGGATCCAGCAACGACCCTTTCCTTTTATTTCATTGACAATAATTGAGTCGAGCTCGCTAGAGAGAAGGATAAAGATTAGAGACCTGAATAATAATAAGAATTGTGGTGTTGGTGAGGAGGAGCAAGTAGTAGGTAGGCGAGAGGATGGCAGGAAGGGGATAAGAGTTGGGGTGGGAAGAGTGAAGGGAAGAGAGCCGCGTGGTAGTTGGGGAAGGAGCGGCGGGCGGTGTGGTATTGTATAGGAATTGGGCTGGAGACGACCAGCGGAGAGGGAAGCGACTAATTGGTCAAATAGCGGCGGACAGGACGGGACCACAGGACAGAACAGGACAGGACGGACAAGTAACGTACCCCTCCCTCTATCATCGGAGAGAGAAGATAGAGAACAAGAATAAGAAATAGAAAAGAGAACAGTGATGGTGGTGGTGGTGATGGGAGGCAGGAGTAACTAACAATGATAGTACTCGTTGTCGTTGCCGTAGAAGTAGCAACAGCAATTCGGCCAGAGAAGAATCGGATGATGTTGATTGATGAAATGATGAGGTGATGAATAGATGAATATGAGGAGGGGGAGGGGGTGAGGAATTAGGGATGATGGATTTGGAGAGTAAAGCGAAAAGAGAAAGAAGAGGAAGGGTAGTAAAGAGAGAGAGAGAGAGAGAGGAATAGAGAGAATAGAGAGAGTAGAGAGAATATGGGAAGGAAGGTTAGGTAGGAAATGTTGGTTTTGGTAGGAAGGAAGGGTAGGTTACGAGGACGGTAGTGTGGTAGTGTAGGGAAGGCACATAGGTTAGGGCGAGCAGGGTAGGGAAGGCACGAAGGGTAAGGCAGGGAAGGGTAAGGCAAGTAGCGTCAAGGTACAGCGGGGCGTAGAGGCGCAGGCGCGAGCGAGCTAGAGAGCGAACGTGGAAGGAAGGAAGCAAACAGATTTGGCCAACGAACCTTGGAAATAGTGTGAAGATGGTGGTGGATGGTTGGTCGGCTGCTCGATTGGTTGGTTGGTTGCTTTGGTTGGTTGGATAGATGGGATGGACGGATGATGAACCAACGAGAACAGTCCGACAAGCGAACGGAAAAGGAACGAACCTAATGAACCACTACTGCGCGGACCGAACAGTAGTGAGAACCAAACGTTGTGGTGGACAGCACGGATGGTGGAATAGGAGGGAAACGGGGATGAACGAGGTAGTTGGCTCCAACGAACTGAGTGACGAACGATCGAGCGAGCGAACGAACGAACGAACGAACGAGCAGGACAAACGACCTGGATGAGAAGAGAATGAGGATGAAGGAGAAGAGAAGAAGGAGAAAGGGAGTGGAGAGGGAATAGACACAGTAAAAAGCCTTGAAAAGAGTCGAAGAAGAGAGAGAGAGGACAGCGTCTATTATTCTGCTCTAACGGAACTCTTCTGCCACTACCAGGCATTCCCGCCCACACCCATCCGCACCCATACACATACTCACACACCTACACGAATAGGTACCTCATATAGGACGGATAGACTGAGGAACGGAGTACTCCTCAGACATACATACATGCCTACTACATAGATGAATCTACCGCCGCCTACCTTTATCTTATCTACTGCGCCTACTAAGACACTCATTGTCCTCAGGTTATGCTTTGTTCTACAACCTTCCAGATACTCGAAACGGACGAGAAGATGAGGGAAGACATGATAATTCTCTGTGCGTCTGGGAGAGCAGAGAGTTCAGGAAGGAAAACGAGGGAGGACTGATGAGAGGGAAAGGAAAGACAAGGGTAATGGAGGTATCATCCATGTCCATCCACGTCCATCCATGCCTTCTAGTGTCTGATTGGCCGACGATCCGGCCGCCCGCCGCGGCTAACACAACACAGCATTCTGATGTTTGCGCACAGGCCACTCCCGGCACCCATCGCGTCGACCCCCGCCCCGATATAGAAGAACGGCGCTAACCCCGAACCATCGACCCTCTCCCACCCGCCGACAAACCCAGATTTCCCCAGATTTCCACCCTCAAAAGCTATGAGGCTCCGGAAAAATAGATGATGCTGGACCTGCGTCTGCAAGACATTCTACCACGTGTTTTTGGCGAAAAAAGCGCGTTGAGCGCTCGTAGACGTGAGTCGGGTCGTAGTGGAGGGTCGAAGACAGGTGAGGTCGACCAGGGTCGCATCAACACTTCCGTGGCCCGTTCGCGCCCGGCGGGATGGCAGGCGACAAAAATCGAGCTTCAGCGGTTGCGATTGGTTGAGTTTGGGGCCAGGGGGATGGGAGGGGGTAAGACAGGAGGGGGGGGGGGGGGGGGGGGGGGGGGGGGGGGGGGGGGGGGGGGGGGGGGGAAGGGGAGGAGGGATGGGATGGAATGAGATGGGGTGGTTTTATTATGGGATTACGGGCTATGTGCTATGAGATGATGGGCTACAGCCTACAGCATACAGCCTACCCGTACGGCGTAGAAAAAGAAAGATGGTGGATGATGGTTGGTGTGCGTACGGGAACTGTTACGCTGGGTTTTGGGCTGGGCTTGATGTCTGTGTGTACATGCATGACTGCGGGTAAGGATAAGGGCAAGGATGTGGAGGAGGACGATGATGAGGATGATGATGACGATGAGTTATGATGGTGATGATGTTGAAGGAGGATTCGGTGGAGAGGAGAGGAGGTGGTGGTGGTGGTGGTGATGATGATGATCAAGAGAAGAGTGAATGAGGTGTTGTCGTGTGTGTGATGCGATGCGATGCAATGCGTGGTGTCCGTGTCTGTCTGTGAGTGTGGGTGTGAGGTGTGTCTGTGTGCGGATGGTGCATGTGAGATGAGGCGCGCGCTCGCGGACGGTTGCCAGTCTCCATGCAGTATCAACTGTACCCTACCGTACTGCGCGCTACACTTCAGTCTAGTCGATGCTGTCTAACCAAGTACGTACATCACACTACACTACCTACACTACACTACACTCCACTAACACTAGCCCAACATCTGCAACGGACAGGAGGGCAGAACAGATTTAGTAGGCCAAGCCAGGCAAGTAACGGGTATTGTATTGTATTTATAACATAGGACTGTTGGAGTGAGCAGGCCAGACAGGGAAAGGCATGGCCAGCAATCGCATGGGTAGGGCCAGCTGGCGGGGACAATCAAAAATATTGGGACGGGCATTGCCTGACCGGGGGGAAGAGGGGAGGAAGAGGGTGTTCTGCGGTGTAGCCAAGTCTATAGTGGGTGCTGGAGTTGGGGGGATGAAGCATGGAACGGATTATGAGATGGAACGATGAGATGAGATGGTGGTGGCAGTAGAAGAATAGTTGGACCAGAGAGGGCCACCAGGAGGGGCCAACCCGATTCCATTCCGTTCTGTTGAATGTTCCAGTACGATTATTATTATCATCATCATCGTCGTCGTCGTCGGGGAGAAGATGAGGCACAGCAATTGAATGAGGCATAAGGCTCCCATATCGTGAATGGATTGGACACCAAATCATTTACTTACTCACCACCGCCACTACTCATGCAAAGAAGTGAACGGAGATGGAGGCGATGCTGGCCGTACACATCATCCTCTCGCATGGCCAATAAGCATACGGAAGACGGAGTACAGGCGCACTCAACTACCCTGATTTACCGTCAAATCCTTCCATCGGAAACGATAAGACGATGATGATGTCTCTCTCGCAAGCAGTGACTGTTCCTGTAAACTGCTGCTACCGGCCCGCTAGGATTGACAAGACGTTCCTCTCTTGGCTTGTGCACGCGGGCGGCAAACGTAGTCGACAAGAAAGCCGCGCCTGGTCCGGTCGATTTTACTGAGCACACTCAATATCAACTAGTGAATCATCTTCCTCTCCTCACTACTCACCGGTACTCCGTGACTACTCCTCACACGAGTTACAGAATGCTCGAAAAGGAAAGAGATTAGAAGAGAAAGAAACTAAGACCATCTCCTCCCTCACACGTACAGAACCTGCAAGCATGAAACATCATCACTAGAAGGGAATACCTCTTTGTTCTGATTCTACAGTCTAGCCACTACTCCGTACTGTCTGGACTCTGGAGGTGATGTGTGATTCTTCACCACTGTCACTGCATCCATGATCCAGCCATGCAACGAGCCTCCGATGCACCGCCGCTGTGACGATGATCACATTGGTACGGAGTAGTGGGAATTGTGCCCCCATCTTTCCATCATCTCGTTCTGCTACGGCGACGAATTTGGGCAGATACATATCTACCTCCACCATCTTTGACCTGGACACCCCTGCGAACCATCAATCAGGATTGCTTTTGCCGTCGTCCCCGCCGCCGCTGCTGCCCTGATCGAAGCACCAACCTTTTTAGCTGCAGAGACAAGCACACGCACACGCACGTCGCAGGACGGGAGGAACACGAACGAAGCGACCAAGCGACCAAGTCAGGCCTCGAGGCGCGTCAGTGCTATGGCGGGCCAGGGCGGCCCCTAGAGAAGGGCAGGGCAGGAAGAGGGAGGCGGCGAAGGCGGCGACGGCGGCGAGGAGCAGCACCACCACTTGTTGACAATGGCTGACGAGCCGAGCAGGCCGTCGATCTGTTCTGAACAGGATGGGCGGGGGGGACGGGGGAGAGCTGGATGGAGATGGGTTGGGATGGCGTGGATGGGTAACGTGAAACAGGTTGGTGCCCGGTTGGACGAAAGGTTTTGCCTTGAGCCCCGCCTCGAGCTGGCTGCCCTGTCAGCTGTCCGCTGCCCGCTCCCTCGCCCTTCCCCGATAGGTTTTTTTCCTTTCTTTTCTTTTTCTTGTTAATGTATTTTCGCATCATCCGCGCACCGCGCCTATCGAGTATCGAATGCCTTGGCACTTGCGAGGGACCATTCCCAATTTGGGTCTTGGAGCTAGCACTAGCTTGATGGTATACGAGAGAACGTCCTTGTATGCACCGCTGCACTATGTAGTGCCAGCTTGCCAGGAGTAACTAACCCAAGATACTCTCGATTCCCCCTCCATCCGCCATGCTAACCCTCGGCTGAGTTGACGATGATACACCTGTGCGGCTGTGCCTCTCTGTAGTTGCTAGATACGAGGTACTTGAAAAAAGTTCGTCAATGGTCGCGGACTCGCGGCCAAATAGCTATTAGTGCGTGTAGTTGCGGCACAGCTGTCTTAACCCTTGTAACGTGAACCTCCGGTGCGCTTCGGCTTCTCGTCTGTTTGGATCTTCTGGACTGGCTCTCGTGTAGTTAATGTATAGGTAGGGCTTATGGATTCAGCTATTACCATTCCATTTCATTAATTACCAGGTTCTGTTGGTAATGTACTCCGCTCCCCTTCATCGAGACAGCAACACCATTGTTCCGCCTCAACAATAAAACAGTCAATCTTCCACAGCAGACCATCTCATCACATAGCTAGCCAGCTAGTCTCATCTGCTACTACTCCTCGAGCAACACCCAAGACTTCCACATTCGAACAATGCTGCCTTTCCAACTTTTCCCCATCCACACATCTCTACCTGGTGGCTGCGGCGTGAACTTAAAAACCATCACACACACACTACACTAACCCACTTCACCACACTACGAATAGCTAGGTAGGCACTCATTCACAGTGGAAACAATGATACAAAGTAGACGATGAGTTGGAAGTTGGAACCCCACCAACAAAACACACCGATAGGAACGACTTGTATCATCTCAATACCAGTTTCTTCATACGCTACCGGCGCCACCACCTGGGGACCCACAACTATCTTGCCTCGTTTATGCGCTGCGGAAGACGCATCCGCCCATAAGCCAGATACGGACGTACTGATGAAGGGAGTATGTATGGACGTGGGCACTTGCTAACTTGTCATGTATGCCTTTGCTCTTCCATGTCCCTATGGCCGGCATTTTTGTACGATCATGTACTCCGTACGTGTATGAGTGTATGGGCAGATATCCATACCTACATTCATATATTTACATGTGGGATAGCCTTGCGGCAAGTATGTGGTTGGTATGTGATGCACCTCCATTACAGCACTAGAGTAGTACGAGTGGATGCTTGATAGCATCTTTTATTGTAGAGAGGGCCGTCTGCGTGATGCGTACAGCACGCACACCGTACATCCATCCAATAGCACAGTGACAATGTACGCTGCTGTGTAACTACTTTGCTTTGTGGCTGCATGCATGTCGCCAATCCGTTCCAATCCAATACCTGGGCTGGGTTTGGCTGCCTCCGCTACGCCCGGCGCTCCAATTTCAATCGCTTCAGTCGCATCAATCGCCCACTAGCTCCTTCATCCCATCCCATCCCATCCCATTTCTACAATAGATGTGCTCCATACCATACCAAACTGACTCGAACCGTGTCCATCCCATCTCGCCTCCCCATCCGCCCGCCGTTGGAACGTCCATCATTTCTATCTGCCACATGCCACCTGCCCACCACGAGCCGTCCTTTTGTCGAATCCTCAAACCCCCTCGTCAAGCCACTTGATCTGTAAGCGCCAGCCCTCGCGCATCGTTCGGCGGCTCTCACCCCAGTTTCATCATTATCGGCATCCACCTCATCCACCTCATCCACCTCATACTCGTAATCATTCCTTCGAGTCGCAACCTGTCGTTGTCGTCATTATTCGCCAGATGAATACTCTGGTCGCCCTAGGTAGGTTGGTAGGTAGAGAGGTACCAACCCCAATTTACCTCGTAACATGGCCGTTCTAGCACCCATTCTGAAGCATGCATGTTAAGCCTGCGCACATTCTAGCCATTGAATAACTCTACCCTGTGTATGCATGAAATAGTATGGGTACTCAACAACTCTCCTTCTACCAGCAACTCCACTATTTACCATTTTCTCTACTGACATCAACTTCGTCCCGCTTTCTCAGACTATCCTCAACGGACTTTTAGTCTACAACTACATTTGCCTATTTCAGAAATATCATTCAAATTCTTAGTCGCTTAATTACATTGCCAGGATCGGAGAAGAGATTCCTTCCGACCAACTTTTTCATCCTTTTCAATATAATTCCCTCATATGGCACTCTACTACATCTGTTTTTATATGTAGTTCCCGTTGAACCCGGCGCCAAATGATGGTCCTTCTTCTGTGCGATTAGCCCCCATTGAACCCGATGTGCACTTGCATCATCATCGTCACCACGATAATCACGATCAGGAGCGATAAACTCCACACTTACGCCCAACTCCAGCCCCTGCTCGACCTGACTCTCTCGTCTGCTGGTCTACAGAATCTGCCTTGATGTTCACTTGCCGATGGCGCCGAGGTTCTAGATGAGATCTCTTTCTGAATATGTAGCTAGTACCCCGTGGAACGACGCCAAACACATGGATGATGCCCGGTTTCTTTAATGTGTAATTTCTACCCGTAGATCCCGAACCGCGTCTACATCATGATCGGGAGAGCAACCCCACAAATGTCTCTTTAGACTCACTCGCTCTTTCTGAACTCTTTCTCTCCCTCTCTGGCGGGCCGACAATCGACTTGCCTATCACTTTTAACACCGACACCGCTTCTTTACAAATACGATATCCGCATAGAGGAACTGGATATGCATTTGCACTTGAAACAATTCATACATTGTATGGATGTACTCTGTACAGTACATTCGACTCGACTAACTATATGGGTAGGTAGTATTGTAAGTACCTGGGTAGTGTATAGAACTCGTTTGTTTATTACAGATATGCGGAGTACTCCGTACATACTCTGTAATACCCCCATTCCATGTCCCGTAAATCCTCGTAGCCGCCATGAAGGAATCAAGTGTCTGTGCGGCATACGCCTTCCTTCCTCTTTGCTGCTATGTAACAAATAACTGTTACTGTAATTGCCTATACTGTACATGTAACTGGGTACGGAGTAGGTACCTTCGTATCTACTGTACCCCATGCATGTCCATTATCACGTACTTTATCTTGGCACTCGTACCCACACCACACCCCTCCACTTCATCTCTCATCCCTCATCCTTCATCCTCCAGCGTCTCCTCCTCCTCCACCCGTTTCACGACCTTCCTCAATCGAGATTTTCCCTCCTCTCCCTTGGGCTCTCTCGCTGTGTTTCATTCATTTACACCATCTAGCGCCGCCTGCTCCGTGCTAACACGACACCTGAACGCGCGCCTTATCCCGACATTGTTTCCCTCCTCTCATTTCTCCCTCAGCAGTCCACCGGGAGCTCGGCTCGACCCGGTCGTCCCGAGCTTTCACACCCTTACGGGGTCTCATCAATTGTCCAAGTCCAAAAACTAACTCACAGTCCAATCCCCAATAATCCCAATCCAAACTCAAATCTCCCCAATAGTCCTGCTGCTGCCACTGTGATCGCGGCACAGCGCACATCCGCATCACCCATCACCCACTCTCCGTTTTCTATTTTGCTCGCGGAGGACCTCACCCCTTCGCTTCGCACTACGTACGATACGGTCAGGTCGGTGAAGTGCGCATGGGATGGCATGAGTGGCCTTGCGTAGCAAGGGCCTGATGATGCAACACGAGATGAGCGTCATTGGAACCACCACACTTCTGTTCTCCGCCCATACGCGGCTGCTGTCGCCGTTGCCCATCGCCCGATTGCCGTTCGTGTTTGCTACCCTTTCAATGCAGCTGTGAGGCGTGGTAGGGAGGGAATAGCTGGGCAGAAGTGTGGGTTCTCAACTCATTTTGCTTGGCTGTGTTATTGCGTTCGTACGGTTGTTCGTTGGGCCCTTGATGCCCCTATGCGGCAAGAAACGCGGAAATGGAATGATCATTGGTTGCGCTGGTGCTGGGTGTTGGTGGTGTGTGCTTGTGCTTGGGTCGGAGAGCTTGCGAGGATGCTTGTATGCGAAGGATGCGTGGGCTGCCGCGTCTATCGCATGTGCAACATCTTGACATGCCACACCGCCGTTGGTCGGCCTTAGCCTCACTATGGACAGTGCGCCTGGGCCTTGTGTTTTATCAACTCTCGCCTGTCTGTCCCGTATTGGACGGTAAGTGGATGGATACAGAGTACGATTCGGTACGTGGGCTCACTCAGCGCCTCCGCTTCGGCATACCACCAGCATGGGAACGTACATGCACTGTGCACAGAAGACGACACCGTCGTCACCGTCACCACCACCACTGGACAAACATACCTATGGAGTACACGGCGATAGACTGTCAAGCCTCCACCGACGCCACCACCTCGATCATCTCCCTTCTCCCCGGTCGTACGCGCCCTCGACTATTCTTACCAACCACTACGGACCGCCGTCTCACGCCCAGCCAATCACACAGCCTATCTGTCCTGTTCCCATCCCAAACAGGTCGGCTAATCTGGGAAAGTGTCTGTGACTTAGCCGGGCTAATATACCATCTCATAGTCCTGTTTGCCTCTGGGCCCCTGTACCCGCGAGGGCGACGTCCGTTGATCGGTCATACTCTGGATGTCTGCTGCTGCAGCTCCTGCTGGCTGGCTGCTGCAGGTCTGCTTGCGCCTACCGATGCGGTGTTGTTCTTCCCTTTCTGTCAGCATGCATCGGCGGTCCGCACGAGCCCACAAAACATCCTGGTCAGCGTTTCCTCGAAATCCATTGCAAGATCCCATATATCTTGCCTTTGGATCCCCATAAACCCTTTGAATTCACATTTTAAGCTCGCTGGAATGTCTGGGAATTTACGATTGCTGGGACTCGCGCCGACCCGCCCGTCCGTGGGGGAAACAGGTGGTGGGAGAGACGACCTCACGGTGCCGGCATTGTTGCTCGTCCGCATCCAAGCGCCCCCAATTATCCAACGGCCTGGATCGGTACAGGGTTCGCCAGCCCTCATGCGTCCTTGTCCGTCTTCAATCAGGAATTTCTTTATTGCCTCGACTCCAGGAATACCACAACCGTCATCTGACGGTGCTCTTGTGCATGGAGCCACTCCTCCTGCGCTTACTCGGTCCTGCCCATTGCCCGAGCCACAGTCGACAGCTGTTCACTTCATTTCCATCCTAGGCGCGTTGAGACGTTGACTCTGCGCGCCGTCGCAGAATGCTGCACAGTGTGAATTGTCAGTTTCTGTATGGACAGGCAGTGCACCAAGGGTTTGGGACAGTGGCGACGGGGACGGGCAAGGTCCATGCCATCCTGATCTGTCCATTGGAGTTATGCGGCATCCTGGACCGGAGTTGTGTTGTTGTCTTGACTTGTCTTGCTGTGCCGCCTCGGCCACCGTTCTCGCAGCGATTGCAGGGTGGGTTATTTGCACAAGAATAGCTTGCTCCGTTCGCGCCCTTCCACCACGTTGGTACCGTCTCATTTCAATGAGTGGTGAAAGATGAACTTGGCGACACTTGGGATCTACTGATTCTCCCAACGCCACCTCCCCGATGAAACCCAAATATGAGTGAAGGTGTGGTGTATGCCTGTTTCTTGCGTATGTGTGTGTCTGTGTGTCTGTGGATATGGTAGTTATATGCCGTAGTTCCCGATTGGGGAATAGTCCGTATTGGAACAGGACGACCACTTCTACATAGAGGATGCCTTGGGACGAAATCCCGGCTGTAAGGCTCGAGATAACTATGGGGAATCATCCTACAGTCATCCACAAGAACAGCGATACGTCGACGCGGTATTGCTGGCCTCCTTTTTGGGGCAAATATCCCACCCTGTGTGATTGCGGCACAGTTCGCCAAAAGTAGATCGAGATGAAGGAATACACACTGTACTTCCAGAGGCACACTTTAGCTGGGCAAATTGGCGAGCACGTGGAAGAGCTGCTCATCAGTAGGAATCATACAACAGGTGCCCCCAGTTGTTCAGTACTATACCGGACCGAATCACCGTCCAGAGGATGAAGCGACCACCTGGCTGACAGATGTCCAGGCTGGGAGCCTTCTCTCGCACGCATGCACTACCACCACGCGAGATATCTTTCTTCTGCCAGCTGTGCCGCACGGCTGCAGCGTTTTGAGGGTGAGAAATCCACCAGCAGAAATTCCTTTCCGCGCGTGACAGCACCGCCTTCTTAGTCCAGCCAGTCAGCCAGCCAGCGAGCATTTTAACTTTGCTGTGCCGCAACAGCATGCAGGTCTGGCGAGGTGGTCGGAACCCTTGCGAAGCGAGGGGAAGGAGGAATAGAAGGACGAAGAGGAGGTCCCCCGTCCCTCGTAAAGCCGCGAATCTCAGAAGAACCGCATGGTAATATGCGGCTGTTTGGGAGGTCCTTCTCGAGCAATATACACTAGACTTGCAGCATACGCGCGGGTGGGATCACTTTCGACCACTTCCCCTCAACGGTGTATAGCATGCCATGCCACGGCATGCACGTCTTCGGATCGAGGGGAGCGACCTTTCACACATATACGCCCTGCTCGTTGCTCTGCTCCTAACTAACTCTGCCGCAGGACGCACGCATGTTGCATTTCTCTGCTTTCATTGTTCACATTCCACACATCCCAAACCCAAATCGGTCAGAACGTTCAAGTTCGCAATATGGCCCAGCTTCCCAATCAGGAAGTTGATGATCTCCGTGCTACCATTCGTCCACCGCGCGGGAGATGAAGACGAAAGGACATCCAGACTGGATTCCTAAATCCGACTGGAACATGGATGCTCCCAGTGTGTGTGTGTGTGCCTTGCCTCACCTCACCTCACCTTCGTCGTGTATTACGTCTAAATCCAGCCTTGCAAGATGCCGCTCCGTTCCGGTTCCCTCACCACCAACACCACCCCCCTTCCGCCAACGAAATGCTCACCTCACTATCTCTCTCTCACACACACAACGCGGATACCGCGGAAGAATCCCATGGCGTAAGCAAATGAGTTGGTGTCGTGGTCCTTCATAATCAATCGATCAATCAGGACTTCCCCTCCTTTCTCAGGCCCCGCGATCGGGACATGATATCTGACACAGACGCTTCGATTCGATCTCGCATCAAAAGCGAACTGTCAGCGTCAGCGCAAGTATGACAGAAGGAAAGCCACCGGGGCAATTAACACAAACAGCTTATCTTGCACCTAACTACTTGTCTTTAGCTTCGAACCTTCGAGTGCATCATCGTTGTCATTCATTCCACTGCTATCTCCGCGGGAACACACACGAGAATGTTATCCATGAACAGGGAGATAAAATGGGAGAAATGCCAAATGATAACTAACGTGTCAGATGTACACACATAGCTTTAAGTCACTGGATATATACGCTAGATAGAGTAGATGTAATAGAAGCCTTACAACTCCACTTCCTTCCTCTGAGAATAGATCACCTTTGAAGTCTATGCTTGCTTCCCTCCTCTTCCTCTTTTTTCTCGTGTGCTTCGGACGTGACTTTATAGCACTATGTACATATCCTACAGGTACCTATCTATTGTATCGGACGTAGTAGCTTCAATTTTATAAGAACAACTCTACTTGTTGGGCGGTGGGGGCGATTTTGTGGGATGAGTGTGTATTTATTCCCGTATCAAACACCGGATATCTATCATTTACAAAACTCCTCAATGCATGTGTTTGTGCAAACACGTTTATACATACGTACAGACTCACTACCAGCAAGCGAATATCAGAGTGTTTGTTCGCTTGTTCGTTCGGTGCTCTGTGGTTTTCTTTGTTTCTTTGCTAGTTTGTTCATTCCGTTTGCTTTGGATGCGGAAGTAGGGGGTATAAGAAAAAATATATAAACTAGGAATAGTATCATTGTAGGTATCAAGATCAGGATCCGTCTGGTTTTTCTCACAGATGTTTGGGGTGTTCGTTTATTTCTTATTTGGTTAGTTGTATACCGTATTGTATACTGCGGATAGTAGAACGCGAACGATATCTAGAAACCCGGCCTCTATCTAGTGTAATAAGGGCATATATTTCATACACATTGTAGCCTACGATAGAAATGAAATGGCCGGAAAGGAATTATAGTACCGAAATTCTAAGCTTAGGTAGACGTAATGATAAATCGTGACGATGATCAAGATGGGGAGTTGCGTATATGTATACACACACCTCGACGTTTTCTGGGAATAAAAGACTGTGCAGTACGTCAAAGATACTTTTCTTGGACGGTGGTTTGCTGTATTAGCTATAGATGGCAGCGTCGCTGTTATCTGTTCGAGTGCCAGTGTGGGGAGGGTGTTCTATCTCTTCACTGTTCGGCAGAACCGTCGCTATCTTTGAAGATATAGTGGTCATTCGTTGTTTGCTTTTATATTCATCTTATACTCTCCTGCTTCGCTCTGATGGAGGTTTATGAAGAGAGCTAATGGACGGTGTCGTTTGATATATAGATTTAACTGGAGGACCTACCAAAACTTACCCCTTTTCCCTTCTCGTGTTTGTGTGTTTCAGTGGAAAGTTGATTCGAGGTTGGAAGAGCGTGTTTGCTTGCTACCTTCTTAATTCAAGTTTATGAAGGACGGAGCTGGAGTTGGTTTGTGTTGTTTGACTCAGTTTGTCTGGTTTACGTATATCAAGATTCATGTTTGCTCTGAAAATAAGTAGTGTTTGTCACATATATGTCTATATGCGTACCCCCACCGTGTAAAGCTGGACGCTTCTACATCCATGTACTGCCATCTTTTAATCATTTTTTTGTCCTCTGTTCAGTTTGGTCTTCATCATGGTCGTAAATATTGGGATGGGTTTGTGAGGGGTCTGGTTTCGCCGGAGGCGTTTTTCCCGAGATGTTACATCTGTGATGAAAACAGGCAAAGGGTGACATACCTTAGGGGTAAGGAAAGAAAGTTCCGTCTATCATGCATATACAGACCAAGCGTTTTACTCAATGAATAGGATGTGTGCAAGTTTTATATCTTTTTGAGGATTTTATTTTAGTCTACCTGGAGTAACATCCTGGAATCCTTTTTCTAATATCTAGGAAACGCTGGAAGTCCTATGATTTTATCCATTGAGACCAATACGTGGACTGATAAGAGGTAAATTAGAACATTATGATATGGGTGGGAAACCAGAAGACGGGATACACATTGGTGTGGTTATTTCAACTTGACTCCTGTCATTTCTCGCTCCCCCACCACTAGGTAGGTCACTGAAGTACAACAAGGGAATATACTTGTGACATGACTGTATTGATTAGTCTGAAGTGCTGACAGGTGATTCCACCCCAAAATAGAGACCTACGAGCAAGTGGTGACCACCGCGCGGTCGTGAAGTTGTGCGCGGCATTTGAGACCACTGCATCCCAAAATGAACTCCATACTGACGATATCAGGTCAGATTGTGGGAATGGAACAGTGGAGTCAAAAGAACATTCGCACGAACATACGGAAAATGGATTCAGGAAGAGTTTGATGATGGCGAAGGGCATGCTTCTTTCATGACTGGTTGATGTAAAGGTTGGAGGAAGGATAGATCTATCTACCTAGGTATGGAAGGGATGCGGGAAGTGTCTTTGAGATTTGTGATTTCATATTAGGGCATTGATGAAGGTTGCATTGAATTAGTCTGGATGCTTGAAAGAATTCATGGACTTGGCTCCTGAGGTGAACAGTGTACACGAAGGTGTGTTGCGATACAATGACTCAGGTATCGATAGTTGGCGGGTGTGGTTTTTCCATGTTCTGAAATGAGAATGCTGGCTTTATTACGGGTATCTCTTGTATTGATGTTGGCCTCCGAAACATTTATTACAACAATATGAGTCGAGAAAATGGCTTCTTGTGTGTTCCTAATAAAAATACAACGTGATTGGAAGCATCTTCTGTTTAAATGATTGGGTCAAAGCCGCAAGACGTACGTGCAGTGAGTAGGTAGGTGACACAAACTGGTGCAGTAGTTTGCCGAAGCGTACCAACCGGATTATTGATGCATTTATCTATACAAATGATGAAATTCTGTAGTCAAGTTCGAAGAACCGGATAATGTCTATCGAAATGAGGCGAGAGGAGGAAGAGTACGCCACGTCGCCATGCATCCGAGTGCTCGATTCGGTATAGTGTCGCATGGTGGGATATCGAGTACATGTACATCCGACGTGTTTATCGCTACCAACATTCTCTCTATATCTACACCTCTTGACTTAGCAGAGGTGTTGGAGAACTTGATATCGGGATTTCCAGGAATTGGGAAGTAGGAAACACATTGGAAGAGCTGTGTACAATTACTACGACCAATTGCCAATTTCCACAGAGTTGCCCAACTCCAAAGCAATCGACATCGCTCATCTCGGGGTATATCGAACCCCAGGTAAAGAGGGGAACAATGTCTCACAACCGCCCATCCAGACGTCCACTACCACACGAAGCAAATTGGTCTCCTACTCGCCGCTCTCGACCTCGAAAATCACAGACTGCGCCCAGTGTTCCCCTTCCCCCGTCTCCACCCAATCCGATCAAACATCGTGGACGTCCAGCAACCTCACGATCCCGGCCCCCAAGTCCCCCCACAACACCCCCGCGACGGATCGTTAAACGAATAAGTGATAAACAGACCTACAACGACGACGACGACGACGACTATGAGGACCCAGAAGAAGAAGAAGAAGAAAACGATGACGACAATGGCGATCATATCAATCCCCAAGGAAAACCCCTCCCAGGAGACTCATGGTCGTTGACTAAATACAAATCGCCGAACTACCACAAAGATTCAACATATTACATGTCTGCGCTTTCCAGGAGCGAGCATTCGGACCTAAAGCTGGATTATATTGCCCCCAGGTCGAATGCCACTACCTATTCCTTTTCCACGCCTGTGACTTCCACTTCAGTCGCTGTAGCGACGAAGGCCGTATCAGGAACCAACGGCCCAAATCCCAGAAAGAATGCCCTCCCACCGCCATCCTCCTCCTCAACAGCCCATCCGCTCAGAAAGGTTCCTCTTCGCCGTCACGCGACAGCACCACCGTCTACAACCGCAACAAACAATCGTGGCTCTAATCGATCAATACGCTTCTCGGACGACGCGCTCGAGCCCGAGCCCGAGCCCCAGCCCCAACCCCAAAGACGCCGAAGGGCAACCATGATGTCAACGCCTCAGCATCGGCCGCCCCCAGACTCCATGGCCGACAACGTCCACTCTCAAAACATAGAGCAGTATCATCGGAAGTACGCACACAAGGGTTCAGCAACCCTGCCGTATTCCCCACCCACCAAGCATACCCGCCGAGAATACTCTCCGCCGACGTCTCGGTCGCAGTATCAGGGACCGTCGGCTAGGTACGCGGATCCCAGGCTGAAGAAGCATTCTGGTCGTTCTACTGTTGCTGCTGCCCCTCGGGCAGAGTACGTTTCACCGTGGGATGACCCGGATTACATGCCAGTCAATGAAGGGGGATGGGAGAGCAGAAAGGGACCCGGGCGTTCTACTGCTGCTGCTGCGGCGGCGGCGGCGCCTCGTGCGGAGTATGTCTCGCCGTGGGACAAGTCTGATTACATGATGATCAAGGAAGGGGGATGGGATAATAAGAAAGAGTTCATGCAGTGCCACGGGCTAAGCATGCACGAGCCTAGAGACTTTGATGAGGCAAAGGAGCTTTTGAATGAGTATAGGAGAAGGGACATGGAGGCAGAGGGTGTGAGGATGAGGGGTGGGGGTGATGGGGGAGAGAAGCTCACTGGCTGGGAGGCTCGTGGTCGTAGAGCGACGCGTGGCGGCGGTCCTGCTGCTCATAATCACAGCTATGGCCGTGTTGAGCAAAGGTATGATCAGGATGATGAGTTCGATCAGGAGGGCGATATGATTAACCCCAGTGTTGGCATGGACGGTTGCGGGGACTACATTGAGGGAAGCGATGACGGTGGTGAGCGCTATATCGACGACGAATCCATCAATGATGATGGTGGATATGGCAATAGAAACGGAGGAGGATGTTATCTTGACGACAACGCCGACAGGTTCGACACTTACGGACCAGAGCATGAACAACGACAGGAGTACGACCATTATGAACCCCATGATAATTACAGAGAAGATGATTTCTACGACAACGGCGGATATGATTCCGAAAGCTGCGTCGACCACGGCGATTATGATAATGAAGTCTATGGCGATGATGGAAACGGCGATTGGGACGACGGTAATGACGATTATTATGTTGATTAGAGCGTTTTTCCCTTTTGTTCCGATTAGTTCTTGGAATCTTCAAGGTCGGAATTGGGGGAGTTATTGGATATCTGGGTATGCCCTTCTCTACAGCTATTATGGTAAGGAAAGTAGGGCAGGCAAGGCAGCTTATTAGCTAGGTTATGTTACAGATGATACGGCCGATACTGTGGATAGTTATAGCACAGGTAGACTATAACGCTGACATTTCTCATTAAGAAATTGGGTGGCAAAGAGAGATGTATATTGCGTGAAGCATGAACAAAACCTGTCCCTTCCTTCAAACAGTGCAAGGTTATTTCCTTGAACAACTCCCCGGGTGCTTAATCTAAACACAATGTTGTCTGGTGGCAGAGACTTGTTCGAAGTGGCGAAAGCATTCTAATAAGATGAATACGGGTATTCGTTTGTAGACTGTGCGTTTCATTTTGCGTACATGTTGTCATTGATAGAGTCTTATCTTCACGCTAGGGTCTAATCATCTTCGAATGTAGAACGAACCCCAAGGAAAAGAACAAGCGACATAAAATCCCCATCCGATCTTCACTCATCAACACCTTTACAATCAATCGTGTCCGCACACCCCGAACCCAACCCGACCACCCAGCCTGATGACCCACCGCCATCTAAAACGCCCGAGACGAGAGCAACAGCCTATCCCTTAACCCAATCCCAACCGAAGAAAAGAAGAATGAAGATCGCGGAGCCCAACAGGAGGAAAGCACTCCAGACGCAGACCCAGCTCTACGAGGACTGTAGCGAGACCTGCTTGACGCCGTCGGCGACCTCCTGCTCTGCTGTCTTGGCCGCTGGCTGGTTTCCCTGGCCGCCCTTCTCGGCCGCCTCAACGCCAGCGCCGACCACCTCGTTCTCCTTGTCTTTCCTCGCCGCGCGGGCCGCCTTCTTGCGGGCTTGCTCTGCCTTCTTGGCGGCGGCCTTTGCGGCCTTTTCTTCCTTTGCCTTGCGGGCCTCCGCACCGCCGAATTGCTCGCGCCACTCCTGTTCGCGCTCTGGCTTGATCTGCGAGAAGAGGTAGGCGGCCTTGCCGAGGGTGTGGCCGACGGGGATCGACTTGGCCTCCCAGGTGTCCGGGATGATGAGGAACTCGGCGTTGAGCTGCTCGAGAATGGAGGCCGTGGTGTCGGGCATGTAGGGCTGGATGAGGGAGGCGAGGAGATGGATGTGCGAGAGGGCGGTTCCGACGACAGCGGCGCACTTCTCCGGCTCCTCGGTCGCGAGACGGTTGTCGATCTTGTTGTCCTGCAGCAGTTGGTTGCCCAGGCTGGAGACGTGCAGCGCGGTGGACAAGGCAGCGCGGATCTTGACGTCCTCGGACTCCTCGATGAACTTCTTTAGCAGGTCGTTGACCTTCTGCTTGTGCGACTCGAAGTATGGGTCGGTGTACTTGGTGTAGTCCGGCACGACGGAGTCGTAGATTTTGGAGTTCACGAATTTGACAACGCGGTTGACGAAGTTGCCGAGGTTCTTGAGGAGCTCGTTGTTGTTGGCGGCGATGAACTCTTTCCACTCGAATTCGGAGTCGCTGGTCTCTGGGCGGTGAGAAAGAAGGTAGTAGCGCCAGACGTCGGAGGGGATACCGGTCTCCTTTGCGTTGTTGCCGAAGACGCCGATGCCGCGGGATTTGGAGAACTTGCCCTTCTCGTAGTTGAGGTATTCGGTGGTGGAGATGGTGTTCAGCATGGTCCATTTGTCCTTGGTTCCGAGCTGGCTGGAGGGGAAGACGACGGTGTGGAATGGCACATTGTCCTTGCCCATGAACTGGTACAACTTGACCTGTTCGGGGTTGCGCCACCACTTCTCCCACTCATCTGTATATGTCGCAGTGATAGAGACGTAGCCGATGCAGGCGTCGAACCACACGTACATGACCTTATCATCGTAACCGTCGAGTGGCACTGCAGTTCCCCACTTGAGATCTCGAGTGATTCCTCGGGCATGCAGACCCTCTGCCAACCACGCAGAGGTGATCTGGGTTCCGTTTGAGCTCCACTTGCCCTCCGCGCTGGCCTTCTTGAACCATTCCTCCTCTTGGGGCTGTAGCTTGTCCAAGCACAAGAAGACGTGTTTTGTTTCCCTGGGCACTGGCGTGGCATCCTTGTGCAGCTTGCATCTTGGCTTGATCAACTCGAGAGGGTCGAGGAGATGTCCACACTTGTCACACTGATCTCCTCGAGCATCGTCGTAGTGGCAGAGTGGGCACTCGCCCTCGACGAATCGATCTGCGAGGAAACCGTGGTTCTCAGTCTCGCAGTATGGCTGTGTTGTGGTCCTCTCCTCCAGGAATCCGTTCTTGTAGAGCTTGAGGAAAATGTCTTGCGCGATATCGGTTTGCTGTTTTGTGGGCGTGCGGCCGAAGTGGTCGAAGGAGATGTTGAACCACTTGTACACTTCCGAGTGAAGGGCATAGTACTTGTCGCACAGCTGTTGTGGGGTGACGCCCTCCTCAATGGCTTTTGTCTCGGTCGCTGTTCCGTACTCGTCTGTACCACAGACGTAGAGGGTGTTGTAGCCTCGAGCGCGAGCGTAGCGGGCAAACACGTCTGCAGAGAGCACACTGCCGACGATGTTTCCAAGATGTGGTACGTTGTTCACGTAGGGAAGTGCGGAGGTGATGAGGATATTCCTCTCGCCCTCAACGGGCAATATCTTCTTCTCGGTGGCCATATTGTGTGCCCTTTCTAGGAGCGGTAATGTGTGGGGTTTGTTCTAGATTCGTCCAAAGAAATTGAAAGGAAGCTAAGTTAAAGAGTCAGTGACAGGTTTGTGCTGAAGAGAGAAGAGGGGAAAAGTACAGGAAGGAATTGTGATGTGAATTGGTGGTGGTGCGTTGAGTCAAAGGTGGAGGTAAAGAGTGATGAGTGATGAGTCGATCGCATTCGGAGCTTATTATGTCCTAATACTCTCGTACCTGATGGCTGGATCAATAGATTATTTGCCAAAGGAAGAAAACCATCCAGTCAGTGTTGCCCCTCCGCTCCGATGGCCGACAATACCCCGCTGTTTAGCCACAATTTTCGCTGGGTCACGTGGCTTCAATTAGCCACAGCGCCACAGCGACCCTGAATTGGACCCTGCAATGATTCATTATTAATGATAATGATTAGGCAGGTATACTAGTACGAGGGGAAATTCACTTGCTTGTTCGTACATAAACCATTTTCTACGTGTGCTCTGACATCTCTCCTGTCGTAATATCTTCTGTTTAGTAGTGAGTGTCATTCGTTTTGACCGTTACTACAAGTCGCTGAGAACCCGATCAAGTCCGGCATGAAAACCATCGCAAGAAACGACATATAAAATATCCATAAAACTCCTCTCAACGAAGAATCTCCTAAAAGATTAAAAAATATCAAACAAGCAAACGAACAAGCAACTCGAAAAAAGAAAAAAGAAAACAAAAACATAATGGCTACCAACCCAACCTCCCAATCCCACCACAACCCCACAACTGAAGACCCCTTCGACAGCCTCCTCACCCTCGAGGACAATTTGTACACAGCCGCCTACTCCCTCGGCGTCTCGGATGGCGCACACGCGGGCCGCATCGAGGGCCGCATCTTCGGCCTCGAGAAGGGCTTCGAGAAGTTCGCCTCCATGGGAGAATTGCACGGCCGGGCTTGTGTCTGGGGGTCGCGGATTCCTTCGCTTGTGAAAACCCCCACCACCACAGCATCTCAAGTCAACGATGCTGATGATGGCCAGTTGGCGACGGAGGGGAAGGAAGGGAAAGGGGGTGATGGGGAGGCTAAAGGCCTGCCGGAACTGAAAGAGACGGAACGATTGAGGAGGAATGTGTCGACGCTACATGGGTTGACTGATCCTCTGACATTTTCCACGCTCAACACTGAGGATGCGGTGGCGGATTTTGATGATCGATTCAAGAGGGCGGGCGCGAAAGCTAAGATTATTGAACGTTCTGTCTCTGAGTCGGATGCTCAGCAGCAGCAACAGATTTCTGGTTCGCAGGGTCCAAGCTCTGCGAAGACTGCTGGGCCGAAGAAGGGGAGGAGTGTGAAGATTTTGGGGGAGACCAAGAAGGGGAAGGACGATAGCATGGAGGATTTCTCTGGTTCAAGATTCCTGGCTTGAACTATCAAACAGGTTATTGGATTTGACTTATGATGCATCTCTGGATGCGAGCCTCCTCGAGCCGATTGGCCGAATGTTGGCCATCAAAGAGAGATCTGGCTCTCAGTGCGTTCACCAGTTATCTCGGCTCAAACGCTATGAAATCCACGCGAGCCGAGCCATGGAGAAAACTTTTGCTAGGTTGGCACCAGCGCGTGTGGCTACCTGAGACGTGTACTGAGAGCTTCGATATGAACAAGCTGTTCTGATAAGGGGATCTGCCTGGATTGGGAACAGGTATTTCGAGAAGGGGGTTGCATATGCAAAGCAAGATGGACTGATTAGAATATATGGAGAGCCTAGGAGGTCTTTAATTGAGTATTACCACACTACTGTATGTCACTACCCCAGACACCCACGCCCAGGTATAACCAGTAATGCCTGGGTAACAGTCCCCAAAACCCCACGCTTGATACATAAGAAAGAGAAGTGAAAGTTTTCATCCGGACTAAAACGATATCGATCCAATAAACCTAAGGCTGTTCAAATATAGAATGTATGTCTCTCCTCCCAACGGCTCCGATCGTGCCTAAGTGCTGCACTGGTATCATACGGCAACGGTCTCTTCTTCCCCCATTCTGTGCCCCGACTGTAGCCCCTTTAAGCGTCCTGAAAACCGTTTCAATCGACGTCTCCTTATTACACGCTCAAAGTAGGCTCACGAAACAGGCGCCACCTAATAGCCGTTCATGGTCATTCTCTGGCTGTTCCGGCTCAACTCGCGCTCAGCAGCGGGCGAGATGGGCCTGGAGCTGTGACCACCAACGGCAGAGCTCTCCTTGAGAGCAAGGAGCTGCTTGGCACGGAAGGACTCGTAGTGGATCTGGGAGGTGGTTTCGATAAGGTCTTGGAGATGGGTGCGGGTCAAGAAGTTGCGGAGGTAGACGAATTCGCAGTGATTCTCATCCTCAACTATGGACAATTAGCTTGACAAATTGTCAACAAGAAATGTTGGTACTCACCATTGATAACTCCCCAACGGTTCTGACGTCCACGGACTTGCTTGCCGTTGACAACGATGGTCTTCTCCGAACCGACGACGGCAAAAGGAAGGATGCCCTGTACTGCATTAGCTCCATTGACTTTCTGTCCATGCATCGAAGCCTACCTTGATGGAAGTGTTCAAAGCAACCTCCTCCTGGTCATGCTCCTCGTTGTCGTATGGGTACATCCTGAGGTTGTGGAACTGGAACTCCTCCCTTATCCTCTCCTTGAAAGCAGCGCGCTCCTCGAGGGTCAAGCTGTCACTCTTGGCGATGACAGGAACGACGTTGACGAACTCGCTCAACTTCTTGAGCACAACAATATCGATGGGCTTAAGGGCGTGGCCGGAAGGCTGGATGAAAAACAAGCAGCAGTGGATACGGGTATCCTGGAGGTATCGCTCTCGCTGCGCGGTAAGCTCCTTGCGGAGGTAGGCACTGTGCTGGTCCTTGATGTACTTGACAATTGGGTCCCAGCAGCGCTCGTTGTTGATCAGGTCACCGTATCCGGGGGTGTCAACAATGTTGAGGCGGAGACGGACACCGTTTTCCTCGATGATGTGGGAAACGGCCTGGATTTCGGTGGTGCTGCGAATGGGCTCCTCAGGGGTAAGACGGCCCTTGCTGTCCATGAGGTGCGAGGCAAAGATGGTGTTGATAAGCGTTGACTTTCCGAGACCAGTCTGGCCTGCAAGTAATTGATGAGTTAGCAAAGAGCTTTGTTTTATCAAGATGGACGGGTAATAGCTCACCAACGCAAATGATGTTGAACTGGAAACCACGCTTCACGAGCTTCTTCTCGATCTGCGAAGTGATGCTGTCGAAACCGACATAGGTGTTGGGGTACACCGACTGCTGCTGCTGGTTGTATGTGGAAGCCATTGCGGGCGATTTGTGCCTCAAGGCTGTGTTTGAAGCTGTGTGGGATACGGCGAAGATTGGATGGAGGGTGGAGATGCGTGGAGCGACGTGGACGTGGTGAGTTGATTGTATACAAATACTCAGGGCGCTGTCGTGGACTTTCTTCTGGTGTTGCAGGCGCGGGAAAGGGGCAGCCACGAAGCGAAATCGCGCTAGCCACGGGCACGGTCTAGCGCCAAGAAGCTTCCGACTGGGGTACAGCAATTAATTCTTTCAACACCACGACATCGTTATCGCCAAGGGCACATCGCGAATTCAACATCCATTCGGCGGCGGTAACTCGACAGTTATTTCGCAATGGCACTCGCAAGACCATTGCCTCCACTATGGCAGACGCTTTTGCCTGCCCTCAATGGCCCCGTCCGACCCGTTATCAACCTACCGCTCCTCCAACGAATATCGCAGCCATTCCAATTAATACCCACACCTTTCGCCGCTCTCGCATTACCTACATTATCACTCCCTTCAATACCTTCCCTGGGCGAAATATGGGAAGGTATCCTCAGGGCAGTTCCTAAGAACAAGACATCGTACCGCAAGAAGAGGCAACGATTCATGGCTGGAAAAGGTTTGGAGGAGCTCACATCGCTGAATAAGTGCTCAGCGTGCGGGAGGATAAAGCGTGCGCATTTTCTGTGCCCTTACTGCGTGCACTGTGAGTGACTTTACGAATTTCCTGGACTTGCATCTTGTCCTAACATCAAGCAGCGCTCAAGAACTTCTTCTTCAGGAATTCGGAAGATCCGAAGGCGTGGGAGAAATACAAGGAGCGACACTACAGTCTTCCTAAGAAGATGCAGAAGCAGCTCCATCGTGAGAAGATCTTTGAGCGGAGAAGGGAGCGTTCAAGATTACCTAAGCCAGAGACGAAACCCGGAATTATCGGCGAGCAGAAGAGGTGGACGCGATGAAGCAAATGATGAGAGAAGAAATGTACTATAGATGTAACAGGATTCAGGATCTGTATTGCGCTCGATGGTAGCGATGGTCCTTGCATTCCGTGTATCAAATCAATTCAGGCAAATCTAGAATGCTGTTTATGCATTTGAGCAGGATGGGCATAAAGAAAGCCCATGTCTTTGTAGAAGTAGGAAAAAATGCCTCGCGCCGAATGCATAGGTGGCCCAGAAATGCCACGAAACCGAGAGGTATCCATATATAAATACAATAACTCGACAAAAGCACATCAACTGTTTCAACTACTTCTCAGTGATGCCCAGGCCAGATGCAGTTTCACTTCTCGGAGGCGGCGATGTCTCGCTCTCCCTCCGAGAACCGGCCCCCTCAGCTGCCTCCCGTTGAAGGAAATCCGACCACAACTCCGCCAGCGATTCCTTGTTGCTGGAGCTGCTTGCCATGAGCATCGGATCAGAAACAAGTGCGCTATTGAGCGACGGTGTGGAGGGAGTGCGGCGGAAGGGTGATAGTGGGATACGGAGATTCGTGTTTGAAGCGCCCGGCCGTGCAAGACCTGCTTGCTCGCGTTGTTCTGCAATCTGTCAGTCATCCTCTTTGCGAAATACTAGCAAGCAGAAACCTACCCTCATTCCAATTGAGTAGCGCGGCGATGAGCTGAAGTGCCTCGAACTTCTTCGGGTCGGAGCGATCAATTGCGAGGAAATGAAGGATGTAGTTGGTTACGATTTGCCGATCTACGTTATCCTCCGGTCTGCCCTTCTTGAGGATTCGTAACGCTTTTGTCAAGTGCTCATTTAATGTCACGGCCTCATGTCTCAGTTTGCCAATCAAGAGATTTTTCTCCTTTACCTCCTTCTCAAAAGGCAGTGCTCTTTCTAGCTCCTTCTGAGTTGATTCAAGCGCAGTTTTGGAAGCAGCGGCGGCTTCCTCTGAGATCTGCACTTGCTTTCGGAGACCACTAAGATCCGCTTCGTACTTGTCGACAAGCTGTCTCCGCTCTAATTTGCGCTCTACATCTCTTGTCAGCTTTGTTGAGCTCATAAGACTGCATGGTTACTATACCGTTCTGGATCTCCTGAAGCGCTTTCTGAAGACCATCTACAGCTTGGCTGTTGATATCACGTTCACCGACAGCCTTATCATGCGCCTCTCGCAACGAATCTAGTTGCTCGCCGAGCTCTGCCATCCTCTCTTTCAAATTGTCATGCAGCGATCGTTCATTCAGAGCTAGCGCTTCCCAATCTTGCATGGCCTGCTTAGCATTCTCAAAATCCTCGCGAGCAGCAGCTTCTTTTGAAATCAGCTCGTCGCGCTCCTTGACCCAGTTTTGCTGTGAGAGGTTGGATCGATCGCGGAGTATGGAGACCTCGGATGCTTGAGACTCAGCTTCTTCGCGGAGCTTCGCTATCTGTTCCGCCAATGAGTTGTTATTGTCAAGCAGATCTTTGTTCTGTTCCTCTAGTTCGGATATGGTCGCCGAGGCTTCCTCAAGTCTAGCCTGTGTCCCGCATTAGTATATTACAGCCCAAATCGCGTTAAAACATGGCAACACATACTGCATCAGCCTTCAATCTGTCACCTAATGAACTCTTGATTGTGTTGACTCTTCCGAGCAGGTTCCGATATTGGGTCTCGACATGCTCTTTGGCCTCATTCGCCTCCTCTAGGTCTCCTTGCAAGGTTGCGACTTCCTCATCATGTTTTCCCTGTATGCCTTCTAAGCTTTTGCGGAGTTCTGTAACCTCCTGCCGTAGGGTATCACGCTCTTTCGCTAGAGCTTCGAGTCGGGCGGTCGCATCGGTCGGCGGGGGCGGTGATGCTAGGCCACCTTGGGAGCGAGATCGTGCAAGACCAAGTGCAACAGCGGAAGATATCGAGTGGGGATTTGTGCCGTTTGGTTGCCCAGTCGGAGAGAGTGATTGCGGCTCGTCTTCGACATCGTCTGGCTCTTCTTGCGGTTCAATGGCGGTTTTCTACCAAGATGTTAGCAATTCCATTCATGACAGAATGGATGCTTCCTAGCACATCCTGATTGTGTCATACACTCTGCTCTTCCTCCTCATCCTGTGTCTCGTCTTGCTCTACGTCGTGCTTGCCCTGCTCGGCATGTCCGTTTGAAGTCTCGTCCGTCTTCGCAGCTCCGCTGTTCCCTCCCTTCTTCTTGTTCTTCTTCTTCTTTGATTTGGAAGCGCCTGTAAGTATGTTAGTATAACTGTGCGACTCGACTACCTGTAACCTGCAATCACGGCAGTAGTAAGCTTCCGTTGGACAACATACCGGAATCCTTGATAGGATCTGGGTTGGTAGAAGCAGACATGACGCTAGCTGTTCTGTAAAACAGAATAGTAGGGACAAGATACTGGGCGACGTTATCTACGTCTTCTCCGAAAGCGAAGCAGCATGCGTGGAGTGTTGATGTATCGACTTGGCAATTCGTGGCCCCAAACGTTTGTTCGGCGTTCTAGCGGGACATGTGGCGTATTTGTACGAGCCACAGCCACTAACCCGTATCTAGTAACACGCTGGCATATATCCTAAGTTTCTAGAACGATGCGGAGAAGGAAATACAATTATATGATATCGTACTTATGGCTGCCCTCGATATTTATCAAAAGGGGAAAGGCTCAAGCTAGAAACTTTGGGAGCGTGGCTAGAAGTGAAGCGCAAGAAACGTTTCTGTTCTCGGACATCGGCACCAGTTTGGCACAACAATTCACTACGCCTGTGTAGGGCAACCTGCCACTTTGGTTTTTACGATGGAGGAACTACGGTACTTAGGCGGGACATATATAGCGGCTGATTGGGGGGTCTGAAAACATTGATACATTTCTACGTATTATTGCACTTTATGCACATTTGGTATGCCAACTGCATCATCTCCCTGCATTTCCAGCAATGAAGAAGCTCAAAAGACCGAAGATACCATTGCGCCCAAATAAAAGCACAAAGATAAAGTGGAAATTCAAGTAAATGTATCAGAGATATGCGAAAAAATGGAAAAAATGGGCATGGAAATGGTCCAGAAGGAAAAGCGGAACCAATTCTCTCTCATAATGGGCCTTGAAACAAAGACATCGGATTCATTTCTTTCTCTCCCTATAGTTTTGCAAAGTATCTGATATTGACCCCACTTTACACGCAAGCTTCCATAATATCAATCTACCAGATCACCAACCTTCCAATTCCTCACAGTTTGTGATCAAGCTTAGTGGCATCATGGGCTGCTTTTGGTTCATCCGACTCAACAGTGGATCTTGAGTAAGAAGGGCCTCAATCTCCTCCACGGTGTCAACTTTTGATTTGACCCTTGCATAAGCCATTCTCGATGGCTTATCTACAGACTTCAAGAATTTGTCTTTTCGAGCATCTCCCCAAGCCGACAACAGCACTTCAGGGTTAGTCGCCTGGCCTGTTAGAATTCGCTCGAGTACTTGCGCGAGAGCACCAGCATCTGCGATTCCGGATGCAAGACCCAAGCCGGCATATGCATTCGTCAAATGCGCGGCGTCCCCACAAAGACCTACTCTTGCTCCTTTCGCCCAAAACGTATCAACTGCCCTTTGCTGTACCTTGTATGGCGCGACTCGAACAACCTCGTACATGCGTTCCCCTTGCGCATTCTTCCCCGCATTCGGAAGTAGTCTCTCCAATTTCTCGTGCACGCCTGCTCGAATCTCATCTTCAGTCATGCCGGGAGGTACACCGTAGCTTACGCGCCACAAACCCTCATCATCGATACGTCCAATAAGTCCGTAGTCCACGGGGTCAATGACGAAGTTGGCATCCCAGAAACCGTGTTCATGGAAGGGAAACCTGGTATCGGTAGCGACGAGCTGCGCCGGTAATGTCTCGCCCACAAAATCTACGCCGAGCATCTTGCGAATGTGACTTTTTGCTCCATCCGCGCCAATCAGATATGCAGCTTGTATCACCTCCTCTTTCCCCTCCCCATCAACGATTGTGACCGCTACGTGATCTTCCAATTGCTCGAATCTCTCAACGGCTTGACCTAGACGCACCTTGGTGTTCTCAGCCGCTTCCAGCTTCTCCATCAGCAGGTTTTGGAACTTCCACTGCGGAAGCAGCAGCACGCTTTTTTCAGGGCTCGGAAACTTCACTCCCGCAATTATTAACGAGTCGTTTGCGACTGAAGTTCGGAAACAGAGCCCAGCAGAAAAGGACCCAAGCTGCGCGAGATCCGGCATCAACCCCCCGGCTTCAAATAGCGGAAAAACATGAGGTTGGTGCGCCATGGCCTTTGTATCGCTGCGATTCGGACGGTGTGGCTCGATGACAATGACGGGATTCGGTATTGCCGATTTCGAGAGGAGAAAGGCGAGGAAAGGCCCTACGCAGCCACCGCCGGCGATGATTATGGGGGGCGGTTTGTGTGGAGCGCCGCCATTGAAGGAATGATTCTCGAGGCCAGGCATGGCTTTCACTGTGTATTATGGGGCCTCGAGCAAGTATATGGGTTGTATGGTTCGAGGAGCTCGAGAGTATCGTAATGTAATAATTGGAGAGGAGCTGAAGCAGTTTAAGTGCTGAAAGGCGATTCGAAAAGTGCACCTTACCGGCCCCGAGGGTACACACGCTGCCTTCAGAATCCCCTGCGAAAGAACGCATGCAGCGCACTCAAGCAACCAGTACTAGGCGAGAATGAATGCCGGAACGTAAAATAGGCGCATGCAATAGTGAGAGCCGCGCCCACACGGGTGGCTCGGTGTTGCAGTCCTGGCCCTCAAAGCAAGGGATCACAACGGCATGTGGGGAACCGAGCCGAAGACCTTGACTGATATAAGGTCTCCCGTTTTGCCCTAAGTTACAGCATTCGAATTTGTAGTATTTATCTCAAGTACATTAATATGTTGATCTGTCTACAAAAGAATATGTTGTAGCATTAGAATATCCTGGGTAAGAGACGTTTTCGACGCCTTCATGAGGACTTCACATCTGCATTTACTGACCTACCTAGATCTTGCTGTCTGCCCTCACTCTGCTAGAGAAGTAAAGCAGTGTCTGCCCCCACTCTGCTAAGAGAAGTAAAGCAGTGTCTGCCCTCACTCTGCTAAGAGAAGTAAAGCAAGATGGGCAAAAAAAAAAAAAGGTTGAGCAAATAAAAAAAATGGCAAAAAAAAATTAACTCCTTGCTTCCCCGCCTAGTGGCCGGGAGTTTCTACTTACTTGTCGTGCGCCCGTACGCTCGTTCCGATGCCCCAGAGGGACGTGTTTAATAAGTCAGTAAATGTCTTAGAAAAGGTTTGGAACGACGTACTGGTGAGACGAGGGGAAAACAAGCAAGCAACTATCTAAACCTGTAGGTTAGTGTCGTGTCGAATTCCGTAAAGTCGAACCGAAATGGAAGAACCTGGAATCGAACCTGTCAGCCTTTGCAAATTGTAAGGTGAGAGTTCTGACCACTAGACTAAGGAAGCTAATGCGGAGTTTTTTGATGTGAAGATGGGTAATTGGGTGTCTTATATAGTCGAGTGAGGGAGAGCTACCATAGGATAAGACAATGAACGGTTTTGCGCAAGTGCATGGCGCATTTCAGGTTGTGTTGTGCGTGACGTAGCTACTGGGATACAAGTAAGTGAAGGGGCGGGCGTTGAGGAGTCCTGGAGTGGCGGTCAAGTGGCTGGTCTTGTAGGAGCCGGAGTCGCGATGTATCCATCCATCAATGCTTTACCAACCCTCACACCCACGAAACATCCTAAGTCCTTTGAGAATAAATATGCAAACTTGCATGGAAGGCCCGAAGACTAACAACAGAGTCTTCGTGAGATATGACCGATGGGCGAAGGCCGGTACGTAACGGGGAGAGATGTGTACCACATGCGTGACAATGCAGGCAGCATAAACCACCCAAAGGAGACAACATCAACGATGCCAATACAGCAAAAGGCTGCATGGTTGGATGATGGATTGCGAGGCCATAGGGATAGTATGACTGCCGAGAATACTTACAAGATATACTTGCAAGCATTGCGCCGCAGCCTAGAAAGGCTGGACTTGAGTACATGTCCACTTGGGGAAGAGCCCGATGTGATGTCTTGTCAACATCTTCAGAGCTGTACCAGAACGTCGAGTCCAACAGGTCCAGAGGGCGGAATGCGTAGAAGAAAACGACCCGAACATGAGGAGAGGACTGATAGCGGAGACAGAGATGGATCTTGAATAAAGAATGCGACCATAGGAGGAATATACGAGACAGCGACGAGAAAATGTTGTCTTGAGAAAATGTTCCAGAAGTGAGGTTCCAGATGCAGGACATCAACATTCCAGTCCAAAATAATGCCGGAGAAAACGCAAACAGTATCATTATTCGCTGGGGTTGCATATGTAAGTGGTCCTCGATCCTATTTTGGGATTAATAGGAACAAACTGAAGGGTAGCTTATCGTTCATGCCATGCGAAGAGAGTGGGGAAGTTGGGCTCCAGGGCCGGTATAGCTAAGTGAGCGTCGAGTCCAATATGGCAATGATAGCTCTTTTATTGCATGCAAACATAGGAGCAATGTATGCCTGTAGCATCTGTATAATGACTCGTGGTGGTAGGCGTGCATAATACCGACATCGTGATAGATGAGATGAGGTTGACGTCTGATTTTTCTTGGGATGAGATGACATGTGGTCGGGTCGGGCTTAGTCGGATCGGACCTCCGACATGTTTTTCGGTTCCGATAGGCGACACCCGCGACGGCGACTCCTGAACCATGAACTTACCATCAAACAATCTTCAGCGCCCCACACCACATTTTAAAAGAGCTGTGCAATGGCGCCGTCCAGGGGTATCTATTTAATATCGCATGCATTCAGGCAATGCTCCAGATTTTCCGGTCCACTGGCGTACGGTCGTAAAAGATTCTCGACATTTACGGAGAAGCTCACCAACCCGAAAAACCGAGTTCAGAGCTACCTCTCCACGAGCGATGACCCATGTCTCAATCTTTCCATAGAGGATTATATCCTCAGGAAGTCACCACCTGAGTCGTACATTCTGTTCTTGTACACCAACCGGCCTTGTGTTGTTATTGGACGCAACCAAAATCCGTGGACTGAGGTCAATCTGTCCATACTTAATGTCGCCGATTTGAAACAAAGTGCGCAATTGAAAGAGACCGAGCCGCCTGCAATTGGCAATGTAGAACTTGTACGACGGCGCTCCGGTGGTGGCACTGTATTCCATGACGAGGGCAATCTCAACTGGAGTATTACATGTCCACGAACTGACTTTACGCGTGACAAGCACGCTGAAATGGTCGTACGCGCCCTACGCAAACTTGGTGTGAACCGAGCAAGAGTCAATGAAAGGCATGACATTGTCCTTGATCAAGGCAATAAAGAGCTTCCAGTGGATCCCGAGGACACGCACAGAACGACATATACTCTAGAAGATGGCGCATCACCTAGGCCACTGAAAGTTTCTGGATCAGCGTACAAGCTCACCCGTGGAAGGGCATTGCACCATGCGACGACATTGCTTGCTTCTCCAAACTTGCATATCATTCCTCAATATCTTCGATCGCCGGCAAAACCATTCATCGAGGCAAAAGGTGTCGAAAGTGTGAGCTCGCCCGTTGGCAACATTGGCTTGGACGACGCCATTTTTCGTAAAGAGGTGCAGAAGCAATTCGGGGCGATGTATGCAAAAGTTGGCGAAGCTGTCGTAGACTTCGTTGGCGATGAATACCTCAATATACCGGAAATCAAGAAAGGCTACGATGAGCTCAAGGTATGTGTCGCGATTTTGAATACAGGCTCCTTTTGCTAATCCGGATAGACCAAAGAGTGGATTCTGTCTCAGACACCACAGTTTACGCTCAATGCTGAAGGTCCCAGTGGTGAAGAGATATGTGTCACAGTTCACCATGGCGTAATCAAAAGCTTCCATTTCCAAGGCGCGGGACTTTCCAATGATATAATAGAGGCAGTCTCCTCGGCACTGTTAGAGCAACAGATGCATGAGATTTCGGATTGGCGTTCACTGCTTGGCCAGCATGTCGAAACTCAAGATGCCAGTGCTTCAGCCATTATCGATTGTCTTGAGAGGTTCTTGCCACTTCCAAAGCTGACCAAGGATTGAATAGAATAAGGTCAAGAGTGTCCTTGTGTGGGGAACTGTTATAGTGCGGCACACTCTTTGACGGTTCCTTTGTGTCTCTCCACGAGACAACTCGAGGACTTCCTTAAGGCGTATTGGGATGTTCCATTGTTGCTCCAAACTGTTTGTTCCACGCTTCGACTCGGTTCAAGGGCGAAAATGAAGGGTTTCATTTCAGGACTTTGGAAAGGATTGTGCTATCTCCCAATCAACAAGGGTTTCTTCTGCCAGATATCGTCCACCGCAAAGGTCTCTGTGTGCCTTGGAGAGTCTTTGACAGTATAGACAGGGCATTCAGTTCGTACGTAGTTTCGAAAATCTCCCTTCTCAGTGCACATTCGAAGACCTTGCTGACGTGTTGTCTCATCTTCTGGTACGCAGTGGTATGCACGTAGCTGTTCAAATGTGACAATGCGCAATGGTCTTCTTGTCCATCTTCAATGTCGCGTATGCTCTCCGCCTTGATTTATGCCTTTCTTCTTACTTGAAGCTCTCGAGAAGTGTATTATACCTCCAACACATAGACAGGAAAATAGGTGACCCACGGCGGGCTACGAGGTTTCTTTGTCCTGAACGCAGGATTGGGCCGAAGTAGGGCGTAGCAAGCGAGCCTGCAGACGACGCAGTTAGGGGCGCAACAAGTGCTGTTGCTGTATTTGCTACGTGCTCTCTTTTCGATGCGTAATTCCGTCATTGCACACCGTCGTTGCTCTTTCGATCGAAAGTGTTTGGTACTTGCGTTTGTACTTCGACGCAGTGACACCGCGCACAGACAGTGAATGAGGTGAAGGACTGTACCTGCCAGTCTTAGAGGGCCCCTGTTCTATTCATAGAGGTAACAGTGAACTAGTATATGCCCTTTACAAGATATCGAGAGAGTTCGAGCGTCTGCATTCAAACCCTGGCACAGTGATGTTGCCGTAGGCCGCAGTTTCGGTAAGAAGACTATGCCCGACACTCATGGAGGGCACTCATCGTGTTCACAGGCGTAGGAGAAGACTAGAACAAACTTCATCCGGTGAGAATTGAGGTTTTGTGGGCGTCTGGTGATATATCCTGGCACAATAAAGCTGCGCATGGGTACAAGTCACAGCAAGGACAACCTGCCAGGCACTCTGTTGCGGTGCTCGTCTTCTATACAGGCTGAGCAGCAGTACAGAGAAACGAATACCAGAGCTGTCATCATTTCCATGCTGTGCTCCTCTATAGCCTCTTGTACGCGTCGCCGCCGTCATTACCGCCGTTGCGATCGGCTTACTGTGTTTCGAAAGGGGGAGGAGTGCGGCGGGAGGAACAGGAGGTATTGCCGGATTGCGCAGTAGAGTTTTCTAAAGACGTAGCTCTCAGTGCATGTGAAGTTTCTCTAAGCAGGTATACCGTCGGTGTTGTGGTGTTTTGGTTGTCGATTGTGTGTGCGCTCTCACCTGTTTCGGGCACTCACCGCCTACTTACCTAACTCTCAGAGGTGAATGATGCGCTAAGCTTGGCATTTCAAGTTTGTACAGGGTTACCGTAGCTGCGAATAGTATCTGGTAGATACGAAGAGCTGTCAACGCGATGCTTGTGACGCATACTGCTTCTCATAGTATACAGTGTCACTGCTATACACTGTAATCGTCAGATACACCGACAGCTCATATGTGTATCTGACAGGGACCTGTGATGATAGAGTGACCCACATGCCTGTTATGATATTCTTTCATCTGTGGAATTACTTTCGAGGCACTGGGTGGCTCCTGCCTTGACGGGTAGCCTCTCTTTGTCTGGCTGACCTTCACTGCGACGCGTCGAAGTGGCCACGGCGCTTTTCACAAGAGAACTGCATCGCGGTAGGAAGGAATTGATAAGTCCTTAGTTGACTATCACTTGGAGTGATTGGCAACGTGTTTTGGTCCCTTCAGTAGAAGGGGAGGGAGTAAGTGTCTCGGGATAGGTGGGCTTGGCAGGTAGGTGAATGTCTCATGATCGTCGATAGCAGCCATAGTATTAAGTGAGGAGGCAAGAAAGAGCCATCAGAGCAATCGAAGGTAGGTTTGAAGGCTGTTAGGATAGTCGCGTAGGTTTGGGCGTTGGCCTTTGTGTCAGTGTTATTGGTTGCGTCAGTGCGCTCCCAGGTTGAGTATTCACCTGGCCAAAACAACGGTAGAGACCAGAGCTATCTCGTCATGCTTGACCAAATGCCTTGTTTATATAGAAGACTCTGCTCGCATGAGCCTTGTTTCTATCGTGGACTGCATTGAGGGAGTCTAGAGTAAAGGATTACTGGCTCAGGGGTGGTGGAAAAGACTAACTCTTTTGTGTGAGCATTTCAAGAAGTGAGTATGAGCTCCCTGAAGGCAGCAAAACAAATAGCCTCAGCAGATGCCGGGAGATATTATCACGTTGCCAGCAAGGCAGAACAGAAGGCAAGCAGGCTGTATGCTGACGCTAGTGACTAAAAGCCAGCAAATCGATATTCATTTTCACAAAGTCAATGGAAATGGAGCTTTCCTACAAAAGGTTCAACTCGAACTGCACAATTAAAACCCAAAACGGACGGTGGAATTGCTTAGTATGTCTAAAGCAGTCTGAGCCCTGCCCCCTATCTTCCATTCACCAGTACAGCAAGGCGTAAAGGCTACCAACCAGTGTGTCTGGCGAAGCTCTTCTTGAAGGAGTTCTAAATGAAGACCCAATCTACAACCTTACCACCGTGGCCGACAAAAGGTCTCTACAAGTCCGAGACAACGTGTGCTGTCAGTAACTGGTGAATGTGCCGAGACCATTGTAGCTTAGACACAATAGATGTTGATTTGCGCTTCCCACATAAAGGTAGAGTGAAGACATAATACGGCAGTAGAGGAACTACGGTCAGTTGTGAAAATGGACTTGAAGTTGGGGAAACGAAATTGAAGTAGGCTTTCCCATTCTGCGTTACACAATGAACAATCACTGCTATAAATATGCTTAGTGTTCTGTCCGTGACGGGTGATGCTTGCAATAGTATAGTCTCCCACAACAACTGCACACAAATTCCATATTCACTTTGAAAAAGCACTGGCCTTAAACACCTCGTTAAGGGCCTACTTTAGAAGTGATTTTCTCTTCTGAACATAACACCACTCTACAACAACAACCTTACAAGCACACTGTCCATTCATTGCTCCAACACATCCCCATTATCAGTGTGACAATTTGTCAAAGACACTCGATAATCCAAAATGTCGGATAACCAGAACAACTCGAGTCAACATGAAGAGTTTGACGACTCCACAGACACGAGCCACAGCCCCGAGTCTGCTCTACCCGAAAATACCCATCCAAGTGTTGACGAAGACAGTCAAAGTGATCCAGCAACTTTAGATGACCCATCTATTGATGATGACCCACTTGGCCTTGGTCCCGTTGAGTCGAGAAGCCGGTTTTGGAGTGAAATACACGACAGTTTCACTCAGCTCCGTTCATCTGCTCCGAGGGATTCTGCGGCTCAAGGTTACCCGGCTGTCGAGGGTGAGCAGTCTACTCAGGCTGGAGTTCTTGCCACATTCTTGAACGAAAATCACTCCGATTTCGTTCGAAACCAAGTTATCCCTTCCTTCGAAAGCGCAGTCCAACAGGCTCGGAACTCCCCCGACGTCATCGAACAACCTCGACCCAGTGACCAGATGTCCGGTGCATTGCCCACGCGCGCTGCCAGAATAACGGCGAATCCAATAGAAATGGATACCACAACGGACCCAAGATTTGTCGAGGCAATGCAGGTCATTGCTGAGGAGATTCGTGGAGTCATGCGAGCCTTTCACGCTTTCCAACAACAGGCCTATTGGTAAATCGAGACTGTGCTAAAGACTACGAACACATAGCTGACACCTGACAAGCGATACTCTACGTTTGGTAATCACAAGGCGCGAACGCGAACGCCGTGTTGCTCTTCTGACAGCGACTCGCGATTCATTCCTCGCCGAACTCTTTATCTATGAGGAGCTTCTCCAGAGACAATTTTCAGGCGACGAAAGCTTCGAGTTCATATAGTCTTGCCACAACACATTGGCCTTTTTGTGTCTTCGTTCAACGGTGGTCCTTCTGTACGATGTTACCGTTATAAATACCTGGATGCGTGCTAGAATTGTGGAGTGAAGGGGTATATCTTTACGGGATACCCACGACTTATGGATGAAGGAAGATATGGAAGTCAACGCTTTGTATAATGTGCTGGAGTCTTCAGATTGCTGAGCATACCATAAGAAGGAATATCGCAATGGGCAGTTGACTATCAGACAGCCGCAGTAATTCTCTGTGGGTGCCGTCGTCGTGAAGCTACAGTGACCTTGTATTCAAGAATAGCTTCAAGTAATGCAACTCGAGTCTTCATTAAGACTTGACACCAAGGATAATGAATCAATGTAAATCATAAGACCATGTCCAGAGTGAAGTTTACCAAGAGAAAGAGGTGTGAGAAAGTAAAGTTGCATTGAACCCGCAAATGCCCTGTTCTAACAAAACGCAGTAAAACCCAGCAAATCCAGCATCCCCTCAAGTAAACACTTTTCATCATTACATTATTCTCTGCTACCTAACAATGAGCGAAGTAGGCAGGTGAAGTTCAAGATCGTGCACTCCTCAGTGCGTTCCAAGGCTCGTCTTTGAATGACTGGCTCAGCCAGTCGTTGAGTCGAGTGGCCGAGAGCGCCTCGCTGCTTCGAGGACTCGAGGTGCTTGTAGTCGAACTCGTGATAAAGCTTTCATTGCCGACTGAGACGGATGAGGGGGTTGTCGTCGGCGAAGTGGAGGTGGTGGTATATGAAGGGGAAGAGGTCTGAGTACGTCTGGTTAGTTCTGTTGGTGATCTGTGGAGTGACAGAAGGGTGTTGGAGGTACATTTGTAGGCATGTTGTTTTGAATTACTTGATTGATATTTGATGATTGATTGATGTTTGAAGGCAGTTTTGATGCTTGGTTGATGCTTGAAGTTTTTGGTCTGTGGTGTTGGCTTTTGTTGTTGGTTTCCGTTTTGATGATGTTCAGTTAAGGGGATTAGTGCGCAATGGGTGGGGGAACTACAATCCTTTTGAAGTGATGCGCCCTCAAGACAGGTAAGAGTAAACAAACATACACCCAATCACCTTCCCTATCACATCAAGGCGCTTCTGGTGAATTCATCAATCGATAAATCGAAAGCTCAGGTGAAGGTCCATTATACAGGAAAGCCGATGTTTTGTTTTGTTTTGATAGCACATTCTACGCGGGCAGCTGCATTGAGATCGAAGGGTGTTTCAGGTGAGTATTGAAGCCGCCTTTGGACTGCCATGAAGAGCCCCTATTAGTTGACCGGTCAGACAGACTGATGGAGAAATTGAGCACGTGGGTTGTGCTGAAGGTGACGTCTGGAATCGAAGAGAATTTTGTCTTTGGACTACGTGATTGACATTCAGAAGTAAACAAAGATTGGCAAGATGATCCTATTATTGTATACATATTACACGCACCAGGCGGAATTACATTACCTTCTTTCGATACCTAGAATACAAAACAAATGACACAACACATATTCTCTACCGAGAAAGTGGTTCCACCAGGGAATGCAACTAATTATGAGAATATGGCCTTCCTAAACCTTCATGTAGGGGGTCCTGATGTAGGCCCGAAAGATCTATCGGCAATGTGTCTGGTAGATTTGGATCCTCAGGGATGGTATTGATGAACCTGTTCCATTGTGGAAATCCATCCTCGTATGAGACAGACGTAGCACCGAGCCCGAACTCTTGCAGATCTCTGAGTGGGAGCGCCGGTGGCGCACCTGGCGCCAAAGGCAACTCCTTATCTAGACGTGGAGGGCTTGGTGTGATTTTCGTAGGAGTCGACGAAGAAGAGGAGGAACCTTTTGCCCAGTGGTCGCGATGCGAATTTTTGGGTGTCGACTGTGGGGAGCGATGGCCCAAGTTGTACGCCAACTTGACAATAGGCGCTGCGTCTTGACCAGGCTCAAAGAATTCCAAGAGGTCTTGCAGGTGGGGAGGACGATCGCTGTCGGGATATCCTTCAGCACGGCCTGTCTTTTGTTTCTTCCAACCAAAATTCGGATTCGTCTCTTGCTTCGCGTCTAGTAGCCTCATCCATTCCTGCCAGATGTAGGGCTGCTGAAGTAACGAAAGGATCACGCGTGAATGCTTCCATTTCTCCATTGTATCTCCATTTTTCTCGAAATGCCAGGCGATATGGTTACATCGTTCCGTCCAGTCCGAGTGATATTTGGTACAGAAGCCGCATCCCCAACCAGTTCTTCCTTTTCGTTTCCTCCTTGCCAATTCGAGATGTTGTTTCTCCGCGCAAGTGCGGCATCTGTGGCTTTTCTGGTGATGATGTATAAAGTCTTTGTCTAAGTGGTATACCTTGTCGCAATTATCACAATGATATGTTTCAGTCCATTCCTGATAGACTACCTCATGACGCTTCCAATCGTACTTTTCGCCGAAGCCTTCCCCACAGGACGTGCACCAGTACTTAGGTTCTTTGGTGGATCGCCGTGAGCGCTTGGTCCGGGAAACACATGTCGGGAACTGATCTTTCCCGGGTTTGAGTTGATTCTGAGGTGGTACGGTCCGTGGCTGGTCCCGACTTGTCTCATATGTGGGGGCAGGATAGTTCGGCGGTGGATGGATGGGAGTCGAATTGAAATTAAGGATTCGAGCAGTCTGGGTGATATTGAGCTCGCGTGATGTGGACGACCGATGCGACCAAGATGTGTTGGTAGATGCTGAAGACTGTCTGGAATGATGCGAGAAAATGCCCGTGCTAGTAGACGAACGCGCATTAGAAGACTGTGAAGATCGTACTGAGGATGACGGAAGATTGGTGAAATCGAAGTGTTGATTTTGATATGACTCGTTTTGCCATTCTCCGGTTGGTTGAGTATCAAAAACTAAGCGAGAGTTGGTGAATGGACATAGGCGTTCAGAATGGATGCGCAACTTACTATTTCCATCTGTACGTCCCCATGAGGTTGTATCTTGTAGATGCGGGTCGCCTAATTGATTTGGGTAGAACGAAAGTGGCTGCACGTAATCGAGATCCATGAATTCCCCATCATCAAATGCTGGCGGGAATGATTCTTGACCAAATTGTTCATTCATCTCCTCTCCGTTTGGCCTTGACAAAAAGGCCGCGAACACACAAAGAAAATAAACATCATGGGGATAGGGGCCAGAATAAACATCTTAAACCAGGACCAGCCTGAGGTAAACTGCGGCTGATGTTGCCCTCAAATCCAGAAAGGGCCTGAGGTTGACCTGCATGTTCACCTGAAACGAAGACGCCGGGTGCTAGTACGACTCCGTTTCGAAACTCGCGAGGTGAGCCACTCACAGAACGTCATCACGGTCAGGGCTGTCGTGTTCCCACAATATCTAATCGCCGTGGTAGGCAGAAAGCATTCCTACAAATGTTTCCCTGGCGGCGCCTTGCCAGGAGTTTCGCTCCTGAGAATCGCGAACACGTCCAGCGTGAAGTGCCATCACGCAGTGTCACGACAGGATTGGTGTTTACAGTGATCTCACAAGCCGTGCCCACTCCTTCGACATTCTTCATTGGTGGTTGCAAAAGGGGTAATGGGCGTTCAGCCTGTCATGATGGGTACATGTGTATCCATGTTTGGTTGAGGGAACCACCTCCCTCTCTGGATTCCTTCAATTACGTGCCGTCCCGCGTCTGTAGGGCTTTAGAGGGGGGAGGGTTAGTTCATTATGGGTATGGATGGGGATGGGGATGAGGGACAGGAGGGGGCGGGGAGAGGGAGCGTGAGCGCGCCCAGTCTGCCTTTATCGATAGTCACGTGGATACGTAATCAAGGATGCATGGCCTAAGCTTCACGCGCTAGTAGGCGCGCTACCAATTATCTCAATCACTGCATGTTGACTTCCTCTTCCTCCCATAACCTCGACCTCGACCTCGACCTCGACTCCGACCCACTGACCGTAACCCTTTCTTTGGCCAGACCGGCAATGGAATGCACAGTGTCTGGAAACATCACCCATTTGCCTTCGCGTCTCATCGCCCATTCGTGGTACGGGCGCTTTGTTCGACACGCAGATACAGTATCGACACATTTGTTCCACCTCTACCTCTGTTCTTTTCGATCTGCGAATCTCGCATTCTTTACACAGAATGCCGCTCTCCACGATATGTAGAGCAGAATAGATCGATGATCTTCGAATGTCATATCATCGTTCACCACGGACTAATGCAAGCTTGGACACACCAATAATCTCTTCATATGCCTCGAGTCTGGCTCTCATCCATCACCCACATCCATCAATTCACGTAGATACACTCTGGGCAACGGGATGATCGTTTTCGAACGAGAATTCCGGGTTCATCAGTCGGTCTTCGTACTGTGCCATTCATGGCGAATGGCTGTTGAACAAAGGCATTGCCCTAGATCAATACTCCCAGTACACTCGCGTTGAGTTGGCCTAGCCATGCGAAAGCATCGTGCTATGCCCCCCCACCGCTCTGTCGATGGGATTAATGAGTCTCTCTGGTGCCTTTGTCCCAATACTCGTCCTGATCCATTCCCCGAGAGGGTTGAGTGTTGAAGGTCGAGTATCTCTATGGAATTGGTGCTCGTTTTCAGCTCATACAAGATTACTTGTCCTCAGCAATATCCACCTGTCCGGCGTCGCGTTCGGATCAAAACGATTGCAAGTGAAGTTCATTTCGCTCTGGTCATTACAGTCTCCGTCTTCAACTCCACCAGAATCCCGTTTCTTCTAGAATTATGGAATGGTATTGTATCATTTGAGTCTTCCAACGTGTTACCATATGTTGCTCAGTGGAAGTGATTGATGGTAACCATTCTTCTCAATTCCCAATGACGAAAGCGAAGCATTCGTTGTATGGATTGGTAAAGCGACATAACGCTCTTTCATCAAGCATTACACTGTTATTTAATTAATCTGAGACATAGACTTGGACCATTCCTTCGAACCCTACAACGCGCGCTTATTCGTGCAAAATGCAACTGTAAATGTATCTCCGCACCGTCTTAGTGATCGACTATGACGAAATACCCACCGGCAAATTTGATTTCAGAAAGTTCCTCATGGGATCCTAGACCATTGTAGGAAAACATTCGAATGCACCGGCAAGTCAATACGAAATATTCGCTATCGTTCGTTTCTCCGGGTCCACTGTCGAGACGAATCGGATTAGTGCCCTAGTGAATGTGGTACCAAATCTCGAAGACCTCCATCTTTACTTGTCTTTAAAGGCCTTGGCTATCTTCACCGCTTTTGGGCCGCTAGGCATTACAATCATATCGATCATACAGAGTTGCTTTACACTTGACCGGTCAAAATTCAGACAGTACAGGATTATTAGGCGATCAATTGCCGAGACAAAATGTTCCACATTCAATTGACGTAATTCAGGGCTCTGCCGGTTTCCGAGTTTGCGGGAGATCTGGAAGTAATACTGAATTCCTGTATAGCAGAATTTGGTGTAATTAGCTGGATAAAGGCCTCACGGACCGGACAACCGACTCCGTGCGTTAGACGATTACCGTACCTGGAAACCCCCACGCGCCTAGCCCCACGCCGCTGTCTGCTTATTAGTGTTCGTGACCCATTCCGTATTGCCTGGATGGTGGGGAAGAACCAAGTACAAGTATATCCCTCACCTTTCTCTTGTCAGGCGGAAAAGTGAATTGCTTATTTGTTCGTGGACGTCCTGTCTTGCTGCAGGTCCTGTTCTTTTGCGTCGTGCAATTTCAATCGATGGGTAGCTCCATTCCTCGAACATTCATATTCCCACACCATATAATAGAACCAAACATATATTAAAGCCTTGAGTTCCATTAGATCTGTTACAAATCGTGTTGTATAGGATTTAGTCATTTTCGAGTAAGCTACAGCCTCCTTGCATCTCGCTACCAACCATGTCTTCGTATAAGCAACCTGCGGCCGTCACCAGTAAAAGTTTGATTGAAGATTTACTCAAGTATCTCAGATTTACACAATGCTTCGCTCAACCCAGAACGGTGATCGTTATGAGCTCACAAGCCCAACGGCCTTGCCCAAGGCAGGTGGATTCTTGTGGAATCAAAGAATGATGCTCCAGGTCACCTGTCGTGGATATGCTACAGCTCAATTCATGCAGCCGGAGCCCGCGAAATATGCCCATGCCCCGAACCTCGAGGCGAAAACCTTCATGCAGCCTGAGCAGAACTACTACGCACATCATCCCGGTCGATTCGTCTACATCAAGGATGAGGAATCTGGCGAATTGTTCTCTGCGCCTTACGAGCCCGTCAGAGCCCCAGTCGAGAAGTTTGTATTCTCCGTTGGCAAGAGCGATATTTCGTGGACCGTAGAGCATCTCGGTATCCGAGTCGAGATGACCTTTGCTCTTCCCACAGATGATGTTGCAGAGCTTTGGACCATTAAGGTTACAAATATTTCGGACCGTAATCGTAAAATCAGTGTATACCCCTACTTCCCGTTCGGTTACATGTCTTGGATGAACCAAGAGGCAGAATGGGTTGAGAAACTTGGTGGCATTGTCGGAAGCAGCAAAACACCCTACCAGAAAGCGGAGGATTACCCGAAGACGAAACACTTGAAGGATAAGACATATTTCCTATGCGAGGTAGCACCTAATTCATGGGAAGCAAAGCAGGAAGCATTCGAGGGCGAAGGCGGATTGCATGCCCCATCGTCTCTGGCCGGCCAGGAGCTCAGCAACAGCGACGCCCGATACGAGACGCCAACAGCTGTCGTACAATACCGAACCGAGCTGAAAGCTGGTGCGGATCAGGAGTACCGATTTTTGTTTGGACCGGCATTGGATGATGCCGAGATTGGGCACATGCGCAACAAATATCTGAATAAGGACGCTTTCGCTAAGTCAGCGAAAGAATACGCCGAATATATCGAGAAGGGAAGTGGCTGCCTGCGCATAGAAACACCGGATAAAGACCTCGACAATTTTGTCAACAACTGGCTGGCACGCCAGGTTTATTACCACGGAGATGTCAACCGCCTTACCACGGACCCCCAAACTCGAAACTACCTCCAGGACAACATGGGAATGAGTTTCATCAAGCCAGAGGTGACAAGGAATGCCCTTCTTTTGGCTCTATCTCAACAGGAGAAGACCGGATCGATGCCTGACGGTATCCTTCTCACTGAAGGCGCAGAACTCAAGTACATCAACCAAGTACCCCACACGGATCACTGTGTCTGGCTCCCCGTCGCACTCGAAATTTACCTGAGCGAGACTGGCGACTACGCATTATTAGATGAGAAGGTGACCACCAAGGAGGGCGAGACGTACACTGTTTTCGAGCGCCTCAGTCGTGCCATGGACTGGTTGCTATCCGACTCTGCACGCGACCACCGCGGACTCTCGTACATTGCCCAGGGCGACTGGTGTGATCCCATGAACATGGTCGGACCGCGAGGAATCGGTGTCTCTGGATGGCTCACTGTTGCTACCGGATACGCTTTGAAGCTTTGGGCCAACGTCTGCGAGCAGCACGGCAAGTCGGATATCGCTGCGAAGTACTGGGAAGGCGTCAAGACCGTGAACGAGGCCGCCAACAAGCATTTGTGGGATGGGGATTGGTTCGCGCGTGGTATCACAGACAACGGCGTTACATTCGGCATCAAGAAAGACAATGAAGGACGTATCTGGCTGAACCCTCAAGCTTGGAGTATTCTAGGGGGTGCCGCGGATCAGGAGAAGATCGAGAAGATTCTCCCCCAGGTCGACGAGCAGCTTTCGACACCTTACGGCGTTGTCATGTTCGCGCCTCCTTTCTCCGGCATGCGCGAGGACGTCGGCCGCGTGACGCAGAAATACCCAGGCCAGGGCGAAAACGGTTCCGTCTATAACCACGCAGGTGCATTCTACGTGTGGGCACTATACACCATTGGCCAGCAGGACCGCGCATACAAGACCCTCCGACAGATGATTCCAGGACCCAGCGAGGAGGATTATATTCAGCGGGGCCAATTGCCGGTTTACATCCCCAACTACTACCGTGGAGGGTGGCAGAAATACCCACGTACTGCCGGACGTTCGAGTCAGCTCTTCAACACGGGAACTGTTTCTTGGGTTTACCGCGCGTTTGTCGAGGGTCTTTGCGGTTTGAGAGGTGTTAAGGAGGGATTGAGCGTGAAGCCTCAATTGCCCAGTGAGTGGAACGAAATCAAGGTCACGAGATTGTTCCGTGGCGCGACGTTTAATGTAGATATCAAGAGAGGCGACGTCAAAGATGTTCAGGTCGTTTTGGATGGCGGAAATGTCGACGGTGGTGTTATCACATCTATTGTGGCTGGTAAGAGTTACCAACTCTCGGTCACAATCCCGAAGTAAATTCGATTGGATTGTTTTGAATGGATTCGAATACCATAATAATTTTGTTGTCTGGAAAAGTTAATTTCAAAAGGCTGCTTCGAGAATGCGAATTTAATAGCAGGTTTAATTAAACATTGAAACGTTTGTCACAAACATTGGGCAACATATTCGCACTGATGTGAGAAAGCAAAAGAAGATTTACAGTATGAGGCCGATGCTCAAATATGTTGTATTTACATCGAATAAAAATATTTACAGTTCAAATGCTCTCCTCGTCGCGCATCCTTCTGCCGGACATCACACGTTCGAAACCTCAATTCGTCTACTTCCTAGGAGGGATCACCTGCCTCGAGTGCAGCCTCATAGCGTCGTGCCGCTCCTTGTGCAAAGCAAGCTCGCGCCTGGCAACAGCATCGCGGGCTTCCTGCTCATGCAACTGATGAGCACGGCGGGCCGCGATGTCGCGTGTCTGCTCCTGATGCGAAGCAAAGTTGCGGCTAATTGATGCCTGGAGAGAGCGCTTGCCAATATTGCGAACAGCCTTGGTACCCTTCATCATCTCAAGGCTCTCTTCGTAGTCGGAAGTGCCATTCTTGGGGTCTTGGTCCACTGCGGAACGTTTGCAGATCGTTCCAGCTCGGGTCTTTCCGTTTGGTCCGTCGAGAGATCTGAGGGCCTGTTAGCTGTGGTTGACATTGATTTGTAGTGGGGACACATACTGGAACTTCCTCTTCTCAGTCAATTGGGTGACCATTGCCTTGGCTGTCTCTGGCAACCAGCCATTGATGAAATCACCATGCATGCAGTGGCTAGCACCGCAAGCAAGTTCAAACGGAGCATCGCCCTTCCAAGATCCGGCACTCTTGACGTCGTACCGAATGGAAAAGCGGAGCTGGGGCATAGTCTTCATTCCCTCAGGGCACTTTCCTCCACTGGAGTAGGCACTCTCCAAAGTCTCAGAGTTGACACAGTCCTGGAAGAAGAATGCGACCTGGAGGTTCTTGCTGCAGGTGGAGAGGGGGAAATCGGACCATTCCTTACCACCGGCATCGAACTTCTCGCCTTCGCAGAGCCAGGCGAGCTTAGTGTTGGAGTTGACGTCGGCGACGGAGGTAGCATCGGCGTTACCCGCAACGGCGTTGTAGTTTTCCGGAATTGGGACCTCGGCAGCGGTCTTCTCGAAGTTGTAGTATGCGGTGAAACGCTTGGGTTTGATGGCTGTGCGGGTGTTGCTTGCCTTATCGACATGGTAGAGAGTTGGTACCCCTGCAACGCCCGGATTAGTATGCCAACGGGCTTAGGAAGCAACAACAGACAACTTACAGTAGACAGAGAAGTCATTGGGGTTCTTAGCAGTAGAGCATCCTGCTCGAAGTTCCTGAGAGGTGGGAAGATCTTTGGTGACGGTGTCGGAACCGAAGAAGCTGTGCATATGGCTCTTATACTCTCCAGGCATGACAATCGGATCGATGTTCTTCAACATGAATTGCCCAACATCGGTGTTCGTGTACGCTTGCGCAAGGCCGGCGGCCGCAGCCAACATGATAAATTTAGACATCTTGATAACGATTGGAATTTTGTGCTTTTTAAACGAATGGACACAGGTAGAGCAAAGAACAAAGTCGTGTGCTAAACCTGTAGCGACAACGAGCGTCGAAAATTAGATTGGTCAAAAGAAAGAACGAAAGTCTGTAAAGAGAACTGAATCCTGGAATGTAGATTTCGATGGCGCATCTCACCAATGCCTATATATTATACACGACCATCGGGTCGGGAGTTCGGAACCAAGTCCATCTGGAACCCTTCGCCTGGTAGTGGGGATGTTTTGGCCGTTCTCTCGATGTTTCGAGTAGAGATCTAGTGTCGGTGCCAAGCAGATCAATTGGGCTTAAAACATCCCGTTCTGGCTCGACGTCCTGCTTTCTAACTTGAAATAATCGCTTTGACAGTAAACGAGAAGATTGAAGTGTTATGAAAGGCATGCGGATTGAGATTCGTCTATGCCCTCGAATCATGTGCCGTGCGATCGTGAGCAGGAGATACCGGTTCTTCGGTTGCCTCTTACTCAAGTCGTCTTACTCAACTTATCTTCCAGGTTAGCGTCCACGGGAGTCAATCTAGATTGGAATACTGCTCCAAGCTATTCTCCTGTTGTTGTCAAAACATCTCTTCGTTAAGCTTAAGAAGCTAACGAACGTTAACATCCTGAAACTGCCAAGCATAGACTGACAGGAGCACCCGAACTTTATGTCTGATGGCACCACTCTTCCTCCAATCATCGATGGCTTCCATTACTTGACGAAGAACGGGAGAGCTATGTAAAACTATCGAACGGAAAATTAGATCCCGCGGAAGTTGAGACGAATCCACTTCTATCGTTATGGTATTGACCCAACGTCAAAGGTATAGAGTGCAAGATGAGGAGAAAATGTTCCTTCTTACTTTGAGGGCAGTTGAAATACCATCTCTGCGATGCTCTGAATGTAAAGCGATATGGAGATCTATTGGGGTTGTTACCAATACAAAGCCAGGTTCTGTAAATTTCGCGCGAAAAGCGAACTGCATGTCGCAGGGGGAAAAGACAAATGTCTTTTGTATCCAAAGCTTAGGATAAGTGCATGACAATAAGTAAAGTAGCAACTGATTCCTGTCATTCAATGACCAAGAGCTTCAAGGGAGTAGGGGAATAACATGTTGGTAGGCTCTATAAGGGATGCACATAAGGTTAAGCTATTAATGGAAACACGATCCTACATTCCTTTCTAGAACTGTTGCATTATGCTAAATCGAAGATAAGCAGAACACTGGCGTACCTGTAAGATTTCTAATACAGGCCAGATCCGTCATCAGGACCTCAGGAACGGGCTGAGGAAAGGCTGCAGGGGGAGGCGACCTCCAAGGTGCCCGTTTATAAGCGAACATGCGATTCTGCGTATCCACTATTGTTTCGAAACATGTAGCCACTGGGACCATACAGCATAAGACATCACGTCCCTGACAGACTATTCTCCTCAACTCCTGGTCTTTGCCTCTTCTGTAAGGTCTGTACGGTGCGCAGCTTCGTCCGCAGGTGTTCTGTTTTTGCCCTCGTCTCAAGGCCGACACCCTGTCCTGGCACGGACTTCATTGCCCTTGGCCATTCGCTTCTTCCTCTCCTATTGATTCCGATTCGTTCCTCCATCACATTCTCGACGGAGTCCAATGGTGGAGCCATAGAGGGAGGCTGCGGAAGGCTCGCCCAACTCAGCATTAAATGTGATTATGTTCACGATCGGGTCCCTCAGACTGTACAGCACCAATCATGGCCCAAGGAGTCGTACGACAGAATCTGGACATCGAACTCCCACTCACGAATGAGGGACTATTACGGCAGTTGTCCGGATGAGATGAGCAGCCATTGTGGAGTCGCGAAGGTGATTGGATGACTGTCCTAACATTGCCACCTTCAACGAAGTACCTTAGTTGCCAAGATGGCAGTTACTAGAGGGACACCTTTGTATCAAGTTTTGGTCACGTCTGGCTTATTCTATACATACTTTGTGATATCATTTACCATGATCGATTCCGAATCTGCGCAATATCGACGTGGTCGAGTTGGATCATTTTGCAGATCGGGTGTAATGCTTAATGCTGGCTCCAGCGAAGGCACCAGAGTCATAGTGCATTCACATTGCACATGTGCATTCGCTCCAGTGACTGTTGCTCTACCGATCAAGGCTTGAGATATATTAATCTGTAGGCTACTGCATCGTCCGAAAAGGCGCATCCGGCGGTGCCCGAGTTTGATCACGTTCTTCAATGGCTGATTCTTACACCATCAGCGACTTTTTGTTGGTCCGGGGTCATACTGGAGTTGTGTCCTCGTCCGCCTAGGGTCAGTCGCAAAGCCCCCACTGAAGCGAGCCTTACGCCTCAGTTGGTGTCCCTCGCAAACCTCCACGAATGCTCTATTGCTCGAATGCGCAAATGCGCAGCAATCGATATACTCGACGCAAAAGCGACACATATGCCAACTAAGATGTCGAGCAAAGTTATTTTTTCATCATTTTCTAAAAAGACACAAGAATATTCATGTTGCTCTATCCTGCACATTTCGCACTGTTCACCTGTTCTTCCAAAAACTAGGCAGAGAGAGTGCATCAGTTCGGACGATCACCAACACCCATCGGACTTCGTGTGAGCCAGTCTAGTGTTCTGGCCTACCTCTGGACCTAAGTTTCAAACTGAGCCACAAGTGATACACAAGATTCTTAACCCGAATAGGCTTCCCAGAGGATGAGACAACAAGCGGCGAACCTGGGGCGTCGTATATAGTCAAAGTGGTATCTTCCAGATTTCTCTTCGCTGGCTGCTGGCTGGCTTTACATTCAAAACTTGAGGAGGGGGATCTTATTCAGTTGCTCAGTGGCGTGCTTGCTCTTTCGTCGGGGAGATTTGCGCAATGATTTCGGCATCGACAGGAACTCAAGCAAGCCATGTCGGAAGATCAAGTCAACCATTGCTCAATGTGTGCATCAGCTTTGCGATCTTGGAGACCTTCTTTGTCATCGCCTTCATATTCTCGTGGCATTTCAATGGAAAGGCAAACAGGAGTAGCAGGGTCACTTACATACTCATCCTCATTGGATACTTGTTTTGCTTTGGCGGCATCATAGTGGGCATTCGTAAGTTATCAAGGTTCCCTTTGGTGTCTTGATTCATCGACTGACCGAAATTATGCAGTCAAGATCACCATAGGAGGCGCAGGATACCACTCAAGCACATTATCTCCATCTACGATTCAAGCAATGCTTAAGCTCATCAAAGCACACGAATTCATTTACGTCTCATCGATACTCTTCCCGAAACTCGCCATCCTCGCACTTTATCACCGTCTCTTCACCTTCAAGTGGTCCCGTTATGTTATCTATTTCACCGGTTTCCTAGTTGTCACGACTTTTCTCTTTGGTTTTATCTCAGCTCTTGCGAATTGCAGGCCACTGCCAGCGTTCTGGAACCCAGAAGTCGACCCAAAGTGCACGATGGATGTTATGGCCGTCTTTCAGTACTACAGTGTGCCGAACATCACCGCGGATACCTTGGTTCTCGTGCTTCCTTTGCTGATTGTACGCAAGCTACAAGTTGGCTTGACGACCAAAGTGGGAGTCTATATCACATTCCTTACGATGGCTCTGTAAGTCGATTCACAGATCGTTTTGCCAACGTTCTCTGTTCTAACATTCATCAGCGGAATCATTACGGCCGTTTTACGATTTGTCACTTTCCTTAATGTCGATCTTTTCAATGATATCACATATTATAGCATATCTACGACCAGCTGGACCATCATCGAGCCCGGCGTGTACCTGATGGCAGCAACCATGCCCACACTCCGGCCCCTCGTCCGGCACATCTTCCAAAAGTACAATACCCCTCGTTTCCTCACTCGATCATCTCCCACACTCGCCCCAACGGATGAATCGTGGCACTCCATGACCTCCACCGCAACGCTCGTCAAGCCGCCGCCCCGCGTGCTGAGGAAGAAGTCCACGAGATCATTGGGGTCGGAAAGCGCAGAGACGATTGGTAGGCGTCCGAGCCGGACTCTACAGCTCGACGACTACCATTCCATGCATAGTCTCGGGCTCGTTCGAGTGAGGAGTGCGGATGAGGAGAGCATGGTGTGTGCGGACGCGGTCATACATGAGACCATGGGCCAACAGGGTAGAAATCCGGATGGCACGCTGAGGGGGTGGAGTCTGCAACGGCCTCAGAAGTTGAGTCCTCTACGGACGAGTTTTTGTACAGTAAAAAAATAACACTCCTTTACGATCAAACGATCAATGTTTATGGATCATCATGCAATGACGTTCCGAGCGTTTTGTAGGGAACTAACTGACCTAAGGTACTCCTTATGCATTCAGTTAATGATCAAGTAGTGTAATTGTAAGCGGAAAAATGACTTTGACCAGCTGCAAGTACTTATAACTGGTACTCGTAGCTGTGAGATGGGCACTTGTGATTAATTTCCTGATTGGGAAGATTTTCCCCACATTGATTTCCCCAGCATTCCTGAGTCTCAATTCTTTGGACGATGATTGGTATATGATGTCTTGGAATTCCGAATGTTACTATGACGTTCAGCATTTTTCTCTTTTCTTCCTAAGCCCCAGTCTCTTAGTTTTTGTCTTGAATAATGTGCATGGAAGTTGGGAGGATGAGTTCAACCTCGACGGCGGTGTGCAATATGCAGGTGATTGACTGCACGTGACAGCGTGAGCCATAGTCATAGTACCCTCGCTGGTTGCTATGGTTTGGGCCAACAAGGGACAAGACAAAACACTCTTTGTCAACAAAACTTTTGATAGTGGCATCCCTTCAGTTCAATGTGAAATGTTCCCCTGCATAGCAACTCAAAACCCGTAAACCCAATTCCCTCGAACAATATATTGAAAATGGGATCCTGCATCTGCGGCGCTACATTGACCGACTAGGCTAAGGCCAAGAAAACGGTCTGGCGGTTTTGGCGCATGCACGCCCGACACCGACAATCTCGAAGGGAGACAACACAACTCCATCTGCACTTGACATCCTCGCCCACAACACCCTCCTCGCAGATTCCCTTCCTCTTCGCCTTCGCTCTCTTCTTCGCAATCGTGCGCCCTGATCCGTACCCCGCATGATTAGTCCAAAAGGGCCCATATCGAAGGCGACGCGTCCTTGTCCCGCAGGTGTCGCAAAAGTGCGGCAGTACAATTTAGAGGCCCCCCGACGCCCGTCTCGCAACCAGGATCCCAAGTGTTAACGGCCCATAATACAGGCCAGGACACGAAACCGACCCCGCAAGCTGCCCAGTTCTCCCTGGCTCGACCACCGCCGTCTACAAAATACAAACAAATAGCACCTCACTGCCATTGACGAGCTCTGCATCCCTTCTATTGCGTTCAGCTGGCTATGCGCCCCAACGAGGAGCCTGTTGAGCAGACGGTTCGCCCCACAGAGGTGCAGAACTCATAGGATCCTCAGCTTGGACACACACAGGGAGGAGGATCTTCCTAGCCAGCTGCCTCCGGGCAAGAGGAGGAGGCCACAATGGTGTCCTACCCGCCAAAGGCATCACATTCGCATTCGCGCTCGCAACCAACACCTTCTGGATCAGCGTCGAACACCCCCGGCCATGTCAAGAGAGGCTCTGCCTCGTCAAACCACCGCACCTCGAGTCGGGAGGACAGACCCCCGAGCCGGAAGGGGTCCGCACAGCGTGCTGCACAAGATGTGCCCGGTCTTAGCGATTACCAGCTGGGGGATTGCCTGGGAAAGGGCGCGTTTGGCAGTGTATATCGAGCGCTCAATTGGAATACAGGAGAAACAGTGGCAGTCAAGCAGGTTCGACTGGAGAATCTGGGGGGTGCCGAGCTCAAGACCATCATGCTCGAAATCGACCTGCTGAAGAACCTCAACCATGCCAACATCGTCAAGTACCAGGGATTCGTTAAGACACCCGATTCCCTCTACATTGTTCTAGAGTAGGTTCTAATTTTGTTTGTTTCATGTTGCTACTAGGGTTATTGACACGCGCAGGTACTGCGAAAACGGCTCGTTGCACAGCATCTGCAAGAACTTCGGCAAGTTCCCGGAAAATCTCGTCGCGCTATACATGTCACAGGTCCTGCATGGTCTATTATATCTCCACGAACAGGGTGTTATTCATCGAGACATCAAGGGCGCCAATATCCTCACTACCAAAGAGGGATTGGTAAAACTGGCGGATTTCGGTGTGGCTACAAAAGCTTCTGGTCTTGATCAAGCAAGTGTGGTAGGAACTCCCTACTGGATGGCGCCCGAAGTTATTGAGCTCTCTGGTGCTGCAACCTCGTCTGATATATGGAGCTTGGGATGTACTGTCATCGAGCTGATTGAAGGCAAACCGCCCTATCATAAGCTACAGCCCATGCAGGCCTTGTTCAGGATCGTGAATGATGAGCACCCACCTATTCCAGGTAGTGCCTCTTCCGTGAGTATTATGTCTTCTTTGCCTATTGCTCCTCAACTTACCGTCCATAGCTTCTGCGGGACTTCCTCATGGAGTGTTTCCAGAAGAATCCAACCCTACGTATATCAGCCAAACGATTGCTCAAGCATCCCTGGATTCGAAGCGCAAAACGTACTGTCCCCGCCATCCCAACGAAACCGACCGAATATACAGAAGCTGTCAAATCGGTTCAGGAATGGAATGAGGCACTGAAATCTCCCGGCTCATTACGGCGAAGCGCCCGCTCGACTCCCGCAGCCAAGAAATCACCACCGTCGTCGAAATCGAATGGCTCCACTCGCAAACCTTCGCTGAATATGAATGTGCACATACCAAAGCCAAGGCCAACTGCTGAATCCTTCCGATCACCTGAGATGGATGTGAGTGATAACTGGGATGATGATTTTGCAGAAAGCATATCACCAACGGCGCTTCATTTACCACATTTGAGGCCCCAGGACAACTTTGCGGGCTTGTTCTCCAGCGACAAGTTGAAGGCCTTTGCAAGCTTTGAAGCTGTTACAGAGGAATCATCTACCTTGGACGGTGAAGCTACAGTTAAGAGTCCATTGGATTGGCGTCATTATCTCCAAAGAAGAAATTCTAGCACATTCGAGGAACCTGAGACAGTGAAGTACTCATCGACAAGAGTGAAGCCCTCTACTTCACGGTCAGCCTCCGGCGTGATGCAACCCGAGGAGCGACACGACGGACCCAAGACAGCTTTTCTTCGTGGTGTTCCAAAGGCCACACAGCTCCCCAAGACCAAGGTAGCAGCCCTTGCAAGGCCTTCCACTCTTTTCCGCGAAGATTCGGTTGAAGATTACTCCGATCTCATGCCCACAGACGATGGGGCATTCGAGAAGCGTGTAAGAGCCATGCAAGGCCACCAGCCACAGTCCGTCATACCGCAGATGGCCAAAGCGAACAACAGTTCACCCGCCGAATCTTTCTCACCTCGTTTGTTCCACCCAAGCGATCTGAAATCCGCGCCGAAGTCTACCCGCGATACCAAATCGAATGGCAACGTTCGCCAACGCTCCGTCTCGTCTACGTCGACTCGGAAAATGCAGCGGTCGCAGTCGGAAATCGAGATTCAGAAGTATGCCGAGGGAGACGAGCAGGATGACTTTTCTGATGTTCAGGGAGATATCAGACGGCCCGCCCGCGCCGAAAGCGATAGTGGCTCTGACTATAGCAGCATGGCTCTCGTGCCTTCCAAGATGTCCTCGTCTTTCATATTACCGGATGAAGACGAGATTGATCCATTCGCTAATCTGGAAGAGGGCATCGAAAACATCAATCTTGAAAACAACGTCGCACGTGACCGAGATGATCGCCTAGCCAAACAGACAGAAAGCCTTGTCGGCTGTCTCAAGACCAGCCAGCCCGACGATGTTCTCCTCGATATAACGGATCAGCTCATACAGGTTCTGTATGAGTCACCTGACAAGAAGTCTATCGTGCTACGCTCTCATGGCCTGCTCCCTATCCTCGAGATCCTCCAGACGATGCCGCCAAACGAGGTGGTGCTGCGACTATTGAAGATCATCAATATGATCATTCTCGAAGATGCTGAATCACAAGAGAGTTTAAGCTTTTTGGGTGGCATTCCCATCATCTCGACATACGCCTACAAGAAGTATCCTTCAGAGATCCGCAAAGAGGCTGCAGCGTTCGTGCGACAGATGTATCAGACCAGCACTCTCACACTACAGATGTTCATCGGTTGCGGTGGAATCAACGTGCTGGTAGAGTTTCTCGAGGAGGATATCGATACCGAACGAGATCTTGTGCTTATCGGCGTGAATGGCGTGTGGTCTGTCTTCGAGTTGCAGGGTCCAACACCCAAGAACGATTTCTGCCGGATATTTTCACGAAGCTCTGTTCTGTACCCCTTGTCATTGGTTTTGAATCGAGTCGTGGACGAGGAGGGCGAACTGGCTGATCTGATTGAGGGGAGGATTGTGAACATCTTCCTTATCTTTTCGCAAGCTGAAAGCCATGTCAAGGATCTCGTGGCCGACCGAATGATTCTCAAACGTAAGTCAATTGAACCCTTACCCTATCTTCAGCCCAGGACACACGATTGCTACCCGTTCTTGGGGTCCTCTTCGTGATGAGTAGAGTACTGACACTTTATAGGTGTCCTCAAGGATCTTCGAAAGATGGCACCAGCGCACATGGTCACAATGCTGAAGTTCATCAAGAACCTTTCAATGTTGTCGTCTACCCATGAAGCATTGCAAAATTCAAACGCCATCGATCTTCTTGTAGAGCTTCTCAAATCATCCAAGGATCAACCACTTTACCGCGAGATTTCGAACCAAATTCTCAACACAATGTACAATTTGTGCCGACACAACAAGTCTCGCCAAGAAGAAGCTGCTTTGTCCGACATAATCCCCATTTTGAAGGACATCGTTGCAAAGGGCGGCCCTCTCAAAGAGTTCGCGCTCCCTATTCTATGCGAGTTGGCGCATAGTGGTAAAGTTGCCCGCAAGATGCTGTGGGATGGCAAGGGTTTGCTTTTCTACATTAGTATGCTTGCCGATCGGAACTGGCAGGTGCCGGCATTGGATGCTATTTTCGTTTGGTAGGTGCAAGATATCGAATGTTCTGGACACCCTTTACTGACTTTTATCAGGCTTCAGGAAGAAACTGCTCGCGTGGAGCAGTATCTACTGTCTTCTAACTTCAGCACATCAATCATAGCCTCATACACTTCTCCCGAGCTGTCTCAATCCACCTTCGAGAACATGCTTGAACCCCTTCAGAAGCTTGTTCGCCTTTCTCCACCCATCGCCGAATCGCTCGCCTGCCGCGAAATCTTTACGCGTACTGCCCAGAAGTTGGGTCATAAAGATGCCGTCACGCGACTCAATCTGTTGCGAATTTTGAGAACAATATGCGATGCTACTGAGGAGGGCTGCACACTGATCAAAGCTTATGGTGTCTATGAACCCATCTTCCATCTCTCAAACCACGACCCCGCCATCCTGGTTCGACAGATGGCGGAGGAGCTTGTCCGTGCCTGCGATGAAGTTGGCAAACGATCAACGTCACGAGCTTCCGGCTTCCGACGACCCACTTCCAGCGCCGGAGTACGTGCAGGCTCGGGGTCAAGCAATGGCTCAACGATCGTGTCTGGTATGACACCACCTACACCCACAAGCCTCAAGTCGACATTTGCCATGCCGCTGATGCCATCATCAACACCTTCTTCGCTTTCACTTCGTGAGCGAGAACGGCTTAGCCGCAGCCAATCCACAGCTGGCATTTGGGATCTCCAAGAAGAGCCCGCGAAGCCGGCACCACTGATTCGATCATCCACCGCATTTGGTGCTCTAGGTACACCCACAGGATCTCCATCTGTAATGAGCGGTGTATCCCGCCTGGGTAGCTCTAGGCCACCGAGTCGCGATGCCTCGAGCCTTTCACGCATGGAGTCAAGCCGGCCATCGTCTTCATCCTCCGAACTGAATGCACCAGGGAAGAGCAGACTTCCTAAAGCAAGGCAGGGACGGCTCAGCGAAGTTGCCAGTAGGAGAAGAGACCGAGAAAGTGGTGTAGGTCTGTCGCTTGGACAAGCTGACGAGAATCAAACCCCTGGTCTCGGTTCTGGCCGCAGCGAAGCATCAAGCTCGACACCTTTACCACGCTTGCAGATCGCCCGACGCCGGAGAGAAACATCAGGCGGTGAGATGGGCATGCCTAGACGGAGGGGGAGTCGGGTCAATGAGGAGTAGTATCTTCGTTATCGTCGGCGGCTCACTCCTTATCCGTCCTCCCACCCCACTCAGAAAGACTCAATATGAGTCTTCGAGTGCATTTCCTTATACACCAGAGCAAAGGTGGTGTTTAAATACAACTTCCACTTCTCCATATCCTTCTCTCTTTTTCTTTCTCTTTTTCTTTTGTCGCGGAACACAACGGATGGACGGTCATAGCATTTGATAGATGGACTGAACTGCATGCATGCATAGCTAGGCGTTAAGTATCCCGGTCTTTGGAGGCGGGTTTGCCCCTTTTGGTTGGTTTTTGTTATGTTCCCTCGAGAGGGGTTGTCTGGAACGCGTATGCAGAGTATGGACATGACGCAGAAAAGAGGATTGTGAGGTCGTTGATGACAATACGATATACATACATGTTTATGTGTTTGACTCTATGTTTTGGATCGTGATGTGTCGTGTTCAGCTTACGCTTCGATCCTCATTACGCGATAAGGCAGACATTTAGTACTATCTGCTCTGACCTTCATCAACTGGATGTGTGCTGCTTGGATATGGGTTCCCCCAAATGACTTCCACCTTTTCGACGTTCCTTTCTCGGTCCAACACAACTCTAACCTGCCTTCCGCTACCCGGCTCAAAGAACCCTTTCCTCAACCCGTCCAGATACAGCTCATAACCAGGCATGTATCCCTTCACGAACGCGACGACCGCCTCATCCTTCATCCCGGACCCCTTCTTCTCAATCATCGCATGCTCCTGCTGCAACCTCCACCTATACACATTCCTCAAATCGTCCGTATCGATATGCACCAAGAAATCAAAATGCTCCGGTCCCATAAACGCCTCACTATACCTCATCAACCCCTCATCCACCTCCTTCAAATGCTTCACCTCATGATCCGCCAACGTCGTAATCGACAACTCCTCCTCTCCACTCCCCTTCTCCCTCTCCGCCCTCTCCCTCTTCTCCACAATCTCCCGCTCCCCAATCGCCTGAAACCCCACACACCACCCCTCAAAAACCACAACATCCGGCTTCCTCTCCACGACCTCCCACTCCTCCCTCGGTGCGCGATCCCCCTCGCCACCAAAACAACTCTTATCGAACCTCGGCACCTTCAACTCCCCCTCCCCATCCCACGCCCTCAGCTCCCCGAAAAACCTCCTCGCAAGCTCCTCCTCGTGCGTCCCTGGTTGCCCCCGCGTCCGATACAAAGCATTGGAAGGGTCCGCGTCGCGCCGCGCGACGAGGTCCGCGTGCGTCTTGTACAGGTCGTCTAGGGAGATGGTGATGGTGGAGAGGTTGTAAGGGGGCGACGACAGGATGGAGACGATGTGGGAGGCCCAGGTTGACTTGCCGCTGCCTTGGAGGCCGGTTATACCGAGGATTATGGGGGTGTTTGGGTTGGGGGAGGAGAGGCGGGCTGTGAGGGTGGGGAGGATGTGGGAGAGGACGGTGCGGATGTTGGTGTCGAGGTTTGCCATTGTGAGGGGGGTGTAGGGTGTGTGTGTCACGAGTGGTCCTGGATTTTAGAGGTTCAAGGGTTTTCTATGAAGGTGACCAGTTTTGCGGATACAAGGTATTGTGATTGTGTCCTATCTCAGATGGTAAGTGTGGTCCTGAGGGGTAGATGAATGGCGTTTGAGACGAACTCCAATTCTAATCGGTTACAAAGTCACCACAAAAATCCCGGGGCATGCAGCTTCTTTTCAAGGTCCTTCAACTTAAGTGCTAGGCTAAGACCCCAGATTCCCTTGGCCGCGGACGTGGGAATTGAAACACCGTCTCAGATCTGAAGGTTGCGGAGATCAACGAACGAGTGGTGGGGAATGGTTGTTCTGCTTGGTCGTTTCGGCCCGAGCTTCTCCACATGGTTGGAAGAGAGCGGAAAAACAAACTGCGGGCATGCTACGCGTATGTTTCAGTACGGGAGGATCAGGAGTTTATTTATCCGAGGTGCTTGTGAGATCTTTCGACCTATGTTCATATTGAACATAAATATTTTAGATAAATTATGAGGCGGAAAAATGTAGTCTTTTGCACGAGAATCTCAAAATTTCAACTTTTAGTGCGAGAAAAATGGGATGGTCTTGCATATCGCGATTTGAACTAAAAGCAAACCGGAAGATGAAACCCCTTGCGACATTGCGAAGACGCTAGATTGAATGCAAAAGATGATAGTACTATAAGGACTTACAGCGCAGCATCATATAATTGCGACCTTCGGCGCTGCGGTTTTCTCTTCGATGCGTTTAATACGCTGCTCTGTGAGTTGGTATACATCTGGCAAACCAGTCTCACTCCAGGATTGGCCATTGATTAGCTTTACGAGACCTGGAGCCGCTGTGAAGATGCGAGCCATGCCACTAGAAAAATCAAGTCAGCAAAAGTGATAAACACTAATAGAACGATAAGAACTTACTGTCCATGGTGACCAGCGCAAACCCATTGCCCGGGCTTACCAGGCAGTTCACCAACGAAAGGGACGCCATCCGCACTCAGTCCGATAATTCCTGACCAGCTATAGTCGAAACCCTCGCCGGGTCCAAATTCAGCATCCCTCCATCCTGGAAACTCTTGCTCGACAAGATCGCGGACATGTTTAGTCACATATTCGATTCTCGCTAAACCGTCGTTGGTGCAGTTTTCAGGGTGATTTTCAACCCAGGCGTCTAATTCCTTTTGTCCGGGGTTGCTTCCACCGAACATGATGGCTCCATCTCCGACAGATCGAGGATTGATACTAAACAACCCACCGTCCGGTAATAAGACGGCGTACGAGTTTTGGAGGGCGTTTGTTCCTGACCATGCACGCGGCGGAACGACCTTGTTGCACATATGAGGTTTCGGGGTGATAAGGCCCCGCAATGATGGTTCGATAGCGGCGCTGTACGCATTGGTTGCATGCACAACTCGATTACATGCAACATCTCCACGATCGGTATGAATGATCCATTGTCCATTCTCCCCGTTTGTAACCTTTCGTGCGCAGGTGTATGTCTGCAGATTCGCCCCCTTCTCAATGTTCGAACGCATAACGTGGGCTGTTAGTTTCCATGGCTGAAGCGTTGATGCTAGCCAAGCATAACACGCTTTCGCACCTTTTATACGTGTTATAAGGGCAGCTTCTTCCGGGTTGTCGGTTACCTTGATATGGTCAACTTTGCCTCCGGCCTTTCGCAGGCGATCGAAGACATCTCGAGCAATATCCGCTACCTCGTCATCGAGCGGAACATCGAGGGTGTCGCCGATCCACAAGTCGCAGTCAACGTTGTTTTCCTTAACGTAAGATACCAAAGCTTCCCAGGTATCCTGTTCGTTTTGCAAGATCTTGAGAGCCTGCTCTGCACCGAGTGCTTTCTCGTATTTGCCAAACCCACGGAACTGATCTGGTTTGCAATGTCCAGCATTGCGGCCTGTTGCACCAGAGCAGAATTCGCGAGCTTCAAGGACAAGAACTTTCTCGTCTGGGCGAGTCTCTAAGAGGTGTTTGGTAGTCAAGGTGCCAGTGATCTTTGAAGATGAGTCAGTATGATCTAACGGCATAGATGAATAAATAGGCAATTACCCCGGACCCGATGACGACTGTATCGACATGATTTGGAAGTTCTTTGGTCGTGCGATGATTCAATAGCGGATCGCTGCGTACTTGCTGGAGCCAGTACGACAATGATTGGCCGCTTGGCTTTGGATATCCTGTTCGCCCTTGATCAGGCTGTGAGGATGCATACTCCTCAACATTGAGAACGGCAGAGGTATCGGGTCGTGAGACACCTGAAGCACCACTATAAATCGTCTTGGAAGAATCCATGTCTATTGTGATCAAAGGGTTCTGAAGCAAACAAAGTGCGTTGTAAATTGTGACAGCCTGGTCGAGGGTACTCAGTTATCTTTAAGTAGCGCGTTATCGATAAGAGCTCGCAAGAATTCCGAACCTCAGGCAGATTCGGAATTGAATCAGGCTATCGGGATCAACTCAGCCACGAATTCAGCGATGTTTGAGTAGGCTGTGCAACGGCTCTGTCCTATTGTTACATAGGAGACACATGCATCATATTTATAATGGACTAGGCAACTAATGGGAACGAGACGATGCAGTAATTAAGTAGCATCGGAATGAAATCGGAACAGGGAGTCGTAATCGCTACGCGGGTGAGCTATTGCGCCATTTCAAGTCTCTTTCTCGAGATACATGTTGTCAAGGCCTTAAAGCATCGATGACATTTTTGCTTCCTGTGTGAACGATTGTATTTAGAAAGTGTAAATTCATTTCATCTCTAAGCTATTCCTATGCTCAAACGCCTGCGTAATGCCCTTCTAATGCTGATCAGATCTCATAACGTACATTTAGTGCACACCGTTGACCCCATTGACCCCATTTGTCTTAGTAGTAGAAGGGATACGACCAGCTACTTGGAACTCTTTTCGGTAGATTGCCTCCATCTCCCTTCGCACGGCAACAGCCTGAGACTTCTCGCTGTACTCGACATCTGCCCAAGAGAGGCCTTGTCCCTTCTTGACGTCCCTCTTGAGAACAATACCATGAGCAAGACCAATAGGGAGACCCTCAATAGCGAGCGAATCTTCGGATGTCATCAACTTGCCATAGACCATGAAGCCACCCTCGCCATCGAGCTTCTCGCCAGCCTTGAGATCGCGCTTCGCCGTTGCGACAACATCACCGGACCAAGTCTTGCACTGTCCGGTAGGCTCGCCACGAACCATAATGCTGGCGATTGAAATGCCAAGCTCGAGTCCAATCAAGTGGTAAGGCTTGTATTGAGCAGCGTATTTGCCCGTAGAATCAGTCTTGAGGCCGTACTGCTTGAAGCAGTCCTTCTGGTATGGGCCGGGAGCTTCGATGACGACGTAAACACCCCATCGTAGGTCATTGTGTACCCAACGACCATCCTTCTCTAAACATGAGACAACTTCGACAGTGCCCTTCTTCTGAAGCTGGCCGCCATCGCTAGCAGGCTTCAAGACCTCGGGAAGATCGTGAGTGCCGCAAGGCGGGAATGCAAGGCCATCGGAAGGAGGAGACAAGTCGCAGCCGTTAGCAACGGCAGCCATCTCGAGGGCAGATTTTGTTCCATCGAGGAAAGAGTTGAACATTTGAGGGTTGAAGTCACCGCTGGCTAACTGCTCCTCCGTGAAACCGTAGTAGTTCCAAATGGTGTCTGGAGTTGAGCTGTGGTATTGTGGTAAATGCTTCGTGCCTTTTCCAGCGCACACAACGTCGAACCCTGCAGCTCTTGCCCAGTCGACTTGCTCGGCAATGAGGGCAGGCTGGTCTCCGTATGCCATAGAGTAGATGATTCCCGCCTCCTTCGCCTTTCGGGTGAGAAGGGGTCCTGCAAGAACATCGGCCTCAACATTGACCATGACGATATGCTTCTTGTGTTCGCAGCACAGAAGCACGTGGCGAACACCAGCAGCTGGGTTGCCCGTAACCTCGAGAATGACGTCGATGCCTGGTGTCGCGATCATGGCAGCAGAGTCGGTGGTGATGACAGTCTTGCCTTGCTTGAGGCCCTCCTCGAGAGATAATGAAGCTGTGGTGTCATACTTGTCTTCGGGAAATCCAGTACGCTTGAGGGAGTTGAGCGCACGTTCAGGGGAGAGGTCGGCAATGGCTGCAAGGCGAACTCCAACTGTTCGATGTGATTGAGAAATGCTATTTTGGCCAGGTTAGCTAGAGAATTTTTACCAATAGGGAACTCAAGCCAAACTTACTACATTGATCCGAACTTCCCAGCTCCGATGATACCCACCTGGATAGGCTTGCCACTAGCCTCAAGGGCAGCAAGTTTGGTCGAGAGAGATGTCATTTTGATCGTAGGACTTTTGCACAAATTATTCAGAAAAGATTATGAATCAAGAATGATGAAGTTGAATGCTTTGCGAGTAATGAATTCCAATGGATCTTGTCACAGATATTTATTTCCATAGAGTTTTCCGATTTCCCGATTTGCCGGTGACCACCTCCGCATACTCATCATCCAAGGCGGGGGACTCCACTTTAGCACGATTCAAACATACTCCACAATTTCTGTCAACCACGCGACTATGTGTGTAATATAGCAACTTGTGATAGTATGCATAATATGAAAAGGGTTAGTCTGGGGAAGCCTGGGTGAAGGAATCCTGCCATGCCGCCACGGCTCAGATCATCGGAGAACATCCCAAGCCACCACTGTCAGCTCACACGATCGGCTTTTCGGAGGACTTTAATGTTTTCAACAATGAACGGTGACCCCAGAATACCGGGGTCAAGTCAATAGGAGATCTGGAGAATCTCTCCGCATTCCCGGACGCTTGGGATTCACTAGCTTATCGATGTTTGTATAAATCCCTTCGTTGATACATTCATCGATCAATCTTCAGACATCAGAGAGCAACCCCCATAATTTACTTTCATTGGAAACCATCACGTTGTGGTTGTGAATTTGTTATATCTTCTTACAATGTCAGTCACCGTCGACGCGCAACCTCAGTCGACCAAGATGATGGCAACTGAGAAGATCGAGGGCCAGAGCGACATCACGCCAACGACGGCCGAAGAATGGCAGCGGAAAATTGCATCATGGTCGCCAGAAGAGCGAGCAGAAAAGGAGAAGAAATTTCTAAGAAAGATCGACGTTCACCTTCTCCCTATTCTGGTATGTCATTTCCACCCTTCTTGTACAGCGCTTCTTGGTCTAACATCAATATGATTAGATCGTCATGTATATCATGAACTACATCGATCGAAACGCACTCCCACAGGCTCGCATCCAAGGGCTTGAGGAAGATATTGGACTTGTCGGTTCGCAATACAACGTGGTTCTTTCTGTGACCTTCATCGGCTACATTCTGATGCAAGTGCCCTCCAACATGGCTCTAGGCCTTGTCCGACCAAGCTGGTATCTCTCTGCAGTGATGATTGCCTGGGGTGTGGTCAGTGGCTGTTCAGGTGTAGTCAACAGCTTCGCTGGTATTGCAGCATGTCGATTCTTCTTGGGAATTACTGAGTATGTCATATAAACCGACTACAGTGCTGTGAGGCTTCTCTGACAACTTCTAGGGCCCCTTTCTTCGCCGGTGTTGCTTTCCTCTTCAGTGGCTGGTATACGCGCAAGGAGCTAGGAATGAGATTGGGAATATTCTTCTGCGGAGCGATGTTGAGCGGTGCATTCGGTGGCCTGTTTGCTGCTGGAATTGCAGCTGCTTTCAAGAACAACAAATGGCCCTCCTGGCGCTGGTTGTTCATCATTGAAGGAATCGCCACCGTTGTCTTCGCTTTCGCCACGGCTTTCATCATTCCGGACTGGCCTGCAACGACAAAATGGCTGTCGGAGGAAGAGAAAGCATTGGGTGTTGTTCGCCTCGTTGAAGACGCCGGTGAGGAAGAAGAGGATATCAGCGTCTTTCAGTCACTGAAGCTGGCTGCTAAGGACTACCGTGTTTGGCTTTGCATTCTAGGACAGGTATGATCGATTTCCACAGTCCGTTCACTTATCAATACTAATACACTTTCATAGATGTCCGTTCAAGCCGTCGCATCTCTCACCAATTTCTTGCCAACCCTCGTGAAAGAGTTTGGTTTTGGTACCATCGAAACACTTCTTCTCACCGCTCCACCATACATCCTCACCGCGATATTCTGTCTATTCAACACCTGGTATAGCGACCGAACCTCCATGCGAAGCCCTCATATCATATACCCATCCATTGCTTGCATTATTGGCATTGTAATCACAATAGCTACTACGAACCATGCGGCCAGATTCTTCGCTCTCTATTTGATGTTACCTGGCACATACGGCTGCTTCCAGGTATCGAACGCTTGGATGGCGAATATCGCTGCTAGACCTCAAAAGAAGAGAGCCATCGCGCTGGCCATGAACAACGCTCTCGGTAACACTGCATTGGTCTGGACGCCCTATCTGTACCCCAAGAGCGACGGACCGCGATACACGATGGCATGGAGCGTGAACCTCGCGCTGTCGGTGGTTACGCTAGTCTCTGCCGTGGCACTCTCCTTCTGCCTCAGACGGGAGAACAAGAAGATCGACGACTTGAACGCTGCTGGGTACGCAGTTGAGGATAGCCATGATGAGAAAGCCCAGACAACCGGATTCGAAAGAGTTGGTGCCCCTGTTGTTCACTACAGATATGATATCTAGAGGTGGACACCTTTGGTGGAAAGTCCACTGTAAGAGGCAAACGTACATGTAATTAAGACGGGATGCTCGATAGTGGACCATTGTAAATATTGTGGCGCGCTATACGTGCGATTCAGAGTCCACTTCTTTTATGACTTTGCGGTGGAACGCTACCCCTAATTCTTTGAGCCGAACAAATTCGATGTGGGCCAATCTCGGCAGCGGCCAAACGTTTACTCAATTCAGTAATTTGTCTGAAAAACTATGGATTGCAGTGAAGTTTCCATGGTTCTTTGGGTCGTATATGCTTTTCTTTTCCATGGGAGAGCGTGTTTCACGTTTCGGGATTATTTTAGTTGTGCATAAACATCCTGGGCGATTTCAAAGCCATGCATTTCGGTGCAGCCACTAAGCGGATGTGAATTTTTAGTAACCTGGACGAGGCTACGATCCGACAGCCCAATAAAAGCTACGAGCAAATCTCCAGCAACACATTGATGTGTTTGCCTTGCAGATGGATTGATGAGAGAACAAGGGCCATGAGAAGGTTTTTATTGGATAGTTAAGAGGCCCTTATTATTATTATTCCAGTGTCTGCTCTTTGGTGATACAAGGCTGCTCGAAGCCACACATTGTAGCGCCTGGATGGCGAAACCCATCCCCTTCAATATTGAGACCAAAGTCCTGAAAAGCCGACCACCAGCCGGACGTGGTACTTCTAGATGGTCAGCCTAATTGCAAGCCTTTTCCAATTGATCTGGGACGCCTTTAATAAAGTAACCTCGGTTCTTCATCCGAACCACCAACCATCAGGTCATCATCGGACCGGACCCCACCTTTCCATTCAACTTGAGTGATTTCCCGCCGATTTCCCGGAATGCCTATGATGCATCATTGCCCATCACATATTATTACCCCAGCCTGCAGACCCCCGGTTTTTTGACCGACAATGAAAACACTACATCAACCCCAGATTCTAAAGGATGGAGACACCAGGTCAAAGTGCGGAGCTTTCAAAGGCGCACGTGACCCAAGGTCCATCCGAGACTAGCCCAGAAGCAACGAGGACCACCGAGCCAGGGGACTTGACAAAGGAACGTGATTCACACAGAGATACAAACCCTGTAGCTGAGATCTCACATAATGTAAAGAAGTCGGGGCGTGAGGGTGGCGTTGGAGGACCCGGCAGAAAACCAAGAGCCTGTGAGTGTAGCTTGGGTGAATGAGATCTCAATTAAAACTGACCAAAACAAGGTCAAGAATGCAAGCGGCAAAAGATGAAGTGTGAGGCAATGCCCGGAGAACGGAAATGTCGAAATTGTCAAAGAAGAAAGATCGAATGCGTGATGAAATATGTCCCAAATTCCTCGCTTGCAGAGGTGGAGAATCGATATGAGTACACACATCCATTCTGAGGAACAATTCAATGGTGAACTGATCATCAACAGGCAAAAGATCGATACCATGCACAATGAAATACAAGCCATACAGTCCACCCTTCAAGCTCTTCTTCGGCAACAGAACATGCTCCAAGCGCATACGCCTACTCCGGCAGCCAACCCAATGACTACTCCTGGTTCCGACTTGAACAGAAGCATTAATTCGGATTTGATCCACTCAAGGCAGGGCGAAAATACACACATGGCCATGACACGCGAAAATTCAGCGGAGCCCGAAACTAGTAATGATGAAAATGATCGTCAAGCTGCCGTACGGCTCGAGGAGCCCATGGGTTCTCTGTATGAAGTAACTCGACTCCGTAATATCCGGTCGAATCGTGCCAAAACTGTTAGACCCGCAAATCGCTCATTCGAAGAACTAGACGACTTCATAACGAGAGGAGTCATTGGTGAACATGAAGCTGAGGAGTTGTATGCGATCTTTCATACGAGCTTGAACCACTACCTTTGGGTAGGTCTAGAACAGCTTCACGGTAGCCTGGATTCAGTAAGAAGAAGCAGCGAAATGCTGACAGCCACGATTCTAACGGTCACTGCACTTCACATCCCCACTAGCGCCGAGACTTTTGACAAGTGCTATAAAGAGTTCCTGGGTCTGATATCGAGCAGTATGTTTTCAAGATATCACTCTATTGATGATGTTAGGGCGTTGTGCATTGCCGCTTTCTGGCTGTCAGATGGTAAGTATTGGCCCAACTGGCTCTTTGTGCACTACTGATAATGGCCCGGCCCGTAGTGAGTTGGAAACTCTCTGGACATGCAATACGCATCGCAACGGAATTAAACATCCACCATTCCTTCTTCAACGCACTCGAAGGTGATCCCGAGCATTTCATAAGAGCCAGGCTTTGGTATATGCTGTATGTTTGTGATCACCACTTTAGTATTGCCTACGGTCGTCCACCCATGATTGCCGAAAGCGTTCAGATCAGGGAGCATGAGAGATATCTACAATCACCCCTCGCGAACGCACTCGACTACCGGATACTAAGTCAGGTAGCCTTGATGCAAATCATGACGAGGATGCAGGATCGTTTTGGAAACCGAAGACTGCCGCAAGACGACCCGAGCGGTGCGTTGTTATCGGAAGCTGACTTCGTGGACATGCGAAATTTCAATGTAGAGATAGATCGCTGGCGTATGAAGTGGCATGCTAGACAAGGTAGGTTGATTTTCTTTGATAAAATGAAAAATCGCTAATATTTTAGTCAATAACACATTCATTGGCACATTTCCGCCGAAGGGGATTATTCTTTACTCTTACTTTGCGAAGCTGCAAATCAATTCCTTTGCCATCCGTGGTATCACATTGTCCCATACTCAATCAGCCAATTCCGCTGCAGTGCAACCCCAGCCATCGATCTTCCATAATTATAGCTCGCGAGAAGCCTCCATTGCCACTGGAACTATGTCACCCACCAACCACGGTCTTAGCACGGAGCGCAAAGAGTTCGCAAATACTGCCATCAGCTCCGCAGCGAGTATCCTGACATTTGTTCTGGAGGAGGAAGATATGAGACGAGCTCTTGTAGGAACACCCCTCTACGTCCATACGATGATTGCTTTTGCGTCCGTGTTCCTGATGAAAGTGACCACGAATTGGAACATGATCATCGGACTAAACGTGGAAACAAAATATGTTACCAATTTATTGGAGAGAATGATATTACTCCTCAAAGGCACAGTAACAAGCGATCGCCACCTATTGTATCACATTGCGGCTGGCCTTGAGAAGATGCTTGAGAAGAGCCGACAAGCCCAAGCACGTGGCCCCCCACCTGGACTAAATCAAGATCCACTTTCAGACTTGCAAACTTCGAATGGCTTTACTGCATCAACTCGGATTGAAAGCAGGCGGGCTCGAGCAACGTCAACCGCCTCCACGTTCCCCACATCAGAAAACCCCGGACAATTTGCATCAATAGCCGAGCCAAATATGCCTTCCAATGTCGACATGAACGGTTTTAGCGGGTGGGGCAACGGCTATGGCGTCGAAAACAATGCGCAAGGGGGAAATGAACGAGCTACCGAAACAGAGTATGGGGGTTTTTCCGGAAGCGACATGATGATCATGAACGATAGCCTCATTTACGAGGCTTTCGGCAGTGAAAGTGCGAATGATGTCTACAATCTTTTGACTAGCCAGTTCAGTTACTAATTGATATCGAACGTCGCGAGCGCCATTACATTGGGACTACTGCAAGTCCAGCAGCAAAGTGGGCATGTACGAAGAATGTAAATGGTAGATTTGCGAAAATAAGTTACAATTTTGATCATCCTGCTCGACAAAATTAATGTATTTCCCAAGAATCTAAAATCCACCTCAATCTAGGATTGGGTAATGAACAGATCGAAGAGCAGAATTACCGCGTAGCTTTGCCTTTACTTGCCAGCTTGTATCGTGAACTCAAAGAGGGCAAAATACAGCTTAACTTATTTGGGATTAGCCTTGTTTTAACCGTCTTAACTCTCACGATCAACGCGACTCTTTCTACCCAACACCTCACAAACTCACCCGCAGTGTTTTCTTGGTTCAGCTTCATTGGATCTGTGTCTAGCAATCAGAGTGGAAGCTAGCGTTTGCTAGTATTCACAGATTTTGTACGATCCCAGAGCGTGTCAGCGCTATTACTTCCCTAATCGTTTCGATTTAGGATTTCACTTGACAGTGCGCTACCTGTTAGCCACACCCGCACAACCAGAAGCCTGGCTCTGAGAGTCAAACCGACTTTGGGGCTTCGAGCAAGATTGAGCACGGAAAGCCTTTCCTTTGTTGTTTCAAATTGTCTCAAGATCTGATTAAGTGAGGGCCTCACTTCAACTTTTCCACCCGGGGCACAGATCATCAATCATTCGAAGGCGCCATCCATCGACATGTCGGGTGATAATGATGAAGCGTCAAATGGTAAGTACATTTGTTGCCACCTGGGTTCCTGAGATTGCTTAATTCGATTGAAGATTTCCTGCACCGAATGGAATCCATGTTAAGAAACTCGGCTGCGGGCTTGAACACTGTTGCAAATCCTCCATCTGGATCCGGAAATGATGGCAAGGACGCTTTTGCTCTTTTTGCAGCAGCAGTGGAATCGCAAACACCGATTGCTCATAGGCAGCGGAGTGAACCTGCAGAAGTACTTGACACTGGTTCGGAACTAGGCTCTTCTGATATGGAATGTAATTCCTCCTCGGAAGAGGATGGTGGGACTAGTGAGATCGAACTTGCCACACACCAGATTGAAGAAGAAAAGAAGACCGATACTTTGCTTCAGGCTGGCGAAGCTAGTCCAGCCAGATTGGCTGAAACAACATCTGCGATGGAGGGAAAGAAGGCGCTCAAGAGAAAGAGGGAGTTAGCAGGGCTGATGAGATTCACTGGTGACATACTACACACCATACCCTCCGCCTCAATTCTGCCGATCGCCACGAGTGTCACATGGCTACAACCACCCGAACTTCTCTGCTGTTACAACTGGCAACAGACTAATGATGGCACCAATGCTATCTTCGTTCCTGGGGCTCCGCCACTGTGGACATCGCCGTCGCTACCCTATACGGTCCCGAACGACAATGGCTATCATTTCGTGGACCACAACCACGCACGCCAGCCGAAATATCCTTACGCTCCCATGTTTTGTGCACTAAGTAGCATGAATCCAAATGTCAAATTCGATGATTTGGATATCTTAGCGGATCGAAACAATTTTCGGACCCTGCTGGAATATGTGCAGGGAAAGTCGACAGGACCATTCCGAATAGATCTGCATAAGATCAATAACACCCTGATCCTTGTCAAGAAAGCGGACAGATTTTGGCGAAAGGCGAACGGAATCAGTCACGGTTATAACTTTGAAAGCCACTTCACTCAACCTGAAAAGGGGCTAGAAGATGCGACAAGCCATTATCGAGTTATTCGATATGAGATGGGACCCTTGAGAGTAGCAGTCCGTTTCGAAGCCGATGCGTGTTATCAAGAGACTGAGCCCAGGGAAGTTGTACCAACCACTCTCGAGACTGTTGGCAAACCCGATCTGACAGAGAGGCCCCGTTTCAACTTCACAGCCCCTATCAGGGTAATTCGAAGAGGTCGACTTGTTCCATGTGCTAACATCGCTGAAATCAAATCGCAATCTATCAAATACGATGCTGAGGGGCGCACAAAATCCGTCGGTACCTACCCATGCATGGATCAACTTTGGTTCGGCCGGACGACGCATCTTTTCACGGGGCGCTACCAGTCAGAGACAGGCGTCTTCAGCCGCGTTAACTACAAAGAGGCCCGATCAAATATCGCTGATTGGGAAGAGAAATCACAGGATGGCTTGCGAAAGCTTGTTAGCCTTCTCGTACAGTTGAAAGGCATCGTGGAAGGCGAAGACTTTCCCGAAGGCGCCGCTGTTGTATTGCGGGAGACCAAGACGGGACCACTAACAGTAAGAGTAATGGACGAAGTGCGACTAAAAGTGCATCCCCATTTCGTCCAAAAGTATTGGAAGCAACCATTACCAGACAACCGGCATCAGCGTCGTGCTGCAAATGCTCGGGGAGGATATCAAAGAGGCAACGCGCACCAACGTGGTTCTGTGTCACCGCACAACTTTCATCCACGCGGCGCCTTCCAACACCGAGGCGACTATGCGGCTCGAAGACAAAGCACTCCAGAACAAGGAGCAGGAAACAATGTCCAGACACTGAACCCTCAGGATGGGTCACCGAATGCGTACCGGGGTGGTGCGCGTGGTGGAGGTCACAGGAGAGGAAGGGGGCGTGCACAGTAGGTCTTGCTATCAGGATCAAAACAATGTCACGACTACTTTTGTATTATCAATGATATGTTCGCCAAAGGGTTGGCGTTTTAGTTTAAGTCACTTCCGTTCAATTGTATAAAACCTTTTGTATTACTCTGTTTATACTATAACACATGGATTCATAGCATCAAAAGTGCCGAACGGCGATGACTATGAGGAATAGTCGTCTAGATAATTGGCGAAGAGCCGGGGCTTACAATCTGTACCCAGCCGCTACGATGAGGGATGCATGTGTGCCTTGGACCTTGGAATGAAAGATACGATCGCGGTCTTCTAAATCCACAATCTTGATCCCAGGCCTATCGAACTCTAGTTGTTTTCGCAGATCATCGGCTGCAATGCCGTCATTACCATCAGGCTGGTTTGTTTGAAACCTCATTCGAGTGATGACCAAAGCTGCATCCTTTGGTGCCCGAATGGAATGATCGACATCAACATGCCAATCTTCTCCGGGGTACTGCCTGTGGTCGTTTTCTGGCCTGGGAATTGGGGTGAACCTGACGTTCAGAGTCGCCCCGCTTTCCCGGCGAATCTGGAATTCGGTGTTGATAGCTACATGCCAATGATTTGGAGAGTCGAATACCCGGATTATAAAGTCTTTACTATTGACCGTAGCTTTCTCGGGATCAAAGCCCTCGTTGAACGGGAGAGAAACGATGACCAGCAGACAGTTGTTCGATACTAACGAGTTAAAGATATGTACCCCTCCGGAGTGGACACGATATCGATTTGGAATGGTGATCTCTACATTCCAGCCTTTGTCGTCTTGGTGTCGAATGGTGTTTGGATTTTCTGGTTTCGAGGGGCGCGAAGGGCTTTTAGGAATGGTTGGATTCTCTGGCGACCAATAGAGGGAAGCATCATACGTCTTCCTTTTAGAAGGATCACCTAACACTTCATAAGAATTGTTCACGGTTTTCAAGATGCCTTCTCGCCTTGCCCGCTCCTCAGGAGGGAGGCTCCTGGTCTTGTCTGGGTGGTTCTGCGTAGATAACGCCATCCAGGCTTTACGGATGTCTTGCGCACTCGCATCCCGACCGACTGAGAGAACATCATAATGGGTCGACATCTTGTTTCGCCAACTGAAAGGGTTGCAGTTAACAGTTGTGTCAATTGGCGAAAGGCTCTGGAGTTGCATGTTCCGTTCGATAATTTCTGTACCCAAGTAGCAGTGCCCGCGAAACATTCTGGCTAGTGGGAGAGCTTGCACAATCACTCGCAATGAACATGAACAATGTAAGAACAGGGCTTGGTGATCATTTACGAACGTCGATTACAGAGTGAAACTTCTGCATTTCACTACCAAACACCTTTCACTGTCGGGTGCACCATGGTACAATACATTCATGGTGAATATTGTCCGTGCGACTTATATGGCTTGTTTAATTGGTCGAATGTCTTGGATGTTTCTCAATTCACTCGTAGGCCAGGTGGCCCGATTGCTTCCATGATGAAATCCTTATTGCGGCCTAGCAGAAAATCACTTTCAGTGAACAGACTTCGGCACGTGACTTGGAATCCGGACGGGGACTTCAATCATGTATATCTGCACTATGTCAGCTAGTTAGGACTTGACCCAAGAACGCTTTGATCTCGCCACCATTCAAGTACTCAACTCGCTCACATAGCGTCTGAGATCTACGACACGTATGATCGGCCAAACAAGCACCGTCGGACGGACTTGCGTTACCATTGCGCCCGCCTTTCTACGCCTCAGTAGACGCCTTTGACTTTCCTCTATCTCTGACGCAGCTAAGAATCTCAAATGAGAAATCTAGCGCAATGATACCAAGTTAATATTGTGGTTTCAATGCTACTTATATATATGAATCACCAATCCACATGCGTAACAAGTCGAGCAAGCTTGGTGGTTGGTGACACAATATGCGCGGTTGGCAGCGATCGTTCTAAGGCGAATCAAAGTAAGCACAAACTGCATGGATGTTGTCGATGTTGATGTACGACCAGGGTTTGCCCTATAACTTGGTTCTGACACTCCTCCAGACTATGTATGCCTTTCTCCATAATACACGGACTTTGTGCCATGAAACCACGTGGGATCGACCGTTCGCGCCGGACGCCAAAAATCTACACCAGCAAGTCCGTCTGACACGCCATGTCCTGCTTAAGCATAATCGCTTCCACACTCGATATGTATGAGGCAATCAAAGTCCTTCTTCGAATTCATTTTACGATAAATGATCAAGTGTTGATAAAAATTTCATCGCGGACGGATGAACAGTGTAAGATTGAAGCCACTTTGCGGACTTGAATCCTACTGCTGAGCTTAGCTGCACAGCGTGCCGAGAGTCATCTTCGACAACTAAACACGCGGCATCCATGGTGGTCTTATGTCATAACTTACCACGTATGATGCAAAGACTGCTCATCTTCTACAGATTTTGCATTCAAAGCCTACGAGCCCAGACTCTTATCGTTTGAAGTCAAAACTCCAGGTCGGAAAATTATTTTGGCTGGCGAGACTATTCGTGAGAGCCGTACGCTAACCAATTCCAGAACCAGCCATGTTTGAAGTAGTCCGACATCCGTCAGACATACTCGTCCAAAATACGGCTTTGTCCCCAATTATGATTTTCAAAATTTGCTGACATTCAAAAAATTCATGTCGTACGCGTCTGCGTACTACCACATCACGAACCTCGTTGCGCAACATTGTGGTGAATCTTCAAGATGGCGCCTGCGGGAGGCCAGGCACCTGGGCTTCCGCCCATTGGCGACCCAACGAACCCTTTAGAGATCATGTTAAACACTCCAGCGCTGCGTCCTCCGGAAGGAATTGTCGTTGAGATGACTTTAGATGGGCCCGATCAAGTTTGGTTCCTCGTGGTTGCGATCCTTTGTACAGCCGTTCCTGGGATCTTCCTGATCTTGCGAGTTTATACGAAATTGGCGATATCAAGAGGGTTCGAACTGGCTGACTGTAAGATACATACACTATTTTCATAAATGTTAAGACTGACAATAATTTCAGACTTCATTTTTCTTGCTTTTGTAAGTCTACGTCAACAATTCACGAAGAAAGTGCTAGGGCTGACAGTAATATGAAAGCCTCTCATGGTTGTTGAAATTGCAAATGGTTACCTCATGGTGAAATGGGGCGCTGGCGTACATCAATGGCAGGTTACATTCCGTCAACTGTTTAATCAATTATACGTATGTTCTCCTCGCGATCAATCAGTTCCGTATTAACAAAACTAGTGGATGAACGTAGCCGAAGTGATATACTGTCCCCTGAGCTTCCTTGTGAAGACAGCTATTCTTTTGCAGTATCTACGAGTATTTGCCCCGACACGACAGCTGAATCGATTGATGTGGTATGGTGCATGTACTACAATTGCCGCTTGCTTCATTTTCTACACGGTCTTCACATTCTGGACAATGTTCTACTGCAAGCCAAGAACCATGATTTGGAACAAATTTACACCAGATGGCAAGTGTCACGACCACGGACCAATTGTCATTAGCCAGGGGATATTCAACATGGCATCCGATGTAATAATCTTGCTCCTTCCGACGAGAAGTCTCTGGCAGTTGAGAGTGCCTTTGGCAAGGAAGTTGGTCATCACATCGCTTTTCGCAACGGGTTTACTGTAAGACTTTCTTTCTCACCTCCATACTTAGGGTACTTGCTAACGAGCCAAAGTGCATGTGTTGCATCAGTGATGCGCATCGTCTTCACGATCAAGATCGCGCCCATATTCACTGAGTCCGATATATCTCACAATGGACTTCTCATTGGTCTTTGGACGCAGGCAGAGGTCGCGCTCGGATTTATAGTCGCTTGTTCACTTTCACTACCCAAGCTCGTCCAAGCGAAGCGTAAGAAGATCTCTCAAGCAATGTCCAAGGTCTCGTCGCCCTTCTCCAGCATACGGAGCACAATCAGAAGCCGGAGCGGATCGCAGTCCACCAAAAGATCGAATTCGACGAGCGATGGGTCCAGGAAGGGTTCGTTGCCGTTGATCGTCATGCAAAGTGAAGCTGGCGGCATCAAGCGGCCGATATACTACGAAGAGAGGGAGTTGCGGGCGCAGCATGAGAAGGGGATGTTTCCGATCAAAGAGGAGCGCGATCCTTATCCGCTACCTAGCGAGGCGGGCAGTACCTACTCGCCTTCAATTCACTCCCCGCGCAGCAGCACTTCTAGTGACGACCCTACGCTTCACGTGGCGCCTCTGAACTGGATGAACAAAGGCGCTCCTCGCAACCTTGGCGTACTGCCACCTGCCCCAGACTCCGTAGATGGTACAGAGGGACCTTTACACGAGATCGCGACTCTTCCGCCGGTGTTGAACGGAATGAATGCCGGAGGTGAGAGGGCTTCCCATCGACTAACTCAGAAGGAATTGTTCGTGTTGCAACAGTTCAATTTTGAGAGATTTAGCGATAGCGTCGATATTGAGCGCACAGCAGATCTGGCGTTGAAAGGTCGTTAATGTACTCCTTCATGATTGTAATATTAGCAATTCGTTCACATTCGATACCAGGGCCATGGGTAAGGTTACCAGGCAGGATGCCCAAACGTAGGTTTAGTGCTTTCCCTGTATACTAGGAAACGGCGGCGTATACAGGTGTTAGGTATGTTTTTATCATGAATGTAAACAATGTTCAGAAAATAATAATGTTACTACTTGTTATGTCACGATGTTCACCTACGTATTGCAGGTGCATAATTGCCCGAATGGGAACGGAATGGAATGGACATGTTCCCGGAACTACAATTAGATGTTGAACTAGATGTTGAGTAAATGGCAAACCGCCATTAATGAAAAGTCTCCTTTCCCTAGTTTTATATGAAAGCAAAATGCTTTAGTGGATGGGTACAAGGCCTGATTGGTGGTTTTCTTTAATCCGGGGTACACTTACTGCCCTGTAATTAAATCTAATTTACGCAGAACCCAGAATCCCGGATATCCGTAACTCGCGACATCCGAATGTTAACTTGTGTTTTGCTCAAGCTTTTTATATTGTAATTTGAGTACTATCACGGCTTCTAATCCCGGGCCTTGATGGTGCCATTTTGTGCGCAATCTGGCCATAGGAACTTTGAAGTATAAACAACGAGCTGCGACACCATGATCTATTTCATATGCACATGCGCTAGATTTGATTGTCATTGACGATGCTTTCTGCGGTACTTTTCGTCGCGGCCTGTGCTGCTACTGCAGTTGCACAGACTATCACACTACAAGCGGAGTCAGCAACTTTGTCAGGCGTGATTGTTGGAACGGCTGTCGCTGGATTTACAGGTATTGATAATTGACAATACATGAGGGCAAATTGGCCTGACTGAGTTTAATATCAGGTTCGGGATACGTAGAAGGGTTCGATGAGTCGACCGACTCCATCAAGTTCACAGCAGATATCACTACGGCAGGCTTATACGATTTGAGTATCGTATACAATGGCCCTTACGGTGACAAGTACACCTACATCGTAGCTAATGGTGCTGGGTCTCAAATCTCGCTTCCCGCCACGACTGAATGGAAGACTGTATCTGCAGGCCAGGTTTTGCTCACTGCTGGCAAAAACGCTCTCGAGATCCAGAGTAATTGGGGCTGGTATTTTGACTCTAGATTGTTCGTTCAATGGCATAAAGTACTAATATTCGCAAGGTATCTTGTCGATGCGATTACACTGTCACCTTCTGCCCCACGAGGACCCCATAAAGTCACCACTAAACCAGTAAACAAGAAGGCTAATGCAGATGCCAAAGCACTGCTTAAATATCTGGGAAGCATTTATGGAAAGCATATCCTCTCCGGCCAACAAGATCAGGCTTCACTTGATTGGGTTACTACAAATGTCGGAAAAACGCCTGCTATTCTTGGGCTTGACTTCATGGGTACTATATGTGACTTTATCTTGCCCAACCAAGCTGATTTCATCTAGACTATACCGAATCTCGAACGTCGCGGGGTGCCTCCTCCACTGATGTGGATAAAGCTATTGCATTCGCAGCCAAGGGTGGGATTATCACTTTTGCCTGGCACTGGGGCGCACCAGTAGGTCTATACGATAATGAAACCGAGCCTTGGTGGTCCGGATTCTATACGAGAGCCACGGATTTCAACATCGTCGATGCACTTGCTGATACTAAGAATGCGAACTACACGTTACTGATCAAAGATATCGACACAATTGCGGTTCAGCTGAAGAAGCTGCAGAACGCAAAAGTGCCCGTCTTGTTCCGGCCACTCCACGAGGCGGAGGGAGGCTGGTTTTGGTGGGGCGCACATGGCCCTGAGCCAGCCAAGAAGTTGTATCGAATCGTATATGAAAGGTTAACTACGCATCACGGCATCAACAACTTGATCTGGGTGTGGAATTCCGTCGCAAAAGACTGGTACCCTGGCAGTGATGTTGTCGACATCGTCAGCGCCGATACTTATAGTCAAGGTGACCATGGGGTAAGTGCTTGATTCTCTCATTGCAAGTGGTCTGGCTGACCATAATCTGCAGCCTGTGTCTGCTACTTACAACAATTTACTCGCACTAACAAACGATACTAAAATCATCGCTGCGGCTGAGATTGGATCAGTTATGGAGCCGGCATTGCTGAAGGCCTATCAGGCGGATTGGGTGTACTTCTGCGTCTGGTCTGGTGATTTCATTTCAGGTGGGCAATGGAACAGCCTCTCATTCCTCAAAGAAGTGTACAATGATGAGTATGTTCTCACACTGGATGAGATACAGGGTTGGAAAGGAGGCAAGGCATAGTAAAGTTAGATAGTGAGTGCCTGACATTGAAGCCAACAACATTTGAATCCTAGTAATTTTACCTCTCATACAAGATGGTACATTGGCAACTTAAGTTTGTTTTAATCTATAGAGGCCTGCATCTGCTGCGTGATTGCGCCGAACATTCTAGCTGGTTTATCCTAATCTCTATAGAATGTTACGAACTGTGAGTCTTGTAGTTTGATGGTGGATTGGCCTACCTCGTTCCAGATACAACATGTGATGATGACTCTGCATGAAAACACGATGGTCACACAATACACAAAATCACACGTGTTCTATGATTTGATGAGGCGCAATCCGCTGTTTCGCGAACCTAGAGAGGGCAGGCACGTCGGGCTGGCTGGCTGCTGGTATTCTAGGCTGTACACTCTCAAGGCATTAGGATTATTAACTGGCTACAGTGCACTCTGGAAAATAGAAAAAGCTAGCAAGTGGCCATCCCGACGTGCTTCACTATCCTCTCCTCTGTGCCTCGCCTGTAATAGAAATTAGCGTCGGGTTTCGATGTCGTTTCCCCACTATTTTGTACGGACGATTTCCCAAAACAAATTTTCCGCAGGACAATCAGCGTCATGGCTTCGTAACGACGGCACGCAACCCTGTTGGCAGTGGTGCCAGTGCTCAGATCTCTCGTGTTGTCTACGCAGTGGACCTAACCTAGTGCATCAACAGTAGCATCGCACATAGTTTGAAGAGTCGACCTCAGACTACATGAAATGTGAGAAATTCCTACCCTACGCTGAGAAAATTACTAGGGGCTAAACCGCGATGCTATTGAAATTCAGAAAAAGATATTCGACAGAGGTAAATACAGGGGCCCATCGATCGAGCCGGTGCTGAAAGCTGCGGGTGCTATAATTGAACTGTTGGGTGAATACCTGGACTTAGATAATCAAATGATTCATACCAACCCTGCCTCCACAAAGACGCTCAATCTCGACTTCAAACTTTTTAACACTCGCTGCTCGCACCAGTGATCCTTTTGGATTCCTCATCAAACCCTTTTCGCTCTCAGTAATTATGACAAATTCCTTCCGCAGCCTAGTATAATTGGAAAGCCCTTTGTTTGCCTCTTCTATTACCGGCCATATTTCTTTCATGGTAATTTCGAAGCCTTTCTCTTTGAATATCTCGCTTGCCGCTGGCGTGAGCTCGATAACAAGAAACGGGCGCTCACGTCCGTTGCCACCGACGAACCCCATCTGCACGCTTGGATGATTGGATATGGTTTCCTCTACCGAAGCGGCATCGATATTTGCACTGTTTGAAAGTACTACAATATCATCAGAGCGACCAACGTACGCCCATAGTCCTTCTTTGTCTGGATGTGGTTGGAACAGATCTCTTGTTTGATACACTGGAGTATCCGGAAACACAGAAAAGACTTGTTGCCATACGGCATCGGGATCTTTCTTGAATACTAGCTCATATAGTTTATCTCCTCTTTCTTCAAAATGGATTCCTTGGCCTGACTGAAAGCGATAGTAGGCCCAGTCTTTGGGAGAATCGGCTGTCTCCAGAAAGTAGGGGCCACATTCTGTCGTTCCCATCGCAGGACATATTTTTACGTATTTTGAAAGAAAATTACCAGTTTCTGCATCAAGAGCGGCCCCAATCCATTGTATGTAATCGAGGCTCTTGAGGATCTCTAGTGCAGGTGGCTGTTGTGTTAATGCTCGCAACAGGAAGGGTGGCGCGACAAAACCTTTTGCTTGGCTGTATCTTAACGTCTCTATGATGCCTCGAGGGCTCGGTGCTTTTGTTGCTGGGCCTTGTACAATAATGGAATGTAAGAAGAAAGGAGCTTGAAGCGCTGCGCACAAGCCCGAGAAGTGGCTCAACGGTACGACTGAGAAGCACCGTCTATGACTGTGCCAGCCAAGCTGAGTATGCTCCTTATGCTCAGGTAGTCCTTGCGCAATATCGAACGAAGTCATCATGCGGTTCGTGTAGGTGATTATTTTGGGAAATCCTGTGGTCCCAGATGTATGGAATATAAGCCACGGGTCGTCTTTCCCTTCATCATACGATTTGGGGTAGGGAAATGGGGCAATTTCATTGGCGTTAAGCCAATGATCAAGTTCAGGAACTGTGACAGTCTTGATATGCGGAGCATCAGCGAGAAGTTGTTGTGCCGTTTCACGTTCATTCGTCGGATGAAGAAGAGTTTTGCAGCCTGTAGAAAGGATCATGTTCTTCTTGACCAAAGCAGGCGCCAGAGAATACGGGAACAGGATCTGCACATGTCAATCCACAGCACATGCTAGGGCCATAGTCACTTCAAAATATTTCCACTCACTTGCTTTCCAACTTTCGACGCTGCGACTGCTAGAATGGGATATCGCAAATCATTCGGGCCTGAGTAGGCGATGGCATCGAATGGAGCATTACTTAATGCCCCGACATTGGTGACTAGCCAAACAGCAGCATGGTTGATCGCATTTGAAAAAGATTTGCATGTGATGTCCCGGAACCCTTTTGAGAGATCTGAGGCGTCTTTCGGAATAGAAAAGATGGCTTCATTAGGTCGCGACACAGCTTGTGCATCTATAGTAGAAGCAATGAGCCGCTTCCCGGGAATACCGGTGTCTACCTCCGCTTGTGTTTGAGCCGACATATTCTGATTTGGAAAGGGGTGAATGGAGCCTGGTGCTCAAGGCTATTGTAAGGTTCGTCATATACAATCGTAGTCTGGCTCTGTGTACATGATGATGCAGGACAGGGCGTTGAAATTGTGGGGCAATCCCAGACTTGGCTAAGGATCGTCCTTCAGATAGTGCTGACCCCCTCTTCCTGGGGATGACTGAAATTATTATTAGGAGCTTCCTGGCTCTGTCTGACACCTCTGACTCCATCGTGAATATCTTGGTTCAAGTTTACCGCATCCTGTCGCGAAACAGCGAAAGGTTCTATCATGCCTGCTGCGAGTTTTACAGTAACGGAACATCGTTCTCCTTGCACATTAGTTCGCCAGTTCCCCCATGGCACAAAAAGCGACAACTCTGAGTTATATCTCGCCGTTAAGGAGTATAGACCTAAAGCTATCGAGCCGAGAGACAATTCGGTGACCATCATTGCTGCTCATGCAAACGGCTTTCCAAAGGTAAATCATTAACTCTGAGCTAATAGGTATGGCGCCACTCACAATACTAGGAATGCTATGAGCCATTGTGGGAAGATCTTTGGAGCGGGCCTGATGCTCGCAATATCCGGGCTGTATGGATAGCAGACGTTGCTCACCAGGGTGCAAGCTATGCTCTTAACTCGGAGGAGCTAGGAGACGATCCAAACTGGCTGGATCATTCACGAGATCTGTTCCTCCTCGTGAATCAGTTCCGACATCGAATGAGCCCACCCTTTGTTGGGCTGGGGCACAGCATGGGCGCATTGCAGATGTAGGTCGCAACGACATAACGCACATGAGCACAATCTAATAAATGTCAGCATCAATCTTGCTCTAATGCACCCGCGGCTGTTGCATTCGTTGATTATTATGGAACCTGTTATCCAAGATTTTCCACCTCCAGGTCCGAACGCAGCCATGTTCTCGTCATCTCGTCGCGAAACATGGGACTCACGTGCCCATGCAGAAAAGCAGATTAGCAGAAATGCGTTCTTCCAGGCCATGGACTCCCGTGTACTTCAAAATTATCTGAAGTATGGTTTACGAGATTCAGACGAAGGAAAGGTCATACTTGCCACGCCAAAGGCACAAGAAGCATGGTCATATATTAGACCTAATTTCGCGCCGCTCCCAGAAGACCCTTCGAACAGAACATCGAGGCTTAAAGAAAGAATGATGAACCCCGAATACATACCGTCTTCGGGTCACGCAAATGCGATGTGGACTAGGCCTGAAGGTGTATTAACAATGCAGTCCTTACCAACCCTGCGCCCGCGAACAATATTTATCTATGGTGAATATTCGCACATCAACTTCGACGAGGTGCGCAATCTTCACGTGAAATTTACAGGGACCGGGATAGGCGGCAACGGTGGAGTCGAGGATGGTGGCGTTGAAGAGCAAGAACTGGAGGATGCTGGCCACCTTTGCTGCTTTGAGAAGCCTGCCGTCGTTGCAGTCACAATTCATGATTTCCTTCGCAGAGAATTACTTAGGTGGGAACATGAGCAGAGCTTCTGGGAGACTTTTGTTACTGGAAAGAGCAAGAACAATAGAAAAGAACTGTCGGATAATTGGATCAGTGGGGTGAAAGAGGACGCTGACACGCAGCGTCTTGCCCATACTAAAGCTGGGCCAAAATTATAGTTTATTCAGCAAGTAATCGGAACTCCCACATGTGGTTTTCTGACGATAGACCTCGGAACGGATACAAACCCTCATTTTGGGCAGTCTACAATTGCTGTATATCCCATATCAAGTGCGCACAAATGACGTATTTTGACCGCCTCCCTAGAGCCATTCGGAAAGCCGTTAAACGTGTGGAGAAACCATTGACTGGTTTTACAGGTATGTAGTTTACCATGTCGGGGAAGCAAGTGGGTCCATAGCATAATACGAGGTCATTACGATACGGACACTCCTCGTGTTCGACCCACATTTCTCAATCAAGTTATCATCATCGCTCTCACAAATAGGAAAGCGGCGCAGAGTTCATCATCTTGTCTTCCCACATCGAATCACAAATAGCAATCAAGTGCTTCTGAGAATAGATTTTCAACACAGTGGCTATTCTCTACCATTGTTATGGTCACTAACAACAGGCTTTACACAAATACTTCGAGTTTCGTTTCATTGAGCAAAGAGCTGTGCTAGCATCGTTCATCCAACACATACCCATGGCGCCCGCCGGTCAATTCATTCCACTGCTTGTGGATCACTGGCAAAGCTTGCGAAATCTTATCATTGACAAAACGAAAACAACTACAATTGATGGAAAAGCATTGAAGCTTGCGGACGTAATCGCATCAGCTAGGTACAGCAACAAATAGGCATGTTTATGAGTACACTTCACTAACACCAGCATCTCTTAGATATGGTCGGAAAGCAATCATAACAAATCAAGTTTTGGAACACGTCGGAAAAGACACAGAGCAGGTTTACGGCAAGCTCAAAGATGGTGAAGTGCTTTACGGTAGGGACTCCCTACCCCGATTGGTTGGGTACGCAAGTCACTAAGGCTGACACTTTAAATAAGGCATCAACACTGGCTTTGGAGGTAGCGCAAACGTCCGATCACAGGCTGTAGAAGAAATTCAGAGAGGGCTAATCAGAGGACTGCACTATGGAGTGCTCTCAGGTAATGCGGATTTTGACATCGAGTCAGAACTACCACCTGGGTTTACTTCATCGAAACCTTTGAGCAGCCCCATTGAAACGACCTCGATGCCGGAATCCTGGGTCCGTGGGTCTATGCTTATACGCCTGAACTCCCTTTCACGTGGAGCATCAGGTGTGCGTCCAGTGTTTTTAGAAAGACTACTGCAGCTTCTAAACCAGGATATCGTTCCTCGAGTCCCACTCCGAGGTAGTATATCAGCTTCTGGGGATCTATCTCCGCTCTCTTACCTTGGCGGGGTACTGCAGGGCAAGCCATCTGTGCAGGCGTGGATCGACAGGGACAACCGCCGAGAGCTGGTATCTGCTCAGGAAGCCCTTGCATTTGGTCAAATCCAGCCAATAGACATCCGAGCTAAGGAGGGACTCGCGTTGGTGAATGGAACTGCTGCATCTGCAGCGGTTGCAAGTTTAGCAGTTCATGAGGTGCTCTGTCTGGCTTCAGTATCTCAGGTTCTGACTGCCATGTCAGTAGAGACTCTATGTGGTACTGAGGAAAGTTTCGATGCATTCTTCGCTCAGGTCAGGCCGCACCCGGGTCAGATAGAATGTGCCAATAGTCTCAGAAGCTTTCTTCGAGGATCTAGCCTCGTGGCAGACAACAACGGCTCTCAGGAATTCAGTCTTCGACAAGAGAGATACTCTACACGTACAGCGCCACAATGGATTGGTCCCGTGCTTGAAGATCTAGTTCTTGCGCACTCCCAGGTCTCAATTGAAATCAATTCTGTCACCGATAACCCCTTGATAAATCCTTCAGGAAAATTGTTACACGGAGGAAACTTCCAAGCAAAGGCTGTCACATCAGCAATGGAGAAAGCGCGCCAGGGCTGCCAGGCACTCGGACAAATCATGTTCGCCCAATGTACAGAAATTATCAATCCTTCAACCAACAAAGGTCTCGCCCCTAATCTGGTGGTTGATGAGCCAAGTCAATCGTGGATATGGAAGGGAACCGACATCTATGTTGCGGCCTTGCAATCGGAGCTGGGATTTCTTGCGAACCCTGTGTCACACGTACAGTCTGCCGAGATGGGAAATCAGAGCATCAATTCACTAGCTTTGATCTCGGGTCGCTATACCCTAACTGCTGTAGACACTCTCACTCAGCTCGCCGCTGCGAATCTTGTTGCTCTCTGTCAAGCCCTAGACTTACGCGCACTGGATCTTCAATTTCGCAATACCCTTGAACCAAAGTTCAAAGAGATTACAAGACGTTGTATAGACTCTTGTGTTCAGACACCCTCGTCTGGGCCAGAGTTTGAACAGCTCATCAACGAACTTTGGGCTAAGTTCGCAGACGATACCTACCAAACCACACACATGGACTCATCAGTCCGTTTTCTCAACGCTACTGACAACCTGCAAGCCCGCTTCCTGCGCAAACTTCCTTCGACTCAAACCAGTCTTCAAGCAGTCCAGGATTGGGGTATCACGGCTGCAAGAACTTCTTCTGAAATTTACGCTACCATACGTGCCCAATACCTAGCGAATCCTGACGCCAAACCTATACTAGGCGTTGCAGCGCGAAGGCTGTATGAATTCGTCAGAACAACACTTGGGGTACCTTTCTTTGGCGAAGAGTATATCCGAGAGGCTGATTTTGCAAACGGAATCGAGGTTGAAAGCCCTGATCCAAAGTTCAAGTTTAGGACTATGGGATCTATGATATCCGCAGTTTACGAGGCGATGCGAAATGGATCGCTGTATGACGTTGTGGTTCAATGTTTCGAAGAAGTGGATCAATATACGGTCTAGCTAATCTGCTTCTATTTTTTCAAAAATGAATGCACCTCATGTTAAATTTTATGAAATAGAACCAATCAACATTAAGACAGTTGTGGATGCCTCCAATGGTACGCCATGGACAGCAGAACAAACAAAGGTCACTCCATAAATTCCCCTAAACCAACTCCAAGTCTCATTCTATGTTTACTCCTTTCCCTATCTTGGAAATATGCACCAAGTCACATATCAGCTGACTGCATCCAAATGTCCTCTTGGTCGACTACGTCCGCACTCTGAGTACTTGGACACCTTCGAGTAGACCGGGAGATCGCATCCTCCACCCAAGCCCCAAAATCCTGTACCGCATCAGAAGGATTGCTTCTAATAGTCAAATATCCTTGGACTTCAGCTGGCGTCACAGTCTCTGCCGGTACCTGCTGCGCGAATTCATCCGCCAGCTGGTCTAGATTAAGCGATGTCGCACCATCGCTCTCCTGGGTTGTAGCATCGCCCTCGTACAAGCGCATGAATATTGATCTAGCAACATCATGAGTGGCATGTGGGAAATAGTGAGTTTGATCAATCCGACCCGGGCGCACGAGTGCTGTGTCAAGTTCAGATGTATTGGAAGTCATAATAAGTATGACCCCATCATTAAGACCCGTCGGGCCATCGATCGCATTCAGAAGTGCTGATAGTGATATATTTCTCCTTCGTCTTCGCCAGGTCCCAACAAGCCTGTTTACATTCTCTTGCTGCATGACGCCATCATCAAGACGATCGATGTCCTCGATGAGAATGAAGTCGCCCTTTTTGGGGATACTGAACAGTCGCCGGAGATGGTTCTCATCCGTGATTTCATCTAGAGTAAGGGTGTATAGTTGCCCACCGAATGTTGACGCAAGACTTTTCGCCGTACTAGTCTTCCCAGTCCCTGGTGGTCCAAAGAAAAGATATCCACGGCTGTAGGGTATCTCGCAATTGACGTACCATTGTTGCCTAGACAAGAACTTGCGAATGTCCCCCTTCAATTCAGATTTTACCCGTTCGTCGAGGTCAATGGTTTCAAGTGGCCTTAAACGTTGCGTTCGTTCTACCCAAGGATGGGACGAAATTATGCTGGATTCTGATACTGTCCAAATTGATAGCATGTTACCGGTTTCGTTCTTTTCAACCTCTTCAAGGAATTTGTCTAGTATCGACTTGCCGCCCGAGAAGCAGCTTAGTCGAAGCACATTGTGCTTTTCAATGTCATCGATGTCCATAGATGATCTTTGAAGTTCGGATAGTTCATTCACAACCTGAAAATGCAGACGGTGGTTCCGGAAGGGGAACCAACTTGATTTGATGGTTGTAGTTCCGAGTTCTTGGCCACCCTCAAGTAAATTATGCGTTCTTTGGTGGTGCGCAAAGCTGGGTCTGAGACGTATTTGGTGATTTAGCGACGGTAAGCAATGCTTTTGAATATAGTGCAATATCTTGATCGCATTTGGACCTCGAAACGAATCTTCATAGTGGTAGGGTAACCAGTCTATAACGAATGAATTTGAGAGGTTCCATAGTTGATAGCTTCCCACCGCAGCCCCGAAAATCAAGCATGATTTTGTCGTGGCAGTAGTGATGTCACCATTAGAAACTTTCTTGACCAAACTATTGACCAGGCAAAATAGAGGCAGCAGAGTCAGTGGCAGTTCTCTAGGGGCAGTAGAATTTATTGCCAAGTCCAACACTGACCGAATGAAAGTTGAAGAGCTTGATGCAGTTTGCTGAATTGATATCCACACACCTGTGTACAGAGTTTTGAACGGCCGGTGACTTGAAAACATGTTGCTTGTTGCCCGACAATTCAGGTCACCGAGCTAGATTTAAATTGCGACTTTCGATACATTTTCAGTTCTAGTGCTACTGCTAGATATCCGACGGGCTCGCAGGTCGGAATAATGAAATGGGTTATTTCAATATCAGAGTATCTCTCGAAATACGCCATACAACAATGAAGCTTTGTACGTTGTACCCGACAAAATCCTATTCTTTCTGCTGTTCTTTCTGTTCGAGGGTCCTCCAGCTCGGCATTTACTGTTCTTTGTTTGAGGTGAGCCGTCAAGGCAACTCTCATCGTGAAATACAGTGCTTGGCATAACGGGGCCAAATTGTCCAGGTGAGAAGCCATAACAGTGAATCTATCATATTATACACTGATACACTAACTAAAGAAACTCCACAAGCCTAAGCCTCCGCCAACGTTGACTTACAGGCCATAGAGCTCTGCCACTCTACCTTTTGGGTATCCACCAACAAAGACATCTGCCGCTATGTCCATATCTTCGGCAGTAATATCCGGCTTTGGTTTCAGCTCGCTGTTTATACTTCGTAATAGTTCCTTATACAACGATCCTGTCTCTTGGGTCCCCAGGCTGTTGCCAAGATCAACTGATAAATCTTTCAGTGCACCCCACAAAGTCACAATCCCGTGAGCGAATATTCTGTGATGTTGTCGAAGTGGCAATGTTTGAGCATACTCAATACACATCTGAAGGTTCGTTGTAATCTGCAGCATGTCGGTCCTCGGCCTTAGACTTTGTGGGAGGAAATTTCCCGATTCATCAACACTGTCTATCACCGCAGTACTTGACGAGAACAAGCTGTGGAGGTGATGTCCTAGTCTGAGTAGATACAGGCGTTTTTGCCAGTAATATTCAAGGGCTTCAAATTGCTCGACGGAACCGAACTGCAGACTCCGCTGGAGAGGGATGGCGTTTGGATTGCTCGAAGGGCAGCAAACTGTGATGTTGCGTAATAACCGCTCTTCCGCGCCTGGATCTTGAATCTTGAGAAGCGAGTCCAAAAGCACAAGCGCATCGAACAGTAAATTGTTTTGTGGAAGCGGCTGAAGCCGTAGTGAGCGGACAAGGCCTACGAGTCTCGGAATCCGAATGAAGAGTTCGCTGGCAAGAGCTTTAAGTTGAGCCTGGTCGCTATCACTGTAACCTATTTTATCATTGGCAAAGTATCCACGAGCAACGCCTTCGAAGGGCGAGGGCGTCCCCTGGATGCACGCCACAATAGCCGAATCATAAGCGTGGAAATCGAATATCTCTCTCGCAAGCTGCGTTACCGGGTATGATGCGGGCCGAGACGCCATGATCGCAGCTAGTCCCTCGAGATGCAGGTTTGTTGGAAGACCATGCTTATTGACAATGCCTTCAATATGGGCTAGGAGCGCGGCCGAGGCTAGCATGTCGTCGCTCAAGTCACCATTTGGGCGTTTGATATTAGCCCGCACAGCATTCAGTGCGAGCGCTAAAGCTTGATAGCAATCACCAGAAGTGAGCTTTGGCACCCCTCTAGCATAAGCACAACCGGCGACAATGGCTTTGATCGATAGGTCGAGGGCTTGGCTGTTCCCAACGTGGGTGGGCAGATGTCGAAACCATTCCTTTTCCATATTCTCGCATCGAATTGCATCTACTGCCCGGATTATGATCACTTGTTCTATAGATTGAGGTGTGTGGATCAGCAGTGTATCTCCACCCCAAGGCGCGGAACCTCGCTGGATCAATGGTAGCATGTTTGAAGCACAGGACTTCTTTCGCGGAACTAGGGTGCTGCTCAGCTCATTCTGTGTAGTATCCGACATATGATTTGGTTTGGTTCGTGTAGGAAGTTCAATGATTATACGCGAAACGAAGTCACCCGTCTCTGCAGATCGAGAAACTGTTCCAATAGTGGAGCTTCGACGATTGTTGTCAGGGCTTGGTCGGCCTAAGATGGTTTGTCGAACTATACAGGGGACTCCTAATCTCTTGCATCGATAGCAAGGCGTCTGTACAGTCCGGAGCTCTCCCGGATCTGGGATCTCAACCTCCTCGGGTAACTCACAACGAATCCGTCTATCACGGCAACCAATACAGATCAGACGGGAATATGCGCCTCTAGGTCGCTTAGAATTTCCTGACCTTGGTTCTGGCATGGTGATTTCGTGATTTATCCATTTAAAGATCGGAAAAGATACGGAGAAGTTATCTTTGTTAATGAAGGCTTAACATTATTTAATACAGAGGTTTGAGGTATCTTGGAAGTACGCAGAAGTTTTGTCTACGTAGTATGGTATTGCGACGTCAAAGGGGCTGAGCTGCACTAAATCCTTGTGTCCTTAAATGGCCTAGTCCCGAGTGCACTGCATACTGAGTGTACGCTAATATAGTCTACCAGTATATACAAGGTCAGCGCGGAACTACGTATCGCGCTGACCTCGTAAATACCCTGCACTCTCTACACTTACATTCTACAACCTGTGGTCATTTGCAAGCATGGAAATCTTTCTACGGCAGTCCATAGTGACTGGAAGTCTTCATGTCAGATATAAAACAGTCTCTGGCGTCACCTGAAAGTTGAGTACTTGATTGTTCAGTTCTTCAGTGAGCAGTCTATTCACAGCGCCTTCAGGGCATCAGCGCGCGGCAAATAAGATGCAGCCTCTGCTTCCAGCTTCTATTCTGCTGCTCACCACCACCGCAGCGGCTTACTTGGTCCCAAACCCACCTGGCAAATACAATGTTACCCTGCACATCGGCACCCTCGCCGACTACACTCGCGATGACTCTAACACTACAGACCAAGCGCCTCGGACATTGATGCTATCAGTTTTTCAACCTGCAACATGCACATCCACTGCGCCCACCGAGTACATGCCCGAAAAGACCGCCGAGTATCAAGGGCCATATCTTCAAGGATTATTCAACTTCTCCACCGACCTTTCACCCTTTTTCCTACAGGCTCGCCTGCCAGTATGTCCGGATCTCTCGAACAACTGCTCACCCCTAAATGATCCCCCTATCCTGCTCTTCTCCCCTGGTTGGGCCATCCCTCGTCTCTACTATAGTGTCATAGCCTCTGCCATCGCTAGCGAAGGGTTCATGGTCATCACCATTGATCATCCAGACGACGCGAATATCATCACCTATCCCGACGGCCACTCGATCTACCATCAGGGCCCTAGCAACCCTACCCCGGAAGATTTCAATGACTATACTTGGCCCCGTGCTGCCGATGCATCCTTCATCATCGATCAACTGAGCAACGCAACCGCCATGGCCTCGCTATTCCCCCGACGCGGTGCCAGACCCTTCCCAACCGACCGCGTCGCTATGCTTGGACACTCCCTAGGCGGCGTGGCCTCCGTCGTGGCCGCCGGCCGGGACCCTCGCATCCGCGCCGCAATCGACTGGGACGGCACCATCTTCGCGCCGCTACCCGCCTCGGGAATCTCGCAACCAGTCATGTACGTCTCCGAGGCTAACGTCACAGACCCCACCTGGGTCGCTGCGTGGACGAAACTCAACGGCCCGAAGCTATGGCTTGAGGTCGCGGACACAAAGCATATGAGTTTCTCGGATGCGCTCATGCTTCTCGACGCGGCGGGGCAGGCGCCTGCGGACCTCATGGAACAGCTAGGCTCGATCGAGGCTGCCGAACTGTTGCGCATATTGGCGGTCTATACGACCGAGTGGATGAATGCAGCGTTTGCGGGGAAAATTGGAGGACCGTTGCTGGAAGGGCTGGAGCCGGGGAGGTTTCCGGGCGTGGAGATCAAGAGGAAAGATAACTACTAGAAATGCATGGTCAATTTCCAGTGCTCGCTGCGCATTCTTCACGATCCAAATGTTAGTACCTTTGCATCACAGCAGACTCTAGTAAACGCATTGCTTAGTATCGGAGACGGTTGACCGTTCATGTCACTGACCATATCATCCACCATATCGATTATTGTGCATTGTAGTTCCTTTACAATAATTTCGTCGAACTAGAGGTTCATACTTATCTTTTGGGCGGGACCTCAGCAGGAAGGTAATGTATTGGATTCATTATCTCCTATCTAAGCAGCAATTGTTTTCGAGCAGTTTTAATTGTTTAAATTATATGTTGTGCTCCTTAGAACCCTTCGAGGAAAGTAAAACTCGCGCAGAGTTCGATCAGCTCATGATCATACTATGGTAAAGAACGACGCTGGATAACAAATGAAAATTAATGAAAGTAGTGTTCAATCAACCATGGCTTAACAAAGCTCGTCATGAAGCCACCCTAGCCGCTACCGCAGCCTTTATACGCCCGAATCCTCTTGTTCAATACTGTATGTCTCCTGGTGCTCTGTCCAGGTACTGCATCCGGTGGATAGCCGGTCGCTATCGGTGATACCGGCGATCTCGTCGTACCTCTCGACGAACTGAAGCGCGAATCCCTCGCTCGTGTGCCAGCCAATGTGGCAATGCATGAGCCATGCACCTGGATTGTCGGTCTCAAATGCCATGACCAAGTATCCAGAGGCGGGTAGGATAGCTGTGTCCCTTCGTGGGGGGTTGCTGAGATTTAGGGTGACAGAGCTGGAGTAGGTTCCGGACCCTTGAGCAACGATCCAAAAGTCATGTCCGTGAAGATGAATGGGATGAGGTACACCAAGAGCGGTTTGGACAATGACGTATGTCCAAACATTTGCATCTGGCAGATCGATTACCGCATTGCTGGTCTCGAAAGAGGTTTCGTTGTTCAAAATCTTTGTCAAGGTGGGATCTTGCCAGTCGACGAGCATAGTTGTGCTGTTCAAATACCAACGGAAGAGTCTGTCGGAGTTGAAGCCAACTGTAGCTTGTTCAAGATTCGAGCTGGACTCTGTTCCGACTGTCTTTGAAACGTAGGGAACAAGGTTATCGGTTTCATCGACGCAATCATCGTCGTACTCGTATGCAGATGTAGAAGGTTCTGTGGTCGCCCCATCGTAGTAGATAATGCCACGAATATCATCGCTGTTGTCGTTGTCGGAGCAGGCTGCCTGGGGAATTGCGCGAAGCCAAAAGCTGTCTGCAGTTGAGGCTTGATCCGCAGTGACAATAACATCGTAGCGTTGTCCCATGCTAATGTCCAACACAGTTGCCTCATAAGGCTCGATAGGCACAAGATCAGAAGCGATGACCGTCATCGTATGATTATCAATCATAAATTTGAAATGTGTGTCGACGGCACCGTTGACGAGGCGGATTCGGTAGGACGTGCCCGAGACGAAGGTGGTGTTGTAGCGAAATCCGCCATCTTCGTATATATTTGTGCCATTGATGAGACCATTGTCCAAAGTAGGAGGACCGGAACTTTCAGCAGTGATATAGAGCTCATCAACGGTCTATGAAATCGTTAGCATCGAGGACATACTTAATGCGTTCTGGAAAAGCTCGATGCGCCCCTGAAGGTACTGTACACACCTGATGATCCCAATCATTCAAGAAGAGCATTCCCAAGTCTTCATCGTAATTGGCCGTTGCAGGGCCGTTGATCACGATACCACCGAAAATACCTTGCCAGGCTTGAAGCGCAAAATGGGAATGATACCAAGTACTGCCGTACTGCGTGGCTCTCCATGTGTAGGTGACTTCATCCTCGGGGGCAGTTGGGCATTGGGTGATAGAAACGACACCATCTTGGTCGTTCGTGTAATTCTGCCTAATACCATGCCAGTGTATGCTGGTACCGTTTTGCGAGGTAGTGAGAGAGTTTTTGACGTGCACTGTGACAGTATCACCCCAGTCAGCGAAGAGAGTAGGTCCCGGAATGGTACCGTTCACGGCCATGGCAGACCGAGACACGCCATCAGGGGAGACCGTCACATCTGTGAGCTCTAACCAGTATTCTCTCGTCACTCCGGTATCGGGAACGACTGTAAGGATCATCAGTCAGAAGTACTCAGTTGACTAGGAGTTTTCTCATAGACTAACCAGACATATAATCAGTGTCGATGGAATAATCGCACCATTCCGATCGTGTAGAAGCGGTATTGCCCGAGCAAGCGTCTCTCGCTGAAAGCAAGCCTCTACTGTGTCGAGATTGATGTTGATGCGCAGATGGGTGGGCCGTGGCGGCAACAAACAGAGATCCAAGAGTCAAAAGTGAGTGCAAAGCCATGGTGACTGATAGATAAATTCAAAAAGAGAACGAGAAATGAATGTGAAGCTGTTCGACGAAATGAATGTTGATCAGATGCTGAACTGAATGATCGAGTTGGATTCAGAGCCGTCTATCCAGTTCTTATGTCCTCCCAATTTTCAAACCCAAAGTCTTCAAGATGCGCAATGGTCCCATGATCTGGGTGACATTGAACGACGACAACTGCAATGGGGTCCATAAGCATCACCATCCTAGTATCTGGCCAGTGAATCAACCATGAGTTTGCCCGATGCGGAAATGCGCTAGTCATTCGCTGGTTTGTGGTTGGTCAAGCACAGCGGGTCTTACCCTTTTGGTAAGCAGAAACACACCCAACATGCAAAATTACTCGATGTACCAATATTGAAGACAACATGTAGTTGCGTAGTCCCTGTATTGAAATGCTGCAGGTTCTTTGATAGTCCGCTGAGATGCCCTAGTCACGGTGACGCGGCTGTTGATCAACTGAAACAGCGAGAACCCTTGCAACCACGATACAGAGTGGGGCGAATATCGTCGAAATCCATTTTGACCATAAACAGCACGAAACCCCTGATTAACTCGCAGACAATCAAGCCACTCCCACGCAGGCTCACCCTGGGGTGCACAGAAGCTTTCGGCGTGGCTCAGTCTGGAGTCGTAGTTCTTCCTACGCACACACTTGCGTGTGATGTTAATGCGAAACTATATTCGGCAGAGCAAGCCGAGGGGACCAAGCTCATACAAGTCTTTTCACGCCAAGATATCGATTCTTGGTGTCAATGCATCTAAATGGGGAAATTTGCCTGACTAGAGGAGGAACCAAATCATCGAGGAGCATAGCAGGGTGAAGATCTTACCCCTACTGATGACGAGGCTAGTTGCGTATCCAATCCAAAATGAACATTCACAGTGTACGCGTCTTCAGCTTTCATGAGTGTGTAGCGAAAATGAAGACAGTTGCTGCGATTTATCTACGTTGATGTGCCCCCTTTGGAGACGCTACCACAGTTCGTGTTTTCCAGTATCACACCTACTATTACATTCATTTACGATAACCTTTTCCCTTGTTTCTACTTTCAACATGCTATTTGGTACTCTAGCCGTCATCTCCTCTTTGCCATTATTGGCCTTCGGCGCACGCTTTAAACGTGCTACACCCGAAAGTTTTGGGTTGTATGCATATGGTGACGGATTGGGTGGAATACCGCTTTTCTACTCTGGGGGCAAGTTATCTTGATGCATATAGCTCGATTCAGCTAACAAATATAGGATTTGCCTACATTGGCGAGCCTGGGAAACTAAACAGCACCGACGCTGCCGTGGTTCAATGTATGATTTGAATAACCTCTGCTATGAGTGAACATACTCTAACTTACGGATCTTTTCAGTCAGTCTCGGAGACGACAACAGCTGGATTGGGTCCCCTAATGTGACTATTCCTGCCGGATCGAACGTAACTTGGTCAAATGCTACATTCTTCGTTCCTGCGGATGGAGCATCGGATACACGAGTCGGATTTGAAACAGGAACTACCATCAGCGACAACGTTACTGCAACGGGCTTCGTCTTCTATGGAAACAATGCTATGCGCACTCAAGACGGTCAGCTCGTATCCCTATGGTCTGCATTGCAGGTCAGTGACCGGGTCCACGCATTGTATTGGAACGACACGTCGCAGGGACAGCAACCGGTCATGTTGAGGAGTCTTCCTCCTTCAAACCCTGACAACTAGGCATGGGAATTGCACATAGCTGGTAGGAGTCCTGATGAGATCGTTCCTTCCAAGGCGCAAGCTTCAATCACACCGCCTAGAGTAGAACTCCGACAAGTTTAGCATTATCATTCAATTAAAGAAAGTGTGCTTTTGGGACATTCACTCCTTTACTGTCCTTTAAACTATTCGGTATTATCCGTTATGAGTAGTGCTAAATAACGCCGCGCGTCGGCTTCGGTGCTTCTGCCCATTATACGCTAGCGTGCTGACAATGCGCAATGTGAAATACAATGACTTTTGCTTAGGATTGACATAGGGAACCCGGTTGGTGGGAAGGTAACACACGGTACTAACCGTCAGCTATTTCATAATAGGATGTGCAGAGTGAGGTATGTTGTTGTGGCCATGATGGACGGGAGGGCTAAATGAATCCGGACACGCTTATCGGAGAATTTGCCCGCACGGCCATGGCACCATGCTCCAGGGGTAATGGACCCGTAGACCCGTGAGATGAAGCACAATTGGCACGGTTGTCAATGCTTCATCATTAGGGAATTGAGGCTATGTATTGACTGACGATCTTCCGAGAAGAACCGATATAATTTACTCTCCAATGTCATCAGATGTCTAGATGTGACATCTGAACTCCGGCAGCGAGATTATCGAACGTTGCTTATCAGTCCTGTTCCTTTGTCGCTGTAAGCCGTAACATTCCACTCAAAGAAACATGACAGTGTGACAGCCACATCGGCAACGGGGTACTCAGTCAGATTGCATGCCAAATTCCCCACTAGTATTATCCATCAGCCTAGTCGTATTGTAGATTCGTGCGGATGTAAGATCAACATTGGCGAAGTCTTGTTCGTTTGGAAGCAGAACTCTGACGACCTCATATTGTCGGATACATGATGGGACGAAAAAGGCAGTTCTTTCACATACGACCATTGGACTATGAAAACAGGGCTTCCCGTTCGCTCAGCCATACTTAAGCATAGTACCGGCGGACTAGTAGTTGAGTGGGTGACCATCAGCGAATCCCCGCTGTTGTATGTTTTTTGCATTTTTTTATTTGCATGTTGAATTGAATTTGGAGTCCTCTGCCTTTTTTTGCTTCTTGGTTGTTTGGATATCTTGACAAACCATCATCGGGTGGTCAGGTAGATCAGTGGAACAAGGAAGTCGAGATTGCCGAATACACCGAGCTAGTATGTGATTAATTATAGTTTATGATAGCTTTAGATGAATGTATTCTTGACCAATTCTGTCAAAGTCAGTGATTGTACGCAGGGAGCAAGTTATCAGGTTTTCGATGTTCAATATGACAGATGTATAAACAGAACCCTTAGCGTCAAGGGTACTCATGCAGACTGTAGATCAATCCAGCTTCTCGGGCCCAAATAAGATGAAATCGCACGCTCTGCTTAGCAATGTGCGGAAATAGAAGCAAAATACAACCTGCAGTTGTGGTGCGGAAGGGACATGAACGTCGGGTTGGGTCCCGGCTAGTATTACATGCCCACAACGGTACATTCGTGGATGATGTGGGCTGTTGACTGGCTGGAATATCCTCTAGAATAGCCAATTAAGGCAAAGGAGATACATGAAGCTAGCAAACGGGAGGTTAGACACGTCGGGCTGGCTCCCTGCTAGTATTTCATGCCTACAACAGTGCACTCGCGAGGTTCTATTGAGAGGAGTCAGGACTGTTAACTAGCCACAGTACACTCTTAGTAAGATACCCCATAGGTATAGAAGATGCATGAAGTAGGTGGCCAGTCCGACGTGCCTGCACTCTGTACCTGGTCCCGCACCAGACCTGGTAGTCGGTTCACTCTGCCGCGGAGCCGACTTTCTTCTAGAACGCCTTGCCGGCGGGAGTGATTAAGCAAAGAAAATAAGAAATGATTAGGATTGGCCAATTCTGGCCATTCTGCAATATGTATGCAGTGAGTGAGTTACTTGAGGTATTTCTAGAATCTCTGTTGGGGTGATTCAGTGGTGTATTATCCAATCGACAGACGCCGCTTGTATGGTACAACGGCATAGAGCCTGCAAAACGTACACGTGCTACCTAACAGCTCCGAATATTATGAAGAATCGGGCATTATTCGTGCTTGAGAACGGCCGGTGCCTTTTATAAGTCAGAAGACAAGGCAGATATTACACATCGGATTGTAGTTTCGTGAACGGGAATAAGGAGTATCACACGTGGTAGTTAAGGCTCCATAGTTACTCGTTCAACAAAAGAAATCTTCCCGGATACTATTGCGTCTGATGAAGCCACCCCTGTAAAGTGGATACGGCAGGTCAGACAGATGTGGCAAGAGAAAGGCAATGGCATCGAAGCTCGGGGTTAGAATCAATGGCATAGTGGAGTGATTGTAGAAGGTCTCCGGGTTGGCTGCGTTTCATGCATAGATTAGGCGACCTGTGTAGTACACTGCGCCTACATATGGATTCGGGAAGTGGATGATTGAGTTGTTTATGGGGAACACTTGGATCTCTCGATGAAGGCATGATTTCTGTGATGATGACGGATGACAAAAGCGTTACGATTGCGATGTCATTTTCGAAGGATCTATTCAGACGCCACCACTTGGCTGGGCTGACGTGAATGTTTGCAATAATGCGATGATGGTGGGTCTATGAGGGCATGAAGGGGGGCAACAAGACTTGGACAAGAATTGCTAAGGAGCGACAAGAGTTTACAAGACACACAAGAGCTGACAAGATTTTTAAGGATACGAGAATATTGCAGGGGAAGATTGCAAAACAGGCGATAGGAGCGAAGGAAGGATTGAATGAGAGTGAGCGGGAGTGAGTGGGAGTGAATGTGGATGAGGGAGTGACATTGATTGAGGTTCGGACGGGTCGCATCTGAACTTCCGCAACCGGACTAGTATCACAACGTGGTCTTATACTTAACGCTGATTGGCCAGATCTGCTTCCACATATCAGTTATACATGGCGGATCACCATACCAGAAGTTAATTAGAACACGGCGGATTTCGTTCTTTTCCTTCCAATTCAGTTGAGGGTTACAACAAAACTCGGGATTCAGAATCCACTTCCATCAGCCCAGACCTCTTCCGTCTTTTCTTTTCCCCCCCTTCGCCAATGCCTAGACAGTCCGGTATTGCTTCGCTCTCTTGACTATTGACGCCTCACGTTAGGTTCTTATGCATCGATACGCAGAATGTACACTCTACTATTGGTCTGTCGACCCCGGCCTGACATCTGATTTTACTCCCATACGCTCCTACCACACTTACGTACCTACGCCTTCACCCTACGGCATCTCCGATCCAAGGGTATAATGGCCATGTGTGCTTCACTCAGGCCCTCTCATTCGCCCGTTCAATCCTCTGTAACTAACTACACTCCAACACAAACCACTAGCGTGCACGTTCAGCTGCCTAGGCGGACCCCATTCACTTCCTGCCTGGTATATGGAATCCTACATATATATACCTCTTGGTTTTCCTTGACCTGAAAGCTTGTCCCTCGCTTCAGTCCTCATCCCATCGGCAGTGATCCGCATTGGCAAAGCTTGACTGCCTGACTGCCTGCTTGGCCATTCAATACCTCGACACTCTTTCATCATGGTTCAGAAGACCTCTGGAGGCAACAATGCCTTCCACAACTTCCACAACGACTTTGCCCACATCGAAGATCCTAACGAGCGGCGTCGTCTTGCTCTCGCAGAGATTGATAAGGCTCCATTCGGTTGGTATCATGTCCGCGCTTGTCTGGTCGCTGGAACCGGTTTCTTTACCGACTCCTACGACATCTTCTGCGTTTCTTTGTTGACAATCATGTTGGGAATTGTTTACAAGCACGACAATAAGGGAACCCTTACCACTCCTCAAGACACTGCCATCAAGGTCGCAACCTCGGCTGGAACAGTCATCGGACAAGTTGGTTTCGGTGCTCTTGCCGATATCGTCGGTAGGAAGAAGATGTACGGCCTTGAGCTCATCTTGATTATCGTGGCCACCCTTGCCCAGTCTTTGACTGGACCTGGCCCCGGCACTTCCATTGTCGGCCTCATCATCTTCTGGCGTGTCCTCATGGGCATTGGTATCGGTGGTGATTACCCGCTATCTTCCATCATCACTTCGGAGTTTGCAACCACCAAGTGGCGTGGTGCTATGATGGGTGCCGTTTTCGCCATGCAGGGTTTCGGCCAGCTTGGTGGTGCCCTCGTTATGCTTATCCTCACTTCCGGCTTCAAGGGATCGTTGGTCCAGGCAAAGGACTACGCTTCCTGCACTGGGAACTGCCAGCTTGCGGTTGACAAGATGTGGCGTGCTTTGATTGGTATGTCCTGTGATCCGGTATTCATGAAAGCAAGTCTTGCTAACAAACGTAGGATTGGGTATCGTCCCAGCTGCTATCGCTCTTTACTACCGCTTGACCATCCCAGAGACACCGCGTTACACTTTCGTAAGTCATATGAATTCATTCCACATATAACGAGAGAAGTACCAGGTCACTAACAGATTCTGAAGGATGTGGCGCGTGATGTTGAGCAAGCCAACGCTGATGTGAACACCTACATCTCTGGCAAGAAGGGAGAGGGTCATCCCGACGAGATTACCCAAGTTGCTGCTAGACAACAGGGAGCTGCTGCGCTTGAGGTCCCTAAGGCATCGTGGACTGACTTTTTCCGTTTCTACGGAAAGTGGCGCAACGGCAAGATCCTTTTCGGCACTGCCATGTCCTGGTAAGCCCCCTGCCTCCGTCCCTTATATGATTGCATGGAATCTAACCTGCATAAGGTTATTGCTCGATGTTGCCTTCTATGGTCTTGGTTTGAACACCTCTACCGTCTTGACTGCTATTGGTAAGTTTAAATACTTTCGATCATTGCCTTTACCTCAATTACTGACGGGAGCAGGTTATGGAAAGGGAAAGAATGTTTACCACCAACTCTTCAACTTGGCCGCTGGTAACTGCATCCTCACCTGCGCTGGTGCCATTCCCGGCTACTGGCTCGCCGTCGCTACCATCGACACCGTCGGTCGCAAGACCCTCCAATTCGTTGGATTCTGCCTCCTTACTATCCTCTTCATCGTCTGGGGTTTCGCCTACAAACACATCGGCCACGGCGGTATGCTTGCCATCTACATCCTTATCCAGCTCTTCTTCAACTGGGGTCCCAACTCCACCACCTTCATCGTCCCCGGTGAATGCTTCCCCACCCGCTATCGTTCCACCTCCCACGGCATCTCCGCCGGCTCCGGCAAGATCGGTTCCATCATTGCCCAGGCTGCCATCGCTCCCCTCCGCACTCGCGGTGCCAAAAAGCCCGGCGACTCCCCCTGGCTCAACCACGTCATGCAGATCTTTGCCGCCTTCATGTTCTGCGGTATCTTCACTACCCTCCTCATCCCTGAGACCAAGCGCAGGACCCTCGAGGATCTCGCCCAGGACTGGGATATGGGTAACGAGAGCATCACTGGCGCTGAGTTCGCTGCGAAGAGGGCCGAGCGCGGAAGCGATGATGGCGCGGTTGCTGAGGTCCAGCAGGAGCAGCAGCAGAAGCAGCAGTAGACACCACACTACACTTTCGAAAAAGTCCTCGACATCATCTTTTCTTTCATTGTAATATAGTTTAACATACCCAATTTGACTCCGCGATCATACAATTGACTGAACTCTACGATGCAAATACTGGGGATGTGTGATGTATCAGTCATTGTCTTCGTTTAATTCTAATTCTCTCCGAGTTCTCATTGAATATGGTGCATCTGGCGATGGTGCGGTCACTATTGAAAGATATTCTCGCCCTATGGTGGTTGTGAGCTTTTGGTGCAGGTTATTAATTATATGAAGTATTCTGGGGATAAGTGGCTACCCAGCGTTCGTTCCATCCCCTGTATACTTGCTGTGGGGAAGTTCTGCACATTTACACGACTTTGAAAAATGGGGTCAATGAAGCTATCCATACTGCTGATGTTATTTTTGTCCACCTTCTCTACCATTGATTGGAAGTACCACTTTACCAAGTTGCGCCGTGGAGATACTTCCACAAAATTACAGCAAATGAAGTCCTTCAAATCTCCGGACGTCGTCAAAACATTCCAAATTGTACATATATCCTTCTTAAGATCCAGCCCGCGTACTATGCACCGAACGTACCAACGCAAAAGACCCGGAAGCATTACCGCATTTCCCCTTGATGAGGCATGACACCACTTTAATATCCCATACACCCAAATGAAATACCATTCGCTTGGCGAGCGTCCCCAATCAATCTGCGCATGCGCCCTCCAAAGGCTTAGCACTATACGATCTGCAACCTACACCAGATCCTCGGGAATCCATCGGACGAGGCGATGATCACCGCTTGAGCCGCCTGCGCGCAATAGTTGTCGCATCGACATGCATCCTGCCGCGGGGTGTAAACAAGACGTCGTGAGCAAGGTACTGTGCCGCGTCGGCGATGGGCGGAGCATTCTCGCTCTCGCTTCTCGAACCCACGACCCCAATATCGCCAATTAGTCCTCATATTGCCCAGCATGTCCCGATATCAACCACCGCGCCTCGACAATTTCATAAGGCTGGCGGCGCTGACCCCGCATCTTACGTTTGACCAAGCATTTTACGGCGGCCGCGTCGATCAGGGCGGTATGCACCTCTATGTAGTGCGACAACCCAGGGGGGAGCTTGCAGATATTGAATACGAGGCAGAATGGTATTCTGAACGGGCGGTCTAGTTCGCTCTCGCTACCAGTGTGAAGACATATGAGGTCATATTTGAAATTGTGGGGAGGTTAGATGGATGGAAGGTTCGGCGCAGGCGATGTTCATCTCGGTGAGCTTGGTTATCCCGGGGTGAGATGGAGGGCTATTGTTAGTAGCTAGCTACAGTAGCTACTAGGATCGCCCGGTTCCTATGGGCTACGGTGAGAATCGAGAACTGTATGCGAATGATTCGACTTTGACAATGCTCACCGACAATATGTGCTCAAGATTGCTTGGAGCTCAAGGTTGAGTTGAAGGACCGAAGTCGGGCGAGGGTATAAAAATGCAATTATCATCGAGCAAGGTTTGATGGTTCCCTGAGGGCCTCCATCGCGAACTTTCGGTGATTCCGAAAATAGTCACATTGCTAGATTACCCGAATAGGAAATGCTGGGGTCTTGACGATGGTGGTACAAATTATGGTTTGGTCTGCCTCGTGGTCACTTGGTCCATGTTTTCTCACTGCTACACCGCGATGTCAGCATTCCAGTCATCAAGAATGTAATCTAGAGAATATAAACTTCATCTGAGCACATTATAATTCAATTTCAGTTACTAATTGGAGAGTCGAAGGTGGGTCTAGGTTGTCATCAAGAACTCTTTCATGCTTCGAAAGTGTTGGATAATGGAGCACTATAGAAGTATTTCTGTACAAGATGTTCGACAGGAAGATCGCCAGGTTGAAGTATAAAAGGAGGACGATCTGACCTCGAAAAGGATTCTTCACTGCACATCAATTCTTCTTCTAAACTACAACATCATCATCCACAACAGTATCAAACACTTCCTCAGCCAAAATGAGATACGCAGCTGCAATCATCTCCACCCTCCCCCTTCTCTCTTTTTCTTCTCCTCTCCCACAAGGCGCACCTTCAGGCCATGAAGTCGAGATAACTGGCATCACCTACGGCGGCACAGGCTGCCCAGACAAGACCGTCCAAGGTCTCCTCTCCGACGACCGCACCACCATCGCCCTCTCCTTCGACGCCTACACCGTCCAATCCGGACCTTCGATCCCCGCCACCGAGCGACGCAAGTTCTGCCAGCTCCAACTCAAGATCAAGAAGCCCAGCGGCTTCCAATACAGCATCTTCGGCGCCGATTACCGCGGCTACGCCAGTTTGGAGAAAGGTGTCACCGGCACCACGCAGAGCACTTACTACTTCTCCGGAGAGCAGAACCAGGTAAGTTCTATGCATCCAATTGCATAAAAATTCACGGGATAACTGACTATATCACCATAGACTGTAATTCCAACATCGTTCACCGGTCCCATGGAAGGCAACTACCTCAAGCACGACGAGATCGACGCCGGATCAACCGTCTGGTCTCCCTGCGGCGAACCCGGCATCTTGAACATCAAGTCTGAAGTTCGCATCGTACCGATGGCAGCCACGGGCCTCAATCTCCTGACCGTCGACACCGTCGATGCCAAGTTCACGCAGAAGTACTTCGTGCAGTGGCAGAAGTGCGATCCTAAGAAGGGCGGTAACGGTGGCGGAGGCTCCGGTGGATTGAGGCCCCCAACCTTTGACGATGGCAACTTGGGCAGAGAGGTTGATCTGTCGGGCAGGCCTATTCAGAACTAAGGGGAGGTTGGCTGAGGTTGAGAGGTAGTATGCTTAGTTACGAAGAATTCCTATTTTTTGGTCAATTTCAAGTTCAGTAACGGTCAAGTAGCGCAGTTGAATAAACTCTTTTTTTCCCAATTCTCTAAGAGACAAAACAGGCCGTGTCGCTCGTAATGTTCGGTTGCCACAACACTGTTGAATCCAAGTCGAACTGAGCTACCCCAGAAGCCTTTTCAAAGGGTACGGGACTGTCGTGGTCTGTTATGTCCACAAGCGCTGAAAATTGGAGTACCGTATTCATAATACGGACCACTGTGCTCCGACATGCCCACCAAGTGTGGGGTGCATACACGATAGTTGGAGAAAAAAAAAACCAATCTTTCGAGTACGTGCGCACATTGTACCAGGCCCAGGGGCTCTTCAGAAAATTTACATTGATCATCTACCCCGTCCGTGGAAAAGCTCTTAGCCCTTACGCTCAAACGTAGGCAGGTTGATGTTGATGACTACGCTGACTGGTACAACTACCTAGTTGATACGACCTGGATTCTAGACTCACAAACATGATTCCAGAGTCCAGACAGAAAACATACCCACTTTGGCCACTGCTTCTCGTATTTCAGTATTACCGCCAATAAGCGCCATGCCTAGAGGTACTGCAGGCATGATCATTGCAGAAGGGTCAGAGAGAAATTCATACTTTTGGCCTCGTTACTTAACAAGTAAGGGGGGTAGGGAAATTGCAAGGCGAACAGTTTATTGATCGATCGCGAAGAAGCAATGCGAAATGGACGCTGACCCAGAGTGCTACTCAAGGCAAAAATTTGAGGCAAAAGATGGAGGAACGTGAAATGCATCCCAGAATTCTCACATTGTGCCATGGGGATTGGAAGTTGTGGGTCTGGGGCGCTTGACTAGGGGCTGAAAGCCACTTATACCAGTGGCGGGTTTAGTGGGCCCAAAGAGCCGCATGATGGTGTAACCTTACTACTGAGTATGGTTCATTTTCCGTGATGGTTTGATCATCGAAACGGTTCGTATCGAAGCCTTCAGCGTCGGGCACCTCCGGTTCGGGCATAACAGCAAAATAACGAGGTCAAGATCTTTGGAAAAGAGACGCAACGCGGAGTGTCGAACTCGAGAGACAAGTTATCCAACGTATGTGATGCCATGATCGGGCGTGTGGAGATGGTCGGAATGTGGAGAGCAAGTTGGAAGCGCTCTCTGGCGCGTAGGATTGCGAAAATTGCACAGCTGGAAATTCGCTGTCTTCTTCTGTCTCCGATTCAAGTAATAGTTACTCAAGTCATCCCTCCTGACTAAGCTACATGACTCTTTTGCTCTGTACCGTTTTCCGGGTTTTAGAGCCATTCTAGCAATTTTCGCCGCCCTCCGGATACGCGCTGTACACGCTCTGTATACGATCAAGTGAAGAACCATATTTTGGAACTGTATGTATTACCAATTGCCTGGCTTGACCATGGTGCACTCAGCCGTAGGATTTGAGTTTACGAGCGTCCACATTGTTTGCGAAGGTGAACTGCTGGATCGAGGATTTATATCCGCAAGAATGAGCAAAGGATGCATTTTGGGTAGGAATCCGTAGGATCCTTTCGATGTTGATCTGTACCCAACGTCGAATCAGCGCCCTTCCCGCGTGTCGTGCAGTTCACCCCTGACGACTTTTCTGGGCAGAATTGAGGGGAACCGCGAAAGCAGAAGAATCAAGCACCGCACGTCTCAACGACTCTTCACCGTTCTTTTCCGACGATAGACTTCGAAACATCATGTCGGAGGAGCAGAGTTTTCAAATTTATGTAAGATCAGGCGACTTCCGACTCTTTAATGAGTTTAAACATCGTGTTAATATAACATTTTCCTTGTTTCGCACCATTCACATCGTGAAATCTGAGAAAAGATGTCCCCAGAAAAGGCCCGATGGGGTAACAATAAGCACTCTAGCAAATGCGCTATAGGCGGTTGGGGCACTCTATTACGCCTAGTGGGAGCCGCATCCCCTGGTATCCTCAAGTCAACTCATGTAACCTCTTGGTGAGCAAACCCTAAAAACGTAATGTTTACCACGTCACGCGCCTTGGTTGAAAAAACTAGAATGGTAAAGTGGGCCACAGAGCACCAAGACCGTCCACCGTCACATTGTTCTACGTTTCGATACCTTGCATATCCCATGCGCATATGCCTGGTGCCGAAATTTCCTCAAACCGTCGATTTGCTAAGCCTGCTTAGCTCGTCCTTCCCACGAGGACGCTTCCGGACCTTTACTCGAAAAGGACTGGGGAAGAGAACCGGGGAGCCTTGGGGGATTGCTTGGGGATGCTTGGGGAGCACATCTGGAGTACATCTGGAGGTCCCCTGGGGAGAGCATGGGCCAATCCTGGGGCGTTCGGGCGATCTCCGAGCGACTCAGGGCTCCTATGGAGTCCCACATGGCGATGGTTGGTGTCAAAACGTCTACCATCGGGAGTTCGAGCAGGCAGAACATGCAAAATTCTACAAGGATTCATACAATCCTGCTGCGGTATATAAGTTTGCAGCATCCCCAGGTTGTAGGTATCCATCAAGCGTGTCTCGCCAATTTCCTCTGGTATTGGGCCTATTGTCAAGCTCCCACGACATTAGAAAGATCGACAATTCAAAATGGACGCTACAACACGTAACGCATCAGTCACCTCCGCTCAGGTGCGAACTGAGCTCGCCTACAAGAACAGATGGCGGACATTGTTGCACAACCCGAAGCTCATCATCATCGCGTTCTTTGCTTCGTAAGTAGACATACCTTTATTATTATCAAATAACTTTCCGTACTAACAGTTTGTCAGTTTCGGAGGTTTCGAATATGGTTACCAGCAAGGTGTACTGGGCCAGTCTTTGGTCATGCACCGCTTCGTCGAGAACTTCCCCTCCGTCGTAAAGTCCTCTTCCGCCACTGGCTGGCTCACCTCCATCTTGCAGCTTGGTGGTATCCTCGGATCTCTCTCCGCTGGTGTCTTCGGAGAAGTCTTCTCTCGTAAATATACCATGTTCAGCGCCTGTCTCTGGGTTGTTCTTGGATCTTACCTATACTGCGGTGCCACCCAAGGCAAGCCCGCTATGCTGTACGCTGGCCGTTTCTTCACTGGTATTGGTGTCGGAACTTTCTCCGGTGTTGGTCCTCTCTACAATGCAGAGCTTTCAGCGCCCGAGCTCCGTGGTCTTCTCGTTTCGTTCTACCAGTTCGCAACTATCCTCGGTATTATGTTGTCTTTCTGGATCGGTTACGGAAGTAACTATATTGGTGGCATTGGAGAAGGCCAATCAAACCTTGCATGGCAGTTGCCCTCTATCATTCAGGGTATTCCCGCTGCTATTCTTGCCATCGGTATCTGGTGGCTTCCATTCTCCCCTCGTTGGCTCGTCAAGCAGGGTCGTGATGAGGAGGCTCTGAAGACCCTGTCTTACCTCCGCAAGCTTCCCGTTGAGAATGAGCTCATTCAGGTCGAATACAAGGAGATTAAGGCCGAGGCTCTCTTCGAGCGCCGCTCTTTCGAGAAGAACTTCCCCAACCTTGCCGCTAAGGAGCAGGGCAATGTCTGGGTCGCTCAGTTCGCCCAGTACTACCAGATCGTCAGGACTTGGGACAACTTCAAGCGTGTTTCCATTGCCTGGTTGGTCATGTTCTTCCAGCAGTGGTCCGGTATTGACGCCATCATCTACTACGCCAGCAACGTCTTCCTTTCCCTTGGTTTGACCGGTGGAACCCAGGCGCTTCTTGCAACTGGTGTCACTGGTGTCGTTTTCTTCGTCAGCACTTTGCCCGCTATGGCCATCATTGATAAGGTCGGACGTAAGCCTATGCTTCAAGTCGGTTCCATCGTCATGTTCGTCTCCATGGTTATCGCCGGTATCATGGTCGCCAAGTTCCGCCACGATTGGGTTGCCCACTCCGCCGAGGGATGGGTCGTCGTCGCCTTCATCTGGGTCTACGTTGGAGCTTTCGGTGCTACCTGGGGACCCGTCAGTTGGACCCTCGTTGCGGAGGTGTTTCCCCTGTCTATCCGTGCTAAGGGTGCTTCCATCGGTGCCTCTAGCAACTGGGTAAGTTTATGTCGAATCTGATAATTTGCGCACAATGACTAACAGTTTCACAGCTAAACAACTTCGCCGTCGCTTTCTTCGTCCCGCCCATGCTCGAGAACTGGGCTTGGGGAACCTACATTTTCTTCGCTGCCTTCCTTGCCTGCGGTATTGTCTGGGTCCACTTTGTGCTTCCCGAAACCCGTGGCGCCACCTTGGAGGAGATGGATCGCGTCTTCGGAAGCCGCACTGGCGAGGAGGATGCCATCATGCTCGAGGAGGCTCGCCGCGAGATCGGACTCAGCTTCATGCTCGAGGAGGAGGCCATCAAGGCTGCTCACCAGGGCGAGCAGGTGCACATTGATGGCGAGAAGCGCGCCCACACTGAGAACGTTTAGATAATGGATTAATGACGGTGCAATGGTCTCAATGATCACTCTGAGGCTGCAAGCAGCCCGGAGGACAAAATTCATGCCTTGATTGCTTCAGGGTTGCAACAAAGATCGGATGGAGATATCCTTCTGGTCGTAAGATAGCATACATAATACGATTAATTATTAGTTCAAGTCGATTTTGAGACTCTACATTGTCGTGATGATTTATTGAAACAAAATAGGCATTCGCATAGTTCAAGGATGGTGTCTGATGTGTTCTATTTACTAACCAGCACAACCTGTCAATTGCAATTCGTCAACACAGTGCGATGAACATGGATCGGCAACTGCACGATCAATAAACATGCAAGTCTGTGTTCGGGAAACTCCACCGCTCCCTTGATCCATCCACTACTTGCGTGTTGGTTCAGTGTCCACGGCGGAATGCTCCGGCCAATCCCCACAGATTTTTTGGCCCACTACCCATTAACACAGGCGAAAGGTTCTAGACTAAATACATCACATAATTCTCGATTGGAATCGATTCTTGTCCACATACTGCAACATTGAACGCTGGAAAGGTCCTCGAACCCTTCCGCGGAGGACGCTTCAACACTATGGGACGACTGTGTGCATTGAATAAGTAACGGTACAACAGGATTGTGTTATCATTGATAATCTACCCGACCCGAAGCGACTGTCCATCCTTCCAAAGGCTATTGACTAAATAACATTTACCATTCCCTTCCAAACTATTGCTACCAAAGGAAACCACTATTGGTTCCCAAAACCCTCCATATTCCATTTCCTTAAACTTGCTTAAGAGCAAGTAGTCTTGGTACACACCAAAGGCCACGGGCTCTTGTCATAGCAATTGCATCTACAGATACCCTTATCATCGCAGTTGGAGTTGCAATATCCAATGGCGAAGCAGTGAACGAAGCAGAGGCGCTCGTCGATTCCGCAAGTGACGCGCTTATCGAGGGGATCGGCAGATCGTCCACGGATAGCAGGCGTGACGGCTTGTTCGAGAGAGACCTTTGAGGAAAGTTAGCCTTTGAATGTTTTTCCTTGGCAGGGCTTAGTATGTGTGATGACTTACGGACTCGACTTGGGCTTGCTGCCCTGGATCACAGGTAATGTCGCCGTTGTCGTGTCCGACACAGGTTACATTCTTCTCTGGACTGAACCAAGACACTTCGGCCTTGGAGACCAGAAAAAGGCTCAAGAATACAACGAGAAGCTTCATGGTTGAAGTTTGAGTAAGGTAATGAAGATAGATCTCAGAGTAGAAATTGTTGTAGTAGATTCAAGGCTTGTTCGAATTGAAGAAGAACTGATGAGGAGATGCAGAGGGACGGAGTGATGGCCTCAATTTATATTCGACCGTCCGCAATAGAGATGGGGACTTGAAAGGCACGACTGTAGAACAAGACTCCTATCATGCCTCCCCAACGTGCGTAACATTCGCAAAAGCTTCTGATTGTAGTAGCTTGAGTAGATCAATCTTCGTACTTCGCATCGAAGATCGGCCGACCTCTTCGTCTTCACTAACATTATCGGGAAAGCGGCATGGACATTAACCTGAACCTTGAGGGACTGCTCGCAACACGGACAAGGTTCGAAGCAGAGTCCGCATCTCCCGCAGACGAAGCCATCGAATTAGAATAATCGAACTACCATGTTCTACTCCGATCTCCCTCGTAAAGGCACTTTGGACTCTCGTAAAGGAACCAATTTGGGATATCTATAGCATCGTGGTAAGATCGGCATTGCAAAAGCTTAGATGTAAGCCCCGTGTGAACAAGCATCTTCCCGTGCGGCACTATGCAAGGTCAGTGATGCAATGCCGATCATCCAATTCATTCCTTTGGACCCAGACTGACCAGGTACGAAAGAGACTGAATACATAATATTGTGCTACGAGAGGACTGACGCAGAATGGAGCTTAGTTGAAAGCTTTCCTGACTTGGAGTCTCTTGGTGAGAGGTTTGAAAACACCTTTGTGGCGTTAAAGCAAACTGAGACCCAAATTATCACGCGGAGCATATCTATAATTTAACCATACTTCATTCTAGAGTAATCCGTACGGAGTATGCGGAGTACTGTTGGCGGCCGTTTGGCGGTGCGCAAGCTTCAAGTTACCAGCCTTAGCGAGAGAAACATCACCGTGGCACATTGTGCCCTCAAACCCGGCGGGTCAACCCGATGCCAAACTTAATGAATCACAGTAATGCTAAAGAAAAGCTTCAAAGGTGGGTTTACCCCGCAAATGAACAGTCGCGTCGCCTTAATCGCGCCTCAATCGTCACTGCGGAGATCGGGGACCGATAAACACGAGGTGCGGCTGAGAGGTATCGCCTTATGAAACAAGGCTCGACCAATGTGGCCAATTGCATCAACTTTGCACAATCAAAACCATGAAAGGCTCCATAGGCCTCATCATAAGTGCGGGATTGCGAAGTAAGCAGTGAGCCTCATATGCTGGTTCCCAAATCTAAGACAATCAGCGCACAGGCATAAATGGAAAGGGAAGCAAATGCGACACACGAGAAATGTCAAACTTTTCCCATAGCCTTAATCCAAATGGCGAATCAGGTGATCTTGTTGGCTTACGAATTATGGAAACTTCATTCCTTATTCACCACATTGCATCGTTCCTTCCATTGAAAATTCCATTCATACTGCTGTGCAGGGTTCTCTAAGCTATTAAGGCGATAAAAGTATCTAGGAATTCAAACAGCTTCGTAGCGCTGCAATAGCAATAGAGTCTCGTAATAACGATACTAAGGCCGAGCAGAACAGACCTCTTTCTGGGCATTGCACCTGCAATTTGGTGCAGGAAATCCCTATGTCCCATACAAATCAGTCTAGATATAACGATAATCGCGATATAACGATGAAGGCGCATCGTTATGGAGAGACTCTATTGCATATGGAAAAGAAATGTTAGCCTATTCAATTCAATAGAACATGTCTTCTCACTTGGTTTTAGGAAGCATTTTATATATAATACTAGTGTCAATGCTGGAAGACACTCAAACGAGAATGTCATATTGCAGCACGTAAAGGGCAAGACATATAGTATGCAAGTCAAACAATCGAGTACATGATCAAGATTGATCGGGCGCCATCCCAAGGCTCTACGTTTCTGTCTCACGATTCACTTGCTATGTAGTATACATTGCCTTGCCTGTGGGGCTCCTATGGAATTCATTGAAAGTAGACGAAAGAGTGACAGCTAAATAATGCCATGATCTGAGTGATTTATACCGCTCCTTGGGAGGATCATCTTTTGGCGGCCACCAATCAGAATTCGTTTGATCTGTCAATTCGCATGTGTCTTCGCCAAGATGTGGTAGAGACCCGTGGCCACCAATGTGAATGTTCAGCACAGTCAGCCTGGCATGTTAGGCCGCATTGCGGCCACCAATCAATCTGCGAGGCAAACTCGCGTCCTTCAGGCTCTCGTTGCAGTTGCACTATTTAGCTTTGCATGCACCCGAAGTCCTACTCCTCGACCACAATTCCTGATCTCCAACCTTTGTGCAATCAGCTGTATCTCATTTTATCTGAGGTGCACCCAGGCAATCGCGCGCTGCCCTGGTGAAGGTGCCGGGGCAGACCACCCAGAAACGAATCTCAAGAAGATTAATCGAAGTCTCCTCCAGCCACTGAACACTTCCTTGTTGGTGTATCAAATCACTTCATTCTCACCCTAGGATTTGAAGGACGAGCCGCGGGCCTAGTTTACTAGGCCTCCGGTGCCATCTGTCCGCAACACAATGATCATTGCATAACAAACCATGGCATTTGCCAGATCGACCATTTCAACCAAATTATCGATGACCAAACCTACGATACCCAGTTTTCCACCCTGGGCCAAATTTTCAACCTCACAGAACCTTTACATGGAAATGCAGATGCCGAGTTCAACTTCACTGCCAATACGCCCCAGTCCTTGGAGAAAATCTCCTATGATCGTGGCATTCTGGATCATTCGTTTTCTACGTATCCTTCCGTCGACGTTACTGATCCAAATGCTTGGTTGTGGGGGCCTTTATCACCAAGCATTGACAATCATCTCGCATTTCCATATGAAGAACTTTACCACGGCCTCGGGTGGCCTGATGTTGATTCAAGATCGGGAGTCTCACTAGCCGCGACTCCTCAAACACCATTTTCTATTTCCGAAGAGCCATCTCTATCTCCGTGCCCTAGTTCATCCACTGGATCGGACATTCCCCAAAGTACCCCCGTCGCAATCACAGCGAATGTGTTTAGTGATAGTCTTACCAAGGATAACAAAATCGCTATTCCACCTACCCCGTCTTTTGGTTCCCGTGTAAGCTGCACTCAGACCTATTCGAGTGAGCCAACAATAGAGTTAGTAGAACCAATTGGCTATACACACACACAGCTGACCTTGCGCAGTGGTCATGAATGCCATGTAAAACTCTGTACTCAAGGTCCAACCCGCTGTCAACACTGTCGATTTCCCTTTACCTTGGCCAAAGATCTGGAAAGACACTTGAGGACCGCATGTCCGATGCTCGCTCATCGTGAGAGGCTTGTTTGCAACTCTTGCGGTAAAACATACAGTCGAAAAGACAGTTTATCACGCCATATTCAACAATCCAAAAAGTGCAATGCTGCCTATTGCAACCGGAAGACTCATTGAGATAGAATAGCTTCAACATCATCGTAGGTTTGGATCTTCACATTGCCGAAGCGAGATTTACTTGGACCAACTTCTCTGGACCAATTTCTTTTTTGTTTTTTTGTTTTTGTTTTTTTCATTTTACAGAGGTTTGGATGCTTCCTAGACTGATCTGTACTATAATTCTAATCGTGAATTACTTTTTCAAACCAAGGAACTCACTGATGCTCGCGAGATGGTTCGTGCCGAGATCCAAGCGAGCTCGTGCTTTGAGTCCGGCAGCTGACGATCAGAAGGATAATATGGATCAGTCTAGGTTTAAGCTCCCTCTGTACACGATATTTGGACTGCTATCGGCACTGGTTGAAATGAGGGATCTGACAAAAACATGCTTAGCATGATCATAATCATTATTTTCCTTTTTATGTTTCATTTGGAGGTTTCATGTTTTCATTTGGACTTTTCATTTGGACTTTTCATTTGTTGTCATCAAGATTGACCAAGTACTGATTCGTCTCATTCTTTTCAATGTAACGAGAAAATCAGGGGTTCAAAGATGGGTAGAAGTGGTGATGAGGAGCATTGTCCTGTGAGAACTTTGTTCGTTGGTGTTCGACTTGAACCTAAAGAACATGTCCTTGGATGTTCACCTCTGTTAATTCCAAGAACAGTGTAGCTCGGGCCAATGCAGGGACGTGTTCTTTGGTTTCAGGTGGTATAGAAGTGCTTATACAACATACTTGCGTGAGAATTTTGCAATGTACATCAGTACATTGCCATAATTCACTTAGCTTTTCCTTGACACTGATCTTTCCTTAAATTCAAAGCCTCAGTGACGACTGTAAGAATCACTAGCGAGACACGATAGAGCGTCCTCGTAAAATGGCATTATAATATCTGTGAGTCAAGACGACCATATCATTAATACCGCCATATCACTTCTATTCTTGAGACTTCGACCCGTACCAGATACTAGAAGGCTAAGTTATCAAATGAATGCGTGCAAGTTCTCAATGACAGTCTCTTTGCGTAGCTCCATCTTTTCTAAACAGGACAAGATACGTATATCTTGCAGCACACCTCTCACATAACTTGGCTCAACCGTAATGAGTTGTGAGCTAATTTCATGATTTCGGCGGCCTCCAATCAGACCTACAACGCACAGTCGATACGATGTCCCATATGTTGTGGCCTTCAATCACCATCAAGCCTTTCATATGCGTACCTCCATACTCGCATATCGTCCCTCAATCTTGCAGAATTAATAGCATGCCGAAGGCGGCCACGAATGAAACCATCGCTACTTCAAGCATAAACGAAGATCCGATAGTGCGGCCTTCAATCATATCACATCGAGAGCATGCATTCAAACACCCTGTTTGAATTTTCGAACCGTAAGGCAATCGCATCTTGAGGTATAGATATAAAGAGACAGACGACTGCGTATCTTTACATTGACAACAGCAGCCTGAATCAAACAAATTCAATTGCTGAAACTTACAGGTACAACTAGCTCGCCATTCAGATTATTTGGTAACTGACCTGGGTTAGCAACATTATCCTGAAGCTCTCACTTCCAAACATGGCAGGCCGTTCTACTACAACAAAGACCCCAACACCGGTTGTCATCACTGGGCCACATCAGACAAATACCACATCCACGGGGGCAAGGACCAAATCAACAAGCGGTGCAGAAAAAACGCCAATGGATCGCTGGATATCTGAAACGTCGAAGCAAGAGCCTTGGTCGGCGGAGAACAGAGCGAACAGGGATGAGAAATCTGGTTAGCATGGAGAACAGGAAGCGTTGCTTTGGCAGTTGTGGGTAGAATTTTATTGGGAATCCTACACGTAGATATGTTGATATTGAGGTCAAATGTCAGCTTTTCATGTCCTTATTCCTTTCGCGACATGGTGAATTCGGTGTGACGCAGGAGACCCATCTTGCTGTATCCGTACAAAAAAGCGATTGATCTCTTAGCCCCCAAGGCCCCAAGGCCCATCATCAAGATCGGATTATCAAAATCAAACTTTATCTGGAAAGACATGACTAAAGCAAGCTCGCCTAGATTGGTCTAATCAAGACGGGATCTGGGGGTCAGTTGGGGGAACATGGCCAAAACCAGCACGTTTTCTCCCGAGAACGCGGGGCCGGGAAGGCTTGGCCCGCCTTGACGTTTACATGCACCCACCCATACCCTCGCGCGCTTTGGCCCATAAAGAGATGCTAAAACTAGCGATCCGAGCTCAGCCGATGTTCTGCATCTACACTCCTCATCCTCCATGATATCGAATTTGCATACGTTTGAATGTCGGCGATGGGCCCGCCTAAAGAGAAGGAACAACAACGCACCAGACGAACCGTGAAGGCCTGCGTCATCTGTCATAAGAAGAAGGTCCGCTGTGACATTGACAATGTGGAAGGCGAGGTTTGTTCGCCGTGCGCGAGAGACGGGTATGAATGTATACCTAGAGAGAGGAAGAGGAAACGTTTTACTTTCAGTCCTTCCCCGCCTGCCGGAGCCCGTAAGATCAAGTCAGGACTGAATGGAAGCATAGCCGACGGCTCACAGCCCGCCTTCTCTGTGGAAAGTACAAATTACACCGACCCTTCAGACGCCAGTCAATCTGCATTCCCCAACGAATCCTCAATGCGGACGGACGGAAGTTTGAAAACAGAGAATAGCTTGGGGCGAAGACTCTCCAGTGCAACCAGCTTACACGACCCATCAATTAGAGTGGAACGGAACCCGGAATCTTCATATCCGGGCCTGACAAACGCCTCATCTAATGGTCTATCTAATGACCACAGTATGCAGCCTGATGTTACAAATTCTGCATATCCTTCTTCTACCTCACAGACCAACGTCGTCAGCTACCTAGGACGACTGGAATACCTTCGCAATGATGTCCCCGTGGATGACGACGCAGGCTTGCCGAGCAGTATGCCCCATCGGCTTTCTGAAGTTGATCTCGAAACATTGCGAGTTCATCGAGTTTCAGAACTTCCACCTAGGCCTGTGCGCGAGTCGTTGCTCGACGCCTTCTGGTCGCGATGCCACCCATGGAACCCCGTCGTCGAACGCAGCTGGGTAGAGAATCGCGACCCTAACCAAGTTTCTCTACTTCTCCTGCATGCTATGCTTCTTGCCGGAAGCAGAGTTTCAGCACCGTTGCCCAATTATCCATCCGCCGATTTCTACAGGAAGGCTCGGGTTCTTTTTTGGACTGGAGCTGAAGAAGATCCTATTATCACGATCGCTGCCTGTATCTGCCTTCATTGGTGGAACCCTGAAGGGCCAGAGCAAGTCTCTGTGCATACGAGCAGTTTCTGGCTGCGCATCTGCATAGGTCTCGCATTGCAAGTTGGATTGCATAGAGACCCAGGCACCAAGCCAAACGCAGGGTTGAGGCGAAGACTTTGGTGGTCTCTTGTTTGCAGAGACGCTCTGATCAATGCCGGCCACGGAAGGCCTCGAGCAATTGATCTGAAACTTTCAGATGTAGCTCCTATATCGGTTGTCGATTTTGAAGGCATGGTTGCCCCCTCGAATCTCTTCTCTTCATACGTGGGAATTTGTTGTATCCTTGGTAAGCACTCGTTGTTATTTATGATGACAATTTTACTGATCAACTTAGGTGACCTTACGCAAAGCTATCTCCGGAAACATGGCCTGCAGGAGCACAAGAAGTCATTAGAAGATAGACTCTTCCGTTGGCTCAAAACCCTTCCCGAAAATCTACAATTGTGTCGACCAATCGAAGGACGGCCTTTAAAACAATATAGCTTTGAAACCCGACAACTACATATTCAGGCAAGTAGAAGAAATATTAGTTATCGAACGCGAAACTAATCCAGCTCAGTATTTTACGACCTTGATCATCTTGAATCGACCGGTGGAGCCAAAAGCTTCTCCTTCTCTTCCTGCCTTAGTAGCTTCCTCGTTTATAGCGGGTATATTCGAAGATTTCATGGCTCGCGATGAATTACGATATCTCGGCCCTATCTTCACGTTCTACTGTTTAACAGCAGGAATGGCGCAGTTGTCGTGTTATCGATACAGTAGCCTCATACCTTCTGCAGAGCAAGATTTAGCGATTATGGGCCGAGCTCTTGAGGAGTTGGGCAATCGGTGGGCGACGGCTGCAGGCAGCCTTAAGCACCTCTTCGAAGTGCGAGAGAAAGTTACCCAGCGGCCCTCGCTTGGTGCATTCCCCGATTTCAGCTTCCCGGCAACGACACAGCAATTCTTCTCTGATTTTGGGCCAGACCTATGCCGCATGTGGCATCCAATATTCCAACAATTGCCTCAGACATCATCTATCGCCCCACGCGAACTGGAGACGGCGGGAATTCTCCAGGGACTTCGAACACCGAATACGCAACCTATCGATTTGGATATTAATGCAAACACAGTAGACCAACAACAGCAACTACTTGGCAATCCTGCAGTTGGTGGAGCAGCTCTAGAGCCGACACTGCTTCAGCCTCAAGAATGGTTCGGGACCTATGGAGGAATTGGGAATTGGCTCATGGTAGATTGGGATCAAGGTTTTGGTTGGTGAACGAGCTGCAGATGCTCCATGCATGTCTGCTCTTCGCCTAGGCAACTATTCTATGAGGTACGAGGGTACGAAGGGTTGTAATACGACCGAATCCGGTATTTCCAGCGAGCATAATTCGAGTCAGTCTATGGGTAGCAGCAAGACCGAGAATTACCGAAGCTACCGACCCCGCAAACATGAGGCGACCCTGCCAAGAATCCAATACCTGGGGTTGCTAGAGCTCACCACGCTGATGCCGAGGCATGGAATCGTACCTTCAATCTTGCGAAAACTACTACCATATCGAGGCAAATCAGATATTACGTTCTGTTATGTTTCTGTAGCATTCTCTTCGTTTCCGTGCATGCTACCAACAGCACCGCCAAGGTTGGATACAGAAACACAAACCAACAATATGGTGTTGGGACAGTACTGGAATCTGCGCGTAGATCGCCATGATCAGGTCTTTGTTATTACCCTTCAAAAAGCACCAGAGAATCGCCTTAATGTACGCTTTGCGCAAGAAATTATAAAGGCACTCCGAGACATAGAACAAGAATTGGGACCCGACTCGGAAGGGTGTGTCATCGTAAGAGGCAATGACGAGAAGTTCTGGTGTACAGGCCTAGAGCTTGACGAGGCGGATACAAACCCCTTCGCGAACAACGATGGGTTCTTTCCTGTATGTTGAGTTCATTCGTAGATATATATACGGCTGCCCCTTCTCAACTCCCAGGTCAAATTAAGGCAAAAAAAAAGTCTATTTTGATCTGTCAATTGATTCATGCTAACTGCTTGAACAGCTCTTAGCCACACTCCTTGATTACCCATTTCCCACCATTGCCCTATTGACTGGCCACACATTTGGCGGCGCATGTCCTTTCTCGTTAGCCCACGATTACCGCATCATGAATTCGAAACGGGGCTTCTTCTCCATGCCTCCAGTGAACCTTGGTCTACATTTTCCTGGTATCGGTTTTCTCCCTCGACTTAAATTGCGGCCCCAGGTTGCCCGAAAAATGCTTCTTGAAGCGCATCGATGGACAGGAAAAGAGGCGTTAGCGGACGGGATCGTCGACGAAATAGCAGATCCAAGCGAGATGCTGGAAGTCGCACTGAAGAAGGCCCGAAGCATCCAAGGGAAAGCAAAAATGGGCGTGTACAGTCTGTTGAGGAATGAACTCTGGGGCGAGGCCGCGGAGAGATTGAGAAGTATTAGCTACGTGCATGGAAGGATGGTGAGCGCACCGGCGAAGGCGAAGATTTAGTTCTGGAGGAGCATTTGTTGGGACATTTCAAATATCGACCGGGGATATCTCAGGAGACAGCCACGTGAGAACCATGATTCATCTGCAGTGCGCTGCTAAGGTTCGGAGCTGCCTCCTCCATGAAGTGAAACAGTGTTACAATGCTGGGAGTCCAGAATTCATGGTTGTGTCAGCTTGGGCAATTGTGAGGATGAACAGTAGTAACAAACCACAACAGGTTCTGCCAGCCTATATTTTACTTAAATGTCTGTTCCCCGTCCATTGATCTAGTTTCCAATGCTATCCCACCTTTCAGATACTACAATGGTCCGCCATAGCCATGCTTCCTGACATATCACGTGTGATGATAAGTGGTCAATGCTTTCACCTCAAACCTTAGGTCTTTCTCGTATTTCTTAAGGGCCTCGATACCACGCTCATTCATCGTTATCATTCTCTACTATTTCTCACTACACCGCTATATCCGCATGCCCGGTGGTACAGCTTTGTGGCTTTGTTCTGGAAGAGCTAGGCATGCAATCGCTCTCGGCGATTCGTCGTCGCCATGGCGGATTTCCCTCGCAATTGCGCCGCGTAAGTACTTTCGTATTGTACAATGCAATTCGAAGGAGTAGACCTTCGGCACCCGGTCCGATATATTCAGCGAAGGAAGCCTTCTAGAGCCTCAAGTATATTTGCGTGGCTAATTGGCGCTGACATCGTCATATATCTCGCGCTGACGTTTTAAGGTTAAAGTCGTTCATCTATCTCGTTGATCCCGGCGCAATTTACCCACCTCGAAATGCTGTGTCCATGCCCAAAGTGACATCGCGTTATCGTCGTCCCATTCTAGCATGCTCCAATTAATTCATTGAAAGCCCCTTTCATTTGTGCGACATACATGCAGTCACCAGGCCTTGACTTTACCATCCTCTGGACAGCTCGCGAATAGCCTCTGGCTCAAAATGGAGGCTCAACTGACCGAAACCCGGGCTGGCGCATTCAAAGCATATGTTCGCCCCTGGTGATCTCTTGGTATCCTCAGACCACCGGTCTTTCGACGAGACTTCCCGTGACAACTTGTGGGACGACACAGCAATAGTAAAAGTCACATTCTGTATCAATTCCAATATCCGCGTGGAAGGAGCCGAACCCCACGAATCTACAGAAACGAATGTGGAGAGTGCTCCCCCATACTTCATATCTACCCAACAATTGAGGATCATCCGAGGGGCTTCCTATCTCGCAGGCCACAGAGAGTGACAGCTCTCAGAGCAGCACTATGCTGTGCAATAGCTCCACCGGGATAGGTTACCATAGACCCGCCCCCTGTTCCTGTCCGCCGAGCCATGTATTGTCGCTAACAGATGCTAATTAATTTTTTTCTGGGACGACTTGTATCTACTTTCATTTTGGCTCGCGATTATGAGGGATAAAAACCGCAGTCATCCACAATGGAAGTACCTTGAGATGTCAACTCCGCCGCCCTCCTCGCCATGAAGCTTTCTAAAACGTCAGTGGGCCTTTTGGCTTCCGCCGGAACAGGTAAATCACCTATCCGTTGAGTAATTGAGTGTAGAGCTAATTTAGGGCTAGTTCTTGGGCAAAATACCAAACGCTATTGCGACACAGTTACCGGATTGTGCTTTTCAGGATGGACTGGAGGCAATGGTGTTACAATTGGTGTAGCTCTTCCTAATGCTACTGTTGCACCGTTTGACACGGTGCTTCAGATGGTATCTCCGATTGCAAATGGCTGGGTTGGATTTGCGTGGGGTGGTACCATGCCTTATGTACCGCTCACTATCGGATGGGTGAACAATGCCTCGAATACCGCGATCTACTCATCACGAATGGCATAGTACGTCATAAATCTGTTGTCAAAGAACCTTACTTACAATATGTTACAGTGGATTAAGCTTACCTCAACCCTTCGACGGAGCTGAATACTCTTACCTGAAGGGAACAGGATACAACGCCACACATTGGACATTGACCGTCCGCTGTCGAGGCTGCAGTCAATGGAATGATGTTGATGGAAAACTCGCATCTATCGATCCACTGGGCACTGCTGTCAAGTTTGCACACGGTTACACGAGTAGGCTTCCAAAAGAGCCCGCAAATAACCGATCTACCTTCAACGTGCACTCATCCTTCGGCCATTGGTTCTTGGATTTGAACCAGGGACAAAATGCAAACTTCGACAAGCTCGTTGCTGACAATTTGGTGCCGAATAAACCCCCAACACCTTCAAGCGCCCCGCCCTCAAGTTCAACACGCCTTCCGACCAGCACACTGAGCACCATCATCGTTCCTAGCTCCACGGGCTCTCCTGCACCCGTCTCGACAAGTGTACCTGCATCGTGCGCCGGCATCTCCAAATTGCACTTCCCCTACAAGATAGCTAGCGGATGGAAAGCCGTAAAGGTTGCAGGCGACCTGACACAGCCTAGGGGCTTGATCTTTGATAACGCGGGTCATCTCCTATTGGTACAGAATGGGCTTGGTATTACTGTTCATACCATCGGTCCAGACGGCTGTCTATCAAATCAGAAAACCCTCATCGCACAGCGAAACATCAATCACGGCATCGCACTCAGTCCTGATGGAAAAACTTTGTATGCTAGCTCCGCTACGTCGGTGTTTGCATGGGACTACGACTCTGCGACACAAACTGTTAGCAGTACTTCTAGGACCATCATTACGGACATGGATGCTCGAGGGCACGTCACACGTACGCTTGCCATCCCGCCCAAACACCCTGATGTTCTCGTTGTCTCGCATGGTTCGAACGATAACTTCGACTATGAATCTGGCAATATCAAGACCGGAAGATCGTGTGTCAAGGGATTTAACAGAAACAAGGTCCCCACAGACGGCTACAAATATGCATCTGAAGGCTGGAACCTTGGGTACGGACTTCGCAATGGCGTTGGTCTTGCGTTCGATGGCGAGGGAATGTGAGTTATAACCCTCAAGCACTCCACTGCTCAATTGCTAACTTGATCAAAGGTTGTGGGAGGTAGAGAACGCATCGGACGAGATCCACCGTACTGTTGGCGGCACCGCTATCGACATCCACATCGACAACCCAGCCGACGAGATCAACTTCATTGGCGACCCGTCCAAGGAGAACACTCAATGGTATGGCTACCCAACGTGCTACACGGTCTGGGATCCGAGCGTCATCACAGACAAGAAATTCCAACGAGGCGACCAATTCGTCCTCACGCCCAACGAGACTTTCTCAGACAACACCTGCACGCAACAAAGCGAGGGTGCAAGATTAGCCTTGCAGGCGCACTCTGCACCGCTCGATGCGGTCTTCGACAAGAACTACACTAGTCTGTACGTCACATTCCACGGCAGCTGGAACCGTGCTCCATCGACAGGATACAAGGTCGTCGAAGTCCCATACGCTCCAGGGGTGGATGGATTCGGTCCCAAGGCGCAGTTGAATGGCAGCGCTGGGTATACTGAGATCTTCTCCTCGCCTGACGAGGAGCATTGTTCGACGACGCAGTGTTTCCGGCCGGTGTCGATAGCGAAGGATAAGTATGAGCGCATGTACATCACGAGCGACAGTGGCGCGGAAGGAGAGTTGATTATACTAGGACGTAGCTAGATAGCTCGGTACTTTGAGTGACGACAGCACAAATGCGCCACTCTTGATTGTGGGGAAGTAGACATGGAGGCGGAGGAAGCTAACAACGAGAATGGTATGATAGACGCATTTCTTGGGTTTTCGGACAGGGTTGGCTGGTTTCGCCATATCATATTACCTTAGATATTTCCTCTTAAATCGCAAGTCTTGCCTATCTGGGTTATAACTATACATGTAAGACTCAATTGACACCGACTTCGTACCCACTACCGCATTGAGAAGCTATATGTTAAAGATAAGAGACATGGATCACCATTTACAACATAGGCAATATGTCATCAAACGAGATCATTTTCCGCTTTTACTCTGGAGAATCAGCATCACTGACCGATTGATTGAGCATATTACTGAGAGAAGGCATGGGGGAATACTTATGATATGTTCAAGGTGCATCATCGCACCACATTCTACTCACACGCCTCAAGCTAAGTACCGCGGCATCACAAGTGCTCACGAATCGAACCCACAGACAACGTAAACTCACACCATGGTATTGTGATAATTAGATTAGTGATGGAGTCCCGAGTAAGCCCTTGAGGTTTCAACAGAGCACGCCTGATGTGCGTGTCTTCGACACTAGACTGCACCGAGACGCGATCCCCGCAATTGTGGGCGCATGGCTAGTCCCAATCTTGTCAAATTCCGAGGCATCCCATTTAGTCGATTCGTCACGAAGCAACGAACACAGAACAGATCGGACACGCGAACGAGCCTCGCACGACCCTCAATGTGAGGGGTTGCTTCGACTCTCTCTCACATAAGATGCAAAGACGGCACGGAGCATGTGAGGCGTTTTGATGATCCTTCGTCTTTCTCTTTTTCAGCTCCCACCGTTGGTTCACACGTGTCGTACGATAACTTTTGAACGATAAAAAAGGAGGAAAGGACGTTTGGTGGTACCTTTGGACTACGTTACCTACGGCTCTCCACTTGGCGGACTCATTGTTCTTCCCTTACAACCATCAGGCGGACCCCAGCATCGCCTTTCCTATTGCTTGCTTAGATTGGTTTCTTCAATTGTTTTCCCTCTAGGTTCTGGAATTGAATTGACTCTCCCCCGGACTACAACGTCCACCCTTCGCAACCATGAACGGCTCAGCGGGTGGCAACAACTACGACATCATCGTAGTCGGCGCTGGCATCTCCGGCATCAACGCAGGCTACCGCATCCAGGAGCGACTCCCAGGCCACAGCTACACGATCCTTGAGGCGCGACACGATCTCGGCGGAACATGGAGTCTCTTCAAGTACCCAGGGATCCGGTCCGACTCCGACCTGCACACCTTTGGCTACCCCTTCAACCCCTGGCAGAAGCCCAATCCCATCGCGCTGGGCGACTCCGTGCACGAGTACATGGAAGAGACGGCGAGCAAGTTCGGGATCGACAAGAAGATCCAGTACCACCATCGCGTCGCGGCGATGGATTGGAGCTCCGAGACTCAGCATTGGAGGCTCGAGGTTGATGTTGGGAATGTAGCGAACGTGGAGCGAGTGGAGAGGAAGATATTCTACGCGAAGTTTGCGATTCTGGGCACGGGCTACTACGACTACGAGAACCCACTGGATGCGAAGATCCCAGGCCTGAAGAATTTCCAGGGCCTCACCGTGCATCCCCAATTCTGGCCTGAGGACCTCGATTTCAAGGGCAAGAAGATGGTCATCATCGGTTCCGGCGCCACGGCTGTGACTATCCTACCCAGCGTGGTGGCCGAGGGTGTCGGGCACGCAACCATGCTCCAACGCTCCCCATCCTACGTGATGAACTCTCCGCAGAAGAAACCCGGGGATAAGGATTGGATGGACATGCTGCCGCGCTGGCTTGCGCTCCGCCTCGTGCGGCTCCAATTCATCGTCATCCCGTACCTCCTCTACCTCTTCTGTCAGGCGTTCCCCAAGCGCGCCGCAAACTTCATCCGCAGCGAAGCGAAGAAAGACCTCCCCAAGGACTTCCAAATGGACCCCCACTTCTACCCTACTTACAACCCCTGGGACCAACGACTGTGCTTCTGCCCGGACTCCGATTTCTTCAAATGCCTAGGGACAGGACGCGCCAGTATGGTGACCGCCACGATCAAGGAGGTCGTATCGGACGGCATCGTGCTCAACGAGACGGGCGAGAAACTCCCCGCCGACATCATTGTGACCGCCACGGGTCTCCGCCTCTCTGTCTGCGGGAAGATCGCCATCACCGTCGACAAGAAACCGGTCAACATCGGTGACCAAGTCGCATGGCACACGACGATGCTCACCACGATGCCCAATCTCGCCGTCATCATCGGCTACGCAAACGCCTCCTGGACTCTCGGCTCCGACAGCGCGTGTCGCCTGATAACCCGCCTCATCCAGCACATGGACGCGAACAAATACACCAGCGCCACGCCACGAGTCGACCCCAATCGCGCGGCGGCAGAGCTACCGCTGCTGCCGCTGAAGAGCACGTACGTGAAGGAGGGTGGGTCGGCGATGCCCAAATCCTTGAACTATGGACCGTGGTTGCCGAGGAATAATTACTTCATGGATACGTGGATTGCGAATCGGGGGAGCATTAGTGATGGACTGGAGTTTAAGAGCGTAAAGTCGTAGGACGGTTGTTTGGAATCTGTATTGTTTAAAGGGTAGGAGAGTAACGTGCAGTCGTTGCTACGTTGCCCGGGCTGATTAAGAATTCAGGGCTGCCTCGTGGACCAGGGGACTCGGCGTTGATCTACTCGTAGAAATGCTGTTAATTGTATCGTAACTACGATGTCACTCGTACCAATCACCCATTGCAATTGCAATTCACGGTCTTGAAGCACCTCTCAATCCCCTTGCCACTTCCCCACGGCCCAGAACTGAAAAGAATTATCACATTGGACCCAATGGGCTAGAATTGAACGATGGTCATCATTTGATTTCATTTCAACATCCTTTCTTTATTTCTTTCGTTGGAAAAGTCATGCTTACGCTACGCTATCAGTCCACGCCAACGCTCTCAATGCAAGAACTCATTGAAAAAATTGACGGCGCTCCTCTTCGCCCTCTCGAGGCCGTCCTTCTGTAGCTTGTTATTGCGGTCGCCCCTTGTCGCGAAGCCTAATACACATGAATTAGTCAATCAAACCTCTCAACCAATTACCAGATCACGAAAAAGGATTGTCGCCAGGAAAACATACCGTGCACCAAGCCGGGGAAATACACATATTCATACGGCACGCCCAGCGTCGGAATAACCTTATTCGCATACTCCTTCAACTCCGGCGTGAACAATTGATCCGTCTCGGGCGCGAGGAACTGAAGCGGCACCTTGACGGCGTCGATCTCGGATTTCTCGAGGAGGCTGGGGTGCGCGGTTGACACGGCGTCGACGAGGTCCTTCTGCGCGGCGAGGCGCGTGATGGCCCAGCCGCCGTAGCAGTAGCCGATCGCGCCTAGCTTGGGGTACTCGGCTTTCAGGGCTTTGGCGGCGGATTCGATTTCAGACCATCGGACGGCCTTGGAGTTTTTGCCTAGGAAGGCGGGGACGTCGACTTCGGCGCGTTTGGCGGGGTCGGTGAGGGTCGACTCGGGGATCACTTCGCCGCCGAAGCTGGGGTGGGAATATGTTAGTTGAGCGGAAACACGAGGAGGAATTGTGGTGAAGGATGGTGGGGTTTATCCTCTGCGATGATGTTGGGCATGGAGAGATGATAGGACCTACAAATCAGGCAAGTAAACAGTGGCATTCGCCTCCTTTGCGAACTGGTCGGCCAGCACTCGAAGGTTCGTGAAGGTCCAGCCGAAGATGTCGTGAACAATGAGGATTGCGGCAGACTTGGAAGTTCCGGTAACGTAGGTGTTGTTGCCAGCGATCGTGGTCTCGGTGCCAGTTGGCTTGCCGTCCCAGCTGAAGCCGGACTTGCAGGCGTCACAAGAGGCCATGGTTGAGGTGAATTGTGAATGGAATTGAAGAGTGAGAATTGGAAAATGCAGTAGCAAGTACTGGGGAAAAAAAAGCCGAAGAAGGAACGAAGATGAGCTGCTCGAAGGGTGGGGACTTGGGAGTTTATGAAGGAATGGTGTAGTTGAAGTATGCTGTGCTGTTTATATGTATCGCAAGCTTGTAGATTGCTGATGGCGGGGTAACAACAGAAGAGAGCGAATTGGCGGGGATATCGGCCAGACAAAGGTTAAAAACGTCAATGGTGGCAGAAATGAGTGAATGCCCCCGTCCCGTCCGCCGGAGTTCGGTGGAAGAAAATGCTTATCTTCGGCTTCGCTTTGCAATAATTAGTTAAGACTGACATCTAGTTCGCGTAGTACTATTGCAGAATAGACCACAGCGACGGAAAAATGGAATGGTGCGCTCGAATGAAGGTCTATCATGATGTCACAATTCCGCCGAACCTGTGGGTTTGTGGGTCCGACATCTGTAGATTTGCGAGTTTATCTGTTCCTGGGAATAATGCCGATTCATGATATAAAACACCGCGATTTCCATCCAATCCCCATGGTGAATTGACATTTCGTTCCTGATTCATTCCCGTTTTGGTTCCGGCCCGGCGTGGAAAGGATTCCGCCCTACGAGGTAGCTTACCTTCCATCACATTATAATGTAGATCATGGAATCATTCGCTACCAAACTATACAATGTTTATTGTTCCTTCGCACTACCTAGCCTTGTCAAAGATGCTCCTACAGGTCAAGAGATGATCTATAGCACTCGTATATGTATGCGTAGTAATAAAGTTACAGCTTAGCGAGGATATGTCTTCCGCCGTCTCCGCTCCCAAGAACAATCTCATCACTCCTCCAGTCTGGGTTGAAAGTAACGCGGTTCAAAGGATTTCTCCGATGCGCCATGTCATACAATTCCTCATACACCTTTCCGTCCGACCTTCCTAGCGCGCTGTCCAGCAGCCAATCCGGAATCGACCATGCGTCAACGAGCTTCACGGCATGCGGCCGCAGCTCCGTCATCAGGTCGAGAATAGCATCCGATAACGAATAAATCGAATCGGGCGCGACAGCATTGGTCAGCGTAAACGACGACGCAAACGCATCCAGCGTGAACAATGCGTAAAGGCGGAAACACGTCTTCAAGACCCCAGGCGTTGGACCGGAAAGTGACGTCGCCGTCTCGTGGAACGAGTTGAAGAAGGTGGTGACCAAGATCTGCTCCGAGTAAGCGCGACTGAGGTTGTGGAGTTGGATCATGAGTTTCGTCCATGGTTTCTTCTCCACGACCCGCGCATGGTAGGCTCGGTAGCTCAGATCCGCTGCGCGCCACTGGAACACATCGACTATGGCCTGGTCGTCATACTCGCCGTCGTGTGCCACGGTCTGGGGTATCCTATGCGCGCGATTCTTCAGGTAGAACTGGAAGAGCTCGTCTGTCGGGTCTTTTGGTGGGGCGTCAAGATTAGCAACGGCATGTGTCATTTTCTTGATCAGATAGGATGCAACCTGCTGTGTAATCATCCAATTATCGCCCTCGACCGTGGGCTTGGAAAGATAACTGCATGGCGGTCAGAAATAGAAAGAAAACCTGCCAGGCAGCAGCAGCATCGCGGCAAGGAAAATCCGTACTCAGCGTTTGTTCCCACCAATCCACTCCCTCCGCCAAAGCCATGTCCGCCCATCGCTCTCCTGCAGGTCTCGATGCCATCGGCTGCCAGCATCGTGCATAGACTCTTCAGCCCACTGCTCGCGCTGTGGAGCTCGGCCAGCATGCCAAAATCGCCCTTCTCGATTGTCTGTCGCGTCTTGTGGTACAAATTATACATCATCTCGCCCGTATAATGCAGCGCAAATGTCGTCGCCAATAGGGGCAGTATGCGAATCTGCACTGTGGGATAATCCAAGACCTTCAACTCCTCGTCTGCAGGCGAAGTCGAGTCCCGATCCTTGAACTGCCTGCGAATAGAGCAGTACCGGACAGCAATCGTAACGGCTCTCGCTAGGATGAGGCGAGCATGCATGATGATCTGGCCGCGAACAAAGGTCAACGAACCATACACGACGGCGGGGTGACCGCGTCGATTCAGTGCCCCAGTCTCATCGGAGACTTCTGCGTATCGTGACAGCATTGCCGACTTGGCGACCCGGTGGTGGTCAAACAACATGTATCCGTTATCCATGGACGCATATCCGTACTTCGGCCCGATGTCTCCCACGACAATGCCATCCAAGGGCTGATGTGTCTTCGTATCTCGGATCTGCACGATGAAGGGCTGGGGTCCGTGGCTTTGATACTCGTCGTCGTCGGTCTTGCTGCCTTTCTTGGGCAGTAGCAGCTGTGCCACGACAATCTGGATACACCGTCAGAGTCTAGCTGTGATGTATGTGCTCCGTACGAAAATGAGCAAATAAAGGGAAGAAAAAGCAATTCTCAGCTGGGATATACCCCCAGTCCAATCGGTCGCTTCATATATGCATGAAGGAAAAGGTTTGGCCAAGAACAAACAATCGTACATACCGCATGCGTTGCCGTCCTTCCCATGGAACCGTTCCACCACTTGCTCGCCGTGAGATATGGACTGTGAATCTCAAATTCCTTTTTCACCGGATCCCACTTGGCCGTCGTCTCCAAGCCACGCACATTGCTCCCATGTCCCAGCTCCGTCTGGGCGTAGCAGCCAATGATGTCGTAGTTCAGGATCTGTGGCATCCAGTATGCCTGCTGTTCTTCGGAACCTTGCTCGCGTACAGTCGTAACTTCGGACGCAAGTCGTTAGCGAGAATGGCTTCCTGCTTGCTAGCGAAGGATTAAAATAACTCACCAAACATGGACATGTGCAGGAAATAAGGACTCATCTCGTCGTTTAGATACTCGGCCATGGCGTACTCTTTGTCGCCCCAACCCTGCGTCCTCCCAATTCTCCTGATCGCTTTGGCCCGAGCGAGCCCCAGATGGTACCTCTCGGGCCGGGATAGGTTCAATTGCTGGTCCTTTTTGAACAGCTTCTCATTGCTCAGGACCTTGAGGACCCTGTCTTGTGCCTGGAGGAATCCGTCGCGGGAGAGGAGGTGGTTGGCGAGGTCGCGGACGTTGATGGTAGAGGCATCGCGTTCTGCCTGTAATGTCGCTGTACCGTCATAGCGAGGTTTGAGATGATCTGTGAAGTCGGGCATGGTTATGTTTCTCTTCAACAGAACAAATATAGGCTGGACGTGGGATAATACAAGGGCCACGGTGCGTACGATCGAGGCTTGTCGGGGCGTCCATACACGCTACGTATAGGTAGAGTGTACAATTCCGCTCAGCTGATCGAGCTCCATGTTTTTGAAGCTTCAATTGTAATCTCCAATGAATTTGGAGTTGCTAGCCTCGGTACATAATACCGAACTTCTTCTTACAAGGCTGGTGAGGTCTTGCGCGTGTTGGTCTCCACCGATACCCCTCGCCCCCTCTCAGGCACGAGATCCGCTAATCTCGAAGGGGTCATTCGGTAACTCACGACTCGTGACGCGTGCAATGCAGGGAGAACTGACAACGAAGATGAGAGTCTACATTTCGAGGCAAAGAAACAGTTCAAATTGATCGTAGCTCTACCTTACTCGTAGGCTGACTTGCGAATGTTTGCTGTAACATGAACCAAACAAATGACAAGTTGCCCACCCAATCCCAGATGCAACCTAGTTCTGTACCCAACTCCAACAAAAGACAAACAAGGTGTGCAAAGTCCATCTACCTCAGGCGCCCGTTTTCCAAATCAAGAACTCAGTCCTGAAAGATCCATATGCATGCATGCGCCTGTGTTACTTCCTCTCCCTGCATGCACTCTGATGCAGCACAATACCCTTCAAGAAGTGAAATCCGACGAGCCAGCGCCTTGATGACGAATTAGAAAGAAATTAATCAATGATGAAGCATGTTGAGAATGCAGACAATCATTCATCCCACAATTTTCCCGGCCCATTTCTTGATGAGGCCATCCTCCTCACTGATCAACCGCTCCATATCCTCGGTAGCTAACCGAATGAGGACTTCATAGGGCGCCTCCTTACCGTTCACGACGCCACTCTTTCTCGGCATGATTATTATTCCACCATCCGAAGGGCTGTGAGTACGTCTGATGAAATCTGGAGTAGGCGAACTGGTACCAGGAATGCCCCAGGCGAGGTCAGCCCCGAAATGTAGCCACGAAGTGATGTAGAGATCAGGCCCTGTGTTGAACTTAAGATTGATTTCAGTATTGGTGATTGGGCAGAGCGACTGAAAGTAACTGAGATGGCGTTGTACCCACGTGTCATCGACTCGTGAGATGGAGGTATTAATATGCTGGATGGCTGGAATGATCGTAGCGTTGGTGACACTGCATGCCTTGTCAGTAAAACAGTCAATCATCTCGTCCAACAGACCACCGAAAGTTGTCGGATGTCAGACAATGACGAGCGATGAAACTTACCGTTGCTCTGCAGAAAAGTGTGAGATGGGCGAGGTGGCTGTCGTCATCAACGCCATGTTTCCAATATACGTCGATTCTAATGGCTCGTTGATTCTTTTGCGCAGATCGACCGCGACCCCCAGCTTTGTTGTTCGATAACCATGTTGCTGTAACCGCGCTTGTCGTGCGCGTGTGACATGAACCCAAATCAGTGCAGCCAGGACGTTGCATCGAGTCATAGGTTTTTCTGTAAACACTTTGTCCTCATCCCTAAGCATATCGCGAAACTGACGGATTCGCTCAGCTGGAAAGGAGAATATCTTGGATTCACAAGGTGTACCCACAGGGAGTGTGCGCTTGTAATTGGGAACACCGTACGCATCAGCCGATGGAGCTTTATCAACAGACCGAATCCTCGCATCTACACTTGCACGAAGTGCTGATTGGTCGGGAATAGACTCAACAGCTGTACATGTCTTGTTCGATGCGGGATCATGCATGAAGGTTTCGCATGACGGTGGGGGATGTGTTTGGTGATACACATTCGCAGCAAACTGCCTCCAGAACTCAGTCTTTCCCGATCCATCGACGACACTGTGATGGAAATATGTGCTTAAGACGAGGCCACCTGGGATGAAGAATGCTTGCACAGCAAGGGCTGGCACGCCGTCATTGCACTGCATGATTCCTTCGGCATATTCAGGAACACCGGCCCGACGCCTCAAGGTCTTAGGACAAAATCGTTTGCCTGTCAGCACATTCTGTGGCATGCCATCTTTCTTGAGTTGCTCGTAGTGGTGTGGAAATTCGTCGTCATGAGGAAGGATGTCATATGCAAAGATGTCTGCCGTGATAGCATGAGGTATCTCGTCCGGATAGGTCAATGTAATTCGGCCAGTTTGAGGATGCGCAGGTCCAACGGTCCCGGCAAAGAAAGGCAAGTCTTTCAATGTTTGCTGCAGACCCCTTTCGAGGGACTGGACTGCAGCCTCCCGCTGAGAATCGTCTGGGAACGGGAACAGTAAGAGCGTCTGGATGTAGACTCGAGCAACGCTCTGGTCGGCAACCGACAGATGAAGTGATTTTGGCATTCCAGCTTTTCTCGTAGTACTGTGAAAATTGAAGGTAGAGAAAACGTGTTCTTCCAAATACCACAGTACTTTGTTAAGGAAAGCAAGAAAGGGGACCAGGGTGTATGCAGCCATATTTGTACTCTGGAATGTAGCAATCGCTCTCTTGTCAAACATGGGAGGCTGTGTTGAAGTGGTGAATGAAGCCCTGAGGAGCTATCATATTGTCATTCACCGCTGTGATGAATTCGAGAGTGTCGTGTAACGGTGCACGGACGACCATAATGTTTGCGTGGCCCGCCTCGAATGACGCCCTACAACGTATATCGCCAGCAACGAAGTCATAGCTTGATCGTTCCCGCTTCCCCGATACCAAGCTTTTGCTATCCGGGTTCCACCCGCGATCCAAGTGGGCCGATTCCCCTTCCCCGTCACTGACAACTCCCCTTTTCTTCTACCATTGTTGTTCGCGGAAGCGGATGGATGTCAGGATCAGAAGCAATCTGACTAGCACCGCTCATCAATACCAGGAAAAAAGCAATTTTGCCTGCTTTCCCGCAGTGCGGCGATCCCATTGGAGCGCCGGCCCGTCGACCAGGTAGAAATGCAGCTAGAAAAGACAATTGCAGTTACAAATCTCGTATTGGCCTGACATTGCTCAACTTGTCACCTGGGCACGGAACACCTCTTTTGTTTTCCCACCCCCATAAAATCCTCTGACATCCGGAGCAGCAAAAGGAGGCCTCGGGCGGCGATGCATGCATGTTGCGCTGCATCGACAGATAAAAAGGCTCCGGCCAAAGGACTCACCTCGGACCAAGATTTGACCAGGGTACAGAACATGCAGTGGAAGCCATAAAGCATATGCCATTGTTCCAATGACCTGGTCCCGGTACCGGAAGTTGACACCGCGTCCAATCGGCTACAGAATTGCGAACCGTGATGATGGCTTCAGAAAACAAACAGGCGCGTATTGCGCATAGTGAATACCTTAGTTCGATGCAACAGATATCGCCTGTTGGGGAGTTGTTGATTGTTTGCTTGCACGGAGTAGCCGAAACCGAAGGAGTACCAGGCCAAGATCGAACTACTTGTGGTCCGTATGGCAACACAGGTTTTCTGACTGTCTTGTCGACGATAGATATCCTCTTGGGTGATAGCGTGCTAGGTGCGAGGCCCTGAAAAGCCACCAAAGCCGATATGATGCTTAAAAGACAAACTAGAAACATCGGCATCGGTACTAAGTAGCATCAGTATCGGTCCATCGATGCTAGTCCACCATCGAGTTGGTGTTTTTTCCAGGGCCCCCACGAGTGGCGCGAGCGGATGCGATCTGAGTTCGACTGCAGGTTCAGGGCTGAGCCATGCATCCGTTACACCGGATGGTTCCTCATATTGGTTTAAAACGCTAGGTCGTCCTCGATACTGCATAGCAACAGTGCCTAATGTTCCTCATAGGCTAAGTCAGACCATCGTGACCGGTAGCCAAGAAGTACATTGTCGTTGCTTTTTTTTCAATGAACACATGCATATACATGTATTTGTTGTAAGCGTACTCCGTACAAGTGGTGCGTCGTTCATCAAAGTTGTACCCAAGATTGCGTGTGTCTAATGTAGAACAATCGGACCTTGGCTGGCATCCATTGGTCGTAAACCTGAGCTGTATATCAGTGTGGGTGGGCCTTCAGAAGACGTGGCCAGGGCGTGTGCGGATCTCGGGGCTTCATGGTGCACGCCGTCCTTTACGGAGGGAGCGTACATGCTCGGATCAGAAGGCTTTGAGTAACGTAGAGCATTGTCGGTTTTCCCAGTGGAAATAAGCAGGCCTAACTCCCGAAATATGATATTTGAAATTGCCTATTCCGTATGGTAACTGCAGACTGTGTAATACAGTGATGTGTTAGGTGGGCACAGTTGGCTATTGGTGGTGGGTGGATAGCTGCAGAGGTTGCGCTGGCATGGGTTTACGCGGGGGATCGGCACGGTAACTCACCGGTATTCCAACGGTAACTGCAATGACACGCCACGCAACGACTCGATATCTTTGCTGCCAAGATATACAGTATGAAGTCGCATCGCACATTTCATCTCGAGCATGGACCGGAGTCGAAACACCTGATGCTGGCGTGAGCATCGTTGTACAACAAAAATGGAAGATAGAGCATACATGGTACCAAAGCACGCGGGGTACAACATCTTACCCAATACAGTGCGCATTCAATCCTACTCTTCGACGTCACCGTAGAATCTAACAGCTTGTAGCCTTTGTTTGGCAGATTGCTTCGTTTCGCGACGAGATCTCCCGCAAGAGTAGCCATTGATGATGTTCGATCGCAGCAGCAAAGAACACATATCGAGTTGCTCTCCGATGTTCTGGCATTGCGTAGCACCATTCTTGCAACTTTGGATTCAGCCACGCGAGCAGCGCTAGAACAAAGAGATGAAGTATACATCGCCATCGTTGCCGCTGGAGGTTACGAATACACTGTAGCGATGCTTGCCGTGCTTGCACTCGGAGCCGCTGCGGTACCGATTTCCCCAGCAGTTCCCGTCCAAGAAGCTGCATACTTCGTCGAGAAATCCAAGGCTGCATTGGTACTCGTGAGCTCTTTCGATCTCGAGAAATGTTGCAGGTTGGAGAAGTGTGTCGCTTCAACAAGTAACGAGCATTTCAGGGGCGTGCCAATTGGACCCTATACCTTTACTCCCACTTTGGACCCAGCAGAGATATTTATATCATCCGACCGGGCTTTGGAGGAGAATGCCGCCAGTGTCGTCATCTTCACCTCGGGGACTACTGGACTTCCTAAAGGAGCAGTCATGCGGAGGGCCTTCGTTTTTGACTGTGCCTTGTCGGTTGCAGATCACTACAGGTTGACTGAAGATGACGTTATGCTCCACGTTCTACCGGTTCACCATGCGACTGGCGTTGGTATCAACTTCTTCCCATTTCTTATCTCTGGAAGCAGGATCGAGTTTCGGAGCGGAAGTTTCGATGAGAAGTGGATGTGGGAACGATGGAGGGATGGTGCAGTGAACCCACAGCGCCGATTGACTTTCTTTTCCGGAGTACCGACAATCTACATGCGCATGAGACGTCACTATCAACGTACGTTGCTGAAGCTTCCACCCAAAGAGCTGGCCGCCTTCATCGCGGGATCAAGGCAATTTCGCGCCTGTCTGTGTGGAACGTCGGCACTGCCTCAGCCCCTGAGTGACTTCTGGACCACCCTTATGCAGAAGAGGATCGTACAGAGATATGGCGCGACGGAGTTTGGAGCCATTTTCAAAATCCATCTCGATGACAAGAAGGCGCCGGACGGGTCGGTGGGTGAGGTGGTCAATGGAATCGATGTCAGACTTTCCAATGGGGACGAAGGCGAAATTCTTGTAAAGAGTCCGGTAAATTCTAACTTTCCCCGTGTTTTCGTTGATCGCTGAACTGACAGAGACAGCATATGTTCTCCAAGTATCTGTATGATCCGGAAGCCACAGCGAAAGCCCATGATGAGGATGGCTACTTCCGCACTGGCGACATTGCCCGAAGAGAAGGCAAGTACTACTGGATACTTGGCCGAGCATCGCTCGACATAATCAAGTCCGGCGGGTACAAGATTTCAGCGCTTGACATCGAGAGGGAGCTGCTGTCTTTGCCTTATATTGCCGAAGCTGTGGTGGTTGGTGTTGCCGATGAAGAGTTTGGTCAGCGAGTTGCAGCACTGGTGTCGTTACAAGAGGAGGAGATCACCGATGCGTTCCTAGAGACGTATGGCGACAGCAAGCATCTTTTGACCATTGAGGATGTGCGACGAGACCTTCGCGATCGACTAGCGGGCTACAAGTTGCCTTCGCTACTCCGAGTGGTCGACCAAGAATTACCCAAAACGGTAACTGGTAAGGTGCAGAAGAAAATCCTTGGACCTGAATTCTTCCCTGTTCCAGATTACCAAATGAATCCGGACGTACAATCATGGATACAGACCCGAGAATTGGCGAAGCTCTGAAGAAGCTGCGAGGCTAAGGTATGTAGGGATTAAAAGACCGTGGGAGAAGTGGAAGTAGTGGTAGTAGCTGTTGTTCTTGTAATTGCCATACTGTGTAGGTAAAGAGTTGAGATTGAAGCATTGGATACCCAGTTGGATGCGAGATTGGTGGAAATTAGCGAGTGTTGCATCTCCCATACAGCATAGGATACACTTAGTACGGAGTAGATGATGTTCTCCTCTTATAATATATTGTCTTCGTATAGAGTGGATATTTATCTTAACTTGGACAATGCCAGTGACATCGGAAGGATGCTGTTACGACGTCAGTGATGTACGCGTCTGAACGCGGGTTGATCGGTGAAAAGGCTGCAGAAGCGCCGAAGGAGGAAAGCGCAAATTGCCATACAAGGCCCCAGTTGCCCAACCACTCTAACTAGTTGCCGTAACGACCACCTCAAGAGAGTCCGTCTTCCAGATAGTCCATGTTTGCTTCTTATTACACAAATGTTTTATTGATGACATCGGCAGCTGATTGTAATGTATCTTGACTTTTGCTCTACATTGTTATCCTAAATCAAAGCTCTCAAGCCGAGACAACGTTCAGGGTCAGCAGCCACATCGCCCACACCGGATACCGGGCCACAGTAACACGACGTGCCGCCCACGAGAATGTGAACCAACAAGCGGTGAACTTACTACATATGTATATCAGAAGTCTTGCATCCAGACACAATCACCTATCATAACGATAGACCAAGACAGAATGCTTTGTGATTGAACGCCATATTTCTGCTGATATCACAGAGCGAATGGAGAGCCACCCCTTAAAACCCATCGTAAACACTGACAGCTTTCGTAGCCATCCTCTCCCAATCTATGTTCGGATCATCTTGAACAATTGAACTAACCCAAAGCTGAGGTTCCTTATTGGCAAGTCGCAAGTGAACCATCATAAATGTTGGTCCTAAACCTGGCGGATCATATGGTCTTCCTTCAGCGATATTGCATCCATGGATCAATCGATGCGCCCTCCAGACCTCTCTTCTGTTCCTCCACTCGCATTCTGAGAACCATTGCGCAATCCATCTCAGTGGGATGGCGTGAATGACGCTCACACAATTCTTGTGTTTCGACGACATCGAGGTACCGACAAACCACTCCGTGCCTCTTCCTCCATCTACCGGTCTACCAAAAAACACACCACGCCAATTCTCCACCTTCTTCATCCTCATGGAGACGGTATCAATCAGAGCCCTCACGGCCCGCGGCTCAGGCTGACCAGCAGCCCAGGCCTCAGTCCTTAACGAAACCAAGGCACAGGGCCTCTTCAGCATACCATATACTCCCAACACCGGCTCGACAATCCTCCCCATCGTGATAGTCTCCCAGGAATATCCCAATTCGGCCCTCAGTTCCTCCTTATGCCACCTAGGCTCCTCTCCAGTCCCCGGAGGACTCCCACCCCTACCGATGAACATCCAAAACGCATGGGCGAGCTCATGCACCAACGTCACCGCAAACATATACATAACACGATACTGCTCCGACGACGTACACTCCTCATACCCAGAATCAAAAAACCTCGCGAACTCGCGATTCAGCGCGATCTCCGGCAACCCATGACCCTCCCCTTCGAACCGCACAGCAGCCCGCGACATGAACGGATAGTCCACCGCCCGGAATCGCCTACTCCACGGCCACTTACGCCAACACACCGCAGAGGTACCCCACGAATTCTTCCACTTCCCCTCCGAATACCGCTCCGGGACAAACATGAACACAACCACTTCCGCGAGGTCGCGCAACGCCCGTCTCACCTCCTCGATGCCCTCGCGGCTCGGGCGCCGCGGCTCCAGATACACGTACCCCTTGGAATCGTGGGTCCCCTCGACTCGCACCCGCTTCCCGTGGCATAGATGCGTGAACCAGGGCAGCATGCACGATTCCGTTATCATGAGCGAGGCGAGCCGCAGCGCGGGCTTCATCCGCGTGTAGAACCGCTCGGTGCCCTGGCCGTAGCCTCTCATCCAGCTGTCGAGGCGGAATATGCGGTGGATGTCGTTCCGGAGCGTGGGGCGGGGGAGTGAGGGCACTTCGAGACAGCCCATCTGTTGGAGGGAGTGTTCGTGCTGTAGTAGGTAGTGCGCTACTACTGGGTCTTTGTTCATTGCTTCTCACGAGGAGTGCCTAATGGGAAAGGGTTGTGGAGAGTGTGTCTATAGTGGCCATGTATAAAGTCTTTTTCAGGGGTGGATGGGGGACTGGGCTTATCAGTGTTATAGCCTCCAGTCGAGCTCTAGCGGTCTCGTTGTGGTGGAACTTGGAATATTGTTTGCTATGTAGTAGTTTCAGGGGCTGAAGAAGGTCGCCACAGTGTATCGTTGAATTGGCGAAACGAGCTCACGTTGAATTGTCACCGAGGGTTGCTGTTAGCCAAACGTCTGCGTCGATCGAACCGCACCACATCTCAGTCACATTTTCTTTTCCCATCCTCAAATTCTATAATGCAAATTTGTGAATTCATTCTTCTCCCCTAACCCCCATCAATCACCTCAAATCCCCCAAGAACAACCCACTACGCCGCAGCCGACGCCTCATTCTTCTCCACCAGATCCCCGACCCCGAGCCCCCGTCCAACCTTAACCTTCCTCTTCCTCTCCTTGCCCGCCTCCCCCTCCCCCTCCCCACTCTTCTCATCCCCCACCGCCTCCCCCTCATCCTTCCCAAACGTACTCTCCTCCTCCTCCAACAACTGCTCCTTCAACCCCTCAAGGTCCATACGCATACTATACGCATCCTCGCCATCGGCATAATACTTCGCCTCGATCTTATCCACCTTGAAGCCGAGGGTGTCGCGGTAGAGGTGCAAGGCCGCGGTGTTGGAGACACGCACGTGCAGAGAGACGTAGTGCGCGCCGAAGGTCTCCACCATCGCGCGCTGCGACTGCCGCATGAGTTTCTCGGCGAGCCCGAGACGCCGGTGCGTCCGCATCACGGAGAGCGAGGTGATGTGCCCGTGTTGGATGCCGTCGGCCGGGTCTTCTTCCATCTTCGCGAGGACGTAGCCGACGATCTTGGGGGGGTCGTAGGGCGTCTTTTGGGGGCGGGAGACCTAGGTGGGGTGTGTTAGAGGGGGGCCGGTTGGAAGATGGTTTGGTATGAGGGGTTGAAGAGAGGGTGATGATGGAGAGAGGGTATAATGTCGTTGTGGTGTGGAGAGTAATGTCACGTGTTACACATCTCCCTCCATCTTCCAATTCAATTCACCACACGCTTTCAAGATCCTATCAAACCACAATTCCCCAGCTCTTTTGAACCCGCTCCAATCCCCAGAATTGAACCTCAAGGAAAAAACAACCTCCGAACGTCGGATAAAAATACTTACATCAACAGCGACGTAGCTGAGCTGCGGCCAGCTCATGGCATGGTACAGGTAGTACTTGCAGAAGTAATTCTCGGGCAGGTTGGTGATGTTTGCGAGCTGGACGTGCGGGATGTCCGAGGGTCGAAGCACGCGGATATCCATGGTTGCGGGTTGTGTGGTCGGTATATATAATTTATATATGTTTTATGTGTGGGGGGAGATGGTGGGCGTTCCGGTCTTCTCGCCTGAGGAGTGGTTGCCCTCTACTATCTCTTTTCTCTTGTGAATCGCCAGAAAATTTGAGTTGTCAATGATTCAATTTTTTAGGGATCCTATTTTCCTGGATCTCTTCCGGATTGTGTTAATTGGGTGTATAGGTTGATGGTCACCGATATGTAGAAGATGGTTAAGCGGGCGTTGAGAAAAGTTGGCTCGTGCGGTCGATATTTCGTGATTATGTCATCATTTGGTGGAATTCGTGCCGTATTCGGTTAGGCTCGTCTAATGCATTCACTATGATCCAAAAGGGGTCAGTTCGCAAAAGGCACATCGCGTGAGTAGAAGCGCAAAAGCAAGGTATCTTTCTATTAAGCGTCGTTACGAATGCTCGAAATTCAAGTCCATTGGAGAACTGGAAATTGTAAATGAACGCCATATGTTATGCAGATGCTTCCCGCCCCCCGAATGGTATCGTAATAACATCAATATCATGCCAGTCGTCAAGCTCCGTCACATTAACCCTCCCAAAACGACCTTGCCGACCCCTCCAACCTCACCCCTCACTCCCTGTCTGCAACTCTCCTCGAATTCTCGAACAACGCCTCCTAAGATGATCTTGCGAACTCTGGCATCAGCTTTCGAGAATAAGTCACCCACGGTGCTTGGCACACCTCCTCCAGCTGTTACCACCGACTCTGGCGTACTTAGGAGACTCAGGATCTTAGTATAGCAATCGATGAGTACATCACACAGTGTAGCAAATGTACTAAAGAAATCCGGATCGAAGGGTATTGAGGGTGTTTGCAAATACGTGTACGACTCGTTCGGCAGGAGCATGTCATCGGAAGAAGGCTCAAGGGCTGACAGGGGCTCATTGAAAGAGTTTTGCTGTGTCAGAATTGGGAAATCGCCGGCGGCGCTGGAGCTGCGGCGTCCCTTTCCACCCATCAGGTTGGGTCGTTTAAACATTTGTGGTATTCTGGCCCTGGACAAGGACGAAGACGTCGATCCGTCTGGAGGATGTATCGATTGGTATTGCTCGAATTCCAGCAGAAGCGCATTGAGGGCTTTTAGGTAGTCGGTGGCAGAATTGGCGTTGAGATCTAGAATTGTGGGGAGGGAGAAACCGAGGAGGAGATAATTTGTGGCTCGTCGGGAGAGGTTACGCGGAGTGAAGGAGGGGAGTCGCGTGAGGTCCTGCTTCGCAAACAGGAGAGTGTTGAACCAGTATATACGTCCCTCGTGGCTACAATGTGTCAGCTAAGTGGAGGGTTCAATGGGACGAAGGGCAACTCACGCTTTCCGGAGATAGTCCAACGTTGATATTCGCTTTGACGCCAATTCGTGTATGTGTTGAAAGATGATGTGCGGATTGGCTCCATTGGCAAGAACGGGAGGAGCAGGCGCCAGTCCAGTCCCCAAGTTAGAGGTCTGCCGCGCGAGCGAGATCTCTTTCTGGCTCGGGGGATGCCTCAATGGCACGGGAACGGCCATACCGAATGGTGTCTTCGGGTTTGGGTTGTCAACAGCACTGCTCAGGGGGCTCTTCTCGTAAGGTTGTTTTCCTCCGGTCTGGTCTAGCTTCACATTCTCCGAACTCTTGTGTTTGTTCCGTGAAAAGGTGGATATGGACAGCGCCGGTCTGCCAGCTGGGGGAAGGTTGCCGGTCGAGGGAGTCTTCTCTGGGGAGAAGGACGCCAGGGTGGAAGAGGGGGTCCTCTTATGCGAGGACTGGGTGCCGCTAGAGGTGTTGGTTCGAAGGGAGGCAGAGCGGGAGCGTCGCAACGACGTGCCGATGTCCGCGACAGAGGAGGAGATGGAATGCCTCGAAGCGTGCCTGCGGCGGGGTGGCGTGGATTGTACTTTGGGGGGAAATTCGTATTGGTTCAGGTCAAGAGGGGGATGTTCGGCGTCGCTGGGGTTCTCGGGATGGGTTTGGGTTTGGGGAGGTGTGGTTCTTCCGCGCGATGGAAGGGTACTAGTATGATTGGACTTGTTGCGACTACTGAAGAAGGAAGGTTTGCGGGTGAAGAAGCTGCCGCTGCTTTGGGTTGTGGAGGATGTGAAGGATTGCTGGGTTTGGTGTGGTTGTTGTTGATGATTGTGGTTATGGTTGTGGATTTGGTTTTGGTGTTCCGCCATGATTGACTTCGAATTTGGGGGGGACCCCAACCCAAGTCGCTGGGTCCGGTTGGTAGTGGTTGCGGTATTAGCGGTAGCGACAATGCGATAGTGGGTGAGCGGCTGGTTTCAGTACAGGAAAAGGTACAGTAGGAGGGGAGCGATCAGGGGTTACGGCCTGCAACCTGCGACAAGAGGGTTAAGAGTGACAAGCCTAGCTCAGAAGCATAATAGCCATAGAGTAAAGCATATGCCGACAGTACGGGGAGGGGTGTTCTGTGTAGTGATTTGTATGTAGCTGTACTCTTTTCGCCCCAAATGCATGCATGTACTCGTATGTAGGTAGATAATGTGATGTTGATTGTCGCGGCGGAGTGATGTATGTCGGGAAATGGAGGAAAGGAGAAAAGGAAAAGAAGAGAAGAAGAAAAGAAGAAATGGGGTATCCCGAAGACTATAATTGAAGTTGTCCTAACGCGCTGTCCGTGGAGTGTCGTCGCCGTAGTTGTGGTCGCCGGGGCACAGAGAACAGGTGTGCCTTGGTAAGTTGGTATTACGGTATGGTACCTGTCCTGGCATCCGCTGGGTACGAGTAATAGTAGGGACAGCCTGTGTACCCAGTAACGAACTAAGAACAATTATTTGGGAATTATATTATATTACTTCGACATGGCAATGCTGGCCAACAGCATACGACAATAATGAAAAAAAGGAATTGAGAGATCGAGCAATCACAGGGCGATTTGGAGGGAGAGCATAACTCGTGGGAGGGGGGGTCACTCGACATCTTATTATAGGTTCGGTATACTTTGTACTCCGAGTGTAGTGGTAGTAGTGGATTGTGTAGTAATAGGTACGTAGGTGCTCCGTAGTAAGGCACATGTATGTACAATGGTTTAATAATAATCATACCGAACGACATCTTGGGATGGTGGATGGTGGATGGTGGATGGGTGGCCACAGGAAGGGATTGCATGCGCGTGGCCGCCACTTTCTCGGAGATGCCTACAAACCTACAAAGCGCGCGCGACTACTGGCACAACTGGATAGACTGGCAGGTCAATGATGTATCATCGACTATCGAGTAATCCCAATACTTACCAATGAGCAAGAGGAACATGCCCTTGTCCCGACAACTATCCCTAGGTTTGGTTTCTTGTTCTCTCTTCGTCTTCATGTCATTAATTGGCCACTGAAGAGTGTCGAGTAGGAGGCACGGAGGGTATTATTTATCAATTAAATGGAGGTTAGTTTGTCCCACTCCCTTCCTAGGAGATGCCTATGCCTATCCCATCGTAGGTAAGTTACCCTCATGGCTTGTGATTATACTGGGCTGTGGGAACTCATTTTGCATGTCCACTCGCCCAAGACGGCCACCGGCTGCCAGGTGCCCAATCCATACAGACTATCCGAGCCGAGTCTGGTTCAACTTTATTTTATTTTCTTCTCCTCTCCAACATCCCTTTCTTCATCTAATAAAATCAAGAATCAATCAATCATATCACTCTATTACATACGAGTACAACGGACTCCGTGGTACTCGTACTATAGTTCTTGCATCAAAGGTCTTAGCCACGTGCAAGCTCCCAGTAGTGCATGCGCAACATCACCGTCCACCTGCCTCCACCTGTCCCACCCTCACCCTCAATCTCAGTAGATAGTACTCCGTACCCTCTCTCTCCCTTTCGCCGGCGTTGACAGCGGGCTGCGACAGACGGTGTTTCTTTTGGCATAATTATCTACCTCGAATCCACTGGGTAAACGTCCCTGGACCGCCGCCACCCCGCCTATCAGCCTACCAAAACATCAAAACACCAAACCACCCCCACTCACCTGTAGCTACCCTCCTAGCTACCAACCACTACCATCACCAAGATGATCCGCCGCCAGAGCGCAAAGGTACTACATTACCACCACTCCCTGCCACGGAGTCTGCCCATATGCAACATTTTCTGAACTTACTGTACAGGGAGAGTGGCTCCCCCAATCCGGCCAGTGGCCAGTCGGTCCCCAGGATGACGTTCCTGTTTCCAGTGAGCGCATCTGGATCGATGGATGCTTCGACTTCAGCCACCATGGTGCGCAACTCTATAACCTCTTCTTCACATAACCGTAGCTCACAACTCTGCATAGGCCATGCTGGTGCGATGCTTCAAGCTCGACAGCTAGGCAATGAACTCCTTGTTGGCGTCCACTCGGACGAGGCCATTCTTGAAAACAAAGGCCCAACCGTCATGCGCTTGGACGAGCGGTGAGCATGGCTGGCTTCGAAGAAGTCAACCACGGCTAACGATGGCAGTATCATGGCAGTAGAAGCCTGCCGTTGGGCTACGCGCGCCATCCCCAAAGCACCCTACGTCACCTCCCTCCCTTGGATCACGCATTACGGCTGCCGTTACGTTGTGCACGGAGACGATATCACTTCCGACAGCAGCGGCCAGGACTGCTACCGATTCGTGAAGCAGGCGGGGAGATTCAAGGTTGTTAAGCGCACACCGGGAATCTCCACCACCGATTTGGTCGGGCGCATGTTATTGTGCACTAAGAATCACTTTATACAATCCCTCGACCGCGCACTTGCTGGAGAAGAGGGACCTGGTGGAGAGGAAGAGCGAAAGGCCACGGGACAGGCTATGCTACAAAGGATTAAAGACTATGCCACAGACTCTACTGGTCTTGCGCCTGGTTGCGATGTCTGGTATTGGCACGCTTCACGGCCTGCGAAGCTGAGGAGGACTACGCAGAGCTCGACCTCTGCGCCGACCCCGACCGGCGAGCGTCGTCCCAGTGCTGGAGAGCGACACCAATCACACAGTCACCACCATCACTCGGTAAAGGAAGAAAAGGGCAAGTTCGCCCGTCTCGTAGAAGGCAAAGGAGTGAAACCAGGTCAATCAGTCGTATATGTCGATGGAGGGTGGGATCTCTTCTCCTCAGGACACATTGAGTTCCTGCGCCACGTGGTGCAGACCGAAGAGAAAGCCGCAGAAGAGAGGGGCTGGTACAGCGAGGAGGCCAAGAATCAGCGCATCGAGCAGACGGGATCCGACTACAGCCCTGCATTCGTAGTCGCAGGTATCCACGACGATGAAGTGGTCAACTATTGGAAGGGCATCAACTACCCGATCATGAACATCTTTGAGCGCGGTCTCTGCGTTCTGCAATGCAAGGTAAGATAGTATCCTCTCCCCATATTTACCAAGCAGCAACTGATATTGTCGAAGTACATTGATGCCGTCGTATATGGCGCGCCATTCTCTCTGTCGAAGGCTTTCCTCCTCACACTCCCCTACGGCACACCTTCGGCCGTATATCACGGAATCACGTCCTTCATGCCATTAACCTACGACCCATACTCCGTAGCTAAAGCGCTCAAAATCTACCGCGAGATCGAGAACCACGACTTCCAGAATGTCAATGCTGGAGAGATCGTGGAGAGGATCATGAAAGGCAGAGCTGCGTACGAAGAGCGACAGCGTATCAAGGGCGAGAAGGGCATGACTGAGGAGGCGGAGAAGCGCCGACAAGAGCTTGAGAAGGAGGCCGAGAGAGAGCGGAGGCGGAGGGAGGTCGAGGGCCAGTTCGGAATATGATCTGAACATGACCCTTTTCTGATGCCTGTAGGCTGTTACATACAAACACACGCCTACCAAGACGACACGACCACGACGAAATCCATTGTCAAGCCTTGTAGCTCAATGTAGCTCGAATCAAACACCGAATAAGCATGTAGAAACTTCTTGTAAATTCTCATATGAAACCTTCCCAACTTGTTCGCATTTGAATGTTACCAAAAGCGTGAATGGGTACTCAGAGCGTCTCGGAAATTGGCACCTAGCGCCCCTCTTATCTCCGTGGATCTCAAAACCATTGTGAGCCAATTACACTGAGTAATAAGTCATTTGACTTCGTCTGAAAAAAAATCTTTAGGAACCGACCAACATGGATCAGAGGCGGGCAATGTCGAATGTGAATAATACCCCAGGTTTAGGACGAAGAACCCGCGGCTTCTTGCTTCATCGGGGACTTTCTGCTACGAGGTAACTCGCCGAGATTTTAGGCGGCTAGACGACCCTCGAATAGAAATAAGAGATCCTCGAGCCCTCGGGTTCTTCGCTTGTTGCTATCTACCGGTGCGTCGCCGTCTCCCCACCTCCGAATCAAGATACATATCAGGTGCAGAGCCTCAAATGTCGGCTACTACCACGCAAGCGAACAGCGTTCGTCGAGCTAAAATCGCATGCAAAGCATGCAATGCCAGGCGTGTCAAATGCGATATCGCCGATGGGCAACCCTGCTGGCACTGTCGTACAAGATCCATCCCATGCGAACTGATTGAATCTAGGCGAGGCAAGTACGTTTAGAAACGCGCCCTGGTCTTAAATGTCAAGGTCTGATGCGAAGTTCTTCAAGATATGTCCGGAAGGGGAAAAGGTCCAATCCTCGCGCACCTCTCGACGCGAACGTGCGCCCAACAGATGCGAATAAGTCGAGGGCTAGGATTTCATCGCCCTCATCTGAAGTCCCGGGAGAGGAATTATCATCCTTTGATACTGCAAGTAATTTGCAAGGGCAGGAATCAGATATATCATACGTAATCGAGCTGATTTATAGACCCAACGATCAATCAGTCGAAGCCAAAGACGTACACTACTCCATTCCAGCCTCATTCGCTGCCCCTCGGCCTCCCAAGTCTGAAACCTGGCAGTCGAACACCATTAATGTCCCCACTGCACTTGTGATGCCACCAAAGGATCTATGCGATCAGCTTGTTCGAACATTCTTTCAGCTGATTCATCCGGCATATCCCGTTTTTGATCGGGAGCAATTCCTGGAGTTATACCTGGAGGACCGCGCCTCTCCACTTGTATTACATACCATTTGTTTACTAGGCTTCACGATTGGTAACGATGACCTAGTCGTCTCAGCAGGCTTCGCAGACAGAGACTCTGCTAGAGAATTCCATTATCTACGGGCGAAAGCATTATACGATGTCGGATACGATGAAGACCGGTTGAATGTGGTAGCATGCTTGCTCCTTATGGGATTTTGGTGGAATAAGTCCGATGATCATAAAGATACCTGCTACTGGGTGGGGTGCGCTACTGTTCTGGCGCAAAATCTAGGCTTGCACAGGTTCGCACTTTCAAGACTTCACCTTGATAACAGTTGTTGACCATGATAGAGCATCGCGGAACGGGGTCTCAAGAAGACAGCAATCACTACGGAGGAGAGTGTGGTGGTCAATTTACGTAATTTTCCACTCTGTAGATTCTGATATGTCCAACGTCAAGCTTACGTTCAATAGGTGCGGGACCGTCACACTGCTGCAGCTTTCGGACGGCCCTGCCGTATCCAGGATATCGATTGCGATGTGCAACCACTTACAGAACTTGATTTCACATTTGATTCTGCATTTGACACGGACCTGATCCCCGCTCAAGAGACTTACCATATTGATTATACTCTTGAGATGGCTCGACTAGCAAGAATACGTAGGTGACCCGCAATGACCCCGTGTTTTGATCAAGAGCTCATCATAGGATGATTAGTGGGAGATATCCTTGTGGCAGAATTTAGTCCCGGCCACTCTTCAATAGCTGAAGATGGTACCAGCATCTTAGCTGGGAGATTATCGAGGTGGAAATCGCAAATCCCACGATCACTCTGCCTTAATGATCCCGATGGTACTGTCGGGGCCTCCTTTTGGGCTATGATGCTTGACATTGCTTATCAGTAGGGCATTTGAGCCACAATACAGTTCCCAATTACTGATAGCGACCTACAGAAATTATCACGTGCTTCTATATCGACCGAAGAAATCGAATGCTTCGGCATTAGATAAATCGTATAGAGATTTAATGGTTCGTAAAGCAGCCGATTCAATTACTCGAATGGCGGAAGACATGCTTGCTTTTCGGGTTATACACTATGGTCAAATCCATCTGTAGGTTTAGGTACTGATGGTATCTTGAGAATGTACCAACTAATAACACTAGAGTACCTGCTCTGTTCGGCGCACTCGCGACGCATACGTTTGCGATATGTCATGAAGACCATACCCGTCGACGACTGGCAGAGAACAAATCTCGCCAGTGCCTACTTGCCTTAGGCGAGCTTGCTAAAAGTTGGCCGGTTAGCATTTGGATTGCAAAAGCCTTCATAAAACTTATGAAGCGATTGACAGAAGATGCTTCCGGAGGTTCGTTGATTAAGATATCTTCAAGAGTCGTTAAAACCAGGCACAGCAGATTGCCCGAAGAACCGGAACAAGTGTTGCTCAGAGAGCATGCACCGATAGCTATTGCAGACCAGTGGGTATCTAGCGGTATCTACACTGAGAACGAGCCTGATCCCGCAGTTTGCGAGGTTGGAGGGCGCATCCTCCCGAATCCCGACACGTTGGCAGTTGCCAACCTGCAAGAATCACCTCTCGGAGATACTCTGGATATTGACATGTTCCTTCAAGACAGCCTAGAGCCAATGCTATCAGATCCTTTCGATGGTGCTCATGATGCTTGGGTCTAAATGTGTGTATCATTCCTGTCCTGAAGTTGCGAACAAAATGCTGCTATCGGAAGTTACACTAAGGAAATACACGGTTTGTAGAAGGTTTGATAATTCCCTAGCCTATCTGCACCCCAATATCTCGCTACCTCTAGCAAAATTACTCTTCATCCTTAACCTCTGGCCAAATATGAAGAATATATATGGGAAAGGCATCAATAAAACTGTCATAAATGCAAGCACAGTGTTGGCCCACGTGAACCCAAGGCTGTTATACATCTTTGCTCCAAACAATGGAAATATTGCTGCATTAGAGGGTTTAGTACACGTCAAGACTGCAGATGTAAGAAGGGCGTTTACGGACAACTGACCTGCAAACGTGCAACGCAAAAGACCATTTGATGCCAGCACTGATGCGGCATACATATGATATGCTTCAACCTGTAATGCTGTGAGATCCTTTCATGTCACAACCGTGTGTCGCTAAAGCGACCTGATTGAAACTAAGGACTACCTACCAGATAGGTGAATATCCCAGAAAACGTAAGGATTGTCCTTTATTCGTCAGTGTACACTTCAAACGCCACGAAAGAGCTCTATGGAATGTTTATACTCACCCACATCCAAAAACTGCAGAGCCTGTGATTGGCAGCATCCAGTGAATATCCGACCTTGTGCTCCAGGCAAACCAAAATAGTCCCAACGGATTGAGGATACTACCAAAGATAGCAAGAGGCAGATGTCGTTCTGGCTGGCCATTTTTGGTTGATACTAACCTAGACACTGGTGACTTACAAGAGCTGTAAGTGGAGATCATGATACCGACGGTCGCCGTTATCATGCCGCATATTATCCCCAGAAACGTTAGTCCAGCCTGCCAGGCGTTGAAGCCGTACAATTCTTGGACGATCATCGGGATCCCACCGAAAAACAAATAGAGGATTCCAAGAAGAATTGCGGTATAGATGCTGAGAATAGTGCACATGGGCTCGTACAGCAGTAAATACAATGGTCTCAGTAGAAGCAGCCTGTCACGTTGCTCCGAACGGACGTCTGGATCTGCAACGGTTGCACCTGTGTCCCTAACCTTCTTGCCTGCAGATGTTGACTCGCGTGAAGACCTGACTCGGCGATGTGTCTCAGGTACCATGATTAAAACTGCAATGAGAAGTAGAGCCGCCCATATCAAGATAAAACAATATGTCCATCTCCAATTTTGGTGATAGTTGATGAAACCGCCCAGTACAGGGCCTAAGCATGGGCCAATAAAGGCTGCCGCGGAGACAAGAGCCATGGGAATCTTGATTCTATCTTTTGGATAGATGTCCGACACGGTACCTCCGGCTACAGAAAGGTACGTTCCACCGGCCAGCCCTGCTAGGAACCTTGTTATGATTAAAGTGGTGATATTTTTCCCAATTGCTGATGGAATCGTCCATATGATAAACAAAATCCATGATATTAAGTAGACCGGGCGTCTTCCATGCTGCTCACTCAGCGGACCGGTTATCAACGGCCCTAATCCGATTCCAAAAACGAATGACGAGAGCCCTGCCGTGGATAGCAGCGTGTCTGATTTAAATTCTTCATCAATCTGGGCATATGTGGTCGTGTAAATGGAGCTAGAGCATGTGCTGATCATTCAATTAGCGATTGCTCATCGTTACAAAGATAGTACTCAAATTTATACTACCTACACGCATAATATTCCATTACAGACTATCAGAACAAGAATCAACTTTCTCGTATGTGTCAAATGTTGCGGGTGATCTCCCGACTCAGAAGTGAAGAAGCTGGATGTATTGGTAGCATCCACCATTCTCATGTGCTTGGATCTTGGATATTTTCTTGTTCCAAAACTGTTGAGCCGTGAAATTGTCGATCACTTTTGTAAATTGAATTGAACTCCAAGGACAAGTTCTGAGCGTCTAAAGCAGGATCGAGTCGCTCAAGAACGGTATCGCAAAACCAAAAATGTCCGCCAATGTCAGATTATTTCAACAGTTTTGAAACATCCAAAATGCTGAAGTAGATTCAATCATGGAATAATCAGTCCGCTACTAAATTTATATTTGGTGTGGACGTACATTGCGAGATCCCCAAGCAATATTGAGAACCCTCGGCTTTATAGAAACGTATTAAGTAACCGCGCCTCGGGCTCTTGGGCAGCACACAAATTTAGTCGATGATCCCGCCTCTATTTAACCAGGTTCAGGATCCAGATTCACTCACTCTGTGGAATCTTTTGCTACCACAGTCGGATAGGCCGTCGTCTCTGCAATCATTCCCTGTCCTTCGTGGGTTTGCACATCCTAACAAGGAAAGGCCATGGAGACAAATGGTTTATCCGAGCGGGGAGCTTTGAATCATGCCCATCGAGACATTTGGGGACCGCGAATAAAACTAATGGCCAACCAATGGTCATTCGCCAATGATGGAGGATTGTGAGAGATTTCCCTGATCGTGCCTCGAGCTTTACCCGCCAGGCAAGACTAAATTGTTCCTAGGGTCAACTTAAGGCTGGCGGAAAACAGTCTAATGCATAGAGAGATGTCTAATTTGATAACATCACAGGTAATGTACCAGGGCATTGCGACTTGGCTTGAGTTAAAAATCTAAGAATGTGCACCAGGTCGCAGTCGAAGCCACGAAACATCTCACATATAGCACAGGTCCCCGTGGGTCCATCCGTCTTCGCTGCGCTGCTGCAAATTTTCTCAACGAGTCGTTTCATTCCAACACAAAAATCACCCTGGACGATATATTCATAACATCCGGCGCAGCTGGTGCAATTGATGCTCTAGCATGGTCGATCTGCGACAGTGGGGATGGCATACTAATCCCACAGCCTTACTACAATGGATTCGACTTTGATTTACTCAATCGCAGCAATGTCATTGTGGTCGGGGTTTCCTACCATGATGTCCCAGGCTATGGTGGGCTGGAAGACAATTTCGACGCATCGATCAATCGGCAGGCTCTAGACAGTGCCTTGCAGAAAGCACGGAGCGAAAGGATTAGAATCCGAGCATTGATGATTTCAAAGTAGGTCATCTCACTTTCCAAGACCAGAAAAATGACTGAATCTTGTCTTCTCAGCCCTCATAACCCACTCGGTAGATGCTATGTGTGTTTCCCTTTCTTTTATCCTGATTAGCCAGATCGCTGAATCATACTTTGACCTACTGACGCTTTGACTTAGCCTTCTGACACATTGGCGGAGTTCATGTCTTTCTGTCATTCCAATAATTTACACCTGATATCAGATGAAATTTATGCATTTTCTGTCTTTCCTAATCCTAATTTAGAGAACTCGAACAGTTTCACCTCAGTCCTATCGCTTACGGCACTGCACATGATCGATCCGAGGTTTTTGCACGTCATCTACGGCGCGAGTAAAGACTTCTGCGCCAATGGACTGAGGTTAGGGCTTGTTTGTACCAAAAATGAGGGTGTCATAGGTGCAATGTCAAGTATCAGGTCAGCGCTCTTACCATTTTGCATGTGGGACTCTAATCTTACCCTCTTAGCATGTTCTCATGGCCGTCGCACATCATCCAGGATATATGGGCATACATGCTCGAGGATACCAAATGGCGGAATAACTTCATAGGAAGAAAATTGGAACTAATGGAAGCAAACTATCGATTGGTAACGGGCTTCCTGTCTGAAATCGGAGTTGATTGGTTTCAAGCGTTGGTACAATCATAACATGTGACATCGGCTCCTATGACTGACTGTCGATAGAAATGCGGGTTTATTTGTTTGGACAGATTTACGTAGTGCTTTGAAGTCAACTACAGATTCTGTTCTGGTTAACTATACTGGCCAGGCTGCCTCCCCTGCAGCAGAAGCAGCGTTTATAGAAGTCTGCTCGAAAGCCGGTGTTATGATTGCGCCTGGGCATATTTACCATTCAGAAGATAATGGGTGGTTTCGTATCACGTTTACCTTAGAGCCAGAGGCTTTACAGAAAGGATTAGAAAGGTTGAAAATATCTTTAGGTATATAATATAAAGAATAGACGTAACTAGGCTAGTTAGCTTCTTTTCTAGCTAGTTATAATGCCTAGCTATAATAAAAATCTTTCTTTACTACTATAAATTATTTTAATTTGTTTTCTTACTATCTTAATGTTGTGATCGAGGATTTACTGGTTGGTTCCTGGGGAATATCTGAAAGAGTAAGAGGAAGCGGGGCACGGTATTGACAACAGGATGGTGGAACAGTAGAGTGTATTGGTCGAGTGCAACTTAGGTTGAAAACAGAAAGCCATAAGGGTTATATGGGCTCTCTATATACTTGTGATGATCATGGCTTCATGATTATTTAGCGGCATTATCATGGTCACGTGATCCTTTGTTCCTGCGGAGGCCACAGGGTCGGCTGCGTTCCTTCTTATAGTGAACTTTCTCCTCTAGGTTCGGGTTATAACACTCATACAAAACAAGGTCAACAATTCAGTCCGAGAGACTTATGATGCACACGGCATCAACAAGCTCGCCCAAACTTTTTGGGGACCTCATCATCCAAGCTCCCCGCGTCAAAACTCCCAACACCACCGGTCCACCACCATAACGAGTCCCAAACTCCCAATTACACCCATCTCTCCCATAGACAACCTGTCCAATCCAACAAGTCACTCCAGACCACCACACCACTTCCCCAAATGAGCAAAAACAAGCAAAAGAAGCTCGCGAGAAAGGCCTCGTCCTCCGCAACCTCCAACGATGCATCGAAGCGCCAAACGCTCGCGCCCACAGCGACGCACGAAGAAGCACAACCCGGCGACGAATCAATAATGTCGATAGCCATGACATCGAGCGAGGGTCCCACGCTGCCCATCATCGGCGGCGGCGGCGCATCGACTGCATCGGAACACACACGGGCCGTAGAAACGCAAGCGGAGCGAGGACGAGGGGATAAGGGCAGAGATAACACGGCGCTGTACACGCCCTGGACGTTCCTCCCCGCGCCGGTGCGGAAGAGCCTGGCTGCGAGGATCGCGCCGCGGGCGTGGGGCGAGTACGTCGTGCCTGTCGTCCTCACGCGGAACCAGAATGTCAAGAGTGGGATTAATAAGTTGGAGAGGCTGTTTGGGGAGGTGGGTGGGGAGAGGATTGTCGCGGTGAGTGCGCAGGGCGATGCGACGGTTAAGGTTGTGGGGATTGTGGAGATGGTGAAGAGGTTGGGGAAGGGGGGTGAGGGAGAGGGCGAGGAGTGTTTTATGTATTTGGGGTTGGCGGAGATGGAGATTCAGAGGAAGGGGGAGGATGGGAGAGGGAAGAAGGATGGGGAAGGGGAGGGGGAAGATAAGGACGAGTTTGAGACGCTGGAAGAGGTGAAGGGGAGGGATAAGAAGAGGAGAGCGTATACGGAGCCGGTTCTTACCGTTTGGATGTCTAAGACGAGGGTTCCCGGGCTGGCTGAGGCGTATGGAGAACAGACGTTCAGGGTATCGACGGCGAAGGAGCGAGGGTGAATGGAGTCGGCTGTGAGAGATCGCTAATATGCGATCTCCTTAGACTCAACAAACAATACCTCAAGCGGAGTCGATGCTGCAGAAGCTGCGGGGTATCCCAGTGTTGGTCCTATCGGCATCTGAACAGAACGGGCATTGTTCCCCGGAAATCACTCTGGGCTACGAAACGGGAAATGCTATAGCGTACAGCCCAAAGAATGCCATCACTACCAGCGTTCAAGCCGAGTGTAAGACTGCGCTACGATATCAGATACGTTATACCGAAACCAACAAGTAGGGCTCTTCCAATCGTTATTTATAGGGCAGAACAAGGCCCCTCAACGAGAAATAGAAATTTCCTGACAACCAAACCCCAACTTTCCCAACCCTCAACGACATCCAAACCCCAAAGAATCAATTCACCCAGCAAGCATCAAAGCCCGCCAACCATCCTTTCAACTTCCCCCTGGCACCTCTCTCTCGCACCCTCATCCAGCCCCAGCAGCCCTAACGCCTTCTTATTCCCCAAATGCGCACCCACATAGTACAAAACCCTCTGCACCCACTCCCTCCTCGCCTCCACATCAATTCCCAGCGTACCAGCATCCTCAACTTCAATGTCGAACCCCGAACGCGCCGGCGCCGCCGAGATGGGCGGAAGCGGCGGGAAGTCACCCTCTTGTCTCGACAACATGGCGGCGTGGAAGTAAAAGTGACTTCGATTCTCCGGCGGCATCACGAACATAGCCGGCGAGGGCGCTGGGCTCGAACCTCCGCGGGGAGGCGAGAAAGACGTCGATGGTGGTGGTGGTGATGGAGCGGAAGATTGCGGTATGAAGCCAGAGCGCAGGACCGCGCTGATGACGCCCAGGCACCAGAAGTTGATGTAACCTCGTACGCCCATCACGCCGTCATTGTCTACTCGGCCTGGAATGGGGACTGTGAAGGAGCCGATGATGGCCGAGCATGCCTTTTCGACGAGGTCGGTGAGGTGCGTGGTTGTGATGCGGTGGTGGATTCGGAGGGATGTGGTGTTGAGGAGCGTCGTTTGCGGACTCGGGTCTTCGAGGATCAGCGTAGCGATGTTGAAATTGCTGGGTTCTGGCTGTGGATCTGGCGGCGGGAGCGCGAGCATGCAGTTCATGATCTCCAGCATGTCTCGCAGGAGGAACATCCGACTCGTCCGGAAGAACGTGTATATGAACGCCCTTCGAAGCGAAGGGAAGCTGTGTATCTCGTTCGGTGCACCGCTGCTCGACAGCATCAGGTTGATCCACTTCCGGTCGTAGGCTCCGCGCGTCTCGGGCAGATTGGGCTTGCTATCGTAGCGTAAGGAGCGAGGGATCCTGGTTTCCCAGATCTGCAGTTCGGCATCGAGATCAAGACCTTGACGGAGGATGTCTACGAGCTCTTGTCGGATTTGGGGAGGTGAGGGGGAGGCCTTGATGAGGTGCCATTGCGCGTGGAGGCTCGTGACGTTGTGGATTAGGTTCATGAGGTCAATTCCTGAGGTGTTGATGGCTGTAGGGACGGTTTTTCTGGCAGCTATGATGTTGCTGATGGGTGCTATCGGTTCTTTAGCGCCGATGAAACTTCCAATGAGCTGTGAGAAAGTTTAGCCATTGACCGTCTTGTACATATGAACAGCAATCTGGTATGTACCATTTGCGTGTAGCATGCTTCATACAACCGAGTCGAGATCGGAGATCCGCAAAAATCTTCAACTGTGCGCAGCTGGAGGAGTGCTGTGGCGCCGTTCTTGTGGGCTTCATATATGCCTTTCAACTGGTCGGAGGCTATGTTCTTTGAATTGCGTTAGCTGGCAGATGAACTACTCTTGGCTGGTTGGCTCACATCATATATACCCATGAGATAGATAGCGGCGAGAGTCTCGTCTGAAGAAGCTAATTTCTCATCCTTCAAATCCGTTTGTAGAAGTCGGAGAGCTTTCACCCAGTTCTGCTCTGCCAATGCCTGTCCCTCCGGGTAGTTGCAACGCACGCCGAAGTTAGCATACGAAAGTGCATCGACTATGGTTGAGAAACATGAGCCCTCAGTAGTCGCTTCGAAGAGCATTGGGATGAAATCGAATAGTGCGTTAGGGGGACCTTCGTCGTCTATCTGGTCGGGTCTGGACGTGATAAAGTCATATAGAAAACGTTCGTAGGCCATGCGTCTCACGCCTGGCTCCATAGACACTCCAGTGATCAGATCATTGAATTGAAGAGGAGAATCTGAGGGTATGAATTGGTCGAGAGGTTTGCTTGAGGATGAATAATGATTAAATTGGAATGATATCAAGTCACCCGGTGGTTCATTTGTGCTTGCATTCGTGCTTGGTGGAGGTTGCGGTTTCGACCTCTTTCGCCATGATGATTCGGCCTTCTGAGCTGCAAAGGTCGTCTGGTTTTTGAATAACAGATCATCTATGTTGCGGTATCTGCAATCGAGACCTGACTTATTACAGCGATCGCAGGTTGGTTTCTTCTCATCGCACTGTAATGCACTGTCAATCTGCCATCCGCAACACCGAGTGTGTAAAATACATGCACCCTAGCAACTGGGAGCTACCATCGTAGAGCTGACGAGACTAACCTTTATCTTTCGGCTTCTACATGAATCGCAGCCTTTGCTCGGCTTTCCACGGTAAGACATTATGCCCGACTCAGTTGCATAGAGGGGGGCTGGCTGCTGCAAACAGTCTGTGCCGTAGTAGTCGTCTTTTATGGAGCCGAAAAGTCTTAATTGTCCACAAGAAAGAAAGCAACTTCAGTCTTCCGGTAGACTATCTAAGCTTAAGTATTTGAACTCCAAAGTTGCGATCAAACGTTTGACTGAACAGAAAGAGTGGGTTCTGCCAATTCTAGGTGCTTTCGAGGGAGGGTCTTGGTCGTTAATATACGATGTTGTGTAAGACGGTGCACCTCACGAACTTGAGTACGTGACTACACAGTCGACTCAAAGCAGCGCAAGGATTCTGCAATAGTCTAAAGATGATAAAGATGGTTCTAAGGTACCTGATTTCGTCTAGAACGTCCTACTACTGCGCCTGTCAATTATTAGACTTTGTGGATGCCTGATGGCTGAAATGAAGTGACGCAACGCAGTGTGGCGGTACCTGGCTTTTTATTGCTTAATGGGATCGAAGTATGGAGCTGAGATCAAATGCCGCCGTTCCCGTAATACATTGCTTGGCATCCTGGTAAGGCTGATATACTCCTAATGTGATGAGCTGCTGTATGGACTGGAACTGGATGCAGATACGAAGTAATTAGTCTATTCGTGAACATTTGGAGATGTCATTTTCGGCTAACTTGCCCCTTGTGGAGCAGGACAGTCTCAAAAGAGTGGGTTGCGGATGCGCTTCAACAAGCTGTACAAAGAATCGTTCTACTATGTAGGTACTGACTGGTATATTGCATCTTTCTTTATTCAGTAGTTGAATACAAGAACTTTCAATCTCTCTACCATCATGTTTTGATTAGTGATCTAACTTGTCAAAAGCTGGCAGACTTGATGAACGCCTCCCCAAATTGCAATCAACTATTATCTTTACTTATCTAGATTTTAGCAAATATACAGCATAGCAAGTTTGAGTCCAGCCACATTCCCGTAGAACAACTGGATTTAGCCCAGGCATTCAGTCTCAAACATGCATAGATTGCAAAAGAGAGAGTAGTTGCCATAGGTTTGCCATATGCCTGTTGTAAATCAGCGTACTTTACATATTGCAACCATTCAACTATCACTAAATCATATATAACAATAATATAACCAGCGAAACTCGATGATCTTCTCAGTATGTACGAACAAACAATAATAGCAATCATCCGATCATAGTTAGGTCACCTCGTAATCACATGTGGGATAGAGCGATGTTGCAAGGTACCGACTGTACTTGTAGAGGCTAGGTCAGATTAGCGAGCGGATCCCTGTATAAGCATCACGGCCTTCGTATGCGATACGTCTGAACGGACGCCGACTTTCACACGTCACCCACATTCACTCCTTTGTGCGCCTCTGAAGCACTTGTTGTGCCTTTGGCTTCTCGCCTTGTCTTCCTCGCTCCTCCATATGTTTTCACCACCAACACCGCTGTCGCCATGATCAACTTACAGTCTCTCGTTCTCTTCGTCATCTCCTACTTCATCATACCACGCCTCACATTCTTACCGAGAAGCGTGCATTCACTGCTCACAATCTTCGGTCCTTTCCTCCTTCCACGGCTCGTAAACCTGATCAATACCTCCCGCGCAACGTCTCGAAGCGTTCCCGTCCGGCCTACACCTCATAAGGTTCAGCGCGCATTGAATCTACTTTTCCTCAGCGCGGTTGTGGCTCTTGTCTTGTCTTTGCCGCAATTCGCACCGGAGAACATATTTGTGAAGACACAAAGCCGTCTGCAGATCGAGCCAAATGTTCTGTTCGCTCGCCTACGAATGCTGCGTCCGTTGACAGAGGATGACGAAATCCTTCGATCAAAGATATCTACCAACCCTCGAAATAAGCTTCTGTATTTGACGTATGGGCCGGATACATTGATAAATTGCATTTGGTGTGCATCAAACGACGGAAACGATACACAGAATTACATGCTCTACAGTCTCCCGAAGATCATTGCGCCTCACATATACCATCTCATTGTTCTTGGACTAGCTACGTCCTCTCTGGTGGGGTCTGAGGGATCGCGCTTCCGAACCCATGCCACGATTGTGGGCCTGGGTCTCGCGGTAATTGAGGCCTACTTCATGCAAACTTATGACATAACGTTCAACAAACGATCAAAGACTCTTCAAGACATCGACTTTGTGCATTGGCGTGTTCGATTTCTGAGATACATAGCATTCGCTATAGTGGATGGCATTTTTGGATTAGTACTTTGGCTTACAAGCACGAATCGCTGGCTCGCCAAACCCGAATCAATTGCTGAGCGACTGGAGATGACTACGCGAAAAGCAGAAGACACAACGAACAAGCTTCGCGCACTCGGCCTTCTTTCTAACTCGGTCAATCGGGATCCCCAGCTACGGACGGTGAGGGAAATGTATTGGCGAACGGAAGGCGAGTACATGGCGGCGAGGGTGCAGGAGGAAGAAGTGATGGAGCAGATAAATGCTGCCGTCAAGAGCCTGGATATGCAAGAGCTTGAGAACCGGATAGATCAGGTATCAGATACTGTTCTACAGGGTATCGACACGCTGCGCGTGACCAGTCCTGGCGGACAATCCGGGGAAGTACCACCATCTTGATATATAGCATAACTCCGGGTATAGAGGGTGGACTGGCTACCTGCGGAAAACCACAGAGCGTACAGGCGGCGACTACTGTGCCACACTGCAAGCTTCTCCGTCCTAATCTTCGATCGATCTAAGAATACCAAGATGTGCCATTCTGTGAGAACCTCCGAGGCATCCTTATGCCGTGTGATTCGCCAATTGCGCGGACGAAAATCTGGTCAGATTGTTGAACCGCTGGTTGCCGAGTTTTTGCATTTTCCGCTTCATCACCTCTTTTCATCTACAAGACTCACGAAAGGCATCGTCTGGGAATTGAGCAAACAGACCGATATCGCAATGAACACTCATATATGTTCACCTCGTACGAGTCACGGCTAATTTGTCGGACGCGAGATGTGCAACATTACTCAAAGTATGAGTCGTCAATTGCTCCATATAGTCTAAGGTCCAGTAGCGGGCCGGGGCGGTATTGGCCGGTTGTAGGCGGCACGTGACGCGTTCTGATTACCACGCCCTATGACATCTGACCTACAAGAACAAATAATTGGAAATATGCTTGGCTAAAATATGAGCACCGATATCGTCATAGCTTGGAGATAGAAAGTAATATTTAGAGGAACGTTGAGGTCTTGCGTTGATGTAGAAGAGATTCATGTTCAATTCACCAGAAAGAGTCATAGTTCTATCTAAGTGAAGATCCTGGGACAACTCCGGGGCAAGACTAAGATCGAACTTTGGAACATTCTCTAACAAAGCCTCCGGTCGTCTATCCGCATTCCACACTAAAACCTGTCATACTTTTTTTAAGGCTAGTCTACACAATAGGGCAGTGTGACTCCACATCCTTAAAAAGAAGGCAATCAGGTATAAAGGCATTGCACCCACGCTGTCCGTTCCTCCCGAACTCAAACACTTCACAACAGCAACGGTTCCTCCCAGTCAACTTCATTGTTGTCTTCTACATTCACCATGGCACCGATCGCTATTACGCCCACTGCTACTCCTCCTCCAGAGTTGGACACCACCACTGGCCTCACTGCCAATGGCATTGAACACAATGTCGTCAAGACTGCTCCCTCTGTTTTGAAAACATCACAACCATCATCCAGTCCCTTGGCAGCCACAATCACAGAAGTATCAAGGATCCCTTCGAAAGCCAGCAATGACACTGCTGCCTCCCTAGCCGAGCTTGATGCATCGCTTCTCGAAACCACCTTGACTACCACTCCTCGTCAGGTTCCTGCCATTGGATCACCAGAGATGGCTTCACAAAAGGTCTGCACCGACCATATGATCCAAGCCAAATGGACAGTAGAGTCCGGCTGGCACGCGCCCTCCCTTCAACCTTTCGGTCCTCTGTCGCTCTCCCCCACTGCATCCTGCCTTCACTACGCCACCGAATGCTTCGAAGGAATGAAATTGTACCGAGGATTTGATGGGAAACTTCGCCTCTTCCGCCCACAGTTGAACTGCAACCGCATGCTCATGTCCACCAACCGCATCGCACTCCCAGCCTTTGCCCCCGAGGAGCTTCTCAAACTCGTCGTCAAGCTCTGCGCTACTGACGGAGCCAAGTGGCTTCCTAAAGACCGACCAGGCCACTTCCTCTACATTCGCCCTACAATGATCGCCACAGACGCTGCCCTTGGCGTGGAGCGACCCAAGGAAGCCCTCCTCTTCATTCTCCTCACATGCTTCGCTCCCATGGGTAACATGTCTGGCGGCATCAAGCTCCTCGCTTCCCAGGATGATATGTGCCGCGCCTGGCCTGGAGGTTTCGGTTACGCCAAAGTGGGTGCCAACTATGGACCTTCCCTCGTCGCACAGGGTGAAGCCCGAGCGATGGGATACCACCAGATCCTCTGGCTGTTCGGCGAAGACTGCATAGTAACCGAGGCCGGAGCAAGCAACTTCTTCCTCGTCTGGAAAACACCAGAAGGAAAACTACAGCTTATCACTGCTGATCTTAACGAGCGAATCGTTCTTGATGGCGTTACTAGGCGATCTGTTCTCGAGCTCGCGCGATCACGTCTTGCACCCGGCCACGAGGATTTGGAGCCCATCGAGATCGTCGAGCGGAAGTTCAGCATGTTTGAGGTCGAGAAGGCCGCTCAGGAGGGGCGCATCGTCGAGGCTTTTGCATCAGGCACTGCCTGGTTCATTGCACCCATTGGCCAGATCCATTTCAGAGGAAAGGACTTCACCATCCCGCAAGAGGCAGGCGAGAGTGGCAAGTACACCAAGGCCATCAAGTCTTTCCTCAAGGGCATCATGTGGGGTGAGGATGGTTTGGAACAGCATGAGTGGGGCTATGTTGTTGAGGAGTCGTCTTAGCGACCCTAGAAATCTTCAAAACTTCTTTTCCTGGCGAAATCATAGATATTCTTTGCCGCTTTTCCACAAAATGGTGGTTCTATTGAGCGTTATGTTTGTAATGACATAAAAAATTCATATTCATATCTTTAAGCTTTCATCTTTGCTTTGCTCTCCTCGTGTAACACTCTGGACTTGATCAACGAGTGCAATATTTCATAGTCCGTGAAATGGCTTCATTTTGTATCCGCTATGTACACCTCACCATCACGAAGTCAATAATTGGACAAAACTTACAAAACGGCCAAAATGGTTTCCTAAACCAGCCCTCGTACATACATGCCACATTTCCATTCAACAGCAAAACCATTCCGCACACCCGTTATCTCAATCCCACTCTTTTCTTATCTATGATCGTTTCGCAAATTCCGGCTTATTGGGGGCTATTCTCGGCTATGTCAGATCTTCATGCATCCTTCCATGCATATGTGGCATAGCGTCGTTGGGAGGACGACTTTCTTTTTTATTATTTGTGTCGCACGTCACCGAAGGGGAGTGTTGAGAACAGGAAAATTTTGTATTTTTCTGTAGCGGAAAGTGGGATGTAATGGGAGCGGGTGGGAGCGGATCTTGAGGGACGGTGACTCGGGGTGGGGAAGCAAAGCAGATTAGGTGGTATAAGGAGCGAAGGGGAAGGGCTCCAATGTGGGCGTGGTTGCATTTTTCTGTTCCTCATAATACTCTTCATAGATGTTTGGGTATCTCAAGGCATATCGAAATTGTTGGGATACAAGTGCGAAATAGTTTGAATTTCAGATACTTCTTGCGAGAACTTCCTAACATGTTCAGGAGACAGACAGCAAGTAGGAACCGTGGACTAAATAGATCAGCCCTAATGACTTTCTCTTCAACCGTCATGACCTAACTGCTAATAGCCCTCGCTACTCCACAAGATTCACTTCTATTTTCCATAGTACTTGTCTTGCGCTCACTGCCATGAATCCTCTTTCTTTGCCAAAACTGTTGGAGTGAATCTAGGAACAAATCACTCTAATTTGAATCCATGGCAACCTCGATGAATTTACTGCTTACCCCAAGCAGACTCAATCAACCCCTGGAATCGAATTGGCTTAATGTCCGGGAATTTATCGTTCATAACCTCTTTCTCAGACAAGTCAAACATGCCTTTGATAGCAAACTCATTGAACCATACTACCAGCACGCGCAATTCTTCATCTGAAACATTTTCGTAAGTTCCCTTGGGCTGTTTGAAGACCGTAACTTTGCCTTGAGCAATGTCCTCAACTGAGTCGTACTCCACAGTCCATTTGGTGCCTACCGCAGCTGATTCAGCACAGATGATAATTTGTACTTTTCAAAAGGTTTCACTCACCTGTAACCTTCTCCGCGGCTTCCACCATCTCTTTCGGTGTCACCGTGCTGCCCCTGAACCGACTCAATTCGGGCCAGCGGTCCAGATCTAGCAATGCGACAACATACTTGGCCACATCCGCAGAGAATAGGAAGGATATTTTCGTGGTACCGTCCCCTGGGATTATGGCTCGTTTGTTGTCGAAATCCAAGATCCATTTGAAGGAATGCAAGTTGCTTTTCACGTGAGGAATACCGTAGTAGTCCATGATGAAGCCAATTATGACCAGAGTATACTCTAGCTTAGAAGCACGAAGCGCATTAGCAGCATCAACCCACCACTTCATTGTGGGGTATTGGGGGAGTAGCCTTGATTTTGATTAGTCCATGTGGTTTTGAAAAGATATGACTTGACATACTCGGGCTTGTTGTGGGTTCCATATTCACTGGGAATGAACCTCTTCACAGTCTTCGAACCAGAAGCGGCTGCGATGAGATTCAGCTGCGATTGACTCGAATCGTCTGAGATGAGTACAATGGTCGATATGACCACTTCGATTTTGTGCTGGTCCAAGGTCGCTGCGAGCGTCTTTGGATCATTGTAGTCGACAGCAATCACAGGAACAGAGACGCCAGGGATTGGAACAGCCTGGACGGGCATCAGTGAGTATTTTCATGGAAGGGTAAACGGACAAGATACCTTTCTGCTCAGAACCAAGACCTCATGCTTGCCTTGATTTACCAATTCCTCAACAATGGTTCTCCCGATTCCTCCAGTTCCTCCAGCAACTGCAATGGTAGGCATATTGGATTCTGCGATGAGTCGAGTTTTGCGTACACTTGTAGATTCAAATCAAAGGCGCTTGTTCTGATGAGATATCATGTCTCCCATTGCATTGGCATCTATTTATACTCATTCTACCACGGAAAAACACTCCGATAACCTGTCGTACAAACTGAATCTGATTTCAAAGCTTCGTGAGGGTACGGTTTGGATTCCCAGAAATGCAATTCTTCAAAGTGTAAATATACAATGAGAACAAAGAAAACTGGCCAACGTTATTCTCTTCCCGCGGGGCCCGAAGGTCTCGTAGCAATCAAATTGGGCGCAGTGAGGTTGGCATATCAAAGGCTTCATTGGTTGTCGTCCCGAACAAAAATAGCCATAACCTTGGTCGGCACCCGAGTGCTCCGCGCGATTCACCACGCCCCGAATGTCCGATTTCTCCAGCAGCTCCATCCACCAACCTCTATATTTTCAAAGGCTGGCGGAAGAAACTACAGACATAGCTTGGCAAATCGAACTAGAGAGAACCAACGATCTAGCAACGAGTTACATATTGCTCAACCGGAGAACAGCTTGCAATATGCATACTAATTGGTTACTAATTAACGAGGGCTCTTTAGTCCATACAACGGTTATGTACATAAAGTCTAGAGCTGAAGCATATATCCAAATTTCAAAGCGATAATATAGTATACCTTTGCTGAACACTTGAAACCAATTCCTCCCTGTCGCTGAATGTTATTGGCCACCCGAAGTCAAGTGATCTCTGAATTCGCATTCGTGTAGATTCAACCAACGGAGGTACAAGCTCGCAGGTGTCTTATTATAACGACCAAATTGAGGAATTAAATTTCGTTCTTACAATTTACACGTTGAAATCTAGGGAAGGCTACAATTCCTTCTTCTATTGGTAGGCGCGGATCAAAATGTGCGTATGATTCCAACGCTGACTCCGTCAAACAGGAGCAGCAATGTCCTTTTCCCTAGTCAGTCAATTCGATTGGACAGAATGGCTTCTGTTTCACCCAACGTTTCTATTGCCTTGACAGGATCTACGCCGACTTCAAATGGTGGATAGGTCGATGTTGCAAGCCACTATTCGTTTTGGAAGTCATCTCAATAATTGTGCATCAAGCCTCTGAAAAATTCGAATGGCCGGAAGCTGGGCCACATGCCGTGTCTGCCTTGTAAATATTGTTGTGATTTACTGTGTATCATGAGAGGTAGCACAAGAATATACTTGATTCGATGGTCCGGAGTTTAATATAAAGATGCCAAATGCGGCAGTACGTTCGTCATAGAAGGTCTAGAGCCCAAGCACAGACTTGTCATCAACTGCATCGATCTAATATGTCTTTCGTACTGTAATCATCGAAAGCTATAATGTAGGGTTTTATGGATTCTAGCTTTACTCCACTCAAAGCATAAAGTAGTGAAATGATCATGGCCCAAACAATTCCCCATCAAGGCGGATCAATGATGATTCTTCAACACTTCCATATTGCTTGATTCTTCATTGATCGAATATTTTAAAAATCTCCCTTAACCAGGACTCATGAGTTCTTTCGGTTGTCAAGACCCAATAGCAGTAAAGGGCTATAAGGTGAGTGGTCAACAACTCCCTTCAGCCGCTTCTATGAACACTCGCCTCCGGTCCCCAGCCGTAAGCTGCTAGCGAGTAACTCAAATCCCAGAACATACCATAATCCACACCGTAATTTTCTACACTAGCAGCTCTGGGCCATTAAAGCTCAATCAAAAGGTCCGTCGCGAGACGAGGACTACATTTGGCAGGTCTAAGTGCTGAAAAGGGAATATAATGAACATTCTACCAATGAAGACGTACATGCAATTGTGATGGTCAGCACTACTAAGAATCGTATTTCAATATTGCTCGGAGAGAGCGAGTTCTACCTTGCCAGGGGCATAGATTAACATCAGCTTCTTTTCGTGAAAGGAAAGTTTTGCGCCGAATCATTATCATCCAGAGGTATATAAGTAAGTGGCAATGAATCCTCTGCTCTCGACTCTATAATCAGACCTTCCTTAGACAATTCTTCTGGTAATAACGACCGATTCTTTAACATCGATCAAAATTGCAATATGATCTCTCTAAACTCTCTATCATATTTTCTCATTGCCTTTGTAGGCTTGCGTGCAACTGTCGCGGCGCCATCAGTTGGTAAACACTACCCCGATGTCATTCCCGGACCTGGTCTGCCATCTCTTGAGGACCTCAATTTGACATCCGCGGAACTGTACACCATGCCGTTATCTCAGCTACGTGAGTATACAACTTCGTAACTAGAACAATTAGACTAAATTATTCACAGCCAACGACGAGATGAGTGTCATGCTCACACCAGGCTGTGGACCTGGCAACGCTTATACGAACGTCACTGGGCTTATTGCATGCTTCAACTACCTAAACTCATTGGGTGGAACACGATGCGTTGTAGGGGCAAGTGGCAAGACCGAGTTCTGTCACGCCGACAGTTCGCGCGCGCTTGGAGAGAGCGTGACTGGAAGAAGTGAATCGAGTGCTTGGTATGTCTGGCCCCTTGACACAAAATAGCATATACACCAACTTAAGATGCTGATATCGTTACATAGTTCCGATGTTGCCTTTGGCTTGCTTTGGGTTATTGATCATTGCACAAGACCTGATCAGTCATGCGCAGGTAAGTCAGCAATCTTCTGTTCCTTGAATGCTCATAAATCTAAATCAAGACTGCCAGGTTTTCAAGCCCCTAGAGGTAATGGAAATATCAACGTAACGGGGGTTCGGAGATAAACAGATGAATATGGAATTGTGCACCTGGCGCTACTTCTACTGTATTGGTCAGACTCCCAAAACTCCTTTTCGGAACTGGTAGTCATTAGACCACCTCATCCTTGATTTGGTGGCCTTGACAATGAATCGAGAGCGGAATGATTCTCATGTCTTGAAACTTGACAATTTGACTTTGAGTTGAACGAATATTATACTTTTCGCATTCTGAAGTAATCTCGTGCCGACAGCGTGAATGGAATGTGATACACTCGGGTTACAGCTGCGCTTCAATCAGTCAGGCTGTGATGGTGGATGAAGATTAATGAAGGAATTTGTATCATGTCATAATACTTATTCTACACACTTGGCAATCCAATTGATGACGTTGTAGCTGCACTTTAGTGTTATCTATCTAGGTGCTTCTATTAACATAGGTTTTAACCCGTTGATACCTATTCTTGGTAGCGCATTATTCACCTTACTATTCCACAGCGGATGGTACCCTGATCTCGACAAGTTCAACTGGAGGTTTGTAGCTTGATTTTCCATGAACAACGTATAAGATTGTAGCGAAGGCCATAATGAAGACCCATACTAGCGGAGCCCAATTAGCTGTTCGTGGACTGACTGGTAGAGTAGCAGGTAGACATGCGAATATGATTGCAAATCCAGAATACAGGAAAGCGAAGGCGTTGATTGCAAACCCGTAACGGCCCAGGCTCCAGCGTGCGGGTGGCAGAGGTTCGCCCTTAGAGCGTTTGAGTAACAGGCAGCCGACGGCGAGCATGTTTGTGCTGAGGAAACCCAGCATTGTTAGTGAGATGATGATCTGGAACGCAAACGTTGAGCCCATGTTGATGAAGCATAGGACACCACTCAAGGTAGCAGTGAGATATATTGGTCTGTTGGGAACCTGGTGGCTGTGTTCAAGACGCGAAATCCACTGGGAGAAAGGGAGGCCACGATCGCGTGAGAATGCCCATAGTACTCGAGAGGTTGCGGCAAGTCCAGTAACGTTCCCCGAAACAATCAGCACAAAGAGATATACCGTGAGAAACAGGGCCATCGCAGTAGATCCGGTGTTATTGAAAAGGATGAGATATGGGGCGTCGGCGTTGAGGACTCGGTGCAGAGGCCCGATGTTGAAGAGCATAGCGACAAGCATGAGGACCCCGACGACGACATTGACTAGATATGACCACCAAATACAACGCGGAACAACAAGTGATGCTTCTTCGACCTCTTCTGAGATGTGGACTATTGAATCGGATCCTTTTATGGCATTAGTTGGCGAATCATAGAAAATAAGGATTACCTAGTCGTACCTAGATTGCAAAACAGAACCTGTAGGAATGAGCGTGGTGCATTTGTTGGTAGATGAAGCACCTACTGTGATCTGGCTGATCAAACAAGCAATTCCGACGTCCTTCCAACCACTCCCATTTATAACATGCAGGAAGACGTCTGCGGCTGGATTTCGGGGGCATCTCACCCATACTGTAACAAAAACAATGATGAACCCGAACATGTGAGCGAAGAGGCTGAAAGTTTGAATGGGTGGCAAGAACTTCGCACTCATCGTGTTGACCAGAGCTGAGACCGCCAGGAAGAGTAGCCTGTATATCATCAGCTGTATATCTGGATGTAGTTCGCGCGGTCAACTTACATAATGAGCGTCGAGCTCCAGCTAGTGAAGGCAAATGTTGGGTTGATAACTTGTATGGTCGCCTGAAGCAGGGTTGCCATAACAAACATGCCCGAACTGACACTGGCGATCAAGCCCAGTGTGCTCATCCAACCGCTTGCATAGCTCAGTATTTTCTGGTATCCTTTCGGAGCAAATTCTGATGTCCAGTGGTATTGCCCGCCTGTAGTGGGAGCCATCGAAGCCATTTCAGCTAAACTTGCAACAATTGAAGAGTAGCAGCCAATCGTTCCGATGAAGACCCAGAATAAACCTGCGTATCCGCCGTTCGTGAAGCCAGTTGATAACGATATCAACACATATTCCCAGGTTGACATATAGATAGAGACAAAGCCTAGAGTAGAGAGATAGCTGAAGTTTCGGTCGAACTGTTGTTGCTTTCCCAGGCGGCGCATGTCGGACGCATCGTGGATTGCAAAGGTCGTGATAGGCGGCGTAGTGACTTCGGCTGTCACTACAGGAGCAGCTTCTGCTTGAGACACGTTCGTAGCCAGAGTGCGGCGCATTTTTGCGGAATTCATGACCAAGTCGAGCGTTTTTGCTCTATCGTACTTTTGAGCTCGCAAGTCTGCACGCGAGATTTCCTATCACTTCAACGAAGCCATCTTACGGAAGTATGTTTTCTTAAAATAGTTGACAGTGAACGAGAATTGTGTAGTGAAGAGTGAAGTGAAGAGATCTGAGTGACCGCTTTCATTCAAATGAGGCAAGTAGGGCCATTGCTGTACCGTGCACAAACTGCAGCTGTGTATCAACAACAGCCTTGAAGACTGTTACCTAAGTTTCACAGCTTGCCCCTCATGATCCTACTATACACAGCTAAATGGAAATGAGGTAACAAGTCCACCGCCATGTTGTTAACGCGCGCTAAAAACAACGTGTTTTGTTTGTTGACCGTGCAGATAGATAACTCATGCGCCCTACACACAGGAAGGGCTTGGATATTTGGGAATCGATACCTGTCGTTCAAAATTCAGATTAGCAACGGCAAGGGGCCTCAATCATAACAGTTAATATTGCACATTCGTTATCAACTTTGTCGCCACAAGAGGTGACAGGCATCAAACACAGAGATGGTTCAATTCCTGCTACAGACCTATTGGTGACATGCAGGGGTCCTTGTACTGATGAAGTCTTCATTACACGAAGTACTAGGTGCACACGTCAGGCAAAGAAACGGATGAGAGAGAACAGTATATACGAATGATCAGCCATCCTGGTCTATCTTTGGGGTTGCCCCTGTGCATATGTTCATTCAAGCAGTACGGTGATTGCTGTTGGTAGATGAAGGCAGCGACAATGATTCCGGCACCGATGCACGTAAACACGTGCCTTGAAATGATCAAATGCATTTTTGAATAGTGTATCAAGTCTATGGAGTACGGTTAATCCTGTGAATGACAGAAACGATTTTCTCTAGATGAATAGATGTGACCTCTGCTGATTCCCAGTCTCTCATGACACCAAAAACAGGCGTATCTAGACCGGGTGCCCAGCCATGGGTCTGCTCTCCTCTACGCGCAGCGCGAAAACAACCTCATCATAAACTGGATGAGGCTGCCGTTAAGTAGTGTATTGTGGAGCTGGCGGTGATTGAGAAGAAGAAAAAGAGAAGAAAAACTTCGCAAGTCTGAGGTTCGATTAAGTACGATCCGCGAGAATGATGCTAGTGTCACAAAGGGTTTAGCGTCTGGAAACCTCCAATCTGGCCGCATGTGTGCCGCGATCATTGAACAACCCAGCAAGTCCACCCATATAACTTCTACGGGAACGTAGCAGCTCCACGAAACTCTTGCTGCAGCCTGAACCACCCTTCAGCGTGGTCTTTTCTTCTTACAGGCCTGAACCACCCACTCTCTACAACCTCTTCCACTTTCCACTTCAGATACCACCCGCGAACCAGCTTCCCCGCCAATTCGGATTGTGGGCACCGCCTCGGTCCCTCCACCTATACCACACCTTCAGCTTTTACTCCCGTCGTCGCTCCATCCTTGATACAACAGTATGGCTGATTACGAGGCGCTCAAGGAGCAGTGGAGCGAGATTGAGGACCGCGATGGAGTCCGTCTCAGTTGGAACACGTTCCCAAGCTCGCGCATGGTAGGATAACCCAGGCCCTTGTTATTGATCTGGGTGGAATGCTAACCTTGGGTAGGAAGCATCGCGGCTCGTTGGTAAGATGGCACTGATTGCTATTCAGGTCATCCGGAATCTTGCTAACAAGTTTCAGTGCCTATCGGTGCCTTGTATACTCCATTGAAGGAGAAGACAGATACACCGCTGTTGCAGTATGAGCCGGTTTCCTGCAAGGCACCTTGCCGAGCGGTTCTCAACCCATTCTGGTATACTATATCATTTCCACGGTATCTTGCTGTAGGCTAACTAGTCTATAGCCAGGTCGACATGCGAGCCAGACTTTGGATATGCCCTTTCTGCTTGCAGCGAAACGGACTTCCCCCTCATTACAAGGACATCTCTCAGGATCAAATCCCACCAGAGCTCCACCCGAACAGCACGACCATCGAATACCGCCTTGCTAGACCAGCTCCCTCCCCGCCGATTTTCGTGTTCGTCGTCGATACTTGCCAGGAAGAGGATAGCCTGAAGGCTCTCAAGGATTCCATCATCATGAGCTTGAGTCTGCTCCCTCCATATGCTCTTGTTGGATTGATCACTTTCGGCACCATGGTAAGGCTTCCGAAGGATGAATAGGAGGAGTAGGAAACTGACGAGATGCAGGCCCAAGTCCATGAGCTCGGCTACACCGAATGCGCCAAATCCTACGTTTTCCGCGGAAGTAAGGATTACACCTCCAAGCAAGTACAGGAGATGCTAGGACTAGGTGGAAACTTGGGACCGCGACCCAATATGCCACAACAGCCAGGTCGACCCCCAATGATGGCTGGTGCTGGAGCCCGATTCTTGCTCCCAGTTTCCCAGTGCGAGTTCCAGCTCACCAATGCGCTTGAGCAGTTGCAGAAGGATCCCTGGCCTGTTGCAAACGACAAGCGAGCTTTGAGGTGCACTGGCGTTGCTCTCAGCGTCGCTATTGGACTTTTGGAGACTCAGTTTGTTAACATGGGTGGCCGTATAATGTTGTTCTGTGGAGGTCCTGCGACCGAAGGGCCTGGCATGGTCGTTGGTCCTGAACTTAGGGAGCCCATCCGATCCCATCACGATATCGACCGCGACAATATCAAATACTACAAGAAGGCTCTGAAGGTATGATATGGAAACTGTCCTGAGGAACGCAGTCTTGCTAACTGGTCCAGTTTTATGACGGCCTCGCCAAGCGTGTTGCTCACAACGGTCACATCGTCGATGTTTTCGCCGGTTGTTTGGACCAAGTCGGTCTCCTCGAAATGAAGGGTCTCTCAAACTCCACTGGCGGTCACATGATTCTTACCGATAGCTTTACTTCCTCGATGTACAAGCAGTCTTTCGCTCGCGTCTTTAACAAGGATGCTGATGAGAACCTCCTAATGGGATTCAACGCCTCCCTCGAAGTTTTGACCACGAAAGAGTTGAAGGTCACAGGTCTCATTGGACACGCTGTGTCAATGAACAAGAAGTCAGCATCGGTTGGCGAGACGGAGTGTGGTATTGGTAACACTTGCTCATGGAAGATGTGCGGAATCGATCCCGATGCCAGTTACGGTATCTACTTCGAAATCGCGAGCCAGGGAGGGCCCAACCAGATGCAGCAGGGCCCGCAGAAGGGTATGATGCAGTTCCTGACTTATTACCAGCACTCTGCTGGTCAATATCATCTCAGAGGTATGTCGCCCCCCGTCATTGTAGATAGAATGATCAGTACTAATAGTTCGTAGTTACCACCGTTGCACGAAACCTTAGCGGTCCCTCTGGTGATCCTGCTATTGCGCAATCGTTTGATCAGGAGGCTGCTGCGGTACTCATGTCTAGGATAGCCGTCTTCAAGGCTGAGGTTGACGATGGGCCCGACGTCTTGCGATGGGTTGATCGAATGCTCATCAGGCTTTGCGCTCGCTTTGCTGAGTACAGGAAAGATGACCCTTCATCGTTCAGGTAAGTCATGTGTCTTCTTACACGACTCTAAACTAACGACGACTAGGCTTGAGAAGAACTTCACTTTGTATCCACAGTTCATGTTCCATTTGCGCAGGTCACAGTTCTTGCAAGTCTTCAATAACTCGCCCGATGAAACCGCCTTTTACCGACATGTCCTCAACCACGAGGATGTCAGCAACTCTCTCATCATGATCCAGCCAACCCTAGACAGCTACGGCTTCGACCACGAAGGCAGCCAGCCAGTCTTGCTTGATTCCACATCCATCCAGTCGGAAACTGTACTCCTCCTCGATACCTTCTTCCACATCCTCATCTTCCACGGAGAGACAATGGCGGAATGGCGAAAAGCAGGGTACCAGGAGCAAGAGGGTTACGAAAACTTTGCGACATTATTGGATGCACCTAAGGAAGATGCCAAGGACCTCATCCAAGATCGATTCCCCCTTCCGCGATTTATTGTTTGTGACGCCGGAGGTTCCCAGGCTCGTTTCTTGCTCTCCAAGCTCAACCCTTCGACAACACACACCACTGGCTCCTATGGTGGTGTTGCACAGACTGCGCAAACCATTTTCACGGACGATGTCAGTCTGCAGACATTCATGGATCATTTGATGAAGCTCGCAGTATCTGGAACCGGGTAGACGATAGGGTGACATGTAAAGGTTCGATCAATGATAATAGATTAGCGTTATTCCGCATCGGCGCTGGCTGGTAACGCTTTTGAGAGATGTTTGCTCCACGATTCAGAATGAGTGTTGGAGTGTGGGGACGATAGTATGATGCTACTAGCTAAAGAATTATTTCACATCACATTTCGCTTTCGCCATATTCAAAGCTTGCTACCATCTGACTTTGTAGCACCAGTTCCTTCAACGTGATCTTCCCGAAGAGTCTCACCCGTGCCTGGGATCTCAAACGGCTCACACGGCAACGTTACGGCAACAAAACGTGCAGGCTCTGTCTTGGATCCATTCCACCACTTGTGCATAGTCCCTCTCTGGATGATATGATCCTGTTAACTGGTAAGCTTCCCGCAACTCTCGATAGCTCGCCCACATCTGTGGCAAGAGAAGAAAAGCACTCACACCCGGCCTCAGATCAATAAATTCCCCGTTATCCAGCTCCATCCTAACATGCCCAATAACACAGATACTGTAATCAATCGATATCGTCCTATGCATCTGCGACTGTCCTCCTGGTGCTATATCAACAACCAGCAAATTGGAACCCGTACCCAAAGGCGACACAATATCAGTGCCCTTGAATGATGTCGGACCTGTGGGCTTCAGGTACGCTTCGACATCCTCGTCACTATTGAGCTTTGCAGGGACTGTGGCCGTGGAGTACGAGCGAGCCATTCCGCCTACGCCAGCGCGGCCATGGTACTGTTGTGCGGGTGAAGAGTGCACAATGGACTTGCCATTTTTGTCGTGCGTGCAGATGTACCGACGATTCGGGGGCAGTGAAGTCACCGATTCCGTCCAGCTTCCGATTGTGGATTGGTGTGCCATTTTATTTGATAGTGTTGTTCTGAACAGTTGTGGAGAATTATGTGTGTGAATCAATGTAATTTAATGCTAGATATCAGGCCAAAGAATACAATTAGTCTTCCGAATGAGCATCCTAAGATATTCTTCGGAAATAATACATGCACTTATAATGTCTTCATGCCAAAGCCCTGGAAATGCACATCCGTCTCTAAGAAGTAGACCCGCACGGCAACAGGAGCATTACGCGGGGTAGCTCCATCGAACGCGACGAGGATGACGGCTCTGAGTCGAGTAAGCTACCAGATTAGAGGCTGGAGTAATGAAAGGAGCCATGGTCACTAAAAGACAATTCTAAGCTATTATCGTCTGCCACTGCCTACAATAGAATGGCTTCTACAATCCCAGTGACTGTACCTTTCGTGATGCATGTTCCCTAGAATTAGGATACAAGATCTGGTGTCTCTCAATGGTGGGCATTGGGGCCACAATTGAGACCCTATAATCTTAAAGATGTTGCTATGAAATCGTCCGTGACCTGTCTGAGTTGCCCATGTGTCATCGAGCAACGTCCTATGCTCAAAGTCAATGTAAATCGTCATCGTGAATAAAGATCACTACAGCCAATCACAGCCGACCTCAGACCCTGCAAATCTGCCAAACGCGCCAAGCATCACCAGTGGATCATTCGAGGTGGGCGAACAGTTCTAGATGTGCATTCTCTGCTCAATATCGTGCTTCCCGCAAAGGCACATTCCACAATGCCTCCACCGAGGATCGCACAAGCGCTGATGCGCACAAGAGTCCAACAACCATACCGCTGCCTGCGAAGCGTAGGACCCTTCCGCTATGCCTCCACCACCTCCGAGCAGTCCTCCGAACCCATCGTACCATGGAAAACACCACATAGCATAACATCATGGCCACCGGAGAGGCTAATTCCCCCTCCGAAAGAAGGCGAACTGCTCCTTGAGCGCAAACCAAATCGCGACCTCCCGCCGTAAGCCTTCTCTCCCGCACATACGACTTACAACCCGCTCGACATGAAAATCTAGCATATATATATAATTGAGTACTAACCTTTGGTTGACCAGAGTCCCACCCTTCATACCCACCCAAGTCCGCAACACGTTCCCCATCTTCGTCCTCACCATAGTCGTCTCGGCCCTGGCCTTCTTCAACTACCAAAAGCAAGAGTCGTCCGTCGTATCCTCCACCCTGTACGCCCTCCGCACGAACGCCGAGGTCCGCGACGAACTGGGCGACGAAATCTACTTCGCGTCAAAGTATCCCTGGATCAAGGGCGAGATCAACCAGGTGCACGGAAGGATCGACATCAGCTTCTGGGTGAAGGGTACGAAGCGGGAGGGCCAGGTCAAGCTAAGGTGTAGGAGGAGGGGCAGGGCTGGGTACTTCGTTACGCAGGAGTATACGCTGACGATGGATGATGGGAGAGTCTTGCAGCTTTATGATCCCGAGGGCAATGCGGTGGATCCGTTCCAGGATCCTTTGAGTGGATAAGTGGAAGGCAGTGGACGGTGGTGCGATTGTAGGGGCAGTGCATGAAAAGATGTTTAGGGAATGCCGTCTTGTGCCTCTCTTGGAGGATAAAACTGTATGATTATAGAACGCGTAGCATGGCATCAGAAGGTTGTTAGAGTTTGTACATATACTTGTATGAGACATGTTCACAAATCGACTTTGGATAAGAATCTGCAATCTGATCATATAAGAATTGTTTGTCGTTTGTAAGATATAAAAGCTAGGAGATTTGTGCCTTTCCCACGGCCGTGCTAGTTGTGTCATGATGTGATGCCCATCAAGCAGGGATATCGATCCTCATGTTTTCCTAAGACGCCATTGACCCTAATGTCTGCATACCATGTTCCACAGGCAGGAAAATTGGAGCTTTACAGCTGGATTTGGTAGCGAATATAATAAGAAGTTAAAAATGCAAGATTTACACAATAAGAAAGAGAGTGGTATCATAAGAATGAAAAATCTGAACGCAGAGACCGATGACCAACCAGTTACTCAAGACCATCATCTGAGAAAAGTTGTGACGAACTTAGAACTTGAACTCTTTGAGTCCATCGTCGGTATTCTCGCCACGTCGAACACTGGGGTGGTGTGCCAAGTTGGGCTTGACGAGATGTGCGAATTGAGGGTTGACGTTCAGAGGTGCAGATATCTTAAGTGGCATCTCTGGGACTTCACTATCTCTGTTGTACTTTCCAGGTTTCCTGGACTCGCCGGACACTGAACGCGAGTAAGTGGATGATGATCGACGGCTGTGACCAAAGACCTTGAGTGGAGAAGCACTGTGGTACGATGGTAGGACTGACTGACGTGCATTGCGAAGCGTTCGGATGGGACTTGTGAAATTAAAGTTGGAGAAGCGTGACTCCTTCATGGGCGATGCGAGCTGAGGAGACCCCATATCGACACGCGGTGTACCAGCACGGGAGTGACTGGATCCTGTGTGGTGTGTGTTGATGCTGAAGGCCTTCTGGCATGACTCGATATCATCTTCAGGTGTCTCGGTCAGGGCAATGGCACCTTTAGCGCGAACGCGGCGAGCAGTCATGTGTCGTGAACTATCGCGGAAGACATAGCTCTGTTCTTCATTAGTATATGTGCCTAGGGAATAGTTATGGGCGACTTACAGCAACCACGTTGAAGAATCCCATAACGATTGCGAGGATACCAGAAGCGACGAGCAATCGCCAAAATGGAAGACCGAGTGACTCTTGGCTGGTGGCTTCCTTGTTCATGTTTCCGAGCATGTTGAGGCCCAGGACCGACATGGCACATCCGAGAGAAACGAACCCATGACCGGCACTGAGAAGTGGCCAGTTCCGTGCAAAGTAGGTTCGGAAGAGCGAGCTTTCGGAGACCATGAGGAACACTTATAACGTTAGGATTCACACAATCAGAAGTTTTACTGGTTGACTTACTTCCTACTAGAGCAGTGACAACGTGGCTCGTAGCATCGAAGAAGAAGAACTGGGGATGTTAATACGTTTCCTGTAGGTTGAAAGTGTCGAATAAAATACCTTGGATACGATGAACGTCTTGACAAGCATGACAACGCTGCTTGCAACAACCGATCCCAAGACTATGAGGTTCATAGCACGCATCACATTGAGGATTATGTAGCCTGGACCTGCCAGTTGTTCTGCTGAAAGGATAGCCATGTCGAAGGAGGATTTGGATAAGATGTGGTTGAAGGTTGTAGTCAAAGAAAGCAGTTGAAGTTGTGCACTGGCCGGCAGTCGTACTGAAGAGAGCGCAGGAAAGGTTGAATGAAGATAATGGATTTAGAAGTATGGAAGATGAAGGACTGTAGATTCAACCAGAAGAAGCTCCCACGCCAAAGGGCAGAGAACAATCTTCACAATAGACAATAGCAAACACAGAGGGAACGGAGATGAGTGACAATAGGAAGAAGCAGAAGATTGGAGAAGAGAGCGGGAATGTCGAGAAGATCTATTGATGCCCCACAAGACCTGTGCGCCCATGCTATTGTCGCGAACCTCACAATAGGGAACGTGAGGCCCATCGCGTTGGCGTTCTTCACTGAGTCAAAATCGAGTGGCCCAAATTGCACCACATCTGCTTTGCATCTGGACGATTACATTCGTCGAAACCATGGGCGCTCACCCCTAAATGGAGCCTAGCACTCTCGGTAACGAGCTGGCAAGCGGGAAATGAGTGAGTGGACCAGGTTGCTCGCTGAGAAGCTCTCGTACTGCCACGCAGGCCAATATCAACGAACCTTGAAAGTCATGGTGAGTGAAAGTGCAGCACGTCTGGTCTAAAGTGGCGGTTGCGGAGTGATTGGCCGAGAGCGCTTGAAACACCCTCGCGGGAGGTACGGGGCGCCGTTTCAGATCCTCGAACAGGCCATAGCTTGACGATCATGGAGCGGCTAGACGTCCATCGAGTGGCCTGAAATAGCTTTCAACGAAAATCTTTGCTCTGATTCATAGTTACTAATGAACGGAACCACCGCGATGATGAAGGAGCTCAGAATTCGCTCTCGATAAACAGAGATTCAGGAGAGGTGAAGCAAAGGACAATAGTACGAATGGGCGCTTGGTGTTGGGCATCTAGTCATCGAAACAAACTTGGCCTAATCGGGCATTAGTGTCATGTCAGGGCCGACCATATCTCCACGACCAACAACGGTGCCCCCTCACTTTCGTATGGGGCATCCAATCGCAATATCAGCTTCAAGGCTTCCCTTTGGGAGATTGGCAGGAGTGTCGTAGCTATAAGTTTCTACACTTCCCGTTCTGGTGGAAATTACAGCTGCCTCAGTTACGTACACAGCATGTTCCCATCATATTCTGTTTCTAGCATCATATGAGTTTGAGCCTGACAAAAGGATCGAAAGCTAGCTATGAAGGAGCTTCGGGCATTCTCGGAGTCTCATTAATAGATCCCATGTATACTGTGCCTTCCCTGACTTTGCTCTAACAGTCTGTGCCAAAGATCTTCCACTTGCTCCAAACGCAAAATGCCATTCGAATGTCAATACGGAGTACTCCGTAGAAGGTTCTAATGTCGCCCAGACCATTCGTCCGGATTGTACAAATGGTGCATTGCCGTATATCATTACGAGTAACAGTATGGGCTTGATTTTTACTGCCTATGACAACCAAAGGAATTTACAGAGTGGCCCTGGCTCTTCTAGTAGTATCATTGTATTCGACATTATAAACAATGATCAACCTAGTATCGCTCTTGGAATAGATTCTGGCATACATGGGGTTGTTCCCTTGAATGCAAATAAACCGCTGAACAACTCTGTAATAGGCTACAAGGAGGTTACCTCAACCATGCCGTGGCGTGACTACCGTAAATCGTGGATCGGAACTGGAAAATCATAACCATATCGCCGACCTATAATTACACTATAATCTCCAATTTTTTTTTTAAAAAAAAAGTAGTGTGTTGGGGTAGCGTGGACAATCAAAAGTAAATTCCTTACTACGTGAAGGCATGAAAAAAGTCTTGATGGTATATACCGCCTACATGCAAAATCCATATAATACATCCTTGATATACAGTCATGCAACCCTCAACGATAATGCATAAGTCTCTTCTGTCTGTCCTCTGGATACACCTTCTTCTTGTCAGGAAGCTTAATGTCTGGCTTATTCTGATTGTGTATCCTCAATTGCTCCACCATCTCTCTTAAATCTTCCATGCCGTTCTTCCTGAATTTTGTGACCTTTTCCACATTCTTTGCCGTCATTTCATTCAATGGTTGTTCTTCTGGCTTATGTGCAAGTGTTTGTGCGGTCATTGCAAATCGCATATCTCTAGGTCCATCAACGAGCTCCAGGATGGCGGATTCGGCTTGATCTTCTTTGATAGGCTCGATGCGAAGCACACGCGTGTATCCACCGGGTCGGTCTGCGTAGCGAGGACCATATACTTGGAAAAGTTTTGGGACCATTATATCAGGTGTCTGCAGACAATTAGCGGATCGTCGCTATAACTCAATCCATGTACCCTACGTAAAGGATCTGATGTGCCCGCCGTCTTGATGCTTCTGTGTTCTTTTTCGCTAATGTGATGACCTTCTCCGCCAATCGCTGCGCCTCCTTTGCCTTGTGCCATGTCGTTGAAATCGTTTCGTGTTTTAAGAGGGAAGTGACGAGATTTCGGAGGAGTGCCTGTCGATGAGACGATGAGCGACTCAAGTGGCGATACTTCATGTGTCCTCCGGCCATGGTGGAATCAATTGGGCAACACTCGGGTGCAGCTGCCGATTGTAAAACGCTCGAGCGGGGACGATTAACACCAGATGCGGAGGTGAATGGTGATGCATACCGCTCTGGAGAAAAGCTATCGGAAGCTCGGCGTAACTAATATTCCGCCACTTTGACGTGCAGCTGCATATGCATATCGATCACGTGATTACCTGCATCACCAAACGCGTACTACACCTTCAACTTTTACAACAATTATGTTCATGATTTTGAGGAAAATCCAACACTACATATTTCTATAGACCCTTCCCTTCTGCAATCAATAGACTCCGATGTCGCCACTTCTCGCGTTCAGAGTGCCGGCCCAATTAGTCAGTAATTCAGCTTAAGTTGGTAGTTAGTGTCAGTGCAGGAGAACGTGCACCCGTTGTCGCGTCGACGCGTTTTCCCATTTAAGTTTCTGCCCACCTCCAGAGCGTGTTCCCTCCGCAACCCACCTCAAAACACTCACACGAGATACCCTTTTCTTCCTGTACACATAGCATCTTTGCTTATATAGCTCGAGATGTTTGTCTTCAAGCGTGGTAAGTAAGAAAAACTTGAGATTCTCAGTCAATCCCTATCCCGGTCTTCTGGAACGGTTCGTCGCCAGTACTGACGCATATTGCATAGATGGACGCAAAGAGCGCGTGCAGTTCGACAAGATCACAGCACGAGTATCAAGGCTGTGTTACGGCCTTGACCCGGAGCATGTTGATCCCGCTGCTATTACCATGAAAGTCATTTCTGGTGTCTACCATGGTGTCACCACGATCGAGTTGGACAACTTGGTATGCCCCACCATAACCCATAACCCATTATGGCTTCATATGCTAACGCCCTCCAGGCCGCAGAGACCGCTGCGTACATGACCGTCACTCACCCGGACTACGCCATCCTCGCTGCACGTATCGCCGTGTCCAATCTCCACAAGCAGACGAAGAAGCAATGGTCTGCCGTTGTAGCTGACCTATACAACTACATAAACCCCAAGAATGGCAAGCATCAGCCTATGATCTCAAAATCAGTGTATGAGATTGTCCAAAAGAATGCCGAAGACCTGAACTCTGCAATCGTGTATGACCGCGATTTCAACTACCAGTTCTTTGGCTTCAAGACTCTCGAACGCTCATACCTTCTCCGCATTGACGGTAAGGTTGCCGAGCGTCCGCAACACATGCTCATGCGTGTGTCTGTCGGCATTCACGGCGAGGACATCGAGAAGGCAATTGAGACATACAACTACATGTCAAGCAAATACTTCACACATGCGTCTCCCACGCTTTTCAACGCCGGTACGCCGTCGCCTCAGATGTCGTCCTGCTTCCTTATCGATATCAAGGATGACAGCATTGAGGGTATCTATGACACCCTCAAAACATGTGCCATGATCTCCAAGACCGCTGGCGGTATTGGCTTGAACGTACATCGCATTCGTGCTACTGGCTCATACATTGGTGGTACCAACGGCACATCGAACGGTCTCATTCCCATGCTTCGGGTCTACAACAACACGGCCCGCTACGTTGACCAGGGTGGAAACAAACGCCCTGGTGCCTTCGCTATCTACTTAGAGCCCTGGCATGCCGATGTCTTTGGCTTCCTTGATCTTCGCAAGAACCACGGAAAGGAAGAGGTCCGAGCACGTGATCTTTTCTACGCGCTCTGGATTCCTGATCTCTTCATGAAACGTGTCCAGGAGAATGGAGAGTGGACACTCTTCTGTCCCAACGAAGCTCCCGGTTTGGCTGACGTGTATGGTGATGAGTTTGAGGAGTTATACCACCGGTAAGTTATTTCTGTATCGACACAAGAAGCTATGGCATCTAACAACAGTAGATATGAAGCCGAGGGTCGTGGTAGGGAGAAGGTCAGGGCTCAGAAGCTCTGGTATGCCATTCTCGAGGCCCAGACTGAAACTGGTAACCCCTACATGCTTTACAAGGATGCTTGCAACCGCAAGAGCAACCAGAAGAACTTGGGCACCATCAAGAGCTCGAATCTCTGCACTGAGATTATCGAGTACACTGCCCCTGACGAGGTCGCCGTGTGCAACCTTGCCTCTCTTGCTCTGCCTGCCTACGTCGACCATCAGCGTGGCGAGTATGACTTCAAGAAGCTCCATGAAGTCACTAAGATTGTTACCAAGAACTTGAACAAGATCATTGAAGTCAACCATTACCCTGTAGAGGAAGCACGTCGAAGCAACTTCAGGCACAGGCCCGTCGGTCTTGGTGTCCAAGGTCTTGCCGATGCTTTCCTTGCCCTCCGCATGCCATTCGATTCGCCAGAGGCCAAGAAGCTGAACATTCAGATCTTTGAGACCATTTACCATGCTGCCCTCGAATCGTCGTGCGAGATTGCCAAAGAGCTCGGTCCATATGAGACTTACGAAGGGTCTCCCGTCTCTCAGGGAATTCTTCAGTACGACATGTGGAATGTCACACCCTCCGATCTCTGGGACTGGGACTCTCTAAAGGCAAAGATTGCCCAGCACGGTGTTCGCAACTCACTGCTTGTTGCTCCTATGCCCACTGCCTCGACCTCTCAAATTTTGGGTTACAACGAGTGCTTTGAGCCATACACCTCCAACATCTACTCTCGCCGTGTCCTGGCTGGTGAATTCCAGGTCGTCAACCCCTGGCTTCTCAAGGATCTCGTGGATATGGGCTTGTGGTCCGATAACATGAAGAACCGAATCATTGCTGAGGGCGGCTCGATTCAGAGGATCCCCAACATTCCTGACGATATTAAGGCTCTTTACAAGACCGTGTGGGAGATCTCTCAGCGTACTATTGTTCAGATGGCTGCTGACCGTGGCGCCTTCATCGATCAATCCCAATCTCTGAACATCCACATGAAGGAGCCTACCATGGGTAAGATTACATCCATGCATTTCGCTGGCTGGAAGCTCGGTCTCAAGACTGGTCTCTACTACCTACGCACCATGGCTGCCTCCGCTCCCATTCAGTTCACAGTCGACCAAGAAGCTCTTAAGGTCGCAGACACAAATGTTGCTCGTGCGTTGGGATCTAAGCGAAGGCAGTTGGGTGGAACTAGCTCTCCCTCTCCTTCTGCCTCGGCCGTCCCTGCGCCCATGTTCGCGTCGAAGACCCCTAACGGTACTTCTGACAACGGTGTGCCCACTCCTACGGCAACTCCTCCTCCCGCCGCTGCTGTGAAAGATGCTTTCGCACAGAAGCCGTTCAAGGCAGACGTCGAGGAGGGTGACAGCCCAAAGCTCATCAGCGCTGACCCTGCCGACAAGCCTGTAGATGACGAAGTCCTTACTAAGCCGGCTGTCAAGCAGGATGAGGATGCAGAGGATGACTCGGCTGCACGAGACGGGGACATCTACGCTGATGCTGTTTTGGCCTGCTCGATAGAAAACAAGGAGGCTTGCATCATGTGCAGCGGTTAGACAAGAGCGATGATAAGAATGTCTCTGACATTGTTGGGAATATTTCATAAGAGGATGCCATTGTCTTCATCATGTATGGGAACGGCGTTTGGGCTGGATGTCTGATAATTTGCTTCACACGGAGGAATGAGACCATGAGCTTGGATGGGGGAACGTTAGCATTATCAACGTGTTACATATTTGGCCTTAATATATACAGCGGGCTATTATGCTTAAATGCATCATTGACTACGAGAGACTATAGAGACTTTGCAATTGATCTGGAGCATGTGTATCACGAGCCGACTCTCTGTCGGACCCGGAGGAATTTAAGGCTTGGCAGATTCAGGAACGCGCATCTGCCCCTCCACCGCGGGGAAGACCCGCGCGGCATTACGATATGGAAAGCGACCTCGGCGTCTCATATATGACATCCAAGAACAACGACGCCCTACACGCCTTTCAGAGTACAAACGCCCCTCCACCACCAGCACCACATACGCAATCACAAAATCCGATCGAACAGACTATAAAGTAATTCTTCCAGACCTCTACTAGCCACAATTCTAACAATTGGACACAGCTCTCACCCATCGATCCTGTTCACTCCTCCCACCGGTTAGCCCCACATCCTCCGTCCTACTATACCTCCCACACCACACAAACACTCACACACACACTCTCTCTCTCTCCAGGCATACACACATATATATCTATGCGCCCCTTCATACCTCGAGCCACCACCTCGTTACTACGACCGCTCACCTCTCCCCGTCCAAGCATCCTCCCTTTCGCCGCAAGAACCAAATCTCCATTCACCATCTCGTTATCTTCCAGCAGCGCAGCACAACGAACAATGGCACCAGGAGCCAGCAGCACATTGCAGGAGTGGTTGGTCATTGCGCCGGACTTCGAGGGCGCGCTGGAGAAGCGATTGAAGGTTCGGAATGAGCACCTCGGCGGGTTGAAGGCCGATCCGGACAGCTTTTGGCTTTGGGGAGGTACGTTTGTGTTATTGTGCTTTTACTTATTGATATCCTTTTATGGCTTCCTTGTTTCCTTTCCTCTTAGCTAATTATATTCTCTCGTCTACAGGCGCCATGCTCGAGGAGCCTATCAAAGAGGGCGAGACCCCCAAGATGAAGGGCAGCGCCATGTTGATCGGGGCGAGCAGCCGGGAGGAAGTCATCGAGAGGCTGAAGAAGGACCCGTACGTTGCCGGCGGCGTGTGGGACTTGGAGAAGGTGCAGATCATTCCGTTCAAGAGCGCTTTGAGGAAGGCTTTGTAGGTGGGGAAGGGGGGATTGCTGGTGACGAAAGCGTATGGTGACTGAGTCGACCCGGAAATATATTACTACTACATATGAAGGTCTGTGAATAGGACGGAGGAATGGAATGAAATCAACTTTACATATTGCCTCGTTTGGTTTTTCGGATATGTTCAGGACGTATATCATTGTCTCCGGATTCGTGTGCATGCCGAGGCACCCCTATACATACGCTATCATGAAATGAAGGCATTGTTCTATGTTCATTCCTTGCCCCCTTTCGTGATGTTATAGCGTCCTTGACTGTAACTCAATTTGGTGCCTTCGGTGCTTGCACCATGCGTTTGAAGCGTATAGATTTTGCTTCTTCTTTGCGCCAAACATATTGGCGTGATCGTGCGAGTTAGCCTGTCGTAGAGGCAGTACCAGACTTGGTGCATCTGCATAAGGAGCTCTTCCATACTGGGTACTCGCTCGACATAGAGTCCAAGGAAAAGCCTTGCAGGGCGTCGAGCCACCTTTGGTACTTCAACGCGGATGCTTCCCATTTCGACATCCTCGAGCTCTCCGGAACATTCATCTCTCAGTCGGGTGCAATGACTCTCAGGACCCTCATCACTCATTCAATTCACCGCCGTCTGACTCAACAGCCCCGAAACCGTCGTGATCCTGTACCCCCTCCTCTTAAGCTCAGGGATAACCTTCCTCAACATCGGAATCGTCCAGCTCCTCCTATCATGGCAGATCACAATGGCACCTGGCCTCACCATACTCAGCACATGCCTCGCATTGATGCTCGGGTACGGAATCTGCGGGTCATGAGGGTACACGCTCCCCAGTACGATCCGGTACCCCAACATATCCACCCTCGCCCTCATCCTCCCCGAAAAGAACCCAGACCCGGGTCGGAAATACCGGGCGGGATGGGAGGGGGCACCAGCGGCGTCGTACGCGCCGTCGATGAAACCCTCGACCGTCTCGATCTGCGAGATGAGTTCGGAGTCCGGGAGGGAGCGCGACGGCTCGTCGTGCATGGCGTGGTTGCCCAGTTCGTTGCCGTTGGCGACTAGCTCTTTCAGGATCTCTTGCTGTGGGGCTCCATGCACTTGGCCGCCGATGACGAAGAAGGTCGCAGTTGCGTTGTTGTCTTTTAAGATCTCGAGGATCGAGCGGGTGTACTCGCTTGGTGCGTCGTCGATTGTGAGTGCGATGACCTTCTCGGTTGTGGGATACACGTGCCAGAGGACGTCCGGCCAGCGGAATGCAAAGTACCGGATTAAGAGTGTCGGTGGCTTGTAGATTATGTAGAAGGGTGTAATGAAGGCTATTAATATGGCCAGAAGGGCCAGCATGGTGAATAGTCGTGACCGACGAGCACGCCGGCGTAGTTTTGATGGGAGGCGGCAGCAGAGACAGAAGATGGAAGATCGGGGAAACATGGTCCTGGATTTATGGGATCCAGTAGCGAAATATTATGGTCAAGAGAGAATATATGCAATTGAAAGAAACATTAGCGGTCATGATAGGAATTGTCGTAGGGCATCCATGGAAGATTTCAGGCCGTCGAACTGGTGATTATTATGGCATTGAGAAATGGGGGATGTTTAAAGGGTCGTCGGGACGCGCGTTGGGTTTAGTGCCATCCGGTTGGAGATTAGCTGAAGGGAGCGAAAACACGTGGGCGAATTGGCCTGTGCATTCTGCATTTCAGGTCTTTTTTGTTTTGACCTCCTTCTTCCAACTCTTCCAACACCACGCCTCAGACAAATTGATTTTGGCACGATCTGCATTCGCACTCCCTTTCACATACAGAATACGTTCTGTTCGAAAGCAATTAGGCCCTTAGGAACCATATGAACAGTTCATACTGCATACACGCGGTCGATCAGCTCATTCATATAGAAATTTCACCCCAGTAGTCATAGAATTCCTTCTCCCTCCACGGAACCAATTTGTCACGCTTATACGAACTTCACCAACTTCGCTATAGGCCCTCTCAGAATGTTCCAAGATCAAATGCACAGTCGAACGTTTAATTGACCTGTCTCTGCTCTTAACAAGTATATAGCTTGCGCAGGTCTCATGGCGTTCACACATCTCTTCATTTCCCAATCTGAATTATAATTGTCTTCGATTTTAATTTTAAAAATCTCAATATTCAATACGGGTATCTGCCTCCATAAAGATTGTATCCAATTCACACGGTAAACCTGGAAACACTGTTCGAATCATACAGTGTGATCTATTTCTGCTTCCACTTTTTCCAGGCAGATACGAAATCATCACTTCGACCCTGCACGCTTCCGCACTGTGTTGTGCCGGTAGAACTTGGTCCGATCTGATGATCATAACCAAAGTTATTCAAGTCTACCAGCGGTACCATACTCGGGCGGCCATGCGCACACATGAAGGGAAACGTGCATTTCGATAATTTTGTCACTAGTTCCTCGCAATCATGTTTAAGGAGCTCATCGTTGAACATGATTGCAGAGCGACAGGCGCGAGAGTTGATCATATCAACCAAAGCTTGGGGGCAGTGGGACAAACGGCGAACCCATAAAGGGGTATGCGCTTCATCTTCATCCTCTTGCGTCGAAGGGTCAACATCGGCCAAAGTAGGAAGATGTAAATCTTCTGCATATGTCCATACAGAGGTGCGGAGGAACGAAATAAGTACCTTGGGATCCAATCTACAGCGCTCTGCAATGCTAGGTGGTAGTGCTGTAACCACAAGGGATGCCTGGTTGCCTTTAACAATCGAGTGTCCCACAGATACGTCGTATAGAACACCCCATGCGGCGAACCGAGCAGCATGCTTGATAAAGAGATCACTCTCCGTCGGGGATACAGAAAACAGTAATGGCTTTTGCAACATCATGGAGGCGACTTTGGAAGAATATCCGAGCTTGGAGGTGTACACGGTGCCATTAATTGGCTGTTGAAGTGGCGCACAAAGCTCAGCAAGAAGCGTTTCAACACGAATGCGTTCGTCAGCTGCATGTTGATCTACTAGCACGAGAAGGCGAGTATCAGTTCGGCCCTCATCGCAAGCGGAAAACCCAGGCATTTCCACTAAAATGAACTTTCGGTCAACCTGTCCCAACACTCGACATTGGTATAGGCCAGTTTTCGACAGTCTATCGGTGCGCCAGCCATCTTGCGAGCGGAAAGTATTCGCAAAGTCAAAATGAGCGCACTGAGCATGTGCAGATTGAGCAACATGCACATCGGCATCAATTGACTGAAATCTGGGAATAGGGCTTTCTGTAGGCTTGAAGATAGGATTTGTCCAAGTCTGCAGAATTCCATCAAGGAAGGGAGTGTGTATTTCTTGACCATCTTCGTGCGAACTTATAGCTAGGCGCGCACTCACTTTGGGAGGTGCTGAAGTGGCCTGCACAGCGGCGCAACCGGTACGGGCGTTTAATAGGTGAGTTTGCTTGGTCAACGGGTCCGTCCAAACGATCGTGTCGTCCTCAGTATTTCTATCGACTTGAGCGCGAGGCGTTGAACAGGCATCCAACGAATCATTCGAAGGAGTAGGAGTCAAGCCGGCGACTTCTGCACTAGGTTTGGTAGAATTTAGACGAGGAATTATTTCCAATGGCAATGACCTGAGCGGGGGCGTTGAACTTTTTCGGTTGTTGGCCTTCGACATGCTTTCCAAGAATTCCGGTTTGCCAGTCTTGATGCGGGACCAATCCATGAACATCGACTGTCGAGATTTAGCGGGCATAGAAGTCAACCGTTTTCGCTTCGGAGGCGGCTCTCTAGGTGACTCTTGAGGAAATATAGTGAGTGATTTGTCGCTAGAGGGTGACGCTTTGCCAAGAGAGGCATTGCAAAAATCCACTGGGCCTTCCCTATCTGGTTCCGACGGTTCCTTTCGTTGTCTTCTGGAGCGTGTCTTTTGAGGTCGGAAATGATGTGATGAGAGCCACTGCGTCAAAAGGATTTCGAGAACCTCGATGACTGCCTGTAAATTGGCAGTGTCGTTGAACAACTCACCACCAAGGTGTGCTGGTGAACTTGAGCGCCCGAAAGAGATGCATAGGCAGAACATAGGATAGCGATCCACGCCCTTCTTTCCACGAAGTTGTCGTTGCGTAGGCCCATCGCTTTTGAAGCGTCCGTCGGTCTTACGCCGAAGCTTTTCAGATTCATCCAAGTCCGTTTCATCGTCCAACATTCCGAAATTTGAGAGATTAAATATCCTATTGACCGTGTCGTATAGTTCATTATGGCTGCTCAAAGGGGAGATGTGATTAACACCCAGGGAGATGAATTGGACACGCTTGGAAGGAGCCGGGATCAGAGAAACCGCACCTTTGATCGAGATATCAGATGTAGCAGCGGATGCAGGCACCCAAGTTGACCAGTTATCAGTGCTGATGAAATCCAATTGCGTGAGTACGTGCAAGACGTGTTGGAGTTGTGTTGCACTTGTTTTCTCCGGAAGGAGACTCTTGGATGGGTGTTGTGCATTGGTGTTCAGAATAACGGTGTTATTCGCATCTCGTACCCTCAGCCGTACAGTGCCCTGCCATGCGAGGAGTAAACCTGTGACATCCTGCTTAAGGGTCTCCCGTAAACGATCATGCTCCGTCTTTTGCTCTACGGCCACTGCTCTCTGCTTGACCCGCACGGGTAGATTTCCGAACAGATTACGCACTGTCACGCGAGTACCATGGCCCTTCGATGCGATTTCGTTATATGTGGCTACTGGTGTTTGTCTCTCGATTACTTTGGAGTGATGAAACGTTACAGAGTTGTGCGATCGGTACTCGTGATGATGTGATGTGATGGCGAGGAGGGATAGTGCGGCGAGCGAAGCTAGAAATGTTCCGTGGCGACCCAGGTATACTTCCTGGGAGCTATACTTAGAGGTATCTACATAATTTAGACAACGATCGTCACTATACTTCGATGTATACGCACAGTAGAGTTTTCCCAAGCCGCCTCCATCGGCAAATTCGAGCGGGGCAATTCCAAGACCATCATCCTCGACAGTACAGCTACCTCTAGCCCAGTCTACGGTAACCTCGATCCTGGTGGCACGCGCATCGAATGCGTTCTTCAGCAAATCAAGCACGACGCCGTTGAGAGAAGTGATGGCAGTTGAGGACTTGATTTGGGCGATGGCTTCATCCGGTAGGGGCAGAATTGACCTTCCGCGAATCGCAGGAGAGGCAGCTCCTCGACTGTCGTGATGCTTGAACATGGCATGCCATTGGTGCAGTTCGGAGCGTGTTTAGATGGAGAAAGATTGGTGTTTCGATAGGAAGTAGGAAGCTGGATCGGAGCGACAGTAGCTTCCTTGAGGAAGGGTAAGTATGAATAGTTATAGCGGCAGCGACAATGGAAGGATTCAGCTGCCGGCAGTTGTAGCTTGGAACCCGGGCATCACAACTGTAGGTGTCGCAGGTGTCGCAGGTGTCGCAGGTATTACAGGGAGATGGATTGCACATGGATCCATCGAGTGGCACTTTGTCGTCGATCCTCCGTCTTCGTCATTATGGCTTGGCGCCAGGCACGGACCGTTCCATTGCATACATTAGCATACCTAGGTACTTACTTGCCTGAACCATCAAATCGTATAATTATGGGAGATTAATCTATTGCTACTAGTTTCAAATCATATCACCTCACGTCTTCTCTAGCTTTCTCTTTGGCATTGTATTTGTCCGCGTGCTACTCATCATATGTGACCGTTCAAGGTAACGCTCGCTATGAGATGGGGAAGAGGACAGGACCCTGAGGCGAACCCTGACGTGGTTTAGCGCCAGTCACCTTCCCCGTTGTTGCCCCAGTTCTGTTCCCTCAAGTTCTCCCTCTTCTGTCTTTTGTCCGTCAGTCCATTCAATTCAGGCAAGGAGATCGTCTCATCGTCCACCGGAATGGCTACCTACCTAGGTAGTTAGGTCACTACAAGACAAGTAGTTGCTCTAACGATGATATCATTACACTTAGATCAAGATCGTATCGGACCCGTTGTGTAGTCTATGTTTGTAACTTGTAACAACGGACATCATCCCAATCCCCAAGAAGTAACGATGATCGCATATCATAATACATATTACCGGTCCACAGTGAATGATGATGATAGTTAATTACTACTACTGGTAGATCATTCACTCGGCTAGAATACATCTAGGCACTGCATGCTCCTTCGATCCAGCCTCAACTTTCATCCAAACACCCACACCTAAACAAACTCTCCCATAGCCTTCCCGTTACACAGGACTCTATACACCACATTACATTCCTGTGGTGGGAATCATTTGTTCATTCTACGCCCTCTATTCCTCCTCCATCATTCGATAAATTCGAGCCGCCCAGTTCCGCCCTGGTTGTCGACCGAATAGGTATACAGGTACCACGTGGTTCGACCACCACCACCACCCTGCGCCTGTAATAAAATATCCGCCTTCCTTGACCTTGCAACCTCACACCTCTTCCTCTGCCACGATCACATCCACCATCACACAATAAGTACACGCACTACGCACTACGCTTAACGCCTACTCGCCGCCTCCCCCATTGACAACTACGCTTAGCGTTGGTGCGGAATGGCGACCGCCGAGCCCGCATCGAGACCCCATGGTAATTCTCCTGAAGTCATTCTTTGAATGAGCCACAATCGCCGCGTTGCCTTATTATAACGGCGCGCATCACCTCCTACCGCACCACCTGTGCACACATCACACACTCTCCGGATCCTTCGCTAACACCATGACTGTAGACCGACATACGCACAAGCGGCCCTTCGGCTGGATAAAGCGCCTCGCGAACCTTAAATCCTCCACCTCCGATTCCCCACACTCCTCAGGCAAGAAAGCTCAGGGCTCACCATCAAAGTCGAAGAAAGGCGCTGGAAAGAACAACAACCCCTACCCGGAATCCGGACATCTCAACACCACCAATGCCAATACCAGCAGTCCCGGCAATGGTCACTTGTCCTTCTCGACCTCCGTCTCCCCACATTCGAACGAAAGCTTCACATCAGTAGAAGAACGCAACACGGACTGCCAACAGACTGTTGATAAGAGCAACAAATCCACTGCGCCAACGGTTGCAACCAATGTCGAGACCGTACACTCAGGAAGGTCGAAAACGACGGGACACAGCAATAACCTCGGTGGTGGTGGAAGCACCTTTTCCTCGCCCAGCCATTCCGAGCGCTCGCTCACCACCACCCTGACAACGATTCAGTCAACCGCACCAGCAAACGTCCTGGCGCAGACTCAACAAAATACACAAGCAAATGCGCCGCCCGTCCATTTCTCACACCAATTCCCAACCTCTCCGCCGCCGTCCGCCATACCCCCTCACCTAACCGCACAACCCCAGCCTTCCTCGTACCAGGCTGCCACGGCAAACAACATCTTGACGGACAACGCATCGATATTGACATTGGCTTCCTCTTCCAAGCGCCGCCGCCGGAACTCTCTCGACACAAACGCGTCTGTCCGCGCCTTGGCTCCGTCATCCGTTTGGGGAGGAAGTCGGGAATCTCTCCCCCTCAGCGTTCTCTCCGCGAATCCCGAAAGTAGTACCATATACAGTCCTCAGAACCGATCTGGCGTTGCTGGGTTTGCAAACGCAGAGCGAGCGAGCGTGTACTCTTCGCAGGGAGTAGTAGCACCTGTGCTCGGCAGTGAGCGGAATAGCTACTATGCTGGGAAGCAAGCGGATGCACTGAGCGTTCGCAGTGGACTGCTAGGTCACGGCCGTACTGATAGTATCAACGGCAGTATCCATGCCACTCCCTCGAGCCCATTGGCAAGTCCCCGGGATCCCGTTGGACCGGGCATATTGAGCCGGCGCAGCTCAGACTGGAAAGACGCGGCGGAAGCCCACGCAGCTGCAGATGATCGCGACAGTCCTTCCAGCCCTGCCTTATCAAAGAAAGAGGAGAAAGATAAGCCTGTATGAAGTTTCTTGCATGCTGGTTCTTAGCGAATCAATCGTCGAGCAAAGTAGTGGCAATTGACATTATGTTCGCATTATTGTCTTAATTTCATGGAGACAGTCAGATATCCCTCCTTCAATGGGAGTATCCTCCGATTTTCTCATCCTCGGGCTACATGCGTTCAGGATAGGGCAAGGCATCAGGCGTTACTTTATTTTGACGGGAGTAAAGGAGAGCTATAGTGTAGGGAGCAAACGTTTCTGTGTTCGGATTTTACTACAGGTTATACCCTAGGCTATCACGGAGGAAGGTCCTTTTCGGTTCCTTTGGAGAGACGGACGGGCGCACAGGCAGAGTAATCCCAGGTAGCCGGAGTTTAGAAGAAATCGAATCGTATAAGCGTAATTCTGCCATACTGTTGTCACCGTTTGTCAAATCGTGATATATTGCGAGAGCTTCGATGTTGCGGAACATCTTCGCATGTTAAACTTCACAGCTTTGCACCAGACATGAGAAATCTCCAGGTATGCTTACACTCGCTTCATCCCCTTTCTACACATTGCCAATTCAATATCATGATCTTTCTCCCCACACTTAAAGTTTGCCGTGCTCAATCCTACTCGATCAATTCAATTCAAGTCCTATCACATTTTATACTTTGGCTCACTTACACATATGTATGTAGAAAACATTCAAGTTCATGAATCACCCACCTCAACCCGCCCCAGCGTATCAGCACTGTGTTCTCCCTCTCCCGTCGATGCCATCACACATTCTATTCTTCACTTATTCACACCTTCTTTACCCTTCGCAGTGATGCATAGGACCTACGGTGGAATGATGCGTGAATAGTGGTAGTGACTATCTTTCATGAATAGCGAATTTGACTCCAAACTCTCTGTATGAGTAATCGATAATGAAGGAATAATGATACAGGTGATCTCACCGAATATGTGGTTACATAAAACGGATATTTTCTTCTATAATGAAACCGAAGTAGTTTTAGCGAGTGGATCGAGTGCGTAGGTTCTCTCCATACAATAATTCTATGGCTTATAGATTGCCTACATTGAGCAATATATCGTTTACCAGATTCAGAACCTTGATTAAGTTCTATTTATTTAATCTACACACATTCGACTGATTATTATATAGTATCCACAGCCGTAAACTATCGTTCAATAAACCCAAAATAAAAAATAAAACAAAATAAAATAACGTTTGAGACCTTCAGAGTTCACCACATTGTTTCCAATAGGTGGGGTCTCGCGTTTAGAAGCACGACGCCGCTCCTTCGAAACACGGTCCTGAAGCGCCAAAACTTCGTCCAATTACCGACTGCCAACTGACTCGCGGATCGACCGGTCAAGCGACAACCCATGCCTGCAGGCATGTTTCGAGAATCCTCAATCATATCGTACGATATTGATAAGACACTCACACTTCAGCTCCCCCACCGCGCGTACAACCCTACCCATGCATGCGTACGAGAATCTCACGACCGACCACGACTCCGCAACGACGTACATTTCCACGAGTCAATCAAACGAGCAATCAAGCGAGGAAGCAAGCGAGTAAGCAATTCTTTTGAATTATCCACCGAAATAACGATCTTTTATATATATTACCGAAGCCCTATCTCGCTCTATTGCGTTGTAATAATAATAGTGATCCGGTGGGGAACCGAAGGTAGTACCTGTACATTGTATGTATTGTATAGAGAGAAAAAGAAAAAATCAGGTCGTAAAGCCAAAAAGCTCAAATAATCGATCGCAAAAACGTCAAAAAAAAGACAAGATGAATGCGGGTAAAGGACGAGAGAGAGGGTGATCATTACCATTTGTGAAAACCAGTCCAGAATGAAAAGATTCCTCCCAAAGATAAAAAACAATTGCTCGAGAAAAAGAGCCCAGAGATGCTAGATGCTTGCCTGCCTTGATATCGCTAAAAAGAACAACATTTGCGGATCCGGAAAGAGAAAATCGTGTACCAACAACGCGCGAACGGTAACATAGGAAAAGGGAGAAGATGGTGAAGGGAGGCGGTTACATGACGACGCAGAACCCCTTCTTCCCCTTCTTGAGCTTCTTCTTGAGCTTCTTGTTGGTCTTGTCTGTGGCAACGGTAGCAGACGTCTGATTCTCTGTGACGACGACAGCCGCTGCGACCAGAACCTGCTGATGCGCGACCAACAGATCCTTTCCGACGATCTCATCTCTCCACCTGACTCCCTGCTCCCTGACGAACTTCTCCTGCGCCCTCTCCCAGAACTTGACCTCAACGCCCCTGTCCTTCCTCAGCTTCTCCATCCACAGGATGCACTCCTCGTCGTCTAGCTCCTCCCTCTTCGCCTGAATCTCTCGCTCAGCAACCTCGACGTTCTCCGCCGCACACGACGGGCACAGCGTTGTCAGCGGTGTCAATCCACCAGCATTGCTGTTCCTCTTCGCGGGAAAGTAGAAGTCGTACAGCGCCTTCGAGAAAGGTGCGTACCACTCAGCCTCGCAGTCCTTCTTCGCACACGGCCGGGCCGCGTACCTCCACCACTCAGACTGGGCATCGTCATTGACGTCCCTGATCTTGCTGAACCGCTTGCTGTTGGTGGGAGGCGCGGAGGTGCCCTGCTTGGGCGGGCGGCCGACGACGCAGAGCCGCTGGAGGCGCTCCGAGTCCCGGCTCTCGCGCTCCCGGTCCTGGTCGAAGTCCCGCGTGAACTGCTTGAAGTCGGCGGCCACCTCGCCGAGGGTGCGGCGTCCGGCGTTCTGCCGCATCGTCTCCCACTCGTCCTTGCATTCGATGTTTGCGAGGGCGAGGTCGGAGGTTGCGTGCTCCGCGCAGAGACCGCGTTTTCGTCGGAGGTTGTAGGGGGCCTGTTGCGTGTGGAAGGTGGGTCCCAGGGAGGAGGGGAGGTAGTGGGAGGTGCACATTGGGTGCGTGCAAGGGAGGTATTGGAGGAGTGGGTTGTGGGGAGTGCTAGGGGCGGGAGATTTGGGGTTGATGGAGTAGGATTCCAGATCTAGGGATGGGGAGGAGGAGCGAATGGATGAGGCTGGGGTGGAGTAGAGAGATGATGATGAAGAGCTGGCACTGGATTGATTGGAGGCCGGTGTGCAGGTTCCTGGTGTTGAGCTGACGGTCAGTGACGACGGTGCTCCTGTTGGTAGGCGGGCCGCTGCTGAGTTGGACGACGAAGCTCGGGTTGGAACTCGAACGATTGGAAGGGCATGGAATTTGTCGCTTGATTCTTCGTCTTCGTCTTCATCCTCGTCCTCTTCTTCGACGAAGGTTGCTGGGTGAAATTTCGTCTTTGGGTACGGGCTCGACATGCTTCGAACGGCTGTCGGCATGCCAGAGATGGAAAACCGGGAGGTCCTCTTCTTGTCCTTCTCGGTCGTCTCGCCCTCTGATTCCTCGTCCGACTCTTCAACCGCATCAATAAAGCTCACTCTCTTCGTGGGTCCGGGAGGCGGCGCAGACAACCTCTTCAGCTTCTTCGGCAGGATCCTGGATGTCCTTCCCTTCTCCGACCTGACCAGAATGCTCCTGGGCTCGCTCCTTAGGCTGGAACAGGAAGACATGGCACTGCCATTCTTGATAGAAATTATGCTCGAACGTGATGACCTGTCGACTTTAATCCTGGTGAAGAGTGCTCCTGGGCCGGATGGATTTGCGTTTTGAGGTGCCCAGTTTCCATCGTTCATGAAAGCCGTCCTACGATCAAATTGTTCGTACATGGTTGCACTCCTGGGGTATCCCGACGATAGGTGAAGAGGAGGATGGAGAGAGGGAGAGGAGAGACAGCTTCAATTGGGTGGCCGGGGGGGATCACAAGGAGTTTTGTTTATAATGCGGAAGGACCACTCATTCGGGGACCACAGCAGGCTGCAGGATGCAAGATGCAAGACAACTCCAAGACCCTGTCCTGTCCTCTCGTCTCGGAACACGGATTTGTGATATCGAAAACCGGGTTACAAAAATAGTTCGATCTTTATCTTTTTGGGCGCTAGAGCCACGTGCGGGAAGATCCCCTTGTGTGACTAAGAGCAGAGTGGAGCAAAAAGAAAAAAGAGAAAGAAACGGATAGGGAAAAGGAGCAATAAAGGGAAATGACGATCAACGGGGCTGAACAGATCTACTGTGTGATAGTGAACAAGTTGTGTACCGGATGTATGGTTGCATGTATGTATGTATATTATGCGAGATCAATTCGATTGGAGAGACCAGCCAGGCACCACGTTTTTGGAAAAGTAGGGATTGAGAAAGAAAAAAGATCAAGAGGAAGTCTATTCGAAACCTGGTGGCAGTGGGGAGCAGATAAGCAAAAACTGAAAACTGAGGGTAGACCATAATTAGGTTTTCTCCCCTCTGGACTATGGTGGACTGTGGTGGACTGGAAGCAGTTTGACATTTTTTTGCTGTATCCTCTAAAACACGGCACAGCAGGTAGGTTACAGCCTCCAGCCCCAGCGTGTATTGATGTGGATAGTGACATGGACATGGACATGGGCGCGAGCGTGGGCATTGCATTGGCGTCGGAGTGAGCGTGGGTGTCATTAGCAAGCGGGATTGGAAGGGAAGGACAAGGCAAAGCAAGGGGGCCAGTGGGAGGGGACACCGGCTGTCTGAGCTGAGCTGAGATACGCGGTGTTGAGTGAGTTCTCAATCCAATTGTGTTGAGTTGCTTGCGTGCGTTTGGTGTGGTTTTGGTACAGAGTACGTGCAGAGTGCGTGCTGAGGATGAGGACCCACGCAAGGCAAGCCACGCCGCTGTCGCAAGAGGTCGAGAGCATTCGCTAGCTGGTGCTAGCATAACCTTGCGAGACAGAAGACGAGAGAAGAATCAAGAGGCGAGAGGGCGAGATGGCGAGCGAGAGAGAATAGAGCAAGCGAGGAGAAGTGGCTAAGCAGCCTTATGCTGCTGGGAGCCTGGGACACGCTGGGACGGGCTGGGTCCTGCTCGAAAGAGTAGGGAATGTACCGAAAAGTACCTAGTAGGAGAGCGAAGTACGAGGAGGAGGAGACGACAACGACGTGTTCCATACATATTCAGCTCGCCGCGGGTTATGGAATCCCATGCCACGCATTCACGGCGTTTACGGATTAGGGATTTGCTATCCAGGTTGGCGGGACTAGAACGAATTGAATTCATGTTAGATCGTCTTAGATCTGCTCAAGGGAGACTAGGGGATGTTCGACCCACGAGCCGGTATCAGAACAGCAATCCAGGTCCCCTGGGCCCTCAGGCTACAGCCGCTACAGGATCCTGCTCAGCCAGTCTAAGCGAGACAAAATCAGCGAGAAGCCTCAGCCAGGCGAGGCCGTGAGCGCCAGGGGACCAGGGGATAAAGGGACAAGGGGTAAGAGATAGATAGGAACAGGCGTGGGATTGGCGACCAAGACAACGACCAAGAGGACCAACAGACGGAGCAGGGTCCTCGCCAAAGCGCCACGATTGGCGAAGAATGCGAATCTTTCGTCGCGCCATCTCTCACATCATGCCGCAATGGGTATCGAAGCAGAATGGACACAAGAACGGGCTTGCTGACTCGTATGGATACAAATATTGACACGGGAGGCTGCGCTGGCTGCGTTGGCCTGCCACCATCACCGCCGCAAACCACCCCACTCATACATACCTCCTAGCACATACACAACTTACTTTGTACTTCTTACTTTGTCCTGGACTCTTACTTTGTACTTCTTTTGTACACTCTTACGGTCTTACTTGTACGGACCACGGTACATATGTAGATAGGTATAGCACTCCTCCGTACAGTAGGTATGCACATATTCCAGATAAGTACATAGTTGCACAGGACAGCGGTAAGACGGCCCCCATTACCTAGGAATGCTAAGATGGGTACCTTGATACCTACATACAAGTAATTAAATACCCTGTTATGCCTGCCTACTGCGAACTAGTATCCCTACGGTGTAATAACTCGCTCGACTCACGTCTCCGTTGTCCTGGAATGGGCTGATGGCAGATGCACCTATTCCCTAATCCTCTACTGCGCTGAAAGAGAGACAGAGAAAAGACCTTAAACTCTTCACCGGTAGGGGTGTATAGGCATGCACACAGTAACGCTACTGGACAAAACGCTTCCACGGACGGGTCCCAAGCCCGATCCAGGTAGTGTTTTGCTAGGAATAGCTTCTCAACACTATCAGGCACCGCCAGTAAACGGCTTCTTAATTTTGGCCTTACGCTACTCGTATCACTACCTGTACCGTGGGTGGGAAAGTCGGAAAGGTAAGTGGGTAAGGGCCTGGCACCTGGTAGGTATTGCTACTACTGTGTACATAATGATACCACACTCTACCACTACTGCTCACCACATTTCATCATAATTACGGAGCAATTATTGCGTATTTTTATCTGGCCCATCCTTTCATCTCTCCTCCCCTTCTCCCTTAATTACAAGGCGCGTCGGATTACTCAAGACCCGTGCCGCACAACGCACAACGCACTGCACAATGCACTTCCTCTTTCGTATAATATATGACAAAATATCTCATCCCACAGCCCTTTCCCACTAGTTCTCACCCAGCCCTCTCTAGATTTCTATAGTCTATAGTCTATAATTTGGCGTTGGGCTGCTCTTTCTTGAGCATCGCCTCGGCGACCAGCCGGCGCTGGATCTTGCCCGTAGCTGTCTTCGGCATGATGTCGGTGAAGAAAATCTGGACCGATCAGTAAAAAAGAAAATCCGTATCATCGCCACCTCATCCCACAATTATCGCGGGGTGCATGGTTTAGTCCACCACGGCAGACATATTGGGGAGTGAGTAGTTACCTTTTTGGGGAGCTTGAACTTCGCAACTCGCTCTGTTAGCCAGCCCCTAAGCTCGTCCGCGTTCAGCTTCTGGCCAGCCTTCACCACCACCGAAAGCCCTACATCTTGGCCATAGATTTCGTCTTCCACAGCGAAACTGACGGCTTCAGACACGGCTGGGTGCTGGGCAATAACATTGTCCAGCTCGATCGGGCTGATTTTCTCTCCGCCCTTATTGATGAGCTCCTTGATACGCCCGGTGATGATGACATAACCATCGGGATCCTTCTTGCCCTGGTCGCCCGTGCGGAAGAACCCATTCTTATGGAATGAGGTCTCATTCGCTGCTGGGTTGTTAAGGTAACCCTTTGTCACGTTCTCGCCCTTGATGCAGATCTCGCCCTCCTTGCCTTGGGCAACTTCGTTGCCAGAATCGTCCAAGATCTTGATCTCGACTCCCTGACCAATGCCTACGCTCCCAGGCTGGCGCTTGCCAGGCGGCAGAGGGTTGCTCGTCATCTGATGGGCTGCTTCAGTCATAGCATAGGCCTCTAGCACAGGAGCATTAAGCGCCTTTTCAAGCTCATGGAACGTCTTGGGAGAGAGGGGCGACGAGCAGGACCGAATGAAGCGGATCTGCGGTACAGGGCTTGGTAGCGGGTTCCTGAGCAAGATCTGGTGGATGGTAGGCACAGCAGTATACCAATTGGCCTTGTGCTCAACAAAGTCAACCCAGAACTCAGAAGCGGAGAACTTCAGAGGTACAACGACTGATCCACCAGACGCAAGAGGGGCAAGGAAGCCTGCCAGAAGACCATGGACGTGGAAGAGCGGCATGACCAGATACGTACGGTCCTTCGCGGTCAACTCATAGGTCGCCTGGATGTTTTTCATGGTGCGTAGCAGATTGCGGTGCGTCAATGGGACGGCCTTGGGACGACCTGTGGTACCGCTGGTGTGCAAGACCAATGCGACATCTTCAGGTTGAGCGGTCAGTACCGCCTCAGTCTTTCCTGCAAGCTTCCCGGCCTCCTTGATGTCCAAAACCACCTCGCTCCCATTATAATACACCTCTGCGATAGCCGCATTGTATTTCCGGGCAGCGCGAACGGCTGCTGCGTCCTTGCCGAATGCGCCTCGGGGCACGAGCGCAATTGCTGAGCTAAGATCATCGATATAGAACTCGAACTCTGACTGCTTATAAGCAGGGTTGAGTGGAGCTGCAATGGCTCGCTGCCATGCCGCAGCGATGAAGGATACGATGAATTCGTACGTATTAGGAAGTGCAATGGAGACTGCCGCTCCAGCGCTGACGCCGTGTTTCGCAAGCTGCTGCTGGAAAGCCTTCACATCAGCAGAAAGCTTCTGATAGGAGACGGTAACAGCAGGCTTTGAAGGTACGATGACCGCGGTAGAGGTTGAGTCCTTCGAAAAGGCGCTTTCTAATGTTGCTGGTGCCATTGGGTCCTCGATGGGCGTGTATCTATGCTATCCGATCTTCAGACGCCGTCAGTATCCGTCCAATCCACGGGCTGGAGGAGGTCTATACTCTAATCTGTACCAAGCTGTGTCGCAAAACGCATGCAGTCGAAAGAAGCTATGATGTAGGAGTACACAAGAGACCTGCTCAGGTGTTGAGATGACTATGTAGATTATTGCAGCCGTCTATCCGTGGCTTGAAACCCTGGAAACCGTCATCGGCCCGGAGGAGTAAAGTCGCGAGAGCGTGATTTCACGTGCAAAGGCCGCTAGTACCGCCTTGGCACAAGCACGCGACGTCGGAGGATTGGACGCGCCGATCCGTTTACTTTTATTCAGTGTAGGGCCTATCACCAAACAATCCCACAATCGACAACCCCGCATCATTGTTTACGGTCGCGCAAGTAATATTTCATAGTACTGACATGTCATCTCAGCAGAACAAACCCCCAGGGGGTTTGCCAAATCCATATGCAAGCGGAGGCCTTCCTAATCCATATGCGCTGCCCGATCCCGCGGCCGCTCCTGCCAAGCTCACCGAGGAGCAGGTAAAGGCGGAAGAAAAGAAGAGAACTGGTATCTATCATCATGGCTTGTCCACTTTTGAACGTTTTTTTCCGATTACTTATGATACTTTGTAGCGAACATGTTCCACAATCCCCACATGATCAAGCGTCCGCAGGCGAAAGCCGCCAACGTTATCAAAAAGCCAATTGCACCGAAGCCCGCCCTGCCGGCTATGCCAACCACTACTTCAGTTGACCATACACCTCGTCCCGTGCAGCATAGCATTGACTACTATCGTAATACTGTGGATGATGACAATGATATTCTTGAGGCGAAGCGCGAGGCGGAGCGTGAGAAGAAGCAGGCCATGAAAGACCAGAAGAAGTTCAAGCAGAAGTTCGGAAACTGGAACCCCAATGATCAGTACAGACTGAAGCAGACGACGAACATCGCGGCGTACAAAGCCAGTGGAGAGTACAACATAAAGCTCAACATGTTCCGCGACTACTTGCGACAAGCTCGCCGGGACTTTGAGAGCACGGCTGGCGCGGACAAGAAGTCAACGAGTCCACAAAAGCCTCAGTTAAGCCCCGATCTACCCATATCTGATGACCACGTTGCACAATTACCCCAAAGCCCACGAAATTCATCTCCGCATGTAAACCTCTCTGAAGCAGAGACTGGTAACGAAGCATATGAGCGACGACTTGGTCTGAGCCAGTCACAGTCGTTGACTGTCAATTCCGTAGAATCGGGTGAAGGACACCCTAAAGGAATGGAGGCTTCTAATCTTCGAGCAGATACTTCTGAAGGACCGGGTAGCCTATCGGCACCGTCTAAGATCACCAATTCACAGCCGGATGATGCAATCCAGCGACAAGTCCGTCTTGCACAGCAACGAGCACAACAACTGGCAGCGGCCATACCACCTCCACCGCCGCCCTCACGAGCAGCGCCCGAGACACAAGAAGCAATCCCACCGCCGCCTCCGCCTCCGCCTCCCCCTGCGCCTTATAGTGCCACGATTTCTGGTGCTCCTGTTCACTATAGCTCTACCATCTCTGCCGCACCTGTTCATTATGCGCGCCCTGATGTAGTAATGAAGGATGCTGAGGAGACGACGAACACCCGCCCCGCTAAGAAGCAAAAGACGGAATCAAAACCAACCAAGGCTGAGCTCATGATGTCGAAGATGGGTTACAAAAAAGGACAGGGTCTCGGCAAGAATAATGACGGTATCACCACTCACCTTGAGGTTAGGCGCCGAAAGGAGCCGAATGGTGGGCGTCAACAGAACAATGACGACTTTGATTTCGATAACGATAGCGGAGGTGTGAAGGCTCCCAAACCACAAGAAGTCTTTGACATTACCGGAGGCCGCCAAGTTCGACCCAAAGAGCAGAGCAAATGGGGCGAACCCTCACGTGTGGTTATTGCTTGGGGCTGCGTCGATGGCATAGACTTCTCGGAGGATGCTGATAGAGAAGACGGCGGAATTCGACAGGAGATGGGAGACACGTTCGATCAAAAGGTATAGAAAAATACCAGGGTTAATGTTAACTGACTAACACGGGGTTAGTTTGGTTCCGTGGAGCGCATCCACATCAACATGAGCAGCGATTCGAAACCGGTCTACATAGCCTTCAGGGACGCTCTCTCTGCACTCAACGTAAGTCTCCCAGCTCATTGTTTGGATCGAAATGTGACTAATACTCCATCAGGCCGTTAATCGTTTCTCGGGAGGCTATCTGTTTCGGGACAGGCCCATTCGAGCCCAGTTCTACGACGAGAAAAGGTTCAACGACTTCGACTACGAGCACTAGCTTTGGATTTCGGTCTGGGTGTCTTTACTGGTGTACGGGGAATTGTGAATCATTTGCACAATGTTCTGACACGTGAAGCTTCCGTAATAACTCAAGGTCGTTTGTAGGTGGCGACATCTGTCACGCACTGCAAGGATGTTCGGTCTTTCTTGAGTCTTGAGTCTTCGGTCTTGAGTCTTGACATACAGCCTTGCATACATGTTTGAGCTATCCTGTATTTGTAGAAAAGTCCTTAAAGAAAAGGCTCGTTTAGCCCAAAACCACGACGATGCAGCTGCCCTGCACGTCTGAGTACAGGCACCCTACGCGCAAGTGTACCGTATCAGATGTGAATCTAGCCCCAGGACCAAGTCTGGGTCTATACAACAAACCTTTTGGGATGTGGCTTCGAATCTAGGCCTCCCAGTGTGCCCGGCTAACTACTAATCAGGACACGAAGTGTCTGCTCTTAGGACTGGAAAGGTACCTGGCGCTAAATCCAAAACTATCGCGAAGGCCGGGAGCTCCCCGTGGGTTAGCCCGGGTACAAGTAGCCTGGACGCTGATCGTCTAGCCGAATACATTAGCCTCGAAGTGGAAAGAGATCCTGAACCGATCTGTACTCCGTACAACACCACCACCATCAGCACATAGAACAGAAGGAAGACAAACAAACCAGCGACAAAAGGGAGCAGAGAACATGCGCCAACGGGCTCTACTGATGGTCACGCGCTCAGCTTTTCCCGTAGTCTGCCAGTGCATTGCTGGAGCATACCTAAGCGATCGAAAATGACGTTCTCACAAGACGTGCAGCCTCCGGTGCTCTCGATATCATTGTTTCCGGTGTAGTCTTACTATCAAGGCCAAGTACCAGCAAACGTACGAGTACGTGGTGGGTAGAAAGCATTGGATCACATGATTCAGAGGTATCGATACACACGCGCCACAATCACCAGCCACTCCAGTATCGATATCGCCAAGCTCGCTTAGCGCACGGGCCAAATTTCCATTGCCCACTCGAGAATTATATTCCCAGATTGATTTCGACCTTCAGGACACACTCACCCACCATACTAACGACAGCATGCCGACTCATCTCAGCAAGACCAGGAAGCACAGAGGCCATGTCAGTGCCGGACATGGTCGTGTTGGCAAACACCGCAAGCATCCCGGTGGTCGTGGTCTCGCTGGTGGTCAGCATCACCACCGAACCAACTTGGACAAGTGAGTCTTTTGCTCTGAAATAAGGAGAAGAATTTGATGCTGATGTCTCTAGATACCATCCCGGTTACTTCGGAAAGGTTGGTATGCGCCGCTTCCACTTGCTCCGCAACCACCTCTGGAAGCCTGTTGTGAACATCGACAAGGTATGCCAAAAATTCCCCAAAAGCCATCACAATCTGACTTTGTCCAGCTTCTTGCTCTCATTCCTGAGGAGCACCGCGAGAAGTACCTCACCACCTCGTCCAAGCCCGAGACCGCCCCCGTCATCAACCTCCTCGACCACGGTTACGCCAAACTCCTCGGCAAGGGCCGCATCAACATCCCCGTCGTTGTCCGCGCTCGCTACGTCAGCGCTGAGGCTGAGAAGAAGATCAAGGAGGCTGGTGGTGTTATCCAGCTTGTTGCTTAGATTTTAGGCTTACAAAAAATGGCATGATACCCAAAGTCTGCATTGGAAGCAGATTTGAGGTGGGGAAAAATCCGGACATACTCTCCCAGTCGAACTGGAGAAGAGAATCAGCGTAGTGGCTGGGCGGTAGTCATTGATAGAAATCTATAAATGACACTTGCCGAACAAACTCAATGGTCCAATTTCTGTGACGCGCCATGTCAAAATTCGTGATACAAGTTCGTCGTTGTCAGCCTCCGCTGCTGAACCAGGAGGTCTTCTGGAAGACTCATGCGTACTGACTACACAGCAGATGTCCATTGCTTACACTGGTGACAGGCTGATCTTGATTCTGTTCTAGGGAACGAACTTACTGTAGCGATCTTGCACAAGCTCTTCGGTTGTTGCATGTTTCATCAATCGTCTCTAATCAATTACAAATTCGTTGGAGCAGGAGGACGTAATCCATTTTGCGTCTGTGACTTTTGCACTGGCGTCAAGTCCCTTGATCGCCCAAAGAGCTCGTTCCTAAAAGACTAATTTTTTCACCAAACATCATCTTAACCTGTTGAAGTCATTCTCAGATGTTTTTGCAAGTAACAAATAGCACATATTATTACAATTGAGTTCAACAGTGCTTCATGGCATTTCCCCATCTCTGCTTCTTAGCGTACGAGTGTTTAGTGAATCTCGCCTTTACCCTCCCAATGTACAATAGAGGGCCTTGTCCTCAGCGGCACGCTCAGACCTCGTCGTGATACGATATTTCGTGTCTATGCCGTCATTTATATGTTTCCTGAATTCTGCTTACAGCATGATATTCTCACAAGGTTGATCAGTGTTTTATCAAGAAGATCAAAACGATCATGGCATTGATGATCAGATCTTCTGATACGCTGGCCCAATGTGGGATTCTACAAGATTATGTTTCAAGGCAGGACATACCGCGATAGTGTGTATCAAAGGGCCAGTAGGACAGTACCTTTTGGAGCCCTCAAGCCACAGAACTTCTAGGTCATGAACCAGTACTAAGTGTGAACAAAGGCCTTTGGAATTACTGCGATGATTCTATTGTTTGGCTGTAACGGCGCGAAGACAGCAGTCCCCACGCTACATTCAGCCACCTTGTCCAGAGTTTGGATCCGATTACGTTCCTGGAGGCCTGACCATGCCCTCCAACAAATATCTTCGTCCGTGTATCCCTACCAGCTGTAGGCCTTTGAACTGCAGTGACTGTACGTAAAAGTATACCGTTGATCACACTTTCCTCTTCTGAACAGTTTTGACCAGATAGACCCGAGCGACAAGAGCGAATAGACTCGAAAGGAAAGCGATTCCCCCAGCATAGAAAATAGCCGGACGGTATACGCCAATGTCCCCACGTGGCGCACTCTGTTCCCCTCCGCCGGCTTGGAGCAGAAACCCGGCGATGGGGGCGCCCATCAGATACCCTAGGGTCCATCCGGTAGTCGACAGGCTCATGGCCACAGCCGCTCTTCCAGGACCGAAGATAGTCGCCACCACAGTGGGGAAGACGGTAAAGTATGAACCATTAGCAACGCCATTCAGAACGGAGAAGAGAGCTAGTGGTCCCAGTGTGCTCGAAACAGGCCATATGGCTAACATGCTAACTGCATTTAGCGACATCATGATGACGAAGGTGTTCGTAGGGCCAATCTTGTCACAAAGAGGGCCTCCGGCAAATCGTCCGATGGCGTTGCAGGCGTTGAATGCAGCCACCAAGGCGGCACCGATAGTGGACGAGAGACCCAGTGATTGCGCAAACAAAGGTAGGTAAAACGGTGCGACGAAGAGCGAAGCCGTTCCAATAGCGCCAGAGAGGAACATTGCTGTGAAGGCGAGGTTCCGGAACATAGAGAGCTCGATGAAGGGAGCATTTCGAATGAGTACTCGCTCTTTCAGGAACCACGCAGCAGGTAGACCTGTTGCGATGGTCAAGAATCCTTGGATTCGAAACGTCCATTCGATTCCTACGCGGCGGACCAGGGCTTCGAGTGCGATGGCCATCACGGTTGCTCCTATGCCTCCGCCCAGTTTGATGAGTCCATTCGCCAGGCCAAGTCTACCACTGAAATACTGCAACGGTATGACATTGCACACGGTATAGGTAATGTTGATACCAATTCCAGCCACCACCCCAACACAAAGGAACAATCCAGCGACGTTGCCAGTGCAGAACCCGGCAGCGATCATCCCCACACCCATGAGGACTATCCCCACCATCGTGGTGAACCTTGTGCCTAGCCATCGAGTCAGCCGGGTCGAAAGAAGTCCAAAAGCCACGCCGCATGCAAGGTTCAAGGACCCGATAAAAGAGACAGTGGAGGTGGACACATGCGATAGCGTGGAATTGAGTAGCGCTGTCTGCAAAATGCCCCAACAGTTTATCGTGCTACCTATCCAAAAGGTTATTGCTGAAGCGCAAAAGACGACCATCCAACCGTAGCCGCCATCTGGGATCGCGTCGGTGCTAAAAGGAGCATCGTCCGATGCAGTTTCGTTGACCAGGTCTGGCGAATGTGGCTCTTCTGGGAACACGGAGTGTCCGAATGAGTCTGCATTGATGCTGGATCTGGTCGTGTACGGGGATGTAGGGATGGGTGTCAGCTCCACTTCAGCGGGATGCAGCTGGGTGGCTGTCGTGGACATCTCGAATCTCGACAGTAGTGCAGCGGTCTAGATCACGGGGCCAAGTCCCGAAAAGCGATCGTGCGAGAGGTAATTGATCAATGTTTAGTTTGCTTGCCAGGCATGGATTTCCATCAGTGCCAGTTTCAGCAAGCGGATTCTACTCTTAAATGCTTTGGCAGTTGGCTTCAACCGCGTCTGTTAGTCATTCCTATCTGGCCGCGTTCGGCCAGACAAAATTGAGGGGAAAACTACACTACTGGTCCGTCACCTCGTTTTGCCGGATAACCACCACTGCCCATGCTTCGTTTTCCGATAAGCGAGCATTCCGTCTTCCTTTCGATGACTTCTCCTCACTTTATTAAACCATGTTGTAATTACGATAGATATTCGCATTTTCACTGTACTCTCACTGAACGCGATCGCATCAAAATGTGGGAGGTTACTGGTGCTGACAAATGCAATGGCCAGACAAGCAGAACGATCTTCATTCTTCCGGCGATCTCATGCCTCTCTATGCTACAGAAACTCCGACCTTAAGCATGTTTCGTTATACGGAGTAAATGAAGGTTTAGCTATGACCATAGAACGCCTGGTACCATCAAGCCAAGGTAGCCATGCTTTGTGTGTATTTGAAGATATACACCTTTCATAGGAAAACGATATGATCAACCTACCTCGATCTGACTGGGTGTAAACGTTGTATTCGTTGTACATGTTGTCAGAGCACTGGACAGTCGAACCAGCGAGTAGACGTAGAATGATTCCAAAAAGGTATCACAAGAATTGCGTTCGCCACTTCTATACTTAATCGATGAAGATTGAATTCTCCTTATCGTTCGTAAGAATACGGCTCATTCGAGCGCAGACATATATCTCTGTGCCTCGGACATCTTGACCAAAGCTGAACCTATCCCGTTGGGGTCAATATCTCAAATGAGGTCTATGGGCTAGAAGCTCCTCATTGAGTGATAAAGAGGTACCATTTCGCTGATCTCTAATTTAGTCGGGATCAGTCGTACTGTATCGTCTGTGAAGTGTTTCACGCGATCCAACTGCTTTGTCGATCGAGAAATCAAAATACCAACGGTGCCAGGCTTTGGTGATCTTCTTAAGCGAGAAGTTGCATTGCAACACTTAAAAAACCGATATGCTATTGCCAACTATTTTATGGCTTTATTCTTGAGGAACTAATGTAAACGTAGTCATACTACATCTTTTCCTTGACTTCGATCTATTACGAGTCTCTACCTTGAGATAGTTAAGTGATCATGGCTTACAAATTCAATCAATCCTGAGACCTTCTTCTGGCGCTAAGGCTGTGAAATGATGGTCGGGGATGATGGTATGTAGAAACACAGAAGCATAATGTCTAATGACAATTTATACGCCACACATGAGACAGCACAGCAAAGGCGTCAGCTCGTCAATAGATCCGCCCGATCCTTATTCTATATCTGTCATGTCTGCATATCGAGCAGTACGTTATAGCAATCGTAAGGCTGCAGAATCCATGGAATTTGCTGCCAAGTGGACTGACTGATCTGAAACAAGCCCTGGCCACATTGATGAAGCGACCAGGGAGACATTTTCATTTTGATCAATCTTCAGATTGAAGTCACTATTATGATGATTCATTTCACTTAGCGCACAGTTTATATGACACTCAAGACACCGTGATAGTCGATTCTATCATAGTCCGCGATTCTACGGTATTGGAGGCTCTGTTTCTCGAAGAATCAACTCCAAGTATTAGTTACGCGCTGAGGTGAGAACAAAAACGCCCCGGCGATGCTTCGCCCCACTAAAGCGAATTGTAATCATCTCCATGCAGGCAGCACAGCCTCGCAACGCCTGCCATGGCCTTGAAAGAATTCGCAGATTCACAGCTTGTTGAATATGTCTCTGCTTCCAAGTCCTTACTTTTCCTACGATAGACAAACGGAATGTCCGACAGTTTCACAAAACAAATCGCCCAAATTACTGCAAACAGACCGACTAATTACTCAATCGTCCGATAATAGCGACCTAGACCTGGCAGCATGGCTGCTTCTGAGAGCGAATCGCAAGACCAATCTCTCATTCACCAAGCCAGATGCCACAAACGAGAAGATGATACAGGCTTCTTGAATATTTTCAAAGCATGGTTCTGGTATCCTCTACATCTAGCATGTTGTATCGGATTCGTCATACTTATGCTGTATGCGATAGATGGTCAAGATTTTGGGACTGGATCACCCCCTAGCCTTGGTGACCGAGCACAAGGATTTGGACTGTACCAGACCGAGGTGAACGGCTTCATCTCAGTTGCACTGGTTCTGATGCGCCTTCTTGCAAGTTGCAGCGCAGCCTTGCTCGTCTGGAGACTTATCTACATTCTTCTGGAGAAAAGCGGTCTTACCATTGCAGAGCTCTGTCGACTCGCGAATCTGAAAGTACCTATTGTTCCTCGCCTGGATTCACGCCACAATTTTCACTGGACTTGCTTCGCTGCCATCATGACATTGTTACTATGGCCACCGTCTTTTGCTGCTCCGCTGGCTAATTCTTCTTTGAATTGGATTCCCTCGACACGTGTCTCACCTGAGCCAGGCCAGTCTTTCAAATTCCCGATTTACGACAGACAACATCCTGACCGCGGCGGATTTATTTATCCACATATAGTAACACCTGCTATTTTGAAAGCCAGCCTAATGGTCTCACAAGACCCCGATTACGCTTTTATCGCGTTGAATAAGTCCCAAGTCCCACTCAAAAGATACATCTACGATTCCTCCCCCCCTTTGAACGACAGTGGCATATGCAACATAATGTTGCCGTACTTCAAGGTTACAGGGATACAGTGGCTTGATGCACCAGAGGGCGTTGATATATGGAACCTCGACAATTCAAGCATGCTCGACAATAACCCCAATCCTGGTCAGTTTGCTGGTGTTGGCACCCTTGGATTTTTCACTGAAACCAAATGGAACGCCGGCCAAGCTATTGAGTCATACAAAGCTCATGAATCAGAGACCTTCGAAGGGAAACGAAACATCTCCATATTCGTAGGGGAAGTAAACGTAGGCAAGCCACTCAAAGACGGAAGTATCCCGACTATTGATACACCATGCTCAAGTTACGGTGATATTCTTGGGGAGTTGCCGAGCGTCAGCCAAGCTTCCGTCAATATCTATTTCAACAAAAAGTGGATGGCGAAAAGATGCTACATGCTCGCCGAGGTGAACATGAAAGCAGGCGCGTATCCGAATCGCCGCGTCAATATAAAACGCGTGGGTTTTTCGAACAAGATGAGCATGGCTGTTCCTATTGATGGTCCTGCAGACCTGGACCCGGTCCTCAGCCCCGACAATGCCATTTTGCCCGTCTTGGACATAATGTCAGATGTGACGAGGATGATAACGTACATGGACCTAACTCCTGGGTGGCAGAAGAACAACAGTATCGACAACTATGTTTCTGGAATGCTGACGACTGCGTATCACGCAACTTGGTCTGCAATGCCCACGCAAAACGCTACAGAAACTGTGTCCATCACGCCTTTGGAGCCAGTCATTCAGGCAAGAGTGAATAGAGGGAGATTGTACATCTGGTTGGCTATGAACTCCACGCTCACTATTGCTGGTATTATCCTGGCAGCCGTTTTGAAGCTTGCTGGAGAGGCAAAAATAATTCGCGACACTACTTTGGCAGCGATGACTCTCGATCTTAAGTACATTGCACATGAAGGTAACAACGGGCTGTGCAATGCGGTTGGCTTGAACAAAGACGACCGTGCTCTGGGGAGAGTGAAATGGAGCAACGACGTGGATCCCGAGATAAATGGCTCGGATGGAGAGAAATATGGTTACAGATGCTGTAAGGACTTGGTCTTTGTAGATAAGAAATGATTGAATCCATCGTTGATCTTGATGAACTGAAATGGCTTTGTATCTCATACAGGTCAAATTACTCCAGACTTTGCAGATTGAATTTTAGGATGACTGCATAATAGTCGTTTACTGTATAAATTACACCCACTGCATATAATTATATCACCCGGAGGACCGAATTATTGCCCGAATCCTGCTTTTGATCGATTCTACATCCTCGTTCAATGAGAAGAAATTATGAGGATGTCGACTCAAATGGAGATAATCATATTCGTCGCGCTTCTTAACACCTCGTTTCGGCGCACTTATCTCAAGAAGAATCGACTCCATCGTTGAATGCCTTTTAAGGCTTTCCACATCGTCGTCCTGGAGATGCAACTTAGCAAATAGCAGTATGAAGGCTACTATACTGGCTGCTATTGGAGTAGCGAATGAAGTCCCTGACTTATGGAGCTCGAATGTTCTGTCCCACATTTTCCCTGTATGAGTATATAGACTTTCTGGCCAAGCTGAACGGACCGCCTCTCCGATGGTCGCAAAGTTGCATGCGTTCTCCAGAGCTGTTGGACTGAAGTCTGATCGGTTGCCATAAGCATTAGTTGAATGAATGCAGAAGGCATGCTTGTCTCGTGCAGGATAGTCTCGTGTAGTGTTACCACCTCCGTTTGAGGCAGCAGCGAATATGAGAGCTGAGTCGTCCGCATACTTGATTGCACATTCAAGGTCTTCATATCCATCCACTCGCATGGAGAAGCCCAGAGACATCGATATGACATCAACTTCCCATTCGTCCACAGCATATTTGATTGCCTATACGTCGGTCAGGGCCATGAAGCGCGTTGAAAATTTGACTTTCTATGGGAGTTACCTGGGCAATGACTCGTGGGTCAAGTTTGTCGTCGCCTGAGATCTTCGCCATATATATTTCCGCATGTTGTACATAGTCGATGAAAATACCGGTAATATGTGTTCCGTGACCTGAATTATCCGAAATATCGTTGATATCTTGGCCTGGTACAAAATTTCGACAGTCCTGTATGTTGCCGGTTCGTAATTTAGGATGGTACCGATCTGCGCCCGTGTCTAGGATAGCAATCTTGACAGGTGGTGGAACAAAGGATTTGCTCATCGGCCTTGTTATAAACTCGAAATACACATTCTCAAATTCGTTCTTCCAAGCTGCATATCCCGTACATCTGAAGACATGGTGAGATTCCTTCCTCCAAGTACCGGACTGGAGGGTTTACTTACTGCAATTCTGTACAACCCTCATCTGGCGTCGTATCGTCATGGAATACCCCACCTGAATGGCTGACCTTACTAGATTTTATCTGGCCGGGAATGACAGTTCTTCTTGCCCCCATTTCGAGTCGAATTTCCCCAAAGTCATTTCGACAAGACATCAAGCAAGCCGATGCCGTATTCTGAGCTTTACATATACAATGAACAATATTACTGCATATGTGAGAGTCCGATATCTCATGTCCGTACTTGAGATCCACGTCCCATGCATATGCATCAAGTTCCTCCACTTTGACATAGGCAAAAGCTTTACTGAACTCTTCCTCTAATGGCAGTATTATGTGACGGTAAATCATTTCCCTCAACTTCGTGTCAGTATATCGTTTACCAGTATCGTCTAACCAAAATGCCTGATTCAAGCACTGCTTGATTGCATGATGGAATCCTGGATTCTCTGATACCTTATCCTGATTTCCGGCCTCATAGTTATCGAACAAAGAGGCAGCTGTCATCCAATTATTCAGCATCCCTTCATCCCGCCACTCCGCGTCATATTGATGCGTCAACGTTGGGAAAGGTTTCCCTAAATATAGCTCTAGGAGCACAATGGCCAATGAAACGGCGATTGGAAATGGATGCGACGTCAAATCATCGTCAAAGTTATCTTCAATGATTATGTCTGTGTCGGATGAATGGGAAGAGCCATTGGACGGGTTTTCCGTAAGCCGCACCTGAAGATAAGGCTTGATTGGCACAGCTTTCGAAGACGTATAGAAGAACAAAACATCTCGAGAGTCCCAATTCTGCTGTAACCAAGGAGTATCGCTGAAGTGCAACACAGAGTAGCTGATCAGAATCGATATTATCCCGATACTTTTTCTGCTCAAAGATTCGGTATTATTTGCGATGATATCTCGAAGGGTGACAGCGGGTTTTCGGTCATCGAACCGGTCAAAGTTCTTGCGTCTTTTGGTAGGAGGGAATTTCCAAAGCAATGAATCTTCTTCCAACGTCATTTCTAGACATTTTGAGGTGGCTTTATTGCGAATGCTCATCGGCGCACATATGGTTTTTGTACGCTTGTAATTGCTTGGGCATCTTTCAATGTGCGCTGATGTTTTGACCGAAGGCAATTGAAATCGCACAGTAGGTTCATGTGTCTTAGGGGAATATACTGGTAATTCGGACACTTGAACATGTGCTTCTAGCCATTTTTCTAGTTTTGACTGTTCCACATTGCCGAAACTCCAAAACATATCAAAGTCGGGCCCATCATCGGACAATGACTTTCGGTGAGTGCTGAGGCCAATGCGTGCATTGAAATCTTTCGATTTATGGCATTTACATGTCGCATTGACCGTAGTCGACAAAGTCTGAAACAGGGATGTCGCTGCTTTAGGTATTTCAAGAACAAAGCTTTTCGAAATCTTGTTCCGCTGTCCATACTTTGTAGATGAATTGTAATCCAGAGATTTATTCTTGATAACAGTCTCCCACTCGTCCAGAGATTTCAAGAATGCACTTGTGTCGATACGGGCCTCGACATTGATGTATTTTGGCCATTCATGTAAATCCTGAGGTGTCCTTCCCCACCATCTGTGAAGAGCTTGTATTCGGGGATAGCAATTGGAGTTCTCAAGCCCTAGCGAACTCCAGTCGACAGTAGTTGTGACCAAAGATTCGTAAAATTGCAGAATGGTATGTGCTAGAGTATTCTCAGGGGCAGCTTCAAGTTGTTGGGCATAGTCGATGACAATATGACAGTAAGCTAATAGATGATAGCCAAAAGCGCGAACCTCGCGATGCGTCTTTTGTGTCGTCAGGTACTGTGCGATTTCTTGAAGCGTTGCTGTCGTTTGCTTTACGAGTCCTGTCGCTGGATCGTTGGCTGGGACTTTTCTTTCACGTGCTCTCGTAGCTGAAAACTCCATCTCATTCTCGTTCGATGTGTATCTTCATCGCGATTGATGATGCATCCATTTGGCAAGGGGACAAGATGCAGCACAAGGCAGTCGTCGTGGTGGAAGCTATGCGGCTGAGACTCTACCCCGCGTGTTTTGTACGTTTCACCAATAAGACAACGATTATAAAACAACATGACAGGGATCCCCTCTAGGATACTGTCATCACTACTCTGACAATTTACAGACCAGTACATAGTATCCTCATAAACACATCTGCACGACGATGAGCAGAGGTGCAGATCAAGAACTGCTCTCGGTGGCAGATGCTGCCAACCACTGTTCATCATCTTTCCAGGCTTGCTTTGATCTACTCGCCATAGACCCACAGGTCTCATCGCTGTTAGAGGATCAGCTCTCGCGGTTCTCTCTCTGGGCATCTACCTTGAAGGTTTCTGTAACAGGCCGAGCATCTTTGGACCATGCTTTGCGAGAGACACCTAGGGTAAAAGAAGTCGTAATGGGTCTCTTATCCTTATTAGATGACCAACTACGGGATTGTAAGTACAACATCCATGTTCCTGCTAAAAGTTGACAAGCTATTAACTGTTCCAATAGATCACTCTATGCTCCTAAATCTGCCCCAGCTAGCTAGCAACGAACGTAAAGTATCATATGATACGTTTACCAATAAGATCGCGGACGAGATAAGCTTGCTGTATCGAGTAATGAATACCATCCTTCGAGCAACGAAGGAATCTCAGGATTTAAGAGTATTTGCTTCGATCAAAGTGATGAGTGAAGATGAAGAGAAAGGACTCAGGACGTCATTTTACCATCGGGTACGCGATATCTGCCACACAGGGGCCAGTGAGGGACTTGTTAGTCGCCTCGCCGAAACAATGGTGCTTCGGAGGAAAAGGATTTTATACCACAGAATGCGCCATGGAAACAATAAAGCGATCAACCCACAAGAAAACGATGGCAATAAGGTTTTCGATTTCGTCGTCGCCCGGCCTCCGCCCCCTGAATCCAGATCTGCGGTTTTGACAGCGCCAACACTCCAATTGGATGCTTACAACAAGGCCTCTGCGTTTTCTACAATCAGCCGGCCGAGTACAGTAGGTTTTGACAGGCACGAGGCGTTACGTTTTCCTTGTCCCCCCAAAACGAAGGTTTTGCGTCGTTTCAAAAGATTGGAAGAACAATGCCGTCGACAGTATATGGGCATGAATGAACTGGAAACTTCGTCCTTTGGAACCCCAGAGACGACAAAAAAGCTTGCTGCCGACCTAGAAAAGTTGTGGTGTGAATTGAATGGTGGAGCTCCAGAAATCCAATGCCCTTACTGCTTTCATGCACTTACTCGAGCGGATATTGAGAATGAATCCAGATGGCGGTAAGTCATAGCCTCTAGATGGAAGAGCGAGCCAGTTACTTATGCACTCAGAACTCATGTCAGAGACGATCTTGACGCATACGTATGCCTTTTCGAACCTTGCGATAAACCACTGCAGCTGTTCAGCAGCAGCAGCGAGTGGCTCAAGCATATGCAATATCATGCCCAGCGTTGGAAATGTAGCCATTTGTCTCATGGTCCGCTATCCTTTGAGACACAGGAAGACTACGAATTGCACGTCAAGAGAGATCACCAACGGTCACTGAATAGCCGGCAAAGCCGAATACTGGCTGAGACAAATAGACATCAACCCGAGGCCTTATTCGTAGTCTGTCCAATTTGTGGTGCGCAAAGATCTACCACAGACCTTCTTATAGACCATGTAATTGGTCATTTGAGATCCCTCGCTCTCCAGTCACTACCTATCCACTATGACGATGAGCCACAAAGCATAGAAAAGGAGCAGATTTCATTCCAGCAAATATCAGAAAGTACTGCGGGGCGAAGTACAATTGACAATGCAGCATTTTCGATCATCAGCAATCATCTAGACGCAACTTCTCGGGCATCAGGAATGGCGCATGAGGGCTACAGTACCACCGCCGAGGAAGAACCTTCAATGAGGTCTGTCTGTGGCGTTGATGGCTGTGACATAATGTTTTCGAAGTCTCACACGGACGACGACAAGCTGCTCCATTACGAAGACTACCATAGTTACAACAAAGAACTGTTGGATAGTTTTCTAATGAGCCCAGGGGAAATTGCAATTGGTCATCCACTTGCTTGTGGCATTGATGATTGCACGGCAACATTCACTGGGTCTTGGAAACATGGAGATAGAAAGGCTCATATCAGGAACAAGCATGCCCCCAAACCAAGAATCGCCAACAGTCCAATGAAATATGAAGTCGATGGTTCTACATCCATATTCTCTGGAGCTGACCCAAAGGGAAACAATCTGCTTCACATCCAGACTCAGCATCCACTCGCAAAAGAACACAGTGACAAAAATGCCACGAATGACCGAGTGCAAGATTTGCAAATCAATGACAGCCCTCTGGTTTGTGGAGTGGCTGGTTGTACTACGACTTTTACAAAAGGTTACACACGTGGTAGCAGGGCAAGACATATTAGGAGTCATCACAGTATTCCGGAGTTTATCTGTGAAGCTGGCTGTGGAAAAGTGTACAGGAGACAGGATGCCCGCTTGAAGCATTACCGCAAATGTCACCCTCATCTGGCACAGCCTGCGGTGACACGACGAAGTAGTGTTCGCAAGATGGATACGAACGAGGAAACGGCTCGAGCGAAGAGGCTACAAATTGATTTTGAGGACTATGAGGGGGAAAATGCATGATATTCAAACAGGTCATTCTCGATGAAGCGTGGACCATGACTGATGAACTGACGATCATTTGTTGTCGATGCCTGCTAAGGTCAAGGTACGATCATACATCGCTTGATTGGCATGACAAGAGGCGGTTCTAGGGATGCAAAGACCATTGTGTATTCGTTTCGATCTCACACGTACACAGATGGGGTAAATTGTGGGTTTCAAAGGGTGCGTGTTATGGTCCTCTATATAGAGCTTTCATCTCGAACCAATACTTGTTCCGTACCTAAGCCAAGGTTATGGTTGGAAGCCTGGTTACGATTTTAACAGTCCGGTAACAGTATACGAATCATATACCTCGCTACCTACCTAGTAAATACAGTCTCTCGATATGATGGAAACAAACCAGACGTCATATATATCAACCATCCCCACGAATCAAGTACACACGGTGGGGTATTCAACAGGGATATCAGTAGCAATGGGTCTATCAACCTCAGACAAGGGAACCCTTTTTGAGCGACCATTTTCTGGAAGCGAAAAAACAAACGAGGACTGTGTACATAAGTAGAACCGTCGAAATCACTGATCCACGTGGTTCTCTGGATCGCGGTGTTAATGAAGGCTGTCTATTTGTCAAGCGCACTGCATAGAAGGCATGTACCTGTTTCAAAGGGTCCCGAAATGCGGGAGCAGCCGTTTGGAGAAGCCGATGAAGTCTGAGTTACAGGACCCGAGGAGCGCCATTGCCGGAGAAGAAGATGAGAGGATAGTGCTTGGCTGGAGAATGCTATGCGAAAGGTAGCGAAGAGACAATGACGTGGTTTCCCCCGTCGCGGGATAGTGCCTGACTGGCTGCACATATCTAAGGAGTCAATGGCCTTGGGTAGACGATGCTGTTTGATCGCCATACTACACACTCTAGGGGTTTTCGCTTGTATACCCAGAAGCTTTGTAACGTCATGGCATGAAACGAATATAGTAAAGAGTTCTAGTGATTGTGTAAATATAGAATGGTGGTCAGAACACTATGATCCACCGACATCGTGATGTAGCGCTCATGTCGCGGTATTATGGGCAGCATATCTTCAGATATAGGCACACCATTTTTGCGAAGGGAATAAGAGCTTGCAATAGTCATACAGGGAGATTATGGTCGAATATAGCGCGCGATAATATATTAAAAGTCCAAAGTTAGCACGGGCGACATCCGCGATCCAACATAATCTGACTGCAGCAAAGCAATTTTACAATGAGCGTAATAGCTCACATTTAGCACATTCTGAGAAAAAAAAAGGAATCATTGCGTTTGTACAATGCAATTAAAGGCCGCCCAGAATAAGTTGAGAAATCTCAATTAGCAACCGCTGTATTTCGCGGAGATTGATGTGGTGAACAATCTCATCTCAGGAAAGTCGCCCCCGGTTGTAGCGTGGTGCGCCTCATAAGACGACACGGCACAACGAGCTAACGTCTGATGAATTGCGCGGGAGAGGTTGCCGACGTATCGTAAATTTCTTGAGGACGGAACTAGATTCAACGTGAGCTGTCAATCTCCCGCGCTCGGAGATAGTTGCAAGGATAGGGAGACACGGCTTCTAGGCTTTTGCTAACATTTGCGGGTGGAGAAAAATCATAAGATGGCCAGAACCGTCTGCTTTACCATTCACTGGGCTACTCTAATAAGAGTTTAAGGATTTATCTAAACTCACGTTCTAGTAAATGAGTAGAACAGCTACATTGCGCACTGTTCATGGAATGGAACAACACTGAAGTTGCCCGAGGCGTGGCAGTGGGCCCCAAGGTTTGGAAATACGCCTGTTCATGTTGGCTGAGACATATGTTCCCATTATTATGTTGTACTGTCACTGATTCGGCGCAAGGCTGTCAAAGGTGAAAGCACTGGGCAGCTGCGAGTTCGATTTAAACTATCCGCAGCTCCCTTTAGCTTAATGATTGATGCGACGATAGGCGGGAGCGGCGCGGGGACTAAGCAACAATTCTAGGGAGGATTACATATCGTGAACCGCGACTGTTCGGCTCTCGCTTGCTCGTTATGCATCAAATATTTGCTTTGTCTTATACCTATTGTAGGTATGGGTTCGACAGCTCTAACGTTGATAGATCGCTGTTCATGTTTCGTGAGAAGTGTCGCGCTAATGGTGTGGATTATTCATGCGCAGCGTCGAAGCAAATTGCACTGGAGATAGATGATGTCAATTTCGGCGAAGCTGGACATGATGAGCAGGGTAGCTGGTCCAACTACTGTGTGCAAGTAATAAGAAGCTCGGGGATTAGTGTCGCGAAGCTGGACATGATGAGCAGGGTAGCTGGTCCAACTACTGTGTGCAAGTAATAAGAAGCTCGGGGATTAGTGTCGCGAAGCTGGGGACGAAGGCGAATGGAGTGAAGAGGTGCAGATTGTAAAAGGGAGCAAAGGGGCTCGGGTGGAGGAGAGGAGGGAGGCCATCCGTCTCACCTGGACGGATTCGGTTTGGTCGGGTCATGGAAGCTTGCAGTTACTTGCACAACTGATCTCGCTCACACTGTTTCACCCTCCAGCCACACCCCCATCTCTCTCATTCATGAGCATTCGGCCTAATCGTCAATATGTGAACACGAGCGTAGCCGCAACATGAGATGGATGGTCTCATTATCATCGGGGTTGCACAGTGCGGCTACGTTCTGAGCCAGCGTCATTGTTTGTCTCCCGTCAGCCTACGATGCAGACGCAGACGCAGATGCATTCAGGCACCACGCTGAATGTGCTGCTGTCAGGAACACATTCGCAATTGGCTGTTCAGATTGTTCTATCCATTTTAGCACCGTTGGCAGGGAAGATCTGCACATGGCCGCCTCTGGGCCGTGTTCTATTCTGGCCAAGCGGCGTGAAACGCAATTTGGGACGGTTGCCCACCTGCTTGCCGAGGAATTGGTTCATTCTCTGAAGGCGACGGGCGTCGAAGAAGAAAGAGTAAGGGACATGGGGAAATACGAACGGACTAGATTGCAGCGATCAACCTGATTATCGATTGCATCTGGCGGAGGACATGTACCCACCGCGATAGGAGGATTGCAGTAACGGTACAGCACCGATTGCGCTGAGCATGATGAACCTCGTCGACCTCTCAGCGGTTGCAAAAGCATCCTTTTGGGCCATTCAGGACCGACTGGGCACACCTTCAGCATGCAGTAAACACTCAGGGGAGTTGTTCTGCGCTGCTCAGCGGCACCAACCCGACAGCACACAAGCCCAGGCCGCTCACTCGCTGGGCGCGTACTACACAGTCTACGCTACATCCCGGTAAACCCCCGGCAAATCCTAACCCCAGCACATATCCATCAGGGCGTCGACGTCGACTGGTCCTTGTCCCTGTCTATCCCCCGTCATCGAAATTAACGTCGGCCAGGGCACCATGGTCGTGCGTTCAGATGTTTGCTTGGCGGGGCTTCCTGCAATCACTCTGCTCTCGTTCTTATACCACTCTTCGTGCCCTTCCAGTGGTTTTTTGCTCCTCACCGCAAGGCTTTACTTTCATTAACACATTCGCTCATTGTCTCTTAGTAGACACCGACTTTCCTTCACCAACCCCAGTCACTCCTTCAGACCACTGTTCACGTTTTGCAGAATTGATTTCTGCCTGGTTCGTTTCTTCGCAACATCAATATCCGGCAAATCCCGACAAAGCACTCCATCTCAATCCTACCAGGAACATTTGAAGCCTTAGCAATCTATCACTTAAGAAAAGAGCAAGGAACAACCATTTCAAAATGAAGCTTACCGTCGCATTCCTCGCTGCCCTCGCTGCTGCCGATGCCCGCCATGCTAAGCGTCAGGGCTACGGCGAGTACCCAGTTGGTGGTGCCTCCAGCTCTTCTGTCCAGGCCGTCTCCAGCAGCTCTGCTCCAGTCCAGCCTCCCGTCACCTCCGTCCCAGTCGAGCAGCCAAGCACTACTGCTTCTCCTGAGGAGGGTGCCTCTTCCAGTGCCCCAGGATTCCCTACCTACAACACTGAGACTCCTGTTGAGGCCCCGAGCACCACTGCTTCTCCTGAGGAGGGCGCTTCCTCCAGCAGCGCACCGGGCTTCCCTACCTACAACACCGAGACTCCCGTTGAGGTCCCAAGCACCACTGCTTCTCCTGAGACCCCCTCCGAGACTCCCGTCGAGACTCCCTCTGAGACTCCTGTAGAGCTCCCAAGCACCACTGCCTCTCTCGAGACTCCTGAGGCAACCACCAGCGCCACTTCCGTGGTCCCTGAGTCCTCCACCTTGCCAGGCGTCACCTACCCCGGTGTCCCCACCGGCACCGCTGTCACTCCTGTGGTTCCTGAGTCTTCGACTGCCAACCCACTCGAGTCTTCCTCTCTGCCCACTTTCCCAGGAACCGGTGCCACCTACCCCGGTTACCCAACCGGCACTGCTGTCACTCCCGTGGTTCCTGAGTCGACTGCTAACCCAGTCAGCGGAGAGTCTTCATTCCCCACTTTCTCTGGAACTGGCACTGTCTATCCCCCAGTCCCTACTGGCACGGGCGCTGTCCCAAGCTTGACTGATGTTGTTACCTCGATCATCTACTCCACTCAGATCTTCACAGTCACCGCTTGCGCTTCCTCGGTCTCTGACTGCCCAGCCGCCTCCACTTCGTTGATCACCAGCGTTGTCCCCGTCGGCACCACTGTCTGCCCCCTCACCACCGCCGCGCCTGAGGCCCCTTCATCCTCAGCCATCCCTGCTGAGGGTGGTGAGTACGGCACCACTGTCGAGGCTGTCACTACCCCGGTCAGCGAGGTTCCCCACGTCATCACCGAGACTCTCGTCTACACTGTCGGAACTGGTGGCAACAAGCACCCCGTCACCACCGAGATCACCAGCACTTCCACTGAGACTATCTACTCGACCATCTACATCACCAAGACTGCCGTTGCTGAGGAGGTTCCCCAGACCACTGGCAAGCCTGAGCAGGAGACCCCCACAAGCACCACCACCATTAAGACTACTTCTACCACCACCAAGTACGTCACCGTTTACCCCACTCCCTCTGAGAGCGGCAACAACAACGGCGGTGGTTACGGAACCCCGACCAACACTGTCGTCGAGGCTGAGGGCTCCGGTGTCCCAACTGGTGCTGGTGAGGGCGAGTGCCTCCCCCCTGTTACCGTCACCGTCACTGCCCAGGAGACCGTCTATGTCACTGCTGGTGAGACCCCTAGCGAGACCCCAGCCACGACTGCTTCTCCTGAGGAGTCGACTCCTATCGTCTCGTCTGGATTCCCCTCTGCCACTCCTTCCGCCCCTTACCCAATCGGAAATGGCACCCACCCCGCTCCTAGCCACAGTGGCTCGTCTGGCTTCTTGACCGTCACCAAGCCTTACCCCACCGTCCCCGGTGTGACTAGCATTCCTTCAGAGCCTGAGACCACCTTCCTCTTCCCCTCTGAGGTTGGCTCTGAGGTTCCCTCCAGCACTGCTCTGCCCGTTGAGGAGACCCAGTCTCCCTCCGGTTACCCCGTTGCTACCCCCGCTCCCAGCGGTAGCTACGGCAGCTACCGCAAGCGATTCTTCTTCTTCTAAGCTTATCGCTTGAGTAGTTGATTCGAGGGCAGGTTATTCTTTGTACAAACCTTGTGTGAGCGTGCTTGAATAGGTTCGCTCCATGCAGGAACTTCTTGTTTAAGGTCACTTTTTGACCTCCTTCTCAGCCGGGTCCACGCTGTTTTCTGTCTTCCTCAGGCCAGGAACAGAGGGAGTTGGTGTTTGTTCACGAGGGAAGGGCGGATTGTTGTCAGGGAGGCAGGACGTGGACCGGCTTGTAGCTGTTTGTACCCTACCTGACAAATACATTCCGTCTTTTCTCTCCATGCAAGCGTTAGATTCTACTCGGGCTTCATGCCCATGTGTCATGATTATACTTCTTCGATTTATGGACCATTTATCCTTCTGTAGCTGCAGTCAGCTCCTTTTGATTTTCTTTGTTTTTGGGGTCTGCTGGTTCGTGTCGTTTGGGTTTTGGAAGCAACACCATCAGGCATGGCGGCGGAGTTCAATCATCAGCATCATTCCATAGTGCCAAAAAAAACACTTCATCATTTTACAATTTCGTCTCGAGCTAGTCTTGTGCTATGCTAAAACATGCTGGTGCTTATACTAACAATAGTAACTTCCAATGCTCGTGTTCACTTCCACTCTATATAACCTCCAGCCGAAAGTGTATGATCATATGCACTGCGGCAATCTATATCGCTACACAGTTTCCCGATGTGATACTCACCAGGGTGTCTATACCACTCCTTTCGCCCACGGTGTTTCTCTTTTCGAACTCTTTCACCCTGTGCAAGATATTTATCCGGCTGGGCGATACAGCGCTGATTATAGGTAGTCGCTGTGCCTGACGATCCTTTCCCTTTTCTGTCACCACAGGTCAGCCTCAGTTACAGACTTCAACAACAGAGCAGTCGCAATTATTGGTCGGTGTAATTACAAAGATGACGATGAGATCACCTGCCCAACGTGCCAATGTCAACACCAACGCCAATCCTTGTCCGCCATTCGCCCATATGTAATTTTTACCCGCGCAAGAGTCATGGGTCCTGTTCTCTCATCCTCATCGTAGGATCGCCGAGGTGGATTGGTCGGCCGGGAGAACAGTAGGAAGCGCTGCTGCTACAAGGGGGTGTGGAATTTTCTTCGTTCCTGAATCCTCTCCTGGAGGCTGGGAGGTAAACCTACCAGGGTGGGGAAATTTCATCTGGCCTTTCAATTTCCCTGGGAAATTTTTCCCTGAGCCACATAATTTATCACGCGGGATCTGGGTACTGGGTCTATGGGATGAGGCTCTACTGCTACGCAAACTTTGTTAGTTCGATTTGTATGCTTTCATCCAGGTTGTTGGTAATAAAGCTTCTTAAAAGATCCCTCGATCTTCACTGTGCCCCCGTCATCACGAAAGGACCTCTTGCATCTTCTTACCCGACGCTTCTATGTGGCAACGAGGGGCACGATAACGAGATAGACGGCCCGCAACCCAGCCACGACGGCTCGGAGCTTAGGCGAAAACGCAAAGGTCTCTCGACACTCGCTTCGCAGGAACGAGATGCTCATCTCCCCACGTCACTTTTAAATCTCCGAAGTTTCCTTCAACCATGACATTAGAAAATGAGATTGCACGATTTGTTAAATCGGTCGGCCCTTTCTTGCCGTTAGCGACTTTTGCCTCTGACTTCTGATCGGATCTGAGCTGAACGCCAGCGCACGCGATCCCGTTGCCTAACGGTGCTCCTTTGTGCAACGTTGGCAAAGGGGGCTGACATGCCCACCCAACCCAGCTCGCGTGTGTACGCAGTACGGAATACAAAGTATAGAATTCCATTGATAGGTGATCCGACTTTCCACCAAATGAATTGTACGGAGTATCATCCTAGACAACGACGTAGAAGCATTTTAGATTATAGTCAGTATGGAAAGGGTGTCGGACGTTTGGTTGGTTACTACCACGCACGCTACACAATTCCATCCCTTCGATACCACGAGTCCACGACATGTGCGCTATCGATACGCTGTGCCACGCTGTACATTCGGGTACCTCACATATGCGCTGCAATGCACTGCTACGTAAATCAGTCCACAAAATACGTTTTCGGGAGTTTCGAGTGGTTTGAAGCAAGTTTCCTTGCTATCAAGGGATGCCACTCGTGGTCTCGTTGACGGGTTGTTGTTTCAGTGAGCCTTACTTTTCTCGGGGGAGGGAGGCGAAGATGAATAGTAAGGTACCAAAGTATGGATTATCTTAAGGGATGGCCACATTCTGCCGCAGATTTTCCAATGTCGCTTCCCTATATAAGATATTGAGAGGCTGTAGTGACGTGCAGTTGTCGCAATTAGCTGTGGAGGAGAATTCATCCGACAAAAAAGTAGAAAGGTAATGCGATATACTGTGTCGATTGCTTGGTTTCAACAGATGGCATGTATAATCAAGTAATGATTGATTGAGAGTCAACAGTTGGAGTTTGCTGACACGTCATGTGACATCGTCTTGCCAGTTTCGCGACGTGACGTATTCACAGCACACATCCCAACACCTCAAAGTCCGATTTCCAGATAAGCAAAGCCAAAGCCCTATCATTCCCTTGCACTAATTCAGCGTGTGATCTATGACTACTCCAACGCCTCCTACAAAGCAAGGTCGTCCAATTCCAGGATATCATTCCGAGGAGCCATATACAATTTCGCCTGAGGACTCCAGTGCCATCGTCCGGGCAAGTGCATACCACAGAGAAGACTATGATCTCGCAGTCATTTGTTTCCCAGATCGGACTCATGTTGACATCGACATAACGAATTCATCGCCCAACCACAATCCGGCTACTACCCTAGGAGACCTCGATAAACTTCCCCTCGAGCTCATACATGAAATATGTCTACATTCAGACATGTCATCAATATTCCGATTCCGCCAGGTAAATACACGTGCACGGCACATCCTCTACGCGCTTTACGAGTATCGCGTTGTGACGACACATGCCCGAGATGCTTTTTGTGCGATGCTGCGAACAGAATTAGATCCATGCCCGACCTTATCGGCATTTTACCAGCTCCTTTCATCACAGAAATGCTCCATCTGTGGACACGAGTACGGTGATCTCATACACCTTCCTACGTGCATCCGGTGTTGCTCATTTTGCGTGCGCAAACACGCCCCAGAACTGCGTGTAGCAACTGCAGCAAAGGCTATAAGATATCTTAAACTTTCGAGACATGCATTATCTCAAATTACACAACTCAAGCTTCTGCCCGGAATTTATGGCATGGAAGAGCGCCGGCGCGTGGGTAGACCAAAAGTCCTTTCGATACAGTCTGCCCGTGAAGCTTATCGCAAGCAAAATGGCGGAGAAGAGCCCACCAATATGATGATGAGATATCTCCAGATGCAACCCATTCTTGCTTTCATGGTCTGCTGTGCATTGCCCAGCTATAGCCTTCCTGGTCGGGTTGAGAACGGGATCTGTTGCATTGGCTGTCAAGCCGCCATTGAAAAGGGTATCTTGATTCATACAGGAAACTGGGCCTTTCATATGCGCGACTTGGTATATTCAGTTAACGGATTCTTGAAGCATTTTGTGTGGTGTGAACAGGCCCAACTTCTATGGCTTGAGAGTAATCGTGGCTCATGTGAACCTCCGAACTGGCCCTATATTTGCATCCGAGGCGGCTTCTTCACCCGCAGGAAATAAGTCTTTTGACAGAATATGGACCATTCCCCTGTCAAGGGTTACCACGGGTACGCAGCGCATCATCTCTAGGGATATCTTTGCTACAATGCATCACCATAAACTCCTGCATGGAAGCTATTCAATATCAATCAATCACCAACTAAACTCCCTCAGATATGCATCTATAGGCGACAGTACCATAGACCATTACATATCCGCGAGTTTTATTTTGTGTGTATAACTACATCTGGTTACTAGACAATTACTACACGTTCTGCGAATAGAGTTGGACAGGCGCTTAGAAATACATGGCAGACATGCCATGAGGCATCTGAAGCTCTGTTCAAAGACTAGTCCTCTCAAAGGAACTTCAGGTCGCTGTCAGTTGATCAGCCAAGTTTACAGAAAACCTACTTGACTTCATTAGACACAAATTACATGTGCACAAATTCAATAAGCATTCATGCCAATGACAGAGTCCCACAAACCAAATAAGAGGTCTAGAACGAATAGCTACCTATACTGTTTTTGTCACTTTCCTATTCTCCAACTCTACCGTTGGAATTGTCGTACGAGTGCTTATATAATGCAAAGGTTAGTCAAGTTCAGTTCGTAGAGATTGACACTGTTTCGAGAATCTAAGAGCAGACAGCTTGTTCGGTTTTCCAAAGGGTTGCCAAATAGCGGCCAAAATGTCGATAGCTAACAATCCGCTGGAAACTTTATTCTTCCCACACTGTTTGGCAACTTGATTTTAGAATAATCTTGGAAGTAAAGTGATATTATCATAGTGGAGGATACCGGTGATAGGGAGTTTCTAAAATGCCCAAGATGAGGCGTTTGCATCTACTGTAGGAAAGCACGTTTGTATGATGAAGTGCAGCTTCCATCAACTTTGCGAAGCATCTCAAAACATATTGCAGTAAGTAATAGGGAGAGATCAGACACCCTTGAAGTTGTCTTGCGACAGACCTATACGAAGACGTACGTGCGTATTACATATTCATGCCATCTTTTCTTCTGCAACATCCTCTTGAGTGGTGGACTCCACAGCTTAATCTGGATTTAATAGATGTTTAGAACAGCAGGTGGTTGCCTCTCTGCCAATTCTCTTGAGCACTCTTGCACACTTTACATTTATGCCTTGCTTAACCTCCAATTGGATAAATTCTCTTTCCTTCCTGCACCCACACGTATACTGAGTGTAGTATGAAGTACGCAATCTCGATTGACTATTTCTACGTTAATAACTTAACTTTCATGTGGGTGGTGAACCACGTGAAACTTATCTGGATCAAATGTACGAATAATGTCTCCGCAATGATGCTAATTGTGTAGACGCAGTGGAAGGTTTCTCTACGTCGGATTGCTTCAGGAAGGAAGGGATAGTGTGATGTATTGAAGGAATCGGAAAGATGATAGGTCTAGTTTGCGTAATAAAAATTCATCTCTCGAAAGAACTTTGAGATGAATCTGCTCTCTTACATATGTACGAACGCATGGTCCTCTATATCAATGTCATCACAGGCAGCTTTGTTACCCCTAAATCCTCGTGAAATATTGGCGCATGCATGCAACTGTTTCGTGGTTACATGCTAAGGAACAGGGCTCGGAAGCACAGTGATCTTGTGCACCAAATGATTCCCCTATGACTTTTCCCAATGCCAAATCGAAACTTGAGCGCGCTCGTGACGAAACAGTATCTTACATCTACATCAAGGAACTATATGCATGTGTATAAGTGCACCGATACAACAGTATGCATTCAATCATGTTTGGCAGGTAGGCAACCTCTACGTACGTTCGAGGTCTCCTCATCAGAAACAAGTACATAGCCACAGCCATTTAAGCGCCTGCCCACCAACAGCAAGGTCTCGATTGAGAATGATAGCTAACCCGCTCTATATCGATACACTTTGAAAGAACTCTTAATTGCACCTTAGGTAGTAATGTCACTCGAGAAAAGTCCCAAGTACGTGCTCACAGCGCACAATTCTGCCTGGTCACAAAACAGGGTTCTACTCTTCCATATTATGGATGGCAGATGACGACGAAGGTGAAACACATCAAAATCATAGCGGCAATGTTTGGCAGAGACATACTTCCCCTACCTGACCTCATATGTCCCGCAGATATAACATCTCGCGACACTGAGTCCAGGGAATCAAAGACGATATTCCCAAATCAAAATTTGCCGAGTGTTCAAAATGTATAACATAATGTATAACATAATTTAGACAATAATGCTATTAACATGAAGTGTTGTCAACGATAGTCAATCTCCACATGTACTGCTACCGCCTGTTACCCAGGCATAAATGTTCCACTATTACTTCCGCTGCAATCGTTAGTCATCGAGAAGATAGCATAGTTCGAATGAACTAAACAAGGCACAAGAGCCTATCGACTGTAGCAACGTAACTCGCAACTCGCTCCACAGTTCATTGGCTACATCTACGAGGGAGGTCGAGTAATCTGCCTACTACTCCAGAAACTTGAAACATGTCGAGTGCAACATACAAGAATCGAAGCCTGTGCAAGAGGCTTCCTGGGTGATCTCGCGACCTAGGCTTGCTATATCGAGATGTCAATCGATGCAACTTCCTATTGAGATAATGCTACTAAGCTCATCGATTCTGCAACATTCCAGGGGGACGCCCCAAAAGGTTCATTCGCTAAAGAGATGTAGCGTTTGCCCGGGCAATTCGTCTACCAGTCTGGCAGGGGTGCGAGCTTTATCTCTCACAATGTTGAACAGGTGGCTGAAGCTTCAAGCGAAGCACCCCCCATCAACACCCCAGAAATGTAAATGCACCAGAGTGCCTAATCATGTCTTTAGGATAAAATCAAAATCCTAGATTTGTTGTGTTGCTTCGCCACAGAAAGCCCCGGATGTTCGGGTATGATTTCCCGATCGCTGTGTGAGCAATGCGCATCCTGTTCAGCAAAATCTGGAACAAACATGGACTTTTCGGGACCCATCTTGCAACAGAACGGTGATGTCATGGCGCCAGGTTGGCTTATAAACAGAAAAGATGTTTCTTGAATCTTAGATTGGAAAATGAATGATGCTGCTTGTGATGTGACTTGTAGCGACTTACGTTACTCCACGCTGTGTCGACGTAACCAGCTCTGATGCAGTTCTATCAATAGCCCAAGCCGGTGCACTAATAACAATCCGCGCAGCAGAGTGCAATAGGTATGTGATATCATTGAAACTAACGAGCAAGGCTAAGTAGGATCTATCACAAGCATAGAAGGGGTTAAACTTTAAAATCGAGAAGAAAAGATCTGTGAATATCTATGAGCACATTTTATCATTGGCTGACTATGCTCATACTCACACAAACCCAGCCTCAACCGAGTGAATTGTTGGCCAATTGGCCGGCCCGCAGAGGCCAAGTAACGTCTTGGGTATGACAAGTGATGCATTCCCGGTTAATCGAAGACGTTGCGCGTTGAAGCGAAAATGTGTTGTGATTGTCCGATCTTGTGGGGGCCATCGCATATAGCACATTCGCGACTAAAAATGGAAATCTGGATCATTAAGCTTTCCGAACATGGGGCACGCGAGGAACCACTGCAAGACCGTTCGGCAAAAATTGTATCACCACTCCACGCTGGGTAAGGCATTATCTCTGAAGACGTGGAGTTTGTGTACCCTACCGGCAATCGGTGGGCTTCTTAAGAATGTTCGTTAGAAGATTTTCAAATGATTTGCAACGTTGCGCAGCCCCAACAACTGTCTGTTGGACGTCAAAAATAGATCTTGAAGGCGATAAAACAATTGCGCAAGACATGATGCTCAAGTACAGCAATGAATCATGAGTATGTCGTTTCACTTTCTCCGTATCACAGTGACCTACGGAAGGCTTACCATACGTATCATACAGACATATCGTCAGAATCGTTCATAGCCATCAACTTTTCAATTCAGTTTATCTCTTCTAAAATTAAATCCGAGAGTTCGCTTACAGACCAACTGACAGACCCGGACTGACTGAAGAGAGGCCGCTCTCTATCTTGGCCCTAAACCCCAAAATCGCCGGGTCCACGGCCCCAATGGAAGACGTAGTACACTCACCCAAGTGTCGGACTTTAACAAAGCTAAGTATAGTTAGGCGTTGTTGAAGATCAGCCGAGGTATCGTAGACTCGACATATCTGTCGCACCTCGAAGTTGGGGTCGACACTACGCAACATTTGGGCCACCATTTCGGCTAAGCGAGTTACTTTGCCCTCTACCCAAGCGATCTAGGAGATTTTGCTTTGAAAAACAACTTAGCTATGGGAACAAACGGATAATGTTGTGTTGAGACTGTTGTGTTCTCCAAGTTAAATGTTCACGGTCGTTCGCGTGTGATTACATCACAGAATCAAGTCCGTACAAACTCAGGTGAGATGTCGTTCAATTGAAAGGCGCAAGACAGATCTAACATGGATAAGTTGTATATCGAAAACTGGTTTCAATAGACATCCAGAGACCCCACATGCCGAGTTGCCTTCAGGAATTGATGAGTATTCATACTGGAGTCAGGTTTGTGGCAGATCGAGGGCTATGCTGGCGGCCTGAGGATCACCCAACTTGCATGACTCGATGCTCCAGCCAATAACAGCTCAGGTTAACAAATGAAGAGAAACTAAGTGTACTCGGATACGTATTCCAACATCGGATCATGAGTCTTGTCGAAGAACTAAACTGTGGACCAAGCCTCATGGTGGTTTACGCACAAGCCCCAACAATGTATGCAGCCCTATTTCCCGAAAAACCTCCTCCTCAGGATGGGATCGGAAAGATTCCACTGTGCAACACGAAACGATCTAGTCTGTCTCGAATCAATCTGGCGCAGGCGAAAGTCATATCTTTTGACTCGAATAAAGGCGTCCAGATCAAGGGGCCTTCGGAGTTTATCTGGCGTTACCTGCCGCGAATATAAACAACAATGAGTTGAGGAACACAGCTATGACCAGCTATGGATATGTAAATGTATGTGCACTGGTTGATATATTAGACGGTCAACAAGCTGTTGTTGAAAACGTTCGATCACCACCATCACCATCATAATCCTCACAATCACCATCATCTACACATCGATCATTCCCTTACAATATGAGTTCATCATCACCAGCGCAAGGAGGCTCTCAATCCGGTTCTCAAGCCGCAAGCTCGCCACAGTCACAAACCTCCCAGTCACAGCAGTCACAAAACGTTGGAGCAAATCTGCAATTTCAGACAATCACATTCATCAGTCCAAATTCGCCCTGGGCAGCATCAATGCCAGCTTTCTCAACAACGCCGGCGACACGGCGTGGGTCGCCCCCAAAATGAGCCATCAAGCTCATATCACAGTGAGTAATTGCACTGAAATTCGTCTTATGTAGAGGCGAAATGAGCTAGAAAAGCTAACTATCCCCAGAGACATTTATATGTGTGGACTCTATGTATCTTTGAAAACAACAGGTCTACTGCATGTTTGGCGACACGACACTGAACGAATTCGACAGACTGTCAAAAGGTTAGAGCAACCCGCGGTAACATACGAATGTCCACGGATGGCGATGTGAATATTTCTTTTTGGATCATTTGCTCGGTTCTCAATGCGGACCAATAGAGTCCATTTATTTAGAAACAGCATAGACTTTTTACTTCGAAACAATTGATTGGAGTGTTTTATTTACTCGACGTTGCTAAGAAGAGATTCGAGGTATCTATATGTACATGATCGTCATCTTTCAATTATGTCTGTATTTGCTTCCCGTAGGGAACCTGACACGTGTGACCGGATCTACCATCTAGGAGCGCGCACTGAATTCCAGCCCAGACCTGTAAAGTCCAACTGTTTCAAATCAAGGTCCACCGCAGAGGAGTTAGTTGTAGACTGAAACCCCCCAATTGGTTGTTGCATCGGATCTAAGAAGTCGAAATTGAATTGTGCGTTATTACCTCCAAGGTCCAGATCCATATCAGTGGGGACATCAGCGCTCTGAAAAGGTAAGAAATTTGCATCTTGCGGTGCTTCCCTGGTTTGAAGAGCAGGGTTCATCTGCATCGACTTGGTTTGCATCGAGGTGACAAAAAATGGTGGCGACACCTCTCTACCCGATTCCTGGGCCAGTTTCTCATAGGCAGACCAGGCTTGGACGACGGCCTTGTGCACTATCTTGGTCATGGGATTGTCGACCGGGTCCCACCATCCGGTCATGCAACGGACCTCGTAGTTTTTACTCATGGTGTCCCAGGCACGCTGGGCATGTTTTCCGTGAGCTCGCCGTCTCAAGTCTTGGACGACATGTAGGTATGCTGGGAATGGAAATAGTGTAGCAACATATTGGTAATAGCCTGAGACGAGTGGTGAGCTGATAAGGTTCGTATCGGCCACAAACATGTCTAAAGCGTGACATAATGCAACATCTCGTTGCTCTTCAGTCACTACCATGTCTGACCTCCACTGCTTTTGGTATTGCTCGAAGAGGGTGTGCTTGGCCAAGTAGCTCCTTGTAACCCAGATGATCATGAAGTGAAGCGGATTGCGCTCGTCACAGTGCGTGAGATACTTCTCCTCGATTGACTTTGTAAGCGTTGATAGATCACCACTCTTAGCGGATACATGGGCGACCGGCTTTAGAAGCGGATTGATGAAATCGAGGTAATAAGAGCAGTTGCGAACGAAATCGGCAAGTTCACTACGCACGACAGCAAAAGTGGCTTCGGTGATCTTCTCTTGGCTTGCGGGAGCCACTTTCATCTCGGGCCGTAGGTCGAAGTCATTCACGTTAGACGGAATGCTGCAGTCCCAGCCTGGACACATAATGCCGCCCTTGAAATCCGATTGCTCGGATACACGGGCATCAAAAGCTGCCAGTGACCACCACAGTCGGCGGCGCATCTCTGCTTCAAGAGCAGGGTACTTTGCGTTGGCGGATTCACTGTGCATCCTCATATGCTGTGCAAGACGAACCGCAACACCAAGCATCGTGGAAAGCGCACGAGGCTCTGATTCTGCTTTGATAGAAATCTAATGTTTTTAGCGTGCAGTTTCTCAATTTCAGAGACGAAAAGAATACCAGATAGATATAGAAAGCCGTCAGGCACTCACGCTCAGTGGTACGTAATATACCGCTTTTGAGCAGTGCCTGTTGGCAGCCGAACGAATAATTGGCCAGAAGGTGGCCTCGTTCAGACCCAAAAGAAGTGCGGCACTCGGCTTCGGTTATACTGATTAGTGCAACGCAATATATACTGAACATCAATGCTTCCAGAGCGGGTTCTATACTACCCAAGTTTCCGATCGCATTGATGATGCGTGGCTGTAGAGTGGGAGTATGCGTAACTTTTAGAAGCGGATTGACGTTATCCAGATAGATCTGCCAAAATCTGAAGATCTGGACCTGTGGGGGGTGCAAAGCAGAGAGATCATTAAGAGACGCACGCGCGCCGAAAAGGAGATGGTCGTCACCCTTCTCGAACATATGCTCTAATGCTTTTTTAACGGTGGCATGGCGAACTCTGACTTGCGAGGAGTCGCTGTCGTGATCTTCGTCATCGTTGTCGTCGCTCCCATCTGGAGAGCCCGATTGACTCCATGCATTCCAGATATTTCTGAGTGGCCATCAGCACTGTTTCTTCCAAACATTGTAGTCATAGGATTTCTAACATGAATCCCGCTTTGGGTGGGCCATTGTCTCCAGATTCATCTCTGGGACTGTATTCAGAACTTCCTGTGTTTTCAAGAGGCGACGGATGCTGGCTTGTATCAGCTGTCTCCGGCGTCGCAATGTCAGTAGAATTCCCATGGAGAGGCTCAAATGGTATATTGTTCTTCCGTAACAAATCTTCGTATCGCCGAATCCGATCAAGAAGGTCTCGTTCAGGAAATCGCCGACGCCGCTGCCGAGTTGTGACAGCATGCCCGGGAACGCACTGGGTTCCCGCCCTGGTACAGTTGCTGCATGGGAATTTTCTATCGCATTTGACCTTGCGTTGCTGGCATAGGATGCATGCCAGAACGCGCTGTGGCTTCATGGGCGCCACACGAGCATTGGCCACATGGGTGGGAACTTGCTCGGTGTCCACCATCCCGACAGACGACGATTGCCCAGGCGCGAGAAAGTCTTGGGAGTGACAATAGGTCAAATGCTGGACATGGAGGTATGATGGTTTCGGATACCACTATCGCCCGTTCGAATGGTACTGTGATGACGCACGTGACTGGAGGTCGGCCCCGCCCGGGGTTTTCAAAACTCCGAGTATGTTCAAGTTTAGATCAAGGCGTGCAATGTTGAGGTTAGTGGATATCTTTGACATCTGCGGGCTCTTATACAGACCCGAATCTGAGAGGATGGATCTACTTTCCAGGCAGCACTACATTCCTCATGACTCATATATCCCATAAAAGAGGCATGGTCGATTCTGCTATCATGCATCATCGTCTTATGATGTTCTTGCCTACATGATAGTTGAGGAAGCTAACCGACAAGTAAATCACTCGTTAGTACATACATAAGTGAGCTTAAGTCGATTAAGCCATTCCAAGCTTTCTCAAGTTCTACCTTTTTACCATCCGATCACTGATCAGCTTTCATCCAATACAATGTCAAGATTAAACGTCCTGGTCGTGGGCGCTTCCATAGCAGGTCCCACAACAGCATACTGGCTTGCAAAAGCCGGAGCAAATGTCACCATCATCGAAAGATTCCCATCACTACGTCAGAACGGGCAGAACATCGACATACGAAATGTTGGCGTCACCGTGATGCGAAAGATGAAAGGAATGGAAGCCGCCGTCAAAGCTCGCTTAGCACCGATCGATGGATTCAGCTGGGTTGATGCGAGTGGAAAACCTTTTGGGACCATGACACCGAGCGGAGATCCAAACGAACAGACTCTCGTTTCTGAATACGAAATTTATCGCGGCGAACTATCGAACATCTTGTACGAAATGACCAGGAGTAACGAGAGAATCAAATATGTCTTCGGCGAACAAGTCGCTTCTATACAACAGAACAACAACGGACCCGTTACCGTCGAGTTCGCGAATGGGCTTCTACCAGTCTCCACATTCGATCTCATCGTCGCCTGTGACGGCGCAACCTCCCGGACTCGAGCGTTAGGTTTCGAATGCGGAGTTCGCGATCACATCACCCCCATGAACTCCTGGGGCGCTTACTTCACTATCGACGGGGATCTTCTGAACGGTGGGAGGTTGGGAGAATCCTTCAACACACCGGGAGGTCGCTTCCTCGCAATTGGACCCCGTCCGTCCGGAAAAACGACTCAAGGTCTGCTTATGGCGATCAATCCCCAGAATGGACCTGATTTCTCGACACCTTTCCGCCAGGCGTCCAAACAAGGGGACGAGGCGCTGAAGCGACACGTATACCAGCACTTCCAGGGCGCAGGCTGGAAGACCGATGAGATTCTCAAAGGAATGATGGAGGCAGAGGATTTCTATGCTTCGGAATTCGTCCAAGTCAAATTACCTCGATTATCTAAAGGGCGATTCGTCGCCGTTGGTGATGCAGGCTATGGGTCGAGTTTTACGGGGACGGGGACGAGTCTCGCTCTGGCAGGCGCGTACATGTTAGCGGGAGCGGTTTGCCAGCACAAAGATGACCTCGGAATGGCACTGCAGCGGTACGAAGAGCGGATGAAGCCGCTGCTTGATGATATGCAGAAGAGTCCCCCGGGTGTTCGAGAAATGATGGCCCCACAAACTGCCTGGGGGCTGTGGCTCAGGAATACTATTATTGCTTGGGTCACCTGGAGCGGCGTCTTGAAATGGGGCGGTAAATTCTTCGCAAGTTCATTCAGCGAGGATAAGTATAATCTTCCCGATTATGATTGGGAATCGTAGGCATGTTTGAGTCAATACGAAGGCTGTGATGGGACCAGTCTTGACATGAATCACAACTTGATCACTATCTTCTCGCCTGCCTATTTTCAGATTTGTATTATTAGACCCTTTATTGAGATACCTGTAAGCGTTTCAGATAGATTTAGCTACATCACAATTGAAAACCCTTCACCAACTCAGTTCACTCGCTCCACTCTCCGAAGCCAACTTATCGGACAAACTTGGAGGCAGATCTTGCTTCCTAGTACCCCAATCACTCTCCTCATCGCCGAGCGTCAATTCCAACGTCCAGCCCTCGGTGAAGAATTCATGCCCTATCCAATTCTTCGTAAACGGTTCCCCATTCAGCGTAGCATTCTGGATGTATATATTCTTATACTCTTTGTCGAAGTTGATGTTGCGGATGGTGGCAGTATTGTTTGAGAGGGGACTTGTGACGCTAATGGATTCGAAAAAGGGCGGGATAATGAAGTAGACGTTCTGGCCAGGGTTGGGAAAGAGACCAATGTTGGCGAATATGGTGAAGGAAGCCATGGCACCTGAGTCGTCGTTCCCTGGAAGTCCGTTTGTTGAGGCGTTGAAGCGGGAGGGGATATCTATGAACATGCGATTAGCGTCTCGACCTTGCTATAGAGGTTCTCTATGATACTAACAAGAGTGCGCACGTTTGGCGGACAAGCCAGGGCGACCGGCATAGTGTGGCATGTATACTGTCAAGAAGACTGGTTCATTCCCGATGTCTGCCACACCAGATGTGTGGAACCAGTCCAGTCGGCGGATGAATGTCTCCGGGTCTCCAAGCAATTCAATTACTTTCCCAATATCGTGAGGGACGAAGAACATATACTCCCACGCGCTTGACTCAAACGTCTCAGATGGATTTGAAGTCAGTGAGCACCACCCGGCCAAAGGACTGCAAGCGATTGGGTCTTGATATCCCCATGTACCGTTCTGGTACTTCGGCTGGAAGAAGCCCGTGAAACCTGTGTCAGTGCCATTGATGATCGATTTCTGGTCCTCTTTGAAGAGATTCTGCCAGTTGCTAGCGCGCGAAATGTATTTCTCGTAGGTGTCCTTCCCTAATCCTTTAGCAACGGTTGCTAACCCGAAGTCATTGTAAGAATATTCCAATGTACGCGAGATACTGCGTGAGTTTGTACCAAAGCCGACTGGGTCAAAGTCGAGGTAAGGTACGTAGTGTAGCTTCTTCCAACTGGCCAGATTTCCTCTGCCTTCTATACTCCATTCAAGAGGTTCGTTCTCGGCATCATTTACCATAGCTTCATATGCAAGCTCCCAATCAATGCCAGTTAAATTCTTGACATATGCGTCTGCAATGACATTATCGGCATCTGAGCCTCCTTGGGTCCAGCCTTTACACGTGCTCATCATACAGTCTGGCAGCCATCCGCGGTGTTTGTAGGTGTCGAGTAAGCTTCGTACAAACTTGCTTTGCGATACGGGATCCAATATCGTTAAGAAAGGTAGTTGAACACGCCACATATCCCAAATACAGTAAAAGGAGTCAAAATACGGCTCCTCGCTCTTCCAATGAGGGTTCTCGCCCGTGTAATCTTGGGGCGAGATCATGGTGCGGTAGATGGCACTCCAGAAGCTAGTCAGCAGGGTATCATTGACACCACCAGTCTCGATGGAGATTGGAGTGAACTTCTTACGCCATGCATCTTTCGCTGCTGTGACCAAGCCGTCGAAGTCGAAATCCGGCCCAGGAATTTCCTTTTCAGCATTTCGGCATGCCTGATCAGTGCTAACAAAGCTGAGACCCATGCGTGCGGTGATGGTGGTCGTTTCTTGAAACCGGATGAACCCTCCAGCTTCGAGATAAAACAGATTGAAGCCTCTTGTGACATACAGCTCTTTGGGCTCGGTGCCTGCACGATCATTGACCCATACTCCCGAGTCTTTCACTTTGCCGCCCGCCACATCCAGACAGAAGAAGGCCTTGTACGACCCAGCGCCGAAGCTCGGAAGGAAGGTGCCGTTGCCTTTGATTCTTCCACTTTCGCTGTTTCCCTCTACAGTTAGCGAGGCATTTTGCCGACTTTGCCAAAGATCGGTAAGGTCCAATTGAATCAATGGTTGGATTGTTGACTGATTGTCGGAAGTTGCGCCAGAATAGTCGAACCGGAACAGAGCAGCATGTTCTGAAACGGTCATATCGGCTTTGATTCCATTTTTCAACGTGACGCCAAAGTAGCCTGGTTCAGCTTTGATGGAATCATTTCGATATGGGAGCTTGCGTTTGCCAATTGGGTACAGGCAGTCGTTGATATCATCGCCAGTGCAGATTTGAGGGAAGATTGGGAAATTCCCAAGACTGGGGTTACCTCCAGTCCCAGAATCATGTAGCGCGGAGAAACCCGTGATGTTGCTGCCATCCGTGGAAAAGCCTCCTGTGTTTTCTCCGTCTACGTCCGCTACGGCCTTTGCCATGCCGTAGGGAAGCGTTGCTCCGGCGAAAACATTACCTCCGCTGTTACTGCCGATTAGTGGGTTGACCCATTCCAACACATCTTTGGATGCTCGTGACACGGGTGTAGCCCCTAGAACTGGGCGTGAGAATATCAAAAGACCCAGGCAGAGCTTGATCCTGGGCATCATGGTTGTGCTGACGGTGCTTAAAATCCAGTCTTCGATTTGGGAGAGTTTTCGCCGTTTTTGTCACACAATTTTGAGTGCTCAATGCGCTGGTGATCCCCAATAGTAAACTGTTTGTTCTTGAGCGGGGAAGCCCATTGAGTAGATGAAAAAAGTCACGACAGCGAGATGAACATTGTACCTCGCCATTTGGAAGTACTACGTACGACAGTGGATAGCAGATAAACGACGTCACATTGGAGGTGCAGCCGGATAGACCTCCTGCCCGATCAGGGATGTTATATTGCGGGGTCGAACGAGACTGGCTGTAGAATAAATCTGTGCGATGTTACCGTACATGTCCATCGGAAGCTGTAAGGGGTTTTGATCGTCCAAGTCAGCGAACATCATCACGGAATTAGGTGTTAGTAGGATGAATAAAGCTTTGTAGACCAGGAGGTCAAAGTTGACAATGTTCGTGATGTTGATAATCCAAAGATATATCACTCGCGAGCCCTCCACTCCTATCGGCAGGATTCCGCCCATGCAGGCGGCACCAGCGGTCTCAGCCCGCTGTCAGCATCGTATCTCGCCTTGCGAAGTATCTCCCACGTGTCTCCTCGTACAAAGGCCAATGCAAGTCCAACTCCGTGCTTCTCGTTTAGAAGCATGCAAGCAACGGGATTAAGGTGCGTCTCTACGGCAATACCTTCCACCGAACTTATCGCCATTGGCAATACTAGCCAGTGTCGCGGGCCGAGATTCTAGACTGACAGGAGCCCAGCGATCGTCCTCTAAGAATGGACTTCAGCCGCAGGGTTAAATATAAGAAATGGCCGGGCACCCGGGGCGGCACCGAACGAGTTGTGACTTTCGGTGGGGTCAAAGTGTGTGACAATATGCACCAAAGACCTCATTCCAACACGCTCTTGCAGAAAACCGGGTCAAAAATAGAGAAGGGTTCAAGTACCTCGGCGACCTCGAAACTGCAAATGCTGGTTGCTGTTTCTCACCATGAAGAACATTCCAAGATCTCGGCCAACCCGCCCCTCGAAAGCCTCGTACTTTGGCGCATTCGGGCAGCGGGACAGCTCCCCTTCTAGATGACTGTAGAATTCCACAGGGGTATGAACTGTGTGTCTACCCCCGTGGAGACCGTCTACGGTACTGGGCTCCGACGTTGTGTCACACTCGCGAGCCGTTAAATGACGTTGGAAATGCTGGCGCCTCAGTAATGGTTTGCGTTTTGAGGTGACTGCCTAATACGCGAAAACTCATTTCGTCTTCACGACGCCTATGACGGTGGAAAGCATGGTTACAGACTTCAGTATCGAGACAGCGAAGCAGATCCATCCAAGGGCCTCACCCCAGCTCCAGACTCCAAGACACTTGCCAAATGACCTTCCAAAAGACTTACCGAGCCTGCCCCGAGATGTGATATCTGGAGTAGTAGAGCGATCTTCGGTGGATAGGTCAACTTTTGTGTGTTGTCCCGTCGTCGAACTGGCGATCCTGATAGGCTCCGAAGCCTCGTTGAACCAGATGACGGTGGTCGGGAAGATACCATGCCGTGAGGTAACCTGGTGAGATCGCGTGTGAGGTTGAAGGAAAGCTCGTATCGTTTCCAAGTATAGTAACAGGACTCCCACCGACACGGAAGCACGTGTGGTATGGAGGGGTTGCTATGCCCGGCAGTGGAGTCGAGCTTCACAGTATGCAAGCCATCAACGCCTATAGCGGTTTGGCGCCGCCTGGGCATTCCTGTAATAACGCCAATGGCTTTTCAGGTAAATTGTTCCCCCGGACTCACTGTGACAAGACTGTGCATCTCGAAAGAGCTCCTTCTTTCAGCTGGGTGTATTATTGAAAACAGTAGTGCTTGCGGTGACAGCTAAATGGACGGATCGCAGAGAGCATGACGTTATGGCAACCAATGCGCCCTTTGGTGGACGGATGATCATTGCCCCCAGAGCTCTACCGCGGCCCATCGTCCATTTTGCTATCCTACTAGCCTAGATGCTTAACCCTATCCGCACGCCCAAAATAGTTCACAGCGCGCGGGGTGTGTACCGTTGGGGCCGCGATTGTTGAGGCTGGAAGAGAATGGCGCATCGTGAAACTCTGTGTGCCGTCGCATGTTGGGTCCAACTGGAAGAAGGAAGGGAAAGAGAGAGAAGGAGGGAGTGGAGAGTGCAAGAATAGTTCTTCTGTCTTGCATCCAGATGGGTGGATGTACCGTACGAAGATGCTATTTGCGAATACAAGCAGACATCTGTCCAAATAGAGTTGACCGCGTACAATGGAAAAGTAATCAGCCATTTGGTTTTGTGCGAGGCACACCTTCAGGCTGATGCAGGTTGACGTACGGGTCTTGTACATTGTTCGCACAGCCATCATCGTGAGGATTGTCAGTGGTCACCGGTGAACTCCATTGCGACTCTTGGTCAGGAACTAGAGTAGGGTCGTCTAGAGTTGGTGGATGGATTAGAGATTTGTGCAGCGACGGGATGACTTTATTCGTCACGGCCGGGAAATACGAATAAGTGATGTGACTCAGCTGCAATTCTTGGAGTGCTGTCCTATATGGGAGAAAATGGTGAAGGGGAGCATGGGATGGGATGGGGATGGGATAAGGGCAGGGTAGTGAAGGGTAAGGAAGGGGAAAGGGTAGGGGGGAAGGGATTATTAGGGCGGGATGATGGGTGCCAATTGGGTGGAGGTTATGTTGAGTGTTGGAGGGGGTTATTGGTCGCTTGGGGGTGGATTGTACCCTTTAACTCATCAACCTAACCACCTAACCACCTACCACCTACCGCCTACTTACTTCCCACCACCCCCCCCCCCCTTGACACTTTTCCATCCCATCCCATCATACTGGAACATCCAGACCCTGCAACTATACACAACACAACACACACACACGCTCACACACACACGCACTCACACACAAACCCACGCAGACGCAGACGCACTTACACGGACACAAGACTTCCACGTCCCTGGTTCAAGCCCCCAAATCCCTTGCCCTTGTAAAGCACCGTATCCCACATTTCCGTTCTTGTGTATATATCGCCACATGGATGGCCGTTCGCCCGTTACGACGGTTCTTGACTCCTGATGTCCCCACCACCACTCCCATCCTTACTGTTGCCTACGCATAGCATGGGTCGCCGCTCAACTTCCTCCAGCGATTCTCCAGAAGGAACTTCGACTTGTGAGAGTGCTCCTCCTGCACCTCGAAAGCCCATTCCCCGTAAAGGGCATACCAAGAGTCGCCGCGGATGCTTTAACTGTAAAAGAAGAAGAATCAAGTGCAATGAATGCAGGCATGTGACCAGATATAGACATTCCTACGTATCGCACGTCTCTTCAGGCTAACCAATCAATTCCAGACCAGATTGCAACCACTGCATCAAGGCGGGTTTGCACTGCGAATACCCTGCGAATATCATTCAGAGTGGGAGTCGAGGCATGCTCTCCCCAAGTCCACAAGAGGTGGTACATCTGAGATCGATGCCTGGATCATTCGTGAGAAAGCCAATATCTGTACTTGATCACACAATAGAGACTGATTTCCAACGCATAGACCATGTCTGATATGAGACTTTTCCATCATTTCCTCATCACCGCATATCCTCATCTACCTGTCGGTGCTGACAAGATTTGGATCACGGTAATCCCTAGCTTTGCCCACAATGTATGTCTCTCGATTCCCATGATTAAATCTCTATTATGCGAATGCGATCTGATTCCGTAGTACGAATATCTAATCCACTCCATCCTCGCGCTTGCGGCATCACACCTCGATGCTGTCTCCAATGCTGGCGTGGCAGAAGAAGCGATCCAGCACCGAATAATGGCGGTCAAGTCCTTGAACGAGGCGCTTTCCGTTCCTCCAAAGACGATGCACGAACGCGATGCACGAATGGGCGCAGCACTGGCACTAGCGTTCCAATCAAGCCATCTCCAAGATGGGTTGTTCGAATTCCTCACCATGGTCAGGGGCTGCAATCTGATAGCAGGAGACGACGCGTTAAGAGACGTTGATTCAGCCTTTCATGTACGTGGCATCCCTTCCGTGCTTGAAGTCAGTATTGCTATAGCTCTTTATTGCATTTTGCTTGGTGACCTGACCGACCTTCTGACGCTAACCGGATCAGGCTTTCCGGGAGGATGGACATCTCCAAACGATGAGAAACCGTCTTGGTATGACTCAGCTTGGTGTCGTTAACCATGACGACCTGGACTCTGCGCATATGTCGCTGCAGACCGTTGAGCTTCTCAACATGACCGAGTGGGAGAGATCGTTCTGGGAGATACTGGTCAAGACTGTCGATGCCGCTTATGGCAACCCCGTGGAGGCTTATACCACCTTCGTGCTGCTATACAACGCCCCGTCCAGGTGGACGCACGACGAATTCCAATCATTCATTGATCCAAACAACAATGTTGCACAGATTCTCCTCGCCCATTTCATCGCAATCCAGGCCACCCTAACCCCGATCCTGGTGCTCGAAAGAGTAGGGTTTCAAGGAATCGATGCGCCAACGAAGGTCTTGGGATGGATCGAGTGCATCTACAAGAATGTGCCATCGAGCCTCAGGACGCATGTGGAATGGCCTAGAGAAGTATCGAGATATCCCTTTGTGAGATTTCTCGGCCAGTCGAGAGAGTTGGATTACACATACGAATGAAGATTCGAACCAAGACACTCGTTTAACATATCAAGGGTTAGGATGGGGATGATGGATTTTACTTTTAGCTTTCATTAGACAATCACCACCTAGCGCGTCGTCTGGATGGTTTAGCCCACGGACGATGTGCTAGGGCTATAGAATATCATTGAGATAGCCGGCGGCATATTAATAGCATAACAACGACATTCGCTTGGAAGACGGAGGTCACAGGATCATCGGAGCTGCCAGTTTGGGCAGGTAGGTACAACCTCCTTCTATATTTGATAACCGAACCACACAATCTGACAATTTAGAGACAGGAAACCCGCTCCAACATCTACTGAACGATCATCACCTCTACCATGGGCTTCATCCCCATGACTGCTTCACGCCTTCGACCGAGACATATCCTGACGCAGTTCCGTCTGGCTTTCGTCGAGCCTCGTACCTTTGCCAATGTGTCCGTTGTTCCCAAGGTACTTCGCAGGGTGCACGAAGCAGAATACCGCGATGGCTGGCAGCATCGGTAGCGCCTCGAAGACGTAGAAGATCCACTCGTGCGTGAATGGGTATCCTTCGATGCCTAATCCGAACTCGATGAGACGATAGACGGAGCGGAGCTGGGCAGTCAATTAGCTGACAGGAAAAGACTATCAAATCAAGGCGGACAACTTACGAGGACCAGACTGCTCGAGATCCATATAGCCTGCATCACTTTGATCCATCCCGCGGGTGCATCATCTGCAATCTCCCTCCTCGCACACCACCAGAACCGAATCGCGATACACAGAAACCAGCAGAATGTGGCAACCTGCAACGCGAGTCCGCCGATTATTATGTTCGTTCCAGTCTCCGCGAGGTCCCCCACCCAGTTCACAGACGAGGCCAGACTGGTGCCGGAGACCTGGACGTTGAAGGCTAGGATATCGAGGATGACGAAGGTGCGCGTGATGAAGCGTGCTGGGATCAGGAATATGCGATGTCGGGAGGTCGGCAGGACTGCGCGAATCAGGCGTCCGATGAGGAGGTAGTTGCCAGCGGCGACAAAGACAGGCGCAATGACGATGAGGGAGCTAGAAACTGCATACGCCGGCTTCAATGTCATGCCTGTCAGCGACAAGGTCTCGGTGGAAGGGGAATGGCTTTGACACATACGACATCCGACTGCTTTTTCGTCGACACGACTCTGGCGATATAACCTGCAACCTCTAGCACGGCAGCGATCTGCACGCAGAGGAAGAACCACGACCGATATTTGAAAAATGTTTGCCAGGTCAGGACGACCATCGGGATGAAGTAGATGGCCGCGACCACCCCAGCAAGTGCTGTGCTTGGGGAATAGAGGTAGATCGAATCACGGGCCATCGTGTGAGGATCGTTATTGAGAATTGGATTCAAGGAAGTTGTCTTGTAAGACTAAACGTTACGAGTATACGTGGAGCAGCTCTGTAGTCCCGATATATCAAAGATTCATGCATCCGATAACTCTTCTTCATGACAATTGACCAAGAACATCCCTTTATATACACCCAAGACGACGACGACAATAACAACAAATCTCCCCTCGAACCAGTAAATCCCATAGAACACCTAACCTTAAGACCCACCCCAACCCGTCATGACTCCAAAACGCGCGTCCCGGAAAAGTGCAAAACCGCATCGCGAAGAATCCGAAAAGAGCAGAACATCGCGAAGGATGACAGCGAAGCGCACGGGAGACAGCCGAACAAGCGAATACGCTCCCTTCCCACTCCTTTCCTATTCCGAACACCAGTTAGGCGACGCTAGTCATTTGACGAATACACCTCTTCTTTTGATCTTGACTGGATACGCCCTCGTGGCGTACCCGATCCAAGACCGCTAATTCGGTAAGGCATATTTTGTGGAAAGGGAAAAAGAAACGAAGTTTGTGCGCATGGAGCAGAAGAGCGTAGTTGATGGTCACAAATCAACTTGCTTAATTCTACTTCCGACACAGCCTCAATCCATCTTTCTCACACATTATACCACGCAATCATACACATATCTTCAGCTCCATAGAGACATACGTCATCTGTAGTCATCTTTCCGAGGCCATCGCGAGATTGAACTGCAGCACAGTACGACAGAAAGATAGATGGCACATCGGCTGGTTCCCAGACGTGCCTCCGCTTTCCTCCCCTTCACACTTGTAAAAAGTGTGTGTATAGTTGATTTCTGGAAATACGAGGGGTTGAGAGTAGGGGAGGGAGGAAGAGCATATGGGAAGGTAGTCCGTCTGTCTGCGAGGCAGATTCATCTGTATCTATCTGATATGCAGCTAGTTCCTCCGCAATGGCTGGTTTTACCCCATACCACATGATCACAGATTATCTATTTCTCATATAAAAGTAACATTGAAACAAAATTGTCCATAGATACTTATATAAATTCTTCTTCTGCAAGTACAGCTGCAAAAAGTGCACTCATACGACAACAAGTACTCGTTCGTTACGATGAGATTGCATCGAAATCCAGTGAATGAGAGTATCGAATCATGTAGGTAGCTGTACAGAGGGTTGACCATCGCGCTGGCCGCCTGCTAGCTTCATGCATCTTCTATACTTAGAGTATCTATCTAGTCAAGGGTACACTGTAACCAGTAAAGAGTCTGGAGACTTAGCGAATACAATATTAAGTACAAAGTACTTGCAGAGGGCCAGTCCGACGTGCCAACCCTTTGTACGTCTTTCTATTACTACGAATTGATACTTCTCCAATACATCAATATCTGCTTACCGACAGTCTATCTTATTCGATCGGTAGCGTGCATTTACGTGTTTCTATCTATCTGCACGCACAATGTCTCCCCTACTTCCCCCTCATCAACACCATCAACTCCACAATCATCATCGCCTACTCTTCCATAGACAATGTCTGTCCTAGAGAGACGAAAACCCGAGAAAGACATGCTGATTCCATACATCCTACTGTATATACCACCTTTTCCTTCCCTTCCCAATCCACTATTCTAATCGTGTGTCCTGTCTTGTCTATTCATGTTAACTTTCAACATGTTTCAATCTAAGTAATACTGGTTAGACTACCTTACCTTCCATTCGTTTATCTCCTCTTTTCTTCTTTCCCTCGGTTGAAGAGGGGTGGTGGATGATCATGGGTGATGGAGAGAGATTTGCTACTTGGTCGTTAGTTACTATTAACATACACATATGATACTGAACAAGCAGGCTCTTCCATCCACGCATATACGTGCGTTTTTGAAACGGTACATACATAAAGGTGAAAAGGTATTTATATATATATCATTGAGAAGTTAGTAGTAGTCCTTAGGTAAGTATCATTCCTAGACGGCGGCATTACCACAACCACAGACATCAATCATCCCATCATTCCTGAATTTCATTCAATTGATAACCTCTCTCTCTTCTCAAGTTAATTACATGTCTATCTAATCTATCCTTCCTACTCATCCAAAAAGAATAACCACCCGTCCCCACCACATCTCCACCCCCGTCCCCTTTCTCTCCCTCTCCACCACCACCCCCAGGACCAAAAAAAACCAGCAAAAAAGAAACAAACGAGTGCATCGGCCGGGAATCGAACCCGGGGCTAGCCGAACCTTGCTATGAAACCTGTTGTCGTTCTACGAACTCCTTGAAGCTGAAGATTGAAGGGATCTGCTTGGCAACGGCTAATTTTACCACTAAACCACCGATGCTGATGTTTTTTGATTGGTTGATGTATGAATCTCAACTTATTTGAATTATATAGATGTGAATTAAAAAGAAACAGTGGAAAAAGGGATGTGGGTGGTGGATGTGATAGAGAGACAGGGATGGTGGGGGGCAAGGGAAAAGTTTGATGGGTTTCTAGATGAAAAAAAAAGGGTTCGCTTAGACGTTTAGTTAGGTGGTTAATCAACTATCTGGTCTTAGCGGGTGGACATGGGGGTTTGGCTTCTTTTGGTGGATGGATGTGGGGACGGACTAGTTGGTCGTTTAACTGACTTGACTGGCTAGGTGTACGAAGTTGACGAAGCAATAGAACCTTGAGATAGAATTGAGTATTGCATTGGAATAGCAAATGTATTGGAACGAGAATGTATATATCTCTTGATTGCTCTCATGATTCAACACAGATAGGAACTCAGTGGACAAGTGGACGATGCAGCGAGTTCAGATGTTTCTCTCCCTCTTTTTTTGCATTATTGTGCACGAGGGTATGCGTACATTGAGTACATATGATAGACTAACACCGTCCGCCAGGGAATGCAAAAATACATGTGCTACATGTGCCAAAAGCAGGCAGAAATACACTAAGGAAAATACAAAAGGAAGCGCGCCCTTTTTGCGGTCCAGCCCAATGAAACAATGATGCTATGCAAAAGCGTGCCTGGGGAATATGCTCTCGATGTTGAGAGATAAGAGTCGGAATTTTCTTCTTCTCGATCTCTTGCATGGCTTGCTTGTTGGAACGAGATTGAAGCAATGTTCTGCTTCGAAACGCCGATGACTTAGTATTTCCCTTTTGAGGCCGCTGAACGGTACTCTTGTACGCCAAATAAATGCAAGGTGGGGTGTGACGCTCCCACAACTCTCTACCCAGTTGATTCGATTCGATTCAATCCGGTCCGATCCGATCCGATAAACGCCTTCTCCAAACAGGTGAAATGTATTCATGCTTCGTATTACACGGTACTCAAGCCCTCGGTTTTGCGACGCTGAGGGTGGGCACTGGTGACGGTGGTGATGGTGGCAACGGCTCCGCGGCAACGGGCTGCACCCAATTGTACCGCCTCGCCATCCACATGACGGTGTGCTCGTCAAAGAGCTCGATAAATGCCTCATCGAGTAACCTCGCCTTCGGATTGGCGTATGTGTGGTACTCGTCAAAGATGGGTCCGAACTCTTCGCCTAGACATTTGTGAGCGGTGTCGGAGAATTGAGATGAGGCGATAACTTACCCTCGACTCTTCTGAAACACCCTACGACACAGCCAGTTCGATGCTGCATGATCGTCAGTGTCAAATGCCGGCGATCGATGGTAATGCTCCGACGTGGAGTCATTTTCGTTTGCTTACCTTGCCTTTATTGCAATGAATCAGGAGCGGGTGGTTGGAGCGATCGAGGACGATTTCTAACGCCCTCGTCATCTCGCATGCGGCGATTCGGACTTTGCCCTTGTTGGCAGGAATGTGCACGTGGAAATGCTGAATTCCATGGCTAGTCATAAAAGTGCGATAGCCTTCAGGAATTGGCTCGGGCACAAGAGTTCTTTCGTCATATTAGCTGGTGTTACGCGTGCAAGAATACGACCAATTGCTAACAATATTGTTTTCAGTTTCAAGCTCTTCAAGAAACCAAAATTCTCAGCACTCGGATATCCACTCCGGTATATGTTGTTCTTGACAACTGCTCCAAAGTTGATTGGTGGGAGGGTTGGCTGGAGTCGAGCGGGAATCTTCGGATCAAATGGGATGACTGAAGTCCGACCAGCATCTGCATGAATTAGTCAGTCTTGCCTGACAGAACAACCACTAGCTCAAGGCATTTGACGACATTCTCTCTACATCGACATCGTAGCGAGGGAAATAAAAAAGCCCTCTTCGCTCCATCGGGTGCAAGTAACATTGCGGCATGAATACAAGCATTCAAACTAACCTTCTGTGGATGGCTCGTCATCACTCGGAACATCCTCATGTACCGTGTGCGCAACATGCTCGGTGAGTTGGTGTCCACTCGAATCAGTCAGGCCGAGTGACATAATATACTTTCTCATGTCTTCTAATCTCTCCATGAGGGTGCTGTTTCTTGAGAGCTGATGTGCGCCATGCGCAGGCTCGGAAACGCCGTTCGTGATGGACATGATGTATAGACTTTTCAATGATCGAGTGAGAGGGAGGAGCCGGAAATAAGCTGATTCGATATCCAGTAAAGCTTGAACGGTGAATCTCCAATAGGAAGGCAAATTGGCAGATTGAGGGTTCAAGCGGAAGTATGCGATGATGGTAGACAAGCAGATGGATAGGCGGAGGAGGATGGAGGCCGGAATTGGAGGTAACCGATGGAGCTTTGTGGTGGCGGAATGGTTATGACGAAGATGTGTTGATTGTCGTAGAGGTAGTTTGCGATGAGAGGGAGAACCGGCAGGCGGAGCAGAGCCTTGAAGCCATGTTAATGTTTGGAGATGGCACGGGGGATTGTACAACGAGTAGAACATGGTGGCATCGCGAGGAGGTGAATGTCTTTGCTCGGTAGGACCCTGACGCATGACGGGGGACCAATGAAGGAAAACCGGGGCATGTATGTGAATGGTGCAGGAGAGACAAGCGAGAAGGATTGAGGTGACTGAACAGGACAGGACAGGACAGGGTCATGGGTTGATTGTTGCGGAGGGGGATTGTAGGACACGGCGAGTTGATATGGAAAAGAAAAGAAAAGAAAAGAAAGGATAGGATCGCATAAATAGAAGAGGGTCCAAACTTACTTCGCGGTCAGCGAATGCTTAAAGGACGCATTGTTTAAGGTCACAGTGGGACTGGATGTAGAGGTCCATGGTTGTCCGGGGGTGCGTGTGAGTTGTGGAAGTGAGCGGGATGATGGTGAGAGCGAGCCCGAGCGGGCGAATAGTCCGTCGCACGAGGTATGAGCAAATGGATTGTCGGGAGCGAGGTGCTCTATGCGGTGACTGACGCGACAAGTGGTGTGTGAGTTGGCTAGGCGATGATGATGACGGTTATGATGGACGCGGTGCCAGTGCGGTGGTTGTGGTTGTGGTTGTGGTGGAGGTGGAGGTGACAGGTAGATGAAGGGTGCGGACGTGTTTGCTGTGGAGAATGGGGGAGAAGGGGGATGTGGCTCGTGGGTTTGTTTAATAAGTGAAATATGAGAGTGGGCGGGAGAGGAAGAAAGAGAAAGAAAGAAAGAAAGAAAGAAAGAAAGAAAGAAAGAAAGAAAGAAAGGTGGACAGGGTATGAGTAGAGTAGGGAGTAAGAGAGTAAGAGAGTAAGAGAGTAAGTGAGTCGTGTGAGTGGGCGGGAGGGGAGATGGGGATAAATGTTTGATTGTCGTGGTGAAAGGGTTGGTGGTTTGTGTAGTGTATCCGTAGTCGTAGTCGTAGTCGTAGTCGTAGTGTAGTGTGGTGGAGTGAGGTTAGGTTAGTGTACGGAACATGGTAGCGTAGGTAAGAGGGGAGACGGCGATGGTGAAGAGTAATTTTGTGAGAGGGGAGGAAGGAAGAGGAAGAAAAGGAAGCGGAACAATAGGCAACGGAGAGGGAGACGGAGAGGGCGAGGGGGGGGGACAAAACAGGGCGGAAGTGTGGCACGAGAGCAGCGACGGGGGAACGACTTGGTAGCTAAGTAGGCAGAATAACTAATACATACACATACATCAGAGTCAGTCAATAACCACATTCAACCTCCCTAGATTTATTGGGAAATACACAAGACGAAGACAAAGCACGAGCACAGTATGAACAAGCACGAGGACGAGCACAAGCACAAATTACACGCACACAAGAAGCACAACCTACCTATGCTACCCATGTACGGAGTGGAAGGATCAGAATGGGGAAGGTATTCCAAGTCCAAGCACTGTAAGAAGCGGAGTTAGAGAGAGAAGGCCGGAGATGGAGATGGAGATGAATGGATGGATGGATGGATGGATGGTAATGGTAATGGTATCATGGTTACTGGTACGAGTACCAGCAGGGAGGAACAGGATGGTAGAATAGGAACAGGAATAAGGGAACAGGATCAAACCCCGAGACAATGTCCGTAGAGTAGTTAGGTTACAGTAAAGTAGTCAATTCTCGTAATTATAATCTATTATCGACTGAATATGTTCATGTCCTACCAGCAAAGGAAAGATATATCTACAATCCTGCATGTACACTCCGTATATGCAGAGAATACACAGAGTGCAGGTTGCGCCATGCCTCCTTGACAGTATGTTGAACCGATGTATCTCGTACAAAGCAGCACCCATAGTATCCGTCGTAGTGAATTTATAATTCTTTAGCATTAGTGATCATCATTAACTATCATAATTACTATTATTTTTTGCATGTGTGTGTAGTGTCAGTGTCTAAAGAGGGTGTCGTTGGTTGGTGGTCGAAAAGCGGCCGAACCGGCCAGGGAAAAGGCCGACGACCGTCGCGAAGAGAAAAGGTGGAAGGGAAAGGGAAGGGAAAGGCTCTCTTCAACGTCACCGTCACCGTCACCGTCACCGTCCCCTCCCCTTGGACTGTAACTGTTCCCACTTATCATTCCTTTATTATGGTTCTCAAACCTTGACTCTTGATCTACTTGGACCTCTCGATCTGCGGGGAGCCCATGGATTCACCCTAACGCCACACCAGTCACCAGTACCGCAACCTCTCACCATTCACTTCCATAGACTTGCAACATAGGGGATAAATCTACCACTTCTGCACCTGCACTGTAAGCCGCCGTGGACCGATCGCCGTGGGCTTCGACTGGCCTGTCTTGGGGATCCCCCCTCCGTCCCGCCTCGTATGGTGTGCTCTCTAGGAGCCATTCTCTCCTACAAGCAAGTACAGTACATACCTCCTAGCAGTGCTTAGTAAAACCTAGCCTAGACTTGCAATTTCTACTGTGTATGTGAATCAAAATCTGCGACTTGCTTCTTTGCTTTTGCTTAACAAACCACCGCCGCCAAAGCCAAGTGTGAGTTCCATGCGCGATGGGGGATGATGGTCTTGGTGATGGGCTAGACCTCGATGCGACACACCAGTATGCATCGCCTTTACAGGGAGAGAGACCTAGAATCCCCATCTCTGCGCATACTTATTCTCGTGTTCCGACTACACGTTCTTCCTGGCTTCTCAACCGATGGGTTTTGGATGTTCAGAAAGGGCAACTTGTCCCGTGGATCGGTCGCCCTAGAACGAACGCATCTTGCCCACTTCAATTATTTTATTGCAGTAAACACCTCACGATAATAATGCAATAATTCCAAACTGCACTCGAATTCAACATCAGGATACCTTGATGAAAAAATGCATAGATATCTGTTGGGAGAATAGCAGCATTACATCATCGCCATCGCCGCCTTCTTCATCCGGGAATCCAAGTCTCGGTGGAGTGATATACGATGCATTTTGTTAAGCAGCCACGCAGCTTAGGTATAGCTTGGTAGAAAACTTCGACGAGAATGATCTGACGTTTATTGTTGGGGGAGCAGAATGGTGATCACGAGTGGGAATCCTTTAGCACGTGAAAGAGATGATCTGCAACCAATCCCGCATTCCACCTCGTCGTTAGCGGGATCCCCCGTAAACCGCATCGTCCTCTGCCTGTCTGGAGATGCCGAGGGCCAACCAACCACACTCGCCAACTTCCTCCTGTCCTATATCCTCCTCACTCACTCACTCACTCACTCACTCACTCACTCCATCACCTACTCATTACTCCTCCTTAATATCACTCCACATCCTTCTTCCCCCTTCTCTTCCCTCCTCCCCTCATCTAATATAACACGCCACCTCTGTGTCCGCCATCAGTCTTCTCCAACCATCAAAGAATTCCTTTGTTCTCAACCGCATTCCCCCCTCAACCCCCATAACAAATAATACGCCACCCGATATCCCGTCCAACCCATCCCAATACCAATAATCACGATCCAAACAATCTCCTCCGAAACAACCCAATTCTCGCCATCATAGAGCAATGGACACGCAATCACAGCCACAACCGCAACCGCAACCACAGACGCCGCGCTCCTCGACCCGACGATCCTACCCCAACCTCCACAACCTCTCCCTCGCCCCACTGAGCTCCAAATACCCTCTCGACGCCTCGCAGCCTCCGTCCCCCTCGGGCGAGGACTCCCACCACGCCGTCTCCACGCCCCTCACATCCTACATAGCGCAGAAGTCGGCCCCGACCACCCCCGGAATCCTCTCCCTCTCCCAGTCCCGCAGCAATTCGCGGGGTCCCCGCCGCGCGAACCACCACGGCCACTCCAGACCGTACGCCTACGACGGCTACTTCGCCCATGCCGGTGCTACCAACCCAGCGGGCGACTACTCCGTCCGGGAAGTGGGCGACATCCCGAAAGCCAAGAGCACGAGCGCGATGATCCCCCCGCCAGGGACACGCCCAGGCACAGCAGGCACAGCAGGCGTCAGTTTCGCCGCCGACGACATGTACCTGGAGGGCGGAGCCGTGCGACGAAGCACCACCCACCATCGACGGAAGGGCACCGCGCCGATCTACCCCCTCCGCGTGCCCATGACCCCGACGAAGCACCACACGAGCGAGTCGCACGAGGAGTGGATCCACCGCGCGGGGCTCGCGATCGCGGGCGAGACGCGCGAGAGCAAAGGGCAGAGCTGGCTTGTGAGGAGGGAGAGCTCGACGAGCCTCGTTGGTCAGACGGACGAGTACGAGGAGCATCCTAGTCATGATCCGAGGCATATTGCGCTGCTCTCTGGGGAGCATTTCATCGGGGGCGGCGCGGGGGATGAGCATGGGTTCTTCACGCCGAGGTTGGTGGGTTCGAGGGCTGGGAGCAGGCTGCAGAGTAGGGTTGGGAGTCGGGTTGGGAGTAGGGTTCCTAGCGCGAGGAATAGCAGGAGGGGGAGCAGGGTCGATCTGATGATGTCTGCACCTGTCGGCGTTGGTGGTGCGAGGACGCCTAGTGCTCGGCATAGTCTGGAGATGGAGAGGGAGTTGGAGGACGGCATGGTGGAGCCGGATTTCGTGGACGAGGTGGAGAGCGACGGTGACGAGGAGGAAATCGCGAGACTGGCTAGGGAACGGGGTTTCGGGCTGGGCAGCTGGATGGACAGGCTTATCGGGTGGACACTGTTCAGCGTCGACGAGGATGGCGAGGAATCGGACGAAGAAGACGACGATGACGATTACGTCGAGCAAGACACTTTCCGCCCTGAGAACATGACCAAAGAGGAACTCCAACTTAGACGCGAAGTAGAAGCCAAGAGACGAAAGCTCGAACGCGAGGCCATCATCGCCGCCGCAGCAGTGAGGTCGACGGCCGACGGAGGGAAGTCAGACGAGGAAGACATTGCAAAGTTGCAGCGTTCGAACGAGGAGCCCGGGGGCTGGCAAGATGCTGCGTGGTTATTTAGCGTTGCATCAAAGGTCATTTTGTAGAGACGACCTGTTTATCTTTCTTTCTTCTTTATCTCTTTCTCGAAGTGATCCCTTAGTCGGGGGTAGGCATTTCTGCGAATTTCTGCTACTTCTCGTTCGATATACAATCAAGAGATGCACAGTCTAGAGATAAGAGTATCTTCACTGCCACAAATCCAAGATCAATTCCACGAAGCCAACCCTTCGGACAGTAAGAGGCTGTTATATTATATACGTCAATTCGAACACCCCATTGAGACGTCCAGGTGATGATTGAGATAGATCAGATTAGATATCATACATACTAGAATCTCGGAACCTTTTTCAGTTATATATGCTTGATGATCCACCAACACATCACATAGATACATGCACACACATTCATTGATGCACATCATCTTCCATGTACGATACATATATCCCACAACACCATTACATCCTTCCTTCCTTCCTTCCTTCCTTCCTTCCTTCCTTCCTTCCTTCTATCCACACAACAATTCCTCTCAGAAGAAGGAAAAACAACCAACCTACAAGACTACCTCCTAACCCCCCCATCCAAACACCAAACCACAACATCCCCCACCCGCCTCCAATCATCATGCCAATGACTATTAAACCCCCTCCAACACTCGCCATACCTCCCGGCCCCCTTCCTCCCTCCCTCCACCTCCTCCCCCTCATCCTCCATGCCATTCCCTTCAATGAACCCCCTCAACACCCCCTCCAACCCCCCAAAGAAGACAAGACGGCTCGGCCACTCCCTCGTCCCCTCCCCCCTTCTCGCCGCATCCTCGACGCCCACCCAGTGGCCCGCCGTGCGCGAGGACCCGCGCCGCGCCCGTACGCGCGACACGTGCTGCATGTTGTCGCGGAGCCAGGCGGCGGGGTCGGCGTAGAAGACGTCGGCTTCGTCGAGGTAGGCGGAGCGGAGGGGGCCGGGCGGGATGGAGAGAGGGGGTTCGCAGGTCAGGGCCCAGGCGGTCAGGGAGGCGTGGATGAGGTGCGAGCGCCAGGGGGTGGAGTGGCAGGGGGTTAGGAAGGCTACGCTTGTTGTTGGAGACGTTGATGGGGATTGGGGGGAGGGGGAGGGGGAGGGGGAGAGGGCGTGTTCGTGGGAGGTGCGGAGGTAGGTGAGGACGGAGATGACGCCGCGTTGGTGGACTTGCGATGTGTAGTATGAGAGGGAGAGGTTTGCGGTTAGGAGGGTCAGGAGGAGGAGTTTACGGGGGAGAGACGGGGTGAGGAGAGGGGATGGGGAGGTGGTGGTGGCGGACGAAGCAGAGGAGAGGAAGAAGTTGGTCAGAGGCTCTGCGGCCAGGACGTGGAGGAAGGGGAGGATGGGGTACAGGAAGCGGACTTCTTTGTGGGAGATCAGGCTGAGGGTGAGTGTCAGAGTCACGGAGGTGTAGGCCAGGACTTGGAGAATGGGTCTCTTGGGAGAAGATGTCGTGGCCGTGGATGGTTTGACAACAGCCGCAGGAGAAGACGAATCGCTCTTGGTCGGTGAGGTCGAAGCATGTTGTTCCGTTTCCGGAGTGCTTGACACCAGAGCATGTCGTCCGTCGGTGTGCGTCTGCTCCTCATCTGAGCTGATCTGTCCACGTAGAGCCTTCCATGTCCCCACGAGGGCGAAGGGTAGCGCCGTCGTGAGCAGAAGCGGTAAGCCTTCGGTCAGGTAGTAGTCGGGTCTATTCTTGCCATAGAAGACCGCGAGCGACTGAGCAATGTTGAAGTACAGGAACCGTAGCGGCGGAAAGGTCCAGGCCTCGTAGTAGAGCCTATCGGACAGTGTCGAACATGCAACGACAACAGATCTAAACACACAACGTTGGATTCGATTAGCCTTAACGGCAATTGGGGGAAGACCCGTCCTCCCGCATGGCAAGAGACAGGATTGCATATACCGATGCCCCAGTTCTATCTCTTTTTTTTTTCTCCATCTCTCGCCAGCGGAAGTGGGAAAGGATTGCCTACCCGCAGAAGAAAATTTCGCGGACCAACACATACCGCTGCCGCGATGAGGCCTGCCACAGCGTTGGGACAGATACGGGAAGCCAGATCAGAGCGTTGGTTGGCCGCAGTATGCACGCGCTCGCCGCGAGTAGCAATGAACAACGGAGCCTGCACGATGCACTACTTAGCACTGTCTTCACCAGAAATTAGGACGACGGGGTCAGGGAGCCAAAACGCATTAGATGAGATCCAGATCCAGATCCATCGTCATAATATCATCGTGCAATGCACAAATAATATTTTTCATGCTTTGACTTACCGTAACAGGGAACCGATGTTACTCTGGACTGCATTCTGCGAACGCTCTGCAGTAGGACGTGGATGGAGCCATTGCCAGGGCCAATGGCAGACGGCAATGGACGTCAAGGTCGTTTCGAGGCAATTCGACAATGTGCGGGTAGAACAGAACCATTGCCACGGGCTGCATAAAGATAGTGCGAGCTATAGTTACTCAGACTCAATCATTAGAAAACCTTTTGCATGAGAAAGGGTGGGGATGATGCTTTTTTTTCTTGGGGGGACACATGAAGTGGGAAAAGAATGTCATTGACGAATGGGAGCATGGGCACAGGAACGTACAGTAGCATATGCGGTGCGACTTGCTCGACCATACGTCTGCTCTGCAAGCTTCCAGGTATGGAAATCAAGCAGCGCTGCAAACACAGCTTGGGTAACCTTCGGCGCCGCGATGTATAGTTCGGCCTGACTAGGGAGGTTCAAGCCGCATAACTGTGATAGCTTTGCCGCCACCAGATAGACAGCGGCGAATATGTCAGGGTGTAGGGAGGACCGCAATTGGTTTCTCCATTCCTACAGTCATTATTGTGAGACATGAACATGGACATGGACAGGGACTTGGAAAGGGGATGGGCTTGCGGGGACAATACAAATGCAAATGCAGACGTGGACGTGGGTACGGGAAGTGGAGTTAGATAGACGTGGATGTGGATGCGTGGATGAATTGTGAATTATTTTGCAGAAACAGGTACGGGCAGGAAGGGAGAGTAGGATTCGGATTTACCCATGTGATCCAGGCATTACTCTCTCGGCCAAAGACAAGCTGCCATGCTGGCTCGAGAGATTGGAAGAACTCGTCTGGCTGGAAAAAGGTCCTAAGTGTTAATGCATTGACGATGCGGAATGCGAGCACAAGTGCAAAGATGCCTAGCGCCAAGTCACGATAGCGATGAGGGTCCAGTGACGATGCGGAGTGGGAGTTGGATTGGCGATGGGGTTGCGTGGCCTTGATGGGGTCCCTCGCGGGATGTCGATGCATTGGCAATCAATTCGATCGAGGCTTGCGGTGCGCGACGGGCAACGGCGGATAAGCGTCGGGCGACGAGGGCACGAACGGGCGAGGTCAAAGGGCCGCAGAATAGAGTAGGGTAGACTCAGTAGAGTAGAGTCGATGGGTTGGCTGTGATGATGGCGGCGGCGGCGGCGTTGTTGGTGGTGGACGTTCGCTATTGAACGATGCAAGAGGGAGGAACAGATAGAGTGATGGAGACGAGGCTTTCGCTGGCTGGACCGCGGCCAGAATGACACACGGACGCAGTGACAAGAACTCCTAGACGCACGACAACGCAAGGGTTTTCTTGCTGCACGACGATGAATCCTATCGTATGGGAGTTTTCTAATTACCGAATTGCATTGTCTCTGCCTGCCTCTATTGTGATAGCCGAATTAAAGCCTATGCTTTGCCACCATGTATGTACGTACATACATACATACATACATGTACTACATTCTCTGTACGGAGTACTGCCTATCTACCTACTCAATCATTCATTCATTCATTGTCCCGAGTAGAGCCTGAGTATAGCTAATATATCAAATCTAATAGGCAGTAAATGACACCGGAAGGTAGAACACAAGCTGTTGTAAGTCTTTAGGGGTCACACAGAGTCAATGCACAATTGTGATGGCCTGGAGACTGAAAAATCAGTCTGGCCTATTCCCGGCGTAGGGGGACAAGCAGTCTAGGAGCCACGATGCCGTGCGTGCTGATGAAGTGGCCAACCCCACTAGGCCCAACTGGGTAATTCACGATGATTGAAATTTTCTTAGCGAAGGGTGTTGAGGAGTGAATCAACGAAATCCGCGTCTTCTCCGTGTTCCCCCAAGTTCCGTATGTTCTAGGCGCCCCACTATCCGAAGGTTGCGTGCTCACTCACATCACGGGGCACCTGTAGTCCTTTCTCACCAGGCCCAGAAGGGTAGTCCACGATGAAATTCTGGCGGTGTTGAGTCAAACTCGAACTCGCCGAACCATGCACAAACAGCGTACACGAACACAGACGACGCACTGTGACTGACCATTGCAAATCCAGCGCGGGGCCACACGCCGGCGGGAACTTGCATGCGTCGCGGAGCTCTGTCAGCCGTACAAACCACACACTATCGCCCAATGCGGTATTTCACGATGCTGTCGGAGGACAGATTGCTAGGTGTTGAGTTTTGGTCTGGCCAGCTGGACCCCTCCCCTTACCACCCAGCCCATCCATCCATCCGCTTCCCCCTTCTTTTTGCCGGCGCGAGGTGTGGAACTGAGCTGTGCTGCTGTACTAGATAGTAAGAATCTGCAATCGTGTGATACGACAGAAAAGTCGGCATGGGTGTGGTACGGATTACAGAGAGCGTCGAGGTGTCTGCTCCGTATGGATCGACGACCTGTCACAAGCAATCTACGTCAGAATGTCGTATGCACTGCGCTCCCCGGAAAAGTGCGAGTGGCCCAAATAGGCAGTGCACGATAACAGGGGCGTCTTCCGTATGGGTGTTGATGAGGGCACGCACAATCTCAATTCCCAGGTGCAAGAGTATTGTATGCACATTGCACCGTACACACAACAAGTACGCACTCCCGTCCCTCGGCTAGGCTTGCTGAGTGCCCTGCTAGCTCTATTGGAAGCGAAGTCGCATTCGATCAGCCAGCCGCCGCGCGCAATTCGCTTTTGGATGGTCTGCCCCGCTTGTCTCCGCTTGCTTGACCTTGCTATCGTGAGAATAATTAATTATGGCCTGAGTCCTCCGTACTCCCTTACAGTAATTAACCTGGCTTTGCGAGTAGTCTAGGCGATGATTAATTGTTGGTTCGAACGCAATATTACGCCGACCATGTACGATACTGTACCGTTCGTTTTGCCTGTAATAATGATAATGATAATGATGATAACAACCCGCCACACCATGCTACTTTGATCCGCGATAGGGAGCTTGCAGATTTCAGTGGTGGATCCGATCCACAGCTGCTTTGGATGAATGGGTTTTCGTTTCATCAGGGTGGATTTGACCCGTGGAGACCCTTTGTTCGCCCAAAGGTTGGCTGCTGGATCGCATCCCTCGCAGACTCCCCCGCCATGACGATGGGAGTGCTTGGCGGTTAGAGGGTATTGCTTGCTTGTTCGCAGCCGGAACTCGCGGATGAAGCAGGAAGGCTTGGTGAAGTGTGTCTAATCCTGATCCTGTGGGTGTTGGGTATGAGGACAGGTCGCAAAGCACGGGATGAGTTTGAAGAGAGTTGCGCACCGCAGCGAAGTGCAGCTTGTCAAGGGTTAGTTGGTTGGCTGGTATGCCTTGCTCCTCAGTGGACGAGAGAATATGGAGATGAGGAGGGAAAATCTGGGGAACTGCGGCTGGACCTGCTTTGCGACATGTGCAGGGTGATGGAAGAGGCAGCAAAAAACGAGCTTGGTGCAGGAGGATGTAGGATGTGGTTGGATAGATGAATGGTTTGGAGAGTTAGGCGAGGCAGGGCTTGGGATACGAGATGGATCATGGAGGTACGAAGTAGGTTTGTTACGAGAAGATGATGATGATATGATGGCACAGCACAGGTGCGGGATGGCAACATCCGAGTCGGGCGGTGCGTTGGGGCGGTTTAGGAAGTATGATATGCAGCATCCATCGTGCTGGGCCCAAACGATAGCGACGAGAGCTAGGTGAGAGGTTTATCAAGGCGCTCAACGCGGCAGCCATGTAATTCCTCCTCCTCCTCTTTCTCTTCTGACTCTCGTTACCATACTCGTAACCGGGCCCGGGACTGGGACCAGGACCGCCAGCGTACAGACAATCAATCTATGATGCCTGTGGCCCTGTTGGACTGGATCGGTGATGGGAGGAAAGAAACGAGGCAGCTGCATGGCTATGCATCTGCGGGCGGATAGCAGTTCTGGACGGACGGTATTGTTCATATTCGAAGAGGGTTCCTTGATTGTATGAATGAATGTCTACTCGATTTGTAGTAGCTAGAATGCTGTAGAGAACCTAGCGCATGAATATCATCATGGGTGTGATCCGGACTCGGATAGGACGATCAGTATTTAGTAATGTTGATTGATGGATGAGTGGTGAGTGCATGTTCTGTAGCTGAGTGGTGTAGTTCATTCGAGGGTGTCATGAAGTTAGTGAAGTCAGCTCGGATGGGCCATCCATCATGTGCGCCCATCTGAAGATGTGTAGGTGTGTAGTTTCAGTTCCCGATTAGTTCAGTGTAGTTCAGTTCAGGAGAGACGAACGATGGAATGGTGTTGGGTGTCAAGGGTATCAAGGGTGGTCAAGGTGGTGTGAAGGAAGGTGATGATGATCGCGTAGTGTATTGGAGACTGGAGAGAGTATACGGAGGAGTAGAGCGTACTCGTAGTTAGAGTGTAGAGAGTGCGCGCCGCTGCAGCTTGTTGAGCTCATCGGTGATAGGATGGTGATTCCACGGTTGGCCCGAGCGCAGACACATGAGCCAATAGTATCGAAAGAGGTGGAGAAAACCCATCGAGTGATCTAACCTCTATCAGATCTAGCGGCATGGATGGCCCCCCTGGTCCTTTGATGAGCTGCAATCACCTACATGGATGGATGGCATGGGGACGCCATTACTGTGTATCTTCATCTTGCACATTCACTCTACTCCACTACCATCTAATTACTATCCGCTCTACTCGTATGTATGAAGTCAGTGCATAGGAGAGAAAGAGGAAGAGAGTAGAGTTAGTATATAGTATCTGGAAGAAGGCGAGAATGGAGATATGGCAGGATAGACATGGCCAAGGCTCCATAAGGAGTTGGACATTGGTATGCAATAATGAAATTAAACTGTCTATTACCGTCTACAACGTTCCGTACACAGTATGTAATGACAACCGGAATCTTTGCATTCAAATCAACATACGGAACTGCCTCCACGGAGAAAGCAACCGCTTGTCCAACTACGAATCCATTATTCATCTACCCAACGAATTGTAATAATAAAAACCATAATGATGATGGACGGCGATGATGTATGTACGGAGTACAGTGTCTCCTTACTGCACGTCTACTCATCTCCTTTTGACAATAAATAAATAGTTTGCGTCCGTTCACTACTGCAGCTGCAGGATACATGTACGATGGCCTGCACTGCACGCACTGCGCTGCAGACAGGAAAGAAAAAAAAAGCAGACATCATCTCTCTGCATACCGGGATGGAAACCCGTCTTTCCCCAAAGGCACCCCCCAAAGATGACCCGTCTCTCAACATTGTGCAGTGAGGCTTGTGTCCAGCTACTCTGTTGAGACGTTGAGTATCTAGATTGTGTGGTTTTGTGTGTCTGTGTGTCGGTGGCCCTGTTGTCGTGTGCCTCTGGCTATGCCTTTGCCGGTATGCGTGTGTCACTCTTTTGCCCTTATCAGCATCATGGCCGCTCCGCAAATTTGCTTGTCTGCATCTCAATAATGATAACTTTCTCCACTACTAATTACTATGTGTACAGTAGTTAGGGGAGTACGGAGTACTACCACAATAGCTGGTAGTACTTGTAATTGCTGCAGAGATACTGTTGAATTGTTGGGACGCCTCTGTTTCTTGCTGGGGCCCCGCCGTCTCTTCTTTGTTCTGCAGACCCCGTCCCCCGTCCATCCCGTTGCTGTGTCTCTTCGGCCCTTTGGTCTCCTTGGCCGGTCCCAACCAACTGATTCGCCTCGCACCTCGCATCGCATGGCCAACGATCTTTAATCTCCTGCTGTCCAATTCCGTAGATGATAAATGACTTCATCATTTACAGTACATACAGTACATGCTGCTGTGCGGAAGTGAGTACGGAGTGCAGACATACGGGGCTGCTGCAGGAGTTCGTGGTCGTTGGTTTATGGACTGTTGAAAGTGTACGAGTACATAGACGGGACTGGTCACTGTAGGGGCTGCTGTGCGGGCTGCAAGCCTGGGGTCGCCACTGGGGGGTTTTGTTGGTCACTGGCTGCATTGGCGGGCGGGCGGTCTTCCCTTCCTTTCCCTTCCATTTAGCTCCTCTCCTCTTCCATACCATACGCGTATCATAGAATACTGTAACAATCAGATAAACTAATAGCGATATTGATGATGATGATACCTGGATGGATTTAGGCTCCTATCAATCTGAGGATTTTTTCTAGCTGCCTAACATAGGTAGGATTACGTGGGTATGTTTCTACGGAGTAAATGTCAAGTGTACGGAGTACATACTGTATCGTAATTCACAGTAGGGTATTTTAAGACAGGATGGGTGTGCAGTGTATGAGCATCAACCACGGTGGTGAGTGTGTGACCATCACCATAACCATCATCGGACCAGAACTCGATCCATCCTCCCATTCCCATTGCGGTATTACTCTACTCCACCCGCTCTGTACCGAGCCCGCAACAAGCCCCGTACAAATTGGTTAAGTATCCCTCGTAAACTTTATTACAATACCAGTACATACCTAGGTCGTGGTCAGGTATACTTGTACAGAAGATTAAAGCGTATCGTCTAGTTAAGTTACTATTCTGTTATCTTTCCGCCTACTGTCTACTACTGGAAAATAGTAGGTGGGTCTGCTATGCCTATGCCCACACAGTATGGGACGGATGGTGGAGTGGGTGGGTGGATAGGTGGATGTGTGTGTGTGTGTGTGTGCGCCTCCATCCCTCCTCCTCCCATCCCTCCCCTCCCTCTCTGATCTCTCTGTGACTCCGTCTAATACTCTCTTCCTGTCCTGTCCTGTTCTGTTCTGTTCCTCTGTCTTTTCGGTGCCGTCAGGAATTAGACGAGTTAGACGTTCGGCCGCTGATCTGTTCCTCTCAGAAGTCTTCGTCGCTCGCTCAAGTCCATGTCCATGTCCATGTCCATATCCATGTCCATTCCCCGTTGGCGGTCCCAATCAATTAATTCAATCACATCCACCCTCGCCCACCACCACCACCACCACCACCACCACTACTACGCCAACTACGCCTACCACCACCACCACCACTTAGATACAACCACTACTCTCCCTCCACCTCCATACTCAACTAAACTTTGATAGTCCCCCTCCTCTTCCATCCTCTCCCTCAAACACTCTCCTACCTACCTCTTAACCTTCAAGACACTCTTCTTCTGAGCCATTGATCCACCTTTCCACCTTACAACTCGGCCTTGACGATTCACCTCGAATCCTTCCATTCTTCGTCTTCGCCTTCGTTTCTCGTCTTCGCCGTCGTCATCGCAGACAAATCTTCATTCACATTCACATTCACGCCCACCTTCACGCCCACGTTTACGCTCACGTTCCCGTCCTCGCTATCTTCGCTATCTTCGCCGTCATCGATCCCCCGCTATACCACTGCGATAACCCACCCCAGCATGACAATAGCGCTGCAGCTACCCATACGCTGATTCAACAACCCTCGAACCCCTCCTCCAGCGTGGATATGGTTGTACGGATCGATTAAATAAGCTCGCGGTCGTTGCTGCGAACGAGCGGCTGTCGTTTGAATGAATCCGAATCTACCGGACGCTGAGTTGATGGGCGTCATGGGTGACCCAGGAACATACGTGACAGCGCCCTCCGATCCACATGTCGAACCACATCCGCGACAAAGTTCACCGGCGTCAGCCGTGTGCTACATGAATCTGGATCAGGCACAATTCCCCCGTCCAGATAACACCAGACCCGCTAGCGAGAGCCCTGGAGCAGCAGGTGTTGCCGATTTCCCTCCGTCAAAGGCAGGCGATGAATCAGACAACACACCACGTTCAGAGGTGCCTTCCACGGCCGACACGGTCCCTGCTATTCCGCCAGAGCTCCAGCACCTCAATGATGAGCCCAGCTACTTCTCGCCGCAACCATTGCGCATGTACAGTGGCTCCAAATTCTCTGCGTCCACTCCCACATCGACCAATCCCTCCCCCACCACGAGCAACAATGCGTCCTCCACCTCAGTAAATAAGACCAGGACCAGGACCCGGACCGCATCTCCCTCTTCGTCCTCGCTGCGTATCAACGCTGACACAGTTGGACGGCCAGGCGTCCAGAGGGACCTTTCCAGCACTTCCACAGCCAGCGTAGCGACAATACGTGCTCATTCCGTTGACCCAATAGCATCTTTTGCACCTCTGCCGAGACAGCATCAGAGAGATGGACCCCACTACCCCAATCAGTCCTATGCCGCTCTACAAAACCAACAACACTATACAGTTCACCCTCCGCATCTCCCACGCACACGCAGCACTCACCCTGCCCACTCCTCTTCCCATTCTGCCGCCCACATCTCCACATTCGGCATCGCACTCGAGTACCATCGTGACCTCATGGAGTCTGGCTCGCGGACCGTGGGAAATTCACCTGCGAGCAGCCCCGGTCTCTTCAGCCCGACAACTCCTCCCTTCCATCACGGCAGCGGACAGCCAGATGATGGCCATTACTCCAGCCCCTACCTGCACCACACTCACAGACAGGCACCTAAGGAGACCCACACGGCCGATGTCGATGTCGATCCCGTTTCCGGAAGGAAAATCATCAACAATTACGAGGTCATTGATGAGCTTGGTCGTGGCGTGCACGGCAAGGTCAAGTTGGGAAGGAACCTCGCTACTGGCGAGTTCGTTGCCATCAAAATTGTTGACCGTTACTCCAAACGACGGCGATTAGGCAAGAACACGAGCCACGAAGACAAGATCAAAAAGGAGATCGCTATTCTAAAGAAGGCTCGCCATCCCAACATTGTAAGCTTACTCGAGGTCATTGACGACCCCTCACGCAAAAAGGTATACATTGTGTTGGAGCACGTGGAGCTTGGCGAGGTGAAATGGCGGACCCTCGGCGAGAAAGAGATAGCACGTGTTGAGTGGCGCCGCTTCCAACGTCACTCTCAAGGCATCTTTGATAATGACAGTGCGGATATGGAGGATAACAGGATACTCCACCACGCTCGCCAAAAGCTCGAGCGCAAAATACGTCGACGGGCGAGAGAACAACACCTACGCCGTTCACAAGGAACTGACTTTGGCGGGTGGAGCTTCGAGCATGGAGGAGATTCGGACGATGATGCGTCGGAGAGCAGTCGTGACCAGCGTTCAATCGACGACAGAGCCGCGAGTCGCGACAACTTGCCCGACACCAATATGGAAACTGCATACCGCTCACCCACACCCCTTGCCAACTCTCGTCAACCGGACCTCGAACTCGGTCTGCTCGATGGTACCATGTATGGCGGTTACGACACTCAGCCAACCCGGGGAAGGGCGCCAAGCCTCGCAGAAAGCAGCTCGTCCCACCACACCGATGACGACGAGGAAGTTCCCGAGCACTTCCGCTATGTGCCGCTCATGACAATCCAAGCTGCGCGCGAGGCCTTCAGAGATACGGTACTTGGCCTCGAGTATCTGCACTTCCAAAGCGTCATCCACAGAGACATCAAACCAGCAAACCTCCTCCAGACGAAAGAACATCGAATCAAAATTTCCGATTTCGGAGTGTCATATCTGGGGCGCGGCAGTTCCGGAGAGACTACTGGTGATCAGTCAGAATCCGATGCTCACGACTACGATGAGGCCATCGAGCTAGCCAAGACTGTGGGTACTCCTGCATTCTACGCGCCGGAGCTGTGCCGGACCGATCTTGATGCCGACGATGCTCCACCACCGGTTGGACCTGCGATCGATGTATGGGCACTCGGTGTCACACTGTACTGTCTCATCTATGGGAGGGTTCCGTTCCACGACCACAACACATTTCACCTCATGAAGTTGATAACGGACACCGACGTCTACATTCCTGATCAACGCCTGAAGGCTGTCACGGAGCAATCGGGCTCCAGGCCAAACTCCCATGGACGGATGTATCACTCCATGACCACGAGCAAGAGGGCCCCGCACGATCTAGAGCATGAGGACGTGGGCGAGCTCCTCCGGGACTTGCTCAAGAGGTTACTCATCAAGGACCCACGAAAGAGGATCACAATCCCTGAGATCAAACGGCATCCCTGGCTGTTGCAAGGTCTCGATGATTTCCACTCATGGGTTGAAGAGACGGATCCCAACCGTTCGGCCCAGAACAGGATTCGCGTCACCAAAGACGATGTCGAGCAGGCCGTCGTCCCTATTACTCTCATTGACCGAGTCCGCTCAGGTGTTCGCAAGACCATCGACACCATGTTTGGGATGGGAAGGCGCGGGGGTTCCAGGCGGCGCGCACAGAGCAATGCTACCAATCCCGACCCAAACCATCCACTGACTGCGAATTCCTCCAGCAGCACCATCAGCCAAGAAGGCCGACGACCCAGCTTAGCCATGGGTCAGTCCATTTTCGAGGCCCTCAATCGTTCTCGAGAGCCCGATCATCCGCTTTCTCAGAGCGTGACCGCCAGCCCAGAGGTGGCAGAGCGTAAGAAGTTTTTTGAGTCATCTGGCTCCAGAACAGGATCGCCAGCTCATAGTTTGGAAGGCACAGCGCAACCGCTTACACTGGCAACCGCATTCAGGCCGCTGCCTGAGCGAGCAAACTCGGCAACGTCGAATACTACTGCGTCGGGGCGCACAATTATAGGAGACAGATTGCGATCAGGCCGACCAGCTTCCCCAATAATACCACCAGCATTACCTGGGACCCCTACTGCATTGGAAAGTCCGGGGGGCACTCACCTAGGAGGCATTTTTGGCGGAGCACCTCGCCGGTTTGTCAACAGTGTGAGGAGCCGAGAAAGCCTTCTCAAACCCAACCACCTCCATAGCCGGGCCAAATCGATCGATAGGTTGGTCAATCCTGAAGAGGATGCCCATGCAGGCCCCAGTCTCGCGATAAGCAACACACTTGCTGCTGGCCATGTTGACCAATCTGATCTCCTGAGAGAGATGTCCCCTGGTCTTGCGCGGGGCACCTCGCCAAGCATCTCCGACTTGCGGTCTCCGGATCCGACCGAGCGAGCAGCTTCGCGCCAATCATCCGTTTCATCCGCTGCCTCGTATCACAGTCGAATGTACGCCGCGCATCATCAGATGGAGGTTGGACCGACCGACTTCCTTTCCTTCAACAAGCCTCAACTTGACCGTGGCGCATCTAGTGAACGCTTCAACCGTGCCAAGGACGAGCTTGTACGACAGAGAGTTGAAGAGGCACGGGAGCGCCCGCGGTCCAAGAATGCATCGCGCCCTGTTTCCATCGCTACGCAGTCCGAGTGTCCACCCAGTCCAGACGATGAAGTATTCTTCCAGCGACAGAAAGTAGAAGACTACCTCAACCAAAACCCAGGCTCAACAGAGACCAGCCCTGGCGGATTTTCCACGACCTCTCAGGCAGTCGCTTTGACGTCGAGCTCATCAGAAGATCACTTTGCCTCCATCTCCCAGTCTACATCCAACCCATCGATTCCATCGGTAGCCTCGGCCAATTCATCAGTGGCCCCAGATGAGTGTTTGCAGATGCAAATGGGCGCCTATCACGTCGCTCCGGAGACTTCAGAAGACTCAATCAAACACCACTTTTCCTTACGTGACGACACCTCTGGCTACGATGGCGATCATGCTCTGGAGAGCGGCGACGATGAAGATTCGGGCGATGACGACTTTCTTGTCATGGGCAAGAGGAAGACGAATTCATCTACACGCAGCGGATCGATCAGCAATGGCGAGCTTGCCCGCAGCCACGACCGAAAAGTGTTCCTCGCTGAGCGACAAAGGTCCTCCCGAAGCGGTAGCAATGGGACTGTCAAGAAGATCCCACCTCCCGAAGCCTCATCAGACTCCAACACCCCGACTGCTCAATAACGTAATCTACCCTTTTCTACATGTACGACTACTTGAGGCGCAATTTTCGATTTAGTCCATGAGGAACAATTCGCTGCACACATGTCCAAACTGCCCGTATCGCATACTCCACGGAGTCTTCATGTACAAAAACAGAGTCGCAACCTTTCGATCACGATACCAAATATCAGCTATTAGTCATTTCCCTGGCGCCGGAGCCTTTTCTCTCAACACATAATCAGGTCTTAGGGTTGGCGCCTTGGTTGGAAAGTCACCACCGGCAGTCATCAGCTGTCAGATTTTATTATTTCGAATCTTCCTTCTAGTATATCCCTTTAGTCTTTTCTTTGCTCCCCATGCAGGATTAGGATACCAAAAGACGGCGTTTATTTTTGTCTCTCCTCATACGTAATCTCCACCACAGAGGTGGAGTTTCATATACTTCCTTCACATCTATTTACTCGATTTTTGCATTGCGAGGGTTTTTCATATTTTTGGGGTTCCAACCGGCGGGACAGGGGGAACTCATGACGATGATGGGACGACGATGGGATGACGTACGAATGGGCTGCTTTGTATACCTCTCTTCTTTTATTCATGTTTCGCCACACACTTCCGAAGGCCTGAAATTGCCTGGATACATGTATCTTGTTTTTTATTTTGGAGCTGGGCGGAGATATCATTATTGAATTGAATGGGAAGGGAAGGGAAGGGAAGGAACAGAATGGGAGGAGGGAAGGGAGTGAAATCGTACGATATTACTTGCATGCATGATAGAAACACAACCAAGCTCTTCGAACTTTCCATCCACACTACATTCACAACTCGCTGCACACGTGTCTTCGCTCCATTGTCAAACTCTAACATTTCCATGGCGCGCACCTAAGAAGAGCACTGCCAATTAGACATTTTCACAGCCTGGCGAGTCGAGTCGAGTCATTCTACAATCATACGATCGATGCTCAATCCCCAGCCAGTCAGTCAAACTACCTATCACCGTATCATTCTTGCTATCTCTATCCCTCCTTAGAGACGGAACGGAGAAAAACCTCACCACGCAATTGCCAGAACAAAAACCAGACATCCCAGCATCCATCACCAGCCCAGAGTCCAGACCCCTCCATCCCCTCCTTCAGGCAATCAATCTATCGACACCCCCCTACCGGTCAAACGCATAGGGCTGAACCCCCCTTTACCCTTTAACCCTTTCCCACACCGTTCTCCTACCCTGGCCGGCCCCCGATCGAAACCACACACCTTCTGTGCACTTAAAAGAGCAAAAACAAGACAAAACCACCATAACGACAAGGACGGGGGGGAAGGAGGGGAAGAAGGAAAAACGCAGGGTGTGGGCTGCTGCTCGCGAGCGAGGTAAATGCCTGTTTTTCCTCAGAGCGATGTTTCGAGGGTGTCTAAGGCCGAGGGTATGCGTGATCGGTGAGGGAATAGGGTGGTTTTTCCCCCATTCGTGGACGTCGCTGTGTCGCCCTCTCCCTACGCGGAGAAGGGGGTGAGGATGGCATGGCATGGCGCGAGGGGATGAGGCGATGAGGCGAATGTCTTTTTCTGTATTTACCGTTTGATGGATGGGGAAAACGGTTTTGTACGACTCTTCGAAGATCGTGCGTGTGGGGCGATCGTGTTTGTGTGCGTACGGACGGGGTGAGAGGTGTGAGGTGAGGTGATTGATCCCTCGATCCCTTGATCGGTGAGCGCAGCGTAGACAGCATTGAGGGGTTGGAGGATTCTCTTCATCTTTTTTTGCGGCGGTTATGGCGCTATGCGTGTGTTTTCTGGGAAGACCGTTATCTCACGCACGCATGCACGTCTACACGCCTGCATGCCCGTAACGCAGGGCGTTGGATTGTTTACATATGTACTCCGTAGGTGTGTGTATTATTACATTTTCTGGGGTGGTGCAGAGGCCGTTTGCCTGGGGGAGTTGGGGATCGGTGAGGTGCATGTAGGTGGTTCTCGGGGAGGTAAGGCGTTGGGGGATTTGGAATTTGGGATCGGTCAGGGGCACGAGGGAGGACTCTTTTGGGTGTTGGCTGAGCTGCGTTGGATTATAGTGGTAGGAGGTGGTGTTTGTTCCACGGGGAGAAGGAGGGATGCCGACGATCAGTGGATAGATGTTGATGCATGGCGAAGTGACTACTCGTGTGCGGTTGGCAACGTTGCACGTTCGATCCAATTCATCGCCATGGCTCGAGATTTCCTTTCTGGGCTGTACTTGATTGCAGATGTGACGTGCTTGATGACTTGCAGCAGTGTTGCCGGAATGTAAGCAGGTGCGATGGATGCTCCGCGGCTCTTCTATGGGTGGTTGTGAAGTACATGTCGTTACATGTTTCTCCAGTGATGTTGCCAAACGTTGTTGCTTCGTGACCTTGGTCAACACATGGTTAAAATTCAAATATAATCTTACATTGAAGATAAGTTGTAATGAAGGAAACCTCAATGGACCACTCCATTCGCAAAGTTGTATCTCCTGCTGCTGCCCTTTGAAGCAATGGCTACAGTGACGGGTAGAACGGCTACCCAGAAAGCATCATGCACGCTGAATCAACAACTATCTCTTCCAATATCATTAACGTGATTGTCATCAATGTGACGATCCTGCATTGCCATTTCTCCCGTCCAATCTGCCGTGCCTCATTATGTCCACGTAAGTAGCACCCTCCCAACGTCACAAGCTACCCCTATCGTCGTCACGACGACTGTATGAACGGAATCTACCGAAAAGATTCAACTGCAGCCAAGCCTCCACGATGCTTCTGATTGTTCCGAACATGCGGCTCAGCAGCACTAATTGATGGCAAGCTCAGTGGAGAAGAGCTTGATACAGCTGGATATCTCTTGGCAGATACGCAATCCTCCGAGGATTTAGACTGCAAGGCTGGGTTCCGTCGCCTTGGCATTCACAAAAAGCTTCACGATCCAGATCATGTTGGCGGTAACATGTAATTTGAATGCTCGTGGTTGGGGTGTTTTGTGGTTGTGAGGTCGGTGGCCTTTCCCGAAAGGGAAATCGCGGGCCGTGAGCGTCAAGCCTTCATGATAGGCCGCGTACGCCATGTCGCGGCCGCGTCATGCGTTTCTCTCGAATCCCATCTGCATTGCACGAATCTCAAGGGTTGGCCCGGGAAATTTCTTTGACACTGACAGCTAGACTTTGTAACTATGGCTCTGTGATTGGCTCATGGCTAGTCCATCCATGAAACGAAACGGGGTGGAGTCTTGATGGAGGCAGTTCAACCATCATGGCGCATGCTGTCTATGCTGCTTGTTCATGTGGGCTATTCACGGGTTGACTGCGTGGTAGATTGTTTCGAGGGGCATCTTGCGTACGCTTGTGACGACTGGACGGCAATGGATCGACATGTTGTTGAGGGCGTCAAACTGGGGATTATATAGAGGGAGGGAGACGGTCTTGAAAATCATCACCAACCTCAGTCCATCGCTCTTTATAAAAACATTCCAGTCGTTCCTACTCGCCAAAACAATCCCGCTTTCGAATCAGCATCATGAAGTTCTCTGCTCTGCCCGCTCTTCTCGGCGCCATCCTCGTTGCTCAGGAGGCTATTGCTCATCCCGGAGAGAGTGCAGCAGAACATGCACAAGAGATTGCTGAGCGCAATGCCTACTTCAAGACTCACAAGCGATCTCTCGCCCACTGCGCTGAAAAGCTGAAAGCACGTGGCAACGATGCGGCCATGCATGCTCGCCGCAGTGCCATGGTCGATGGCCTTCGTAAGAAGCGATCCATAAGCCAAGGCAAGTATCGAGGGTTGAACGTCGATGGCATAGTCACTAACAACATTCCAGAAAAGCCTTATCTCCACGCTCGCGACGCAGAGGAAGTTCTTAACAAGAACCATAAGAGCAACTTGACAAATGTCCACCCCGACACCGACCCGGCCATCCTCTTCGCTGGTAACAACTCTTGCGTCTTGACCCCTGAGACCACGCAAGGACCGTACTGGGTTTCCGGAGAACTCATTCGTCAGGACATCCACGAGAACCAGGAAGGTGTCCCATTGACATTGGACATTCAGATCATCGATACCAACACCTGCGAGCCTGTCCCTAAGGCGTACCTCGAGATCTGGCACTGCAACAGCACGGGTGTTTACTCCGGCGTCAACGCAAATGGCAATGGCAACACCAACGACACGTCGAACTTGGACAAGACCTTCATGCGAGGTGTGCAGCTGTCCGATGATAGCGGTGTTGTGACCTTCAACACTCTCTTCCCAGGGCACTACACTGGTCGTGCAACTCACATCCACGTCATGTCACACTTGAACGCCACGACCTTGCCCAACAACACCATTTCCGGGGGCTCAATTACCCATGTCGGCCAGACATTTTTCGACCAGGACCTCATCTCTTTGGTCGAGGAGACTGATATTTACGCCAGCAACACCCAGGAATTGACAACCAATGCAGACGACACAATTTTCTCGGGTGAAGCCGATGGCTACGATCCCGTCGTTGAGTATGTGCTCCTCGGTGAGGATGTCTCGTGTGGTGTTTTCGGCTGGATCGCGTTCGGTATGGACTCCACGGCTGCCTACAACATCAGCGCCGCCGCCTACTGGACCGAGAATGGCGGTGTTGTCAACTCTGATGCTGGTGAGGGTATGGGTGGTGGCCCTCCTCCTTCTGGTAGCTTCCCCTCCGGTGCTGCACCGACCGGCGCCGCCCCAACTGATCTGCCTACTTCCTCGGCTTAAGCAGTGACTCGAAGGTCAGGGATCCAATCCATGTAGTGAACGCAAGACATGGTCCGCAATGTCAATCCATTCGTTTATCCGGCATTTAGCATATGCATATTTAGATACCTCTTCTCTTGATAGCTTCAACTTCCACTCGTTTATCTTCATAATCATTCCACTATTGATGTGATCCGTCAATCCAAGTCCTTCAGTCCAGCCAGCAAAGCTCCAAAGCTCTTCTCCCTCGAATCTTTCTTTCCATCATCTTTCGGCCTTAATGCGACCTCCACCCCAACGACGTCACCCTTATCCAATCCCCGTAAAGCTTCCTCTCTCTTGAGCACTGCCCTCGCCTCTTCTAATCCTCCAATGTCCCTCACGTTCTGATATCCCAACTCTTTCAACACCTGGAGTGCAATATTCGACCTTCTTCCGGACCGGCAGTACAGCGTAATATCGTCTGACTTCTGTATATCGATGCCTCGTTGCGCGAGGACTTCAGGCAAAGTATCGATCAATTGATACTCGATGTTGATGGCTTCTGAGGAAATGTTCGACAAAGCTCCGGTCGAGAACTCTGCCGGCGTGCGGACGTCGATTAGGACGGTATTGGGCGTGGTCATGGTGGGAGAGGGGCAATTAAAGTAAATAAAGAGAAGAGAATGAGGGGCACGAGGTATGTTATGTGGGATGTATTGGCAGGATACGAGAGTGTGGGGGTGGTTGTTGAAGTGGGATGCTGAAGCTCAATACTTAGATTAGTTTAGCGTGCAAGGTTAGTTGTACCACCTGATCATCCCAACATTGCTTTTGCCCATCAAACAGGAAGCCTATCTACGGCAATGCTTCATAAGGATTACAGATTGTCACTGGATACAATGGAGCATGACGGCTCAAGTACAGCAAGTCTTTGTTGGTAAGATTGTATCGATGTTTAGAAATCTCCAAGCACATGCTTCTACAAGCACCTCTCAACCCATGTACAAGAAGGATTCCATGTCCTTATATTTCTTCGCAGTAAGGACCGTAAAAGAAGAAGACTACCTCTTCGGCCTTGTTTGGAGTTCGCTTAACGGCGGAAATGATCTCGGATTGCTTGATCATGACATCAATCAAAAATTCCCTAGGAAGTTTAGATCGATCGTACGCTCTGATATCGACATCGCCAATGCAATCATGTTCGATGCCGCTGCAAGACTCAATGTGCCAATGCACCATAAATTCTTTAAGTTTGCATGTCCCTGGCAGGTTTGCGTACGCAAAGATGATCGTATCTGGGGAAAGTGAATCTGGGTGCGGACTGCCATCCTCCAACCCCATAGCGAGCCATTCTATAAAGGTATTGTTCATCGATGTCTTGAATTCTGGTGCCACTAAGCGGTCTCCCAGAATGTACGCTTTCAACATGTACAGTTGGAGTATTTCGGGATGGAAAAGAAAGGGACGGTTGGCCTTCTCGACTTTATCGGAGTGGATGGGGCCCGATATGTCTTCCCAGCCCTCTGCGCTAGACGGAATATCCATCGTGTATAGCCACGACACGAACACTCTGACTTAATTAAACAACGTCAGATCAATGTCTTACAACGCTTACTTGTTAGAACTTACAGGTAGCTTCTTCCACGTCTGCAAGGCTTACAACGCCGGTTCGCGCCTCTTCCCATGGCCCAGAGAGCGCTTTCTTGAAGAATTCGGAGTTTTCAATGAGCAGCGACTTGTGGATATAGAATCGAGTCTTCTTTTCTCCAACTTCGACAACGCATGTTTCTTCTAGAGCAAGCGTGCTAGGTGTGGTGAGTTAGGATGTCAGATGGACGTGTGCTTGAAAGACATACATGAAACGCTTGCCGCGAGGAAAGTCATCGTCATAGAAGGTATCCATGGTGCCTGCTCATATCAAGACGGTCAACCCGAGCACAAGTAAGACAGGTCTGAATTAGAGAAAAGGCCAACGCAGGTGGGGGAAAAGAGGAGAGAGAAGAGATTGTCGCTGGTTGCCAGGAAGCGGTGATGGCAGGGAGGCGATCGCAGCAAATCCCTCCAACGAAAGAGGAAGTCGCGACACAAACAGATGCTTGACCTCATTACGGATCTCGCCGTCCATACTATTGGTTCGGGGGATGAGCGTTACCGTCTAGAGAAATTCGTTGAGGTTCATGTCTCTCGTCTCTCCAGTCAGTCATGTGGTTCCTAACATGTTTGCTAGTTAGCATTATCACCCTTCGTCACGAGTTATTCAAAAATGAAAAGCAACCTTTACCATAAACGAGAGTCACAAGAACTGAAATGACTACATGGAAGGCATTGTATACTTGAAATTAATATTTGTTTCGAAAGAAACCTAGATACAAAGTGACGTGCCTCTGGCGAGGATTTGTTCTCAAGTCCTTCCAACGACTACCTTTTCGATATGATGCAGGACACTTGGAATTCATGTCAACCCAAAGCTGAAACGACTCACGGGGCTGGAGCGACCCACGGGGCTGGAGCGACCCACGGGGCTGGAGCGACCCACGGGGTTTGAGCCATCGCTCGGAGTTTCCGAGCCTATGCCGTTCACCTGCCTTTGGTGGAATCTGTCTTCTTTCTTCCTATGGTAGGAGTACTTATAAGTTATATCGCCGCGGCACTCTCTTTCCATGATCCGAACATTTCTGGAATACCTTATCATTACCTGTACCAAGAACTCATGCGGAAGTTCTGAGTAGAGCTTTTGTTTCTCGGGCGTATTCTCAGGGATTTTCCCGTCCTGACACTCGCGCTCAACGATGAATTGCACCAATCGGCCTTCTTGAGGTAGATTGTCGTAGGCATACACAATAGCCTCGTGGCAAGGTGTTCTGTCGTTTTTCAGAATGAAGTCAATAAATCCGCCTTCGGCTGCTTGGACGAATTCAAATGCCATGAAGCGGTCTGCGAGGACGCTGCACTTTAGCAAAAGAACCTCCCACTTGTTCATGGCTTTGTCGTTATCTCGGTTATCATTTATGACTTTAAAATCGAGTTCTTCCATGATGTGTTCTGGTGAATAATCTTCAATTTCACTCGAGTAAAGCCATTGAACGAAAATGTGGACTATGGAATAAACAATTAGCAACAACCATGCGCCAAATAGTATGACGGGACTTACATGGTAGCTTCTCCACATCCGCAAGAGTCACAACACCTGTTTTGGCCTCTTCCCATGTCCCAGACAATGCTCATTTGAAGTACTCGGAGTGATCCTTCAGCATGGATTTGTGGATATGAAATGGCGTTTTATCTTCACCAACTTCGACGGTGCAAAAGCCTCCGAAAGGCTGGACCCTAAGATGAAGATTAGTGAAATGCATACGACAGCGCTGTAAAATAAATACCTAAAGGATTTTCTTGGAGTTGATTTTCTTAGAATCGCGGCTCCATTCTTTACTGGATTTACACCACTACAAAACATTTTTGGAATTCTTGGAGGGTTTGATAGTTTAGCTGTTTAAGATGAATTACGACAGAATGTGGGAGGAGGGTGAGCTTTAGTACTAAGATAATCGATGTCTATGGGGCCAGAAATCGTCTCCTCCCAATTTAGATTCTGCCTTCACAATGAGCATCTCAATTTCGATTCTGCGATGGCCTCCTTCCATCACTGGCCACCGACCCGTGGTGAAGACAATGAATCAGTGAGCCGCAAACCCGATTCTGTACACTTGTGAGTGATTGAAGCTGCCTGTACTATAATTACTTTCTTTACGCAACCCTTTAAGCAATTGAACAAAGGTATAATGCTCACACGTGAAGGTGAAGTACCCGTCATTTCTTTGTCCAGTCATACCACAATGCAGTTTGTGAGGAACGTCAGAAAACGTGAAGTAGAGTTTAATCGGCAATTTCCTATTGCAGAATACGATACAGCAACTAAACATAGAATGCAAAAGTAGTTCTGTGTATGTTGACTGAATGCGGCGCTGACACATACTTTGACCCACTCTTGGATATCAACTTCTGTAGCATCAAGATATTCTATTTCAGAGACCAAGATATCCTACTGGCTGTCCCCGTCTGCATCCTAGTTGTCCTTGGTACGTTAAATTGTGTAGTGTTATTTGCAGCAGCAGTAGTTCATTTGTCGAATACTCTACTTATGGGGATACCGTCATCATTCTCGTTCTTCGACCCGTTCTCGCTCAACCCGCTGCCCAAACCAGACAAACCCATCCAAGCCCATGCAATATCACAACCCTCCAAAAATCGTCAAACAACGAAAAACATGCCCTATATCCACCCAATCCGTCAAACACAATCAGCCCCGAAACACACGCGCGCAAAATCCGGGGCGAAACCCCCAAATCGCAAGCAGAGAGAGACCAGACAAACCATGTCGGAGGTCGAGGCGGAGGCGGAGGCGGAGGCGGAGCATTAGTGTGTATGTACTGCTCTTATTCTTCCTTACTTGCCCGCTAGTCTTATCTTATGACTATCTACGGATTACACGCGACGGGCGATATGCGGATCGCATAATATTGCGGGGTGGGAAATAAAAATCTCCGAGAGGAAGCAAGGGAGCGGGAGCGGAGTCGAGGAGAGGGAAGGATGGATGATGATGATAGGGATGATGCTGGCTGGGATTTGAGGTGAAACGGGGCGCAGGTTTGAGTGATGATCAGCGGGTTTCTTGTTTGGACTTCAACGACACGTCTAGACTTCAACGACATCACAGGTAAAGGCAAGAGAATGTGTGAGTTGCAAAGACAAAACAGTGATTTTGATTTCCGAGTTCTTCATGAAATGGGGTATATATTTAGAATTTAAAGAGGTTAAGATGTTTCATTCCAAGTGCGCAACCCAGTCAGACCGAATTGCACCTTGGACTGCGTTCCGTCCGACCCTCCAGAAAAACTCCCCCAAGACGTGAAAACATTTCCAAGGTATCCAAAGTTAATTCCCTGTATCTACCAAGATAACAGTTTACCCTAAATGTGATTTACATTGTGTTGAAGAAGAAGTAAAGTCAAACGACGACAAGATGTTCTTGAAGGAGTGACAAGAAGATAAAAAAGCGAAATGACAATCAATAAACAGTCAGATTCCCGCCCAGGTGTGCAACGTGAAGACGCCTGAATGAGTTGATTCCATATTGATTCGGAGACCCCAGTGGATATTGATCCGCTTTGATGGTGACAAAAAGTTCGTGACAATTCGTGCAAAGCGCTGACCTGCCTGCGCTAGCGATAGTTCGATGAGAAATCTTTGGGTATATTGTAGCTGCGCAAAAGGCTGGTTTGAAAGAGTCTTTTACGAGAGATTGATCGATGAGCGCTTAGCGCTTACGACTCGTACCAGGTGGCCTGGTACCTGGTCTTCTCGTCGGAGCCGGTGAGAGCCTTCCAGGCGGCAACGGAAAGATCAATGTCGTACTCGCCGGAGCAGCCAGGGCACATGTCCATGATCTGGGCCTGGATGGAGTTGCCGTTGTACTCAACAGTGATGGTCTTTCCGCACCAGGGGTTGGTGGACTCGCCAGTCATGACATCGTAGGTGGACTCGCCCCAAGCGCCCTTTGCAAGAGCGACGATCATGTCACCGTCGGTCAAGGGCTTGCCGCAAGCGCCAGCGGCACCAGTGTTGTCGTAGATGGTGATGTCTCCAGAGTGAGAGTTGCCAGTGGGTGCCTTGATGGGAGCGACGGGCTTCTCAGGGGCGGCAGAGGAGACGGGAGCAGCGCTGGAGGGGGCAGCAGGAGGGGGAGTGTAGACAGAGGTAGGAGCCTCGACCTTGGGAGCAGGGGGAGCCTCAGTGGTGGTGGGAGCAGGAGGAGGAGTGTAGACGGAGCTGGGTTCCTCGACCTTGGGAGCAGGAGGTGGAGGAGCAGCAGAGGAGGAGGGAGCAACGTAGACAGAGGTGGAAGAGGGAACGGCCTCAGTTGAGTGTGGCTTCTCGAAGAAGAGGCCAGGAGTGGAGGTAGCCTCGGGGACGGGTGCCTCGTCGTAGACAGTGGTGTAGACGACGATTGTCTCAACGACGACCTCGGTCTTGGTGACCAAGTCGCGCTGGCGAAGAGGGATGGCGGCGGCGATGGAGCCGAAGAGAAGAGCAGAGAGAGCGGTGCAAGTCTTCATTTTGATTGATTTTTGGTTTGATTTGGTTTGCTGTAGAAGCGGTGGATTTTTACTTTTGTCGATATTTGATATTCTGGAGGTCCACAGGGAATGACGATGAATCGGCTAGCGACTCAAAGGTAAAACTGATGATTGAAGCGTGAAGCTGTTGTCGATTGATTGACTGACGGTTATGCGTGATGCGCCGTAGAGACTGGTGGTGTCAGGATATGACTGTGGGAGATGACTAGATCTCGAAGGAATGTGGGGTTTGTTGAAAGAAAGTGGACGAATGCAAGACTTCAAGCCTGTAAAGAATGAACAGGGCAAGGAGGCAGCGAACGTTTGTACTTATATAAAGAGTGGGAAGTAGGAGAGAAAGAGAAAAAGCCGGAGAAGCCAGAGAGTGGAGAAGGAGAAACGAAGGGGAAGGGGAAGAGCAGAGTTTGGTTCTCGGGAGAAAAGAATGGTAGCTAGAGTAGCTCCAAGGGGGGGCTAGCGTGGTTGGCCGACAGGGACTAAAAGCAGCTAGTCTCTAACCCCATCTGGTATGACTCCAGTCCACGTCGCTGGGGCCACCGCTCAGGTACGACGACGCCGTCCAACAAGCACAACACACACACAACCAGACACCAGAGACCACACAATCCACAGTACAGCAGCATCAAGCAACAGTAACAGCAGCATCCCGGCCCAACCCAAGCCCAGCTGGTAGAAGGCAAAGCAACGGAACCAGCACCTGCGACCCCCCCTCTCCTCCCTCCTCCAGAGGATGTGCCGCCTTCCACCGTCCACGCATCCTACACACTAAGGCTTTCTGTGGGACCTGACATTCAACACTTTCTATGGTACCCTGGACGCGTGGTCGTGGACTCGTGGTGGTGGACCTGGACGACTGCCTACTCTGGCTCGTCATCGATTGTCACTGGTTTCTTTCTTTTTCGCTTTATCTCATCTTTTCCGTCATCCAGAGCTGCCTTTGTGCCATGTCTTTGTTCAACCCATCTGCCGTCCTTCACCCGACGAACAAGACCCTTTCAAAATCTCTTATGCGCTGCGGGCAACTGAGGCGACCGATGCGACTCATCTCTTTCAAATCATTGTTCGATGTGATCGTCATCATGCTCGGTCGATACGGGCAGGTCATCTCTCTCAGTCTCTCCTCTTTGGGGGAGTTTGTCATGGTGCCATCTAATAGTGACTGCATTTGTCCAATCTTCCTTCAAGCGACGCACATCAGCATTTCGACTAATTTTGCTCAATGGCTAAATCCAGGAGCTGATCTGACCTGAGCTGTGCGCATGTGTGTCTGTGTGTCTGCTGTTCAATTCCTGTTCCTGTTCCTGTTGGACAGTTGTGTGCCTGTTTCAAAACCTTGATCCCAACCCGTAACCCCGGCCAGGATAGGCCAGGACAGGCCGGGACAGGGCATGGGAAGTGAGACGAGAAGGAAAAAAAAGCAGCGGCTGCATACCCAGCAGCAGAACATGGCGAATGGCAGCCCCGGATCCCCCGTGGATCTTCAGGTCCCCGTTGCCTTAGCGCGCCTCATCCCGCCATGCCGCCGGAGCTGTGCGAACTCAACTTAAGTCGCAAGGATGAGACAGGCCCAGGGACAGGGACAGGGACAGGGACAGGCAAAGAATGGAAGAGAAAGAGAAAAGAAAAACATGAATGGTGAGATCGAATCAGCGGCGAGGGAACTTTGCGACTCAGTGGCCCAGCCCATCCCATCAAATGAATTTCTTCGACTTGATTCGAATCTTCATTCTTACAAACATGCTGCGCCTCATCACACCTTGCGCGGTGCCGATTCGTCGTCCTCGGGCTTAATACGGGACAACTGGGGCTGGTCGTAAACGTGGTGGACCGCGACGGCGCGGTTCTTCCTCCAGCTCCCGGCGTCCAGACACGTGCAAATTCGCCAGCACACATCACTTAGGTAGGCACACTCTTAGGTAGGTACTCGTACATACCTCACCGGCCTTGGATGCCTACACAGCACGGAGAGTACAGCTCGACACCTACTCACTGGCTGCCCTGGCTGCCCTGGCTGGCCTCGAGCTGTCACGTCACCCGTCGCCGGTAACGGCATACGAAATGAAATACATACTCGCATGAGAGCGCTTGCACAAATGTATTTGCCTTTTCGCTGGGGCAACACATGTCCGTTCAAAACTCGCAGTGGTCGTCGCGCCACTCTGTCGCATGCATGGCGCGCATCATTCGGACATGTCTAAGTATCAGAATGTGTTTCTAACGCTCGCGGCGCTGCGCTGGAACGACCGGTTATCGTTCTACGTAGCATCATTCACCTAGAGCAACAGTATCCAAAATGTGTACCTCCGTAGGGTAGGATAGGGTCTGGCGGCGGTCTCAGCCTGTTCAGTCTGTGTGCATACCTACTATTACCGACCATGCTTCGTCCTGCATGTTTCTACCGATTAAACGGGCTCTCGTCATAGACTGCCTTGCCTTGCCTCGCCTCTCGTAAAGCTGCAGTTAAGTACAGAGTACGCAGGTATATGTGTGAAGTGGTGAGCATGCAGTGGAAATGAAATGTGGACCTCGATTGATGGCCCCCGAGCCCCGACTGGTCAGTATGGCAAGACACTTGGGATGGCACGATGGATACACGTTGGGCTGGACTACTGGGCTGGAGTCACTGGACTGGCCATCAACACTTTTACCAATTGGCCATTTTGCCTCAGCAATCCGAGGCCTTAACGGCTATCCTGTAAACCCACCAGATCGAGGAATCAGAACTACTCCCTCATGCGGCCTGCCCCCATGCGACAGAGATTTCCTGCCTTATCCACTTATCTGCTCTATCTGTCCACTTATCGCTATCGATACCCATCCGGTTCTCCACAGCATCTCCATTTACCATGCTACTACTGTAGAATCAACATAGCGAAGACTACACCACTCTATGCATCCATCCTTCGCCTAGGTAACTTAATGTTGAAGAGTTTTCTTCTTCCTTGCGTCTAGAACATCGAGTCCTCACATCAAATCTTACCGTAGTAATTGCTTATTCCAAGTTTCTCAACTCTTTGCGCCGAGCCGATGCGGCAAATAATCCTCACTCGTCGAAGGATTCTTTCCATTCGGACCACCTTCCATTCGTTCATTACTGATTCTGCTCTCCGAATGGCGCAACTAGAGAACTGGCACAGAAAACTGCTCTTCTGTGCTTACAACATCAAGACTAACACATTTGCCTCGGGATCTCTTCCACCAACGAAAGTCGCGAGCAACATGACATTCTCTGGTAATCTAGTTCTAGCCAAACGTCACTCACCTCGTGCTAGAAAAATTGCAGGCAGGTAAGCAAGCCGTCTATGTAATCCTAACCGACTTGTACAGCATGAATAAAATGCGATGTGATTGGGTACTTGCGTTACCATGCAGTCGCGCAAGGGCGACGACCATCAGTGGTTCAAACTGTACGACTCTGTTCTGTGCAGTTGCAGTGTTGTGCAGTGCAGTACCGCATCGCAATTGTGCGCTCCACCACTGTCGTCATGATGCCGTATCATTCATGTACATGTCCTGTATCGTACTGTTTGTCCATCGTTCCCGCACAAACATGCATTAGATTTCCCCGATCGGCTGCATTGAAATCTTTCCCTATGGTGTTAACATACCGAGCGAGCACGCACGCATGCGCCATGGGGATTCCTTCCCCGTTTTCGTGGATAGCTCGCCGTTCGAATTATCGTGCGTACGTGTATTGCAGTGACTATAAGCATGCGGGCGTACATAAATCACCTATAAGGGTGTGTAGTCATACGTATACTTGCATGTACAGTACAAATGTCCGGATTAAATAGAAACTCGCCCAATCGCCTAAGAGCTGACATGTTCGGATCTGGATGCATTCATCGCTTGTCGTCGTAACTCATGTCAATGTCAGATCTAAATTACTTTATGATTCGTTCGCACGTAGATCAGAGTCTAGATGTGATTCATTGTACGAGTAAGGTAACTCATTCATTGGGTTTTATTTGAACGAGTGTAGCAATGATCGGAGCCGTTTGCGTCGAACGTAAGACGAGGGTTGTTCCTTGTAAACGAATGGATGTCGGGAGAAATGATCGTCGGTGTTGATCAACATGATTGACATAGCTTATGTGCACGACATGCATTTCCCTTTCTTGCGCGGGGTATGTGAGCCGTGTCGAAACTTCCATGCAAGGATGGGTTTGAGCTCTGGAGGACATTATTGAAGTAGTTTAGTCGGACTCAGTCGATTCAACGTCTTCGTCTATCATGCACACGGTATGCCTATCTTCAATTCGCAATCAATATATTTGACATATCCCATAGTGAAGATGATTTGTCGTGATACAAGAACCTCCACGTTCGTCATTCCACACCTCTCGCCTAAAACGAAAGTTTAAAGTGGTGGTCATCTGCCTCCATCGCTCTCGATGTCGACGCTTGTTCGTTCGTTCGTCCATCCACCTCGAAGACCATGTGAACCTTCTACATGCGTTCACCCGCATCGAATGTCATGAGGGGTCGCAGCATCTTGCTTAACCTGCATCTCAACATAACTGACCTCATGCCAACATTCACCAACGCCCAGCCGACCAAGTATGCAGACAATTCAAATCGAGACGAGAAGAGACAAGACATGACCGACCGATCAACAACGAAACACCATGCAAATAAGACAGCCACCTGACCAAACACATCCAACTACATCAACAAAAATCCCGCAGATACATTGACCGACACGGAGAGCTCTACATGGTATCATCCAATGACTTTCTCCATACTCATAGATTTCGGGACCTTGCAGACGCCAACTCAACTTAATTTCAAGATACACCCTTTACGATTACTATACCCTCTACACACTTTCTATGCCTTCTTTTCATAACGCCATATGCTTTATCTCCTCCTACCCCTCTTCTGTTGAACCTCTAAGACAGAACGCAGACGCGGAAACTGAACATGTGAAGATGAGTATTCTTAGGTGTCACATGCATGGCTTGCGAGATAACGATAAACCGTACTCGTCCAATGTGCTCTTGCAGATCGTGGACGGACAGCCGAGGATTTTGACGGCTTTTTGTGTGATCTGAACAATAGATTGGGGTACGATACTCTATGGTAGTGTACCTTAATTGTGCTGTACATGAAAGATGATGATGGTACTGACTTCGATGCATGCAATCTGGACTGATTCAAAGCCTCACGATACGACGTGCAACGGCTTTAGATAATTATGCTTCTGGTATAGATGGTTGGCATGTGAGATATTTAGTCAGTCAGCATTATTTGTGAAGTTGTCTAAGTCGTGTTCTAAGAAACAGTTTGCGAATGTGTAAGTTGGCTAACTAAGTTATTGATCAATGATAAAGACATATCATTTCGTCTTTGAAATGTTCGTGCGAGGGGTCGAGGTACTGCTGAGGTGATCTCTGAGATGGGGTGCAATTGCTCTTCGTAAACGAGATGTGGAATTTTTGCTTTTGCATAAATACGAACGATCTCGAGAAAAGAGCAGTAGATATATTTCTTGCTTGGTCGATCAACCATTATGCTGTATCGTGAATGGTCGTGGGGGACCCAGCAAAGACACGATAAAGGGTGTGACTGCCCACCTGAGCCCGTAATGATTGAAGATAGAATAGGGTTTGTGGGGTAATTAGTGTTCTTGTATAATATGGAAGATGTAGATAGTTCATAATGTAGCAGTTTTGGAGATCTTTTGCTGGATCAAAATCCTTTTCTGGTTCTTTAAGGTTTATATGGTATTATTTCCAGGATCCCCGACGATAAGAATTGGCGTTTCATCAGACCAAAAGAAGAACTGTGTAGACACATGGGTATGATTTAAGCAATGAGCATCATTGGTGTTTTGCAATTCGTAAACAAGGCTACGTGAAGCTTGTGTCCACTCTTCTCATGTTTGGGGCTAAGAAGTCTTCACCAGTACGCATTACCCCTATACTAGCAAATTGACAATATATTGCGATGATTCTTCAATGTTTCTACATTCAGCCTTTTACTCTCGGCGATAAATCTGATCACTGTGCGTATTCTACTGTTGAAGAGATAGCCCGTGAGCTCCCCAATAGAACTTGATAATAGTACTGCTTAGACATTGGAGAGAATTAAGTATATGTAAACTTTTGGCTATTATCAACCGGGGAAAAGGAAGGGATGGGTTGCCTTGCAATTGTTGAGCATTTGATGTAAAGTAATGTTTTTGCTCGCGGAGTTGTTGGACGTTTACATTGGGCAATTGGGCGATTGGGCATCAACATCTCGATCACTCAGCAGCATCTAAGATGACATCGCAGTTGCGAAATATGTCCTTTACACAACTGCTTTTCCGTACGAACCAGGCGCGTTCCCCTTGGTGAAGCTCGAGGTATAATTCAAAGGGGGGATATTGTTCAAAGTGGTGAATGATCCAATCAGCAATCGGAGGGAGACGGAGTATGCGTACCTACGTGGATTGGTACTATTTGCTGACCTCTCGCTGCAGACACCATATCGACCATACAAGTAATTATGTGATCCTTTGAATGGTGTCCTCGACGACGTGATTTGCCTATGAAAGCAGGCAATCTTCCGGATGCGGACAGACTTGATCGGTCCAGTTAGATACGAGTTGCGAACCAAGGGGCGAATGGTTCTATCATATGTTTCCACGTAGACTAGAGGCTGCAGATTTGTACGACCGTACTTACTATTGTCATTGTACTGTATACTGCATACGATGTTTGATATGTGTATGTTGTAAGGCTGAGGATGAGGTCGAGAAAGGTTTACGTGATCGACGTTCCAGTCGCTTCCATCTGATCCAGTGCACGATCCAATGATAAGGCAGGCAGGGAGACGAGGGCAGGCGGATGGCGGATGGCGCAACCAGCGGCCGGCGCTATCCTCATTCCATCCTCAAATCTCATCTTCCTTGGTACGAGGGATGACTACCCTATCTATCATCATCATTGACAATCCAAATCACACACTCACTACTGCTCTACTCTCCCAGCCACCTAACAGCAGCACTCGCTTTGCTACCCCCATCACAGCCCTCCCCTTCTCTAGGCTTCACTTCTCGACCATCGTGCTCCTTTCTATTCCTGGCCCTTCTTCTCGCTTCCTCTCATTTCGTATTGATTTACTACCAAACACGAACTGACCCGCTTGCTTACCGTGCTTCGTTTCACCAACTTTATGACCTCGACTTCCCCCTCCCTCCTCCTTCGTCATCCTACACTTATTCGACACACTCGCGCGGCGATTCCCCCTTAACGACACTCGACGCATACTATACAAGACATCTTCTCCCCCAGGTGTCGTCACCATGGACCACTCATTTTCAGACTCGGACGCTCCGTTGATCGCTTCAGAGCTGACCGTAAGCGACGAAATACCAGAGGAACCCGACATGTTCCCCCTCCCCGATGATGCCGAACAAAGCGGCGGGACGTTTGCGCCTCCTCCGCGGATTGCTGCTCGGTTCTACCGCTCCTCGAACAATCGCCGGAAATCGTCTGCGGCCTCGTCGCGTCGCAACTCCATCTCCTCTACCCATTCGCATACCTCCAACCGCTCCTTTCGCAGCACGTGTCAGAACCACCACGTCGCTCAGCACCTCCGCCGCGCATCTATTCTCGAATCACGCAAAGCAAGACTCGCAGACCGAGCCGCACATGCCGAACAGGTCCGTTTGCGGGCTGCGCTGGCCAAAGCAACACCCCGCAACTCCAACAGCGAAGAGAGGGTCTTGGCTGCCCAACAAGCTCGTGAGCGACACCTTGCACAGGTCGCTGCAGCATGCGCCGAAGAGGTTCGCCGCGCAAAGAAGGTTGCAGAAGACATGAAGGAGCGTAAGGCCGCTGAAGAGCGGAGGTACAGATTGGAAATGGAGGAACGGCTCGCTGAAGCAGAGAAGAGGAGACTTGAATACAAGCGCAACATGCGCCGGCCTAGGACCGCAAGCTCACCGACGAACGAATCCAAGAAAGCTATTCCAAAGCCTGTCCTAACCACTGATGCCGCTGCCGAAAGGATCCAACATGCATGGCGAACACGAACACGAAGGAAGCTAGTGGATGGCTGGTTGGACTTGGGTCTATCCATCGACAAGGTGCATGCGACCAGCTTTGAAGACATCACTGCGCTCCTTGCAGAGGACAAGGTGCTCACCGTAACCGAGAAGATAATGTCACATTTCGGCTTGCTATCGGAAGGAGATGCGACCTCTACTAAGTCAGCTGTACGGACCTTCCTCTCCACATACCTCATTCTGGGTCACCCAGCTCATGTGTTGAGTCGGGATGGCGACCAAGAGCAGGACCTCATCACCAAGGCCAAAGACCTCATAATCTCATTTGAATCCGCCCTCTCCAAGTTGGCACCTTCCAACCGCTTCACCCCCTCTCCGACCTGGTTGGAGACCGTCTCCCTGGCTCATGGCGCTTTCATGACTGCTTTCAATGACTGGAAAGCCAGAGATTCGACAACTCTCATCGAAACAATGATTGCTTCCTTCGTCAGTCTCGACGCCATCTGGCAAAGCGTCAAGGACGATACCGTAGACGAGGTAGCCAACGAATACAGGAACGGTATCAGAGATAACCAAGCTATCCTTCTCAGTAAGATCAAAAAGCTCGCAGGGCCAGACAGAGCTCTGGCTTTGATACGAAAAGCTATTCGAGAGAGCCGCAGGTCTCGACCGAAGAAGAAGCCCGCCGGCGAAATTGCTCGTCCTCGCGTTGCCATTGATTCAGCGTCTTCAGACACACCAATTTCCGAAGAGAGTGCAAGAGCGCAAAATGCAGCCGTGTCTGAACTATCCGAGTCCAATAACTCGCACAACGGTCACCAGGCGAACTCGCTATCAAAAGTCTTTACCGTAGTTCCAACCAACCGCGTCCTCGTGCACGAACTCTCTATCGATAAAGAATATCGAGTCGATGCCTCGCCAACCGCCGACTTGAGGGATGCTCTTAACCGTGAGCTTTGTGATGCAATGTGCCGAGGCTTCGAGACTGGGGAGGGTGCATTGTGGACGGTTGCTATGGCTGATAATATCAGGGCGAAACTGCTACGCCTGTTGAAGCCCGGCAACTCAATGCACACTCTTATCAGTGAGACTCTGGATCCGGATCTAATTAACAGACAATGCTCACAGGGCATTTTCTCATATGAGAAGTTCTTCAACTTCATCGCCAGTATTCTTCCCAAGCTCTGCGCCCCGTTCCGCGACGCTGAGGTGAACGCGCTTGCAACAGAACTGAGAGAGGATGGAACTGTTCCGGAAATGATTGAGAAGCTGTTCAAACTTCTTCACGTCATTGATCTTCTCTCTCTCGACTACTCCAACTTTTTGCTGTTGAGTGCTGCGCCAACTCTGATGAAAGAAGCTGCTGGTTATGAGCAGCGTATGTTTTCGGAAGACCTGGAGGCCGGAAGAATAACGCTGAAGCGAACACGACGGTGGTGGCGTAGTGCTGCTGTCAACATGCACACGGAAGCTGACCGCCGCGATCCATGGAACGACCCCAATCCGGTGAACCGCCCTACGCCCCAGAAGATTTACGCGCGTGGCTTGGTTGATCTCGCCATTGCGACAACTGCACTGAGGGACTCTGAACTTCCAGAGACACTGGAGCTCGATCGTACCCGCATCTCGCGCATTCGAGCAGACGCCCTTCGCATCACCACGATCGGCGGAATTCTTTTGACAGCCAAGAATCTCCTGAAGCGAGATGTTCGCTCACAATGGAAGCATGAGGCCAACCGTGTACTAGAGTCGCTAAAGGATGGCTACTTGAAGGACCCGGCTACGCCCTCCAAGATTCTTTCGCTTTTGGAATCCTCACATCCCATGCCACCATCCACCCGCGCGCAGCTTTCGTCGACTATCAATCGCCTACTTACCCAGGCTGAATCAGGCAAGCTGACCGACCCTGTCATGAAAGTCCTGTTCCAGCGCCTGAAAACTCACATCTTCAACCGTGTCTCTGCAAGCAGCTCGGGTGAGCGAGTCAAGGCAGCCAGCACCGCTACTGAGAGCCTCGCTACTACCGGTCTCCCAGAATTTGTCGGGCAAGTCGGCGACATTGTCGAGCAGCTTGGAAGGGTTAGTGAAGTGGACCGAAAAGCACACGGAAAATGGTACGAGGAGATTGCTGAGGAACTGGAGCGACAAGGTGCCGATGGCGAGGAGTTGAGCAGGTCAAGCAGCAATGACTCGACTGCCTCCACGTCAAGCTCCGCATGAAATTATTGATACTATATTTCTTTTGGGTACTCTAAATGGTTCTTTGGTCTGGTGCCAACTCCTATCTCTAGAGCCCTGACTATTTCTTATCGTTTGCACTGTCTTTTTATTCATTTGGGCTCGCCCGTATCTCTTTCACATGGCGTTGGTGAGTGGGAGCATTGGCATCACGCGAGGTTGGCTATCTGGGTTCTTATTTGCTTGGTTGAGATATCATCGGACTCAATGTCCCCGCACATATATATTCTTATGGTTACGGAGGGATTCTGGAGGGAGGGAAACAGTCGTTGAGCCCTACTCGCGATTATGCACTAATGACATTGATATTATTCTTTCACATTAACGCTTCGTGATTTGCCCTATTGATTTCATTCCCTCCGAATGTAGTCCACTGATGGAGGGGGCCCATCATATTGGTTTCTTTATCACTACCCTCCGCGTTTTGGTGTATGTGCGAACTACAAGCTTAGGTGCATGCGGAATCGGCAAATAACGCAGTAACTCATCGTCCACTGAAGTACGGAGTACCAGTTCGACACAGGTAAGCGTTACGATGGTCGATGGCCAGCCATTCGCTGTTGGGTCGGGAAGTGGGACCTGGGGATTAACGATGATCCCTCTCCCCAGATTCTCTTTTTGCCCCACAATATATCAATAGCTTCCGTGCAACATGCTAGCCCCAAATCAGATCTCTGTTTGTTTATCTGATGGCGAGATAAGAGTGAGAACTCCAGATATTGGCCATAATTTAAGTTCGAGGCGAATGGCTTGCAGGACAAATATCATGATCACATATTGAACATCATTCGAGCAGCAAATAATTTGAAAAGCGATGGCTCTATTCTCCATCTCTGATGATTAATGAATTCATCATATTCTCCTCATTCGGCATTACATGTCTTGTATACAATATATAGTGCCAGCATAAGAACTGGTCCTACATTCTTCAATATTACTTCTCATCTATATCATTCCCCTCTTTGAGAGCAGATTAGAAAGTGCCCTCCTTCTCCTTGACGGCCTCGCCCATAGCCTGGGCGTCCGTTCGGTATCCCTTGAACTTCCTGGCAGGGACGCGCTTGATGAACATCTCATCCAACTCCTGTTATCACGAATTAGCATTTTCTCCTTCAACAGTATCTGGAACGGAATGGTACTAACCTCGAAAGAGCGTCCTGCGGTCTCGGGCTGGTAGAACCAAAGGTAGACCAAGCAGATGACGGCCAAACCGCCGAAGATGAAGCCGAGGCGACCGCCGAGGTTGAGCTTGTCGGGGTTGAACAGGTAGGGGAGGACGAAGGACCACATCATGTTGAGCATGCTCTGGCAGGCGATACCGATCGAGATGGTCTTGACGCGCAGCCTCGACGTGGAGACCTCGCACAGGATCGTGTAGGCGGTCGCGCCGATTGTCACATTGTACCACCAGCAGTAGAGGAGGATCATGGACACGGCGCCCTTGTTGCCGCCGACGGTCTCGAGGGTTGCGAGGCCGGCCATGAGGAAGAGGATGACGGTAAGGATGAGGAGGCCGTAGAAGGTTAGGTTTCGTCGTCCGACGCGATCGACAAGATACCTGAGTCATCTCTGTAAGCATATACAAATAGGGGAATGGGTCGGGGGATCTTACCAGGACATGACGTTTCCGAGCAGGGAGATAACTTGCTGCACGATCTGGAGCTTGAAGCTCATCTCGGTCGAGAATCCAGCGAGCTGCATGTAGTAGGTCGAGTAAGAGGCGGCGAATGCAATACCAGAAAGGGCCTGGATCGAGAGCGGGGCGATAGAAATAATGGTACGGCGGAGGTTGGACTTGCGGAAGCATTCGAGATATGTTGTGTCCTCCGTCTCCTTTCGCACTTCCTGGAGTGTCACGTTGATGAGAGCAAGTTTCTTCTGGCCTTCAGCGCCCTTGTGTCCAAGCTTGTTCAAGGCCTTGAGAGCATCGTCGTGTCGCTCCTTGGAGGCCAACCACCATGGCGATCTGATATTTGTCAGTCATTGACTTCTCGTGACACGTGTTGATGCACTAACTCAGGCATGAAGGGCCAGATGAGGGCGGCGATGGCAGCAAAACCGTACTGAGCGCAGAACACGGATCGGTATGCCCATCGGTTAGGATACGTTCCGATGGAGTTGATAATGAGAGCGACTGTTAGGGGGCCTATTGAACATTTGGTTAGCATCGCCAACTAAGTTAAGACAAGATCTATGCTCAAGGAGCCTTACCAAAAGTGTATGCCAAAGCAGACAAGCAGGTCAACAGACCTCGAAGGGCTAACGGAGCAATTTCTCCAATGTAGGCTATATCACAATTAGAATACACACTGGGCAGATAACGTCAATAGGACGTTACTTACTGACGGTGAGAGATGCAAGGGCACCGGTTGCAAATCCGTTAAGGAACTTGCCGCCAAAGAAGAGCTCATTGGAGGTAGAGACGAATTCCATAGTGATCGCAGCAAATGATACAACCAGGCAGCCCAAAACAACCATGCGGCGACCGATCCAATCTGCGAGCTGACCGCAACCAAGAGCACCAACGATAGCGCTGAACGAGCATTAGCCTGTGGCGAAAATCATCAAGACCAGATAGAACACTCACGAAGCAACGGGAGCACCTTGGAAGGCACTCTGCCAATTCGCCTCAATCACATAACCCGAGCCATCTGGGAGAGGATGTCCGAAATCCTTTCGGAATTCAGGGATACTGATGACAACACCGGCGGCTTGATTTTCAAAAGAGACGAGCAAGACGAGCCAGACCGCATACAGAGACCAAAGACACGCCCAAGGATACTTCTTGAAGGAAGCAAGCTTGCCAGTCTCGTGATCTTCGGCGTTGGCAAGATGACCAAGTTGAGCGGCAGAGTCAGAGTTCAGGTCAACAGGGACATGTTCGTTTGTCTCCACAATCTCCGTCTTTTCTTGGCGAGAAGTCATGGTGGTAATGTCGATGAGGTTGTATGGAGCTGAGTAGCTCTGATTGTCGTGATGGTGAAGCAAGCGATGTCGATCTCAAAGGCACGTCCAGAGGCTTCTTCTTGTATTCCTGTGATGTCTCGAACCCTTGTGATGCTGGTGGTTATACGACCCCATGGGGGACAAGGTGCATCGTAGAAATTCTTCATTCGGCGGTTCTCCGGATAGATCTTCACCAACAATGCGGAGGAAAGTCTGGAGTAGTGTGTGTCGGGTGAGGGCCCAGAATTGTCTATTGGGTGGAGGACTCGGGTCTTATCCGCTTTGGGGACAGTCCAGCGCTGCGAATCGACCTCCATCATCATGTCGAGATGTTTTGGGAATTGCCTGGCACAACTTCGGGACTTGCAATTCCATGCCTTTTCCACGTGGCGCAGAGCCATGCGCATTCCAGTAACCGGTAGACCTGCCCAGCCCTTGGGCGTGAGGCCATCACGAGATCGAAGCAGAAATAAGCCTTTCGACCTGGAGGCATTTTGGGGCAATCTACTCGAGGAGGCTCAACTATTACTCGCCCTCCGCAGATTACTGTACAAGAAGCCCCTTTGACACCACCGCACTAGGCTCTATCCGATGTACCGTGTGTATGGGAAGAGGAGGGCGACTGCAGCACGGGTGTCTTTCCGCCTCTTGGCCATTCACTGCACGGGTATTGTTCGGCAAAGAATCCGTACATATTGTCATAGATTATTTGTACAGAGGCTATGACTTCCCATTTCAAGCATCAATATTCAAACTCCTCGCAAATTCGAGATCGTGGCGGCATCACATTGCGAAACGAGTCCTTTCTGGGCTTTGCTGGCCCAGGAGGCCATTGCTACGAGTCATCAACACCCGATCAGTCCACCGTTCATGATATTCAATGATCTTTAGATCCAGACCGATGACCGGACTCTGCTAATTCACCATCGCCTTCAATTTTTTTCTTTTTTCTTCAATGTTCAAGTCCGACCATAACCTACTCTTTGCCGAAATGGAGATGGAGATGGAGATGTAGAGAGATATGCGAGAAGGCTGAGGCTCCGCCTCGGCGGTAGTCATCTGCGCAACATCCTCCCACAGCCGAATACTTTCAGCCTAGTCCAATGAGCCTCACTCTTGTACCACCTCGGTGTGTGGCACACATGTATGTGGAAAATGCCCCTCCTTCGCCCCTTGACACAGAGCAAACAACATGTCAAAAGGACTATCCCAGACTTGCGGCTCACACAGAGACAAGCCTTCTATGTCACAGTACGGACGACTTCGAGGGGCGACCTTTATCAACAAACAATACACAAATCATGCATTCACTGCATAGGTCTCTTCACTCATCATTTGCGTTCGTCCATCATATCGACACAGCCTGCTCAACGTTTGGTGAATCAAAGTCCCACTGAGGCAGCGAAACCTGGGGAATCGACGTGACAAACAAACACGATGACAGTCACGATCGAGTCATATCAAGAAAAATGCGTTCACATAGGTCTTTTCGCCGCAAGACTCGCACTTATAAATTCTTTTTTCAAGACATGTATTGCATGTTTAGTCCCTCATCGATCGCCACTATACAAAATGCTTCCATATACCAACTCTATCCGCCTATTGCGGATCCACTCGAGTCGATGGAACAAACGCATCGTCTGCACACTCGAGCCCGCACGGTTAGACGTTTCTAGTCCTGTTCCCGAGTACGAAGCATTGAGCTACGTCTGGCACCTCCGCGGCGGAGTAGCCAAAATCACTGTAAATGGCCATACCAAGTTTATTCAGCGGAATTTGTACGATGCTCTTCAAAGACTTCGTTATAGGAATAAGGAGCGGGTTATGTGGGTGGATGCACTCTGTCTCAACCAAGAGGATATGGTGGAAAAGAGCAAACAGTTGCGAATGATGCATCATGTATATCAAAAAGCTTGTAGGGTGATTGTCTGGTTGGGAGAGGACGACCGGAACGAAGCGCACAAGGCCTTCGATACCATCTGCGCCGTAGCAAATACGCAAGTCGATAAACCACTTTCCTATACTTCAAACCACAGGCGCAACAGTGTGCGCAAGGTGCCATACTCAGAAGAAATACCGTCCCCCGAGGATGATCGGTGGCTTCCAGTCGAGACGCTTTTTAACAATGTCTGGTGGACTCGGATCTGGGTTCTTCAAGAGATCACCAATGCCAGTAAGGCTTCTTTCCTCTGGGGCAAGGCAATGATCGATTGGAACGTCATTAGGTATGCACTCGAAGCGTTCTACGCAGACTACTACCTTCTGGTACGACTAGAGAGACGTGGGATGCAGAATGCCTGGCTCATGCATCATCTTTCGATGGACACACTAAGAGGAGAGTTCCGGCCCTCATTCTTAGATCTACTTGATGTCGCAAGAGGATTCGACGCGACAAAGGAGCAAGATAAAGTCTACGGCCTCCTTGGGCTTCCAACAAAGACGGGCGATGTGGAAGAGGAAGTTTTCCTTCAGCCTGATTGCGCCCTCTCCGTTGCTGAAGTGTATACGCAAGTTGCTTTAAAGATGATCAAACAACAACAAAACTTGAACCTCTTGAGCTACACGGTTCACACCGACCCCGACTTCGATAGCCACGACAATGAAGTCAACTTGCCATCTTGGATACCGGACTGGACTGTGAAAACAGCAAGATTTTCTCTTATCGGCATCAGAGAAGAACATAGACACAACGCAGGAAAGGGCAGAGATCTCGATTTGGCCTTGCTCCCTGACTCTATGTCTCCAAAGTCTCATGTTTCACTCAAAGGCAGTATCTTGGACAAGGTCACAGAGATTGAGGACGGACAAAAGCCTGTTAGCATGGAGAACGCTCTACTCAGTCTAACGAGCCTCTTAGAATGGTGTCTAGAGCACGCCAAAGGAATTTCATTGCAGACGCTCTGCCAGACCTTGACTGCAGCGCGGGACGCCGATGGGCATTTCGATTTTAGTACAGACAACAAGTATGTTCTACACTTCGCCGCATTCCTGAACACCATCGACGCCGACCGACTTGGACCCGACATACTGAACGAGATTGCTGGGCTTGGGGATCTGGTTAAGTCGGTTGGTGACGGCAATGCCGCGCGGGAAGCAGTATGGAAGTACACAGCCTATAGGTCCATGTTCGTTACAGAACGCGGGAAGCTAGCTCTTGGTCCCACGGCGGTGAAGGAAGGGGACTCAGTGGTTGCACTCTGGGGCGGACAGATGCTGTATGTAGTGAGGAAAGCTGAGTCTGGGGAGGAGTGGAAGTTTGTCGGGGAATGCTACATCGATGGGTGGATGGACGGCGAAGCCAGCCAACTCATTGAGCGAGGGGACGCAGCGGAGACTATTTTCCAGTTCATCTGATCGTCGACATCTATTTCTATTCTAAGGATAGACCATTAATAATATCTTAATGTACATTTGCGCAAGCTTGCTCACGGGAACTGGCAACAAACCGTGAAGCTTTGCTCATCTACGGAGTGCTCCGTACTGCCCACCAAAGCTCTCAACCACCACCACTGAGCAGTTTCTCAACAAATGCTCGCTCCCACATCACTCCATGCATCCTGTGCACTATGTATACGCAACACACACACCACTGCATACTCCGCCCCTTTACCCCGGACAAGGAGGAGAAGCGCTCACATGCTCCCCATATACACCGGACGCACCTCGATTACACCCGCTGGGGGGAGACAAACCCACTCAACCCACCGTAGTCCGAAAGTCTGCAGCAACAGCGTCCTTTGATATGTCTGCACAGAGTCGAGCTGCGTCTCGTCCCGCATCCACTTTCCCCGAATTCCGCTTGATCATCTGAACATCATCCCTGTCCTGGGAGGGGAAGGGTGTGCCACTCGCTGCCGCTGCTACTGCTGCTACTGCCGTGTAAGACAATCATACATGGACACCACTACATCGTCACCCGGTGACCCGGAAACCTACATGTTCCCCCCCATGTCGACAATCACCTACCCTATGAGAGCCTGACAGGAGTACACACGGGCACTGCGGCGGGAAAGACTGGGCAGTAGATGAGAGGAGAGCGAGAGGGAAAAGAGGGGACTGCAGCATACAATGTCGTACACCGCATGGCTGAAACAATGAACCCTCACCCTGGCCGGTTTTGTGGACTGGCAGACCTTGATGGGCTGCCTGGGCGGTGTGGTTGCACATGTCTTCCGCGCGAGAATCTCGAACGCAGAAGATGAAGAAAAATATGATCCGTATGCATATACAATATAGGGCATCAGGAGTCTGGGGGAAGGAGGGTTAGGGGGGCCCTGTGAGGCGTGTGTCAAGTTTATGACGAACATTTCGAACTCATGGGGACAGGCGGGCGGGCGGGCGATCGCGAGGAAAATGAAAAGATGCATATGCGTCTAGAAAACCGGGTATGCCGGAATGTCTGGTTGCATGCCGTGTGGGCAGGATACAGGCAGAGCAGACATGCGGGAAGAGAAAGCTGAATGCAGATGGGGTGTGGGCTTGCTTGCCCACCATCTGCCATCGATCGGGAGGAGATGCGAGAATTGGGCTTTGCACGAGGCACCACCGCTGCGACCACACCTTTTCGATGGATGCTTGAGGGCCGTTCAGTGTGTGTGTTATCGTACTGGTGCAATGTGTGAGGTGGAGGAAAAAGGAATTTTTCTCTGCTGACCATTCTCACTCCTCCTGCAAAGACGTACGGTATATGTATTAATCGCATATGCCTTTGGTCTTTTTTGGGTGAGGTGATGGTAGATGTGTGTATGTACGAAGACCAATATGGACGGGGAAACGGGCGAAGAGACCAGCTTGGAAGAACCTCGCCAATCTGATCGACCGGTCGGACGTATTCTCTTGACGCAAGATGAGATCTCCGTCCCGAGACCAAAGAAAGAAAATTGCCCGGTTCGAAAATGCGCGGTCGATCCCTGTCACATTCGGTATTGGCAGCCACACGGTTGACAGGACATGATGCACATAACAAGCAACATACATACTCTAGCGACATAGACGAGAATTGCTCCACCACCTCGAAAGGGAAATAAACGAACGTTCGGATTAACGTCCCAGTCAGCCACCATTCTCCCCCATCATGCATCCCTACGAGAATAAAACAATCTACCGATATGGGATACTACGCTTGTATGCACATGTACATACACATACATGTCCATACATGACTTGGTGGTGGCAGTGGGCAGGATTCGCCGAAGACTTGTCTCGACTTGACTTTTTGACAAGACCACCACACATACACCACACAGGCGCCCACACACACCTCGTGCGCACCGCCCAACGACGCCAAACTCACGCAAATGAGCAAGACATGCATGCAGCCCGCCGCAGTCAAAACGACGACGACGACGATAAATCCCAACCCCCCACCGCCCACCGCCTGTCCCACAGTGCAGCGTGACCGACAAACGAGACATTCGAACCCAGCCAATTTACTATACCTGCCTGCGTCTTCTGAAATGTCTCAGCCCATCATATTGCCGACTCCAACGCCCAGGGACCGGCAGAGTAGTAGTGGAGTGTATGCGTGTGTTCGAAGTGGCTTTTTCTTCTAGAATCCCCCTCCAGATGCAGGACTTGAAAGTGCTGTGCCCCGTAGACTGATTTCACAACAGGTAATTCTATCCCTAGAAAAGAAGAAAATCCATAATCAAATTATGATATCCCCCTCTTCATCCAATCCTATCATCTGTGAGTCCGTCCGTATGCATTTGCGTACGTATAGTTCGTATAAACGGAATACAGATACAGAAAATGTCTCTAACACCATGGGTATACTTTCCGAAATAAACATACCATGAACAGAAAAAAGAGGCAGAAGTGCCATATGACAAATTCCCTTGAGCCACGCAAGCAAGCACGCACTCCCCGCGCCTCCCCATCTCCGCACAACCAGTGCGTATCAAGGCACGACGGCACACTAGATACACGGCACAGTGTGTACACACTCGCTTCGCTTGAATCTACCATATAAGGCCTGTCCAGTCTATCTGTCACGACTGGTCACCTCTTCTGTACGACGGCCCACTGCCGCTGCCGATGACGATGGCAAACCTACCGGGGGGCTCGCTATTCTTCACTTGACATACCGCTACTTGAGGGTTTCGGGATTCATATGCTATCTATGATGAGGCAAACAAGAGTGAGTCCTCCCCCGTGAAGAGTGGGCAGTGGGAAGGTCACAGCCAACCTATCTTGAAAAAAGAGAGGGTTGGGGTTGCTACCATGTACTCCGTAGTCCAAGCACAAGTACACTCGTCAAGATATGTCGTGATACCCTCGCTTGCGGGGAAAGCGAGAGAGATATCAGGGAGGAAGAGGGACAGGGAAGGGGAAAAGTTCGTTTGATTAGTTGCCGGGGTGCGTTAATGAGCAATGTCTCACAATAATAGCGAAGTGCCTTTTGCTCTGCTCTCCTGATTTAGTTTCTTTTTTGTTTGAGGGTGCGGAAGGATGGGGAGGCTGGTTTCACCGATTTCTGTGGTTTCTGCTTTGCGGTAGGGTGGGTGTGGTGACGTCGGGAGGAGAGAGATGCTGGGGTTTGCGCTCTTCTGCTTTTGGGAATTGCTGGGGAGTTTAGTTTTTGGTAACAATGATGTTGTGACGTTGGTTATGCCAATTAATCACATGCCAATGTCGCTTCTCGCCAGCCTGCCGTGACATAGATCAGCCTTGCACTACTACATGCGCATGCCAGCAAAGTAGTGCTGCAGATGCGCATGAGTGCATAGGTGGGCGTATGCATCATAGATATCGAGCAAGGAGACAAGAAGAAAGAAGCAAGTTTTTGGTTTTGAAGATTGTTTAATATTTGTTTCAGAAGCTAGGGAAAATATAAGCTATTGGTGGAGGTGGATGCTGGCTCTGGCGGTTGGCGACTGGTACCGCTCTGGTACCAGAGCCATGGGAGCTTTCCCATCCATCCATCCAGCGGTGTGGGTTATTGTATGAATCCTAGCTCGCGTTCCTTTCTTTCTTTCTTTCTTCTTTTTCTTTTGTTGTTTCAATCCAACCCCTGAGGGTTCTCTTTCAGTTTTGGATCACCACTGAACCCACGACTGCGCTTGCCTTTCAAAACCATGCCTGCCAAGGGACAGGTGTGTTTGTTTGTATGCATGGTGAAAGGCCTAGCCGCCGATACGCAACAATCAGGTCGCGTACTGCCACCTCTTCTCTGCCAACACCCTCCGCAGACTCTCCGACAAATAAAAGTTAAGCACTAAACATCAAACAACAAAGGGGATCCGAAAAGTCAACAAAGCGACTTCGGGGCGACTGCGGTTGGCGATGGGGAACAATGCGCGCAACGCTTGCGTGAACAATGCCGAAACTCTTTCTTTTTGCGTGCGTGGAATAACCGCTTACGCATCCAACCCTGGTAATAGCAAGGGGGATGAAAACGCCTGAATAAACAATAATGGTGCTAAGATGCGCGTCGAAACACAGTGAAGTGTTTATGTACATCTGCAAATGCCGTAGACAAAATATATACAGCCGTGTCTAAGTAATGTCTTTTGGTGAACACAAGGAAATTCGTGATAAGGAGCGGTCGTGGCTTCGACAATGAAAAAAAAAAAGGTCGAGAGCCTACAAAGTGATATCATGTCATACAAGTCGTACCTCGTGAATGGAGCAACTGGGTAACGAGCAGAAAGATAACAATCAAGAAAACGATAATCGCACAAAATATCGACAAGGTAGGGGAATGGCTCGCGGACAAAGACGATGCTCGCTGGCACTTGCGCTACGTCGAGATCTATCGGCTGCGCACACCAGCCGATGACCGACTGAGGAAAGAGGCAGGAAACTTCAAGTCGCTAAAGAATTTGAAGAAAGCACGTTTGCGGGGGGGAGTCTTCTGGATCTGCGCGGCGATCTGGACCATGGGGCCGACAATGTCTTCGTCGCCAAGCTTGGGGAACTTGCCCTCGCCCTTTGGATCGTTTAGGGAGGGCATCTTGGAGAGCGGGGCAGGTTCCATGGGAGACGTCGGCTCTGGCTCCTCGCCTAGGGCTGTGGCACGGGAGATGGCTAGATCGTTGTTGGCCTTCCACAAAGCGTCGATCTCTGCCCACTTCTGGTCCGTGAGGAGGTACGTCTTGGAGGTGACACCGTGGTGCTCTGCCGTCCGAACCTGGTGCTTGGTGAAGTTGTGGCGCGCCTGCTCCCAGTCGCTGAACAGCTGTCGAAGAGAAGCTTTGTCAAAGGTCTCGGGGAGGTACGGTTCCGGCTCGATGGTGAAGTTTGCGTGGCCTAGGATGTCGGTCCATTTGTCGTTGGGATCGGCCAACATGAAGGGAGGGATGTCTGCCGCCGGTACCATGTGCGCGGCTCGCGCCTTGAACGAGGACACGGATGGCTTCGTCGATAGGGGAGGTGTCGGGTTGGCGTGCAGCGGAGGACTGTCAGCTGGCGTCGCGGCCGTGGAGGCGTCGGCAGCAACCGTGGGCGACTGGAGGGGCGACTGGGTAGGGAGGTCATTGAGGCGTCCGGTGATGAGCATCGGGGGCAGCAGCGGAGTGGTCGCGTATCTTTCAGCCTCGATCTCTTCTGGGTCGAAAGCGATGGCATTTGCCTTGGCGACGTCGATGGGAGAGGTTGCAAACGTCTCGTCCAGGCGGTCTCTGCTACGGGCCGGGGTTGGGATGGGCATGCTCTGGGTCATGTCGATGCCCTGATACTGGTGGATGGAGCTGGTAATGGACGGCGAGCGGGTGGAGGCGGCGCGAATCGAGGCAGCCCTGGAGGGTGTTGCACTGCGAGAGGACTTTGCACCGAGCGTCGATGCTCGCTTTCGTTCCTTGATCTTGCGCGTGATGGTGGGGAATTTGTTTTCGAATTTGTCGCTGATGCTTAGCGTGGGTGACTCCAGAGATCGTCGCCTCTTGGAGAGGTTTGGCTCCGAGTCGTTGCTGAAGTAGTCCTCTGCGAAGTCGTATGCTTGGCCAAATATGGAGCGACGGGTGGGTGGTCGCGAATGGAAGCAGTGGGCGCCATCGCCTATAGATATTGTCAATACACATGCAGGACGGGGTACCATATAGTTTTTAAACATACAGGAGCAACGATATGGGTCCACTGTCACGTAGTCGTCTTCGCGCTCGATGGGTTCCTCGGTGAGCTTGGGCAACTTGCCGGAGCTGTTGGGGCCATCCATGGAGCTGTCATGTGTGGGCGGGCTTGAGGAAAGCGACGAGGTTGAGCTTGGATATCTGAGGTGGCCACGCGATGGGTAGCTGGGAGTTGGGGGAGTTGAGCAATCCGATACTGAGTAGAAGCCAGAGTCGCCGCTGGAGTGGACGGAGGAGTGTGGGTCGTATGCCATATCAAGAGAGCTCTTTGAAGATTTGCGTGCAGCAACGAGTTGTGGGAGCATCAGAGGTTTGATGTCGCGCATGCTGACAGTTGCCCGAATGGGGAGACGTGAATTTTTCGCGATGGGTGCTGGGGTCCCATTACCCAATTCACGGAGGGCGGGACGGGGGTAGTAATAGCAGAAGCTACAGCTACAGCAACCGCAACAGCACTCGCAGGAACAAGTTTTCAAGCCGATCAGTGACGAGTTGTCATGCGGAGGTCTGGAGGGGAGTGATGTGGAGAAATCCTATCTGGGTTGTGGAGGCTGGCAGGCGAGGGTTTTGGAGGGTGCCACGACAGAGAGAGAGGGAGGGTCCACGTAGGTTTTGATGATGGACGGGATGGGATGGCTTTTGCGGTGACGGGCGCACGATGTACGGTGAGTGAGTGTGAGTGTGAGTGTGAGTGTGTGAGGGTATGTGCAGCAAGAGCAGCAGGGCAGAGTGGGATATGTAATGCACAAAAGAGTACGAGACTAGGTATGAGTAGTAACCTCTACTCAGTAGTGACTCTAGTGAGTGATGAGTGGTGACCACCAGAATGTGCGTGTGCGTGTGAGTGTGAGTGTGTCTATGCGGCAAAGCGGTTGTGCGGTTGGGGCACCGGGGAGAGGGGCCTCGCTAAGTTGGTGGCCAGTGGTGGCTAAAGGTGCCTGAGTGGATGGGAGAAAAAAGTCAGCGGTTGTCGGCGACAGGAACCCGATTAGGATAGCCACGTGAAGTCGCACCGAACAATGGGCCTGGAACTGGCACGGGTGGCTATGCGTAGTAGGCGTAGTATGCGTAGTGTGGGATAGGATGGAAAAGTCGGGGAGGTTGGGCAGACACGGAGGCGAACAACCGGCCGGTGAATACAAGTAATTGTAATGGAGGGATGGTGATGAACAAAAATGGTACAGTAGTAGTAGTAGTAGTAGTAGTAGTAGTAGTAGTAGTAGTAGACGGGAGGGTAGGTAATGGGTGTGTAATAGGTGAGGTACTGTTACATAGAGTGTGTAGAATAGGTGTGTAGGCGTAGAAATGGTAGGGTAAGAATCAAGATAGGTGGGTACCAAGGAAAAAAAAAAGAAAAGCCGCCTACCAGTCGCTGGGTTTCCCGGATTGGCCAAAGTGCCGTATGTCTGTGTGTACTTGTGCTGGTTGTACCTTTTCTATGGTACAGCCGTGAATAGGTACCTTCTCAATCTGTACTCGGTCGAGGGCGCGTATTTGAACAACAGAGAGATAAGAAGAATGGAGAGATGAGGATGATGATTGGCGATTGGCGATGACGAGAGGGGAAAAGAGGGCGGAAGTGATGAGTTGTGAGGTGTAAGGTGTGAGGTGTGAGGTGTGAGAGGTGTGTGTTGTTCAGTTATGTGTTGTTGTGTGCGAAGGTCAGGTATTGTATGTTTTTTGTGGAGGGTGGAGGGGGGGATAGATGGGATGGGGGGAAGGCACAGCTGGGCCATGGCTAAGTGAGTAAGTCACGTTAAGTCACTACCGGTAAGGTACGAGGGTAGACTGTAGGCTGTGGTGGGCGAAAGCTTTCCTTTCCTTTCCCTTTCCCCTGCCCTGCGTGCCTGCTTTGCCCAGCAGCCCGGAACGACGGTTGGAACGGTGGACCGAAGCCTGGCTTACCTAGAAAGATATAGTCCCAAAACGGGTCAAAAAAGTCACTCACAGGGATAGGGATACATATGATGGTGAAGGGGCACGCTTTGGCTGAGATCAGATGGCTTGATGCTTTCGCACTTGAATAGGAATGGTTGTACGGCGTAGTGTGTCTGTCTACTAATTATCAACTTACCATGCAGACGAAGTGCATCTTCACAACTGTAACTGAAGACATAGTCAAAGTGTATATGATTACCAGGAGTAGGAGTTCATAAGAAAGTGTGTATGGATGATGGACCTATAGCGGCCAATGCAGTGGGACGGCAGGCAGGGAAGGAAGGAGCAGGGAAAGAGCTGGGAAGGGGGAAGGAGGGAAGGAGGGAAGGACTGCCACTAAGCGTAGCCTGCGTAGGTCACGACTAGGGAAGAGACTAGGAAAGGGACAGGGGGGTTGGGAAGGTGCAGGGTAACGTTAGTAGAGAATTGGCAAACGTTGACAGGGAAGCTGCCAGTGTGCATTGTGTGCAAGGTAAACAAGGTAGACAAGGTAGACAAGGTAGACAGGGTGCAAGGAAGCTGCCAGGTGCAAGGAAGGTGCAAGAGAATGGAAGAGGTGGGAAGGAAGGTGCCCCAACCGGCGGCCGCTTCCTGCTTTGCTTCTAGCCCTACCTCTAGTCCCCAGTCCGTCTCTTCTTCAACACACAGTAGAGACAAGAGCATCATCATGGCGCTGCTGAGATCCCCCAACGATGATGATGGTATGGATGATGCTGATGGAACCATCTACTCCATACTCCGTGCCTACACTACTGTTCCCGTCGTGCAGATGGGCTGCAGTTCTTTTCCAACTGACTGCAGGACGGCAGAACTCTACGTTCTCTGCTTGCCTGCATGCACGTTGGAAAAATGACTGTCCACGTAACCTACTACAATCATCTGTTCATCTATTCGCCGACAACGAGAACTGTACAGAGTACTGTGTCCTGTACTTCACCACACCAGCGCGGAGCAGTATCCCTCTTTTCCATCTCATCTATGATCAATCGCATCAATGGTAATATTGACCACGGCAATGGCAATTGCAATGCTGCCGAGAGATTCACAACTGACAGCACGTTGACCATTTCTGCCACTTACACAACCGTACCGTACCATTTTGTTATACTCCATTGTTGCAATTGATGTCAAATATGAGGTATGTATGGGGTATTTACGGGACTACTGGATAGTTGGTTGTCGGTACCAAGTTATCAAAGTCTGTACCATCTTTTACCGTGTCCGTCGCCTTACTGTACCAAACAAACCCTCCTTCAGCTTCGGCCTGATTCTTCCACCCACTGAATCGACTTAACCAACAATGTGTCATCATTGCGGAACCAAACTACGGCTTCACTCTCACAGCTGAGAGAAGATAACTTCCTCGACTCCAACGACTCCAACAACTCCTCAAACGGCCCGACGGCCACATGGCATCCTGCAAGAACCATATTGTAGACTTTTGTTATTTTAGCCTTTTGAATTGTGCAATGCTTTGCAGCTTTGGCCCAATGATAAACCCTCCCCCGGCTCAGAGTCAGTCTCCATCATTGATGCCCATACGAGTGACTAGTTGTGCGCGCACGAACTCCGAAGACACACAGACCAGACATACTCCATCTTGTCTCCTTTATCTTCACGATCAGAAAACTCGTAACTTGCGCCTTGCATCTCCCTTGACGAGCTATCTCATCGATGATCGTAGATCTATTACTGCTTTCTTCCCTCCCGCCAACTACCCTTTTCGTACCCGTAATCTTGTTACAGAGAACTGTGCGCACCGCCTATTCCAAAGCAGAACAAACCAACAACATCTTGGGACAATCAACACTGCCCCCGTCGCGATGATGCGATGCCTCTTTACTGCAATTAGCTAGCTACAACCAACTTTGATGTTCATGACTAGAAGTAACTGAGAGTCCTTTGCACGGTACACAGTACACGCGCGGCCTCCCATCGGAGACTACTTCCGCACTTCACCAATCACCATCCTTCATACACCATACGGAAGGCCATCAACCGTTCTCCCAGCACAAGTTAAAAAAATGGACAGCGATGTCTTCTCTCTCGTCAGTCTTGTCAATTGATTAATTGATTGATCTATTGACAGTCACCTTCGGACTTTTCCACACTCAACACTTCTTCATACCCAGTAGCAATTTTTTCATTCCCTCTTCAACTGTGTCGTGGTTGGCTGGATATTTGGTGGGAGTGGATACAATACATTCTAATCCCTCCCGTGACTCCACCGAACCCTCTATAATTTTTTTCTTCTTCATGCGAACCCATCTGGGCGCTCTTCCTTACAAACTACCAACTACCACCAACACCAGAACTACTGTTACTATGTTACTATTGACCCCCACCAACATCTACCTATTCCACCTCCCACGTACCGCTGAAGCCCCCAACGACGCCATACGCCATACGCCATACGCCCCGCTCCCACCCCATCTCACCACTAAGTACCCAGACACACAGAGAAAAAAGAAGAGTGACGGAATTTTAGTGAAGAAAAGAAAAAATGGAGAAATGTTCTGGACCCTTTTTCTTTCGCCTTCGATCCCGTAGTCGATTGAACGATGCCTATCTGCCTGAATTTGTCCTTACCATAGATATCCTCATGTACCCGTTCTTCAAGCGCACCCACTCACTGAAACGGCCATGTATGCAAGACATGTCAGAGTCAAAGTCAAATTTGAATTTGAATCCGAGAGTATAACTCTGGTAACTTTCCCTTCACCACATATGTTTGAAACAGCAAAGAGTCGAAATGATATTTCGAGCCGAGAACCGAAATCATGACCCGAAACTGTGACCTGTGAACCCTATCCACGAACTTACCCCTCATATCCATCTCCATTACCAACAAATGCCAAAAGTCCTTCTATATCATTGGTGCGAAATGAAAAAGAAAATACGAAACGATGGATTGTGTGAAAGAGCGAGAGGTAATTGCTCGGTTGAGTTACCAACTCTCGCGGGCAACTAAGTTGATAGTGAGGTGAGGACAGGTCAGGTGGCCTCCCTACAGACTACGAACCCTACGATACTTTGGTAGACATCCACACAGACATCTACTCCGTACACCGGTAGTTACGGTCTCAGATGGAAGAGAGAGGCAATCAATTGATTGTCTTCTGGCCACATAGCATCAGGCGATGCACGATGGAGGGAAGGAACTCATTGACCTCAATCCCAATTCGTGCGATTTATTACACAGTATAATTAACGTGGAAGGCCTTACAGCAGCCTTCCTTCATAACGGCCCCGAGTGCTACGATGGATTCTCATGCCATCGGGGCGCATCGGGAAGCTGTTTCCTCCCCTTTTGCTTATTCTTGTTGTTGCGACGGAGACGTTCGAGGCCAACGAGGGGAATTGATGATCGACGAGATCTTCGCGGGAGTCGAAACAAAACAAAAACAAACAAGTCCCATTGCGCTGGTAACCTTCATCGTCGTTTCGGTTTCAAAACCATGATCTGGAGTTTAATTCGAGTCATTGACATCCATATGTTTCGAAACGCCTGACTACTGCCCCTTGGTATGTTTCGACCAAAAAGTATTACCTATGCGTCTCTCTCCTCTAACTACCGTGCCTAACTACACGAATCGCTCTGCGACGACGGCTTTGGAACTCTGGGAGGGTGTGGTCATAGGAGCAGACTAAATCACTTAGGCCTTCTAGGGAATTCTAGGGCCGAATTTTTGCCCTCTGGTTTTTTTCTTCTCTTGCGCACATTTGGAATCAATCCAAAAAAGACCGTCCGTTACTAAATTAACTACCACATGGACAAAACGGCGAAGGGAAACTCCGGTGGTGGCTGGGAGAAGCCAGGTACAGGCCAGGGCAGGGGAGCCGAGGGGAGAGTCCGTCGTCCACCATTGCGGACCAATCGGAGAAGGGCGACGGGGTCGAGAGTGAAGAATCAAGCCGTTGCCCGTTTGCTGATTGGCGGGCTGTCTTTTTTCTTTTTGGCTCTTCCAGTTACTCTACCTACTCGTACAACAGAGTACTTGTACGAGGATGTGTACGGAGTACCGTGTACGAGTTGGAACGGATAGATGTATGTAACTCGGGCCTGCGAGGTAGATACCATAACCACCTTGCCGAGGAAGAGGAAGAGAGTTTAGGGAAAAGGAATCCTTTCTAGGCCTGGCCTTCACCCATCCTATGATTCCTGTCAGGCACACGCTGGCAGGTGCTCGTATCGAACATGCACGCCTCGGCTCACGCCTCATGCCTCACCTCATTCTCACCAACGTCAAGCACGGGTACCTAGGTAAATCATGTCGTAAGGCCCTCCAGGGAACCCGCCAGCGCATCCATCCCATCCTTTCCCACAAGAGCCGACAAGAAACGAACGAACGAACGACACTGCGCCAGCAGGATAACGCCCTGTCCTCTTTGCTTTCTAAGGGGGGAAAAGGATCCCGGAGGGTACTTCACAATTAGTAATCTTTGTTCAGTGACGAGCTGGTCGCACGACAGACGGGCGAAATATTATCTATCATTTTAAAATTGACCACCAATATCCTGGCAGACAAGCCATTGGAGGGAATCCTACCCACGAGTCGAGGTATCCTCCGCGCAACTAGACTTGACGAACTGCTCGTGAAAAGTCCGTAGTGTTGAAAACTCGATCGCACTGATGCAAGCCCAGCAGCCATAGCGGTTCGCGACGGAGGGCCGGGGCAGCGGGTGAGGAACGTTGAGATGATCGGTTAGAAGCTGTTCCTGTGCATCTCCTCGTACTCCCTACAGTTACCAGTACGAGTAGATACTTGCAAGGAGTGAGTGATTGCTGTGTTGAAGTTCTTCATGCCAAGCATCCAGGGCCAGGCCCGAAAACGATTCGTTGGGATTGATCGACCGCCGACCGGCCGATGCGACGCCGATCTTCGATGCCTCGATTCGCTACAACCAAGATGTGGTCACCACCTAAACACTACAGTACAGTTACGAGTACGAGTTGTTACAGCTCTTCCCGGTGCTCTGTCACCATCCACGCCCAACGCCCAGCACGGCACACTGGTCCTCGTACCCGTACTGTGCCGTACACAATCATCAGCCATCTCATCGACTATCTCAAGAGAATTCCCAATCACACTTCTCCCAACTCGTATTCTGCTCCCCAACCTCTCTCATTTCGAAACCCTCCATTTCATCGATGACCCCCCATGACGAAAAGACGCCCACAACGCCCATGACGACAGCGGCACCCATTCACCACACACACTCACCATCCTCCCGTCCGTTTCCCCTTTCCCCACCCGTCTTACATACAGTAGTCCTGTACACCCGCACACCCTCTCTCTTTCTTTTGCGAGCCCTGTTGGTGGTTGCCAATGCAATCTGTATGCCATGCCCCCCCGTAGATGATCACTGGTTCATTTCATACTTGACACCTGCATGGTTCTGTACAGAAACATGCATTTTCGCATAGCCCTACCCTCGTGCCTCCCAACGATTGAATATTGGATTTCTACCTCCGGAGGCGTGGCCATGCGACGCTGACGAGGGAGGGCTTGACATCCTTTCCAACCAATCATGTCCATCCTCTCTGCGCTCATCCAACCATCATTCGATGGAGCAGAAGAGAACTGAAATCAATAATAAGATGTTCATGCTCATTCCCTGTCGATAATATATCCTCAGGCCAGGCACGGCTGCATATCCTCCGCTGCTTATTCGACAAACACCTCCCTCTCTTCCAATTACAAGTGGCCATGTAGAGATACCTTTTGAGTTGAAGTACATATTACACGCAGCTGGGTCAGGCAGGATAGGCAAGCGAAGCAACAACATAGGCGCCGCGCCGGCAACGACACCGGGACTTGTGACGAGTTTCCCGGTTCATGTTCTGTCTAGTCCTGTCTCCATGCTCCACGTTGTCAAAAAAATCTACCGGTTCCTACCCCCATATTGATAAAGCGCATGCATCGCATATGCGGTAAGAGAAAACTACCATACTAGGTAGTATAAACGATAGATCATTTGAACATACAGAATACTCCGTACATACACATTGTAATTGGTCGGATTTGACAATTTTCCTGTGTTGTAATATCCAAACACTCCAGTACTCTGGAGTCCCCCACGATATTGCCCATTCTCATCCCCACGGAACCGCACAATTGTTCTCCAATCAAAATCGACCCTGCCTCTGTCTTCGACGTGGCAGAGCTGGACGAAAAGGGAAGAAATAACCACAGTGAGCTATCTATCTTGCACCGTCTTCCCTCGAACAATGTCATAGAGACGGTTCGACCAATTGTACGTTGCACGCAGTCTCCTCCGCGTAACCTGTCGATACAACGGCCCGATAATCAAACCCTCACCATCTGTCCTTCTCTCTTCTCATAATTACTCTTCTCGTGATGTCAAAGCCAAGGCTCTATATCTATTCATGTCTACTCCATGTGGTACAATTTGTCTACCTACACAGTAGGTACCTACGTGGCGCTCGTTGTCATTTCCTCCACATCACGGCCACGGCACCTCGTAAACGACGTCATATATCTCTTCACTAGTAATCCAAACATCGAACGCGGAGCCTTTCCATCCCCATCGTTCCGTTATTGCTCGTACTCGTATGAATAATTGCTGCGTAAAAGCACGAGGGCGATGATACAATGCGGACCGTTACGTACCATACATACCTGGGACCGCCAGTCTGGAATCTGGAGTCTTCTACCCGTTACCAGACACCATCGCGTCACGGCGGCGGGCCACGGCCACGGTGATGGCAACGACGTCGATGGCAACGGATAGCACACCTCGCCTCCCCTTCGCCCCAACCATGAGTGAGCGGGTGCTCGATCCGCAAGAATACTCGGGGCGTGCGGTTTCTGGTTCTTCATCCGTCATGTCAACCAGCGGTTCTCGAAAGCGCACGCGACCCTGAACCACCATTCCAAATTCCAAACCAGAACCAAAGGAGCAAGTAAGAAGGCCCATTCCATCCATTCCATCGGCGTTCACGCCTTCTGACTGGGCGGTTTTCCCCATGGTACTCGTACAACGACCAGAACATTCTTTTCCATGCTTCCTTCTATGAGTATGTATGGTACTAATTACTCCCTCTCAATTACTCGTATTGTTGTCTGCAAAGAACGTGGTATTTGGTATTGGTATCTAGTACCGTGGGAATTGAATATGTTCCCCCACACACACTCGATTCCCACGTGTTCTTGTAACGCATGCACGCACGCCCGTCCATACCAGCTAACCTTGAGATACCAGCGTCTAGGATGGAGTACCTACTAGATCGAATAATAATTGCGACTTTGTCTGTATGATACATACATAGATTCACTTCAACATTATCCTCATGAACATGAAAAATAGAAAATAGAAAATAATCATTCGCAATTCCTATTCTAGAATTCCTCTACGGCAAGATGGAAGAATACCATGTGAAAAGAATCAAAAATACACACAATCGCACAACACCAGTATTACTTTTTTCCATTGAACAAGAATAAAAAAACGTGGGGAGATCCTGCGAATGAACAACTATAAAGGTAATTTTCCAATTGCTCAACTCAGGAGCATCGAATTTTGCACAACAAATGGCTTTCCAAACACATCCTCGCAATCCCACATGCCTTTGTGTCTACCGAGGAAGTGCTTTTCCCCATCCACCAGAGGAAATGCGATTATGAGCTTGGCTGATGGGGAAGGTGTCATGTTTGTTACATCACGACTATGAGCACAACGACATCGATATCAACAAGCGGGTTCGTTTCACGTCGCAACCTTTACCATATGCTGCTACCGCTGCCGCACCGGGCTCCCCACAATCAAGCCAGTAAGCAGTATGTCCGTCATTGCATTAGCTCCAGAGTTTGTTTTCGATTCTTCAATGTGAATTTAATGGTGTACGATGTACTGTGTAGGTAGTAGGTACGAGGTAGATTGTAACATTGCCCTACAGTGTTAGGAAGGTGGGTAGGCCGTGGAGGATTAGACTCCGAGAGCATACATCTCTTGCCTTCGTCCCAAATAGGCGATTGCAACCATACACACGGGAAGCATGCAAGATCCTTAGCGAAGGTCAGAAACACGGCAACGAGAAAGAAAAGTCACGGAAGCGAAGAGAACACAGCGTAAAGTAGCTATGTGATCGGCAATTGTCTAGAACATTTGATCAACAGATCTAATGAGTGAACAAGATTGGAAGAAATGCGGGTCGGTAATGTTTAATCTGGTTGGGATATCAAGACGACGACAACTGCTCGATGGTCGATGGCCGATGAGTCGGTCGAGTGAACCGGCCTTGACCAGTTTTTTTTCCAATCTCCACAACGCCTTGCCTCGTTCTGGTGTTCCGTCGGGTGGCCTGTTCGGCGCCGTTCAAAGCCAGTAACGGCTCCACAAACGCTTCTGCTCGTCATTGCCTTCGAACTATTGATATTCCCGCTGTCAGCATCGATTTTGTCGTGTCATGCCGTTTCATCGTTTTTGTTGCGGATATAACACCGATCGCAGGTGCAATCAAACAAAGTTTTTGTTAAAAATGCAAGGGTTCAAACGACGTACCTGAAAGTCAACCTTAACGATGTCTTGGAATCCCTCCGCGTCCTGTGGTTCGCGGTAGCGTGACGCGTAGCCCGTGAAGGCGAGCTTCGGGAGAATTTGGCGGGACTCGGGGTTAGTCTATAATTTCTTAAAGTTAGCACGCACTTTGTGGAGTTCGTCTTGATGCCATGCCGCTCTGACGGCGGTCGTTCGGAGCCTTCCTGTTGCGATGAGCAACTGGTGGAGACCGTTCACGAAAGAATGACTTTGAATCATGGCTTGCTAGACGGGCCGTCTGCACTGAATCTGGTGTCGAGGATCTTCCATGTCCAGGCCGCATGGGTTTCCCCACAACAAATGATGCTGCCCAGGGACGTGCTCCGCAAGGTCCTGGCGTTGCAAGCATTCGCAAGCGAGCTCATGCAGCCTGATGCTGGGCAGACAAGGGCCGACAAAATGTGTTGGGAACGTACCTCCGGACCGACATTCAAGGCGCGAACGGTATCGTTGTGTTCGCATAGCTTAGGCGAGGCAGTGAAGAGGACGCATCTGATCGGTACGTTGAGCTTCTTAGCCAGGGCCGTCCAGTGCGCCCGCGTGTCAGGATCTGCATTGGTGTTGTCTGTCAACGTTGTTAGTCGACGGTGGGCTGCATGCCATCTGGAGAGAAATGTGATGAACGTGCCTACGACTACAGATGTCCCCTCTTGGATGAATGCCGTGGCAGCCTGTAGGCACTTCTCGCGCTGTTTCACACGGTTACTCAAGAGGCGGGGAGTGACACAGCACGTGCTGTGCTCCGGATACTATTGTAGGCAACACATACAGACTTGAGAATGTCTTGATTCACACGACCGTATCCCAGTGGCTGAAGATGCCTCCAATAGAAAGACGACTTTCCTGCACCCGGACTGCCGACAAACAGCACAATGTCGACCGGGTTGGTGTTCTCGAATGGCTTTTGGGCTGCAGCATCCAGATGTTAGTTGCTGAATGGTAGGAACTTCCCCCTGTGGCTTGCGGATCCATGTACATACTCGCAGATTCTGGCTTCGCGGCCACTTCGTCGAGAAAAACGGTTGGATCAAACTCTCTAACGAACGGTCTCACGCTCTCCTGCAAGAAGTATTCCTCGGGAGTGTGAAAAGCAATGCCAACGTTTGCAGCAAAGTCTCTAAGACATAGTTAGCACATGTTTTCTTTTCTCAACAATATTCCTGATATGCATGCAACACAATCGCAGGACGTGGGATTTTCCAGACCTGTCGCCACATGAATGGTCTTTTGGCACGCCTCCCGTCACTGCCTCACGGCCACCTGCATCTCCAACGAAAAAGGAGTTCTCTAGATCCACGGCATCTGCGGCTTCGAGGTCGTAGTCCTCAAGCAACTCCTGCCACATCCCCGTCCTGGGTTTGCGATACCCATCCCTGGCCGTTGCAGCATACACGGAGATTGACAAGTCCAGCTGCGTGAATACAGCTGAAACCTTCCCCTTGAAATCGGCCAGCCGTTTCTGGTCGCTCTTGACGGTCTTCGGGTTGGGCTTCAAACTTATGCCGCCCTGGTTGCTCACGACGGCCACGAGATACCTATCTCCTCAACAAAATCGGGTTAACGTTACTGCTCGTGCCATGTAGAACCAACTCGCAGAAGGCATCTTCGACCTCGCTAGAAGTCACTCACCCGTCGTCATGCAAGCTTCGTAGTTTCCCAGGGACGCTGCTGTGCCACCATTTCCAATCCGTTGCATCTCGGCCGAATCGCTTCCCAGAGGCCGGCGTAATCAATGTTGAATCCTACGGCGCAAATGAAGCATTTAGCACTAACTCATCCTGCCCAATCCTCGTGACAATCAACAGCTAAGGAGGACGTACGAAGTCAAATGCTGCTATTTTCCGTCTACCTGCTTTCGGTATGAGTTGTGCAGCAGCATTGTACCGACCGATGAGAAGACTTTCGTTGACGATACGCCATGTCATCTTCTCGGGTTCTTTCTTGGATGCTGGAGTAAAGAAATTGGCAACTGCCTTGCCTTGAGAGATTTTTAGTATCATTCGATAGCATCCCTGCGTGAGGAAGACTCACTTGTCGTTGTGGACTGCTGTTTGCGTTTTGCTGGCGGCGGCGAGACTCCGCGATCATTTGAGCTTGGCCGCTTTGATATTGCAGGGCGATCAGACATCTCGAATGATCAGTAGTAATATGCCTGCATTGATAGGCCCCTTTTTCACTAATCAATTTACACTCGTGGTCGTTGTCGATGACCTTTTGATGGTTGTCAGAGTGGGAAGTTACGGGATCTGATCGCGCAAAACGCGAACTCGCGTAGGCACGTGCAAGACACGATGATCACTCACCACATTGAATAGATATAACGTTTATTGAGTCTTGTCAACATGTATAGTTTGACTTATCTTTGCAATTTGATCAATATTATGCGGCACAGCATGTATAGGAATTAACTATAAATGTTTACTCAGGCACCTGCTAAGATCTACGATCGATGGGAATATATTCTCAGGCTCACATGAAATCAGTAACTGTCTACAAGTTTTCTCAAAAACCAAAAACCAATTTCGAAGCTTCTCAGATATTTCTTATTGCTGCTGTGTACCTAGGTGCCTAAGACAACTACTTAGAAACTATATGAACACTTTCTCTGGGAAGCTCTCCAAAGTGGGCCTATAAAGATGAAGCGCTTCAGCACTTGATGCGCCTTATCATTTATCCAGTCCCCCATGGCCTCATTAGGTCCTATTTGCAAGACGACCGAGGCGATCGAAAGCTACTCTGATGTGGTCGTACTGCCAGTCCACAACTGCATTATAGGCTATTGGTAGACCGTCGCATAGAGTTGAGTGCGATAGACAACACCGAATCTGCAGCGATTACCCAAAGTGTGCTGCGTAGAGAGTACTTCCGGCATCAACATTCTCTACCGTGCCGATACATAGCAGCTACTTCTATGTTCCGGGTCCAATCAATAGAAGTCAAGCAGGCCGACTCTGACCTGGTTATCATTACGAGCCGGCGACTCTCTTCAAGTACGAAAGGCATCAGTTTGTCCGTAGGCGTCTAGCCTTTCTGATATTAAATAGCCACATGCGAGTTTCATCGGGCAGCGACTTGATGATTTGGTGGGGCGATACCCCTCGGCTGATATTTTACACGTGTGTCCAACGTGAGTCGGTCTGGCACATGCAATTCCACACAACCTTTCATGTGCTTCTTGAACCCCTGGAGCTCTTGTATTCCCGTATCTAGCAGCGCAGGGTTGTTCAAGTCCTGTACGCGAATCTTCGCCTCGAGAATGTATGCCCCGCTCGGGTCTAGGGGTGAGAGTGCGGAGAAAGACGGGAGGTCTATCTTTGGCTCGGTCTCGAGAGATCGGACGCCAGGCTCGTGAAGGATGCGGTGGAGGAAGATGACGACATTTCCGAGCACGTATTGATTGCCCTCAATGTAGAACTCGGACACGAATCTGGCATGGAGTCAGTATCGTTCGAGGCGCAACGAGCGATTGCAACTTACTTGTTACCCAGAGCAATGGCATAGGCGTGGGCATTACCCTCGATAGCACCGCTGTTGGTGGTCTGCCGAACGAGCACGCCTCTATCTACCGGATCAGGAAGATCATGCCATTCGTGAGACCACTGCGATTCCGAAACGGCATCTTGTTTGGCTACGGCAGGGTCGTCCTCTGTGGATCGGGTGTTCTCGCGCTCGAAGCTCTCGGGCAGGCGCTGAACGAGGTGTGTGAAGTATAGAGGCTTCGAACCGCCGGGTCGAGCTGTGTTCTTCACAGCAACAGCTTGACTACCGCCGCGTCGCAGGTTCGAGCCTGGTTCCTCCGGTTCTCGCGTCGGCCTGTAAACAATGTGACGTTTGACGATCCGGCGGGGCTGCATGGCGGCAACGCCCGCGAGGACCTTCAGGACTTGCTCATGGCGGGTTTGGGGGACCTGGCCGTAGAGCAGCAACTCGTACATGGCGGATGGATGGACGGATGGAAGGTCGTGGCAAGCAGTATGCCCTATGGCCGTTGTTAGTCCGTAGATTTTCGAGAAGTAAGAGCTAACACGGGCACGGCCTGGGCCAGGGCATACATAGAAGGTTCAAGGTTGTGGGGGACGCGTGGGTGGACGCGTGCGCAAGCGTGGTGGCAGAGGGCAAGCTTGTCCGCGGCGATTTGGGGGATGTTTGCGATTGGATGGCATGTGTAAGTCGGTATGAGGAATGAAGAGATCCACCACGATCATTGTGATTATTACTATTGTTACTACGGAGCACTCCTAGAACTAAGAAGTGTATGCAATTGCATACGATGATCTATCTACGAGTAGAAAGAAATATGTCCAGGCATCGGAGCCGATTCGGATGCACACGCTGTACACGCGGAACCGTCCTATGAGCCCCGCCTATGGCGAAATTGAAGATGTGCAGTGATTCATGGTGGGAGAGGGGGAGGAGTTACGGGTAGGGCAGGGTAAGGCAGACAGGGTACGAGTACGAGTAGGTAAACTGGAGTAAGTATACATGGACATGTGCAAGTACTCCGTAGCCTGGAGGTGGTGTGAAGACTGCCTGTGAAGCATCCCGGGGCAAATTACTCCAAAGGGTTCACATAGTCTACTATGGATGGAGGTGGAAAGTGATACTCATAGGACGGGTAACAATGTTTGGGGTAATGGCCGTAGTAGGTAATGCAATCCCTCCTCTCCTCCATGTTCGGAGGTGGGGAGACGGATGGAACAAATGGATGTGAATAATGGAGAGGGCGGAGGGAAGAAAGATGGTCAGTCGACTATGGGATGATCTTCATTCTTGCGTCTTCCGTCTTGAAGCGGCGTATTGTCTAGAGGGCGCAAGTGTACTCCCACTCTGCAAGTGTGTGCGAATGATGGCAATAGATGGGCCATTCCATTCCGTTCATCCATTGAACTACGCGTTGTTGTCTCAAATGCTACGAGTAGTAATACACAGTACAGTACAGTAATACCAAAACAAGGAATCATGCAATAGTGACTTGACTGAAGGGCGCCCACCGATTCCGAACCCGCCCGTACCGCCCACGTAGCGAATTTTCATGGTTGGATGGAGTTAACAATTCGAGAATGGCGACGAACAATTCCGAGTGTCGGTCCTGCTTGGATTGGAAATCAGCCGGTCGCTAGTCTCCGTCTGTAACAATTGTGTGCCCATGATCCACGATCTATCCCATTTCCATCTTACTGTGTACGCGGGAGGAGGATGGGAGAGAATGAGAGAGGGCGGAGGGTGGAGAGGGAGGAGTAAATGCCTGTGGTGGGTGGGCGGACGGGTGGGTGGTGGTGCATTTGGTGGGTGGGAGCTCATCCTTCGAGTTCCCATCCATCTCTGGCATTATTTTATGTCTAGCCCGTCTCCCCTCCGCATCTTCCCTCTTCTCTTCCCACCTTCCCATCCTTCTTCTTCCAACACACCCACACTCACTCTCCACCCCCCATCCACCTATCGACAACCTCGATACTCACCTCAATTCGTACCATCGCAGCTTTCGACACATTTAGTTCACCCGAAACCGCCAATTCTCGAGTTGTTGCATTCGCCAATCCGCACCGCATACCACTCGCTCTCTCAGAAAGAACGACAGCTCTCTCCACAACCAACTACACCCACAAACAACACCACATTCACAATGAACGCCACTCGAGTTCTCCTCCAGCAGAGGCAGCCCATGATCCGCTTCCTCGGCAAGCGAGCCATTCCTTCTCGTAGGCGCGCCCTTCTGAACGAAACTATATCCATGGCAAGCGAAAACTAACATTACTCACAGAGGTTGACCACACCCCTCACGTCCACCCTGCCTCTCCCAGCCAGTCTCTCCCCGACTCCTTCGCTTCCTACCGCAAGAAGGCCCAGCAGCACGGTCCTTTGAACCAATCCTCCCAGTACTCCACCATCGGTGGAAGGCCTGGCTCTCAGCTTGGCCCTGTCGAGGCAGGAAAGGGTCTCCACTTCGACCGCAGCGAGCTCCCCCAGCGCTTCCAGCGATTGGCATGGACCCAGGCCGAGATCGAGGCGGTCGAGTCTGGCGGTGCCAGCACATACGCATAGGCGAATCCTCCGTGAGGGGAAGCCGATCACCCATGGATGGATAGCGATGTGCACAAAATGCGCACAACTCGACAAAAGAAATGGCACGGACGTAGCTTTGCCTTGCGCACGGGCGATGTAGCGAAAAGAACGTGAAGGATCGAGAGAAGACGAGAGAAGAATGATGAACAGCATGCGACTTTCATTCAACAAAAATGGTCATTGGGTCGTTTGGGTTATTGTGTTGTTACCACCCAAAAGCATTAGACTGGCTGCTATTGCGATGTTATACCCCCCAAGACTGGCATTCACGGCGGGCGGTTCTTGATGAGAAGAAATCGTATCAGACCTATACGGACGGCCTACATCCATATGAAGAGAGTATTTCTATGAGGTCGATCACTCAACGTATCACCTCCTAAGTATTATGTCCAAATCAAAAACATTTCAAACTGTAATATCATGTCCTCCTCCATCTATAACCGTGATATCAGATGAACGAAGAAGTCGAAACACGGAGGATGGCTGACCAATCACGCGTTGCGCGCATCAAGAACCAACCGAGGACCAACACATTATGCGTCTGTAGGTACATAATCATACTCGAAGATACAGCAGTAGCGCCCACAGTAATGCAGAATCAAAAAAACCAACAAGTGAACAAGTAACAAGTCAAGACATTTGATAGATAACCCAAGACCATTCATCCATTCACATATACCGAACCATGTGCAAACGCATACATACGCATACAGGACTCTCCAAAATGGCAATCTAGCCCTGCAGCCGAAAAGCAGCTGTCAAATCAGCAGAACATCTCGCCACCAAATCACCACATCCCCACACACAATCACGTATTCCAGACACTCTTTGTAGGCATCTCCAGGCTACTACAGGCAAAATACCTGTCTCTTACAGGTAAAACGCAACGACTCCCTTGCCTCGCCCGTAGCGGCGGACCACCAGCTCGGAATTGGCTACCGACCGATATCGCGCGCGCTCGCCCCCGCCCGCCCGCCCTGATAAGCAACGCAGAATGGGTGGGCATTGCCAATTGATATTCCTAATCTGACTTGCGCGTTGCCCGTTGGAGAACTCGTTCGCAGCGGAGCTCCTCCTTCTCCTCCACCTGCCACTACCACTACACATTATACTGTACAATTCTCCAACAACGATGCAGATCTGAAGCTCGCCCAGCGTGTGGACGCCTACACGTTTTTTTTTTTTTTCGAAATTAACTACGGAGTACTCGAATAATGTCAAGGAGCTAGGTGATGTAATTGTGGATGGGTGTCCATGAGTTCGCATGAGAGAACTATTACTATTAGTATCCCTACGCATAACGCACCAATTTTGCAGCACATTGTCCCTCTGTGTGGAGAGAGATGTAGTTATTGTATACTGTACTCCATACCAATTCCTATGCCATGCACACATATTTTGATATTCGACCATTATGGGAAACTTGGGAATCGAGGTTCCACACTTGATTCCTGCGTTCACCACAACTTCGATGCAACAGCTAGTTCTAGATACTGCTCACACTTACAACAGGGTTTCTTTTGTTCATCCGTCATGTCTTTCTCGTATTCCATGATGCAAAACGAAGAATGTACTTTGTATGCGCACACCCCCGTGCCCGTACCTCGTAAGCGAGTGCACCCGGACTACCGACGGCCTGTCAGCCCGTAGATGCTCCCGACAACGAGTGATCTATTTGATCGACTGATTCACATTTACATCTTAAACAAGCATGACCGCCACAGTCGTCATTATAGTAATACTGAGAACCGCAAGAATGATCATGCGGGGATCCTAATCTTACGTGGCGAAGAGGGAACAGAATGTTCGAAATGCTCGTAAGGCTAGGCTACATGCATGATGGAAGGGTTGAAAGAATGGTATGATATAATTTTAAACCTACGTATGTACTTACGTACTTCATTGAGGAGTTGCAACGAAGAAAGAGGTGGTGGTTCATTGCTCCGACCGACTCAATTGTCCTTTGCATAGTCTGGGCTATTGTGTTCATACATGTGCGGGTGGACATGAGTATTGTGAATATACCTACTTGTCTTTGGCCCATTGATGGAAACATCGTCAGAGGCATATTGTATGATGCGAAGGAGACATGGCGAGTAGCTAGGAAGGAGTGTTCTAACGTCATTTGACGATAGAAGTGCATGTTTCTTAGTTGACATGTCAAGCAAAAGACTCTTTCTTCTTTTCTTCGATGACATAGGGACGTGCCGTTACTTATTCCTCATGTACATGTATGTATGTACTTATCTAGGCAGAATTTTTCTGCTTCAGAAACTATACTGCCGTAGGTGATAGTTTTCCCGTTTTCCACAGGTTGGTGGTTTATATGTCCTCATCGCTATTAACTTATGGGAATACAGCATAGGTCACCGACTACGGGCCGTGATATCCGTTCGAAGCAGATCAAACGCTGTACCTTTAAAGTTCAAGCAGACTCGATGCTTTGTAGCTTGTTGTCTTGCTGTAATGTTCACTTGCGAGACGTGTGATTTTGTCCCTTGGGTAATTGGGTCGTGGAAGTAACTCCAGAATTACTTTCTTAGACTATGGATAGTTAAAACTAATAAGAATGTACGACCAATGCAATTCTCACTCTACTTTAGCATGAGAATACTGATTCTCACTGATTTTGAAAATGGAGATTGGCAAATAACTGAAAAGTTACTTGCTGTCTTGCGGGTCATAGATACATATATGTTTGCGTCTATGTGGAGGGCCGAGTGTGCCGAGAAATATACATGTCCCCATCTAGATAGTACAGAGCGTGAAATAACCTCTAGAAGCATGTCTCGAATTTTGGAATAATTTTACTGAAGGAAGTAATCTTCTTCCTCGAAATTGCTTCTGGCCCCCATTATCCGATCTCTGGTTGTTCGCATCACTGATGAACGCCCAACGGCAGAGTGACCATGTGAGCTGGCAATGCTAATGCACAAAAGAGGTATGCAGCGCCAAAACCCTTCGACATGCATACCCACATCCGCCATGTTGAAAATTACCGAGGAATGAGAGCGTGAACTTCCTATTCTGGTCCTCGCGTGTAGGTCCTTACTTGGACACGAGTGAGTCTAGTAAAATGCCCGCCATCCCAGCCGATGCAATCTATTCGATCTCTTAATCTGACGACTACCGCGTTGTAAATGCTTCACCCAAAGGTAGATAATATGATGATTGAATGGTTCTATTCTATCAACAAACGAGTCATCGTTAAGCGAGTCGGTCCGTATGAATCTCTAGCAACCTGAATGAAGGCAGACAAGACACCACTATATAAAGGAAGAAACCCACAATTGACTTGGCCGTGCAAAGACACGGCTACAACACCAAGTAACCGACAGGGAGATATCGGCTACACAACCAATATCAATCCATCGTCCTATGAAATCAAATACATTAACGGAGTGCTTGCTTGGTATTGCTTAGCATTTTCTCAGCATACGTCTGGGCACATGTAATAGCGCGGTAGTCCGCTATCCGACCTCCTGCCATCACCAAATATGTTTGCGGGGTCGTCCGGGGAAACAAGCTGGGAAACAGCGGCATTGGGCGAGATTTGGGCATTTTGGGATCTCGAACATCTATCCGAGGGCTTGGTACCAATTGTGGCTATGATAGAGTGACATATATGTATTCCTTGTCTTCGCTGGAGATAGAGGCCTAGAGCATCTCTCATTGCAACTCTGATAAAAGCACCAAGATGGCAGATAAAGATCTCCCCACTCACGAAGAGAAGATTGGAAACAATTCTCCTGCCACCTCGATCAATGAGGAAGTCAGCAACAGGGATTGGACACCAGAAGAGGAGAGAAAGCTAGTATGGAAGATTGACTTTAGAGTATGTCGAGTGCGATATATGAAATGAGTTGGACCTAACAGACTCAGGTGTTTCCCATGCTCTGCTTTGTCTTCGGACTTTCTCTCCTCGATCGCACCAACATCTCTGCGGCATATATTGCTGGCCTAGCGGAGGACCTTCGCTTGGACATAGGATCCCGTTACTCCATCGCCCTTCTGGTGTTTTTCATCGGCTATGCAATCTTCGAACTGCCCTCCAACTATGTCATCCGACGTATTGGCGCACGATGGTGGTTGAGCTTCCTCATCATTGCGTGGGGATGCTGTGTACTTGGAATGGGCTTTGTGAATGACTGGAAGGCCCTGACCGTTCTACGAGCCTTTCTTGGTGTCTTTGAGGCCGGTCTGTTCCCCGGTTCAGTCTTCATCATCGGATCGTGGTATCGTCAGTTCGAAACCGCTCGGAGAGTGTCCATCTTCTACATGGCTTCTCTACTCGCATCCGGCTTCGGTCCAATCTTTGCGTACGCCTTGTCGCTCATCCGAGTAGGAGACGGCATGTATCGTTCAGGCTGGAGATGGATCTTCATTATCGAGGGCATCGTCACCATCGTTGCAGGATTGGTGTCACCGTTCTTCCTAATCGAGTTTCCAGAGCGCGTCACATTCTTGACTCCTCGACAGAAGCACATCGCCATCACCCGGGTCAGGCAAGAGCGAGAGAATACCGAAGTGGTGCACCCCACCGCGAAGGAGTCCCTGAAGATGCTTTTCGACTGGAAGATTGGAGTATAGTAAGTTGCGTTTGCAAGCGACGATGAAATCCTACTGACCCGTACCCAGCTCCATTCAGTACTTTATCTCAGCGTCGAGCGTGTACTCGCTCGCTTTCTTCAAACCCATCATTCTACGTCAGGGCATGGGCTTCGACTATGCAAAGGCACAGCTGCTCTCCTCGCCGCCATACGTCTTCGCCATCATCTGCAGTCTCGGGATGGCGTATCTATCCGACAAGCTGAGGATCCGCTGGCCGGTAATGTGCTTTCAAGCGCTCATGGCCATCGTAGGTCTCTTGATCATTCTATACGCGGGACCACCGGGCGTCCGCTACTTTGGTTTATACCTCGCAATTTGGGGCACTCAAGCGAATATCCCAGGTACCCTTGCGTACGGCCAGAACCAGACCGCCAAACCGGAGAAGAAGGGCGTGGTTGCAGCAGCAATGATCAGTGTTGGTGCTGCTGGCGGTATCTGCGGATCTACCATTTTCAGAAGCCAGGATGCGCCCATGTATCTGCCCGGAATGTGGGCGACGATCAGCATGCAGATACTGCATATTATCTTGACCTTCTGTATGTCACTGTACTTCAAGCGACAGAACAAGCTTGCAGACGAAGGACACCGACCTGCTTTGGAAGGGGTGGAGGGATTTAGATATGCGCCTTAAGGAGACATGTAGATTTGAAGTACAGAAACATTCGGTAATGGTCGAGAGAGTGTCCTATTGGTAGTCGTAGACATAGGTTGACAAAAATTATGCTTGTCTCGTCGTAGGACGGGAATTCACAAAGGAGCGAATCAACATTGCAATGGCATCATGCTACAATTGATATAATAATGTGGTCGAAACATCTTGGAGAATAATAGGTTTACCAATGAGCATTGGTTTAAAATAATCCAGCTCTGTAATGGAGTGACACAGGGATTAGTGATACCATGCCGATCTTGGCGTTGACCTCATACAAACATTTTGCGGCAAACCTTCGGAAGAGACCAAACATCCTACAATTCCCCCAGATCCACCTCATATTCACGATGTTTTCGAGGACAGCTTTCTCGTCGGTAATTACCATCCCATCTCCCACCAGCCCCATAGCATAACACTAAAAGCTCACCAAAATGATCAGGCTTTCCGCGCCGCAACCCACACCGCTCGTGCCCTCCCCAATGCTCGCGTCACCCCACGGATACTCACGCCCGCACAAATCCGCCACCTCTCCGATGCGACTCGCACCGCCATCGACAAGGCCGTGGCCTCAGCGCCCGTTGTCTTGTTCATGAAGGGAACGCCTGAGACACCGCAATGCGGGTTCTCGAGGGCGAGCATCCAGATCTTGGGCATGCAGGGCGTGGATCCGGAGAAGTTCACTGCTTTCAATGTGCTGGAAGACAATGACTTGAGGCAAGGTAAGCTATGGAATATATGAATTGGGGATACAGGGATATGCTATATAGCTATAGAGCATGTCTGGACGATCGTTTGTGGCGGAGTTTCTGGATGGACGTCGAGCGGTTTGGAGCTTGTGCTGACTATGGAATCGCAGGTATCAAAGAATACTCGGAGTGGCCCACGATCCCCCAGCTCTACGTCGATAAGGAGTTCATTGGTGGCTGCGACATTCTCATGACGATGCACCAGGACGGTTCGTTGGCGAAGATGTTGGAGGAGAAGGGTGTTCTTGTGCCGGAGGAGAGCACACCGGAGGAGCCTTCGAAATAGAGCATGGATCTCTGAGTAGGCAATGTACGATAATCCTGTATATATCCCGGGATGACACAGCAGGAAGGCTATGGAAATGTCTAATGAATCAAACGTTACCCGTGGATATGGTTGAATAATGACACGTGATGTACGGCTTCTATTTGTGCTCATTACGACAATAGAGGTCGTTCAATCAGGGATTCCTATACTCGTGTTGGCTTTGATTTATCTATAGTCCCATTATGTGCCCGTTTGGCTAGCTTTCGGTCTGAGGTTGAGGGGTTGTGTGACGCGATCGTGCTTTCCTTCTTGTGTCGCCCCAACTCCATCACTTCCACCCCAGTGATCGCCTTCACCCTCTGCACATCTCAGAATGTCGGTCGAAGTTCCAGCACACCATATTGCTAAGGAGAGCAAGATGCAGAAGTCAAAACAGAGGTCCAAGAAGGAGACCGTCTCCGCCGGTGCAGTCTTCAAAGCCATTGGCAAGACTCAATCGAAGCACCCCAGAGCCCGCAAAACAATCACGGGCATTGCGACAAGAACTGTAGACATACCGAAGCCACAGGATGACAGAGCCAGAGTAGTCAAGCGGAATCCAGGGAAAGTAACTCAATTATTCGAACAGGCAAAGGGCTCGGAGAAGCACCCGCTTGTTGTTGCCTTCAAAGGTGAGCCAATTCTCTCACTTCAGTGAAATCCTCCACGCTAAGTTTCAGTGAAGATGCGACAAAGACTTATAAGACCACGCTTCGCGAGAATGCAACTGTACAGATCGATGAAACCTTTGATCGTCTCATCCAGGCTTTGACAGCTACAGCGACTAAGATCCCCGACTCTAAACCCATCGCTGCGGCCTCAAAAACCGCGCCTGAGCCTTCACTCACAGACAGGATCCAGCGGGAACGCGAAGAGCTGAGCCGTCCCCTCGGTGATGTTACGTTCACCAAAGCACGCGTCAACCACGACGGGAAAACAGAGACAGGCCTCGTAAGGATCGGGGCAGCGACAGGGATCTTCGAAGAGCATTCTGCCAAAGCAGAGGCTCGATTGCAAGAGCTGCAGAAGCGATGGGAGAGAATCGTCGGTGAGATATGGAAATGTGGCGTCCAGGTTCTCGGACGGGATGAGATGAAAAACATGCTGTTACTCGACATGGGCTCTGACGACCTAGGGCCAAATGATACTCAGGGAGAAGAACCACTATTCGTCTCACAGGACTCTGCCAAATCGAAAAGGCGCGTTACGACCAAGGAGCCCCTACCAGACTTCATCAGTCGACCATCCTCATTCAGCGTTCCTCTGCGTGCTCTGGAAGGAGTGTCAAGTGAGGTCGTTAACGATCTACGGAGCGAAGTGAGCGAACTTGGCGAGTCACACGCTGCGGACCTGGAGCAACAGATTGATGATTATCAGGACTGGTGGAGGCATAAGCATGCGCAGTTCCTCAGCATACTGAATGACTAGCTGATCTCGAGAAAGACACGGTGTATGCTGTTTATGACATAAGGCTGATCAATGTGCATGGACATATACGAAGCCTTATCTTTTCATAGACAGCTTTGAGAAGCTGTAACAATCACATGGAATTAGTTGTATCAATTATTGTAATCAAATAACATAAAACGGGTTCTGAAATGTATAATCATATACTACTACAACTACAATAGAAATCGCCACAAAACGTGACCGCAAAAGTGCTTCTATGCCACGAAACATCTCCTCCATCTATACATGCATATATGCAGCATCTAAGTGGATCATCTAGTTGGTCTAGTCGGGTATCTACGTTCTCTCCTCCCCGGAGACACTTGCCACCACGGGAGAAAATGCTCGTCTATCTCTAATCAAACGTCCCCATCGCACATTACACCCACGCACACTGCACAACGCTTAATCGAACGAGCTCTTGAACGTCCACCTCTGGTCCTCGGCGGCGACGAACGGCACGCCGAGCTCGAAGAGCCTCAACACGGCATCGGAGAACTCCTTGAAGAAAGCGTCGTTGTCCTTGGCGTAGCGCTCGACATGGGCCCTGAAAGCCTTGTCCTTGATGAGCGCCATGTCGGTGGGCAACATCATGAGCGACTTGGTCTTGACGTCCTCGAACTGCTTGGGGCCGTTCCACTTCTTCCAGGCCCACTTCTCGTCGAGCAAGAGCTTGTAGTAGTCGTTAGTGAGGGTGGTAGGTGAGAAGGTCCAGGGGCCGTCGAAGCCAGAGCGGTCGGAGTGGCAGCGGCCGAGGGCGTGGGCGCCGGACAGGGCGACCATCTCCCGGTCGTCGAAGCCCATGCGGCCGAAGATGGCGCGGATGTGGTTCTGCTCCTTGGAGGCGTCGGGGAGGCGGCCGTCGGGCGTGCAGAACGAGACGTCGCGGTCCTGTCGGCCGGGGCGGAAGGGGATCTTGGGACCCTGCATCTCTTGCACGGCGGCGACGCCGGAGAGGATCCAGAGGTCGGAGTAGGTGATCCAGGGGAATTGCTCTATGGGGAGAGTGTCAGTCATGTTATGCCATATTTTCGAGTTTCAATTGAGAGATTCTCAGACGACAAGGGCTCACTTACGCTTGATGGGCTCGAGGAAGTCACGCGCGGCCTTGAGACCAGCGTTGGCGCCGTGGTCGCTCTCGGGTGCGAATCTCATGGTTGCACCGTTGGAACCTCCAGTGCCAGTTGCAGCATCGTAGCTATTCATACAAGTCAATATGCCATTATTCAAAATTCGCACAGTGTGTGCATGGAAATCCAATTGATGGAAATACTTACGTTCCAGAGGCATGCCATGCCAGACGCAGCAGGACGGGTCCGTAGCTGCCATCGTCGTAGTCATCCTCGTCCGCGAGCTTCTTCGCCACGGCATCATAGACCTTCTGGTAGTCCTCGAACCTGGGTTGGAAGATGCCCTTCGCCTTTGCCTCCTTGCCGAAGAGCTCAGGCTTGTAGTTGTAGAGGCCGTATCCGGCGGCACCAACCAGCAATGCACCCGCTCCCCACATCATGGCGGAGGGGTTTCCCTCGTAGGTGTCGGCCTGCTCGGGCTGGGAGGCATAGCCGCGGCGAGATTGCTGACGGAAGGTCTGCTGGGGGATGGCGAATCGGGCGGAGCGGGTTGTGGTGCTGCGCAGGGTGGGAGCTGTGGTGCGCAGAGCGCGGGTGAAGCATCGTGATGCGGACGCCATTGTGGTGTTGTGAGATAAGCTCGTATCTTAAGCTCGGAGGTGGTCGATTGAATGAATAGATCGGTCTATTGATCTGGGTCCGACGCACGAGTTATAGGGTGTGGTGGATGTCAATGGCTCGTGATGGTCTTTTGCTGTGCGATATGGTGTGAGGGTGACGTGTGTGTTCATATAGATCTACACTGGGGGGAGGGGAGGATTGCTTTTGGGGGCAAATGAGGAAGAAACGGGAGAGAGAAAGATAAGAGAACAGCGGTTCCGCAGCTTTAATAGGGCGAGAGTTCCAGGAAGTCGAACCGATACTAACGAGGTAAAGACTTCGGGGAGAGAGGGAGAGATTCCAGCAGTTTCGTTGATTCCTGCTAGTTACCCCGTAGGCTGCTGATGCGATGCCGAAAAAGAACGAGAAATGGCCATCATAACGGCAACGTGTGGGTACCGCTGTGGTCCTGGGGTAGCCGTGTCGACCAATGGAGATGCGCCAATTCGTAAAAAACCTGTGCTATGACCGACTTCTAGAATGCTGATGCTCATCTAATCCATTCCCCTCTGCTTTCACGAGCCAGTAAATTGTGGCCGCCTTCGCCGTCTGCTTTGCAATCGTGCCTTTGGATGCCGCGGAGTAAGGTCGGTTGCGAAGGCAGATGTTATTTTTTCTTGTTCCGCCTCTCCAACCAACAGGCTTCCACTTCCAACTTCCAGGGTCCAGCGGCATGTTTCCTCCCACGTTACGGCATTAAAAAAAAGACATGCTCATGCTTAAACCTCGTATGAAGGGCCTGCTTATTCCGACCAATCTGATTGGCTCCTGTCCTTCTGATTGGCCATCCATCTTCAACCACCCACGCTCGATCGGCAAGGTACCAGCCTACCAGCCATACACAGCAAATGAGGCTCATCGATATGCATGGCCTTTTTATATCCGTCGAAACATCATTTGAGAATGTACGTTCACTTGTACTCGTGCCCTATGTATGTAGATTGACACCCACTGTTCTGTGTACTGTGCATAGGGTAGTATGAATTATCCACCTGTTCGTTGCTTCGTATCAGTGGGTCGGTCCCTCCCCCAACTTTTCGCTGGCTGCCAATCAAGTGGCATGTGAATAAGCAAATGCGGTCAACGTCATCCGATTGACCTAGTGCGTCAAAGGCTAACGCTTCCAGCCAATTCGTCAATTAGTAATGGGCCATCATCTAGCCCTAGACATCTTCATTCACCAATCTACAAATAATGGGCTCTCCGTGAACAGTCAAGATTGCAAGATTATGTGATATTCTGCTATTTTGATGGCAATTATAGCAAGAATCATGTCGAAGAAAGTTGTCGTGTAATTAGAATCTATCGTTGATCGTAGAAGAAAAAGGCTGCAAAATAATTCCTCCCAGTAATATCGTCATCATATGTGTTAGGCATATATCCATATACCGATATCCCATTATGCCCAGCTCGTGATAGTCCCGAATACCCATGTACCTAATGCAAATGTAGAAACACCAAACAGCCCATGCAGAGAAAACGCCATAGCTACTCGGGAAATATTATCTGAATAAAAATAGGAGAGTAATGGAAGTCAAAGATGAAAGTGGATATCTTCGAGATCCCATGCAAAGAATGAGCCATTTATGGATGACTAGTGGGCTCATGACGAGTGGGCTCATGACTGGTAGGCTCATGACTGGTAGGCTCAGGTGTAGAGAGGCTCGTCGAGACGCCACGATGAGGTATGCTCGAGACAGGTGTGCTCGGAACAGGTGTGGATGCTGGTGCTGGCGGCGGAGGCGGAGGTCGCGACCGTAGTTCTGCGACTTCCTTTTCGAGTTTGGGTAATAATGCTAGCCACGATGTCATGTTGGGCTCTTTTGGGATTGCGATTGAGCGGCGGAATGCAGGACACTGTTCCATCTCTCTCAAGGTGGTCGGGGGATCAAGGTCGAGTCTCGAAGCCTTGTCAACGAAATATGTCTTCCGGGCCTCCTTCTTTCCCTGGTAGTTGAACGCTTTGGATGCACGCGTGTTGTCCTCCCAGGTTTCCATCTTCTTGGCGAACTCACGGCGGGCCTCGATGACTCTCTGTTTCTGCATGAGAAAGGTACGTAGCTCTGCATGCCACGTTGCGCGGTTCTCCCGGGCCCCCTGTGCCATGTCGGCCACGAGCTTATGAACATCAGCCGCCAGATAGATGTTCTTAAGGGAGTGTGTCTGAGCTGGCCCGACCCCCACGAAATTGCACCAGGAATCAATGACACCAGACCCCAGAGCTCGCAGAACGTGCGGAATTTCTTCGTTGTGCATCCCCTTGAACAAGGCCACGGCCTCATGCTCCCGCAGAGTTTTTTTCTGCAGGCAAGGCTTGCACCAACGACGAAGAAATGCCCAGTAGGTCTTGCGGGTGGAGGGAGTACCGCAGCTCATGCAGCCATGGCCATGCCGTAGGTGAGCATATTGAAATTCGGTGAGTTCAGCGGGCGGATTCGGCAGGCTGTCTCCGTAATAATAGGATCGGCTGTGCTTCCATAGAGTAGGATTGTCCCGCAGGAAGCGATAGCATGAGGCAATCTTGGTGCGCATCTCTAGGAGTTGTGCGGGATCGGAGAATGACAAAATCGTAAACCAGGAATCGAGATCTATCCTTTTAGAAAGCGTTCGTCCTCTCCTGAACTTGGTTGGTTTTGATAATTGGGGCCTCTGAGTTGGGAACGACCACGGAAATACCGACCTACTAGGAGAAGACTGGTCGCGGGAACCATGACTACTTTGACCATGACTACTTTCCTGGTCAGGTCTCCGAACAACTTCCACAGCTTGCACATCTGCCACCCGCTTCCGCTTCCTCTCTCTTTCTCCACCAGATACCTTGAGCAGTACTGCTGGAACCGGAACCTGCTGCGAGCGCACCTCTTCCCCGCCCTTTAAACTCCGCTTCCCGCGCGGCTTACGGCAGTTAATCACTGTGGCATATGGAAGAGGTGGAGGTCCCTGTATCGGTGCCTGCTTATCGACTTTGAAAGAGACATTCTTTGAGTTGACCATGACTGGTCAGCAGGCCAGCTGACGGATGATGGAGACGCCAGGGAGGAATGCGCGGAAAAGTGCGCACGATGTATTACAGCTCAGTTGGCCTGCATGTGTGCTGAGTTCCACGAGAGAAGGGTTGTCGTCGGCGTGGGGAAGGATGTCAAGTGCAAAAATGCCAAAGGAAGGTTGACGTTGATCTTGGGTTTCTGTCGGAGCTGTGGCGCTCCGATTGGCGGTGATTTGGCTTGGAAGGGCCCTGGCACCCTGAGTCAGCAGCTTGGACTTTGGGTGCTGGGGGGCGTGAATTGCCGGTACGTATCATCATCTCAATTGGAATCAGCCTGTATCTATCTAACTGGCTTGCATTCATTCTGTGAGAACTTTGAAACGGATGAAAGGCATCTGGTCGCGGCAATTGCTCGAGCCTACAATCTCATCACCGCGGTTGCTGACGGCATTAGTTATGAGAAGAGGAGAGGTTCACTTGTCTACGCTCTACCTCGGACGTTGATCATTCTTAGAGTTCACTACCAATAGTTAATGACTGAGGAACTAAGAGCAAAAAAGCCACATGAAGCAAGCCACATCCGCCACCAAGGTTTCCTTTCTTCATATTTTCTCCACCTTGGCTGCTGAAGCCGAGCCGAACCAACGATATGCAAGCCACTATGAAACTCTAACATTTCGTGCATGCGAGGTTCGATTCAACACCAGATGTATCCTGATTCCTCCACATCCACATCTACCAACCATTTCATCGATCCATGCTTTGACGAATACTCGTGTTCAGTCGTCTACCCCAGACTATGAACCTGGCCAGGCTTGTTCCCGTGACGATCATCAAGCTACGTACAGAGCATGAGGAAGCGAGATGTGACGATGACATGCCTAGTTCTAGCACTAGCGCGAAGGAGTTTGCACGATAAAGGCAAGTGGTTACAACCTGATCTGTCGGGGATGCGGGGGAGAATGTAACTGTGCGGTTCGACCGACCTCGGCGGTTTGCCGCTGCTCGTTCCGAAAAGTCGATCATAACCCTAGGTTTTCTCTACTGTGTGACCTGATTTTTTTCTCATCCTTCTTTCCTCATTTCCTTCCATAATCCAGACGGAGGTCTTGTGTCTACTTGTTTTGTTTGTATTTGTAACTGGTGCCACATTCGAAGAAGACGATCAAGTTCTGTCATATTGAGTCCTCGGGCCGTAGCGTCATGTTTTCTCCAAACGAGAGTGAGTCAGTTTGAAAGTCGCAAATTGCTTTGCATATCTAATATGTATGCATCAGAGCAGGATCCTGAGATCCAGAACGAAGCCGGAGCCCCTGCACATTACGACGCCGACTACCAGGATGATCGTCCAGCAGTTGTCTGTCCTGCGCATACGACAGAGAGACGATTGGTATACAAAATCGACGTCCACGTGATACCCTATCTGTGTATCATGTACCTACTTGCTTTTCTGGATCGGTCCGTACATTAATGATTTTCAAAAATCTCTTTAGAGCATGGTCTGACCAAAGCGATCTAGTGTCAATATCGCCAATGCTAATGTCTTCGTACGTATGCTTGCGTCTTTGTTGTTGGCAGTGCTAACGGATTACTACAGGGCATGTCCGAAGAGTTGCATCTTTTGCAGAACAACCGATATAACACTGCGCTTGTCATCTTCTTCGTCCCGTACATTCTTTTCGAAATCCCATCGAATGTCTTGCTCAAAAAGTTCAAGCCTAGAGTCTGGCTTTCTATTTGCATGTTCGGATTTGGCCTAGTAACCATGATCCAAGGTTTCGTCAAAAACTATGCAGGACTTCTGGCGACTCGTTTCTTCCTCGGCGTTTTCGAGACGGGCATGTTTCCTGGTGCCTTCTACTTGATTGGAATGTGGTATCGGTAAGTTGGAGGCTGTTCCCGTGACATTGAGACCCAGCTAACGATGACAGACGCCACGAAGCTCAACGTCGATACACTTTCTTCTTCTCAAGCACAACCCTGGCTGGCGCATTCGGTGGTCTACTTGCCAGTGCTATCGGAAAGATGGACAAAATAGTTCCCGGGTACAGAGGCTGGCGCTGGATCTTCATCCTCGAAGGTCTTCTCACTGTCCTTGTCTCCTTCTTTTTCTTCTTCCTACTGCCCAACTTCCCTGAAGAAGTGAAATGGCTCCAAGAAGACGAGCGAGAGTTTGTCAAAGCACGCCTCCAGCTCGATCAGGGTCGATCCGCTGCCGAGCGTGACATTACTACCCGAGACGTTTTCCGTGTTTTTAAAGACCCCAAGGTCATTATCGGTGGATTGATGTACTTTGGTCTCATTGTCCCCGCTTATGGCTACGCCTACTTCTCGCCATCAATTCTTCAGAGCTACGGATACAGCCCCATCCAGACCCAGCTTCACAGCGTTCCCCCGTGGGCGGCGGCGTTCGGATTTGCCATGGTAATCGCCTACTTATCCGACCGCTTCCAGCATCGATTCCTGTTCGCCATCTTCCCCATCCTTGTCTGCATTAGTGGATTCGCCATACTCATCAGTGTTCACAACAACCGAGAGGTCCAGTACGCTGCTCTGTTCCTCGTTGCCATGGGCGCCTACACTGCTATGCCGGTCATTGTCTGTTGGTTCAACATGAATCTCGGTGGCCACCACCGTCGCGCAGTCGGATCCGCCTGGCAGGTTGGCTTCGGAAACATCGGCGGAATCATTGCCGTCTTTTCTTTCCTCAAGCCCGACGCACCGAGATACACTAAGGGTTATTCCATTTGCATAGCCTTCGTCATCTTCTCAGCACTTAGCTGTTTGAGCTACTTCATAATGTGCAAGTGGGCCAACAGGAGTAGAGACAAGTCTGTCAGGGACGTTGGTCTGACGGAGTATGAGAAAATGGAGTTGGGTGACTTGAACCCTGACTACCGATATCTATTGTAAGAGTTACGGCAGAATTGATGTGGAAAAAAATATCGCCTAGGAATGGGACCACGCTTCGATGCAACTACCCCAACTATCATATTGGGATTGTATCTGTGACCATACCTATCGCTCTATGGGCCTGGAAAACTTTGTAATTAATATCTGAAGCGAGCTACTTATCCAGTGAGCATCTTTTGCAAATGTCTAGTCGGCTTTCATATGTTCATTTGAGCATGCAGGCCTGACCTTTTACCCATAGTTGATGATACAATGCATAGCATTTATCAAACTGCCCGCGTTCCAGATGTTTGGTGTATGTGTACTTGATCCGACGCCGGATCTTTTTTCTTATTGACGAACACACTTTGTTTAGGTGCGGTCTTCCACCCATAGGGGGAAACGTCGAATTCCGTGATACAGAATAAAATGTGTGAACCTGCATCAGGCTACGTAGTCCTCGCAGACGATTCTTCAAGTCGCATTCTCTGTGGTGGTAACACTCATAGTGTCCACACTCTCACTGTCATGCCAGATTTCTTGACTCTCCTTCTCTACCCCTTTCATCGCCCGAGCCACCTCCTCTAATCTCATGACTACCTCGAGAACCCCTTTGTTGACCTGTTCGAAATAGCGATCATTTGCCTCTCTCCTCCTCCGACTCAATTCTTTGTCTTTTTCCGATTCCTCCGCCAACTGGCTTCGCTCCAGCATCCCACCGATGCCACCGCCTTTCCTTCCAGATGCGCCCTCGGATGACTTATCTACCCTATCCGCGCCGAGCATGTCAGCTGCATCTGCACCTTGCGCAGACTTCTTGTCTTCCACACCGTGGCCCGACTCCTCTGCCTCAGACCGCGCCCATGCCTTGGCCAAGTCAATCTGCGCTCGTCGGAGGTCGTCCAGCGCGCGCGTGTGCTCCGATCCGAACACAGTCATTCCGGGCCCTTTGATGGCGCTCAGCTCCACCTCCTCCAGCGTGTTCTGCATCTCCGCCCATATTGCCTCTGCACGACTTGATGCTTCCGCGTCGGCGGCCTGATTGGCCTGCTTCTGGCGGCGGATGAAGGGCGCGGAAGGGTTAGAGGAGGTGAGGCTGAGTTGCTCTCCGTCGTAGATTGAGTTGCTGGCTGTTGGAGGCAGAGGTCGTTTTGAGTCTGGGGCGAGCAGCGAGCGCTGACGCGTGAGTGGAGCTCGCGACGGCTTGCCGGCGTCCGCACCTGGAGGCTGGAGGGAGGCGGTGGAGGCATTGCGTGAGGATGGGCCGACGAAGAGTGCCGGTGCGGGGAGTCGATTGTTTGTAGATACTCTGTTCATTGGATTGGAAGACATGGTCGCCTTTGCACGTTCAAGGTTCACATTGTCGTGTAGAGGATTGGGAGAGAGATTGATCAACTTCTTAGATCCGTGTTAGATGACGAAGGCCCCGAGGCATCAGATTAGATCAGATCTCCCAGAGGAGCGTGATCCATCAATTCAGAAGTGCGAGCCAGGCTTAGTATTTACATCTATACCATGAAAAGAAGAGCTACTACGGGAAGACTGTTTGAAAGACACCAGACAGTACAATTATACAGGTGAACCTATCATTACTACTTATGAGTAATTCACATATCGAGTCGTCCCCCTCTGGGTTGTATGCTGGGCATGTGCAGATGGTAGGGTGAGATGGTCCGAGCGCCTGTACAGACCTCGTTTGGGCTAGCCGGCCGCCAAGCCCACAACAACTCTCTCAATTTGCAGAGAACTCAACTTCAACTTTCGAACTCGATATCCACCACTAACCACCCATTCACCCAGGATTTCCCATCGATAAATCGGTACGCACACCCCGAAACAACTGCATTTCTGCCCCCAGAATCGACATCACGATTGTCAATTCATTCGTCCGCCCTCCGTCACCTCCTCCACGCCCACGGTACCTCTTCTTTTGTCAATTTCATTGCTAACAGTACACGCAGCCATCATGGGTAAGGGACAGCCAAGAGGTCTCAACGCCGCGCGCAAGCTGCGCAACACTCGCCGTGAGGGCCGTTGGGCCGATCTCCACTACAAGAAGCGTCTTCTCGGAACCGCCTACAAGTCCTCTCCCTTCGGTGGCTCTTCCCACGCCAAGGGCATAGTCCTCGAGAAGGTCGGTGTTGAGGCCAAGCAGCCCAACTCTGCTATCCGAAAGTGCGTCAGGGTTCAGTTGATCAAGAACGGAAAGAAGGTCACTGCTTTCGGTATGTGTCACACCACGGATCGCGAAGGATCGAGATATTGAGAGGCAATGTTAACGAAAAATCCGCAGTCCCCAATGACGGTTGCTTGAACTTCGTCGATGAGAACGACGAGGTCCTCCTCGCTGGTTTCGGTCGCAAGGGCAAGGCCAAGGGTGATATTCCCGGTGTCCGTTTCAAGGTCGTCAAGGTTTCCGGTGTTGGTCTCTCCGCTCTGTGGAAGGAGAAGAAGGAGAAGCCCCGATCATAGACAATCAAATCCACGCGGGAATGGGATGAAAAAGACGAGCCGATTGGAGCCCGAGGCGAAGACGGAGGTTGTAGTCTACGGATACAATGGTGGATAACGGAGTCTTACATCTGGGATTTCTTCTACGGCATGAAAACAAAAACGTTCATGACAGTCTTGATGAAGGTTAGATAGAAAATCTGATCATTTCGAGCTCCAAAATCACATATGCGACCAACCTTGATGGGATTTATGCTATCATTTGACATATGTGCTATTTTCCCGAGTCATGCTTATATTTGGTTTCATTTACGTGGCAGTCCAGCTGCCATATTTTACATAGTCCATTCGAGATGCGTGCTCCTCCATTCCGTAACAATGACCATGCCGTCAATCTAAAGAAAGGGTATCTAATCTGAATCCGACAACTCCATGTATGCTTCGACCCTCTCATGCGTGTACCCAAAAAAAAGCGTCGTACGCTCACTTCGAAAAGAGCCCATTGAATGTGTCCTCCAAGCCTGTCGTCTTATATCCAGCATAACCCTGATAGTCGTATTTGAGCTGTGGCTTCTGAAACAGCTCTTCGTCTCTCTTCACAACCTTTGGAACGCCCTCTACGATCTTCCTCTGGGACTCCGGGCTTTCCCCTTTCTTCATCATGTCCTGGAAGAAGTTCCTCTTGTTTTCGGGAAGTGCAGGCGCCCAAACGCCCGGCTTCCACGGGTCGAGCTTCTCCCTGGTTGGGTTCTTAGGGAAGGAGGGTACCCGCTGAGAGAATGGATTTGGATCCCGTTGGGCGAATATGGAGTGTGGTTGTGGTTCCTGGCGAGGTTGTACTGACGAGGAGGTGGCATGGGACCAGGCGATCGGTTCAATGTCCTGCTCACGTCCAAACCTCCGAGTCGTGGGCGTCCAGTCCATGGCATCCTCGTCTTCGACAGCGTCCAAGTGTGTGCTTGGTCGTCGACGAGGCCATGGCGTGCTTTGTTCTGTGGCACGAGTGGATATTGACGCTTCGGTCATGGTGGGTGATGGCGGGTAGTCAATTTGTTGATCATCCTCGGGTCCAACCAAAGAAGTGGCGAACGAATGTGCCATTGTGTCATATGTTGTAGCATTCGGCCGCACGGAAGTGGTACCAATGGGACTATTCTTGTGAGATAGCGCCGCCTGCGCGCTTGGAAGATGTGGAGTTATGTCTTGCATGAAAGACCTCGTAGACTGATATTCGATCCAAACAGCTTTCCAAGATACAAGGACCGAAAGCAGTAGTACCACAACAATACCCAAATGCCCATACGTAAAAAGATGATGATTAGTTGCATTCTTCATATGTTCATCGACTTGGAACAGACTAGCAGTCCGGAGTGCAATGATGATGCTTCGTACAAGCCAAAGAAGCACCAGACCTCGCATACGCCCTCCACTCCTGTTTGTCTTCTCTGCGAGTTTGGGGTTCCACCATATTGTGAGGACATCCCCAACGACCGCCCAAATCGTCAAACGCGATATAGTTGCTGATCTCAAGCATTCTCGATCATATCTCATATTAGACCGGAATTGAAGAAGACATTCGTGCCATGAGATTTCTTCTTGCACCCCGGGTATGGCAAAATATTGTAGAAGATGCCAAAAGATGCCCGTGACAATGCTTCCCACATACACCCATTTCGCTAACGAGATCGCCCGGAGAGTCCAAATTTGTCTCGGTGTAGAGTACTCCAGCTTGGACTTCTTTGATGTCTCAAGAATACGCCGGAAGTGGTCCGCTTTGGCAGCGTATCCTGCAGCGCGCATCTGGTCATGGACACGGCCTATGCAGTTGTCGCAGACTTGAGGGTATCGGGTTTCAAGCTCCGCGCGATAGCTATCGGCAGTAGCTACATGCTGTTCGTAGCTAGGATCACTCTCATCAGGTATGTAGTCTGCGAGCGCCTTGTTTATAAGTATCTGATGTCGTTGGCAGGTGTCGCAGAAGGGCGATTCAGCGGGCATGATGGAGGGCGAAGCTGGCCGCGCATGTCCGTAAGAGGCTGGAGGAGCGTTCGTAGTTGTTTCTGTAGGAGGGTCTGCGATATCTCCCTTCTATCTCGAGTTAGAAAGTGTCACTTCCCAGTTGTTGTTGTTTATGCTATACGCAAATGTTTACCTACTTCGTCTAGATAATTCACGGCTTCGCATTGCTTACAAAACCACGATTGTGGAAAGCCAGATTTTTCGTTGCGGGTATATTCACCGCAATAGAAGCAGCGCAATCGCCGCCGTGTAATACGAGCCATGTCGATTTAGTGTAGCTGTTGTCAGTAGATTCATTCGCATCCCCCAGAGTTGTGTTGGCGACACAATTCTGCCAATTCTGACCGCCTTCGCCAAGAGGTAGCTCGGAGGTCGGGCAAAGTTTTGGCGACGACATTTCACGAAAGGTAGGCGTGACAACCAATCTCAGTACAAACCTGCGCGCTTGCGATTGGATTCTATCCAAGGTTGCTCATGTATCTCTAGGGGGGTATTTTTTGCATTGAGCTTCTCTTGCGAACGTATACCCGGTCCTTTCACCGCTGCACGATCTTTATTTTCGCCCATTTCGACCATTTTACGAACCCCCCCACTCGACTGATCCAGTACTCAACCATCCATTGCCTATATATTCCTCGGACTCGGCAAAATAAAAATGTCATCAGCAAAGGCAATCCGAAAGCTCAAGCACATAAGGCAGATTAAATATGCTCTTCGCCTGCGTGAGCTCGAGCGGGAGCGTCTGGCTCCCATCAAAGAGGAGAAACGAGAAACGAAATCGTACATATTGAGCACCATGTCCACAAAAAATATCAAACAGAAGTCAGCAAAAGATGCACGGAGACGAGCCCGCGAAGACTTCAATCTCGGTCCACTCCGCCCCAATAGAGCGGTTGGCAAAGGTGCTTCAACTTACGGTGCCATGAATCAGGACGAAATGCGGCTTCCCCCTATCCCAGACCATTGGTTCGGTGCATCTGAAAGCCTACAGAAGCGACTGAAGGGTAGAATACCGGACAACGTCATGCGCGACCATCTCAGCATTGTTGAAGGCGATCGTGTGGTAATTCTCAGCGGCAAGGACAAAAATAAGGTCGGGGTTGTAGGAAACGTGGACAGGTCTACGAACTCTGTCACTGTTGAGCATAGCAATATGGTAGGTTCACAGAAGCAGACTACAATACCTCTCTCCTAACATACTACAGATATGGGCAGAGGGCAGTCTTTTCAATTTCCTCACGAATCAGAAGACGCCAAAACGAGAGTGGACTATGGCATTACCTTACGACCAAGTTCGCCTCGTAGCCAAGTTGGACAATTATGTGCAGGATGGGAGCGGTCGTCCGATCAAGACGGTCAGCGATTGCATTGTGGAGGCGGTTGACGTAGAAAAGCACACCACGGGCATCAATCCTTTCACTGGAGAGGTGCAATTCGACATTCCCGAGGCTGAGCAGATCGATCCAGAAACCGAAGCGGTCCCCTACCACCGATACGTTGCCGGCACACGTGTCCGCATTCCATGGCCATGGGAGAACCAAGCGCGGAAAACCAACACAGCTGGTGCAGGAAAATTGGATAATGTCGCAGAAGAAGTGAAGAGAGACGAGTCGTCGCCTGGTATTTTTGGGAGGTTGAAGAACGCCGTCGGATTCAAGGGCAAGGCTGCAGTAGTTGAAGAAACTGAAAGTTTGGAGGACGTGGCAGCAGTCGAGACGGACCGGGACGCAGCAACAAGGCCCAGCACCAAACCTAGAGAGCATAAGCCAACAGCATGGGAGGGTGATACCCTGCGTAACGTGGTTGAGGGGCAATCATCCTGGATCCCCTCTCTTGTAATGCCCCCCTTCCCCGAGACGGTCGTCGAAGAGATCCGCGAATCCACGAGCGAGCGTTATAAGAGAGAGAAGGAATCATCCGAACATGCAGAACTGTTGCAAGCCCGCAAAGCCAAGAAAGCCGAGGGCAAAGCGAGAGAGGAAGAGGCAAGACAGGTGCGCATTGCGGCAATGAAGACACCACTGCAAATCAAATGGGAGCTTGACCAAGCAAAGAAGCAAAAGTACGACGCATCACAACCCCCGAAGGTGTCGAAGAAGTTCCTTTACGCGCTAGGCAAGCACATGGCAGCAAATGGACAGCAATTGAGCAGGTAAAATCCCATGTAGGATACGTACGATTGTCGCATAAGCACATCACCTTGTAGTATATTGTAGATACTGGTGTTCTTGTATTGTACTCTTCCATTCGCATTATTTCACCTTGGACAACGACCCTGGGTATCTATTGTTATGAGCCCATGAACGCCTGTGCTATGCCCTCAAATACCTTTCCCGACCTTATACTAGAATCCCCCAGTATTCCGCGTGTCCCCCTACGTACCCGCCTTCGCCCTCAAGCTCCTCCCACTGTACCAAGAATCGATCGACCACGCCGGCGAGCAGCTTCGCACTCAAGCTCAACGTCTTCACGCGAGCAAAGCTTTCCACGTATATTGTTCTACATTTACTCCTGCTGCTACATCCTTTCAGATTGAAGAACTTCGCAATGAGAGCAGCAAGTACAACGATGACGCCGGTAGCAGGGCCGTTCGTGATAATCAAATCGGGAAGATCCTGAGCTGCGATTTCATAGGGTGTTGTAGGTGGTAGGTTCGGATGAAGCCGATCTGAGCGGAACAGGGGCGAGAAAGCCGATACAAGAGTGACTAGAGACGTGAATGGCGTAGTTAGAAGGGATTGGTGAATCTTTCTGGCTCGCGGAATTGTCGCAATATTGAAGTGTTCTGCTCCAACGCAGAGCGGTCTCTCAGTTCCTCTCCTCCTCACCGTAGTGGCTTTATTGCGCGTCTCGCTGGCTCGATCCTCGAGCGTCTGTTCAAACTCTACAGCCCTTTGTGCGCTGAAGGCGTCTCCACCGCTGACAATGTACGTCCTTTGCGTGTATCTGCTTGTGTCTAGATCTCGCAGCAGGTGAAACATCTCATGTGTGTGACCACCAGAGCCGAGAACGATTAGAATACGGGTGGCAGGCGCAGCTTTGCGAGGTGCTTTGGCAGAGTGGCAAGTTCGACCAGGCAGGATGTTGATAGCACGAAGACAGGCCGCGACAAGGAGGGTGACGAAGAGCGCAATGAGGAAGGACGTTGTGTAGAGAGAGGTCAATTGCGGGGCCATTGTGACACGTAGGATGGAGATTGAGTTATGAAGGAAAGAATGGATCTAAGATGGTTGAAATAGAAGCAATCGCCGGATGGTGCATGCTCACTTGGGTCATACTAGTTGTTGCTAGGAAAAGAAAAGGCATGCAGAGCAATAGTTAATGAAGAAGGTTGATCTGGCACGTCTGGAAAGTAAATGTATGTTTGGTGATGATGATTACCAGCTAGAGCGAAGGGGGTTTAGTGTCACCCAGCGTTACAGCCAATTGACTTTCGCTCCATGAAGCTATGCTACAACCCGCATCAGAAAACGTCAATCTTGGACGAAATATCATGACCATTATTGTCACTAGTTTAATCCATCCTCTCTTCTTGCTCAATAGCTGCTACTTTTTTCTTGTTGTCGGCATCGTGTGTCTCTTCTAAGTGGGTAATCTCTGCGCCTAGCCCGACACAGATATGTTTCTTGAACTTCCTGGTTGCTACGCGTTCCTGGAACATCTCATCTAATTCTTCCAAAGATCGATACTTGGTCTCCGGTACGAAAAAGAAGACAAAAAGAATGGCCACGACTGAGAATGCGCCATAGATGAATGTGACTTGTCCACCAAGAGCCGACTGGACGTATGGATTGACAAAGTTGATCGGTACAGAGGTGACGAAACTACCCATAGAGGCTAAGAACAATGTTCGTTCCCTCAATTGGCCAGTACCAACTTCTGCGGCAACGATCCAACATCCTATCAAATGTGTAAGTAAGAGAAGATCCTAAGACTGTTGCTATTCTGGCCTTACCTGGTCCCCAAGTGAATCCGTAGATAGAGTACCATAGGATGAGCATGGCAGCACAGCCATTTTGTATCGATGTAGACAGTGAACTGACACTGCCAGAAGACGTCGCGCCGCCTACACCAAGCATCATAGCGGCCATACCAACCGAGCCAACGATCAGTGAGTTCCTTCGACCCATCTTGTCGAATGTGAGGAATGTGACGAAGTGAACAGCAAAGCCGCAGCCAGTAACAAGGACGTTCGTTCGTAGAGAGTCAGAGAATCCTAGCTGCTGCATGAAGACAACGATGAAGTTCTGAATGAATGATACGCCTTGGGCTTGTTGTAGAATTTGGACACCTATTATTCCCTGTCAGCGGATCCATCGAAAATAATTGGATAGAACGGGACAAGTTCCTGATGTACACAGAAGATATATCCCTGCATGAACGGCTTACCCATGGCGATGATAGTTCGACGCAAGTTGGATGTTCTGAAACAATCGAGTATCGATGTTGCTTTGTGATACTCCCGTTGCTCCTCAACTTGCAATTTGAGCAATTCCACTTCTTCTCGGATCGTTTCGGGTCGATTGGACAGCATTTTCATGACTTCTTCGGCTTCTGAATACTTCCCGCGATAGACGAGGTAGCGCGGAGACTCGGGTAAGAAAACGTACAACGCGATGTAGCCGAGAGGAACGAACAATTGGCACATAATAACGATTCTGAAAGAGTTAGCATTGTCATTAATGTAATCATATTGGTATACCGACAAATATTGCCATTGATCTGTCCTGTTGCGGGATAGATATACTGTTAGAGTCGACAAGAATACCCCCAAGGAATTGAAGAAACTGTAGAGTGCAAGAAAAGCTCCTGTGAATATGGTGTTAGTTATGGCCTGAAGCGTTCGTTTGAAAGACGACCTACCCCTAACTCGTGGAGGAGAGCATTCACTCAAGTACATGGGAACGACATTAGTTGCCAGTCCGATACCCGAATAGACAAGAATTCTGCCGACGACAAGCTGCCAGAACGAGGTGATAGCACTCGTCTCCAAGACGATACCGACGATCATTAAGGACGACATGACGAGGAAGGACTTCTTGCGACCCAGGATCGATGTAGCGAACGGGGCTATGATACAACCGAGGATGATACCAGCCGATCCTGTACCTGTCCCGACCGAAGTCTTGTATGCTGGTATAGCCCATTTCTCGAGCTTCGGGTCGTACGCTCCATACTTTCTTTTGAACTGTTCCAAGCCGAGAGCACCTCCCCACCACCCGTTGTCAAAGCCAAAGCCCATAGCACCCAGTGATGATATCAGGCCTATCATCACTAGGCGCCAGTTGAGGTCCTCATACAGAGGCGATGTCTTGAATGAGGCCAACATTGTGCTTGCGGGATGATTCGAGACGCAAAAATGCTGGATGTGAACCTTGAATTCACTCAATACTTGTCTGAATATATATCAATCATAAGCCACAGTGAACTCCCCACGAAGGATTCGCGATCATGCCCACGCAATTACCCATGAGAGAGTTAGCTGCATGCTATGAGCCGTCAATTACCATTACTGGCAACTCGAGGCACTTCTACCATGATGGGTTTCATCTCCAAGGATCGGAGGCATGATGTTCGCCTATTGCTACAAACGCGCAATAGCTCAGGCTTATCCTCCAATGTCGGCAGACATCCGGTGTTAGTTGTGACCAATCTACGAGCGGGCTACCACCGAAGAGGAAACACTCCAAATCGTCCTTTGGGACAATGATCTACATAGAAGTAACTATCGCGACGGTCGGCGTATTAGACACAGAGTAAAAGGCTTTAAGCCTTCGATAGGAAGGGCTGACTCCGCATCCCCACAGTAGCTGTTTAGGCAAACCTTGTGGGGAAGATAGTCGAATTCCATAGCTGGAGTGTTGAGTACCGCCAGTAGGTACATGTTTTTTCAAAGTACTATAGAGATTACAGAGATACAATCAAACACTTGAGCCAATGTCAAAGCTTGTGACACAGGTGCGGAGATTATGGCACGAACCTGCTGAGGCACTTGCTCATCTATTTTCAATTTTAATCGGGATCGAACTATTGAATCATAGCCACCATCACGCTCTTCAGAACAGGCTCAAAAACATGTTCCAACCAAATCCTACACACGAAGCTACAATTACGCGCATATCCGTAGGTACAAAAATGAAGTTTGTCAAGGCCACCATGGGCCAGATTTTCCATCCGGCTTTTGTAATCGAGAAGACTTTTTGTTGAATATCATGTATGACGAGAGGTGGGTCGTACCAATTGCCAATATTCATACAACTCAGAAATATGGTGTTCATGACGAACAGACCGATCAATTGGTCTAGTGCAAGCTTCGTGAAGACATTGACCCATTCGATGTCTGCGTGGGATTGTGGGCCAGGGAGAGCTTTGCCGGTATCCTTGCTCGCACGCGCATCGGCGTCGTTGGTTTGGGGGGTCTTCCGCGTCGGAAAAGAGCGCTCCAGCAATTGTTGCCAGAATGAATTGACAGGGGCAGACAATAGGCCAAACAGCGCAAATTGAAAGAGGCGGAATGTGTCGATGGAAGGTAAATGTGTCTCGCCCTTTTGATTGACCAATTGTATCACCAGGTTTGCGGTAGTCTTCAGTACAACTGATGCTATACATGTCTGTACTAGCTTGGACACCATGGCGATGATTTGAATGAGCTCTGTGATGATTTGGCTGTAGCGAGGAGGAATGAGCGACTGTGATGTCTTCGAAAGAGTTGGATCGTGTGATGCTTTCTTTGTTGTTCAACAATTTCTGGTGATGCATGGTCAAATATACCGGAGTTGCGCGCTATTTGCTATAAACTCCCAAAATGGAAATCTCAAGCACTACAGATCTAAAGATCATCGACACCCGACCATTTCTGACTCCACAAGCGCCTGTCAACGTGGGGGTTACTTTCCCGTCTCGGACTTTGATGCGAAACCGATACATCCGTTAGAAGCTTCATCCACTAGCGAAATGTATGGTTTTTGTTGCTGAAGGACTCGGTTCAGGAACTTGGTCGACACCACTCCCACGGCTTTCAAGTTAAATACCTTCCACAGTAATCAAATGGTAGGGAGGTAGAGCCTAATCCTCCACGCAATGGCTAATATGTTCTCACTTCGCCATGCATGGGTTCTGATAGCCTTCTATGTATCACTATGCTTCTGCAATCAATGTGCATATGTCAAGGAGCAACAAGCGAGGCGCCTGTTTGTCCTAAGCGACATTGCCAATGAGCCAGATGATGCGCAGTCGTTCGTTCGCCTGATGGTTTACAACCATGAGTTCGACATCCAAGGATTGGTTGCAACAACTAGCTACTGGCTCAACGATACCACTCGTCCGGATCAGATGCTCGACATCATCGACGCATATGCCCAAGTACTTCCGAACCTCGAGAAGCATGCAGATGGCTGGCATAGCCCTGATCGGCTTCGATCCTTGGTCAAGTCTGGACCTGCACTGTACGGCATGGACGGTGTAGGCAAAGGTCATGACAGCGAGGGCTCCGAATTGCTCGTGAAGGCTGTGGATGCTTCGTCCGAACCGCTATACATACCGATATGGGGCGGCGCGAATGTCCTTGCTCAAGCTCTATGGCACGTCAACGCTACGCGTTCTTCCGATGAACTCAAAGAATTTGTTGCAAAGATACGAGCATATGCTATATCCGATCAGGACAATTCTGGACCATGGATCAGACGACACTTCCCCTCTTTGTTCTACATCGCCAGCGTGCATCATTTCAACAAGTATGCTGTTGCTGCGTGGGGAGGAATATCGGGAGACAACTACATCCACTTCCCAAGCGCTATTAGTGACGAGACCATATCTGCGGTGTGGAACAAGAAGAATATACAGAGTCAAGGGCCATTGGGTGCGAAGTATCCAGACACCGAGTTTTTGGTGGAGGGTGACACGCCCTCATTGTTGTACATGATTCCCAATGGCCTGTCAGATCCTGAGCATCCTGAATGGGGCAGCTGGGGGGGACGGTATGGCCCTGTGAATTGGAAAGAGGGCCATTATGCAGACAGCGTAGATTCTATCATCAAGCCGTCCTCTGAAGCAAACGGCAAGCCGACAATCTATATGGGCTCGCAGGTAACGGTGTGGCGCTGGCGCGAAGCATTCCAGGCCGACTTTGCGGCCAGAATGCAGTGGTCACAGAGCTCAGACTTTTCGTCTGCAAAACACGCCCCAGTCGCTGTAGTAAATGGAGATTATACTAGGGACATTATCCGTATCGAAGCTAAGAGTGGGGAGCTTGTGGAGCTGGACGCATCTTCGTCTTGCGATCCAGACGAGGGTAATCTAACATACAAATGGTGGCAGTACTTTGAGCCGTCATCGAACAATAACTCGCCCAAACGAGACGTGGCTATTCTAACTATCTCAGAAGAGACAGAAGGGATTGTGAGCGGTGGGGTGAGGCCGGTTTCTGAAGCTTCGAAAGTTACAGTGAAGATCCCGGAGGAGGCTATCCTCCGTAAACCGGGCCGGGGTGCGCATCCCGAAGCTGACAAACATTTGCATGTTATCCTTGAGGTTTCAGATGGGGGGTTGGTCGGTTACCGGAGGATAGTTTTGAGTATTCGTTCGTCCAAGAGCGAAGTTGGTCACGACGAACTGTAATGGCAAGCATAAGCTGAATTGATCATGAAAACGGTGCACATGGTCATGAGCTATGAGAAGAGGACCTGAAATATATTATGTCAGTTACTTTTTTGCTCTCACTCTTCCTATAGCCCTCTTGAAGTAGAAAATTCAGTGTAGAAAACAAGAATATTACACATGGTATAGTTTGATCTATCCCACCTGGATATCTTAGCGGGAAACTTGATCAATTCCTTGCATGAGCCTCTTCACGTATATTGCATCTCCTTCGCACCTTCGGCATTTAATGGCACATCTCGACCTTTGATATAATGATTACCATTGTTTTACACTGTTACTATCGACTCTTCACCGAACACAAATGCGTGGGCAAGGAGGATTGAGGATCGTGCCGTTCCAGCCCGTGGAGATGAGGTTTATTACCGTCCTCTGAAACGAGTATCGGACACTGGACTTAGCAGCACCTTTTATATGGGGACCATCCAGTGTCGTATCTCTTCACAATATGTCATGATTGTGGCTCTAAATGGCAGGTGGCAATTGCTGGTAGTACTGAATTTTATCGCCTTGTACGAATTGTTAAGACGAGCTCGCGCAGGTTGCGCCGAGTACGAATGCAAATCTAGAGAGTGATGTCTTCAGGCCGGTAATGGTCTGCGACAATTCGGTAGAGGAATGACGGGGCATGGCCACCACTAGATGAGGGATTAGCGTGCTAGCCTAGATAGAAGTAGGAAATAATCTTACAGATTGGTGATGTACAGATCAACCAGATCGGCTGGGACATAGTCGAAAAGAGGTGCTTCTACATCCACTTTATCGACAAAATCGCCATCCTCATAGGGAACCACACTCGAGGCATCGCCATATTCAATGAGCTCGTCCAAGTCGAACGGATATACGGGGCTCAGCTTGTAGACACCGCTAACAACAACTACAGGGACCTGATGGTTCTTCGCTGCTTTCGCGATCATATGGGCACCTGCAGCTGCGACAAGGCCACCATTGGCCAGGACCGTGTGTGTGGCTAAGATGACCTTGTTGACACGAGACATGATAGCGTAGACGTGGGAGTCGGGAATAACGTAGACTTCAATTCCAGCTGCAATTAGTGGCTTCCAATCAGCTTCGTCTACGGTGGAATTCTCCCTCTTCTTTCCCGTCAACAGGATTCCGTGAGTGGCTGTGTGATCATGTGGGAACGTTTCAGCATGCACGACTGTGAATTTACGTTTCCTGGCAGCCGCAAGCAGAAATTTCTGAACGCTGGTCGAGGCTGTGTGCGTGAGGATGATTTCGTTCGAATGTATGTGGTCCAATGCATTTGCGGCGATCAAATCATCCGACTGCTCTAGTTCATCTTGCAACTCTCGGATGCCATCCATAACTTCTGCCTTCAAATCAAAGTTCGTATTGGACTTGCTGAAGTCTGTTAGTCGTTCTAGATTGAGTGATGTCAACATCCCCTTCCCGATGGGAGATTGCTGCCCGGTAGGTGTGTTGGAGGCTGAGGGCGTTTCTGGCTGTGAGAAGATGCCGAAGAGGGACTGGGTGAGGCCAGTACCAGCGGATGCGGCATATGATGTGTGAGAAGCGAGAAGTGGTGGTCGCTTTGAAATATCTCCCGAGTCTGATGTAGCCTCAGATTGGAAGCTGGCATCCATTGGTTCTGCCGCGGCATGCTTGAGTGGGCTATATTGCGAGATTGACGATGTAAGCAGCGGCCGATGGAGGGAATCATGCTGTGCGGGTGCAGGGTGTCCCGGGTCACTCGTCGCATTTGTTTCGCCGTCGATATTCTCGTCGACAACCTCCCTCACCAGACCAAGAACGCGGCGTACAATGTTTCCTACTACCACTTCGCGTGGTTGTGCCGACGTCAATTGCCGCCCCACTTCACGGATACGCTTGACCAACTTCGCAGCATCTCTTCCCTTGAATTCGCCCACGACGCGGAGTAGGAGAGCCGTGGTTGCGATCGCACATGGTCTGGAGTTGCGGATTTGACGTCGCTTGAGGAGACTACAAACTCAAATGTCAGGGATTCAATGTATGCGATCACTGTGGGGCTCAGGCCATACGAAATGAAGTGCTCAACCGAAGGTTCTACGGGAGTAGTCTTCAGAGATTTGAGAAACGATGAGAGCCCTGGGGCTACTATCACCGTCCCCTGTGACATTCTGGAGTAGTGCTTCGAGGGGATAGAGGTCGTTGCAGCGCCAGGGATGGATAGACGGATGGGTGAATAGTGTCGTCACGGCGTTTGTGGGGGGAGAAGCTGGGTGAATTGGCGTGAACGACAGCTGAAGCTCAGAAGCAGCAGTTATTTTTGGACTTCCAATGCGAGTCAGGCGCAAGTCCCTGCCGAGGATGTCAAGATGTGGTGAAAATGGGGGTTTGTAGATAGGATTGTAGTATCGTGTAGTGGGAAGTGTAGGTAGATATTATTATTTTTGGTGGGGTCGATGTTAAAGACTCATCGCACATGAAAGAGGATCGGGCATTTTCCGCGAACAAAAGGTCCGAGCTCAGGTTTCGGTAGGAGGAAGGACGCTTAGCGTATGAGCGCTTTCATTTCGGGGCTGCGTCACTGCTACTGAACATCTGCATTCTTCCCCTGCCACGATCCTACCCACTTCTTCCTTTCAGCGCATAGCACCCTCGGCTTGTCGCTGGCCTTAGGGTCTTCACTGTCGCTGTCTTCCAGAATCTGCGACACCTTTGACTGATCATTCATCTGCCAGGTTACACGGCCGACAACAGCAGCTCATACTCCTCGCCGGGGGTTCAATCTCGCACAGGGACTCAAAACCGGTGACACAGCAAAGCCCTTTGTACTGGTCGCGACCTCAATCATCCATTTGGCAATTGTCTTCTGTCTCTAAAGGCCTCTTGCGCACGTTGGCAGCTTGGACTGAACGAAAGAGCCCCCCGAAGTCCATACACAGTAGTCTTACACCGGGAACACACCACCACCCCCGTATCCGCCCTTTTTGAACGCGCCGCATCCAAACCAAACATACCCCGAACGCAACGACTCAGGAACTACTATATAACCTTCAAATGATGCGGGTGGAGATCTTGTAGAATAAATAAACAATTAGGACACCATGAGGGCGAATGCTTCTGCCTACGCCAATGCGGAACCGCTCCATTCCGGATTCGATGAGAAGACGCCACTCCTGGACGAGTCGAATGAGAAGCCATTTCCCGAGGCGCAAACGTCCCGAACATGGCTAATCCCGAAACGCATATCAGAGGCCGTCATAGGGACAGTAAAGGCGTTGTTAGCCACGGTCATTGCCCCTGGAAAGTTCGTGATCGCATGCTTCCATGATGAGGAGGGCCATTTCTCTGTATTGTCCCCTGTATACAAGATATCACGAACAATTACGCGGAAAGAACGAAAATCCAGAAAGGATCATAAGCTTGCGAAAGCGTATGCCGAAACGAACGAGAAAGAAAGACCACATCGCAGACGATCTAGTGTAGCACAATCCAAAACAAGAAGACCACGTCGGTCGCCTTCGATCGCTTCGACGTCCACAGCGGTGACCTCGGACTCGGAAATCGATAGCGAGCGTCCACTGACGATTGACGAGGAGACAGATTCTCCTTCCCGGCACACCAGGTCCAAATCGAGCGCGTCTGGCGCTGATAGGGTTGCTCCAGCCCAGAGGACCATGCACATTAGGCTCACCCAACCTGAGGAGGTGGAGGTGCGGCAGCGTAGGAAAAAGAATGCCTCGCGGAGCAATGTATCGAAGAATGGCTCGAGCCAGGTCTCGGCTGAGGCGGCTGCGGCATTGAAATCCCCCACCAGCCCAGCAACGGTATCTGCGAAACAATTGACAAAGTTCCCACGAGCTCCTCAGCCCCCGCGTCCCCTTGTCCCGCGGCGCCAGCCGTCTTATTCTACGGCAGGGGCTTCAGCCGTCGGCCCGTACCAGAAAACGTTGATCATTGATCTCGATGAAACCTTAATCCACAGTATGTCTAAGGGGGGGCGCTACACGACGGGCCATATGGTTGAAGTCAAATTATCACAGCCTGTTGGTGCCGACGGTCAAGTGGTTGGGCCTCAGATTCCTATTTTATACTATGTACATTTCCGGCCACATTGGGACGAGTTTTTGAAGAAGGTAGGCAAATAACGATGTTGCAAGCTGAGACAGTCAGTTGACAATAGGCTATAGGTGTGCAAGTGGTACAATCTTGTTATTTTCACGGCTGCGGTCCAAGAGTACGCCGACCCGGTAATCGATTTGCTTGAGAAGGAACGAAAGTACTTTTCGGGTAGATACTACAGGCAGCACTGCACGTTCCGAAACGGGTCGTATATCAAGGACCTCAGCCAGGTTGAACCGGACCTGAGCAAGGTAATGATCATAGATAACAGTCCCATCAGCTATGCTTTCAACGAAGGTGAGAACTCCCACACGGAGATGCCGCACGTACGTGCTAGTGCTAATACCATAGGTAGATAATGCCATTCCCATTGAGGGCTGGATCAACGACCCGACAGACAATCACCTTTTGCATCTGGTACCCTTGCTGGAAGGCTTGCAGTACGCCACGGATGTCCGCGCTCTGCTTGCATTGCGGTCGGGAGAGCCACAGCACATATCGTGAGAGCGGCAAGGATCGATTGAGTAGCCAACATTTTAATATTCATTGTATACTATAGAGCATTGTTGGCCTGCGACGAGCCGCTGATTGGAGGAGATACCCAAGAAACTTTTAATTCGTCACAATGCCGTTACCCAAATTAGGCCTGTTGTTTAGTGATGTGTGGTTTCGTTGACTGTACCGCGAGCCCGGTCACCCCCATACGGCGGGCCCGGCCAAAAGCATTCGGACTGCCTGAATTCCCTGCCATCAACTAAGGTGTGCTCAGCCTGTCACTCGCCCACGCCCACCCAGGCCAGCCAGGTACAGTCGAATTCATCTTCGTCTAGGGGTATGGGGTTAATACGGGTTCAATGTGGGGGCTTGGCCGTGGACGCCCCCCACCCGCCATTGCCTGGACGTTGTTTCTCCCTCAGACGCGTGTGGGTTTTACATTTCACCATGACTTGCTTCTGCAGGTACCTGGTTCCGCTTATCTGCCCTCCACCCGCGTCTCACTATCCCCTCTCCTCTCCTCAAAGCATCCCAAGTAGACATAATTATACCCTTCCAGCGTGTTCATCATACAAAGCCACCGTAGGCCGGGATAATGCTCTGCATATTGTTCGTCTTTTAGAATAGTCTTCTTACCCATTGATGGTGTTTCTGGAATTCTAGGGACCACGCAATTGACACTGCAACCCGCCAACCAATGCATCACCCGTTAGGACCAAGCTTGTCCAGTTCGAAGAGATGTCGCCCCAGACAATCAATAAATTGGCTGTAACGGATCAGAGGTTAGTTTTAGTCTACCGTTTGCTCGTATCCCGCCAACGATTTGTAAACTAAAACTTTTAGCTTGGATCCTCTGTTCGACGAGGCCATAGACGCCATCCAAAGCACACTTTTCGAGGAAGATCGTAAAAGCTTTCGCCACTATGCCGATATGGAATCCATGTTGGTTGATGTCCGCACCACAATTGACGCGGCCGGGGAACATGAAATGAACTCCAAGACTTGCACGAAGCATGTCGCACGATTTGCCCATGCTTTCAAACCATATTTTGACCTTGTTAATCTTTTCACCAATGTGCGACCAGATTGGCTTGGTTGGTTTTGGGGCATCATCGCATTGGTCTTCAGAGTAGGTAGTTGCAACAATGCTACACCTGTGACGCAGGTCATCAGGCAGTTCAATCAAGCACATTGTGCAGCTTACGATGCCGAGGATATGCTCGAATTAGTCTCTGACACAAATAACAGACAGGCAGCCGCTACGAATTACTTGTACAAAAGATTGCCGAGCTTTTCGGATCAATTGCGCGAGCATTACCTGAATATGATGTCCTGCTGAAGTCTGTGTGGCAGCAGTCCCATGCGCCCACAGACGATCGACTTACCTTGCTGTCCCACGTATATGCAGATATCGTGCGACTATGCCTGGAATTATATTGCATGTTCTCACGGTCCCAAGGTATGTCTCACTTACGTACGAAGAATCACTTCGTGGGGTCTCCATTGAGTACCACTCTCCTATTAAAGGTGCCTCCCACTCGCACGTGCAACTCGAAGCGGGCCCTGCCAGTGCTGGCATTATAAAAAGTCTTGAATACTGCATCGCACAACGGATTGCGTGGTCGTCGCCTCGAAGGCGTCAGTTTACGGTGTGAAAGAAAAGAAGAAGTCACCGCTGACCTTCTGCAGGGGCCAAATTGCGACATCGCTATGACTTTGCTTCAGCCGCCTGGAAGCCACTCGATACACGATTTACACACCTCCAGCAACGTCTCGTTAGACACAGACGATGGGTCGAAGCTACCCTAGCGCAGGACGAGGAGGCATCAGCGCGCAATCGCCAAAAATATATCGACGTCTTATTTCCAAACGTGCGTACAAATAGTGACGCTACGGCGGAGGCTGATAGAATGGCGCGTCGCAGTAAGTCTCCACTGCAATCGAACGTGCAACACTAACACCCCTATAGTACGAAGATTGGACAAAGTAAAGGGTTGGTTGTCGAGCTGTTGTGCTTACCGGGATACGTACGAGCAAAGTCTCAATAGCAGTCATTCCGGGTCAGGCTCCTGGTTTCTGAATATACCGGAATACTGCAGGTGGAAGAACACCCCGTTCAACGAGACAAATGCAAATTCTACGGATCATCTCTCAGAAACTTGGCTCGGTCGTCTTCTGTTCGTTCAAGGTATGTACCAATCCTTGTTCTGCAGAGTTAAAATCATTAACGTCAGTGTAGCAAAGGCAGGGTTTGGCAAAACTTTCATCTCTGGCCGTGTAATAAGCGACTTGAAGACTGATGCAGAGGATATCAACATCGGAGCTGAGCCTCCGACAACTATCTATTTTCATTTCAATGCTGCCCATCTATACTGTACACATCCCAACGACGCCTTCCGGGCGCTAGCAACACAATTAGTAAACATTCACCAAAACGACCGGCCTACATTAGACGCACTATCATTGTTAATTCGAACTGCGTCCTTTCAAGATCAGGCATCTTCAGACGACGTACTGTCTGTATTGTCCCTTCTTGTACGACAACATCCAACTTTCATATGCCTCGACGGTGTAGATGAGTGTAGCGATATCAATCTCCTCTTCGAATCACTACCAAAGATATGTCGCAAATCCGATGCTAGAGTTATTCTTTTCAGCCGTCCTACCATCACCCTACCATTGGAATATCAAGAATGGGCATCCGGGTTACCTCACGTTATCACATTGGGGGATGCACACAACGCCGCAGACATCGACTCGTACATAACAGAAAACCTTACCCGTCTAGCTGATCAAGGATTATTTGGTACTAGCCTGGAACAATCACTCATTGCAAAAGTCTCCCAGCATGCGGATGGTCTGTTCTTGTGGGCGAGTCTATTCCTCAAATTTCTTCAGTCACCGTCCCTATCTCCAGAAGAGCGACGCATGACACTAGACCATATCGAAAACTTCAAGGGTCTAGATCCACTATATCATAATATCCTACAGGTACTGTCCAGGCAGAACGATAGGGACAGGAGAGTAGCCGCCGACATTTTCCGATGGTTGGCGTTATCGTTCAAGCAGCTATGTGTGCCTGGCTTCCAGACTGCGCTCACAATGGTTGGCTCCAAAGATAAAGTTATATCCGATCTCGCGGATGCTGTGCCGCAGCTGACTTGCGGTCTGGTTGAAGTGACGCCGAGTAGCGTAATGTTCATCCACAGATCTGTCAAGGAATTTCTGCAGTCGCCACACTGTCAAGATTCCGAATTCAGCCTTCATGATGAGGACACAGTGCATGGCCACCTCGCTGCACGCTGTCTAGCATTCTTGACCAACGAAGTCCCGAAGAGGCCACTGCAAAGACTGCAGCCCTACATTCGACCCCGGCCCATCCTCACACAAAGTAACCAGTCCGTCCGGACAGGGAGTTCAAGAGACAGCGGATACAAGAGCATGTCGTCCGACAACGATGGACCATCAGCAAGTGTCCCTCAATCGCCTAACATGCAAGGGCTCGGTGCCGACCTGCCATTCCTGCGGTACTCGTCGCTCTGTTGGCCTATTCACCTCACTCGTGCGTTCGCTAGACCGGCACGCCATAACACGGACAAGGCATCTTCAAATATGACATGGCTACCTGCTCTTTCCCATTTCCTGACGGACCGGGTGGCGGTTACTACGTGGGCGGAGGCATCCTGGCGACACAGTCTTCCACCTAACCTGTCCCGGCTGATACCTCTCCTATCTGCCATCAAAAGCGAACTATTGCCTTCCACAATGGAAGGAAGGGAGATCAGATGGGTGATACAGGGATTAAGGGAGCTCAGCGAAGCAATGTCGGAACTACGAGAGGAATACGGTGTTACTCTTCGAGAGAACCCCAGTTTGATCTGGCAGTGGAGTGGCACAGATGGCAACCGAGGTTTCTGGCCGCTTTGGGACGAGGCGAGAGGGTGTATTGTTGGAGAGGAGAGAGGAGATTGAGTTGGGTAGCCGTACCTTTCGGATTCACAGATTCTTCGTCATTTTGTTCCTTTTCATATTTTCAATCATGAGTACGGAGTACCATTAGAGAGATAGATACCCAGCCAAAGAATATCGTACCAGCACACACTTCTCCGACGGACCTTCACACACTATGCACTTCTTGAAGGTTTTGATCATTAATCAGAGAACAACGGAAAGGAAAGAAGAGGAAAAAGAAAAGAAAATTAAAATGATTAGGAAAAGCCGCATACCTCCACGCCTAGCACCCATCCCATCGCTCAGCCCAAGACCAAAAGAACACCCAACTAATACCTCCAACACATTGCCCTCCCCCCAGCTCACGTAGCTCGCACTCCCGCTCTACCATTGGTCGCCCCTCTGCACGAGACCCTTCGTATTCACCCTTGGCGACCTCCCATTGGCCGCCCCCGTGACTAGCTCCGTTCGCAAAAAGGGCGTCGTAGGCGCTGCGATGGACACTTTTTGACCTCAATTGCCCTAAATGGCAAATTCGCAACGAGTTAAGCGAAGGGGCGGGCGGGTGTGGGTGAATGGGGGGGATGGAATTGAAGTGGGTGGTGGGTGTGGTTGGGAGGTCATAGGTGGGAATGTGCATTGCTTTCTCTTAAGAGGGAGGAGAGGATGTATAACTGACTACGGTGGACAGCGTAAAGTGTTAGATACTACTCGCAAGACTGTCGTGGTCTTCTGCCGAATAGAGCTGTAATTCTGAAGAGAGGCGTGAAGGGGGTCATTCCAATTTTACTACTATGTACGGAGTACCTACAATGCACTTTCCCCTCATCCCACTACCCATAGGACGAGGTGTGTATGTACGTACTCTATACCATCGACCTTGATTGGACAATGGGGGTATGGAATGAAGGGAATGGACGAATTGGGCCGAGGCCAAAATGTGGCGGGGGCATGGAAAGGACGAGAAAGGCATCTATTCGCGATGGATTTACTGCTTGAGGTAGGTTTCTGGGATGCGCGATGGTGCTACTAGGTGCCCCGCCGGCTGCCCTCCTATATCTGCTAATTCATTGGACAGCGATGACGGCTAGGCGGCGGGCGACGGGTGCTACTACATTCTACGAGAGATAGATTCTTTTTAGTATTATAAAGGCCTGCATTTGATGAATGGTACAAGTATGATAATTCTATGCAAGTGTTGTTCCTGATTTACCGCACTGTAACTAGCGACGTCGAGAGTCAATTGACTACGTTCTCGTAATTTCTTAATCATCGATTTGCTACGAGCAAGTGCGGGGAGATAACGAGTAGCTTCAAAGCTAACACCAGTACTTATTCCCCAACTCTGCGAAACGTTGCTCAAAAAGCTTTCCACACTGTCTTTCACTCAACTTGTAATCAACTCGTGCCATTGGAAAATGTCGTTTCTCGAGCTTGAGGGACTACATGCCTTCGTTACAGGAGCAACCGGTGGCATTGGCTCTGCAATAGTAGAAGAACTCCTCGGTGCGTGACTACAGCACTCGGAACCATGAATTATCAGACCACATCATTGACATGACTTGCAGCCAGCGGATGCAAAGTAACTGCTCACGATCTTCGCCCTTCTGCATTACCTTCTCAGCCCAATCTATATGTACTGCAAGGCGACATGAGTGACGAGAGCTCAATCTCCAAGTCCTTCTCGGATGCTGTTGCCCACTTCGGACCCATAAACGTTCTTGCTGCCAATGCGGGAATAACAGATGAATCTAACGCTTATCCCATATGGTCTACCCCCCTTGATCTTTGGGAGCGCACCTACGCCGTCAATGTACGCGGAACCTTTCTCACCATCAAGCATTTCTTGCAATCCGTCGATTCCGCCCAGCAACGAGACAGCGGGCGGGAATTGAAGAACGTGAGCATCGTGGTTACTGGAAGCGAAACAGGCGTGTTTGGGCAAGCGGGCCACGTGGAGTATGCAAGTGGCAAGGCTGGTCTTCAGTATGGGCTCGTCAAGACGGTGAAGAATGAGATCGTGAGGTTGAATTCGAGGGCGAGGATAAATGCTGTGGCGCCGGGTAAGCTTATGAGCATGCAATCGACTGAAAAAAAATGCTGATGGTGAATAGGCTGGGTAGACACTCCGTTGATAGAGGGTCGCCTAGACGATCCAAAAGAGATGTGGAGGGAGGCACAGGCTACGTTAGTCATCTGATCCGTACATCAATCTGTCGATATACTGATGTGAATAGTGTACCATTGAGAAAGATTGCTAAGCCTACTGACGTAGCACGGGCAGCTGCCTTCCTGGCTTCTCATCGAGCTGCAGGACATATTTCAGGCCAATGCATCTCAGTGGATGGGGGGATGGAGGGTCGAATTGTGTGGAGTGAGGAGGAGATCCACAAAACCGCCAACACCGAGTCGAAAACACAAATGAAAAGTACAGAGGGCTCATCATCGGCAATACCGCAGTCACTAGTCCTCCCTACTAAGTCGCTCCCAAAGATCAAAGTACTAATATCAGTCGACTTTGATGCTGTATCAGGCTGGTTAGGAACTGGAGCCCATCCAGACAACAACCTCGCAGACTACAGTACTGGGTTCTTCGCTGGACATGTTGGCGTACCTAGATTATTGAAACTGTTCAAGAGGATTGGTATACAGGAAAAAGTCACTTGGTTCGTTCCCATGCATTCTGCAGAAAGCTTTCCAGAGGAGTTCAAGGGCATCATGGACAGTGGGGCTGAGATCGGTCTACACGGATACGCTCATGAGGCAAGTGACTGACAATGACATTATCAGCATGTAGAATTGACAACGACCTCCAGGGAGCACCCCAACTGACCTTAGAACAAGAAGTCGAAGTCTTAACCCATTGTATCGAACTCTGCACAAAACTTACCGGTCGCAAGCCCACAGGCTATCGAGCGCCGCTCTACCAACTCCGCGAATCTACCATCGCCCTACTCGAAAAGCACTCCTTCCTATACGACTCCTCGCTCTCCCACCACGACTCACGTCCATACTACCTCCCCAATATTCCACCCATCAAAGCTCCGGACTACGTCCCATCTACCTCCGCCCTAGATTGGATGCACCCCGTACCCAAACCCGCACCACCAACTCCATCCACCCTCGTTGAGATACCAGGAAACTGGTATGTGGAAGATATGACACCACTACAGTACTACCCCAACACACCCAATTCCCAGGGCTACGTCGACGTGCGCACCATCGAGCAGATGTGGAAAGACAAGTTCGAATGGATCCGCGGGGAGAGAGACGAGTTGGGCGAGGGAGACACGATGGTCTTCCCGCTCGTGCTGCATCCCGATACGAGTGGCATGGCACATGTCATTGGGATGGTAGAGAGGATGTTGAAGTGGTTCAAGGGGTGGGGGGAGGATGAGGTCGAGTTCTGCACTTTTGAGGAGGTGGCTAGGGAGTGGAAGGGGAAGAACCCTGTGGAGGGGTAAATGTGTGACAGAGCTGAATGGATTACGTTGAGTACTATGGAGATGAACGGTTATGATCATCTTCATATTTTCAATGTGCCCAGAATATTCTTCTGCACTTGATTCATTACACATCGAAGGAATACTTGCGCTAGTTCGCTCGAATCAGAATTGGATCATAGACCTGCAAGAAGAAACCCTTTCAAAGAGATCTCCTGTATCCCATCAAATATAACATCATGTCCGTTTCTTTGACTCTGGACTTGAGTGCCATAGAACATCGAAATTAATGATGTTCTAACAGTAACTGAACATCCTGCGCGGGATTTGATTGACCTTGGAACTATAGTTAACAGAGACAGTTCGATAATGGTTACCACATTCAATATAATTCCATTCTATAGACGTAAGGGCTCTGCACCTGATTCGGCGCGCACAAGGCATAGGCAGCTACTTCTAATTCATGTGAGTTCATTGATCTGTCAGGTGATGTCCAACGCTGTCCTTGGCCATGTGAATTTGATATCCAGTTTCGAAAAAGAAACTCTACATCGCTTCATCCACGTCTTCTCTGCCCGACAACAAACAGTTCTCGACCTCGGTGATACGCATAAAGTTACTGATCTAGCCGACGTTCCGTTTAATTTGTCATTCATTTGTTCAACAAAAGTGAGACCAGACCAAAATTGACGCATCCAATCTAGAGAATGACAATCGCATCGGCGAACTCTTCTTCGTAAACGACTCCAAACCCACCACCGAGGACACGGCGATGATGATTGTACTACTGCTATCTCCAATCTCTCCGCATGGTCCCCAGCATCCCCAACCGACCCATCCGGCCGAACTTCCCGCGAGCTCTGTCCACCGCATATCCAGAGCTCGCCGACCAAATTATCTCCGAGCACGTGGCCGTCGTGCGATATTGCAGCCGTGATATCCCCAAGTAAGATCCGACTAAGTATTTGTCGTCGCTTACCGTCAAAAGTGCGTTGGGCGTTCGAGATTCCAGTGCAAGAGTAACAACAAAGAAATCATTCCCATCATCACAGATCGCTCGCACGAGTTGACGATTTCAAAGCAGCGATGTCAAATATTCCCCCACCGCCACACCCCCACAGCGGTAGGAGTAATTAGTACGTACATGAGCCACACCGAACCCGTTACCTCCACGGAATCTCAAATCACCGTCGCGAGTGCGAGGGGAAGAAGACTACCATACGTCATTGGTAATGCGTTTGTAAAGCCCTCGTAACAGAGGCTAAAGAGTTCTAGGACGAATTTGATCACACAGCATCTCGATTCGATCCTTCCCGTGGAGGAACTACTCACGAATACAGAGAGCTTACGGCAGGGGCGCAGAAAAGTTTTTCCATGCCCTGGCCCATGGCCTTGAAGCTGTGGTCGCCATGACGTACATGCATCGCAAGCCAGTCGTTGATGAAATTGGAATAGTGTAGATGGTTTGAATTTCTCCTTAAGCTAAGTCGGCGATTCCCTGCCTAAGGCATGTATCCTAAAGTAGCTTCATTCCTCCGCATGAGCAAACGCTTATACTATCGCCGCGAAGGGGGATTCCTAAAACTTCCAGACTAGGGACTCGTATCGATCGACACGATGGGTCGCTTAGAGAAAAGGCGGACAGAATAGATGAATGTACGCTTATTGTGTGCGTTTGGAACCATTCACTTAAAGCACCACGTGGGGCCATTTTTCTTTTCGGTGTGGGATCTAATGGAAAGGGTTTGTAGGGCTGAGCGCCCCCGAGTTTAGCGTCGCTTTTAGGGCTGAAAGGGTTGGATGGCACGACGGGCGGATAGCTCTGGCCGGAGGCTATGGCCGGTGTGCGTATGCATATACGCATACGTCGATTATTAAACTAAGGTGAGATGAAAGAGCGGAATACTCGTAATTATTTAGCTTCGATGCGACCAGTTCAGCACTCGTAGCACGTACTAATCGTGACCATTGCTTCTTTGGATCTCCTTCAGTGTGCTGGGTACGACGCGTTGCGTACCCGGCGATCCGGCGGTTAGAACGCTCCGAGTAAGAAGCTGGTGACAGAGTATGACTGCCTATTCAAACCGAAGAGTCACTGGCCTAGGTTGTGGCCGAAAGTTATTATTATGCATTGGATATCGATGACAGCAGGAATGCCTCATGCGGTAGCCTGTTCAAGATCAAATGATGGATGACGGCTAGCTCGTGAGGAATGCCTCGTTTGGATACATGCGAGATCTGAATACGAGCTTGTGCGGCCATTTCTAGATTGCCGAGATCGCATTGTCAGCCAGAGCGGAGGAATTCGCTGTGAGTGAGATTTGTGGATTACAATTGCCATAGCGGAGATATCGCACCAGCACGGAGCGGAGTATGCGGCTAGATTCATTGCTGAATTCTACGTGCGTAGTGAGAGGAAGCTGAGCATTGAGGCGGCGAGCGAGATTGCGTGTGTTGTCAGCTCTGCATGAGCCTCCCGAGGTCGTCGCAACAAAAATGTCGCGCATGATACTTCCTGATTCTGACAATTTCACACTGATTAAGGCCGTACACTTGGATTTGTAAACTTTCGGACAGATTTGTCCCCCGATCATTCATAAACTGCATGTTGGAGTGGTAGAGTGTGTGCTGCTCGTAAGACGAGATATTTGGATGGGGTTGCTAAGGACAAATCGGAAAGATACTGGGGCTAGGCTGAATTATCCGAACGTAGCCTTCGGGAGCGGATGGATCTCCTCGTATGTACGAGGTCTGTTAAGCAATCGGGAGGGCGGATGGCGGGCCATATTCCAAGCGGAGAGAATGCCTACACGCCTCAAGTGTCCGCTTCACCACTTCCCCTCCCACTCCCACTTGAAGAAACTCGGCCGACTGCATACGAGGCACAGCGGATGTTTTTGGTTTGGAATCATCCAAACCCTTATCACCGACAGCTCCTTACGTGTACAGAGCTGGTTAAACATAATTAATGCATGCGAATAACTTCGGTGCAATCTCGCACGATATGACGGCGATTTCTCTGGTGTGCGCAATCATTAATTAATTGTCTCCAGTATTGACGCGAGGCTTGTGCTTGGCGAACTGCCCACACTGCTGATAGCCAACATTGCGGATGGGCGGATGCTCGGTTCGCATTGTGTCATCCAAGCCTCGCAAGATATTGGGTAGATATTGAATTTTCTGGGTCGCAGGACGTTTTTCCACAGCTTGCCCTGCATATGCAAAGCTTGCTAGGTTCCACGTGAGGATGGCTGGCAGTACCCGTTTCCCGCTGCGTCACTACCGGTACAGCAATACAATATTAATAGAAAAACAAGGTAGTTTCAATAGAACATGCCGGGCTACCTGTGACGAAGGTGCAGCGGGAATCAAGCAAACAGGATTCAGGAATGCAAGCAAGCAAGCAGATTATGGCTCCACGTTGTAACGTGCGACCGGTTGCAGCAGAATGAGGCCTGAGGCGTTACGATCAGCGGTCTACTTTACCACACGAGGAATGTGAAGCGGATGAAAGTTTTATCGAGTCGATGCAGGGCAAGCAAGGTTTGCGTGAGTTTTGGATGCTCACGGTTGTCCTTGGCCCTGGATCTACCTACAACCTACCCGTCCAGTGGACTTTGGCTGATACGCTAGCATCGAAACTCACATGGCGGCCGCTGGTTTAAGGGTTTTAAGGGTCTAAGGGTCAGAGCAGCGCGGGGCCGTTTCCACCAATTGGTAGATCTTGCCCATCCTCGGGATAAGATCGGCAGTGACGATATCGATATGCAACGACAGTTCGGGAATCAGGGAAAACAGGAAAGTCCAAGTTATGTCGAGATGATAGAAGGGATACCCTCACAAAGCATCGCGAGTAGAATATTGACGATGATGAGGAGGCTCAGTAATTCTGCAATAATCAGGGCTAGTATGAGGCAGCGCAAACACAGCCTGAAGTATTATCAAATCCTGATGAGGGGATATGATGTGTGATGCATGAGTATTTTGGTGGTGGTGATGCGAGGATGAAATTTTTCTCGTGGTGATGATGTCATCGACGATCTGCCGTTGGCTTGGCGTGACACAGGCGACACGCTGAATGTTCAACAGAAATGTTGGCAAGAGGAGAAGTCACGAGACAGCAACAGCCAACGAGTAATGGATATGCCGAGTGTAGATACCGAAGAATGCCATTTTCCTTGTCGTAGGATGTCTCGTCCTCCTCCGAATAGACGCGAACGGATTGGTAGCAGAGCCTCGGTTCGGAGACGAGTGGCTCAGCGCCTGTGGCTAGTATCGGCATTCTATGTGAGGCTTGTTGCCAATGTAGATCAATAACATCTTCGTCGCATTCAATATTTTATCGGTCCGACGTGGTGCTGCTGTAACAAGTTTGATGGAAGGAGATGGAGCCTCGGAGTAGCCGTGATGGAGGAGAAAAACCAACAGACAGGAAAACTTGGTCAATGCATAGGGCTGGCACAGCCACGGACCCTGTGGCTCGCCAATCGCGATAACTCGGCAGCCGGAAGACGCATTAATTGTCGTTCCCGACCAATCATATGAGTACAAGTTGCTGGAACAATTAAGCCAGAGATCGGCCGACATGCAATGGAGAGCATGTACTTGCCTCTTTAGGTTGCGCTATCTCCGCACCCACGTTTTTGTGGACTTGTCACCCTAGGAAGTCTCGGTACCAGCTCCCCATCAAAAAAACTCACAGCATGGCATTCTAGATTGCTTTTCCATGCAAAATACCATACTCGGAGCCTTCCAGCGACGGAGGCTCCGTGGTCCCGAGCGAATAGTCGAGTGGTCACATAACTTTGAAGCTCGTAGCGAAGTGCTGCGACATCTTGACTTTGCTGCATACAAGTGTTATACCCTGTCGGAGGGCACCGATGCATTGAAAAAAATCTGTACGCGACCTGCAGCATGCAGCCAGCACTCAGCTCATATTGTCTGGCAGAACGTCGGGGGATATTCGATCAATAACAACGCATGCAAGTCAAATGCACAGCTCAATCTAAACCTCTAGATGTGGTGTAGTGGTTGTTGACATCCAGCGCGTTGGTCCGATCGACCGTTTTACGTACGATTTCGGTAGATACTAGGACCTGACTATCGGTAGATGCACCTTGCTTTGTTTTCCACCTACGAGGTACCAAGAAATCTCCTTTTGGAGTACATGGATTACTAGGATCTGTTGACTATTGGCTTTGTGGAACTATGTTTGGAAATAGGTAGCTCCTTTTGTTGCGCTGCTCTTGTGTTGCGCGTGGAGGTCCAGACTGGCTGGGGAGTCACCCTAACCAGCTGAAAGGAGTCACCACCCCGAATAATGACTTTGAGATGAATCACAGACTGAACGAGAGAACAATCGAGGCTGCATCGCTCAGGTCACGCGGAATGGTCATGTGGACACTGTGTACTATACAATAATGCAACGGCTTCGAAACGGTACGCGCGGAGTACACATGTTTGCGTGTCGGCGGACTTCGTGCGTACCGGGCGCCAAGAATGTACTTGAATACGCAGAGCACAGCCAGAAAGAGTACGACGTTTGTCCGTCTTAGAGCCGCGAGAGGCTGTCACCCAGTGGAGATCGTGTCTCACCAAAGTTCCTCGGTCGCGGTGGAATCCAGGGTCCGGCTGCAAGCATTTCTCTACGTGCGGAATGCGCAGTTGCTGACGATGATTGGGCGGTTTGGACATCACGGGGGATGGGTGGTAATAGTGGTAGCTGTATGGCATTGCATGGCATGGCATGGTATGACTAACCGACCGACCGAGTTGGGAAGAAGAGAGTCGCAAGCGAACACGTTGCGACGAGGATGTTGGATATGGGGTATGGCGCAGCAGTTTGCAAGCGATCGCAGATTTCCTTGTAGGTTTGCTACGCTGACATTTGATTGAAGAGTATTCTTGGAATGTTGTCAATCGTTACTCATGTTGTCGAAGAGGTCGAGATTGCGACAGCTCGGATGGCAGCCGAGGGAGCAGGGATGGGTGGGAGCGGGCGCATCAGCGACAGAGATTTTCGGGTGTCTAGATGTGAGTGTAGTGGTAGTGCAGAGTGAGCGCAGGAGATATTCTCTGTACAGTAGTTGCAGTAGTAGCAGTAGTAGAGTGGTAATATGTGGTAGCGCAATCGGGTGGTATGGTGTGGTGTGTCCTGCACTCCTGGTGCGTCCTGGTGGGTTCTGGAGGGTGCTCCCGTCGAGGCAGTGCACAGCCATCATTCGATCACTCAACTCACTAATCCATTATCCATCCTTTATTCTCTTTCTCCTACTGCTCCGGTACTCTACGAATAGTTACGGATAAACGTAGTGTTCACAGGGACAAAAAAATACGATAGGTAACTATTCGGAGAAAGGGAGAAAGAGAAACCAAAGTAAAGATGATTTGGCATTCTTTACGATGGGATGATTGTTATTGGGTGCCAGGTGGTTAGTAAACGTACCCCCTCCACTAACCACTCTCTCCGTAATGGAGTTATGATGCCTGTCTAATGCTATCCTAATGGGTGACCACCCCCGGCCACGACCACCACACCCTTAGCCTGACCCCCCCAGTCCAGCCCTGCAGTTTTTCACAGCGTGGGTTGCTGTTTAGCCAGCTTCTAGAAGGGTACCGATCTGCGTCTAGTGCCATCCACCATCGTCCACCCCGGTCATGCTATGACGCAACATACACTCTTCTCAAAAAAAGAGACCCTTTCCCTTTAGAAAACCCGCACTCATCCACATCCCATCCCACCATAACCCTAAGCCCCCCATTACACACCAAGACTGAGAGAGAGAGAAAAAAAACAGGAAGAGAACAAGAATTGAAATACACTAGGGCCGAAAACATTCGCTCAGCAATTTGCAATCATTCCCGGCCCGCATACCATCCCAACTTACCAACTACCACTCTACTACTTCTTTTCTCCATCTAAGCCCCGAGTCTCCGCCCTTAGTCTACATACTCTCTTTCCTTTATTTCTAAGTCGAGTTACCTCGTACGGAGTAGTCCTCATTCACATTCCACTACATTCCATTCATCATTGTGGGATCACCTCATCAAGCATCCCTACCCTACCATTCTACCCTTACCCTAACCTACCCTACCCTACCCTACCCTACACCCACCCTCCAGTATCGAATCGGCCAATTCCACTCCGAGTGTCATAGTTCACAAGGACTTTTGGTCTATCTCTCCGATCCCCCCCATCGACTACTTTTCCTATAAATCAACTTGCCACCCGCCCTGGGTCACTATCCTTCCCCTTCCAAGAACGATGCTGGCCTTTCCGCAAAGACGTCAGCACAATCCACTACCACACCACCACCACCACCAATACAACAACCACTACAACAACCAGAACCCCACCACCACACTACCTTCACCTCCTACCCCTACCACTACACTCTCTTCTACCGCCACATCTCAACTCTCCTACGATACTATCTCACAACAACTACAACAACCTCTCTCAGCACAGCAGCTCTACGACCAACAACTACTTCACGACTACCTCGAGTCACAGCAGCAACAGTCGTTCGTCACTGGGAACTTCGTTGACGCAGATTCGAACAACTCTTCCAACCCGTTCATGACGGGCGAATTCACCTTTTCGAGCCCTTCCATCCGGGTACAGCAGTCGACTCCAACACCACAGCAGCTGTCTACCAGCTTCGCCCAGACTTCCATCATGCCCGGTGCCACCGCTGGCTTGGACAATTGGAATGCATATCAAAACAGCAGCCAGTCGTTACAGACTCCACGATCAGTGAAGGCACATCAACGCGCGTCGTCTTCATCTTCGATAGGATCTAACGGCTCCCAGTATCATCCTGTACAACCTGCAGCCAATTACCAGTATGTCGCTCTCCCCGAGTCTTCGCCTCCGTCTTCAGCTCGGCAACATGCGCATGACTCTTCTTTATCATTACTGAACAATGCTGACGACACTTCAAGAACCTTCTCGAACCATCTACCAACTCCAACACACACTCCTACACAAGACTCCTTCATCAACTCCAACTCCAACTCCAACTCCAACTTCACGAACTTTGCGCCCAACACCACGGGCATGGACTCAGCCATGGCAGTACATCTATCAATGAAGCAGGCTCTCATGGACCAAAACAACCCAGATGAGGATGTCCCTGGCTTTGGACATTCAGCAAGACATTCCGTATCGAGCTATGGCCACGACTCTCCGGCCACTCCACATACCGCCCAAGGAGAGGACTTTGACGATCGATACAAGATGCCTACCACTGGTGAGAATACCCTTACGAAGGTGGAGTCGTGGTTTGACATGTACCTTACTTACGATGATGAACCAGACATGAGACAACATACTGTGCCAAAGTTCGAAAGGACTTACACGGACGCTGCCATTGACAACTTCTACGACCCGACCACAATGATGTCGCATGCGCAGTCATTACCACAGACCAAGCAGCCATCGTTGCTATCGCCTTATCGGGGCGCAAACCACAACGACATCGTTCAGAAGACTCTCGCAGCAGCTCAGATCGCCCGCTCCCAATCTCCTTCAAGTTCGGCAAGCCGAGGTGTATCACCATTCCGTCAGAACTCGCCCTTCCGCCAGACAAGCAACAGCTTCAACTCTCCTCGCATGAGGGTGGGTACCGCCGCTGAGGCACGTGAGCAAAAGGTCGAGGCCGATGCTGCCTACGCGATGAAATCCAACGTCGCATCGAACACAGACCCGGAGCCAAAGACCATCTCACCAAAGGATGCAATGTTGGACTACCGTGAGCCAGATGAGGAAGCCAAGGTACCATTGTTCCCAGAGGGCGGCGCAACCGAGTACGACCAATACAACCGCGCCAACCAATTTGGAACCGCCACCCAGTCCGGATTTGACACAACAACTGGACAGTCATTTCAGCAACAAGAGAATTGGGCAGCACCTCAATTCCCATCATCAAACTTCTCGACGACATCCGCCGCTACCTCTCAACCATCTTTTGCTTACGTACCCACAACCATGTCAAATAGTCTACAGGGTCTGCCTTTCACTTCAGCACCAGCACAGTACCGCTCAACGACCAGTATGCCTGCTGTCACCGAATCGACGCCAGATTTCCCGGCGCATTTGACATCGATGGAGTCTAGCGCAAGCGAGGCTGGACCCGAGCCGTCAAGCCAGTCTAGCGAACATCAACAATTCCTCCACAAGCCAGGCCCTTCTGCAGCCGATTCGGGCACATACACATGTACCTATCACGGATGCACGCTACGCTTCGAGACTCCTCAGAAGTTGCAGAAGCACAAGCGCGAGGGACATCGCAGCACCAACACGGCCTCGACGATTGGATCGAGCATGACATCAGCGGCTCTTTTGGAGCGGAACTCGCAAGCGGGGCCTCACAAGTGCGAGCGCATTAACCCCACAACGGGCAAGCCTTGCAATACGATATTCTCCCGGCCGTACGATTTGACGAGGCACGAAGACACGATTCACAACGCACGCAAGCAGAAAGTCCGTTGCGCACTGTGTGTCGAGGAGAAGACCTTTTCGCGCAATGATGCCCTCACACGACACATGGTAAGAGTCCATCGACAGAGTCCCAGGCACAAGAAGCAGCAGCGATGCTAACCAAGTCACTAGCGAGTTGTCCATCCTGAGATCGATTTCCCAGGCAAGCACAGGCGCCGGGGTGGAAATTCCGATTAGAGACATGGACATTATTGCTACTATTCCTTGTCCTGTCATGCCCTTGTTCTATTTTTTCCCTCTTGTCGACTTTGTCCGGCTACGGAGTTTAGAGAGATGCAACTATTACCACTGAGGTACCCACGAGACCAGTAGAGTGGAAAGAATGGGGGAGGGAGGCCCTTACCCGACCTACCCGACCAACCCGACCAACCAACACACGCTTGACTCTCCCCCACCCGTCGGGCGGGCGTCGGCGTCGGCGGACGTTACCCCCTTCCAGGCGCCCCAACATTTTGGTCCGGTGCATTCCAGAACGCACTGGATGCTGGGGGAGTCGCACTCACATCTGCATCCTGCGATATTGCCATCTCTTGCGACCGGTCGAGATTGGAGGCTTTGAACGTTCCTCAACGTTCTTGTCCTTGCACCATCGTCTTTTTTCCCACCCTTGTTCAGCGATTTGTAACTTTCTAGATGCATCTCGTCGCATCTCGTCGCATCTCGTCGCATCGCGCGTTGTCATTCCTAAAGATATTCCTGGAACTGGCGTTCTCATCCCTTATTATTTTTTTACACTGCCAAAATCCCGTTCTCGCTGGTCGGACAGGATGCTGGATACCGCCTGGCGTTGCATTGGGTGCGACAGCCCCCCATGACCTAGTCACAATTTTCTTGTTACCTCTACCTGTATGTCTAATTATCTGTCATGTTTTCCCCTGGTCATGGGGTTTTGTACTTTAATGGTTTTCCCTCTCGAGCGTTATAAGCGACGAGGTGGAGTGATGAATCGATACGATACGACATGGGACGCGAAAGGTCTTCCGACCGAACGCCCAAAAAAAAGCGACATGGGATTATTAGACGGTGTCTTTGGGTTTGGTTACAGATGGACCATTTGTCCAACATTATTGGCAAATCATTTTTTCTCGATGTGTTCTGTTCCTTTCCTGTTTTCAGTCTTCTTTCGTCTACCTATATCCCAACCATCCCTATTATTGGATGCATTATTCTATATCTGTATGACATACCATTTTCCTTCTCCCAATAAGGGGGAAAATATTCATTTGGTCCCATGGTTCCCTCAAATTTGTCTTTGATCGAATTTTCCTTCTTGCGTAGATGTCTGCATGTATCCCTCTATCGATTTTCATCTCACCGTCTTGCCCTGCTGTTGTACAACCTTTGTAATCGTACCATCATCCCACTTAATTTTTCCCCTTCCTTTGCGCGCGCCGTCAGCAATCAAGATCTTCCAGCCTCAGGCGCCTGTCAGCGCACACAGATAGCTAGCTAGCTACCTAGAATGTTTTCCCGCTAGGGCAGAGACCTCTCTAAATTGCACTATCCGCACACCTGTACAACCAGAACAAGCTTCGTCTTTGCCTTAACTGACTTCACGCCTGCACACTTCCACCAAAGTATACAACTATTTCACACGGACCTGATCATTACAGAAAGAACGCAAGCAAGGAAGGATCAGTGGCGCATGGTCAGGAGGATCCGGTACGACATTCGTACGGTGGATGGGCTGTTCTTCTTGGTAGCTTAGATTGTTAGGTTTAGTTTCGTGAGCAGAAGTCAGGATAGTTAGGTAGATGATAATCATGATTTTTCTATTCCATCCCTCGTAAATCTGCTACAAGTGTGCTAGGCCGTGACAAATACTTGAATCGGATAGTTTATCTCCTTGGAGGACTTTTCCGAGAATAATAGTTACATCGCCAGAAGAAGGTCTGACTGACTCACTGGAAAAGAGGATGGTCATACGTGCATAGTGTAACTGCAAGTAACTAGACGAGTATGCTACTCTTTCCCTCATCACCACTCATTCCCAGCCATTGTCCCCTTTCTTGATATCTTCTTCGAAAGTGCCGATATCCGAATAGATTCATCGCGCACTATCGTCCGTCGTTTTGTCGGGTTGTATCTAGTGGTTGGGATAACTACACGAGTAGATGTTACGAGGTGCTATTGTTGTTGCTGATCTACCTCGTAAAGCACACGTTACTTTCTCCCCATTCGATCTACCCAAGCGCCAATAGTTTATGTGCATGTACTCCGTGTGTATCTTCCGCATCGGTCTACGAATAAGCCTAGTGACCAGCATCGAATACGTGGGTTCGCAGACGTGTTTCTATTTCGAGATCTCGTTCTCACCGGCGAGTTTGGGATTATCGAGAGGATGGGTTGGACAACAAAAACCGTTGAGATTTGCATCTAGACTCCTTGTATGTACAGGGGGCAGAGATGATTACAGCACGAGTAGATCTAGCACTTGCAGGCAGGGCTGGGCTGGGCTAGCAGAGCAAGACCCGTCGTGGTGCAGCGCAACGCAACGTAGCGCTCGCTGTAGAGCGAAAGAACTCCCCGGTGAACAGCACAGCACAGTTAGTAGGTCATTACAGAAAAGTGACGTTCAAGTGGAGCACTACTCGTAATAATGACTGACTGTGCTTGAAAGGCGCACTGAGAATCAACTGATTCTGATTCTGATGTTGATACTGAGTCTCCTGTCGCATGTCCTGATAGCCAAGTACCTAACGGGTAGTGCCATCGTGCCATGCAGCCATTCAGAGAAGCGCACAGCCGATCCCGTCCCCGCGCGACAACTTTTTCCTCCTATGGGAAGCCAAACTACACGAGCCCTTGGGTTTCGGATGTCGTCACTGGTCCGTATCCGCGACTATCTGTCCCGATGCTGTTCTTTCCTTACTATCTATCTCCATCGCTCTGTTATTTAGTATTACGAGGTATGAAGCGATATCAAGATGCACTTCATATTCATTGTGCTATTTGGTAGTTTCTTCGATAGAAAATCATAGCATCCAATCGAACGGGCATTCCACTTCAGTCATGACTTCATCAATCCCAATCCAGCAGCATCCTCCGCGGCGGGTATTTCAACCCCTCTGAAATCGACAAGCCGACTCATCATGACAAGTCGAAACCATCATCTATAATAAATGAATGTTATTCTTCTTAGATGAACCCACCAGACTATATTTCGGGACTATGCTGATTCAACACGCGCTACAGAGATCGCAACAGACTACATCTACTTGCAGTCTCATTACCCTTCTTTTCCCGCGCGAGTGAAGCATAACCCGCACCCCCGCGGCGCGACGGTGCGTGTTCCAATGAGTGCCATCGACGTCACGATGTGGGTCCCCCGATCTCTTACTCTCCCTTACTTCACCTCACCTCACATCACCTTACCTTACCTGACTGATATTGAATTATATCCGACCCTAATCAGGGCATCTATCCCGTGTCGGAAAGAAGTGCAACACCCTTCCAATGACTCGGGAACAGAAGCATGCAGTTGTGGAGTAAGCCTCCGCCGTCATCGTTGTGGGGACCTCTATTCTGATAAACCTCCTCCTACCGTGTGGTGTAAGACGTGAACATGACAGGTAGCAAAATACGCGGTTATTATTTGCCGAGACGAACGGACTAGAGATTGAGTTTCGCTGCGAGATGAAACCAACAAGATACCGTGCCGTGTTCGTGCAATACGAAACGGGGGCAGGTTAACGCTTATTTCGTATGCTCTGTTGGAATAATGATACTGGTGTGCGACACACGAGGATGGATACGGCTATCATGGCATTTCGTTTCCCATGCTTTGTGTCATGTGGTCGATACTCGTTGATATCATCAACAAAACATGATGCGGTCATGATTGTTTGGTTAGGAGACAAAGGATGCTAACTTTTAGACGGCGCAATTAATTCACATCTCGCTGCATCACCTACTCCTGCACATCTACGAATATTTTACCCATCACGATGCTGACTGGTGGCCGGAATGTATGAACTATCGATCGGACGACGAGATTGGGCTCGCGCTCGATGGGTGATCTGCACATGACGGGGTTCAAAGACGATACAATGACGATGCTGATAAGTAATGATGCGTGGTTGGCATTCTCCGCGACGTGCGACGTTGGCCAAGGAGCCCATGATTGGATGACGTCGGAGGTGCCCATCTATGTCATCGCTTCGGGCTTTTTTTATTATTCAAGGGTCCTTACGTTACCAACAAGTAACACGACACCACACCCTAGCCTTAACTTTGTCGGGCTGTTCGGGTGGTGGGTGAGTGTGTCTCCTCTTTCCCTTCTTGTAGGGTGATCGGCAGGCGGGGCGATTCTCAACGACTGCCAACAAGAGCAACACATGGGTGTGGAGCATCGAGATCTACGAGTAGTGAAGTCGAAGGTGACAAGAGTGGCTTGTGACGGTTTCCTATCGCGCAACGCTGGGAGGTTCGTGAGGAAGACGAGTGCGGGGTTGGAAGTGGACCCTGCATCCTTCTTGGGATCGTTCGGTCTCCGGTTTGGTGAGATGGAGATGGGAAGCCTCGCGGGAAGAGAGTTGGTCTTTCTAATAGTAGTCGCCATGGAGATGATAATACCTCTTCCCAACAAGGGAATGTATGAGTTGCAATTGATAGAAAGAATAGGAGGATGTTCTGTGACTCGCTTCTTGCTGCACTTCACCTTGAAACAATGGACCATGTAGTCTTAACCAACATACGGGCAACGAGCTAAGCATGTTTATTATCCCGAACAAGAAATACTAGTACTATTCTAGTAGACTACAGGTATTATGGTCATTGATTTATTCTCTGGATTTTTTCTTTTGAGAATAACCCATGAAAGTCTATACGGCGTATACTGTATCGCGTACAACAACCGTATCCTATAGAACACAGAGGAACACCCAGTGGACTTGTTCATAGTACCGAGTAGCCGAGTTGAGCTTTGCTTCAAAAGTATGACCGAAAATATAAATGGCAGTTTTTCTGGTATGTGGATCATACCATATATAATTAGTAGTTCATCTTTACTACTTGAGATCTACTTTGACACAATGCAACTTCGCCATGGGCTCAGTGAGCTTGACAGAGCATTTGGTATTGGCCGCAAACAGAGTGATATTTGAACTGTTATCAAGTTCCAAGCTGTATAACGCGCGAGAAACCATTTGTCGAGTCATTGCAGTGATGGTAAACAGTGGGTGCCAGGCTCCATCCATTGCTCCCATATTGTTCTCTCTGAGTAGAATCGCTACTCGTACTATCACTTCAGTAATTGTGCTTTACAATGACTCACGTGGTTTTGCTTCATATATTCATGGACAAAGTAAATCTCACACATGTGTTATGAACCACATACATTGCAGTGATTGTCTCCACGATATGAGGTGGTCCATGCGAATCAATCCTCCACACTTCATATTTATTTGCGTTTGTGAGAGCTCTCCACCCTATGTTTGGTGGTGTTGGATTTGTGTTGATGAATTCACCGACAATTGTTAGGCAGCCACTGTCTCTTGTTCTTTTCCGTGTAGTGGATCCTACTTCCGAAGTGAATGAAGTGAAATCTGAAGTGAATTAAGGAAGCGAATGCGTAAACATCTACTGGACCGTGTCCAATTTCTAGAAACTATTTCACACGTGGAAAATGAGTGAATGATCGATGTCTTTCACTCATTACCAGTAGTAATAGTAGTATATAATCACTAACTATAACAATCCTGAGCAAGATTAAACAGTGCAACGACTCAATACAACCGCGAGAATCGAATACAACCTACATCAACTCAAGTAAGGACCGAGACGAAACCGCACCGATACCCTTCCCAATCAACTCCTGAAGACAGATAATGGAAACCTACGCGAATGACGAATTAAATCCTTTGGACAGCCCGTTTCTCCGAGACGTCGTCCAGGCGGCCTGCGAGAAGCGAGGATGGTCAATCTACAACACCTATGTGGCCATCCAACTTGCCAAGTTCATCGAGAATACTAGGGAAATGGTTGGCAAGCTCCCTCGCACCATTGCTGGCGTATGTCTCCTTACCGTGGCAGTACGCCTCAACACTCACGAAACTTTGCGCGAGATTGCCTATTGCGTCGGTATCACGTGGCAGACGGTGCAAAAGCGTTACAACGAGTATCATTACCTCTGGGATCAGTTCCCCTGGGAAGATTTTCCCCCACAAGAGTAGAAATTCTACGCAGAATGTGATCACTTGGATACCAATAGCTATCTGGAGGGATATCTGGGGAGGGAAATGCATGGACTTGTGTCGAGCAGGGCAGCGGGTGAAGCGAGTCGTGCAGAGTGGGGGAACTGTGTGACCATGCCGGCCTTGGTCTGAGTCATCAAGCATGACTGCAGTAGTTATGACTTCAGCTGGAGATATGTGCTTAAAAGAATACCCAAAGCACAATTTCACAAGTTTACCACCAATATAGACTCGTTTTATGTGACTCCTTACGCTCTTGAGCGAATTCCCAGACCTCCTTCTCTCTTGGCCAAGATGAAATGGTACAAACTCAAACTATCACGACGTGGGCGACGGGCGGTGAGCAACGCAGAGTCAGAACCGGATACCTCCAGCAACAATAGGGCGGGACAAGCAGTGCAAGTCACTGACAAACAGGAGGAGGGAGAGACGTCAATCGAATCAGTGCCAGAGGTTAGGAACTATGCCACGTTCTTCGATCTGCCGCCCGAACTGCGAGATCAAATTTACGACCATCTGTGGAATGACTCCTGCATCGTTCACGAGCAAAAGGCGGAAAATATACAAATCCTGATTCTATATGGGGCGGAAACGCAACACTATTACGCTGGATTGCCGAGTTGGATCAACCTGAGCGATCGATTCCGTGACGAATGCCTCGGGCAGCTCAATCGCGCCGGTCGACTTACGATTGCGGAAGACATTCTCGTACCGCCAGGCTACGGCGGCAATTGGTACAAAACAGACGGCGAACTCACAGTGGAAACGCTACGGCGGATGACAACTTGGGACATCAAGAAGCTGCAGCTGAATTGGCGCCTACAGCACTCAAATAAGCCGTGCTATTTGGAAGGCAGACACTATCCTGAATATGATCCTGAATGCTGCAAAGATTACTTGAGACTCTACTTCAAGAATAGTGGAGCCATCGTCGATAAGTTGCGATGGCTGAAGGGCAAAGGTGTTGTTCCAAAAAGAATCCCTATCAACATTGTGTTCCAACCTGACTATGCGTGGGTATTGGGTTTGTTCCTTTCAGGCAGGGTCGATGAAGAGGATATATTATATGATCTCGAAGTACTGAGTGCTCTACCGCAGCAGTTTGACAGGCTCGAGATTCGTCTCTCTGGGTCGCTGTATTTTGGCGAGTCATCAGAATCCGAGGAAGAGACTAATTCCAATTCCGATTCATTGGAAATGGATGGCTATGATCTTGCCTGGAAGCAAGTGCACCGCGAATTTTACCGCAAATGCTGGCGGCTAGTAACAAATCAGTTTGTTGAAACCATGAAGGAATTAACAAATGAAGAAGAAGAAGAAGTCAATATACGATGTTGCGAATCAGGAAATTCGGGTCTTGATAAAGACGCAATCTGGAATATGGTAATTGAAGGGCAAAATTTGAGCTAGCCATATCGATGATGGTGGACAATAGAAATATCGTTTGATATGTTTACACAAACAGTGTCTCTGATCATGGGAAAATGCTAGTCAGAACATCTCCATATTGCTTGTACGAGAGACCCATCTTCTCAATGTCGTAATCGTTCCAATATCCTCCACCCGCCAAAGCACCTGCCTTGTTCCAGTTCGTGAACTTTGTCCGCGCCTGCGCTGCAGTTGTACCGTAGACAGGCTTGGAATCATTTGTTACCCAGATCAAAGGCACAACCTTCAACCCAAGGGTACTCTGCCAGCTGGCAGGATTGTTGTTTGCTCCGCCGTCGTAGCATTGTAGGTAAACTCTGTCCATCAGAAGATCGGGCTCCTTCAGTCCTTGATTCAACTGTGTCGTGACACTTCGCCAAAAGTTTGTGTTGGTGTATGGCGCAATGGTGTACTTGTATCCAGCATTTCCAAGCATCTTTGCGAAAGTGACGGTGCTGGCAACATCGTAGAGAGATTCGTCGTCGTTGTTCACAGCATCGAGGCTCCAAGCTTTCTTCAATGCTGCAAAGTTTCGATACAAGGGCGTATCGACGCCCGGTCCTGGTTTTGACATCAAATCACGGACATGTTGTGAGTTCATTGAGATCTCGATGCGATTGATGCCCGTGTCTCCTTCTTTCAGTGAACGGACCTTCGCAGCCAGCGCGTCGCCACCAACGTAGGCACCTCCGGATGCAACTAGAACGTCACTACTTCCAGGGGTGTTGGAGTAGTACATAATGCCACCGTCACCGAGAATGCCTACTCCAAACATGATGACTGAATTGAAGCCAGATGTTTTCAACGCTGTGGTGTTCGATTTCATCACATCTTTGAACAAGAAGATGCTCCGTATGCTCGCAGCAAACGCATACTGCGCGAGAAGCTGCAACAGCAAGAGTCTAGCAAAAGCGTATAGTCTCATCCTTCAATACTGGTGATATTGTACGTCGTGAAACCCGATCGAGTAATTACAGGCGTGGGCTTAGATTTTAAAGATCTCAAAGGTTACATTACATACTTTACCTTCTGCAGGACCCATATAATTCCTATTTTTCCGTTCATCGTTTAAAGAGGGGTTTCAAATCGTTTCTCCACGACTCAAATATGCGGATATCATGTAAACCACTATTGAATGGGTTCGGCTAAATGTATGTACATTGAGAAAAGATGGACTGAGACCACTGTAAACGGCATTAGACCTTCTTTGAGGTGCCAAGAAGGCTTAAGTCGGAATGTGAACAACTGAAATGCCTTATTTCGGCAGGCAGTCGGGAGATCTGCACATACCCTGGGCTGGATGTGTTGTGAGGTTTGGGAAAATGGCACCGATAACTGGGTGGGCCAACGAAGTTATCGATATCTCTAGTACTACACCAGTTCCCATTGAAATCACACTTTCCTAATCTCTACTAGTAGCCTTTGATCTCCTGATAGTTCTATCCTTATCCCATGTCATTTTTTTATTCTACGGGCCGAATTATCTCCCTCAGCATCAACTATACTGCATTCGTCTTTGTATTGTATCCCTGTACTAAGTTATTGGTTGAAACTGGCGGTTGAATTTGCTGTTTTCAATCAATTCCTTGCAGTCACATTTGGCTTTGTTTTCGGCTTGTCTATGCAATTCGACCTTTACAATTTCTTAGTGACACTCCTGCACCAGCCTCTTATTTCTACATGAAGACTTCGATGATAGACTCCATTCATGTCTGGTGAGAAATACAGAGCGATGTCAAAGCTGTCCATGATTTCTTGGAAAACGTAAAACCTTCGCTCGTTAGGCCTTGCCATTCCAGCAGTTGATCGCAACACGTCACTATAAGTTATATAATAAACATAATGATGCTGCACACGGTATGAAAGACGGATTGTAATTCCTTCAGAAGGGGTTGATACCATGTAAGAAGAGGGCATGCTTGAACTCAAATGCAATGTTAGGTGGAATAATTTCGCTTCTAGAGATAGTAGATGCCCTTACACATAATCATTAGGTACCCAAAACAAAAGAAGACCTGAATACGAAGCAACATGAAAAGTGATCATGGAAAAATGTTAAACACTGCAATGTATACAATTGATTCTGTGTTTTGTCGCGGAATCGTGGAAGCCATTCTACATTTTGGCCTGGTGAGTCCTCCCGAAAGCTTTCTTGATCTCATGATCAGCCCGGAAAATCATTACAATCCTCGAATGACATGAGAAATTAGTCTACGGGAGCTCCATAAAATCTAGCTCACATATTCTGAATTATGGAAAAATGATGACTGTAAGTGAAACAAACGCCATAATCAACCAAAAACCATTGACTTGCGCTTGCCCTGTAGCTTTGTAACAGATTGAATCACATGCCGTCGGATACCGTGCGAACAGAAATCACTAGCCGATCGGTACGTGACCGTAGAGTGTACTACTTCCTTTATTTGGTTGCTTTGAAGTACAATGTTGTTGATTCATCATATAATTCAGAGCTGTCTTCAACATATCCAGGTAGTTAGGGGCTCAGTCGAGCCCTCAACGAAGATAATCATGTCCTTTTGGTTGTTCAAGGAATCTTCCCCCAAAGAAGTTCAGATGTGAACGCTGCTTGATGTGGGCATGATTTCTCAATAGTAACATTCTGATTCCCATTTGAATACGTATGCGAGACCTCGTGATTACAAGGATGAGAAAGTAAACAGGAGGGAGCGGATCATGTTAGAGAGATAATTAGGCCGTTTGGGGTAAGGATCCTTTGTTCTGGTGTGTGGAAGAGTATATATAAATGATATGATATTCGTAACAGGACTATATGCATTGTTTCCTTTTGGATCTATGTATGCAAATGCACCGTAATCGTCATAACTCCGTAAAGTGCGTAAAAGACAAGATGGTTCCGTAGAGTAAGGAGTAAATCACCTCATAGACCGCAGCTGAATATCCCCATGAAAATCGTCATCTCCGTTATTATCAGGAACCATAAGGCCCCTCTCTTCTTCTCCGTTACCTCGTTCCTCCCTTTGAGACGTCTTCGAAGGATCTTGTTTGTTCATCGCCACATATATGGCAGAACCCAAGATCAATGACGAGCCGATGATAGACAACCACCCCGGCGTTGTTCCCCAGACCAGTTTATCAAAGGTCAAAGCGAAGAGCATCTGCGTGTAGACCATGTTGGTAGCGCGACTGGACTTTTCGTATTGAAGGCCTGCGGCGAGGAGGAACTGCATGATGAAGCCGCAGATTCCCAGGAAGACGAGGAAACACCAGTCTCTAACTCCTGAAGGAAGCAGGAAGCCGACCTCGGGGATCGCAAGCATCATTACGACTGACACTATCGTGCACCAGATTGAAAAGTAGTTGACGCTGATTAGGGGATGCGCTCGCTTTCCGATCCATCGAATGGTTGTATAAGCACCTGCGGTGGTCAGAACATGGAAGTAGGGAACAGATTCACCAGTCTTACCTGCAGCGCCGAAGACCCCCAAAAGCGCAACGCCAACAGCTCCTGCACGCTGAGCAGGCGTGACGCTGTCGTAATTTGAAGCAATTGGGGAAGTTGCATTTGTCGGAGCAGGGAGTAAATCGGCATTTGCGCTATCAGGTGGAGGATCTTGAGTGTTTGATAACGAGGTGAATAGCGAGACGGGGCGTGCGATCAGCACAACTCCGAACAAAGATATGTATGCAGCTATCTGCTCCATGCGAGTGAATGGTTCTTTGATGAGATACGAACATGCCCAACATGCTAATGATGGGGCTAAGAAGGTGATGACGGTAGCATCGGCCAAGGGAAGATACATCAATGAATCTATCGGAGTTAGTGAATCCATTCCGTATGTCGTGAAGTCATACTAACAATACATTCCAAAAACGCCAAAGAACCCAGAAAGACCTCTCGCGACAAGCAAAGGTCGGACTTCTCTCATTCCGAATGGGAAATGCTCCGTCTTCTTGTACCACATGAAGAGCGTAGCAAAGATAGCGGTGATGCTCATTCGAGCGAAAAGTATCTATATGTTGTCAGATCCGCGAGAAAATATTAAACGAATGACATCGTACCTGGAAAGGATGATATCCCTTGCCATTGTTGCCTTCAACTTCGAGCATTCGAGTGGTGACGTTCATTCCGGTACCAAAAAGTTGTGAGATGAGTACTAGCGCCAGACCCTTATTTGCCTTCCAGAAGGCAGAGATCCTGCCCTTCAACGTCCGTGGTCTCGGAGCTGGCGATAGAGAATCATGTCGGTGGGAATATTGTACAGGCAGGTAGTCTGGTTGTCTCCCGAGTCGTATATTGTTGGAATCATCAATAGAAATGAGTGATGGGGCTGGGGAGGATGCTCGGATTCCCCCTCCCAAAGTGACGTTCAGAGCGCCCTGGTCCGACTTTGCCGCGGACTTAACAACGGAATACTGAGTCTGCTGGCCGGTAGCATCTTGAGACACAGCAGGCTTGTCATCTGATTCAAAGGGTTTGGACTTGGGCGATAGGCTCATGACGGTTTCATGGAATAAGCCTAGAGTGAAAGATATCGAAATAAAATGTTGGGCGTGTCGTTGAAGAGATTTGGAGGCTATGTCAAGTCGAGCTGCACATCAATCACACAAAAAGTGCGAAGGCTGATGCGGCGGCACGGTAGGTTGACTCAGTCCGTGACTATACGGAATCTGGCGATAGTGTTTCCTATGGCGGTTGGCGGTAGAGCGAAAAGTCATGGCAGAGAGTTTACGAAGGGAAAAAGGCGAATCAGAGAAGAGCATAGGCACTCGTAGGCACTCGTAGGCACGCGACCACCCAATCAATTCCTCTTCGTCCCTCGGATGCCTTATCCCCGGTTCGTTCATCCTTCGTTGTAGTCCGCCACCGAAAGATACCGAGAGAGCCGCAGAGTTGAACTGATTGCCAAAGGGCATGATGCTGATTGAAGTGCTTATGCTGCTGCTGTAAGAGAATTAGGTACCGGATTGTTGGAGATTGTAGGTCAATTGACAGTTACCAAAAAGAAAACAATTGACATTGAAAGTCTTCTTCGGCTATGCGCACTGAGCACATTTCAATCCCTTCTTCTTCACACGTTCCAAACTGTGGGGGCGGTACCGATCCACGTGTTAAGCGATTAAAGTCACACTTCCTGTACCATGGAACTCTGGCGCGTGTGTAACCTCAATATCAACTTCAACCTCATTCTCGAGTGCTATTCATGTTTCTAGTGTCTTATACTTGCACCGGGAACCTGTCCAGTGAATCGCCGATATGGCACTAAGATAATAAAATCCTCAATGTAGAAATCATCCGGCGATTGGTCAGACTCCAGATAAAAGTAAGTCAACTTGGTGAATAAATATGATAGCTTGGAGACCATTATGACGCACAATGCTACCGGAAATATAGTGAAGCTCGCTTGTTAAAAGGACATTTCAAAGCTGCGCAGCTTTTAAAAAAACGGGCTTGTGCCCGTTCGCTTTCGAAATTTTGTATGTGAACGTACATGAACCATATCTTATGTATGGGGGTTCATATCGCGAAGACAATCTTTTCGCGGATGCATTGAAACAATGTTCAATATTTCGCCAACTAATGGTCGATTGTATTGACCAACTGATCATCTTGTGCTCGTTCGGCATCTTGGACACGCATGATGGTGATACATTGACTCACTCGAACGTTGGGAACCTACGCTTGCAAGTATCAATTGAAAGGTCCCGCGAAGAGCATGTAACATCGTATACGGAGTACTACAACCAGTACAACGAGACCAAGCGGGAAGGCAAACATACAGTTTGGGGTTCCGTTCGTTTGCACCATACCGCCATGGTCAAACCTCCTCAATTTCCCCCGTTGATCCTGCAACTCATTCGGCCCTTCTTCTGCGACATGACCTGCATGCTGTTGTAGTCACATCTGCATGTCATTCCACACCGACCGATCAAGCCACCCGTGCCGCATGAAATGGTGAAGGAATGCAAGCTTCCTGGATGGTAAAGTAAACAAGGAGGAATTAAGTTGCAGGGAGTGGGAAGTAGTAACAGTTCGTTCCTGAGCGGTCGAAATCTTCCCCTGTCCCGCAAAGTTTAATCATTGCGTTTCGCAACGAGGCGAACGGGTACGCGGTAACCATTGAACCTTACCAAATGAGACATACTCGCTTCCTGAAAAGACATCCCAATGGCGGTGGGGACGAGAAGGGATAATTAAGAAGTAACCTCATCTAGGGAGCAACAGCGGATCCTAGCGCTGGTTAGTAGGGATGCCTAGCCCGCGAGTCCAACGTTCCTGTCAAACCCACAAAGAGCCTAGACGTCATTCCATCTTTCTCAATCATACTCCGATCAGCGCGAGGTCAACCTTAATGATGGAACTCTTTTCAGACGGGCAGGATCCACTGCTTCGGCGTGAGACGTCGAGGAACGAATAGAAGTAATCGGAAGGCCGGCGCCATGGCTCCGACTGCTAATTCTCCCATATACACGCCGAAAGTTTATCAAATTGATTACACTCCTGACTCCTGAGTATGGAGTCAGATGGGGAGAGATCCACCGGAAAATTTTATTGCGGACAAAAAAGGTTGCGCAGTCTCAGAAATGCAGTTCTCTCAAAAACTAATCCATTTTCAATGTCATCCTTTTCGCCGTGGAGAGCCATGCACAAGTGGGTCGATGGCGGCTGGGATTGCGCAAACTGTAATTACTTTTTAAAGGTGGCACTGGGTGGTCACTGGTGACAGTGACACGCTAAGGCTAAGAATTGGGTGTGAGAGTTCAGGTCCAGACGACCATGCAACTTGCGCTGTACCAGAACAACTCATGACTAACGCGCACCAATGTCTGTTGAATTGGAAATCCGTCAATTGAGAAGTGCATGATCTATTTATATCGGGTGCAGCTTTACAGTGTTTGATAATACGATACTGATATTATATCCGGAGAAGCATCTCGTAAGGCATCCGTCTGCCAAATTGCTTTCAGTACCTCCCACCGTCCGTATTCGTACAACCCATGCAGGCGAAATGGCGGCCGGCAAGGACTGGCAATCTGTCAAATTATCTTGCAGACGCTCATGAAACACTTTAAGGTTTGCAAAGAGAAAGAACGGCCGCCCGGCATTATACTTGGGCAGGAATTCCCTCTTGGGACAACCAGAACGACTCATAAACCATACAATAGTACAGGATCTTAAGGCACGGCCCGGAGCACGCACCTACGCAATACTGGTTCTGTAAAGTTCCCCCAGAGTTGAAGTGTCCAATCACCACGTGGGGAGCATTGGAAGCCGAGCGACAAGCCCTCATGCGAGTATATCTTGCACAGCTTGTTGTTCTTTACGTAAACCCAGGACTGGAGCTGAATATTTGCAAGACGACGTATCTCAGAAGATGTAAATGTTGTTGAGGAGATGAAAGGGTAGCCGGAGTGCTCCTCCGGCCAATTCGCGAGTCAAGTCAATCAGGCTGGCGATTCCGTCACTTTTCCACATCATCAGCTCTGTGACACAGCGCATGCATCTCTTTCTATGGCTGCCCAAAGGTAGTCTCGCCCTCCAATTCTTAACGCAGTGACCCAGTCCAGCAACATCCAGCCTGCGCGTGATCAACACGGGCCAAAGATCGCTGGTCGAGTCATGGAAATGCAACGACAGAAAGGGTACCACTTCGGTACTAGTGTGCATTGCGCCCTCGCCGATGATGCGGAAGGATGGTGAGGCGGTTATGGCGTAGCCATTCAACAATGCCTCTTTTGGGCATTGCATTGATGAAGAATGTCAATTTCCGTGCAACCCCTTGCCGTACGGATGGAATTCTTGGGCTCCATGAGCGAAAAGAAGGGAAGTCAGACATTTGGCAGGATCTCTACACCGTACTCGTACTCGTAGGCTGCAATGGGAATCCAGCATGGGCTACCAAACCAATCGGTTGGTCCCTGCTCATGCATATGGTGGGAGGAAAACGAATGTAGGCAATGCCTGTACCATAGTTGCACCCATGCCCACCAGGATCTCAAGATGCACCTCTGGAGAGCCCACATAGCAAAGCGCTTGCCACTTCGAGATAAGTCCATTAATCATTGTATGCGGCGCGGCATGCTTTTTGTTCGCTACGGTGTTGCAGGCTTGTTCAGTACGATCTACTCAGAAAGCCATAGCGTCAAGCTGATTGGTATGCAAACCGATTGAGATTTGATGAGACCTCACTCAACATATTACATCAGATGCAAACCAGGAAAGGTCATAATATCAGAAGGTATGTGCCATAAGATGTAAATCCTGAAAGTATAGTATGAGTGCGGCAACATTGGGCACTCACGACACTCGAATGATGACCCGCTGCAGGTCGCAGTTCCTTCTTTGACCTTGGGTGCTAGGACCACGCCATGATAACAAAGAGGGGTGCATTATGTTAACTGGCAAGACCGTTTGCGTTACACAAACTCACACATCCCCCGCTGAATCCCACGAGCGGAACGAAGTACCAAGCGTATCCCTGTCCGACAGTTTAGAACAGGGTTCTAGCAGCTGGCACTCACTGGAAAAGCACATGATCGATGTACGGATCTGTGATATGATGGGATATCATTTCCAACTGTGGGCGGCGAGTTGTCTGATGTGAAGAGTTTGAAGACGGGGACAAGGGGATTCGAAAAGCAATGCGGGTAGAACATTCGATCAGCCACAAAGGCAACTCAACCCCCCATGTTAATTGGTACGTCTCTTGGTCGCGTCCATAAAAGAGTTATATACCTTGTACGCAATTATGCCTGCTCATGCAGAAATCGTCAGCTTTTCTATCACGAGGGACAAAGACGGGCTCGAGTCTCGCATATTCCCGATGCATATAGTACTCATTCTGGAAAAGTTACAGCCATGGAGAACCAAAACTTGTTTCAACCCTTTAAAGTATGTGTGGAGGGAGATCCCTAATTCGGCACCAGTGGTGTGGTGCATATGCAGAGTAACCATGGTATACCGCACTACGTTGTGCTGGCGGGCTTTCCGGGGCGACGATAGGATAGGTGTTGCATACTTTACGAACGGAAGCTAGAGTTCTTGAACGTGGGATGGTATAATTTCACGGTGCTATAGCATGACTTTTAATACGCGCCGGTGGTGACACTACTGCGGGGGATGACGGTAAAGATCTTATCAAAGGAGAATAAGGTGGTTAGATGCTTGCTCTTGAACCAGTGACGATGCACTTGATTTGTGAGCACGAGCGCGGGGAACGAAAAGCGAGCTTTCAGAAAGCCTGTTACCTGCTTTGGACCGAGCCACAGCATGGTCAATGATGTGTTCACTGTAGTGGGACGATGTCAGTACAGGCATGATCCTACTCAAAGCGGCACTCCTTGTATCTGTGCCTACAAAGCCACTCTTTCTCAATCTGGCGGCACGAAGACTATCGCTTGCCCTGAAACCATGAAACTTCTTTTAAATACCGGCATAACGACTACCAACGCCGTGTAACCCGACAACAGCGGCATTTCGTAGCTGGCTTCTCTACCCTGTTGAACAAGGCCAAACTCAGTGCCCACCATGCATGTTCAGTATAGATACGGCATCCATAATGGTAACTCCAGGGACAGGACAATGTGGCTCAAGTAGTTGGTTCGGGGGCTCATGCCGTACCCACACACATGTCCACATTCGCACGGAGTAAAGGGAACGGATATGTGGAATATACTCGCAAAGGGAACGGTATTGATTTGCCCACGGTGCTGATCTGAGGGCAAAAGTAAGGCCATGGTGCCGCCGGCCCAATTGTGTTATTCTGGTTTCCCACACTACCCACTATGCTGGACCCCTTCCAAGCAACGACCTAATACTGTCAGTTGCGAATATGGGTCGATCTCCATTTCGAGGCGCCATTGTGCCCTGAACCTTTGTTTCCCCACTTCCGCTATTGGTTTCCTCATCCAAGAGCAGCGAATCATTCGCAGCCAAGACGTGGCGGCGGTACAGCTCTGCAATGCCACTCTTACCCTGCTCTATATCATCGACATCACTCACGCCGTACAACCAATATCGCTGTTCCGTCTTCCCGGATCCAAATGACTTCTTCAATGCGGGTACGCCGAGATAACTTGCGGTACCATTTTGGAGATCACTTGATGACGTCCCTGCGAATCTCGAATCTATTGGACGACCAAACGTTGCCAGTTCAGATGGGAAAGCCAATCCACCAATTCTTTGTAGATCTTTGCCACGGGAAAGCTTCCCGTCAATCGTGAAATTTCCACCCGCCAGCTCACTGTACGTTGAATAGACATATAGCGGATAAACATACTGTTTTGAATACCCGCTATCAGAGGCAATGTCAATACCGGATGTGGATTGGTGCGTTATTTGGTCATTTCCTTTGTTGGTGAACAGGCCATCATTGGAGTACGTTAAATTCTGATACCAAGAGACGGACCTCGATCCAGTAGAGGTTCGGATTGTGGACTTGATCTCAAGATATCGAGAAACAGATACAGAATACTCCAATGATTTCGCGGTGCTATTTGCATCTCGGCTCACGGATGAGTGAAGCTTTAGTGAAGGAGTGGGTGAATCGATTGTTGGTCGCGTTCCCGACGTGATGCTATCTTCGCTATCCAGCCACAGAAACAATTTTCCAGTTACCACCCAATTTGAGCCCACGGTATTGGTCAAGAATCCGCGCCCGCTCCCGTCGTTATCGATTCCGGCAACTCGGATCTCAAAGGTATGCTCCTGGCCATCCGATAATATGGGTAGAAAAGGAGAAATATCGATTTCGTCTTCACGTAAATCGAATGCATCGATTCCAACAACAGGCCGCCAAAATCCTGGGACAATGCCTCCAGTGAAGATGACTGGGAAGGGCCATGATACACCAGCAAGCGTTCCGTCAATGTACAGCTCCACTTCTCGCCATGGGGAGTGCCCATAAAGCGTGGTGTCATTGCCGAAGGTCTGCGTGTCCGACCATAACACATTACTCCACCAAAACTCTTCGGCCGCTTGACCACAGGCAGCGATGGAGAAAACGGCTTTCCGGGCGTTGCGCGGCAGGACCAATGAGTTGAGGGCCTTAGCTTCGGGGAGTGCGAAGGCGCTCGGGCTGTTTTCAGCAGACTTCCGGGCAGAGACAGGCATGATCACATCGGCTGGGTCCACATCATCTGCAGTGAAAAACGTCGCCGTCATGGTTGTATTCCAAGATCCAGTGTAAGTGTCGTCGACAAGGTTGCCCAGGTCAAAAATCAGCTTATGTGGATCTTTAAATAGAGTAAGATAACCACTCATATCCTTGGTGTACGTCCAGACGATACCGTTCTGGGTCGGTTCTGCTGTCGAGGTGCGCCAGACTTCCGTATCGTCTAGGAACATCAAGGCAAGCCTATCAAACTGCCGCCCAGATGACGTGACCGTGAAGTTGATTGTTATGCGGTTGAAATCGCAGTCTGGAGGGGTGTAGTCTCCGACAAATGGCTTTCCGTATGACCAGGCAAAGGTGTGCACCATTAATGTCTGTTGACAGCTCGGGTTTGATGGTGACAGAATCGGCGGAGAAACCTGGAGACACTGTAGTGGCGCCGTGCTATTCGCGAAGTTCTGAAGAACTGGCCCTGAAGCAAGCAAATCGGGTCGTTGCGATAGAAACCCACCCAAAACTGAACGTGGGAGCGTGATTAGTATTAGGAAGGACAAGATAATAGGGGATATCCGGTATCCAAACGTGCCGCCGTGAATTCCTAGCTTGGTACCTTGGGGCAAGCCCAGGGACTCAAGTTCGTGCCTAAACATATCGACAAGCGGAAGCTATCTCCTGGCTTTTCTCCCGCTTCGCCAGAGGTGCTTCGGGTGGTAAAGGGCAGGTATACGGTTAAGTGGCCCGAACAGAATTTGTTGTTAACGCCGGAAAGAGGTATCATAAGAAACATTCGCCCAAGAAACACTTTCCCCTACTGCACAATATTCGCTAATGAAGCTTTTGACTGAAAACGCTATCAGTTATCAGTGATGGCCCTTTGAATTGTCCGCCTGATACCTACCTCAGGAAAGGTTTGAAAAACTCCACGCTTGCTGAAAATTGTTAGTCAAAACAGCTTGGTGGACAATGTATGGAGAGCATACAAAGAGTTGACACCGATTATGGCTTGGGAGCATCCCAATACCTCCTTACCGCCGAGCGGACTAGTTCTGAATCCCCGAAGCGTGATTTGTAGTAGTTGAAGAGGGCGAACTCGTCTGGTGGAAAGATGTATGTGTTTGGTTGAGCTTGTAACTTCGCCCAAACCTCAGCTAATCTTCGTTCCAGATGCTGTGCGAGGCGTTGGTCAACTCCGCCTTCGCTATTTTGTGCAATGTGAACAGCCTGGCTGAGAGTGAGGTAGCCGTGGCCTGCTATATATTCTGCGTTACCACCCATGTCTGAAGAACTGCGGCAAAAGATAACAATATATTGCTTAATCTGCACGAAACCACTAGCCGAGAATGGAGTGGGAAGGAGCGAACGCAGACGGATTATAAACCCAGCTAAAGGAACAGAGGATACGGCAGGTGTGATCGATGAAAGGAAGTAAAAGGTAGGAATGTGAAGTGAAGATAGGCGTAAAAGTGAAGTACAGCAATTGGGCTCGAGTGGGGATCGTGCGGGAGTGGGAATATATACGGAGACGGCGTAGACAAATCAGTTCAGAGATGAGATCAACCCACGTGGAAAAGACAGGAAGATCCTGTGTAATAAGTCATGCAGCAGCGTAGGGCAAGGTGCTTAGCTGAAGCCTCAAACAGTTGGCTCCGGGAGAGTGCCGTTTTGGGCGCTTTCAAGGTCTGAAGCGAAGGGTGGGTGCGACACGATGCTGCAGGCCATCCGTTCAACGGCCGAGTGAGGCAGAAACCTTAGCTCGAGAGACAGGGACAGCGGTGCTGCCGAGCTTCGAATTGTAGAATTACCAGAGTCAGCCGGGCAAGGTGGGTATGCAGGCGGCCGTTCTTGTCAAAGAGGAGCCCTGACGGCAACTGGAGATGATGAAGCGCACCAGTGCAATCGGTGCAAGCTCAAACCACAGAGAGGGCGACCCGATCAAGGGGCTACTGCGGCCGAGTAAAGAAAGAGCAACTATAAGCCTGGGTAGTTGAATAAGGGGAGTCTTCACTCGTCAGCAGCTCGATACCGATGGGCCAAAGTTTGCGACTGGCGTCGTAACAGGGCTGGCACGCCGAAAACTTTGTTTCGCGGCAGCAAACCTTCGCAGGGCCCCAGCACGGAAGTCTCGAGCGCGAGCGACAGGACGGGCTGCAAGCCTGGTGTGTTGCTCAAATAACAAACAAAGCGGGCGTCGGATGCAGACTACAGCGCGGGCGACGAAAAGCGGGCCTTCTTCTTGGGGCGGGCGAGCGAGATGAGGGATGGAGAGAGGGTCGCCCGACGTTTGAGTGGATGCCAAAGTCGAGTTGACAAAGGTCGCGCAGGCCGCAGGGAGACGTGAGGTTGAGTAGCGCCGTGTCGGCACTCGACTGGTGGCGTCGGAAGCTGGGGAGGTGGTCGACTGTAGAGCAGTGTGAGGCGTGGACTACAAAGGAAACAGACCTCACGCCTGTGGAAGGACGGATCCTAGTAGCACTCGCGCAAGTGCACATCCATGTGCATCCATGTCAGGGTCGAAATAGGCTAATCAGACGTTGTGGGATGCTGCAAGTCGGTTGCGTCCGCACGACATCAAACGCCCCTCCATCCAGGAACTTCCATGCGCATGTGGGCCATTACTCGCGGCATCAAGTCGACCATTGTCAAGCGTCATCAGGTGATTCCCAATGCTGTGGATGCGAGCCCAGAGTTTGGCCGACACGATTGCAAGAATTGGGTTGACTGGCTAGAATGGCTCGGCCCCAGGGCGAGCAGTTCGCAATCCGAATATGTAATTGATGTTCTTTCCTCTCTTTGGACTGCACTATCTGTCACGCTCTCGCAGTTCTTGTTCCATCATGCTACAATTCGTGTGTAGATGTGTACACATCCATCGTTACGCATGTATGTATCGCATAGAGTGCAGGGGTGTGAAGTGTGCGAGTGGAAGGACAAGGAGGGACTGGCGACGTGCCATGTCCAAGCTTGCCCCGCAGTTTAACATTCATTTTTTGTAGACATCTTGGGCATGCTCCTAGGTAGGTGCCTGGCCTGGCAGCAAGCAACAATGCCGCGATCGCCGTGGCCCTGCTGCAAATACATGCTGACAATACCCAACCAACGACAGGACGGCGACCAAGCCGCGCCATGGTATAGTCATCAGCTAGTTAAAAAGCCTTCTTCCGTGGCATCAAGCAACAAGCATCTTGTGACAACTGATGCCAAATGTCGTGGTGGAGCTCTGTGCCGTTCCTGATAAGGAAATGCGAGTGGGGGGAATATGATGGGGGATTGCATTGCATATATGCATATTCGCCCGGACCTGTTGTCCGAGTCGCTTCGAGCAAGTGCTGTGGCGAATTGAAGCCAACGTCGACTTCGAGACTTTTCTGCAAATCCCTTGGCCAACTCATGGCTGATGCACTGTAGCAGGGTTTGTATTTGTATCGATACCGCACCACGTGGTGATATATACTCCCCTGCAAAGAAAGGACTTACTACCAACAGTTCACGCTGGGGTACCTATATTTGCATGACGCAGACAGGAGCAGAAGTGTTGTATTCCAATCGATGGAACTAATATCCGTTCGCTTTAAGCATAATTGCAAAGGTTAATCGCAGGGAGTGATGCACATCGACACAACGAGCAGCGCATGGACGAGTAGACCCAGTCGATGTTTCTTAGAACCGCCGTTGCCGACGAGATCTTGACAGGACGCCAGTGCTAGTTATCATCGTCATGCAGCCTCACCAATTTGCAGCAGCAGGTTGCTGTGGAATTGAGCAAGTACTGAGGCGAGCAGACCTAGGTTACCAGCACTCTGGGCGCTACGGTTTCAGGTCATTCAGTTAGTGGACCTGAGTCGTGCGCGACATTGCCTAGAGCCTGACTGGATGGCGACGCTCTTTGTTTTTGTCTCTGTTGTCATTCTTTCTAGTTGCAAGCAAGTAACCTATTCCGGGAGTGGATGCATGCATGTACGAAAGAAGAATACGAAAGCGCAATTCACACGTTCCTGGCCACGGCATTTGTTACCGATCAGGGGACATGAGTTACGAAGCAGGGGTCCTTGTAGGTGGAGCTGGTCCTTGTGCATCACAGTCGACAACGTCCCAGTTTGGTAACCCTAGAGTCTTTTAGCACATACACAGTACGGCCAGGTAAGGTTGCTCTCCGCTTGTCCGCGATTTTTCGGAGTGGTAATTTGGATGAGAGCGATCGAAGGTTTTTGTGTTTGAGTTGCTGGCGGGATAGTCGTGATGTCTGTCATAGATCTTGAACTTATGTCTTTTTAGTTGAGGTTAGAATTCTGGTCGTTAGCTATGAAGCTGAGTGTCAAGTGCTGTCCGCTCGGAGGTGTTTCGGGCCGATCGGAGCCTCCGTCGAGAAATTTATCCGTGGTATCATCATCTTGATCTCACACGCACAAACACGCGAGCGCATCTCTGACGTCTGTCGTGAGACACGCCCATCTCGCAATCAGCGTCCAATTCTCACCTCCTGTAACCTCATCATCGTAGAGATCGGCTCAGATTAGCTTTCACCTCAGCTATGAGGCCCTCCCGCTCCTTGTCGGAGCAGCTCCTCCGAAGCGTGTTCTATCCAAAGAGCTCTACCCCACGCCATGCAGCTTTGCGAACTTTCTTCACATCATCGCAGGCGGTCTCTAAGGAGGCTCTCTCTTCTAGATTGATCATTCAGAGACACCACCAGCTAACACGAAACCAATTCTTCCGTCGCTTCCGCTCCCTTCGCTTTAACAGTAACAAACACACCCCCTCGCAAAGACCGAATCCTACACCACACCTTGGAAGTCCCGAGCCAGCCCTCACCTTATCGCAGCGCCTAAAGAAGCTCTCACGAGAGTATGGATGGACCGCATTGGGAGTCTACTTCGCCCTTTCGGCTTTGGATTTCCCTTTCTGCTTCCTTGCCGTACGGTATCTCGGTGCAGAAACCGTTGGACACTACGAGCACATCGTTGTAGAAGCAGCGCAGAATGTTATCCGTATAGTGTTCCCGAACTTCGGAAAGAATAAAGGAGGGCAGGAAGCTTCCGTCAGTGGCGATGTTGCTGAAGCCACTGCCCGCGAGGGTGACTGGACTGATGAGCTCGAGGCAGCGGAGGCTCAGAATCAAGGGTCTGGTGCATGTATGATACTTGAGGAACCCAACCCCATTGTAAACTACGCCCTGGCTAATATGTTGGACAGCAATCTGGACTCAACTCACATTGGCCTACGTTATTCACAAGTCATTCATCTTTATTCGAGTTCCACTTACCGCGGCCGTATTGCCAAAGGTCGTCAAGACGCTGAGAAACTGGGGTTGGAATATCGGCAAGCGGAAACCCCGAGCGGGCTGATTCGAAAATTGCACACCCAACGCGATTTGACCCCTGCCCAATCGCTATGGCAATGCAGTGCTCGAGGCTCACTTTGGACTAGACGAGTAATAGGTGCTTGACTTTAGCGAGCGCATGTATGTATATGTACGATAGATGTTCGCCATGAACATGTATACTATGTAATCTATTATCACTAACCAAATCACCTGATATCGGTATTACCTTACCTAATTGTCTGGGAGGAAGGGTGTGGTCGAATGATCACGAACCGCCGAAACCCGGAAAGTCTACCCACAAAAAGATACTGCCCCTGACGCGCAGCTCTCGAACTTTGCTTGAAAGATATTTGCTTGACTCTCATGAACCCGACAGTATGGTCCTCAGTAGATATACTTTTGGCCCAGCAGTCGGACGATCATCCGCACCATATTGGTCTTGCAAGACGGCCACAGGATCCTTCGTTTAACGATGCGCCTCATCTCGAGTCGAGAGCAACAATGGGAGCTCGTTGTTATTGTCGCGCCAGAGTTTCCCATGATCGGCTTGGTGTGTTGCCACGTAGATCCATAACGTTCTGGCTCGGTACATATCCCGTTAGCCTGTCTGTATCCGGCATGGAAGAGTACAATGAGTCTGGTAATCGATGCATAGGTTTGCATGACCTGCGAGACTAGATATGCCTTAGCACAGTCAAGTTCAGATTTGGCTTAGATGCATCACACTTAAGAGGGTACCTGGATCTCAACCCGCGTCCTTTCGGGACTACCAGTTGCGCAAACCGTGGTAGAATTGTTAATTGCGAAGCCTACAGACAGTCAAGAGGTGCTTAGGGTAAAACTATCCGAACCTAGTGGCCAGCGGCCACGTGTTTTGACACTTGAGTTAGTTTCGCAACCCTATCAAACGGATTTCGCACTCCAGAAGTGATCGGTCGGAACTTGGAAGGGAATAGGGGCCTTGCTATAGCTATGAGCGTTTCAACCCGTCACACGCGTTGGAAAAGAACGTTTCGCGCTGGATACGTTGTTTTGGAGGATGTGTATAGAAAACGTCGGATGTCTCCCACCTTTCCCTGTAAAGTTCCATTACAGTTCGCAGCTACATCTCTGAACTTTACTTCAGATTATGTAGCATTATACTTTGAGGACCTCTTTTTTCCAGAAAGAATCACATTGTGTGCGGAGTCCGAAACAACCTTAACCTTAGTCTGTCGCTGACTTAAGTAGGCAAGTAGACGGCGCAATGGTAGCAGCGATCTTGAACGGAAACCCCCCAATAATGGCTATCAAGCGACGCCAACTTTAGAGAGCTCCGCCACGGCAATTGGGTTTGCTCTATTTTGTTGCAACGAAGCAAGAAACTTTATCAAATGCAGTAAAGGTCGGCTGAGATACAGACCGTCCGACTTCTAGTTTGACCTTACACGGGCAGCTGAATTCCCTTGCCTTGGGCTGCTATCAAGCCCCCAGCTTTGATGGGCTGTTTGCATGATTCAGACCTCTTTCTATTGTGTTGTCACATTTCACCTTGTAGTCATTAATAGACATATCTAAATGCGAAATACGAAATGCAGGTACTTTAGTGGGCGCACTGTGTCCGAAATAGTTCTTGTGTGGAGATCGCAATCCTTCGAGAAGGCGACATTTTTGACGTGTTAGCTCTCGACCTAAGACTAGTGATAGTATAATTTCTAAGTAAAAACACCAGAAGCCGGACATAGTGCATCTCAACACGAGTACGGGTGTGCCTTCGTCCAATGAATCAAAATGAAGGCTAACCAAAATTCACACAAACATCAGGTGGCCAATGGTGGCCAAAGACTGATTTGATAATCGCATCGCAACTCTGATTCAGCCGCACACCAGTCCTAGATCGCATCTCTGTACAAAAAAAAACCATATCATGGAATCAGTGTAGCCCATTGCTCTCCAAAGTCACTGACATATTATAACCGTAGTAGGGATTCTTGCTGATATCTGAGGATTCCAATGCACTTTCGTGATTAAGTTCAAAGTATGACAGCCTCGAAATTTCCACCGAACGTACGCAGCTTCTCCACTGGCATGCAGCGATCATTTTGGACTTTTAGCTGCCGATTAGATTGCAACAACCCCTGAGTCTAAATGACGTATATAATGTAGTGTGAACACCTACAGTCGTAAGCTCCCATCTAATCCAATCATCTCTACTATTGTGAACCATTGTTGTCTATTCGGACCGTATGCCATGAGGTATCTTAATGATCTCCGCCACGGCTCATGCATGGCTTCCGCGTGCCGCTTCTACCAACCACGTTTGGCAAGCGATTGAAGTAGCTTCCTTCGGTCCGATCAGGCCGTCTGTCACTCTCACAACATAACTTCATATGGAACCACCATTTTTCGGGAGGTTTCTTGACTTTTTTTTATGGAGACTTTTCAAGTTATTCTCCTTCTAGATGCGTGAGGACATCTAACGTACCATTGGCTTAAGCTCTTAAACTGGGACTTTTTGTGTGATATACGACTATACGACCCTAAGACCATCCTCAGACTAGAGAAGACCACTGGCACAGTAGAATAGCATATCGGGACAATTCAAGTCCGCAAACAGTCCGCAAAAGGCAACGAAGTCGAGAAGCTAGATTCAGGCGTCCCGGAAATTACATGCATACAAAGTCTCTTCGGACTCCATTCCGGACATCCGAATCTTGCCTTTGTCCTCCTCATTCGTCCAATTTGGGTAGCGTCGACCACCATCCGACGCCCACGTCCTCCAGGTCCTACCCGCTTCAGATCGTCGGCTGGAAGGATCTCGAGTCCTACCACCTTCAAATCATCGGCTGTAGAGATCTCGATCAGTCATGATGAATGGGCAATGCCGATCCTAGCCAGCGAGTGCCCTGTGAAATCTTTGCGCCTATTCCTCCCGTTTGTTGATCTTGAACCCAAGAGCCTCGCCCTCAGTTCTCACATATGATGCTCCATCGCGTTTGTTGATCTTGAATCCGAGAGCCTCACCCTCAGTTCTCACGTATGAGGCTCCGCCTGCTTCACGTTTGTTGATCTTGAAACCAAGAGCCTCGCCCTCAGTTCTCACGTACGCGGCTCCATCTGCTTCGCGTTTGTTGATTTTGAAGCCGAGGGCCTCGCCCTCAGTTCTCACATACGAGGCTCCTTCTGCTTCCCGTTTATTGATCTTGAAGCCCAACGCCTCCCCGTTGGATCTCACATACGATGAACTCCCATCTTCAACCTCACGCTTATATTCTATCATAAAGTCAACATAGAACTTGGCCATCAAATTGGTGTCACGGAGAACTCACCAGCTGGAGCGGCAATGACTGCGGATCCGAGGACTGAAGCGACCAGGAGGCTAGAGAACTTCATGGTGACAAGTAAAGTATCAATCGAAGATGTACTGTGAACCTGATGATGCTAATGCTAACCAGGCCAGTGAAGCTCCTTATATACTCACGGTACAAATGGACATGCAGCAGCCATCAATACGAATGACTAGAGCTGCCTTTTTTTTTTGCCAGTGTTTCTCGAGAAACAGCCACCACCCACCACCGACAAACGCTATCATCCTTCACAAGATCCTTCAGGATAAGACTATCCTACGAACACAGAGAATCAGCGTCCATCCCTTCTTCTAGACCAATACTCGAGCGGGGCAACTGCCGTTGTAGTCTTTGGTGATAATATACTTATTTGACGATGCGGACCATCCTGCAGCTCGGAACATACTTGTATAGGATGGAGAAACTCAACCCTCGTATAGCCATTGATGACCTTCCATATACAGCTTTGCGCAGGAATTAGAATGGTCATAGAAAAGGTGAGCCCCAACTCTGGACGCCTCGGCACATGGTGTTCTGAGGAGGGTGCCTCCGAGACGGGTGAGTATTCTACGAATCAGCGAATGATTTCATGCCTTGTCTGCAATCCTGCACGCATTTTAAGAACCGTAGTTGGGGTTGGCATCGGCAATTCCACGGATGCGCGGGTTTAGAAGCTTGGAATGATCAAGCTCGTGGGCTAGTTGCAGTCTGAAGATAAGCATTGATGGCGCTTAATTCCCTATTGTGATTTCTGTTGGCTCCGGTGGTAGTATACATTGAGGGCCTTAAAAGCAAGGTATCGCAGAGAAAGTGGGTGTTCGTTGTGATTGGTGATGTACGGGACAGAATGGCTATGTTGCCAAGGCGATCAAGTCACAATGGGAAGGTCGAAGAATCCTTCTCGCATGCTTTCCAAAAGAAGATAGCATCAGGCAAACACCTACAGCCGACATTTCAATCTCAAAGTTTTCCATTGACAACTTCATACCATGTCATCCCCTTCGATCTCAACTTGCTCCCTCTGCACACATCATGTTTGGGTCGCGAAGTCCTCACTATGAGAAGGTTGCACACTCAGATACAGAGGCCGGTGAAGAAGCGCCACGACAATTGAAGAAGTCTTTCATATCAAGGTCTACGACCTACTTCAATTTCGGATTCTTTGTCGTGAATACAATAATATTTGTAACGACACTATGGGCAAATGGCCGAAAAGGCGCCAATTGGGCCCTCAAACAGACGAATTATGACAGTAATATTGAGCCCCCATGCTTTGCTGTGTTTATGTTGACATCACGAAGCTCCCTTGCTGGATCAGTTCACGTTCAAAATGACCGATGTCAAGCAAAATGCCAGTCTATTCAACGATCCATTCACAATATACAAAGCCGACCCATCCCCCGAGGTAGATGCAGCGTGGGATGCGATTGCAGACACACCAGTGCTTGTATTTTCAAAAGAGGATATTGTTAGAATTGGGAAGGATCCTGAATATACAACGTCAGTGCCGGAGGAATTTGGTTAGCAACCCTTTCAATCGTGGTTTACTTTACTCAGAGAGCTGATTTGGACGTAGGGTATGGGACAGACAAATACTTTGGAGTCATGGACGGCCAGCACCTGATACACTGCCTGGACGAACTGCGTAGATTTGCGCACTACGATTACTACTACCGTGAGAAGTGGGGAGATATGTCAAATATTCCTCCTATGCATGCTGCACACCGATCACATTGTATTGGTGTACTGCTGAATGCATTGAAATGCCAACCAAGCTTGAACATTGTGACTTGGACATGGATGGAGGACCAGCCAGAACCATTTCCAGACTTCAATGCTTGGAGAAAGTGTCAAAATACGGACGAATTGTTTGAGTGGATAGATAAGAGGCAAGTTTCCAGACAATCCATCAAGGACTGGGACTGGAAGAGGCCAGAAGGCCAGAAAGAAATTCCATTGCTCCCCCAACTGAAAGAAGAGGAGGGTAAAGGGGGAGAAAAACACGCAGACTTGGGCGTGGCACATAATCATGGGCAAGGACATACACACGACTCTTAGTGAGCGTTGGTAATCCAATGGTACTCTCAATGCCCTCCTAGAAAATTGCCATGCAATTGCTCGCCGAAGAAACCCCACCAGGCATGTTGAATGGGGTTGAGCTGACAAAAAATGACCACCTGCCCAATTCCTGGCATACCTTGGAGAGGCTTTCGAGATCGAATAGCTCACCAATGGGCATACCCCAGCCTGCAAGAAGATACTCATGCAACAAAAGCTTCACATCCTTAGGAGGGTACACTTCCCATCCGATCGAGTCTCCTGCAACTGCCGCAAAACCGCTATCCCAGTGCCATCGGATCATATCTTCCGTAACCTCTAACCCAGCATGTTCAGGAGTAGGGTTCGCTGCGTAGGCTTTCTTGTCTTCTTCGTTCATCTTAGTGTCCCATTCTCTTGTTATGCCGATCCTCACAAAAAGAATATCACCTTTCCGAAACTCAATGTTACACTCCTTCGCAATCTCCTTGATCTCCGACAATTTGACCTCATGTTTCGAAAACGACGAATACTGAATACCCTTCCGCTCGGCCCACCACGCATAATCAATGAGTACACCACGACCTGCTATACCTTCTTTCGCCCAATGGTGAATTCCGATTCTAGTGTTGCTTCTGTCCATAATCTCTGCAATGGTGGTCCCACCGTAAAAGACACGCTCAGTTCGCTCCTTTCCGCCTTCTGCCGGGTTTGGCATCGAAAAATGTCTGAGCCCATCCCATTGACTGCTTTGCTGTGGGTTGAAATTGTACGTGTCGTCGTAGATAACGCCTTCCAGAAGCGGGACAATGTTGTGCTCGCATGCTTTCCGATTGAAGCCCGCCGTTTCCAGCTTGGTGAGCTCCCAGTTTAAGCAAACCCTCCGCCCGGTCCGAATTTCTGCGGCGGCTCTAGCGACGACGTCAGGTGTGAGAATCGCGAGTTTTCCAAGTCCCTCTTCACGGCTTCCTGGGGTACCCTGCCAGACCCGCTTTTTGTCAGGGAGGGCATCGTACGGCGTGTCAAAGAGGGATGTCACGTTCTGCTCAGTCATCTCTTTTGGTGCTGGGGATTGTGATCGTCCAGGTATCCGTGTATGTGTATTAGTGTACTTGTATGTGAAAGGCGGTTTCGCTGGCCTTTTTTGGTCTCGGTTGTTGTTCGATTGTTGGCGAATGCGTGCTCGGGAACTAGAAACAATCGAGTTTAGAATATGCAATATCACACCATGATCCTTGAGCTTCGGAGGGACGGATTTTCAAACGTCTTTGTAAATCAAATACCCCATGTTGATTTGCTCCGAGACCAGCGCGACTCAGGAAACCTGACACAGTCATTAATATTGTATCATTGGAGGGGGAAAAGGGCCTACTTTTGTATCAGATGTTCAGGCACAGCAGCTCATCTGGGAAAATTATTCTTTACGCGTTTCTTGAACAATAAATACCCTCAAACGGATCACAACGGAAGCATGCGAGCGAAAGCATTGGGACGACAAGTTAGGATAGTTGTGGAGATAAAGAGGGCCTTCCCGGGATTAAGTGGGGACGGCCCGCGTCAGCTTGATGATATGTCATCGAAGTACTTTCTGTGTAGGTATGATTTCAATTCTAGGTCAGTAAATTCATCATGAAGCAATTGATGGTCACTAAAATGAAGAATATGCATGCACGCTCGTGATATCAATCTCGACCATTAATCGGACACGGAATGAGAGATATAATTTGTATGGTTTGTGATGTCTGAAGCGAATTGTCCTGAATTGTGGGCATTACTAAAATAAAACAGATAGATTTGTCGTCGTGAAAATTCACAATGAAACTCGCAACAATTGAATCATTGCTCTCCTCCTAGAAGTTGACACATGGTGCTACGGGGCACCGCATCATGCCTTTACCTTTTCATTCTGCAAGACAAAATCCCACATTGCATCCGCCGCTGTCTTCGCTCCATCCATGTTCCTGATAGTTTCGCCTAATGTCCTCGCATTGGCCGTGTAGTTCGGGTCATTCAAGATGGTCTTTACTGCTTGCCTGATTGCTTTGGCCTTCCAGAACTGTCTTTGAATTCGGATACCAGCTCCGGCGTTCATGACGTTGTCGAGATTGGTCTGCTGTTCGATCTGCAGCGCGACACCGACAACTGGTTTACCTGCTGCGACAGCAGTCTGTACGGTACCTTGGCCGCCATGGATCACAACAACATCGGCCAACTTGTTTGCTGCTGGTGCCGGAATGAATCGATCTGTCACTAAGATTCGTTTATCGCCAGCGGCCACCTTGCGAGCGTCCTCGACATTACATATTGAAGGCGATGCGAGCACCACGACATTCCAATCGTCGTCCTTGGACATTTTGAATGCTTTGATGGCCTCGAAAATCCAATCTTCCGTCCCAGAGCTACCCATCGCAACGAGAATGGCGGGGCCCGACCCCTGCTTCATGTGTGCCGCGATATCAGCATCAAGCTCTTGTTCGTTCTTTGCGTACAACGGACCCGCAATGACAATGTTCTCCGGAAGTCTATGAGCATAGTCTGCATGGAAAATGGGGTGATCGTTGACGATGTTCAGATCAGCCATGTTCATGTCGAATAGCGAAATAGGACCTTTGATTGGCCAACCGCATGCTGCAGCGGCAGCCCCGAGTCTCTTCTGGTGGAATATTGGGGCCTTCAGCATTAAGCCGCTGGCCCAATATGCGAGTCGCTGTCGAGCTGGTCGAGGTAATCTTGTGAAGAGTGGCATCATGTCGGGGAGATCTCTAATCAGTCCATTTCCAAAACTGCCAGGATGCAATGGCACCGGAAGGAAGTTGATAGTTCGCATGCCTAGCATGCGTGCTGCAAGGCTTGCCGGAGCCCACATGCCATGAAACACGACATCAGGCTGCAGTTCGCGCAGTGCTGCGAGCTGCCCTTCAATGAATGTTTGTGCGATCTCTTTCGAGCCAAAGAATTCGGGGAAGTCCCATCCAAGGTCGTGTGCAACGCTGATACCTTTTACTCGTGGCTGAGCGGCCGCAATGGGAAAGCCAGCATTTGTGATGAGGTGTTCGAATCGACTTCCGCACGACAGGAAGGTTATCTTGAGATCAAGCCCTGGTGGGCAACTATCCCGGAATGCTATGGCCATAGCGATTGCTCGCGTTGTGTCGCCAGCATCCTGAAAAGCAACGCTGACGACCATATGAAGATCCGAAGGTGCCATCTTCTTGAAAGAAATCTAGTCTTTGAGAAAGTGAATTGAATTAAAATGCGAAGATCTCAATTGCAAAGACCAGGGTCAAGATATATGTCTTCATCTATAGCCCAGCAATGGGTACCACGACTACGACTGATCGTCCGAGCCACATCCAGTAGATGCAGGACAGTAAGACATGAAATCCTTCCTCCGATGCTCACTCTCCAATTACAGTTACCCTTGTGCGACGTCAACTCCGTCGTTATTCCTCCCGAAACAGATCCACGCCGGGATCGCAAGGACGATAACGAGCCTCATACGCAGGCCTGCGTCAATTTACGAGATAATGGCCCGATTTGTGCAGTTTGTGCTAAGAATAAGATCACGGACTGCAGCCGTGGGGAACCGCAAAAAGCAGTTAGAAATTAGTGGGGTAAGCTCAGGTAGAAAGAGATGATAGCAAACGATCGGCGGGATGACGCTAGGTGAAGTGGTAGCTCACCATATGGCCAACGCCTAGGGCTGACCACTCGTTCTCACAGAAGTCGCAGTAACTACCGTGCGAATTATGAGGTCGCAATGTCAATGCATCACAAGGCATGAGGATGTCAACACAGAATTGTGCAGCAATGGCTGATGCAGGCCCCCCGAAATCCCTCAATCTGCACACTTTCGCTTCGAGCGTCCAACTGCAGCGACAAACGTGGGAGCTCGAGGCCACCCGCCGTCTGCTTATCATGGCCTGTCATCGAGGTCCCTATAAGCAATTGCTTGACGCTATCGGTCCAGGGCCAGCGTATCTTGATTGGCATGGCACATTCGTCTGTAGAACTACGCCAATTAATCGTCAGATTGGAAGCAATGCGAAGATCTCCCAAGCTTGTGGCTTGGATTGGCCAAGATTGATACTCCATGTCACTGCCAATTGCAACAAACTCTACCGTATCTCAGTTTCATAGTCCGATTGCGATTCGAGCTATATGTCCCGATGAAGCCGCTACATCCGTCCTAACAATGTTGAGGTTTCCAAATCGATGAATTTCAGTGGGCTTTTGGCAACCACGGTCTCTGGCCCTCGTACGGCTGAATCTGCCAACCGCGGCCTGGGCTTGGAAGTTGCACCTGTGCTACTCAGGGCTAGTCACGTCTCAGATGACAAGAATGTGAAAGGTGACTGCATCACGGAGCACAGCACTCGGATGCAAAGCACAAAGTCATAGTCAAATGCTCTGAGACTGTACGCTGTACAACATCCAACACTTAATTTGTTTGGGCGAGTAGTCGTCCAAATTACACGCGTTGATGGTGGTGTAGTAGATACTTATCCATATGCAGTCTGCAATTTATATTGGGTTGGTGATGTGGTGACCAAAAATCCCATATCAACCAGCGCTGATCAATACCATTGTTCTGGTATATTTGGACTGACCATGCTGAGATCCATGTCGTCGTTCGGGGAGGGGGAAAGCCGAACGATTTCGTCAAGTTTCTAGATGCTTATTCCATTGATGAATTCAGCTGCTGGTGGGGGTTCAGCCTGACAATGTCGCACGAGGCATGCATTGAAAGTGTTTCCCGTTGTCAGCGGATCAATCATCGTTCAACCTTCAGAACATGATCCACTGAAAGTTCAGAAAGTCGAGAAACCATGTATTGTGCTGCACATATTTCGGCTGTAGAATAGTAAAGGAAGGTTCCTTAATTAATGCATGTCAGAAAGCAACTCTCCTTACTGGTATCCAATGGATTTGCTCTTACGTGCAGCGGACACGCCTGGTTAAGGGGCATAATGGTGGCCTCAAGCTTTGAAGCGGCGAAGTCCCATCCTTTGGTATCAACGGTTGGATACGATCACTTACTTGCAGAACCACAACGTAAAAGTAACATCAATGACTATGAAATCAAAAGTCAACGCTATGCAAATATCAGACCCCAACAACGCCAAATGCGTGAAGATACTGAATCCTAGTAATGATCGTCGCTTTAAGTATGCCTCGTGATGTATCATCTTGAAGTCCTCTCAAGTTCTTCTCTCAGATCTGGATTCATCCTCTTGACAAGGACCCAAGAATACTCTCCCACCATTCGGTAGCTCTGCCTCCAACTCTTCCTCTTGTCCCTATTCGGTGGCTGCAGCAGCTCCCCAACGCCATCACCATCCCCAGATCTCGACTCCCCAGCACCTTCATTCACAGTGTCTAGACGTTCCTTCGTCAGAGCTACGCCATCATTCGCTTCTTCGTCCGATCTCTGTTGCACAGCAGGTTTCTGCATTCCCTCCTTGACACTCCTCCACTCCATTCCCAATGCCGCAGGTAGCGCTAGGCACGCCACAATCAAACACGCAAAGAATGGTCCATTAGTCAGCGCATAGTTATACGCATCGACAACCATCTCCCTCGCACTCCTAGGGACACCATCCAAAACCGCCGTCGCGCCCCCCTTGACAGCCGCCCTAGCATCAACGCCAGGAATCCCCTCCAGCCTCGCCACAAACTTATCAATGAACGTGTTTTGCCCCACAGCCACAAAGACTGCACCTCCTAGCGTCTGTGCGAGAGAGAGAAGTGCCGTGCCGGTGGGAATGTCAGGCTTGGGCAGGACGATCTGAATCGCGAGGTTGGGGTGCTGCATTGTGAAGCCAACGCCGAGGCCCAGTATGACTTGGTATGAGATCCAAATGCGTGCGGGGATGGGGATGTTCCATGTCGTGAGGAGACCTACGCCCACACTCATGAGAACGCTGCCGATGATCATGAACGGCGTGTAGTAGCCGATTCGTTGGACGAGAGCGCCCGAGAGGATGGATCCAACGACGACGGAGAGGACGAGCGGGATCGTTCGGATTCCGGATGCCATGGCGGAGAGGGACTGGATGGCTTGGAACCATAAGGGAATGTACATTGATACTGTGAGCATGGTTGCGCCGACGGCGAATTGAGAGAGTCCGCCGCAGGCGACACTTCGTTGGAAGAGCACGCGGGCGGGGACTGTAGCCGTGGTATTGCGAGTGTAGGCTTGCCAGGCGACGAAAGCAACAAATAGGACGGCGAATACGGTGAGGAGGGCGATGATGGTAGGGTCGCTCCAGGCGTATTCGGTGGCTCCCCATTCGAGCGCGAGGAGGAGACTTGTTATGCTGGGTAGGAAGAGAATCGTGCCCAGGGGGTCTAGCTTCTTGAAAAGATCGGCCCAGGTACCGCTTCTTTTCTCTTTGCTCTTATCTTCGATATTTAAGAGGAATACAACGGATGCTATCGTGATGGCACCGAGCGGTAAGTTCATGAAGAAACACCACCGCCATGTCGCTTTGGATCCCGTGAATGCACCTCCGAGTAATGGACCTGCAACAGATGCAACGCCAAAGCAGGCACCGAACAAACCCTGTAACAACGGTCTTCTATGCAGCGGCACAATCTCAAGGATGATCAAAATAGCTCCCGTGAATATGCCACTGCTTCCGAACCCTGCAATCGCCCGGCCGATGATCAGCATCAGTGAACTAGTGGCCGCGCCGCAGACTGCGCTCCCAGCCTCGAAAAGGAAGATCGAGGAAAGGAAGACGTGCTTGGTTGGGAAGAACGTATATACTCGGCCGTAGAGAAGAATGAAGCCGCAGGACGTGAGCATGTAGGCAGAACCATACCAGCCTATGTCGTCGATGCTGTGGAACTTGTTCGTGATGGCGGGTATGGCTGGACCCATGATCGTGCGGTCGAGTGCTACGAGGAATATGGCGATGTACAGCGATATGAGAATGAGTGCCAATTTTGCTGGCGGGGGATATTGCGTAGCTGGCTGTTCTTGAGTTGGCGCGGTGTTGTCTTCATCTTTTGATGGTAGTGGAGGCGTCGGTGCGCGAGTTACAGTACGAGATGTGTATCTCGATGTTCGCTGCGATTGGGAGACAGGTCGCGACAAGGGATACTCGTCTGGGTCAAGCGGTTCGAAAGAGAAGGTGCTGGTAGCCCTTCTGTGACTACTCTCGAAGTCCTCCTTCTCCTGCATGCTCAGGCTGTGGAGCAAATCTTCGATGACATCGCGTGATTCTCGACCTTTCTTCTGGAGGGAGACAGCCGAATCTGTGATGTCAAAGTTCGTACGCGTCGGTGTAGAACACGAAGTCGACGGAACTGCTGGTGGAGTTGGAGCTGTGAGGGCATTGTATGTCTGCGGGTCCATGCCTGAGTGGGTATGGTGATTGGAATTGAAATTGGACAGCGAAGAGTGTGGTCTTGAGGGCCCCGCCGAGTTGAGCTCGTGAGCCCTATCTGCGTTGATAGTATTCGTGTCCGGGAATGGAGGCACTTCGTCCTCTTCGTCATACGTTGAACGTGACATTCTGGTGTGCAATAGGCCGAGAAACTTCTCAGATTGTGATTGAATGTGATATAGGTAGTTATGTGTACCTCAGAGGCAGGCCGCACAAGAAGTCACTACCAGTCAATCCGTACATCCGAACTTCAGAAGCTTGCGATGATGTGTGCCGGAAAGTCGAAACGACCCCGAGTATGAAGACAACGATCCCAGCGTTGCAATATCAGCTCATCAGCACCCACCCACTCCACATCAGGCGCATGAGCTCATGAGCATCGTAACGAACCCTTCGAAGTCCCGATTCACCGACTCCCAAGGACAGCACTCCACACCCTCATGATGTCCATCATGCTCATCTCATCCCGCTTGCCCCTAAAAAGAACCTACCTACCGAGATGACTCTTGGAAATATTTGCTAGGCAGGCGAATATCGAAAATTGCAAAAACAAAAAACACCAATCAATGATCGTGGGGCGGAAACATTGCATAGTGTTGCATGGCGGATCTGCAAGGTCGGAGAATGGATATGGGGATCCGGTCCGGGGTGGCTGTATTACATTATCGGGCGCTGATGCGGCAAAGCGACGAAGATCAGAGAGAAGGATCAGAAATTGATTACAATAGGAATGCAAGCATGCCGCTGAGCTCCGTGTTAGCGTGATTGGGAAGCATGTGGTATTGTCCATAAAGGGTGGGCATGTCGTTGGACGGAGGATGGGGAGGTACTTCTAGCGTGGGTGCTAAAGAGATAAAAGTCTCCAGCCAACTTGTCATATTATCTGCAGCGACTATTGAAAGTCGGAGACTCTGATATAGCGATTCACCGACTCGGGAATTGAGAATTGAGGACTGCATACTAAGAGTGTGGACGCAACGCGAGTCTAGCAGAAGCAGTAGACGGAAATCAAGCAATTCACATTGTCATGTCGCACAGACCCGGCCAGGTCCAAGTCAAGTCCGGAGTCTCCAATCTTACAGCATCTAACTCTTGCACATACTCAATAGTTACTCAAGATGGAACAATTCGTAAAGCGTATCATAAATCGACGTTCGCTGGCTTCACATCACTAATACTATATACAAAAGATTGGTTCGTTCTTACAAGACTCCAATGATGCAAATCCTACCCGCATTTCCATTTTCAGGTCGCCCAAGCATTGCGCTCAAAATCTCGCTTCGACTTTCTGCTCAGTGTCTTGGATAGCCCACTCACTCCTTGCAGTACGCGACCTGACGGAGTCGACCTGCTCCTTGGTGAAGCCCTTTGCTTGTGTGGCAGGGTTGTATCCGAGACCGTTCGCCTTGCCGACCTCTGCGTCCGACAGGTCTGTCGCCGCCTTACCATCGGCCCTCTTGTAGACGGTGCACACCACTGCACCACCGAGACCAAGGTTGTGCTGAAGAGCGACGGTGGTGTCCTTGACGGAACGGTTGTTGGCCCATCCACGCATGTGCCAGACGAGCTCTGCGCACTGAGCAAGGCCAGTGGCACCGAGCGGGTGTCCCTTGGAGATGAGACCTCCAGAGGGGTTGATGACAACTTTGCCGCCATATGTAATGCCACCCTTTCGGACGAGCTCGTGAGCCTTACCGCGGGGTGCCAACCCAAGGGCCTCGATTGTGACCATCTCGTTTGCAGAGAAGCAGTCGTGCAACTCGCAAACCTTGACATCATCAGGAGAGGTGTTGGCCTCCTTCAAAGCGGTCTTGGCTGCAAGCTCGCTCATGGAGTATCCGATCAACTCAATTGCGCTGCGGTTGAAAAGATTGGGAGTGTCTGTAGCGAGACACTGTCCGGCGATGAGGATAGCTTGCGACTTGAGCTCTGGTCGCTTGTCGAGGAAAGCCTGTGAGACGAGGACGGCAGCAGCGGATCCGTCGGAGGTAGGGCAGCACTGAAGCTTGGTGAGGGGCTCATGGATCATGGGCGCCTTCACGATCTGCTCGAGAGTGTACTCATCTTGGAACTGGGAGTATGGGTTGTTCTTGGAATGGGCATGATTGACGCGGGCAATCTCAGCAAAGTCCTCGAGCTTGGAACCGTACCTATTTCAATGGATGTCAGCGTTTAATATCCTATGCGCGAATAGAGGACCAAAGGGTCGCACTCACTTCTCCATGTGCTCTCGTCCTGCATTACCGAACATCTGTGCTGCACCTGGGGCCTTGGTGATACCCCTAGTTTCCTTCATGATCAAGCTGCTGGTTCCGGTAGGGTTTGCCCTATCCTGGAAGAATGTCTGCAAGCTACCGGGGAACATCTTTTCGAAGCCGACAACAAGCACGCAGTCTGCAGCACCATGCGCAATCATGTTCCTTCCCATGTAGAGACCTGTGGAACCCGTAGAGCAGTTGTTGTTGACATTGTAGACGGGAATGCCAGTCATACCGAATTGGTAGAAGACGCGCTGGCCGCAGGTAGAGTCGCCATAGCAGTAGCATGCGACGCCTTGGTCGACCTCGTCGTAGTTGATATGCGCATCGAGCATGGCCTTGACACCAGCCTCGAAACCAAGCTCGGGGTAGTCAACCTTGCCGCGGGGCTTGATGAACTTGGTCATGCCCACACCGAGGACGTAGACGGGTTGCTTTTGGCCGACCATGGTGGCGGTTGTGAGTATGAGAATGCGGTGTAAGATGGGATGGCTTCTCGATGGAATTGATCAAAACTCGCGAATGGGGATGCAGATAAGAATGAAGTTTGCAAACAGCGCCTTCGACGAACCTGTACGATATAGTAAGAGGAGGGGATAGGAGAAGTGGGTGTGAATGGGAAGGATTGACAAGATAAGTAGGTACCTGGTTGGTAGTTATCTATTCGTTACGGGTAGAGGAACGTGGAGAAGGCGTGAACCGAGGCAGGTTCCATTTGGGGAAAACGCGGGGACCGTCACGGCTACTACGCCCAACTGCTTTCTATCCACCCATCGACCAACAAAAGTCGACGGTTATGAATAGCCGACACTCATTCCATGTGCCTTGATTGCCGTAGCCGTAGCCTCATCCGCCACCATTAACCAGTGGCACATCATAACCACCACATCCAACATTTTCGTCCTTAAATAATGATAATAATCCTTCCGAGATGCGTAGATTCAGCTACTACTGCCAGCCTTTCACTGATGCAACAAGCTTTCGGCTTGTGGTACATGACAATTACAGGATAGGGCCACTGTGAGCCGAGCGAATGATCTGACTACTGACCAGCATAGCTCTAGTCAGGTCTCTGTCGCCTGTGGCACTGGGAATATCTGTCCCCGGTCAGCAATAATACCGTGAAGACCGAGTACTTCTAGTACCCCAATAGTAATCATCTCAACGGCAAACGTCCAAGCCTTGTTGAATTACCGTAAATTGCCGATTAGTCCCCATGGTACTCATAGTCGTGTTCGAATAACACGCATGTGCACGTTTCCGACGCCTCTCCAGGTGCATGATATGATTCAAAGATGATATATTATAAACAATTGTTGGGCGTCATTTATCGACATGTAGTTGATGGCAGTATACACAATGAGAAAAGTCTCAGAAAATTAGACTCGTGAGTCTGGATATCGTTCAAAATGCACCTGTCCACCCACGATGCTCCCTTCCCATATGTACCTTGATCCTCATTAAAAATTCCGAAATTTCGGTCCGTTTCCCATGATGATGTACAAAAAGGAAAATGTCGAAAGCGCGTGCGTCGCTGTGCGAGGCTGGGGATATCTCCCATGAAATCTATAACGCCATGTTCTTAACTCCATTCAGTTATGCAAGACACTAAAAAATAAAAATAAAAGCTCGTTCAGCCATCGTAGAACATCGTCATCAGGAAATGATTTTGAAGATCGTCCGTGCTCATGTTGTCCGATGATTAGCTCTTCCGTTGGGAGCTCCTTCAAGCCATATAGGCATGGTCTCAAAGGTAGGACTGTCGTCGTAGGTTGGGAAGCTAGATGGAGACTCAACGGCTCCAGTAGTTGGGCGACTTGTCGGCGTCCTGGCTTCCGTCCAACTGGACCGTTCTCGATGCTCACAGGGCGGCGAATCTGGGGGAGCACCTTTGTTGCCACTGATGCTGAGGCGCTTGAAGATAGCTGAGAACATTCTCTTCTTCTCGCTTGTCGGCATTGATTCTTGCCGAGACCGTTGCTCTAGTTCGCTCTCTCTGCGCGTTCGTTCGTCCCTCACCGGATCCGATAGCTTTCTTGCTATAGAATATAGATTGAGCCAAACAGGGAATAAAGTACCAGCAGCATAGAACGCGATCACAACACAGAACGCATACTGGGCATTGTGGGCTTTCAAGGCCCCGTACATGATTGGGGGTACGATAGCCCCGCCGCCAATTGCTGCCGTCAGAAGAGCAGAAGCGTCTTTGGTATGTTTGCCCATACCACGAAGGGGCTGAACAAAGATGTATGCAAATAGCGGACCTTCGAAAAACATCAAAAGCACGATCATGGCTGCTGGAACCATGTCATGCCCTGCCATGACTGCAGCTGCAAATGCGATCGCACCAAGGTAAAAGAAGAGTAAGAGGTAACGAGGCTTGATCCATATGTTCAAGAATGCTGCGAGGAAGCGACCTACTGCAAAGCCGGTGTGACCATAGGCTTGGTGCGAGACAGTCTCCAACCCTGGCGCAACGCGCTGAGTGAGAGCTGCAAAAGTCGTAGAAACAGATTCCTGGCCTCCAACGTAGCAAAACTGCGAGAAGATAGCAATTCCTAGCGTAATGTAGATGACCTTAACCTTTGAAGTACCTAGCGATATTTCGGCGTCGCGCGGTATCGGAAGTCTGGCCGATGCATCTTCAAGCTCTTTATCCGTAGCTTCGGGTAGGGGGACGTAGTAATAACAAATCGCGAGAATGACGGTGAATATGGAAATCCCAAGATACGTCCATTGGACATCGATCAAACTGTTTGGCGACGCCTTGAACAGAACCTTCTTGGCGAGGAGTGGCGAGAGGATGCTACCAACGGCCTGTACACCCTGAGATAGATTCAATCTGACTTCGGCATACTCGGGCGGCCCGCAAAGCGCAATGAAAGGATTTGCGCTGATCTCGAGTGTGGATAGGCCTAGTCCAACGATGAAATTCGATATGAGGAAAGCGGGAAACGAGGTGAGAACAGCAGAGGGCCAGAACACGAGGGTACCGCAAGCATAAATGAGAAGACCAACAGTGTAGCAAGCCTTGAAGCCCCAGTAACGAAAGACCAAGCGGCCAAAAGTCAAAGGACCCACAATGTACCCTACATAGTATGCTGAGTGCTGGGCTACCGTCTGACCATGGCTCATATTGGCGATCTGTTGAAAGCGGGCGTTCAGGGCGTCTAGGAGCCCATATGCAAAGCCCCATATGAAGAAGAGGAGGGTGACCATCAGTATAGGGAAAATGGATTCACGATTGGTCCTCAGTGTGATATTCTTTCTTTTGCCAACATTGACGAAATCAAAAAATGGCACCGATCCCCGTCGAGTGCGCCCACCTGTATTATAGGTTGCAAAGGTGGTCATCTGTTGGAGCTGTGGCATCTCGTTCGAGTTAGGCGTCGTTAAGAAATCCATCATGTCTATATGCTCTTCTGGGCCATGTTGTGGGGCTGGCATTGCGACGGGAGGTGGTCGTGTGGTTAGGGGAGAAACTGGGGGCTGACAGGGGTCGGACTGGTTAGATCTTCCTCGCGAGCCAGATCCGGGGCCGATTATATCGGGATGAAGTACCATGTCGTCGCTGGTGTTTGTCGTGCTCTTGTCGCGGATGGTATGATCCAGGATCCAGTGTGGCAGGAACCGAGAGGCCAATGGCTTCAACGCCGGAACGCAACCACACATGATTCCGACATTGATCTCAATTGCGCTCCACATGAATGACAACGATGCGTACCAGGAAAAATCATTTGCATCTCTCGAATCTGTGTTGTCTTCAGCCTGGTGCATCTGGACAGCGCGGAGATTATCCCTGGCTGCCTTTTGTAGATAGGCGATGCGAACGACATCAACCACAGCCACAAAGATACCAAATCCGAACGTAACAACGAGAATAGTCTTTTGCTTCTTGGGTAGTCGCATGCTAGTAAGAATCGGCATGGGTAGAAACAAGATCGCAAGATCGGTGATGATGTTCAAAGGCGCAGAAGACAGATAGATTGTGACAATGCTGGTGCAGGATGCGGTGTCTGGCGTGGGTGAAAGGTAGGCGGCAGAGACTGGTGAGCATTGCAGTGTGTTGAGCAGAGTCAGGGCGAGTCCACCGACATTGACGACGACCATAGTAGCAATTGTCGCCCAACGGAATACCTTGTGCGTCTTTGACAGCGTTAAATAAAAGGTGAGGATCGAGGTCTTGGTCGCCATGAGGGCCGGGTTGTACAGGACGGAAAAGACGTAGGCAGTTTTCTTCATCGGTGAAGACCAGTCGCGGGGAATGTCATGCTCATGACGACCGAGCCCATATCGAGTACCATAACATATGCTAAACGATGTGCCGAATGCCAATATCCATGCAAGAATCATGAAGTAGTCGTCCCATCCTGGCTTCTTTACAATCCCAAATCTTGATATCAAACGGAAGAGGACGAAAACCGTACAGCATACAAGGGTGGCAGCGGTGACGGCGAGTACGGCAGGTCCACGGGTCACCAGTTCGTCGGTCGCCATCTTGTGCAGTTGTCGTGAGGCGATCTAGTACAGATCATGGCTCTACCCAACCAAGGATGAGGTCAGAGGCTGTCTATCTTGAATGTAGTCGATAGCTCGCGCAGAGATCGAATCGAGGCATCCTCCGCCAGTCGCAGATGATTGATATTGATACAGGGAGATGACTGTGGAGGCGACAGCGAGAGGACGTAAGGAAGGTTTTCGAGTGGAAGAAGGATGACTGTGTTTGGTGGAAAGGCGATCCAAGATCCAGACAGATCGGTGGGTACGATGGTCAAATGGCCAGATGGTCGATGGAGGACGAAGACTCGAGATTGATGGGTTGACTGGGAGGAGCAAGAATATGACCAGTGCAGGCTCTGACTAGTGCCTGCTAAACAGCGACCGGATGAAGGACCAGTTGCCTGGTGCTGGGTACCAGGGTCCGAAGTAGATCCCCAGAATACTGCCGCGTCGGTGTCTGTGTGGTGCGTGCAGACGCGGGAGAGGGAGAGGGAGAAAGAGGGAAGACTAATCAGCAATCATGAAAAGCGAAAGGAGGGAGGGAGTGGAGTGTCATAGCCGACGGATGGAACGAGGTGGCATGGTTCCGAGAGCCTCGTGCGATGGAGGGGGGCAATGGACGCCGTATTGGGTCCGAAAGACGATAGTGTATGAGCGTCATTGGGAAGAGATTCAGAGGACGGAAGAGGAGTGGGAGGACCAAGTCACCGTCACCAAGAAAGAGAATTGGCCGAGAGTGAAAGGAAAGAGGATCTGGGTTTTTCTGCGGAGAAGATGACGACGGTGGGACGGAAGATCCCTGACTAGCGCTTGTCCTAGTTTCGTCTAGTGTCTTTGCCCCATCTTTCCACTTTCCACCTCCCATCACGATTCACCATCGACAATCAGACTATTACATACATCTACACAATACTACATCGTACTGACAACTGCGAGTATGAGTACCGCTCCCTGATAACAAGGTAGTATTGTAAGTGTAGAGGAAGAAAGGCTGGAAACAATTAAACATCGCGGAGCTCTGTTGGAAGCCAAGACCTACCCTACTATGCTACTCCGTACTCTTCAGCTAACTATTCCTCCAGACTAAGAAGCATCTACCTATGAGGTGACCGCAAAAAGACATAAACTACCCGCCTCCAGCCACTTGGTCAATCGCCCTGGCTAACTACTCCATAGCTGATGCCAATTATCTAAACTTCAAAGTACCTGAAAACTTCATATCGATTATTGACTTCTGCTTCCCATCTTCCTCACCATGATCAGTCCCTTGCTAGGTCACGTAACCATCACAAACGCTCTCAGTCAGACCAAATCGAATCCCTACATACGAGGTATCTCGATCTGATCAAAGCATGCAATAATCATCCTTCATATCATATATCATTGATAGCCAGCCAACCATCGATATCCAACTAACGGAGATCATCAATCTCTGCGGGGTATCTTATCCTGCTCCCCAGTGACCAGCTAGCAGCCAGTTCGACACGAGCCGTGATATGCACGCATGCATACATGACATGATGAGAGTGAGCACCATCATTGAAGATCTCACATCAAACGAACCCCAACATTGAGGTTGGGGCGCCTGCGATCCCCCTCCAACTCCCATCTCTGCCCAATGGGGAGCCGGGATAGTACGCAAATCCAACACTTCTCAACACCACCCTCCAACGTCCTCTTTAAATCCCTCTTACACCAAACAAGAATAATGATGCGACCAAGTCTGTGGTTCTGTTGGGTTTGTTGGAATGATACGGAGTATAGAGTACGATCGCGTTGATTGAGCAAGAACTACCACAAGCATCACCGTCATCTTCTCCATAATCATTATTATCATCATGCGCTTCATTGTGCTGCGTTTCGCTGGGCCAACTGCCTTGCACATCGTTATGCAGCCCGTCGTACACGCTACCTGATCGAATTCCTTCCCCAGCCGTGCGCGCGCACACAGCGTGCGCCTGTCGCGTGGTGCTTACGTCCTGGCTCAGTCCGTCTGCAGTCTACTCTACTCGTACCTACGCTTTGAATGTAATGGTCTCTCGTAGTGGTCTCTTCCCCCAAATCCGTTGCAATGACTTCCCGCCAAGCGTCACACTTGGGTACGCCTGGTCTACCGCGGAGGGTAGCATCTTGCGCACCGGTCAAAAAGTAGCTCAAAGGCATGCGAGCAATCCGGCATGAGCGAGCATACGAGCAGGTCGCCCTACTTTTCGCGGCACCGCCTTTCTACTCCGTAATAGTCCATACCCTTTCTCCTACTCGTCCCGTACTCTTAGACTCGGTGTCGATTCGGCCACTCCACTATTCTCTCAATACACAGGCCCACATCTTGCCTTTTCTCTTTTGTCGCCCCTTTCGGTAGTTCTTTTGAGCGTGCAAGGGAAAAAAAAAAGCATTAGAAATCGAAATTCCTACCATACGGACGAATGTTCTCGTCCTTTGCAATACATAAATAGAAGCTCAACAAAACGAACGCCAAATACTGCGTCACGATCGTCAGCATCATCACCACGAAACGAGACTGAGATACGAGTACGAAAACAAATAGATAGACACCAAGACATGACCAAACAAGACATGACCAAACAAGACATACAAATGGTCACATGAACCAAACCGAAACCCAGTCATCAGTCTCGCCTCTTAGGCTTACGGTTTACCTACACTTACCTGGCTGGCCCCTCCCCTTCGACGCAGCGCAATCTCTGGGTTGTACCGGCCTAACGAATGCGCCGCACACCTGGCCTCTAGGCTCTCATCCGACTCGACCTCAAGCTTCGCCGCAGCCTCGAGCCTCGCCGCAGCCTCGAGCCTCGCCGCAGCCTCAATATCCACTTCTACTAAACCAGAACCCTTGTCCAGAACAAATCTCGTGACTGCAAACCTAACTGCGACGACAAACTCACCACGTAACACTCTCGTGGTCTTCTTCACAGTCAGTGACAACCAGCCAACCAGCGAACTAACTAAGACTCATACCCATTCATCCATCTCCCCACAGCATCCGATCTCAACACAGGCCGTGCAACTAATTCCGCTCCGTGGAGGACCGAAAAGAGACGGACCCTGACTAACTACTCCATACTCGTGCTACGCTTTCTCTTCCTAGATCTGGAGCGGGAATAATTGTGGATGGTTCAGGGTCCTTCTACTTGCTCTTGGTAGCCAGCTCGGTGGCCTGAAGGTAAGGTCTGGTGCTGTCTGTTCTTGCGCATGGTCGATCGGCCATTCCTCGACCATGTCAGGTAGGATGAATGGAGAAACAAAGTATTGTGGAGAAGCGACTCGACCCTATACGCGAAAACAAATCATCCAATTAAGTCATAGGATCATCACCAATGCGAATCAAGTCAGGGAAAAGAAAGGCAAGTTTTGTGTGAAGGTTTATGAAATGCAGACAAACGCTCCATTCAGATGATATCAATTACAAGAAACGACAACCCTATCAACACCCCCTGTTCCCCAGGCCTGGGAAACAGCTCCCTCATTTATTATGATCCACCTCCCTCGGCTTTGGTATCTCCAAACTTCCCCAACTCTCTGCGCCTAAAACATACACAATCCTTTTCCCCCTGGCTTCAGCTTGAGCTTCTTACAAGAGACCAGCAACACCCATGAGGAGAGCCATGACGCCGCCAGCAGGGGCGATCAAGGCACCGGCAGCACCAGGGCTGTTGGTGGCGGACTGAGCAGCATTGGTTCCGGTAGCGGTGCTCCAAGCATCAGAGTTGGTAGCGGTAGGGGTGGAGGAGCCAGCAGAGCTGGGAGGAGCAGTCTTTCCAGCGGCAGCGGCAGAGGACGAAGAAGCGGCCTTAGCACTGTAATCACGAATCAGTACACGCGCACGCAACCAAAGAGTTATTACATAGGAGGGAAACTTACGGAGCGGCAGCGTCGCAGTAGCTCCTGACCTGTTGGTCGACGGAGAACTTCTCGGGGAGCTTGGGGCAGTTGTTGTAGCAAGTGGCGAGGTTGGTGTAGTTGTCGCAGAGGCAGATCCAGTCGTTTCCTTTGCAGTTGTCGATCTGCTTCTGGATGCCCTCCTTACAGGCGTCGACAATGTTCTGGGCGTCGCAGCCTCCGGTGGAAGCTGGGGCGGCGGCAGAGGAAGTCTGCGCGGCAGCGAGGCTGCTGAGAGCGGCGATGGCGAGGACGGTGTAACGCATGGTGATGATGGTAGTAGTTGGTGGTTGTGTTTGAATTGATTGATCGTATGAGATGATGGGATGGGATAGAATGCTTTTTGATTGTTGACGATGATTAAAAAGTTGTTATTGTGAAAAGGAGCCCAAAGCGAGTGATGGGTCGATTGTTTTTATCCCTGAGGAAACGAAGAATGTAGATGCAGGAAGTAACGTTCAACGACAGACGGAGAGACGAGAGAGAGAAGGAGAGGAAGAAGGAGTAGTCAGTAAAGTAAGAAAGTAGTTATTAGTAGAACAAGGGCGCGGAAGGGGGTCACACTTTCTCCTAACAACACAACACGACACAACACGAAACGAAACAGACGACGAAGAGAGTCAGCCATTGATTATTGTTATTACCCTACCAACCCTACCTACTCCGTGCAGTACATTACCACCCTTTCCCTATTCCATTCATTCCCTTGCTCATGTGGCTCGGTCTTTGCCCGTCTCCCGTCGGCTCCTGCTCTCCTCATTCGCCTCTCCTCAATCCCGTTTGCCCTGTGCTGGATTGAAATTGTATGGATGGGAGTAAACTAACTACACTGTATATTGGTCGAGCATAACAATTATCGTGAGACTAACCCCAAATGGGGCGTTCGATCGCTGCTACGAGAATAGTTCCCCTAGTTTTCCCCCTTACATCTCTCAACGCACAAGCCACAATACAATCCAGCAGCCAGCCAGCCCAGCCTGGACATGGGAAGACGGGGACTGGGACTGGAAGGGGGATTGGAATTGGGGAGTTGAAAGTTGGGGAGAGACGGAGACAGGACCAGATTAATCTACTGGACGCTTTTCCTGTTCATCCAGAGTACGCAAGTATCGTGGTATAACCATAACTTAACATGTCTCTCCCGTTGGTGATACCACTGGGATCCAAACGTTGAATTCGGATCGCCACTCCGATAATGAGGGGTTGCAAAACATTGGCAAAGTAGATTGACTGTATTGTACGAGTACAGGGGTTTCTCTTGGGAGTATCATAAAGCCATTCTAGGAATCTAGCATAACCAACAACCGCACATCCCTGAAAGCATTTCAAACAAGCGGAACGTGGAGCAGCAACAGCAGTAACAACCGCAGCAACAGTATGAATTGAGGAGAGCAAGTCAGCCAACAGTTGACCATTCGCCCGCGCCAAAAACTCAATATCTCGGAGCCACGGGTCGGCCATGCATTATTGGCTCGGCTCTGGGGCGGGCGGGCATACCTAGCCGAGAGAAAATAGCTGGGTGCCTCTCCCTATTCCACACATTTGCTCTGAGTAACGTACCAAGTAATTAATTGTCTACCTATAAAGATATAAAAATGGAATGGCGTGTTCCATGTTTCCCCCGAGTCATGCCGCGACCGGGGTGGACGCCTACTTGGCGTTGGGAAACAACAAACAACGACGATAGTTGACAAGGCTCGCGCGAACCACAATGACAATTATGGCAATGCTGATTGATTTAGGCATACAGCAGTAACGGGACATCATTGACCATCATCTATTTTATGCGGAGAGTAACTATACTTCATAGCCCTCTGTTTTGACCGCAGGCACCGTAAGGTCAGCTCTTTAGTGCTAGGCGAAACATGCGCTCGATAATGCGGTGCGAGACATTGCGAAACGAAACCGTGAGGCGGGACGACATAAGCCAGTTTGTTCGGCTCACGACAGCCACTCTACTCAGCCTCGGATGCTATGCTTTAACATAACTACTATGCGCTTGTATGATCAGCCACATAAGATATAGAGAGAGAATGAAATATATCATCGTAATCCTCACAGCCTCGGTGGCCTACTAACTGGTACAGCAACAGCAATATTCACATGAGAATGGAAGCAAAGGGCAGAGTTGATCAGAAGCTCACCAGGTATATTCACGAGCTACAATCTACCATCTACGCGCGACTATAGTCCCCGTCTATCTCCCAGCGAAGATATCACAATGTCCACCCATCGAATATTAATTGTTACTCAGGTTAAGTCAAGTATACCCTACTCCGCAAATCAACATCAACATCAAAACCACAGACGAGCATCTGCCACAAAACCAAACTCGTTGAACCATGACCAGACCCGTCTCAAGAATACGCAGAAACGACGTAATCAAGGAAACTTCGTCTCTTGAATAGATGAGCACCCGTGTCCATCAATATAGTCCCCACCACCACCACCACCACCAGCGCTATCAACAGTATCAATCCATCACTCCAGAAACACTCCATCGCGTCAAAACTCACAGGCAACAACAGTAAACAAAAAAAGCAGCATCAGCAGCAGTAACGACAGCCCATACATCGCCATTACGACAGAACACGATACAATACTAACCCACGCTCACATGAAGCAAAAGCCGAACTTGACCCAAATCCACCAAGATTAGCCATGTAACAAACACCAGCCACAGGCGATGGGTACTTCATACTACAGTAACCCCTATAGTACCGTCCCATCAGACATAGAGTCAATGAGAAAAAGAAGCGGATAAGTGTACAGACGTACATACCATGGACGATTCGACTAACATGAATGGCTTCACGGGTTGAGTTTTTAGTTTTAGCAGTGTGTCGTTGAGGGTTGCCGAGGAGATCACTGAGGCCGTTGAGATATTAGTTCGCATGGAAACTGGACAGAAGCAAAATGTGAAAGGGAGGATGAAAACAACCCATCTTTATCGACAGTTGAACAGATAGAAAGACAAGATATCAAGCCAAAAAGAGTCACTTCGAGCAAAATCAGACCAGTCGAGAAAATCCAATTAGATTTATTTGGAAGAGAAAAAAGTATATGTGTGACGCCCGCTCCTTGTTTAAGAAGAAAAGAAAAGGGAAAGGGGGAAAAGCAGACGAGCAAAATCAGTGACAGACAAACTACCAACAAATTCCCTGGGCGAGGAACTACCAACCCATCTCTCTTTCGCATGCGTGCGCATCGCACCTACACGGGTCTCGCAGGGAAATAGATTTTGTTTGTACACAATGCATGGGAAACTCGCTCCCCCCCTTTTCCACCACACAGACATCGTCATCCAGATCGCTTGCTTGCTCAGCTTCAATGTATCTCTTTCTAAGTCGTCGCCGACAGAGTCCTCCCTGCTCGAGAGCAACATCACTTCCCCTTAAACAATGAACGTATCTGGCCTCTCACCGTGCCGCGTATATACCATAGCACATTTCCATGACAGAATTTCGTCGTCTCCATTCTCGCAAACATAAAAATGATGAGATTTCTTCAAGTTCCACGTAGGAATCTTGCTGTTTTGTCTTTTTACTCTTGTCCGAATCCAACAGTCTCCTCAACGGCAATGGTAAGTTTCTGGTTGAGAGACTCGAAAGACTTGTAAGGCGGGAGGTCGAGACGGTTGAAACTACGCCGAGCGTTAGTGGATGTATATCCTAATGCTGGGTTTGCAGAATTGAGAGATAACATACCAAGTATGCGACTTGGGCAATTGATTAGGCTCACCAGCCTTCTCAATCGTAAATCTACGCGGTCCGTCGCTACCCTGCAAATCCTTGAATCCGTTGACGGGGATACGCGAGGTACCCGTCGCGAACTGCAACAATCTTGACTTCTGTTCGGCGTCCCAGCTTCGGATGCACTGCAAATTCTCGAATCAGCCTTTCGGTTCGATACCACATAACAAAATGACAAACTCACCTTCCAGAAGTGGACAACAACCTCGTCATTCTCGGTGTAACCACGGTAATCGGTGTGCTTCTTCCAGTCTTCGACATCGATATCGGCGATACCGCCAATGAGGAGCTCGAGCTCACGCTCGTCGAAAACGTTAACTAGATCCGGTGGGATGAGCTCATTGAACCCAGACACGAACGCCTGGAACTGCTCCTCCACTCGCTTCTGAATGCGCCACTCGGTGATGAGGCTGTGATGATCAGTGCTTGCTTTTTGCATAAATGATAGAACTGCGCCACTTACTCCACGTATTCTTGCTTGTTTTCATTCGTGACCTCGATATTCTCGCCTCCAGGCTTCAATTCAATGCTGACAGTCTCGCCGAACCTCTCGTCATCGGTCGAGAAGGTGAGCTCTAGTGCGTCCGTGATGTCGTTGTTAAGCATCCACTCCAAGTTACGGTGGAAATCGGCATCCACACCCTCCATATCTTGGAGAGCGACCTTCTTCCTGAGAATCATCTTGTAGAACGCTCCAATGAAGAAAGCATCCAAAAATCTACGGTGGAAAATCGCTAATCCGACCACGCGACCAATGAACTTGAAGTAGTTGAGATGTTCGGGGTTGATGCCGGAGTGAGGGTTGATTTGGAGGGTGTAGTTGTCGTGGGCGGAGTACTCGAACAAGCAGTAGAAGGGGTTGAACATTTCGTGAGAGAGCAAGAAGAAGAATTCACTGTAGTAGATATTAGCATCGCTGTGTCGAATAGCAACAGGAAAGGACCGAAAAGGTTGTACACATACCGAGAAAGACCACCATAATCTAGACCGTCTTCACCGTCAAACTTGATCATTAACCGTTTCTTCAAATCAGCAGCACTTTGCCTCATGATCTCGTGATACGAGTCCTCGAAGATGTGCGTTCGCCTAACCTTCACATGGCACTGTCCAGAGACAATACGGAGCGCCGGCTGTGATCGGAAGTAGATCAGCTTACGGCGGAAATCACGCTTGTACTGTGGCACGTTCTGGTCCAGGGAGGATGGCAATCGCGGGTCGTCCCAGGTAGTGGTCTTGGTGTTGTGGTCTACGAAGTACACACGAGCAGTGTTCGTGAGGCGCATTTCCCAGCCAGATGGAAGAGGTCCAAGTTGCGAAACGGGTTGCTGTTGAATAGTGCTGTTTCCACCCGTGGCCTGTCCACCATACATCCGGATATACTGCTGCCTGCGTGGGTCGACCCAGGTGGTAGTGCGAGTGTTATGGTCAACGAAGTAGGCTCGTCCCTCCGGAGTATGTCGCTGCTCCCATCCCGACGGAAGCTCTCCAGTTCCAGCCGTGGTGGCTCCTGTAGCCATCATGGACACGGCATTGGAGGAAGGACCTGGAGGGGAGGGCTGGCGCTCTGACAACGTGGGCGAATTGGCTCCGGTTCGGTCCTCGGGCAGCATACGGTTCTGATGCCGGGTTCGCTCCTGTTGCGTCTGCGCGGCCAAAGCATTCCTCTGATCCGTCTCATTGAAACCTGCGCCGGGTCTGATCCAGGTCGTTTGCCGGGTGTTGTGATCAACGTAGTAGGTCCTGCCTAGATGATCTTCCCTGCGCTCCCAACCAGCGGGCAAGCGGCCCTGTGCGTCTTCGAAAGCACTGTATCCGCGTGTCGACGCGCTTGGCGCAGAGGCGCTTGGCGGGGGTGGCCCCATGGCGTTCGTGGGCACGGAAGGTGGGGGTTGGCTGAGGCGTTGGGAACTGTTCTGGGCGGGGGGCTGTGGACGTGCCTGTCCAGGGAATACGTCTGGGTGGAGGTTCTGCGAGGACTGGTGAGGGGTGGAGGGACCTCCCGGGGCGAGGCCGTTGGCGGAGGGGTTGGTCGATGCTGGCGGGCGACTGGCAGTGTTGTTCGCGGGTTGGTTGATGGGTGCGGCCAGATTGGTGGAGAGATTGAGAATGAGCTTTCCGTGGACGACCATGTTGTCGTTTGACTTTTTAAGGTCGCGCGTGAGCATTTCTATAAGAGGGGAAAGTTAGCTTGGTGATGATCAGGGCGTGTTTGTGTTTGTGCATTTGCGGTGCAGCGGGGGCGAAAAGAAGGGTGTTTGATTACCATCTCCGCCGGCATCGAGTTCAATAACGCTCCCTATGCGCACATTGATGACACCCAAGAAACCCTGGTCCTTCTTCTTGAACTTCTTCTGGTCAAAGATCTGTACCGCGAGAACGCTATCTTCCGTCACTCGCCTGTGTGTGTCTATGTTAGCTCCTCTTCTGCACATTGTTTATACGATGCACCGTCTGCGGCGGCCGGGGGGGATTTCACGCACATGTCGAAGCTCTCATTCCAGTAAGGGTTCAGCGTCTTTTTAATGACGCTCGTGGTGCGAGTCTGCTCGCCATTGATGGTAGCGACGGCGAAAGGGTCCGGGAATCCTAGAAGGGAGGAGTGTGAGCAGAATAGCTATTGTTGGGGAGAGGGAGCCAGGAAATGGCAACGTACGAAAGACATCACGCTTGTAGAGGCCATCCGCGGCAATGACTGTAGATGTTGTTAGTGCGATGTTTCATGGGCTGAGAGATTAAAGGTCGGGGGATTCTGGTACGCACTTGTGATCCGCAGGTTGGGTTGGCCGGCACCGTCCATGGTGGGAGGAGGTGTTGTTGCTGTTGAAGATGAAGTCGAGTCGGAGAGGAGAGTGTAGACGGAGAGGAGAAAGGGCGAAGAGGAGGAGGAGGAGGAGGAGGTAGAGGCGGAGAAGGAGGATGCAGCGGCTCACAGAGCGCGCGGAGAGGGACCAACCGCAGGGTGTTGCGGCGATGAAGGTGAGGTACGAGTGAGAGGAAGAGGAAGAGGGAGAGGGAGAGAGAGTGTGGATGGATGGATGAGCGGGCGGGATAGGTGGGTGGATAGATGGGAGGCCACAGGTAGCCTATGAAGGCGTTGTTGTGAGGATAGAGGTGTAGTCAGTCCCAAGAGATGTAGGTTAGGTCTAGGTAGTGAGTAGGTAAGTAGGTAGTTGGAAGTAGTAGTAGTGGTAGTAGAGTGAACTGACCGAGTGGTAGTGAACTGACGAGTAGTGGAGGGGAGGGGAAGGGACGGTCGGTTTGTTGGTTGGATGGGAGGGTGCGAGGGAGGCTGAGCGGTTCAGACGGGGGACGTGCGCGCCTTCTCTGCCCTCTTTTCTCCAAAACAGTGGCTAGGTACTTGACACTCGGTGGTACTCGTGCATGGGTGGGAAGATAGGTAGATGGGCAGGTACCTACATGAACGAGGAACTTAGGTACGGAGCATACGAGCACTGTTGTTCCGCCACAATCGTGGATTCCTGAGCAAAGTGCGTACGGAGTAATCGAGCAAAGTGGAACACAGGCGAAGCTTATGCAATGTCTTGCAAATCTTTCGATAATCAACTCTTCTACTATCGTCTTGCAAAGCTTTTACTATCCCCTTTTCTTACCTTTCCTGGATAGCAATCGCATTCATACCTCTACCTCTTACTCGTACTGTAGGATCTGCTTACATGATATCATATGTACCTACTCTGTTGACCTCCCTCGTTCCTTCCTTCATGATTCGCCCTCATCTTGGCGTTTCTACCCCACTTGACCTGTTTCTTCTTCCAGGATATCAAACTCTCACTACGGAGTACTCGTACACCAAAACATATACTGTGATACAACAACTCTAACAACTCATAACAACACTAACATTTGCATCTAAACTAACACCATCACACTTGCAACACGCACGCTCGCCTTTCTCCGTAACCGCACTCGTACCATCAACGCACCCCTGTCACGTACCTATTCTCGCTCGCTCTCGTTTGACATCATTGCCAAGCTACCTCCGAGATAGAGAGAGCTCATGTCTTCGCTGTGTACCGGATGGACACCTCCCCATAATCATCCCATCACGTCACCCCCTTCCAGCACCAATGGTTCCCTCCTCTAAATGGCAACTCTACTCTCCTGTTCTAGTAAACGTCCACTCATAGACCAATTTTTCGCAATGCTCATTGGATCGCTTTTAGACTTACATGTACGATCGATCAATATCTTTCCTCCCTGATTGCTTGCTCGAACCCAGTATCCACTGCGTAAGTATGTACGTAGTATCAAAGCCACAGCTCCGACCGTCATATCATATGTACCTAGGGCGACTCGACTCTTCCACGAGCTAAACTCCCATGGCTGTCTGTCCATCCGCTCCGCGCCGCCACAGTTAACCTCCCTACCTATGCGCGCTGCCGTGCATATGCGTACGTACGTGCAGTGTGGCGTCGCGCAAACCCATCCGTCTCATCCATCCGCCAGTGCCGAGTCATCCATCCATGTTCTCCTTCCTGTTCTTCCTCTAGAATGCTGTTATTATACTAACACACTAGGTAGGTAGGTAGGTAGCGATCGTGAAATATCAACTTGAATATAATGTCGTGCACGCTCAATTCATACCAATGCTGAAAGTCATTGCGAAGAAAAAGAAGAACAATGAGAAGAAAAGGGGCCCTCTGTGGTAGTGTATTCTTTGATTCGCCGCTGCCGTCCACACTCGTTTTCACACAAACGTATGTACATATACATATCAACAACGTGACACCTCTCCCCTGTGTCTACTCTACTACTCTTTGACTTCAATTCCGCAACAAGTCCGTCCATTCATTCATCCCTCAATCGGCCCCATCCCCAATGCTGCCCTGACCCTGAGCCAAAGCTCGAACCCTCCAAGCTTGACTTCGATCCTGAAGTGCCGTCCCCATGCCCTCAGGAACTGCCAGAACCCGCGCAACCCCAGGATCCCGGACGCCTTGAGGTTCTCGAGCTGCTCCTCATACACCGTGCGCGACGCGTACCGGGCAAGAATGAGGAATGTACGGAGTGGTCCCTGTCGCGTGTGGAGGTTCTCGTCAAGGGAGCGTGCTAGAGTCGAAACGTCAGCATTTCAAGATTCTTCATATGTAGATATGATGTTGTAGATGGAGACTTACTCAGATCGTTGGTCTTTAGGATCAGAAGAATCACGCGAGGGACCTTGCCCAACAATTGAACAAGTTGTACAATCATGCCGTCGCCCAGCGCATCCGTGATGTTCTCCTTTTCCTCTTTACTCCTCTTAGTAGCCACTCCGGTCTCCGACTTTAGAACAGACCAGTCTCGTCCCGTGATTGCGCTCGCAAACAGAGGGAAGAGTTCGCTGTCGATCCCGGCGACTTCGTACGCGTACTTGCGCATGTTTGGCTCATCAGAATCAAGCACGGCGAGCCACAGCTTCGCATAGCTCCGGCGGATGTCCATGGGGATGTCCCGGTAGAGACCATGGTCGTACATGATGATGTCGAAGTTGCCCTTTCCAGGCCGGGACGGGTTGTGGCGCACAGCGATGTTGCCTCCGTGTGGATCGCAATGGAGAGGTGCATTGGTGCCGAAGATCATTTCGTTGAAGATGCGGGCCAGAGCTGCGGAGACTTCGTCGCGGTCGATGTTGTGAGAATCAAGATACTCGAGATCATCCGGTCGGTGCCCGCTCACATACTCCATGACGAGGATCCTTCGCTTCGCCCAAAGAACCTCGGGGATGATGACGGGGGCGTCGCGAACGTTTTCGAAGTATCGACGGGCGCGAATCGCATTCTGTCCCTCACGAGCAAAATCGAGCTCTTGAGGAAGAGAAACCTCCATCTCTTCGCTCAGCCATGTCAAATCATACTCTGGGAACCAGTATCGCAACGTCTCGAAAGTGAATCGTGTCAGGGCAAGGTCGAGTTTGGCCCACTCGTCCAATGCCGGATGTTGGACCTTGACCGCCACTTTCTGCCCCGTGGCTCGAACAACAGCTGTGTGTACCTGCGCCAGCGACGCTGCGCCAATTGGCAACTCATTGAACTGCGAAAAGTATTCAGACAAGGAGTGACCGGTATCATTGCGCACCATCTCTTCGATCTTATCATATGACGAGACAGGGCATTTGTCTTGAAGAGGGATGAACGTATCGCACCATTCGGATGGCAGGAGGTAGTTCAAGCTACTCAGATGCTGGCCCAATTTGATGAATATGGAACCGTTCTTCTCGAGTGTCTTGAGTGTTCGTTTTGCGCAGCGGAGGTGGCATTCCTTGAGGAGGTTATCGTAGTCGGGATCGGAATCGCGTTTGAGCGTCTGGCGGTAGTCGTAGATATTCTTCCCCAGCGTGTCCAGCACCCTGGCACTCCTCCTTACAGCCGTTACAGCGTGTTTGGCATCCTCGTTGACTGCCAGAAGTCCTCCTGCAACGAGCCCTAGTCCAACACCTATCACGAGGCGTCTTCGCTTCTTGCTTCCGCCGCTCTTGGGTGTCGATGCTGGTGTCGCTGGTTGTGCATTTTTTGGTAAGGGTTTAGAGGCCGGTGCCTTGAAGGGAGATCGTTTTGTAGCGAAGCTGTTCCGTGGTATCTGTTGCGATATTCGACTCGTGGGTGTACGTGCGGTGGTAGTCTGGCGGCGAAGACAAGCACGGCATGTCCATCGTGCTGCCGCCGAGGATGCAGGGGCAAGAAACGTGAGGCTCAACATTGTTCACTTTGGATCTATGCACTCATTTTGGTAGACTGTCGCTTGTATTTTGGTGGAATGTCGCGCTGCAGCTGGAGAGGTCGTACGACCAACTCTGGGTGCGGTTCGAGGGTGGGCAGTTATGAACCGATAAATTACGTCTCTTCGAAGTTGCTCCCGGGCGGTCAATTGCTCACGATACGAAGATGTTGTTGTAGGAGGCGAAAGGCAAAGCAAGCAAATGCCTGTGGGAAGTGTGCACTACGAAGCGACCATCGGAGTCTGGAATATGGGGGAGACTGTTGAATTGGTGGCGGCGAGATTCAGAGGGCAGGGACACGGACCCAAAAACTTTTTAGGCGGTTTTCTCATGAGGCAAGTGCGAGGCGAGGCGGTGGGCAGATGGAGGGAAGGAACGACGTAATCGCAGTCTAGCGAATCATCCAAGCCTCGGCAGTGACTTTTCGATAACCACAACACAACCGCACCTGAGAGACATCAACATGTTATTAGTACATCATGTAGGCATACATGTGACCATTTCCTCAATTTCAGCTTTCATTTGCGTGCAATAACGATCCTCAATTGATTGATAATTGCCACGGAGATGGACTTTAACATGTTGCATATCTTGCAAACTTTCTAGGTATATAGCTAGCGGAGTATCACCACCATATCGGCATATCTGCCTAGAGCCAGTGACCCTTAACGTAATCTTAGCCAAAAGCCTTCATAAAAGCTTTTCATATCGCTGTGTGAAAACCAAGGACAATGGGAAAGAAATCAAAAAGCCAACCCATCTCAATTCCCAGTCTGTCTATATTCATGCCGAAACCCAATCTTTCAATTCGACTCACGCCCAAACCTTGAGACTCTCCCCAGATGCATGATGGACTTCTCCTCAACTATTTCTCTTCGATGAATAGAGAAGAGGTATTGAAGGGGAAATGAATATGATAATGAAATAGTGACCGTTATAATTTTTGCACACGCCAATCGACGCATTGTTGATGAGACAAGAGGTCCGAACAACTACATGTCAATAGTCTCGTTGAATCGTAAGACACCATTTGATCTCAAGAAGCCATCGACGCCATTGGGAACCGATTCTCGACTTGGTCTCGCGATCCCTAAGCTACCACTACTGCCGGTGTTGTTATCGGAATCCGAGTTGTCAGTTACAAGAACAAGGCCCGCCGTTTTGATAGATTCGATGAGTGCGGGTGCAAGATCCTGTCAAGGGTTAGAGACCTCATTCAATTCTTGGTGATATCAATTGGACAACGTACGAGTAGACGGGAGCTGCATATGAGACCCATGAAGTTGTTGTCTCTTGCTATCTGCACAGCCTCCTTGACGGACGTAGTTGTACGTCCGCTGCTGCTGATGGCATCTGCACGAGTTTGTAGCGCCGAATTTGAAGCTTCAGCGCCGAGTTCGTTGCATAGAAGGATGGGATCTGAACCGAGTTAGTTGTCATTCTTTCACGTTGTGGAAGGGGTTACAAACAGTTAGGTTGCTTCCAGTTGATGACCGTGCAGATGTCCTGGTTGAAAGAGCTGAAGACAATACTGCGCAGGGTACCGTCGATTTCGCCTGCACCATTGTCTCTTAGATCTCGCGCATGCTCGAAGACGACCGTCAGGATGCTGTCGGCAAAGTCATTCAGATCTGGTGTTGGGCCAAGCTTGAGCGTCTCTTCTTCTGCGCGCGAGGGGTATAGTACATGGAGCTCGATGTGTATATGGGCAGGCAACAGCGCCAGAGCTTCCTTGAGAGTAATGAAAGATGATGCCATGGCAAGGAATATGCTCGGTATATCATGGGAAGTGGCATTTTGTAGAGCATCCAATTGAGATCCAGGTCTATTCTGGGACGCTCCAATGGCGGTGAATTGGGCATGTGTGAGAATATTCACAGGAACTTCAAGACCTTGGTGGTTGATCTTCCAAGTCGGATAGAGCACGGGAATACCGTCCGCGGTCAACTGCACAAAGAGACGAACATACTCGCCGGATAGGCTTGACCCGGTGATCAGGGCGTGAGGTTGTGAATCTAGCTGGCTGGTGGCCTTCCAGTACGTGGCGAAATGTGTGATTTCCAAAGGTATACCCAAGAATGGCTTGACGACTTGGTAATCGAAGGTTACTCGACCTATCGCACGCAATCGGGGGTCAAAAAGCTCCAAATGCCATTGGCCGGAACTAGTTGCCTTGTGAGTGAAAACCTTGGAGGACGCGACTCCGCGGGCAATTATTTTCGAACCAAATGTAGGAAAGACGTCGAAATCTATGGAGAACGAATCGATGTTTTCAATCTGGAAGGAGATGACTTTGAACTCGTCTTGGATCGGGAGCATTATATTTCTGGGTATCAAATCGGAGCTTTTGGAGGAAATCGTAAGTCTAGAGGCGGGGTACTTTTGGGCATCGTAAAATTGTATTGCGTCCTTTCCGAGCTTTTCGAAACTGATGACTACGAAAGTCTTGGTGTCCAGAAAATTGTGACCGTATCTCCTAAAAGGTATTATGGGGGGTGGTAGAATAAATTCGGGAATGCCTTCTGCATCGCCTTCTAGTTCCATAGGACCAGGCATGGTACCTGATGCGGTCGCTGTTGATATTTGAGGAGAAACCTGATTTTGAGTTGTCAATCCGACACCACGTCCGACTGAAGCGAGGAGTCTCATGCACTCGAGATGTCCTTCCCAGGTGGCATAGTAAAGTGCAGATAAGCCCTTCTCGTCAACAACATCGACGTCAACCTGACATTGGAGGAGGGTTTTCACGCACTCGACGTGACCTTCGCTTGCGGCATGGAAGATTGGTGTCCATTGGTAGAGTTTGTCTGCCTGATTGAGATTGGCGCCATATTTTTGGAGGACGAGCAACATCTCAGGAGTTTTTCCGGAACGAGCGACAAGATGTTGAGGGTACAGCCCTTCGGCGTCGGGCAACATCTCGGCATGTCGCTGGAGCAGTAGCTCTACGATATCTATTGACGCATACTGGCAGGAAAGATTCAACGGGATGTGTTCCCCTGGACCTAGGCGGCTTATGTCGGCGCCATTGGAGAGTAAGATCTTGACGCAATCCAATTGTGAATGCACAATTGCATGGATCAATGGGGTGAAGCTGTCCTGGTCGCGGAAGTTGACAGTGTCAGGAGCTGTCTTGATGAGCTCTTGAACTATGTCGACGTGGCCATGCATGGAAGCGTAATGCAGAGGAATGCGGCCATACACGTCGGTTGCGTGTACATTGACATTAGCTTGAAGGCCGTGGTTGATTATGTCGCATCGGCCGTAGATGGCTGCTTTGTGCAGGCAGTTTCGTTCGTTGATTTCATCTTCCTGTCGGAGGTCAACCTGGTTGGTGTCTAGCAGGATCTTGAGTGCCGCCTCTGAGCCCTCTTGTATCGTGCTGAGGAACGCGCGCGATATGCGCTCTTGAGAATCCTGCAGTTTTGATAACCTCGAGAGACACTCTTCGATTTTTGAGATGTTTGAAGTGTTGATGGCCTGGACAATCTGGTTGTCTAGTTCGAGGTTGATCTCGAAGGAGGGTTCAAGAACCCTTGCCTCGCTTTGTTCGACATGCACAGGCGCGGCTTGCATCTTGTCACCATCGGCCCAGCCCGAGAAATCAAGAAGTGCTTGAGTGGCTTGGTCGGAAAGATTGCTAATCACATCACGATTGAAACAGGGTTGGACCTCGACAGCTCTTGAGAGGTAGAGTTGCTTTTCCCGTGACTAGACCAAATTAGAACAGGAGTCAGTGGGTGGGTGATAATTGAAGAGCGACTAACCTTTGACATCTTGTCCCACTACACAGAAGCGTTAGCATGGCGGTAAAGACTACGAATAGATATGGATATTCACAACGAACCTTCTTCAGTATTTTGGAGAACGCAGTCGCGTTTATCTCGACAAATTGCTATCACTGGTTAGCCTTGTCGCAGGATCTACCAACCGGGCCAATCACCTCGAGCTTGTTGAGGTCCATGCTAAACTGCTTTAGGCCCTCCTCGAGCGCAATGTATCTCGATGACGACTTGGAGACTGATTGTGGGTGCTGTTGCATGTTCTTTTTCTTGTCAAGCAATGTAGTTAGGCGGAGACGGAGCTACGGCCATGGTAAGTTACTGCCAGTGAATACAATGGGACCGGGATTGTGCGGATATACCTCTGCTTCTTTCTGTAAATAGAACTTGTTGACCTTCTCAAGTTCTCGTTCCTATGACGAATTAGATATTCACACATGAGTGATGATCACCTATGATAAAAGAGTAAAGCATACCACCCGGAAGAAGAAAGAAGCCTTATTGGCTTGTAATGAGGTCTGAGGATCAAGATGTTCCGGGCCATGGCTGATTTCTCCTTGGGCAGGGATGATTGGAGTTGCGCTGAGCTTTTTGATAAGCTGGCAGAGAGGTTAGAAATCTGGATGATGAAGACGAATCGTGGAATTGAGAGTAATGGTGGCGATGGAGGAGCAAACCTTTTTCAGGGCCTTGTAGTCGACAAAGCTGGCAGCATATTCGGGAATCTCCAGCTGCCGTTTCTGGATGTGCTTGCCAAACTTCCTAGAAAAGCGAGCTGCGTCAGTCTTGTCCTCCTTGGACGCGAGACTAGTGGAAGAAGCAGTCTTCCGTAGCACGGCGACGACAGGGACGGTGCGAAGGCTAGGGGAGTCCATAAGAGTAAGACATACATTTTGATGGTAACGAGAAATGAAAGACAGATGGAGGTCTTTTGCAGGAATGTAGCAGCTCAGCGCATATGATGCACGGACTAGAGTGCGCGGCTTGGAGACGGCGTTAGTTACCCATACACAAACAGCGTAGACAGGTTGTGGTATTTGGAAGACGCCGATAGGGTGAGGTAAGTGACCGAAAAAAAGGAAAGAAAAGGAAAGGTGAAATCAGGATGAGGCTGTTGGCTGTCGGGGACCTGGAGGGGAAAGGATGGGGAACGAGTTGCAGGTGTAGGCACTGTGCAGGAACAGGGCAGTGGCAGGAGCGGCAACGTGCGTGTGCATGTGCGTAAGGTGCCTCGGGTTCGGTTCGTAAGGAATTCGGTCGGAAGTAGAGGAAAAGGAAAGAAGAGAGAGGGGGGCGAGGAATGAGAATGAGGTCACAGCGAGGGGAATAGCGCTGCTAAATTTGGGAGAGGAAGGCGATGCGCAAAATTGGAAAGGGAAGTGGGAGAGTGGGGGGGAGGGGGAATGATGGAAGTGGAAATGAATGAACAAGATAGAGAGAGAGAAAGAGAAAGAGAAGGATACAGCAAGGGAGAGGAAGAGAGGAAGAGGATAATTGGGTGGGTATGATGCAGCTACTGCCAGGGCTGGAACAATCAGGAACAGGTATGTAATGTAAATACATGTACATACACTGTACAGGCCCCCGGTCTGGAAGTGGAAGTGTGACCATGAGTAGTAGTAGCAGTAGTAAAAGTAGTGGAGGCTGATGTGGGTAACTATATGGATGTGGTGGTGCTTGTAGTAATGGATATACTGTAATACTTAGAGATACTTACCTAAAGAGGTACCTGCTGATATACCCAAAGACTATATAACGTCTTTTGATATTGCAGATGTCGTTCCGTCTTCTTCCACGTGCGAGATCCCTCTATCTTCTGGTCAATTGATGATGATAATGAAGAAGAAGAGAAGGGCAAGCCTGTACGACCAAGATGTACAGGACAGGACAGTCCAATCCAAGGGCCTCTCGGAGATCAGATGATGTGAATGGACGGAAGTGTTAGGGATGTTAGGGATGGGAGTGCTAGGCGCGATGGAATATTGCAGAAAAACCTAGGGAGGGGCGAATGACGGGAAGCGAGAGAGAGGGGTTCATTGTGAGGAGGCCACGAGACGATGCATGTGCATGATAGATAGAGTGTATAAGGCGTGTGAGGTGGATATAATGGATGGTTTTTTTGGTGCTGGTAAGTTTTCTGGTGAGATGTGGGCGTATGTTGAAGTGGAGAGTGGTCGTCGTGGTAGGCTGTTGAGTGTCGTCCGGAAGAGATGAGGTTGAAAGATGGTCCTGTTGGAACCAATCAAAGGCCCCACGTGCCCGGGAAAGCTTGGCCTTGGTATCCGCAATCCACTGGGTCCAATGGAGATTCAAGCATCGTACTAGTCCCCTTCGAGATAACTAACCGGGGACCTCTACTTGTATTAGTTACCTACTTGTACTTGTGGAAGGACTCGAAGAGAAACTCAGAGAGAGAGAAACCCTTGCTTTGCCCTTAGTACTTACACAGAGCACTACTACTTCTGGACCACGTAGTAATACGCGTATAGATCAACAGTACACACTTACCTCTGATTCGTAATTGGCCATAGAGTTATACTGCTGACAATACATTACAGAGTACGGAGTAGTGTCGAATGTCTTTCTGTACTGTACAATTGGAAATAGACATCTATATAATTCAACACTCTTGTAATTCAGAACAATCCCCCACTCAATGCCATAGTCTCATACCACCCATGTCATGTAACGCATCTCTCCAACCAAATCCTGACTCTCTTACGAGTACGTTCGCTGTAGGCAATATCCCCGCCCATGTCCCGTATAATCGGATAATGGGATGCCCCGCGCTAGTCCCCATCCGGAGCACTATCATTCCTCTCTCTTCCTTATTCCCTAGCGCTATATTCCCTCCTCTGCTACTCGTGAGTCGTAATTCTTCTTTTCCTCATCAACCTGTCTAGGTAAGTATTGTCCTCTGCACCATAACGTTACATCATCTGTATGAATAAAAAACTACAAGAAAACCACCAATGACACTCCCACCGCCATCCAGGGTCCCGCCCGGTCCTGTACCTACAAGTCATGCACTCCCTCCCCATCTTGAACTAGCAATGATCAATCCAATAATCGAATCACCCGCCATTCGTTCCAGAGCCTCCTCCCAAATTCCCCATTAACTAAAAATCCACCCATGACTAAAATGATCTCGAACCAATTGGAACATCCGAAACCCTGTTCTTCCCTCGTAAGATCTACACCTGCATGCTGCTACCGATTGATGCCTTTCGGCGTTGGCCGATGCAACTCTCGATCATCGAGAAGAAGAAACGGAACAGCACGAAACGCAACTAAAATGCAGCGAACGAGGAAGCATTTTTTTTTTTCTTGAAGAGAGAAAAATTGACTATGTTCAAGGGAAGGAGTGTTTCCACTTCGCTTCGTCCGCCTGCATGCTTCCGGACCTCTTCCAGACCAGGCTCATGGAAGCGCCAGCTTGCCTTAACTATGGACATCAACCTTTCCTCCGGAGGTAGTAACTACGTACCCAATTGAGTAATTCCCTCGGTATAATTCCCAAGTTCAAAGCGTGCTCGAAACGTGACTTCATTACCCCGATGGCGGAGAAAGTAACTATGACACTCGAAGATGACAGAGAGTTCGGAAATAAAACAGAGTACCGTAGCGCATGTAGTCGGCCTAGTGTGAAGAAGACCCGGTGCCCCCACAACCGCATCACTAAAACGCGAGCAAGGCGGGTAGGTGAAATTGAGGAATATAAGCAAGCCACCGGCATCATCTGGGCGATCTAATGGAACAGCTGGGGCGAAGGAGTCGGGATGGATACGCATCGTGTGCGAGGGTGTGTGCTTTTATGTCATCAAATATATCTTTGAATATAGAAAATCCATCACTTCGTCATATCGGTTACATTATGCAGTCTTGCACATTAGAGCTTTCTGTCGAGTCACATGTGAGCCTCGCACCTTGCAATGATGCTTGGATAAAGAAGAACAAGAATGGAGAAGTCATTTCTACAGCTGTTGTCCAGGATATAATCATCTTCTTTCCTAACCTTGAGAAACCTAACCTTGCCTTGCTGCCTGCATACCTGCCTTATACTTTTCAATACACAAAAAGGATTCAATCGAACCACCCTTGCCTTCCTGAATGGTTCCCACCTCCTCCGATCATCTCGTCAAAGGTCGAAATCTACGTACAAGACATGCCCAATAGTGGCATTGACAGTTCCCATCCAGATAGACTAGCCATGATCATCCATCCATGACTTTGGATGGCAACCGGGCTCATCTGACATGTCACCCGAATGTGCCCGAATTGGCAATTTCTTCTACCTCTTCGCCCCTCTTGTCCAGGTTGTCCCAAGGCGTGCGCATCGCAGCACCCGTCTCCAGCTCTTCATCCAGTCACAACTCATCATCGTCCATCTCCGATGGCTTCAACAGACCTCCAACCTTCATCGCTCGTTCACGCTCCTCCTGCTTGGCCTTGTTGGCGGCCTGCTCCCGCTCTTCGGCGAAGAGCTCCGCGTTGTCGCCAGAGAATTCTTTGAGCGAGATCAAGAAATCACGCAGGATTATCTTGAAACGGTTGAGATCTGAATTGGTTGCGAACAATCCATCGATGAAGGTGCTAATTTGTGCCCTGGTTCAATGTTAGCAAGTCTGTTCTTGCCTTTCTTTCCCAAATGGAATGGGGGACTTACGTTTGAAGGTTCGGGAATGCCGTAGCCAATAAATTGCCGACAAAGTTGCGTAGGAATTCCTTGTTCGAAGTGCCGGCAGGTGCCATATCTGGGGAGGTGTAGATTGGCCCCTGCAGCTTGTCGGTCTCAACAAGCCAGAACATCTTCGCCAGAAGAATCGACTGTGACTTGAAACCGGCCTTGTGGTCGCTGTCCGTAATCACAAAGAAGACGTCTTGCAATATCGATGTGAAGAAGGTCTGGAAGAAGGTATTGCTGACCTGGGGGTCCGGATGGTCGGCCATGTTGGAGATCAACTCGAAACACATGGAAAGACCAGCACTTTCGACCTCACGGTTATCGTGCTTACTGGCCCACATGCATGAGTCGATAACAAACTTGAAGGATCGTGCATCTAATCGCAGAAGAGCAGGGAAGCAGCGGAGGTTAATCGTTCTCAAAAGCTTGAAGAATTCGACACGATGTTCAGGGTATTCAGAGAAGTCCTTGTTGATCATGTCCAGTGTGCACTCGAACACACTGTCCATGATGTTGATGATCTGGTCTTCCATCAAGCTCTGTAGTAAAGTCAGCGAAATCATCCAAAAAAATTCCCAGCGAGGCCAACCATATGTTTGCTCAGATTGGGTCTCCAACGTACATGTAATTTGTTGATGATCGTGGTCATAACATTCAGGACCTCAGCCTCGCGTGCGTCAGGAACATTGTTTTTGTAGTCGATGAGAACAGCCTCCAGGAGCTTGGGAACGAGATTGTTGTGGATCATCTCGTTATCATCAGCCTTCTCGACGTAGGTATTGATGAGCTTCAGGATCTCCTTTTTGATTGTTCGTAATCCACGGACTTTAGGCATCTTGGTCGCAATGTTACCTAGCAATCGTTAAAATACTGCATGTCTTAGAGGGGAGGGCTTGAACAAACCTTCTCGCTGCACGGCCTCATCGATGAGAGAGCTGCTGGCGCGGTACATGGTAAGCATGTCGAAGTAGATGCGGCCGATTTGTGGATAGAAATAGGATCCAATCGAACTGCAGGCGGCGACGTTGGTTTTCATGATGTTTCCGACAATTTTGATGACTTCCGCATCCTGAAGACAGATGGGGTTCTGGTTGGCTTGTGCGATGATGTTGTCCCACTGTATTCCACATTAGCAACTCTGTCAACGAAAATTAAGGGGGATTACTAACAGCTTGGTTGGGAAGAGCCATCAAATCGGCGATCAACCGCTCCTGCATACTCTTTTGGCCCTGCGCGCTGATCATGTAACCACAGGCCTCGTAGAAAGTGTGAACCTGCTGCGGAGATAGATCTCCTGTAATCTTCCGGAGCGTGCGAACGATCTCATCAATGAAAGGCTCGGTCTCGCCAGGCTGGAGAGCGACGAAATGCCGTCTGCACTTGTTGGCAATTTTGATGAATGTATCGCAAGCCATATCCTGGACACCCTCATGCGTCTCATGCATGAATTCGAAAAGCTTATTAACCACAGTCTTGAGGAACTTCCAATGCGCTTTGAGGAATCGGGGGTATTGACCAACAATGTACATGATGTTACTGGCAACCACAGCCTTGTTGTCTTTACCGCGCTTCATCTCGGTGAGGCCAAGGAGATCCTTAATGACGGTGACCAGGAAGCGCTTTTCGGTCTCCTCATTCATGGCACCAGAGATGGAACCAATCGCCCAGCAGAGGGTATTGCAGTTGGCCCATGACCATTCGCTGCCATCAACCTGTCGTGCCAACTTCTCAGACATGATCTGCTCAGTGTCGTTAACATCCAAGTGAGTCAGGAAAACCAGGCACTCGCGGGTCGACTTGTAGAGCTGAATGGTGTCGCTCTCTTTCACAAATTCTCGGACGATTTCACCCTCGTCGTTCTCCACAATCAAGACTTCTTCGGGTCGAACCATCTTCTCGATCATCACGGTTCGAAGATTGGATAGGATTTCGGCGTATTTGTGCTTGCGAAGGGGGTAGTTGGCCAGGACAGCAGGATCCCTTGCACCGCCATTCGTGGAGACCAGACCCATGTTCAAAAGCGGGTTCATGTCCGTGATTGGAAGGGACTGCATCTCATCATAGAGCTCGGAAACCAACTTTGTCCAATATTCGAGACAAATCTTGAAAATTTCGCGGTCGTCGATCTGGCTGATGCGGATCAAGTAAAAATGGCCATGCGTAAGGAAGTCCCGGTTCATAAGGTTCTCGATGACATTGAGATGCACAGTGAAGAAGTTGCAGAGAAAGAGTGCAAGGTTTTGCACAAACTCCTGGTCTTGGCTGTTGCTAGAGGCGTACGTAGTCTTGAGATCTAGGGAAAGAGGAATGATCTTGGAGATGGCGGTCAAAGTCTCAGTGAACATCTGAACGAGCTTATCGTCGTACGCTGGCTCGGTGTGAAGGCCAGCAATCTCAGTCAAACATTTCAAGGTGATGTTACGGAAATCAGGGACCTCAAGGAATCGGCTCCTTAAAGTTTCGATCAGACTGGCACCGCTTGGAGGAGTCTCGAAAATGTACCCGAGGGGGATCCAGTTCAGGAAACGAAGTAGTGTCTCTAACGTGGCCTTGATGAGGCTGGCTTCAGTGGCAGTCCGGAGGACTTCCGAGCAAAGCTGGTAAATTGAGGTGAACTCGTCGCACATGCTCTGCTTCAACTCGCGTCGTTTCGAAGACGTCATTTGATCCTCCGAATAGTCAAAGACTTCCTCAGACAATAACCGCAGAATTGCCATGTTATTCTCGCAAATCGCAAGGCTGCTGTGACAGGAGGAGATGATCTCGTTGATGAAGGTGGGCCAATTATGGGGCCATTCCTGCTTTAACACCGAGACGAGGACGAGATTCAACTTGTTCAAGAGCGTGCGGTCGGCCCGTCGTGCGTCTTCGTTATTGGATAGCTGAATGATGAAGTTTACAACAAAGTTGCGAATGCCTAAAGGTAGTCAGCAGGCTGAAGGGGGCAGAAGAGTTTCAAAACATACCCTGACACTGATCGCGCGGGAGCACCTTCCATCTGGTCATTATAACACCATCCAGTACCTGTAATCCCAGATCTAGGCTGCGTTAGCGAAAAGTCCTTCATCACCTAAAGAGAAATCCTACATTTTGTCTGTGGATACTGCGCCTCCTGAAGAATCTTATCCACCAGAAGCCATGCATCTGGATTCTCCTTGAACTACCTGGGGTCAGCGGAGTTTGGTATGCTTGGTGTATTCGGCCTACCTGGTTGAGTGTTGCTTGGGCTTGTTTTTGCTGTACACAGAAAGATTAGATGAGTCTTGTCTACTGTCATATGCAATATAGCAAGAACATACCGTTTCACCACGTCCTTCGTAGAAGGTACGCACGGTGGCGTCGAGCTCTTCGATCGACAAAGACATGACGCGAGGGTGAAAGCGAGCTCAGGCTCCTGAATAGCCTTGCGCGATTGGATTGTACCACAGAAGAAGCTCTAGAAAAGGCTGTGGAACAGTTAGTCGTGATAAGTAGCCTTGATCGGACGTTGTGGTATGCTATGTCAAAGTATGGAAGCTTCGCGAGGCAATGCAAACAAAGTGCCGCAGAATGGACAATCGAGCCACAACGGAAGCTATACCTACCAGCGCCAAGGAATTTTAGACGCCCAGGAGTCCAAAGTTTGACCAAGGTGAGTCTGATCCAACCGTTATCCTTGATTCCAACTATATCGGCAAAGGCCTTGTCTGTTTTGCCTTGTGGTGTTGTGTTTCGGTAAGGTGCAAATCGAGTGGTGGGGTAGGCGGCGGCGGACGAGATGCGGGGGGAGATGCGAAGCGGTTGACGATGATGAAGGTAGATTGTGGGTGGGAGCTGATGTTGATTCCAGAGAGAGGCAATACAGCCAGCTTCTCGCTGGATCAAAAGCTTGCAGTGTTGTCGAAGTTGAAGAGGTTGAGGGCGGAACAAGAGATGCGAAGTACTGGCTGGCAAAGCGCGTCGTTTCCATGCGCACAAGCCGACCCAAACCTAGCGCTAGTCCAGATCGGGACTGCTTTCATCGATTCCACCAGAAAGATAGAGAAGCTTACGGGGACTACGAGTCCGCAATATGGTTTGGATTGTATGTAATATCAATCTCTTCGGAAGCACGTGTACTCATAGAGTTTTGAATTAGACCTTTCTCAACGTTGGTGTAAACCTCAGTAGTACCGGTGGCCAAGCAGATGGGATTTGCATGTTTAGTTGAGCCTCATTTGATTAGTAAGGAGATTTCCCTATGATGGATAAGTCCCATCCTGGACGTCATAGAATGGTTTCACATTTCTCTTGGGGATTCCGAGGTATTATTTGATCTGAAACTTGAGCTAGAGCGCATGATATTTGGCTGTGTTCATATTTAAAGGTTTCAGAGCCTCTGATAGCTGTTGGTGTTGATTTGTCGAAAAAAGAACATGACATATACTTTGAGTCTATCCGAAGCCCATGATTGCCTTTACAATCCTAAATGTTGGACCAGTATTGGCCATGCAAGTAGCTAGCGGCATCATAGATGCTAGAAATGCCATGTTGTATGTCTGTACATGCAGATATGTACTGGACATGTATGCAGAACTCCTTCAGTAAGATTGGAGTAGTTACCATCTAAATTGGCAATAATATTCATGATGAGCTTGAAAGGCCGAGTATTTCGTGGAGCTCATACACAGCTGGATCATCCCAAAACTGTATGGAGCACAGAGTACGGAGTATTCCGTACATCCATGTCATTCAAAGTAGCGGCAAGCAAAACACAAAAGAATCCTAAGCGCGGGCCTGTGAAACTGATCCTATGCCTGATCAATGGACGGTACTCCGTACATAACTCTATTGTGGGGGATAAAATTTCCGTGGACTCATTCCGCCCAGGATACACAACAGACGTGTGGTGTGGTTGTGGTGAGAGGATAGAGTTCAGAGGTGGTTGGTGGCGTGCTAGCACAAGTAACTTGGTAAACAGCAGGTCGGACCCGGGAGTGAGATGGCGATGACGCTTTGGCCAAGTACTCAAAACTACAGCCGAGGGGCGGGTCAAACATTTAATCAATCAGCACGCAACAGCACAGCCGTACATTAGCAACACAGAGTTCACTTGTCGCCTGTTGCAAATCTGCACCGTCAATCGCAGCCACGTCTTATAGCCTCCGTACAACCCCAGACTCATCGCTGTCGCTTCTGTATTCGACCCCTGCAGATCTCCACTCGCCGATTCCCAGGCGTACTTGAACGAGCCTTTCCCCCGCAAGTTCGTGATTCCTGAGCAGAATCTCGCTCGCTATGTCATACTCAAACTCGATGGCAACTCAAAACGCTCAGCGCCCCTCGGGAAGTCAGACAACAACTGTCCAGTCGCAGCCCGTATTACGCTTATCAGCGCCGACTGTCACACTTCGATTGCGTGCTGAGCCTACCGAACAACGTCACATTCAATGGGCAGAGGATGTAGTTGACAACGAAGGCATGGGCAAGAAGTCCTCAAAAGGTTCGTGATTAATTCTACACAAAACACTCAACCGGTCTAACATTGCCTAGTTTGCTGCATCTACCACAAGCCACGTGCCGTCGGCGAGTCTTCCGACGAGTCGTCCTCAGATTCCTCTTCCGATTCCGATTCTGATAGCGAGCCCGATAACAGCACGGCACGCCCTGCTGGAGGACGTCCAGGTGGAAAAGGAAGAGGTCGTCGACCACACAAACATGACGAGGATGGCCACAATCATGACGGGGACGGCCATGGTCATGGAGAACCATCTGGTGCCCCAAAGCCGCGCCGCCGCCCACACCGCAAACCTAGCCCAAACGCTTACGAAAAGATGCCAAAGAATAAATGAAAGAGGACTTGATATCATAACGACATTGACGAAATCACAATAGGGTGCTATTAAAACACAAGCAATCCCATTAAGACATGAGATCGACGAGCGTGGAGTTTGGGAGTTTGCGCAACAGGAAAAAGGCCTAGTATCTTGCATTTAGTTACCTGCGTATTGATCCAGGAACATCAGGACCGACTGCAGCGGTTCATGCATTGCAGCATTGGGCATTTATAATAGTATCTTACTGGCCCTCTAGATGCCCCCTTATTTGTAGAGATGGCTCGAATTGACATTGAACAGGACTCTGTTTCCTGACCACATCTTGACCCCACTGTCTGCGGCTGTGAATTGTGCCATTTGACCTGAGTATCTCAAGAACAGCTTTTCACCTTCTGTGTTACCCAATCCCGTGCACAAGTTGCTTGGGCTGACCTGCATGCTCTGCTGATGCCTTGTAACTCCAAAGACGCTCTAGATGCGCTGCTCGGTCCGAGTTGTACATATCTTGCTGAAGCCTGCACATTATCGTCTGAGTGGTTTTTCGTCCAATTGACGTGACATATCGTGTGATAATGCACTTCATTCGGGAGCGCTTCCAGATGTAGGTTGCGACATGAGCGCGGGGGCATGCTGCGTTGGGATGCGAACAAGGGTCTGTGGGAGTGGCAGTCCGGAACTGTTATCCTTGGTTCCGTCGTCTTCTTCCTTGGGCTTTGGTAATTTCGCTACATGTTGCTCAACGAATTGCTCGCAATGATTATCGGGGCGTGCGGGCGAATGGTAACTTACTTGACGCCATGTTAATGGCACGAAGTACATTGTGCCAATTTGACAGGACTGCTGCGACGGCTAGGCATGAACACGTCAACATACACCTTCTCCAACCACAAGGTCTGCTGCACAGCCCATCGTGACCAAACGTGATTGGAATAACTTACCTTCTGTGCCATCTGATAAGGTATCAAGTTTATCAGCCAGAGTTTGCATCTGGTCCGCCAGTCCTGCACTCAGCGCTTGCAGCTCCTTAAGATTTGCGAGCTCGGCCTTCTTCTCTGCGATGCGGGCAGCTAGTATGGGAGAATCGCGTTGTGAACCACCGAGAGAAGATGATGGGTTTCGCAGATGGGAGGGGAGTGGGCGGCCGGAATACGACATCTTTCAATGGGTATGGCGTTCGAATTGAGGAAAGTAAATATCACACGAATTGTGAAAAAGTAAATATTATACGGAGTATATCTAGTACTTTCTGATAAACATAGAGGAGGGGCAGGTTGTCGAACGCGCTCGACGACTGGTCACGTGGTTACCGATTCTGCGCCATTCCTTTTTCGGCCCATAGCAACCAAGTTTGTTGTGGCTCATCGCGCATCTACACAGCAGCAACGATCGCCGCATCTCCGCGATATTCACGACCAAACACTCCAAAACCTCAACGAATCTATAATTACCTGGACATACCTACGTTGCGCTCATGGCGCGCCTCAATGAGCCACCCGCCGTTCAAAATGGCCCTTCTCTAGATACCGTCGACGCCAGTAAGTCGCCCATTGTTGGTGGCGGATAATGTTGTTTGAGCAAGTCCACTAACACGATCCGCTCCGCAGTCAAACGAAGATTTCTACGACAGAACCGAGAACTCGCAAAGTATGTTTTATTTGCAGAGAAGTGCGTCTTGTACTGTGTCGCTGACGAATTTAGAATAAACTCGCAGCAGTCAATTCGAATCCGTACCCTCGAGAACGAGGGCTCACGACTCCTAGCTGAGAATCTCTCATTGCGCGAACAGGTCCTCCAGCTTCAAAATGCACTCGAAGCGCAGCCAGCTCGTCCATCATTCGAAAACATAGACTCCGTCAAAGACAGGCTGGAGGCCAAGATTCAGGAACTTGGAGGTCTGGTCGCCAAGCTTGGACAGCTCAAAACTGCTCCCGACTATTCGAGATGGAAGAATCCACCCACAGCGACGCGTAAAAGCCCGGAGGAAAGACAATGGAGAAGTGGGCTGTGTTTGCAAGAGGTGGAGAATGCGATGCTCCCTACAATTGTCGAGGATAAACACTACCCTAGGAGGACTATGAAGTATGCAACCGGCCATCAACGCGATTTGATATTCACTAACGCGTTCTAGTGCGGAGGAATTGCAGCAGATATTAGAAGGACCAGACAGCCAGTCACCAGATATTGGACCACCACCCGTTTCGAGGATCGAAAATGAGGGCCCTATCGCATTCGATCCTTCGCCTCCGCCCGATAATGATATGGGGGATCAGGTTGAAGAGCAAGACCCGGCCTTATCCATCAATCTTGAGACGAGGAGAAAGCGACGTGAAAGCGGCCCTAAGCTGCACATTCGTCGTCTGTCCCTGTTCGAACCCCAACCTGAGGGAGCAGAAGAAAAGACAAAGGCAGTTAGGACTGGTGCAAAGCGGAAATTCAGCGTACAAGAGGACAACGACAAGCCGGAAAATTCCCCAGATTCTTTCACGTTCACTCGCAAGAATGACACCCAAGACAGCGCAAAGGACGAGAGCAAGGAAGTCCGGCTACGATCTCCCGAGCGTCCAGCTCTGGGAAGCAGTAAGGATATCTACCCATTAAACCCTTGTCAAGATACTAACCCAGCTAGAACCTGTCAACACTGATCCTATACTTTCTCCCAAAAAGCAACGTTCATCAGCCCCAGAAAAGGCGGACAAGAAGCCTACAACGCTTGGGAAAACGGGACGAGGGAGGTCGGCCAGCACCCGCAACGAAATTTCTACCCTTCCCCCATTGCAGCTGCCTACTGAGACCATTGGCATTACCGAAATACGCCTTGATGCGTTGCCCCCGAAGACTCCGGCAGTAGAAGACATTTTCTCACCACCAGTGACTGAACCATCCGCATCGCGACAAGAATCGAAAGATACACCGCCCCCAGCAGGCATTGGATCAAGCGATTTGACCAATGGTGCACGACCATCGCGACGTGCACGGCCCCAAGTGAGCTATAAAGAGCCGAGTCTAGCTGCGAAGATGAGGCGACCAGGAAAAGAGTTGGTAGATGCAGTACAGTCAAATCGACGGACAAGCACCGATCCGACTCCTTCCGCCTCTGGATCCGCCACCGGGAAGCGTGAGAACAAAGAAGTCGACTCGACATGGAAAGGCCTGCCCACAAAGGCTAACGGCGGTGATGATGAGGCAGAGATCGGTAGCCCTCTCAGAGAAAAACTAGGGAGACGAGAAGAGGGCGTCACGATTGCGGAACCAGCGACATTAAATCCATCTGCGGCCTCGCAAACCATATCGGCATTAATGGCGGGAAGCAAGAGAAAAGAAGCCAGTACAGCTACCAATACCACGGCTGCTACCGCCAGTGTTCGCTCGGTCGAGGAGAAGCCTGTCAAGAAGGAGTCTTCTTCGACAGACAAGGCACGGAGCAAGGACAATCTCGCGATTTTCGACTTCACCGACTCGTCTCCCAATGACGGAGCAGCACCTACGCGACCTCGAATCGACCTTGCAATGGCGTCAAGAAATGCTCGACGGCACAGTTCAGTACCAGCTTCGGCAACAAGTGAAGAGAGAAAGTCAATCTTGAAAAGAAAGGAGGACGGCCTACCAACATTGCACTCGAGAGCGGGTAGCGGCAGTGGCGCGTCGACCAAAGCTTCCAGCTCTACCGGCCTCTCCAGAACTTCAAGAGACAGAAAGGTGAACGACCTTCCAGCGAGTGGCAGCGCTAGTGACTTGAAGGCTGCCGCACTGGAGGATAAAGAGAGCAAGACACATAGTCTCCGCGCCGAGCGAGCGGCCAGTCGACGAAAGAGCATGATGGTGTGATCTGTTGGGTTTGGCACAGCGATTGTGTTGCCGCTATTTCGAATTCATGAATGTTTATGATTTCCAGATTTGTCCATTTCATAGGGAATTCCCCCTCCTCTTTGGCACGTGGTACTGAGCGTTTTTACTGTTTTTTGCTGTGCTTGGAGATTCAAGCTACGCCTTAACGCATGGCGATGGCGTTAGTTTACGTTAGATACCCTTGTCGATCATTTCTGGACGTTGTTTCTTCTTCTTTTGCCTTCTATCTTTGCATTGGGAGCTAAGGCATGACCGAGATGCCCGATGAACCCCAAAATGTCACACCCTCATTTGGAAGCAGAAAAGAACTAGGCAAATTGAAAAGTGGATATATCTATTATTAACGGGGTATCATCATTCCTACATACACCTTCCAACTCCGTGACGTTTCCCCCATCTCCTCACGACCCCTTCCCAGCGTACCTCACCCTCTCCAACTCCCCCATATCCACGACCCGCAGCTCCCTCCTCGCCCACAGCACAACCGCCAGCACAAACCCCGGAACATACCCACCACCAATCATCATCCCCTCCCTCCACGACCTCCCGCCGCCCAGCAGCGCCTCCGCAACCGCCCACGCAGCACACAGCGCCGCGTTCACGGGGATCGCGTACCTGCGCAAGTACTCCGCCGTATCGGGAGACACGTACGGCACTTCCTTAGACTGCGGGGCCGTGAGGAAGACGGGGATCGTGGCGTCTTTGCGGGCGTGGGAGCCGTAGATCTTCGGTTTGTTCGCCGCTGTCGCTGTCGGGGAAGTGTTGCTGGAGGTGGCTGGGGGTAGCGGGAGGAAGTACAGCGTATACGCCGAGGCGAGAAGGCTTGCTATAGCGAGGAGGCTAGGTATGATTGTCGCGACGCCGAAGAGTCGGGGTATATACAGTGCGATGGGTGCGAGGGGGAGGAGGAGCAGGATCTGCGTGTAGAGCTTTGTGGAGGAGGTGTCGCGGGCGGAGAGGGTTGTTATTAGGGTTTCTTGGTCTGTTGGCGTGTTAGGTTGGATTGAACGGGAGCTTTTTTTTGAGGAGGGCTTGGGGAGAGGAGAGGGGGAGGAGAAAGTACCTTGTAAATCCATGCCTGCCTCCACGGCGTCGTTGTCCTCGGAGTCGGAGGGGTAGTGGAATGTGCGGCGGAGGCGTGTTGATGCCATTTTCTTTGATTGTGTATGGTTACGATGTCTTTCTCAAATGGGGCGATAAACTCTAAGGTTTTGTGTTGCAGGTAGAAGCTCGTACGGTGCGCTGTCTGCTTTGGTTTACGTGGAGATTGCAATATCTACAGGCGGCAGTGGAAAAGCTGCGGAGGTTCGCGGTGGTCGTCTCGTTCAGCCACAGATGACGCAGTGGACCCTGGAAAATCGAAAGTAGACTAGCGCCAGAATGCTCACAACGTCGTTCACTGCATGTATCAAAGGCTGTTCATCGCCCGTGAATAACTCCTGGTTGAGGTACCTGAATTTTTGAGAGTCATGTTTCTATCAAAAGAGTCGATATTGTTAATTTTCGTGTGGAAGTTTGAGTGATAGTCACGGTAATGGATATTGATTGTACAAAGGAACCCTTTTAATCAAAACACCTTTCAAGATATACAAAGAGACATCTTCATCGGTGAACAAAGAAGTATAAAGAGAGTAGGTCATTCAATATATATCTTCCAACATTGCATGAGAGTGAATATATCGCGTCTAATCATCACAACACCATATATGACCCCACAACTGGTGAGTCCACCGAAGCCCAAATCTATCTCCTCCGTTCCCGGCACAGTACCAAGATACTGACGAGAACAGAATAAGCGACGATGTTGAACCTCCGATGGTACAAAGCCCGCTCGCTCTCAGTAAGATCCGGACCGTGTGGACCTTCCATCAAAAGGAGCGAAGGAGCCACATAGCACAGGCATAGAGCGTAAGCCACATAGCGAGAGTGTCTATAGCGCCCCAATCGACTCTGGGAACGATGGCGCTGGGTTGAGGTGCATCGACAGGTCGTCCGGCGCCGTATCGTTCTCGATGGTAGCGTTCGAATTCCCATTGGAAATAGGTTGCTAGATGCTCGTGGGCTTCCATGTGATGGTTTAGAATAGCCCACTGGAGCCCATGCATCGATTGCCTGCTTTCCCCTAATGCAACTGCTGTGTCTTGCGTTGTCTCTGAAAACTCCGAAATCAATTCATTCGGTCGGACCGGATGTTCCGACGTTGTCGTGGGTGTGGTGTCAGTCTATGTTATATCGTGTTGCTGGAGGATGGCAGCGTCCTGGGTTTCAGCACAGGCAGATTCGGTTGGGGAGGCTTCGTTCTCAGAGCCGACAGCATCATCCGTTTGAGATGCTTGACTGTCCTCATCCTCAGAGGCAATAGCTTCGTCCGTCTGAGACACTCCACTGTCTTGATCTTCATCCTTGTCTGTCCCCGACGCTCCACCCTCCTAATCCTCCAAACCAACAGCATCATTTATCTGACCACCGGAGGTATCAGCGTCGTCTCTTTGAGATACTCCACACTCCTCATCCTCATCCCTAAACATGCGAGCAGCATCCATCATACACGCCTCCACGATTTCCTCTGCGGTGAGAAGAAGCTCCCCTCTCCCCGGCACTCGACCGTTCCATTCGCAACCTCTTGTCCTGGACGCTCGTCCCCACGGTCTGCCGTGCTGTCGTTCTCGTCTGTCTGCGATGCTCCATGATCCTCGGAGGTGCCAACATCGTCCGTATGCGACGTTTGATTGTTCTCACCCGCATCTTTACACGCACTGTCATCCTTGTCTTTTGGAGATACTCGACCGTCCGGGTCCTCAGAGCCAACAACATCCTCATCTCCATCCACCCGACCCACTCGACCGACCTGAGAACCACCCTGAACATGGGCAATGGCTTCCCTTTCCGACCCAGCGTCGGAACCAGGCAGCGTGAAATGGCGGAGCATGCTCTCCCTGCGAGGGCTAGCATCTACTTCGGACCCTCGGCGCGGTCGCGGTAGGCTGTGCGATGAGGTGAGATGGAGGGGAAGGGATAGTCTGCGCGGGAAGGGGTCGACGGGCTCCTCCGGAGAGGTTTCGCTCAGGGGCGGTGGTGGTGCGTTTGGCGAAGTAGGACTTGTCGATGGGGATATTGGGTGTTGGGAAAAGGTTGAGACGTTTGTTTGGAGGTGGATGTGTTGGACGACTTCGGGGCGTTCTTCGTGCGGTGCTTCACTGTAGAATGTTACTATGTTGCTAGTAGAAGACGTACTAGGGCTTGTTAACACATCGGGGGTGTTTTCTATTGCCGCTTGGGGTGTATCGGTCTGTTGGGGATGAGGTGATGGCAGTGGAGAGTGACTTCCATTGTCCACCTCGTGCGGCAATCCAGACAAACCAAGTGCATCCTCATCATCTCCATCAATATCCATCTCCCAGAACCGAGACTGTCCCCACTCGTACCCATGCGTCTGGGCATTGAAGTCGAGCCCTATCACGCGCTGCAAGATATCCGCCCTGTGGTTCTGACGAGCCATATACGATGCGAATTCACGCTCGCGTGCGGGGCTGTGGATCAGAGGTACGTCGATCTCGTCGGGCGCTCCTGAACACCATGGTTCCTTGCAAAGACGGGGGAGTACTTTCTGTGCATACGCGATCTCTTCCCGGGTCAGTATCCGCGGGATTTGCGTGAACCATCCGAAGAACAACTCCCCGAAGTTCTGGATGATGGTTGAAGGTCCGTCGAATATTGGTGTGGTGTCCTTCGTCAGCGGATAGGGAGCCGCTGGTGGACCGATCACTTTCCATTGGAAGGCGAGGACTTTATTAAAAGGTACATAGTTAGTCCAGATCCAGTGTATGATTGTCTCCAAGTGTATAACACCATCCTTGGAGATATCACATGCTACATGGAAAAATAGACCTCTATCTGGGCCGTCCGAGATCAGAAACGCCGTGTGCGGACCAATAAAGGGGGGATTCTTGGATTCTGTTTTAATATGAGGAATAGTAAACGGTGCCTTCTGTTTATTGTAACCTGAGATGAACCGAGAGTTTTCTGGCGTGGCTGCTGGAGAGTAATCGGCGAGAGATTGGAACATTTCGTTAGGCTTGCTTTCCGTCACAGACTCTTCCTCAGGAGGCGTGCGAGATGAAGAGACCGAAGATTCCCGGATGCTTTCGCGAAGAGAAGGCCCCTTAAATCGCGACTGGAAGTTCGACATATTGCCACGACTATACGAAATTTAAGACTGCGTGTACCGATATCTCTAATTCATCGGGAGAGTTGAACTCAACTATAAGCTATTTTCAGTGCTATTTGCGGACTGAAAGAAGCATGGGAGATTATATAGTGTAGGAGGTAATGAATGAAATCCGGAAGGCGTAGAGAAGTCGTTGCCAGCCGGAATGCTACTGAGCAATTCATATCCAGGCCAGTTGTGGCTACCTAAGGTATAAATTGAGAAGAAAAGATCAAATTTACGCAGAGGATGCTTGCGAACTTATAATGAGCAAGTATGTTTGGTTGTTGACTTAGCATGTACATTCTAGAAGATGTTGACATTGTGATTGCTTACGGGACGGATTGTGAAGAGCTTGCCCCAGGCTGAAGGCTCCTGTTCATATCTGGTCGCTAATCTGAATCAGTAAACAAGTGTGGTGGAAGAATTGTGCAAGCATTCCCCCCTTTCACGAAGTCATGAGGGCATTGTGCACGAACATGGTACTGGAACTCAGACAGTCTCGGAGGGTTGAATCACTGCTACTATCAGCACTTACAGAGCATCTAGTAAAGCAGTTGAAATGTATGTCATGTATATTCCCTACTTGATATCCATATACTGTGGCGCATCTCAGATAATGTATTGCTAAACCCATAGTACCATTCTGATTATAGCTATGCTTGATCAGTATCGTTATTATCCCGGGTATGATCCAGAATCGTAGAGTGTTGTCAATTATTGGAGGCATGTATCGCAGTGCCTCCGTTGTGTGTGATGCTTCCCATACGTGTCAAATCCAACACTCGCTCTCGAGCAACGGCCTCTTGTTCCTGGTAAAAGTCTACCAAATCCAATGTACTCTTCCTTACACTGACAACGCTCATAACTTCTTGACCATCTTCGTACTCCGTCTCACGTCCCAAGCTCTTGAAGCTTGATACAATGCTTGCTCGGCTGATGATGCTTATGCGACTCTCACGCCTTGAATGCTTGAACCGTGGTGGGAGAGTCTTTGAGGACAAGGAGTCTAATTTGGATGGGAACGATTCTTGTGCATTATTTGTTTCTGGTCGTGTTCGTGATGACTCTGCCCGAGCCAGCTCACCAAGATCTGGTTGCGACAAGCTGAAATGGTCAAGGCTGGGGCGAGGAAATCTTGGAACGCAGTTCTTGTAGTAAAGAGACCACACACGGGCTCGATCATTTCCACCTTCTGAGTCGGCGGCACCATCAAAAATTGCGTTGTTGCTTCCTTCGAAAGAATTGAGTTTTGCCTTGGACTCTTGCGGTTGAGTGGCAGCTTCAGCTGGAGCATTGTTTTCAGGGCTGAGAAAGGGTTGTTCTTCTCGGGAACTTCCCTGTATTCTGCTGAGCTGGCGAAGGCGCGTGTGTTCCGATACTCCTCTTCTCCATACATCTGGCAACACTTCAAGCTCCGGATATTCTAACATACCCCCCGTGGTTATCGAGCTACGGTGGCCGTGACCATGCTGTCGGAACTCTGTACTCTGGCTCCTGAACATCCTGGTGTAATTTTTGATGAACTGCTTCCCGAATGTCATGGAATGACTCTTTGCCATGCGAGCATGGCCAACCCTCTTCTTTTTCCTTTTTGCACTGCCATTTTGGGATATTTCTGGAGTGGCTGTCGGATCAATGTCGTCCTCTAAATCACCTTGAGCGAACTTTATGGCCGTTTCAAGCGCAAAATCTCTCGTCATCACTCGGTCCTGATGACCAGCACTTCCTGTACGAGCGGGACGAGTATGGCTAGGATAAAGTCCCCAGGCACCAACAGTAGCCGCGTCGTCCTTTTGTCTGTCGAAGGCAATACGCAATGCATCATCTGAATCAATGTAATTATTATTGACATTGACGACTGCGCTTCTCCGGGCAGCCGGTAGCGCATCAAATGGTCCTGCTGCCTTTGGCTCTTGTTCACTTCCACCACCCTCTATGGGCGCGTGCACGTCGTCCTGCGTTACCAGTGGAGACACACTAGGAGAGGCCATGGACCGGCGGCGGGAAACGCTAGAGCTTCTCTTCCGATAGAGAGGCCTTTCAACGGATAGTTGATTGTTCTGGGGTAGAAACATGGACCGTCGCTCATCGTGGAAAGCTTTGAGAGCGTGTTCCCAGACAGGGTCAGAGTCAGGGTTGAGCTTTAAAACATCCATCTCCTTTTCTAGACTGATTGCAGATTGAGACAGCTGCTCTTTTCTTTCTCCGTCATCAACAGGGTCAAAAGATCCGTCTACCTGACCCTCACATCTCAACTTGAGATTTGTGTCACTTTGGCTGCGCTCCCCACTCTTCGGCTTGAGTATCTTCAGAATAGAGAGCGCTGCTGTAGATCTCTTCCGCGGAGGGGACGGACTGAAATCTTCGCGGAACTTTGATCTTTTCGTGTCGGCTACGCTGTTATTGCGAGCAAGAGCCGGCTGATCATCAACAGACAATCTATCAAAACTCTGAATATCAGCCTTTAGCGTTGCAATGCTGCTGAACTGGGCAGGTCGAGGTGTCGCTTCGGTGCTCCCATGAATGCTTCCTCGTTTGCTCTCTTCTTGGATGCTCGATGTGGTTTCCTGGGACGTATCGCATTGTGTGACAGGAGTTGAGAGATTTGCTGTGGAATCCTCGACGCTGGCTGGAGGACTGTGAGGCCTGCTCGAATATATCGACGATATGTCTTCTGGTTCTTGGCCAGGAGATATCACTTTGCCCCATTTGCTTGGGACTTGCGCACTCCCGAATCCAGAGCTAGAAGTATGCCGATGATGATTTGAACGTTCACCTTGTAGCGATGCTCGGTTGGTATCTGGTAAATTCGTCTTGTGATCAGGCCCGGTCGTGGTTGGGCTTGTCGAGTTGTCGGCAGCCTTTTCCCATGATAGCAAGGAACCTGAACGTAAGTGGTGAGAGATTCGCATACTGTATAGATGGACTGAGTGACGTGGATTCTCATCTTCATTGGACAAGCAAACGTTGGCTCTCAACCCAACAGGCTGATGGACGCAATCATTGGAGTCCAAAGGATTGGGTAAGGCGGTACTCTCTGCACTACGTATGACTGACTGTCCGCTGTTTGACTTTATTGTCAATGGAGGACTGATGGTTTGTTTTATTGGTTCATCGTTTTGCGTAGAAGGAACGTCATCAATGATTTTGGTAGTCTCAACACCGGAATCCAGATGGGGTGCTTGACTAGACAACTGGAGACTCCATAGAGTGGCGGCAGACCACGGCATGGTATCAGAATCTCTGAACGACATCCGCGGTAGGAGGTCTTGTAGCTGCGAGGAACTTGCTCTCTCGATCGAGCTGAATGAGTGGGATCTTCGAAGGCTACGATCTTTATCCCTCGAATCAGGAATTCGGAGATTCGGAGAGCTACAGTACTGGTTCCAAAGTGCATTTGTCGATGTCTTGCTCAAGAGTGGAATGGGGGCTAGTTGATATTGACCGGGTGTGACAACGAGATCCGAGTTACGACGGGAGTGTGGAGTGGGTAATTTGCTAAACGCAGTCAGCACAGAAGTTAGTGAATTGCCTGAGTAGGACATACGTCGAAGGTGACGATGCCCAATCGATACTATGGAGGCTCGTCCTCTTGGAAACCGGCCTACCAATCCTCCTGGCTATGCCCTCCAACACTTCGGCATCCGAATCATATCCGCCCTCTGAACGTCCTTTGTCAGTGAGAAGATTCCTGCGTAGATCTTCCTTGGTGATCTTGAGCTGCAGGTTAGGACCATCATGAGGTTTTCTGAGAACAGTGTCCGGTGCTTTGTCTGTCTCCTTTCCCGATGCACGACCCTGCGAGGGTCCAGCCAGATTTAGTTTCGACAAGTCTTTCGACAGCTTTCGTTTGATGAGAGCATGCACGCTTTTGATCTTGTGCAAACTGGGTAGACTGTGAATGGAAGATCGCCCGAATCGCGTGCGGTGAATGTTGGCCGGGGGTGTGCGATGTACACCCTCATTTTGGGCGTTGTTGAAAATGAAACGCAGCTCGTGAACGTCTTCCGATTGCGTGCTCGTGTGGTTGGATGCTACAGATGGCGAAGCATCATGAAGAAGAGGAAGTCGAGCAGGAGTAGCCTCGTGTACCCGAGCATTTGGGAGGACAGGGGAGTCCGATCGTTCGTCTTCTGCAGTACAACACAATGCTTTCGTCGCCATATCTCCTGATCATCAGAGTTCGGTCATTGGTGCCGGGATTAGTGGAAAGGAGGGGTTTGCTCGAGGTGTTTAATCGAAGTAGAGTATATTGCTGAGCGATGTTTCCAAGGGCAACCCCAACAAACGAAGGAATATACCAAAACAAAGTCTGGCTTGAACAATGGAAGAGAACGATCGAGCAGAGGAAGGAATAGTTGCGGTCGATGTGAACAGTCGTTGGAGTGATTGTTGTTGTCTGTTTTGCAAGTGGACAGGCGTCGATGGGCAAGAGCAACGCATATTGGCAAGGACCAATCATCCTCATTGGCATTCACGCCCGGGACATGAGCAAGAATCCAATGAGAGTATAATACCCCAAATTGAGTGTTCTGCACCAAACAACTATACAATTTCCCTCAGGTCGTTCGACGCATCGGTGAATGACACATCACATGATCTTCCAAAGCCATCACTCAACTACCATCCAGCAAGATTGCCTTACATACCTCATCGAATTTCGGAAAAAAAGAAAGCGATGAAGGTGTTCCAATAACTCTAATGGCCCCGACCCATCTCTTGTGAAATCCCTTTCGTTGGCGACATCTAAACCTCAACCCATCATTTTCTTACCACTAGCATCATCCTCATACAACCCACTATCCCTAACCCACTCCGCAACCCCCTCTGTACACAACCCCCTCACCTCCTCCCACCTCCCCCCCTCCGCCGCCTTCCGCACCCTCGTCGAGCTGATACCCACGCCATCCTTCCCCTTCACCATCTGAATCTGATCGACCCATTGACTCTTGAACCCCTCCGCCTCCAGACGGCCGCTCTTCAACCCTTGCAAGTACTCCTCTTGCTCCGCGTCCGTGCCGTACGCGCTCGAGGATTCGTCGTGCGAGTCGGCGGGACGCTCCGTGACGCGGAGTTTGTGGCCGGCGTCGAAGAACGGGGAGAGCGCTGATAAGGGGGGCGAGACGGAGCCGTAGTATTTGGGGTTGCAGAAGCGGATCAGGGTGTCGTAGCCTACGAGGTGCACCTGGGTGGGGTTTGTGGAGTAGAGTGATGGAGCTGATTCCGCGATAGCGAGGGATTTGTCGGTGTAGTAGGGCTCGGTGGTCAGGCCAATGTCTATGGAAATGTCCTCCGGGGGCGTAGTGGAGCCTGAGGAGGTTGATCTGGTCTTAAGGATATGGGATAGGTCTTCGGCAAATAGTGTCATGAGGGCGAGGCGCTGGGTGAAGCAAGCTGGACTTGGAGCTTTGTCGGCATTGTGTGTGCTGAAGAGAAGCAGAAAACGATGAGGTTTCGGGTCTGAAGGTGCGGGCTCTGAAAGAGCAGAAACAGAGAGCGCAAGGTGGGCAATGGATGGCGGGTTGAAAGAGGAATCCAGGACGTAGAGCGTTTTCGGTCGGGTTGAAGTGGAGTTGACGGTGCGGACGATACGGAATTTAGAAGAGGAATTAGTGAAAGAATGCAATGCGCTTTCTAATTCTGGGAGTTGCGATTTTAATGCAGCTATTCTTGAGGCCATTTCGGCCATTCTTAGGTATGTTATTTAGTTATAGCTATCGTGGATCGTCGGACGTCGTCAGTGACGTCTGGGGTTGAATCGGCCAAGCAATAAATAAAGAGGACGGAGAGCTCGGGAGCTCGGGAGCTTGGGGTTGGAGGGGCTGAGGGGCACAGGGGGTTGGTGGTGGGGTCACCTGGAGAGCAATTGTGAACGAGTATGAGATAATGAGGAACAGAGGCACTGCATATAGGGCGGCGAGAAAAGAGTCTACAGGGTCTCAAATGTTAAACATGTGATTCAGTAGGTAATGTTGACGAGCAAAAGCAGGGACTACATCAGAGTGATCAGAGTTGAAGGTGTTGAACTTCTTTATTAATTCTGTCTCAAAGACATCAACTATATAGCATCAGGCATCAAGACAGCCTTGTTTAATCTTGTCCAACTTCCATCATGCAGATTGCGAACAAGTGCATCTGCTCTAAAATGAGAACTTAAGTCTTTTTGATTTTGAGACTTTTTCGACGCCGACCCATGAAGCCAAAGATTGCCAATTACGCCACGTTGGATCTCAAATACTGACGCTTACTATCCCTCTCCTGGGGATGAACGCCGATGTTGAGATCGTTCATATAAGCCCCTACCCGCCCGTTGACCAGAAATGCAGGTTGAACTTTTTGGTATCATGAACACATTACACACATTACACGCAGCTGTTGATATGCTGCTTTCCCAGACACGCTGATGAAGGATGTCTAGAATTTTGCCTCAATAGGCATGCTCCACATGGGAATGAGGAGCTTAAGAAGAGTACTTCTCGCGGTAGAACTTGGCGGCGTTGACCAAGTTGGTGAGCGCAGCCTTGGTCTCCTTCCACTGGCGGGTCTTCAAACCGCAGTCAGGGTTGACCCAGAGCTGCTCAGGCTTGAGGTAAACCAACATCTCGGCGAGACGGTCCTTGATCTCCTGCTCGGAGGGAACACGAGGGGAGTGGATGTCGTAGACACCAGGTCCGATGTGGCGAGGGTAGGCCTTGTCCTCGAAGACCTTGAGGAGCTTGGCGTCGCTCTTGCTGTTCTCGATGGAGAGGACATCAGCATCGAGAGCGGCAATGGCGTGGAAGAAGTCCTGGAACTCGGAGTAGCAGAAGTGGGAGTGGATCTGGGTAGAGTCCTGGACGCCAGCGCAAGCAAGCTTGAAGGAGTCGACGGCCCAAGAGAGGTACTTCTCACGCTCGGTACCGGAGCGGAGAGGGAGACCCTCACGGAGGGCAGGCTCATCGACCTGGATGACGAAGATGCCAGCAGCCTCGAGGTCAACGACCTCGTCGCGGAGAGCAAGGGCGAGCTGCTGAGCCTGGACAGACTGGTGGACATCGTCACGAGGGAAAGACCACCTGAGGCAGGTGATGGGTCCAGTGAGCATACCCTTCATGGGCTTGCTGGAGACGGAGGCAGCGTACTTGGACTCCTTGACGGTCATAGGGGCGGGACGAGAGATGTCACCGACGATGATCGGGGGACGGACGCAGCGGGATCCGTAAGACTGGACCCAACCGTTGGTGGTGAAGACGTATCCGTCGAGCCTCTCGCCGAAGTACTGAACCATGTCGTTACGCTCGGGCTCACCGTGGACGTAGACGTCGAGGTTGAGCTCATCCTGGATCTTGATGGTGTCCTCAATCTCCTTCTCGATGAACTTCTCGTACTCCTCAGCAGTGATCTCACCCTTGGTGAACTTGTTACGCTGGATACGGATCTCCTTGGTCTGGGGGAAGGAACCGATGGTGGTGGTGGGGAAGAGAGGGAGCTTGAGGTGGGTCTTCTGCTGGGCGTAACGCTCAGGGAAGGGAGACTTGCGCTCGTGGTCAGCAGCAGTGACGCTGGACTGACGGTCCTTGACGGCCTTGTTGTTGGTGCGCTCGGAGGTAGCACGGGCGTGGATGGCCTGGGCGTTGGCCTCAAGAGCCTCCTTGACGGCAGCGGGGCCCTCAGTGACGGCCTTGGCAATGACGACGACCTCAGCAGTCTTCTGGACGGCGAAGGAGAACCACTCCTTGACCTCAGCAGGGAGCTTCTTCTCGCTGTCAAGAGAGTGAGGAGTGTGGAGGAGAGAGCTGGAGGTGGCGACGATGACACGGTCCTTGCCGAGCTTCTGGATGGCGGTCTCAACGGTCTCGATGGCACGCTTGAAGTTGGTCTTCCAGATGTTACGTCCATCGACGACACCGGCGGAGAGGACCTGGTTGGGGCCAAGCTGGCCAATGACGGCCTCGAGCTGCTCGGGGTTGCGGACGAGGTCAACGTGGATGGCGTGGACGTTCTTGAGAGCGGGGAAGACATCGAAGTTGTGAACGATGTCTCCGAAGTAAGTAGCAAGGACAATCTTGGGGAGGCCGGCAGCTGCGAGCTTCTCGTAGGCGGGCTTGAAAGCGTCCTTGACCTTGGAGGGAAGGTCGAAGACCAAGACGGGCTCATCGATCTGAACAGTCTCGGCACCAGCAGCCTTCAGCTTCTCGAGGAGCTCAACGTATACGGGGACGAGCTTGTCAAGGAGAGAGATGGGGTCGACGGACTGGCCACGGTCGGCCTTTCCGAGGGCGAGGAAGGAGACGGGACCGATGAGGACGGGGCGGGTGGTGATGCCAGCCTCCTTGGCCTCGAGGAACTCGCGGACGGGCTTGGGGTCCTCAGCAAGCTTGAAGGTCTGGTTGTCCTGGAGAGTAGGCTTGACGTAGTGGTAGTTTGAGTCGAACCACTTGACCATCTCCAAGCTGGGAACGTCGACGCCATCCTTCTGGTGGCCACGGCCGAGAGCGAAGTACTCATCGAGCTTGTGGAGGTTGTGCTTGGTGTATCGCTCGGGGACAGCCTGAGATAGAGAATTAGAAGATGCTCGATTGATCACGAATGACGGGTGCGGTATGGGGTTGTAAACTTACGTTGAAGAGCTGGATGTGGTCGAGGATGTGGTCGTAGAAAGCGAAGTCGTTGCTGGGGATGACGTCGACACCGGCATCCTTCTGGATCTTCCAGTGCTCGAGACGGAGTCTCTTAGCCTCCTTCAACAAGTCATCGCGAGACAGCTTGTCAGCCCAGTAAGCCTCGTTGGCCTTCTTGAGCTCACGGTTCGCACCCATGCGGGGGAAACCGAGAACTGATGACTGGACCATATTGGCGGGGTTGTGAATGTGTGAGGAAAACGGGGAAGGGACTGGGGTATCTAAGGGTTCAATGGGTGATGAAAAAAGAAGAGAAGAACTCTTCTTGGGATGGAATTGGTTTTTTTTTTTGAAGAGATGGAAGAGGATAGGGAGGAGGGAGGATGGAAGAAAAAAAAAGAGGAAGAGGTAGGAAGAGGAAGAGTATTTAGCTTTCCCCTCTGTCCTCCCCAGTAGTACTAGTACAGTCCGAGCCTTCAGAGGGCCAAAGTGGTGTGCTTGCGCTTTGAATGGTTTTTTTTGTTGGCTCAACGCGCGGGGTGATGGCGCTAAACCGCATCCACACACCGCCTTTAACAAGGACAACGCCTGCAGGGCCCTGGGATAGCAACGACCAACGTCCTCCCATGAGATGAGTCTATGAGTCCAACAGTCCAATGAATCCAATAATGAGTCCAATGAATCCAGTAAAGAGTCCAAAGATGAGTCCACAATGGCAACAATTCTACCCTAATCCTCATCGTCTAGACGCCTCTTCACTGACAACTCGTTACTCCTCGTTACGCCTTCTCCAATCTCCAATCCATTTTTCTGCCCACCAGCATTGACTCTTCGCCCCCTCTTCGCCATAATTGCTCTGCCACGAAAGCTGTACGAGAGCTGCTGCCACCAACCTTGCCCCATTCCCCACTCCCCTGTACATAGGCTGTTCCGTACTCCGTTGCGTCAGACTGAGTCCCCTCCCATACGGATCCTTACGGGGAATTTGTGCTGTGCTCTGATGGTCATCCAGAAACTTCTGACACTACCATCGGAATCTCATTCTCGTACGGCAACATAAGATCAGGCAGTATACATAGAGTACACTTGTGCTATTGAGAATTTTTTTAGCACCTGCTTAGAGACCTCGTCTCTCGTCTCAAGACGATAACTAGCTCCAATAATAATATGAAGTAGGACGAAGTGTAACTTTTTTTTATTCCGACTTCGGCCTGGCTGCGTTTTGGAGGCGGGAGGGGGAGGAGGTGTCGCACCATTATTGGCTGCGGCCAGCGGGTGCGTGTCCTGCTTATCGTCTCGTCTTCTTTAAGGGTCCAAATGTCGGAATCCACAACTACGAAGAGGCAAAGGCCGATCCTCTTGGGATATTCATGGATCTTCGTCGAACATCAGACAATTGGCTTAATGCATAGGCACGATGACAACATCTCATTGTTTCAGCAGGTAATCGACCACGGACTTTCTGAAATGCAGAAACAAAAGCCTCTCAGCAGCATTCAGCATGCTCACACACACACGAACACGTTCTGGCATGCAAGGAAAGAAAACCCTCGACCCAGGGATGGATGAGGACACCGAATCGATCCGGATCCAGACTATTTTCTGCTTTTCTACTAACCAATTCCATCCCGTTCCAGTAGGATGAGATGCCTGTTTCGATTATTGTCGCCCATTAATTATTTTCTTCTTCAACCGTGACGAGTTCTTTGCGCTGCCCCTCTATGGCTTGGCATCTGGTCCTCTCCAGGTGGCCCCTCAACACCACAAAGATGCATCGTGAGAGGACGGAAAATAATCGTACCGCGTGCAAAGACTAACACAGGTCCACCAAAATGTTCTTCCATAATCTCGTGCTCTCTCCACGATGGCGGAGGAATTGGCCGGCATTACTTGGCCCGAGGGGTTTACTCCACAAGCTCCCCTCGTGGTCCTCATAAATACTGCCCCGCCATTTACTGCTCTCCACGACCTCCTGCTCTGATCCATCCCCTCAAAGTGATATATTCTTTCTCCATTCATCGCTCCGCTCGACCAATTTCACAATGTCTAGGCCTGCTCCAGCCCGCACCGCATCCACGAACCTCGGCAGCAGCCCTGGGCACAGGGTTCTGGACGGCAAAGTAGGAATCGTCACTGGCGCATCAAGAGGTATGGTAGCTCGACACGAACGGGACGCAGACCTGGACTCACGCAACTCCTAAAGGTATCGGCGCCGCCATCGCCCGCAAGCTCGCCAGTCAAGGCTGCAACCTCGTCCTCAACTACACCTCCGAATCCTCCACCAAGATCACCGAAGACCTCGCGAGCGAGCTAAAGTCGGAATATGGTGTTGAGGCGGTTCCGGTACAGGCGAGCATGGGCTCCGAGAATGGCCCAGAGCACATCGTCGAGGTCGCCAAAAACCACTTCACCCACCCCAAGACGAACAAGTTCCAGATCGACGTCATCATCAACAACGCCGGTGTAGCTGGAAACAACGTCCTGGGAAAGATCAAAGCGGATGACTTCGCACGGCAATATAACATCAACGTCAGGGGACCACTCTTCCTCGTGCAGGCAGCACTGCCGTACCTCCCCCACGACCGATCGGGCCGAATCGTCAATCTCTCCTCCGTCAGTTCGTCCCTGGGCTACATCAGCCAGAGTGTATACGGTGGAACAAAATCAGCCCTCGAAGCCATGACCCGAACCTGGGCGCGCGAGTTGGCCGAGCGCGCAACGGTCAACGCCATCAACCCGGGTCCCGTCGCGACGGACATGTACACCAGTACGGACGAGGCGTTCGTGGACCAGAACAGGCCGTTCATTCAGCACACTCCGCTGGCCACACCTAGGGAGGGCATCGATCCCAAGGAGGTCTGGCACCCGCTCGAGAAGACGGGCGGACGCGCTGCGTACAGCGAGGAAATCGCTGGGGTTGTTGCCATGCTTTGCAGCCCAGAAGCAGGTTGGAGTACGGGAAGCGTAGTCTGTGCCAACGGCGGCATGGTGTTCAGCACCGTCTAAAATAAAATGAAATTGCCATCACGGCACAATGGTGAAAGGTAGCATCTCGTCTAAGGTCTGGCTGCAGAGACTAGAGTATGATAATTTCTCTGCAAGCGGGTGGATACATAGTAACATAAGTAGCCAGCGATATGTAATGAACGTAGGTTCTCCATACGAGTTCCGCAACGGCATAGCTTCAACTTTAATTTACATCAATCAAGATTCCCGTTGCCGCATTTCCAGCCAACGTGCCGGGACCGCCTGTCCGTACGATATGTGCATGCTACATGTGTAGATACGGAGTAGCATTATGGAGTAGCGTGAAATTGAACAGTTGGGGAAAACATGTGAGAGATACTCATGATAACGATACTCCGTACAGCTGTCTGCTATTCATAATACCTACGGATTATAGACTCGATTAAGGTGATAAGGCGCAAAACAGTGTGTGTAACCTTTATTTACTTGTTATATTGAAGAAGACCAGAGAGTGATGCCAAGAATGCCCCTCCAATTGCTCGTGCAGGCTGGTTGTGTTACTCCAACCTCGCCTCGCCCTCTCCCTTCCCACGACCAACAACAAACCTCCCGCCTTTCCTTTCTTCGCAAGCAGATGCAAAAGCCTCAAAATCGATCCCATCTCCACAAGCGCCTGTTCCTTCTCTCCACTCCCAACAGCCGCGTTCCCGTTTCTAGACCGTTCATTTGCTTCGGGGTTATTATTTGTCGCTGATAAGCTGGGCGGAGGCGTCATGGGAGGGCTGGAGGGGAAAGTTGCCCCAGCAACCCGTGTTTACGCTCTGGCATGCTTCGCCGGAAATGGGCTGACCACCGCGCCTAACTTTGCATCCGGCTCCCGATGCATTCCTCGACATCTCTTGCGGACGCCATCCCAGCGGCTTCATTGGTCTCTGCCTTGAATTTCTTCTTCTTCTTCTTCCTGCATGTCCAAGTCCGGGCCGCCACCATCGCCCATCTTGCGTTGCGCAAGCAATACATCTTAGGGTGGCTGGGCTAGGCCTCTGTTTACAGACCCGCTCACTCTTACACAAACCCACACCATTGTATCCATCCTGCCTCCCCCATGTCATCTCATCTGTGCGTGAACCGTTGATCTACCCTAAGATACCTCCTTCAATATACTCTCTTGCCTGCTATCTACTGTCCATCGACCCAAGTCTCTGCAACGCCTTGCTCGCTCCACCTCTTCGTGTCACCGTTGTCTTGCAAAATCCACTTCCACAACGTGGCTCATGGGGCAATCCACACAGTATTCGGGCTGACCGTCCTCATCACTCCATATCCGGCGATTGCCATCTCAACATGCACCCGTTAAATGCGCTTCCTGCCAGCAGGATGTCGTTCGCGTCAGGACAGCTCCTCCTAGCTTCCCTCCTCGGGCTCGTCTTCCCCATGGCAATGGCCCAAATGCCTTACAATCCGACTCGAATATTACAGAATGGCACGACTCTTTATGTCTTTCGACCATCAACTGACTCGTCTGGCCAATTCGAGCTTGGGTCAATCGATACATCTTCCGAGATCGCAGCCACCAAAGTGCCCTACACGACTCTGTATTCAAGTTTACCATTCCTCGATGACGACAAGAAGATAGCATTCACTCCATTGCTAGACAACGGTGGGAACATGACTGTATATGCAGGGGACTGTTCCAAGGGCGCAAGCGGCGGACAGCTCTGGAGCTTTGAACCCGCACGCTCGGAACAGAATGGAAATGGCAGCTGGCGACAAGAAGATCTTTCCTTTGACCAGGACGGCAGACATATCCCCGCCATCGGGGCCAACTTCCTCAGTGGCGGCGTCAGTTTCTCCGCCGTCGTGGGCGACGATGCTATGGGCACCGGATCCTACGTGTTTGGCGGCATGTGCCCCTCCGCTCAGGCCAGCAACGACTGGCAATCATCTGCGAATTATTCCAATCTCATGGTTACCCTGGAGCCTTCTGCCGCGGATTCTCTAAAGTATCAACTTAGTACATCCTCGAGTCGCGGACCGCCTATCGCAGAGGCTGGTTTTACCCTAACTGGATTGTCACCTAGTTTCTCTAACAGGAGCGACGGCACGCAGACCCAGCAACAAAACTTTGTGCTCGTAGGCGGTCATACAAGTACTGCCTTTATAAACATGTCCCAGGTAGCTCTATTCTCCCTGCCGCAACAGAGTTGGACGTTTGTGGGCGTCGAGCAACCAGATTCGGGGAACTCTGATTTACGTACCCGTGACCAGGAAGTCGAAGTCGAACCTCGCTCTGGACACAGCATGGTTCTTACCCCTGATGGTCAGCATCTCATCATGTTCGGAGGCTGGATCGGAGATACCAAAACTGCAGCCGAACCTACGTTGGCTGTCCTCAATATAGGAGAAGGTTACGGAGGCCAGGGTTCTTGGAAGTGGACAGTACCGCAGCTTTCAGGAACTGGTCTCGCCAGTAATACCGGTATATATGGCCATGGAGCAGCGATGCTTCCAGGAGGTGTGATGATGGTCATGGGAGGTTATTCAATTCCTAGTCCGAACGCCCGCCGACGCAGGGCTACACAGTCGTCTAACTCTCAGACCCTCTTCTTTAACACAACATCTAACACCTGGATCACTAATTATGTACCTCCACGAGAGATCACGCCATCAGCATCCCAATCGAATGGGCCCCTCTCCACAACGTCACAAAAGGCCGGCCTCGGTGTTGGCTTAGGTGTAGGACTGGCTGCTGTCTTAAGCTTGCTCATTTTCTACCTATGGTACACTCGACGGACGAAGAAGCATCGACAAGCTCGAGAAAAACAATTACAGGAACTAGCAATGAGCACTCATCGCTACAATCTGGACTGCTTGTCTCCTGGTATCGATGGCCGCGGCGGGCACGCAGATGCTGTAGACTACCTCGATGAGCCGAACGACTCGTACTTCTATCCCTCCACAGGCTCGCGTAACCAAGGCTGGAGAAGTTCCAATGGCCACGAAGCGGAGCGTACCGGACTTCTAGTTGAAATCCCAAGTCCAACCCGAGGGCTACGCAGGAGTTTGGGTGGACGATCAGGTTATCACATGTCTCGCTATGACGAGAGACGAGTCAAGGCATCCGGCGATATTCACCCCATCGACGAGCTCGAAGAGGACCAAGAACATGAGAACACACCACTAACTGTCTCCAATGAGATGACAGAGCGGCCGAAGAACACCTCTATATTCGACAATGCGCCAGTGCTGGACCCATTTACGGATAGTTCCCGTGGAATAGGTAGAAGTAATCAGCGGTTTGCGCCATACTCTGCGCCAACATCACCCGCGCGAGAGACACCACCAGAGAATGGGCATCTTCTGAGCGACTGGCAGCTTGCCATGGGGGCCTTGCTTGGTCGGCGACCGAGTCCATCAGGAGGTAGACTCTCACCAGATCGCTCTGATCGAACACGTTCGGATCTGAGTGACCGTAGTTTGCATTCAGACTTATCATCCACATCGGCCGGTGGCAGCATCGGTCGCAGTGTCTCTATGCGCTCCACTGCCATGGCGAACAAGGCTAATCAGAGCAACCCTTTCACCACTCCGAACGCCAGTCCCACCAGCAGCAAACCCAACAGCAACCATGAACAAGGCTGGGAAAGTCCTACCCATCCTCGCACCCAATCTCTCACAAGTGTTCGAAGCTACGTTCGGCCACCTATCGAAGATAGAGAGTCGTTCGCAACCGCTCGCACTTCGTTCATGCAATTACAGGCCGAAGGTGAAGTTTTGCTGGGAGGGAATCCCGACCGAGGAAGGCCAGGAACATCATCCACCTCGAACGCGTCGACATCACATACTCAGCCCACTGCTGATAGCACGTTGAGCCGCACAGGAACGATCACAGCGGCCACCTCACTCGCTGATGGCCTCACAAGACCTCGAAGAAAGAGCTGGCTAGGAAGCGTACGACGAGCACTATCTCGCTCTGGTACAACTGCAAATGCCCGGACTCGATCTCTCACAAATTCAACGCCTCAGCTAGAGATATACACAGACGATCCTGTATCTGCAGGAGCCGAGAACACCAAGCGCATGACGTTCCCTACAGCTGCATCCCCACCGAGACGTGCAGCGAGTGATGCTAGTTTCTGGCGTAGCAGACGCGGGCAGCAAGACTGGCTTGACGAGGAGCTTGACCCCAACGACCCTCAGGCTCGCTGGCGACGCAACAGTGGAGACGACTGGGGTGCTCCAGAAGACGTTGCCCACACCGAAAGGGAACGTCGAAGACGGGAATGGCGAGAACGTGGAAACCTCATCAGCCTTGGCGATGAAGAACTTCCCACTCCTCGTACCCCTATCCGATCTGATGACTTGGGCTCAGTGGCCGACCCGCATAGACCAAGCACACCCGCAGACGAGGACGACTGGGACGTCGAAGCCGCAGTCGAGCGCAGAGTAGTCCAAGTGATGTTCACCGTGCCCAAATCCAAACTCCGCGTCGTCAACGCAGACATCGACAGGAGCAGCCTCATGTCGCTACCCCGCGAGAACTCCGACGAGAACATCCAGAAAACCGAATCCAACTCGAACAGCCCCGGCCGGGTCCGCGACCTCGCCGGACGCTTCGAACAACTCGGCTCGCCCAACAGCCCACGACTCGCGCCACGACCGAGCCCCAGCCCCTCGATCAAGAGCGTCAAGCTGAGAGCGCAAGGCAGCTCGCCGTCCCTCGCTCCCAAGCATAGCTCCGCGAGCCTCGGAGCAAACGCCAGAGCCAGTAGACTCCCCAGCGAGGACATCACTACCATGAACCGATGAGATCCCCTCCTCCATCCATCCATCCATCCACCTACTCGCCTCGGCAACTCCTTTACCAACATCTTTATCCTGCTTTTCACGGGCCTTCCTTCGCCCCTTCGCACTTGATATACCCCAAATCTACCTACTTCTTTCTAGGCCTATCTTTGGGGATTTTTCCACTCGCTATGTATTTGAAATTTAGGGTTTTAGCGATTGGTGTTTTTTTCAGGTCCATTACATGGCGTTTTGATCGATTGGTCGATTGGTCGGTCTTTTTCATGAGACTTTGTCTCTCGGAGGAAGGAAGGGAATGAATTGGACATTTACGACTGCTTGCTTCGATCTCGCCCCCAACGCACGGAGGATTCATACGTATGTACGTGTTGAAGACAAGAAGAACGAAGTGGTCGGAACATGAATGATTCCGATGAGATCTGATCTTTATAGCACGAGGTGACGGGATGTTTTGTTCATAGCTACCTAGCTGTCTTGACGCATATTGAAGATTAAGAGACGTGTTTATGCAAATGGAAATGGAATGGTCGATTTAAGTGTGCTGTGAATGCAATCTTTGTAAATGTTTTCGTGTGATGTTTTTCAAGGGAGGTGTGCGTGTGGCGTATGTATTGAGGTGACTTATTCAACGATGTCAGATATATAGGCCATATATATTACATCGAACTAACTGTGAGAAGAGTGCTCGCTATCAATCGCATTAGATAGCCATAGGAAGTTCTGACCGTGTGTTCATAATGGACAACCCTTCTTTTGAATGATCATTTTCACCATGTCAACTTTTACATCGATTAAGGAAGGACTGTACAACCCCGTTTACTAAAATGATATATTTATGATCAATGTGTATCATGCCGTCCAGAATATATGCAGAGTACCTCCTCTAGAGATTAACGACGGAAATCATGTCCACAAGCTCCCCTCTTCCCCTTTCCTGGAATAAACACGTTTCACATATAAAAGACGGAACTAAGTTAAACGAGAGAAAAGGCAACCAGAAAAGGATTTATACCGGCGCCTGCTTGATGTATGCTAGAGTATATAGATATATGGATGTATACAAGACGAAATCCTCGAAAACTCCCACTGCATGTTGACAATGCAAAAGCGACACAACCCAAGGCATAGATCTATTACATGAATCCGGAAGTAGATACACCATGAAGTGAGAAGGGGGGTGTAAGTCATTTCATTACAATTCATATCGCTTCGTTCTCTCCACCTTGCTTCAAAGCACCCATCCTTCGTCATGTCACCTCCTCCACTTCGTATCCTTCTCCTCGATCTGGCTGCCCTCGCGGTCGATGACGAGGTCCACCTGCTTGACCGGGTGCAGCAGCATGGCGGGCAGACACATGCGGCCCTCCTTGGCGAGCTCCTCCTGCTCGCCGCCGTCGCCGTCGACCTTGTAGCCGAGCCATCGCTTCCACATGTTGGGCGCGTGACCCGCGTGGTAGTACCACGTGGTGCCGAGGAAGTTGTGCTGGCGCTCGTCGGAGAAGACGGAGAGGCGGGCGCCGCCGCTGGCCCCGTTGCGCCCATTGTTGAAGATGGCGGCGAGGTACTGCACTGGCCACTTGCGGTCGATGAAGACCGGGTGGGGCGCGTAGACGGCTTTCAGGCCGTGGTGCAGCGCGCAGGACGCTGGCCACATCTCTGAGAACATGGTGTGGCGGTGGATGGTCTGCTCGCGGTGCATGGTGAGGAGGAGGCGTCGGGAGAGGCGGCCGGAGGTGTTGATTGCGGTGCGGCGGGGAGGGAAACCGCGGGTGCGGTTGTAGCCGGTCACGTCCTCGGCGAGGATCCAGTTCGTCTTGTCGGGGTCGAAGAGTGGGTTGAAGACGATCAGGTCGGCTTCTTCGTCGACTCCCCAGGTGTGCTTGTCTTCTGTCATGGTTGTCTTTGGCTTGACGGCCGGGTCGATCTCGATGTCTGGGTAGTCTTCTGGGATCTCAGGGCCCCAGATGGGCTTCTCGGGTTTCAGGGTCTCTGCGTGTGGCATCTTTGGGTTGGGTGGGAGGTGAGATGACCATTTGTTGGCTTGGCTGTTTGTGCCGTGCTCTGTCTGGACGCGGACCATTTGCGAGAAATCTTCCCACGAACCGTGAACAGCTGGGACATAGAACCGGGAGTTGCGTTCCCAGAGCCCCTTGCGAGGTTGCTTCGATGCCCACTTGGAGATCTTGTCGAATAGATGATAGTAGTGGCCGGTGTATCTGACATCCATTTCCCAATGCCAGAAGTGGTCGTATTCGGGATGCTGGTACGCAAAGTATGAGACCGGCATGAATGTGGAACGGTAGTTGCCGTAAAGAGGGAGGTTGCGGAACTCTGCTTGATCCATGCCACCGTATATCAAAAACATTTGGCGTTCTGACCAAAGTGTACCCATGCCCCAAAACTCCTTTGGCAGTGACTTCTTGAGAACTTCCTGGTACACCTCCTCATCTCCCCAGATCTGTTTGTCATCATCTTTGACGTGAACGAGGAAATGTACATCGTATTCACCACCAGACTGAATTGACAGTTCGGCAATCAGGGAGCGCAGGAAAAGAAGATCTTCGTCGTCATAGTTGTAGTCCCACCATGTTCTAATCAAGACTGCAGTGCGAGGAAGCAAGTGTCTGTGTTCAGCCTTGGGCTGAGCCTGGATGGTAGGTTTCTCTGCGACTGACTCTGCAGCCTTCTCTGCGGTCTTCTCGACATTTTCTTTCGCCAATTTCTCCGCGGTTGCTACGGGAGTCTGCGTAGGAGACTCTGCAACTTCAGTTGCAGGTATGTCCACAGCCGGTTTGCTTACTACCTCCTCTCTCTTCTCTTTGTTGTCCTTGACATCCTTCTCTTCTGTTGGCTCTTTGATAGAAGAGAGACCCCTTCCTGCTGGTGCGGGCTTGAAGCGGGCCTTGTTCTTCTCAAAGCAGCGGCGCGTGACCTCGCCCCAATTTACATTTCGGTAGTCGACCTCTGGTACATCTCTCCAGACCTTCTCGATGCCCTCACGGTCGCCCTCCAGAGCCGCGCCAGTGCCTCCATACTTCCTGCTGTAGCCCAGACCGTACGGGCCAAGGCGTCCGAAACGTTCGAAACAAACGTCATCGCGGAGTCCGAAAAGTTCATACGAGCCCATCACGTTGTCCGGCGTACCTGCAGTAACACCCTTATATGCCTGCATCGGAGGAATCTTGATGGTATTCTTATCGTCCAGATAACATGGCTCAACGGGTCCATAGATATCGACATAACCAATGCTCTTGTAATCCGGAAATGGGTTGAACTCCTCCGAGGGCGGGATCTTGCTGCCATCTGCGCGCTTCTCCTTTGCCTTTTTTACGGTATTGTCACTCTCCGGTGCATCAGGATCGATGTCTTGCTTTGTAGGGTATTCGGGTACATTCTTTTCCCGTGGTGTCAATGTCCTTATTCCACCGTGGTACCTTTTCAAGAAGGGAAAGGCTTCCCACACCCGCGGAGGTGGCGGAGGTTTCTTAAGCCCCAATTGAACATTTTTAATCGACGAAACACTTGCATTCGTCAAGAACAGCATGAAGAGAAGCAAGGTTGTGCCCACCGCCAGCCCTAGGTATCTTGTGAACGCTCTTGGGTTTCGATAGCTGTATGCGCTCACGGCTGGCTTCGATATCGATCGTCTCCGAGGAGGATGTGTAGCCGAGGCTGCTCTTGAAGCATATGGTGTGGAATCTGCGGAGGAGACATAACTCTCATCGTCGCTGTCATATCGTTTCTCGTCGTAATCGCCGTCCTCTAGATCGTGGTTCGGGACCTCGTTATATTTCTGTTTCCGCTTCGAGACGGACAGCGGCCGGAATCCCAGCATTGTGAATATGATAAACTACTGCGGTATTATGACATGCGAGGGTCGCAAGACCGTTTGCACGTTCCGATCGGAAAGGGGTGCGGAATGTAGCCAACACACGAGCAGGCGCCTGGACTGCTGTAATGCTTGTTACGTGATTTCCTAGGTTTGTTCGTGATGTAGAGAAGGCTCTAGGAATTATGTATGAGCGTTTGAGTACTTAATACAACATAGAATGTAGCCTTTTTTTGTACGGTGAGTCGTGAAATAGTCGACAGGGAAAGTTTTAGAGACCCTTTAGGATCGAGGTCATCGCCAAGCCAAAAACACAGGCCGCGGGGCCGGTTGTCCCAGCAGCCTCGCGTAAAGTAAATACAGCGACGTTCGTTTGGCATACGACTCTATAATCGGCATCCTTCTGGACTGCGAAAACTTTTCGAGGAAAATCAATCCAATAATCTCTAGCTTGTGCATCTGCCATATAAAGTATCATGTGAAATTGAGGTACCATAAAGTACTCCGTACCCTCAACACCATTAGTAGCACTCCCGCCACACCAAACATACTAATTACGGTTCATGATTTCGTAGACATACCATAACCGAACTCGTACAGCGTTTAAAACTTCGAGTTCAGTCCTCTTCCCTTAGCAGTCCTTCCATCCAAACCCCAAGCAATGTATAATCCTCCTATGATAAGCCTATGAATTACCCCAATACTCTTCCCCTCTCTGAACTGCACCAACGCATCAACCAACCCGACGCAAGTTCCCCAGATAACGAGCATGGTGTCCACGCTCTCGAGTTTCCCTTGCATGAGAAATGTACATATAACGCAACTAAATGCGATAGTGCGGGCAGACGCGTATGTTGCCACTGTCTGCGCTTCCTTTGATGATGCGGTAGGCTCCGAGAACCCAAGCTTCTTGATGGTGTTTTCGGTATCAAAGATCGTGCTGACTGCCGTCAGGAGTAGATATGAGGAGACACAAAGTGGTATCGAGAGGTGGTATGTGAGGTTCTGGAAGATGCCAAATGTGAACGCATCGTGGGCTCTGTAAAAGAAGTCCATTGAACTTGAAGGATTGCAGACGAGACAATGTTTTCGAGTGTTTTCGATGGTTTTATGCAAAACAGACGCGAGTAATTCTGGTATATGCAGCCTTGTATCGGGGAAGGAATGAAATGAACCAGCTTTTGGTAACTTGGAACAATGCCCATGTTTAAATTATTTTGCAAACGATGATCACGCCTAATTCTGTCACATCATTCGGCGGCCGAGGCGTATTTCTACAGTATGTGGCAGTGCAACGACTGCCTACCGTGTAGGTAATTTTCATCGACAAGAAGTGCAAAATAGATCTTTTGACCAGAATGAGAGATAAAATTGCGGCTAAAATATACGTAACCACGCCACAGCGGATTAAAATCCCTTCTGTCGAAAGCATCCTCTTAGTAGGAACGTCTTTCAAATAATAGTTAGAATTCCTATTTCCAGTTTCATGACGATACCTTACCTATCATTTGCCATGCTCCCCGCGAGTTAGTAGTTGGTACAAGCACAGCCCTTTGCTGGGCAGCCAAATGCTGATGATCCTTGTCAGCGAGACCATATAATACCGTAGAAACTCTAGAGCGACGAATGACTTGAGGAAGCACTAAGTACCTGGAAAAATCACACAGCCAGACCACCCCGTCTTTCTGCAATTTTGTCCTCGCGCACCGCAGTCTAAAAATCACGCGTCAATCTTTGTCGGCATTCAAAGTTGTGATGTTCTCACTTGTCGCTGAGCATGGGCCAGTATATTCTGGGTACGATCCGTATTGATCGGTACATTCGTCCCGCGACTTCAACCCTTCGAGCTGAACGGCCGAAGCATTCGCCGCAGTGAAAAAGGCAAGGCTTAGTAGAGCTGAGGTAAAGAAACGCATGTTGAACTCGAGTTCAAATGATTGTCGAGTTATTCCAATACTGTTCGAATCTTTCTCGTTTATGATAAGATTCATTGTTATTCCTCAACTTATATAGCTTTGCCAAGTACATCTTTGCGTCCAGCCTAAGATCGAGGCTATATAAGTTGCAGCTCTTGTCCTTTGCTGCCAATGTTTCTTTTCGCGCACTTACGGACGCAAAGGTTGCCATGAGAGGTATTTATGACCTCCCAAGGTATACCAAGTGTCGTACAGAACCGCATTTGTGCAGATCCTTGGGATCAATTAACAGACGAACAGTACCGCCTGTGATCTCTTCATGATCATTCATGTGCTTGACTCAAGCCCTTGGCGATAATTGTCCCTCGTGCAAATAAGGTTCGGCACGGCAGTGGCTTCGCCTTTCCCCATTGAATATCCGTCTTCTGGGTTGGCAATATCTAGAATGGCTCGAATCTTGGTGGGGCACAGAGAGCAACATTGGAAAAAGAGCCTCTCCGTGCCCAAATGATTTTCTCGGCAAATCTTCACGTCTGCACTGTCAGTCGTACGACGTCACTATACATGCAATTGCCGGGTGCCAATACGGAAGAATTGCACCCATATACCTTAGGATGTAGACGGTCGATTATTGAGATACTGCAACTTGAGGCTGAAGCCAAAGCTTCTCCATGATGATACGTGATTGTCTGTCTCATGAGGTCACTTCGCATCCTCATGTTATGACATGACAGAGTATTGGCTCAGCAGACACTTTGTTATCGGATCTATTGCCATAATTCTGGTGGCCTTGAAATCCCCGAGATCTACGAGTCCATTTTTTGGGCTCTTGGTTGAAACGCCCTCTTTCGGGGTGTGATATTAGAAGCGGCGACTCTCAATGTTCGAACTGTCGGGAATCTTGGTTGTCGTGACAGTAATCGTTCGAAGTCGTCTTCACATTCTCTGGCTGCATTGAGTGTGCATGATACCTAGATACGATTCGAGCGGGGTGCTCAATCAGAACTTCAAATGCCAGATGCATGCAGCATATCATGGGACATAAATGGGTAGATAAACTGTTGCCTTTGTTCTATTAGCTATCTTACTGTGCACTTTGTATTGGCTAGATATACTTATAGTGTTTCATGGAGCCGGATTATCGTGTAGAAAGGAATACTGTGTACATGTGCTACAGACAGCCGCAGGATTCAATTGCGATTTCTAGCCCAAGCAACATCTATAGTGGTGAAAGGAGGCATCGATCACATCGGGGTTCATCATGTTTTTATTCTGCAGACGTTGGCTTTCATGGTGAGCGATCTATGTTGGGCAGGGCATGTTTGACGAACCACGGCGAATGGAGAAGGGCCCTTGAGCGGGTCAACGGGCGCAGTGTAATGTATGAGTATAGGGAACATGGCCGACGCTAGTCACGTACGTTCAATTAAGAAATGTTGGGAATCAGTGGTAAAGAACAATAATTGACATTCTGACGCAAAAAATGTCATATCGCAGGATTTGTATTCGAAAGCCAGTAGATCTCAACAGAGCGAGCGACCGCTCACATGAATCACGATTGACACGGAGAGCACATGTGCAAGGCAAGAAAAGCAGGGAGAGCTCAGCATAACGATGGAAACATGCATATCCATAAGGTTGCCGATTATTGATCGCTTGCGAATGTACAACTTCGAGGAGTTTCTTGAACAAGTAAGTTGTCGCTACGAGTACTCCGTACTTGCGTATTCAAATATCGAGATGACTTGGCTTGGATGGATCTTCATTTCGCTTGGGGCACGGCTAAGAGAACAAATCGGTAACAGTAAGAATCGGCGCATTTCATTAAATGGTCTGGCTACGAGTACCAGGTTACCAGCAAGCTTACAAGTTCTCGTGAGCATCAAATTCAAGAGTGCTACAACTGACCTAGGTCGAAATATCACTCACTATATTCCGTATGCCTACTCATATTTTGTAGCCATTCAATGGAGCCTGGACATATCTTTCGTAGGAGAGTGCATGAACATCAATGCCTGGCTTAAGTAAGGTCAGAACCAGGCCTTGATAAGGGAACCGAGTCTCATGGCATCAATACCCCTAAGGAAAGGATCGTTGCTTATTCTTACATATCAAGCTGATACTGGGTTGCTTCCTTACAGTTACTGGACGTTCGATTGAAGGAAAGCGATAGAACGCACCAGATCAGAGGGAAACCAACGCTCAGGTTCGACACATGCATCAAAGTTATGAAACAAAGTGATGATCACCAAATCCACGCATTACTTTCGCGTCTAGTCTCCCCTTCTTCCAGGTGACAAAGACTGCCCAGATTCCCAAAAGTCTGCAAAATCACATTGGCATGCTGACACTGCTCCATAGAAGCTCCATCTTAGGTTAGCAGGCCATTGGAGGTTTGCCACGAGATAGGGGCCATAGTCATCCCTGTTTGATTCCTGGAAAAGATCGACAATGTGTGCAGCATGAGCTTGCCTGTGATGTGCGTTCGTTGGGAATATGAAGTAATACATCAGATTCCACAATCAGATATCGAGTAGGCACTTATATACATAACAAAATGTCAACGTTCTCGTGAAATTGCCTGCGTTTTCTGGTTTCTTTTTGGAGGATGTTGGGGCCTTTTCGACCTGACCAGTTCGCTGCCGTCTACACAAGGCGGCCCCCAACGTTAAGCGCCCCTGCATTTACGCCCCGTGGGCTAAATTAATACCGTCCGTAGCGTGAGCCTCCTCCATAGGTCAGCCTTGCGATCCCCCATGTTATGGCACGTTTGAGGTACAGCGGGGCGAGTTTCCCATGATTTCCAACGGACTGCATCAAACAACCACCAACACGCCTGGCTGTCCGCTATGACCCGGTCGATGGATTCTCTTAAATCTTCCGAGCATGCTGCAGGCGCAGCGCCTTATCTACTATGATGCGACCTGTGTAACCTTCTTCTGCTAGAATTTCCTCTCCATCTGCATTTGATGACATCTTGTTGTTGCTACGAGTATCATTCGCCAAAGTTCCAACGGACTGGAACAACTACTGAATATGTCGACAAATAACGACGATAGCACTGTAAGTATAATCTCAAAGATTCGACCGAGCCATGAAAAAAAAAATGAACGGGACCTAACGTGCAATAGTCATATAGTCACTCAACTCTAGAAGCAGTGCCCAAACAATATCCGTCAAAATTCACAGTACTACCAACGGCGGATGATACCCCCAAATACTTCTATGAACCTCCCCCAGCCGAATCTTCACCCCCGTCTAAGGCCGCACGTTACACAACCCGGCCCTTTTTAATAATATATGCCATTTTAATCGCGATCATTGCGGGTGTAGTGGGAGGAGTGGCAGGGAAATTTATTGAAGCAAACAACAAAGGTGTCGATCCGACTCGATGCAGCTCTGGACAAAGTGGGAGTCCACTGGAAGCTGTCCCGTCGCTATGCCCTCAACCCCCGAATCCAACGAAAAATGATACCAACGCGACGGCACAAGCGATAACGATACCCTTCGTCGACTGCGATAAGGTAGACGAGCAATTCGTTACCTCTGATCTGTCCAAAGTTCCGTACCGTATCTTCTGTGACGTGGACTGGTCATCTGGCCCGGACCCGCAACCCGACATTGTCGCAATTCTCGCAGCGTCACCTTCCGAATGTATAGAAGCATGCGACAGTATCAACATATTCAACGGTTCCAGTGCTCCCTGTGCAGGGGGCATCTATGTTCCCGAGTGGTTCGATGGCGAACGTGCCATGGCGGACAACAACAACAAGCCTCAGAATTGCTTCCTGAAGCCTCGGTTAGCCAGGTTACCCAAGAGAAACACGAACCACAAAATCAAACAAGTCTTGGGTCTGTGCGTTCCGAAAGCATGCCCTGATCATAAAGGCTGAAGACTTCGACATGCAGGCCAGCTATAATGACCAATGGCACTTCCACCCAAGCTGCCGCCTAATACTCTCGAACGGCTTTCATAAGCCACTATAGATTTGAGAAACAACTTGTGGCCTTGATGCTGGATGCAATACCTGGGGAGAACATGTTCATTTCAAGTCAAGCCTAGGCCACCGAGTTGTTCGGAATTCTCCAACGAAACCATGAAGTAGCACCATATTCATGCTACGATGTTGTACATACTATATATAACAAGTTTTAATATCAAGGACCTGCAGATGACGACGGACTGGAATGTAACATCTGATGCCACCAAGATTCAATTCTGATCACAATGGCGCCCCAGGGCAACACTGAAGTGACCTCGAAACCCTCAACAATTACAAACCGTGCCCTCCGCCGGCAAGTTTCCGCATATCGCTCTTTCAATCAAAGTACAGGGTGCTGATCGGGATATCACAGACCAATGAGGAGACCAGATCGCACTTGGTTCAGTGGTTGTGAAATTCTGTGTACCCGTGTTTGATGGGTACGTGCCTGAATGGTCCTACTTCAAAAGTCGATCGTAGAAACCACTTCTTAGAAGAAATATCACACTCAATTTGCATTGATGACCATGTAGGTTGCAATTTTTCTGATGCAACCCTACTATGCAGCATATTTTTTTTTTATAAATATGAACAAGAACCCCTCACAACTAATATCAAACTAAACCTTTCAACATGCCTTCATCCTCCAAGAAGCCGGTTACTACAATCATGACAAATGTTTATTATGACCAACAAAAGCTTATGCAAATTTTGAAGGACAAGTTCGGTGACATTTTCGACAATAAGAAGTATGGTGTCACGGTAAGCTGGAGATGATATCTACAGCAACGTGCAGCAAGCAGTTCGTGCTAACAATCCATTCCTGATGATAGATGGAAGATGGAAAGTACACGATCAACGCTCCGGAGCCTGTAACTAAAGTGCGTATCCCCAGTTATCACTCTGCTAGGCACACACCTCCCCTTGAACGATACTGAAGGTTCGCAGGGATTTCTCGCACCCGCTCAGGTCTAATCATCGCCCCCATGCAGAACAATATGAGGAGTCTATGCATGCACAGCCCTTCTTGTCGTACTGCTCAATCTTCTCGCTCGGACAGAATACAATCTCATTGCATCATGTCAAATTACGACTGTGGGCTTCGAATACTCTGTATAGCATTTGATCAATTGATGCCCAAGGCAGATGTAGCGATGCATGTGCTGGTGGTTACCTTGATGGCGTACGACTCATTTGTGCGACTCATTTATGGGGAAATGGGTCACGAATTGTCCACAGCATAGATAGTCCTACAATTTATCTGTGACAACCAGTCATACAGTCGCTCAAAAGCGTGCAGTCATATTGTCTTTTAACGACTTGTGGTCATATACTGTTAATCAGGTATCATGTCGGTCAATGCACTGGTTAGTATTACTCACTGTCAAATGTTATAAGTACCTGAGAATGTGCCCTCCTTGAACAACCTCACCCACCACGTCTACATCTCGGCCCGGAATTCTAGACTGTATCTCACTACACCAAACCACTCTTCGAACATTCCATTTGTACCCAATTGCGAACTTTCAGAGTTACCATACGCCTTGACTTGGCCGAAAAAAGCAATGTCTTGGCCACGCTACATTGCTAAGGCTACGTCAGACAGAGACAGAGAGGAAATACTGAACGACCGATTCAGTATCCCAGGAGAGTTTCGTCCCGATCACCGGGATGTGGCAGTACTTCGTCTTACTAGCGAGCATTCGGACCCGCAGAATCAATCAAAACTTGAGCTGATGACTCTGGACTCCTCCCAGGCTTCGGAATTTCATGCTCTACTCAAGGTAAACATTGTCACAACATCCACGCACTGCTAAAGCAAGAGCTATGAGCATACATTTACAAAGTGATCAGCTTGAGGACGTGTCTCAATTCGTATTCTTTTTCCAACCAAACTCTTTCCAACGACTGGACATCACGAAAGATGAGTTTCAAAAATATGATGATGCCATGCATCCTTTCGAACCACTATCGCGGCTCCTGAATTCCTTCGGTCATACGAACTTTGACAACGAATTCCAACACCCTAAGCTTGCTTCAGAAGTACGTGGGAACAAATTAGGTAAGGAAGAATCTGCATGATGGAAGTGCTCAACATTCCAAAGGTTGTGAAAAGAAAACATCCCAATCTCATACTAAAATCGACGTAGAAATTGCATACATGTGGCGACGCATAGAGATTCATGAAAATGGGGCGGATAAGTGGCCCCCATGGAGGATTAGAAAGAATGGAGTCTATTCCAAGATCATATCCAGCAAGGAATCTTCTCCGAATACAGGCCAGCCATCATTGACGTTGGCGAAACATTTGATCATTGGCCCTTCAAAGAACCTTGCCAAGGAAATTGAACACCTTGATAATGCAAGCAAATTTTCGAATCAATAGATCACACGAGCGTCAGATCCGTGGAAGTTCTATAGGGACTTGGTGATTGAAGGGCTGTGGAATTGGGCAGAGTATTTCTCCTGGATGTTTCAAGAAATTGAAACGATGGTGAGTCGCACATCTACGTACTCACAATTGTTGTCCACACATTAACCAAACATTGTGTTTCCGATAGGGCCACAAAGCCGCTGTGACCGATTTCACAGATTACTTTAGAAACTGCGGATTTTATCCTGATTTGAAGGGTCGCCAAACGCTCCTGAGATATGAAGAGCAGATGACTGAAGCCCAAGTCGTTCTTTCTGGGTTATTGAATACTGTGCAAGAAATCACGAGATTGTTCATCGAATCTAACTCTGACCCTTGCAAGGCCCTACTAGAAGATTTCCACCAGGCTGAGGCAGAAATAAAATTACAGCTGGACAGGTCGGTGCTATTAAGACAAAATCTCTCAAGTGTTATTGCATTGGTAAATGGCCCTTCTTAAACCAACCCAAGAAAACAAAATGACTGACGAGCAAAGTTTGACCAGTTTATGGCTTACGAAATGGCGTGGAATATGCGAGACGCAACGAACGAAGCGCGTGAGGAAAGTAAATCCATGCGCTTTCTCACGGTAAAAGTCCCAGCTTGTTTAGACGTAACGACAGGGTGTAATCTGCCCCAGGAGAGAAGCATGCTCGACGCGTCGGCCATGAAAGCCTTGACTGTCATTAGCTTGATATATCTTCCGACTACAATTGTCGCGGTATGTTGTCGACTTATCCCCTATGTACGGTGTTCACCAGCTAAGACAAGCAGAACTTCTTTTCAACAAGTTTTGTACAGACGAGCGAGAACGGACATATGCAAGTCACATCAAATGCTTGGATCCTTGCTGCGATAAGCGCACCTTTGACAGCAGCAACTATCGCTTTGTGGGCGGCCTGGGTAAAATTCACTCAAAACACTGAAAGGGAAGGGGACCAAAATGAAGACAACAGTCTTTATGTCTCGCATGAGACCGGTCATGCCTAGAACTGGGCCGAGGTACCCGATTCCCATGTTTCCACACAATCTTCCCCGTTTCCTATGCTTTCCTACATCACCCTTACTCTTCTCATATGCCTTTCATCACCTCTTTCTTTGTGTTTTCCCTAATGCTTCCCTTATGTTGTCCCATATTTAGACCACCTACAAACCCTTGTCATGCCCCAATCAATGCCCGTTATGTTCCCATCCATTACCTTGCAGCCAAATCACGATTTCTTCAAACCCCTTCTTAGATTATCTTGTTGTTGCTGTATCAATATGATTTAGACATAAATAATTTGAACATCTATTCTTTGAATATGGTATCCCGAGATTGCTGCGATGTTTCGTGACAAGTAAGAATTGAATTGAAATGAAGTTTCCTATGAAGGTGCCTGAGTACTAGCAATTCGTTTGCTCGATTCGTTGTTGATGGTTTCTTTGTGAGGAAGGGATTACAAGGAGTGTTTTCATTGTCATCCCAAACGCAGCTATCCCAAAGCCCCACAAACTACATGTGAAAACGAAGGGATTCATTCATTCTTTGGGTTCCGACTTTGGTCGTTTGCTCACATCCAGCAAGCGTCTATGCAACTGTAGCTTCTCAAAGATTCTAGCATGAAAACCTCCGCGAAACAGGGAGCAAGCCCTGAAGCTATTTGCTCAGTCGAAAACAGCGATTTCTTAATAGATATAATGCTGTAACGCGGGTCTTCTTTTGCGATACCATCACAAAAGTCCAACCTGATATCATTTCTCCACGCGTGCATTGTGCCCTAACAGAGCGCGTGTTCTTCACTGAAGAATAGACCATCACAAATTCTTTCCTAAACCTAAACCTTTGCGTCACACTCTCAAATGGCATCTTCTCACGAAGGAAAAGCTACAGCGACCGGAACGAAAAGCGGAGGCACCGATCAAGCCGTTCCATTGCCAGAAGGACTTCGCGAGAAGATGAAGAAAGTGCTTCTGAATATAGAAGAACAAATAGGCTTCTTTCGGCAACAGGAGATTAATGAGATGTTCGAGGAAAAAGAGATCAGGGAACTTCTCGCATCTTTCCAAGACAGTGTCGACAAGGCAGCGTCTAGAAAGAAGAATGAAGTCTCATGGATGACATCACGAGACGGGAACCGTGACTTGGCCGATCGCTATAGGATGCTATTTTCCTATCTGGTCTACAATGACCAGGGCGAACATCTATTCGAGCTGGTTACCGAGTTCTCTGAAGGAATGCCACTTTCTGATGCCGCAAAAACTTGGCTTGTAGAAAAGCAAGAGGAAGCGAAACCACGCAGCTTGGCGAGTCTGATCGCAAAACTCAACAGATCACAGCGGCTTTTTGACGTCTCCTTCTTAGATGTCGCCGGGGAAAATGATTTCGGTCCAGAAGCAGTACTGCCGTATGAAACAGATCCTGGTTCAAAGACTCCCGTTGCCTCTGCTTCTACCGCTAACGTTTATGTAAACACCCTACGTGGCGAGTTCTGCAATCTCTTTCATACAGTAAGTCACCAAGCGAGTTCCATTTTGTGTTGTTGTGACTAACCATAGCACAGGTATCAGCAACGACTATACCAGGAAAACACAAAGTTGCTGTCAAAGAGATGAGATTAACGGATGAGAGGAAGTTCGTCCGCGAGCGAAGATTCTTAATGATGCTGGGAAAAGCCGCACAGCTCCACGACTACGAAAAGAACTTGATCAATCTGCTTGGTACATATGTCCAGAAATAACAGTTCTATTACCTCATTTTTCCCCAGGCAGAATCCAGTTTGTCGCAGTTCTGGTTCGAGCACAGGGATTCAGAGCTGAGAAATTCGGAGGACTGGATGATAAGCACAATGATTGGAATGACTGGCGCATTGTCTGTGATCCATACTCATAGATCATCTGGCCAACCGGTTGCAGAGACGCATAAAGAGACACTCGGTCGTCATGGTGATATCAAGCCGGACAATTTTCTTTGTATTAAGCGGCCCGGGGGAGCTGATGGTGGCTCTGAATACATCGTCAAAGTGGCAGACTTCGAACGAAATTACTCTGATAATGAGTGCCGTTCAGCTGTTAAGATTGATGAAGTTGAAACATGGGCACCAGGAACGGGTACTTACCAAGCCCCCGAGTGGGGAGATGATGATTTGATTTGCAGCAAATACGACATATGGGGTTTAGGTTGTGTCTACCTGGAATTCATCATCTGGCATCTCCAGGGTTGGAAAGGGATAAAAAGGTTCCGGAAAGGAAGGAAAGGGCTGAATGAACATGGTATTAAAAGCGACACATTCTACAACATGAACAAGAACTCGACAAAGCCAGGTTCGGAGGGGTCCAAATCACCAGAGCCCAAAGAATCTGTCAAGTTTCGGATCAAAGAATTGCAAACATCCGCCTCTCCCCGGGTGGAAAGTCTGCTGAAGATCATCGGGGATCGAATGCTTCTACCCTGGCCGCCTACGAAACGTATCTCCTCGACGGAGTTGCTATCAGAGTTGATGAAAATCCAAGGTGCACATGTTAAGCATACAGCTTAGCACAAACTCGCATCGCCTTTTGAGAGCTCGTTCCGTCGATAGAGAGTTCTGGGGGCGCATTGTGCACTGCGATAGTGCACGAATTAGAAGGCAGTTGTGGTGGATGGGGATGTCTTTGCAACGGTTGTCCAGATGTAGCAGCTGATGAACCCGTGCGAAGTACTAGACAATAAAAGCACTTGTCATTGGAAATTTTCCCAAAGAATTTTCCTAGAAATTCTTATCTGTGAACTCCGCCTCAGGATTGTTGATTGACGTGAAAAATGAATTGGAATAAATATGTATTGACTGTACGGCTTGGAGTCCGATTCCATGGACCCCCCAGAATCAAGTTTCAGGAAACCTTGGTAGCACTTTAAGCAGTGGCAATGTCCATGTGGGTCACCGCTGATGGCGGAAGATAAAATCGGTCAACTCGCTACCTACATACCACAACCTCTGTAATCCCAGTCGTGATTTATCCAATGTGAGGAGTTCCTGTGACTTTCCGATAGAAACTCCTGATAGATCCAAAAGGCAAGAGCATCACGATCCTCACCAATTGATTGGCTATATGCCTATCACTGCCACCGATCCTTTGCATAGAGAAAATGAGCAGAAGTGAACCTTTCATGAAATGCATGTTGCGAATACACCAAACAGGCGGTATGTACCCGGCTTCTTCGCAGCGCCTGGAGAAGAGGTTCATCCTACCCCAACAATACCAGTAGTGAATTAACATCAATGTGCCACTGTGCTTGACGGGATTATTTAGCGCGTAACGTGGGAGAGGAAAAAGATAGAACTGTAATTGTTGATAAACTAATGCACATGGGGCTGGTAGTGCTGCGACGCCCTAGATGTACATAAGATACTTGCCTTACCCCAATGTAGCTATGCGAACCCATTTAGTATTACCATATCTCACTTCCAATTTGACTAGTATGCACTGATCATATCCACCCGGATCTGGGGATCTGACTTGATGTGCATAGAGCATCTAGATTTCTCACCATTTCTATGCCACTCACCTAACATAGCTGTTAAAGGGTTTTCAATAGCAAAATAAGGAGGTTCAGACTCCAAGAGACTACTAGAAAGCCTCTGATGTGAGACAGGTGACTGAATCGTGGAGAGATTCAGTAGTACAAATTGGATCAATCTGACCTTTAGAAACTGACCATCCATACAAGCACTTGTACCACTGCTCTTGTGACCCTAAACCGCCAATAGCGGGTCGTGTGGACGTGAACACCCTCTTATACTGCCTATATCAAGGACGTCGTAGCAGGGTCTGGGGAAAAGAGCAGATCGCGTGGAGCAACCTTGGATGATGAGCAATTAGAAATGGGGTCAGATGGATGATGTCGTCATTTTCCTACTGTCGCTTGGTCGCTCAGCATCAAGACGGTAGTTCCGTCGTTGATAGAAGTGAACCCCGTACAAGTATCAGTAGAAGTATCTGATTCTCTCACGGCTGTGAACAGGAACAGGACTTAATGCACACAGCCATCCCTGAGCGAAAGCACATGAGCGAGATATTTCCCGGGGCCGTGGAACGCCTGGTAATACCATTAGACTGGATCCTATTCAGTTACACGATCGGATGCACTGGCGAGGGACATAAGATCCAAGACAATGCCATGGAATCACAACACTGTCTGGTGCTCGTCAACGCAAGCGATGCGGAAGAGACGGCGGTGGCATGCTTTTCACATGTCCATGATGATGGTGAATCTGGTCCTGTCGAAAATGACGTGGATCTCCTGAGTCGTTCGCAATTGTTGTCCGTGAACCATAAGAGGAAGTTGGAAGTGTCAAGGGGGGGACCAGTGGGCATCAGTGGCGTAGGATTGTCTATGAAGAGTCTTACCTTCCATAATATCAAAGCAATATTTTACTCGGGATCGCCGTGGCTTGCTTAGAGAAATGGGTTGAGTCCAATAATAAGCAAGAGATGAGGAATTAAAGAATCCTCAAAAGAGGCAGACGACGGTGGTTCAGGACACAGCGCCGCTCACGTGCAATCGCGTTTCTCTCAAGACGAAGGGAAAACTTCCTAATTGGGTTCTAGCGCAGAGTGATGAATTTGCAGTGTCAATCACGTCAACGGCACCACCAGCAAAAAACTTTGAATAAGTTGGGATTACGAGGATTCTATGAGTAAATTCCAAGACTTTTTCCACTTGAGCCCCCAACCTCATTCACACTCCACTGCTACTTGTGACACGCTAGGACTCTAGGAGTCTGCCGTACACTGCCTACGCCTACCTACACTACACTACACTTAGACACTACCTACACTTCCCCCCTTCTGGCTCCTCGTTGGACCACCCCCAACATCTGGGCATGCTAATGGCACATCGCATAGCCGCGCATCTAGTCGGCTTCGATTCCTTCCATACCCACGGATAGAAGCATGGATGGAGCATGGATAGACGGTTTGTGTAACACTACATACACTCTCGATGCACGCTTGGATCTTTTAGGGGTGACACGCTGCCATGGCGCCACGCTGGGACGGAACGCGCCATCGGAATCGACCACCTAGATTTCTTGAGGACTTTGTTGTTATGCATTTCGTGATATTCATATATATATTGAGACACCGGCGGGGACTAACTTTTCCCTCTCCCTCTCAGTATCCTTTTTCTACCCTGGATCAGCTATCCATTACCTCTCTGATAATTGGACACGGTCTCTCAGGCCTTCACCATGTCCAAATACTTCTCCCAGTTCAGCAGTGACCCTGTGAAACGGTCCAACAGCTCAAAGGATGATGCTCCACCTGCCCAGGTCGATGGTGAGGAGGGTATGTCTGACCACTTCAAAAGCTTGCCTCAACGGACCTAACATACATGTACAGGTTCTCTCTACCAGGTCCGCCGTCAGGAGAAGCGCCAGATCGGTGTTGTCTCAGCGACTTTCCTCATCTTCAACCGCATGGTTGGAACCGGTATCTTTGCGACCCCCGGCACAATCTTCTCTCTATCCGGCAGTGTTGGACTCACGCTCTTTATCTGGGTCGTTGGTATGATCATTGCTGCTGCCGGTATGGCTGTTTACCTCGAATTCGGTACTGCGATCCCCAGGAACGGTGGTGAGAAGAACTACCTCGAGTTCGTTTATCGACGACCTAGATTCCTGGCTACTGGTATTTATACTGGTTACGCTATCTTGCTCGGTTGGGCAGGATCGAACTCGGTTGTATTCGGAGAGTATATTCTTCATGCTGCCCAAGTTGAGGTCACCCGATGGAATCAGCGTGGTGTCGGACTTGCATGCATCACTACCGCGTTCATTATACACGGAACCGCACTTAAGTGGGGCCTAAGACTTCAAAACTTGCTGGGTGTCATTAAGCTTGGTATTCTTCTACTGATCGTTGTTTCCGGCTGGGTAAGCCATTTTGACCTGAATCTCAATTGAGAACATGATTCTAATCGTTGACAGGCTGCTTTGGGAGGTGCTCTCAAGATCGACAAGCCCAACAACTTCACCAATGCCTTCGAGGGTACCACCGGTAGCTCCTACGGAGTCGTCATGGCCGTGAACAACGTTATCTGGAGTTACATCGGATACAGCAACGCCAACTATGCCCTCAGCGAGACCAAGAACCCGGTCCGCACACTCAAGCTTGCTGCCCCCATTGGTCTGGCTGGTGTCGCCATCCTCTATATGTTCGTCAACATTGCCTACTTCGCTGCCGTACCGCTTGACGAGATCCGTGAGGCAAAGCGCCTCGTTGCCGCATCTTTCTTCCGCAACGTTTTCGGCGAGAGTGCTGAACGTGCCCTTTCGGTATTCGTTGCCTTGTCTGCCTTCGGTAACGTCATGAGCGTCATTTTCTCCCAGGGACGTATTGTGCAGGAGCTTGGTCGCGAGGGTATTCTTCCCCTATCAAGACTTTGGGCAAGCAACCGTCCATTCAACGCACCCCTTGCTGGTCTCTTCGAGCACTGGCTAGTCTCCGTCATCATCATGCTTGCACCTCCACCAGGTGATGCGTACAACTTCATTCTCAAGTATGGCTCCCCCATCACTAATATCGGAAACGCATGACTAACATAATCTGCAGCATCATCACCTATCCGTTGACCATCATCAACGTCTTCGTTGCAGGCGGTCTCGTCCACCTTTATCTCAACCGCACAAAGTGGAACTGGCAGCCTCCGATCAAAGCAACTCTTCCAGTCACCATTTTCTTCCTTCTCTCCAACATCTACCTCGTCATTGCCCCTCTCATCCCCCCGCAGGACGACAACAGCGTTTACGAGACCCTCCCGTACTATCTTCACTGCATTGTCGCCGTCGCTATCCTTGCCGCAGGTGGTGTATACTGGCTCGTCTGGGCAGTCGTCCTTCCCAAGATCGGAGGATACAGGCTGGAGAGGGAAACTGTCGTTGACGAGATCGACGGCTGGGAGAGGAACGTGTTCAAGAAGGTACCCAATGGCACGGTCAGCCGGCCGGAGGAGACTGCATTTTAGACAATCAGGCGAGGTTCATTGAGAAAAGGTTTACCAGGATACCACAACATTGCTTAACTATTAGTCGTTATCAGAATACCACGCTTTAATAATCCATCCCTATCGGTTGATCCCTCAGTCTATAATTGTGTATCAGGAACAAAGTTTGATATTGAACCCCAAACAGGCGTCTCACATTGTGATCAGAGATAACGTCGGCAGAATGTAGTTAAACATGTGAACAGCTCGGCCCTTCGCAATATGATTTATAGAATCCAGAAGCCGAAAAATTCGTACGGAAGGTCAACATCCTGGCTACATGGAATATGGTGCACAGCACTACTCCGTACTTCAATAAAAAAGAGAAGTCCGTCGGGAACTGTCGTGAATGTTGAGCACATCCAAAATACTTCGTGATTGAATAAGTCTATCATGTAAGTCACATGCAAATCTCGTATTGGTATGGCATTTTATTTCACCATCTGGACACGTATTGGATTTTGCCATTTCTCCATTGTTTTGTCTTTCGTTCGCGTCGGGTAAGGGTAAGGGGTGGCTATGCAGGTCGTCTGTGCGGGGTGGCGAATACCTGGAGTACTTACATCATGCCCGCAACGCCACAAGCAACACTCCCATTCACGACGCACACTCTCTCTTTGACCTGCCATCAATCACACGCGCAATTTTCTCAATTTACTATCCAACATGGACGAAGACACAATCTTTGCGATCGCTATCCTCTCGCTCTACGTGGCAGTCCCGGTCCTCATCACCGTGAGCATCACATCCTGCATTGCGTACTCGCGCACGAAGAAATGGGACAAGGAGCGCACGCAGAAGCTCACAAAGGAAGAGTCGGCCACTCTCCTCGATGGCGAGGTCTCGGACGAAGACGATTTCTACGATACCGAAGATGAACAAGAACATCAGGAGCGCAAGCGCGAGGAGGAGCAGGACAAGCTCTTGACGTTCAATCAGAAGTTCAGGAAGGAATACAGGAAGGTCTGGAATGGCAAGGGAGCGAAGCAAGTCATTAAGGAGAAGGAGCGTGAAGAGAGGAGGAAGTTGGCGAAGGCTGTGGCGAAGGAGCTTGATCGCAGGGAGAGGCGTAGGGCTAGACTCGCTGCGGGTGACGCTGCGACCAGCGAGGGGCTTCCACCATATCCTAAGAATTAGACGGTGGGGGAGGATGAAGGTGCTCAGCATTATGAATGCATGAATTGAGACCTTTTAGGCGTAGAGTTTCTCACTTGGATCAAGACTGATATACCCATCTGCTCGTTTTTACAATGTGACAAAAAACTATAATACAATATGAATGGCTGATTTCGCCACCAACCGAATTGACCAACAACCACTATCATTACTATGTTAAATTCAAATTACTCGTATAGCATCGAATACCTCGCACTCGTACCAGGCAGCAACTTTGTGCTCTTGACCATGTGTTCAAATCTCTTTGCGCTCCGTTTATTTATCGTTTCCATGATGTCTGACGCGGCGTCGGCCTGTCGAATGGTCCGACATCCTCCATGCGGACACGCAGCCTATTTGTGTAAGGCCACCCTCAATCAAATCTCTCGTCATCAGTATAGACCCGAACATGGTCATATCCCGTAGGAAACCATGCATTTAAATAGGCCATTAGATTCTTGTCCTCTTCCCAAAGGTCGAAGATTCCACCATGTCGAAAGTGCCTACTGAAAACAGGCACCGTTTTGGTCCAAATGACGAAACAACACCACTTCTTCCTAACGTAGAAACTGGTCCGATATTGGAATCGGAGGAACGAGAGATAACAAAGCCAGTCTTGGAAGACAGTCGAATTGAAGATGATACACCCCTGCCTCGCAGACAGATCTTTCTATTGTGCTATGCGCGTCTCGTGGAACCAGTAGCTTTCTTCGTCGTATTTCCCTACATCAACCGTATGATCGAGAATGTCGGTGGAATCAAGCCCGAAGATGTGGGCTTCTACTCTGGACTGATCGAAAGTCTCTTCAGTGCGACTGAGATGTGCGTCATGATATTTTGGGGCAAGGTACATCACGAATAAACTGAACATCCTTATATCGAGACTAACCAGGCTAGGCATCTGATAAATGGGGGAGGAAACCGGTTCTAGTCACTTCTTTGCTGGGGATCACGGTATCTACCGCTTTGTTTGGGTTGAGCAAATCGATCTGGCATATGATACTTGCACGATGTCTCGCTGGAGTTTTCGCGGGTACCATTGTTACAATCCGTTCAATGTTGAGTGAGAACAGTACGAAGAGCACGCAAGCAGTGGCGTTCAGTTACTTTGCCTTTGCAGGAAATCTGGGTATCTTCATTGCAACATTCCTGGGTAGGTCTATCAGATGATAACAAAGTAAACATGAGCTAACACATTCTGCCTAGGTGGTGCACTTGAAAGGCCGGCTGAGAAGTTCCCGTCAACATTCGGAAAGATTCGATTCTTCCACGATTACCCTTATGCTCTACCAAGTATCATCACTTCATTATTCGCACTATCTACGGCCGTTACGACTATTCTATTTGTCAAAGAAGTACCACATCATCAATCTTATAACATCACCGTACTCTTCTAACGACTTCATAGACACTCCCAGCCCGTAAGGACGATGACGAGCCCGACACTCCACCCATGACGGCATGGGAAATGCTCAAGCACCCCGGAGTTACCCAAGTAATCGTCATATACAACTACGTAATGCTTCTAGGAATCATCATGACCACCATCCTCCCAGTGTACTTGTACACTCCTATCCGACTCGGCGGCATCGGATTCCAACCAGCGCTTATCGCTGTGACAATGTGTCTCGTGGGCATCTTCCAAGCGGTGTGGATGTTAGTAGGTTATCCAATCTTGCACAAGCGTGTCGGTACAGGGTCAATACTGCGAATAACTGCTTGGATCTGGCCGCTCTTCTTCGCCATCTACCCTTGCTTCAATATCCTTCTGCGAAATCATCTCAACGTCCTCTTCTGGGTTCTCGGAGGACCAGTCACGTTCCTAGGTTGTGGTGTCGGTATGATCTTTAGTGAGTACTTCTTATACAATACCCAATCTCACATTGGAGCATGCCTCTAATACCAATTGCAGCCGCCGTTCAAATCGCTATCAACGACATCTCTCCATCTCCAGAGACGTTCGGAACACTCAACGCCATCGTCCTCGCCATCACGAGCGGACTGAGAGCCTTTATGCCCGCGGTTACGACCAGTGTGTATGCCGCGGGCGTAAAGTACCATATTTTAGGCGGACATCTGTTTTGGCTGCTTGTTGCAGTGTTGTCGCTGGGACTTGTGGCGTTGGTGAGAATTCTTCCTGAGAAGGCTGAGGGGAGACCTGAGCGGGATGGCGAGAGGAGAAGAACTGGTGATGCTCAGGAGATATGAGTTTGAGGATATCTATTCACTTCGCATATGACTGGAGGCTAGACAATGTCAGTCGTGTCGTAGAACTTACCTATAGGAATCACTACTATTGGTGTTCGAGCATCATAGAGGAATGCTTGCCTTCGGCTTCTTTGATAGATTCCAAAACAAATGTCAATAGATACCATACTCAATGCCACAATAATAGGATGAAACTACATATTATGTAGTAGTACCCTTTCACAATACTCGTATGTTTGACTTATAAGTCATTACCACAATTCAACACTTACAAACACTTCCTTACATCAATTCTCACTCTATTATTGCTTGGGTGACACATCCAATCAAGATCCTACTGTGCGTACAGACGGCCACTAGGATGAGGGTTGTGGAGTACTAAACCCTTTTTGTCGTGCTAAAACCTGTAAGAATTATGACGCCAGTCCAGGGAGGGCTATAAGAGACTCCAAAGTACACCTTCGTAGCTCAACGATCCAATCTTATTAATTAAGGTCCATCAACTCATTTCTCTTTAATCACATCCACCATGGGAACGCCCATTGCACCCGTTAAGTCACTCGATCATCTTGTGCTGACCTGTGCGGACATCTCCACAACCGCAGATTGGTACCACAACAATCTCGGCATGAAGATCGAGAAGTTCTCTTCCGAATTGCAACCAGATGTAGAAAGAGTAGCCTTGAAATTCGGCTCGCAGAAGATAAATCTCCACCAGAAAGGCAAAGAGTTCGAACCAAAAGCAGCGGTTGCTCGTCCTGGCACAGCTGATCTATGTTTTATCCTCCAAGGGGGTACCGACCTGGAACAAGTATTGCAGAGGTTGAAAGACAAGGGTTTAGAAGTATTGGAAGGAGGAAAGGTTGTGTCACGCACGGGAGCACAAGGAAAAATACAGAGTGTATATGTCCGAGATCCAGATGCCAATCTGATTGAGTAAGATCTATACCGAGCGAAAGTACGCCAAAGCTAATCCATTGCTCAGATTGTCTATTTACCCTTGATATGAAGCCATAATTATTACTGGGATCATAACAATCACAACATCCTCTACTCGATCTTGCAAGTCGAATGTATCTTGTCTCACACTCTTCTGTCTAAGAAATGCTCGATGGCAGCGATACTAAGACTATATTCACATTATCATGATGTGTTAGAACCAAGAGTAGTCCTGTTACAACGGTCTCTTTCGAAGAGCGATGTGAAGAAGAGAAAACACGAATCGGCCCATAGTTCTTTCTGACTAAATGCCAAAAGTAATGCTTTTGATCTTGATGGATAAGGGATGTCAGCCATTGTTTTTATTTTTCCATTAACAATTATGGGACTAACCTCAAGATACTCATCGATTCCGATTGATGACCCCTATGACGTTCAAACATCATCAGCACGTTGGATATAAATCACAGGCTGAAGAATAAACTTACCTCTCTACCTTGGCCGCTTTGTTTGACACCTCCAAATGGGGAAGCGACATCACTGATTATTCCAGTATTGACACCAATCTGTCCACACGTCATTCGTAAATGTTTTCATAACCCGTACGAGTTTATGCTTACCATTCCAACTTCAACCCCTTCTGCCACCTGCCACGCTCTTGAAACGTTCGTTGTGAAAAGATATCCAGCAAGGCCAGCCTCAAGCTTGTTAGCCAATGTCATCACCTCATCTTCCGTCTCAAACTTGAACATAGGCAGTAAAGGCCCAAAGGTCTCTTCCCGTGCACAAAGCGCGTCAAAGGGAACGTCGAGGAGAATTGTTGGCAGATAGAATGACTCCCCCAATTGGGGTGCTCGCTGTCCCCCAACGAGGATCTTTGCTCCTCTTTCCACGGCATCTCGAACATGATAATCGACTTTGTCCACGGCTTGTTTGTTAATCAAGGGCCCATGAGTAGTCTCTGGGTCCAGTCCAGCTCCGAGCCGAAACCGTTCAACCTTTGCTTTCAGCATTGCCGCCAGCTTGTCATATATGCTGGATTGGACGTAGATCCGATTTGCACAAACACATGTCTGCCCCGATAATCGGAACTTGCTCATTAGTATTGCGTCCGTTGTTCTTTCTAAATCAGCATCCTCGAATACAATGACCGGCGCATTGCCACCAAGTTCCAAGCTTACACGCTTGACTGTTTGTGTACACTGCGAGGAGAGGATCTTCCCAGCCGCAGTGGAGCCCGTGAATGAGAATTTGCGAATCAGTGGATGTTGCGTTAACACCTTACCAATTGCTATGGTGTTCTTACGGGTGGTCACGATGCTTATCGACCCATCAGGAAATCCGGCTCTTGACGCTAGGTTTGCGAGCGCGAGCGCAGTTAGGGGTGTTTCCGGAGCAGGTTTTACAATACAAGGACAGCCTGCTGCAAGCGCAGCCGCAACTTTCCTCGTAATCATAGCTGCTGGGAAGTTCCAAGGAGTTATGATTCCAACGATGCCAACAGGTTGCTTAATGGTGATGACTCGGTTCGATGGGTTTGATGCTTGCTCGACCTTCGGCATCCGATTATTAGTAAATGGAGTCGCTCCTCTTGCACAAATGACAACGTACCGTGCCGCTTATTCTGGGCGCAGCACCTGCAAACCAGTCAATGAAATCGCTGGCGTACGAAACCTCTCCCTTCGCCTCTGCGAGTGGTTTTCCATTCTCTACAGTGATGAGTTGTGCGATATCGTCCTTCGATTCCAAAACCAATTCAAACCATCTCCTAAGTATCTGGCCTCTCGATTTACCAGTGAGGGATTTGAGCTTCTCTGCTGCAGCCGAAGCACCTTCAATAGCTGCTACGCATTGCGACTCATCGAGATCTGGGACTTTTGCTACCACTCTCCCAGAAGCTGGATCTATTGTGGTTTTAGTACTTTGACATTAATTATTAACTAGAGTTGAAAATACCATAGATATCGAAATACTGGTTAGATTGACTTTGAACCCATTCGCCATTGACGTAGGCCGAATCCGGCTGGATCAATGAGAAGCATACGCTCATGATGGGTCTGTGTTCTCTAAGTCGAACTCGATGATGAGAATGTTTGCAATAAACGATATCTTTATACACTTCAAAAGTACATAAATCAAAAGAAGTATTGACCATAAACATGTAGGTACCTGATTCAATACCCGGGCTTCTTGACACCAGATTGAGGACTAGTGCTCCAACTCTGACTCGCACCTAAGCTGCAAGGCTACTTTAGTACCCCAACGCCCCATCCGCTACCCCAAAAACCACAATGATGGCATTGGCGAGCCTCGAGCCCGGCACAAAACGCACAACTTCACATAGGTAGCAACATAGGCAGATGAACAATGAATTTTGGTGAATTGGAGTATCTTATCTCGCGGGCAAATGCCACTCACTGCTTTTAAAGTGCTTCAATAGTTCAAGAAGGTAAGGTAAATGATAGAATCAAGTTCATTCAATGGATGGCATTATGTAATTCAACTTGCATCAACATACAGAAGTGATGTAACCTCAAATTTTACTATGTCCTCCCAGGGAGTTGAGAGATCCCGGCCAGATCGCGTATTGATGCTGTCGAAAATATAATAGGTCATGGGCCAGTACAACATCAACTATATCAGAATTGTGTTCAACGCCTTGGTCTCGCAGCATGCGGATTCTCTGCACTGTGTCCTCTGCTAATTCCCTGTCAACATGTATGCATACATCAAGACCGTTTTCCCACCATGTAGCCATTTCGCTCATGCCATCGAGGATGTCTTTGTGATGGCACGCATCACCTGCCAGGTATACCCACTTGCACTTTCCCACCTTGGCCAAAAGATTGATATGTCCTGGAATATGTCCTGGACTATCCACAAGATAGACGAGACCATCCCCATAGAGATCAATCACATTGTCGAAAGGATGGAGTTCTCTCCACTGATGTTCAAGGATTGGGACGAGTGACGTGAGACCTCTCGTTGGTGGGAAGGTATTCTCAACTGGCTGTTTGTGTTTGGGTATCTTATTTTGAATAGGCAATTCTATAATTCGATCCATGGGAAGGAGATCTGGTTCAAATTTGGCAGCTGAATGATAATTCATTCCGAATTTCAGAAGATGCCTCGTTCCGTAACCCACTATGAACTTTGCTTTCGCAAAGTCGGTAGGGGTACCGACATGATCGTAGTGTACATGACTCAGTACGACAGCATCGATTTCAGAAGGCTGTAGAGAGCCTGCCCGAAGAGAGTCGCCTACATCTGGCACGGTGTATATTGGTTGGCGCGACTCAAGATGTGGTCGTATATTTTCCGGATATAGATTCAGGTCGCGTCGTAGGCCTAGGTCAAATACAATTTTATGTCCGGTAGTAGGGTGCTGAAGCAGAAAAGACATAGAAGGAACAGTGTTGCGTACACTTTCATCGTGTTGGTTGGCGCAGAAACGGTGCTCAGGAAGAGTCAAGAACCCACTTGGAAGGATAGATACTTCGACGAAAGCTGCAGAGCGAAACATCTCACAGAGACTGAAGCGATGATAGGCAGCGATTAAGATAAAAATGAGAAGAAGTGGGCTGATTCATGAGGTGTCGTGCAGCAACTTAATTGTTGCAACTGTGAAGACTACCCCATCATTTTACCCCAACTCTAACTTTTAAGCGGGGATACATGTGGGGTGGGATTCGCCGTGTCTATAGATACTAAAGTCCTATCTTTGAGGAGAAAAGATATTCAATGACCGATCACCTGTTAAACAATAGACAGTGTTGGAGAGGCTCCCTAGGAAGAAATACATTTGAGTACGCATTTGCAGGCCCAGTTTGGCGGTCTGAGGCGGGTTCGTGAATTATATTACTGAACTAGCTAGTAGCACAAACAAGTCAAACAATTGAATCTTCCTGGGCCCGAAAGAAAATATTGGTCTAATCCTCTAATTAATAATGGTCCTAAAAGGGCGGCTTTCTCATGTGCTGTCTCGTACTAAAGACGCACTGGTTGCGTGTATCATAACAATACTCATGTAAAATCAAGGGACATCAATGATTGTAGAGAATGAATAACAATCGATTATACTAAAAATGCTTCTCAAGAGTTTTGAATAGGCCATCTCTGACTATAACTTAGGCATGCTGTCGAACCTCGACTTGTTCTGGTTATTCCAGCTTCGCCTAGCTTATGGAGAAGTAGCCGAGCCTAGGCTCTCAACTAATCCTTAAAGCAAACCCCGGATTCTCTGGCCTGTCGATTTAGCCGTTTCCCCAGATCTACTTTTACTTATTATGAAGTCGCACTACCAGTGTATAACCAGCAACGCTGTTCGCAATGGCTCGAAGTACAGATCGGACTGGGGCGCATCCATATCGCTGTAGGCACTGTTCTCGAGTTTTTGCTCGCTCTGAGCACCTTACTCGCCATGAGCGTACGCGTAGGTGACGCCGAGCAAATTCATGGCCTCTCAGGGAACACCTACTGAATTAATCCGCTTTATAGATACAAAGGAAAAGCCCTTCCGCTGCGAACAGTGTCCCCAGGTCTTCTCGCGTCAGGACATGCTACGGCGACATGAAATAAAGTCGCACGACGACCAAAGTCATCAAACGAACGCCCCTCAGGCCGTTACTCAAAGCACTGTTTTCTCACCCACCTTGATCTTAGATGGGCACGCTTCGTCCAATGTACATGCTTCTACAGGGCTAGATGATACAGCTCCATCATCGCTTCCAAACCAATTGCCAATATCTCCCAGGATAGCCGACTTGGATAGTTGGTTAGGTGATTCAATGGTGATCGGCTTTGACAATCAAGACCCTCACCATAGTGGTCTCATTCAATCTGGCTTAGGGAACGATGTACAGTCTTGGCCTAACATTTCTCAAATGGCTCTGCATAGTTTCGAGTCAGTCGACAATGGGATTTTCCAGGAGCATATCCCATCACCCAGAGATTTCAACTCAGCCGCCCAGAATGCAACGCAAGCAAATTTCCCAAGTCATGAGAGCAACCAGAAGGCTTTCTCGCCCGATGGGATTGTCTATAGTGATATAGTCTCTACACCAGGATCTGGATTCACAGATCATGACGAAAAGGCGATGACCGAGGCATATTACCAGAGCATGCAAGACGAAATATCCAAGTCGAGTTCATATGCCCTTCCATCACGGAAGCTACTATGTGGTTTCATTAAACGATATTTCCGGAGCTTTCATCGCCACCAGCCATTCCTCCATGAGCCAACCTGGTCTCCCAATGAATCTCCTTTCGCTCTGGTGCTCGCGATCTGTGCAAATGGAGCTGTATACAATCTGGAGTATTGCATAAGCCAGGATCTTTATGCCCAAGCTATCAAGCTTTTCCCTTCGGGAAACTCTGGCCTCACTGCGCTGCAAACAATGATGCCCTTAATAGCATATGCTGCATGGGCCGGAGAGCGTGACGACCTCTGCTTGGAGTTTCCTCTATATAGTAGGATTTGTCTCACTCTAGGTCGTGAATGGAGTCTTTGTGGGAGATTGACATCCACCGAGGAGCCTACTTGGAAGGATTGGCGTGAAATGGAAGCACTGAGAAGGTAAGATCAACGACCTCGGCATCGCGGTCCAAACAAAATTGAGCGCTGACATAGTCTATCTCAGAGTAACGTATTGCATACTAACTGTTCTGAATCTCATTGCAATTGCATACGACTTGATGCCACCTATCAAGATTGAAGAACAGTATGGGATGCCATCATCCGAGGCGCTCTGGACCGCGGCCTCAGAACAAGAATGGAATCAACTATTTAAGTCCTTTCCCCAAAAGCCCTGGAAATCAACAGAAGATCTTTTCAAGACATTATCCGACCCTTATCTCCCTATTCCTTCAGACATTGGCCCCTTCGGGTGTCACGTTGTCATCTTACACATATTGCAAAAGGCTTGCTTCTTGCAGAAATTATCAACCAGCTTTGACGATCACACCGAATATCGGCTCCAGATTTTCACAGCTCTCGAACGCTGGAAGATAATGTGGGAGAATGAACCGGAAGCCTCTCGTTCGTTCGATTTCCAGGCCAGCCCAATCCTATTCAATTGTACAGCTTTGTTCCGGCTCACGCATGTTCGCCTGTCCACGGATTTCTGCGAAGTTCGTAAATACTTTACATTCTGTTCCGAAGAGCAGATAGTATCACGAATTAAATCAGCCGGGCATCCACTTAGATCAGATCAAATCACAACAGCAGCATTTCAGGCTTGCCAATCTCTCCACATCCCTTCACAAATGGGGTTCAGGCTTGTATCGAAGACAAAGTTCTGGGTATGGAGCGTTCAACATGCACTCAGCTATTTCGAATGTGCTCTCTTCCTATCCAAATGGCTTCAGACAGTGAAGGACGCAACTGAAGTCTCAAGCAAAGAGAGAGAGGTTGTGAGCATGGTTCAGCAAATGCTCGCAGAGTCATCTTCACACCCAACTACCCAGACCTCTGCGCCTCCAAACTATATTATGATTCTATATCGATTCGCTGAGCTGATCGATACTGGAGAAACTACGGTATGGAAAATAGTACCACGAATGGCGCGTGTTTTAAGATCATATGCGGAAACTCTTTCAGAAATGCATCAGACTCAATAGATTTTATTATCTACTATCTGATATTTGTATGATCCTAGTCCCACCCAAAGTTCCATATGTCCGCAGACACCCAATCTCGTGGCTAGAATAGCTCCATGGAAATACATGCTATATTCAACCTAAAACTACCCAATGGTCCTCAGCGACTCTTATGGTTTGATTGTTGCACCTTCCTCAGCCATCTTCACCAGCACCTGCTCGGAAGCCTTGAATGCCTCCATGCCAGCAGGAACTCCCATGTAAATGCAGACTTGCACAAGAATTTCTCGAATTTCGGTCGCGGAGACGCCGTTGTTTACGGCCCCACGAACGTGGATGGCAAGTTCGTGGATCTTGCTTGTAGCGGCAAGCATAGCGATATTGACAATAGACCGTTGCTTGCGATCTAATCCCGGACGGTCCCATACGGCACCCCAGCAGAAGGCAGTGGTAAATTCTTGCATTGCTTTGGCAAACTCTGTACCACCGTTCTTAAGCGCATTGTCGACATATGCGTCACTCAGAACGGCGCGGCGAATAGGCATGCCGACCTCGTAAAGGCCTTTCTGGAGTTCTTCGCGCTTAGAAGCCATTGTTGTGTGAATTCCTCGTTTGCGTTGGGGTCGAGCAGTGATCTCGAAAGGTGTGTAGCCACGCGAAAATTTGACGGAATAAGGGGTAGTGAAGAAAAGTTGATGAGAATGTTGTCGGAATTCTTAGTACAGCAGCAATACCACGCTTTAATGCTTCACGGCCAAATACTAGAAATATGTAATTTTCCAATCTCCAAGAGCTACTATAACCTCCCACTAGGATGATGGGGTACCCCACGAGCTGATTGGGGAGAGACTAGACCTACGGGGTAGCATAATTCCAGTATCATCATCGCAAACCCCAACTTCTCCATTTTCTGGGGAATGGAGGCCTTGACTTTATCAAGAATTCGACCGGGTAATAGACGTAACAGTACCAGCTATGCTCCACCAATTGGCATTATTTTCAAAGAGATAATGGACATCATTCTTCTTCCAACCTCGCGCGAAGTGAAACACTTCTAATATTGATAATTGGAGCAATCATAAGCCGGTGTCTTTCGAAATTCTGTTCCTGTATCTTCCTTTCGTGTGCAACGCGGAGATCTAGGCAATTCAGATGCACCCCAATTAGCTGAACGATAAAAACGTATACTGACCCTCAATCAACCTTTCCTATCCCTTTGGACCGACGAATAAATCAAAACCATCTTTCCAGACTCCGCAAGTATCTCATCCAAAATGGGTAGTCTACCAATTGTTTCATATGGATTTATCGGTAATCAACGCAATCTATCAAAAGTTAGTCTTGAAATTACTGACCTGATGCTACAGGTCTCGGCCAAATGGGCCACGGAATGGCTAAAAACATCCGACTGAAGATTGATCCGGCATCGCCTCTGGTGATTTACGATGTAAACCCAGATGCCATGGAGCGCTTCATAAATGAGCACCCAGGATCTAAAGTTCTTGCTGCCTCTTGTCCTCGAGAGGTCGCTGAACAAGCTGTGAGTATGACATGCGTTAGACTTACCTTTGCTAACAAAAATAGGATATCATTATGACGTCCGTTCCGCAAGCGAGACACGTTCAAGCTGTATTTGAGAAGGAGGACGTGGGTCTGCTCGCAGCTTCGAAGGCTTCAGGTCAGCGTAAGCTGTACCTAGAGTTGAGTACAATTGACGCCCAAGTGTCCGCTCGCATCGCGAAACGAGTCATCACTGAAGGATTTGGAGATTTTGTTGACGCCCCATGCTCGGTACATTATCCCCAAGACCCGCTGTAATAGCCACTAGCTAATCTTGTTTCACCCGTTAGGGAGGTCAAATGGGAGCGGAAAATGGAAACTTATCGTTCATGGTAGGAGCGCCAGACGAAATCTTTCCACGAGTGCTTGAGATATGCAAGCTTATGGCGAAGGAAAGTAGCATCTTCCACTGTGGAGATCTCGGCTCTGGCCTGAAGTCCAAATTGTTGAATAATTACCTCTCTTCTCTCACGGCCTTGGCTACTGCAGAGACGTTCAACATCGGCATTCGAGGAGGATTGGATGCAAGGAAGCTTAATGAAGTCCTCAATGCTAGCTCAGGCATGAACTTCAATTCCAAGACAAACAATCCAGTTCCTGGTCTGACGCCAAAGAATGCGGCTAGTAATGGATATGTTGGTGGATTTTCGTTGGAACTCTGCCTTGGTGTTTTGGAATTGGCTGTCAAGGCTGGTGAAGATTTGGAGGCTACGATGATTCTCGGCAAGCCTATGCTCGATGCCTACCGGGACGCAGCAACTAAGGCGGATTTCCAGGGTAAGGACTCAAAGATAATCTATAAGTGGTTGGGAGGACAGGACCCTTAGCTATTGTCGACATTGTGTCGACAATTGTGTATTGTGCATAATACAGAAATTAGCATCGCAAGTTGTCCCTCACAAATTACATGTTCCTTGATGCAAGTTTGTGAAATTGACGATCCCCGGGAAATCCATTACGGCTATCGAGACCATCTGTTAATACCTTGAAACCCCGTTTGCCCATTGATGCCTCTGCAATAATGTTTCACTCATTCATGTGCCAAAAAAAACCATGTTGAGTCACTGATATACGCCCCAAGATAAATGTGGAATAGTTCTCCAATTAGAACCCCAAAATATGAGTGCACTAGCCGTGTTGCAGGCTGTGGAGAATGGGGCAAATGCCGACTTTGCCCAACCCCAAAGCTTCCCGCTAGCTTACCCCGGACCCCAGATAATGGCGAGATATTGTGCATACGTACTGATCAGAGGGAAGCTTTGAGGGTTCGAATAGATAGGATTGCGATGAAGCCGTTTCACTATAAGGATCCCAACCCCTCCAGGTCATTATTGTCAGGGCAGTACAGTGTCATCTACACTGAATATTTACCTTGTTAATTTTACAAAACATGACGACCGAGACCGATACCAAGAATACTATGACCGAGCACCTTGAAATGGTGCAGCAAAAACACGAAGATGGGATATTGCCCGAGCTGCAAGAGTGTGGTCAACAGCATATGATAATCGATGGAGATTACCTTCGCCATGAGAGATCGCTACGTCGCAAGCTCGATTTGACCCTCATGCCTATGGTTTGGGTGCTTTATCTTTTCAATTATCTTGACCGTAACAACATAGCGTGAGTCCACTCCTTTCTACGTCAACATCACCTCTTGATCTTTCAGCATTCTTACAAAAGCTGTTCTGCTTGCTAACCAGAGAGATAGTCAAGCCAAGCTGGACAGTTTTGAACGCGATCTGGGATTGAAGGGAAACGAGTTCAATATCGCCGTTTCAATATTAAACGTTGGGTATGTCGATACCATTTCAAGTCTGTCTTCGTCCGTTCTATAGTTCATTCAACTCATACCGGCGCAGATATATGCTTATGCAACTTCCGAGTAATATGATTCTTACTCGCGTTCGCCCATCCCTCTTTATACCAACTTGGGTATGCCTTTGGTCTTGTGTGTCAGCTTCTGTAGCTGGCGTTCATAACTTTAAGGGTCTGGTCGCCGTGCGATTTGTACTTGGAATTACTGAAGCACCCTTCTTCCCCGGTGCTTATTATATTCTATCTTGCTGGTATACGAAGAAGGAACTTGCACTTCGCATTGCTATCTTGTATTCTGGACTGGTATTAGCTACTGCCTTCTCAGGCCTGTTGGCAGCCGGGATATTTGCGGGTTTGTCTAGCGTTCACGGTCTAGCTGGGTGGCGTTGGCTTTTCATCATCGAAGGTTTGTGAAGAACAGTGAGCACGACGACGAAAAGCAATAATCACTAACTCATTAGTAGGCGCTGCAAGTTTTGCTTTCGGTTTGATCGCCTTTTTCATTCTACCAGACTTCCCGCAATCCAAGACGGGCTCAACAAAGTGGCTCTTAACCAACGATGAGCGCAAGGTCGCGATTGATCGAATTGCGAGAGATCAGGTTTCCAACCAAGACTCTAATAGGTCAGTATGGTATGGCCTCAAGCTTGCAGTTATTGACTGGCGTGTCTGGGTATTTGTAAGTAACAACAACAGCCGTCAATCGGTGCTTTCTTCAAGTTCTGCGCGTCATGCTGATCAAAATAGGCCTTCATCCTCTGCGCAAACCACACAGCGTATGGTTTCAATAACTTTTACCCAACAATTGTCAAGGGATTTGGTCTCGGCACCCGAACTATCACGTTACTTTGCACTGCGCCTCCATATTTAATCGGTGCAGTCATCTCATCCTTGTCGCTTGGTCGAGCGACAAGAGGGGAGACCGAAGCCTCCATATCAGCATCCCAATGGGCGTTGCAGCGGTAGGGTTCATCATCAACGTCTCTGTCTTGAACAATGGCGCTCGATATTTTGCCTCATTTCTGTACATCTCTGGATGTTTCGCAGCCAATTCGATCGTGTACAGCTGGGCATCTTCATCGGTCAGTCAAACTCCAGAGAAACGGGCAATTGCAGGCGCGATTATAAATCTCATGAGCCAATTGGGCAATATCTGGAGCCCATATTTCTTTTCCCCTGGGGACGAACCGAGATATGTAATGGCCATGCTCTTGATGATTGGATTCTCAGTGGCAAGTATTGTAGGTTGCATGGTTATGCGGTTCACTCTCGCAAGGGATAACCGAAAGTTACTCGCTAGCTTTGAGGGTACTGGGGTCCGTCCTAATCTATATACCTTGTGAGATTGAATTGCAGGTTATATGACGAACACATACAGCAGAATGTATTCAGGCAGGCCAGTGCAGTTCAAAAGAAGTATATTTTATCAACTAGATAGTCATACGTACTACTTTGAGAATCAAGCATTACTTCGACGGAAATGAATCATTATTATTTTCGCTCGACTATAATTACCAACCTTCAACGGCTTCGTTCTACGTGACTATGCTTTTTCTATTGGTGCAACAGGACTGCTTTGTAGTCAAGACTAAATACGAGAGCATACGTGTCAGCTATGGACATCTCGTGAAGGAACACGAATCATGAAAAATGTCCCAGAAGAGAATAAGCCAGAGCTCCGACGAGCCTATGCACGGCATCAATAGGCGAACGCCGGATCTTGAGGTGTATTTGCAACTTGCAAGTAGACAATGATATTTGCATTGATGAAGGCGTTATCGAATGGAAAGCCCATCAGCATAACAAAATTGATTCCGCGCAGTTATCATAGCCATGAACTCAGGAGAGAAGTTTTTAGCGTGTATACCTGGTACATTATATTTTGACATTCCCGTTTCGGCCATCATTGCCGTCTGGGCGTTGCTGGGCGCTCCGAACATTCACATTTTATTGCTGTTAAGCTTGCGCTACTTTTTGCTTTTAACTCAATTTACTACGCTGGACAAAATAAATTTATTGCAGTTGCATACAGCTTGCTCAATGTAGTCTTTTAATGAACTACCAGTGACGATCGCAATGACAACATCAGAATCCAGAACTCATTACCCTCAGTTCTAGTCCCTCATATCATACCGAGGCTCGGACAAACTCTACACCTGGCGTGGAAAAATGTCCGATACTCGGCATTGAGGACATGGAGCCAGGATCCTGATACCTAGAGACAAACGAGAAGGTAAACGGATTATCAACCAGGAATTCGGATTTGGCGATAGCAACGCCTAATATTTGCCAGCTTCGGTTGCGTGCCGGATTAGGCAGGTTGGCTATGGCAGGACCGATTATGGGCGTAATAGCTTATGGGAACACAATGCGCAATGGCTTCATTTCCAAAGCATGGATATGTTCGATGGGAGTCATCGTCGACTCATGATGTATTTAAGTCAGAGATGTGCACGCATACACAGCATCGACATCGCAACGATCATTGCACTGCCAGCGTACAAACGACCGCCTACAAACAGTCGTATTTAAACAGTCATTACTACTTTCTTCCAATTCACAACCGCCACTATGCAGTTCAAGACAATCATTTTCTCATTGCTAGCCGCCTCCACTGTGGCTGCGAAGCGTAACTGTGGTACACCTTCGCCCTCAGGGGAACAAACTCTCCTTGCTCAGAACCTTCTTTTGGACGAGCAAGCGCAGTTGCAGGCGGGAAACTCATCACGACTGGCTTCTGTTGCTGCCGTCGAAAGCATCACCATCAATGTATACTGGCACGTCATAGCCAGCGCGAGGAACGTCAACGGCGGTTACCTCGCCCAGGAGACACTGGATGCTCAGCTCAGTGTTCTCAATGATGCATATGCTCCCCATAACATCCAGTTCAAGCAGGCTGGAGCGGACTGGACCATCAACACCCAGTGGGCAAATGATCAAGGAGAACTGGCTATGAAACGCCAGCTCCGAAAGGGCACATATGCTGATTTGAATGTATACTTCATCCCCGGAACACAGTATCTGGGATACGCATACTTCCCAGAAAACGCTCCCCAGGGATCTCAGGCTTTCACCCTCGACGGTGTAGTCATCTTATCTGGCTCAGTTCCTGGAGGCGCTCTGCCAGAATACAACATCGGCCACACTGCCACCCATGAGGTTGGCCACTGGCTTGGTCGTAAGTATCTCCAGCCCCCTCATTTGAGAGCCTATGCTAACGTGTGAAAGTTTACCACACTTTCGAGGGCGATACTTGCGGAGGCAATGGCGACTTCATCGACGACACCCCTGCTGAGGCCGAAGCCGCATTTGGATGCGAGCTCGAGAGGGATACCTGCCCCAACGATCCTGGAAAGGACCCTGTCACCAACTACATGGATTACTCCGACGAGTACGTACCCCACCGCCATGATACAAGACCCTACTAACCATTGTACAGCGCCTGCTTCACTGGCTTCACCAAGGGTCAAGAGACCCGCATTTACAACTACTGGGATCAATTCCGTGCTCAGTTCCAGCTATGATTTTTCTTCCCATGGCATTGATGATAAGGCGTAGGCGATTTTGAAGGAGCATATTTGCATCTAGTAGCGGCTGTATTTGGATTATGAGGTCCATGTTCTCTATTATTGTTAGGGTTTTCGGTATTTGATGTTGTTATGAATATCAATTTGCATATCATCATTATTTGAGCAAGCATGCACATCATCAGTGATTTGAAGTCCCACACAGAGAAACCCAGACCAATTTTCGACATCGATCAGGCGACTTGTATTGAATCCTTCGAGGGGGGATTAAGGATTAGAGACACCCGCTCCTTCACGTAGCCTGCTTATATCAAGCAATCCTGCGAGGAATAATGTTTCGCGCCTCCCGTTGGTTGGGAGCCAGCTTTCGACATTTTGTGATGGCTGAGATAGGAATGGATTTATCGCCCTCTCAATTGCTTGCAGGATAGGTCTACCTGAAAAGGTCTCGCGCAAGACCGAATACCATTCAGGTTTTCATCGCACTGCAATTTATATCTGGGAAGAGAGAAATGATCTTTCATTCAAGGCCAAGTACCCTGACCTTGTATGTGCATTGGAGGCGCCATATGACATAATTCAACTGGGACGTGACAAACTATTTAAAGAGGGGAGAAACAAGTGGTGTGTATTCATAGTGCTGTCTATGGGTATATTGCGGTCTAAATAATCTGGAATCGTGGTGACCTCGTTCAGTCGCTATCATAATCCTCCTCATCACTCTCTATTCCAAAGGCTTTGAGCATTCTTTGTTGATCTTCATCAGTCTTGGTACGTCCGCTGACCGGGAGGACACCGCCGTCGGTATCTGTCGTCTTGTCGACTCGCCAACCGGGATGGCTTGCAAACCAGCGATCGATCTGTTCGAGACTCTTACCCGCCGTTTCCACGACGAAGAGATACACGAAAGGAACGAACAAAGCGTTCAACACGGCGTAAATGAGGTACAAGAACCATCCTAGGTGGTGGATCCCAAGCGGCGTGGTCTGAACAACTACGAAGTTGAAAAGCCAGTCGGAAGCGGTAGCCAGCGACGCACCCTTAGACCGCATCGACAATGAGTTGATCTCGGCAGGGTAAAGCCACGGAACGGAGATCCAGCCAAAGCTGAAGGCGATGAAGTAAAGGAACATGAAGACGGTTGCGACAATGCCGGGGACGAGATGCGATGCCGGGTTTGCCTGTCCAATACCGACAGATACCGCGATTCCCACGAAGGCTACTGACATGCATGCGGCGGATACCATAAGCAATGGACGGCGTCCAACGCGCTCGATGATCGTGATCGAGGTCCAGGTAGCAGACATGAAGCAGACAGCGTTGATAGTGGCGATGACACGCGACGTCAGTTCCGGAAGGCCGACAGAGCGATGCAAAACTAGTGGAAGGTAGTAGCATAGTACATTAATTCCAGATAGTTGTTGTGCCTGTTAAGAATTAGCAATAATTGCGAACATTAATGTTTTTAACCTACCATCTGGAGCAACACGCCCAAAGACACCCGACGTGTGGCTTGCCCGCCCGCAAAGACTTGTTTCCATGACGCTTTGGTAGCCTGTTCGATGCGAACAGATTCCTTAATCTTCGAAAATCCCTCTTGCACCTCTTGCTCGCTATCAGCAAGAGCAGTCAAGACAATTTTCGCTTCGGCGTCTCTTTTCCTCATGAGCAACCACCGGGGACTCTCAGGAAGGATCCAGATCATGGTCAAGATAACCACGCTGAATAGCAACTGCACGCCTAGTGGGAATCTCCATTGGTACTCCGACTTGGATCCGCTGAAGAAGAGCGTGATGACGTTACTCATCACAAAGCCTCCGACATTGACGGTCATCTCCTTGACCACGGCTCTGCCCTTTTCCTCGCTCTTGCTGCATTCCACATGCCACACGGGCGCCGTCGCAGTGTTCCCACCATTCCCAATGCCAGCGATCAGGCGCCCCCAAATGAGCCATTGCATGTTTTGGGCGGCGGTTTGTATAACGATTCCTGTCGTCATGATGATCGTGAAAATGATCAACATCCACCTCCTCCCAAGTTTCTCGCCGATGAAAGAAGAGAGTATTGCACCAGCAAAACATCCGAGGTCGTAGACGGAGGTAACGAAGCCCAGCACAGACGGGGAAGGGTCGTGGAAGAACCTCAGGAAAGGTGGTCCAACCATGATGCCTCCGAACACGCCTTGTTCGTATCCGAAGAGACACATAACGGTGCCTGCTGCAACAGAGATCGCAGTATGGAGTGTCGGACCCGTGAAATAGTATGGCTTGTTGCTCGATCTGGTCTTGAAGGCTCCATCTTCGTTGCCGTAATCCAGGTTGTATTGCTCGCGTGTGCCTGGACGGCTGTCTCGACGGCCGAGATGCGCATCCGCATTTAGCGGTTCAGCTTCAACGGAGGAGTGGAGGGGTGCGTAGGACATGGTGTTCGGCGGTGATGAGGTCGTAAAGGGCACTGCATCTGGAGGGCGATAGGCGTGGTATTCAAAGAGAGGAGTGAAACACAGGCTTTCGAGTGTTGCACAGGAGAACTGAGAAGGGGACGCGTAAAAGCCGTTGTTCCGCTTCGCTTCCTGATTCGAGCTGAGATCCTCGGGCGCCCCAGTGTGCGCCCAGCTTCGGACTACTTGGCATTCGCGACATCTTTGATTTCAGGAGGCCGAAAGGTCTAACAAACTACATTATGATTGATGCGGGAATTTATGGGGCGGACGCGGGTTGTTGATTAGTGGAAAGGTGGTTTTATGCGGGGGGTGTTTAGGCACGAGCTAATATCCACATTCCCCCAACTTACAGAACGCAACTCGACTTTAATTCGCTGGTCTAATCGATCGTTCAATTATTTACTATCTACGAGGTTTATTGTGGATTACTGAGAACAGATTGGGCAGGGTTGGGATTCAAAGAGCAGGCATGGAATGAAAGACGATGATACAGCATTAGTTTTCTGAGCTAGGATGCGGAACACCGCAGAGCAGAGCAAAGCAAACTAGATTATCTCGCATCTCAAGAACTACCACTAGAACCTTGGAAATCAGTGAAATATATCTTCGGGCTCGATTCATCGGATAAAATCTTTGCTGGGCCATACCTACCTCTACGTAACGCAATTCTTCAAGTTGAGATGCTAACATCGTCATTTTTCCTTTTGTCGAGGACAGCGGTTCGTACACTTTCGAAAAGGATGAAATGTGGGATTGTTTTAGCGAATTAATAAAAATTTAAAGTCTATCAATACAATCTGGAAAGAAAGATATTGAAACTACCAAGAAGTACTGCCATCCTCCTTGCCAATCAAGCTCCTGAAGGTTTTGAAATCGTCTTGCGTGTAGAAGATTACACCACTCTTCCCATTACCAAAGTGAGTATCGATTCCAAAGAAGTCGTTGGTGAATGGCACCGCCGTATTATTTTTCTTCAAATCCCAGACTTTCTCGTATAAGTCTCCTTCTCTTAACTCCGTCTTTCCCCATACTATGCTCGCGATCGCAAAATTGTTGTCCTTCGGGCCTTGTCTGGTGATCTCCTGCGCATTGGGGAAAGGACCCACGCGTTCAGGTACCAGAGTGAAGACGCCGTCGCCTTCGCAAGCAACGAACGTACGAATACTGGTGCCCGCTTGGTGAAGGATAGAGAGACACTTGTTGGTCCCAAACCATGGATCTGGTTCTGCCCATGGTCCCTTGTCATCCATGTCCACAACGAGATTGGCTCCCTGTTGCAGCGAATTTCGGGCTTTTTCAGTCACGTCGTTTGTTGCATAGATGGCCTGTAGTATCGTCACGGAGGCTGTTGCGCTACTAGAGGCCGAAGATGTTCTTGAAGTCGTAGTAGCGGAAGAAGAAGAGGGTGTGCTAGTCGTAGCTTGTGCTGTCCGTGCTGTCTGTGCTGTCTGGGAGGAAACGATTGAGGAAGCGGTTTCCGCTGGTAGCTTTGTGCCCTCTAGTCATTGATCTTTAGCGAAGCTCTATGTAGAATCATAATTATATCCATTTTTGTATCAGCACTCACCATTATTACTACTTTTGGTCCTCGTCCCAAGCACCACGCCGACAACAACACCGACGATGATCAAAATTATACCAACGACAATAGCGATTATTACTCCTCGAGAAAGGCCTAGAAATCTCTTCTTAGGCGGCGATTGTTGCACTGGCGGTTGTGCCTCTACACCTTTCTCCTGTCCATAGTAGCCCTGTGCATAGTGCGGTTGGTTGTAGTCGTGATCCGGCCCGACCTCATATTTGTGGACCACTGGCGGTGCTTGCGGTGGTGGTTCTGCTCGCATGTGGACTTCTGGGCTTGAGTTCTGGAATTCCGCATATGCGGGCGTTGGGGTAGGAGATGCCATGAGGCACGTTTATCAGTGTGAATTCGCTGCGCGCGACGTGTAGGGGCGTGGGCGGGCTTTTCCGCCCCAACTTTTGACGATGTCCTGGGAACCCAAGAATGTGGGACAGGGCTGGACCATATACCTCGATCAACGTTGAAATAAGGCATCCTGTACTGGGGGGATCGCGTCTGCATAGGCGAAATTACACGTGCCCAATTCGGTTCTCTTCACAAGTATAGTATATTAGCTATCATGTTTTGCCTGGAAGGGGTCGCATAGGAAACTGTCAGAGCACAGACGTTTAACGGATATTCTTGTCGTTTGTCTCCAAGTAAGATCTATAATACCAACAACTACATGTAAGTTGCTGACCGGACTTCTGATACAGGAAGTGAATGTATTGGGGAGACTTCGTCTTCCCCTATCAACGATACTAGTGATTGCTACTATTCGGATTGTGCTCCTCCATGAAACATTTAAGTATTGTCAGCGTGGTCATGATGCAAAAATGTGAGTTAAAATACTCTACTCCGTACTGCATACTCAGAATCAAGAATCAAGACAGGCAGACACTCACACAAGCGATGCAAGCATCAACTAGCGTGTCGGTAGATGGCCTGTTCAACCTCAATTCTGTTTCGCCCCCATCCTGCTCTCGTATTCTGGGGCTTGGAAGCCTGTGATTGGATTTGGAGCATGAGGATTGCATGCGACACGTGACTAGCTGAACTCTTCCCCTCAACAAAGGGGAAAAGTCCTGGCCCCAGGGGTGGCTTAGACAATAAAGAAAGGCTGACTCTGTGCGCTGGTGTTGACCATTGTGCCTTGCGTCCTGGAACCTATCGTGGATGACTTTTTCAAGAGTGTATCGAAGGATGATCTCTGATGGGCATTCATTTCACCGTTGTGCAGCGAACCCCGGGGCGCCCCAGGTGGATTATGAGTATATTCCAATGCCCGGTGCATGTACTCCGTGCAAGTATGTCGAATCAAGCATCTTGCATGCGCATGGTGTGGGATACCATAGAGCACTAAGATCTTGCATGCCAGGGAGGAGATTCTGTACTCCGTTCAACAATGTAGTATCTATGTTTGTACAACAGACTCCATAGAGTGCCTTGTTCGCGCCATATTCTGATCACGTGTTCGATTTATTCACCTAGATATCACCGCTCTCGCACTTAGACTAATCGGGGTTACCATAATGTCATGTTTGTTTGTTGACCTCAAGGTCTCCCCAAAAGTTGCGAACCTTCCAAGGCGTCAAAGTAAGTCAAAAGGAGGCAAAAGTAAGCACTAATAAGGACGTTAAATTACGTGTCGTTGCCAGTAAACTGGAATCCCCCTTATAACCGGCGTTTCTTCCACGCACACGCACACACCCCATTTCCACTGTTAGATAAATTTCTGACACAAGACCTCTGCTATCTTTCAAAGTTTTGGGGCTCTACCGAATAGGATCGTTAGCCACCAATCTTGAAACCATGCTTGAGATGCATCCTCAGCCACTCTCCTTCCCGCTTTTTGCTCACCTTCCTCAAGAATTGCGCGACTTGATTTGGTACTTTGCTCTCCCAGAACGGAGCGATTCTGCGCTCTATATTTACAAACCATGCAATTGGATCCTGCGTCGACTTACCGAGGGCGACGACGGATATTACGAAAGCGACGACACCCTGAACTTGGACCTCATATTTCGTGATGATTTGATAGACCCTGTTTACTTTGAGTTGCCAATGGCATTCGTTAGCCATGAAGCACGCCGAATCGCACTCGCCTGGACTCGGAAACACGACATAAAGATGCAGCGTACCAGGGGCAAGATATATCCCTGTTGTATACAACCTTTTGATGCGCAGTCTGATGCACTCTATATTTCCACCAAGAAGTGGCACGAATTCCTGAGTGAATCCATCGAGCGTGGATTTGAACCTGACCTGCTCGGCCGTCAGCACGGCGTAGTGTCGGACATCAACCATATCGCTATATCTGAAGAAGTATTGCGATACCAAACCGAAGAGTTGGCAGAAATTTTTGTTAGCCACCAAAATGTGCACACTATCCTAGTTGTAGTAGATGCATCTTCGGATTTGGAGTCGGCATATACACTTAGGGAGCCTGGCCAATCACAATGGAAATACGAACCAATGGAGGACTCAAAACTCGTTTGGGACTGCAATAAAGCTGTATTCATGTTTGAACGGGACGCTTCTTCTGAGCTCCATCGATCTCGTAAGCTTCTGGAGGAAGTAAAAGAGCAACTCAACAACAGCATGCAGCAGCCGCATACAGAGCCCCAAGAACTGGAAATTAGGCTTGTATCTGCTTACAGAAAACAGTTAGATAGTACCTCATTAGTTGGTTGAAATAATGTAAAAATACACAAAACAGTGTAGATGTTCCCACGCCCCAGGATTTTATATGTTGTTGTCCGCATTGATATGAACTATAGCGAAAACGATCAGGTACCATGCCCTAAGTCATCATCTTTTGCGTCACAAAGAGGACCAATATCCAAAACAAGTACGCGCATAACACTCGTTGCCGTATAAAGCTGATGCGCAATAATTGTCACCATATGGTGCGATGACTAAACTGTCATAGATGCAGCCAGTGTGTTTCAGTTGTGAGGTAACGCGAAGTTTTTCCAACCCCACGATTTCTGTTGACAATATGTATGTTGCTATCATTGAATGGTCACTCCTCGATGATCTCGAAGTGGTCAGCACGAACGAAACGAAGTTTCTGTGGTGGCAGAGTGACATCGTTGAGTGCTGGTATTCTCTTGCTCTTGATATCGTCCAAAATCATCTGAAGGTGTTCTACAAGTTCGGCAGCCGTGCAACGGTCATCAACCTGAATCTGTAGAAGTTTATCCTGGATAAGCTTCATCAAGGCTTCCAAAGCGGTCCCATTTTTACATCGAGGATCCTCCCGGAGTGCTGTAAATGCCGCCAGGACGATTGGTTCGATTACGGGGGTTGGCTTCATCAGAAGATAGAATTCGTGGTGAGGTGCCTTCCTTGCCCGACTCAGGCTTTCGATGGCCTCGTAATCGTGCGAAAGCCACAGTGTATACTCGTATAATATGCAACCCAAAGACCAAATGTCATATTTGCGAGATCTTGCCTCATCTTCCTTGCTCAAGGTTTCGGGTGCCTCGTATGAGCGGGTTGTGGCACGGGTGCTCGTTCCCGCAGCGCGCATCTCGGTGGCTTCCCGATGTGTTCGAGACACACCAACATCTGCAATAACTAATTTCCCGTCACCGTCGTCCGTGAAGTGGAAGATGTTTTCGGGCTTGAGATCTCCGTGCCGGCAATTGACTTCGTGTAGGGCTTTCAGGGCTTCGGCGATATGCTTCATCTGTTCGATCGAAGATAACATCAACTTATCATCACGAACGATATGATCCAGACTTTTCCACATGTTCACCAAATCCCCTCCCTCTGCGAAGGGAGATATAATGCAGTAACTCTTCTCCTGAGTGTATGTAGCAATATGTCGAATGAGATACGGGTGGTCGAGTTCCTGGAGTATTCTCAAGTTTTTCAGTTCTTGGTTGAACAGCTTTTCTCTCAAAAATCGTTTGATGGCTATTGTAATATTATTGTTGCCTCCCTACAAATTCAATTAGCCCACCGATCTTCAGATAGTGTGCAATAATTCGTACTTTTCCACCCCGGTAGTGAGAATAGTGTATTTCACCTTTGTAAAGCACGCTAGAATGCGATCCCGTGAGCGCTTCGATGTTTGAAAAGGGCAGAGGACAAAGTGACGGTATGTCGAGATGATTGCGCGTTGAATCGAAGGTTGGGGCCATCACGATCCACTGCTTTTCCAAGAAAGAGTCGACTACGGAATCATTCATGGTTTGCAAACTTTTGAACCTTTTTGATTTATCGTGAGATAACAGAACTCCGCTGTTTTCTGCCTCTCGACGAAGTGGAAGGTCGCTGTCTTTTATACCTTCATCTAGCAATCCTTTGATGCTTTTAGATTCATTGATATAGACCAGGATGGTAAAAGCCTTCTTCGCGTCTCTGAGTACCGTCGTGGGGAGATCCCCTTTGGAAACAACTTGCTTTACCTTTCCCCAAAATCCAAGCCCAAGTTCAGCCTTTATGTTCTTCTCGGTGATATTGTCCTCGATGGCGCTTTCGGGAAGAAAGAAATGAGTGCCATCGAGGTGATACTTTGCCTCAGACTCCTTTATGCGTTTGTAAAGGCTGATAGAAACTTCATCGCTTCTCATTGTTGTTTCTGTCAGGGTTCAACGGTCGGTTTGAGAGCCGGTGGTGCAAAAGTGGGGTGAAAGAGTACAGAAGAGTGATTCTTCGGGGGATGTTTGTTTTCCCAACGGCTTTACAGTTACGCATTGATGAGTGCTCGAATGCCTAGTAACTCGCGGTCTAATATGAAGAAGTGATGAGGTGGGGCTTGATGATTTGAGTGATTAGGCATGTCTAATTTACCAACACGAGAGAGAATGACTATGTGTGTAGTCAAGAAATCTATGGAATACGAAAAGGGGAGGTGGGCGGGCATTCCCAACACTTACACAAGTGCCTACGAACGCTACACTTAATCAAACCGAGCTCTTGGAAACTACCAGTTAACGTCGATCAGGCCATGATCTTCGCAGGAAGACCCTTTTGTACTCTTGTTGTATCCGCGGTGGTCTGCAATCCGTGAAGGCGGGAGACTGCACCCCAATCACGTTCAGACACGTTTGTGTACAAGACTTTAGGGCTCCACGAAAGTGGGAGATTCCTGAAACCCACCTTGAATAGAAAAGGTAGGGAGCTTATGTCTATGGTTAAGTACAATATTAGAAGGATAAGAAGGATGGCAGTAGCTCAAAGTGATTGAAAGCTGGAGCGCATAATTCATGATTTTACTTTCGAGTCTTTGGGCGAATTTACGATCTATCGGTGTAGTAAGTAACTCCATCTCTTGTTTATTCCCCCATAGTAGGCATGTGAGTTCACGGTTGTCTCTTCCATGGTTCCTGTTCGGCAAACAAGAGCTCTGTAGAAAAGTACAGGATGGGGTTGAAAGATGGATATGCTATTTACTTTTCCCCGAACCCTCATCTTCCTTGCCCTTATTTCATCAGTTCCGCACAACTACTTGTATTCGAAAGGAAATTGCTAACAATGCATTGTTTTTGATACAGGCTCGCCGCGATAGGTGTGAACAGAGAATTCTACAATCAGAGGAAGGGGTGACAAGAGAGGAGCAACCCGCGGCACAAACTCTCTTTGAGGAACCAGAGCCTCATCAATTTCTTCAAAAGATAAGAACTTCCTCCAGCGTGTCATCGATAGCCTACAAAAGGTCCAACGAACCTAAAAAGCGCCAACCTACAAATGAGAGCTTGAAATCCCTTTCCAACAAAACGATTCGTAGCGGCGCACGCAGAAATACAGGCAATAGCGTATCTACTGTCACCAGCATAACCTCCTTCCGACACACTCATCGTCCCAGGGCTTGGAATGCTGAAAAAATGCTAGGGAGGAAAGGCTCCTGCCTTAGCCGCGGAAATTCGGCATATAAGAATATCAGATCGAAACTTGTCCCTGCAGACAAGGACCAGGGACGATTTATTCCAGAGACTGAGCTTCTCAACCTGCTAACAGACGATTTCATCCGTGAAGCGTTACAGATAAAGGGAGAGAAGATCATTGACTCTAGGCTTATTGACTTCATCAAAAACAAAGCCTGCAAGGTATTCGGCATACTCATCTACATTGACGTTGAGAATTTGATCGAGGATTTCTTTCAGTGTGGATTTGGCGACGAAAAGCTTCCACTTGATATCAAAACAGGCGCAGAGGATGTCGACGTGTACCAGCTGTTGTTCGATAAATCGCGTCTTATCGACCGCAATGAACACCCCTTCAACGATTCCCACCTTTGGACAGATGAAAAGGTAGATCGATTCAGGGACACTCAGTGGTTGTTTCTTAGCCCAATTTTCAAAGAAGGACCTTTTCGTTGCCATATCCACCGGCAAGCCCCGATGCCATTTGTGGACACTGAATGTAAAAGTGAAAGGGAAAGCAACTTCAGCGTTGTGCAAGAGTGGCACATTCATCGAGATCATCTCAGTTCATTTCACTACAAAGTAAGTAGTATCACGAAATTTGATGCGTTCGCATCGCTTGTCACATCGCTAAATTAGCCATAATAGTATCTCGCAAATGAGCCGCATTGCCATCCCACTGTTGCTATCAAGGAGTTAAAGAAATTGGGCATGAGCTCGGATGAATTTACAGCTATTGCGGAGAGAGAGACTGAGGCACTTGAAACGTTGCGAAAAGCGGCCAGCCCGCACTTGATCAAAGCAATCGCTTACTACATTCAAGACAACAAGCATTATGTAATGTTTCCCTGGGCACAACATGGCAATTTAAGAGACTTCTGGAAGTGCGACCCACCAACTCTAGATTCACAGTACATCGAATGGCTGATCGCTCAGTTCCATGGCTTGTCTGGTGCGGCATGTGAACTGCATGGCAAGAAGGAAATTCTGTGGCGGCATGGCGATCTGAAGCCTGAGAACATCCTCTGTTTTGACGCCCAGGATGTGGTTGCTAGTTCCGAAGAGCGGAGCAAGTTCTGCCAGTTGGTCATCGCAGACGTAGGTCTAGCGAGAAAGCATGATACAGCCACTGAAATGCGTAGCCATGCCACCAAGACACATAGTGGTACCATCATGTACGAGCCTCCAGAGGCTGACATATCCCTCAGCAGTCCAAGATCACGCCGCTACGATGTTTGGTCACTCGGTTGCATTTACTTCGAATTTCTAGTATGGGTATTATACGGTACCCAAGGCTTAACATATTTCAGGAATGACCTAAGTGAAACTTCGAGATTCTACATTGTGGAAACCAACTCGACCACTGGCAGAAAGTCTGCACAGCTCAGTTCACCAGTGGTGGCTTGGACTACCTGGATTCGAAAGGACCCCCGGTGTCCAGAAAACACGGCTATAAGAGGCCTCTTGGAGCTCATAGTCAATCGGCTGCTAGTGGTAGAGGTTGGAACCAAGCACACACCTTCCGTTATTCACGAGTGCGATCCATCTAAGCCAGCCAATCCATCCATTGTTCGATCATCGACCAGTCGCTTCTCCTTAGATCCTCGAAACGATGACACAGCTCCTAATCGAGCCGATTCAGAGGAGATGTACACAAGTTTGGGGGATATCTTAGGAAAAGCAGGTTCTTCCAATCATCCTGAAATGATATGGTTGAAATTTGGGCCTGCGCCGAAAGGTTATCCTAGTAGCCATGGTACCAGACTCGACCCGAATACTCAGCAGCGAAGATCAGATCAAGGAACAAAATCATTTGAGGTAAGACAAGGTATATTTTGCTTAGTCAATGTAAACTGATCTTATACTTGAGTAGCAAGATGAATATGTAAGCTAGATGACATCAATCAGAATATTTTAAATGAGACTGACGGAGATTGTAAACGATCAGCGGGTTACTGTAAGTTATCTTGGATTTCTCATATCCTTAGCATTGCCTGACAACTACATGCCGGAATTCAGCCATTGAGTAATTATTGGGAATACGCCCCTGACATGGAATTGGCACATACCATATTTGCTGATGCAAACCTACGATCAAATTCACAACGCAAAGGCAAACCATCAACGCTATGTACAAGGTGTCATGAGCTGCGAATCTGGAACTCCGCGTGCATCTTCAGCGACACTATGACAAAGCTGCAATCTCGCTGTGGAAATTGCGACTTGTGCGGTCTTTTGCACAGTGTGTGCAACGAACGGGACTTTGGGTGTGAAAGCGAGATCCGATTTTTTAAAAGAGGATGTTACATCTTTGCCGACAATGAGCCAAAGAAGCCCATCTTGTCACTTTGCACCTTGCCAGCTGCAGATACTCTTGGTATGTAATCAAAAAGTATACTAAACGAATACGGAGCCTAATAAATGATCTTAGATTTTCAAAGAACGCCACGTAACGTGCAGATCAGCTTTCCAGACCTTCCAGAGCCATGTTCTACGAGGCATTTGAACATTTTGGAAGGTTGGATTCAAAATTGTGACCAGGCTCATCAGTGTCTTCCCGCAAAGAACACATTTCTGCCTACTAGAGTCATCGAAGTTGGAAGCGAAAGAACCCCGATGGTACGCTTGTACTGCGATACTGGAGGTGGCACTGGGCCTAGAAAATATGTTGCGTTATCTCATCGGTGGGGATCACCGGAGCAACACTCGAAATTTTGCACTTACAGGAGCAACCTCAATCAGTTCCGGACAGGGATTGAGTACGCTCTTCTGCCGAAGACTTTCAGAGATGCTATTACAGTAACCCGTAGCTTGGGCATTGAATTTCTTTGGATAGATTCATTGTGCATCGTTCAAGATGACCCGCACGACTGGGAAATTGAGTCACGACTCATGGAGCAAGTGTTTAGCTCGGCATACATCACCATTGCGGCTACAAGTGCCAAAGGAACAAGCGATGGGTTTCTGAGAAGTCGTCCGGAGAGGAGGTTTGTAACCTTAATCAAAGATGGTCAGGTGCCATACTTCGTATCCACTGCAATCGACAATTTAGATGTGGACGTCGAACAAAGCGAGCTGAATCAAAGAGGCTGGGTACTACAAGAAAGAGCACTTTCACGAAGGACAATCTATTTCGCCGAGACCCAAAGCTATTGGGAATGCGGATGTGGAATACGATGCGAGACCCTGACAAAGATGAATAAGTAAGAACTCATACAAGTCTCCTAGAACAGGCGTTGTTGTATTAATCTAAATAGTCGCAAAGCATCGTTCCTCGGCGATGCCAACTTTCCACATTCTGTCGAAGCATACAAAAAGGGTCGAAAGATACAACTCTATCAGAATTTATACGAGCAGTATTCGCATTTAAACCTGACTTTCGATGGCGATAAACCCATTGCAATCAAAGGCCTGGAGTCACGTTTGGTTCAAGCACTACAGACACAAGGGGGATATGGGGTACTTAACAGTTATCTCCATCGGTCACTCTTATGGCAAAGGTCTGGTGATAGTCTAAGAAGGATCACAGCATTTCGCAGTGGTGCAATACCCTCATGGTCCTGGATGGCGTATGCCGGCGGCATCCGGTACATGGACATCCCATTTGGAGACGTCTCCTGGGCGGATGATGTTTCTTCACCGTTTCCGGTGGATGAATCACTTCTCACGATAAGTCATGGTTTGGATTCTGCTAATAAACCCTTGAGTATTTCTGTGCGCACATGGGATGTCAAAGAAGCACAAAGTGGTCGTATTATATTTGATGAACCGGATTGTGCTCTTGAAAGACCATTGAGGTGTGTCGTCATCGGAACAAGTAAAGACTTGATACCACAACACTTCGTGATTGTTATTGCATTGGTATCCAGGAACCAGAAACCAGTATTTGAGAGAGTTGGCGTTGGCATTCTGTTACCAGGTGATATTGCACGAAGTCAAGGAAATTACTTGATTGAACTTTGTTGATTTTGGCTGCTTCATATTAGCAATTCGATATACTTCAGAGATTGACAAGCTGTTTTCTTACTAAAAGAGCATTATCTCGTCATCATGAACATCAAGATAGCGAAGTTCCCGCTTTCTTCCACCACGCTGTATAGCCAAATACCAGAACAAGTTTACCTATCCCGAATTCTCACTTTCGACACGGCGGTGGGAAAAGCATTGTTATTACATTGTTGATCGCCTTCGTATGACACCCGGGGCATCGACAGTACTAGATTGAATGCACATGTTTAGAGTTTGGGGTTAAATCATTAAGACAGACCTTGAATCAGCTAACCTTTTCTGCTCCTGGATAGTTTGTTGCAGTACCTTCATGCTCAACACACTTGATCATCGCCTCCCGCGTCACGTTGGTTCCTTGGGCTACCTGAGCGATACATTGACTGGAGTTCATTACATCCTGACATGCTAACTCATTCTTCGGGCAACCATCTTGGATAGTTTGCGATTCTACAATGATAAAAAATAGGGAAATAAAGCTGATCCGAAGTTGCAGTTTCATTTTAGAGAGACGTAAAAGAAGTCGTAGTATCCATTCAAGAATCACAAAGTCAGCCCTCTGCAGTCTATCCTTTGTATTTAAGCCCCACCGTTATCCATCATTCCACATCCTATCGCTGAACTCACCCTGCGTCATTGAGATTAAAATAATTGAGAAACCATGCAAATTGCCCCACCTCGGCATTCAGTGATCGTGCTTCCCGCCCCACAAGTGCCCAGGAACTGGAACGACAATCAACGAGCGAAGAGAATCAGAGCTTTGCTCCTGATTTAGTCTCAAGCTCAGCTGTGGATTTCTTTTTTCATCAACCGCAATTAGGTGCGATTCAAATGTCGCATTGCCTTCCGCTGAATTCGATTATAATGGAAGCGATAGTGAAGAAGTGAACCATGATCATCTTGTGAGGATAGGCAGTGTGCTAAGTGTGCAATCAATGACCCTGCACTCAATCTGAGCAAGCACCGTTTATAGGACGATGTTATATGAGATAAACTACCCATACCTTGCTATGATTGATCTCAGGTAGCACAAACTCGGCAAAAAGAGAGCATATACAAACTTGCGACTGAAACTCGAGAAGGTCATCGTGAACTTCACGTTGGATTTCCTAAGTAAAGTGTCTATCCGAGTGTCGAAGATCAACGAACATGAAATGGAATACATTCCTACCGGTGATGCTCGCATCATCGAGCGTCGCCCTTGTCCGATTTCACTGCTCACAGTTGGTGGTTGAGAGACTTGATCCTTTAGTGAACCCGGGTCAGAGACCTTCAGCACATGTTCACCAGATTGTTGGTGGAGTGAGTGCAAACCATGGCGACTTGTGCTTGCTGTTATCTAACGTTTTTCACAGAACTCTTTTAACGCGACGATGGAACCTACGAAAGACATGCCAGGTGAATCAACGTGCACAAGCTGCCAATTCAGTGACGACTTCTCGAATTATTGGACGGCGGTTCTGTATTTCCGGGCACAGAATGGAAGCTACAAACGCGTACCTCAAATGGGCAATAATCAATTCGAAAGGGCGAAAGGGGGATTGACTATCTATTACATGCAAGATGCTATCTATGAGACGAAGCAGACGTCTAAAGTCACTGCCTTTAAACCAGTACGTGCCTTTTTTGTCTTTCCCTTTCAAATCGTGACCGGTACTAACCGAGCGATCAATCAGGGATTCCGCATGTTTGTTGGCGATGTATACGCTCGAACGCTTGACGAAGCAGCCCGCTATCGGCAACTTACGTACACTTGTTTGGACACGTTTGTAACCCGTGCACCCGAGACGATCGCCTTTCCCACTCGGAAATGTAAAGAAGGAATCATGACTTCCCTTCGATTCCCAACATGCTGGGATGGTAAGAACCTGGATAGCCCTGATCACATGGCACACATGAGTTATCCGGAGACAGGAACATTTGAAAGCAGTGGGCCCTGCCCGGCTACACATCCTGTACGTACAGCGCAGGTCATGTACGAGGTTAACTGGGACACAAAACCTTTCAACAATCTAGAATGGCCTGCAGATGGAAGTAACCCATTCGTTTGGTCGTTTGGCGATGCGACAGGGTATGCGAATCATGCGGATTACATGTTCGGATGGAAGGACGACAGTTTGCAGAAGATCTTGGACTATCCATGCCATTTTACCACAAATTGCTCAGAGAGCGGTGCAAAGATGCAGAGCATCGAAGCGATGAACAAATGTACCCAGCCAGTTACAGTCGACGAGGACATTGATGGATGTAAGTACAACTGTGAAACCGGAACATGAGCGGTGGAGGAACAGTCTCCTGCAAATTTGCTGACATGATAAATCATAGGGCTTTCGGAACTTCCCGGTGGATATCAAGCCCAATATTCTCACGTGTCTTGATGATGGGTCTTGAAAGAAGTAAGAATACCAAATCGGGTAAACCATGGGGGTCTAATGGGCTGTGATGGAATCAGTAATTGTGCAGAAATCGTCGGTTTGGATTTGATAGACAGATGCAGGCGCGGCCATTTTTGATGTCTGAATTTCGGTACCAATATAGGAGGTCCTGCGCATATGGCCAATCCCCCATCTCCTCCCGTGTTGTTCAGTTTGAATGTTGTCGAGAACTTGGTTCATCAGTTCAGAGAGTACCCCGCCCGACCTTTGGGACTATCTGACACTACTCGTACGTCGACCTCCCACACAGTGTCAAGCCTCCATTTCAAATAGATAGGCTGAAAAATCGGGTGGCAGGAGAACTAAGTGCATATTGATACTAGAGATCGAAGTGACTGTATTCTTTAATTCGCCGCGCTGAAAGGTGAGCAGATCGATGCTCACAAAAGGAGAAGCAATAGCATTGGATCGATAAAATCTGATGCCGAGACGGGTACGGCACTTTATGACATGCAAAAATCCCAAAGTGGAGTTGGCATACGTTGACTTTGAATGAAGAGAGAGCTGACGATCTCCCCACTGATGATCGATTGTAGTCTAGTGGAGACTCTCAGGCGCCACAATCGTCCATGACATCATCCCGAATCGCCAACCACAGCAAATCCCATACGTTTCCCATTGCTTTCCCCATCATCCATTCACAAGACCCCTTCCGTGATCATGGGCCCTTGTGACGATCTGATGCTTGTGCTTATCCTCTTGTGGCTTTGGAAAGCTCGCCAGTCATAATGAGATAACTATTCGCTTCGTTAATTATCCCCACACTCGTCCATGAGTTTTGCTCCCAAAGGACCTCCACGTCCATCTCTGGTGTGGTCAGGCATCATTCCATTCGTAGTATCGCTCCTTAGGTAGTACCGTGGCTGTCTTACGCGTCGCTAACCGCGGAACAAATTGTAGGCTCATTTCATCATAATTCGATGTGTTTTATCAAAGCCCATCTGCGCTGTCTCCACAAGCTGCTAGCTCAAAATTCCCATGATAAAAAATCGATGACACTGCTTGTGATTTGCAAATTTAGCTTCCGCGTCCGGACAGATGAGATCAGCCACTGTCGTCGTGGGCGGGTTAACCTACAGTATTGGACGCTACTCGTTTGGTGTGGTCAGCTATGGAATGAACTACTGACATCCACCGTACACTGAATAGATATTCAACCTTTATCTTCAGCCCCTCTCTTCGGTTCCCATCTTCCCTTTGCGCAGCATACAACGGATTTGCTTGACGCAGTTCAGACTTGAGGAATATCCGACTCGGTACATAACATCCATCAGAAGACCATCACATCTAGTGATCATTCTAAACATTACCCTAATCATATTTTTCCCATCTCCAAATTTGGAAACATGGGACGTCTAGGGAATATCCTCCCTCTTCACAAGAAGGAAACCTCGACCGAAAGCCATAAGCAAGGACATACAAAAGCTTCAACTGCTGCAAATTCAAGAAATGCTCCATTGACAAAGAGATGGCGCAATGAGTTTGTTGCAGCTGCTGCAGAATTCGCTGGCACTTTTATGTTTCTTTTCTTCGCCTTCGGAGGAACCCAGGTCGCCAACACCTCTGCTACAGCTGCCGATCCCGCAACTTCAGGTCAGCAAGGAGGAAGCATAACACAACAACCAAACACGAGTGTGCTGCTTTACATTGCGTTAAGCTTTGGCTTCTCACTCATGATCAATGTCTGGGTTTTCTTCCGCGTCAGTGGAGGACTTTTCAATCCAGCTGTAAGTTAACTACCTACCATATACTTGGGATATTTGGCTCATGGTGGTCTGCAGGTGACTTTAGGACTTTACCTTATTGGCTCTATCACCCCAATTCGAGCTTCTCTTTGCTTCCTCTCCCAAATGCTCGCAGGAATGTGTGCCGCAGCCGTCGTATCTGCGATTCTACCCGGACCACTTTCTGTGTCCACTACACTTGGCTCAGGAACGACAGCTGCCCGGGGGGTTTTCTTGGAAATGTTTCTCACCGCCCTACTTGTGTTTACGATTTTCATGCTTGCTGCGGAAAAGCACAAAGCGACGTACCTCGCCCCTATTGGCATTGGCCTGGCTCTCTTCGTCGCTGAATTGATGGGCGTTTTCTATACTGGCGGCAGTCTGAACCCGGCACGCAGCTTTGGTCCATGCGTTGCTACGAGGCGATTCCCTGGATACCATTATATTTACTGGTTTGGACCTCTTATGGGAACCCTCTTAGCTTGGGGGATGTATAAGATTGTCAAGACAGTTGAGTACCAGACTGTCAATCCAGGTCAAGACTTCGATGACCACGAGGTAAGCCGATGACAACACAGCATAATGTTGGCTTTTTGTTTACTAACTATGACAGGCTGCTGCATTCAAGCCCCCGGAGAACCCGGATTCTGCAGACCAAGTCGAACGCCCCAATGTCGCTGCTATCGCTGCCGAAGAGGCTGTACGCATGGCATCGCGAAGTTCCGGGGGTAGCAATACCGCGTACGATGGAATCGAGGGAAGAATGTCGCAAGACGGCCCCGGCGCAAATCGACCTTCGGATACCTACACGGGCGCGAGTCGCAACCTATACACTTCCTCGGCAGGGCCTAATAATATTGGACACGATGGTGTTGCAGCGTATGGAACAAGGGCATAAGATCGAACAGATCTATGGACCCCTCTCTTCCAGAGATTAAGTGACTAATTGAATGGGTAATGAGTCTGGGCTGTGAAAAGTTAGGCGTTGGTGATTTACGAGCACATGATTTATGACATGTTAATTTCGTACCAAGCGCGGCGTTGTACCATTCTTCTATTTCGCTTTTGTTTCTTTGTTCAGGGCTTGTGCTGGTTCAGGTTCACGTCTATCACTTTATACCCGATTGTACTGTACTAGGACGTTAGTTTCCACAGTTCGTCTTTGCAGCCGATCACCTAATGCGTACTGTCAAAATGATCTAAAGACGGATGGCAACGTCCAGAATGATCGTGCGGCAGGGAAAACGGTTGGCCTTTTATGTCTCTCTTACAGACTACTGCTTCTTGAAAAACACTCCCTCACATTCCCGTCCAGTGTATTATCAACGCGTGCACAAACACATTCTCATCTCACCACCTCTCAATAACCCACGTCTCACATCGCCAAGTCTTGACTCAGTCTTGTATACCACAAACCAAGCCATGCAATGAGCAATCAGAACCAAGATCAGAAAGACGATCAAGGCGACAGACATCAATTGCAGTGTAATCCATGCCGCTGAAGTGGCCGACAAAGATCGTTCTGATGTGCGCCGTGGAATCGGAGGACTTAATGTTTGAGCCATGGGTTCGGTTCTTGATCTGCCAATTGGCTTGATTGTCACGTCGTGAGGTGAGAGAGGGTCGTGAGACGAGGGAGGGTCAATTGGTGTAGGTAAAGGAGGAGGCGGTAATCGTCGATATGTTCCCAGAATTGCTGCCGTGCCTGGACTCAATGCGCCGTTATATGGTGGCCCATTATCGCTCCCTTCCAGCGCGGGTAGGTCGTCACTGTCGTGCCTCACGAGGTTGTTGAGACTCGCTGGGAGATGTAGCTTGGGCAACGATAGAAGTATTCCTTTCTTAGGCTCGTTTTCGGGTGGCTGGGTTGGAAATGGTGGGTTCCAAGGCTTCCGTAGTGGGTTCTGATTTGGCTCTTGACTCATGCTGGTATCGTTCCCACCATCGAGACCTGTCTGTTGCATCCAAGTATGAACGCGGGAACTAATCGAGTATTTGTGGCGCTCCAGCTGTACTGTCACGAACGGGATAATGATCAGGACGAAGGCGAGGAGAAGAAGCATGCACTGGCGGTGGACAAGTGTAATAAGAAGTCGCTGGGGCCTGCAGAGTGTGTGTGAACGGTATCTAGTACGAAGTTCAAAGGTGTTGCTATTATAGAATACGGAGTTTCAGTGGAGGGAACATGCAATAGAGCAGATATTCGGATTTTAGGTGCGGAGAGTTGTTTTAATTTAGGTTACTGGCGTAGAAGTGATTCGTACAGATACCTTCACGGTGCATCTGCACCTTCCTTCAGCCTCCACCATCATCAAGATCTTCCACCCACCCCAACCTTTCCCGAGAATCGTCGACAACTCGCGCAAATTCGAGAATCAAACGATAGACGTATATCAACATGTCTTCCCTTCGCAATACCTTTCTGGCCCATTTCTGGCCGGTTTTCGCGATTTTTCTTGCTTGCTCATCATGGCCAACACTCCTTGGTCCTGTTTTTTTCCAGACTATTGATTTCAGTATGTTCTCAGGTACTGCCCCATCAGTATTAGAGATATCATCCCTTTCACCCGAATTGTCGTCTTGGTGGTTAGAAGACCAAGGAAGGAAATATTCCATGATCCCCAATAAATCGATGAACGTATTGTCCATTGGAACATAGTGTACCCAAGGCTTAATCCGTGCATCGTACCATTGACGATACACGCTGCCTCTTAAAGTAACAAGTCCATTCTCAAGAGCTCTGGTGAATTCCCCGCCATCGTCGCCACCATTGCCATCAACCACCGCTGTGTATTTGTGCTGTTCGATATCCCTTCCACTAGCTGCCTGAGCAACGGAGAAGAAGGACGAGGGGCATCGTGGTGATTCTTCGCCCGAGAGTTTCTCACAGTCCAAAGTTTCTGTTCGAAATGATGCATCTGCCCAGCTCGAGACCCATGCCGCAAGATGGTGGTCATGGCGAGAAGGTAAGAGATATGCATCTCTAGAAGGGAGGCGGAAGGTCCTGCTAGAACTAATATCTTGTCCGGAGGTCGTTACATTAGGACTCTGGTCCACCATCAGGATGTTTGAACCATTCAACATGCCTACGAAGCGGTGTCGATGTGATCGGTTCCAATTACTCTTACTATACTGTCCGCCTGTTGCTGGGCCACGCCAGAACAACTTATCCTGTCTGGTTGCCCAATTCACTCCAACGGAATGATCTACCGATGATGATATTTCTGTACGGTTCCATTCCAGGGCTCCCGGCAACAAAATCTCATTGCTCATGCTGAATTTGCTTGCCCCAAACAACGGAAACATTTTCTCACTCACGCTCATGTGCTCGGGCGCAACAAAAGCTCCATGAAGTCCTTGCAAATGACTGTGTCGACACACGTCCGTTGCTATTGTCCAGTTCTTCACATATCCCCTCAAGGTTCCTAGCGGCCAGCCACCGGGTGTTATGTTTACAGCCGAATGTGCTTCGCTGGTACGTCCGTGTAGGTCCCAAATATCAGACATTATACTGTGAAGTCTTGATGGAGACCTTGGGTGGCAAGCGGGCCGTACGACTGTCCAGTATGGACGTGGACCTAGTGCTGAAGCAGGATGGGTGCGGCGAGGACCAAGCCATTCCGGGTCGAATCCAAAAGTCTCGTTTGCTGTCGTTTCGGGTGTTTCTAGATCTGTGAAGCTAGTCTGAACGTCTGCGATCGATGCTTTGATCCGACGGGAAAACGATAGCATGGTATCGATGGTCTCCCAAGGCACCGCGAGCGCAGGCTCTTCATTGACATTGAATGGTAAATCCACGTCTGGAAGTCTTACATGCTTGTGAGAGGAAAGAGTTAGAACCATGTCTGTCCACTGCTGCAACTTCGTATATGCACCTTGCGGATCTGATTCGACTTTTCCATTACGGATGGAAATCTTGGGTTTCAGGCCGTGAGCTTGTTGGCGTAGAGTGCTCGGATTGACGCCCCAGAAGGGGCCGAGATCATGATAAATCTGGTCCCAGAAATCCTCAACGATGACGGAGCCACTGGACGAAGCAAAATTATACCAAGCGTCAAAGTCTGGCGGTGGATGTCTTCCCCTTTTCCTGCGGTACTTGGCAGCGGCGTCCTTCAGGCTCACAGCCTCGGTTTTCAGAAGGGCAGAGAAGCCCTTTTCGGCATCGGCGATGAGTTCATCAATCGGATGTTTGCCTGGTGCTCCAAGACCTCCAACGTTCGAGATCCCCTTTGAAATCCCTTTCTTGACATCCTCCAGCGTCAAGCGCGGAAAGTCTATCTGGGGCAACGTGGGTAATCTTTCTCCCACGTACAGCTTGATGGCCCTGGTATCTGATATCGAGTGATACGCAATGATAAAGCAAAGCACGGATGAGATCAGTGCAAGAAGCTGCAGCCCCTTCCAGGTGGGATGCAGCAATAACCACCCTGCGTACATCTTGTAAGGCTGTTGTCTTATGATCGTAGGGAGTACTACGTTCCGCGGACCGGGATTACGGATGAGACTGCGAACGCAACGTGGGATCAAATGGCATGGCTTGCCAGTGTCTCAGGACAAAGCGCTCGAAGCGACGGAAAATGCAATGCAAGATAGAGGTACAAGGGGCAAAGGTGAAATCTTGTGCGGCAGTGAAAAGGTATGGACATCATGGAAACATGCGGGAGTGCTTGTGTATATATCTAAATGGCACCTGGTGAAGATTAAACCAGGCTGTTGGAGGGCCAAATGAGGCGTCCAGGGCACTCAAAAGAATCTGGGGTAGGAGGGCCAGGTAAATTGCGAGCAATGGCTCAGTACAGGCGACGCATTCAGCCGCTTGTAGATCTCCAATCTACCGCACTTGGCATGATTGGCACAAAATATGACTTAAGCGGTTTCATAATAATCCCGATGGAACTGTGAAGGAAAATGGAATGTGAGATGTGATCCAAATGGAAAAGGTATCTTCAAGAAATGTATGTAAACCACCAGGGCCCAAGTCGAGTCGGGGCGGAAAAGGCCGAGCAATCAGTACCGCTCATTGTGGCCCTCCATTTCTTCTCCCTCTCCTTCACCCTCTTCATATCCTTCCTCATACTCCTCGCCCTCATCATAGTCCTCTCCGTCTTCCTCGTCCTCGTCATCACTGTCGTCACTTCCGCTCCCTTCACTCTCTGCATCGCTTGCGGGTGGCTCGTAATCCTCCTCATCTTCATCTTCCTCGTCTTGTAACAACCTCTCGGCCTTGGTCAATTCCGATTCCTCGTCGGCCCCACCAGCAACTCCATTCTCATTGTCCGCCGGGGGGTTGATGTTGAGTTTCTGGGCTCTTCTGGCCGCGGCCATGCTAGCATCCTGCAACCCGTGCTTTTGCACATATTCGGTGATACCCGGATAGTCTTCCTGATCAATCATGCTGAATTCAAATTCTTGGTCGACAGATTGGACGACAAGATTGAAGGTATTGCGGAGGACGTTCGTATACGATATCGAGGTAATCGCGGCGAAGTCGAAGAACAACAGCGGTTTTTTGAAGCCGTATAGAATGCCTATAGAGGTGAAGAATAGATAGCCTAGTGTAATGCATGTGTTAGTACGAATTCGCAATTACGAAATCGCAAGGAGCCTTGTGAAAGGCCATAGCCTACCTTCTTTGCTACCCCTATGTGCTTTCACATGATATCCCTTTTCACCTTTGCGATGGCTTTGAACGATCGCACTCACAAACTCCTCTGGGTCTGGGAAAACAACTTGCTTTCTGATGCCAGCTGACTTGACACTCTCATTTATGGCAGATGCGATTGGACGTGGACCAGGATCCTCTCCCTCGATTATATTCTTCCCCGATGCTTCCTCGAAAGTCCAGAGGATTGGGTCAGGTGGTGGTGCATCCTTCCGATCTTCTGGAAGAGGGTTCACACCGTCGCCGTAAACAGGCAGTACGATGAAATTGTGTTGTCGCTTTGCCTTCTCCGGCACGGGAAGACAGAATATCTGATCTGCCGCGGGCAATGTCAGCATATAGATCGAATGAAAGACCAAGGCTTGCGCAAAAATAGCATGACCTTACCAACATCCTTCCAAGCAATCCCAAACTCCACCTTCCCATCAGCGCCAATACCCCTTACGCCCCCTCCTTTGCCAGACACCAACTCCAAAGTCAATTTCTTGCGTTGTGGTATCGAGAAGCTCACGCCCGTATATGTCTTCCATGCTGTGGTGGATGCACTGAGGAGATTTGCCGTGTCTGCCCCTTTTGCTGTGCCGTTTTGTACGCCATTGTTACCGTTGCTGTTGTCCAATTTGCGCTTCTTTGATGCAGGCTCGGGTACACTTTGAGAAGTTCGATTTAGAATGTAGGTTGATATGTCGCGAAAGAGGGTACTGTGCTTGGGGTTTTGATCTATCAATGTAATGAGTTCATGAGTCTGATTCTTTTCTCGATCAGAGAGACCAACCGATAGCAGCATGGACTCGTTTGCGCAGCTCAGGATTCCCTGAGAAGGCGATATCAATCTCTTCCGGATGTGCCGATCCCGCCATTCTGTAGGGAAGTATCTAGTATCTAGACAGGTAGTTGGGCGGTGTTGCGTAATGGACAGCGAAGATGTACAAACTTCCGGTTGATGGGCTTCTGGTGAAAGTTCGGGGGAGGCGGCGGCGGCGGCGAACGCGTCGGGCCGTGAGTCGCGTGGGCTTTCGTTTAGCGCATTGTGGAACCACCTCCTGGTACCTCCTCCTACTTTGTACGTCACTCTTCACTCTTCACTCTTCACCGCCAAATATCATAGTTCACGATCGAGATTTCTTTCGAGGAACAATACTAACTTGCTGGTTCATCGTCTGCTTTTTTCAGTATGACACAATTGCTGCTTGAATCGCAAGTATGGCTTTCTGAGATGGTGAAGCTATGATTCACCAAAGGCATGGGATATTACTGAAGATGAGTGTTGTAGCTAACAATACTCCACCGGATAGAATATCAATGAGTAGAGAAGGCCACCTGTCAGACGATATCGGCGATGGAATCCACCTGAAGTAGTTGCGTCCATGTCACATCTGCAGACGCCGAGATACTCAGTATACTATTCGGCCCCGCCTTCATAAAAGATTGCAGTGGAGCAGTCTCGATTGTATGGAAAAAGAGGTATTATAGTTAATATCCAACATGCAACGGAAATCATTTGTCGCAACCACAGAAACGAGCTAACCCATTGTCGCGCAATACCTTTTGCTGGGCGAACTACACATGCACTGAAACCATTTGGCCATTGACTCTTTCGATGTGACGGAACTCTTGCACAGTACCATCTGCAATGGCTTTGTCCTTCGGTACGTACGGCTGGTTTCTCTGACTTCTGTGAAGCTGTTGCTTCTATGATGCAGGAATCAGCTATATCATTGCGGAAATTCCAAGCACCTGGTTGAAGTATATGCTCAAGCCCACGCGAACCGTGATCGAAGCTCTCATGCGTGGGGTGTGGGAGCCAGCACTTCCGAAAAGGACTGCTCTGACCATGTATAGGCGATGTTCACTATCAACAACACAAAAATATCGCGGCACAAACAGCCGATCGAGTTGTGTATTCTACCGGCAGACGGTACATGGAGAGAACTTATGCCTTGGTGGCTGATGGTTTGATCAGTGTGGGGTATGGTTGCTGGTAGATCGAGCATCGCTAGCCGTGCTGAATCGACATCTTCACCTTCACGCACTGCACAATACGGAGTGTATGATACGTCGACCTTAGCTCCGCGAATATAGCACTCGGCAGCTTCAAGCAAGCAAGCAAGCTTAATAGGGCAATCTAAGCTTCGAAGAGAGGTTCTTCGCGTCGAGCGGTTCTCGATCTAATTGAGTCCTGGGTGACCGTGCACGTTGCGATTATCTTACACTACCAGTTTCAACAACAGTTGGCAGCCATTTACACCGTTTTGCCGTTGCTTGCGCATAGAAACCTCACTGAAAATGGGCCATTGTGGAACAGGTTATCTATGCACGGCAGCGAATGGCAGCCCTATGCCAGTTCCTGCAGTATCACAGCATTAGGCCCAGCCGCATCAGATATGGATGCTATCCTTGTTCTGCGCACTCCATGTCTGGAGATGACAATTGAGTACTTATCCACGCGTGCTTCGTGATACTATCGCTGTCTTGTGTCCGTCTGTTTTATTTACTAGTCGCCTTCTCGAATGCCTTGTTCCACAATTTCCGATCGAAAGTCATTCTGGGTTTCCCGCTTCAGGAAGGATTCCTCCGACATCAAATCATCGTGGTTAGAGACGTTTGCGGGCCAACGTTCAACACACTAAATACGCCTTCGCGCCTTGGGCGCTTTTTTTCCTTCTTGTCTTGCGAATTTTCCAAGGCTCTCCGCTCAAAATACTACTTACGATCTGGGAAAGGCGCGGTGAATAAGAATTATCATGGAACAGCCAGCGAACAAGATGGCCAAACTCGCCGAGAAGCTCCCCTCTTTCTTGAGGCCAAAACCAGTTTTCAATCAGCGCGTGGACACTGAGAAGAGATATCATATCTCTCGCGCGCTCTACATCACTTTCTTGGTTGCTCTGGTCATCCTTTCCACCGGCGTTATTGGACTGAAGGCCATGACACTCAACTTCATTGAAGACAACGAGAACACGGGTTTTGTGTTCGAGACTGAGGATGCCGATGTGGATTCTACTATACTTGCAGCATTACCAAGGATGCTGTATACTGCACCAGCAAAACTGGCAGTTGTGGCAGCCGCTATCAGCATCTTCGTCGGTTCTGGACACGCAGTTTTTGTTGTCATGGATTGGAAAGAAGGCAAAAGAGTATGTCATACCACAGCACCACTTTCCTCGGCCAACACTGACTTTGTTAAATAGACACAAACATACTCCTTTCGACGCAACATCATGTTCCTTCATTTTACCAACAGCATCATGGTACTATTCTCGTTGGTATCGATATTTGTCACGCATAAGTCGACATCGCATTTCTTCGAGGGCTATGTCATTCGCAAGGCTGACCGCCCCGGAGAAGGTGTGCGGTACAATATTGGCACATTCGATCTTGAAACCTGGAGTTGCGAACTGAAGACCGTGGAGGGTGCGAAGATGGTATGGGAAGATTATTCGAGACAGTGCGACATCGAACAAGCAGGCCGGGCCGTTATGATTCCCTTCATGATTGTTGCATTCGTAATCGCTGCTGTCGGCATTGCAGACATGATGAAGTGCCGCCGCCAGGACGCGAATGGTCTGACGATGAAGACAGAAGACGTTAACGCAGAATTCGGCAAGATGAACGCGGTTTAACTATCTAAGCCGATCTTGCTATTTTTCTTGTTTCTTTGATGCTCTTAACAGTAAACGCAAAGTTCTGGGCATTTTCGGGTGTTGGTGGTTCGCTGCAATTATCTTACGTCTCTACGAGTGTGTTCCTTTACTTGCAGACATAATTATCGTCGCGCGCAGGTGCGATCCTCGGCGAATATTTTGTTCAACTCGAAAATTGTACGCGCTACAATACCGACCTTCGTTACCGTAGACTGGACACTTCTAGCCGGCCTAGTTGTTTGTCAGTCCCGGGTGGGTTCTAGACCTTGTCGCTCGTTCATGAATCTTAGAATCGGCTATTCCAAGTGTTGGACGCCGGGATGTTTGTTCTGTTCTTGTTGTATTAGATCATTACCTACGTATTCATAATGAACCCTACTGGAAACTTGATGAAATTCAATAATCCTTCGTGACCCATCCCTTATCATTCCCGAGGTCAAGCATGCGTTGCACCTCGCAAAACGCCTCTGGGGTTCGCCAACAAGAAGACAAATGTCTCAGCTTCACCGATGTCATCAACTTCAGACATGTACATTGAAACTGCTCGAGCTAACCTTGAGAAACTATTTGGAAGCAACGTGTCGTCGATACAAGGGACACTCTTTTCATTTAGCGAGAGAACGTAGATCCTCCACAATGGCACTTCGTGTTTGGAAATGCCGAGCATGCGCTGGCACGGCTGGCTAAGTTTATGCATAGCTGTGGGAAGAACGCTTTGGTCTAAAATACAAATACGGGGCCTGTTCAACTATTGCTAGTGTCACTGAAGCTTCACCACGCACTCATGAAAACCTGGGGAAGCAATAGCACTGGACAAAGAATCATGCATTAAGGAAAATCTTACTCAACAGAACAAGGTGACTATGTTATGGCAGTCTCGCAATTATCTAAAGCGAAACGTCCCTATCCAAAGAAGTTCATCTTTCTCTAATTATTCTTGTCCTTGACTAACCCATACAAGCCATTGTCTCTGTTAACCTTTTCAATCGCCTTCCTCGCCCCCTCCCACCTTTTCCTCTTCCCTTCGAACAACCTAAAAACGTGGGGACTGTATATCCCACCCATAATCATTTGGCATAAACTCCTATTCCGCAACCAGAACACCCACCCTTTCCATCTATACCCCAAGTTCTCATTGATTCCCGTTCCAGCAGCATCATTCGCCCATCGCATCCACTCCCCACCCTTCACAATACCAGGATAGACACTCCCATCTTTCGCCATGCCGCACACCCATTCATGGTGTGCGTCTACATCATCGATCATCTCATGCCGACCAGGCAGGTTCGAATTACCTTTCCAGATCTGCGCCAACGCCATGGAAGCGATATCGTACGTTTGAAAAGCAGGGCTCGGAAATGCGACCGTACCCATGAACGCCAGTGACTCGGGCTTCTCTAGTGAGAAAACGTTCCTGTACAAGCGTGGCAGTGGCTTGCCGTTAGAACCATGGGCTTCGGACCATTTCTGCGTGGTGCGTGTCGTGGGATCGTATTTCGGTTCGAGGAGGGAGTAGTCGATTTTGTAGCCTGTGCAGTATATGATGGTGTCGACGTCAAGTTTTGTGCCATCACTTAACTCGACCTGATTTGGGCCAGTTACCTTCTCCAACCCGGCAACGGATTCGATGTCGCCCTTTTCAAAGCCATCCACGAGGACGTCGGAGATTATGGGGATCGACTGCTTCATCGAAGGTGCAGGGGAAAGTCCCCATTCAGGGCGGATTGTAAATGATTTGTTCTGCATTTTTGCTAAAAACGTGTTGAAGATGTATTCGGCAACTCCAGGAGCATAGTACCAGAGGGTATCCGAAATAGTTTGCTTGCGATAATTTAGGCCGTGGTCTATTGACTGATTGTTTTGCTTCCGGGGTAGCTGTATGGAATCAATGCATGCCATTTCCAATGAGGTCGGCAGATAGGAATATGGAATAACTAACGATGACTCCGCCGTGGCGATGTGATAGGTAAATTTTGGAGGCGTTGCCTACTAGCTGTGTTGCGGTGTCTGCGGCAGTGTTGCCGAAGCCGACAACGAGGACTTTCCTGCCCTCGAATTCTTCTGGCCTGAAACACATGTTAGCGTTTGTATCCTGTATATCAGGGGTGACCATTACGAACCTTTTGAAGAATCGAGAATGTATGCACCGACCCTCAAAAAGGTCAATGTTTTTCACGTTCGGAATACTGGCAACGGTATTGATGCCGGTAGCCATAACGACCTTGTCGAAGAAGATAGGGTCTGAGCCTTCAATATGAACAGCCCATTTCTGGTGCTCGTCAGAGTATGTCACATTCTTGATTGAGGTGTTCAGTTGGATTCGTGAAGCAAGATTGAAATGTTTCACATATTGCAAGAGGTATTGCTGGACTTCTGCGGCTGTGGGATGTGTGCGGACACCTGCTATTGACTTAGCACCACTTTTGAGCGAAGACAGCCAATGTGTTTACCGACCTTCTTGAAAAGGGAGATCAGTGAAGCAGCCCTTTGTGGAATCATTAGTACCTTCCCAAGTCTAACCAAATGGTCGCCCGCTCACCCGTTCCTTCGAAACATTAACGATGGTACTTTGCAATACCGAAGTCTTGTCATCCTCCGTATACTGCCAGAGGCCACCAACATAGGCATTGCGCTCAAATCCAGTCACATCGAATCCCTCCTCCAAGAGGTTTTTGATAGTCACGAGACCAAGAGCACCTGCAATGGGCAATTAGTACATTTGTCCTGTCCCGATCATTTGCGATATGTACCAGCGCCGATAACAGCCACCGTCCTCCGTTCTGCCATTCTTTTTGTTGTACTCTTCTGGGGCGGGAAAAGAATATAGAATATGAAAAAGCAGCAAGAGTGCGGGACCTACGATGTATCTATAATTGAAACTTCCCAAGACTCACATGTATTAGGTCCATATCCACCATGCACTGAAAAGCATAGTGCAGTGGGGCATGCTCGGAAGGGTGCAGTAGAAACGAGACGCTAACACACCAATGTTCTTCTCTTATGCCCGGCCTTGCGTTGTTCTTACGTTGTTGTTGGTTGTTGTTGGGCATCACATTCTAAACTTCGGTCCAATGTCGAGCGACACAGCTCTCCTTTGAATGGTATTCGGTTTGCCAACTGAAACTATGAAACCCACCGCAGCCTTCAAAGTTACCGGCTTGCACGATCATACGGAGGTTTGTTAAGCGGGACATTTAGGTACCCATTCATCCGACAGGATCCTCATCGGAGCACTCACATCAGCTGGCATCCCCACACATTATCTATCGGATCAGTGTCGGATCAGATAATGGCGCAGCGAGGGTGCCCACTCCGCGCAGCGTTCCTGGTTCGAGATTCGCTTGATTATGCTCCTTCGGGCAGAGCTTAGCGAGTTGGAGGGAACATCGGCAGCCTGTCGGACTGTGGTCGGCCTCATTTTTGGCTCACTGAATCATATTTCGAATTGTCATACTAGATAATCACTCAACAACTTATTCTTTATGAGGAACAAGGTAGTTGGAAGTTAACATCGGTTCAGAATCGCAGGGCTGTACTCCTCCATGAACTGAGCACTTAGCCCCAACATAGTCGCACATAAGCAGTAGTTTACAGCTGAACATATTGTCTCACCTCGATCATATCACGTGTAGCCTAAATCTGTATCTCAGGCAACAACGGGCTGTAATAGCACTGTAGTGGAAAGGGCGTCTAAAGGGCATTGTAGCAACTTTCAGCCCTCTCACCAGAATCTATCTCTATTTTAGTCCGCCTTGAAACTAAAGCAACAGTATCCTTAAGATAGGCAACAGCCAAAGCGACAATATATCATTGAACTTCGCTCCAACCCATCACCACGGCCTACCATAAAGCTCATACGTTTTAATCTATGTCCCAGCATCACACGTTACCAGAAATGGGTACTGCGGTATCTTCACCTGCTACGATCAGCACAGACACGGTACCACCAGCCGAGATCCCCGAGATCCATCTTCTGTGTATGGTACCAGAGTTCATTACCGCATTCGAGGCTGCAAAGGAGAAATACAACCTCCCCTCCTCGGTGAAGGTTACAATCCATCACAACAACCTGAAATACCTTCCGACAGACGTCAAATTCGACGCCATAGTGTCTCCCGCGAACTCTTACGCGCGGCTCGATGGTGGCTTCGACGACGCATTGTCTCGAGCATTCGCACCACGAAACGACTACCATGCGCTCACGCGCGTAGCGCAAGCCAAAGTGTACAGAGAGTGGCGCGGATTTGCCCCACCGAGCAGCTGCACGATGGTCGATCTTGACCACCCAGATCTAGTCAAACCTGGTTGGGGCTGCAGGTACATGGCTCTTCTTCCCACGATGAAGACGCCGCAGAACGTCGGGTGGGATAAGGAAGTGGTTTATGAGTGTGTGTGGGCTTTGCTAGCTACGATTGACAGACATAACCGCGCTATCGCCGAAGATCAACACACGAATGAGAGGCGCATAAAGAGCATCTTGATGACTCCTCTAGCGACAGGTTGTGGGCTATGGGGTGCGGAAAAGTGGGCGGCGCAAACGGTTATTGCGATCAAGCATTTTGTAGAGGCATCCGCTGAAGATGGAGAAAATAAGTGGGGGAAGATGGACTGGCGGGAGATATCCGCACCTTGCGAGGAGGTGGAGGATACATATGATCTTGAAGGATGAGCTGACAAATCTTGATTTATCAGCATTCTTATCACTACAAATTGGAAAATGCACTCTTCAGTCAGTGCTTGATTTATCTTCAAATTTATTCCACATTTTCGTCGATTACTATGTCCGACATACTTACAATAGATGTTGGCGGCTAAGAGATTGGTGCTATCTAACTAACTCAGCGGATCCAAATGACCAAGCAAGAGGATGCTATTAGATTCCGGATAACCCTCAAAACCCTTCGACGTCCCAATTTTGGACCCAACGCATGTACAATTTTCAAACCACGGTTTGAGCGAAGTTAAGTCTCAGACTTTTTCGCATCCGATTCATCGACTTGCGAGTTTGGCTTTCCCGAATTACTCGTCTGAGCCTCCGATGGTTTCGTTTCCACGGCCACAGAGACTGGTGGCCTTTCCGTATGGCTGAGCTTCAAAGTGAGCTGCTCCAATCTTTCTTGTAGTTCTTTCTCGCGCTCGGCGTAGCGTTTGTCCAATTCTTCGTCACTCAACTGTTCCTCGGGGGTCTCCGCGGTAGGAGTCTTCTCGGCCTCGGCCTCGGTTTCGTACCAGGTGATGCCTTCCGCGGCGGCAGCATCGTACCTCTTTTTGAAAGCTTCCAATCTTAGGCGGCTGATCTTTGGCCACACCTTCTCCGGATCGAATCTCGCTTTCGCCGTGACTGCGTCTTCAGGAAGGAGAACCCAGTCCAGTTTGTTATCAACAAAAGAGTGGATATCCGGGGGGAGATAATTTGGATGATCCAAGCATCCAACAGAAACATTCATCAAGCCAGGTGCCCAACTTCCAGCTCGCCATAACACGGTCCTGCACTTCGGGCACTGGCCCAGCGTCTTCCATAAGCCTTTGGTGGTCCTTTCCAAGATGATCTGGGGTTTCGTCTCGCTGGTCACTTTGATGAGATCTGCTTCTATTTGCGCTGAGACCGCAAAAGCTGACCCAGTTTCCTTCTGGCAGTCGGTGCAGTGGCAGGCGTACACGAACAAAGGAATCGTTTCCAGTCGGAATTTAACTGTGTCGCACGCACAACCACCTGGCATCGCAGGATAACGCCTTGGTTTAGACATTGCAATGCAGGCAAAGATATCGATTGGTATCTGAGAAACTTCTGAGTATCTGATAGCCTGACCAGATAGCTAGAGCTGTATCGGAGTTTGCGCAAGACGAGATTCTGATGACGTTTCAGGTGTGTCGAGCTTAGGCATCACTAGACTCAAGCCCCGCCATGTCAGATCCGGTTAGCTTATACGCTAAACTACGGTACATGTTGGTAACTATCTCTTTTGACCTGTAACTGAGGTCTTTCCTCTATTTCAGATTTCCCTTCCGTTTTATTAAGAGCAGGTGTGCGTGATTTATTATTCCTCCCTTGCTTCATCGAGTCGTTCCATAGTAGATTCGGCCTTCAGCACAGTGCTGATCATCGCCCACTGACCACATTCAAGACACCTCCATCCACCGCAATGATCTCGCCATTTACATAGGCGTTTTTGGTAAGGAACAGTACTGTCTGGGCCATTTCTTCGTCGCTTCCAGCCCTTCCCATGGGAACATGGCCTTTCTCTTGTATCTTTTCATCTGGAACCTGACTCTTCATCCGCTCATCACTCTCCTTTGCTGTCATCTCGCTAGGGAAGTATCCAGGAGCAATCGAGTTGACGCGTATTCGGACTTTCTGGAACTCCGCAGACATGAGCTTCGTCAGGTGAACAGTTCCTCCTTTCGCGGCGTTGTATGAGAAATGACCTTGGGAATCGCGCATTATTCCTGACATTGACGAGATGACAATGACCGAAGCAGACAGGTGGCCGTGGCTTTCTGTTCCCGCCTGGAGCAGGGGAAGAAGCGCAACTGTCGAGAAGTAGACTGCAGTAACATCTGTGTTGTACGTCTCATTCCATTTCTCGAAGGTCTCGTTTTTCCATAGCTTTTCCTTGAGAGACGTTGCAGATTCCTGGTCCGGCTCGGCTTTGGTGCCAGAGATGCCCGCCGCACAAATTAGTAAATTGATGTACTTCTCTTTTTTTGAGAGTTCATCATATAGCTTCTCCAAATCTGATTTCTTGGTGACGTCGTAAGGGCCAATTCTTGCCGAAGTCAGAAAAGGTATAGAGATGTGACGAATGGACGACCTACGGGATGATCTTGCCATTACCATCGGCTGGGCTGTGTTCCTTTGCCGCCTTCTCCAACGCCTCGGCACCTGGGACGCTGCATTAGTATTTCATGTATTGATGGTACCTTTTCCTTAAGTAGGTGCGGGGGCAAACCGCTCGTAGACTCACGTCGACCGGTGATGTAGACTTTCGCACCTGCGGGCGTATTAGAGATCAAAGTTCCATCGTCTGTATCTTATATCCATACCGTTGGCAGCTAAAACTTGAGCGGACATGAGGCCAATGCCTGAGCCGCCTCCTGTGATCACGCAGACATAGTCCTTCACAGAGAATAGCTTCGCGGCGTGCAAATCCGAGGTATTGGCCATCTTGGAGAAGAGTTGTGTGATTGTTCAGCAAGAAATTGCAGAAAACTATCAGAACTGCGATTGAAGTGCTTAAGAACAGAGGGAAATTTGTAAGAGAATAAAAGAAACGTCACCGAAAGATGGTGTTGATTATTTCGGTATGACGTATAGTTATTTGTGTACCCTCGAGGAGGTTAGCGCGATACGGTAACCTGGCTAGTACTGGTTACCACAAAGCTTTTATCTACGAACAACCTTGGGATATCGCCGCATATTTCTAGATAAATATATTTCTTGAGACATTCTTCCGCCTGTTGGTGTTTGGCAGGGAAACACTTGCGAGTAAGCGGCGTTGAACGGGCAATACTCACAGAGTTAGTATACAATCGCGATATGCGAGTGGCATCGAATGCTGGTTTCCCTTGCCCGTTACCCCTAGCTAAATATATATATTGATACTGGTAATATTTTCATAAAAGGTGCTCGTGAGGCTGCCCAGGCGAACCTTAGGTCATGTGTTGATAATCGTACCATCTCCCTACTTATTTTAGAGAGATGGTAAGCTTAACCCTTTTATTTACCCAATACCTAGGTATGTATCACAACGTAATTTGCAGAAACCCATCGTGCATTCCAATATGGATATTAAATTCACCGTTTCCACTCCATTAATCCGAACGGAATGAAACGTTATTTGCGGAGGGGTTTTCATAAATAAACATGATCTTTCTCCATGACGCTTGGATGGGACATGTGTGAGGTAGGTTAGCCGCTCGTCCCCTTGCAGTCATTTGAGGAAAGGCGCCACGTGCAATTGACACATCGTTGCCCATGTTGCACCCTACAGCAAGAATAAAATATACAATGAGCAGTCGAGAGAGCTAATACTCCGTAATAACGTCTTGTTCTCCTATGTAACTACTTTGCTTTCCCACCAAGGGCGTGCCAATTGAAACACGCTAGACTGTTCTCGGCATCCATAATGCGGCCAGCCTCGCCAAGTCATCGTCTGCCCGCGGATCAGGAGAAACAACAACACCGAAACATCTTACCATGTACGATCGACGTCATTGTCAATAACCTTTGGTAATGTCAACAAAGATGGCTTAAGTAAATCTTCAGCCAACGACCAAAATCACTACAGTAAAACGAAGAGATGCCTCGCTCAATTCCATCCCGAAAGATTGGCGGTCCGCGAACGCAAACACGGTCGAAGTGTAGTCGCTGCCACAATCTGGACCCTCGCGAGCATGCGAACACTTTGTATCCCAAAGACAATTCAGCGAACAAGAACTATGCAGTTTTAAATCTGGTCATAGATGCACTTGGATTGTCTAAAGCAGCAACTCCTCCGTATACTGGGTCTGGATGCAGGTTCTGTAAAGTACTGGCTCAGGCACTGGATGCGTTTTCCAAAGTTTGGCGAGACTTTCGCGGGCGGATCCTCGTTGAGATCAAAGAGAAGGGAACGATTAAGGTTGTGCTAGACAAAGAAGAGTGGAAGCATGAGAGTATTGAAATTTACGCGATCTCAGGTAAGACTTGTTTCTGTGTTCATCAAATCTGTTTTAGCTAGCAACTCGCTTCTACCACTACTCTTCGAGAACCCCTTGACTGGGACAAATATCTGCTGTATAAAGGGCAGCGGAGAGACATATGCAAACAACTGTGGAAAGGTCGAAAGAAATTCTTTGGAACGCTGGCATTGATATCGAGCAGAGGCACGGTCACCTTGGCCCATGTTGGGAGCCGCCCGCCGTATCCCTATCGACTCTGGATCGGACGAAACCTTCGACTTTGCTCGTCGTTGTATCCAAGATTGCTTGACAAACCCAAAGCACGAGGCCTGTAGGAGAACGTCCACCTCGACGGTTCTAGGCCCGAAGCGTCTGATAGATGTTGGTCGAGTTGGGCGACCCATTCGTCTGATCGACACTCATGAAAAGAAAGCCCAATATGCAGCACTGTCCCATTGTTGGGGCAAAGGACCAACCCTGACCGCAACCAAATCCAACTGGCAAAAGCTGTCCTCCAATATACCCTTTGATGCACTACCTTCCTTGTTCCAGGACGCAATTATTATCACACGCCAACTTGGTCTTCGCTACCTCTGGATCGACTCTTTATGCATCATACAAGATTCCGTCAGAGATTGGGAAACGGAGTCGACTAAAATGGGTTCGATCTATGAGAATGGCCACATCACCATATCGGCGACCAGTTCTGGCGATGGCAGCGCCCACTGCTTGCAAGAAAGACGGAAACCAGTCAAGATCAGCTATGAAAATACGAAAGGAAAAGAGCACATCATGGGTGCAAGGCTGGTTCTTGAGCACCATCCTAACTTGGAAGAGTGTGAGCCCGCAAAACCCTTTGGGCCCCTGACTAAACGTGCGTGGACTCTTCAGGAACACGTCCTCAGCACTCGCGTTTTGCACTACACCCCAACAGAGTTGCTCTTCGAATGCAAAACTTCGTACCGATGTGAATGCCTTCCCGCACGCAAGAATTATCCTACCACGCCAGCATTGATCCCTAAAGCTTTGTCATCCTTGAAGACAAATAAAAAACACGATGGGATTTGGGATGTGTGGCAAAGGATTCTTGAAACATATTCGCACCGCAATCTCACCGTAGCCAGCGATAAACTACCCGCTATATCCGGCATCGCGAAAACAATTCAAAAAGCTACTGGTTCTTCGTACTTGGGTGGTCTTTGGGCTGATCACCTCGCATCAGACTTACTATGGAACAGTATGTTGCCGAGAACGGGGGAAGGGACCTCCTACGCTTTGGAGAGCTATCGGGCCCCAACATTTTCATGGGCTAGTGTGGACGCACCCATAACATACTACGCCCCAGACGACGATGAACGCTTGCACTTCAAGTCCTTGCTGAAGATCATTACCACGACGATCAGTCCTGCTGGTCTGAACCCCCTTGGTACAGTCTCTGCTGGATCGATCAGAATACTTGGGCCCTGCATCACTGCTACTCTTGCTTCCGAACATGGAGCGGAGGGTAACTGCACTTATACCTTGTTAATAAAAGGAACGAGCGCGATGCAGATGTTGCCCGATTCTTTCCTGGTGGAGAGGGAAATTTGCACGGCGGCGGGTGAGACGCAGAAGACTGTACGAAGAGCACGATCGGGTGACGAACTTGTCAACTTCAAAACACCAGTCCTTTGTTTGGGGGTTGGGTTATACGATCACTGGATAGGGGGTCTCGTACTTGGTATATCGAGCCGGGACCCGGAAGCGTGGGAACGACTTGGCACTTTTTCTGCGGGGACAGAAGTGTTTGCAAGCGCTGAGAAGCAGGAGTTGACGATGGTTTGATCGCATCAATGATTTAATACGGTATACGGTCCATTTTCGTTGTATAATAATATCGAACGTCGTCCTTGCGCTCAATGCACACACGAGTCGACATATCGCTTGCTACCCTCGAAGAAGCCAAGCGGCCGTTTCAAGCAGCGCCGTGAAACAACCCAAATATCGCTTCGGGTCATTCCCGCCGATTCCACCACTCAACTGAGTCCATCGTAGCCACCAAAGAGCTTTATGGAAATGTTTAGTGGATACTCGTAACCCCATCATTACCTGTCAGAATATACTCACGACAAAAAGTTCCGAGCCGGCGTTCTAGACAAACACCAACGCACTGGATTCAAATGACCTAATTAATGTTTCATTATTGCAGGCCCTCTTATAAGACTGACGATGTCTGGCCAATCTCGACATCTTCACAGCTTTTGTCTTCACATACACTTTCTTTCTTGGCGCGAGTCGCTGGTCATTCGTTTTTACATTCACTCGTTCCTTATTCGCTCGTTCAAACAGTCATTCTTTAAAGCACTATCACCTGACCCGATCGCATCATGTTGCCATCGACCCTCTTTCTTTCCTGCCTCGTGGGCGCAGTGACCGCGGCTTTTAGCGACAGCTCTCTCGAAAAACATGCCAACGTTCTCAAGCTTTCGGCCTCCTTTAACCCTGTCAAGGAATCTTACTGGACTGGCTATCCTCATCATCGCCGTACTCCCTTTGCCGTTTCGCCCGATGGCAAATCCGCATATCTAGCATACCTCGATGCTAGCGGAACCAACGTACATATCCAGCAAGTTGATCCTTCAACCTTCGCTTCCGTCGGAACGGCTACGACCGTTACGGGCGGAAAGGAGGCTGCTGGTCTCGTTGCTCACAACGATGGTTTCGCTTTATTGACTAACGAAGCTCTGCCTGCTGGTACCGCAAATGCTCCCACTGATAACATGCCCGTTCCTGTTCTGTACCGGTACACCTCCGGCAAGCAGACCTTCAAGACTTTCCTCGGCGGCCCAGGCGTTCACGAGTCCGCTGGCCTTCATGCTTCCCCTGATGTCAATGGTGATCTCGCCTATTCTGAGGCAGCTGGTATCTATGGTGCTTACTTCGTCGTCACTGCCTACTCTGGGGCTGCCGCTGGTCATTTCGGTGATGCCATCCAATACGTTGGAAACGACGGTAAGATCCAGCAGATTGCCGGAGCCAGCTCCACCTGGGGTTGCTCTCACAACACTGGTATCGCCTTTGAGGCTGCCGACTCTGCTCCTTTTGCTAGTATCTGTTCCGAAGATCAGGGTGCTATCTGGTTGAACACTGCCACCCAGAGTATGAACGGCGTTAAGATCTCCAACGAGAACGTCACCAACGGTGGAAGTGGTGAGCCCATGGGAGGTATGGGTGGTTCTTACAGCGGCCTTGCCCGATTCCAGGAAAGCGACTCTTACATCTTCACCTGGGTCTCTCGCGGCGCTAAGGACCTCTACCCCAATGAGTGGCTCGGTGGAGGCTCTACTCGTGCCATTAACCGAACAAACAACCGCAACGTCGCTATTGCCCAGATGTCCGACAAGAAGACTCTCGTTGGTGAGCAGGCTACCTCCGAGCTTGTCGCCGATGGTGACTCCCAGGTCAACTGGATCACTCAAGGTACTGCCGATTGCTCTAACGCACACGTTGCCACCTTCGACAAGAGCAACGCACTCGTCACTTGGGAGGAGATCGCCAACCCTACTTGTGACTTCATTGCTATGGGCTGCAAGGGCGCTTTCACCGGCTCTTACTTCCAGTTGGTCAACGATGGAAAGAAGGTCGGAGAGCCCATCAAGGCTATGGATGTTACCGTTGCGGGTGACATGGTCACCATGAAGGATGGCCGCATTTGCTGGCCATACATCGACATGGAATGGAGTCTTGACGGCCCTATCCGTAATGCTGCGAGTGTGTCGTCTGTCAGCTTTGCTTGCATGAACTTGGATGGTTCTGGAAGTACCGCTCCACCAGCTTCTTCCGCCCCAGCTGCTTCATCTGCGGCACCATCCACCTCTGCTGCTGCCGCCCCTGCTACATCCAAGCCCGCACAGGAGCCAACCTCTGCTGTCGAGGCTGAGGCTTCCGCCGCTCTTCCCGTCGCCAGCGGCCCTTCTTCTGCTGTAGAAGCCCAGCCATCAACTTCCGTTGCCCCCGTCAACAGCCCTCCCAATGACGATGATCTCCCGCCCTTTGAGATGGTTACTTCGGGTGCTACCATCACTCCTCCCTCAACCAGTGCACTAGCAGCTCCAAGTGCGCCAGTATCTTCATCTCCTGCTGCGTCTTATTCGGCGGAGACTGGATTCATGAGCATTGCTCCTATTCCTTCTTCATCGTCCCCGGCTGCCCCTGCACCCGTCCCATCGGCCCCTGGTTCAGTTGCTCCTGTCCCTTCTGCTCCTGCTCCATCAGCTCCTGCTCCGTCAGCTTCTGCTCCGTCAGCTCCTGCTCCGTCAGCTCCCGCTCCATCAGTTCCCGCACCATCCGCTTCGTCTCCATCAACTCCATACCCTTCGGCTCCAGCTGAATCAGAGTGCGCGCCTCGGGTCACTGTCTCGGTCACGGCGACTCTCACTGTGACGATTAGCTCATCCACCCCCGTTGCCGGAACTCCTCTCTCCCAAAAGCCATCCAGCAGTGAAGCTGCTCCATCTTCCACTGCTCTGCCCGCACAAGAGCCTCCCTATCCTCTTCCCTCTGGCTCCGGCTCCGGATACCCGTACCCATCCGGCACTGGCGTTTGGCCCACTGGCAGGCTTCGCCCAACCCGGCGACCTCGTCCCACCTTGCGACCTCGCCCTACCGGCCCGCGCGGTGGCCCTCGCCCCAATGAGGCCCCTTGCTCTTTCGAGACGAGAGTCAGGCCCACACCTTCAGCAGCTACATACTAGATGAGTAGCTGCTCAGATCTCGATGGTTAAGATCGAGCGTGCATTACCACACATGACTGGTTTTGATATGTCACATTCTTGTATATATTTAGCTTAGCTTCTCTAAGCGCTCTACATGGCTTGCGTCCTGGTATCGACGCTGTCGAAGTCGTCAGAAATAAAATTCTTTTCGTCTTCGCATCATTCTCTCATCGAATCGGGACTACCTGGATCCTGCTCGTACACGCTGTGATAATGTTACGCGTAACTGTCGTCAGAGGATAGGTACGCGCCGGGCCGGATGCTTATTAACTTCATGCACCTGAACTAGCACGTTCTGGTAACTATGTCGTCGTATCCAGTCAGAGCCTCAAGATTTCCTTTTCCTGTGCCGTATAGGTACGAATAACTCCGAGACGTACGCTTCCCTTCTAGAATACTGAAGAATATTATCAGTCTATTTACAGCAGCGTTTCACAGAGGTTAAGTTATTCATCAAACCCTAATAGGTAGCTCAAATCCGGCAACCCCTAGAGCAAGGAGATGTAGGGGTCATCGATGTACGCTACTTTATTGGATAGATTGCACATTTTCCTAACGTATGTAAACGCATACTGCATCCTAGGTAGACCCATATATAAATAGTCAAGACAAAAGAGTGTCCCACGGGCTTGATTGCTGCTAGATTGTAGGGCTTATGACTTGTCTTGTCTGACGCAAGAGACATTAAGGGCAGAACTCTCAAATCGCAATTCTCATCTATTTCGCAAGTTCAATAGTTGGAAAAGGTGGATGCCACGGCATCTCGGCAACAATATTACGTCACACTATACTAGTAACTCGAGAACTCTTTTCCAGGACAACCATTTTGATAATAAACCGCAAAATGTCGATAATATAATTATACAGAATTCAATATGGCTCCCAACGTGAGTCCTTCGAGGATACGCGTCGCCATCCGAGACTTTACGACACAATGGTTCCTGATCGCACAAGGCACGGGAATTCTAGCCATTATCCTCCACAACCTAGCCTACCAGTTCCGTGGCCTGGGGATCATTTCGACCATTCTTTGGGTTCTGACAATTGTCGAGCTATGTGTTATGGTGCTCATCTATGGTATCCGTTGGTTTCTCTATCCCACCGAAGCTGCACAAGCTCTAAAGACCCAGACTGCGGAACTCTCCTGTCTGGCCAGCCCCGTCATTACATTTACGACTATTCTCATCATGATCGTTCTTACTCTACCTGATACTTGGGGTAAAGAATGGGGCATGGTCGCGTACGTTATGTGGTGGATCAACGCCCTGTTCGCGCTCATAGTCGTTACCGCCATTCCATACTGTTATGCGGCATTGGAACTCCAGGACATATCGACCTTCCCTCCGTCGACGCAACTCCCCATCATTTCGACCTTGACATGTGCAGCGGGAGGAGGTGCAATCTGCAATTTTGGGGAACTCAGTCCGGACCTTCAAGTGCCTGTCATCATCGTCTCGTACCTCTTCGTTGGCTGTGGGCTTCCGCTGGCATTGACCATGGACGCGTTGTCATTATCCCGCATTCTAACTGGATCAGCGCCGACAACTATAAAAATCAACCAACACATGATCCTCTGCGGGCCATGGGGACAAGGTAGCTTTGCATTACAAATCCTTGGTTCGGTCGTCATGAAGGGCTCATTTGCGGCGTATGACCAAGGTACATGGATTACAGAGGCTGCAGCTGGCCCCATAGGCTATGCCAGTATCTTCGCAGGCTTACTTTTCTGGGGCCAAGGCACCTTTTGGTTCGTCTTCGCCATGGGACAGATCACCCATGTTCTGGTGGCAAATCGCAAAGAGATATCGGGTTGGGGATTGCCCGTTTGGTCATTGGTATTCCCGATGGTGAGTAATGGAACCTGGTCCTAAGAGGTTGTAACACATGGAAGATTAACGTGTTACAGGGAGTTTACACGAACGCTTGTATCCAGCTAGGTAAATTATTGGGGTCAAGAGCATTCAATGTAATATCCACCATTTTGGCTGTTGTTTTGGTCATCATATGGCTTGTCAATATGGGTTTCACAATCCAAGGCATATTGAGAGGGACACTATTCGGGCTTGAGAGTGGGTGGAAGGTCCCACAGGTTGGAATACATGATGCCCAAGAGAAGGATGCCGGCAGTGTCCAATCAACTGGTCGTCTTTCCCAGCATGCTGGAGGCCCGGACAACGGTCACACAAACGACCGTACCAATGGGTCTGCAGATAAGCAGACCAATGGCCTCACGAATTCCCACTAAGAAGGTTACTCAATTGAATGCATCAATCAATTTTCATACTACCTTACTCGTACCATGAGCAGACATCGATAGGGAAGTCTTACATTTACAGACGTCGTGTGACGATCGGGTTAACACCTGGCACCCTTCTCAGAAATTCGTTCTAGTCTTCTGATACTGTGAAAATAGTTCATAATGATATCGTCTATCGATGTTTAGAACATGAAGCTTCTTCTTTACAAATCCTCTGAAGGGTGTGGTAATATCAAGATTGGAATTCATATCGCAAGGGAGCCATATGTTGTTTAGAGACTAATTACGCTGAACGCAGGAAGATATTGAAGTACTGACGGGGACAAAGGAAAAAAACCAGAAAACATAGAATAATGGAGTGGAGTGGAACATGAATAGATAGGTGTCCAATTTGAAGAGTTAATGTGATGGAAGTGAACTCTTCAATAGAGTTATAAGAAGCTTGACTCCGTCTAGCCTTATTCTGCAGCATAGCGCCTTCCTTTGATCAATGGAATCAACATGAAGATACTCGCACCCAAAGCCGCGCCGAGCACTGGGCCCAGCCAATATATCCAGTGATACCCCTTGAATCCAACCACAACGCTGGGACCGAAACTCCTGGCAGGGTTCACGCTTCCTCCGGTGTAGTATACACTTCCCATCTCAGCGATAAAAAGTGCAAGACCAACGTAGAACGGTTTGCCAGCACTGGCAGGGACAAAAAGAACAGCGAGGACGAGTTGTGCGGTGATGAACATTTCGAGGAACAGACCGCGTGAAATTGACATGGAATCGACGAGCGTGGTTGCAACCGGTAAGGGGCCGGGTAGAAGCGCGGAAACTACGAATGAAACGCAAATTGCTGCGATAAGTTGAGCAAGAATGGCGTGGATAGCCCGCTGCCAGCGGACTACACCAGCAATCAGCAAACCCGTGGTGACCTATATTATTAGATCAAGAGAGACCTGTGCGATACTCAGTAACATACCGCAGGATTAAACATTCCACCACTCACGTCTGCGAATATCGCAACGTTTACGGCAAGGGAGATGCCAAAACAGAGGTTGATGTACAAGAGTTTGGCGGCATCGGGTAGGGTAGAGTCCGCCGAAGGAGCCTCAGCGGCGATCTGAGTTCCCGTGAAGGCAAAGAATAGGAACATAAATGTTCCAATAAATTCGCCAACAAATACGGTAAGCTCCTGTCGAGCATAGTCGGGACGTCTTGTGTGCTCGACGCCATTGGTTGACGGAGGTGGCAAGCCAATCGACTCTCGCTTTTCAGACATGGTGATCAAGGCTAATAGTAGTCCTGGCGAAACTGCAGGAGTATAAAAGTGCTGCCGACAGTTTGTGTTTCTTGAATATTGAATGGTTGTTTAGGACCTGGACAGCTTTGCAGGAGTGGTGGTTTATATAGCGACACAGAGGTTAAAGCACCCAGCACTTCCAACACAAGTGACGATAGTCTGGATTACCATGGCTCCATTCTTACCTTGCTTCTACCGAGAATTGCATTCAATGTCTTAGAGCTAGTTACTGCAACTGGCTTACCGATAATGCAGCACGAACTAGATTTCGCTTTCTCTGAGGGCAGTGTCACGGAACGACAGAGTACTGATTGGGCCAGAACCCGACCAGTGCATCATGAGAAAACTTGTGAAGGGCTGGAACTAGTCCAGTACTTTGGTTGCTCATGCCGTATGAACTCATTTTCCCGAAGATGAGGTTCGGTAGGCCTTCATTTCAGTCTAGGAAACTGGCCAAAGCAACTCAATTGGCAGCCGTTCATAATTGTATCACCACACATAATTCGAAGGTCTTCAGACGATGAAGAATTCTCACATCGCGGTGCTTTGATACTGTGCCACAGCCGAAAGAATCCTTTGATGCCTTGCTGTCTAAGTCTCTCATGGTTGCAGCAAGGCTGTGGGCAAGATACTACTATTGGTCAGATCGAGATGCCTGATAAGGTAAAGTTTCCCTGTACCATTACATCGGAACCACAAACATGCGGTCTAAAGACGTCTCATGCTTGAATCTGCAGTATTGTTCGTCAAGTGGTTGGGTTTCTGAATCTGCAATGTAGAATCGAACCATTGATCCCTGCGCGAAGGTATTACACAGTACGGTCGCAGACACAGAACCCCTTCCGTATCAGCGCAAAACAGACAGATTTCAAATATCCGCCCAGTCGGGGAGAATCTCAAGATCATAAATATTACGCAAGAGGCAGCCCTGGAGAGTCACTTCATCAATCACTCTTGCCGATCTTTTGCTTTATTCACCTGGAGACAGATGGCCTTCACAGCTAAGAAGTGATAGCATGAACAGGGTCCAGATGCAAAAGCATTTTCGCGCAGCAACCGCATACTTCTCTCCATAAATTCAATCGGTCGATCCCGCCCATTTCACCATCCTTGTATTCTTTGGCAAGTTCGCCGCCGTGCAGATCTATTTCCAGAACGTAGTGCTACAGTACAACACTTCTAGGCCCCTTGACTGAAGTAATGGAAAGCATCGGAAGATTTTGACGGTCTAGAAGCATTGTTTGCGGTCAGGAAAGACCCTCAATGCAGCCATGAAGGGTGGGTTGCCTCTTTGACAATGTCCCAGCTCAATCTTCCACGATATCCTCCAAATGAAAGTGGAAAAGATCAGTATGTGAGAGCAACGTAGAGCAGGTCGTATCTCCGTTATGTCGTCTGGATTGTCTCAGTGACAGCACAGTCTACGTGCGATTCGAGTAAGACCGCCACCATCACCTCTGCTAACCGCATCAGGAGAAACATACACGGCCAGTGCAGTGAGATGCATGCTGATCTTGCGGGAACAGCCGGAACAAATGATCCCAGAAAGAAGGTTTGCAAGTCATGTGTGTGTTACTGCTGTTAATGAATATGGTGAACAATGCTGCAAGGGAGGTAAATGAACATCTGATGTCAGTGATGAAAAAAGGGACACCCTTTCTTTCAAGAAGAACGAACTGCTAAAGGGAAGTAGATATTACTCATGAGAAATAAAAACATCATATGCCGTTTTCTTCTGAGTCGAAAGATACCCCGATCTTCAGATAGATTCGAGCTCCACACGTGTGAAGAACATAGCTCACTGCAGCTTGGTTACACATACCCCGCCCGCCACATCGTATTGATGTGGGGACCAACGCGAGCGCCGTTGCCGTTGAAGATGTAGGCATATGCCAGCTTAGTATCTGCGGATTGCGGGATTTCATGCGGCACGAACGTGGACAATGTAGCCAGGGGTCTGTAAGGGTAAGTTGTGTCAAGCAAACCTCTCCTCCCTTAACATATGACTGCCATCTGTCACTGACTGATATGCTGAATAAATAAAACCAAGTGCAAATATCGTATCACTCAACATATTAAGACATTTATCGTACTCTTAGGTTAGAATCTTAAAACTCACGTGCTTGTCAAATGAACCGCCCGCTGCTTCATCCGCGTCATTGCCGCGTGCATTCCTTCGGGATCTCATGCCATGATGTGGACAAAACGAGGAATGTATCAGCACAATACCAAAAGCGATCGTCTCAAGCTCTGGGTTTTGCACCTGACGGACCGTGATACTGGGTATTTTATTGGTTTCTCAAAAATCTCCAGACGATATTTCTGCACCAAACATGCTCAAACCTGCTCACAATGAAAGATTCAGCCATGAGGATACGACTTGGAAACAGTTGTCTATATAATCGAGAATTTCGCTCCTGGTTCACACCGCAAAAAGGGGCGACAAGAGCTGGCCACGTACGACAGAGGGGTGAAAACCTGTCAGAGATTCAAACAAAGCAATTGCCCGATATCTGGAATGTGAGTATGCTGCTCATTCGATATGTGATAGGACAGACTGATGTGTCCATAGTGTCACCAACCAGGGGTAAATCTGAATGACGCGGATTGAAATGCTTGTAGATGTGGACCTGTCCTCATCTGCAATGGCCCCTGTAGCGATGCAGCTGGTCTTGTAATATAATAGTTTGAGTGCGCTCACATTCATTTCCTTTTCCATCGGATTGTCCTCGAAGGTAGGACGTGCCATCGATCTCAAATTTATCAAGATGAAGTTCGTCTCGTTGCTGCCATTTGCGTCCCTTACCTCAGCCGCTATCCATACCATTCGTGTTGGAACCAAGGGAGCAGATACATTCACTCCTCCTGCGCTTAATCCAAAAGTTGGTGACATTATTGTCTTCCAGCTTGAAAGCTTCCATAACATCGTCGAAGGAACGTTCGACAGCCCATGCCAGCCTAAGCCAAATGGCTTCTATTCTGGCGAGTTCCCGGACACCGACAAGGGAAGACTCCGATTTGTTACCAGAATCGTTTCTCCCGATCCCATATACTACTATTGCAGTGTTGGAAGGCATTGCCAGGTTGGCATGGTCGGAGGCTTCAACACCCCGTACGTGATCTCAACTTCTCAAATATGTGTTATTGAAGAAATTAACCGCCTCTAGGACTAGCGGAAAAACACTAGCAGACTATGCCAGTCGTGCGAAGAGCGTCGCAGAGGCTTCAGAGCCAGATGAGATCCACGGTGGAATCCTCATCGATGCCGCTCAGGTTCTTAAATTGAATGGAACTGGCTCAGCACAAGTCGCCGACATTGACTCCTCAGAGGTCGTTGGCGCGATGAGTCGCGATGTCGCTGCAGCGTGAGATCGACGTAAACTCATCGAATATTTCAGTGTCTAATCTGTCATTAGTGACGCAATCCCTCCGTGGTATCCTGGACAGTTCCCGGGCGTGGGACTTCCGCCGCCATATGGTCTCCCACCATTTGCCCCCAATCCAGTCGCTGGCGGACCTCCCCCAGGCGTCACTGGTCCACCACCGTGGTTGCCAGGTCCCCCTCCTGGTGTCGTTGGATCCCCTCCTCCATGGTCGCCTGCGGCTTTCTTCAACAATACTTCACCACTGAGCTTCCTGCCTCCGTGGGTGCATGCTTCTCTATTTAACGGTACTGCGGGATTGAGCTCCTTGTCCACACCTCAGGTCGGCCAGCTCTTTTCGACGATTCAGCAGGCGATTGGGAACTTCTTCGCGTCGCTGCAGAACAATGCAACTCAACCTATTCGTGGAATGAGGAGGGATGAATATTAAAAATTTCACATTAAACGAATGTGAGAGATTTCAACGAGAAGGTAGACACATGTTTTTCATTGGTTTATCACGAACGGGGCTAAATGAATGTTCTATCATGTCACACATCACGATTCAAGTCATATCAAAGTCGATCAGATCATAGTTTTATGGGTGATGAAATTTGGTCTTGTTTAATTCAAAATCTAATCGTACAATCTCATTGAGCATTACGCAAATTGCTATTATATGCTAAGAAATGCCAAACATTATTATATGTAATTATGATCCACTTTCCCACTATTGGATGGTGATCTGTCTGATCGTTGGGGCAGGTGCCTTGGGCACAGTGATAGACAACACTCCGTTCCTCAAGGCAGCACGGACGTTGCCGGCATCGATACGCTCCGGGAAGCGGAAAGTCCGCTCGAAAGAACCATGGTTCCTTTCCTTCACCAACTCTCTGTCCTGAGACTCAGTTGGACTCTGGGGTTGCGCTACAGGCTGAACTGTTGCCTCTGCATTGTCTGTCGTTTCAACAGCCTTCTCCTTGCCCTTGGGCTCCTTGGGCGTCTTGTCTTCGGTAGGCGTGTAATGTTCGGAGATTGTGGATGAGGTCTCAGCACCTAGATCTTCGAAGTCGTCTTCAACGGTTGCCTGGTATGACTTCTGGGATGAGGTGTCGCTTTCCACCGTCTCGGGCTCATTCAGAGTGACTCCATCCATCTCGGCATCCTTTGTCTTCTCAGCCTCAGTGGACTGTTGCGGCTCCGTGGGAGCTTGCTCTGGTGCTGCGGGTTGTTCCGAAGTCTTGGTGGTCTCAGTGTTTCCAGTGATCTTTAAGGTGTGCTCATCCGTAACTTCAATGGAGATGTGCTCCTGCTCAAAGCCGGGGATGTCGCCCTGAACTTCGTAGCCTTCCTGATTCTCGCGGACATCAAAGCGAGCTCGGAATGCACGCTTCCGTTGCTGGCGTTGCTGATGCTGTGCCCGACGAGCCTCGCGGTCAAGCTCAGTGAGAAGATCATCGACCTGACTCAAGAAAGGCGCAAAGGATGGGAATGCTGGCCGAGAGACGACGCGGCGATATGAAGGACGTTGCACTGGTGCGCAGAAGTTGAATGGGCTGCAGGCTTGCTGTTGGTAAGCGGGCGCAAAGCGCGGAGTAAGGAAGAATGCCATTGCTTGATTTGGAGTTGTGGTGTGGTTGTGTATAAAAGAAGTTATAGTTGCAAGTGTTGTAACTTGAAAGTTGTTTTGAGAATGCTGGATGGAGCTCAAGAGTAGAGAAGTTGTTCTTTGAAACTGATGATGGACTTTAGGAAGGCCCTGGGTCGAGCATTTATAGACATCTTGAAGGGTGACAAGGCAACAGTTCGCATGCGTGGCCACTGATTAGGAATCGTAGATCTCATAAGCTGTGGAGAATGCTGGAAAGATGGAGATGGCAGTGGATGGTTCGCGTTGTTTGTCAGAAGAGGCGACAAGCGACGGGAACTCGCGGGAACATCCTGGAAGCTTGTGGAGATTGTCAGATCGCGCTAGTCCGTATACGGTGGATGAGTAATTGGGGACATCGGCCCAATGCAACACCGATATCATGTGATCAGGCCATTCACCCATCTCAACTCGACCTAGTCCAGTTTTATCGGTATTATCGGAAATAACAGGCTGATAGAGAGAAATTCATGATAATCATCTTGGATTTAGGTCTAAGTCTCACATCTCGTGTTCATCATATCCGGTCTTTCAAGCTCTTCCGAAAGGTACCCTGTAATTGTGTCAAGGCCTCATCTCGCGAAGTTCTAATCCCTGGACATCGGAGCTCAACTTTTTCGCAGCAATTGCGAGGCCATCTGATAAATTGCATGCGTGCGGTTCTCTTGACCGACGATGGTACGCACTGGGTGAGTCCTGCCATGAAGGTGACTTCAATGTCTTGACCTTCTTGTATGCTTCTGACAAAGACATGCCCTCGAGGACCTTTGTCCCTGAAAGCATACCGAGAGTTCCCATGCCCCTCATAAGAGCCCCACAGAGTATGGATCCGCATTCAAAACTTGCGCTGGGAGCGATCCGACACTCGTACACTTCGGAGCGATACTTGTCAAGCAGCTTGAAACACTCTCTGGCCAGTCTTTCAATTGCTTTCTTCCGCCTGGTGTTTATGGCATCTTGCTTTTGTCAACATATTGTACGGAGTGAAGACGCTCTGTGTTTACATACTTTCAACTTGAACTGATATTGGGAGTTCGAGAGAAGAGAAAGGTCCTACGCTGTATCGGATTGCAGCCTTTGTGACCTTGTGGAAGATGGCTGGGTCATCGAATACCCATGCTACACATAACCACAAAACCAAATCTCGGTCGCAAATAGTTGGAATTTCGTGCGTTTTCTTGACACTATCAATCCATGACTTTGAGTAAACTTGGATAGCCTTTGCACACTGGTAATAGTCGACTAAAATGGCTAGGTGACAGAGCAGCTCCAGCGACATCTCTGGCTGAGCATGGCCATTTTGAAGATGGAGAGCGTCGAGAAGTGTAAGTAGTGCGATTTCGTCCCATTCCTCAGCCGTGATGTAGAAGCGATCATCGAGATTATTGCGAACCGCCTCTGCCCACCTCCCACCTGAAAGCTGCGCCTCGAATTTGGGCGATACTATTTTCAAATGCCGAGAGGAAACGTAATAATGAATGCCGCCCTCAAAACGCTGTGTAATGCCGTCTTGTAGATACGATCTTGTTGGCTTCTCTTTTGAAAGGCTCTTGCCTTCGACTTGTTTCATCTCATTTGGAGCCATAGCCTGCACTGAATTATTGCCATCGGAGCCTACAACAATCTCGAAATTTTCACCATAAAAGTTACTGTGTGCATCTTCTGCATACGCGAAATCTTCCTCGATATCTCTACTGTCGCTTCCGTTGTGAACACTGGCATGTGTTGTCTTCCTCCCGTTATTGCCGTCTTGGTTCTCGTCCCATACAGCAATTGGAGCATTGGCGTTTTGAAGAACGATGACTGTGTCGGCGTCGGGATCGATCTTATATATCTTCTCCGCCCTATATGGGCTTGTTTTGGGACTCCCAATCATTTTGATTTTCTAGTGAGGTGAGAAGGGTTGTCATCAACAATCATTGCTCAGCAAACATATATTTGTCTGCGATAACACAACGCAAGGGATGGTTGACCTTGCACCCCGCACAGTGTGCCACAGTGTTATGAGGAACGTTAACATTCTTGTGTAAGAGTCCCTGTGGCATGGGAAGGTGTCTAGATAAGTTAGTTGCCTTCTCCACAAGGAATTTTGCTTTGCTATTAGAAGCCCAAGGTGTGAAATGTCTTCTTTGATTGGGCTAGCTGAATGTGGGAAATCGACTGCATCCCATTGCCCGAAGTCTGGCGCGGATAATTGGATTTTTCTTCTATTCCTTACTAACACTCCATCAGTGTTTCTCCAGAGCGAGATAAAGTGGTTAGAGTTCACACGCTGTCTATGGGATTGAGAGTCCTTGAATCTTATTCAACCCCCTAGGTGGAAGTACCGTGTTCCAGCATTCGTGCAGGCAGTACTTGCGCAATAAAGCTTCACAGATTGTAGAAAAGATTGTAGAAAAGATCGCAAATGCCACCTCGCGGCGCCTAGAGATCTTGGTTCATTTGTAATATTTGACCCCTCATAATTAATCAATAGGCAACTTGGCTATTCTTATTGTAAGGCTTGCAGTCGCAAACTCTAAGTGGTTGTGGCTTTCGCGTGAAATAAATGATCGTCATGCAAATTGCATTTCCGGATCTGGTAAACCCAGCATCGGCAGTTGCATGTTAATTCATTGTGCACATGTAGATTACTTGAAGCTGATGTACGTACAAAGGTATAAGATAATCTTGGTTCCGGATATTGGTATGATCTGCAATAATCGCAAGTTACCAGTAAACTCCCCAACGTTCATTTCAGCTCGAAAAGTCGCGCCAGAAACTTGAAGTTTGCAATGCGCATCTGGTGGAGTACAGTATGCGCTGAGGCGATATGTTTGGCCACCGTCCTTGCCAACGGCACGCTCAACGAGCTCGCTCGGGATCTGGAACGTGTAGAGTCAATTCGAGCGATCAAGAATGTACAAAGAACATACTCGCAACTCGCGCAATTCGGACGTTACGATGACATGGCGACGCTCTTCGCGCCTAACGGAACGTTGCGATGGGGCAATTCAACGGCGAATGGAGTACCTGCTATTGCAAGCTGGCTGCACGCCGATTCTGGCCAGATGAACGGCCTGAATCCTGGTTCTCTGGATACACTCATAGCAGAAAATCCAGTTGTGAGCTTATCCGTTGATGGACATACAGCCAAAGCTCGCTGGAACGGCTTGCGCTTCCAGGGCGACGGGCAAGGCGCAACGCGTATTCAAGGTGGTATATACGAAAATGAGTACATTCAGACTGACCAAGGTTGGAAACTCTCTCTTCTGAATTACTACGCCATGTACGCCGGGCCTTATGTTGGAGGTTGGCGAAACGTTGGCGGTGGCTTACCGATTGTTCCTTACCATTTCACACCGGAGGGATCTGGCATCCCCATTCCAAAGCCAGTGGGTGAAGCTCCAATGACCAACCATAGTATTGCGGATCTTGAAAAACGAATTGGCCGTTTGAATGATGAGGATAGCGTTCGAAATCTAATGCATGCTCATGGATATTACGTGGATCGACGCATGTGGACGGATGTAGTGGAGCTGCACACCACGAACACCACAGTTCAGATACACCGTGGGGCAGATACAACAATTTTCACCGGACTCGCAGGTGCTCGTACAGCTCTGGAGCGTATGGGGCCAGAGGGATTGGTACAAGGGATTAATAACGACCACCCAATTTTCGATATGATTGTCGAGGTAGACCTCAGTGGCAAGAAAGCCATTGCTCGCGGGGTCGAGATTGCCATGGTTGGAGATGCGAAGAACAGGACAGCTTCATGGGAGTTCAACGTTTTTCGCAATCATCTCATCAAAGAAGATGGTCTGTGGAAGGTACAAACGATCGATATTACGCCACTTGTTGTCGCAGACTACTACAAAGGATGGGGCGATGGTGGTATAAATCCTCACAACACCCATGTGCCACCATTTTTAAATAGATCTAGCCACAATAACCCAAACAGTGCGAATATCAATGATACGGAGACCAGCTTAGATGAGCTTAATCGTCGTCTCGCTCGCTCAGCCGGGTTCGATGGAGCCGAGAACCAATCCCACGCGTACGGATATCTCCTGGATGACCTTCAATGCGGACTAATGGGCGACCTTTTCGCAAAGCGTGGCCACAAAGCATCACCATTCGCCGGATTTTTCATCACTCCAGAGCGCATCACCAAAGCATGCTATACCTCGTATGGTACGAACAGGTCTGCACTGAGATCAAGCATCTCATTTCACTGGCGTCCACAACCAGTGGTACTTGTTTCCGAAGATGGCCGTTCAGCTACCCTGAGGGCGAGATTGCTCCAACCTTCGACTTCGACCACGAGAGCGGGGAGTTTCAATGGCGCAATATATCACGACCAAATGGTTCTGGAAGACGGCAAATGGCGACTGTGGAGTGTAACGATCGATGAATTCTATTGGCAGTCAGCGTCTTGGGAGGGAGGCTGGTCGGACGCGAAACCAAGGAATAGCAGCGAGCCAAACCCTGGCGGTGCAGGGTGGACCAAGAACTATCCCCCGGACATTACCATCGCTGATATTGGAGAAAGAGAAGCAACCTTCAGAGGTGGTAGTGGTCAGTACATACAGTGGCCGGATATCCAAATTATGTGGTGGCAGTATCGCAATCCCGTGAGCGGCCGCACACCGGACTATTATTGGCCTGGATGTGTTCCATGTCAAGCGAAACCAGACTGGGCGCTGGAAGCAAACGGATTCCAGGAGCCTCCCACGGGTCCAGTGAGATTCAATACCAGTGGCGAGCGATGAAACACTATACAGTCGTTGCGAATGAGGGCTGGGCGGACGAGAATCGTAAATAAATATACCGGCCAATTCCATATTATTTTTCAATCTCTTTTGGTCATCCTGGAGGAGGCGGTGGCAGTCATCTGGGAAACTAGGGAGGTGGGTTGGAAACTTTTGTTGATTCGCATTCGCTGTAAATCTAACGAACCACATTCACACGTGGATTTGGGTATCTTATAACATTCATGGTCCTCTATGACCTTGCCACCGAGCACAAGATTATTTATCTCAAGTTCATCGGGGGTCCATCCCGATGCTTTCTTTCCCAGCAAGCCTGCCGTATCTCGACTTGGATCTAAGCCTTGCTTGAACGCTGAACATCGCGATGATAACGATAGCATCGAGCATGATAATGAGTTGCATCCATTTAGTCGCAGTCTTTGCGCATTAGTCAATATGCGGTCATCCACAATATCTCCAAGAAACTCACAATCATTTGGCAGGTTACGGGAATAGCCCACGTTTTGATGTCTGATTTCTCCGTGGCCTGGTTGCGCCACTCCGGCAGCACATTGCAAGCACCCATTTCTCTTGTGCACTCGTAGACCTTTCCGCCTGTGGCATCTTTGTACGAAGTACATCCGAATTGATCGTCTCCCTTAGTTGTGTAGTGTACAATGATCGTGGCAAGGGCAGAGACGGCCACGCCGCCAGCCCAGAACTGAACGAAGGCTACCCAAAATCTACGTCGCGGCTAGAACAGAGGTCAATCAGCATTGACTGGGTGGAATTATGACAGGATCCGTCACCCACCTTGTTGAGTTCGAGATCCATATTGCCTTTTCTCAGCTTGGTATATCCCAAAACGCACACAACGCCAGCGAAGATACCGATCGCAGCAGTTGCGACTGTTGCATCGGTGGCAGGGGTGACATATTCAATGAGAGATTCGTTTAATTCCGGCTTTCCAGGAACATCTTTGCCTTCGAGGAAGTATCGTGGTAGAACCCAATCACCGAAGATCCAGTATGTCGTTGTGAGGATTGTCGAGACGAATGAGAGGACTAGAAGCAAAATGGTCGGCACTAGCGTAAACGAGAGGATGCGTTCGTACCCCATATTGTTGCTATGATAGTCGCGTCGCGGAGGTTTCGTGAATGGGTGAAATATTTCGTCGAAGGACAGAGGATAATGAGGACGGGAAACAAGCAACTGTCAGACGTTTATTCGGGTTTCCTGCGCTGTGGTTTTGTACTACATGAGCAGGCATGCATTCAGCCTTGCTGATATCACCCGAAATACACTGCCACCATCCTACCATGTTCCACCTAATAAGGCCAACCGCTCCCTAACCTGAGATGGATTCTTTGACATGGGCGGAAATGAGCCCTCTATGTTTCAGGGATTAACAGAAGGAATACAAATTTATCCTGATTGGAGCAACTTGGCGTTGTTATACTTGCCCGCCTATTGTTCATAGGAAATTTACTCCGTACTTGTACAAGAATTACTTGCAGGTAGGCTCAGTATCAGAGCGACTTGTTGGTGTTACAGGCTTCCAATGCTGCCCCACATTTTTTTTCAACTCATGGACTTACCTTCTCCTGGGATTGGTCCTGAATACATTTTAACAATCGGTAACAAGTGAAATTCTTCCAGACATGCATGCCGTGAAGAAGAAGTCGAAGAGTGCCTGGGCTCACTAAGATACAACACATTATGTGGACAGGTAATGGGATGCATGGTGTTCATTTATTAGCCACACAACACTGTGAAGACCAGAGCGACTGGTAGGGCAAGCCGCATCGATTGAGACATGGGATTACTGCCGGATCATGGGGCAACGGGCTGGAGATCCGCCAAGTTCTGCTGAGCGTTCACAATTCCGGTCGAATGTTCTGTTGCTATCGATGCCATTTTATATGTTAACAATGTCGATAAACGCTTCGGTGGCATTGGAATCATTTTTGAGTTTTTTTTTCTGGTTGCGATTGCGCCGCCGTGGCCGATTATATTTAGTCGTCACAGCTAGAGAAAAGATTGATCGCAAGGCTAATGACGAGCATGTAGCACTGCTTTACTAGAAATACTAGATAATTTGTAGCTACAACAAACCATTTGATTATCATGTTGTAGTGCGTCACGCAGCTCAACAAGCGTCGGAAGATGATGATGCTAAAGTAAGACTGGCAGCACCGGATGCGAATGTATTCGGTTACATCGGCCTGCTCAAGGGTTCAAGGCGACGTACAAGATTAATGTGGGTTCTTCCATTAGATAGTAGACACTATGCTCTGCTTGTTCGAATGTAGTTACTGGCAATGTTCCGTGGACCTGTCAATCGGTCCTGGTGAAGCAGGTTCGTTCTTTGGCTGATCCGTTCTTGAGATAATTATAGAAATGCCAACTCTGGGGTAGAGAGTAGCTATGAATGATTGAAGATACTGATCTCCATCGCCTAAAGCTTGGAAACCCCTCTCTTATCTTCTAAATCGGAACCGGCAACAAGGTGTATTTGCACACCACGTTCTCAACCGCAAAAATTAGGTCAAGATGGCCTTGAGCCAGCGAGTGGTCTATCCCTTGCGCTAGTAGCACCGAATTGGCCGTGTGGAAGCGAACTTTGACCGAGCCACCTCTCACACTACTACGTAGCCTCTTTCTACTGTGGACTTTTCGCATTTACTGTGTAGGGTTCCTGTTTCTCGAGATTCGTTCTCGCATATGCAAACCGTTGTTATATGAACATAACAGCTTCCCCAGCATGGCTAATACGTTTGTAGTCATAGCCCAGGCTGTGCAGAGACGTTGCGCGGTCGGAGCCCGGGGCGCTCAACACCATGCAGAAGTCAGGGGAAATCAAAACAAGAAAATCTCGATACAGTAGCCCAATTCGCATACAACTCAGCCTCGAGCCAATCGGAGGACCTCCCCATCGCCATGAGGTTGGCCTTAACTCAAAATGGTGGTGATGAGGCGCCAAAGTGTGCATAAATACACGAGAAAACGGATGTGGACCTAATCTCAATCTGCTCAGGGGCTCCACCTTCTATAATTGCAACGCTTCTCAAGGGTCAAGCCACAATCTGTTCACGATCCAGAGCCAAGCAACGCGATGCTCTGGCAAGAAAAGGTTTCCCTTTAGAACCGGAAGCGCCTCATGGTGGTTCTCATGATGTTGAACTACTTGGACATCTCCGAAAATCCGCCATGGTTGGGCATTTCCGGGTATGGGGAGAGAGGCATTTGTGTCCAGCGATGAGTCTCTATTGTGTAGACTACAAGACCACAAGTAGATAACGGCGATGGTCCTATAGTAGCGTCCCGTCTATGGCGTAGGCAAAAGCCATACTAACACGCGTCGGCTGATACTTTGTCAGCCCCTGTGAATCACACTTATAAGCCTCTATCGCTAGCCATGTGCTAATCAAAACACAGCTCCCAAGTATTCACTCGTTCTGCTTGTTGCGCACGCTGTGCGATCACACTCGTTACAAACCAAAACTTTTCCAGTCACTCATTTAATAATATTTTTCTTTTAATCATGCTTTTTCAATATCTGCTTGCGGCTCTGCCATTGACGCTCGCCGCGCCCCTTGCTTGCTCCGCCCCACCACGACCTTCAAGTGCCCCAGTTATCACTCCTCCCAAGGGTCAGGTGATCCCCAACCGGTATATCATCAAGTTGAAGAACGATGCGAGGAGCGATGTCATCAACGAAGCTGTAAAGCTTCTTCCTAGCAAGAAGGCCGAGCACGTGTACGATTTTGGCTCCTACAGAGGCTTCGCGGCCGAGATCCCAGATGATGTTCTCCCCTACGTTACCGGCCTTCCAGGGGTAAGTAATCTCGCCCACAGTCGAACTGCAGCGCCAAGTCTAACGTTGCGCATAGATCGATTACATCGAGAAGGATTGCATCATGAGCATCGATGTTGATGTTCAGCGTCGTGATGTTGTCACCCAGCCCTCTGCCCCCTGGGGTTTGGCACGTATCTCCCACGTCCAACGTGGTAGCACTTCATACGTGTATGACGAGAGCTCAGGAGAGGGCACATGCGCTTACGTCCTCGACACTGGTGTCTACACCCAGCACCCCGACTTTGAGGGCCGTAAGTCATATCCTACATCATTGAAGTAATTGTAGCTAAATCATGCAGGTGCCGAATTCCTCGCAAACTATGCCAACGATGGCAATGATGAGGATGGACATGGTCACGGTACCCACGTCGCCGGAACCATTGGATCCAAGACGTATGGTGTTGCTAAGAACTCCCACCTTTTCGCCGTCAAGGTCTTCAATGCCACCGGAAAGGGACCTAACTCTGCTGTGATTGCAGGCATCCAATTCGCGGCAAATGATCGACTGACCCGCACTGGTGCATGCCCCAAGGGATCTGTTGCGAACTTGTCTCTCGGAGGTGGACAATCCGATGCTGTCAATGCCGCGGCTGCCGATGCTGTTCGATCTGGTCTCTTCATGTCTGTCGCGGCTGGAAACAGCGGTGTTGATGCCTCTGAGTCTTCACCTGCTTCTGAGTCCTCCGTCTACACTGTCGGAGCAACTGACTCAAGCGACAAGATTGCTTGGTACAGCAACTATGGTTCCTATGTTGATATCTTTGCTCCGGGCACTGATATCGTCTCTCTCTGGAACAACGGCGGCACTGTAAGTCTTATTTCAGCTTGGTCGTTATGCCCGACATTGCATCATTTGCTAACCTTTGTCCGTAATTAAGAACACCATGTCTGGTACCTCTATGGCTGCACCACACGTAGCTGGTATCGCCCTTTACCTCTTGTCCCTTGAAGGTCAGAGGAGCGTTGCTGCCTTGAGCGCCCGTCTTTCCGAACTCGCCACCAAGAACATCGTCACTGGACTCCCCGGAAACACCATCAATGCATTGGCTTTCAACGGCTACGGAGCTCCCGCTCCAGGCACCCCCACCCAGTCCGTAAATTCCACTCAACCTGCTGGTCCTACTGGCACTGGATACTTCCCAACTTCCACCGGAATCTCTCCTACCGGAATTTCCACCGGCGTGCCCGTCAGCGCTGGAACCGGTGTTCCCACCAGCGTGCCCACCACCATCGTCCCATACCCGACCTCAGGCTACCCCTCTTCAGGATACCCGTCCAACCCATCTAACCCATCCAACGGATATCCAACCTATAACTACAACTCCTACAGGGTTCGTTAGAGTCGCCCGTAGCAAATACATAGCCAATGTTTCCTTTTATATGACTTGTCAGCCATGTATATCATCCGGCCCTGGTATGGAGCCTCCGCAGGGAAATCTCGTGGTCGTTGAACAAATTCTACTTTGTATTCGTCCACTGAATGAGGTGTGCACATTTTATCTTCTCATGTTGCACCATTTGTGGCGCAGCAATGTATGTATGTTTTAATTATTGAACAATTCTGCGGACAACATAGACGGTACACCTTTAGTATTTTCTAGCATCTTCTGTTAGATACCAGGTGTAGTGAAGGATATCATCGTCCTTCGTTATGCATCTTGCCCTGGAGTCCACCAGTGGGTGGATTCGAGGGACAGTTTTGACAATGTGATTACATTAAAACTAACAATGTGGCTTTCACTAATAAAGTTGTGACAGTGATTTGTTCTGTTCTAGGTCGGTCATATTTCTAATCGCAGTACCCACACATCTTAGATTGGCGCAAATCCTGTGTGTGGGTTGCTTGGTCTAAACATTTCTGCATTGCGTCCAATGAAGTTATTCTAGGATAGTCACCACTTATTGCCATTCATGAATCAAGAATAACTGCACATCGATTCCGACATTCTATATACAATTCGGGTCGAATCTGAAAAGTGCAAAACTTCGAACACATCCACAACATCTATACCCTCCAGTCTCGGGCTTCGGCCCGCAGGCCCTATGTACAGTTGCACTCAAGAACCGACTAAGTAAACACTTATGCCAGAGGCGGGTTGGCGTTCTCCAACAACATCTGGAAATACGCCTGGAACCAGTGACCGGCCTCGGGGGCGGGCTTGAAAGCGGATGGACGACCGCAGTGAGCATCGTACCTGTTAGCGGAAGTATCGGATGTACCATCGGACTGCCAGTCATTAGCTAATGTCATTTTCCAAAATATGTGAAGCTTACCTCGCCACCCGGCTTCACCCAGACAAAGGCGTCGACGAGGTCACTGCCAGTGTTGGTAGTAGGGCGGGGGCCAAAGCCAGCTCCACGGACGTTGCACCAATCACCCCACTGCTCCTGGGCGGTGGGCTGCTTTCCAGATCGACCGACATCGACAATGAAGTGGGCGGGGAATCCGTTGGCCTGGAGCAAGGGTGCAAAAGCCTTGACGAACCTCTCCTCGTCGCAGTTGGCGTTGGGGCTCGTGAGGGCAGGGCAGGCACCGATCTTCCAAGCATTGTAGTTAGATACGTTAGTGACGATACCGCGAACACCACGAGGGGAACCGGCGGCCTTGAAGACTTCGCCGAACATCTTGGCGGCAGGCGTAATGTTTGCTTCCCAGCCGAGCCAGCCAGCGTGACCACCATCGAGGTACATATCGACATTGTCGTAGTTGAGCTTCTTGAGGGCATAAGATGTCAGGTCGCGGTAGTATGGCGCTGCACGCTGGCACTTGGCAACATTCATGTTGGTGACCATGTTGGCCAGGGAATCGGGTTCTAGACAGGTTAGTAACCTCCAAGTATATATTCGGTGCTAGCCTACCAATAGCGAGATTGATCTTGATGTCGGGGTACTTCTCGATGATGGCGGCGATCTTGTCAATGTAGTCGGTCTTGTAAAGCTCCACTCCGTTCTGATCGATGTGAAGTTCTCCGTTGGAAGCCAGAGCGGCACAGTCTCGGTCGGGAAGGTTGTACACTACGAAAGTTCCCATGAGCTTCTCTCCGGCAGCGTTCCGTTCCTTGATGATCGCAAGGTATTCGTCCATAGTAGGAACCTTTGCGCGGGTATCCATCCAGACGAAAGAACCGACATTGGCCACCGCGGAAGCAGCAGGATGCAGAGAAGCTGGTAGTGAAGGAATAGCCAGCGAGTGCACCTCAGAGGAGTAGTATGGGTTGGCGTAGAAATCATAGCCTTCGAATGGGTTGCCTGCTGCAGCGCGTGGTGCAACAGTGACCTCACTTGGTGATGTGACTGTGGCAGTCGGAGCGACAGTAGGCTGAGGAAGCGCCTGTACGACTCCCAATGCAATGGTGGCGAGGGAAATGAATCTTGCGGACATCTTGACTATTCTGTACAGAGATCGAAGAACAACTCGTTGAACTGATGAGGCTCAACAAGTGGACATGCGAGGTCGTATTTATACATCTTTGTCTTCACGACGAGATTGATCATGAAGCTGTTTAAACAACCCAAGACTCGCTATATAAACTGTTCCCGCCCATCCGCATCATGTAGATCAAAAGTTAAGCTCCAAGGATCGTGCCAACGTGTGTAAACAACGTCGTTGATCATGTTGCCCCAGTGTTTTCTGGAAGAAATCCAAACTTCCATACTTGAGCCCCATCCCATCGCACTTCTGTAATAACCATTGTCGGAAGCAAGGTAAAGCATTCCGGCCGCCGAGCAAGCTATCGAAGTCTTCTTGTCTTGAACAAGAAAGTTAAGTGGGAAATCCTGATGTAGCGACTTGGTAAGATCTTGAAATGTCTTGGACGCTAGCTTCCTATAGAACAACCAAGCAGTCTATTATCTCCTATTCATTTGTTTTCTATGACGGATTTACCATAATTCGGTGCTTAAGGTCCTGTCATATTCACACATATTCATATTGCTCAATTTCACTCAGGCAACCAGTTTTCATGAAGGGAAAATGAGGTTTGAAGTTGTCTGTAACTATCTAGGCAGTTAGCAGTTGTCCGTCTGACTAACTGACCATCCTTGTGCCCCTCAAAAACGTTAGTTTGACAACGAAAAACCGCTACTCGTAGTTCATTATATTCCCCACGCTCTCTTTACAACAACATTTGGGTTGTATGTAGATCTAGCAGTATTGCAATATGTTGTTCAATTCTACTTGTAGGACTTGACACCTTGTAATGTTCCGCTTGATCCGACCGCGATACCCTCACCCAGGTTTGAGTTGCGGGTCAAATCTAAATGCTGGTAATGGCGTAGCGGCCACGACTGGGTTGCGACCAGGGTTGTGTACACGGATAATCTACTCCATGCGACACATAGATAAGGCCAAGCCCACATGACGCTGCCTCTACGGGAGGATACCTTCATTCAAAAGGCATATGTCGGTCTCAAGTAATTTCGCCCCTGATACGTTCCTTGAGTCCATGGGGATATTTTCGAGGAACGATGCTACAAGTAAGTGAAAAAAGTCCGATGCAAGAAATCCCCTCATGTACTCCTCTGTCAATCTCGCAAAAATTGGATGAAACTGTTTATGCTTATAATATCATTGTGTTCGTGTTTGCCGCGAAATTTAGCGCCGGTATCATTGATAACAGAGTGTTGTTGGATTATTCAAAATTGCAACTGAACCTCTTGACTTGTTTGATACATAATCGGCTTGATCAACGTCTGAATATGACCTCGTTGGGGCGATGTGATAGATGTGCATGCTGACAAGCTGAGAGCGCCGCAGCGCGCCATGAAGATGATAAATAGGTGAGCATCCCTTCGCGTAGCCTTCGCGTAGCCATCGCGTAATTCCCATTCTCTGTTGCGTTCCCCATAGGCCCCAAAGTTGTGTAACATGTCCTCGTCAGGACATGTGTCATAAGCTGCATCGTCGTTCCCTATTCGTCCACAATTACCCCGAGCACAACGAGAACGTTCAATTGCCGACTCCAGTGGAGTGGAAATCCATTCGTCCCAACAAACAATAGATGCAGTGCGTCAGCAATTCTGAAAACCCCTCCACCCATATCAATCAGCAGTTTTGGACGGATTCACTCGCTTCGAGAACGTGGAGATAAGAAAAACTCCCCGATTCTGTAGATACTATCGTATGCAAGCTGTATCTATCGCAGAGCCTCCTCAAACTGTTCTGATAAATTTCGAGCCTATGGTTCTATTTTTGTGGATCGTTCGCATTTGCGGATCGTTCGCATTCCAGCCCACCGGATGCTCCCGAGGCGAATCTCACTCTCCGATTTAGGTCGAAACATGTCCCCTTGCCTTCTTCGCGATGTTGCACGAAAAATAAGCTGGGGGCTGAAAATCAGCCTATTGCATCACAGTGATAACTTCACATTTGGGTCTTCACGCATGCTATATTGTTGGTTTTACGAGCTCAGCTTGTGTTATTAGGGCTGCACGAGTACATAGATAGGCTTTTGGGGGCTTGATTCCCAAATCAGGTGGCGATCCAGAAGCAAGCGTACAGCATAAATGGAGGAGGAAGGCCAGCTAAGAGCGAATCTCCTGCCTGAATCAATCAACTCTGATCGCAATTGTATCTAGTTCTTCAAATCTATGAGCTTCTAGTTTATATACAGTTTTGACACCATGTCTGAGCTTGATTCTCAGTATGTCAAGCGCGGAGCCTGGACCAATCTGGCCGAGGGTCCAGTCATGGGGCGTACGATTACAACAGATACGCGAACTGGAACAGTGGTAGTTGCCCTTCTCGCCGTACTATCAGCGCTAGCAGCATCCCATCTCTGGAGCATTGTGGTCTTCACGTCTCACCAGATTCGTGCTCACGGAAGACCAGCAGATGGTCTGTTCCGACAGCAGCAGGCTTTACTCAGGACGAATCCCCCGCCATCAGCACTACTGGCGGATTGGATCAAGCTCTGGTGGGTGTGGCGCAAGAGAACATCTCGAGCCTCCTGGAGATCGACTCCACTGCTCGTTTTAGCTGCTTTCTTTGCAACTGCAACGATCGCAGTGAGTATCTTCTCATCATACATCGTACGCAGTGCAAATACCATAGTTCTGGTCAAAAGCGATGGCTGCGCGCCTCTAGATATCTACGAACCCTTCGTAGGCGACTATCTAGAACACATTGAGGGGATTACAAATTACAGGAACAACTTGTACGGCCGCAGCAGACTGTTTGCCCAAGATTGTTACATAAACTCCACATCTCTTCCCGCCCGCTGTGGAATATACATCCGACCGAACATACCGATAGAACCAACACTTGTCGATTGTACATTTGACAAAAGCATATGCAAACAATACGAGAAAGGAGGTGCCAGTGTTGATTCGGGTCTGATCGACGTCAATGGAATCTTTGGATGGAACTTGAAACCATCGGACCGAATTCGCTATCGACGTAAATCTGTGTGCAGTATCATTAAAAGCGAAGGTCACTCGTCAACCATCGATGCTTCCAGCTTTGATTACGGCTCAAGAGACTGGCTGCCCGGTGAACAACTTCTTCTCACTCATTATGGTGAAAGCCGATTTTCAACAGTCTGGACAAACACTACGTTCATATACAGCTTTTTGGCGGGTAATATCTCTAGTTCTTTTGGTTCCGGGTATGTATAAACAATATGTATCATGAAAAGCATGGTTTTAACAATTTCTTCACAGCACCGCCCAACTCTTCCGAACCCCACAGCTGGACGGTTGGAACGACATAAGCACCACACTACCTTCCTTAAATGTCGAAAACGCCGATCTGGCCCTTGTACAGGTCAAACCAAACAAGTTCCTGTTCGGAAATCCGGTAGATGATCCACTGTTTGCGGCGCATGTCCCATTTCTCAGGCGGGGCTACGACGACCCAAATTTAACGCACTATCTATCCGATAATGCTGTTTCTACGCTTGGGTGTAATCAGCAAGTAAGTGTATCTTTTCCCTGACCATATATTCGGAAAGAATCTAAACTGTATATAGTATCAATATTGTTACTTGAGGAATGGAAAAGATGAGTACTGCACAGAGCTGGGACCTGTCCCTGGAAACGCGTCCTCCATTCAGTTTCCTGGGGCCTCCGATATACAGAGAGCCAGTATGCAGCTCTTAATAACAGGAGCCCTGTTGACCGAAAGTGTGGTTGCGGCATCGCAGGCTTTTGAAATAAAGGAAAAGTCTCGGAGCGGATATATAGCATCATTGCCAAACGATCAATGGATCCGTGAAATCACCACGTGGGAAAGATTTATCTGGGCATCACTGCAGACCTTTATTGCGGATTACTCAATCGGCTACCACCACCTCGAACCCACTGCAAAAGCGCATATGAGAACCAATATGACGGATGCAGAAAAGTCTCTGTGCGGTATGCAGAGAATGAAAAAGGCTGGTGGTTTCATGTGAGTCATGCATATTTGGCCTGATCTGATGGATTGTACTAATATGAAAACTAGGAACATCAACGTCTTTGGCCTCACCTTCATCATTGTCTTTTCCTGTGTTATTACTCTAGTGGATCTCTTGCTTCTCAAGTTCTTGATCTTCTTGAGCCGCTTTCGCAGGGCTGTTGCATTCCGCATCGATCTCTGGATCCAGGACGGTGTATTTCAACTCCAGAGAAAGGCATACGAAGGACACAACCAAGAAAGCTGGCAAATGGTGGACAAGGAAATACCGGTTCCTGTCAAGAATGATAAACTGGAGAATCTCCCGCTACAGATTGACCCCGTTCGATACAGACGTGTGGTCCGCGCTCAAACTGATCGCACGGTAGTTGAGGACGACACAGAAAGCGAGAAGGGAGATAAGATGCGCACTTTGAGCAATGATTCTTAGAATCTGACTCAACATGGCAATGTTTATTATAAGATGCGGGTAAGAGAGAGGAGATTTCACGTATATCTCAAATTGTATACTAGCCTGTCGCTCCTGTAAGATGTTAAGGAAATTATGCGGACTTCGGTCTCTTCTCGAGTTGTAGTAGCACGCCAAGTCATTCCTTCCAGTATCTTAGATGGCCTTATCGACCTCCGTTTCTTAGATAAATTTAAGCAAGCAATCGGCCACCATCCGTATTCGCCTCTGATCCTGTGACAAAACGGTCTTTCATAATCCAACCATACGCCTCTGCTGTATCTTCCGGCTGCCCCAAGGTTTTCAACAATCCGCTGTTCATCCTGAGATTATCCAAGGCCTTTTGACCACCATTCGCTGTGATTCGCTGAAGTATCTCGGTATGAATCGTTCCAGGTACCACTACATTGACGCGGATTGGACTAAGATCCACAGCGAGACCGCGAGTGAGACCCTCCACTGATGCAGCCCAACCTGTAGCAAGTGACCTGCCCGGTGCAGGCTTTTTGGAAAGAGCTCCGCCGGTAATGGTAAAAGAGCTGCTTGGGTCTTTCGACATGTATTTTCCAAGTGCAAGGAATTTAGCGATCATGGCAGGGCAGAGAAATCGTATCTTAAAGCCATGCATAGCGCTATCGATATCCATCTCCTCAATTTTAGGAATGCTTGGGACATCGCCTGCTGTGAAGGCTATGTGATCGATCTTTTTAGAGCCTTTATCTGTGACCTTTTCAAAGAGCGTCTCTAAGTTGGCTTCAAGGTTTGACAGGTCGAGAAGCTCAACGGCAATTCCAGAAACCCTCTCGGCTGGTAGTTCGGGATAAAATGAGCGGAGTTTCGAAATCTTCTCGTCGACCTTGGGCTGATTGGAGCCAGAGATTGTAACGTAGGCACCATTGGAAACTGCCATGTTGGCAACTGCGAAGCCAATTCCAGAAGTACCGCCAAATACGAGTACTCGAGCATCTTTGAGACGATTAGGATGGGCCATGGCTTCCTCGCCGGAGATAATATGGGTTGGAGGGTATAATTATAGTTATTCGATAAATGGTGAAAGTAGGATTGAATATTTAACTCCTCTTGTGCATATTTCACTTGTATTTATGGTCTTGCCCGGAGAATACTTCTTCAATGATTTCCTTCGCCTGTTGCCCTCCCATCCTTGCATCATGCCTCATCCGGAACTGCTCGTCCACACGCCTTGGACCAAGCAACGACAAGCACGTAAATAAGCTCGCCCTACAGCTGATAGTTCTTACGATGATCGGAGTTCAGTATGTATTGCCTGCGTCCGTCTGTCTTTATTGGGTGACACAGTGCCGATCTTGGAGTCAGCATCCACCGATCGCGATCATTTTGGTTTAGCTCAGAATCGAACGGACAAATAACCGGACAAATTGTGCCTCAAGCCTGAGCGGATGGATATCAGATCAAGCCGTCCGTAACAATCCTCTACAAGTCAGCTGCGACTGTTACGAGATTATTTTAGAGGCAGAGAGGCGTCGTATCGTTGTAGATACTAGATATATATTTACATGCACTGTAGCACTTTGAGAAGCGGAACGGAGCATATCCTATCCAACCTTACTAATCCGTAAGAATGGGCATTGGCTCTAACCCTTTGGATAGTAATTAGATATAGAGCTAGGAACGTGTAGTGCTCGAAAGATGTTGTGCGCATTGAGTTCAAGATATTTTTGTTCAATGCATCGTGCGGCCGCGCTCTGAAGCGCTCGAGAACCTGACATCTAGGATACAAGTAAAGTATGCCACTCATTCATTAGCGATCAATTTGATCATGACTAACAGGCGAAGGTCACCGAATGTGGACGTAGAATTTAAGGGGCCGTTTTATGCGGTTAGCATATGTCAAAGCGTAAAAATGGGAAAGCGGGATAGAGATCGGGATGTAGCGAAGTACCAAAAAAGCACACTGTCGAGCATGTGCATCTTCACGGTTCAGCAGTTCTGAATCGATTCCAAGATATCGGAATGGTAACTCGCACCTCGTATCGTATCGCGACCAGATTGGTGGGATTCCTTCCAGACGGAAACGGTCAGACAGAACCTGATCAAAACAATTCCCCAGGAAGGCTAGCGCACCAGATCCGATTCGTGCTCTAGCCCTATCTGACCATGTCCATGTTTCATAATGAGGGTATGGTGGGTTGAGAACCCGTCTGTGTGATGATTCAAAACATTGAAACAGTACCCATTCTGCAAAGCGTAAAACCTTAAGGCTTGACAGATGTCGACAGGAACAACCCTTCCGCGCACACAACCTGGCTTGGTCAATCCATCGGTCGGAGGTGTTCTTACCATATCAACAGGCGACGCGCCGTGAGTTCCGTGTCAGGGGTTTATTGTCTAAATGATTCGCATTGGTGTAGAAACAAAAAGGTGTACGGAGTACTACGATCATGCAACAAACTCTGTGGTTTGAGCAACTATTGTACCTAGATGACTTAACGGGTAACGCACCCTCTAGATCTTTTTATCTTCCATTCTTCAGAATACAGGAAACAGGCAGAGACAATGTGCTGGAACCTCGTTTCTTGGCAACCAAGTAGACGGTCGAATGTTGAAACAAATGGTGGATTCTAACGGACGCTAGCGTTCAGAATGACAGCCTCTCCACGCGCTTACACAGGAGATAAATGCATTTTCAGGCAAATGACCGAATGTGAGGTCTAGAGTATGATCTACATGTCTGCCTGCAATTTGAGTGCATCGCATCATCCCCCATATAATGCTCCTGCACCTCATGGCTGAGTTTACGATATCATTCATTCGCTTTCTGTCATTCGTTTCTCATCGACATAATCCCAAGTCAACGGATTGATTTTCACTCCTTTTCTCTCGTTAACATTCTTGAGCGAATCTTCGGCCGGTCTGACTAAACGCTCACTCCTTTCTCCACGATCAACATATCTCACTAGTCTCTCTTCAGCTCCGTTGCTATCATATCATTCATCATGAGATTTTCGTTTATCGCGATTCTCGCTACCGCGGCGAGTGCAACGGCTCAGAAAGTCTCTGGCACTGCGTATGGTTTTGCCACAGGTGTGACAGGCGGTGGAGCCGCTCAAGCCGTGACTCCAACCACGAACGAGGAACTTGCATCCTACCTATCCGATAGTACTGCGCGAACTATCCTCCTTACCAAGACTTTCGATTTCACTGGCAAAACTACAACCGGAGCAGGCTGTGACAGGAAGTCTTGCAGTGTCTCAGGTGGTGGACAATACTATCTTGGAGATCTTTCCTGCGGTGGATCTGACAACGTTGCTGTTAGTTCTATTACCTACGATCCTGCTGGCCCGGGCGCCCTACCTGTTGGAAGCAACAAGAGCATCCTTGGAGTTGGAGGTAAGGGTGTTATCAAGGGCAAGGGCCTCTCCCTCCAAAAGAACGCCAAGAACGTCATCATCCAGGGCATCGAGATCACTTCTATCAACCCAGGTGTTGTTTGGGGTGGCGATGGACTCGATTTCCAGGGTGGTAACGACGGAGTCTGGGTCGATCACTGCAAGTTCTCTCTCATCGGCCGCATGTTTGTCGTCAGCCATTACGCTGGGTCTAGCATTACTTTGTCGAACAACGAATTCGATGGCGTTACCACTACGTCGGCCACCTGCAACGACAACCACTACTGGGGCCTTATGTTCATCGCCAATGGTGATAAGGTCACTTTGGATAAGAATTACTTCCATAACTTATCTGGTCGTGCACCTAAGCTTGGTGCAGATGGTGTATCCGGTACATTCCATGCGGTCAACAATCTCTTCTCCAATATGAAGGGACATGCATTTGACGCATACAAGGGTGCCAATGCCCTCATTGAGGGTAATGCTTTTGCATCCGTTAGCCAGCCTTCGACACAATCCGCAGCTGGAGTCTCAACTTTCGTTGTCAATGCTGGAAATGCATGCTCGTCCGCTTTCGGCCGGGACTGCCTTGCCAACAGCGTCGACTCGTCAAGCGGAAAATTGAGCGGAGGATCCACCACCAGCTTCGTCTCCTCGCTCGCCAAATTCAAGATTCCTAATGCTCTGTCCGCCGACAAAGTCTCTGCCCATGTCAAGGCCAACGCTGGTCCGGCCAAACTTGGCTCTACCAATGCTGATGCGAACGAGGGTGCTGTCTCCAACCCCAAGCCCACCCAGGCCGCTGCTACTACATTTGCAACTAGCACCAAGGTTGCCGCTGCCACCTCTAAGGCTGTAGCCCCTGCACCATCCGCACCTGCAACAGGTTCAGGATCCGGAGTCAAGACAGTAGCTCTCTATGGACAATGTGGTGGCTCGGGATATACTGGACCAACCGCCTGCGCGTCTGGAGCCGTCTGCAAGAAGCAGAATGATTGGTATTCTCAATGTCTCGCATCATCCAAGGCTCGCCGAAGCTTCCGTCGGTTTGCACTTTACTAGATAGAGTGAGCGGTATCCGAGATGGGACAAGTCCATGAGTTCAAATGTGTTGAATTCTTGTTCATATTTTTTGCCATGCACTGTAAATACGTTGCCTAAATAATTCTAAACTGTATCCTATGCGACACCACAACTTATGTGCAAGCTTTCAGCAGATTCTTGATGGAACACTATCCGACAGTTAATTCGGTGACAGGGGTTTCTTGTTCATGGATCTCCTACGTGTCGATCACTAAAGGATTGCAACCTAATCGCAGCTTCTACTGTACAATAAGATTCATTCGTTCTCGAATTCGACTACATGGCACTAAGGGCTCGCGTCCATTCACGCTCTGTAAAGTTCCAGATCTTGTCCGCCCAGCCAGCGTTCCGGTAAGAGACGACAGCATCATTGTCCGGTATTACATCATTAAGCTTATCAAGACGCCATGATCCGGGCTCGAACTGACCACTCGTCAATACGTATGCATGTCTCTCGCCAGACTCATCAAGCGACATCCCAGTGAGTCGAACCATGAAATCTGCGATGTGAGAAAGAATCAATAACCCCAACCAACGAAACCACCCTTTCGATGTATCAGGTCTCTGCTTTCGGCTCCCTGTATTGACAAGACCTGGAGTAACATGGAGATAGACGACTCGCTTAGAATGGTCGATCGTTGCGAGATAATCGAACGCTAGACTTGTGAGGAGCGTGGAGTGATCAATCATTGGTACAATGCCCCAAGACTTTTCAAGTCCAATGTCATCTTCCTTGATGCGTTTTTCCTTAGTTCCGTTAAGAATCGACAGGACGTGTGGCTGTTCGGACTTTTGGAGAAGTGGCAGTAGATTAGAGACAAGCCGTATGCGCGAGAAGTAAGAAATTGCAAAGTTTGCCTCTAGACCCTCTTTGGTATCTAGGCACATATTGTGTCAACAACTTGCACCCAGAAGAAAATGGGTTGAAACGTACAGACAGGTCCTTGCCACGGTATGCCGCCGGAGCTCATGCAAAGGTAATCTATCTTCGTCTCGGACGTGAGAATTGAATGACAGGCGGCGTCAACCGCCGACATCAGCGATACTTCTTCTTCGACGAATTGATAGACGTTGCTGGGATTTATTTTAGTCAATCCCGCCAGTTGGTCGGAAAATCGGGATCTCGATCTTCCTAGAATGTAGAACATCGATTCGTGCAGCATGAAGGCTATTTTCTTCAAGGTGGCTAATCCGATGCCAGCAGTTGCGCCTGCGAAGACGCACACGCGTCCGAGATGGTGCTGTTCGGCAAAATGCGCGTTGCTCGCCACGATAGTAGAATAAGTAACCATAGTAGTAGTATCTGCTTCGGTGTTAACTCATCTAATATTGTTACGAGGATCGCGAATATGTCAAGCCTTACCACGAAGTGTATTTATCTAAGTGGCGGTGATACCACTCAATACAAAAAATCGAAGAAATGAAGTGACACGAATTATGGGTAATGATGCTTACGATGCTGGAAGGGTGCAGGTAGTTGTTCTAGAAGGGGATGTTGAATTATATAGGACAACATCACGTTGGACATTTCGGACCCGAAAAAATATGAGCTAGCCACATTCTCAAAACCCATCATATTTCACAACACGAAAACATACATGCCTGGTAGAGTAGGCCATAGTGTGCTCGATGTATCCTTGCAAAGTGTCTACCGACTTCTCCGTCTTTGAAGCAAGTCGCGAAATCACGGAAATTGGTGTTATTTTGGCAGTCATTATGGTTTGTAATATATAACCCGTCATTAAGCAGCACATAATGTTGTATCAGCTAATCCATTGAAATATGTACGAATAAGACTTCAGTATGCCTCTTTCGTGAAATTTTCTCCAAAGGAAGAACATGGAATGTGAAGGATTTCATTAATGTAACTTCATATGGCCTGAATCTGGGTAGACCGTGGAATCCTAAAGGAAAGTCCTGCAGGAACACGCCTCCTCCTATGCCGTAACACATTATAACATACTTCGACCCTCGTGTAGGCTAGATTAATAATTCTACGTGAATAGAAGAACATTATCTAGCAATGATAGAAGTTTCGATGATGCGATGCTTTGGAGTTCCTTCAGATCTGCAACTTAAACATCCGACTTTTTCATCCTTCCTTAGACCTCGAAGTAGCCGAAAATTCTACGATCATGAACAACGTAGCTTCGAAACACCGAGGTTTAAATATCGTAAAGTTCTTATCTAATGAGAGCTAGTACAATTTTGCTAATGAACAGGGCCATGAGTCATTAATCGGTCGCGAGTGCGATGTCGCTCGCGTTCAAGGCAACGAAAGTAAAGTAACATAGTCCATGATGTTCAGGGCGCGAAGGCCTTTCAGAAAATGATCGCGTCTCATAAGCCATAAGGAGAGTGAACCATTTAGTGAGCCGAATACGAATGAGCTTTCCCTGGGTTTCTGTCTGAAGCAAGTGGGCGCTGCTCGCAATGCCTTCCCTGCTGGCTTCATGTTACACACATGAATTATTTCTGTGCGAGCTCAAGTTTCGTTTCGTGCTCGACGATTTGGTTTCTGAATTCAATATTAAGGCATGAACAAAGTTATAATGGGATTCGTGTCTGACGTCAGATCCAAACAAAGCTGGCGCAATTCATGTTTCGTACCCCAACGTTCTGCTTTGTCGCTTAAGAGACAGAATCCTACTCGTATCATTGCGCCACACATCAAAGCGGCGCAGACGACAACCCTAACGAAGAATGCGGTAATGCCTTTTTATGGATTCAATGGAGCATCGTTCAAATACAAGGTTCTCATTGCTGTTTCATAGTCCAACTAACTCTCGCGACGACAAAATAAGGAAAATGCATATGGAAGTAAATTTCCGACGTCTCAAGCCACAAGCCACCCTCGCAAAGACATTCCCCTGTGATCGTAAAATAGAAACCAAAACATTACCATCCAAACAAAAGCATATCATGGGTAGAGGTGTGGCTGATATGTACACTGCCGACGATTCATTTACAAGTTGCTCTGAATGAACGGAAGGAGGGTGCCAACGCGGGCATAAACACCAGGCTTGTTTGGTGCAGCACAGCCCTCACCCCAGGAAACAAGTCCGATGAGAACACGGCTGGAGGTGTTGATGATTGGGCCGCCGCTGTCTCCCTGGCAGGAGTCCTTGCCTCCAGCGGTGAGACCAGCGCAGAACATGTTGTTGGTGATCTCAGAGACGCTGTACTGGCTCTGGCAGGTCGTGCGGGCGACGATGGGAACATCGACCTTTCGGAGAGCTGCAGGGCTGGAACCGCCCGAGCTGGTAGTTCCCCTTTGCTTCGTTAGTACTCAGATCTTGCAAATATTGCATCAAAGATTACTTACCATCCAGCAACGGTGGCTCCGGAGCCGGCAGCAGGGTCAGACCCGGAGGCTGGTAGAGCAGCATATCCAATGGTGGAGCTCGTAGGAATAGGCGTAGAGAGCTTGAGGATGGCAACATCATTGTTCAAAGTGGAGCTAGAGAAGCTTGGGTGGATGGTGATAGAGGCAACATTGGACAAGGTTCCACCGGATGCTTTTTGCTATGATTTTCCATTAGTTTCAAATATTTACAATTGGAAGATCTGAAAGTGTGACTTACAAGACTTCCTGCGCGAACCCTGAGGTTGGAGGCCGACTGGCCAACAGCGCAATGAGCTGCAGTCACCACGGTGTTGGCATTCAAAAGAGAGCCTCCGCAGAAATGAGAGCCACCGCGTTGCAAACTGACAATGAACGGGAATTCACCAGCAGTAGCAGGAACACCACCGACGATCTGGACTTGAGCTTGTGGGACAGCTGCAGCCATGGAGACCGCGGGAATCGCAAAGGCGATGACAAAAGACTTGAGACCCATGGTGGTTGTTTGAGGTTGGCGATTCTCTTTAGAGGAGTGGTAGAAGATAGAAAGTGAATGACTGGATGATGATTCCTCTGGAGTGAACATTGATCGATACTTATACAAGTTTTACGTCTACTCCATCGTGATGCCTTATCGAGCAATAGACTGTGCATACAATGTTTCTGGGGGAGTAATGCTAGCCAAGACAACGCCATCAGTCGTCCTTCCAATTCCAGATCCACCGAGAGCCGGCGCAGGCGAGATGAGGCATACCTCCAGTGGCTATGGCCGATTCCACTACATGGCACTCCTGGAGGAACGGGCGGAAGTCACTAAAGAAGGAAGCTGGTATGGCGTCTTATCTGACGTTTGACTTGCTCCTTCAGCCTTTCTCCACAAGCGAATTGCCCCTGTAATGTTAGTTTGACGTACTTCGACATCGCCTTGAAAGCGGAAGCATTTGATATGTATCTTCTTTACACACGCAGCATTAATCTGTATATTGCAGTACAGATCCTGACGACAAAAATACATGAACTTCATATGAAAAACGTGGACGCATAGGCCTTGCTCTGATGAAAGTTACCTGGTTCTCGCAAGACAAGTGAACCCATTCGAAACAATCGATCCCTGAGGATTGCAGTCGGGATCTTCGCGCCCTCGATAAGATCGGCAGTATAAGCTAGGCACATGATTACATACGCATGATGTGAATTAAGACGACCTGCCACAAAGGGCGAATATGAGCACCTTGGAAAACAGCGGAGGTATCGGCGCAGCGATAGGCGTGCATATTTTAATATCGAGCTCGTTAAGGAATGCAGAACTCCCCGGCTATTGGACCGAGGCTGTAAATTGGAACTAGCATTGCTTGAAGCGGAACATCCAATGAGGATATCTACTCGATCTGCCAAGTCGGACAATTGCATAGACATCCCTAAGTGTAGACCATGCGGGTGATCCTGCAGGGATCGACCAGCCGACACCGGTGTTCGATGTTAGCGCCCCCACGCCCGCGCCCAGGGGTTCACTGGGAGGAAGGGGAGGGCGCATGGCTTTTCCAGGCAGGTGTCAAGACTTCTGCCTATGGCATCGGTAATGCCCGTAAAAGGTACTTACCTTCCTACAAAAGGTTTCAACTTAAATGACCATGTTCTGCCTTCACCCTTGGCGATATATACTAGTCCAGTAAATGTCAATGACCCAGAACGAACAACCTGCGAAACACACTCGAAAACAATCTCCACGAATGCCAGCTGGACGTAAGCGCACTCTTTTCACTTGGTCGTCTCTGACCATCCCGTTTCTATTGTCTCTACCGAGCCTTGTGCAGACAGAAGTCATGCATAGCCTCAGCTCATCTTTCACGATCGAGGTCGGTGGCAAACCGATTGCCAGCGTCGGCGAAGGTACTGCAGACAAAACCCAGGCCAAGGTGGGCACCGAAGGAGCTCTCTTCACACTCAAAGACGGCCGTCTCCAAAGTGGAGACTGGATTCTCGGTCGAAATATAACCGAAGACCGCAGTCTTCTTCCCAAGCAACTTCTCTGGTTCAAGTCGACCGAGGAGAGCAACAAGCAAGTCCAGCCCGTTGCGATCCAACAGGAAGGAGATTCATTCCAGATCACATTTGCAAGTATGTATCGATGTAGTTCATTCAAGCCTGCGAGCATGTATCTAACAGAGATGCCTAGATGCTCCTCTCGTAGTCGAGGAAGACCACGTCTTCGCAGACATTCAATCAGGTATGACGAACAAGTTTAACTCTCGTAGAAAGCGTACTAAACAAGTTCAGAGGATCATTCAAACGTAGCGGTGAAGATTCAACAGTAAAGCCAATGGAATACGTTCAAAGTATTGTACTAGTTAGTCCTGTTTAGCTTAGAATTGCATGATCACTCGGTATGATTAACTACCTCAACCCGAGAGGGCCACGATATCATCCTCAAATAATTTGCGCAGCTCGTGACTTTCCCTGCTCGTTGACTGCCCGATTTGAACATCATCGCAATATCAATCTTCGCTTGTCAGCTTACCATTGTGTCATTGAATGCGCCCCAATATAAATGCTCCCTGGCGATGAGATCCAAGATCAAGTGTAACAGAGCGCCACCAACTCAGGCAGCGTCTCATCCCGCATCTGCACGCATGGACGCTGGTCCGTCAGTGGGCCCCGGCGCCTCCCGCGTAGATCTGACGCCGAACTATTGATATCTGATTTATCCAGCAGTTTTCAGGTTTTGGGCTGTTCAAAAGCAAAAGAGGAATACTAGCGAACAACTCGCTTCGAATATTTGTACAGTGGTGGATGCTGAGCAACGAGAATTTCGTTTGCCATGACCGCGTCTCCCGCGATCAGGCTCATTCACACTTGAGTTGAATTTGATCTTGTCGCCTATGCGACGCGCTTCGCATCCATCAAGCTTGAATTCCCTTATCGAGTCGTAAATTGAATTTGTAATAACACAAAGCGATAGGGTTGATTGTTTGACCCCGAATGGAGTTTAAGTCTTGGGTTGTACGATCCGTTTGGTGAGAACCGTAAATTTGATGCGAACGGTCTTTGTCAAGGGTTGATTTGCCTTGGAATTTGTGCCTGGTATGACAAATGCAGGCCCCGCACATTTCAGCATGGGTGTATTTATACCTGTGTCATGGTAGATCACAATTCCATTTGTGATAATCCGGAAATGCTTCCGGGCACAGTCGACTGATTTTATCATATTTGCATAGTATGTTGAAGAGATGTGCCGACATCCGCAAGCTTGAGTGAAGACTCGAAATGCTATTAAACCATTTCAGGTTGCTCGGGCTATCTACTTTCCGTGATTAGGAGCCTGCCACGATATCTTCACCACACTTCTTCCCCTTCAAGAAGCTGTTGATATCATGAATAGGGCAATTGAATTGCATTGAGTTCCAGTAGTATACTACTTAGATGTCTTCACGATGTCTTATCAGTTACGCAACACTGGCGGGTACACGATAGACCCCTCAATTGTCGGCGTCTACGAGCGGCGCGATACCTAATTTGGCCCACCGATCCGAGGATACTCGCGGACAAAAGTGACCGACGAAGTCCGTACTTTATGCGTCATACAGAACGAACAATAACAACTTCAACCTGTATGCATGCATCGTGAACAGAATCAATAAGCAATTTATCTTTTGTCGCAATAGGAATTAGGTATACTACCAATTCTCACCCTGTCTCCGTTCGTTAGATTAGACCATTAATGAAGTCTTGCTAAACGTGTTTGCAGGATGACTGTCACTGTACGCGCAGTAAAAAAAGAAGACGAGGAGAAGTGGCGTCACTACTGGGATCTCTACAATCAATTTTACGAACGCACCATCCCCGAGGAGACCACCGCCATAACCTGGTCCCGGTTCCTGGACGACAAGGTCGACCTCTTCTGCGCAGTAGCCGAAGACGACGCTTCCAACGAAGTCATCGGTTTTGTTACCTGGTTCCCACACCTTTCCACTTCAAAGCCGAAGGGAGTTGTGTATCTCAATGATCTATTCGTTGATCCCGACGTCAGGAGTGCAGGAACGGGCGGGAAGCTGATCGAACATGTGTACGAACATTCCAAGAGCGAACTCGATACTGCTTCGGTATACTGGCACACCCAGCATTTCAATCACAGGGCCCAGCTCCTCTATGTCAAGAAAGGTACAAAGACTGATTTTGTACAATACTCAAAGAACTTGTAAGCGGGTAGCGGTGGCATTCTGGGGAGGAGATAAATTCCTCATTTGATCAATTTAAACATCAATACTAAACTTGAAATACTATTAATCCCCATCACCTGTCTTTAAATGTTCGCATAATCCTGAAATTTCTGAAGACATCGTAGTTTATGATAGCATTCTAGATAAACCTAGTTATGTAGAATAACTAAAAGAATGTCACATAAATTCACGTTTTCTGATTAACTCCGAAGCTCGTCAAATGGGGCCAATCTATAATTGTGTAAGCATTCAATCCCGAATATGTAATAACCATACTGGATAAACCCACCAAATTTTGTGCGTTTAGTGTTGACTTGAGATACGAATGCATTCTGTCCAACTTCGAAAGTCTTCCCCATCGCGGATCCAAAACACCAGCCATAGCGACCAAATACAGGACTGTACTTCGCGCCAGCATCAACACGACGATCTTTGTTGATCTTCTTCCAAACGAGCCCACGATCATCGGAAGCGGTTTTTCCCGTGTTGAAATCCACAGTGATACTTTGACATCGGTAGCAATTAGTTGTCAAGGGCATTTGCACCCCATTGGCAAACGTCAACTCGCCCCAGAAATCCTCCACATACGGACCCGAAGAACCCTTGACAACCATATTAGGACGAAATTTTGTAATATCCATTTCAAGATCTCCTGTGAACCTGGAGGAGACGTCTTGGTTGGATTCTTCTGTAACCACAAGATAATGGGCAAGGTCGTTGAAAACCAGTCGCTCGGGAGAGTGACCTAGAAATGGAACTGCTCCACGGATTCGGTTGAGTAACCTGGCTTTCCTGAGCCCTCCTCTGCTGTTCGGGGCCAGAGTACCTAGTACTGGTCGGGAACCATCGCCAATGTATGCAAGCCTTGTTTCGAAACCCAGTCTCTCGGTAAACCATTCTGCCAGTTCATCGCCCATGTCAAACGCGGTCGCTGCACTTCCATGAAGATCAATCTCGAAGGATATACATCCTGATGTAGCTGGATACAATGGGAAACGTGTCGTGTCCTCTGAGATGGCACCTTTCTTCTTGTCGAAGTCGGTACATCGACCTTTCCATTGCACTACGACATCCGCTGCTTGGGACTTATCGCATGCTCTTTTGTTGTCCAGGGAAACGAGGAAGAGAGAGAGCTGCAAATAGTATCCTATCAGCAGTGTTTCATACCTAGTTATGGTATCATCTTCCTGACTGCGGTGAATTCTTTGCAACGAAAAGATTCGATCGCCTTGAAACCCGTAGCGGCCCACATGCGCCGTTTTCAATGACATTCCTCTCAGACCTTTCACAGGATAGACATATAGCTAAAGTTCGATTGTTAACATTTTACTCGAAGTGAAATATGATTAATGATTTACCTGCGTTATCTCCAGACTATCGCCTTTTGGCCCTGCTCGAAGTCTGACAGTCCAAATCAGTAGAGCGAAGGCAATGGCCGCCAAGCACCACCACCACATATGAAGCGCATTCTGGGAAAGATCCATCATGTCACTTGGCCTAAAGAAAGATTTTGATCGGGGTATTTAATGAATAGGCGATTGGGTCTCCGAAGCGATGAAGCCGTTGACCCGTTGTGATGATTCAAGTCAATGGGTGCACATTCAAGCTCAACAGTAGCTATTGCAGCAGATTGTTTTTCGATGTACAGTCAGAGCCGCGATTATCATGCTGTTTTCATAGCCTTACGATACACCGTCGATCTAATGGAATTACTTCCGCATACGTGATATGTGTGGGTATGCAAGAAACATAACTGTCTGGGTGACCACATGTTCGCGTATCGCAATTTTGACTTAATCTTTACCTACCTTGGCCACGGGGTAGACAGGCTGATCGGATGTCGCATTACTACGCATCCGATGGGCTGGTCTTGGTGGAATCGTTGTGTGGGGAAGAAGGATCACACAGTAGAGCAAGCCGAGATGCGGGGCAAGATTGGTAGGCACTGCGTACTGACGAATGGATAAGCGTGCCTTTGGAGAGGCTAGCTGGAAATGGCAAAATGATAGACCAAACCAATGCTTGGTGTCAGCTTCATCGGCATTTTGGAGGACGAATATGCTTTTTGCAGTTTCCGCCTGTTGACCTGTCAATTCGCACTTGGCCGTTACTTTCCAACACTCCAATTAATATCACAGAATATGTACATTCCCTCTAGATTCCCCCAAACTATGATTGGTGATGAATAGAGGAGTAAGTGATATGTAGTGTTGCGAATGCCAGGATTTCCAATTGGTCTCATCAGCTTCTGCGACAAGCGTTTGCTAAAGTTTAATCAAAGGTCGTTGAGTATTTGTATCGTATGGGTGCCGAGCCCAGTCTTGGCATGTATTATCATAGAGGTGGTTCATTATCCGATTGTTATACGATGTACGAGTAGAGGCAACGCTTATGAGGTCGATCGGTACACACTCGGGCATACCAAGTCAGACCCCGCACGCTGGATCCTACCTCGTACAACGAAATCATAGATCGTACCTGCTGATATACTATCCCTTTGTGCCCATACATAAGTACTTAATTATACATCCAAACAGCTGCAACGTTCTTACAAACAGCTTTTGTGTTGAGTTATTAAGAATGGACGCATACACCCAAAGCCCTCCATATAGCTATGACGCAATATTGCCTTGGTCAATACCAGTGACCGAAGATGCCATCAACGACGAACTGGTCCTCACACCTAAATCCCCGAGGCCAAATAGAAGGCAACCAGGCAAATCAGGGACAAAACGCATACGAATAGTGGAAGGATCATGCTGGCCATGTAAAAAAAGACGGATTAAATGCGATCTGACCAAGCCCTCATGCTCAAGATGCTCCCGCATCGGCTCAGAGTGTAACTACAATTCCCGGCTCATCAAATGGAGCACACGCCCAACAGCGACCGCTCCAGAAATTTTCCAGGCGATTCCCCGTGACGAGCGCCTGTCCGCTTCATTAGCCATCTACGAGAAAAGAGCTCTCGATTATTTCCACGGCCGTTTCTGGCCGCTGCTGACAACCTCATCCCAACCATGTACCCCACCAACCTTTGTCGCTCTCGAACACCGCGTGGTTCTTCTTGCTACCTGCGTTTTGGCCGATTCACATCGGGTTCTGCAGGACGGACGAAATAGTCAACGAAATCTGTATCTAAAGAGGCTGGACTGTCTGGCTGCCGTTAGGGGAGAATTGGGTTGCTGCTATGCGGAAGAAAATGGACCTCTCATGACTCTTTTGTTTGCTGTCCTTCTCTTATACTTCCTGGATGGCTACCTTGAGTGTACTAGAGATTTCGCATCCACATCCAGCCACCATGCTGGGGTGAGAGCTATAATCGAGCGACTCGGCGGTATCACCTCAGTCATGAGAACCAGCGAGGCATCGATGCAGATGCTGCTTTCCGAATTCGCGTCCACCGATCTTACGACCGCGATGCTCCGAGGCACGATTCCTCACTTTCCGCCCGAGTTCTGGGATTCGGTTGAGCAAGGGTCGGTTTGGTGGGGACGCGACTTATTTGGAAGGTCTTCGCTGGCCAAAGTCTTCAGAGAAATGTCGACGATGATGTTCTGGCGTGAGGGCACAATCGTCGGTGCGGAAGAATTCTCAATCGAGCAAATTAGAGTCTTCGAGGCCGCGCTTAGACCTGTCTACGCCACTCTGGTTGAAGATGACTTTCAACTCACCGGCTCCATTCCAGATACGCAAGACAATGATAGCGCAGACGTCGTTGCTTGCTACACGCTGACTAGAGCTCTGCAGCATGCGGCTCTGATCTATCTGTACAGAGCAGTATGCAACCTCCCAATCACGCATCCACAGGTTCAGCAACACGTTTTGTCATGCTTGGACTGCATCTTCGCAATACAAAGGCCGTCCAAGATACTCAATTGCGTCCTGTTCCCGCTCTGCATTGCAGGTGCTCACGCTACCTCCGCAAAGTATCAACGAACTGTCTTGGATCTCTTGAACCTAGTTTACGACGAAATGCGATTTGCGTCAGTACATTCCATTTCTTCTGCCCTGGAGGCTATCTGGAAGTCCGAGGAGGACACTCTTTCATGGGTAAATATGTTTGCTGGTCTGAGTGAGAACACACTTGTACTATAACGAGATTAAAAAGCAGCTACAATATGTCCATTGAGAAGATTACCATAGTCATCTCGAAATACCTCTGTTGCTATGTATTCGTTGCTATATCGGAACATCAGAACATCATTTCCATATTGAGACAACCTCCCCTGTGTAGAAGACATGAATAGTTGAGGCTAGCACCCATGTAACGCAGCCTGAATACGAGACCGCGCAGAGGGTATGCCCGCGATCACCACCGTCATTGTAAAATAATGTCATAAGACGCTACGTTGCCTTTGAAAACAATAATAGGTTATGCTATGCTTTTGCAAAGACTGCAGAGCTAGGGGCCTTAACCAGAAATTATTAGAGAGATAACACATGCTGTATACTCTTAGATAGTTAGTTCAATGCCAAAGAATCTTCACAAGGAGACGTGATAAGCTTAGAGAAACAACAAAGCAATGCATTTTTATTCTATATTCTAGACCCAACAACATGAATGACAAACGGAACCAAAATACCAAAACAAAAAACCAAAACCCGATACACGCTCTCGATCGTGAAATCAATAGCTAGATAAACGCCCAGAGAAAAAGTACCCCCCGACCATGGCTCCCACGCCTCTAAAATGGCTTAACAGTACTCCTGTTGTGTTACAAATAACCTGGGCCAAAATATTTACAATCTGGGCGAGCAAATGGAACAATTGTTGAACATCCGTGGGTGTTTCTTAGGAACCGGCGGGGTATTTCTTCTCCTCTGTGATCGGAATTCCCCTTCCTTGCAGAGTAGGCTTCTCAATAGTAGCATAAAAGCTTTCGCGCCTTGGACCTTGTTGAGTCGTGGCCAGAACCGTCGATTTTTGTGCGTAACTAGCCCACGCCCTGGAGATCTCAGCCCATGCATCTACCCAATTCGCCACTCCCTCTGTGTGTGCGCATCCTGACTCCCCGGCTGTAAACTGGGCCTTGGTGACACAGAACTTTTGCAAAGTCTCTTTGTACTGCGGTTTCGATGATGCCTTGTCTGCCGCTACCGCTTTGAAAACTGCGGACTCGACTATGCCCAATCCCTTCCCTTTAGCGACCTGGAAGGCTTGCTTTGGGCCAATGCCTGAGTGCATCATAGTCAGCGTGGGAGGAGGACCATATCTACTGATGGCCTTGAAGGCGTCTTGGAAGATCAAGTTCTTGAGTGCGGTGGAAAGAGCACGAGCCTCCAAATTGCGAGTCTCCAAGGAGGCAACTTGCCCATCAGCATGAGCTGGCAGTGCAGAGACTGTGGAGACAGAGAGGCCAAGGGCAAAGGTGAGGATGTTGGAGAAGAGCATCTTGACTGGTAATGTAAATGGATTTGGAACTTGTGGTTCTGAATGTTTGAAAAGAGTGAAAGAGTTGGAAAGTTGCTGAATGAGTGGCTGAGATGTAATGAGTGGATGATAGGAAAGGAATGAATGAATGAATGGTTGGATGGAGTCTTAAATCTGGATTAGAGAGGACATTTATATTCCTCAAAGGCCACTCTTTTCCTTGGTCGATATGAAGAAAAAGGGAACCGTCAAGGCGGATACGCATAATTGCCCTGCGCATCTCGAACTTGATAACAAAGCCCGATGAAACTGTAGCGACCCCGACGTGTAGTCTTTTCTTCATCGTCCGTAAGTAGATCATGTTGTGGAATTGTCTCACGGATCATGAGATTTACCCTACGTCGGGCTGGCAACCTGCTAGCTTCGTCTATCTTGTATGCCTCAATTGGCAATTTGAGAGTATGTTGTAGCCGAAATTAATGGTGTAAAGGCCTTACGGTTGTAAGGTTTTGTAAATATACAGTTAAAGGCTGATGATACATGTATCTTATATATCCAAAGTAGCATTGAAGGAAGGTACTGTCCATACTAAACTGTCCGAAGGCTTCGTGAATGCACAACTGTGGGCATTAAAGATTAGCAGGGAGCCAACCCGACATGCCTGCCCTGCGCACCTAGAGTGGACCTAGGATATCCATAGTGATTACTTCTTTAGGAGATGGTGATGAATATACTTCACCTCTAAGGCGCATGAGCACATTCACTTGATTGGTCAAATTAGAGATGGTCTGTGCGGGCTGGCGTACTTTCAACGTACATACATACGTGTACCAACGCCGCCGCTAGGCAAAGGAAAGAGAGAATTTATGCTCTATTGCTAACGCAGACTAATTAATACGATGGTCCGAATCTATTGCGAGGTTGTGTTTGTGTCAGGGTGGCTGTTACCTTTTCTGCGCTACCGCAAATCACGGGAATGGTGAACGTTGGAACTACTTCGTATTCTCGTTCCGCCCCACAGAATCAATGTCCCGATGTCCGGTCAGCCGACAATTTGATCTGGCATACTGGGTACATGAGTGCCTAGTCCTTCTTGTAGGTACGGGGTCTTCATCAGGAACCTATCAATATTTGCATCGCTCAACTCCTCGTTTCGACAAGATAAATCCTGCATCTTGGAATCTACAACGTCCACGCAACACTTCATCTATATCAAAGTACACGCAACACCTTCCCAGATAATTACTCTTTACTATCCAACCAACAATCTGTGCTCGTTAGTAGGACTGTTTCTCCACATTATGCAAGCACACTAACCACTCCGTCATCTGCAAAACCCACAGGGCCCGAAAAGCTCCCATCTCTCCGGCCCATCGCCACGGGTTAGCCCTGGCCCAGCGATCGGCATCCCGAGTTGTCTATCATTAATATCCCTGATTTCGAAGCGGCCACGTCACTTCTGCCGCTTCTACCGAGAACTCTTCTGTTTCGGAATCTCAAAGAGCTCCGGTCGGGACGTGCTTTGGTTAAATGAACCTGCAGAGATAGGTAGTCATTGCCTTTGTCCATGTTCTTTTACTCTCTCCTACAACACAATTCGTTCCTATACCAAACATACCGTATCCTTACATCGTTTACTTCCTACTGAGCTTCAATCCACCAAGGCACAACAGTAGCAGCTATGTCCACTCGTACAATTGGGCGCGCGCTGCTCCACGCTTGTAAGCAAGGCTCACTGGCAGAAGTTAGAACACATACACCTCGGTTGCTTGCAGCTGGCACTCTTGTACAGACTGTACCACCTCTAAAGATTGCCATGGCCGAAGCAGCCTACGGCGGCCATTCAGATATCCTTCGATACTTCATGAATAATACACCGAGAACAGACGGCCAGAAACCTTGGAGCCCATACGTGGAAGCTGAGACGGATCAGATTCCCAAAGAATGGGGGTCTGCAGTGCTTCCTGATCTCGTCGTTTTGTATGCTGCTAAGGGGGGGAAACCGTCAGTAATGCAGACGCTCATCGATTACGGACTTCACGTGGACCATCAAATGGATAAGATAGGCTCGCCACTCGCAGTTGCAATTATTAATAATAATGTAGAGCTGGTTCAGTTCTTGCTCTCCAAGGGTGCGGATCCAAATGATATGTATTGGATTCCGCAAGACACGTTCCTTTCAGCTGCTGCTGCACTCCCATCAACGGAAATACTTACTCTTTTGCTGGATCATGGTGCAGATGTTGAAAGCTCAATGGCTTTGAATGGTGCTGCGGAGAAAGGCCGCATTGAATCTGCGAAGATCCTATTAGATCGCGGTGCCGATGTCGATCAAATCTTGAGTTACCCGTTTATCGAAGCAGTTCTTGGAACGGCACTTCATGTTGCTGTGAAAAATGAACAGGAGGACTTCGTCAAGTTCTTATTAGAACATGGTGCAAGGAAGGATTTAGTCAATGCAGAAGGGCTTACGCCAAAGGATTTAGCTGTGTCCCTTGGCTGTGAGAAGATCGCAAAATCGCTGGAATAAGTACAAATATTCGAACCAATTCCACAACAAACACAGCACTGAGGTTTTGCAATGGGCCTCGTGGGCGATGCACATGGTTTAAATCAAGTTTCTTAGACATAGGCGACTACAAATTAGAGAGACAAGTTTTTCCAATCATTACGATATTCAAGTATGTAGCGGCAGGCCTGTCATTTCGCAGGCTTTGTGGATCCCACACGTATTCTGAAACCTTTCCCAAAGCCCGTTAAAAAGACGTTAGTATTAACGGACTGCTCTTTTCCCACTAGTCAGATTATCCCTAGGGGATGCGATGTGATACGAGTGGAGTGAATACAAAGACCAGAATTTCTTAAATGCCGGTCGGACACTTTGGTTGACTAGCTTGTTAGTGGTTCCGATCAGTCGCGTGCTCGCATACAACATTTCCAAAGGTTCGATGACTCTACAATCAACTAATGAATATCGAAGACTATACTATACACTGATATCGAGGTGTTCTGTTGTATGTACTCCCGTAATCTAGTGCACTGGCTCCATTGTCATTTCTCAGCTTATCCCTTCTCTAATGTGAGCGTCAGGGATAGATTGATATTTAGAGATTGTTTCCCACCTTCTCGAGAGTGAATCGGCTCCAAGCTTTTCTATGAAGAGCCAATGCGGATGACCCATAGTGAAAGGTTTTAGAGGTTGGAGGAACTTTTATGGATAGTAAGTCGCGCATTCTTGCCATGTTGTTTTGAAGATGTGTACTAGTGATTAGCTCTTGATGTGGCTCGAGAATGGTTGGTCCACAGTACTCCGTAGATGTATTTGTTACTGCCTGAATCAATCTCTATGCCCGACTACTTAATGCTATTCAGCTGTATCAAAAAAGCTAGGATAGACTACGAAGATTGGGCGATGATGGGCATGTGCTCTTGATACGGCGTTGCAGATGATGCTCAAGAGCCATACAATCCACATAGAACAGGCGAAGGTCGGGACGGACGTGACCCAACCAGGCAGGACGCTGTGGCCAATCTTGGCGTATCTCCATCAAGGCTGCGATGGTAAACGGCAGTCTTGTGTCACTTTACGATCCTACAACAGCCAATGATTAAATCATTTCAGTGCTTATTCTGTACCCATGGGGCAGGGGTTTCCCAAAAAATGTTTGTACTTGGCAACTTTTTTCAGCTTGACATCCCCCCCGCCTTTTTCGACGTGTGGTGTTTTGTTTACACCCACCAGCGTTACTGTCAACATGAGAAGATATCACATGAATGATCCCGTTGACATGGTGCGGCAGAATACCGGTCTGAACAAGGGGCAATGGGCACGTTTCAATGTAAGTTTGCGCTGAAAGAGTACGGAGAATATCGGTGGGGTTTGACAGAGCGGAACAGAAGATTGTGCACGACGAGGGACAGAACCTGTGTGATCGGCTTGGGAGATCTTTGACTTGGCCCAATGTACCCTTCAATGAGCAAATTCGTGTTTTGGAGGCGGTAAATACCCGACTGGTAAGGGAAGGGATTCCCGAGGTTGAGATGAGCGCTCTCCGATGGCGCATGTCAACCTCTCTGAAGAGGATAAGTGAGTACCTCCATGTGTGGGATGCCTATGTAAGCTATCCTTTCTAATCGACACACAACTGTATAGAGCCCAAGGTCAGCGGCGAGGGAAGCGCGGCCATCAATCAAGCAACGGCATCCTCGAAGAGCCTACCGTACGATCCAATACGGGACAGCTAGCCTGTCCAAAAGGCGGGTCAATGTGTTGTAGTATTACACACATTGCACGTACGGCGAGATGGGGAGATGTAGAATGTGTATGTTTTCAGACAATATTGTATTCAAGATTAGCGAATATATTTGGTATCCTACAATTTCAGGCCCATATTGATGTGAACTGCCTTCGTTTGTGAATATGCCTCCAAGCCCGCCGCACCAAGTTCGCGTCCGATACCACTCTGTTTGACGCCACCGAATGGAACTCTGATATCGGAATCGTTGGAACTATTCACCCAAACCATACCCGCTTCCAACTTAGCGGAGACACGGTGCGCTCGCTCCACGTCTTGTGTGAATAGTGCTGCCCCCAGGCCATAGCAGGAATTGTTGGCCAATCTCACAGCTTCTTCCTCAGTCTTGAAAGGCGTGATAACAACGAAGGGTCCAAATACTTCCTCTTGGAAGATCTTCATATTCTCGGTGACGTCCGTAAACACCGTCGGCTCAATGAAAAATCCCTTCCCGTTGCCGACATTCTTGTGAGGCACGCCTCCAGTCGCGAGCTTAGCACCCTCGGATTTTCCAGACTCTATGTAGCTCAGAACTCGCTCGTACTGGGCTTGGGTGACCTGAGGGCCCTGGAAAGTATCGTCGTCGAAGGGATTGCCGACCTTGTTGGCGGCCACAACGTCCTTGAACTGCTTGATGTACTCGTCATATACATCCTCGTGAACAAGGATTCGCGATGTCGCAGTGCATACTTGACCTTGGTTGTACATAATGCCAACATGTCCCCATTTTGCAGCCTGCTCGATATCTGCGTCCTTGAATACAACAAGAGGGGATTTGCCACCAGTTTCGAGTGTGAGGTTTTTCAAATTGATGCTGGCGCCCTTCATTACGGCTCTTCCGGTGATGGTCGACCCGGTAAATGCGATCTTGTCAACGTCCTGGTGGGACACGAGCGCGTTACCGGCCTCTTTTCCGTAGCCGTTGACGATATTGATGACGCCTGGTGGAAAGCCGGCTTTGGGAATAAGTGTCGCGAGGTACAGAATCGACAGCGGGGTCTGTTCCGCAGGCTTGAGGACAATTGTGTTACCACATGCAAGTGCAGGGCCGAATTTCCACGCAGCCATCATGAGAGGAAAATTCCAAGGAATAATCTGTCCGCAGACACCTAGCGGTTGCTTCAATGTGTATGCGAATTTCTGAGGATGTGTTGGAATAGTGAGACCGTGAATCTTGTCGGCCCAACCGGCATAGTATCGGATCACAGCGATGGTCTCGGCGAGATCTTCGTTAAGAGACACACTGTAGGCTTTGCCATTGTCCCATGTTTCTAATGTTGCGAGAGTTTCCTTGTGTTCTTCGATGAGATCCGCAAACTTGAACATCAGCGCGCCACGGTCGGTGCCGGATATTCCACCCCATGCTTCGGATTGAAATGCAGCTCGCGCTGCCTTGACAGCCTTGTCGACATCCTCTGCCGAAGCAGCTTCTACGGATGCAATCTCGGACTCATCACTGTATCGTCACAGACATCGGTTAGGCGATACCTTTTGGTGGGAGCAGAATGTGGAACATACCTCGGGTTGATACTTTTGATCTTGTCGCCGGAACTCGATTTCACGAACTCATTGTTAATGAAAAGACCGGTTGGTAATGTGATCTTGTGGCCATTTGGCGCAGTGAGGTTGACTTCAAGGCCCGTCATTGCTTTCTGTTGCTGCAAGATTACAAGCGGATGGTATGTGTGCTGGACAACGACAATTGCCACGAACACACTGCAGCAAGCGGGTGTCTCGTTATTAAATGGAATATCCTAGCGCAACGTCTCTGCCCACGGAGCTAATAGAGGATCAAGATCACACGCAGGTAAGCTATAGCAACTTGGATAGGCACCCCTCCTTTCATCGCTATCTGGGTCTTGCATGTTGCGGGGTCCATTCCGTCACTGGCTCCCCCGCTGCAACGCGATATGGGTGGTCGCGCCCGCAAGCCACAGCCACGGGTACGAGGCTTGTGCTGATATGCCGCGGCCAAATCGGGAAAAAAGATAGGCAACTTATCTATCACGAGCAGATGCGCGTTCATCGCTTGGGCAATGCAACCAAGCTGGGCAAATCTTCCTGGACCCATGTCAAGTCGACCGATTATTTACGTACTGCGGTTTGTAGCAAGTCTTCTGTGCGAAAACATAATCGTACTGGCTGTAGGATTCGCCACATGCCATGAGGGGTAAAACGCAGAGATGCGATGTTCCATTGCCCCGTCCTGATATGTGCAGCTTCCGCAGGGTGACCTGCGCATCATGTAGTGCAAGTACCTCTTGAAAATATTATCGAACTTCAGAATGTGATGACAGTCTGCGGGACTACATTAGCTCCTAGAAACAATATCTCACGGGTTGTTCTAGAAAGCGCGATTTGATATGCGCCTTTTTCGTTTCGCATTGAGAGTATTGTTGAGCCATTTTCGGTGACAGTGGCATCGCCAATTCGGAGATTGAATACCTTGCTCCGTCGTACTAATTGTACTCGACGCAAATTTTCAACAATCCCAAAAATGCCTCTATGGCCTTGTAGGTATCGATGATTTACCGTTGTCACCAGCTTTTGGCCTAGAGGATGCCCGATGACTTGGTACTACGGCTAGCTTCGAGGCTGACCTGATCGGGTATGTAGATGGGCATTGTATAAAAGAGAGCCAGATTGACCATCAGAATTATTCGCACACGTTAATTTTTTGAGCATACCCGGATGGCTTAATTGTTTCCCTCATTTTCCTTGGGTTTTATGAATCATTCGGTTTTGTGTCCTTCGGTGGTACCTCGACAATGGTGACTCAAACACTAACTCACGCCGTCTCTTCACATCCAGTTCACAGTCCTGCTATAGAGGCCCACGCCCGGTAATGTGACTGCGAGTCGAATGTCACAGGTTACACTCCTGGATCAAACTTCACGATACGTAGGCACATGGTTCTGATTACATATTTTTTAGGACTTGTGCCGAAATGCAATTGGATCATATTCGCCAAAGCACAAATGGAAGATCCACAGCTGTTGATTCATCTGCTTCAATTTCATGACAAAACATGCTCTACACAACCTTCCCGACAGCCACCTAAGGAATAGCTGCTTCAACCTCTATCTCAACCTGCATCCCCTCCAACCCCAGCTTCCCAATCTGAATGCAAGTCCATATCGGGCGATGATTAGGAAACAGTTTCTTGAATTGCGCCGTCATTACATCGAAACTCTGGTCCATGTCCAAGTGATATGACCGGATAGCGTAGATGTTTTCTAGAGACAGGCTCTTGTCGACAGCTTTGAGAGCCTTCTCCACATTGCCAAATGCTAGTGCAATTTGATCCTCCAACTTCGGTGTGATACTTCCGTTTTCGTCCCATCCCCCTTGCCCTGCTGTTTTGACGGTGTTGCCAATCCTTACGGCTTGCGAGTAGTGGTAGTTTTCCGCAATGCTTTCGGTGCCAGGGTAGTTGAAGTATTGGACTTGAGTCATGCTTGTAGTATGGTAGAGACAGTGATAAAAACTTCTCAAATGATGGAGTGAATTGTTATGAGCCTTTTAGCGGTACTCGGACTGAAGCAAAAGATAAGGAACAGGCATATTGATGCTCTGTTAACTGGCAGCAATTATATACTCGGATCCGACAAGAGCCAAGGTATTAAAGTTGAGGAGTTCATGGGCCAAATGGCGGAGAGCAGTATGTTGACAATCGAAATACCCGATCTAGATCAAGGGTTGAAACCTAGCATGCTGAGTTCCCCTCATGCCAATATACCTGCACGTGGCAGCGTGCATTACCAAGATAATGAACATCCAAGTTTAGTTACTCGTAGGCTGAAAACTAATCTGATCAAACCACAATACTAGTATACTCGGATAGTGTAGCAACCGGTATGAAATATCTCGGTTATTAGACTATGCATCGATATTCTATCTAGAGGCCTCGACGGATGCTAGTCAAGGGAAGAGAGTGGGTATTTTCGAATCTCCGCATATTAGTCATGGAATTCCAAAGTGTAACTATTTGGGACGACATAAACATCTGTATCACCCAATTACAGTCATCAGCTGAGTTCTTATGCCGGCCATCCGTCATTTCCCACTCGCGCTTTTCCACATCTGTGTAAGCATTTTGCGGGGTATGGGAAATCGGGAATTACGATCTCATTCGTGGTCACTAAACATCGTTCAACCAGATACATTTGATACTCTCTAATTGCATTCATGATTGGCTTTGGGATGATCTACATGGACATATTGATTTAAACCCGTTGTCATATGTTGAGCCCTTTACGAGAACGCAGACCCTACTATGAAAAATGCACAGCCAATCCGATCTAGTATTTCTCGCAACTAGAATTTCCATTGAGTCGATAAGCAGGATGTCGGCTCTTTCGTGTGGTTTCTTTCCATCTTGACCTCATATTATGTTCCTCTTCATAGAATCTTTCCTGCCGTTTCCCCCTTTAGGTTTGAATCTTTGATTTCGTCTTTCCCTTTCACGTTGTGTTACACAAGTAACATAACTCCTTTACACGAATATCGATGAATACATAAGCCACGTTTTAGCTATATCAGGAAATTGAGCATTAATAGGCGGAAGCTAAGATTTCCAGGTTTAAGAAAGAACTACTGACTTTGTACTAAGATCTCCAATCGGCGCTCAACATGGCAAGGTACCGGAAAACACTGCTATGTTCGATGAATCGGGCCGTTTACGAGGTAACTTTCCCCGCATCCCCGCAAGTACTAATGGAGGCTCCGCTGCATACATGCACCCCTTCTTGATCTAGAAAAGATAAGTTGAGAAAATAATCTCCATTCATAAGAGATGTCTTTCCCGACTATGTCCATAACTCAATTCTCATGTCCTCCGTCTCGTCAAGCCCCTCCCCTACACCCCCGTCGTCAATCGCATTATCCGGAACACTACCCACAATAGACACGGTGCTCCTTAACACTATGAGCGAAACAATCACCCATATCGTGCTATTCAAGTACAAGAACGACATATCATGGTCGGACTTTGAGGCCCATTTTGCGTCATTCATGGCATTGAAGACGAAGTCGCTCCACCCTGTCACTGGCGCGCCACTCATCAAATCGTTGAAAGCGGGAAAGAATCGATCATGGGAGTCGTTCAATAAGGGAATGACGCATGGATTTGTTCTGGAGTTTGCATCTCAAGAAGATCTCGACTACTATCTCACAACGGAATCTGTTCATCTGCAATTCTCAAGAGATGCGAAGCCATTGATCGAGGATTCCGTGGTTGTAGATATTAAGGATGGTGTGTTATTCGGGGCCCCGGCGGAGCATCCAAACTTGAAAGTTCCCGGAACAAGGAAAGGAACCTGCCATTGCCAAGGTGTGAAGTGGACTGCAAAGTTGGACAAAGCAGAGCACGTGTTGTGTCATTGCTCTACCTGTCAAAAATTGGGCGGAGGGCCTTACTCATGCAATCAAATCATTCCACGGGAGGAACTATCGATTGTTGCCGGTCAAGAGAACGTCGGAGTTTACAAATATAAGGGAGCAAGTGGTATGTGCACATTTCACTGCAAATGCATCATCGAAATGGGGTTAACCAGTTCTTAGGCAAATTTGTCTCATGCTACTTCTGCAAGACATGCACTAGCCATATCTACCATCACCAGGATGTTATGCCCGAGAAGGTGATCGTCCGAACACTCTTGCTTGACGGAGGTGAAAAGATGCCTGCGACAGGCGAAATCTTCGCTGAGGGCAAATTAGGCTGGGTTCAAGAGATCAAGAACTCTTTGGGGAACTAGGGATTGCTTCTCAAACGCAGAAAACGTTGATGTAATGTTAAGCATGCGCAGGAAGTATCGATCGAGTGAGCGAGAAAGAGCTGCTCCGGCTGCGTTGTATAAATAGAGAGCGATGAACACTAAGACGATGGGGGCCATGAGCGGTGCTCAGCATAGACATTTTGAATTGTGAACAATAGACCATCACTCGAATTTTCATTTTAAATCTGATGAAAGCTCTAAGACATATTGATTATTTAATTTGCGTCAAAGTACCTACTGTAAACAAACATCCGGTGTCTTCCGTTTCCATGGACGTCGTCCCGAATTGGAGAAGTCACAGAAACCCTGGAGTTGAAGTGAGCTTACCTATAATACCGGCGGTCTGGAACTCCCAAGTTCAATGAAGAGCTATACTGGAAGCATAAGTCTTTTCTCACCTTTAAAAATAGCTTGATCTTCTAGTGTTAGCACCGAAACCACTGTTCTCTCACTCTGTAAGGATGATCAAATAAGTCATTTGTGGAATGTCACGACGTCAATGACGTGCTACAACAGCCTTGACTACGTGTTTCAAACAAGCTACGCTCATGCCAACACGTTGAACACGTGCTGATTGATTACTATTCAATTTTCTTCAAACAATGAATAGGAGAACCACTGCAACCACTACATATTTCTCGGGATTAGTACTTGCACTCGTGTGACTATCTTCCAAGACGCTTGTCTGAGGCTGGTACTGCACGATTATCAAGATTTGAGCCAAGATCATTCGGAATAATTCATTTCCAAAGCAGTATGACAGGTTAACGGCCACCAGTAATCTAATGATGGGTTCGGTGTGGCGCATCTGCTTTGAGAATAGTGCCATCATAAATTAAACTGCTAGAGAGCGAGATTACTGGATCTGGAAATCGTCCGTGCAAAAACATCGCCAAAAGAAGACATGCCCGGGCAAAGGACTGGAATCGGTGTTTGACATTAAGTGGTCCGTTAAGTCTCCTTAAGTCTGTATGCTGGAATACTATGCTGCCATCTACAACGATGTTAGCCAATTTGCAAACCCTCTTTCTAATTTATACCCGTTGCGATTTTGCTGCCGTGATCCGTGGCGTTCGTCCCCGACGGGAGGTTTCTCCAAGCCACAAAATGTCATATCGTACACAATAGGAATTCATAGACACGTTCCACTTTGGCTGTGAGAAATGACTCGAGGAAAATTGGGGTTACCGGCCAAGGGGGTTTATCTATATCAAAGGACCTTACAAGTTGGTGTGTATAAGCAATCACTCCGGAACTAATCATCCGAATACCTATATAATAAACATAGCTAGACCGTCAATATTGTTTCCACATTCGTTGCAAATTACATCGAAACATGAAGTCAAGCTTCGCAACTTTGATTCTTGCAGGTGTACCGGTGGCATTTGCCCAGGTCAAAAATGCAGCATTCGGGTTTGCTGCAGGAACGACGGGTGGAGGGACGGCGACACCAGTCTACCCAACAACCACGGCTCAGTAAGTACACTATCAGGGTTCTCGTTTAGAAAACGATAATGCAGACGCTGACTGGAACAGGCTTGTCTCCTACTTGACTGACAGCTCGCCACGGGTGATCATGCTTGACCGGACGTTTGATTTCCTGCAAACGGAAGGCAGCACCACTGCTCAATGCTGCAGCGACAACAGAACTACCAAATGTCCCGGAGGTACCTCAGCTGGACAGCTGTGGATCGGTGACACTTGTGACTCAGGAACCTGGCAGACATGTACATACTGGAATGCACCCAGGAAACCAATTGATGTCAAGAGCAACAAGTCCATTGTCGGCGTGGGGAGCAAGGGAGTGATTCGGGGTAAAGGATTGCGCTTTTCAGGGGGAGTCAGCAATATCATCGTTCAAAATATCCACTTCACGGTATGAAGTACCCGCTGCATGCAGACTTCTTACTACAAGCTAACGCTTATGAAGGAACTAAACCCTCAATTCGTCTGGGGAGGAGATGCTCTCACCCTAGATAATACTGACAGGATCTGGATTGACCATAACAAGATATCCTTGGTTGGCCGACAGATGATCGTTTCAGGCTGGGGTAAAGCTGGCCGAGTAACCATCTCAGATAATGAGTTCGATGGCAGAACTACGTGGTCAGCCGGTTGCAATGGCAAGCATTACTGGGCTGCTCTACTTATTGGCAAGGAGGACTACATCACCCTTGCAGGAAACTATCTTCATGATCTCTCCGGTCGTGCACCTCATCTCGGCACGGATAACGCTGCTAGCGTTGTTCATGCCGTCAACAACTACTTCAAGGTAAGCTCGATTGTGAGTAAACATGTATACGAAGTTGACTAACCGTGCTTTAGAACATTGGGGGCCATGCATTCGATATCGAAAAGAACACTTGGGCTCTCCTCGAGGGTAACTACTTCGAGAACGTCGACACGACCCTTACTCCCAACACTTATACTTCAGGCGGCCAAACTTACTTCATCCAAACTGTGGCCGATGCAAGCAATGCGCAAAGCGCACTCGGATATATTCCAGAATGGAACCGACTTGCTGGAACGTCGAAGGCAATGAACCCAATTACCAGCTCGCAGACACTGAGTAAGTTCAGTCAATACAAGAGTCAGATCACGTGGAGTCACTGGAAAGTTGAAAATGTCCCGACCAACGTCCTGAATAACGCCGGAGTTGGAAAGGTATAGTCATGTAGTTTCCGATTATGATAGCAAGATGGAATGAAGACTACATATTCGCAAAGTGAACCACTTTCGAAAATATTGCATGTACAATTCCCAGCATGCCTTCCCTAGAATCATTCACTGTACTGGCTGTAGCATCTCTTAAACCCAGTTCTATCTGTACTACAATCCGCCCGCGCACAGCCTTCAACACGCTGCAATTTTGTTGACAGACTAAGCGCATTGTTGTCTTTGAATCCAATGACGCCCTCCCCGTTATTTTGCCCATCGCCTGTTCTCTCGAGCGTCAAATTGAAATGGAGCTTCAAGCCGGCTGGCATGAAGTACATTTTACCGGGATCATGTCCTCCGCAACTTGGTAGACGGTGTCCGATATCTGTTGCTTTGCGTTGGACTTGGATTGGTTGGGTGCCGTTTGTTGGGTTTGAAAACTCAGCAATGAGAGCAGGCCCGGTCTCCTGTTCATTCTCAGTATCCCTTTCGAGGTCATGGCAACCGTCCGTTATTCCTTTTGTCCTGGAAAAGGTGGAAACTCACATTTGCGGAAACCTCGTAGTCCCAACCAGCAATCAAAGCCACCGTTGCTCTGATCCCACTGGTTATTGAGAGACTACTCTTGATCTCCCATTCGTCGAACCTGAATTCCGTAATGTTTCCATGGTATCGAATGGTACTCTGAATATACCATTCTCGAGAAACGATCGTCGCCTTATCCTCTGGTTTTAATCCGAGAAGATATGCTGGGTTAGCTGCATCGGTCGAAACATTTATGCGCATAGTGTAATCATTAGAGATAGAAAGTCCCAAGGCTGGTCTAACTAAGGATTCGTCGTACGGTGTCCACATGTAAGTACTTTTGTAGCTGAAGAGATCCGAGGCTAGAGTTGGTATCGCAAGTTGACAGAATATTGCCGCTACAGAAGAGGTGGACCGCATGGCTTCTGATTGCCTCTATGCGCTGTTCAACTGGATTTGCAAAGTATCGCGTGGTTCGTCAGCTAAATAGCTAAGTTTGACCTCAAAGAATATACTGAACAGCTTCCTGTTTGTACCTTCTTATGATCCATGATAGATTCTCCATATCATATACAAAATGAGCAAAGAGAGCGACAAGGTATGCAGGCAATAACATTTAATTACAGTTCTCTGGAGCATCACGCGAATCACATAAGCAATAATCTACCGCACTATTGCACAAGAACGTCTCGAGATTGTTCAAGCGGATGGATTTCCGGATGTGGCACAAAACACTGATGCAACCAACGTGCAGATGACCCATCATATCTCGCAGTCATGTATTGGGGCGATCCGGAAGATGTAGAATCATTGTGAACCAAAATGCTATTACATTTCCAAAACTTTAAGATCTTCTTCCTTACTACTTGTTGATATGCTCTCCACCTCAATCTTTGACTCTTTTGTTTGATACATTCTCTTCTTTATGGTACCACTTTCAAATGCAAACACAAGATTCAGATCTAAAATCCACGTTCTCAGAGCCTTTAGCCAAAAATAGTTCACTACATGGGTACCTCTTCTTGTGCAATCAACCAGATTAACGCCCCGAAATCTAGATACAACATTCAATAATGCTTTGCAGACGTTGACCTCCATCAGTCCTCCGCCGGCTTGATACATATATCCGGATTGTATCAAGCACTGCAAGTCTGCTAAGTATTGTTCTTAGTAACTTGTATCCGCTATCCGCATGGGCACCATGTTGACTAAATTTACTGCTTTCCTATGCTTAATTGCCCACGCAAAAGCTCATTTCACAACCGGCCACCTCTTTGTGAACGGAACAGATACTGGCCTTTGGAAACATGTTTTGTACGTAGACTCTCACTATGAGGAACTATTCCAATGACTCTAATTATCTCGAAGAGAAGTCGCTATCGAGGGGAATCCCCTCACCAACGGTGGATTCCCTCCAACCAACCATTTCTTGAAAACCACCCCACAATTCGCCAAAGCTCTCGACACAAAGAACATAACCTGTGGTCGAGCTGCATTCAACTCCATGGAGAAGACTGAGATCGCAGATGTCGAAGCAGGCGAAGAGATCGGCTTTGGAGTAATGACGTTCGAAGAAGTTGGCCACAGTCTGAGAGGAATTGATGGCAGATTCTACCACCCTGGACCAGCGCAAATCTGGCTCTCGCGGGCACCCGGTGACGATTTGAAAGCGTATCGCGGAGATGGCGATTGGTTCAAAGTCGCCTGGGCCGGACCTCTGAATAACACCAAGTGGACACTTCAAGGCGGATTCTCTGTAAGTTGGCCTCCTTACATAGTTTCCAAATGATAGGGAAGAGAACTCTTACAGAAATGTGACAGTATAACTTTACCCTCCCGCTTACTACACCTCCTGGGAAATACCTAATGCGCTTCGAATACCTGATGCCTTCTGTCGGACTCAATCAGACTCAGTGGTATATCAATTGCGCCTTGATTAATCTCAAAGGCCCAGGAGGCGGTACTCCTACAGGATTCGCCCGATTTCCAGGGGCTTACAAGCCAGACGATCCCGGTAAAGCTTTTTACATGATTCAATAAGAGAGCTCCTACTAACATGAAATTTAGGCCTTTGGATACCTTGGAATCAGGAAGAGGGTGCGCTGCCGGACGAGTTGATGCGTCTGATGGATTATACACCGCCGGGACCACCTGTTTGGAGGGGCTGAGGGTTTCTCATCACATCTTTCTTTGTCACATGTTGCCAGTGATTAAGATTAAAGATCGGAAGTATTCAATGAGCAAGACTATTTGAGTTGCATTTAACACCACTCTGACTGTTTATGTACACTATCTTGCTACTCGTCCTACGAGAATCCCAATGACATAACTTTCCCAGGAGGGAACTAAAGCCCGGGTGCCCGGTAACGATGGAATTAATAGTGTACATTCCTCACGTGCGTTCATTTTTGTGCCCCTTAAGATAAGCATGTGAACAGGGTCCGGTGGCGAAAGAGACCAACTTTGGAGCATCTCACGATCCAAGCTCCAGATACCGTCAGTGAATAATACAAGGCAACAAAGTATTATTATTATTATTCTGCATCAATCTGGTATCAAATTACAATACCCGCGATGGAGTCAAAAACAGAAATACCAACTCCGGCAGCATCCGAGAGCTTATCTTGGTTGATTCGAAAACGGTTGGTTAACAGGCTGGCTGCCTAGGGGTGCGTCGTGCATGACGTTCGAACCTCCCACATTTGCGGTTGGGTCTGCCCGTTCTGCCTCGTTGTCGAATGTGTTCTGCTTGAACGTGGATCCCTGCTGGCCGGATTGATTCGACATAGGGTCCTTGCTTTCGTGCTGGAAGGGCTTTTTGATCTTGTCGAGCAGCTTGTTCAACGAGTTGCGGCGGCCAGCAGAAGCGTCAGGCCGGGTTGGGGTAGAGTCTTTCATATGATTAGACAGGATGGTCTCACGGAGGTAGAAAACATATATGGAGCTTACCCTGCATCCCTGTTGTAACGTCACGATTATCTGTCATTGTAGCGGTTGTTTTGGGATATTTTCAAGATGGATGGCTTTCTTGTGATAGAATGATTTGCTCGACGAGAACGATGGAGCTCGCTCTGATAACCCTCGAGCTTATTTATGTCTGTTCCCCCCAGACAAAGGGATAGGCTACGTCATGCCGCTCAATGCCACCACTGAGAGCGACTATTCCACGTCTCGTGATCACGGGATAGCGTTCGTTCTAATAGAGGCTGTACAGAAGCGGGGAAAGGAAGTCGCCGGAATGACAGATGCTGGCGAGGCACCACCCACTGCGTAATGACAATCCGACACATGGTTCGCCATTCCTCAACAGGCATAGAGTATTATGTGTTTCAAAAACCTGTGATTGTCTCCAGTTCGCCATGATCGCGATTTCTCAGCCCGTCAAGCTTCAGAATTCTGCGCTCGTGCCGCGGCCATCAACCTCTCCTTGCGCCCCTCTTTCCAAACCTTATCCAATGCTTCAATCTTCCCACCTAGGATCTGCGTGCGTCCGGGCTCCAGCATGAGTACAGCTCTTCGCACATCAGCGTTTCTGATGACTAGCTTCGTGCCCATGCTAATTCCAGTATGGAGTCCATTGGTACCACTTAGGTCGAGGGCGTACACCTTGGTGCCCTTGGCATCTTGTAAGAGTATCTTGAACGGGCCTTTACTGATAGTCGAAGTTGGAATTGCACCATTTGGCTCGTCGTCCGTTACTCGTATGATTTCACGTCCCTTGGTGGTCTCCCCCCGCTCGGTGGCTTCGAGACTTTCGACCTGCGACCAGCGTGAACTGCCAATGTCCTCGATATCAAGGACCTGGCATACAATTGGGCCAGCCAGGAAGCGGCTTTGCGCCTTAGCGTTCAGGACGTCAGATGGGAAGAGAGAAGACTGCGGCTGGTCGAGCGAGTTCGTGATATCCGTTGCTAGCAGCCGGAAGAGACATGTCTGCTTCAGTGCAGGAATGGGGGTATTCGGCCGCACTGTAGATATAAAGGTCTGCAGCCAGGCGTCTGTTGGATGTAGATGGCGGGAGCTCAGATGGACTTTTAGTTCTGTGCAAAGATTGTTGGCCATTCTGGCTACCGCCATGGAAGACAATCAGATCTGATTTGTGATAGTCTTCGCTGGCATCTTCAGAATCTTCGATTGTCGTTCACGGAAGATGTTGAGGTTTTATTCTGGAAGCTATCAAAGCAGGTAGGTTTGATATGGTAGATCTTATACGCAACGGCGCTACAAACGCGTCGTGCACGAAGGACCCACAAGCTTTTAGCGCCAACAGCCCAGCCGAGAGACAGCTCACCCGCAATGACCTACCTCGTCCAGATTCCATACGTACTCGTACTGTGTAGTTACTGTATAATATGACACAACAATAGTAAATAGAACTTCATACTCGCCGTTACCTTCGTGCGATATCAACACCACAGGCTCCAGCCTCCCAAAATCCACCATGTCGACCATAGCCTCCCCTCGACCATCCTCCTCCATCCGCTCTCCCTCCTCAACCCGCACATCCTTCGAAGCCACCGCCCGCCCAGCAGCAAACCCTCGTCGCAACCGCGCCGCTCTCCGCGACTACTACGGCCTCAAGAGCGCCGCGGCCGCGCCCAAAGATGCAGACTCCAAGATCTCAGAGGAATCCGCACGCACAGATCTCGGCCCGGAGCTCGAAGAAGAGACGCTGACGGAGCTGGATAAGCAAGGCTTCGACGCCAATGGCTTTGTGGACAACATCCTGGCGACCAGCGGGCTCTCCGGCGTGCTGAAGGTAGAGGCGGACCTGATATCGCAGATCAGGAACCTGGATAGCGACAGGAAGAGTCTTGTGTACGATAATTACTCGAAGCTGCTGTCGGCGACGAGTACGATTCGGAAGATGAGGACAAATATGGATCCTTTGGCGCCGACTACGCATACACTGGGCCCCGCGATATCGCACATCGCGGAGACGGCGGCGGGGCTTTCGTCGTCAATGCAGGCGTTGCAGAAGCCGGCTGGTCTTGGGATCGAAGTGCAGGTGGAAGGGGAGGAAGATGCCGAGTTAGCCAGGAAGCGAAGTCGGAGAGATACTGTGCAGTGGGTGCTGGACACGCCACGAAGGCTCTCGGCGCTGGTCGACGAGGATAAGGAGGAGGAGGCCGAGAAGGAGTGGGCGGAAGTGAGCAAGATATTGGATAAGTGGAAGGGGGTTCCCGGTGTTGACGATCTCCGGCAGCAGTGCGAAGAGATAATGGCCGAGGAAGAGGAGTCTGAATGAGCAGCGAATGCAAACATGAATTTACGTTGAACCATGGCACTCAGCGCAACATGGTCGAGGATCTTGCGAAGCTTCTCGCAACAATCTGGCCATTCACCAAATCAACGTTCCCATACGAAGATACCCAATTGATTTCTCGTGGCCCGAGCCGAATCGGAAATGTGAGAACTTCCCCGCTACCTCCCTCGCAAGCGATGTACGAAACGGTCGATCAAGCTACTACTCCGGTCACACAATTCTACCAGAATTACAGGATATACATTCCGATTCGAGAAACGGACTGTCACGATTGAAACAGGAGGCATGGACGAGTCACCGTACCTCGAACCAACCACACGTACATCACTATCGGGGGGTCTCCAGGGCATGCAGAAGCAGGAAGAGATTCAGAGTTACGCGCTCGAAATAGAGCAAAGTTACAAACTTCTATTGCAATGCAGAAGCGCATCGATGATTGATCTTAGTAAACAAAAGAAATGATAGCCTATGTATATCTATGATATATACAGCCGGATATGTGATATCGCCCGAACCCAAGTCTAATATGAACGCCTTCCCAAAATGCACACATGCACCCACTATGTGAACCCCCTTCCACACATGAGTGATGTACCGCCAGAATATGCAACAAAAGAGATATATATAGTAGTCGTCGAGACCGAAAATGGTATATGATATGCGGTTAGTCTTCCCCCGTCATGCAATGCAATTTTGCGAAAATCAAGCTGCGCACTTTTCCTTCCCATCATGCCGTTCCACACCAGCGCTCGCCACAACGGCGCATTCCTGTCGCTGACCGACGTGGTGGTGGTGCTCAATCTCCTCCACCTTCTCCGCGCGCTGGTTGAGGAGACTCAGGTATGTCTGCCATCCGATTGCGATGACGCCGCCGAAGATGCTGCGGTACTCGATGGGGATGAAGCTGAAGCTGAACGCGGTGACGGCGGGCCAGAGTTTGCAGGAATTGATCCAGGACGTGGGAACGGTATTTTGTAGGCGTTCGAAGAGGTCGGCGAAGGAGAAATCGGAGGGGTGCGTCGTGAGGACGAACTGCATGCCGAAGAAGTAGGAGTTGAAGATCGGGGTGAAGAGGAGTTGGTTGACGGTAACCTGTGCGGTCGGTGTTAGCTAATTCGACCTCGGATTGAAAGTGACAGTCTTGTAAAATATATGTACCTTTGTTGTGAGACTCAGGATCTTGCTGCGGTAGTTAAAGCTGTTGGAAAGCCATAGGAACCATTTATATCCTGGGACCGCTGAGAAGCCTCCGATGAGCAGCGCTCGTACTGTCCTTGCCCAGTCCCTATCTTCGGCCCAATCGACCACCCACCCCTTTGATTCGTCCTCCTCGGCCGCAGATGAATCGCTGACCTCTTCTTCCTCTGCGGGTGCCTTTCCGATGCTTTGCGCCACGAGATCTCCCACAAAGTACACCGTCAACGAGCTCAGAAACTGTGTCATGTACGGACGTCGGCGCTGCGCCCGGCCGTAGGCCCGGAAAGGTTCATATATGGGCTCCAGCCACAACCATGTTGGTCCGGGTATCGTCTTCGATGTCTGGGGCGCTGCTTGCGCGCATGGGTGTTGGGTATCGCATTTCGTTGTTGTGCGCCTGCGCTGGAAGGTCATCGGAGAGGGTCGGAACGGGGAAGGGTTGAATGCGACGGAGTGCGGGTTTGCGTTGCGCCCTGAGCCGACAGCCCAGGCGCGAGAGATGCGTATCATGGCGGATATGGATATGCAAACATTAGAACTGGTAAAGTGGAGAGTGTCGTGTAGGTCTCTTGGAGGAGTTGAAGAGGAAGGGAATTAAGAAAGCGTGTAAAGCGTTAAGATGTCGCCATCCTCGGCTTTCCGAAGCTGTTCCGGCCGTTCGCAACAGGAACGGAGCAATCAGGGAATCCCTAACTAACCCGTATTTGGCAGCCAAGCACATGGACACTTTACTCAGAAAGGAAACCCTCGGTAGGGCTTCCGACGAATCAAAGCATCTGTTCGGACTCACCTGCCAGCATCAGATGAACTGCCCAGACGTCGGGGATATCAAGAATCAGGTAACAACGAAATAGCACAGGTCACGATCACTTCAAGAGATAGAAAAGCAGCAGATGACTTCATAGGCAAGGGGAATTTTGATATTCCATTCGTCGTGTAGTTGTATATACAAAGAAGTGAACATGGCTAAAAGATGCCATTCTAAATCGTCAGGGACCAAAATGCCCTGTCATGAGAAAATACTTGATGTGTCCAGAACAACAATAAGAAACCATCCACGACGCCGGGTCATGCAGTTTTATGGAGTAGTAGTAGATTTGCATCATTCAACACCCAAGATGCGAGACGCCTAGAAGTTGAAAGCGCGGGCGTGAGCGCGGCGGAGCTTCTGGGCAGTAGGAGAGCCAGCGTTAGCGCGAAGCCAGGTGATGAAAGTGTCAAGAGTGAAGGTCTTGGGAAGAGTGCTCTCGGAGCCCTCGTTGCCATTGCCGGCGCCCTGAGTAGGAGCGGGAGCAGCAGGAGCGCTGGTAGCAGCAGGAGCGCTGGTAGCCGCAGGAGCGCTGGTAGCAGCGGGAGCAGTAGGGTAGCCGGTGGTAGGGTTGGCGGGGGTGAGAGTGGCAGCAGGGGCAGAGGTGGGAGTAGGGGCAGCAGAAGAGCTGGCGGCGGGGGCGGGAGCAGGAGCAGGGCTGCCGCTGGAGGCACCGTCCCAGACAGCAGGGCCAGGGATGGGGTAGGAGGTGAAGGAGTTGTAGATGTCAAAGAGGACGCCCTTGTCGTCAGCCTTGTAAGCTCCAGGAATGGCGACACCAGCGGGGAGGGTGGTGGAACCGCCAGAAACGGTGATCTGGATGCAGTTGGGGTAGAACTGGGCACCACCGTTACGGTTACCCTCGTGGAGGGCGAGGATCTCATCACGGAGGATGTAGTCACCGTCGGCGAGGTCAGGGAGGGTGACGGAGTGCTTGCCCTTGTTGTTGATGAGGTTGATAACAGCCCACTCGCCGTTCTCGAAGCCCTTCTCGGCAATCTTGACCCAGACATCGCCCTCACCGTTGGAGGCAGCGGGAGCAAGGTAGGTCATGATGGGACCCTTGTGAGAGGGGTCGATGATGTCGTCGCCACGAGTGTTGTGGTACCACTCGATATCAATCTTGTCACCTGCCTTAACGGCAAGGGACTTTCCGGCCTTGGTGCTGCCACCAACGTTGCAAGTCATATCCTTGGAGGTCACATCGACGACGGGAGAGTTGTTGGGAGCCTCGCGGATGTAGCCACCGGAGCCAGTGCCAACGCCCTGGTCCTCGCCGTTAACCCAGACAGCGATGGGGCGAGAGTGGGCAGCGACCATGCTGGCACCGGCCAAAAGAGCGAAAGCGGAAGTCTTCATTGTGAGTGTAGTGGTTGGTGTTGTTGTTGTTGGTTGTTGGTTCGGTTTTGGACGGTAACAAGTATTTACTTCTCAAAAGTTGGTAAGAACGAAAGACGAATGGAAACGAATGTTCAAAGAATGTCTGAAAGAGTGTGTAAAAAGAGAGTGATGCTTCAAGCGTGCCCATTCAATAATGGGGATCGTGAGGCTCTTATACTGACTGCTTTACGGCCGTCCCCCCATCAACTTCGCTTTGAGGCAACAGCGTCAATAGCGTTGTTACTAAGGTCGTCAAGGGCATGCTTTCTGCAGCCAAGATGAATGTCAATCTATTCAGCGGGCGCTAGAGGCATGTAGTCCTCAGCAAGGCCCACCCTCCGCCGTATGCCGTTGGAATAAGGCTGGCGTGAAATCACAGCCAAGCCATATTCATCTACTTCGCCCGAAATGGGGTGCTCTAGGCGCGAAACCATTTCCTTCGATGGATTTCCGAGCGAATAGGCGTGGCGAACGGCAGGAAACGTGAAACCTCATGGCATTGCGTGAGTGGCAGAGGTGGAGTGTTCGAAGGAGCACGAGTAGTGGTCGGAATCTCGGCGATAAACGAAACCTCATACGGTGGCTACCATAAAGGGATGAGTTCATGCGACAAGTCATTGTTCTCTCTCCTGCTATCGTTTCACCAACAATAGCAGCAAATACACGGCACAGTCGGTCAGAGTTTGCACACAATGGACACTATTCATCTCGATTGCAGACAACTTGGTGGAGTGCATGTCTACATCGGTTTTTTTGGTTAGCAACGGTCGCGCAGTTGGGGACAAGATTAGCAGGAATACTCCACTTCATCTCGGTTCTAGAAGATTGTAATGATGATTGACTAGCGGTACAAGAGGGCGACACGCCCATGCCGCAAAGGAGACGGAGGATGGGGTAGGAGTTATTCCGTCTTGTCGAAGTTGCATGAAACGGGACCCCCTGTCGAGGAGGAAATTTGAGTGAGGTCAGGGCTTGTTTCGTGTTTCAACGACCCACTGCCATTAATGGCGTCAATGATCGAAAGGTACAAACCATCATGCTTCGATATTAACTGCAATAGCAGAACATTTTAACTTATGAGGTGAGATGAGATGAGATGAGAAGCCATGCATTGGCGTCGAGTGATGATTTGTCTGTTGTAAGTTGGCTGATGTTTGAAGTTAGTCGTTGGGTGAACGTTGAAGAGGATGAATAACATGGGGTGCCAAGGCTGGGTCGTTGCTGATTGGCTGTTTCGGTTCCTTTGGTTCCTGGTTGGCGGGTTTCGGTTCCGGTGTGGCTGCAGCTGTCAACCCTGGAATGAGTCTGGCTTGTCCTTTGCCCTTTACACAGGAACCAGGACACTCGAGTTATCATCCCGCCCCTATGGCATTGTTCATCGACATCTCCACCTACCTAGGTAATTACTCAGGAGGTAAGGAGTAGATAGCACTACCATGACATCGTTAGTAGTTATTAGTACTCCGTATAATACTTAAAATCTTACTTGTAGACCAGCCACCTCGCTTACCCGGCGAGACGCTCACGCTGAGTTGCAGACTCAACCGTCAGGGGCGAACTTAGAGCCCATCGTACTTGTACAGGCAGAACCGGCCTCACTATCGCCGCTCTCGTTTGGTTCTGTCTCTTCGCCGCATGCTGTTCTCAACAGAAACGTCGTGCAGGACTTCGAAGACTCTCCCGTGCCTGTTGGCGTCTTGCGTCGTGACTAGCTGCCGTGGTGTTCTCTCCAGATATAACTTCCGTGCGTTTGCCACTGCGTATAACTATTAGCTTTGGTTCTCCTGGATTGGAACGATTGAAATCTTGCTGTCGGAAAGGAATTTCTGCGTTCTAAGTTGTACATGATCAGTGGAGGTTTGGGTGGATTCTAGGAGTTGCAACCTTCTAGGGACTCATGTTGCCTTTTAAACATGGCCAAGTTGAACCGAATGAGCAATTTTGAGCATTCTTGAGCTCGTTAGACCTGTGCTAGCTCACTAGTAGGGTCTTGGATGGCACTTGACGATATTGATAATAATATAATCACATAGATACATATGTAAGTGTTGCAATGTAATAGATCTTGTCGCTGCACATACATGTCCATTGAATCACTACAAATGCGATCTCAGATGTGCCCAAAATATCAGGTACGAGAGCAGTGAAGACCTCCCTCTTCGTTCTGCTATTCGCTTTAACGCCAGCCAATCGCCTCAACTGTACGTCTCCCTGTATCTCATCATTGCTCAGCAAGAACTTCTCTACCTCAGCATAGAATTCAAATAATGTCTGGTCTTTAGCCATAATCTTAGCAATTGATTATTGAATCAAGTGAGCCCTGACCACCCACCTATGCACTACAAGTATGAACACGCGGTCATAGCGCTATGAAAGTTATCAAGGTCTCCGTCATATATCTGTATTGATAGACAACCACCGCGACTGCGAAGTCGAATATAATATTAAGAACTATTTATTGTTTACCAATATTGGAAGAAATCAATTTGGTTCGCAAATGACCGTTGGCGCGGGTTGCACAAATTTACGACGAAATTCAATGATACTTTTCACCGCCGAAGAGAGTACGTTGTTTTAATTACACTCTATTAATGGACTACATCCAAACCGAACAAAAGAGAAAACCAAAACTATACTGAATATATATTTAAAAGTCCCATTTATCATTGATTCCGTCTTTTTCCTTATTCAAATGCTAGATGCCTGGTTTGCAGTGATGTACCAGTGATGGATGGCCGGGCCAGAAGGGGTTGTATAGCGAATGATACGCATTCCATGTTCATGCGCCCTGTCCTTCAAGCCAAAATAACCAGCAAGGTTAGATACTCTATGTAAGTATGATACATATAGAAAGCCACAGGCAAATAAACAATAGTCGTGTTTGTGGCTGATCGTTACAACCACTTTTGGCTAGCGCTTGAAGTGGATGAGTTTCGACTCTGCCTGCAGCAGGGTCTGGTGACAAGCCCCTCAACACCACACTTCACCCTCACCATAGCTGTTCGGAAACTCGCGATGCCTTCAACACGTGGTAGCTTCGACGCCCAGATGCTTCGCTGCAGTGGTTGAAGTTTACCAACTCTTGACTTGTGTTGAGACGTCTCTAAAGTCCCTCCATGCAATAGTTCCTCTCTGTTAAGGTTGGCTTCCCAGACACCTTCGGTTTCGCCTGCTGTATCTCGCGTTTGAGCATCAGGAAATGCCGGGGGACATAGTCAATGCACGGATGCGGCAGATCACGTTCGCGTTAATCTAATCTATGATAATGTCTTGAGTTTTTGGACGCAACTCACATATACCTTCTGCGTCCCAGCCATGCGACGCGACAATGCTGAAGTTTGCGAGCTTCGAGGTTCACACCGTGACCTCAGTCCTTAGGCATACATCAGTGATGCAGTTTTGAAGGCATCAAAATACGACATAGATACCTTATTTTTACTTTTTAAATACTCCGTTGTTTAATACATCCTCGACATTGCGCTGGATCGCTCACATACTTAATGTACTAATTAAAGAACCACGGAGATATATTCGAATTAGACTCGCCTTCGAAAGCTACGATAGACAGTACCATTTTCTGAAAATGCATCGAACATATCTTCTGCTGCTGAGCGCCTGCGGCGTCTCACTTGCACGAATGCACCCATATCTCTATGGTGTACCGAAAGGACCTGGAATGGACATGGAGGAACTTGCAGTGGTTGATGTCGTATCGCTCGCATTGGACAACTCAACATCATTGAATGCTACTCGGCCTCGTCCGACATCTCCCTCAGCTGTTCCATCGACACCCGCTCTTGCTGAGCCTTGCGCCGTTGTCAGCAGCACAGTGCAAGGACTGCCACCTGGTTCACGGAGAATTGTGCCCGCAGAGCTAGGTATGCGATGCTTGAAATCGGTTCCATTAGATCAAGAAGGCAATGTCAAGTTGATCGACGATCTGAAACTGTATCTGGCATGGCAATCCAACTTGGGCTTTTTGAAGAATCCTCCAGCAGAGTACACCGAGGCCCCTGTGGACATAATAGAAGAGATGAATGGCATGCAAGAGCAACTAAAGTCCGGTGGCTACAACAGCGAATACGATTTTCAGACCGACTTGATGTCATTATTCAATCGTGCATACGACAACCATCTAGCGTGGCAGCCGGACATCCTCGCTGGTGTTATTCAATTCCAGAGACCAGCAGGGACGGAGCTTGTGTCTGTCTCTAGCGATGGACGAGCGCTTCCGGAAATCTTCGCATATCGCGACTTGGAACTTGCAAATCGAGATAAGTCATTCCAGCCTTCGCCTGTCAGGACGATCAACGGTCGTGGTGTAGAAGAGTACCTTCAGAGTGTTGCAGTCCAGGCCGACTTTCACGATGCTGACACCCGCTGGAATGCCCTCTTCCCAAGCCAGCCGCTAATAGCATCGGGAACTACTTTCTTAGGCTCATTCAGGACAGGAGAATACCAAGGACCAAACACCACAATGGCATTCACCAATGGAACAGCAAAGTCAATGATCAACCTGGCTGTGGTCATTGCGGACTTCAATGGTGTCAACAGCGGAGCAACCTTTTTCCAAAAGTTCTGTCGTGGACCTCAACCCGTGGCTCCCCCAACAACCACTCAAGCGCCACCATCTGTGTCGGTCTCACCACCCTCAAGCACACCAACTCCAACGCCCTCGCACATTGGCTACCCCAAGGCAGTGATCCTGCATCCGAATCTCTCCGTTGGGGGCTACCACATCAATGAGACCGGATATGATGATGTTGCAATCCTTAGTATTCCCAGCTACGACTCTCCAGATGTGCAGCTATTCCAGAATGTCATGCGAGACTTCATCCGTCTATCTGCTGCGTCAGGCAAGACAAAGATGATATTCGATCTCCGTGGCAATGGAGGAGGCAATGCTATTTTGGGCTACGACTCCTTCAAACAGGTTTTTCCCCAAGCGGATCAAGAGCCTTTCGGTGGGACCCGATATCGAGCGAACGAAGCCCTGAATATGGTGGGGAAGATATCGGAGAACTTCGAAGCAGGAAATACATTTGTGCAGGGTAACCAGACTGCCTTCCTTCAAGCCTTTGGGGCCAGCACACCGGAAGATATCTCACTATTCACCGCCGGGTTCAATCCTGTGCACCAGCTCGACGTTAACAACGAGAGAATTGACACCTGGGATCAGTTATTCGGACCAGAAACTATTAATGGCGATCAATTTACGACGACTATCCGATATAACTTCAGCGACGAACCTTCATACACTTATCCTGGATTTTCCGTCATTGGCTTCTTGAATAACACCAACGAGACCGCAACCCCACAGCCCTTCACATCCGAGAACATGGTCATGGTATGCTATCTACAAACTCAAACAGCGATCTTACATAATGCTGACCTCTTCTAGCTTCACGATGGAATGTGCTCGTCAACCTGTACCATCGTTTCCGAGCTTCTGAAAAACCAAGGCGGTGTCCGCACGATTGCGATCGGTGGCCAACCAAAAGTCGGACCCATGCAGGGCATAGGTGGTACAAAAGGCGCACAGTCATTCAACTGGGATGACGTTCAGATCCGCACTCAGATTGTGTACTTGTAAGCTCATCACCCCTCAAAATCATCGACAACATCAGATGCTGACATCGAGCAGTACCGGTAGCCCTGAAGAACAGGCACAGTGGAATAACACCGCGCTTGGCCGGACTGCATTTGCAAACCAGCTCTTCACTCGCACGGCGTACGCTGGAGGGCGACCTGCCGGCGGCATCAATCTACGAGATAACCTGCGTCGCAACGACAGATCGAAAACACCTCTCGAATTCGTCTACGAAGCGGCTGATTGCAGGATGTGGTACACGGCACCTATGATCAATGATGTCACGCAAGTGTGGAAAGGCGTGGTTGACAGGATGTTCACGGCGGATGATTCAGGCATGCAGGGCTGCGTTCAGGATAGCACGGGTCATAAGAGCTCTGTGAGCGGTGGTGGACAGGCAAAGAGTGGGGAGGTGCCGCCGCCGCCTCCCCCGGAGGATGAGAAGGGCGCAGAGCAATTGACTGGAGCGGCAGGATCGCTCGCCGTTGTAGGTAAAAGATGGTATGCTTTGTTGTTACTGGTAATATCTGTAATTCTGTAGACTCATAAGGCGGGCGTTTTGGGTAGTTTTTTTGGAGCTTGTTAGGGATTCACGATCTCAATTTCGAATTGCATTTACGCAGACGGACACCAAGACGTCTGCATGTACCAATATACCCAATCAAAATGTTAATACAGTATCAGCATCACAACCGTTTGAACGCGCCAGAGTTGAAGTATCCAACGATTGCTGGGGCCTCAATCATTGCTGCCAGTGACTGACGCCCCGAGGGTTGAGTTCCGCCAAACCCTATGTCCCATACGCTTTGAAAATGAGGCCATTCAAAATTCCCATTAAAAGCACGCCAGATCTTAATAGATAGCATAATACCTCACGTTTAACGATTGCCAGGTACGCGAAGTCCGAATTCCAGGAAACCGGTACTGTCACCCGAGCCTCAAGTCATGACTGAGACCAGATCTCTAATGTACTGCTATATCCGATGATCGCATAAGAACAATAGCTAGTACTTGCACCGTATCAGATTGGGTGGGATTTTCGGATGAGACGAGTTTGGGGGTAAGCGAGTGGTTGATCGGATCGATCCGTAGAGTGTCGCATTTAGCCGCATTGCTGCATCGCCGTGTATGTACGTTGATGGAACGTGTTCACGGTACTCCTTACTGATGTTACACGTTGTTTTATACGGTAATGGCTCTAGATGCAGGTTCATTGTACCGGAACGACTCTAACGTCCTGCCGTATGTACGCCCTACAAGAACTTGACATCACTTCATGATTGTTGGGGATGCGCGCATTCTGACACCATTGAATGATCACGTACGTGTTCCATGCAGACTTCTAGCTTACACTCTCCTTGATGCTTTCCTTGTCTGGCAATAGATGATCCGCATTGGGAATGCTCCTGGCAAGGGTCTATATGCACGCGCGGCATGATTGTAGGTACCCCCACGTTGACTCCCGTGCTAATATTGCTGGGAGAGATTGATGTAGGGGCTTTAAAGCAATGGAAACATTCAAGAAATGCTTAAGACATAGCATAATGCGCATCTAATTAACTGAAGTCGTACAGTTGGTACCTTTCACGCTGATGACGCGCAAGTGAATGACGATAAGCTTATTCCGTGCTCGTAGAGATATGGGAATGGGGATGAGTGTTGCCATTGCGACTCTTCGCTTGAGAAGTGCTGTATTGCGCCATTCCTTCTAAAACCCAATCTCGAGGGCCTACGGTGAGAAAAATCGTCTTCGCCATTCTCTATACGCTACAGCACTGACCCGCTATTTGTCTCATGATCACGGCGGGATTCGATAATACATTTGATGTCGTAATATTAAGACGGAAAATATAGGGAGGTTGGCCATTGGACTTCATTCTGATTTCGTCGCCCTTGTACCTATTGAGATAAGATGAACGATGAATCTGTTTACTTGGGTATTACGTGGTCTTTCGCCTCAACGCCTGCCTTCCATCTGTATGAGCTTCCAACATGATTTGGTAACGTGGCGCTTTGCCCCTTTGTCTTGTAGAAGTTCTCTCGATACGTTCCCCCCGGTACAGCATAGTCATCCCAGAACAAGCCGCGTTTCCTCAGCTCCGGTATCAGTAGCTCAATCACATCAACAAATGTTCCGGGCTTAATGGCATAAGCGATGTTAAAACCATCAACATCTGCTTCGCGGACCCAGCGCTCGAATTCGTCAGCGACCTGCTCGGGGGTGCCGACTACAGTTGCTCCGAGACCCCCAATACAGATGTGTCTTCCGACAGTCACTTTGGTCCATTTTGGGATACCAGGCACAGCATGAGACCATGCCTCTACCGCGGAACTATTTGCACATTAGCTTTGCACTTAGCTGCGACCCAGCACATAAACTTACCGAATTGCGTTTGACTCGACATGGCGTAGCTCCTCATCGTCGCTGTACACAGCAAGGTCAATACCTGTCCAGCCACCAAAAAGGGCTAGAGCGCCATCGACATCTCCATACTGTATGTAATCATCGTACTTCGCTTTCGCCTCTTCTTCAGTCTTTGCAATGACTGGACAAATCAACGCAAGAAACTTCACGTCATCTCTCCGGCGCCCGAATCCCTCTGCAAGATCTCTGATTTCAGCAATGTTCTTCGCAATCGTTGACGGACTGTGGCCAGCAACGAAGATTGCTTCAGCATGCTGTGCAGCAAATGTTTTTCCGGCTTTTGACGTGCCCGCCTGGAGGAGGAGAGGAGTCCTCTGAGGCGAAGGCTGGCAAATATGCGGACCTGGGACGGTGTAGTATTTGCCTTCATGGTTGATCTCCCTGACCCGAGATGGCTCAGTGTAGATGCCCCGTTTTCTGTCGAGTACCACTGCATCATCGCGCCAGGAGGATTCGAATAACTTGTACAACACCTGCAAATACTCTTCTGCAATTTGATATCTTTTGGCCCGATTAGCACAGCCCATTATAGAGGATGCTGTTCTCACCTTTCATCGTGTGCAGGCTGCTCAGTGTGACCGAGATTTCTCGCTGCAGAATCCAGGTAGCCCGTGACAATGTTCCAACCCAACCGACCTTTGGTGAGATGATCAATCGTACTCAGCCTCCGAGCAAGATGGTAAGGCTGTTCATATGTGGTTGCAACCGTGACTCCAAACCCCAAGCTCTTTGTCGCCGCAGCCATGGCAGGCACCACAGCAAGTGGTTCGTTCACAGGCCATTGCGCACCGCTTTTGATTGCTGGCTCTAGGTTACGTGGGCCTTGGTAGACGTCGTAACCTCCAAGTACATCTGCAATGAAAATACCGTGAAACTTGGCAGATTCGAGCAGCTTCGCAAGTTCTACCCAGTGTTCGACTGAGTTGAATTCCGAGGAGTGATCATCGGGGTGCTTCCACAGACCAGGAGATTGATGCCCGGAGCACATCTCCACGAAAGCATTCAACACCAAGGGCTTCTTTGGAGATGATCCATTTTGAGTGTCTGCGGTCATTTTAACGCAACTTGCAAAGATGTTCTAGCGCTTGTATTCAATTCGCTCTGGAGATGATCCTGAAATCAAAATTCGAAGATATTTTATTTGGGTTCTTATGGTCTAGCAATGGTAAGAGTGGCAGTTTAATTAAGCTCTTTAATACGAAATCATCACGTGTGAATGCGGATCGGTCGCGTGGGGATGGTTCACACAATCGATTGCAACATGCGGGGATAAGTTGTCGTGATAACATTCATTTCACCAACCAAGCCGAATTCAGTTTAGCGCAGCATCGAAAACCATAGCATCCTCTGAAAGAACTCAGCTCCGAATGGAGGTTCTGAGATTATACTTGAGCGCATAATATAGACTTCGAAATTATCGACTCTGTGATTTGACCGGCGATTCTGGAGCTGAAGTTTCCAGGCCCCCTGTCGAACAATTGCAGGACCCCACGCATATCGCGATCACAGCACAGGATGATATCGATCAACGGTGCCCACGAAGCTATTGGACCGGTTGCAGTACGATTTGATGGCGGCCCAATAGGAGAATTGAGTCGCCCTTTTATGGATTGACATCAGGATCAACGACAAAGCACCTTTCGTCCTATCATCACACCATGCTGCGCGCGCAATTGTCTCCGGCGATCGTTCATTGCATAGATCCAGGCGCCACAATTCTTTCATCCCATGCATCTTAAGTATTTGTGCAAGATTTGTGGTTCCAGACCAGCTAACCCAAGGAACGGTCAAGGGTCAACTTGACTTCTCCGCATTCGCGTCTTTCTTCACGCGATTGAAACCACTGATAACGTGCTCAGATCAAAATGTTTGCATAGAAATATGTATGATGATGCATAAATGACTGTACTTAATCAATGTATTTTCTCTCCATTTCCCTGACCTTGACAGTATGTTGTAGGTCTGGCGAGTACAGCACGCAAGTATCCTGGATCACCCATCTCAAATCAGACATATCTTCGAGAATATCAGCACCTCTTATTAATCTTTCTTTCATTACGATTGAATTCCATTAAGTGACGCTCTGTTGAAAGGACTGAACGTCCATTGAGGATCAGTCACTATGGCTGAGTTGATGAGTCGGCAAAACGGCGAAGATGTCGTAGTACAACCGCCATTGTCCCAGGCCGTTGGTTATGTGGTGGTTGTAGTGATTGGGCTCGTCATAGCAGCCGGTATGTTGGGAGTATCAGGTACCGCAAGTGGGAAGACTAACATAAAAAGTCATGGTCTTCGTAACAAAAGTCCTCAAGCGCACTGTTGGCGAAGATAACCGCAAAACTGAAATGTAAGTGCCGGCCAGCATCAAAGTTTTCAAACATAACTGATGACGAAACCAGGTTCATGACTGCAAATCGAAGCGTTACGCCTGGACTTACGACATCTGCTGTTGTATCTTCATGGCTTTGGTCGACTGCCATGCTTGGTTCAACTCTAGTTGGATATGTTAACGGCGTATCTGGCCCATTCTGGTTCGCCGCTGGATGTAGTCCAATGATCGTCTTCTTTGCCGTCCTCGGTATCTCATGCAAGCGAAAGATACCTGAAGCGCATACGCTATTAGAAATTGTTCGCATTCGATATGGCACGACTGCGCATATTGTTTACATGTTTCTTTGCCTCGTCAACAACATTATTGCGGTGGCCAATATGCTGCTCGGGGCTTCCTCTGCAATCTCTGCTATGACTGGTATGCATATCATCGCGGCAACCTTTCTGCTACCGGTCGGTGTTGCCGTATACACTTTTGTGGGAGGCATCAAGGCGACCTTCCTCACCGACTACATGCATACATTTACGATTCTCATAATTCTCTGTTACTTCTCGGTCAAAGCCTTCACCTTGGAGGAGGTCGGTTCCGTCTCGAATCTATACGAACTCCTGAAAGCAGCTAGCGCGCGACATCCGGTGGCAGGCAATGAGGATGGATCATATTTGACGATGACTTCCAAAGGCGGAATCCTCTTCGGCATCATACACATCGCAGCGAACTTTGGTCTTGTCATCATGGACACAAGCTTCTTCATCAAAGCATTCAGCGCGAGCCCGAAAGCAGTGGTTCCTGGATATGTTATTGGTGGTATTGCGTATTTTGCCATTCCTTGGGCTATGGGAACATTGGCAAGCTCAGTGGTGCTAGGCTTGGAGAACAACCCCATCTTCCCCACCTATCCTAGGGTGAGTCTTCTTAAATTTCTACAAAGAGCGCAGCTGATCATTACAGCGTATGACTTCATCAGAAATATCAGGTGGATTGGTCTTGCCATACTTCGCCATAACGATCGCTGGCAAAGGTGGCGCTGCCGGGATTTTGCTCATAACCTTTATGGCCGTCACCTCAACATTGTCCGCCCAGGTCATCGCGGTCTCTTCAATCATCAGCTTTGATATGTACCGAACGTATTTCAACAAGAATGCGACGGATAAAGACGTGATTCGCTGGTCACATTTCGGTGTTATCTTTTTCGCATTGTTCTCCTCTGCATTTTCAACAATGCTACATTATGTTGGCGTTGACCTCGGGTGGACGCTCTACATGCTGGGTGTTTTGACCTGTCCTGGAATCTTCCCCACGACCTTCACTATTCTATGGAGGAGACAATCAAGAGCCGCAGCAATCATCTCTCCTCTGCTTGGTATGGTGACCGGAATCGCCGTTTGGCTGGGCTCGGCGTACGCACTCTATGGCACGGTGAGCATTGCCTCTACTGGCGCAACCGTGCCTTGTGTGTGGGGAACTGTGGCCTCCGCAATCAGTCCGTTGCCTTACTCCGTGATCATTACTCTATTCAAGCCGGAGTACTTCGACTGGGCAGAATTTCGCAAGGAACGCCTCGCTTTTGAAGTTGATGATACACAGTCAACGAATGAGCGTCGCACAGACATCGAAATCAATAATGAAGATGTGAGCGAGTCACAGTCTTTGCTGAAGCGATGGGGACGTATCGCTGCGATCTGGGCGCTCGCAACGTTCCTGGGACACTGGGTGTTATGGCCATTGCCGATGTACGCGAGCAAGTATGTTTTTGGCAAAGGGTTTTTCGCAGCGTGGTTGGTGATCTCTATAATTTGGCTATGGGGAACGCTTTTCATTGTTGGATTCTATCCCATCATCGATGGACGTCAACAGATCGTTGACGTATGGAAGGCGGTTAGGCAAGGTGGTCACAGAAAGCGGACGAAAGATTCGACTGCCGATGAAAGTAGCAGTGGTGCAGTGACCCCAACGGTGATCCAGGGGGACAAGAAATAGGATACACAGTAAAGAAGATAGAACAGTGTAGATTTATAGAAGGAGGATGGTATATTGATAATCAGAATAGCGTAGATTTAGACTAGGAGAATGGTATATTGATGATCTCGTTTGCTACGTCAGTTCACTGTCACCTGTGTATTAACTAATGCCCAATCCGGTTGGTCTGTCTGTTCATCCAATCAACCAGTTCACGTCTCAGCCCCAAATGACAGATCGAAGTACAAAACAACAACACCACATCAAGAGCTTCATCGCATGCTAGATCTTAACCTGCAACTAAGAGTTGGAAACCTTCCCAAATCTTGACCTCTCGCAATCATGTCTCTCATCAGACACCTGAAGCGCTTGGTTTATGGTTTATCAGAATACGCTCTTAGCCCTGGATCCTCTGAAGAACATCATCACTACACACCTGATTACGACGATGTTCGCGCTGCGCGTACAATTCTCCAGTCTCTCAAACTTCCCACCGAGCTTGTGCTTGATATTTTGGATCGCGCGCGGTATTGGCCATGCGCGCATTTCGTCACGAGGAATCGTAAGAGCGTCAAATCGGGAATGAATATTGTGTCCGAAATCTGTTTCGAAGGGCCCGTGTTTCCACCGAGTGTTTTGGAGTCCTTCCAGGGGGAGAAAGTCAAATTGAAAGAGATTTCCTGGTACATTATGAGTAAGGATCAAGGTTGGACAAGTGAAGGCACAGAAGGTCTGTCTCCATTGTACCTTCAACCTCTGAATGCCGGAACATGAGCTGAGTTGACCATAGGAACCTTTCAAACCCATTCGTGGACGGATGTCAGTATTTTGCGCCCTCTGGGAGATTCTAGAGACCCCTGTCTCAGCGCTGTTGAGCTCGCGCGCACTTTCGGAGAAGTCACAGAACTTATGGATATACTTTCACCTCGTGGATGGACCATGGTCCCACATCAGACAGATGACGGCCTTTCCCATACGTGGCGTCTACAAGGCAATCGCGTAGCGGGGCAAAATCCCGAAAGCTACCATATCACCTGGTCGCAAGATGAGAATAGGGTCATTGCCGACGACGGAGCCGGAAATGGCAAGGGATTCATTGACTTAATTCAAGAGGGAGATCGGGTGGTAGTGTGGGCTCGATGTCAGGTACGTGTCCAAAGATTCTAAGTTTGAATATGATGGAGGATGCTGTCTTCACCACAGAGGAGAATGCTAATCATCATCTAGTATCCGGGGTGGTGTTGTGAAGTCCACGAACTCGAGATGGCGTTGTTCTATGGATTTTGACGAGGTTTGAGGTTTTAACTGCCCTTGTTCCTTTTTTTCTTATATAGATACCCTTTTTGGTCCTGTAGACTTGATTAGATTCCTCACAAGGTCAAGTTGCGGGAGGTGTTTTCCGGTGCATTTGCCCCGCATCTGCCCCACATATGCTAATGCTCGTCCTTCTCGTTGCTCCTCCCGTCGGATGTGTCCAAAATTGGGGTAAAACCATGTCAAGAGGATAATTCTCCAGGCACAATGTTTAGTAGTTAGAATAATGCCAAGTTGATGAACGAAAATCTCCCACATATACTTGTGCGACCATCCCTTTCGTTCGTCATTCAAATCTTTTTGTGCTACACATATCGCGCAATGGCAACTAATCCCAATCATCCGCCTGGCCCTTATGCGCCTGGTGAGCATATTGTCCCGCCTCCACGAGCACAATCGCCAGCGACAGCGGAATATCGCTTGAATCACCTTATGCTGCGAATAAAAGACCCTGACAAGAGCTTGCGCTTCTACAACGACTGTTTTGGGTTGCATGTGGTGTTTATCTTTAATACGGGACCTTGGACTATCTACTACCTTGGGCCACGTGATGTTGGTACGTTTCAACTTCCTACTTTATCGCCAGTGGCACGGACTGAATAGAATATGGCACTGATACTGAGCAGAAATTTCAACGACCGGAACTAACAAGGGCCTTCTTGAATTATATCACATACCGTCCGACAATTTGACGAAGTACACTTCTGGCAACGACTACAACAATCCGAGGAGTATTGGATTCGGACACATTGGGTTCACGGTACCAGATGTCGAAGAGACGCTGAAGCGGGTCCAGAGCTTTGGGTTTGAAGTCATCAAGCCACTCGACGAGGCAAAGACAGAACAGATGGCCGTGAATGATTCTATTGTAGGGGGAAAGGAGGGGTTAATAGATGAAGGGTATAAGCACGTGTTCAGGCAGTTAGCTTTTGTGAAGGATCCCGATGTAAGTCTGTTTTTAATATAGTATACTAGCATAGACCGACACTGACGGATGTACTGGATTTTACTAATAACGAGACAGGGGTATTGGGTGGAAATAGTACCACAAGCCATAAAACCTCGACCGTAATACCGACAGATATACATTGAGAAGTACTCCTGCTTTGAAATCAGAACCCTTTTCTTCAAAAATCAAACAACTGCCTGCGCTTCGTATCACATTTCGGCTAAGATGGCCCAGCTTCAGTGGGTGTGTTCGAACTAGTAGTTCTATGCTCAGAATTTCCTGGCTGTCTTGGTGCTTCCGTAGACTTTTTTTGAGGTGCTGTTGAAGCCCTCTGTGGAGGCGAACTTGCAGCTATTCTTCGAGGAATACCTGCAGGTCTTGTTGCAAAATTTGTACGGGCGTCCGGTTTTGGAACAGGCCTAGTAAAAGGTGTGCCAGCAACCCCTTCTTGAGCTTGTGTATTCGGTATCCTAACCTCGCTATTGGGAACTTGAAAAGACTCATTCTGTCCAGGAGTGAGATTGCCTGTAGATAAAGAATCCTTATGCGAAGGTGTGTTCGGCACAGTGGTACCACTATTATTTAGCAATGGGGGCTGGCGACATTCCAAGTATCGATCTTTGTCCCAAACGAAATCTGACTGCCCCTGACGCTGCAACAACCGAAGCGAAAATTGCAAGAGAAATCTCCTGGGCAAAGTATGCTGAATGAAAACGATTCCGTCGTGCCCTAAGAAAGCAACGCAGATGTTTAAAACCATTTCCTCGGCAAGGCCTCTGTAATCTTGATGATCTGAGAACAACCGTGTGACTATTTCTGCCAAGGGTTCCACTTCGTTGGGACGTAACTTACCCTGAAGATTCTTGTAAGTAGCCTCGAGGCGATCGAACATTTCCGAAACACAGATGTCTCTGGTTTTGGAATCCTTGAACACGACGGCCATTGCATAGATTGTGGTTATACATCCTAATTGTTGGCCAAGGTCACCTTCAAACTCTGCAATCTCGTTCGTGATAACTGTTTCCAGGTATCGTTGCACCCATTTGGTGTTCCAACTTGAAAGAACGAGTGACTTCGGAGTTGCTTCTGTGTCGTTAACAAGTTGTTCAGCGAAGTACTCTGAGCGCTCGGTCAAAAGTGCTTTGTGTATCCAAACACAAAACCCAGGCTTTTTTCCAACTGAGACAAAGATTTGCCGACTGTTAAGGAAACCGGGTTTAGTCATCTTGCGGTTGGACGAAAGATGTCTTGTGAGTGTAATGCAATAGAAATCAGATTGTATATAGTCGTATATAGGACACATTATGAACTGAACACCGAGACACAATTACGTGCCGACATTGTACGTGAACAGTATACAATGTTCATTGTGTGATACCCTCAGAGTAATCCAAAAATCAACTGCTGGCGTTCTTGTTTAAGTATGATAAGCATTGTTGGAGAACACCTTTTGTAGACAAACTAGTGGTGAAATCACTCTTTGTCGATAACAATTGTTAATCTTGTCTCCTACTGTCTAACAACCCTTGGGATTGACGACTCAAATGAAAACCGTCATGGCGTGGATTGGACAGGATTGATTCTCGCCGAAATGGTTTCGAAAGAGCACTGTCAATAAAACACAAGCGATGCCGTTAGAAGACGAACATTGTTGATGGGAAAATTAACAACGTCGATGAACACCAAGCAAAGCCGACAGCAAACTTCCGCATGCAGTTCTGTAGGAGAAGGGTGAATGGCTGCACCTCGCGTGACAGATTGTTCACGTACTATCTGGTTATGGGCTGGCCACATTATTGCCCACAGCGCTATTCCGGCATTAACACAATCCCTGGCTTGCTCTACAATATATGAACGAACAATTATTGGGGCAGTCATTGAGAACATCGCGAGGCCTCATCGTCGGATTGACACTGCCTGAATGACTGTGTGAGGGAGGATCTCTGTGGCGCAGCGACCTTAGCGCGGGTGACTCATTTTGGCTCATCTGGATTATCCACTCTGTCGTCTGTTACTCCGAAACACCCAGCACGAAAGACGAAGACTCCACAGGCTGGCCGGCGAGGAGTCATCTACCATGCATAACCCTTGTCCACAAGCCACAGCGTGGCTCTATGCTGTATACTACACGACACAGGAGCGACTGGGCAGCTAAAGATATATAGCTATCTGTGCGAATCACGAATAACTTTGTTTTTTTTTTCATTATACCCATTTTCATCGCGCATTAGAGACCGTGAAAAAACCATGGCGGCTACCAGAGACTCTTTACCTCACACAGCGTTTGCATCAACGTCTTTCGATACTGCCCTTTGTGTGATTCCTCCTGCGAACAAATGCCAGGAAGTAGACCAATTACGAGCGTTATACGACAAGGGTTTTGGCAGATGGCCTCCTCACATCAACCTCATCTACCCATTCGTACATCCAGAAAATCTATCAAAGGCAAAACAACAAATAGAGTCACAACTCTCCAATATCAGCTCAGAACGCACACTCGACATTGCACTCGACAAAGCCGGTCACTTTGTGCATCGTACCAACAGCACAATATGGTTGGGTGCAAGCGACAACACTTCTTCGGGAGTCCTGGAAGAGCTTCGGTCGAGTGCCTTGCAAGCACTTGGCCAGGAACCATCACCATATAATTTCCATCTTACCATTGGCCAGTCTGAGGACAACACCGACTCATCACAGAACTTCCTACTTGGAAAAGCAAGACTGCTTCCCCACTTACATTTCCCTGTTGGCTCTCTTGCTATTCTTGTACGAGAGCGAACTCCACATAGGCAAAACTCTTCAAGTAGAATGAAACTTTGGGGTACCATCGATTTAGCGCCATCTGATGCAGCAGAGGCTACACCAATGACGGAATTTTGGCTTTCAGGAGCTGATACGACCGAAACCTCGAGGGAAGATCTAGACCTAGAAGATGAAGATTTGGAAGAAGGTCCAACCACAGCCTACGATCGCGAAGCTCAGCCAGGGAAAACTTACTATTTCGATGCTTCCTGCTCTACTTGGCTGGTGAGCCATCCGGAAGAACCAGAGCAGGCACTATCAACCAATTTGACGATAGCCAGTTACAACGTCCTCGCTGATTCAGGATATCCACCAGCTCATGATAGAAACGCCTTGCTGGTTGATGCAATATTGTCAAAATCAGGATTGGCAGATATTCTTGTCTTACAGGAAGTCTCGGATGTTTTTTTGTCTTATTTGCTCGCAAATGAGCAAGTACAAAACCCATACTCATTTGTCTCTCACGGACCCCCCGATCAAGCTGATCTTGGACCTCTTCCGAACATGCGCAATATCGTCATACTCAGCCGGTGGCACTTCGACTGGAAGCTACTACCATTCAAGAGGAGACACAAGGGTGCTATAGTGGCAGAGTTTAATGGATTGCATCCCTCTCAACCGCTCATACTTGCTGGTGTGCATCTCACTAGTGGGCTCACCGATGGATCAGTAGCAGCAAAGAAGGTTCAGCTCCAGAACATCAGAAGTTATCTAGCCCATGAGTATCCCTCAAGTCCATGGATTGTCGCAGGAGATTTCAACATTACTACTTCATCTTACACCATTCAGACCGCCTTGAAGAGCAAGTCGATTTCTCAGCAAACTTCAAATCATCTCTCAGCCATTGAGTCAGCTTTGGTTGACGCAGGATTCATCGATACATGGACTGTTGCAAGAATTGAGGGAACGGAAGTGACCACTACCGATAATTTCGATGACCTTTTTGAAGGTGAAGAGGGCGCTTCTTTTAATCCAAGAGAGAATCGACTTGCGGCAGCTACATCAGGAACGTCGAACAATCGGCCCCAAAGGTACGACAGAATCCTCGTGAGAGGTCAGAACACTCTTCGTGTGCATCAATTCAACCAGTTCGGCCTTCCTGACAATCGCGATGGAGTGCAAATTGTGGCAAGTGATCATTGTGGCATTAGAGCGGCTTTCAAGATAGCCCCTCTAACTTCTACCGAATCCACAAAAAGGCCAGATAACCTTAACCTTCTTCCGGTGAAATTGCAACAATTGTCAACCGTTCTCTCTGAAACATCAACACTGGAAACTACCTTAGAGCTACATGGCATGTTCCCTACAAAGGAAGAGATCGAAGGTCGCCGAGATGCATTCGCACTAATCAAGAAAATCATCCTTGGTTCGTCTAATGACGAAGAGACTATTGAATCCGACATTCCAATGGTCATGGTGTCCGTTGGGTCTTATGCTCTTGGCGTATGGACATCTGCATCTGACATTGATTGCCTCTGCATCGGCTCTATCAGTTCCAAGACTTTCTTCAAATTGGCTCGTCAGCGCATCCACAGAGCGCAAGACCAAGGAGTTCGTTTCCTTCGTCGCGTTGAAGCAAGTACGGGAACGATGTTTGAGATCTCCGTGAACGGAGTGAGCATGGACCTGCAGTATTGCCCTGCTGCTCGAATCGTCGAGCGATGGGCAGAGCTCCCGGAACTCCATCACACCGATCCGATTTACAATCTGTCCATGCTCTCGTTGCGCAAGTTGAAGCCCTATCGGGATATAGCATATATCCAACGCACGCTCCCTTCTATCCCAACCTTCCGCGTAGCCTACCGGTGCATCAAGCTTTGGGCAGTCCAGCGTGGAATCTACTACTCTAAATTTGGCTACCTTGGTGGTATTCACATTACACTGATGCTGTCCTGGATTTACAAGCGCCTCGTGCACGATGTTGGTGCTGTTACCGTTCAGGACTTGGTTGCCACGTTCTTTCACCACTACGCTAATTTCGATTGGGAGAACGAGATCCTGTACGATGCATTCTTCCACAGACAGAAACCGCGATATCACCGAAGCGCTAGAGAGCCAATGGTCGTCCTTGGTTTCCATGCCCCGAACGCCAATGCAGCGCATACTTCAACAGCACCTGGCCTACAAACCATGGTTAAGGAGCTAAAGATGGCCAGTGAGGCTCTTGCGCAAGACTCTATGACTTGGTCGAGATTCTTTAGAGATCCAGGAAAGACCGGCATGTCAGAATTTCTCACTTCCTATCAAAGTTACGTTCAGATTACGATCCAGTACTGGGGTCGGTCGTTGGGTAAGGGGAAAGGCCTGGTCGGATGGGTAGAGTCTCGCTGCTTGCTGAACGTAGTCGATATCAACAAAGCACTTCCAAATCTAGACGTACGCATCTGGCCCGCTCGTCTTACAAGCAACAATGCATCAGAGTCGGAGACAGATTACCAGGGTTGCTACTTGATTGGTCTCTCCCGCCGGGAATCCTCAGAAACCAACGATACCGCTGAAGATAAGTCACTCGCGAAGCAAACCCTGCAGCAATGCCTTGATCGTTTCCTCGCTCAACTTCAAAGCGACGAGAAGTATTACGATCCATCTACTTGCTGGATCGACGTGTCTCTTGTACAGCCACGTGCTGTAAAAGACCTTCAATTAGACCAGCGCGAATGGGGCGACTACACACCCGACATGGACATCGACTCCGACGATGAAGAGGATGCCGAAGAGACTGACGAGACTTCCGAAGCACCATATGCTCTGCCAATCCGCACTAAACCTTCATCGACATCCACTTCGCAGTCCGCGAACAAGTTACGACCTGCTTCGGATGTCCTTAATCGCTTACGTTGGGATTCAAACCTCGATCCAAGCAATTACATCGTTGGCTATGAAGATAGGTTCCTCGGCGCAAAGGAGACTGGACTGGAGAGGTGGAAGACGGAGCAAACTGACGAAGAATTCATCCCCCAACACCGAATTCTTTACTTCAAGAGGCGAGATGATGGAGTTATCGTTTGGGAGAGGAAAAGTAGGACTGACTTGATATTCAAGAGTGGAGCAAGTACGGGAGTCGGCGACCTTGAATAATGCGTCTCACTTGTCGTAGTTGATGTCAATCAAGAAGATCTGGGAAAATGTTCCCGACCAAAAGTTTCCTTTAATCATATCCATGTGAGGACCCATTTCGACAAATCTTAAGTTGTAATAGCAAAGATGGTTTTGCGAAGTGGCCGGGCCCTGCACCAATGGGTCAATCAAAAAGGAATAGCTAAGCAACATCTTTCGCAAGGAAATAAATCCTCATGCTGGATAGGCAAATAATCCATCTTCAAGCCTTTTTGAATCTTGGGTGTAGGAAAATTCGAAGTCCAGTTATTATCGTAATCCTCCAATCAGAGAGAGCAATGATTTTCGTCATACAAGTGAGAAGTTCCCTCCACCTGCACATCTACTTCTACATCCATCGAACGTCGATTAGCCGCAGCGGCTCGGGAAATTCACGGTTCGATCATGACAGGGACCTCGCCGTGGAGTGGAGTTCGGTAATCTCAGCAGTGTGGCAGCTTACCAGCAGTTTGACAAGCACTATCCTATCAAATTGTATTTCATACCCAAACCGGTAGCAGGCTTATCGCCATGGGCCGGGGAGCGGGGTCCAATGAGACTACAAGGCCCTGTAGACTAATCCTTTGAATTTATATACAAGGCTTCTTGTCTCTTGCTACAAAGTACTTGCTATTACCACGAGGCTGATTGTTTTTCGAGACGTAGATTTCGGCCTTGATCGTGTCACCATGATCGTCAACTCGTACGTTCAACATCCACATAATTCACATTCAAAATTGTATATTAATTCATCTTAGGCTTGATCCCAAGAGCGACAGTCCGATAAAGTCCCCATCCCCACGTAGGCCGAAGTTAGACATTACTTCGCCGACTTTCGAAGATGTGTATCAGCTTTCACTTCGACGAGTGATGAACATAGTCATAACCGATCAAGATGATCCGCCCTATCTACTGTTCCCTACGGCAGAACATACTCAAGTCCAATTCTTCACCGAGAGCGATTGGAAAGAGTTTGGCAACATGGAACTAGAGGCTTCGCGACTCAGGTTCACTCTCACCCGCTATCCGGAAAGAGGCCCGCCGCTTGCATGCGAGACTACGCTGAAGCTATTACTTTCAGAGACTTCCATTCTCAAGAAGTGGTTAGAGATAGTTGGCGATATCCAGAACGAATCCAAGCAGGCCATGATGGAGGCTCACAATGCCATGCTAAGCCAACATTCCGACGAAAGAGAACCCAACACCAAAGAATCTTTCGTAACGGTTCCCGTTGGGTATGTCACCAACGATAAGAGTGTGGATCTTCAACTCCAACTGTGGGAGCGAGCTCTAGCAGAGATTGCAGAAGCGCTCACTTCCTCGGAAGTGCAGAACATCGACCAATTTCTGCAAATCTATTCCTTCCTGAAAGACTCTATCGGAGGTCTGAACGTCTCATTTCAGCCTCGAATCGCTCTTTTTCAGCGGTTGATACAGGACGTTCACAACACAATTCCGGACAAAATCCTAAGTACCGAAACATGGAAGCTGGTCGCTGCACAATGCGCAGCCGAGTCATCATTCCTAGCGATTGAGAAGCTGAAGAAGGTATCATACATCCACTTCACAAATCATCAAGTGCTACCATACGTCTACGTATCACTGCGCAAGCTTCCTCGCGCGGAATTCTCTGTACCAAAGCGTGTACTAGAAATCGCGATGGAGATGGTTTCGAACAGCACCCCAGAACGCCTATGCGACATCGCACCAATCACAATTGCATATGTCGCTCCGCTGAAACATGAGGGGAAAATGTTCAAGGTTGTCATTGACGGTAACAACCGGGTGACTGCTATTCTATTATTGCAATTTCTGGCCGCTTCGTCGTCGTTGGACAGCTTCGACGTCGGCGCGCTGCAGCAGTTCTGCGACGACCTGGGGCTGGGCATGAAGTGGTTCCTCGACATGAAAGATGTCGCCGAGGAGCTTTTCAGCCGCAGCGAATACTTGGAATCATTCAGGTCGCATGTGCCAGTCCTTCGCTCGTTTGCACAGGTGTCGCGTGTTGCTGCCTTGGTTGTTCAAGAGCAGGAATTCCATACAATCTGCATGAGCCGAACGACAGGGTCCAGGCTAATTTTGCTGCAGCCAATGCATCAAGCACTGTACAACGATAAGACGCTTCCTTTCGGGTGGGCTGCGCAGCATGGTCAGGCCCATGGCCGGTCAATGGGTTTCAAGCCGCTGCTGCCACGGCGATGAAATAGGCACCGGTGAAATAAATTAATGTCCTGTTCGACAATCATTTCCATTTCCGGCGAGTTGTGTTAGGCTGGAGCTTGCGTGTCTCTCTTGCAGCTTGCGAGAGTTCTATTACTCCAAACAGCTTTTGGAAGGACAACCCTTTCAGCTGCAAGTCAGCTCCGACGTGGCTTGCTCCGGAACATGTCCGATATGCAGCAACTTTAATCGAGGTAATTCGGAAGGAAGCAAGGCGGGGCAATTTATGTTGGTACCAGCAAAGTTTTGACATTTATCGTTTCGTTGTACTAGATTACCTTCAGCTTCTTCTTCATCCCTACTCGTTGACATCTGGTGAACATCATGGCCTCGCAGAAGGATCTACCTCCGTACTCTAGACCGTTGAGACTACTCTCACTCGGTGAGATGCCCCTTTGTGTTGTGAATCGTCCATCCCAATCATGCTGATAGTTGGTAGACGGTGGAGGAGTACGCGGTCTCACTGAGCTACTCATATTGAAGACCTTGATGCATCGAATTCAACCACAGACAAAAGATCGAGCTCTGCCAAAGCCATGTGACTATTTCGATGTAATCTGCGGGACTAGCACTGGAGGGTAAATTGGCATCGATCAGGTTCAACGGCCATAGAGGCTGACATTGAGTTAGTTTGATTGCGATTATGCTCGGCCGACTGGAGATGTCTGTCGATGAGTGCATCGCAGCATACATCGAACTTTCGAAAGAAATCTTTCCTAAGGAAGCGATAGGACAAACAAGCTTGTGGTCAAAACTTCAAAGATTTACTTCTGCCTACCGAGAGAAGGCTTGGTTCAGTGCCGACAGACTCAAAGAGTGCTTGCAGCGAACGATTGGTGATAAACTGGGCAAGACCGAGACCGAACAAGAATTCCTCAGCGAAGACACGAAATGTAAAGTGTAAGACGACATCCATTTCCACCCGATGGTTTGAGCTAACAGTCCATTGCATGATACAGGTTCGTGTGTTGCACTCGATCTGCTAACGTAGGTGCAGCGATCCTCCGAGCCTACGAGTCCCGACTCGTCCCTCACATTCCTTGCAAGATCTGGGAGGCGGGCCGAGCAACTTCGGCTGCTCCGCTATATTTTGAGCCTATCTCGATTGGGCCTCTTGGATCAGTCTTCGCAGATGGTGGTATGAAAAATAACAATCCTGTTTGGGTATTGTACGAGGAGGCTCGCAACGAGTGGCCAGACGCGGAGATAGCCTGCATTGTTAGCATTGGGACTGGAAAACCGGAAACGAAGCAGCTGGGGACAGGACTGCAAGAAGTCATGGAATCTTGCGTTTCCATCGCTGCGGAGACGGAGGAAACAGCGCGGTTGTTCCGCAGTGCCCACAAGGCTCTGCAAGGTCGGTATTTCCGTTTCAATGTGGAGCAAGGCCTTCAGGGCATCGCGCTGGATGAATGGACGCATTTCGATCGTATGGATGCGGCTACACAGCAGTACCTCACAGACATTGCAGACGATCTAGGTGCTTGTGCGGCCATACTAGCAAGATATGGAGCATCATGATAGATGTTAATCATACCGAGATATTCTAATTTCTACCTGTTGTTTGTTTTTGGGGCCTTTTTTGACCATGTCATAATTGCATTCGCCCGAAGTTATGCAAGATCTAACATCTTTGCACTGGGCTAGTAGTTCTTCAATGCCTCATTCTACGTCGTACGAGATCTTGGTATTGCCCTTTGATGCAGCGATCTTTCGGACCACGACTTTGACCAGTTCAGCTGTGCTGTGAACGTGCGTGCCGCCGCAAGGATATCCTCCAAGGTCACCGATCTCCACCACCCTGGTACCATTTTCGGCAGGAGTCTTTCCAAAGCCATCGGGAACGTGGACGCCCTTCTCCTTTAGCTGCTGCATATTCATCCAAGAAATGGCAACGGGCAGATCCTGCTTGACAAGGTCGTCCACCACCGCTTGGATCTTTTCCTTGAAGGTTCCGGCGATCTTGCCGCGAAACTCGACAAAGGCAGCACCTGGGAAGTGCTGTGCCTTAGTTTCGCTAACATCTGGAATCTCGTCTGTCAGCTGGCGAACAGCGAGGCCAAGAAGATGGCCAGCAGTATGGATACGGGAGTGAAGTTCGCGTTTCTCTCCATCGATGGTCTGTTCAACAATGGAACCTGGAGAAAAGGCACCATGGCCCTCTGATTCGGCATTGCTTAGTGTGCCTTGGTGCAGTATGACCGCTTTGCCATTGCGACGGACAGCTTGGACGTGGAAGCGGGGAGCACTGGTGGAAATGTTCCCATCATCGGTTCGAATCATCATATCACCGACATCATTAGGCTGGCCACCGCCCTGGGCATGGAAGATTGTTTCATCGGTCGTCACTACAAGATCGGTAGGTTGGGCTTGTTTGAATAGGCCGCGTTCGGCTTCTGACAATGTCTCGACGGGAACCACTGAGAGAATTCGTGCCTGTAGAGTCCGCAAATCTCCATCGGATTCGTACACAGGTCGAGTCGGTACGACTACAGCCTAATTGCAAAGATTATTTGGTCAGTGGAACTGGTTACTATTGGTGGTGGACGATGAGGTAACTTGCCTCGTCAGCCATTGTATCGAAATCTGGATCTGGGTGTATATTTGAAATCAAAGTTGGGTTTGAATTTAGATGTGAAGTTGAAGTCGAATTCGGAGGTGTGGTTAAATTTAGAGTCGAGTTGGTCGTTGGATTTGAAGTTGATGGAGCAAAAGACGGGTAGTGTTGATACCACCGGTGAGGCTCTTTGCTACGATGTCCACAGATAATTTTGGCACAGATGGCGGGGTGGTGGAGAGAGCAGTGACGCACTGTCAGTGGGAGCAGGGGCAGTCGTGGCAGTTTCAGCCGAGTGAGAGTGAGGTTGATAATAACCATGACCATGGCCACTAAAGAGGTCTGGACCGATGCACATGGCTTGATTAAGAGTTCACGGGTTTGATCATGGGTATGCGTATGCGTGTGCTATTGTGTGATCGTGGCTGCAGCCTTGCGAGATACGACGGACATTGCCGTCCACTCAATCATTCCGGCACCCTCAATCAACACATCACGACTAGGCAGCACGATAATGCACAGCCGTAAATGGGCTTGGTACGCTATCTGAAAGAAAAATCAAGTTGTCTGCGTTCAAAAGTGTCTGTTACACAACATACGGCCCGGTACCAATCATGACAAGGGATTCTCATCGCTGTGCTCCATGGCCCCCATGTAGTGGCTTCAATTGACCTGCGCCATGATAAATCGCAAATGAGGTGGAGGATTAGGCTGGAAGGCTGAGCTTGCCAGATGAAGCAATGCCCGCCGACCTCTGGGAAATAGACTTAGATCGCACACCTAGAAGAGAGTTCGAGCCTCACCAGATGGTACGATTTCCACTGCATGCCCCTCCTCGAACTTGGTGAACAGCTATCCGTATACGGTGATGGTGCGAGAATCCTGGAATCACAATGGATCAATCGCAGTCGCAGTCGCAGTCCCAATGTCGCCCTTTGAGAGTACTTTGTCTTGGTGAGCAACCTCTGTCCTACTGGGTGTGATATGTTTCTAATTCTCGAGGTTAGATGGAGGTGGTATTCGTGGTCTCTCTGAGTTGCTTGTACTCAAGCGGTTGATGTATTGTATAAGACCTGGCTCCTCCGGCCAACCTCTTGTGAAGCCATGTGATTACTTTGATATTATATGCGGAACCAGTACTGGAGGGTAAGCTACTTCCATCCCTTCCGGCATGCCGTAAAGGTTGACGATAGATCGAATAGAATTCTGGCAGTCGCACTCGGCCGTCTGCGCATGGATATTGATGAATGCATAACCTTCTTCTGTGATCTGATGAAAGAACTATTTCAAGAGCCTGAAGCGGTTAAGCTAAGGAACTTCTACCCACAGAATTTCATCAAAGGATCATGTAGAGCTTGGTTCACATCACAGACACTGGTGTCAAAAGTCAAAGTGTTAATTGAAACCCAACTCGGACCAGATCAAGTTGACGCACAATTCGAGCAACTCGATGAAGGATGCAAAGTGTAAGTTTACTTTTAATGGCGCGCAGCAAAGCGCAGAGCTCATACACTCTTAGGTTTGTCTGTGCCACACGAGCTGCAAACCGTGGATCAGCAATTTTTCGATCGTACCCATCAAATCGAGAGCCGCCACTACCATGTACGATTTGGGAAGTAGTCGCGGCAACCATGGCCATGCCGCCTTTCTTCGACCCAGTAACGATTGGGGGATTGGGCGCTGTATTCGCCGACGGAGCAGTGAAGAATAACAACCCTATTTGGGTTGCGGTTGAAGAGGTCCGGAAAGAGTACCCTGAAGATGCCATTGCATGTTTAGTGAGTCTAGGTGCCGGAAAATTACGGACACAAGGCCTAGGGTCGAGTATGAGGGATCTGCATCGTGCCTGTGTAGACATTGCGAGAGATACCGAAGAGGCCGCGAGACTCTTCTTGAGCGAGTATAAGCCTCTCGCCGAGCAGGGGCGGTACTTCAGATTCAACGTCGAGCAAGGTCTACAAGATGTGGGGGTAAACGAATTCCCCAGCTCAGTAGTCGATCTGATAGATGCCGCAACGGCCGATTATCTTGGGATGCAGCAAGACGACCTTAACAGGTGTATTGAAATGCTCAAGCTTCCCACAATTCCCAGCAGACGTAAGGTTTCATTCAATAACAACCACGAAGTCTATCAATACTGACTGCCATGTAGGACCAAACGTTGAGGGACGCCATGCGAGCAATAGGGATTTGCTTATGTGGATCGATGCGATTGACGAGTATGAGACACTCTGGCAACTTTGGGCCCCGGACGAGGATAGTTCAGAATACTCAGAATCCGACTTCGTTCGGAATAGCTCCCTGAGATTTCCAGGTACATGCGACTGGATAAAGACCCATGAGGACGTCTCCGTTTGGCTGTCGTCACCAGAAACACAGCATTGCTTTTTGCATGGGATTCCTGGATCAGGCAAAACTGTTCTCGCAGCTTTTGTCGGAAAGTGGCTTCGTCAAGTACGATCGAACGTACCAACTTTGGTTTTCTTTTGCGACAGCAAGAATGAACGGAAGTCAGCAGCGGACAGCTTCTTCAGAAACGCAATTGTGCAGCTACTCTACTACAAGCCACATCTAAGCCATCTTTTAACGGTGGAAATGGGCAAGACCGGCAAAAAGAAAGTTCTTTCCTGGGCTCACCTGAAGTCAATATTCTTGCAACTACTTCACGAGTTCGAGAAGGTCTACATCGTCGTCGATGCAGTGGACGAGATGAACACTCTTGGACAGGATGTTCTCTCTGAAACCTTTTCCAAGCTTAGTGCCTCCCTTTCGGGCTCAACCACAGTGGCAACCTTTATGACCAGCCGCACAAGGGCAGACGTTTTGGCGAAACTCTCATTTTGCCACCATAATGTCGTCCTCCAACGAGATCCCTTCGATAACGACCTCCAGATCTTCGTATCTCTATCTGTCGATCGAAGTGAAGAGCTGCAAGCCTTGTTTGAGGGAAACTCTACATTCATACGTGAACTTAAGGAGACTCTACTGGCCAGGTCCGAGGGCATGTTTCTTCTGCCCAAGCTTTTGCTGCAGGAGCTTAAGTCAAAGGAGACAATGGAACAAATGCGACAGGTCCTTACGGACATACCTCAATCCCTTTCCGAGTATTACACCCAGTTCATGGATCGCATTGAACCCTCGAGGAAGAACTTCGCTATGAGGGTGTTCAGCTGGCTCGCCTGTACTCTTAGGCCACTGTCGCTCGACGAGTTGCAGATCGGGCTTCAATCGGAAACGCAGATCCTAAAACCCGAAGCGCGATACGAGCTTGCAAACATCAAATACTCCATTGAAAAGGCCTGCAGTTGCCTCGTGGTTCTGCATAAAGGCCAGGTTCAATTGGCTCATTCTTCTATCAAGCGGTACCTCTTGAAGCCTCAGACACAGGATGACGGAAGTAATCATGAAAGCTTCAACTTCGATATTGCTACAGTTCATGAAGGCATCGCTCTAGTCAGTCTGAAGTATCTACTGTCACCAGACTTCTCTATGCCACTCTCTGGCGAAGCGCGCTTTTCCACGAATAATATTGATAATCTGAAGACCGAGTATCCGTTCTTACTTTACGCCTCTCAGAATTGGCACACCCATGTCGGAATGAGTCCCCGCAAATCTTTCCACTTACTTACCACCCTTTCCGAATTTTTGGGTTCAGTAAATTGTCGCTCGTACATCGAATTGGTGTTCTCTTATTGGACGTTTCCTAACGTAACTCTTGAGGATGTGAGCAACATCCTGATTAGTTGGGTTTCCAAGGAGCCTGACTGTGAAGAAGAGGCTTTCATCTTTAATTGGGGTCGGGACCTCTGGGATATCAACCTAGAGATGTCAGGCCTCTTCCAAGAATATCCATCCGAGATCCATTTCCTCCGGGATCTGCTGCCCAGTACTGCTGTGTACGATGAGGACCGTGTACAAAGATCATTTCTGATTATCCCACAGTCATTTTATGCTGTACATGGAGCTGGAGAAGCAGTAGTCCATGAAAGTGCGGATGCATCTGGACAAAGCGTTGCTCCAAAGTCAGACAGATTTCTTCTGACCGAATCCGCGATGATAGACTGGGAGTCTACAATCTCAACACCGCATAGATACCTTCAAAACATTGGCATCCGATGGGAGGTCAACGTCCAAAATCTGCAGACGCAAAAGCGTTACGCACGTCATTCCCTTTCATTGTGTCGGCGAGAAGGAATTTGTTGCTCTGTAGCGGTTGCACCCAACGACCAGCACTGTGCCGTATCATGGCCAGAGTATCAGGACGATGATGCCACAGAGCCGCTGAAAATCAAAACCTACGCATGGTCTCTCCGCTGGGATGAATCAAGATCACCAGTATGGAGGAAATGGGAGTGGACCGACCGTGCGTATGGCTGCGACTATACGAGAGCTGCTGGTTTTAAAAGAACCAAGAACTCAATTGCTTTCACTGCAGACTCTGAAATTCTGGCGACTCCTGGTGGCTTCTATAATGTGACAACGGGGAACTTGGCGTATGCACCTCCGTTGTTTACTGACACTACAGTCTCTGGGCTAACCTTCAGCTCTAACGCGGAGTATGCGTGGGGATCTAAAGGCGGGCAGCACCTCATTGTTTATCGCCGGGATTCGGAACAAATATTGGAGGCAAACAAAGAGCCGTACACTTTCTGTGAAGTTATTGGTGTTGCCCCCGATGGCAAGTCGGCCATTGCTCTTCTTCAACGAAGGGAAGACTCTGATAAGGTCGCATTCCTAGCTCTGGTGACTTCTCGGTCCAACCGTTTCCAGATAGACGAGATCCATTCCTTTGAGCAACAAGGAAAGGTACCTGAATTACACGAGCAATGGCAATATATCCGAGGTTACTACGCTTCTGGAGGACAGATCCACATATCCAGCAGCGGAAAAGTCGTACTTGGACTTCCAGTATCGCACGTGAGTCAGTACACGGCTCTGATGTTTAACATACAATCCCATCGGTCCCCTACCCATACTTCCCTGCATAGAGCCACCCTGAAAACACCCAAAGACTCTAAGATCTTAAGTGTCAGATATCAAAGAGGAACTGAAGAGCTGTACGGTTTGACAGATCAAAGCGTAGTCTGGAGGTTCACCTCAGAAGCAAGCAACAAGGCCACTAATACGCCGATCGTTTGGGAGGCCCAGCCACAGAGTGACGATAGAAAGCTTCGCAACTTTTTCATATCGGACTATTCCGTTGCAGAGAAGAATATGATAGTTGCGTTGCAATTAGGGTAGGATATTCTATTCGTTCGGAACAACAGCTGCTAAATCTTTTCCAGAACCACTCGACCGAAGTTTGGCTCTGCATCCTTGCACAAAGAGCCAATCGAATTTAGTTTCCAGATCTCTCCGGTTACAAGGCTCTTAGAGCTCATTCAATCTCTCCAACGAACAGTTGTAACAGTTGAGCTAGGGGCTTTGACTAGGTGCTATCGCCAAAATACCAGCATCAATTCCTTGCGACTTCTAGGATTGGGTCAAACGTCTACTCGTAAACTCGAGAACTTCATCCCTCTGTCAGATCAGTTGGTACGCGATATCGCGGATAAGAAATTAGGAGACAAAACAACATTGCAGTTCTACTCCCACTTCACTGCGAATGAGGACGGATCACTGGTTGCTTGCCCTTCGGTGTATGTGTCCGAAGAGGGTACTGGCCCGAAGGATGACAGAAGGATGGTGTATGGCCATATCTCACTGAAATGCTTGAACTCCGGGAATCTAGCAAATTTCAACCACCGTCTCGGGTCACTCTCCAATGACGAGAGGATCATACATCATGACTTCATTGTAAGGTTTGACGAGAAACGTCAACTCATGGCCTTCGAGGTCCACATAATTACAACTGCAGGCCTTGAGGAACGAAGAGTACGCTACGATATAAACCACATAATTGCCTTATCAACGGCATTCCGATCCTCAGCACGTTCACGATCACCGTCGCCAGTTGTGGGACTTTTCAATGCCCCGAAGAAGCGCGAAGCATTGGCACTTCCTAGCATCGCTGAACTGGGTAAGGCTCACATCCATGTCACATTCGTTGAGAGTGTCAGCTAATAAAGCAGACCCTGCTATGGAAATGACTTTCTGCAGTGAGAAGGAACGTCTGTACTATCTAGAGCGACCAACAGGCGTTCTGGTGTCCGTGTCCACCTGTGAGGGTCATGTAGGTACTTTCAATTGGTCGATTCAAATCTTTGGAGAGTGGCCTGTATTTGAGGCCCACCATATGACCATATCAAACAATATTTTGAAGGTTCTCGGCCTTACATACGAGTACATGCTATGTTTGGTGGAATTGGACCTGCAGAAATTTGAGGGGCGAAGGCGTTATGTATCGTCTATGTGGGGTTCCAACATGGGAGACCGAGCAACTGTATTTGCGGAGCCTATCGATACCCCAGACAAAGTTGGTCTGAATATCATTGTCTGCCGGAATCAGCAAACAGACGTATCGAAGAAATTGGATCCGGAGCAAACAGAGGCCAAGTTTAAGCCAGCTGTGATTTTCGTGCCGGAAAGGGCAATGGGACCATGGGTGCAGATGGCCTGGGAGCCACCGGAGGATTCTACTTGAATTGATAGTCATATGTTGCGAAGTACGACGAAATTAATTTAAACATGCATCAAATGAATTCATCCAATATTGTTGCAACACGAGAACTGGGATCTGGATCACCTTACATCTTTCTGACGGTACAAAGTCCAGAATCAGTGCTGTAGGCACCTCCGGTGCAAGTTTTGTCGGAAATCCCGAGCCAATCACATTCAATTGCGCCGTATCTGTTGACAGTCATGTAATTGATAACAAGTTAGGCCCACTGACAATGCGGGGTGGACATGACATTGCAGCAGGCTGAGCTATTTTTCGTTTGCGTACGGCTGAGTGCAAGGTTCCGTCCGCCTTATTTGCCCAGAAGTGACACAAGACATCGGAATGGAAGACTTGCAGCCTTTTCTGGCCGACTTCACAAGTCCGTTACATCCAAGTTTACGGGGTTCCAGGATGAAAAATTTGACTATTGCAACTCAGCTGGCATTTCAGCCTGGCCACTACATACGGAGGAGACCGACTTTAAGCCTCAACCATTCACCGGTCAATGTGCCTGCATGTGCAGAGGGCAATCACATAAGCACCTCCGGTAGAGACACATGTATGTGCCTTTTCACTCGAATAATATACCATTCGTGCATGAAAACAGAAAACCTTTCTACCACTCCAAGAAATTCTTCTTTTGAACAATGCCATGATGTTGTCTACCAGACTCTCATTTCGCCGTGTTGTCTGCCAGCCACGTCTCCTAGCATATTCCTCCTGCAACCAGAGACGTTTCAGCCGCTATTCGAATCCGGTGTCAAACATCCAGCCTGCCTTGGTGAATGATCAACACGACAGTATTTCGCCAATTGCGCCAATCCCAAAAATTCAAGTCACTTCCAACTGGCATACGCTTCAGGACCAACCCTTAACGAAGGATGCAATCTGGAATCTCTTCAACAATGTAATTCCATCCATTCGACACACGGGTTTTCTCTCTAGCGATGAGTGTCAGAAAGTGGCCGAAGTGATCCAGTCCCATAGAGTTGTAAGTTAGAGTATCCTGAACCTTCACCAATTCGCGAGCTCATCATGCAGGGCTGTTACGATTTAAAGATGGTCTTTCCCCGTGTTGGATCTGTCGGAATCACGCAGTTCGATAATAGATATGGTAAGTAAGCAAACCTAATCTTGCCCATTCACTCTGACCAATCCAGACAAGAAGGCATATTTCGAGGGGATCGAAGAAGCAAACAGCCTGCAAGATCGCATAAAGGCTGAAACAAACATCGACATCGTTGGCCGAGTCGCTGCTGCACTCCAGGAGATCATGGGCTTGGAAACAAGAATTGCCCTGGAAGGGGATAAGAAGTACTTCTGCGGACTACTGAGGGTGGTCGACAATTACATTCAGATCCATCCGGACTTCGGTCAATATGTAAGTTTCTGTGATGGATAAGTCCAGCTTTCAGTGTCTGACAGCCAGCGCAGGACGGCCCAGATTGGGAGATAGGAAGGATCGCCGGACAACTCACATGGAACATTCTGTTGAAGAAGATACCAGGCGGCGATACAATCATCTACGATCGTCAGTGGCAGGGCGTTGAAGATGATCGGAATTTTCAGAAAGAATTCCCCAGATATGCTTATAAACCGACGGGCGTTCAGGGTCATCTTTTCAAGGCGTTGAGCGCAATCGAAGGTGACCTTACATTCTTCAACCCGCGGTAAGCTTGTCTCTCCAAAGTGATCAATTTCATTGCATCTAATTAGAACTTTCAGAAACTTTCACGAAGTTAAGCCATGCGATCGAGCATGGGATCGACCGGAGGAATTGGTACGGTACACACTCAGTTCGTTTGTGGGTCTACTTCCTGGGGAAAATGGAAAGCCGCCGACTCTTATTCTTTGGTCTTGAAATTGTTTCATGATTTCATAGATAGACATGGTTTGCAAGAAACAAGCGCTTGGTGATCTTTTCTCATAGTGAATCTAAATCTCGTGGTTGGAGATTCAAATGAACAAACGCACAGAGAAAGCCGTTCAGATTAAGTGACAATCATCATGCCTGCTGCAGTTGCGTGGAATGTTGGAGTTGGAATTCGTACTCGATAAAAATAGACAGCCAGGCGACCAGGAAATGACTCCCAATTGAATTAGCACAAGACGGAATAATGTGCCTCGATCCCAATGTGGAAAACATTTTCCCTTCAGCTGAGAGTTTGTGTAACACCAGATTTGTTTTTCGACTCCGATTCGCTTCTTTCCTCCCATTTTGTACTTCGGCGCTTAAGCGTATCGGGGCTCCGGTAACATCCTTTAATATCGGACCCAGTCCACTCTCGTACCAGTAAATCGCATTTGACCTTGTCATCAAATACCGCCGGCGGTGAAACTTTGATCAATCTACGACCTTCCCATTCAGGTGGGAGCAATTATGTCCTGCGGCCAAGCGCTGGTTTTCGACCAGGCAGAACAGGTAAGTAGCATTTGGCCACGCATCTCAGGAGTCTGACAAGGTACAACAGGCCTGAGAGTGCATTTCTCGCAGAGATTTTACGCCGTGCCTGCATTTAATTAGAGCCCTCTGGGCCGTTAGAATGTAAGGACATATACAAAGTAAATCTTCTGAAAATTCATCTGCTGTTCAGGTGCAAAGTTGCTAAAATGCCTGGCCCAGAGTACAGTACGCACGCCAAAACCTCTGAAATCGATAACAAGAACGAACTCCAAGACAAGAATCGGTCCTCAGTGGAAATTCAATCGAATGCCATACACAATGGAGCCCAGGAGGAACATGATGAAAAACATTCTCGCAATATTAAAGTCTATCTCTCAACCGACTCAATAGCGTTTTTCTTGCTAGGAATGCTGGTATGACGCTCGAATGTAGAGATTTCCCCAGTTGGAATCTTAGACACTCATTCTTTTCACAGGTTGGCTTACCCTGTACGACAATAACTGCCGCTGCAAAAGCCATGTTTACCGGAGTGACAGGAGCTTACGGTCTATGTGCCTTTGTAACCGCCGCGATCACATCTTTTGCGACTCCTCTCTTTGCACACTTGATTCCATATACGCTCAAAACTGTTATACTGGTAGTAGCAGGTGTAGCATCTTTCGGTATCTGCACTCTCGGCTCAAATGTAGCAGGCCCCGTGGTGGGAACAATGCTAGGAGGGGCAACCTACGCGTTTGGTTCCAATACATACCTCGCTGTTGCCGCTTCCTTCCCACAATTCACAGTGGTGTCTTTCAGCAGTGGCTGTGGATTTTCCGTTGTGTTCGGCCCAGCCTTATACATTGCCCTGATGAAGCCCTTAGACCAGTCCTGGAAAAAGGTATTCTGGACATGTATGGCCCTTCCAATCGGGATGTGCCCTGTCTGGTGGATAATGTTGAGCAGTGAGAGGAGGAAAGAGGCCGAGCGTGTACGAGGGCTCGCAATGGATCGTCGCGACTCACCCAGCGGGGATTCGACCGAGTCAAACTCAACAAAGAGCGAATTCAAATCGACCACGCCTCTGCAAGTAGAAAAGAGTTGTCCAGGAGGCTTTGGCAAAGATCGCTCACGTCTCGGGCTATTCTTCAAGATCATTCTTCCACGCTACGTTGTTCCATTGCTACTTTGCACGACTAGTGCAATTACAACAATGCTAGGCCTATCCCCTACGCTTCAGGACTTGAGGAGTTTTAAGGGTTCGCCTCACGGGGACTTGCAGTTTGAGATATGTTGTAGGTGATCGTGCTCACGCTAGATTACAGATTCAGCTAACATGCGTTGCGACAGATCTTGCATATGGGTTTGGTCAATTCCTCTTCTCCACTTTGTCAATGAGGTTCAAGCTTACATTCATCTGGGGCTGGGCTATCATGCAAATCGCAATTGTCGTCATCGGTGTCATCCAACTCTTCAGCCCCTTCCTAAAATATTACCCTGCCTGGGTTGTTTTCCTGTTCCTAGTAGGTGGAGGTGTGGGTGGAGGTGTTACTAACACTAACTACAAGATTGCGGACGATTTCAGGCGTCAAGGTGAGCCGGAGGAAGTTAGGAGCTTTGCCATGAGTTATGGAGGCTTGGGGAATTTTGGCGGTGATGCTTTGGGTGGAAGTCTTGCGATTCTTGTTGAAGTCCTAGCAACGAAGTATCTGAAGAAGCACGTACATTAGATTTTAGAGATGATTTTCCCATCATTCAATGCTGCGCTGAAGCGGACTTTAGAATTATACGAAATGGGCTTCACTCCCTTGGTAGTCACTTTCAAATAGCATTGTCTATCTTAGAAGGAGCAACAACCCAATCGACTTTTATTTCCCCCCATCAGGATCGATGATATCAAAATGGACACCTGAATGAGGAAATAAGGTCTCGCTTTGAAGAACCAATACAATCATGCTTCATGAACAGAATGGTATCCACAGAATATGGCATGTATGTCTCTGAATATCTCCCTAAGGCCTTCCTATCGCTGAGATGCATAGGTCGGTTGTCGAAACTATTTCACTTGTCTGATGAAGTTGGTCCACAAGGCTTGCCGCTTGGTGCTCCCATCCAGTTGCAGAGATCATTCGGTAAACGGCATCATAGGAATACGATTGACATATGTAATCGCTTCCAATACCAGCGGAACACCTCATTACTTATCTATACTCGCGCGCAAATTAGTGATGGCTATTCAGAAGATTGACTGTGACTTTGAAGTCAGGCGTGCTGCTCGGAACAACACCCGCCTGGTCAAATACATTGACGATCTTTCCTCTCTGATTATAGGTCTCCGAGCCTGGTAAAATCCTCCAAAAAGAATTCCCGCTGGGCTTGTTTCTCGGCGCCGGAAGTCTCCTCGACGTAAATAGCCACGTAACGATGAAGGCCGTCGTCATACTGGGCTCGAATTCGAAACTTACGACCGTTCCAGCTCAAGAAAATCTCGCCCACGGCGTTGTTAAGAATCTATGGTTCACCAGTCTCCATATTAGTCTCAATCAGACCTTTGGGCATGGCATAGCCTTTTTGCGTTACTTCGTGTCCCTTGGCGGGTGCGCGAAAACTGATTTACACGCCAAGTTGTGTATTCCTTCGCGTGTCAATTCCGTGACAGTATTACGGAAGCAACATCCAGGAAAATCAGCCACTCAATGCTAATAAACAGTGAAGTGGCAGTGTGTATTATTCCCCGTTGTGGCTGAGATGTGCATTAGACGATCCAAGGTTTCAAGGCGTTCTACAGATTTGTGGAATCCGGGGTTGGGAATGGGTCAAACGTCTCTTGGTATTAGGCCACACATACGAGATATGTGTACTAACAGTCAGCCTCGAAATTATCCTGTTGGTTCCAACATTGGCTCGGAGATATTACGTTGTAGAGAGAGCATCTCTACGCTTCAGCGTATAAATAATAGCTTGAATAACGATTACGGATCCAAGAATCAACAAGCAAATCTCACCCTCCACCCTACAACATCACAATACAACAGATAGATCCAATCCAAATAAAACCAGTATGTACAAGTCCGGCGCGTTCTGCCACCAACTCCCTGCTAGAGTTACGCTTTCTAGACGATCGCATTTATTCGCAATATTGACAGTGTGCTTACCAAAAATTAGTCTCAAACGACTCCATCCGACAACATGCAATTCTCGACAATCCTCTCATTCTTCGCTTTCGGCGCAACCATCGCCTCGTCATCTCCCACCATCCGCAAACAGGCAAGACAGCACAACTGTGTCGACTGTGAGATCCAAATTGCCACTCAAGGCGTATGCTCAAGTGTCGACTGGTGCTGCTGGAAGGAACAAGTTTATTTGCCCGCGAACAACGGTATCTGTGGAGGATGCCCTATTCAAGAGGAGGCAAGCGCGAACTGCCCATAAATCGAACCAGCCCATAATGGCCAGGACAATTGTATCTATGTATGAGTTGTAAGAGGGTACATAGGAGTAATTTATTTAGAGGACAGTCGTGTACTCAAGTGTTCATTATAGCAAACATCACGCAAGTTGCACAGCGATCAGCGGTATGCCTTGTTTTCTGTAAATTGTTCCATGAATCTACTAAATCTTTCATCACATAAATATCAACATACGCGCAGCAATTTCCCAATATTCGCACAGTTACTCTAGTCACTCAGGTGTAATTGATGCGAACATCTGCGGCGAGAGACTCATAGCCGAGGGAATCAGCAGCAACCACGTTAAAAGACGAAGTCACATTAACAAGAACAAGGTTCATAGTTCTGTACGCAACTGTGGGAAGGCAGGCAGTCAGTCACTACAGAATAATATTCTATCAGTTCATATCGCCCGGTCACTACTTCAGGGCGGACAATTATTATAATTTCGAAATGCTACTAGAACAACTGAGTTTCGTTCTCAACACACGATCCAAACGAAAGCGAACTATAGGTGTCATGTCCGATACCGAAATATATATTTCTCTGCTAGGGGTCCAATTTGAAAAGGGAACTCCCAGTTCAGAATTTATAGTTGCTTAGCGTCTCCGGGCAAATCGACTGTACCCGTCATAAGATACTTCGCGATGGAAGTCTAGATCCCGGAAGAACACCGCTGGATAGAACCTAAGAGGGTATTCAAGATACCGATGCGACCTGGAGTAATTCAGCTGTCCTTGTGTCGAATACGTTGGGTCGCGCTTATATAAGGACGTCGAGAGGTGTCTGTTCTATATATTGCTGTTCTGGTGGCACCGCGAGACAGACATAGGGCCGGGAGTCATAAGACCTTGCGATCGTGTAGTCGGAAGGATGTTGCGTGCCCACGAGCGACGGTTGGGTATGGATTCGTGTCTCTCCCTTCTATGACATCTAGAAGCAAGACCAAGATGCGAGACAGTATGCAGCGTCCTTCCGCTGTGAGCATTGCGCGGGTCCATGTGAGCATTGCATCGAGTATGAAAGTGAGCAACTTGCTCCCTTTCTTTTCGCGTTTCTTGAAGTGCTTGACTACTGCCTCTGCCCAATCGGAACATCATTTCAGGTTGGACTGACAAAATCCCGGGTTCCAACCAAGAAATGTCAAGAGAGGATTCCCTCACCCCTCCCGGTCCGACATTTATATATGAGACCTGCTAAGAGCGTCTAACCGGAAGCTCTTGGGTGGAGTATTTTAGTAGTCGTCCTGAAGCTGCCTAGATGAAAGGGTAATGGTGCCAACAGTTTGTTCCAACAGTTTGGCGCCGCTGGGGTTGGTACTTGGCTGAAGGACGACGTAGCTGCACCAAAAGGAATCGGCCGCCAATCTGGCCCGACTTTCTCTCGGTGAGAATGTATATAATCTGTGCGAGATCTTCGCACTAGGCTAGTCTGGATTAAGTCTCTGGTAGCGACCACATCTGCACATGACCGCTAGGCCCTTGCAGCAAAGGGGTGACTATGTGGACGGCTTGGAGATATATAGAGCGCGAATGCCTCTTGCCCGTTGAGTGGGAGATCGATTGTGTTGTTGCTGTTAGGCATGATGTCTTATTGCAGACATGATGAACCCGGACAGCGACGGCTTGCCTTTGCTTTGCCGTGGAGGTGTCATAGATATAGATATAAAGGGTAACAGTTGGGTGTGCCAAGTTTGCAATGCATTCAATGCTTCATCGTACTTGATGAAGAAGAAGACGTATGAAAATCTTCATCCATGCAATCGGTGGAAGTTTGGATTCGGCTTGGTGGTCGTGTGGAGATAACCGAGATGAAGTTTCCGTTCATTATAGCGAAGACAGATCACAGAAAACCATGTCTGCATCATGTGTGCTTCAATCGAAGATGTATATGTATCCTTTGTCGTAGAAGATGAAGGAACGGGATATATATCGTGAAGAGTCGACAAAACTTCCGTGTATCTGGTCCGAGATCTATATTTTCAAGTTAGCAATGAATGTACTCAAAGCAAAAAAACCTTCATTGCAGAATTCCATTTGGACAACGTGTATAACTTACACCACAAAGTCGCGCATCAGGCCACATAATCGTTGAATTTTCCCAGGTGCGTCTTCAAACAGCCTTTTCCTTCCCATTTCGCTGTCTCTCTGAGTTGTTCAAAGTCCAGGTGGCGAAGACTTGAAAGGTTTGCCACGGGCAGAAAGAAAGTAGCATGAATGTTTTGCTATAGGACAAGGCGGTCGACCGCATTTTCCGCACGTTCTCGTCGTGGATGATAGTCCCGTTGAAAGGGGCTAGGAATTTTTGGTCATGTTATATAGCGAGGCGGACAAGACAAGAGCTGTGGCGAGAGTGGCACCCAAGTTTGCACGATGATTGACGTGGGTTATCGTCGACCTGGTAGAGGATGGACGTGGGATGTTGGCTGACTTGTGATCAAGGAACAATCAGTAGGAGTCTTTCGAACGGGCCTGGAAGAATAAGGTTAGTAAATGATTGCCATCATCTGATGGAGCAGGGGAAATGAATACTTTCTGAGCGATCGCGTCGCTGGGGGTGGTGGGTTATAATTGCGACGCTGAGAGTAGAGGCACCTCCCGCAGACTGAGTGCAAACAGTTCCAGATTAGCGTAGTAGTCAATCAGGCAAGGAGGCCATGAGAGCGCGAGCAGTTAGGTCAAAACTATGAAAAGGGGGTATATATAATATAGTTGTATCTGATCGATCGATACCTTGAGCAGGTTCGACGTATATATGTGCTGGAGAACAGAGGACAAGACCTCTGCCGTTTGCTACCACCAGGCAGCCACTAAACGAGGAACGGCGGGATCCCGAAGGATAGGACAGCACATCCACCAGTGCTACGTGCCAAGACCCATGGCAAACAAACCCAACGCCACGGAAACAAAAAAACCCAGAAAAATGTAACCTCCAGACCGCATACTTGGGATGAAGTGACGAATCATTCGTGCCAGACACTGCTCAATCTCCTGCGCCTACCTCCGACGCGGAAGCTTCCGGGACTGATTCCCCTCTGTCCGACACCCGTCCCAGCAAAACTCTGTTCCAAAATGGCGTCTTCCAATTCGTCTTGCTCTTCTATCCTCTCGCAGACAGATTGCGGTGGCTCCTCTTCGAACACTTTTTGCAGATCTGAATGCGGACTGAAACTCTTCCAGCTCCAGATGCTCCATGTTTCGCGCTTGGACGGTCCGAGCGTGCGTTGTGGGCGCGGAGCGTTCCAGAGGTATTTGCGCTCATAGAGGGCGATGAGGAGGAGAATTGGGGCATTAAGTATGCGGACGAGGGTGATGTTGATTTTGTGAAACCAGCGAGGTGTAAGGAAGAATTTGAGAGGGAGAAGGATGAAGAGGGCGAGGATGTTGAAGGGGGGTCGGTATGCAAAGAGAGAGTCGGATTTCACGCCCTCGAACGTGGTGACAGCGCGGCGAAACTGGATTTCGGCGGTAGCGGAGGCGGCGATCTTGGAGAACGTGTTGGAGAGGATCGAGACGAGAACTGTGAGGAAGAGCGTATTGCCGAGGAAGGCATAAATCACCATCAAGGTTGGTCCGAGAACTTCATGGAAGCGCGGAGCCTGTTGAATGCCAGTGCCGTCAAGTCCGAACCAAATCCAGAGCATCCATTTGGAGATGGTGACGGGTGCGGGAGAGTCGGCGAAGTCGATGTTGGGGTTCCCCATGGAGAGCCACTTGAGTGCGAGGAGAAAGCCGCCGAAACACCAAACAGCGATGAGTGTAAGTGCGGTAAATTCCTTCACCATGGCTCGGAGGGAGATGAAAAGCATATTCTCTGGCATGAGGTTGAAAGCAAGACGAGGAAATACTACTGGGGATGCAATAGCAAGAATGTCGAGTGCTTGCCGCCCAGCTTCGGCATCGCCAGTCACAAATCCGTAGATCCGCAATATGAAGTAAAGCCAGTAGATAAAGACGAATGTGAGATCAAGGAACGCCCATAGTTCCTGAGTATGGACGACCCATCCATGTTCCAGGACCGACAGGCATTCATCCAAAACCCAGCCAGCAGCATACACCATGAACCACGCTTCGGGTGCAGTGAAGTTGCTATTGGCGGTGCTGTCTCTGTTCATCATGCACAAGCAGTAAAGACCCAATAGAACTATGAACTGAACGACTTCGATAATGTTACGGTTCCGGGGTACGATGAGTCGGTACTGGTTGAGCAATGGCGCTTTGCGAGGATCGTATAAAGAGATAGGCTTATGCTTGTAATGATCGGGAATGATATCGAGGAATGCAGTTGGCGTATAAACGATCCTACCGCGATACACAGCATCTATAATCTTCTGGGACGCCGAGCTGCTAAGGAATAGTTTGCTTTCAGATACGATCGCCACCTCCAGAGCGGTCAATTTGCCCTCGTAGCCACCTTGCTTTTGATAGTGCCATTCAGATCGCTCGGGACAAACCTCTGGAGGAGCATTCTGGAATGGTTGGAATGGCGCAACAAGAATGTTGGCAAGTCTAAGCAGGCCTGGTCGGCCGCTTTTGTCCTCGTCGTATAACCGCAGCATCTTCAAAGCTACCAGTTCGCATAAATTCGCACGCGTGAGATTAACACTTTGATGATGGGGCTGGAAAGATTGTTCATGAAGGAATTGCATCCTATTAACCAACAAGCAGTAGACTTATCATTAAGGTTAGTCGATACAAACACGATCGGAGCAAAACCAGCGCAGACTTACCGACTGAAACATCGTCCTCATCGTACAGCCGATCTACAAGAGGCTTTACAATCAGAACGTTCATTCTTGGCTCCTTCATTTGTTCAATGCTGTACGGGTCATCAATGCTCGCTAGTACCAATCTCCTTACTCGATGAATAGTATAGTAGACATCGAGCGCACTGTGTGGGTCTGGATGAAAGACTTCACGAGGTCCAAGTCGACTACTGTCTTCTCTCAAGCAGCCATCTGGGTCCGCGATTTCATCATCAGTGAGGAGCGTTTCTTGCTCCTCACGGCTCCGTACTGCTCTCATCGCATCACTAAGACTACGGTGATTAGCAGCGAGGTGTGGACGCTGCAGATGCTCCGCCATGCGGACATGCTTGGACGAGGTTGCGCGTTTGGAGGAATCGCTGAGATCGTCATCTTTCTTAGTTCCATCTTCATTCCTTCCATTCTCAGTGCGTTGCGCAGCGGTCGTTGAATTGTATGATGCTTGATTGGCATTGAGCAACAAAGGTGATGTCACCGTTGTCGCTGAATAAGTTGCATCTTTTCTGGTGTCGCCATTGGTATTCCCAATGCCATTTTGCTTACTCTCTGCCTCGGTGCGATCGGTGGCTCCATTTCCATTGGCAATTCCCGCTCCATCAGTGTCAGAAGTGGATCCCTCCATGTGCTTGTTCTTGGCCACCTCTTCCAAATCCCATAGAAATCCGATCCCAATTTGCCGCGCTTCGAGGGAAAAAAGCTATTCGATAGATCTGTGGGTCTCCGCTCGTTCTCGCAATAAGCCGTACTCCACAGAACGTATGATATTGAGTGATGAAAATGCGCGTCGCGTCGAGCAGACGGCAACGTGACACACGGGTGAAAGAACTCGAAACAAGCTTCCGGCCCTTCTCTGCTTCACTTGTGGAACTAAGCCCTTAAAATCTCTAGTGTTGACTCGATAGGCGAGGCGAGGGGGAGAGGAAAGGAAGGGAAGAGCTGGCTTGCTTCCAAAGGATCGGGGTGGGGCACCTGGCCTCGAGTACTTGTGGTCCGTGGAACAGACGAACTCTGCAGGATGTGTAGAATAAAAGGGGGCCCAGATCGTGCAATGAGTGAGCCAGCTATTAATAGAGAACTCGAGGGTTGTTCTGGATGGCTTGGAGCTCGAATTGATCTCTGATGGTTGCACGGAGTACAGTGGAGGAACACAAAGAAAGCAAATCTTTGTGAGGGCCACTTCTTATCTTTCGGTGATGGAATGAATAGATAATGGGAGAAACTACCCGGCCGGGATTGAACTGTCGTAGCGAGAAAAAGCAACGAGCAAACGGGCGGGCGGCCGGGGTGAAAGATAATCTCGAGATTCGGTGGACTCAATTGATGATGACGGTTGGTAGGAAGATGAGAATCGAACTAACGCTCAAGGGGTTTAGTCCGGATGCTGCAGGAGTAGACCAATCATACGAGATCGTAACTGTTTGCATTGGGTGGGGGCAGCCATTTCCAACCACACCTAACTTGGACGACATGTCACTGTCGCGGGCACGTGGAAAGGTTAGAAAGCATTTACGATACACTCAGGTAAAGTAGTTGGATAGAGGGAATCATGGTGCTGTTTGGACATGTGATAGAAAACGCATACTGAACGGGTTGACTGCCTCGTATTACGCTGTTCTGTATCAACACTTGATCTATGGATTAGGTACTTACATACTTTTGAGAGTGCATACTAACTTGCAAATAAATGAAAGTAAATTATTCAAGTACCCCCCAAAGTCAAACCTACCTTGTGAAATCCAGTGCCTCTTCCGGGTGTATTCCTACAAATTGTTATCAATTCAGTCATGCATGTACAGTGAGCCATAGTCCACCTCTTGGTGGACAGATAGCTATGTGTGTGAAGATGAGAGAGGACAGGATGTCGAAAATTCTGAGTAGGCGACATTGCAGTGAGTATTTGGGTGTTGGGCCGGAAAATTCTAGTATGATTGAAATAGCGGACGGCGACCCATTGCGAGTAATTCGTTCTTGATGCAGAGACAACAGGCAGTCGAGAGATACGGTGGGAGATGTCCACAAAGATAGGTAGATTCGCATGGAACCCACGTTTGATACTTGCAGATAGTGTAGTCAACCAGCCCGGTTCATGTAACTAGAGTAAGGTTTGACTGGTTTAATTCTCTCAACTCCAACAGTGGCGATCGCATGATAAGAAAAGTCGGTCACTGCTCTGTATGCAACGTGAAGATCGACGGGACGAGAGGTCTGGTTGCTTATGTTTGACGGCTTGACGGCTTATTTAATTGCACGATTGGCACGAATTATTGGTAATGAACAATGCGGATTGCCCTCCAGCAGGACCGAACACAAGTTTGGATCAAACAAGTAATATCTAATTTGGGCCAATACTAAGCAAGGTCACACGAATGAGGGCATTACCGTGAACATTGTTTTTGCATGAATGCTCTGGGATGGCATGCGACTGGTAGATCGCTAGACGTTACGAGATCATGCAGGACGTGCATCAACAGCGCATGAAGCGTGAAACTGACATGGACGCTCACAGTTGGTGGGTTGGTGAACTCAAGCAATTAGAGTACAAGTACTTGTATGTACTCCGTACTTGCTTGCCGATCAAGGGATACGAAGGTTTTGACAAATAAGACGGGGGGAACTAGCACGTATATGGCACGGCACGAGGTGTCAAAATGACGAAATCATGTGTCTCGGGGGACAGAACAACGGATACTTCGGAAAGATCGGGGCTAATTGGATTTTTCAAGTACACCTTGTAGTCGAGAGTAGTTTGCCGATGGTGAAGACTTTATTTTTTGTAGTTGTGTGTACTCCGTACTTGTGCATGCTTGGGGGCGCCGGCGGAAGGGTGGACTGGTAGAAGGATGCAGCTACCTCAACCGCCATGTGGAGACTATGGAAAGAGACGTGAACAATAGGAGAATAGTGGCAGAGTATGTCATAGATAGCGGGTGGACGTAAAGAAGGAATACGAGACGGATGGAGGACGGGAAACATCAACGGCGGTACTGGCTTTTTTCGCTCCCGCATGTACCTGGGATGGGAGAGTGGAGTGGACTGGAGCTAATTCCAAGACGAGGGGGGAGGGGAACATGCACTATGCAGGTATGCAGGTGTATGGACGGGGCAAGCCAGGCACAGGCACAGGCATAGTGACAATAATCATTGGTAGGATGTTATTGTACGAGTACCATAGGTTCTGTACTGGGCGTGGCGTGTCGGTAGCGCAATGACATGCCTACTCCGTAGATAGTTACTGATTGATGCTGTAGATACGGAGTACTGGATGTACCTTTGTTTATAGTGTATATCACATAGAATATGACAGATAGGTACTGGATACCTAGGTAGATATACTGTGCAGTATGGTACTGGTAAGTACCTAGTAGAAGAGATCAGTAGTTATCTGAACGCACTTGTAAGCTATAGGTATGTATCTGGTACCCCTACGCTATAAGTAGAAGGCATTTTGTAAGAGTTTGGTACTTGTAGGGTACGTGCAAGTTACATGGTACGGCTGGTGGAACACTGGACGGAAGTACTAAACCCCCTAGTCCCGAGCTATTCCCCATTCTCATCTTCATCCCATCCCCATCTCATCTCATCCCAGTCCAAACACTCCCAGCTCCCTCCATTCTATGATCAATTCACCCCCCCTTCTCCTCACTTGTCCTCTCTTTTTCTTTCTCCTTCAAGCCCCCCGTTCAAGCCTCCCTCCCCTCCCCAGTCCACACGCCCGTTCAAGCGACTCAAGCACCCCCGTTAGCTCTTCAGGGGCCTCAGAAACTTGAACCCCCCTGGGCCATTCAGTGGCGCGACCTCCCTCCAAGCCAGAACCAGACACAACAGAACAGAACGGAACGGAACAGGTCCCAGGCCCTGAACCCTGATCCTGACCACCCCCAGTCCCATCATGCTGCATCTGCTGGATGATGGCGCCTGGTTTGCGGGCTGACTCCTGCTCTCTGGCTGGCCCTGTCCGCTTGGTGCTGGCTGTTAGATACCTACCTAGGTACTTTACTTGTACTGCTGCGGTGTGCTGTGTGTGCTGAGTGCTGCGTGCTGCATGCTGAGTTTCTGACTGCTGAACGACAGCCTCGAAACAAACCCACGCACACTTGCACTTACACCAACATACACCGCATCTCACCTCACCTCTCCCACCCCCTCCCGCGAACCTCCGTTCGCTGTCCATACCTCACTGCAGCATGCTGTCCGGCCTTCTCACGGCGTCATCGCTCGACTAGAACGCCAGCCCCTTTCGTCGCTCGCTCGATCGGAGAAGAAGCTCGACCAGCCTTCCATGTGCATGCACCGCCCACGCTTCCCCCCTCGAACCGTAGACTGGGTCCAGCCCTTTGGCCGTCGCACGATAGACTGAGACCAGGCGAGTCCCGTCCAAAGGCTCTCGATCGTCGAGCTCATCCAATTTTTGAAATATATCCAGCCGCACGCTGGCCGGCATCATTACGCCATGCTGCCTTTCCGCAGCAGCTCGCGAAACTCGCGGAGATCGCGTAAGAGCCTCGAGGCCCATCAACAACACGAGAACCCCAATTCGCTCGAATGGCAACCCGATCGGGATCAATACATAATGTCCTTCCCAATACATCCTCTATCTTCCATGCAAGGGCCGTTCGAGGAGAGCATACTAGCTTCCACAGTCGAGGGTGGATATGTTCCTTTCCAAAATCCAAATAAGAGCGTGGAAAAGCGACAGGAAATGATCTGCAAGGATGGAGAGGCCTCGGAACTCGATTGGAACTTCACATACAATTGCCACTGGCGACATCACGCCAGAGGGAAATATCACCCGCTTTTGATGACGATAGCACAAATCGTCTTTGGCGTTCATCTCCTACATCAGCACCTGGAGAAGTCGGTGGCTGACGTGGCCGAGATCCTGCTCAAACATGTCAATGAGCTTGATGCTTTCCTCCAGCGAGCTAACGAAGATATCGAAGGCAGTCTTAAGGACATGCTGTTCCGCCGGAAGTGTTTGAAGGTGCCAATGGAGCATGTGAACGAGTTTGACCGTTTGCTGGACGATCGCACATATCGTGCACAGCTCCTGGACGGCAACATCACCATTGAGAGGACCATAAACCGGATGTCCCAGATGCTAAATGATTACCTCGTTGATATGAGTACCTATCGAGACGCAAATACTGAACTAGACATGTATCTCGCCAGCATCGGGAACACCTGGACCAGCCACAATGACGACGTTGCACGAATATATTCCGCCATGTGTGGAAACACCGCCGGTTGGTCGCAATTCTTACAGAGCCTCGTTGCCAAAGCAGAGAAGCTCGGCGTCGTTCTCGTCCAGGTCAGCAGCTACTGTCACGAAATTGAAAAGCGGTGTGGAGCGGCCAGCCGCCGTAGTATGGTAAGTGTACCTTTCCCCCAGCGATCTACACCGCATCGTTGGACGTGTAATTTCCGTTGCCTCCTACTGACTTGAGTTATCAAGATTGCGAGCCGCTCATCGTCAAGGAGCACGAGTTCGAGAGATGCTGGACGGTCTTTTCGGAATTTCGCGGACAATAAGCCGCTCCCCATGGTCCCCAATGAGCGACCGCCCTTCATGCCGTCTTCTAGTATGCTAGGTGAGACGAGATCCGGGGATAGTACCCCTCCCAGACCTGGAGAAGTCCACCAGCCTCGTGGGCGGACAGGCCGGATACGGACAATCGAACATTCAGACTCCGACGACTCGCTGCAACGCGAAGGAGGATCCAGGCAGCTCTCGGCGGCTATATCTTCACAAGCCTCTAGTTCCGACGTGACTGTGTTGCCGCGCAGCCACGAGTCGCAGTCATCAATGTCACGAGACCTAAGTTCGAGTGCCTCTGATCGCCAAGTAACTGGAAGCAAAGAGCCCACAGGTGAACCATACCAAGCGTCAACTCGCGTTTTACAGCGTTCTGAACCCCAACCTTCCACTATGCCCCTCGAGACATTAGAAGCAAAACGTTTTGTGATACACCCAGCAAAGGACGAGCAGAGTCCACCATTAACGGGCAAAGACTCTGCATATTCTTCTGTGTCCGGTGGATCTTTTGCCTCGCCAACGGGCCTGCCACCACGATCCGCTTCGGCACAATCATCCCATCCTCGTGCACAGTTTGGGTTGTTCCCGAGCAGTGGGCCTAGCACACCCAAGCTCTCCTCATCAGGTTTGCATGTTGCAATGTCTCCTCCAGCTTCGACGAGTCGTTCCCGCCCAGCGCCGGCGCCAGCACAAGATCCTGCTCCCCGAGCGCAGTCAGCCATGGAGTATCGCGCCCCAGAGCTGCCAGCGTCCAAGGGCTTGTTAAGAAAATCAAGTCTTTCGTCCTTCAAGCGGTTGTTCAGCAAGAAGAAGCAAGAGTCAGTGGAGACGATTGCTGAGTGAATCTTTCTTGTATGTCTTTTCAGCGGGCATTCTGTCGCCAGTTTTGTTTCGTTTGGCGAGTCTTGCACTTATATACCCAACTCGTCGGCTTTTTGTATATTGCGAAGTAGCCGCGCGCGCGTATGCGTCTTCGCTCGATAATGTATTATAGTAATGGCTTAAGATCGGTGATGAGGCGATGATTGTGACCGTTTATCGACGTCTCGGTTTGGATGTCTCCCTTGGTTGCTCGTAGGTTTTGCGGCGGAGGCGGCGCGCGGTGGATGGGAAAGCAGCTATAGCTATGAAGAAAGAGAATCATGAAGTAAGGAGACTTAGAACAATGCGGACTTGACAAACATCAACCTAGATTTCGTTCGATCCATTGCCCCGGCGACCTTCTCGGGAGTTACGCTTGCCAGGTCCTCCTCAAGTCGGACCTGATCGAAGAGCAGAAAGTCGATGCACCATGGCGGCGCGCCAATGGTGTCTATGTCGAACAGACCCCGGGGTACGAGAAGAGATAGAGTCTTGCGATGACGGCGAAGGGCAAGGGGCAAAGGGCAAAGGAGAGATGCCAAAAATCTTGGATGGAAGGGTTTTGTTCCGCGGATAGTGGGCAGCAGACACTGTGTGTATGTTGGTGAATGGCAAAGGCGTAAGATCACGTTGATGAGAGGCAGACGCAAAACATCAATCAGGGATCCTAGTAGATAGTAGAAAGGCCCGGAAACCCATGCAAAGACTACTTTCTTTTCCCCGTCATCACCTTCTTTCTCGTTCCTTTCAGTCATCTTCAAAGTCAAAGCAAAGTCGTATTCCTCCTTTCTTTACGGTAGGGAAAGGAGAGGAAAAGAGCAAAGAGAAGAGAAGGTATTGGAGAAGGTATTGGAGCCATCGCCATACTTTCTTTCTCTCCCATCTCCTGCACCTCACCAGGTCACCATCTCCATCCTCATCGTGTTCAAGCTGCCTGGCCAACACTGACTGCACCTGCTGCCTCATCATTGGCATAGTGAGCCGACGGCGAGTGCAAGAGCAAAGACAGCTGCGTGCTTGCTTGCTTGATTTCTGGCTTTCCTGCTTGCTGGCTTGCTTGCTTGGCCGCCCACCTGCCTATCTCCTTCTCTCACTTCCTCCACAACAATCATCCCATCACCCTCAAACTCTTCTTGCCCAAGCCCACAAACTTCTTTCTCCTATTATCCCACCACACGCAATAACTCTTCCACTCCTTTTGGCAGACGCTCCTAGCGAGTATACTCATTGCATACTCATCTCTCCTTTGGATCCGAAGGACATAGTATATTTTCTCGCAGCATCTGTTTTGGTTTCTGCAGGAGCACACGCCTTAGCCCACTTTCACACCTACCTCCCTAACCCAGCAACATCTTCGCTTTTCCTCTTTCACACTTCTTATCGTCTCCTTTCATTCAAAGCATCTTACTCTTCGTCCACTGCTGGACAATAATATGTCTACTGCAGACGGCAACGGTGCGGGTGATGGCGATACCATCAACCCTTCTCGCCCCTCGCCAAGCTCGCAGCGTGACCAGCAGCACGAACACCCTGTAAGTGAAGCAGCATCGATGGATCAGCCTGAAGATCGGGTTGCTCTGCAGTCTAATGAACCTCCTGCACCTGGTCCGGTCGAGAATGATCCTGGCGGCTCGCTGCCTGCAGGACATCACCAAAACAGCCATGGTGACGGACACGCCAGCAGGGGCTCTCACTTGAACACCAACCCTCAGCAGCCCCAGGCTGTGGCACCTCAAGGTACCCAGCCTCCGGTGCAGATACGACGAAAGGCAGTACCGCATCCAGACAATACTCATGACAATCGTCGACGTGAGCCAGTCGCGCGCGATGACGGCCGCGCCAGCAGAGCCTCCAACCTCACCTCGGGCTCCGTCCATACCCAGTCACAGCCAGCACGCGGACGCAACGCGCCTGGCCCCCATGGCGATGGACGAGCCAGCAATGTTTCGAACCGGTCGACAAGCTCAACTCCATATCGATGCTCTGATGAAAGCTTCGAATTGCAAGTGATTAATAGTCCTGCAGTGGCGGGAATGATTGGAAATAAGGTTGACCCTCTCGTTCCCACCATCTACGAAAAACCGCTAGGAAGCGACAGGAACAATACCTTGGACAGCGTATCACGAAATCTTGCTGCCATGAACACAACACAGGCAATTCAGTCCCAGATACTCGGCAACACGTATCATATGACACCGTTGACGCAAGAGACCCCGCGCGCGTCCGAAGAGTCGCCCTTTGATATGAATGCCCATCATGCCTATTATGTCCCAGACACGAGCCGTTCCAATACTCATCATAGGTCGTCAGCAGCCGACCGTCGCTCTGGAAGCCGTCCTCGTGGGGCCCATGATCAGCAGCAATTCCCAGAAAACATGCGGGAACACCCAGTGCCGCGGCGCATGCCCGGTCCGAACCAAGTTCCCCCCAACTATCGCCCGCACCGAGGTCATCCAATGCCTAGGAGGGCGGCACAACCAGATGGTCGTCAGGGTTTGGAAGTTGATATGCGCAGACCTGATAGGCGCGGACCCGATAGGCGTGTACATGACATGCGTGGACCCGATATGCTTGGACCTGATATGCGTGGACCTGATATGCGTGGACCCGATATGCGTAGACCGGATATGCGCGGCCCTCATATTCGCAGACCCGACATGCTTGGACCTAGTGTTCAACGAGATTCCTTTTCCGATCGTATCAATTCTCGTTCTGGATCAGTGACACCCTTGCCTGTTGCATCTGGTTCTATTCCTCGATCCAACATCACCATGGGCCAGAATCCAGGTAGAATGATCGACTTGGCCAGGGGTGCCAACCAGCAAGCATCCAGGCAGTGGTCAGTACCTCCTGATGGCAATCTTCGCCGTCCACATCTGCCTGGCGCTGTTAGAAATGCACCAACTGGACTTTCAGGTAATGCTCTTGAGGGAAGACCCTCCGGTGACAGTTCGAGGTCCATGGATGGTACCATCCACCGCGGCCCTAATCATTTCCAAAGCACGGCGCTGCATGGCATTCCAGAGCTCGCAACACCTTCTGCTTCACGTGGCCAGGGCATGCTCCATCCAGCTCAAGCTATTGTGGCAGCCCGTAGAACTTCATTGGCGATCGAGTCAAGGGATATGCTGTCTTCTCCCGTTCAAGGTGGGGTTGTACCCGGAGCTCGCCCTTCGGACCAGGACGTCCAGCAACGCATTAATACAACAGAAGCCGGTGAGTTGCAAATTTAAGCAGCCCAAAGTAGAAATCAAGTGCTAACCTATTCAATAGTCAATCCTGCAGGAAATTCTCTTCTGATGCCACCAGCCACACGTAACGGTGGGGCCCAGGATGCTTTGCGTTTGGAGCAGTCTCAGGATACCGCGAGGGTCGAGCAATCTTCGCCACTCAACGAAGATACCGTTACGCCTGATCGTGCTGGTTCCGTTCCCTCGACGACCACTGGAGACACACCCCATACGCACTCGGATGGTGCCTCTCGTGTTCCTGTCCCGGAAACACCCCTTACATCTCCTACTTCTGTGGATGATGTGCATCATCTTATCTCGGAACAGACCAACTCATCTCCGGGCGTCCAGATCTCCCAGCAGCATTCGGAGCCCCAATCATCAATTTCGAATAACCCTGCTGGCCCTCGGAAGGAAAATTCTATCAAGAGATCCATTCGCCGCTTTACTAAGATTTTGACTCGACCAGGCTCTAAGAAATCATCAGCGAGGCAAGAGCAGCAGGATGCATCTCAGACTACTCAGACGGCCTCGCCTCCACAAGCTTCGTCTACCTCTGATCGTGTCGTGCAGCCACGCGATGCAAGTGGTACACAGGGCTTGTCGCCATAGAATGGTAGGGGGGGTGACACGATTCAGGCAATTGCCGCTCCTGATATCGATACGGACCCCCCAATTCAAAAAGGCGGCACTGTTGAAGCTACAGAATCGGAAGCCCCAGCGCACAGTAAGGCTGATGACGTAAATGCAGCCACACGAGGCTCTTCAACTGATATCCACGTTTCCCGCGTTATGTTACCCGAATTTTCACAACCCGACTGTTCCATTATAGATACGATGAGTCGTTGCTTGTCATGTACAGATACTCAGAAAACATTCGAATCCGTGGCAGATGAGGAATGTCAAGTCGATAGGTCCTTTGGACCAACTACCTCGGATACTGTTTCGGAATCCACTGATAAAAATATGTATACTAGTAGCGTGTGCCGGGGTTTTTCTTTTCCAATTTCGGCGGACGCGTCTGTCTTTGAGCTGGGGTTTTCGTCTTATGGGCCGGTGGGACCGAGTAGCGATGGGCTCTTTCCTTTGATCGAGGACTCTCACGAGGACTCAAGCCTGAATAGTTCAATATCTCGAGCTGTCTCCAGTGTCCACTTTCGACCTAAGGGTTGTCCACGTTCATCTAGAATGCTTTCTCACAGAAGTAGCATCCTGCAAACGAATAGTCTTCCGCAGCTCAACTTTAGTGATATGGATCTCATAGCCAGCTTCAGGGAGGCTCTCCAGAGGCGCTCACTTGATATTATAAGCATCGATCTTGCTGCAAAAGAGAACTCGGGGTATGAGAAGTTTCGATCGACCTATAGCCAGGACGTCTCGGCTGGGTATATAAGTCTCATCGCAGGCTTGGAGGGTTTGGAGAAGGAGTATAAGAGAACTGGCACGAAACCCGACCCCACCGCATTTAGGACCCTGCTGCCGTCGCGTTCATCTAAGAGCACAGAAATCCTGAGGGATGTTGAGAAGCTGGATGTCCCTTCCCTTTGTGGCTTGACTAAAAGACTTTCCGAGTTGCTTCCCGATCTATTCGAGTATCCTGAGGGTCGGCTGAGTAGCTCATGGTATGACGATGACCAGATCATGCAGAGCACCAGGAAGGAACTGCAGGAAGTCGCACCTGTACAGAAGAGGTCATCTGCTCGTTTGCGACCATTTCCCGGTGCCGATGGGATGATCGTGATGGACGACGATATATTTGCGGAAGTCAGCAAACGCGAGAGAATTGGTTCGAAGCTTGTGGTTGATGCCGATCCAGGGAAGGAAGTAAACAGTGGTGAGGCGATGGCCCCGGTGGAGGCTGGCAGCGAAGTCAACGAAGACGCGATACTTTCAACTGATCCCAAGGCTGCATCTCCTTCAAGACCGCGAAAACGAGCTCGAACACTCAATCACAACGACCTGCGACCTTCCATCGAGACCAAGCTGTCGTCGAGACGGTCCTTGCAATCATTGAGACGAACGGCCACAGAGGGCAGCACCGAAGTGCGCCCCTGGAACAAGGAGGACAATTACACTTGGGCGAAAACAGGACTTGACGTTCACCTTGGACTGAGGTCGCCAAAATCAGTCTGTCGCTCACCTCAGGGTGGTGCAGGGGGTCTTTGCAACTCCCTGCCAACCTCTTGTTGTGAAGGAGATTCAACCCCCTCTCACTTTGAGTCCGACTCCCCTACCACCTCCACCGACCTCACCCTCCTCAACCCCATTCCACACCCCCAAAGTCTTTTCCCACATCCACAAAGCCGCCTTTCGAGGCAAAATTCTCAAACCAAAGGAGTGGACTCGCGTTTACCCACCGAGGGTAAAACGGCACGAACTCGGACTCGCTCCAAGTCCCTTTACACCCAGTCTCACAAAGTGGGCGAACGGTACCCTACCACATCTTGCTCCCCACCACCAGAGTACAACATCGACCAGGTGGGCGCAAACCACAGTCAGATCACAGTCGGAAAGGCCGACGAGCAGATCCTGCTGGACAATAAGGGTATCGGAAAACTCATCTTGCGCAGCAAATCGACGCGCAACACATCACCAATCACTATCAGTGAGAACGGCAACATGAGCCAGCAAATTTCAACCGCCCGCGAGTATCGCCGCCAGACTTACAGCGGAGCTCAAGGAATGCCCTCGTTTGCCTACCGCCGCAAGCGAATCGTCGAGAAGATCAAGAAGCACTGGCGAAAAGGCATCAAGAGGATCACTCGCCGATCCTCTACCCATCAAGTGTTGCATGATCCCATTGGTACGTCGCGCATGTGATATCATCCCTCCCAAGGACCGGGTGGTTCTGGACCGTAGTGTCCACCCGCCTTCAAAAGGCTCGAAAGGACATGAGCTTTGATCACTGCACAATGAACATTCTCTTACAAAGACATCCAGATCTGCAAACAAAGAAACGGCGTGTGAAGCACACCATCACGAAGCGACTTCCCAAGTTCCGACGCAACTGATAATGCCTGGCCAATGTATCGAGGCTGGACGGCACGGAGCCGGAGGATTCGGAATCCCTCTCTCATGATCGCGACATCATGGGGTTGTTTTAATAGTAGTCCCTCAGAGGACATTATGCATTGGCATCATTTCGGGCATTGTATGATAAGAATTTGCACGGGAGAGGAATTACGGAGGTAGCCTTGAAACGCCTCTAGCTTTTAGTCAAAAGATATGTTTTTTCAGAATATGGTGTATTCACTTGAACGTGACTTGACTGTGGATGTGACACGGATAGGCTGACGAACATGACTGACGAATCACGGGTTGAATCACAAGTATCGATATTCACCTTGTAGCAACAAAATGGTTATAGATTGGGTATTATCCTGCTAACTATCTAATGGACACTAGTACAAACAACACAACGAATTCAAAGCGCAGTGTCAACAGGAAGAAATCCGTTCTCCCCCTCATCGACGAAGACATCATACCCCGACCCACCACCACCACCTCCCATCTCCTTCTCCCGCCTAGCCTCGAAACTCTGCCTCATGTGAGCTAAGAACCGCTCGACACTGCCATTCGGATCCTCGATCACACTCGTTCTCCTCGAGGACGAGCTCACTGTCGTCGGTGGCGTCGAACCGCTCGAACTAGGTGAGGAAGAACTCGTACTTCTGGACAGTGAGGGCGTTTGTCCCTGTCCTTCTCTCTCGCGTTCGTCTTGAGTTTGTCGAGTTCGAGTTGGACTTCGAGGTTCGTACGTTTGGTACGTTTGACGGCAGTCGAAGCGGGATTGGACGATGCGGAAGGGCGATGCGTTGTCGTGGGTCGTGTGTTCGATTTTCAGAGGCGATCGTGATGGCGCTTCTGGCGTCTTGGTTTTTGGTTTGGCTTTTCTGAGGAGGTTGCGGGGGGGTTTTTCTTCCTTGTCGTTGTTGGGGTTTGGTGGTGGGGATGGGGATGGGGGGAGGATTTGGAGGTGGGATGGGGCAGGGGAGGTATGTTGTTCGCGGAGGGTGAGGAGGTATGAGTGGTATTGTTGTGTCGTTGCTCGTGATGTTGTGCTTCCTGGGGTTGAAGTTGGGGATGGTGGTTGAGGTTGTGGGGTGGTGGTCATGTTTGGGATTGTGGATGTGGTTTTTGGCATGGGTATATGTGGATGGCGTGTTGAGGAAATTGGCAAAGTGAATGTAAGTTCGAGTCTGGTTCACTGCTTGATGGGATGGTATCGTTCAGTCTATTCGATAGAGAGAAAAGAGGACGGAGTGATTGGTGGTTTGGCAGTGATTGACTTCTTGTGATCCGGTTGTGGTGGAGTTGAAAAAGTGAATGATGATATGCTCTATCCTGTCGCCTGGACTTGGATTGGAGTTGAGTATCGAAGTGAGTTGATTCCAGCAATCATTCCACGATTCTCCTCCATTTTATACAATCCAAACCCTTCTTCTATCCTACTCATCGCTCTGCGCAAGGACATACACACAGACGGACAGAAATACCTTTGCCATGATGTCCTGTAGAGGAGTAAAACATTCACCGTGTCTCTGCTTCGTCTTCGTTTCCACGAGACGCCATGTCTGGATTCTTTTGACATCGCGGTGTTGGTCTCGGTCGCGGTAAGGTAAAAAGGTGCGGAGGAGAGCGAACGTGTCACTCCGATACCTACGGCACCCTACGCACTGAACGTACACACATCTCTGTGTAGAACGCATCTTCCATTTCCCCACACATTGACGACTGGGCGAGCAGGAAATAGAAGTCCGACCAACGGTTGGTCGGACGCAATCGAAACAAACAAAAATCTTGGGATTGGCAGTGTGGTCTGTGGGACTAGACGGTGTGGTCTCCACACCGTGCGCTCGTTGGCAAAGCGCTGTTGTGCGTGTCTGCTTGGTGGTCTTGGGGGAAAGGGGGGGTTGGTGGAGGGGTGGCCCGTCCGAGACATTTTCGTTTATGGTGTTTCTGGTTCGAACATTTGCGTGGAGGCACGTTCGATGTTTGGGAATTTTGGACAGACATGTCAGTGTCTCTATGGTATTTTTGGAAAGGAGTGGGGCATTGCATGTTGTGGCGGTTGAACTTCGTTCGCTTGGATTTGGTAGGGCTCAATGGTGGTCTCGGTTGGGGAGGCCTGTGAGTGGTGTTGGGTGGATAGTTTAGGGGAGATGGTTGGAGATGGGGATTGATGTAGTAGTGTGGTGGGTAGATGTGTGATTTGGTAGGTGGAAAGGTGTTTATGATGGATGAGTTTTATTCAGGAATCGATATAGTTCGTGTTGGGGTTTAGAAATTCTATACAAAGTCAAGTTTCGAGGGGGGCATTGTGCATGGCTAGAAGCAATCAAATATATTGAAGATGGGTGAGTAAGAATTACATGGTAGGAGAATTATCACATGTGGACTCAAAGAAGGCAGTGTCGCTAATAGCAATAAATTTAAATGCATCACGTCGCTATGTATGTACTGCCTTCGATTCTCGGGTATAAACTCTTCGTTGCGCTCGCTCAAGTCATGTAGCAACTAACGCAGTGCTCTTCGACCAACGTTAGAAAACTGCACCGCCGATGATGAAAACCCTCTCCTCCTCTCGTCGAACCCACTGCACAATCTTGTTCGCACTCTGTGCCAACGCGGCTCGACTCGTCGCAACGGGTGCTACGGCGTACAGTTCGAATAAGGGTGTGCTCCACGCGAGACTGATGTTTGTAGCACTGGTTTGATGATGGATCTTCAATGATGTGGGCTTTGCGTGGAGTTGTGTGTGGAGAGTGTTGTAGAGAGACATGAGTCTGGTTATGTGTCAGTAATTGAGATACAGTAGGTGTGCAAACGAAAGGGCTGAAAAGAGAAATGAAGCATACCTCCTTCGTTCGAGAGGGGACTCAAAGTAGGGTTCCCAGGCCGGCATTGTGAACTGTACATTTCCCCTAGACTTGTACAAGAAATGTCGGAGCGGGCTCCCGGGGACAATGTCAGTGCAGCGCGGTCGGCCAGCTTTCACGGCTTCGCGGATGCGTGATATGGACGAATTCTTTTGTAGTTGGTCGACGAGTTGGTCTCTCATTGCGCGCAGCTCAAAGAACCCTTCTTTGTTGGGGCTGATGAGTAGGATTGCGACTTCGTCTGCCGCACCACCGCCCTCACGACTCTTCGGTCGTTCTGCAACTGGTGTCGTCGGATCTTCGAGATTGAGAAAGCTCACGTACATGTAGAGGTACCCGGTGTTGTTAAATCCTGGTAGGCATAGAGGAATCCAGTTCTCGCCACCTCCGGCCTTCACGCTACCGGCTTCGAAGAGCATATTGAAGATGAGGTGGAGATCCCCTGGATGCAGAGAGTGCTTCTTGGGGCGGACGACAGAGACTAGTTTTCCTGATGCTACGATAAGACCGTAGAGGAGGTTCTCTGATCGAGTAGATAGGAGGGTTTTATTGATTGCCTGTCGGTGTGTTTTGCGCAGCTTGAGACATTCGAGGGCGGAGAGGAGCGTGGATGGCGAGCCTCGGGTGAAGCCATCAGAAAGTGCAGAGAGAAGGGTTTCCGTGCCTTGAAGGGGTCGGCGGAGGTCGTAGTTGGCTCGCGCAGCGAACATTCGCTCCATGCTCGGGAGAGTTAAAGTGGACAGAATCTGCATATATAATGCATCCAGCTGTCCTCGTAACTGTGCATCGCTTTCCGGCAAGCGAGAAATTGCAACCAGATTCAAAGGTCCTCTCGAGGAGATGACGAAGCGTACGTCTCCGGCAGTGAACCCCTTGAGTGTGTCGTTCTGGCTTTGGTAGAATGATATGATGGTCTGGATGACCCCGATATAATTTGTGACGAGCTGGTCGTCGCCATGCCGGCTGTAGATAGGTTTTCCGGCTGAGGAAAGAATAAGGAAGTGCTTCAACTTGGCACGCCATTGGAGCATGATTTGTTCTATTACGCAGAGGCAATCAGCGCGCGTTTGCTATATTTAAATATGGCAACAAGTGCACAAGCAAAAACGGGGACAGGATGTATTGACGGCAAAGTGATCTGACCTTCGTTTGATCCATCTGATGCCATGCCCTCGATCTCGTCGAACTCGCGGTCGAAGGCCGACTCGAAGTTTGGGTCATTCGGGAATAAGCTCTCTGCTTCCTGGTCCGAGAATTTATGGCCCAGAGACTGTAGTACAGATTTCTCATGATCATCCATGATTCCAGCCAGTGTGCTCTCCGAGTCTCCTCCACCGACCTCGATTGTGGTGGGTGCGTAGCTCTTCACGCTGGCACTATCGTCGGCGTCGCTAGCAGTGCTTCGTACGTTCAAGCCAAAAAAGTTCCGCGCGCGGGATGCACCTGACGAAGGTGAATCATCTCTTAGGTCGTTGTGTGTCTGCGTGTTGGTGTACGAAAGCTGTGTCGTTGCCTTGGAGACAAGCTGCGGTCTTGAAGGAGCTACCGAATGGGAGGTGGAGGGTCTTGAGTCCAGAAACGCGAGGTTCATGGGCCTAGGGGGCAAAGGCGGAGGGGTTCCTTCCCTCGAGGGGAGTGTAGTACGAGTAGATAAAGCACTTGTTGAGGTCTTCCGAGATAGGGTCTGTATGATGTTAAGTGTAGGGTTGACGAAATCTTGTTGTTCAACAGCGTCTGGCTTCTTCGGAGATATCTTTGGGCTCGGGACGGGGCTGGCAGCCGCACCATTCATGGGGCCGGCCGCATTGCGCTCGGCATTGTCTGTCTCGTCCATCGAGAAGATGGTGGCACTGTCTGTCTAAGGATCATAGGAGGGATCTAGGGGTTCGGAGTAGCAGTGACGTTGTAATTGGTTGCAGCACCATTGTAGCGCGCGGGGGTGGTGTGCGTAGGTATGTATGGTACGTGGGGATTGTTGGTGCTGAGTCTGAAGATGTTGGGGAAAGGAAGTTGGTGATGTTGACGATTACGACAAGACAAGATTGGGTCCCACGTCCGTCTGGTGGGTGACGTCCCCATGGAATTCTTAGTTCCCGCATGTGCGCACGGACTTTGTATTGCCCATCATCCCGGAGCTTGATGCCGTCCAGTTACATTCATCCATTCAGCATATTTTAAAGTACATATATATAATATAACACCATATCAACCATACCTAATGTACCTGCAATTGATACGTCCATTTTTAGGGCTAGAAGAAGATACCAGTGTTGATATCTCATACTCTGGAATGCCTACAGTGTAGGTAGAGACAAGCTTGCTTTTGCAGACCCAATGTACTCAAACATACGTGATCAATTGATTAGGTACTCATCTGTTTTGATGCACATCATTATTCTACATTTCTATCATATCCATAGATAATATCATCTCCAATATAGTTCAATGGTCATCCACGCCAAGCAGGACGACACTACTCATAACACATACTTTTCTACGAGGTAATGCGCAATGGGAATGAGATCTACGTTAAGATACGAAACAAGTTCCGATATGTACCTGTAGGTATATATAGCTCAAGTGTCGTGTACTCATGCTAGCTATGAATACTCTCCCGTGTGTTCGGATGAAGATGCTCGTGGCATACTAGGTATATACAGTGCAGCCTTAAGCTACGCAATTATGCTGCATAACCGCGACACCACCGTTTCGATAGGGTGACGCAGCAGAGCGAACAACGAAGTGCGTCCATTGTCTTACCTACCTTCGTGTCGAATCTTGTAACCGTGGGGCAGTCCACGGCTGCGACGCGACAGCAGGTTCGACAGCAATGTGAGCGCCGGTAGAGAGACCCTGATGCAGCTGGCTTTGCGATCACAGATGACTGCACAAGCTCCACCCGTCCAAAGGCGGATACTTGTGTCCCAACACGGTTCATGTCTAGATGTATCCATATGTAGAAACCACGGATCGGGGACTATGGCGTGTTGCTTGCGATTGAGTCGTTTCGATGAATCGTGGTCGGTACGTGGGGTTCAATTGCTGAACTTCCGAATTCTTCAACTCAGTTTCTTGGAGGCTTCTTCTGCCATGTGAGCTCGCGGAATTGATTCTTTACTTCGGTGCGGAAGTGATCGAAAGCGGACGGGCCGGTCCCTGACAAAACAGCGTCAGTCAAAGGTGTGCCTGCTGTGGAGCTGACGGAGCACATACTTCCGTGACCATTGTCGGGGCCCATGGGTGGCAGACCATTGATCTTGCGGTAGGCCTTCTGGACCATGCTATTGAAGGCAGGGCTGCGGAGGAGCTGCAGAGGGTGGACATCAGTACTGGCGACGGGTACGATATTGGTCAGAATGAATCGGGAGGCGTACTTTCTGGACGGCCCAGGCCTAGAGGAAGACAGTCGTTAGCTACAGGTAAGTTGATACTTCGGTGGAGCTGCGGAATAGACGCACCTCGAACAGTAACATCCACGGAGCCTTCATGGTGATGTGATGGAGTCTACATCAAAAGACGGGTTGCAAAAGCGAAGCGAGCCCTTGGAAAAAAAGGCCAGTGCAAACGCGCAATGGGCGCAAGGTGTCGGGCGCGTTTGGCGGTGGAAGGGAAGACCGAAGACGGAAATAGATGGGTGAGGCGAAATAGAATAGGGAGAGCGAGAGCGATGGAGAATCGAAAGAATCGAGAGAATCGAGACCGAGATGGATGATCCAAAGACCCAGAAGACGATGAGGCGACTGCCATGACTAATAGAGCTAGCCCCTCACTAGTTATCGGCGCCATACACAAATCTATATACTTGTACAATAAGTACCGACAGCGCGATCGTCAATACAATAGGTACCTCTTTACCAAGTATCTTCCAAAGGCGTCCCTAAACATAGATGCACCATATGTACACTTGTAGCCATACACGCGAGTAATTACCAACTCCATGAAGCCGCCCCTTATGGACAACTGCCTGCTAGCGATGATAGCTACCTGGATAATAATGCCAACATTAATTGATCGATCGAGATAATCCATCGTGGGATTGGACGCATTTGCCTAATCGCCCCGCCGCCTCCCCTTCCCCCGTTATTGACAAAGTGACTGACTGCCCGAAGTATCGTCTCCGCCATGTCTACCTTTGGTATTCTAACTAATCACTAATGACCTAGGTATCTTGCTAGTAGATGCTAGAACTATTCGTTCCTCGTCTCCCCTACTTTTTGTATAATAATTATGGGGTCCCTTAGCCGTGCCTAACACCCTATTCCCTACAAGTTCTCCCTACTTGTGCTTAGACTTGCCATCTCGTCTTCTACCTGGTCTCTACCTACTCGTGCCTGTGTCAGTGTGTACCTATCTAGCAGGGTAGATACTTTTATAGGTAGATAGGTCGGTCGTTCTTTCCTTCCCTCTCTGCTTCTCCCTCCCTCCCATCTAAACTACCAACTACCCTCTCTCTACTCATCTCTCGAACTTCTTCCTCCCTACGCAATCTCACCATCGATCACTCAATCAATCAATCGAGCAATCAATTACACGCGCACGCACACACGCACGCACACTCTTGCACTACCGACCTGGTAAATTGCATCGGCAATCTACATCTTCAGCCCTACCCAACGTGCCGTCCTATCCCTTCTGCTGGAATCCGCGCATCGGCCGCTCTCCGGTCCTCCGATACCCTCAACCTCGAATGACAACCCCCACCAGCAATTTCACACTTTGATCGCGAGACATCTAGCGAAATAGTCAACCCGGTCACTGGCACTGCGGTTGATTCAGCCCTCTTTGGTGTGACATTTTCGCATCAGTCACATACCACCAGTCAAACGGACACACACAGTCGCCCTTTGATCAAAGCACTATACTATACTGCTGTCACCTGCGCCAATACATATATACCACTTCTGCCGCATTAGAGCAACACCTGCACTCCTTCCAGACACTGCGTCAATCCGCTTACCGAAATTTCCCAATCGATCGATCCTCCCCCTGCTCTCGCAGTTTATCCTCGTCCTATCATTTCGAGTCCTGCAAGCCATCTCACGCGCGCAACCCCGGGAGATCTTCAACACATTTACAGTCCCACCTACTCCTCCCCGCACAAGAAACTACACTCTTTCCCAGCGACTGTGGAAATTGTGTCAAGCTGCATAAACTTCGCGCCCTACGGCGCAAGGCCATAGCCAGGAGCGGCCTCAAGCCGGACTCAGAAAACATGTCGTCCACAGGCTCACTCGCGGTGCCGCCGTCGCCATCATCGTCGAAGCGTTCGCGCAGTAGAGACAGCTCTCGATCCGCTGCTGCTTCCTCCGTCAATACGCCCTTCGTCACACCGAGCGCCACACCCTCCGCGAGCGCCCCGAGTCTCCTGATACCTCAATCGAGCTCTCAGACAAGTTCCTTAGCCGATCAGGAACCTCCAGATCTGACACCATACCCGGCATTCTTGCAATTGAGTAAAGCAGGCAGGTAGCTTCGGCCTTGGAATACTGCAGCAGGATGGAATGCTAACAAGAGAGATAGAAATTCTGGAAAAGTATCAAGATCTCGAATGGCAACAGCGTGAAAGACTTCTCCCTAATGGCCGGGCCGTATCGCCGACCTCGCAATGGGCAAAATGCACAGGGCCTGAGGTCGCGCAACGGAACCGATATGTCAATGTCGATCCCTATCAGAACAATAGAGTCAAGCTCCAGGTGCCAGAAGGGTACAGCGACTACATCAATGCGTCACCGATCGTGTTGGAGTCCACCAAGACAAAGAAGATCACCCGGTTCATCGCAACACAGGTAAAATCTCATGAGGGCACGCATCCACGACGTTGACTAATAAAAGATTAGGGTCCAAAACCAGAGAGCTTTTCGCACATCTGGCGCATGATCTGGGAGCAGACAACCTCCCCTGCCGTAGCTATCATGCTCACAAAAACTCACGAGGGTGGGCGCGAGAAGTGTTTTGCGTATTATCCCCAGTCTTTGCAGATGCCGGATCTCAGGATCAATGCGCATGACGAATTCAAGGACGGGATCATTCACAACTTGCACTTGGCCTCGCTGGTCGATAACGAAGAGGTGAGCGCGCAAGTGCGCGAACTGGACATGTCGACCGAAGACGGTAGCGAAACGAAAAAGATCTGGCACTTGTTATTCGAGGGTTGGCCAGACTTTTCCGTGCCCGAGGATGCGAATCAGGCTGCCCTCCTCAAGTTGATAGACCTTTCGAGAGAGAGAAACGCAGACAATGCGAACAATCCCCGAATTGTACATTGCAGCGCTGGGGTTGGCCGTAGCGGTACATTCATCGCATTAGATTGGCTTTTGCAAGAATTGGAAGAAGGAAGCATGGACAACTTGCACGAGGACGACGATCCGATTCTGACGGTTGTCGATAACCTACGACTGCAGCGCATGATGATGGTACAGAGTGAAGCTCAGTTTATCTTTCTCTACGATGTCATACGCGAGCGCTGGCGGGATCGGTGGGTCAAGCAGAATCCCGAAGAAGCGGACCGCTTAGGGCTTGACCTGGTTCGAGAGCCTCGACACAAGAGAGCGAGGCCGAGCCGGGAGATCGAGATTAGAAGAGATGACGATGCCCATGCCGAACTGGAAGCAGAGCTGGTTGGCAACCAGATGGAGTTCGAGCACGGAAGAACTTGAGGATCCCGCCCTTTCACTGTTATTGACTGGTCATACTTTTTCTGGCGGTCCCATGCCAGGATTCATTTCCCATTCCTTGTTACCTTTTTGTTCCCCTTTTCAATGGTTTGCAGGAAAGATATCCACGACTACTTTTTGCACGCATAGGCTTCGGCCATTACGATTCCCTGCTTCACCTTTTCATATTTCATTCCTCATCAGTTATGACCATAGTTATGCTATCATTAGCCTTGGAGTAATGTAACTTGGCGAAATATTCTCCTTCAGACCGGTTCCGCCCCTATAGATTTCCTGACTCTATTCTCGATAGCAGTAGAGCTGTCACATATGGAGTAAATTCACATTCATTGGTTGCCCAACCAGACTCGATCTTGAGACTTGCTTCTCAGTACTCATGTGCAAATTCATATATCTGTAAACAGACATACTTGCAAGAAAAGATCTCATGCGTGACGCTTTCCAACCCAAATCCCAAAACGCTCCACGTATCCAGCCCCTTCACGTCCAGCCTATCTGTCTAAATCGAAAAGTTCGCAATGATATGGTGACCTATCTCTCGTATACGCACGCAAGTCCACACGCACACCCTCAACCGGAGAAGCACTATCTTTCCCTCATAAACATCCCCATAGGCCAAACTTACCCGCACCACCACCTCCCAGCACTTCCCCAATCAAGTGTACCGTCCCATCATCTTGCCAACACCCTCTGTCCCTCCACAGAAAAATGAACGCCGCAAATACACCCCCTCCGATCGAAACCTACCCGTCGAATGCAACGCAACACTATCCCTACCTAACCCAGCCACATGCAGTCCATGTCCCTAAATTACACTATAACTCCCATTTCTACTCTGCAACCAAATCCCCACAGACATTGCCGCCCACCGAATTCACTCTACTTCACGTCAATTCACCCAAGCGCGGCCAGGGACGAAAGGGGAAGGGGGAGGGGGAGGGACAACACACACTTCACCGCGCCACGGACGTACGTTTGTTAGTAGTGGGATCCTGCATCGTTGAATTAATAGGGAGGGAGGGAGAGGTTGCTTTGCCGCGCCTAGACATAGTGATCGGTGGAGTAGTCGTTTGAGTATATGTATCGAGGCGTACGTAGATGGGAGGTTGAATGAAAGTCCCAAGTCCCAGTGTCATACACGACCACATTCACGACACCCTGTGATCACTGCCATCACGATCTATAGACTTGAACGCAGAAAACGAGAAAGAAAATCTTACACGAACAAGCGCCGCCCCCCCCCTTCTTCGTCCATCTTCACGCTATAACTATAATACCCGCGGCCTCGCCCCCTCGGCGCATGATGTCGGTGTCTTCGTGGCGACGGCGAGGCGAGATTTTACGACACTGCGCCGCGGAGATGCATTACATGACATTGCGATTTCTGGAGCGAAGGGAGAGGAAAGTGACACCCCGTGACGCTCGAGACGATGTGAATAGAGGCGCGAGCAGGCACGTAGATCGAATGGGAGGGTACCAGTTGCTAGGAGATAGGCATGAGTACAGCTGATTTACCCGCGCGTAGGGAAGAAGGAAGGTGGATAGAGGGATGGGATACGTGGATCTACGGCGGCGTTCATCCTTGATGTTTGCGAATATGGGGTTGTTGATAGGGGTTTTGGGGACTTTGCCGCTCAGGGACGATGTTGGACGTGGTTGATTGTGTTGGCTGTTGGCGCTGTGTCGTGGTGGGTTCCGCTTGGTTGGAATGGAGGAAGTAGATCGATCGGTGGGATGGGGTGGTGAGGATGGCTGGAAGATTGTATTTTTCTGAAATTGATTGGAGTACAGGGGGGTTGGAGGGTTGAAGGGCCACTGTCGAGCGTGGTGTTCTCGAATGAGATTGATGTGTGCTGGCGAGGAGTACTTGATTTAGGTGTGTTTTTTATGAAGGTCAGGTAAGATCACTCCTGGGGGTAAGAAATGGCTTGTGAGATGGTCAGTTTAGTCGTCGGAAGAGCATTGTTGTGTTGATAAACGATATGAAGTGTAGATTATTTACAACTGGGAAGAACATCGCGGATATTTGAATTTTAACACTGAACAAAGATTCAACATTCCAACATGGTTTTCGACACCGAATTAAGTGAGACCAATTCATCTCTGACTTCTCACAAGATTATCTACTTTAAGTTGAAATCACACGGTTGAAAGTTCTTTCTTTTTGGGTGATATCATCCCTCTGTATCTGTTCCTCGTTCACCATCTTTTTCCAGGGAAAATCTCGCAATCACATGCACTTTCGATTCGTCCGAGGTCAAGCATTATCCCTTAAGCAACTATCATCCCTCGAATTCTGAGATAGCATTGTTTGATAGAACCTTCAGGAGTGTGTCAATATAAATCATTATGATCGCAACTAGAGGAGTTCATCTAGATCACGACCATTGGTAACAGACTGAATCCATAGTTACGGCTTCAAGTCGTGGCTCGAATTTACTCGAGATCTAGCCAATGGTGAATTGAGAATTTAGCTCTCAGTGGCTGTTCAAGAGTCCATCACAGCGATTCTTTCTTTGCTATGAAATAAAGTCTACGCTTTCACATACAATCACGAGCACTAAGCAAGTTCCATTCTCATGGGAGGGACAGGATCACGAAAGATTGTTGCATATGTAACTATCGCAATAGATTCAGGATACATCGTCAGACTGTCCGGACCATTGTCGTCCGGACCAGCACAGCACTTTGATAAGTTCCGTCGAAGCGAACACACGCGAGCCACAACCAACCCTTGATATGACGGGATCTCACGATGAGTACACAGTTTATGACGCTGTATCTGAACTCCTTTGGCTTGCTTGTATCGAGAAGGATGCACACAAGAAACCCAAGACTTTGCAAAGCTTTGTCACTGCATCGCTTCGACGGCGTTCACTCTGAATTCGTTTCTCATTGCAGGACTTCGTCGTATTGAGACGTCACCGCTGAATTGCATCCGTCACAAAGAGACTAACTATCCATCCTTCTTTCAAAGAAAGGCCTAAACTGACGTATTGATGCTCTGGCACGGCAAGGAAGACGTCAGTCGGGGAGAAGAGACTTCACCCGGAAGCACTCAACGCTTCAGTGGCGCATGCCCAAAAAAGCCACCAAAAGACGAGGAGGCTGAACGAAGAAGTCCGATCCGACCTTCTGTTATACGCTAGGACGAGATCTTGATGCTCGAGCAGTCAAGCCACGAGCGAAGCCTTACGACTAGAATAGAAGAGCCGCAACCATGTAGGAAGCACCGTACATTCGGCCGGGAGAGCCAATCAAGACTATCCTGCCGGCTTGAGAGCAGCGGAACGTGCGGTGTGAGAAGGCATCGTCGAGCTCGCTTTGGAGCAGGTAGAACAGAATGTGGGTACATATCTCTAAAGGCTTGCATAGGTACGCATGGAAGGATCCGAGGATTGGAGTGCTTGGTCATTAGCTCTCCCATTGCCGTACTCGGATTCAAACAGCCTACGCCTTATATACCTACCGTAACCGAGACAATACGTATGTGCCATAGTGGATGGTGATTGGTAAATGCAAGGGCACTACATTCAATCGTCCCACATAAAGCTTCGAGAAGAAAAATTGACCAAGCCGCCAGAAGGATTTCATACATGCACCTAAGCCTAATGGCTTTCGACGGAGATGCAAGTGAAGGATTGCTGGAGAGACGTTGCGAATATGGAAATGCGAAGAGCAGATCCAGTCATAGCGCTATAACTCTCACCCCGCTCCGCTGTGGACCCTGAAAAAGGCGTTGAGGAAAGTGTCTAACTACATGGCGGTTTGGCAACCAGATGCGAAAGGTCGGGCCGATATTGAAAGGCCAGAAGAGACAAGGAGGAAAAGAGACAGAAAAAAGGATACGATAGGTAGAAGAGTAGACTGAATTCCTCATTGGATGTCCATTTAGGTACTGTACTGTGTAGACTTCCTTACCATCATTGCATGTGGCTTGGTGCCCTGCAGCGTTATGGTTAGTCATGATGCTAAAGGCGCGGTAGTCAGCCACGAGGGAGCCGATACGAAGGATACCAGCCATTATGGGAACAATAAGCGGCAGGTGCTCCGAACCAACCATCGGATGCATTTTGCGAATTGGAGAAGATACCAGGTCTACAGAGGAGAAGAGGGGGAGGCACGTTGAGGAGCTGGACGCCTGCTAGCCTCCTGTATCTTGCTTGCTAGAACTGGCTATTATGGAGTATCGTGCAGCTAGTTGAGAATCCACAAGGATTGCTTATGTACAGGACAATGGCGAGCATGAGATGCTAGCACGGGACCAGACCGACGTGGTTAATTTCTCTAGTTTGAGATCTACTTAGATTCAAGAAGGCAGATGTAGACCGGGGAACTGGAGAGAAGGATTGATTGGCGAGCGCTTGCGTATAGATCTCGGGTTGATATTGGGTATTTCTTCAACATTTCTTTGCTGGACGTTACTCGCAATTCACGACACAGCGGACAGGCGAAAGTATGAGTCGTGGTGTAAGTGGACCTTCGCAGACCAATTTCCTACATGGGAACGGGGCTTGCTGACAGCTGAATTGAGACCTTCGCCGGCCTTGCATTGTGGATTGTAGAGACGGGAAGACATGCTCGAGTGTGGAGCATATTCTGACCAGCAGAACAAGCGTCCAGCTTATAGCGTGCGTGTGCCGTGCGGCGTCGAGGATGCCGTCGAGGATGCCGTCGAATGTATTTCCAGAAACTAAGGTTTTCCCTTTTCATGTGAGCAAGATCCACCTGCATTGAAGAGTTTCTCCGGCGAGCAGGTTTGTGCAGATTGGAGGCAGGATGGACAAGTTGCAGACAACCAAAGCCGCTTTGTCAATTATTGTTTGCCAGAATAGGGGGGGAAGGGGGTGTCGACTATCGAGGCCGATCCTTTTGGGTTATTTGATAATCACTATTGAGCGAGAGCGAAGGGAAAAAGCACTGTGCTGATCGCACCCTTTCGGAACGGAACGAAATATGGACAAAAAACGACGAAGACGGAA